TGTTGAATTAGGTACGTGCGCGGAAGCTCAAGCTCTCAAAGCTGGGACGACGGGTGAGGCAAGACGGGTTGCAGTTTACTACGACATACCTGGGACGACGGGTGAGGCAAGACGGGTTGCCTCACGTGGTCGTCCCACTACTACATCTGTACAATGCTACGTCGATACTTCTAACACACCCCCACGACGAAGCATGCCTAAGATTTGAGTCCAAGTAAGGTGATCATAGTTTTGACCTTCACACTCCCCATAGCCTTCGTTAGTATGTCCGCCGGCATCTCGTTGGTTCGCACATGCACGACTGCTATCCGTTTTTTGGCGACCTCGTCACGCAACCAGTAAAATCGGAGGTCCAGGTGCTTCATGCGGCCGTGGTGTTCGGGGTCTTTGGCGACCGAGATCGCTGACTGGTTGTCGATGTAGAGAGTTGAGGCTGTTGTGAACTTATATCCGAGCTCTGTGAAGAAGTTTCGTAGCCACAGTATTTCTTGTCCAGCGCTAACTGCGGAGACAAACTCAGCCTCTGTTGTGGAAAGAGTAACCAGGCCCTGCAAACGGCTAGCCCAGCTTACTGCTCCACCAGCCATCATGACAACAAATCCACTCGTCGATCGACCGTTATCCGGGTTCCCCCCATGGTCAGCATCGGAGAAGGTTTGGAAGAGGTCGGATGGGTTGGTGATTGGGTGCATGGGTCGTTGGTAGATGATCTTGTAGTCGAGAGTTCCTTTGATGTACCGCATGGTATGCTTGACTGCCTTCCAGTGTGCTAAACCGGGGTTTGAAGAAAAGCGAGCCAGTACACTGACGGCATAGGCCAGGTCCGGGCGCGTTGCAATAGCCAGGTATGCCAATGCTCCTACAGCGTTGATGTAGGGGATATTGCGCATCTCAGAGATCTCATCCTGGGTTTGCGGCGCTTGCTTTCTTGGACAGTTTCACGCTGGGATCAAGTGGCGATACAACAGATGTACAGTCGGTCATTCCAAAGCGATCAAGGATATCTGTGGCGTACTGTCGCTGTGATAGGGAGACCGTTCCACGCCCAAGGTCCTGCTTGATCTCCACGCCAAGGAGCCAGTTCGTTGGACCGAGTTCTCGAAGCTTGAAGTGTGACTTGAGCTCGATGATGATCTGGTCAATTTTGCTGCGCGACTTCGCTGCAATAGTCATATCATCAACGTAGACGGGTATAATGACTCGCTCGTCATCACGACCGTATACCCAGACGCTGTGCTCGCAGGTGACGCGCTCGAATCCCATGCTTACCAAGACACGATGGAGAGTGAATATCCAGACCCGGCCCGCTTGTTTAAGCCCATAGAGTGACTTGTATAAGCGTAGCACCCAGTCAGGTGTGTTCTGAGCAAAGCCTTCTGGTTGCTTCATGTATATCTCCTCATCAAGCTTGCCGTTGAGGAAAGCATTGGAAATATCGACACTGAACAGGAGAAGGTCTTCGATGGCTGCGAGCGCGAGAATGCTTCGGAGTGATGCCCACTTGGGTGTTGGCGCAAACGTGTCGGTGAAGTCAAAGCCAGGTCGTTGACCAAATCCTTGAGCAACCAGGCGCGCCTTGTGACGCTCAATGGACCCATCCGCATTTCTTTTGACCTTGAATACCCAACGCGAGCCAATAGCCCTTTTCCCAGGGGGTAGTCGGACAAGCTCAAATGTCCCATTGCGAACCAGAGCCTCAAGTTCTGCTTCAGCTGCCTTCAGATATGGAATGCGCTCTTTTTCCGGGAGCTTGTGTACCTCTGCTAATGTTGTTGGTTCCGGCTTGGACAGAGCTGTTGCCTTCATTGCATGTTCTGATGTATTGAACGCGTACTCGAGAGCTTTGGCACGTGTGAGGTAGCTGAAGCGTTGACCAGAGTAGACATAACTGATACCAGCGCTGCATGCGTGTGCGGCATCGGGGGGTGGCGGGTCCGGATCGTCATCATCTGAGTCGGTGTCCATTTCCCGAGGGTATGGGGAAAGGACTGATGATCGTGATGACACAGGGGAAGCTTCGACGTTAGGTGGGGGAGTAGTATTCCTATTCCTCCAGCCCATTTGGTCACGCATCATTTGATTGATGTTCAGCGAGGGCATATTTGGGCGGTTTCGTAGCGTTCGTGGCTGAATCGGGGGTGGTTCATTGGCGGGGAGTGGTTGTGGCAGGGTAGGGGGGCTTTGAGAGGTTTGTGGATCACTATCGTCGCTGTCATTGTCGTCTTCACCCCCATGATCCTCAAAACCGAGGGGCTCCTTGAGGGCATTCAGGTTGGTAGGTGAGTTCCCAGGAAAACAACGCTCATCAAAGGCGGCATGACTGCTTATATACTCCCGGTGCTCGATGGGGTCCCAGAAAACCCAGGCCTTTGTGTTGGGAGCATATCCTATAAACACGCACTTGCGGGAGTGGTTCGCAAAGGTGCTGTTACGCTTCTTCTTTTTGATGAGAACATATGCGAGGCACCCAAACTTTCGGAAGTAACCAATGTTGGGTTGTTCACCCTTCCATTCAATATATGGGGTTGTTGTTGGGGGGAGGGCTGAGATGGGCAGTCGTAATGTTGTATGGACATAACACGCTGCCGCATAGCGCCAGAAGGATTGAGGCAGTTGAGCTTGACTTAGAAGTGTTGTTACTCCCTCAGCGATGTCACGGTTGGCGCGCTCCGCAACACCGTTCTGATATGGCTCATCAGTTTCGGTGTATTTGAGTTGGAGTCCCACTTCAGCAGCCCAAGCCTTCATTTCATTCGACACATACTCTCCACCACCATCACAGTTGAGCATTGCTAGTTGAAATTTGTGGTTGTGCTGGTTTTCTGCTGCTGCCTTGAAGGTCTTGAGGGCCATGAATGCATCACTCTTCTGCTTGAGAAAGGCCACTGACCGCCACCTTGTGGCATCGTCGATGAAGGTCATCCAGTATCGGTATCCCTCAGGGGTTGCCACGCTCATTGGGCCTTTGAGGTCAGTGTGGACAAGTTGCAGTGGTCGCGAATAGCGTTTTGCAGGCCCTCGAGGGATGTTGTGACGATGTAGTTTCCCAGCAACGCAGTATTCACATATTTGTCGAGACGTTCCGGGAACAATCCTCATTCCGACAGCCAACTTGTCTTTTGTACGCCCTCTCCACAGAGGCTCGGTTCCGATGACCGCAACGCTCATGCCAGTCATCAATGGTTGGCTTTATGGTCGTAGCCCCACGTGCGTTTTCCATATCTGTAGGGATAACCACTTCCCCGTCCAGGTACGCCGAGTTCGTCTCGTCAACTGTTGCAGTGAATTGAGTTTGCTGACCCAGTGTAAAAAGGATATGGTCTCCGGATATTCTCACTTCAAGTCCCAAACGTGTGAGTTGAAAGACAGAAAGTAGATTTGAGCCCAGATCTGGTACATGCAGTACACCATGGAAGACCACTCGCGCAAATGCCCCACGAGGTTTAAACTCCACCGACCCAATTCCCGCTGAGTATACGATTGCGTTGTTCGCCAAACGGATGGGTATCCGATGCTGGGAGTATGATCGGAACCATTTGCGGTGTGGTGTCATAGGTGAAGAAGCACCTGTATCAACGAGCCAGTTAGACGTGGATCGGGAGAATGTTGAATGCGGGGTAAGGGATGTCATGGCACTTGCCTCGCCTGCAGTCTCGATAGCAGTGGCTCGACTAGCGGTCGCTGTAGGTTGGGGTGTTGTTGGCGTTTCTGCTGCATTGGCATTTCCAGTTCCACGTCCTCGTCCTCGGATACGCCCACCACGAGTTTTCCCGTTCTTCAAGTTTTCTTTTGCTGCATTGAGGCTTGGACAGTCCCGGACAAGGTGCGGCCCTTCACAAAGATAACACACAAGAGCGGCGGCTGCCATCGAGAGGACAATTGGATTTTCCTCTTGTTTTACCCCCACAGTCGTGCTCGTGTGTAGTGTTCGGCGTGCTGCCGTTTCGATATCACTGAAGGCCAACGAGTCGCGTATTTCGAAGCTTTGAGCAAGGGTACGATGCTTCTCTTGGCTCGATGAGTGGAGTGCGCGCAGTGTGACCATGCTTGCGAGCTCGTCTTCGAGGTCCTCAATCGTGAATTCGCCTGGTCGCTGACGCCGGAGTTGCGACAGCGCAAGCTTGACATTGTCGGTGAGTGTGGTAAGCACGAGCTCGGGTGGAACGTCGGTGGGTAGTGTAAGTGAGAAGAACTCGTTGTAGGATTTGAAGCGGGCACCCGGCACCTTTTGGTCGTATTTTTCCTCCAGCAGCTTCAGCATTTTGGCGGGGTCACCCTTGACTTCTTTTGCAGCACGAAGAGTTTCCCGAATAGGTTCTTCGACTGCTAACAGGATTTCGCCGCTCGCTTGCGACTTGTGGTTGTCGTACTTTTCGAGGTCGAGCCGCTCATCCCGAGTCAATTGCTCCGGGTCCACAGGCGTTGGATAACGTTCCTCGCCGTTTGTGATACGGAGAAGCCCTTTGGTGGACAGGTAGGTTTCGAGGTCTTCACGGAATTTGTCGAAGGGCATCCCTGCCTTATAAAATGGACGCTGTCCAGAGCTGAGAGCGTCGGCCATGGCGTATGGGTTGGGGAAGCGAGGGCAAGTGCAAGTGTGGAGTTGAAGGGGGGGAAGGCACGGAGGTTGCTGGTGCAGTACAAGAAAAAGGAAAATGATGTCGTTGCTGAGGCGAGTCAAAACGCGGGGCCCATAACCTGTTGAATTAGGTACGTGCGCGGAAGCTCAAGCTCTCAAAGCTGGGACGACGGGTGAGGCAAGACGGGTTGCAGTTTACTACGACATACCTGGGACGACGGGTGAGGCAAGACGGGTTGCCTCACGTGGTCGTCCCACTACTACATCTGTACAATGCTACGTCGATACTTCTAACAAAATAACATTCAACATGGAGCTTCTAATGCTTTATTGAAGGTTTAATTTTTTTGTTCTCAAAGTATGTGCTATATATACATCACTCCCAGATCTGCTATTCAAGTATTTATCACTGTTGTCCATGTCACGATAAGATGATTTTCCATCTCTCACCCCCAACTTCACCCAGAACCCGCTCGACCTCGTTCTGCTCCATATTCAGCACGACCTTCCTCTCCCCGAGCATCTTCTTCATCGCTGCAGCCCCACTCTCCAGCAAGATAGCTTGCGACGAGACCAGTGATTCAAGAACCAAACCCATCTCGTTTGGAGTCGGAGTCCAGAGCCTCGGCGCATCCGGGTCCTCAAACGACTTCACATAGAGCGAATGCTGATAGAGCACATTCTCCCACTTGATCTCCTCGATGCCCTCGGTTCTGATGCAGCGTATGAGCGAGAGCAGCACCAGGCGTTCGTGGAAGCTGCAATCGCGTAGGTAGGTCGCAGTCGGGCTGTTCTGCATTTGCTTCGTCACCTCTGACACATCCTTGATCACGGCTTTCCGGCGTTGCGGATGCGCAAGCTCAACGACACGTCTGCAGAAATGAATGTTTGCGCACAAATCGAATAAGACTTTACCTGCAAATATCGAGGATCCTCCTCGCATCGCCGCTAGTTGCACTAATCCTCTTCGACGTGAGCTTGATAGCGTCAGAATCGAGCACAACTGGAGAATCTTCAGGAAGGCCGACACGGGCTCCAGCAATTCGCGCTTCGACAATGGCCTGTAGTTGCTCAGCAGTGTACGGTGCAAAGTTTATCCGCGTCATGCCTGCATTCTTTTTTAGCGAGTTTCTACGAAGTAAAACACACACCGACCAAGTCGACTTCGGACACGTCCCGTCATTGCCCGTTCGGGGAGATCCATGGTATTTGCAACAGCAAGAACAACAAGTTTGCTCCCGACCAAGGTCGGCCAGTTGAAGAAGTTGTAAACGACATCTTGTTTCGTTGTCATAAGCTGGTCAAGTTCATCCATAAGAACCACGCTATAAGCATTGAGTGAGATGAACCAAACGATCAGGTAACTGACCATGCATGGCCAGATGGCCCTCGGGATCCTCCGCCGCTGAAATATGTTGTCAAAGCCCTGAGACTTTCCTTTGCCCCCACTTTCATATGCCCGTCTTTAGCGACGTCGTGACCCGAAACCACCTCCCAAAGCAGACTGTATGCGGCATTCGGTTCTGGTATCCGCAGGCCGTTGATCTCTACGTAGGTAAACGGATTGGTTTCCTATTGCTATTTTAGGTGACGCTCTGTTTCCCAGAATTACGACTTACATTTGATTCGGCCATTCGTTTGAGCTCACGGACGACCGCATGGACAGTTGCGGTCTTGCCTGTCCCAGGAACACCCGAGATGTCTACGAATGATTATGTTGGTGTATTTCAAAGAGCCATCAAGGAACGTACAAACGCAACCACCGCTTCCCTCTTCCAAAAGGTCGTATACGGCACCCAAGACGCGTGTAAACTCGTCATCGCGACAAGGTAGCGCGTCCGGTCTACTGCCGACATGCAAAACTTGCATCGCACGTAGCCATGGATCCTGTGGAAGATTCGCTCCCGTATCGTATCCAAGTCCGGCCTCATGTCGTCGGACCTGCAGTTTGGCGGAAGGCCGTTTTCGAGGGGACATTGTCATGGTTTTCCGTCGGCGCTTAAGTGCTGCTTTCGAATGGGGTGTAGCATGGGCGGCAGTTCGCTTTCGACGAGGTGTCTTGGGCCCCTCCATGTCAGCATCAGATTCAGATTCATCTGGCGTCTCCTCTGACGAATCACTTTCTTCGGCTTCGAGCTTGGGTAGTTCATGATCACTTTCAGGATCGCTTTCCTCTGATTTCTCTGAGAAATTGTCGTCGTTGTCGTCGCCACTATCGGTATCTTCTCGTTGCTTTGGCTCTTCCTTTATTGTAACACGTTTGCGGGGTTTATGGTCAAGCTTCTGCTTTTTGCGCGGCGGCATTCCAGTCCGTTCAACGACAGGTTGGACCTTCCAAGCCTCTCCGGAACCCCATGGCTCATCAGGCTCTGCGAGTGCGCCCCTGCGGTGTCCAACCCAATTCACTTCGTAGTAGAGATTGCGACCAGAATCGATCACGTAGCGACAATAGAGTGGTAGCGTCTTGTTCTTCTTTTCGTCGACGTAAACATAGCCTCCATTTTTGCGCGGAGAGGCGTTGGCAGCTGGGAGAGAACGCGGGGGTAGATCTGTGACTTCACATAGGCCTAACAACGAAGACGACAAAAATATCGCGTCCGCGTCAAGAGAGTAGTATATTTCGTTCTATCGTTCGGTTAATAAAGAGATGACAAAAGGTAAAAACGCACTTCTAGACACTCTCGTTTAGCACGATGTCTGGGAAGCTCTGACGGCCTCAGAAACCAATGGATGCGGACCATCAGCTTCCCAACATTCTCATCTCCATCCTCAGCTTCCTCCTCGTCGTCCTCCAGCACTAGCTCCCACATAGAGACGATGACGGCGACACTGGGCTTTCGGTCGCCGTTGTGCACTGCCATCGTGTTGACCGTTACAGTGTCGCCCACTTTGAACAGCGTGTGGACTCCATCGCGATTCCTTCTGCGAAACTCGTTGTAGAAGATGGTTTTGTAGCTTTCCCGCTCGTCAGCATCTTGCTCCTCCCATGTCATACGCTGGTCTGGGAGCATGTCGAGATCGGGGTTCATGGCGCGTTCATGCACGCGTTGGCCATGCCACTTGTCGTCTTTCTGAGTGCTAGAGAACGCGTTTGCAATCGGTTGTCCGCGTCGTGAGCGTCGAACTAAGGGGGTGCTTGGTGTAGGCATGTGGAAAAGTTCACCGAAGTGTTATGACGTGACAACGCGAAATGTCACGGGCACGGGCCATCCGGGCCGCACAGCTTTGATCGCTTCAAAATGCTTCGAGTAGTCGGAGTAGACGAGTGGGAGATGTGGTGATTGAGATACACTATTCGTACATTATTCGTAGCGACTTACTAACTGTCAGCAAAAAAGATACAGAGAACAACGAAAACGGGAGCGACATCCAAAGCGTAATAGTGGCAATCACTGGGGAGTGTCTGAAAGAAATTCCTTCTGGATATCTGCAAACGCAGCCGCCCCAACGCCAATCATCCCAAGCTGGTGCACACATGCGGCGGTGTGGCGGAAGATGGTTTCTAATGCTGGTTGTGGGGGACGTCCCTGAGACCCTACCAGCACAATTAGCGTTCAACGCAGAATAGTAGTAAAAAGGGAGAGAGCATACGAAGGATGGCCTGGTTCAATTCATTGGCCAACTCATTTCGTGCCTCGGGTCGGGCGATTTCTGCGGCTACGCCGCCGTGAGCAATAGGATCATGGAAGGCCACGATGCCAACGGTCCGTTTGAACAGCGACTGAACCTCTGGTCGCTTGTCCGAGGAGTAATCGTTCAGCATCGACTGCCCATAATGGATGGCCTGATTGAGTGCGGCCTCCAATTTGTCTTTGGAAGACCGTGGGGTCTCGCTAGGAGGGTTAATAACCACATCAACAAGTGGCAGAGCATCCTCATCAATATCCATCCCCATCTCGTCGTCGTCGATGGCACCACCAGGCGGCTTCATGGACGACATTTCCACATCCATTTGCTTCTTCAACTCTGTAGTTTCGAGTAAGAGCTCGATGAACTTACGACACCGTAACTTGAACAGCATCAGCCCTTCGTCAACGGTGAGGACATTAGGATAGTGTTTGCGAGTATCTGCGAGCGCCGTATCAATGTCGCCTTGGATGACAGAATTAACGATTTGGGTGCGGCGCTCCATGTCTCCGTCCATTCCTAACGCGTCGTCGCTTCCATTATCCATATCGACATCGAGATCCCGCGATGGTCGTTGACTCTGTTTCTGAAAAGCACGGGCAGTTTTCGAGTATCCGTGATGAGCAAGGTACGACAAGACAAGCTTGTTGATAGCCCCACGGGTTTGTTCTTGGGTCGCAGCGATCTTGACACTTGAAGGACCAGCGCTAGACAGTAGCGAGGTTGATACCTTGGTCGCCATGATATCTGACCAGGTTTGTGTTCGTCGTTGTTGCACATAGAAGTCGATCTCAAAGTGGAACTTGTCTTGTCCAAAGTTGACGCGGATGGCCTCTCCAGAATGGCGCAGACCAATAGACGGATATAAGTCCATGGTCTTGCCCACATCTTTAAATACGGTGCCTTTTCGGATATTAAGCTCAATCAGGAGTCAAGATGATCAAGCAAACCTATGAATGAGCCATTCTTGGTGAAGAAGGCTTGGTTAGCGCTGAAATCGATGCCGCATCCTATAGTATCTCCAGCTATGTGATCCATGAGACCTGAAATGAGGGTGCATAAAGAGGGTGCTTACTTCCATAGGTTGGCCCAAAAGGACTCCCAGTCTTTTCCGCGGCGAAGGAGCAGCCATCATCACCATGATATCCCCAAGAGTTTGGCTCCCACCCTGGAAGCCTCGACAGCTTAACATCTTTACCACCAAAGCTAACCAATGCATAAGTACACAATTGTCAACCTTGGCGAAGACAAACCCAATGCTGATGTGTCTGTGGATGTGTGAGACCCTGGCTGGATGAATTGCGGAATGACACGTACCCTTTGTTGCCCTTGCTAATAATGTCGACTTCGTAGTAGTATATCCCGCAGGCTGGCGGAATAGGGCGAGTTGTGCGGGCAGCGGCAGCCTCCTTGTCACCATTACATGAAGCACCTGAGAAATAGGTTAGTCAAGTGGAAGCAGACATTCTGACTCGTCAAACCTTGAAACGTGATGTCCCTCCCGTCAGCAGAAATGCTAAGAAGATCGTTGCGGTAGGTCTCGCTCCATCGAGTTGGGAGACGGAGCACATCTGGTGACGCATACGAGGTCGGGTTTCGCCGGCGGGGAGGCGGGCTTCCTTCCTCGTCACTGTCTGAAGAAGAGGACAAAGATCTTTGGTTGGACTGAGCGGACTTTCTATGCGGTGATATCGACGGCGGGGCCTCTGTCTGAAGCAGATGCCTCAGTGCGGATTCTTCCAAGTAAGTGGGCCGCGCGAAGGTCGGCAGTTGCAGAGCAGGAGTGGTCTGTGTTATTCCTGACGGATTCCTGTGTGAGCTAGAGACTCGAGGGGTCGTGACCGTTGAACTTGGTCGTCGAGTACGAGGCAGAGACGATGAGGGAGAGGTGGAAAGACATGCTGGGTCAATGGTAGCGACCCGCACCGACTCTGCACGAATAACCCGTGGTTCAAATGGACTAGATCGAGGAGAGCTCCTCGTGATCAAGTTGGGAGAAGAGTGGGTGAGGGACCTGGCAGCAGGTCTAGTTGGTGAAATACTCGTAGCAACGCTACTACTACCCCGCACATTTCGAACACTCGTCCTCTGCTCCTCCGCACTGCGATTTTGAGCAATTGGTATAGGCTGGGGACCACGAGAACGGGGCGAAGGGGTGAAGGGGGATGAGCCGAAGGGTAGTGAAATTACGGACTCGATGTTTCGAGCAGAAGATGAGGTCACTGTGTTTCGGGGTATCGGAATACTAGCAGATCTAGCAGGGCGGCTCATGGCTGATGTCTCCAGAACTAAGCTGGCCACCACAAAAGATGTCACTTGGGTTGGACGAGATGCGGGGCAACAGACGAGACAGTGTCACGGCCGTCACCTGCGATCAATACTCCTTGCCTTACGCGTCCCATGGTCTGCAAATGAGATGCTCTATCGACGCGCCGTTGCTCATGAAATTCTCAGGAGCCATCCTTCAGAATAGTCCCAGCTGGCGGGCCCAAATCGGCATCAGTCCAGAGCACCGCAAATAGCCTTGGCTTGCACGACACTCTTCAATATGGACCACGAACTCTGGCAGCAGAACTAAAGACGGAAAGCGGTCTCAAAGAGCGTTTAGAAAATGTAATCTTCACTAAAGCACCAGTCGTTGATTCTGAGAAGCATCACAGTGGGAGGAGACTCAAGACAACATGAAGCTTACTCTTCAAAGGAATATGCACGGAATGCACGCTCCCTTACGACTTTTGATGGAACGCAAGATCGTCTCTGCGGTAAGCAATGTTATCAATTTCATGCTCATGCCGATGTCTTTGCTAGAACCCACACATGCCAGTCTTCCCTCAAAGCAATCTTCATCTCGACATACTCATGGGTCGTGATGAGACAATCGAGCCTGTCGATATCTTCGGAGGTACAACTCACATTTATTGGGGTTTTTCTTGCGTTTAATATTCTTCAAGGCATGGAGACAACAGCGCCTCAGAACATTCATAGTGAGATGGAGAAGAAACTCAAGATGTAACAGTATTACAATGCACGCGAGTCTATAGGATGCACCAGAGTCATCTTCACCTTCCCCTTTTGAGTATTCTTGTCCGTTTCCACCTCAATATTCACCACCACCTTGTCGAACACCGAAATCAGCACGTCTTTGTCGCCTGATACAGCAGCAGACGACCCGGGAATCGTAACACAATAGTTGTCCGCATCGAATTCTGTCAGGTCGCGTTTGAACATGACGAGACCCTCGATGCCCAGCCTGGATGACCACCGATCAGCAAAGGTGACTTTGCTGGACTGAAAAGCTCACTTTGACACGAAGACACCGAGACCGTTTCTGAAAGTTCTGATCACGAATGCCTCCTCTGTAACTGTCTGTCCTTGCCCTTGTCGCTCATTTCGGCCTTTCAGAGCGAGGCCGACATAATACTCAACGCTAGCACGTCCTGCCATTTGTGCCATTCGATGTCGTCGGTTCACAACTTCCAGTATCCGTTCCACATTGGCTTTGGAATGCAGAGAGGCATGAAGTGGCGAGTAGCCGATTGCTGCTGCCAGTTGTCTGTGCGCAAGGACATCTAAAAATGAGTCAGTAGGAACTTGGAAGAAAAGCGATTTCAGTCAACTCACCAGCATATCGTCGAATGGGACTGGTAAAATGGGTGTAGATATCACTTGCGAGGCCATAATGCCCGAAAGTGTCACGTCCAACGCTCCCAGAGCCAAAATACTCGGCTGGTAGCATGCACCGTGTCGCCATAATTCGGACGAGGGTATTAAACGCTGGCTCGTTGGCATCGACACACTTGTCGAGACTATTGGCAAGTGCTCCGGAGCTCGACACATCCAATGACATTCCCTTTCGCTTCTTGAGAATATCCTTGAGTTTGTCAAAATTGGTTTGCGGGGGTGGGAGATGGCGCCTGAGCACGGCTGTTGCAGGGAATGCTTCAAAAATCTTGCGAGCGACACTAATGTTGGCGAGTAGCATGAATTCCTCCACAAGCGAGTTGGTCTCCCGCAACTCTTTTTGCTCTACGTCTATCGGGTCTGACGACTCGGCAGAATCGAGGTGGATTTTAACTTCGGGAGATGCAAGGTTAAGGGCACCGGCAGCCATTCGGGCAGCTTTTAACTTTTGCGCAAGTGTATTGAGCAGGCGAATCGCAGTTGTTAGCGGATCCTGCAGGGTTCTGTGGAGGTTTTCAGTCGTTCTGAGGAGAGAATATTTCAATCTCACGGGTCATCCTTGCGGATTTGCGCTTCTTCATAAGTGAATGCAGCTTTGGACCTGATCACCGATTTTGTAAAGCGAACATTCACAATTTTTGCTTCTGGAGTCAGTTCCTGCGACAATTAGAGGGCATTTAAGATGTGATTGAACTTTACCCAGATCGCAGAAAATGCTAAACGCTCGACATTGGGCCGCAGAGAGCATAGATTAGTGCCCAAAAGGGCGGGAAGCATGTCGATACGTTTGTCCACAAGGTATACGGTAGTGCCTCTTGCAGCAGCTTCCGTATCCATCGGAGTATCCGCGTGTACAAAATTGGAAACGTCGGCAATATCTGCTTGGTTGGTTAATGCTGTCGAGTTGATGTTCTCTTTGTCACTCACGAACACCAGCTTCGATGTTTCCGTTAGGAAGTGGCCGGGCATGTAACGCGTCATCGATGTCTTGACAATCTGGAAGATAGGTTGGTCCGTTGTGGATCACATAATATAACGCGCTTACTGGGAGGATCAATGCTACAAATGGTCAAGTCTCGGAGGTCCTCGCGGCCCTTCCACATTCCATCGTCGCTCTTGGGTGCAACAATCCATTGGTCGCCCTCGGGCGGTAAACAACCCAGTATGGCGCTGCCGAAGGCGCCATAGCTGATCCCAAACTCCAACATCAGGCCTTCTCTCTCAGCATCTTCCCCTCCAATCTACAAGGTGTCAGTACGTCTTGAATAGCTTTATTAAATAGAGAACGTGCATCGCCCAAGACTCGTACAAAGTGACCATCTGGATACCTTGACGTTGTATGCCAAGCATCGATGGCGACGAGGATTTTTTTATTCACAAGCGATGGGCCTTGTCGAGTTCGAATTCTTATTCGCGGGAGCAGGGTGGATGTAGGATGTGCGAGAAGGGTTTGGATTGACAAACTCTTGGCGCTATTTGATCCGGGCACGGATGCCGACGGCAAGGCGGTGGCATCGACATGACAAACAATCGGCCGCCAGTTCCGCTTGACGATGCCGACGACACGTCCGGTTGGTTGTGCCTGCTTTTTGCTGGCCGCAGCTTCGCCAACGCGAGCTGCATGGGCTTCCTTCCGAATAATTTCGTCGTTTTCTTCTTCCTCGTCGGAATCGGCGGCATCGTCGTTCTTCAGAGTAGCTGAATAAAAACTGAGTTTGTTCATCTAGAAACGGCTCTCAAGATGCAAACCTTCTTGGTCAACGACCTCATCGCCTTCTACACCCCATTTGTCTTCGTCAAAGATTTCGATCACGACTTGGTCACCATGTACCGCGCGATTGATATTTTCACGTCCAATGAGGAGCACTGGCTTGGGTAAGTCGTGAACCGAGACTGTTCCTTGTAGGTAGTTATAGCTGCTGGCATTGAAATGTCCCTTGTAAAGGTTCCCAGTTGTGAGGCCAGCTTGAAGTGTTGACTCCGGGTAGTACTGGTGGAATTATACAGAGTTTGAGCAGAGGACCATACAACGAACCTCGGGATAAAGCGCCTGCCTTCCATCTCCAGACAGCTTTGGCTCCAGCGTTGTTTCCTCTGCCGTAGACAGCGAATCGAGCAACTGCGCAGCAGTGTTCTCAGGAAACATGGAGATATAGTTGCGAACTAGCGGGTGGTTGTCAACAATTGGGACAATTAGAGAGACTGTGTGTTCGCTGACTAGAGGTGACTGGAATTCCGCTCTCATCTGCCTTATTTCTGTTTGCTGCGTCCTCTGTCATGAGAACAACGACGGGGAGTTTGGGTTTGGCCTGGCCTCGCACAACATTCCGGTTTAGTTTGATATGTTCGTTGTACCACTGTGCAGCTCTGCGAATGCCGCGGTCATTACGATCGTTAGGAGATTCATCCTCTTCTGCTATAATTGCAGTCTCTCTAGCGGAAGTTAACCAGCATTCCCAGTGTTTAACGGACTCACGATCGAAACTCGTTATAGAAAACCCAGATACGCTTTTCGTCCATTCTTATAAGCGCCTTGAGGCGATTGTACAGTGGAATAGAGCGATGCCGCACTTCCTCCATAACTGTTTGTAGAAGGACAATGGGAGGCCTGAAGAGAGACGACTCCATGAGATCCATTTGGTGGAGGAAGACATTGGTATCGGGTAGAATGTAATGACCATCGGGATATGCATTGTGTTGCGTGTCCCCCGTGAACGGCAGTGGGTCCGAGGTCGAGTTTTCACAATCGCCACAACCCTGAATACCACAACCAATATCATCTCGAAGATAGCGTTCTCGAAGGACTTTGATGACTTTTCCTCTGGCCGTTTTCTTGTAGAATTTGCGCTGAGTTACGACGGATTCTGTGCGTGGTCGCTTTCGAATTGTGATCTCGACCATTGGAAGTCAGTCAGCCGAAAACACGTGACTTGCGCGTGACGATCGCCATCAGCTGTTTATCCCTGACCACATCGCGACGCGTCCTGGTATACGATGCCACCCACCGCGTACTCCGGCGCAGAGCTTCGCTTACGCGACAAAGCTATTTCCGACAAATACGGGAAAGAGAAGAGTGTTCAAGAGGCCAAATACCAACGCCTCCGGCAAGGCTATGACGCGCTATCGAACGAAAAATTCGAGCTCGGCGTCATGGGCGACAATGTCGCCACCCGACTCGGGTTCCGCTCATTCGCTGAGATGTGCTCGTTAATCGACCTCTCTGACGATCATGTTTCGTATAAGGAGGCGACAGAGCGAGTGGACGAGCTTGAGGGCCGTTTGGCACAAGCCGAAGATAATGCTGAAGCATTCAAGCTGGAACGAGACGATGCGCTCGACGAAAGAGATAGCCTGCATAAGCTGCTGACTGAAGCAAGGTCCGTCCGACTCATGCCAGATAACGTGTTCCCTTATTGTTGCTCAGAGAACAAGCTGCCAGGGTCGAAGCCCTCATCAATGAGCGGGATGAACTTCGGCAGGAGATTATTGATGTGAAGCAGAAGGCCGCGCGCTCAGATCAAGAGTGGAAAGACCGTTTTTCTCAATGGAAATCTTTCAAAGCATTCATGCAGAAAGAAGAACTCGAGTATCGAGCCAAGGTCAAGGGTTTAGAAGCTGCTCGGAGGGATATGGAGAGAATAGAGCTCTGCGTCAGACGGCGAGAGAGGTACAACGAACTAGAACTTGACACAGAAGGTAAGGCCCTAATTCTCGAGCTGCTTGTGGTCAGGTCTGATGTTTTGTACCAGTCAACGAGGAACCTGCGCAGCCATCACAAATGGCAACTACATGCCCCCCAACCGTCATGAAATCGAGCTCACCTACAATTGCACCTCCCTCTACCAATGGCTTCAACTCGAAAGCTCCTTCTCCTGCCACCTTCAGCACGCGAACTCCCTTGACTTTCGTTCCTGTTCGTTCTCCCAATGACAGAAACGAAAAGTCGCCTTCTACGTCAGTTCAGACCGCTGTTGCATCCGATGTCATCGATTTGTCAGAATCTCAGAGCCAGCCAGGTAAAGTACTCGCGCGTTCATTTAAACTACCTATTAATCTTAATATTCTCAGTTGCTGTTCCGCTATCCTCAATGATGCCTTCCCGTCCCAGCTCATCCCAAATCAAACCGTATCCCATGCTCCCACCCCCAAGCCCTGCACCGAAAGCGAAGTCCAGTGCGGCGACAAAACACAGACACAGCGATGTCTTTATTCGCCCACGAAATGACGATGATGAGGAGGAGGAGGAACGGCCACGCAAAACACGACGATATAGTAGTCCGGTCCGCCGTCCTTTAAATCCCAACAGGAGAAGCACATCAAGGTCGCCGATGAAGAGCGGCTCCCGTAGCGGACGCGAGAACCGTGACGGCCGACATCTAGCTGCGAGAGGTTCACCCAGCAAAAAGGCTAATGCAAACTCAAGTAAACAAGACACGGATTATTCCGCGTATAAAGGACGTGGGCGTTATGCCAAAACCTCTGGGTCAGTATATCATGTAGGATTCTACGACGACTGATAGAGTGATAGCGGGGACGAAACCATCAACTCGTCGTATGCCATTGACCCCACACGAAACGCTGGTGTCAACTTCCAATTCGCCGAAGTCGTGCGAGGTAAGGAAGACCGAAGAAGATTGCAAGCAGGCGACTGTGAGTCATGTCGCGATGTAGGTTCTTCTCTCTGGCGCACATTATATGTGCTGACTGAAGCCCAGTATTACGAGGCTATTGGGCCGCTACCTGCGCGCCTTCAAGCACCTTTATGGCGTTCTCCACCATCCAGCCCAGTAAATCAAACAACTCATACCTGCCGCCATGGTTATGAACGCGATGTCAATGCTCACAAGCAGGCGATTTCACGTCATCGAGAAGAATGGGTACAAGGAACCACACCACCGGGATACTGGGACATCGCTTTCCCTACGACACAAGAGGCAGAAAACATCAACGAACGGGCAAAGAAGATGCACCAACAGAAGTTGGATCGTGTTCAAAAGGACAACCGGTATTACAAGAAAAGATGACTTGATTAAACTACTTGCTCCATACTACTCTAAATTACAATCCCAGACTCTGACTTAGCTACTAGGTGAGAGGTATTATGTCCATAGTAGCACCAAATTATTAATAAGAGGTTCTAAGTGTGAGTAATGCAAGAATATAAATAGTACCCATACCAAGCAAGCCAAGTGCTCGCGTCAAGAACGTCGTCGGCGCTGACATGGCGCAGTCATAATCAAAATGTTCCCAAATTGCCGCACAAGGTCATCAAGCGACACGTCCTCTGCAACCTCGTTCGCCACAAAGCACGTGTGTCCCGCATCGGTGAGGTCAAGGACATCCGGATCGTCCTCCGGGTCTTCAAAGACCGTCACATAATCCACGCCTTCGACCAGTAGCTCTGCAGTCGACGCAGCTTTGGATTTCCTCGTTTTCGAGGGCGAGGATGAGGGTGACGAAGCCACTGGTGCACCTATAGACGTCAGCACTGACAATTTTTATCATGACAATAGCAAGTACTTTGAGCAGTCTTGGCTTTCGGCCGGCGTGCCTGCTTGCTGCTGCTGCTCCCAATGGGCACTTTCCGCACACAAACGCGGTGGTCGTCTTCCCGGGGAGTGGAGTTTAGTTTCAGTCTAACTGTCTTGCACTTGGGGCAGGCTACCGCGACAATAAGCACGATTAACCAATGCGCGACAAAGACATACGTTTGGTCTTGACGTCAATCGAGTTCCTCCAACGCCCAACCCTAAGTAGAAGTAGGTTTGAGGGAGATAGATGGTGCGAGCAATACTCACATGTTTTGACAATGGGAGCAAACTAAAACGGTTGTCAGAAATGGTTTGCGCAGAGCCGAACACGGACTCCAGGTATACAGGTAGTCCATCTCGTAGTCGTGGAACTCGGCAATCTTGGTGTTCTTGTCAAGTTTATAGATACGCTTAGCCCTGCCAAAGAAATCAGACGAGAGAAAACCAACAAATGACCAGCATACCACTTCCAGAAAGATTCTCCGTGTGATGCGTCCCCGGACCGTCTGTCGATGATCCAAGTCGCGAGATGACACATCTCGTGGGCCATAGTTAAACGAACTTTCTCTGCGCAACCTCCAGTTAATTGCCCAAAAAAATCCACAGTGATCCACACCTTCAGTATCCAGTACCTTGACGCTCAAGATGATTTGCGCAATACTTCTGTCCGCGCCACTGAAAGTGCTATCAGCAAACGACAAAATGGATAAAGACTCGATTTTACTAAGAGTATTTTGCTTCCCCAGCGGTGGCCGTCAGTTGGTTGCTCCAAGTGATGATAATTTTGTCAATAGAAGGCAGCTGTGATTGGAAGACCTTGAAGTTGAAGTAGGTGTACACCTGCTCGGCGCAGTCCGCGAGCTTATTGCGGTACCGCTGCTTGAATCTCTCGAACAAAGAGAGATTGTCCGCTACGACGCGCTGTCGCTTCCGGTCCCAATGGTTCGCATAGAAGTCAAACTCGAAAGTCTCGTCGTGGTTTGGCGAGTAGCGGGATGCGCGCCAGCTTTCAGTCTCAGAAGGGAGACCCCTGGGGACTGTCAGATACAATAAACCGAGAAGAATAACCACGCACTCTGAATCGGGTTCAGCCGAAGACCTCGAGGAAGAATCCTCCAAGCCCGAATGCGGGGACCCAGCTAATGAGGAGGAATCACTGTGGGCAAGAAGATTAGGCCGAACAGAGTGTCAAGCAGGAAGCACTCACTTTTCCTCGCGGGTTGTGACCGAGCTTTCGATGCTCAGGGTTGAGAACGACCCCCGCACCGCGCCAGTGCTCGACGCGTCGCTATGGACTTGGGTTTCCGCGTCAGATACTGTCAAGTCAATGACCGTTGATTTCTGGTCAATGGACCGATGTTTAAGTTTCGGTTTGACTTGTTTTGCCTTTCCTTTGCTTGGAGTCCATTCCGAGCCCGATATTTCTTCGATGTCAGAATCCGGGAAGGTGGGCTTATGTCGCGGCTTTGAAGCAGGCGTGCGTAACAAAAGGGTGGGGGCGGTGGCCTTGGGAGTCCCCACAGGCGTTCTAACTCGAGTCTTTGAAGGTGTGGCCCCGCTCTGATTCCTCAAGGGGGTCCTAGAGCAGTGTTAGTGCATTTCAAGGAAGGCTGGAGTGAATAAGACGCGCCTCGTAGCCTGATTATTTGGACTTGCCAACCGTTCAGGTCTGAAGAGGTCGGCCATCATCAGCTTTCATAGCGAAATGCACATGCATACTTTCTTGAGTGCCCCAGGGGCTGGTCAGAGCCTTGGTCAGAGCTGGGGAAGTATTAGGCTCCGCGGAGGTAAAAGAGCAACGATATACCTCTCAGGCTCACTTTCGCTTTCGGGAATCTCCCAATCCGAGGGCGACGATGCGCGCCGGCGGTATGGTCGAGTTGGGACAGTACGCGACTGAGGTCGGTGGTCAACCATGTTGAGAGTTAGAAGGTTGGGTGGCTATCCAAAGCGCATTTATACCCAGAAACTTGAAGCAAACGCCAAACAAGCTTACGTAGCCAAGTTGACAGATGTTTCTTTCATGCTGAATCAAGTATAGCTATACTTCTTTCAGGTCCCCTGAAAGAGTCGCACCAAAGCGTATGGATTTGTATTATACGATGTCCTACTACATTAACAAAAAAGAGTGTCAAGCACTGTCTAAAAGGAACCCCAAACAGCCCAAGGTAGCAACACAAAGAGTGCCCCAGCACCCATTGACAATTGCAACGACAACGCACCACTGTGGCCCTTCGTCCCCCCATTATGGCCGCTCCCATTGTTGCTGTTCCCGCTTCCGCTCGTCGAACCGTTGTTAACTTTCACCGGCACACTCGCCGGATCTGATGGATTGACGGCGGCAATCACCCGATTTTGCATCCCATCCAAAAAGACAATGGCAAGACTCGGCCCAGGCACAATGACCGAGCAGCCATTCTGTGCGCAATCCTTCAGGTTTTGATTCGGCACGGCCCATGCGGGTTTCTGCGTCGCTTTGCCGTCCGTCACTTGTGGACCAGACCAAGTCTCTCCGCCCCACGTGATGTTAGTTTCTTCTTCTGGTCTTGCGGCGGCGAGGAACTTGACAAGTGCCGTTCCAGAAGAGCGGAAGGCGGCGGCGGGAAGCGCGAAGTCGGCTGATGTCCCATTGGCAGCATTGATGAGTACGAGCCGGGAAACCGTCTTGTTGTTGGCGTTGTAGATTGCATACCCAGATGTGGTCACGTTTGGATTCGAGCTTGAGCCTTCGAGATTGAGGTCTTGTACAATCACGCCGTGGTCCGAGACGAGGGCTTCCGCTGCAACGAGAAGTGCCTGGAAATAGAATATGAACGTGTTGGATCTCAGGTTGGCATACGGTCACTGACATAATATGGGGAATTGGTCACCCAGGCACCGGCAGATCCAGGAGGGCCAGTGGGAGGTTTTATGAGATTATACGAGATGCCTGCCTCACGGGTGTGGATGTAAGCTGTTTGGTGTCAGTCATGAGCTTCGACGAGAATGTCTCAAAGATACCACTAACCTTGTGAATAGCCTACACTTGCCATCTGTAATGCATAATCGATCGACCACAGTGAACCAACGGCGAAGCTGGGGGAAAACGGAACGCCGCCACACGATGCACTGTTAAACTCAGAGTTGATGAGCTTGGGCCGACGGTCAGCGGGTTGCGACAAGAGGTAGTCAATGCCGGGCTTCTGCCATTGTGCCAACTCCACAACTGTGTCGTAAATCAACCATCTGTACTCGACATGACTTGATCCTACCATTAGCATGCTGGAGATACCAGGGCAACTGGTACTTGAATACTCCAGGGTTGCAGTTGTTCTGGGGATAATGCTGGAGACTAGGTATGAAGTTTAGCAAAGGGACACGGAAAATAGTCTTCCACGCACACAATGTACTTTAATTCACCAGTGAAGTTGCTAAGATAGCCTTCTTTCAGCAGAGGCTCCAGATCCTGAATTACAGTTAGCTTTTGACAACAGATAGGAAGCTTCAATCACTCACCCAATTGCAACAAATACTTGGACCACCGATGTCAGCCTTCCCTGCTGCATCCTTCGTCCCTATTATAGCAAGCGCGGACTTGTACTCCTACAGAGCTTCCGTCGGCGTTTAAGAGCAAAAGCGGACAACAAACATCGATATAATTGGTGACGGTGTAATTGGCTTGATTCGGCCGCTTGTTATGTCCAGTGTACAAGTCTGGTTCGTTTCCCAATAGCATCGAGTCTAGGTCGCTCCCGAGTATGCTGCGGATGTCGTCCGCCATAGTGGCATTAGGAAAAATGGCGAGCGGGATATCTGTTGGAGCAGTAAGTATGAGGTAAATTCGGTTCCACTCAGAGTCCCCGTACTGATCGCGTAGGCAACACCACCGATGCTCTTTGAAACGCCAGACATGACTGACCATATCATCGAATTATACCTGTTGTAGAGTCAATCGAGAGGTTTGATTCAGAAAAAGCGGGGCGAAACACGCACGTAACTGGCTGGTCGTTGAAATTGTAGTTTCCTGGTACGAGCTGAACCATCGGCGAGGCCGATGGCGAGAAGTACGGGGAGGAATCGGCGCTGTTGCCGCCAATTCGGATCCTTATTGGGTCTTTTGCAGCAGTACGCGCGCGTATGGCGCCAAGATAGTTTAGGATGGGCATGTTAATGTGTTGTGTGTCGTTCCCAACTATAAAAATGTTTTCAGAATAGGCGGGGAGATGCAGAGGAGTCAGGACACAAACGCACAGTATTCGGTCATGAAACTGAGCTCAAAACTGATTCCCAAGAAATTTGAGTCGACGACATTGGACCCCGAGGGAGTGGAGGGGACTACGACTTGGATCGCGGCATTTGTAACAAAGATGGTCTGTAAGAGCAGGAAGGAAATGGGTATTAGGCGGGACAGCATGAGGGCGGAAGTAAAGGTATGGCACACTTGAGTTAGCCTAGAGTTTATGTAATATACTCTGCTCCTCCCGGTAAGATTACCCGCTTGAGGGTCCGACTTGCCAGGTCCCGCCTATTAACGTCGTGTAAATCTTTATCGCGGGCTGCCGTCTACTCTGTATCTGTTGAGACACCGCGTTGAATAACTGTTGAATGAAGCATGGTTGCGAACGCGTTCCAGGCACAGGCTCGCGCAGTCTTTTGAACCTTTTTGGCGGACTTCAGTGCCGATCTTGGTTGTTGTTGTGGTTGTCACTGGCTGAGAAAGATAGCATCAACGGCGATCCTGACATAAAAGTTGACGTGTTGAGATCAGCGACGGAACAAAATTCGCATAGGTAAAAATAATGCTTCCCGACTCTGTCTGTTTGTTTGCAATACAGTATATGCCTCCATCGGAGAGAGTCTGTGAGAGAGGAAGTTTGGTTTGATTAGTTTGGGTTTTTGTGATTTGTCATCTAAGACAACTTGCGTAACATAACAGGGAGGAAGGTCACTACCATTACTAACACTTGGAACCTCTTGATTTCGTGCTACTACTATGGACATAATACCTATTCTCACCCAGAAAGTACCCGCTTAAATCCGGTCTTCGAGCAAAAAGGCTGCAAAGGGAAAGTGTTCCGTAGCTCTGATATCTGATAGAGGTATGAGAGGGGATAAGGCCGCAAGCGGCAGATGCCGAACCTTACCAGATGATCCAGCCTGTGATGCAGCCAAAAAAGGGAATAATTTTGCACTGCCACTCCGAATGTGGTAGTGCTGATGGCAACCTTGTTATATAGAGCCAAACCTTAAGTTCGGCAATAACTACCGTATGACAAGCAATACTCAACATACTCAACACCCCAAGCAACACCCACGGTCATTCACATATTATCCTTGGCCTCCTTGATCACATCGAGCATAGTTCCCAGAGCCAACAACCCAAAGCTCGAAGGCCCGAACGCGGTCTTGTCCTCATCCAACGTTTCCTCCACGACCAACCACGCCGCCCAAGCACGCATAAACCGATCAGCGCGGCGTTCCTCGTTCCCAGCAATTTCCTCCGAGTCCTCCCACTCATCGTCGTCGGAATCTTCTGCCTCACGCGCCTGGGGACGGTATTCCAGCGACTGGAACTCGTATCGGATCAATTTGGTCAGTTCTTCAGTCTGATGCTGTTGGTTAGCACAGCATTGCGAAAGTTGAATCGCCAAAACTTGCCTGTAGGTTCATAGCAGAGATGGCCTCCCTGCGTTTGCGATGGTCGCTGTACCGCTCTTGGATTGTCCCGCTCACAAGCTCAGCTTCCGACAAATGCACGCGGGGGTTGTGCGAAATGGTGTGTGCTTTGGCAATCTCAAGCAGGTCATCTGAGTAGCGGTCCATGATTTCCTTCATTTCGTCCATCAAGTCCTCGCTGACTTCGCTGTCCACGCTTGGGAGCCCCAGTCGGCGCAGGCCCATATTTTGGAATGCCACATATATCTGGTCGCCGTCCATTCGTTGTAGCAGGAGCTCCGCATCGGTCGGTCGGTAGTCTTCGATAGGAACGTTTCGATATAGGTCTCCCAGCACTTTCTTGCTGGGATAGTACCTATCGACCATGGATTCAGCAGGATTCACGCCTTCTCCTGATAGATAGTCCGGTTTGAGATTGCTGGGGGCTTAGAGCAGAATGAGCACTGAATATGAAAACAAAACGGCGTACCCCTCGGGAGGTCCGTGAAGCTCACGGGCACCCCGCGCTTTTGAAAATCAACAGCATGTGATGCTTTTTCGGCCAGTTTCAAACACTCTTGGCAATCATATTCTTTCAAGTCACCAATGCGCAGATGTAAGATAGAAATAAGCCCGAGGAGGTCAGACTTGATCTGAAATGCAGTCAGAAAAACACAGGGAAGCTACCATAGGCACAGCTTACATAGTCGATGACAAAATCCACGACGTCCGAGACAGTACAAGGGTTGGTGGTTTTCTTTGGCGGGATGGCCAGATAGCTGCCTGGTTCCGCAGTATAGCCTTTGGGAGGATAGAGGGTTTCCTGTGGAAAGCTTCAAATGCGTATATTACCAACGAAATGTGAGGACGCACATCCAGAATGAGGTTATATATATCACCTAGCATCAGATAAGCATGAGGAATCCCACAGAAATTCACTCATACCATCGAGATCTCCTCCTCCAAGCATTGAAGGCAAGCTTCGGGATCCTCTGATCGTGACATTGAGCTTCGCAAACTAAAGCAACCAAAAGACCTTACTTGGCAGAAAACACAACAACATTTGTCAGATGTGCAAGTTGTGGCTTTTGAACTGCGTTGACGAACTGAACATCTCCTGGATGAATTTGCGGACTTCGCGTGATGAGAATGCGACCCGTGACCGGCAGGTTCAGCTTATTCCGTTCGTCCACAACAGTGGCGTAAATCTCCCCTTCCTCTAGACAATCCCACTCGTCGACAACTCCAATAAGCGTGTAGGACCCAGGAACGAGTATATGGCCCCTGTGCTTGATTTCCCGGAGTATATGCATTGTCGCAAACGCGATGGCGGTCTTGATGAGTTGGTGGTGGAGGACCGAAGTGTCAGACCAATCGCCGACCTCGAGTTTTAGTTGGTGATAAATGTTGTTGAACAACGAAGGAAGGCGGTAGGACTGGCCAAGGCCGTGCTGAGAGAATATTTTCGATGCTTGTTTCAGTGAATACTTCATCCCATGGACTTCATCGATGGCGGATTTTTGGAGGTCCATGAAAGATTTTTTGGAGACACCATGATGTTCCAACATCGCAATGAGTGGCCGGTTGAGGTACATCAAGATAGGTCTTGCCGAGGTAGTGGCGATGTCCAAGGTGAGTATTCCTTCGGCACTAAACTTCCTTTGGGAAGGTCGGAAGGTGAGTTTCCCTGGTGGTAGTTCGGGGTTGCAGGCCAAAACACCCTTGGCGCCATAACAGCGGAACTGGAGTGCGGATGGAGGAAATCTGATCTTCAACGACCGCCTTTGCGTCTTCCACACTTGCCGTAAGAGATCAGGCGATATGGATGAGCAACCGTCGCTAAAACAGGAGTCTCCGTCAGCGGAGTATTCATCCTCGCAGAAAAGAATCTGGTCTTGCGTGAGCGTGACAGATGGATAGGAAGAGCTGAACGCCTGAGCCCAGCTACATATAGACAACATGATAAAGTAAGAATTCCGTTAGGTGAATTGAATAGAGCACCAACCGAGCACCCAACATCGCCGGTTGATACACGACTTTCGAGAAATCACCCTGGATGTGCGTTCATGAGTGCAGCTCACAACAGAGTGTTGTCAACAAACCAAACGGCCCCGAATCTCCTTAGCATTCATTCGAACACCTTCAAAATCGAAAGGTGTCACGAATATAAAAGAGTACTCCTTCAGACCACTCATTGAATAGCCCAAGAACTCGTAATGCCGCCCTGCAACCCATATTCCAGAGTTGAGGTAAGCCTTGTATCGATTTTCGAGAAGTTCGTTGATAGACACACGCAGTGCAGGATCCTGACGAAGAGCAGATCGATTTTCGTCTTGGAAGGAGACCCGAAGAAAAGATTCGTTGTTCTTAAAACGTCTACGATCATCAGCATGACTTGATTCCATCATTGATGGGAAACGTTCACCTGAGAACACTATTTGACTGATCAGGAAGGGGCCCGTCGAGGATTTGAGTCGAAGGAGTCAGGGTCAGATGATAAGCCTCATAAATTCCGCCCGTATCAAAAAGAACGGTTCTCTTGGTGATTTCTTCGATATAGTTTATGATGGAACGCGTGAGGTGATCTTTTAGATCGGTGAGCACTACCTCTGGGGGCTCATTGACGTCCTGTGGTTTATTATTGCGACGGCGGCGGCGGCGGCGTTTCTTTGGCTTCGCAAAAACGGTTACACCGAGTTCGGGGGACTCCAGCGATGTCAAGAAGTGGCGGAAAATCGCTGGGACTTCAGTAGGATCAGTAGCTTGTTGCAGCTCCCGCAGATCCTGCTCTAAAGAAAGAACCTCTGAAGGCTCAAGCATTCCTGTCCACACAGCCTTGTCGATTTGGAACGCCAATGCGAAGTCAAGCGACCCAAGAAGAATCCGTAGCCTCTCCATCTTGGCTGAGTCGTAGCATTGCCGCATTTCTACTCGAACATCGCGTCGCTGGTGGTTGGGGAAATGAAGGGCCTTGACATTTTCTTCAAAAATGTCTCCAGGGTCTGATGTGATTCAAACTCAAGACAGAGTGTTTGTGAAGTATGTGTCGAAATATCGGTGTCTTCAGACTTCAGCGCCGTCGCTCGATCGAATCGCTTCTCATCGCGGCCACTGATCATGTTGCTGAGAATACTGCCGCTCGGTCGTTGGAAGTTGGGGGGTAGATCTGATTGTAGAAAAACGCGCTCTCCAGAAACAACAAACGTGCTGATATGCCTAGCAGTATAGTGCACAGATGTGTCGGTGTTCAAGAGGCGGTCGAAATTCACCTTGAAGTCGATATTAAGAAGCCGGGAGAATGAGTGGCTCAAGTCTTCGTCATTGCTGGACGAAGCTGAAGCGGCTGTAGGAGGTTGACAAGTTATGTCCAAGCGTCTGGTTTCCAAGTTGCAAGCTACATGGCCATAGTAGCTAACTTCTGGAGAGAACACGCCGTCACGACAAATACGACCGAACGAGAAATTCTTTAGTGCGATGGAACCTGAAAGTTCCTGCTTGTGCGCATTGTCTTGCTGTACGCGTCTAGGATCGACATAGGGTCTAACCCTTACAGCTTCAACCAGAGCTGTGTCAAGGGGTTTGGTACTAGGCGTGAACAACATGACACAATGTTGTAGATTGATCCCGGAAACCCCATATATGCCAAGGAAAAGGGTGGCAACATCGTCAGTGGGGAGGGTCAAAAGCCCCATGCCCTTGTGTGCGCGACTGCGAGGAGCGCGGAAGAGGTGAATATGGAAGTTTATACGAGGTTCGGTATTGAACGGAGGGCGATGGAGTCTCTCAGCGAGAGCTAGCTTGAGATCATCTTCGGTTACAGCGAATGCGATATTCCGCATGAAAAGCTGCATTTTCGGAGGGGGGGAAGGGTCGCAAAGGTCGTGGACAAGTCTGGGGACAACACGAGGCAGCCCGAGCTAACCAGACAGTGGAATCGGTTTTAAGCAGACATAGACGCCAGAGAAGCCGTTCGGCGCCAGGGCCAGGACCTAAAATATACTGGCATTACACGCTGATCACTGATACGATACGTAGCAGGAAAGCGCACACCTAGTCAAGGCGCCGTCGCTTCCCACTATCATCCCTCTCTCTTGAACCTCGTCGTCGTTCTCGCCAACCTCGATCGTCTTCACGTCTTCCGTATCGTATTGGTGGAGAGCGAGACCGGGAGTCGGACCGGGAACGCGATCTCCTTCTCCGGGAGCTGCGGTTATCATGATAGTCGCGAGAGTTGTCTGCATGGTCACGTTCGTCCCATCTTCCGTGCTCACGTGAGTCCATGTAGCCGTCTGGATCGCGCTCTTTTCCCACATTATCCCTACCCTCGTAGCGGTCGCGCCAAGATTTGGAATCTGGAGGACCACCCCATTTTTTCTTCGGGCCGGTTGGATCCGCGTTTGCGTCAGTCTTGGCGAGTTGCATCAGTGGACCGGTGTTTTGAGGGCAGTCTTCAACAGCTTTGAGTTGGAGAGAACTCACAGAATATGGAATAGAGTCACCTTTCTTGAGATGTGGACCACCACATAAGAAACAGCCTCCACCTTCAGTGTTCATACCACCGGACTTGACAGGCGCGGTTCCGCCAAACCCACCAGACGGCAAAGTGGTATCTTGATCAACCAAATGGGTGTATTTTGTTCGACTGCGTTTGCCGAAATTCTTGACTTGCATGACTGCAGGTAAAGACGACACGTCGACAGTCGATGCGGTGGCCTCTGTAAAATCGTGTCGTTTGAGAATTTCTGCATCCTGGTGGAAGGCACCCTTGTGCCAATATTTCTGGAGGAATTTTTGCTGGCCCTTGGGTTTTTCGTCACGGAGTTTCTGAGCGTGTTCAAGATCCTCCTTTAGTCGTTGTTCCTCGGGCAAAGCGCGTCGTCGTTCGACCTCTTCTCGTTCCTCCTCTCTGCGCAGCTCATCCTCTTTCTCTTTCTTGATTCTAGCCAATTCGCGCAACCGCCATGCCTCAAATTCTCCTTCTGGATCAACCCCGTCGGTATCATCAACGTCAGGGATTTCCTCTTCTTTTTCCTCTATGAAGTCATGGTTAATTATGGCTAGCAATCAAACAACCATGACTCACTTTCCAGGAGTTCTCGACGGATACTTTCTGCCACCATATCATGGCTTTCTTTTCTTCGTTCCTCAGCTTCTGCCTCCCGTTTTCGTTGCATCTCTTCTGAGTCTTCCTCTAACTGTCGTTCTGCCACTGTTACACGGGCACGCCTGCGACCACTTAGTGAAATACTACATGTGCACGGAAAAACGCACTTGGGCACAAACACAGGGCGGAATTGGGCTTTAGGCTTTTCCTCCTCTTCTGAGTCCGTTTCATACTCGCTGGACTGTGTAAATTATATGAGCACTGTGTATAATGAAGGGCATACCAGTACCTCGTCAGATTCCGCTCTAGTAGGCCTCTCGTCCTCAGACTCTTCTGACTCTATCCAAATTTATTAGAGGATAAGACACAGAAATAAGAGAAAATGCCTTTGTCTTCCTCCATTGCAGTTCGTCCGGACTCTTCACGGCCAGCAACGATGACTTTACCGTCCTTGGAGATATTTACATCTCGAAGAGTAACATTCATGGATTTGGCGGGTTTTTGAATGAGGGGTGCCGGTTCTTGATCTTCCTCAGTCTCGTCCACTATGTCCTGCTCCCCACCAATATCTACATCGCCTTCCTCCTCAGCGACATCCTCTTGTGGCTCCTCCTCATCTGAGTCCGAGTCCCCGCCATCTTCAACGCCTTTGGGGGCTTTGCCTTTCCAGTACCGCGCTGCAGGACGGGCGAGTCGAGGCGCCTGCTTGCGCGCGGTGGTTGAAGACATGATGTGTGACATCATAATGTCACACATTTCGTAGACTAATTCGCGAATGAGCGCTGAAGACAAGCCTGACCCGGATCCGCCGAGTCCGACATCTTGTTCTTGACGCTATGGTGCAATGCATCGACACCGTATCCTTGTCGCTGCCAGCCGTCCCAGGCAGATGTCTACGTTTGCCCAGACCCGGTCATCAATCATAGCCGAATAACTTGAGTAAATATCGCGTTTCGCACCATACCACACGCTGGTTGCATTCACACCGAACAACGCGTCTTACCTTTCCCCGCCACCACCGCACCGAGTCATTTTCCATGCCCCGGACCGTTAAAGTCGCCGTGGTAGGCAGCGGCTTAGCGGGATTGACTGCTGGTTACCTCCTCACTTCATCTCACCCACAAGATGATGTCGAATTCGACGTTCACATCTTCGAAAAGGTGTTGGCCCTGCCCACACACTTTTACCACCCTACTCATTAATTTTATCGCTAGACGCCAACGCTTGGGATGGATTCTTCTTCAATGTCGATTGGAAGTGGGGATGGCGAATGGCGAATAGACGTGCCAATGAGGTCTTTCCAAGGAGGTGCGTACCCAAGCTTTCTCGAGGTGACCTGAATCTTGACGACAAGGTTCAGGATATTATCCCCATCTAATCGAGCTTTACCGTCAACTAGGCGTCGCCTTCAGGCCCAAGGACTTTTCCTATTGCTTTTCCGTCTTTTCGCCACCGTCCGAAAAGGGCGCAACCCCATTACAAACGACCATGATCTACAACGGCGCGTCTGGTCGTGAAGGGGTTTCGATGCCAGCCTGGCTTCGTGATCACCATCTCAAGCAGAAAAGCCATCGCGCTATAACGCGTGTATTTACCTTTGGCCTCTTCCTACTCGCGACACTTCATCTAGTCGTATGCTACATACGGCTGCTATTTCTCGTTTTGCCGCCTTTGCGGTCAAGAAAGGTGTCCACACAAACATTTGAGCAGTGGACGCAAGAGACAACACCCAGGCACTTCATCGGGCGGATGCTAGGCTGGGACTCGATGTGGCAGTCCTTCACACAAGATATTCTCGTTCCACTATTTTCTGCCGTATGCACTGCACCAGAGGCAGACATAATGACGCATCCTGTTGAGGACTTCCTCGGTAAGTTTTTTTTCCCCTTCGGATTGCACTTGAATCTAAACTTCTCCTCAGATTATATCTGGTTGACACTCGGGACTCACCATTTTGTCGTGGAGAAGGGTGTTCGAGATGTCGTTTCTCGGCTGACTTCTAACATGAAGAATGTTCATCTCTCCTCGCAAATTGTCGGTATCCACGTCGACCCGAGCAACGCCAGCCTGGCCTCGATTGAGTGTGCCGCGAAAAACGGGACGGTAACATACGACGGCTTTCACCATGTTGTATTTGCGACTCAAGCAACACGGGCTTGTCCAATGCTGTCGACATACGCTACTTCGCTTGCGACGGACCCCCACGCTCGTCAAGCAATCATGGCCCAGATCAACGCGCTTGAAGCGTTCCACTACGTCCGGACTGTTGTAATAAACCACACCGACGAGTCAGAATTACTCCTTCCTTCAGATCCCTCGGACCGACGCGATCTCAACCTGGTACATTGCCCACCATCAAGTTCAAGTTCTCACGAGACAGAGAAGCCGTGGTCACCCCACCGCGTTTCCTCGGACTACACTATGGCGACCCATATACTGACCTCCCCCTCTTCAACCGCCCCTGCGGTTTTCCAAACGACAAACCCATTCGTACCTATCCACGAGGAACATATTCTCAGCGTCGCAACCCTTGAACGCGCAGTTCTCACTCTCCCGTCAAAAGCAGCCCTCCGCGGGCTCTGTAAAACCGCAACACCTTCATGGTATCAATGTCCTGCCGAAATGGACTGTCAACTCGGCGACCTACAAGGCGCTGGCCGCCTCCAATCTGACGCCCACGCAGGCATCTGGCTCGTGGGCTCCTATGCCAGCGTTGGCATTCCATTGCTAGAGGGCTGTGTCGTTAGCGCAAAGAACGTCTATTTGGCGATATGTAAAACCGAGGGTATACCTCCCTCTGTCGCCAGCCAATTCTAAGTACATAGATTTAAATGTCCGTATATGATTAGGTAATCATAATGGGTCAATTCCACCACCACGCCAATTACGCAGATCCAAACGCGTTTTCGGGGACTTTTGAGTAGCTGCACGTCACATACAGTACCCGTACAAGTTTTGCGCTGCTAGCACCTCGAAAGCCCTCAAAAAACACATCACATCCCGATTTGTCCAGGTGGGTCTAAAAGACCCAAACCTGGCCAGGATGCTCCTGGATTCGGAGAGCCTTTTCTTCCTGGATCGGAATAGTCTTCCCCGTGTTTCAGTTTGTCCGCCGATGGGAAGCCAACGCATGGCGCTGTCGGGAGTCGGCCACGACGTGCTAATAAAGCGGGGTCACGTGTTTAAGAAGCGTCTTGGCAAAAGTTATCGCTCCGGACTCCGAAATAATAAATGCGCTGCAATTGCCCGCTACTACACTAATTTTACTCAAAACACATGGCCGTAAACACGGCTGCTTAACTAATTCGCCTCTCCGATATAACCAGACTAAAAAGTCCACCCAAAGATCCATGACGCCTACATATATATCCTCCTTGGACCTCACATCTTGACCATGAGCAGATACCTCACTCTGATCTGAGCGGTGCTATAAACGATATATTCGTTGTACTGGAGGCCGTAGCCGCCGTTAAGCTGCAGAGTAATAAGTCGAAAAGGCAAAAGCGAGGGCAAAACGCACTCCAGGGAGATCCACGTTCTTAGCTGGGCCCTCAGGCATATGGCACCCACTGATCATGTCCATTAGCAAAACAATGTCGAGAGTCATAGAGCACGCACATCAACTCATCATGTCCCAGTGCTTGACCGGCATCCTTCCAGTCACCAGGCTGCGACCTGCCCAACCCCTTGGTCGCACTAAGTAGTTCAGCTCAGCGACAATTCAAGGGTTGTTCTGGCCGCACTGACCGTTTCTTGTTCTTCTTACAGCCCTGATCGGCATGGTAGTCCTGTACGAGTTCAGCGACATCGAGGGGGAGTAAAGTTATAAACAAACCGCAGACACGAGCTCGTGGAAGGGCTTAGCTGCGATTTCGCACAGCAGCATTACGCCCGTTCCATTACTCAAACTGGTGACCCAGGTCAGCAACCAAATGGCGAAGCAGGGATTATGAACGTACTGAGAATAACAGTATCCAGCTGACTGTAAGACGATAAGAAAAGCGCTGTAGTGGTTTCTAGACCAGGACATACCTTGGACATCATCTAGGTTTATAAGTTTAGCATAAAACAAAGCAAACAAGAACAATGCAACGCACATCAGCGAAATAGACACCTTTACCGAACATATATCTGTTCGCGCGTGAAAACTATGTTGCAACGATGGATAGAGCCAAAACCCACCCGGTTACCGGCGCTTCTGGCGGAGCGATACGCAACCCTTGAGAAAGTATACCGGTGAAATTAGTGGACCTCGAGCCGTGCCACAACAATAGTCTCTCTCCCTCGCCAAGCTTGTCATACCCAGCGGCATTCCATGCAGCAGTTTCCGCCGCTCGCTCCACTCTGAACGCATTCAGGACTTTGCCCTGGATATGACCATGAGTGTGACCATGGGTATCACGAACATAAGCCTCGAGAACACCCCATTCGCTGGAAGTACGCTGGACTGGCTCCATGCTCGTTAAGTTGAGAGAGTGGAAGTTTTTGTCCATAGGGTTGATAGGATTGCCGTCTGCATCCTCATCGGCCTTGTTGTTCTCTGCAATGAGTTTGCTAGCGATCTCCATGTCAGATAGCGCGTCCACAAGTTCTAGCTCCTTTTCCAGGAGTTGCTTGGTGTTAATGGACACAGGTCGAGAGAAACCGAAGTCGTGTGGTATGATGCTAGTTGGCTTGAGAATTTTGGTCAGGGAAGGATCAGAGGACTAACGAGTAATATCTGCCACTGAGGTGTTCGCAGGCCTTAGCGAGACCACCAAGTTCTTTAGCAGCATCGCCGTTGGGATCGTTGATAACTTCCGAAAGAGCCTAGGAGCCATGAACCAGACGAAATAGCCACCACACGTTATACTAACCTTGAGAGCTGCGAATCCGTTCAGAACCGTGCTCTTAGCGAGTTTGCCCAGAGGGAGCTTATTGGCATCGTAATTCATGGACGAGAGGGTCGCGTCGATAATCCTAAGTACCACAGATGTGAATTTGAGGAGACATCAAATGAAACGATACATACGAGGTGCTGAAGATGAGATTGCATAGCTCTTGGATTTCAGGGTCGAGTTTGGACGGTGGTATTTCTGATTTCGCTTTCCCCTTCTTCTTCGAACTGTTCTCGGCTTTGTCTTCAGCTTCTGCTTCATCTTCGTCGCCGTAGTCGCGTTCAAGCCAGGTATATTTGCCTGAATGCTATCAGACCAGATATTCGAGAAAACCGCAAGTTGACTGACCTGCTTTGGGTACCATACCAACTCTGTCTTCCCACTCAACTGAAGCTTTCGCCTTGAACTGCTTCTTAAATTCTCGGATTGCGGTAGAAGATGGGAAGGGGCCTTTGACTTGGGTCTGACCATCAGCGCCCACTCGACCCCAACGTGTGAACAGGATGCAGGAGGTGTCGTTTCCAACGGGATGGAGCAGTTGGAGGACCTGTATCTTAATGAGAATGAGATGATGATGGAGCAAACAATACCCACATAAAACTTGTTGTTATTGTTGCCGATGTTCGTTTGGTTCAGCACTGTTGAATCTTAGGGGGAATAGCGATGGAATATAACGGAAACTCACTAGCATCCCAGACGCCCTCATCATTACTGAAGACCTGATGCGTGTCTGTTGCTCTTAATACACGCAATAGAGGACAAGGCGATGTGTTTACTCACTAACTTTGCCAGAGCCGCTGTCTACAGGAGCCCGGCCACGCTTAAGAACGGTGACCATCTTGGCCGGTTTGTCGTCGTCGTCGCTGGCTGCTTTGGCCTTGGCCTTAGATGCAGGAGCTTTCTTAGCCTTCTTGCTGGCTGGCTTTTTCGTATCGTTGTCGCTTTGGCTGTTCTCGTCGTCGCTGTCGGCCTTTGCCTTTGCCTTTGAGGCGGGCGCCTTCTTGGCTTTCTTGCTTGCTGGTTTTTTCACATCATTGTCAGATTGACTATCTTCATCGTCGCTGGCAGCCGCGCGCTTCTTGGATTTGGGCTTCGTCGCTGCCGGGGCTGGGGCTGAGGCTGCAGCAGATTTTGTGCGAGTGCTAGAGCGTGTAGGAGCTGGAGCAGCACCGTCGGCAGCAGCTTTTTTGCGAGGAGGCATGGTGGTGGTCGGGAGGAAAGGAGTTGTTGAACGTGCCGCGCCGACAGCAAACGGCGCGTGACACAACGCGATCACGTTTGTCACACGTCACACAGACTGACTCTTCGCTTTTGCCTCTGACTGGAAGATGAGTCGACTATCCTATTTTGCCGAATGCATGAGAACATGACCCGAAGTCAGCTTCTCTCCACCTGTCCTCCATGGACGATAGCTGAACTTAATAACATGCATCACAAAGAACATACTTGTTTGCTCTTCGAAGCGTTAGTTATCCTATCTAAGTCTTGTTCTTACTACTGTAGCATCTATTCAGCATAACTTATCGCCAGAATCGTCGTAGATTTTTCAAGTCAAGCGTCATTGTTAACCAATTTCCCGTTTATCGAAACGCAGGATATCAAATTGCTTCTTCCCGAAATGTGTAAGAACGCCGGAGACTCGTCACAAGCCGGGGGACAAAGGGATCTAATCTGCGGTCCGTCGCCACGACCCGACCATGCAACAAAGGGGATCATTTGCGGCGCTTACTTCTGAGGCACGACCCTCATTAGTGCATCGCCACCATATGTGACTGATCGCAAGGGTAGCTGTTTTCGACGCGATACGTCCACCATAAAAAGAATCCGCCATGGGTTTCCCAAGTACAAACCGACATGCCCTCTCAACAAGAACTCGTCGAGTACTCGCAGTGGGACCACGCCAACTACATCGTCCCTACACCCTCTCCAAGCCCCAAACCCTCGAGAATGCGCCGAACTTATGCTCGTAAGAGTACCCCTCCAGGCCATATCCCTCGTCCGCCCAACGCTTTCATACTCTTCCGGTGCGCTTCATTATATCTTACGGCCCGACTTGATCGCTGAATATCTCTTTCCTGCAGCTCTGCCAATGCGCAGAAAATTCCAAAAGCGGTTACCAAGGACCAGAAGCGCATCTCTCGCTCCATCGGCGAGCTCTGGCGTGCTCTTTCCGACTCCGAGCGGGCTTATTGGCAGGAACAAGCCGAACAGGCCAAACGCGACCATGCCTTGCAGCATCCTGACTACGTCTTCCATCCTGTCAAGAAAACCGTCGCGCCGCGTAAACGCAAGGTCAAAGGCAGCGCTGCCGCGGACAAGCAGCGCGACAAGGAGGTCGCGAAGCTTATGCGTGCCGGGAAAGACGGTGACGATTTGGCCAGAGCAGTCCTTGCACGAGACCAAGGCCAACTCGACGACAGTAACGACTGTGACTACGACCTACCATCGCCTGTTCTCGTCGCTCCAGTTCCCCTTGCCCCAGTTCCCTCTATTCTCGCAAACCACATCGGCGAGTATCATTGGCCTGCCCATCAGGAGTTCTTTGACGCGGATTACGTCGACTCCATGGACCCGAATGGGTACTCGCCCTACAGCGTCCCTTCTCCACTCAACTACGAATACTCTCCCCCGCGCGAGCAGTACCTTTCGATTCCGGTACCCGACATGTCCACACCCTTCAACGCTATCTACGTAAATCCCTCTTGCATGCAATCATACGACTATACGCACTTCTAGTCGCTGTCCACATCGTATGGCCCCAATCTCCCTTTCATTGTGTCTTCAATCTTCCGGTACATATCCTTATGAACATACTGTATCTTCTACTTCACGTCCTTCGAAATGTAGCTTTAGTCACAACAACCTTTCAAAAAGTAACGAATAGTAACAATGGGAAAACAAGTTCTACTCTAGATTCGTCGTATCCAGCGCCGCCGCCGAAGATCGGTTGAGAACAGCTTCAATCCATAAGCTTTCCCTTACCAATGTTGTTGTGAGCGGTTTCTGAGCTGTGATATAAGCTGATTCAGAACATCAAGTACTTGTCAATCTCGTGGATTTTTTTTGAGCAATTTTAACTACACATTTTGGACACTACTATATATGTACAGGTTTATGGTGATGTAGGAAGGCGGTATGGATACATTTTTGGTGTGGCACTATATTTTGTCAATAGGTGGTAGTAGCAATAGCGTTTGAGACAAAAAAAAGCGGTACTGCCGCAGCGGGTGAGACATCTGGTTGATTGTCAGTCGTGCTCGACCATAAGGACAATGTACCTCGATTCGCACTTGAGCACTTAAAAGAGGGCGCGGATGTTGGCGAGAAGGCGGCGTAGAACTTGCGCGGCCATGATGAGCTAGAGAGGTTGTCAGTGATGCAAAAGGCGAGAAAGCATAGACAAATACTGGTATAATGCCAACTTCCTGAACTTCAGGGCGTTCGGCGTCTGCAGCTTGCTATTAGGACTTTCAGTGCGCAACTTGACGGCTGTGGAAGGGACTCACCTGTCCCACTTCCCCTCCATCCTGTGGTGGAAACGCGCCACCGAAGATGAACTGGCCGAGGACGAGATTCCCTATATGGATGTTGAAGTTGACCATTGTGTGGTGGTGGAATAAAGAGAGGCAAATAGATAGAAAAAGTTAGTTTGAGTGCTTTTAAAGCGCCAAATCGATAGTTTTCAACCTGGAAAAATGGCTTTACCTGTGTCGCCATCTCAATTTGTATGGCTCGATGTCCTGGGCGTCAAGCAAGCGTGCCATTGCGATCCAGTGGCTAGCCACAGAGGTCTATATGAGATTCAAGTGTCCGTGATGAGATTTAAGAGCCAACCTTGAGTCGAGAACGGCATCCCCATCGCTCTTTCTCTTCCTTATTTCATCCATCCACACTCCCTCCCTCCCACACAACCAACCAAATTCTTTCTAAATGACACCGCGGGCTTCAAGTAATGGACAACAGCGCACTCGATTGTCCGTTGTGGTGATTGTCAACAGAAGAAATCCCCCAGCCCATCATTGCTGGATACGCCGGCTAGCCGTAGTCTTCCCCTTGGCTATCTGCTGAAGCAACAACACGAATGACCACTCTCTGAGCCATCACTCCAAGCGTCGATGAATCATGAAGATGACCACCAAACGCGAATCAAGCCACACAATCGGCTAGCATTCAATGTGCAATCCTCCTCCCAATGTTGCCTATGCTGCTCGGTTTATTTCCATCTCAAGATTGGGAGCTTCGGTGATAACAGACTCCAAAATGTCGAGAATGGCAAATCCAAGTCAGTCTGGGAATGGCCTCTGCGTGGTGCTGGCACGGACTTGGCGCATCTTGTCTCACGGTCGACAACAATGACTCCTGCCGGATCGTGACAAGTAACAACAGCGAGTTGCTTGCGAACTAAACATAGCCAGTCCATACAGCGTGAGCCCGATACCGCCAAACGACAAGCAACAACTACCAGAACGCCGGCTCAGCAAGACGAAACAAGAGATGTAAGGCGACTTGAGTTTGATGCGGTCTGTTTGATAGAGTCGGGTTGGTGCTAGCAGCAACAGTATGAGGTGCGCCTACAGAAGAAGGCCAGCATTGCAAGAAGGTCGACAAGAATAAACTGGAATAAAAGTCTGTCTTGGCACTCTTCAGCACGCACACAAAACAGGAAGCAATTGCAACATACTATACTGCTCAATCCAACTAATACTTGGGTTGGCGGATACTCAGCATACTCGGATGTCTAAGCGGCCGCATTGGAGATCTTGGTTTTAATTGGGGGTATATTTCCCTTGAAGCGCCTAGTTTGCCTTCACCAGCACTCGTCAATGTCGCTTGCATAATCCAGGCGGGGTCGAATCTGGGTATTTTCAATGTGCCTAGAACAGTTGGTGGCATTGTATGGTAAGTGGAGGAGGTTGGAATCGCGTTTTGACAAGGCAAGTGAGACGGCTTGGAAGACACAACATCAAGGGCAGAGGAGGCCTTGATCTCTCTCTCTATGAGCAATGGCCATCCAACGAGATGAAGCCTCGGTACGGATTGAGACGCGCAAGGGAATAGTGGGGGTGAAGGCAAGTGGAAACAGTAGTTTATTCAAGACCCTAGAAGTCACTGATCACATGCACACGAGGTTTCCTTGCTCGAATTCAACGATATGGTATCCTACTCCGCTCAGCGTAGCGCTGGTTGAGCGCTGGTCGAGTAGCATCGCACCATGGGCTCAAAATAGAAAGACCCCAAGAAATAGAGCCGAAGTTGCTATATTCATTCCAAAAAAACTTGGACGCCACATTCAGAGTATCAAAGCCATCCGCCCGCGCCATCCAGCCCCACTCGCCGCTGCCCACAAAAGGAGCATAGAATACATCTCAAATAATCCAACCGTACGAAATGTGGATGTTTGTGTCCATGATGTTTACTTGCCTGGATTTTCTCCAAGCCTGTCTCGCAGCGACACCACCGTTTCCACCAGTGCGTCTATTGCGCCTCTCTGCTTCCCCTCTCCAACTTGCCATCTCCACAGAACGGCCACTAATTCTAATTCCCATAGCCTCCAGCAGACTGCTTTCACTTCCCTCTACGACCACCGACTTCACCCTTCCCCAGACCTGCCTGTAGTTAAATGCAGTCAACTCCCCAGAACTCTTCAAGACCGATGCAATGTTTACCCAATACATCTATAATGATAGCCCTTTTCCCTTTTCTCACGTCGCCGAGGTCTGAATGTCCAAGAGACAGTTTCCAACCCACAGAGTGTCCTGGAAGGTGCTCGCGGGAGAAGCTCGTATTCACTGCGCTTTACGAAAATGACCCAATCCACTCATTGCAAGGCTGTTGATGTGAACCTCAACTTCAGCCCAATCGCATTGGCATCAACACTCTGTTCAGCCCGTCAACGTAGGAACTCGTCCATGCAGGAATACAAGCGCCAGAAGGTGATCAGTGTTTTCACCTCTATCTTTGCATTGGAATTTGGCTTAGAACCTTCGTGGCTTTCCTCGCGCCAACTCTCTGGTTGCCGCTTTTGGTAGGACATCTTCTTTCTAAAGCTCAAGCACGGTTATCAAAAGCCTTTTGCTCCTCGCACTCCTTCGCCTTTGACCGCTTCCCGCTACGACCGCCTCCAACATTCCCCTCGTTCACCATCGTTCTCACCCAAACGCCAAACAGCGACATGCTCGTCATTCCGTGGACCCGGCCCATCGAATATGTCCCGCGCCAATCCAGGCTGATTCCGGTTCAGGTTAGCCAGGCAGCGAGAACTACTACTTCCCACCTTATTCCTTTGTTCAACAGGAATCCTCGTCCTGTGAATAGCGACGAAGACGAACCCCCGGGTTATTCGCTTCCTGATTGAATTTTCTTTGGGTGCGTCCTCTCTCGATTCCGTTGGCTGCGTTCTGGTGATACTTTGTAGCGTTGCGTCGCTAATATGGTCAATCAAGAAAGAAACCCACACCGAAACTGCCTTTACTGCTTGCTTAGAGGTGTGCATAGCTCTCAAAGTGGATAAAACTCACTAGTCGCAAAACATGCAAATTCTATACTATCTCTCCTATGACACCTACTCTTTCGGCCTGCCTGCTATTCAATGTGTCATGGATGGAGCATTTGCAAGACCTCAAAATGGCCATGCCCACGTAATTCATGAACTGTACATTTCTAACTACCACTGGCCAAGCCCCAAACCAACCTGTAATCGAAGTATACTAGCATTGAATGAACCCAGTGCTGCACTTGTTACCTCGACAATTGGTGACCTGATCCCAACGCTTGTAGCCAGTGCGCAACTCAAGCGCCTATTTTCGGTTCAGAAGCGAAGGCGGTTCATAAACAATCTATAAGAATAGAAAGTTCCCCTACTGTTGGAGTCTATCGATGCATTTTCGAACAGTCCTCCTCCTCCTCACTCAACGTAACCGGAGAACCAAAGTAACCCCACATCGATGCAGCGTTCAAATCGTCCCGCGATTCACGCCCGACACCCACGACTCCATTAACCTGATACACATTTTTGCGCAGGCCAAGAGAGACTTTGATGGCTGGCAAGCCTGGTGTGTAACGGTCCAATTCTACCTCCTCAACGGACGCAGCGGAATTGATGAGTTTTAGTACATTCTTTGCGGCGACTTCGGCCTGGTAGTATGCATTATGACCAGCGGGTATCGCGCCAAAGGCATCGGCAGCGTCACCCACGACGAAGATGTGCGGGTATGGCGTCGTTTCTGATGTAGGCTCCAAATCGTCTTCCTCGGATGTTGGCGAATCGGTGTCTTGGTTTTGCAGCGCGATCTGTGCAAGAGCTGCTTGCAAAAGATCTTCATCTTCTTGTTCAGAGACTTTGCCTATTATTGGTACTTCCTCGACAGCAGGAGGTAGTATGCCAAGCTGCATGGTGCGAAGAACATGGGCAAGACGTGTCCCAGAGTCAACCGTAGTCTCGTCGAAGGTCGACAATAATTCCGTGTTGGGAACTTGACCGGTGCAAAGCAACACGAGATCAGCGCTGATTTCGCGCCCGCTCATCGTACGGACAGTATGTGATGACGAATCCTCAGTGGGCATCGTGGAAAGGTCAAGACGGTCACCGAGAATGACATCGACGCCGCTCAATTCGAGTTCCTGCAGTATCTCCGTGTGCATCGTGGAGTCGAACCGTGGCAGGAGTCGTGTCCGAGAGTGAAGAAGGGTCACCCGCTTTTCTGGGTGAATTGCAGCAATGTCCGAAGCGAATTGGATCCCAAGGGCTCCTCCACCAACAACAAGAACCGCTGAGGCTGCTTGGATTACGGTCTGCTTCCTCTTCAACCAGTTTATAGCCTCCGACTTGTCTCCACCGTACGTGTTCGGACAAGGTTTTCCGTCTGGACTGGCCGCCCAGAGGTTGAGCGGGCTGGGGAGATGTGAGCCGAGCGCGTAGATGGCATGATCGAATTCAAGGACGTCGGTAAGGATGCCGTGTTCAGGAAAGGCGCGCGAGAGCTTGATAGAGTTGGAGGAAAAAGATTGCACGGTTGCACGAAGGAATGTGTGTCTGTCGGGATTGGGGGTTTCGACATTGAAAATGTTGTCGTAAGGAATGACTGGGAGAGAAATGAGATCTTGACAGCACTGGCACTGAGACGTACAGGCTTTATGCTCGTGGCCAGGAAGCACCGCCAGTCTCGGCAAGATATATACGTCTGCGAGGGTAGCTCATTACGCTGCTTTAGGACGAAGAATATGGGCGTTTACGGTTAGCGTGACTGGTCCCAGATAGTTAGCATAAGAGACTCCAAAGTATTGTCCCCACGTACGAGTTGCGGTCTATTAAAACGATGCGCCAACCTTCCGGGAGGCCAGCAGCGATGAGCTGAGCGGCACGGGCACCTGGAACGCATTTTCAGCCTGGTGATGACTTGAATTTTCAGTTACTCGCCGCCATACGCAGCACCGAGGACAACTACCGTCTTGTGAGGTGACATACGATGTGGTGGGCAAACCAGAGCGGCCTGGACAACAATCCTAGCTGTGGTGCGATGCAAATCTGATTAAAGGTGGTGCAAAGATCCGAATCATCCGAAATCAAAATTTCTCTGATCCGGCCTATTCTACCACATAGCGAGCCAGATTCGCTACTAATGTAGAAGTGTATCGTCGATCAGAGTGGGCTGGCTAATGGCGGCGCGAATTGACACGCGAATGTCGATTGTGGTAGAGACAAGAGGGTTGCAAGAGGGCCATGTCACGTCTGTGACGCCTGTCAAGATGACATCACCAAATCAAGTGCCCGAAATATTATAATATTAACATCCTACACCAAATTTCCACCCAGGCACAGTACTTCCCTGATAATAATTGACTGACTCTAGCAAGCCACTGTTGGCGCGGGCAGTCCTATCGCATTCCAAGCATTAGGGTATGTGCAGCCAGCAATTGGCGCAGCTGCTAAAGTCGTGTCTGCCAAGTTCGCCCATCCGCTCCCCATACTCGCGGAAGGCATGCTTGCGACACTTGCGCTTGCGCTCCCCGTTGGCGTTACCGTCGGCATCACATACATCAGGCTCGTGATTGCCGCGGTTGGTGTGTAGGTGAGCAGAATGTTGCCCTTCTGATTCGAGAGGGTCGCAGGCGGCCATTGCATGCGGGACTGGATATTTCCTGCCCCAGCCCCGCCTGTTTGCCAGGAGCTGAAGGTCCCCGCCCACGATTGGGGCGTTGCACCGACTTGAATGCACTTGCCAACGGCAACGCGCGGGTCAGCCGGCATCCAACCGCCTTCGAGCCCCGCCTTGTATGACCACAAGGGAGAGCTCACTACCCCGTTCTGCGCCGCACCAATCTTCCACGTCCAGAAAAACCAGTCCTGCAATGCATCCATCTGGCCGAGGGCAAACGCTTGCAGTCCGGCTTTAACGGAAGTGTTCCATTGGCTCGCGTCTTGCCAGTAGTTGCAATCACCCCCATAAGACGTTGACCCATTCACGCCTTTGAGGAATAGCCCGCAATCGTTGAATCCATTGCTAAACTCCCCTGCGAGTGTGACCCCAAAGGCGCCCCGACTGGAATTCATGCCCCCACCCCACCCAGAGCACGCTTGGTTTGGCCAGGTGCCTCCCGCAGCCGGATCCAGGGGGTTTTCCGACGTTGCGATTGGCGCATTGTTAGGGTTGCCGCTAAAGCTGAAATACGGATGTGTATCGAGAATAATCCGGTCGCTCCCGGTAGCGAAGCCCGCCCATGATTCAAGACCAACAAAGCCGTCATGAAGACTGATATAAGGTCCTTTGCCGATACCGGTGATCCCCCGAATCATATCGTGGGTGTGGATATAGCTGAGACAAGCTTTATCAGTGTACTTTGATTTAGATCAAAGTGACTAACAAGGCGCCTAGTTGTTCTCGTCCGATGGTCGACATGAGTGCTTTGGTATCGTTAGAGGGGGAAGACTGTCGGACAAAGCTAACCCTCGTTTACGACTCCGAAAATCTGTACCACATCTTGGTACTGTTCTTGAGCAATAAACTCGGTTATGACGCGAATGCAGTCGCTAAGAATGTTGAGTCGAACTTCTCAAAGGAATTATTGCGGAATTACAGAGCTCGTTGTGCATTTGCCATACCCATGGGACCGTTTAAGAAGTTGATTTGGCCCATCTTTCCTGAGTGATTGTACCCTGTCCAAGTTTCAACTATTTGATCCAACGAGTAACACGGTTGCAACCATTTTGGGAGCCAGGCAAGCTATGAAGATCGATATTGACACGAAGACCGTATTTTCGAGCCCAGCCGAGCATACGAACAAAGTATCTGAGGTTTTTGAGTTGAAGAAATTTAATCCACGTGACCAACATACTTCCAGCAAACTGCGTTTAAAAACGGCTCGGCGACGGTCCCGCCGTTTGCACCAGTCCCAAATGCGTCTGTCCCGACATCAGACCAAGTGCTGAGACATGCTTACAGTCAATCAACCGAATCACAAGGATATATAGTTGGGACTGACCCGACAGCCCAGAAGGGAATTGGGACACGAATCCAGTTCAAGCCCGCTCCGGCGATTTGAGCGAGATCCTGTTCAGTCTATAACCGTTGGTTAGCAAGGTTGAAAGGAGAATAAAGATTTGTACTATAAATGTCGCGTAATGAGTCTCCAAAGTAGATTCTAATTTCCCGTCTGCAAGTAGATGCTGCGACAAGGTCCATTCGTCTCCAGCAGATGGATACGGTTGGAATAGTGCGGGGGAAATGACTGGAGAAACATGAGCAACTGTGGGAGCCTTCTGGTTAAAAAGACTTACACGGTTCTAACTGGAACCATCCACCCAAATTTACCCCATTGGCCCTATTGACACCCCATGTCCAAGTTTCATTGAGCAAAGGAGTCCAACTATTTGCGCGTCCGCCATATGTTGGGTTCTCAGGGTCTGCCAGCCCTGATTGGTCGTCAGAGAATACTTTTGTTTGGGGCTGAAACCACGTACAGTACCCTCCAAAAGAATTGGTATAAACGAACGTGTCTCCAAAATCGTTGACAACGACACTTTGATCACCACCGGTGGTTACGAGGCTCTTTGAACTAGGTTTGCGATTATCTGAGTCAGATGAACTGGCTGAGGTTGCAGACGCGTTTGATCCACCACTACGGCGTCTGGAGATGATAACTACGACAAGCACAACTGCTGTCATAAGGAACAAAAGTCCCCCAGCCATTATAAGGCGCTTACGTCTCCTCCCTTGCTGTTGCTGGTTTACCGAGGGCATCATCATACTGCGTCGGTGTGCAGTAGGACCACCGTACCCATAACCTCCTTGGCTGGCAGCATAAGCAACGCGTTCTTTGCCGACCGGACGCCCTGGACTCGGAGGAGGAGACAAGGTATACGGAGAATTAGAAAGAGAGGGGGATGGTGGTGGTGGATAGGCATAGTCCTCGTCGCGAAAGCTTTGCTGACTTGGAAGGGGGCTGTCCAGATATGGAGCGAAATGCGGGGATAATGGCGAGACAGGAATGTGGGCTGTTAGTGGCTGAGTATAGTGGTCCACATACGTCTCTGCATAGTCTTCACGTTTCTGCACGCTCATGGAGGACGGGTACAGGAGGACGAAAGGGGGGGCCTGAACATTGGCGGAAAGGGATAACTGAATACATACGAAAATGACTTTAAGGTTCTTCCATCTTGGTCTCCGCTGTACTGCCAGCACTGCCGTCACCCATATTACCCAACAAAGCCTCCATGTCAAAGCTTATCTCTGTGTTGTGCCCTTCCGCCAAGAACGAGAGATCTAGTCCAAGGTCGTATGAGGAAGAACCTTCTGGACCAGTGCCGGCTCCAACTGCGCTCTCGTTCATTTGCGAAAAACTCGCAAGATCCAAAGGCGCAGACACAGATGGGTCAGGAAGAGCCACACTGGCCTGCGAATCACTTGGAAGCGAGGTAAAGATATCTTCGTGTGGGTTGCTGCTCAATGCACTGAGGAAACTCTCTTCAACGTCTTCATGCTTGATCTTGACATCTAAATGCACTTCCGGTCCGGGAATGACGGGAGTGAATAGTCCGTCAACTGCGCTTCCGCCTCCAGTTGAACTCGTTTCATCGCCGAATAGCTCGGTCATCGTGGCCATGTCAAGTTCCATTGCGTCTAAGTCGATGGGTTTGTCGGCACTGTTTCCAATTGCCGACATATCAACATCTGGCACTGTATCTGGCCCAGTCAAATCGATTTCGACTCGTGAGGAAGGGCCAGCGTCAGCATTAGACGTTAAAACGGCCATCAGCTCTGGGGGCAACTCGTTCGGGCCATACGGGCGAGCGGATTTCGGCGCGAGAGTCACAGGCGAGGAAAGCCCTTGAGAGAAAAGGGAGGCTTCTTCAGGAGAAATACGAAGGGCAGCGGAGGATAGGTCTAGTTTGAGTGGGAGTGCGGGGCGTTGTAACGATGATATCGAGATTGCGGATGGCCGCCGCCCAAGCAGGGAACCGGACAACGGCGGTGATTGTGATGGATCGGTTGGTGGAGGCGAACTTTCCAATGTTGTAGATTCAACCGCAGGGAGTGTACTTGTCGCTGGAGAGAGTGGGGCGGAATGAGAGCCATCTTCCATCTTCACGTCCTTTGTTGCTGCCGCTGCCGCTGCCGCCTCCTCTTCTTCTTGACGTCGTTTCCGTCGCGCAATGTCGCGTTGAAGAACAGAGATGGCTCGAAGCTGATATACTTAGCCAAAGATTCACGATTCCGAGCAGACAAACTTACCAGTCTAGACTCCACCGCATCACATAGTTGATCATATTTTTCCACCTCACGTCCCAACGATTCAGTGAGGCTTTGTGGAGGTACCGGCGCAACATGCTGAATACCTCTGCAGAATTGAGTAGGCAATGCTTCAATCCAATGAGAGCCTTGCTTACAATCTCCTTGAGTCCGCGAAGAATGCGTATACTTGACCAGTCTTTACGGCGATATTTCTTAGGGTTGAACTGAGTGCCTCAACTTCAGGAACCAGGATGCCTTTTGGCGGGTTGGGTGGCGGAGGCATTGCCCGGGCATCGTGTTCTTGTTTCAAAGCATCGGCAGGCTTTGATTCAATCTTGGTTTGTTTGAACAGTGGTGTTGGTTTTGGAGGCATAATGATAGTGGTGGTTAAGACCAACTTGGTCACAACCACAAACTCCTCATGGATGACCTCTCTCAAGTTCGTTCCCTCCCTACAACTTGACGGTATCTTAGCTGTTTTTAGCGTCGCATTCGCCACATATCGTCCATCCAAATTCGTAACTTGACTGCTTTCCCAGTCCGCGATGCATTTGCATCTGCACTCTCACAACCCGCGGAGCAACCCCAGTTCAACCCTTCGGGCTACTTCTCTGACGACCTCGACGTCACATTGTCAAGAAAACGTAGCCGAAGAATATCTACGAACTCGATAGCCACCTATAAGAGCGTTAAATCGGAGGAGAGTGACGATCATGGCTCATTGGATTCGCGAGGTCGGCGACAATCGAGGGTCAGCTTTCATGGGACTGGCGGGCCCACTTCAGGCTCTGTGCGGTTCCAAACTGGCTCAACACCGTCAATACGGGGTCACAGAGCACGAACAAGCTCAATCACGTCTTCACTCAATCTGCCGTCGACAACAATTCCTACCGTTGTCCCCTTCACCGCCAACTTACCAGACCACTCACAAACTGGACTTGAGAAGATTATCAAGTCCCGGCTATTTGAAACCTTTCTCACCGTTTCCGTAGAATCCAGCGAACCTCCTCCGCTGTCAACTTCACCAACAGTTACATCTCTCTCACCACGCAGTCCTAAACCCAACGGCACCCTCACACGGAAAGGCACGAAGCCCTCGCCTCTAAGTCCAGCCGAGAAAACCGCTCGACGCGACACTATACCCTCCCCATCTAAACATGCCCCCAAATCCCCTTCCATATCATCCTTACTACCGAACGGGAAACAAACTCCCCAATCTCCACGAAAACCAGCTCGACCATCGTCCCCTGTGCTCGCATCATCCCAAGCGCGCCCTGATTCACCTTCCTTTCAGTCAGTACCCGACTACTTCTCACCAATCCATCGACCTTCAACAAATCCGTCATTCCCTGTTGACACACGCTCATGGGGGCGGGAAGGTCACACAACAAATCCCGGCGGGCGGAAATTCAAGGTGGAACTTTGGGGCGAAGTTGGCCAAGACGTCTTGCCCGTTCTTGGGAAGGGTAAGGAGAAGGAGACACAGGAATCCGATACCGATTGGCGGCTCATAGAAGAATGGACCGTTGATCTTGGGCAGCTTTTACTGCTCTCTGATGAGGTACGAGCTTGAGTTAATTGTCGGAGGGGAAAATATTGAACATGCGTAGCAGGATCTCCCTTCCAACACACTCGTTATTACTCTACAACCGCCTGGACAGTCATTCTACCTTCCATCTACACTTAGACTGGGACGTAAATCACCTACTCCCTCAGCTGATGCCGGTTATGCGTCGGACCCCGAATCCAGCGGAAGGGCGGCAAAGAAGCCTGCAGGCGCCGCCAGGCCAATTAGCGGCTGATGTTGCCGCAGCTGGCCGACGACGACATCGACGAGGTCAAGATCCTGACAAGGATCGAGCCAAAACAGCAGACTGGCAAGACCTTTTCAAGTAATGATCCTCCCTGTTCCCGTTTGTTTCGTTCAGAATATTTTGCAGACTTGTGACGCTACAGACCTGTATACAGGACACCGAGGTCTCTCTCAACGAAATCGTACGCGAAATTGACAAGGTTCTCGAAGGAGATACTACTTGGGCGCTTGTAAGTCGATCCTATTCAATTATTTCTCCCGCCCCCACTTTAGAGCGTTTCAAATATAATTTGACAGAAACGGGAAATTTCCGAAAGGGAATCTGTGGTTCAAGGTCTCCGCAAGAATTGCACGGTGGTCTATGACCAGTCTGAGCTTCGTGAGTGAAAACTCATCAAGGATTGGCGAGCTAAATTTGGGCCAGTCAAAGAGAAAATCGAAATGAAGCGTCAGCAGATTCAAGAACGCCGAGAATTGCTTGTAATGGCTCAAGATCTGCGTGATGAAGACCTATCAGCGATGAGCCAGAGACATGAGGAAGTGTCTGACGCGAAGTAAGCAGGATGTTTGCTTGTCAAAATATCAGTCTGATTAGCTACAGAGACGAGCTGACAATCCTGCAAAGTCACTTCACTCCGACAAGGACCACTCTCATTTCTTCTCTTGCCACTATATTTCCTATCGACCTTCGCTCCCCTCCCGACCTCCTCTATACCATTCTCGACGTTCCACTCCCAATACCACTGGCTGCTTCTGATCCAGCGCCACCTTTGTCTTTAGCATCCCATAAAGATGTCTCGGAGGATTCTGTTGCAACTGCACTGGGTTACGTGGCGCAAGTTGTGCAGCTCTTGGCGGCCTATCTAGGCAAGGGGCTAGTCTACCCAATTACTTGCATCGGCAGTCGCAGTATGATACGCGATGGAATTTCAGCCATGGTGGGTCCGCGAATGTGCGTTGTGTTTGTGTCTAGTTTTGATGTTGTTTTCTGATGATTTCAAGTTACTAGGTTTCCGCTCTTCTCAAAAGGTGTCGACACATATCGGTTTGAGTATGGAGTATTCCTGTTGAACAAAGATATCGAATTGGTAAAGCTCCGTCACCATGCGAACCCCTCAACTTTCTAAGAACAGTTCTTTAGTTGATGGCTGACCGCGATCTACGTGCGTTGGATATGAGACATACCTTGCCGAACCTGAAGAACCTATTGCTGACGCTAACCGACGGAGAGGGTGCCAAATTAGGGTGCGTGTCTATCGCTGTTCACTCACGCGTCTGAAGACTTGTGCAGCGGTCCGCGGTTGTTTGACTCGCCAGAGTTGAGTGTTACGGGACTTGAATCTCCCCGAGCGGAGTCACCTGTGGAAAATAATAACGCTACAGGGTCGACAACGCCAAAGGCAGAGAATCTCGAACTAGCCGGTGAAGAAAATACTCCTTCACAGAGTGGGGCCACGACACCCACAACAACAACAACGACAACAGAAGCGGGGAAGAAAAGCACTACCGGCAGTCGATTTATGCTGTCACCCATCGCGGGATTCTTACGAGCTCGTTACCCGTCTGCAATACGGACCATGAAGGCCGTTACGGACAGCGAAGCACCATCAGGCATAGTCACCGAGGAGGAAACCGCTGAAGATGACGATGATCGGAGGACGATTCGGGGAGACGTGGGGACAGACATCACGACAAACGGGGCTGAGAAGTTAGGCGAAGTAGACCCAGTTCCGCCGGCCACCGATACTCCTGTGAAATGACACGATGTTTGCTCTTTCTTTCCTTCGCGAGTTTGCTTGTGACGACGGAATAGACCTTTGCCAGGCGAGTCTGGGTGTTTGTGTCGTAATTTTTTTTTGTTATGAGGACGGGAGTGCAGGTGCGCTGACAATAAGTTCGAGCCAAGTATACGGGGGAGGGGCCATTCCGAAAGGATGAGACTGTTTTCTGCTCAGTAGCTGCCTCTACCTAGAGTACTACAGCCAGAAAACGTCAGTGCGCAACCAGCGGCGCTATGCCATAATCAGCAGCCGGCAACCTTGTGACAGCGGCCCTGAAATAGAGCACGCGATGTCTGATGTTTTAGGCGTTAATCTTCGCTGCAAATGGAAGTGATACCCCTCGAAAAGTGTGTGATTAGCCAAAGGGTCAATTAAAATTGAGCAGAACTCTCCGTTCGACACTCAACTACCACCATTACTGTCGGGAAACTGGAGCGTTCAAAAGGGTCCGTCTTTCCGTCGTTTGCTCCCTCGCTTCGCTGACCCCCCAGCAAAGCTCATCCGCCGGATTGTAACAACAGGCTCTCTAGAACGGGCTCAAAATCAGCTTCAAGGTGCATAACCTGATGACCGTGCCCTTCCCCACTCTGACGAAGCCCACTTACAGCGTCCCTTGTGCACTAGCTTTCTCTCTTCGTCCTCTTTCGCTTTGTTTTCAGTCGTTTCCCACCCGCCGGCTCCCTTTTCGTATCCAAAATGCATACCGACAACTCTACTATCTCTCCTACTACTGATAATAATTCGCCTGCGGACGAGAGGAACCATAGCCCCCCTGCATTCCTCGACCTCGCAGACTCGGTGCGTCGAGTGATTTGGTGTCTGACTTCATTTTTGCTGACTGAGTGGCAGCGAATGGGCAATAATGTGACTGAAGTGTCCGTTGTATGTTTTTTTGGTCCATGGTAGACGTCCTCTGAGTACTTACTCCCGCTATTAGCAGGTCAAGCTCAAGCATGAGCGTCAGCGGCAACTCCAACGGCAAATGTTTGAAGAACAAATGCGTGCCTTGGAGCAGCAACAGGCCCAAGAGTTGCTTAATATCCCATTCGACTCACCGGTCCAACACCTGGCGGTGTCTGCTCCGACCACGCCCCCTCGAGTGAACGCAGCTCTCAACGGCGAAGCCCATCCCGCCCCGCAACGTCGGTCCCAAAATTTCGATGCCGAGACTCTCTCCAAAGCTGTCGGAACTGCAGTTTCGGACAAACGCAAGTCCGTCACGTATGCCCCGACGGTGAACTTGTCACCCGACCTCAGTACCACCAATGGCAACAGCTTTTCGCGCACTGCCGGTGCCAAGAGCATGCCAGCCAGCCGTCGTACCTCTGCAAGCGAACACGATGAAGATTTGGCTGGCCATTTGCAGGGCTTGTCCATGGCTGGCGAACGGACCTCGCCTATTCCATTGACAGCGTCAATCTTGACGCGTGCTGCTTCACGTTATGGAGATGACGAAGGCGCTCGTTATGCTAGCACCTATAACGCTGGTATGATGCTCGACGAGCAGCTAGATCAGGAAATGCATAGTTCGTACCAGTTTCAACGTCTTCTCCATCTCTCTGATCAGATCCACAGATGCCATGAGGAACCTTCCGACCTCTGATGATGACAAGTACACTTCATTTGCGGGCAAGGTGAGACAGGCTGCAAATGCTTCCGCCATGTGTGTTCATTACTTTCCAGCAAATTTCGACCTCCTCCGCTGCTCTTGATTTGGCTCACATCTCGCAAACGTCGCCCCGTACTTCGTTTGCTTCACGAACACTCGAAACCCGCGACAAGTCTTCCGAGTGGCCTCAATTCCCTGGCCCTGCACGACCTGTACCTGGGGCGGATCGCCGAACCGTTACCAATCCCAACCTGACCCTTTCCGCTGATGCGAACAAACTGAACACTGTGTCGGCTTCAGCCACTCCTCTTACCCAGAGTCACAGCCAGCTTGGCAACCACACTCAAGTTTCAACTTCTCGTCGTGGATCACCTCCGAGCCTTTTGGAAAGTTTAAACGCCACTACTCGTTCTGTTCCGGCAACTCCACTTGGCCTTCCGACTAGCGCTGTTCATATTCTCAAGTCTCCCGGGACACCCGAGACTCAAGCTTTGACTAGTCGTCTCAGTTCGGTCGGTGAAAATGCTGTCAACGCCAACGATCTCACGGCGTCTCTTTCTCGGCTTCCATCGGGCCAGTACGACAATGGATCATACGGTTTAGATGAGGTGTGTTTGCTCTGATCAATTTTACTCGTTGTCCTGATCTATCTATCCAGTACGGCAATGGTATGGATTCGGTCTACGGACTAAACGGACTCGATGGTAACTCTTACGGTGGATATGGCTTCGACAACGGCCGCTCTGCCAACTCGAATACCACCAGTGGTTCGACGGCGCTTTACCACCACAACGGTTCGCGGTACGGGCTCGGAATTCCTTCGAGGAATGGATCCGCGGTCGATGGCAAGATGAACGGATTACATGGTCCTAAACACAAGCGTGGCGACATGGACCGCGAGTGTATGTCTTGTCTTGTTTCTCCAGTCTCCATCTCATGCTCATGATTTCACCAGTCAATAGATTCGCAGGCACAAGGCTTGAAGACCTCCAAGGCGAAATTCCAGCTCTCTGCAAAGACCAGCATGGGTGTCGCTACTTGCAGAAAAAGCTGGAGGAGGGTTCTGCAGAGCATAGGGACATGATCTTCCGCGAAACCTTTGGGCATTTCGCTGATCTCATGACTGGTGCGTGTCCCAAAATACTCTGCTTATTAAATTTGACGGCTATTTAGATCCATTCGGCAACTACCTTTGCCAGAAGTTGCTCGAGTACTCAACGGATGAGCAGCGAGGCGTCATTTGTGACAGCGTCGCACAGGACCTCGTCAATATCTCTTTGAACATGCATGGTACTCGTGCTGTTCAGAAGATGATTGATTTCTTGTCCTCGCGTCGACAGGCGAGTCTTGACTTTCGCTGCCTCTCTGTATGCTGATTTTTTTTTACCCGACCAGGCCGACGCACGATATAACGCGCAGATCCACTCCATCATTGTTGCGTTAAGCCTCCATGTGGTGGTTCTTATCAAGGACCTGAACGGGAATCATGTTATCCAAAAATGCCTAAACAAGCTTACGCCCGAAGACAACCAGGTATGTCCTACCCATAGTAATTCGACATAGACTCATGGCGACACCAAGTTCATTTACAATGCTGTCGCGGCGAACTGTGTCGAAGTGGCGACTCACCGCCACGGTTGTTGCGTTCTCCAACGTTGCATTGACCATGCTTCGGACCACCAGCGCATTCAACTGGTCAATGAGATCACCTACAACGCCTTGACGCTTGTCCAGGACCCTTATGGCAACTATGTGTGTCAACATCTCTCATACGGCATCCGACACGTTACTGATACTTTTTTCAGGTGGTTCAGTACATATTAGATTTGAACGACAACCGTTTCAGTGATGCCGTCATCCGCCAATTCGCAGGCAATGTCTGCGCCCTGTCAGTACAGAAGTTCAGCTCCAATGTCATTGAAAAGGTGTGTTGTCTTCTACTTGATTGATTTCAGGTTCTGAATGTCGTCAAGTGTGTTCGTGTTGCGGAACACAGCACGCGCAAGCTTTTGATTGAAGAGTTGCTCAATCGTACCCGACTGGAGAAACTTCTCCGCGACTCCTATGGAAACTATTGTGTGCAGGTGAGCTTGCTTGGGTAGTCCTCGGGAGTTGCGGTGTTAACTCTGCTTAGACCGCTCTGGATTATGCCGAGCCCACTCAGAGGGCTTTGCTCGTTGAAGGCATTCGACCAGTCCTTCCATTGATTCGCAACACGCCCTATGGCAAGCGCATCCAGAACAAACTGCAACGGGAGCAAATGGAGCATTACAACAATGGCGGCTACCAGCAACACCCGCAGACGCTTGCCCTTCCTCTTAGCCAAGGCATGCCTCAACGCCACATGTCTTCGCCTCTCCACGCCAACGGTCTCGGGGACATGTATGGTCAAGGCGGACTGTACCCTCAGTCCTCTTTTGGCCAGTCGCATCTTGGCCACCACGGGTTGCAACAGTCGATTGATGGCTACGTTCTTCAAGGCAACTCGAGCCATCTTGGCCTGGCCAGCTCGCACCATGGTGGTGGGCTTTCTGGCGCGCCGTTTGGAGGGATTAGCCCCTTTGGCGCTGCCGCATTGACGAGCTCCATGTCCGACCCATACCAAAGGTCGTTCGGATATGGAATGTAAATTGGACCGACTCCTACGCCATGCCATTCTTTTCTTTCGACTCCTACCCTATAGCCTCGCCTGAGCTGCGTCTACTTTCCAATACCTCTACCTGCTCTACCACCCCCCGGACCGAGATCTACCTTACGACAACCTTTTTTTTTTGAATTGCTGTTTCCTCCGCCTTTGCTCTCGAGCCTACTATCCACCCTCTGGCGAAACGATTTGGCGCATGGGCGTTTCGTCAAAGCTAGCATACCACACCCAACCCAACCCAACCCAGCGCCTATTCATTGTATCCCTCTCCACGGCATTCCAGACTATTACTGAACTCTGTGTTTTGACCAGTTGCGCTTCACTTGTACAGGTTATCTCCACACATACACTCACCCGCGTAAACTCGGTCGTCTTGTCTAATAGTCCCCTCCCCCCCCCCCACCCCGCATCGCAGCACTATTTGTTTCTGTAGTTAAAACTGCCCTCAGCCTGCTGTATAAATTCGATAATTAGACCCCGGAATTATATCACTATCTTCTCGTTGGAAACCATAGCTTGATCACAAACACAACACTCCGAGCCAAAAAAAGGAAATTCCAAGGTTGACACTGGCCAAAAGAAGAAAATTCCGCATCAAGAAAAGGTTCAAGGCATGGAGACGAAAATGGAATATGTCATATCATAGCTGCATACATGAGTCTACTTCTGCGAAAAGATGGGATGGACACGCTTCACCGGTTCTACAGACAAGCTTGTGAGCAACAGGCAACAACGACGCAAGGCGGAACACACCTTGGTGAAACCGATAGCAGCAGACTTTTCACGGAAGCACTGGCGGCAGAGGTCGAGGCCGTACTTGCGGATGAGACCGGCCTGGTGGGCGCAGAGGCGGCTGGAGTCATCGCTATCAGCTCCAGCCCGAAAACGAGGCGCAGAAGACACACCATTGGCGGGAGCCCTTGCCGAACTTTCGGGGGCGGGAGAACCAAACAGCGTCGTGGGTCATTTTGGGATTGGTCGGCTCTGCAGCGCGGGGGGTGAGTGAGGCGGACAGGGAGGCAGTAAGAAGACGGACAAGCGCGATGGCTGTTTTGAAGGAGGTGAGGTCACGTGTAGCTCAGCAGTTACAAGTCACGACACGTGTGACTGCTCTGATCTTATCTCTTATCGAAGATGTGGGTGCAACGGGGTCAACATTTGGCCACGAGTTGCTGCGGACGCTTCGGAACCCTACGTCAATTTACGGTATCATCTCGGCTCTTCTATGCCCAATCAATAAAGTACAAGTACATTTTGCGTTCGTTGGCTGGTGCATAGGAAGGATATCAGGAAACTTGAAGGAAATGTTCCTCAAAGTACACATATAAGAGGTAGCGCATCACTTTCGAGACAAGCTTTGATGCATATAAATTCCAATCACCGGTTCAGTTGGAATTGCCTTTTTTGGACGTCGGCGGTTTGGCAAGAATTCACGTCTGGTAAGTGAACAGGGACCATGAATGCAAAGAAGAATGCTGAAAATCCGATGTGAGGCGATGTATTGTGTGCTTGGTACATGAATGCGTGATGTAGGGTGGTAGGTACAAGTGCTTGATGTGTGTTTATGTTTATGCATATGCTCAGAGAAAAGGGGGTCGAGGAGAAGGACGAAGACGATAGCGTGCAAAACTTTTGGTGGGGATTTTAGGACCAATGATGACCAAGCATCGGTAGAGCCAGTCTACGAGAGAGCGAAGACACGACGAAATCTAGCGAGATTTGCGGTGTTGGTGGGCTAAGTGAGATATCAGCAAGAGCAAAAAGACCGCAGCAGCAAAACTTACTAGCAGTATAAGCTCTGCGCAGAAAAAAATCAGAATCTGAGGTTAGGTCTATGAGCAACACTCACGACATGCTACGGGGGCTGTCGTAGGGGCTGATAGGCGACTGAGGCAGGCGTCCGAATGGACTAGGAGAGTGTGGGGAATGAGGGATCGGTGATCTCGCTGGAAGTCGTAAGGTCTTGCGGGAGTAGATGCGATCAGAACTTACGAGGGTTGTTGAGAACCATAGGGAACTCGGCTGTTCGTGGACTCATACTGTGAGAGGAAGTGCGTTTGATAGAGGCCGGTCCGACTGGAATAAATGGTTGAGAAGAGGAACCGGAAACTGAACAAATCCTTCTTACAACCGTATGGTCCCGGCGCTAGAGATATCGATGCTAATTAGACATGCACAAATTGGGAGAGCGTTGGCGCACATGGAGGTGGGGAGGTGCTCATCATCGACGCATGCTTTATGCTGTCTGGCTTGAAGGACGAACGAGGCGATTGCGGAATGGTGGGAGACGGCTCGACCAGGGTTATCGACGACGCGCGGCTGTCGCGGGATGAGACACTTCGAATGGAGCCGTTGTCTGAGCCAACACAAGTGATGGATGAAGAAGTGGAGGATCGCCGACTCGGACTCTTGATGTCACTGCTCTGCGAACGTATACTATCCCTTGAGCTTGACCGCTCAAGCATCATAGTACTCGGTATGGCGTGAGGGTTTTTGAGGCTCTTCGACGTAGTATGGCCACCACCACCCCAGCCCGCACCAATGGGATATGTCGGGACTGGAGCCACAGGCACTATGGCTCGCACCGTCTGTGAGACATCGCGACGGACCCATTTTCGCGCGGGGACGCTCACTATAGTGTGTAAAAAAAAGGGGGAATGGTGTCCAAAGAAAAACATACGAGTGGAAGCCGTCGAGTCTATGGACGCATTGCCATGGCGGTGAGTACCCGGAACCGACATCGTCCTTGGATTGTTGCGCGCGAAAAACGGCTACAAGACATTGTACAAGTGCTCCGCCTTGGACTATTATACTTTGTCTTCCAAATCTGCATCGCAGAGTAGGGGTTATGGGCAATACCTTGAGGTGGAGAGAGAATTATCGGATCCCTTTGAAAAAAATCGTGATGCCTTTGAGGAGTTTGAACCCAACGAATGTGGCGCAAAATTTTGGAGAACTAAATCACCTCGAGGCTTGCCTCGCAAACTTCGGCGGTCTAAGCGAGGACGGTGCGGAAGTAAACAACCCACCGAAAAAGGAAACTCATTCGAAGCTTCCAATGCAAGCACTAGCCCGCTTGGACGATACGCATGTCAGATTATGATGGCCGTCATAGAATTGTCAGCTGGCTAGGCCAGCGAGGAAAAGAGACCGTTGGTCCGGAGGTAGATCTTAGGATGTAAACCCAAATCGGGCAGGGTTGTGTAGCCAGTAGTCGAAGGCAGATGTTTTGACACAGCAGAACGATAGCTTGCACTCGGCCGAATGAGTCTTGAAAGACAAAAATGCGTCAGAATCCGTGCTTGGCCACGAGAGAGCCCAACACTGGGATCAGGGCTGGCGAAATATCAGCGCCTGAGAAGTACCCTCCGAAGTCGTGTTCCTTACAGGTTTCTATTGCGAACCACGAGTCCAAGTCACTTTAATTTCAGGGTAGGCGTGCCGGAAGGCTCAATCTTGGAATTGACGACGGAATTGTTTGCTGGAAACCTGAACCTCTTCTCTGGGTGGGTTGTGCCTGCGATATGCCAAATCTTTCAAAGAGAAGGGGTCCCTGAAGATGGTTTATGGCAGTGTTTGACACGAACATGACTGTGCGAAGGAGTAAGACTCGGCGTCTTTCATAGTCGGACCCATAACCAAACAGGAAATCGACATATTTGGTGGCAACGTGTCTTTGAGTATGGTTGCACGTGGAACAATAACCTAGGAATCAATAGGTTTCACCAAGATTTGTGGACGGGCTCGAGTGGTTGCGAGCTGTTGCGAATGTCCATTCACAGTGAAGGCTGAGTGAAAAGCTGACACTTGCCGGTGGTTAAGTTGTTGCAACCGCGAGTGCGAGCGCCGTATTTTCGTCGTATTCATGGACTTGGCCTTCCGTTGTTCAGTCAGCTTGGTTGTACCTCACTGTGCGTTGTGGCAGCAGGAACAAACATTATGCTTTGTCATCCTCACGATCACGAGGTGAATATACAACAATTATTCCTAAGTATGTACAAGCTTCTTGATACTACTCGTCGGACGCGGTGCTGAAGCCATCACATTAGGTTGTCCGTAGATACCAGGGTGAATTATCTGCGCTCCGTTTACTTGGTCGCCGATCTGAGTACGACCCAGAGCCGGTACCAGTGCTTGTCTCTAGCCCGGTCGGCAGCGTTAATGACGTGCCGTATGAAGAAGACCCAAAGTCAGTGTCGTTCAAGGCATGCTTGATATTCATGATAACACGCGTCCCGATGACGGATATAATCCTTAAAGCTATCAGGTCCTATAGGCCATTGCCGATTGGGCTTACTTACGCAGTGGGGAAGCTGTAGAGACAATAAGTATGGCTTTCAAGGCCAGCAAAAATATGTACATTACTGGAGTTTGTGCCAGGGTCGGCCTTGCACGTGACCAAATCACAAATTCCGATACACAATCCGCTATTCAAACATGAGCTCGTCGTGTTTGGGCAGGCATAAAGATGCCACAAACCCAATAAGAAGAGGAACCATAGTACTCCGTCACGAAGGAACATCGAAAAGAGCGGCATCCGTTGGAGGGAACCCATAGCCAAGTAGTTGGTACCGCACTTGTAAAGTGTCATCAAGAACATGATGACCGCCTGGATGAGCATTTGAGTACATAGCGTCAAGGTATCGCTACTCACAATAATGAGCACAGGAAGCGAGTAATATGTGAACAAACGAGGGACCTCTGGAGAGCGTGACTTGGGTCCAACGCTGACTTGGATGACCATACCTAATGAGTAACAACCCGTCAGATGTGACCTGCGAAGAACATTGGAATGTCAGTTCTTGATTGAAGCATTCAGGTAGACAGTGCAATACCCGGCGTGCACAAATTCTACCTCGATAATTGAGCACCCTTGGGAAGTGAGAATGCGCTTGTAATTACATACCTCGTAGCGGTCGAATAGTGAAATACCCCACGATAGACCTGACTTTCATCAGTCTTGATGTGCCGACAATTCTGGAGCTCACATCGAGATCGCCTCGACTATGATTGTGGCCACATCAGCGACGACTGCCATCTGGGGAAAAGCACAGCTCACGAGAAACAAGAGTGAGTAATGCGATCAATAACCCCTTCGGTTTGCTGTAGAGGATCCAAACTCTGTGTTCAGTGCATGAGCGCCCGCTACGAGTACACTGGCCAATTGGACAAACCGTGCAACCAGAACTAAATCCGTGGATATGATGGTGACGGTGGAAGTAGCCATTTCTCCCTAACAAGCGTTGGATCACACAGAATAATGCGGTAATATGACTTACAAAGAGCATGCGTTGGCAGCTTTTAAGACCAGATAGATCAGCGACGGTGGTTCCAATAATGTGAACGGTGCTCACAACTAAGGATTGTTGTCTGTTTGTTGTCAGGGAGGAAGGCTTGGACTGACCTTATCAGACGTTTGCGGCGTAAGCAAAACTATGCCATGCCAGTTGATAAAAAGGGAGGTTTGGGTTCTTGAGCGACTTACAAACGACATTGGCACTGTAGGTTTGTTAGTTTCCGGTCAAGGATATTATACTAAGCACGGACGTTAAGGTGACGAGGGTAAAATATCGTATCTGCAGTATGCCATTTTCAGGTATCGGTCAAAACTCTTAATTCATGGGCTTACCCACACCTGCACAGGGTTTAGCTGAAGGAAAAGCTGAGGAGACAACCAAGTATGACGAACATAAAATATGTTGATGAGGCTTAGACGTGTTTTCCAGATTAGCTCCACCTACACAACACTTGGTGAAGAATAATGTTGACCCCATTGCGATACGAACCTCATCCGCGAAGGTTGAGATATGGTCGAATCTTCACCCAGAACACCTGTCAAATGCAAGAAAGCGTATGTAAGCGACACTTACACGATGATTGTCAAGCCTGCGACTGAAGTGAAAGCTGTAAGCCAACTGCGGAGTAAATCACGATTACTGACGGGAGATGGCGGCAGTCGTACGCGCGTCTTCAAGTAGCACGAACAGCTGCTTGAGGAGCGCTTCCTGTGCAGCTTCAGCGGCGGAGGCCATGTGGCAGTTGGGGGGACAGGCTCAGGATGCGCGACAGAACAGCTGTCGTATAAATATGGTGGACGGAAAGATGTGGACTAGTCCGCATTGGATCAAGGATCCCAAGACATCTGGCGTGAGAGTAGATGCCGGAGGTGGGAGTGGTAACGGTGAATGTGAAGGGAAGTGTCCGAAGAGAGACATCTGGAATGGAGCTCAACGCTTCGTCAAAAACGCTCATGCAACACGCACTACATCGAGAGCCTGAAAACTCGAGCTCAGTAAAGAGCCCGATTCAAGTCGTTCTATTTTGATGTAGGACATGCGCCTCCAAGATAAGTTGATCAGACCGAATTCAAAAGGAGTGACAAGTTCCCCCGATTCGACGATTCTTCAGCCCTCAGAGAGTGATTTGAGTAGATGAAAGTTGAAAAACACTGCGATGTGTTACAGTTGCGCCACCCCGAATGGCAGGTTCCGAGGGGCATTCAGCGGAGCCCGAGTCCAGAGATAGAGTGGGGCTTCAGCGTGATCAAAGAGAAGGGCCTCAATGAAATCTGACATATCAGAGAAATTCAAACAATTCAATCCTTTCGGTCCAGACTTCCTAAAATGCAAAGACACACTCACGGACAAAGAGTGGCTGCCGGGGAAGGTCATATTTACCTGGGATCAACGGCAGTCGCCACAGTGGGGAATCGTCCGGGATCAACTCGTAGAGCTGCAGCGCAATTGAGGAGGATGGAGGGTTTGTCAAGTTGCGTGAAAGCGTGACATCTGTGACACGCTGACGTGATAATCGGAGTCAAATTGTCCGAGTCAGCACACGCATTACTGGATAATCCCAAGATAATCCACGTGAACGCATAGGCAGCCATGAAGTTGTGAAACTGAGTCAGTCACTAATTAGCCGCGAGGTCAACTACAACAAGTACAATCCCATGCACCCAGCCCAAACTTCGAGCAAAACGGCCAGGAACCGCCGGCATTTCATTTTGGGAAACGTGGGAATTATTGCGTCATTGATGCAGACGTGGATCTAGACTCACAGCCCGATCAAGCCCCACACGTCATGTTTCGCACGACCAACTTCTTTCCCTCTTGCCAATTTTTGCATGGCCCCGGACGACTTTTTCTCTGTTGTCGGGGGTCATTTGAACCCGAGCAGCGAGCAATTTGACGACACAAAGTCATTTGCGGATGCCATTGCTGCCCGCTTCAACACAGCCGGAGACAATGTTCTTACTGCAAGACTTTTTGTATCACCCCTCCCCTTACTCACTCTCCCCGACCAACTTCATCAGTCATCCTCGTCGTCGTTGTTCACTCCAATACATCCTCGGCTGCTTTCTACCTGGCTCGATGACCCCCGGACTCTTATTGTCGATATCCGACCACATGCCGCCTATGCGACAGCTCGATTAACCCGCGCCATCTCCCTTTCGGTCCCATCCACGCTGTTAAAGCGTCCGCTGTTCTCTCTCCAGCGACTTTCCGCCATGTTGCCGTCTGTTTCCTCTCGCACTCGCTTCTCAGCATGGCGCAATGCTTCTAGAATCGTTGTCTATGACGCCGACTCCACAACCATTGGAGAAACCTCCAACATAAATGGATTGCTCCGGAAGTTCAAGGCAGAAGCGCCTGATGTAGAGATTCCTCTCGCTTGGGTTGTTGGGGGCTTCCAGGCGATTTGGGTCACCCGTCGCGATCTTATTGAATCAAGTTCTCCGACTACGGAACCCGAGACTGAAGACGATGATATCGAGGAAAGCGATAAGCTTGTTCCCAAGCAACGTGTTCTCAGGGCACACAATCTTCCACGGGCTGCGTTCTCCATGACCAGTACCACACAAGGAGTTCAAGGTGCGCCGCATTCACTTCCAATACTGTCATGACTAATCTACCAAAGCTCCCTCCCTACACAATCACAAGGTTAACAATGTTCGTCCAGTGGCGCCCAGCAAGCAGGTAGACGCACCACAATCATCTGCCTTCAATCCTTTCTTCGACTCTGTACGGCAGAACACGGAGCTTGCGCAGGGAATCACCGAGCGTATACCACTTCGTCTACCCCGACGAGTCCGTAGGCGGATATCCGAACTGCCGTTCGAGTGGCTTCGTCAAATAGCTAACAAGGCAGCTCCCGTGACACCTCCAATGGATGCAATACGTGGCCAACAGGATTCGAGTGGGGATGAAAGTAGCGACTCCAGCGTTTCAGATATATATCGAGGGCGTCAATTTCTTCCACCTTCATCTCCAGCTGTTTCGCCCCTACCGACCCTCTCCCCACGACCACGCAATGCTACCGAATTGGCACACGATGCAAGGATCGACGAAGGAACAGAGTCTTTGGCAATGCAATTCTACCGAATCGAACTCGCGGAGCAGCGGCGGCTCATGAACGTCCTCCAACATCATGCTCGAGAAAGCGGTGAGCCCAAAGCTAGTCCCTCCAAGGTCGATAAGGCACCGCTTCTCGAAGTCGATCAGCAAGCGGAACATTCAAATGACGACCATCCATTTAGTATTACTGCCGGCGTGGAAAAAGGCAGCAAAAATCGGTATATGATCAGGTTTTCATTTGAGGATGAGAGTTTAAATATTCAATTTTAGGTACCGAAACATTTGGCCTTTCGAGCATGCAAGGGTTCGTCTTCATCAGGAATCCAAACACTCGAAACAACCCCAAATACCTTTCGGTGAAGAGAAAGTCACTGCGGAACCCAAGCTTGCTGTTTATGGACACGATCGAGAATCAACGATACTCTCACCATCACGCCAGCCATCACCAGAATATGACGATTACGTCAATGCATCATTTGTGCAACCGCTCGGCACGCGTCGGCGCTACATTGCAACCCAAGGACCCCTGGAGTCAACCTTTGGAGACTTTTGGACGTATGTCAATGCGTTCCTTCTTCTACTCTTGCTTATCTCCGAACTTTCAGACTGTTGTGGCAACAGAACATCCATGTAATCGTGATGCTCACCAGGGAAGTCGAAGGTGCGGTCATCAAATGCGGAAACTATTGGCATTCTGGGCGCTATGGGCCTCTACGAGTCGAGCTGCTCGGGTGCTCTGCGAAGGGTTGCACCGGCGTTTGCAGCATTTGTGGTGGAGTAGACTCTGATGCCATCAATGGTGGCGGTGATGGCTTCTTCTCCCATATGCGCAAACCCCAGGCTACTCGAACAACAACACAATTAGTCAAACGCACAATCCGCCTAACTCACGAAGCCCATCCCAGCGCTCCACCTCGCCGTATAGTCCAATTACAATACCTTGGATGGCCTGACATGAATGTCCCCGAAGATGCGCGTGGTGTTCTTAGTCTCGTTTGGGAAGTGGCCAAAGTTGTGGACGATATCGAGCGGGACTCTCCAAACGTAAATCTCGCAGACTTCGACGGCACTGGTGATTCGGACATGGACGAAAAGACAGGGGTATTACGACGGGCAATTCGTGATGGGAATGCTGCAGCTCCAGTCCTGCTACATTGTAGCGCGGGAGTCGGTCGTACCGGTGGTTTTATCATCGTCGATGCAATACTCGATGCTATACGGCTGGAACTCAGGGAAATGTTCGCCAATGGAACCTCGGAACGCGTGAGCAGTGGAGGACTGTCTCGCAGTGGAAGTGACAGCCCGAGTGGCAGCGAAAGCTTCGCCGTTCCGCCCAGCTTTGAAGGAAGTGGAAGCTTCAGTGGAAGTGGTAGTGGAAGTGGAAGTGGAAGCGGTAGTGGAAGCGGAAGCGGAATGGGTGCATTGGTTGCGCGTATTCGCGGTGGCGGGCTCAACGGTGCCACCTCCAGTATGGATAGCATGGAAATTGATCCTATCAAGCCCAGCCCAACTCCAATGATCGTTGACGAGGACATCCAGCTAGGCATGGACGATATGGGTGAAACACGAAGATGGGCGCAACGTGTTGCTGACACCGGCATTATCTCAGCATTCGCACCCTCCTTGTTTCCCAATTCAGCGGCGTCCAGCCAAACCTCACTACCCTTATCCTTTCCATCAACACCCGCGCTCCCTTCTTTGGCGCCCCCATTCCAGCTTCAACTTCCAGCACAGCGTTCACCATTTCGACTTGCAGCACCACCCACACGCAGTTTACCGGCTTTACAAAATCTCGAACCACAAGTCAGCAGTACAGATGAGGAGTCCACAGGAGAGCCTGGTCGCATTTCATTCTCCAAGTCCTCGTCTTTATCCGCTCGTCGCAATCTTGAATACCGTTTACGCACAACATCAGAGCCTTCTGCTCTCAACGATGCCAGCGCTCCTGTCGAACGTCCTTTGTCGATGAATAAACGGCCACCTGAGCTCGGGCTCGCCCATTCGTTCGGGTTGCATCGCAGCATTAAGTCAGCCGACAGTGCTGACGTAACGCCACAAGACCCAACAGATCGCTCTGTTGCTCCGCGACCAGCAGACTACAAACAACCACGAGCCCTCCATTGGCACGGCGGTCCGGCACCCCTCCGCCTGAGCACTTTAGACAACCCAATTTCGGACGTCTTGCAGGATATGCGTGAGCAGAGGATGAGCCTTTGTCAGAGCTTGCGGCAGTATGTGTTTGTACATGCGGCAATCATTGAGGGAGCGTTGATGGTTGCCGACGAAGAGCGGATCCGGGCCAAGGTCGCGTTAAGATTGCCTCGCGTCGGAGCATTGAGCCCGAGGGGGTCACGACCGAGGCTGGTATTGAACGCGAATGAAGATGACATGCAAAGCTCGCCAAGTACGGGGAAGAGGCTGGCCAGTCCGACAGAGCTTCAGCGCGAGGACAAGAGGGGCGAGATTGCGTTGTCGAAACGGCCCAGCATCAAACGCAAGACCGACAGCGACGAGGACCGCCGAGTACCATTGCCTACGTTTCCGCCCCCTTGATTTTTTTCGCATATTTATCGTTCCTCCATCATCCTCCTCTTGCATTTGCTTCGCTGTCAATCTGTTGTTGTTGTTGCTACACTATTCCCCCCACTATCTTCGGTGCTTATCACCGACACATCCTTTCCTCGCCATAGCTGGGATTTGTATTTCCCCAACGAATGTATTTGTAAGCGGATTCAATAAATATAGAAAGCATACTCATTTCTCAATTGACTGAGTGCATTGCATTGGGAATCACATCTGCTTAAGTAGTTTATGCACTTGAACAAAGGTCATAGAAAAGAAAAATCTGATAATTTCCCGTTGAATCACGTGCCCATAATCCAACTCAACTCTCAACTTAACGGTCACAATACAGAGTTGTTCTACCTGGAGGGTCCCCCTCGGCGTTTGAAAACCTTAAGCGCCGCAAGTTGTCGACCAGGCCGACTGTACCTCCAGCCTATGAGGTGGATGATCAACTGAATGTCGCAGACAGCAGCGATGCTCGAAATCTGTCCAAGACCACATTCGCAGTCTCAACGCTCGCTCAGCGCTTACACTGGCGCCTTTCCACGGCGCTTTGGTTTCACTTAAAATCCCCTGCATGCCTCTGGATTCTCTCAGACCCTCTCCATACTACCAATAACGATGAAGAGAATCCTTGTCTTTTGCGACGGAACCGGCCAAGATGGCTTAATCGTGCCAGGCGAGTAACTCTCGAGCTCGAGCTTCTAAGCTGCTGCTGAATCCATTGTAAAACTATAGACGGTCCCACCGAATTCGAGAAAATCCGAAATGGGGGAATCACTGGAGAATTCAGTCAAGGCGCTCTCAGTAAGCAAACTCTGAAAAAAAGTAGACATGTGGCTCAAGGTACATGACAGAGACTCTGCACGTCGTGGCCAGCCAGCCAGAGCTGTATCGCGACTCCGTGGAGCAGACTTTGACCGCCGTTTCGAATATCTTGCGGCTTTGTGCGTTTGCGTTTGCGGATGTCGATCATTTCCATGCTAATATGACTCTAGCCAGAGCAGTGAAGCAAGTTGCTGAGTGCGTCTTCATGCTCAGACACACCAAATTCCAATTTTTTTATGACAGCGACGGCACAACGCGTCAGATTGTCTACTATCAAAGTGGCGTCGGCACGGAGGCTGACTTCATGGGCGATATGGACTGGAAAACCTCCCCGCTCCAGCGTAAGTTTATCTGGTAATTGCCATTATATCTTTCTAACTTGCTACAGAGGCGTACGGCGTTATCGTCGGTAATTCTAACACGTGAGAGCCACATTCAGTGGTACTGATTCCCTTTGGATATCAGCTAGCAAGATACGCAACACTTATGCATTCGTGGCACAGAATTTTGAGGAGGGGGACGAGATATTCCTTTTTGGGTATGAGCTTTCAAAAAGTTTTTTTATTTTGATTCTGACATGACGTTTGGCTTTCAGTTTCTCCAGGTAATCACAGTACTTTCTCAAGATTCTCATATCAAATTCATATCCTGGCAGAGGCGCGTACACAGCCCGCAAAGTCGCTGGCCTCATTGTAAATGGCTGTCCTGCATTTACTCTTGGAATGCTGACAATATTTATTTAAGGATAAGATCGGTCTGCTGCAACCGGAGGAACTCGGAATTTTCTTCAACATTTGGAAAGAGCTCATTGACAAGAAGTCAGTGACTCCTCCGTCGGGCACGCGTTTCCCAACCATCAAGTGCGTATTTCAGTAGCTTCTGCGAAACAAACAAAGTTGAACTTCTCTGCTCAGATGCCTTGGTGTATTCGACACTGTGGGCTCGGTCAAGAATACGATCGATGTACTCGAAATCAAGGACAACAGTCTCCCTAACTGTGTGAACCTTGCGTTGCATGCAGTTTCGCTGCACGAGAACCGTGAGAAGTTCCTTCCAACTCTCTTTAATCCGGCGACACACGCTGACAAGCTCGTGGAGGTGAACCTGATGTTCAAAGTCAATGTAATATGAGCTGATGTCATCCTTCAGGTCTGGTTCCCTGGCGCCCACAGTGATGTCGGGGGCTCATACGACCGCCACGAGCTTGCAGACATATCGCTATTCTGGATGGCGGCCAGTCCTTGTTACCGTTGATAATTCTCTGCGCTGATAATCCAAACAGGGGGAGATTAAGAAGCGATCACTGTTTGCTCTGGATTACAAGTTTATTGAACGAAGCAAGCAAATGAACCCCGACGACTGGGGCACGTCGCAGCCACACAACGCATGGTACGAATCCTCGTACATTGTGCGACAGGCAGTCGGCCATAAAACCCGGCTGGAGAGCAGTCAGATCAGTGACAAAATCCAGTTCCACGAAAGCTGGAAACACTCCCCGCTGTTCCACGCGCTGCTGCACAGCAAGTACATGATTGCGCCAGACAAGCTGCCGTTTACAGTTACCAACTACGCGCCGATGAATCAATTCGAGATTGATTGCAGGTCGCGGTGGAAGGATAACATCGGCGTAAGGAATACCGCTCTCTTCAGCTGTCTAAAATTCTGACAGTGGCTGGTTTCAAATAGGATCCCCAGGCAGGCATGAAGGACAACGTGGGCATCCTCCTCCCGCGCACGGGTCTTGAAGCGCGCTTTGCGATTCCTTATATAACGTTCACCAACAAATCGACCCTGCCAGCTGCCCCACAAGGACTTTGGTATGCCTGGCTTAGTGATCCCAGCAAGACGGACTCGGACAACGCGCGTGTGCCAATATTCCTCTATGAAGTTTACATGTATACCGGTTCGTGCCCTCCTTCCCCTTACATACGTGTCTGATGTCGCGCAGTGCTGACCACTGACAACAACGATGACGAGATGGTGATCATCGCCTGGGATGTCTCCAAGCACGAGAAGAAACGAGTAACAAAGTCGGGCGCGCGCTATATCTGGAAAATCGACTATGATTCCGCTACAGAGAGCATGATCTTCAGCGGACAGAGCAAACGCACCGTCACGGCAACTTTAAAGGAGCTAAGCGTCGAGTAAGAAAATCGGCGCATTGTCATCTAATTGTAACACGAGGAATACAACCAATCTCTGATCATCGATGCAACTCGAGGAAGGAACCTTCAAACTTTGTCAAGGACAAATAGTCAAGTCCCGATGTTTCCTCTATTTCTGCATTTCCGCAGTCAGCCTGATTTCCAAGTTCAAAACTGAACTAAACGTAGAAGTCTGACCCAGATTTGTTTTGGAGGAAAGCTTCATTGAGGCGGCATCGCACGTCGTGAAATGGGCAACAGAGACGACCAAAGCATTCCAATTTCCGCTACCTCCTGCAACCAACGACATATGTAGCTGCCAGTGGAAGTCAAGTTCGAATACATGTAACTTACATCGTAAGCTGACCATGCCCCTCGTTGACTCCTCATTACGTTTGTAGCACGTATTCTACGTTTGTGCGTTGTCCGACGATGCAGTAGTCAGAGCTACACATTCAGAACTTGTTTTATTCGAGCGCCATCGCACGATTGACCCCAACCACCTGCTTATGTAATTGGTTGGTCTTCTTCTCAAGTACCATTGACACCATTGGTGAATAACGTGCCAAAGCATATACGTAGTGCGTTGCAGTCGTATGGTTCCATAGGCAATAACTCATTGCATTCTTCAAACCAGAATAAGATGTTGTTTCTTCGCAATCTGAACTTTTTCCCTCCGAAGATTTTGTCTAAGACTTTGGCGCTTGAGCGCCACAAACACGCCGGTGGAGCGAAAGTTGACACCCGCTTGGCTGCATTCGCGGATCGGTTTACATCCGGTCTCAGTTTTTGGTTTACAGCTGTTTTCAAAATAGTTGGCCACGGCCCGATTTTTCGTCACACATCAAAATTTTGCGTCCGAGATTGTGGAGGCTCTTTCTCACTTAAAACTAGGTATTCCTGTGTAAATTTTAGCATATTCGGAATCTACTCAATGAGCTGCACCCAATGGTGTGGCCTACACAAGAATATACCGAGACACGACTGATCTCTTGCTTCGCCTGATTTTCAGCATGCTTTCCCCATTGCTCTATAACACAATAGCTTTTGACTTAGAAAAGACAGATATATGGTTTATAAGTGAGTATAAAAATATCTCCAAACAATTGTGAACAGTAGGCTAGCCTTATCCAGTCTCCAAGAACAGCGCTGCTGTCCCTCCTCTTGACCTTGGTCCATTTCAACACCTTTTTCACCTATCCATGGCAGCCAGCATCCTCAGAGCTCTCAATTCACACCCTAGAATCTCCTGATTCATTGTTTTGGCTGCCAGCCACCCTGGTTTTGGAGTGTACAAGTGTTTGGTCCAAGCATCGATATCAGTCGGACCTCCTCAATTTCCGTATAAAATCCTCATGTATGCCGCACCATTGGGTGCAGCTCATCGAGTAGATTCCGAATATACAGAAATTTACACAGGAATACCTAGTTTTGAGTGAGAAAGAGCCTCCACAATCTCGGACGCAAAATTTGTGCAAATTTTGATGTGTGACGAAAAATCGGGCCGTGGCCAACTTTTTTGAAAACAGCTATAAATATCCGCCGCCAAGCCCCAAGGAATCAGCCCGATCCTCCACTTCCTCTCTTCTTCGTTCAGCAGTGTCGTTCTACGCAGATGCCTTCTGCTCGTGTCGTAATAAGAGGGCCACGACATGCCGAACAATGTTTCAAGTGGAATAGTATGCCGCTATTTCGATTCCCTGCTTCGCTGCTCATAACCATCGTCCAGTTCTCTTCTCGGCTCGAGAGGCAAGGCGGAACACAACTCACCAAGGCTGTTGTCGTTTTGGTGCTCGTTCCTGGGGAAGGGTTTGCAACCCTCGCGCTCCCTTGTCGTGGGCCCCAGGCTTGTCGTCTTGCGGGAAGCGGACTACTAAGCGCGCGTCTTCAAAAAATCAAAAGGTGGCATCGAGGTGGATGTGATGAAGAGTCTCATTGCGGGTCGATGGTGAGTTGATTGTTCAAAGGATTTTGCACCACTTAGTTCTTCTTAGGCGTCAGGTCGTTCCGAAACGTTGCTTTTTTTCGATGGCAGCAGCGCGCGTCTGGGAAGCGTGCGCAGCTCGGGTTGTGGCGGACTTGTGCAAGCTTGAAAGTCTCAATTCGGTGCCAAACGAGAGGCAATCGGCAAGCACCATCGAGTCATTGCATGTTTTCGCTCGACATTGCTGTTGCTGCAGTGATACTTGCAGATGATGGGCCTGAGGATGAGGCACCGACGGGAGACGTTCCGGCGCTGCTTCAGATGGGTTCTGATGCTTTGAGAGCAGGCAATGGTCTTGAGTTGGGCGGGCCCAAGACTGTTGTCGCTCTGGTTTTATTTCCTGGGGAAGGGTTTGCAACCCTCGCGCTCCCTTGCCGTGGGCCCCGGGCTTGTCGTTCATGCGGGCAGTGGACTACTAAGCGCGCGTCTATGAAAACAAAAGGTGGCAAAGTGGTGAGCGGGGATGGGAGGGAGTTGGGTTATTCTAGGTGTAAGTGAGTGTTGCCAATTGCCCATGACTAAAGGTTAATTTTCGGTTCCAGTTATCAAGCACCTCAAGCCACCTCAAGCCACTTCAAGTACACCTCAAACCGCAAGTAATCCGCAAATCCACAAGTCTCGCTGAGTTTCGCGCGGCCGTCACGCTTCAAGCATCTCCGAAGACTCCGTCCGAGGCACCACTGAGAGACGTCCCAGCGCTGACTCGGGCCGGTCCAAAGAGTTGCTCGAGCTGATCATCGTCGCACATTCGGCTGTCAAGAAACCGCAAAAGTCTACTTCAAAGTTCGACGGAGTTCAAGGGTTTTGCTCGCGGGTTTGTAGCCAGATTTTTTCGGGTTTGCGACGGGAGACGTCTCGTCGTCGACTTGAGTAAGTTTGGGTGCGGCCTTGCGGGAGAACTAGGTGCTGTTGGGGCTTTTTTTGCTCATCATGTCGCGGAAGGTCCGGACCGGGGCAGCAGCGGACGTCTCGCGGGCCGTCTCGGGCCGGTCAGACCGGGGCGTGGTCCAAGCTCAATCGTCGCAGCAGTGGCCGGTTCAAGCGGGGCGGGATACGGCATGCTCAAGACTGCTGTGTTCTGGTGCCCGTCCTGGGGAAGGGCTAGCAACCCTCGCGCTCCCTTGCCGTGGGCCCCAGGCTTGTAGCCCATTCGTGGGTGACTAAGCGCGCGTTAATAATGCACTCGTCAATCTCTGGGTCTGGCACAGCGAAATGGTGCGAACTTTAATAGCTTTTTTGATCCTCGACTGATGTTGACCTCCAGGTGCCACCCTCGCCTTGCCTTGCTAGCCGATGGTGAGTTGATGCTCTTAATCATTTTTGCAACACTTGGTCAGTCTTAGGCGTCAGGTCGTTTCGCGACGTTGCTTTTCGTGATGACAGCAGCAAGTCCGGCAAGCCTGCGCAGCTTGGGTTGTGGCGGATTTGTGCGAGCTTCGATGTGTTAAATCGATGCCATAGAGAGACAATCACTGGGAGTTGAGAATGTTTCATAGCGAGAGTAAGAACGTGTCCCATGCCTAGTTTGGAGGAGAAACGGTTTAGCTACAACTCTGCTGTAGTAACTCTTGCCGAAAAATAAAAGAGCATGTCCTTGCAACAATCCGACGACCTAACACCAAGCATTTTTCAGGCCACAATTACAAATGGTTAAGACAGGTCGTTTGTTCATTTAATACAGATTGGGGTTGAGCAAGAGTATATACACTTTGTGGATTACGCGGGGCACAATTTTGGGGTCGTGCGATGCCCCATCCACGGTTCTAGAAGTAAGTAGGTAAGATGTACACGTTGAATAGCAGGCAGGCAGAGTAGGGTGTTATTTGCGATAGGTAATTTCTGCAACCAATAAGCACCGACTGCAGTCGTGGAGAGCCAAGTATACCTCAAAGCAAGCAGTCAAAAGCAGTTTCGTTGGGGGTTTCTTTTGTGTTCATGGTTGTGGGATGGGGACAGGCTTTTTGATTTTATTGACCATGTTGGTGATGCAGCGCTACCAAGTATTTTCAGTATACGGAACGGGGCCGGAGGAGGACGCACCTGGAGGAATTTCAGCAAGGAAGTGAATGGGTTCGTCTTGGGAGGGGGAGTCGCAATTGGACAAGTCACAGGACAAGGCGATTCCTGTTGAACAAAGGGATGAGTTGGGTGGAAGTGATTCACGTCAACTGGTCTACCTGAACTGCAAGGAGCCTCGGTTGGCGCGGGATGGATTCGATTGGGGTCCACGGAATGACGAGCACGTCGTTGTTTGGCTTTTGAGTAAGGACAAGGGTAAACGAAGGAAGCGTTGGCGGCGGATAAAGCTCATAGCGGTGAGCAGTCAAAGGCGAAGGAGTGAGCGGGGCAAAGGGATGGGCTGGGTTGGTTCTGGGGGCCATGGAAATGAAGATAAAGACAATGTGGTGGGAGGAAGGGGAATGACGAATAAAGAAAAGGTTGGTTCACTCTGCCATCAAGTGCTCTGCTTTTGCATTGCCCGCTATTCTTGATGGCTTGACCTTCCGTGCAGCAAAACACGGTCTACACTCTTCAAGCACAATAAATTGCAAACAAAAGAACAATCTTTTACGTGGTCAAGCACGAGCAAACCATAGCGAAGACAACGCACGAAGGATATCGAGCAAATGTGTCAAGACTCAAGATGAGGCTCTTGACACAACTATCCAGTCGCATCGTAGGCCTTCATGAAAGACACTTCGTGCATGGACTTGAACTTGCACGCACCCATGATCAATGAATTCGAGATTCTTTGGCCGTCCTGAAACCACAACGCATCTTAATCTCCGTTTCGCCACTGGTACGCTCTGAATCAGCACAGAATGGGGATTTGGTCTCTGCTTCTCTCATCTTCAATCTTCGAGACTTGTTCCTCACCTCCGTCAAATTCTGTGACGTGTAACAAGTATAAGCATCAACCCAAACCAGCACTTTGTTTGCTAGCGAGAATCCAATCCAAATCTTGTCGCACTTGTGAGAGACCCGCATATCGACAACCCCGCCACTTGCCCACCAGAAATGTCTGCCAGCACTATCAGAAGATTGAGAACCAGAGTATAGCTTGCGCAAAAGACTATATTCGACCAGCAATCGATATCAAGCCAAGTTCAATTACGCTCGTCGCCAAAGACCAAGAATTGGAGCGTGTTCGACCATTTCTCAGCGACTGAGGTTCGCTGGAAGGGTAGGTTCAATTAGTTTTGCAAGCCACAAGTCTTGAAACAAGCCACGCACCCGAGTCCAAAAACCAAGGAGCCGGCGATGACAATCTTGAGATACTTGAGCAGAACTATCGGCCAGTTTTTGTCCACCCATGCTGGTGTGGAACCAACATTCGACATGAACACTTCACCAGCCACGGTGAATGCATCCGCCTCATACTGACAGTTCAGCCCTGTATCACGGTGACACAGGAAGCTATACTGCCGCCCAACACGGTCGAAGGTAGGTGGTTTTCTTTGCTACCCATTTGTTGGGGATCATCCTTCGCCGTAGGGAATAAAGAGCAATAGGGTGTGTGTGGGTGGCATATTGACGCAGGGTTCCAAAATTCAAGATGCGGGGCGAATACGCGGTATTGTGGGAGGGATGGGAGGCGGTCTGTCTGGCCCACTGATCAAGTCGAAAGGAAAGAGTTGACGCTTGAGGGAAAGAGGATCAAATCAACTTTTGCTTTCCTGAATTTCAAACCCCGATCGCGGCAGTCTCCTCACATGGCGTTCAATCTTTGCAACTTTTCCCTTGTCCAGTGTCGCCTCTAGCCTCGCAGCTCTCTCAAGTCCTTTGCTCCACCGTGACTTGATGCCTAAAGCGGGTGGCTGCCCATGTCGAGCCTCAACTTGGACACGTTCGTATGGAAGTTATACCCTCTCCTTGCCCTCTCCAACCATTCTCACAGATTACTGTAAGAGCGACTGCACAGCGCTCTGACGATCAAGTTAATATATATATCTCCAACCGTCGCTGCGAAATACTGACAGCTTCAGACTCCAACCGAGAGATGCGCATTGAAGATTAGACTTTGCGCCGAGCTCTGCTTCTTTCTCAAGCATATTCTTGTCAAACCTACCAATTTTTCCTGCCCTTCGAACATCGTCTCAATCAAGTTGGCGCCTATTCCATTGTCTCCGTTCAAGAACGCAAATTCAACCCATGCTTGTGCTCAAGGTCGCAAGTAATCATCCATCGAATAGTGCCTCGAGACGAACAACAGAGGACAAGAAACAAACCAGGAAGATCAAGCACTGAAACATATTCATACGTATTCGCCATATGTCCCGCGATACCGCCTCTTCTTTGGCTCAAATTGTCTATTGCAAAGTCAAGGACACGCAGAACAGTTTCTGGGAGCTTTGTGGATAACAAAGTCGGTCCCAAAACGCTTAAGTGTTGTCGCTCGAGGCGCGTATACCGCCCGCGAGGTCGCCGGTCTCATTGTAAGTAACCACACTTGCTATCATAACTAATGATGACAAGCCGCCGTTCGCAGTCACCAACTACGCGCCGATGAACCGGTTCAAGATCGATTTACTATTAGGAAGCGGTTGAAGGAGCATCGGCGTAAGGAAATTGTTTTATTCAGCTTTCCATAAATTCCGATACTGGTTGGTTCGGACGGCGACTCTTAAAGAGCTTAGCGTCGAGGTAGGAAATTGACGCACTGTCATTCAATTGTAATACAACCAGTTTTCATCGATGCAATGATCCTGTGCACTTACCTCGAGGAAGGGACCTTCAAGTTTCGTCAAAGGACAATTACCGATGTCAAGAGCAAAAGCAGAAGAGAGCTGTATCAATGTTATTACGTGAAAAACTACACGGGCCACCATATTGCTGGTACCCAACTTGAAACACGAAATCTGGTTTAGGTTCAGAGAGAGAGAACACCACGACCAACGTTGAACTCATGTCGAGTTCAAGGTAAGTGGTAAGTTCGAATGACGAGCGCAGACAACGTATCGCCTCGAAATGCATATGTCATGTTAGCGCGTTGTCGGACGATGTCAATGATGGGGCTCCCAATCTAGTTCACAGTGTTCAAAACTTGGTTCATTTGCTAGTATACAGGTTGGTTTGGGCGTAGTCACTAGTAAGCAGTCCGGTATGTACAATCCGGGGATTACGTGGGGGCATGATTTTGGGGTTCGTGCAATGCTCCATCCGCGGGTGGGTCTTTTTGAGGGGGGTGAGGGGAATAAGTAACAAGATTTACACGTTGAATAGCAGGCAGGCAGAGTAGGGTGTTATGGGTACTAGGATAGATTTTGCAGGTTCTGCGACTAATGAGCATCGACAGTGGTTGCGGAGGGCTAAGTATACCTCAAAGCAAGCAGTCAAAAGCAGTTTCGTGGGTGGTTCCTTTTGTGTTCATGGCTGTGGGACGGACACAGGCTTTTTCACCTTCTTGACGATATTAGCGAGGCAACGCTACAAAGGATTGTCAGCATAGTGAATACAGTGGAAGGAGGACGCACCCGGAAGAATTTCAGTAAGGTGGTGAGTAGATTCGTGTTGGTCGGGGTCGGGAGAGTCGCGATTGGACGAGTCACAGGACGAGGCGATTCCTGTTGAACAAAGAGATAAGCTGGGTAGAAGGTGACTCTCGCCGCCTAGTTTACCTGAACTGCAAGGAGCCTCGATTTGCGCGGGATATACTCGATGGGGGTCCACGGAATGACGAGCACGTCGTTGTTTGGGTGTTGGGTAAGGACGAGGGTGAACGAAGGGAGCGTTGGCGGCGGATACAGCTCGTAGCGGTGAGCAGTTAATGGAGAACGAGTGAGGGGGGCAAAGGGCTGAATGGGGCTGGTTCTGGAGGCCATAGAAATGAAGATACGGAAGAAGTGGTGGGAGGAAGGATAAAGACCCCTAGGTTTATATACGGTCACTCTGCCGTTAGGCGCGCCTCTTTTTGGATTGCGCGCTATCCTCCTTGACCTCTCATGCTGCAGCACAAAACCCAGACTCCCTGAGGATAAAACACTGCGTGCAAAAGATTCCGCGGCGAAACCAGAAGCGGACCACAGTCAAGAAAATGCAGAAGACGAAAGGCATTGGATCAAGAGGAAACTTTCAACACAATCATCCTCCCGCATCACAAGTCTCCATGAGCAAGTTCTAGGCTCTCGGCGACTATGAACCCGGAGTAGCACGCAGGATCAAGGGATGGCGCAAATGCAAGCGAAAAGCAGCCTTTTCGACGACTAATTTCCAGAACCAACGAGTTTCATCATTGGCAGAGTTGTACTGGCGCATATGCGCGGCAAATGGAGCCCAGATATGCACTTGCTAGTCTCCAGGTCCTCTATTTCTTCAATCCGCAAGCTTAGCGCAAATTCTTCGCCGCCGTCAAATTCCGTGACGCGTAACAAGCCCAAGCATCACCTGAACCAGCATGTTCTTCGCAAGCGCGAACCCAATGCACATCTTGTCGCACCTGTGAGAGGCCTGAACATCGACAATCCGACAATTGCCCGCCAGAAATGTCTGCCAGCACACCTCAAGAATGAGAAGCAGGTATAGCTCGCGCAAAAGACTATGTTGGACCAGCAACCAAGATTTTCGCCAAGTTTGACTATTCCCGTCACCAAAGAGCCAAAATTTGAGCATGTTGACGACCCCACAACACACAACGACTCCCCAGGGGCCACTACAAGGGTATGCCCAATCAGTTTGGTGGACCCGCAAGCCAAAAAATACAAGCCACACACCGCAATTCCCACAACAGTGGCGACCACACTCTCCAGATGTCTGAGCTGACCTCGCCGACCCCGCCAGGTTGTGAATTCCAAATTTCAACCCTCAGTCTGACCTCGACATCCAAATATTCAACCGTTGAGTTGACAACCCCGCTTCTTCACCTCGCCAGGGAGCCTCCCCCTCTTAGCGAAGCCGCAGAGCTATGTCTCCATCAAGCGGGCCAAGGCAGGGAGCTTTCGTCGCTATCCCTTCAGGTTTGTTGTGGGGTGGACCTGTTGCTCAAGAATAAACATGGTCAATAATACGTCAACACGGCCAGGGGGACTGGAACAGCGATAGTAAACGCTAGCCACCCTGCGAGACCGTGAAGCGGCAGGTGTACGAGCTGGTCGCGGGGGGGGTGGTCGTTGCAAAGAGAGAGGCATCAGCGGCAGCCCACAAACATCAGCCGCCGATCGCGGCATATCTACGCCCAGCTCTCTCAAAATTTCCATTTACTAGTAGCCTCGTCGCTCACTGCCCACACCGCCAAAACCTCATGCTATGAGAACACGCTTGCCACCACACGTGGGTTCCAGCTCTTGGTGGCACGCTCCTTTCTCTTGACCTCAGGCTGCAGTGACTGCGGACAATATTCATCCCTGTCGCGGTTTCAAACTTCGTCCTCATTCTAACAGTCTAAGGACCCATTTCCTTCAATAATCCTCCATTGTCTTCAAGGCAACCCCTGACATTTCTATCGACGCAAGCAGAAGCTAAAGAGACCCAAAAAATAACTTACGATTGGCGCCAGCACAGAGATCCCCCTGCATTTTCCGTCGGAGCTCGTAGGGAAGATAACCGCATCTTGGCGTTGCAGCCTCCAAGGTCTAAATGATCAAGCCTGCAAACTTTCGAGTCTGAGAGTCTCATCGATGCGACCTACTGTACCATTCCATCGCTATCTTCTGCGACCAATGCATGATAATCCAAGCACAACTGAAAAACGGAGGAGCATCGTCGCAATGAGACAAAATGTAGACTCTCAAGATCGAAACAAGCAGCAAATTACCTACATCGGTGTTGCCCTAAAGCAGTTCGTGCCTCCTCACGCGCTTCTCGGTATCCATCCCTTTCCGAACTCCTACGTCATATCCTAGCAGCTCTCAACTTCTGCTGAAGCAGGTCGCCCTGGGACCCGGCTTACGCTGCTCGCAGATTGTCAACCTGCATTCCTACCAAAATAGCCTATCTGCCGCGAAAATTTGGGTGCGATGAGAGGAATTGAGGGGATGCCTGCATTCCGACGGCAAGACTCCGACTCCAAAGCTGCCCAACGGGTAATTTGAATCAGCACTTTCATTACCTGCAACGAGGAAGAAAACGCCAGCTGCTCGGTGAAGTCCCCCGAAGGCTGCTGCTCTGGTCGTGGCGCTCGTAGTAGTTAGTTAACCTATGCGGAGGAACGCGTCCCAATCTCTAAAGCCTAACCAAGGAGTATGACGCTGAGTTCACGTCAGCGTATCTGCTGCAACGATTGCAGGCAAGTGGGGGAGGGAAGAAGAGAGACGTGGAGAAAGCGTGTACAGTTATTCTCGGAGACAACTGGGTATTAATATACTGGAGGATGATAAGCAACATTGTCTGGAACGAGGATAAGCAACGCAAGGTTTGGAAGCAAAGCAACCAACCTAAGGAATAACACACAAAGCAGTCACCGTTCAAGCTTCAAGTCCAAAGCCATTCTACCCTCCACTCAGCTCCTCCCCAGACCGATCCGCGCTGCTAACGTCCTTGCCTGCATCAACTGCATTCTTCTCGCGCGGGTGACGACCCCAAACACCGCGACCGCCGCAAAAATCACATTGCACGCGACAAATTCGAGAAAGTCTGCCCGTTCCTGGGCGACGCTGCGGCCACACGGGGCCCACGCAAGGGTCTCGCCCTCGTGAGAGTGTCCGGGGGCTTGCTCAGTCTGTGAGGACCAAAATGCGCGGTCGTTTAGTTGGGGCGCGTGGCCAAAGTTGAACGGGTTGGAGGATGAAGAGTGGGATATCGGAACGGGTGCGGTCCCGTTGGCACAGTGCATTAATCGGCGGGTGCCAAATGGCTGGCAAAATGGTTCCTTTCTCTGTCCAGTTGTTTTCAGTACAAGAAGAGAAATAAGAAGATTGTTACAACGCACCAGGTCGGGGGGACACGCCGCGCACTCGCCCGCGGGGGTACACAACTGGCCAGTTGGAAGCTCGCTATGGATCGGCTGGTCGGCGGTAATGCCCGACGCGGTCATAAGTAAGCTGGCAGAGGAATAAGTCAATGCATGGATGGATATGGGGGTCTCACGTTGCGAGCACCCATAGCAGCTGCATCGACGCATAAAGCAAAGACAATCGCGGCCATCACACGCGCACGTGCCCATCGAATACGGATCGGCACGGAAACTGGTGTTTGCCTAATAATCATACTATCGAGAGGTCGCGCCTTGCATTGAAGTGATGGTGGTGGACTAGTCCAAAGAGCTGTTCAGGCTGGGGATGGAAGGCAGCTTTTAAATTGTTCACAATTCTAAATTCGATGCTCGAGGAGCTTGTGTGGGCCTGGATTTTGTCATAATCAACGCAGCACAGTCTACTAGGCGTCGGGCATTACTGCGGTACAACACAGTGCAGATGGACCGAGCTTGGTGGTGCATCAATAGATGAGTACAAGTGGGCTACAGGTTTTCATTGGTTGAAACAAGTTTGAGTACTCGTCTTTGCCACTCAGTATAATCAAGTATCAGGTTAGGAGGTTCCGGATAATCTCTCAACATCTCATCAGGTGATGATTTAGAATCCATGCTGTCCAGGGATGGGGAAGAACTACTCAGAATCACTTAAAACACCGGAAAGAGGGAAAAGATACTGGCAACTCACTCAGCTCTTCCAGAATGCCAACTTGGAGTAATATCTGGTATGATACCAGATGAATTCGTCCGATTCCATGCACTAACTCTCTCTCTTGCACGTTCATTGTAAAACCCAGCCTATTGCGATGAGAGCAGGCAAAGAGAAGTAAACTGAGGCTACAAACCCGTGGGTTGCGTTCTACGGCAATCTTTTCGCGCTGTTCAGTACTGTTGGGATCTGCATTATGGTTAGAGCTGTTCCCGAGAAGCTTCGTTATCCGCGCGCTTGATGCACGTTTCCCGTGTTTGCGGAGGCTAGCGAAAGTCAACAAGTGAATTTGTAAAGAAAGCTCAGATATACCTGCTGCTGATGCCTGAGAGTTTATCGAAACGTTCCATTGATTGATTGCTACTCGAGGCGAATTTCCGTTGATGGGATAATAACAAGATTGAGTCATCATCGCATTGAATATCATTGTTGTTATTATTATCGGTTTCGTCCAGCGAGGAGAGATTGGCGGTGTCGTCATCAACCTGAAGAGATCTCTCGTCATCCTGGCCTTGTTGCTCATACCTGGCATTGAATTCGACTGGGGGACTGAGGTTACGATGATAATGTGTAGAGAATGGTTCGATCGTGGCCTCCAAGTCAGCATCATGAGCCAGATAGACGGCGCCTGCAAACAGAGAAGAACCGTCAGTGAAACCAATTCCACATGAGTTGACGCTCATACCTTCTTCCTCTCTGGCTTTGTTTGAAAACCAAGTGCTTTCGAGGAAGTGGTCCAAGTCTCCGTCTTCGATTTGAGCCAATGACCACGTCTCTAAAGCATCAGCCCAATTGTCATCATGGGTGATGGCCACTGTGGCACTTGGAAACTAGATATATATTTAGGTCTAATTCTGGTGTAAGAGAACGACGATACCTTGGACAAAAGCACTTCATTGATCATCTGTGCCGGGTCTCTAGTCTGAACTCAAGTCAATTGTAATCTCACAGTTGATTCTGTTGAACGATAAGGGACGATACATACCGTTGTCGAAGGCGGGTCATCAACCAATTCACATGACCCGTTGAGGGATGCTTGCTTGCCACCGTGAGAGCGCTTGTTTGAGCGAAACCGTAAAGATAGGAACGAATTCCGAGAGCCAAACGGGACATCAATTCCTCGAGTTCCGTCGCTTGACCCATCCAAGTCGTCATCAATCTGCGAGTTATCCAGGCGTTCGCTAAACATCCGGCGAACTCCTTTCCTCAGGGAAATTGTGAAACCGCGGAGGAAGACAGTATTGTTGGGTTTTGAATTCTCGCTACTAGCTGAAGACTCGAAGGTGCGCGTGTGTGCGGGATTATCCCTGGAAAAACGGTATGAGGATTGTCCATCTGCTCCCTGAGATACTCGTGGTGTGAACAGGATCTTGAAAGCACGGCCCGGAGAGACATTCCGAAAAGTGGCCATTCCGCCTGAGCGGGCTCTTTCGCAGCCTGTTACGACATATAGACCACCGTTAACCAGGCGTCTCCCTCGGACTTGATTAATATAGCGATACCAGCTTTCTGCATTTCGGGCAGCAAATTGTCGAAGAGCTTCAAGATTGACAAGCTTTTCGAGACGAGAACCATATGGCAATGCGATAAGAGCTCCGTCTGGTCCTTGGCAAGCAAAATGTAGTTCGCCTCCAGGAAACTCACTGTCACATGGTTGAGCATCTAATTATCGATGAGAAAGAAACACACGGTGAATCCAGGTCGATGCAGGCTGCCTCTACTTCAGCGGAAGTAACGTGGCTCCCCGGTGGAAAATCATTCTGAGAGACATCCACAGAATGATATGGGGAGAGTGGACAGAACCCGTCTGGAACGAGGTTGTCGTTGATGGGATGTGAGGCAGGCAAGTAAACGTTGAAGGCAAAATCAAAACCCCCTTCAGGAGTAATACTCCCTACATCGCCGATACAAATGCCGCGTTGCTGGTACTCTCGAGAAAGGTTTGTTTGTGGTGTAGGACAGAGCAGAGGACGTCCACGCTTCCAAATTGCCAAGGCAGAAAAGAAGGTTTCGTACTCAGAGCGAGCCTGCGAGCGATTGGATCAACTCGAAGCAGACAGAATAAGTGAATGATGCTAACCATTACTCTCATTTGTCTGGGTGCTGAGGAGCATCGTGAGCGGATTTGCGGAAAGTAAAACGAGGCGCATACGGGAGTTTGATGATGGTTCCACAACCTCCAGCGGCATATCGCCTCGTACGTTGATAAACTGACAACCAGTGATATCGAAGTTGCGTGCATCTCGAAACATTTCTGAGGAGCTATATAATGCAGGATGAGAGGCTGAGATCGACGAGCAAAGCCTTTGCTTACGTTTGGCCAATAGGTTGATGAATGGAACCCGGACCAAGAGGGAGGGGAGATGGCGATTGAAGCATTCGTTGGACGCAGAAGAAGGAAAGGAGTGCAATGGCGTTTTTCCCAAACCGCCACGACTTTTGTAGTCCCACAGAAGTAAACGTGGGCCAAAAGCTGTTGTGTGTTCTGACAAGCTACTTCCATGATGATGATGGATTGGTGAGCGGCTCGATTCAAGATTAGGGATTAAGTACCAGGTTTTTAGCATGTCTCTTATTTTGTTACAGATGGCATTTTCCGGATTCCAACTCCAACGTCCTGCCCCCAGACATGCACGAGACAACGAATCGGATCCAACTGGAGCTTGTAGTGGTTGTGGCCACGGAGATCCCGTGTTGATTCGGCCTACTTAAGTATTGCAGAATGTCCATGGTGCGACAGCTGGGCGCCAATAAGTACAGAGAATGTGCTGAGCACCGCCGCAAAGACATGCTGAAGGGTAGCGACGCGTCAACGCGGTCACAACAACTTGAGTAGAATCAGCATCGAGATTCGAGACAGGAGAATGGAAGGAACGACTGTAGTGCATCGATGCTGGAAAGCAAAAGGCGATCACACGCGCACGTGCCCAAACCCAACATTTCGGCTTGACGGCAGCGTGTCTCCGTCGTCCTCCCGTCTTCACCGACCACGACCACGAATAATTCATTTGAAAATTTCCAGTGTCCTCGCGTGTGCAGATACGCCGTATCCCCGGCGGCCCGCGAGCTCGGTCCGCTGCCGCCAACCGCCAACTCAGCGCCAAACTTGATGGTCTTGCGCCAACCCCGCCATCCTTGCCACGACCACTTCATCTAGAAAATTTCCTTCCCCTTGATACGCTATGCCCGTGCCCGCCTCCCCAAACTTGATCTACGTGCAGTAAGTTAACTTCATTACTTACTATAATAGATTAACTTTTCAGGCTACCTGGCCGACTGCAACGAGGACGGCGGCGGTCCAATCTCGCTCACGTGTTGATCGACGCCAAAGGCAAGCTGGAAGCCGCCCCCGATCGCTCTACTCTGCGCTGCGTAGGCTATCGCAACGCTAACCGGTGTCGCCGCCTCGACGACTTCCTGGATTCGCGATGCGTATACGGCCTGCGCTGCGTTGCCCGCCAGCGACCTGATTCAATGCATGGCCACTTTCCAGGTCCAAGCCAAGGAAACCGAGTCCAAGCTCAAGTTTGGCGACCTTGGCCATGAATTTTGAAACATGCCTCAATAAACTGCAGGCTTAATCAATCTACATTCTCGTTATCCTCGGGGGAAATCGTCGCCGTGAATGTTGAAGACGCTCTGGGCTCTGAGTGCTATACTGTACCAGACCCCAGAAGTAGCGCGATGCACTTCCCTTCCCGACCTCCCGGCAGTCAGTACCCCGACAATCATTCGAAGCAGTTGGCAACAGGCCAACTTAATTTCCATTTCCTTTGAGTATGCAATCACCGTATTGCCGTTGTTAGTCGCTGACTGCAATGCGGCCTGCAGCTAGGACGGCGATTTAGACTGACGATGCGATCTCGCGTGTCGTCACCGTGGTTGACGCCAAAATTTCCCTGCCTGCCGGTTTCCCGGTCGCCCGCGCCGGAGTCGGCCTACTGCGCTCTGCCCGCCCTGCAGTCTAATCTACTATGTGCACAGTCAGACTTTCTTGCAAGCTCATCCAATGCGAGGAACTCCAACTTGAACACGTTTAAATTGGCCTGCCTGAATTTCCGGCTATCTACCGATCACGTGAGAAGCCCCTATCCGATGCCTCCGCTTTGGGGTCGAGCAAACCTTGCATCGGGAAGCGGTATTTCGAACTCGGGCCCTCCCGCCTCGAACAGCGACAGTCGCTTGGTTGTTACATCCCTCGGCACACCTTACTCGCTGTCAACACGCTCGTCCGTTCACAGTCACTTGCCTACTTAGTCCACCTTCCTCATCCGCAAGACCGCCGTCGGGGCGTCCCGACCCTCGACTGGCATCACACGTTCAGCTGCAGAAAGTCTTTCCTTCACAGTTCGAGCTATAGGATCTGGTTTAACTACACTTGGATTGAGTTCGCTACTGGTAATACGACTGTGTTTCCATTTGACCGTCGTTGCCTGCTGCCTTGGCCGGCCGCGCGACCTGGACACGGCCTGGTCTGCGCTAAGCACAAGTAACTTCCACTCGACAGTTGTCTCTTCACCACCTCACAAAATTCAAACCGATTACTTATCGAGGAAGTCGCCCCGAATCAGCCGATGTTCATCTTATCGCGTACATCCTGACACTGATTGATCTACATAGAGTACAGCTCATGCCCTTAACGGGCCTTCGTCGGCCCTCCGCCAGCGGCGTTCTCGCTGCCAACGTCAACGGCTTCTCCCTGACTCGAGTCCGGGGTCAACTGACCAGGGCCAGGGCTTCTCTGCCTTTGAAAAATTGACTCGACCACTAGCTTGAGACCAATTCATATCACACACAGCGTACAGCCAGATGTAAAGATCGTCGTTCTATGCACTCACTCATATTCGCGGACAGTTCATTCCCGAAGAGAAAAAATCTCGATTCCCAGTGGTAGTAGTATACATAGCTAATAAAACAACAACAGCAGAGCAGGGGGTTAGCGATACAGAGTCCATCGTCAAGGTGGGGGTGTGGTGGGGGTATGAATGGAGCGCGGGGTATAGTGTGTGGTGACTAGGCCTTATGCCTTATGCCAATATGAGTTCGAATGCCCCTGGCACTGTCGTTGAGGGAACGACCCCGACCCAGTTCACACACTTCCCCAAAAAGTCCACCCGCTTGAGCCCCTTCTTCTGCTCAACTATTTGCGCAGCGGGGTCAGGGATGTTGCTGTACCGCCGCGCATAGGCCTTCGTGACCTCTTGTTGCGCGACTTTACTCGGCAAATTCTTGAAGTCGGCCTCCGCTGCCCCTTGTCGTAGCGATGTGTATACCCCCTCCAGCACATCGCAGACCCTGACAACACTCCCCGAGCCAGGCTTGGGTGTGACCTCTATGCGCCATGACCCAAGCCGTGGGTGGACGATAGTAAGGGCGGGCAGCGGGGGGTTGGTTGCGGGCTCGAAGAGCACGTGCTGGGGCATACCCGCGTTGACTTTCGAGGGGAGTACATTGGCGGTAGGGAGCACGACGCGCCAGACAAGGTGGTGCGGCTGGAGAACGCGGTGGGTGCTGCCGCTGGCGATGGCAAGCGGTAGATAGGGGTAGGTGGGTTGCGGGGGAGTGGTTGGGCCCGTGGAAGACGGCAGCGAGCTCACTGAGTAGGACGGCGAGGGTGTGGAGGGGAAGGGGTAGTACGCCTCGTCGGGGGCATCAGAAAAGTGGACGTGCTTTCCTGGCATCTCGGTAGTTGGGTGGGTGGTAGTAGATGGGTGGTTATTTATTGTGGGGGTAAGTGGGCGTTGTTATTGTCCTCGTCGCGGTGGTTGTTGTGGGGGCAGAGGACGACTGCCCATCCGGATAATAGCAGGGCTGTATAAGTACGCAAATCCCATCGCATCGGGGCTGGCACTTAATTGAGTGTGAGCTGTCGAGAGTCACAGCCCTTCGCGTAGGCGCCGTCAGCCATCAATTCACTCGAGTCAGGCCACGCCAAAGTCCATATCGGGAAACGCCTTCTTGCATCGGCTCGCCGGTTACGCGTCCGCCTCCTCCCAGTTCAGAGGCCAGCTTCTACCCGTGTCGGGGTCCCCACGCGCTTTTCATCTAATGTACCTACCTTCCAGCCTGCCTCATTACGTCCGCAATCAGCAGCAATCAGCCATAGATAGATAGCATACGCACTCCACACCCAGCTGTTGAAAGCAGTGCTGCGCTTTCGACTGATTGAGTGCATTCCGTGTCCAGCGGAAGATTCCTGCTTAGCTAATAGGCGCGATGGCGCATGCGCGGCGGCCGATAAGCGCCCACACCGGATTCAGAATAGGATATACGTGGCCGTGCCATTGAAGTGCTGTTGAGCTGGAAATAGCTGCTGTTGCAGTTTGGTTGCAGTGCTTGCGCGTCTTCGTCCAATCCCGCCCACCACAAGGCGTGACTAAGTCGTGACGCAATGGCAGCGGCGGCGCCGGCCCCGGCGACTTGAGCGGCACGCCCTGACGCACACAGACTGGCCATCATTGCGCTTTCGGGCCCGAGTTCAAGCGATTCCGCACCCGGACGCTCCCGGGGCAGTATCATCTGGCTGGTATGCATCGAGTTGGGAGGATAGGGTTCACCTAGTAGTAAGCACGTCTACCCCTGCTGCGGCCAGTAACCACAACCAGCCTGCTGTCCGTCGTCTCCACCCGCACAGCTGCGGAGCCCCGCCGCCAAAAATACCATCAACAGCCAAACAAGCGCCGCACCGCCGCCAACGTCGATCGCTCGGGCGAAATCACGATCACGTGCTGCCGCCCGCTTCCGCTGTCCCATGGTGACGAAAGTGGCGCTGACGCTATACTTACTTGCAGCGATACAGAAAAGATGAACTCGGAAACGCAACCCAAATGTGAACTGCGCACCGCCCAGTCCAAATCCTAGCGATTGCAAAGATAGAAGTGCTTGTAGATGGCGCCCAGTGGGCTTCGGCTTCGCGAGACACCCAAACCGAGGGAAAGACGGCGGCGTGTCTCTTCTCCTCGACCCGATCCAGATCCACGCCAGATCCAAGAATGCACTCCCAAGTTGAAGCATTAATCGCGCCGCTGTCACAGTCGGACTTGCCCCGCAGCGGTGATTGCGTCCGACTCAGTCTTCTGGCCCGGGAGGCAACAAGCCACCACGGCAAGTACCGTCGCGCGGTCCAGTATGTTCTCTCAACCACTGGCAGAATCAGACAGACGTTCCCGCCCGCGGGAGAAGCGCATCAAGAGGAAGGTAAAAATACTGTCCTCGATCAGCTGCCAGTGAGCAGATATCGGCGATAGAGGACGAAGAATCATTGGATTGGATGGACAGCTCGCGTCAGCCTCTTGCCCTCAACCCAAGGAAGATCCTGAGATGGAGCGGGAAGTCGGAGCAATCCGCCCACCGAATGCGAGTGCCCCCAAAATACCTTTAGGGCCACCACTAGCCTGTTGTTGTCATGGATGAGCAGATGGAAGTTGAGGCACGGAGGGAGCCCTCGTCCGACTCGCATTTGCAGTTGCCAGTGTGTTATCTCGAAAATACCTACGTCAGCGCTTACTCACCAGCGGAGAACAAGAGGCTTAAATCTGTCTGGACACTGACTGGCACTGCAACCCGCAGCGTGGGCCTGCTGGGATCGACAGCCGGAAGACATGACGGACAGTGCGGGGACTCTGGTGCAAGAAAGAAAGCAACATTTGAGCAATGTTTCCAGGTCTCATCCGTGGCGCTAGCATAGTAAGCATACTCCCGGAATACGTCCACAACGATGAGTTGAGATATCATGATCGGACACTGGCTGCTTTTCGCGCAAATCTACAAAGTGCGGGAGTCCATGACATCGAAGAAAACATTCGGAATCGGGTGGCGCTGCCCGGCGATTGGATCCCTAGTTCACACCAACCAAGGCATCTGAAGTTGATTTCAGCCATCCTCCGAGGCACACTCATCCAAGAGCTCACCTAGACGCCCGGCGCGCTTGTTGTTATTAGGGCTTAATGGAAGTGAGCAACGTGGAGCATCGCATGTAGTTTACCTGCAGCAATGATTCGTCAATACTGGCGATGATTCAGGGAAGGTGGTAGTGCGCCGCGGCGGATGATTCACCAAAAATACCAGTTTGTTGTTCTCACATTCTCTGTGAAATACCTCTGTCAGTGTTAAGACGCCGACGGTGAGCAAGCTACGGTCCGCAGCTTGCGATCGACAGCCGGCATTGGCAACAATCGCAATGACGAGTGGGACACTACTAGTGCTTGGGATAGAAAAATTACGATTGGCATTCGAAAGCGCAACCAACTGCTCGAGGTTTCGTCTGGGATCACCAAAGAATGCAGCTGCGTTTGGCGCTAGGTCTGGAATCTGCATCAGAAACCCCAGCGCTGGGTAGATCGGCAAAGTGCAGTGATCCTAAGAAAAGACAGGGAACCGGGTGGTCGCGCACTGTCTGGTCGCTGAGCGCTGGATCCTCATTCTGAAACTGATGTCAGTCGTTCGTCAAGGCACAATCATCCAAAAGCTTACCTACTGTAGAAGCTAGAGCGCGCTTGTTGTGTAGTGCTTGAAATGGATTGGGGAGACGCGAGCAACGTCTGTTCAAAGTTCGAGTAGAGCATCGCGTTATTCTTGACATGCTTTATCATAGGTACTTAGCGTCGGCGCGTCATTCCTCCCGCGTTCTACTGCAAGGATAGACTGCTGGCCAACAAATGGTAACGGAAATCCAAGTGATGCCGACACACAATACGGCAGGCCCAGCGTCTGAGGAATCTTCAGTCGCGAACCACCTCATTCTGGAATCACCTGCCGGAAGAGCATTTCAATCGTTATGGACCACCGATGCATCCAAGCTTCTTGTCGTTCTCATCTCATCACGCAAGAATGTGAAGGAACCCCTTCGGCGGTATCTCGTGTTGAAGTCTTCGAAAGAAGAGAAAAAATTGGTACATACACCCTTTAACCTCCGTTCCGTATTCAAATAAGGCTCACGCATCCTGCACATAATTACCTACATAGACGCCTAAATCAGCCTCTCTCTCTCTCCGCAAGGGTAGGATGATACTCACCTGGGAACACGCCCTGCACGCCATTCAGTCTCCCCGTCCACCAGTCCTCCGCGCTCTTCCCCCGCTCTACAACCTCTATCCTGTCGCCCGTGTTGAACGACAAGTCACCATCTGCTTGCGCCGCGTAGTCGTATAACGCCACAACATACTGAACCCTTGGCACAACCTTGGGTTTGGGTTTGAGGGGCGGCGGCGGCGGAGGTGCGCGTTTAGTCGCAGCAACAGCAGCAGCAGGCGTGTACGGCGGTGGTGCAGCAGCAGCCATCGAGGAAGCTGAGGAAGAACCAGGAATTGGCGGGGGCACTTTCTTGAAAGAACCCGTTGATGACATCCTTCCGAGACCACGTGACCCCGGCGGGGCAAGCGAAGAAGTTGCCGACGAAGTCGTTGCTGACCGACTGAGCGTACTGCCGCCTCCGTTGGCCCTGTTTGCCTGGACCATTTTTGCTGCGAGGTACATGAGTTGTGAGATAAAGAAGATAGAGGAGGTGGACTTGCAAGTTGAAATAATCCGCTTCACAATGTTCAGATCCTCGATAGTGCTCCACGCATCTGTCCGTTTCTCCTCGTACTCGCCCGCTATTTGCGAGCCAGGGACATTTGAAATATCGAATTTGTTCTCATCCGCAAAGCTGTTCATTTTCTCGTGGATGACGTAGAAAATGTTTAATCTATGCCCGTCACTACAAACCCTAATGTAGGGCACACAGACACTTACTGCATGTAGTAGAACGAAGAGAAGAGTGGGTCGATGAACTGGGTCGACAATGTCATGAAGCGCGGAAGATCATTCTTGAGGGCGTTGTTTAGATAGTCGTATTCGTTAGTGGCGAGTTCAAAGTCTTGTTCAAGCTGGAAAACCAGTTAGCCTCCACTGTTCCAAACACGATATCCACACACCTTGAATAAATTCTTCTCATCACTCAACGACTTCTCCTTCTTGTCCCGCAGCTTGGTCAACGAGTTGTTGAAACGATCGTAGTCCACAAGCTACACCTCATCAGCCATGTTAGGCGCTAATTAACCCATTACGCACCTTATGATCCCGTTTAGTGATCGTCTTGCGAATGGTCTTCATCACGACCTGGAAATCCTTCATGGGACCCACAACCCTGCTCTCGATCAACTCAAGCTCGGGTCCCACCGCCGACCGCAGCTCCTCCATCGCTGTTTCATATTTGCTCACAGCCCGAATCGTGTGCCCCGCGTCAGGGTGCTTCCCAATCAGGTCATACTCGCCCGCAATTGGGTGAAAGAGGGTCGAGAAATGCGTCGCGAACCCGGCACCAGACGTGAACAAGCCTGGCTTCTGTTTCAGCGAAAAAAAGCAGCGAGGAGGACGGGATAGAGGTACTGTTTATCGCGTCGGTGAATGACTTGGTGTCCTTCAGGAATTTCTCCACCGCCTTCTCCATCGTGCTGAAGTGTCGCTGGTAGTCGTCGAATTCGGGGTCATTCGATTCTGGATGGCGAGTGAGTTGTTCAGATCACAGCGGCATCAGTGGGGCCAGACACGCACTCTTCGACATTCCCAGCTTGCTCGTAACATTGAACGGCGTTCTGAAACACCGTCAGCGAGAGCCGCAGCAGTGTTTTTGCCCACACGAGCGGTTCAGTACCGTTTAATCGACTTCGTGAGACCCTTCATGATGACGACTTGAGGTGGCCGAGGATATCGCGGGGAGAGGAGGAAGGGTTGAAGAGACCAGAATGCTCTGGGTAGACGCCCGCTGAAGAGATGGTGGCCGTTGTGTGGAGAGTTTTGACAAGACACAGCACGGCAAGATGGCTCGGCGGTCACTGATCGGCGGCTACATAACTCAGATTTCTCGCTCCCGCTTGTGATTCGACTATTACTTTCCTCTCTGAACCCCCACGATGTCCAAGATCCAGCAGCCCTCTAACCAGATCAGGTGCGCGGCCGTCCCAAACACAGCAGACTTGGCTAAGCCCCGCGCTGCAGACTGACTAATGTCTCGATTGTGCGATTAAAGAAAGGCGGGAAGCGCTTTGAGGTGTGTGTATCTCCACCACAAACGATAACAATGACGAGCAACGCACAGATCGCATGCTACAAAAATAAGGTCCAAGAATGGCGGACAGGCGTGTAAGCGACCAGCTTTTTGGCTCCCATCTCCGAGTAACTGGTTCAACAGCGAAACAAGCCTCGACGACGTGCTGCAAATCGCCAACGTCTTCATCAACGTGTCGAAAGGCGAGGTTGCGAAGACGAATGACCTCCAGAAGGCGTTTGGCAAGTCGGATGTGAACGAGATCGTCAAAGAGGTCTTATTTTATTCTGTCCTTCCACTCTCCACTTACCCTCCACAGATCCTGAAGAAAGGTGAAGTGCAAATCAACGAAAAAGAGCGCGATCACGACCTCGGCGCGCTTCGCCGGGAAATTGCGACTCTTGTTGCAGAGAAATGCGAGGACCCGTCTACACACACACCGTATCCCGTAGGCATGATCGAGAAAGCAATGACGGAAGCAGGCTTCAGCGTCAAGCCCGATAAAACAGCAAAGAGCCAGGTACTCGTTTTCTGCAGCCTGTGTGTAATCTTATCTTATCTAAACAAGGTCTCTGCCTGCATCAAACAACTCCAAACCGACTCGACACTGCCAATCCAACGCTCCAGAATGAGAATTCGCGTCATCCTCCCCACTGCCGACAGCACTCGCCTCCATGATCAGATTGTGTCTGGTGCAGAGACAGTCGAGTCGGAAGAAACAGGGGAAACTGAGTGGGCAGCCGTGCTACTGATCGACCCAGGCCAGTTCCGTGTCATCAACGACTTGCTTCAGAAGGAGTGCAAAGGTCGCGGAAGGATAGAGACGCTCGCCATGACGGCGCATTCGACGACAGCGTGATTTTTTTGGCATATATGTACTTAGACTATCCTTCGTTTGCCCGGACATCCCGCAGGATAATTGGTCGTACAACCCGTGCCCAATGGTCATCCCACGGTTCCCAGACTTCTTCGGGGGCGTGTGGAGGTGAACGCGCAACATCTGAGGTGGGTGTCAAGTTGGCGCGTAGTGAGTCTAGCCTGGGACATTGAGGGAAACCACCGAGTAGCGTCTAAGAAAGAAAATCAATGTCAATAAGTAAGAACCTAGAGTGAACATACCTCCATCTGCTCAGCCAGCTGGTCCGCATCGTCGAATACAAGCCCGTTGACGCCCTCCTTCACAAGCTCGTCCAAGCTATCCCATCAATGAGATTACGCATCTTATCTTATCTTATCATGACTCACCAGCCAAACCTCAACGCACAAACCGGCAGCTCACAGCCAAACATGTCCACAACCTTCATCGGAAGATCAAGCCCCGACGAGCTCGCATGAAGACACACGCCCAGGTCCGCCCCGCCGAGCAGCACCGGGTAGTCTGCTGGCTCCAGCCACAGACTAATGCAGCGCACATGCTGCCATTTTTGTTTTTTTTGAAGAGAGGCAACAGTGGCCATGTAGTGTTCTCGCAGGGGGCCTTTGCCGGTCACGACGACCAGTAGCTTCGGGAGTTTCCGGGTTGTCCTGGCGCGGGCTTCATATTTGGTTAAAGCGTCGAGGAGGATTCCGAAGTCTTCATCCGCCGTCCAGGAGGTGCTCGATACTACCAGCGCTGGCCGGTCGTCTCGCAAGAAAGGCGCGTCAACCTCTGAATAGATCGGATTAATGGCGCTGCTCGGTGGTGGCGGAGTATTGGATAAGTGTGGATCGGAAGGTGATGCATTACTTGCAGTGAACGCGCTAGAGTACGGAGGTTCTGACGTGGTCAGAAACCCCTTGAGAGACGGTTCCCGGGACAGTGATTCGTTCAGTTTTATGAAGAGCTACAGGTTATTAGTGGAGATGACGAGTTTGTCTTGCTTGGGCCGACCTCATGAATTCCTTGTGGAGTGGTCCGATGGAATCGCTTCGGAGGGCGGTCGTGAAGAACTACTTTTACACCTCTGAATCGTTAGAAGCAAGTCAAGGCAAAAAAGGAAGAGACATACTGGAGGTCCCATTCCTTCACTAAATGATCTCGCATTGCTCGCGTTACAAATAGATGGGCATACGCCGAGCGTCCAAACGTCCTCTCAAACCTATCATGTGTCGGAAAGTCCAGGATGAACAGGGAGAAATCCGTACCATTTTGCAACCCTTACAAGTGGATGTCTTTCGCCCTGCTTCGGAAAGCGCATCGCGAGAATACTGTAGCCGAGATTGTGCCAGTCGATGATGACTTTACTGCCTCGCATATGCGCAACAAGCCAGACGATCGCGAGGGTAGGTATACTGGGCGGATTCTATTAACCAGTCGTATCACTATGATTGCCTGGTTTGGGGTTAACACGCACCTGAACCAGGATAAACTCTGGCGGATTCGGTGTTGCAAACAGCTTCAAGAAAACTGCGAAGACTTGCAACGCGACTTTGCATGGTGCCGAAAGCAGGAAGGGTAGCGCGGTCAGCCAACGTGGCGGCTCAGGAAGGTATCGAATGTCGAGATTTGCGCGGGTGAGGGAGGGTATTGGCCTCGAGCCGCCATAGCATATCACGTCGGTGTAAAAGTCGTGCTGGGCAAAGCTTTCAGCGTGGTACATCATGCGTGGACTCCGCCCGATGTCCCCGAGGACAACAATCGCGACAGAACGCAAAGAGTGTTGATCTCGTGGACGGAAGAAACTCCATAGGCACCAGACAAGCCAAGTGGAAAGGGCCAGCAAGACGAATGGAGCGGGTGTAAAGTCCGGAGACAACATGACGTCGGCGTTACCCGAATTGGTAAGTGACTAAATTTCTTGTTTCCGGACCATCATGTCGCTGCTCCGTGCTGCAAGAGCGTCCCAGCGTTCTCTGATTCACTGTCGGTCCATATCCTCGTCAGCAAGACGGGCAGCTACTGCGAAGGGCTCCACGCTATCAACTGGGTCGTCAATACTACGACCACAAGCATCAACTAGCAAACTTCCTCTGCTTAGTGAGCAGCCCGTTACCTCTACCCAGGCCGCACTCTGACCCATTCTCCACAGCTCGTTCGATGTTCATCCAAACAGAATCGACCCCCAATTCCGACTCCGTCAAGTTCCTTCCTGGTGTGGACGTTATGGGTCCCTCCGGCACTGCTGAATTCCTCGACACCCGTTCGGCACTGAGCTCCCCGCTGGCCATCCGTCTGATGGGCATTGACGGCGTGACAGCCGTCTTCTACGGGCCCGACTTTGTCACGGTCTCTAAAGACTCTGAAAACACATGGAGTGTAATCAAGCCCGAAATATACGCCCTTCTCATGGAGCACTTCTCCTCTGGGCAGGCGTTATTCAGAAGCGAAGAGGACAGGGCAAACGCGGGCCCACAAGACACGAGGATATTAGACACCGACTCGGAAACGGTGGCAATGATCAAGGAGCTGCTCGAGACGCGCGTCAGACCAGCAATCATGGAGGATGGCGGGGATATTGAGTACCGCGGCTTTGACCAGGAGGGAGATGCGTTGGTCAAGGTCAAACTGAAGGGCAGCTGCAGAGGGTGCGATTCCAGCACGGTCACGCTCAAGTCGGGTATTGAAAGGATGCTGATGCATTATATTCCGGAGGTAAAGGGCGTCGAGCAGGTGCTAGACCAGGAGGAGGAGATTGCGCTGAGCGAGTTTGACAAGCTCGAACAACGGTTGAAGACTAAGAAGCCGTCGATGGCGCAGTACATGTCTGTATAGTAGGTTTATCCATAGCTCCACCCTCGACAATATATAGATTTTGTGCATTCAAGAGACTCAAGACCCATTATTATCAGGTGAAGGTGGTTTCATTAAAATCAGGTGACCGCGACGATTCAAGTAAACTTTGCAGAGATTAACACCAATGAGATACGTTCAGTGTTTGTCTACACGAGTCAAAAGACGACAAAAGGAAACGTATATTGACGTCCATTTGGGGACCAACTTTGCGACTGTTGATCTCACAGAGACTTCTCAATTGTAGAGACTGTTCCAGATGCCCTTTGCCTGATGACAATGGGAGGTTTGGGAGCCAAATGACGAAATGCGAGATACATGGCAGATAGGGAAATCTTTCTGTGGGTGCTTTTCTTGTTTACCCAGGCCGTCGCGTTTTTTAGCGTGGCTCGTTCTCAACCAAAGCCAGGCGGAGTAGTTAGTTGGGGAATGGGGCGGATGGTGAAGTGCATGGTGGAGGAGAGATGGGATATGGTTCGCAATCGACCTTGAGCCTCAGATTCGCTGTTGTGTCCCACCCAGAGCCGGAATCTGTCGTCGTTTTATGCCGGCTTCAATCACAGAACAACAAGCTCGCTGCTACGGGATGTGAGTTTCAAATTTCTCTTCCAGTGACCGGACTAGTGGTCGACATGCATAGACAGACTCGGACGGTTGCCTAGATGGTCCGGATGGAGTTTGAATGGTCGGTATGCAGATTCGGGCATGAGGAAAGCTTGAAGTGGAGGAGGGGTCGCCACTTGAGAGGCCCGAGACTGTTTGCGGAGAATGATCATGCAATTTGACGAGTATTTGAAGCTTGAAGAATAGATAGAGCCTCACAAAATATAAGCCGAAATCCTAGGTCTGTCCGAGTCCACGAGAAGATAGCCATGTTGTGGGCATGGCCCCCATGTTCCCCTAGAGTTGGCGTTGTCTCCCGAGTCAGAGTGTAGAAATCAGCCAGCCTATGAGGGAGGTTAGACGGCTAATGTTGTTGACGAGGAGTTTTGGTGGAGGAGTTGCCGCGATCGGCGGTGGTTGATTTTGTGGGCTGCCGGTCTCTCCTTTCAACGACCATCGCCCACACGACTTTTCAGCTTGTGCACCTGCCCCGTCTCGCACAGGCGGCTGGTGCCGGCCATGATCATTCCAGTCCTTGCTGGTCGCATTTGCGCATTGTCCACTAACTTCAAATTTTGTGAGAGCGAGTCTCCCCCTCCACTGCGACAACAAACTTAGCTTGGATGGATAGCGACGAAAGCTACACGCCTTGGCCCGCTATATGGACACATAGCGCTGCAGTTCCGCTGAGAGGGAGGGGCTCCTCGTCTAGACGAAAAATCCGGGTTGAAACGCCTCAACGGCTGGATATTTGAATGTCGAGGTTGGACCGAACGTTTAAAATCTAGGATTATGAACCTGGAGAGGTTGGCGGGGTCGACTCAGACATTTAGAGACCGTCGGCTCCGTCGTTTTGTTGGGAATTGTGGTGTGTGGCTTGTTTTCGCTTGCGGTTAACAAAACTAATTGGGCATACCCTTATAGTCATCCCAGTCGTTGTGGGGTCGTAAACAAGCTCAATTTTTTTTGCTTTCGGCGACATGCATAGGCAAACATGGCGAGAATCTTGGTTGCTGGTCAACATAGTCTTTTGCGCGAGCTATACCTGCCTCTCATTCTTGAGGAGTGCTGGCAGACATTTCTGGCGGGCAATCGTCGGGTTGTCGATGTTCAGGCCTCTCACAGTTGCGACAAGATGTCCATTGGATTCGCGCTTGCGAAGAACATGCTGGTTCAGATGATGCTTGTTACGCTTCGCGTCACGGAATTTGACGGGGGCGAAGAACTGCTTGCGGATTGAAGAAATAGAGGACCTGGAGACTAGCAAGTGCATATCTGGGCTCCATTTGCCGCGCATAAGCGCCAGTACAAGTCTGCAAATGATGAAACACGTTGGTTCTGGAAATTAGTCGTCGACAAGATTGCTTTTCGCTCGCATTTGCGCTATCCCTTAATCCTGCGTGCTACTCCGGGTTCATGGTCACCGAGCGGCTAGAACTTGCTTATGGAGACTTGTAATTGGGAGGACGATTGTGTTGAAAGCTACCTCTTGACGGTCGTCTTCTGCGTTTTCTTGACTGCGGTCCGCTTCAGGTTTCGCTGCATAAAATATTGTTCTTTTGCACGCAGTGCTTCATCCTCAGGGAGTCTGGGTTTTGTGTTGCAGCATGAGAGGTCAAGGAGGATAGCGCGCAATCCAAAAAGAGCGCGCCTAACGGCAGAGTGACCGTATGTATATAAACCCAGGGGTCTTTATTCCTTCCTCTCACCACTTCTTCCTTATCTTCATTTCTATGGCCTCCAGAACTAGCCCCATTCAGCCCTTTGCCCCCCTCACTCGTTCTCCCTTAACTGCTCACCGCTACGAGCTGTATCCGCCGCCAACGCTCCCTTCGTTCACCCTCGTCCTTACCCAACACCCCAACAACGACGTGCTCGTGATTCCGTGGACCCCCATCGAGTATATCCCGCGCAAATCGAGGCTCCTTGCAGTTCAGGTAAACTAGGCGGCGAGAGTCACCTTCTACCCAGCTTATCTCTTTGTTCAACAGGAATCGCCTCGTCCTGTGACTCGTCCAACTGCGACTCCCCCTCCCAAGACGAACCCATTCACTTCCTTGCTGAAATTCCTCCAGGTGCGTCCTCCTCCGGCCCCGTTCCGTATACTGAAAATACTTGGTAGCGCTGCATCACCAACATGGTCAATAAAATCAAAAAGCCTGTCCCCATCCCACAACCATGAACACAAAAGAAACACCCAACGAAACTGCTTTTGACTGCTTACTTTGAGGTATACTTGGCTCACCACGACTGCGGTCGGTGCTTATTGGTTGCAGAAATTACCTATCGCACATAACACCCTACTCTGCCTGCCTGCCTGCCTGCTATTCAACGTGTACATCTTACCTACTTACTTCTAGAACCGTGGTTGGGGCATTGCACGACCCCAAAATTGTGCCCCACGTAATCCACAAAGTGTATATACTCTTGCTCAACCCCAATCTGTATTAGTAGTATTGAATGAACAAACGACCTGTCTTGACCATTTGTGGCCTTAAAAATGCTTGGTGGTTGTGTCGTCGGATCGTTGCAAGGACGTGCTCTTTTATTTTTCGGCAAGAGTTACTACAGCAGAGTTGTAGCTAAACCGTTTCTCCTCCAAACTAGGCATGGAACGTGTTCCTACCCTTGCTATGAAACATTCTGAACTCCCAGTGATTGTCTCTCTATGGCATCGATTTAACACATCCAAGCTCGCACAAATCCGCCACAACCCAAGCTGCGCAGGCTTGCCGGACTTGCTGCTGTCATCACGAAAAGCAATGTCGCGAAACGACCTGACGCCTAAGACTGACCAAGTGTTGCAAAAATGATTGAGAGAATCAACTCACCATCGGCCAGCAAGGCAAGGCGAGGGTGGCACCTCGAGGTAAACATCAGTCGAGGATCAAGAAAAGCTATTAAAGTGCGCACCATTTCGCTGTGCCAGACCCAGAGATTGACCAGTGCATGATTAACGCGCGCTTAGTCACCCACGAATGGGCTACAAGCCTGGGGCCCACGGCAAGGGAGCGCGAGGGTTGCTAGCCCTTCCCCAGGACGGGCACCAGAACACAGCAGTCTTGAGCATGCCGTATCCCGCCCCGCTTGAACCGGCCACTGCTGCGACGATTGAGCTTGGACCACGCCCCGGTCTGACCGGCCCGAGACGGCCCGCGAGACGTCCGCTGCTGCCCCGGTCCGGACCTTCCGCGACATGATGAGCAAAAAAAGCCCCAACAGCACCTAGTTCTCCCGCAAGGCCGCACCCAAACTTATTCAAGTCGGCAACGGGACGTCTCTCGTCGCTAATCTGAAGAAATCTGGCTACAAACCCGCGAGAAAAACCCTCGAACTCGTTGAACTTTGAAGTAGAATTTTGCGGTTTCTTGACAGTTGAATGTGCGAAGACGATCAGCTCGAGCAACTCCCCGGACCAGCCCGAGTCAGCGCTGGGACGTCTCTCAGTGGTGCCTCGGACAAAGTCTTGGGAGATGCTTGAAGCATGACGGCCGCGCGACACTCGGCGAGACTGGAGGATTTGAGAATTACTTGAGGTGTGCTTGAAGTGGCTTGAGGTGCTTGATAACTGGAACCGAAAAATTAACCTCTGGTGATGGGCATTTGGCAACACTCACCTGAAATAACCCATCCCCGCTCACCACTTTGCCACCTTTTGTTTTCATAGACGCGCGCTTAGTAGTCCACTGCCAGCATGAACGACAAGCCCGGGGCCCACGACAAGGGAGCGCGAGGGTTGCAAACCCTTCCCCAGGAAATAAAACCAGAGCGACAACAGTCTTGGGCCCGCCCAACTCAAGACCATTGCCTGCTCTCAAAGCATCAGAACCCATCTGAAGCAGCGCCGGAACGTCTCCCGTTGGTGCCTCATCCTCAGGCGCATCATCTGCAAGTGTCACTGCGGCAACAGCAATATCGAGTGAAAACGTGCAATTCCTCGATGGTGCTTGCCGACTGCCTCTCGTTTGGCACCGAATTGAGACTTTCAAGCTCGCACAAGTCTGCCACAACCCGAGCTGCGCACGCTTGCCAGACGCGCGCTGCTGCCATCGAAAAAAAAGCAACGTTTCGAAACGACCTGACGCCTAAGAAGAACTAAGTGGTGCGAAATCGTTTGAACAACCAACTCACCATCGACCAGCAATGACACTCTTTATCATCAACCTCGATGCCACCTTTTGAATTTTGAAGACGCGCGCTTAGTAGTCCGCTTCCCGCAAGACGACAAGCCTGGGGCCCACGACAAGGGAGCGCGAGGGTTGCAAACCCTTCCCCAGGAACGAGCACCAAAACGACAACAGCCTTGGTATGTTGTGTTCCGCCTTGCCTCTCGAGCAGAGAAGAGAACTGGACGCAGGTGATAAGCAGCGAAAAAGGGAAATCGAAATAGCAGCATACCATTCGACCTTAAACGTTGTTCGAGTACCAGTGTTGGGTTCATCGTGTCGTGGCCCTCGTACGACACGAGCAGAATGCATCTGCGTGGAACGACACTGCTGAACGAAAAAGTGGAGGATCGGGCTGATTCCTTAGGGCTTGGCGTAGGATATTTAAACCAGAAACTGAGACCGGATGTAAACCAATCCGCAAATGCAGCCAAACGGGTGTCAGCTCTCGCTCCACCGGCGTGTCTGTGGCGCTCGAGCGCCAAAGTCTTAGACAAAATCTTCGGAGGAAAAAAGTTCAGATTGCGAAAGAACAACATCTTATCCTGGTTTGGAAGATGCAATGAGTCGTTGCCTATGAAGACATATGACTGCAACGCACTACGTATATGCTTTGGCACATTATTCACCAAACTGGCTGCCCGATGGTGGTCCTCCAGAAGAAGAGTGATCCCTTACATAAGCCGACTGGTCAATCGCTCGACTGGCCTCATTCTCCTCCAGACCATGCAGACACATTCCCTGCCCATTTGATGTCTCGAGAGTCCAAATAGTCCCCAATTGCGGTGAAAACTGCACTAGCTATATTCGGGTTTCACTGCAACGATACTACACAGGTTGAGATTTGACTTTGGTTTATTGTACAATACGTGGATTATTGGGGGCTCCATCCGCGAGTTTTGGAAGCAAGAAGATAGACAAGTTAGATAAGCAGGGTGCTATCAATAATAGGGTAGATTTTGCACATTCTGCAGCCAGTAAGTATTCAAGAGGGTGGCCGACGCTAAAGCGTACCTCAAAGCAAGCAGACAGTGTTGGAGGTGGTTTCATTTGCGCTCGACGGACACGAGTTTCTGTGTTACTTTTTTGACAATACTGGCGATGTAGCGCTGGAAGATGCGTATCAGCACAGGAAATGTAGTCAAACAAAACGCACTCGGAAGAATCTCAACAAGGCATGGAGCGTGGTTGTGGATGTGTGAATCGGCTGCGTCGCAGGCGGAGGCAGTTTCTGCGAGACAAAGAGAAGGATGTCACGTAAGAAGGCGATGGGAGTGATTGTCCACAAATGCTTTACCTGAACGGCATTGAGCTTCGATTCGCGGGGCACGTATTCGATTGGGGTCCAAGGAAACACAAGTACGTCGTTGTTTGGCCTTTGGGTGATGATGAGGGTGAACGAGGGGAAATCTGGAGGCGGAGGCAGCTCGTAGCGGCAAACAGTTAAAGGTGAAGGAGTGAGAGGCGCGAAGGGATGAACGGGGCCGGCTGTGGAGGCCATGGAAATGAGGACAAAGTCAGAATAGTGGGAGGAAGAGGAAAGGCGAATAAAGAAACTGCGCGAGTTATGCATTTATATGTGGGTCACTCTGCCGTTAAGCGCTCTGCTTTTGAATCGCGCACTGTCCTCGATGTTGGCATACGACTCAAACAACACACAGCCCATACTTCTTTCTGGGAGATGGTAAAAACCAGGCGACGAAACGGTCGCCGAAGCCGACTCACCACGAGCGAACCACACCCAAGAAGAGGGCAGAAGACGATGGAAACATGTTGAAATAGCCACCTTTGAGGCCATTAACCTTCGACAAGGCAAGTCCTGAGAGACGAATGCAAGGCAAATGATGACCACAGGCATCCACCAGCATTCCGAAGGTGAAGAAGTACCGCTGCAAACACTCGATGCCAGTGATCGATAATTTCACAGAACCACAAAGCGCTTCAGTGATTGAAAATGAAACTTTTGCGGGCCCTCTAATTGACTTGGAATATGCATCTGTCTCTGCGTTCCCGAATATCTTCAAGCTCTACGTTTTTGTCAAAAATCAAGCACGTGACAAGCAAGAGCATCAACAGAAACCAGCACTTTGTTTGCTAGGCTAGTGGGCGCATTCCAATGCTAATCTTGTCGCGCTTGAGAGAGACTTGAATTTCGACAACCCGACGTCTGCCAGCCAGGAATGTCCGCCAGCACACCAGAACATGAAAAGCCAGAGTAGGGCGCCCAAAAGACGAGGTCGGACCAACATTGAACAATCATGAAGTCAAGTTTGCGACGCCTGTCGACAAAGTAAAGCAGTTGGGCCTGTGAGGCAGCTGCACGTCGCTACAAGGGAGTGTCAGCTGCGGAATGGCAAGTGAACCATCGACGCACTTGAGACCAAAAAGCGACAATTATCGATCCACTATCCAGCAGGTCCTTCACCAGTCATCTCAGGGCTCCTAACCCGACAATTCCCGCGCTGGTAAGAAGCGGCCTTGCAACAATTTGTTGTCTGTTTCACACAAGGGCTTTCGCCTTCATCGCTTTGACGATTTGAAGCTCGTCCAAGAGGTGTCGCGGTACTCTTCTCTTGTTTGTAGAATCAACGGTGGGTTGTGGCTCTAATATTTGCGGACCCTGCCTAATATTGACCACAAGTGAAGAACCAAGTGGATTAGCTGCGAGCAGAAAGTGAACCGTATATCGACGCCAGTTCGGACTTCATAGGACGGCGAGTTGACTGCAAAGGTGTGTGGATTTTCGAGCCGCAAGGTGGTTGAAAAGAAGCCAAATCTGAAATCAAAGTTTCAAACCCCGATCGCAGCATCTCTTCCCTCTTCAACTACCTCCAGCTCCCATTGCATGTCCGGCCAAACTGTACTAGCTCACTTAACCCACAGTTACTCTTCCGCGCCTAAAGCTCAGGCTTCAAGAACGATATAGTGGCAGCAGTCATGTCCCAATCTTGTTGATGTATTCGCTCGTAAATCATCGAATGCCTCAGTGCAACTTGGGTGTTAATCCTTCAATAGCTCCAAATACCCATTCCGATATATCTCTTCCGGCCGCTACGAACCAGTCGTGTCCCTCTTTTTCTTTTCGAGCCACAACGCGACCCTGCTGCAGAGTGGTACTGGCCTTCTAGTCGGGTTCTCTCTGACCTTGATGCAGAACCTCATTATGTACACTGTCCATGAAAAGCTGGCGGCACCCTTCGAGCTGTGAGCATCTCTCAAGTATGACTTTGAGAACCGTTTGTCGAATTCCTTCGCAACATTGATGTTCGACGTTGAATGACGGTTGGCGCAAGGCCTCAATGTGTTTTGTACAAAAATTCGGCTGAGCATGAAAAGAGATGATCTCCGACCATAGTACGCCGCAATTCCGTCCTCTTTAATTTTCGCTGATGACAAAACACAGTTTTTGCGCCAGCTACATACCGTTACTTTCGATATCAAGCTACATAATGAGTATCTGCCACGTTCTCCTTGGCCGATCCTGGGCAAGATTCCGCCTCTTCATCCGCTCTTCTGGAAATATCACTTCAAGCTCAAGATAAAAACACGCGCTTAGCTCTTTTAATGACTCCATGATCGGTGGGAGGTTAACGAGTCAGTCGTCGTAATATTCCCGCCTTCGTGTCCTATCATCAATTGTCATAGGCGCAAAACTAGGGTACAAGCACTGCAGTGAAGTTATAGAGATACTTGTTGGATGCTTGGGAGTCAGAAGATCAGAAACGTATCAACATCTTCAATTCAAACGACAACGTTTGTGGGCGTCCTTCGGCTCGTTTTTACTGGAGAATTCTGAATCCTCATCGTTCATTTATGCAATCTTCGCTTTCTGGTCACTCCATTCTTCTTCTGGTTCCAAATCTTCGACATCAGGCTGCACACACACTTCGAGCCGAGAGGAAACTCTCAGACGTGTATCGGAACTGGGCTCCAGAACCTCAACAGCACCAAGATAGAAGCGCAGAAGCAAGATGGGCAGATGACCACCTCATCTTCACCCTGGATTTGCAACGCTATCCTTTTCAGAATCATGATTGGCAGAAAGACTGAGAAAGTTGCAATGCGGCCGTGTTCCTCGCTTTAATTCGACCGAATTTACCCACGCGCCCATCTGTGGGTCCCTCGAAGCCTCGGGATATAAATATTGCGAAGCTGTGGGCGAAAACGCAGCACCCAACCGTCACTAGTGAACAATGGCTTCAGCAACTCCCCAGGCCCTTACGCTTGCAAAGGAAAAAGTTGCTAGGCTCAATGCCGCGGAGAAACAGGTGTGCCTGGTCTCTCTCTCGAGTCACTATAATCACACTGCTGCTAGGAAACAATACTGTTCACGCTCAAAAACAAAAAACCTCTTGATTTCTCCTACACCGACCCCAAAACGGGCAATCGGACCACAATCACTGTAAACCCAGACGACAAACCGAAACTTAAAGTTTGGATTCATCGCGCAGATTATGACCGAACTCGACAATCCGTATGTGGCTACATATCTTACACTGGCACTTATCGACTCAAAATCAGGATCTTGATATCCCCCCCGAGATCGCTTTTTTCATGGTGCGCTTCAAGAAGACCCATGATTGGGAGGTACAAGGCCCAGAATCCTCCAGTAGGGTTTCCAGATCTGATTTGGTCGTTCGTGAGGAAGACAACTTGGAAGTGAGTGATCTTGAACCAACATGTACAGTATCATTGTCAATACCGGTCATTAACTCATTCAGGTCAAACGGTCGTATGTCCTATCACGACCTTGGAACTATATCTATCCTACTTCCGATGGGAACAAAACGATCCCTTTACCGAAGGGAAAGACCGTTTATCTCAAGACTGGGCCGATGTCGTCAACTACTAGCACAGTAAAACCGACTTACAAAGGGGGAATGTACTATACGTGCAAAGCCCCCATTCCCCATACCGAGGACGTCGTCTACGCGTGTTTGTCGGAGGTCAGGTACACGGAACTGTTTGAATAAGTCTCTCTCAGCTGTCCCACCACTTGTAATACTTCTTCTTGTCGTGTTTTGTCCTTTGACTCTGAATAACACAGCGGTTTCGCTGCATGCAACGTTGAAAACATGACTCATTGAACTGATTCGGACACGGTTCCGAATCTCTGTCTGTATACCCCCACACCACCGAGCGCAAAGGCTACCCCGGTCAGCCTGACCATCATCTCAGCAATTGAATGTACTTGACAAAAAAAAACGTGGCCCAAATTCGCCTCAGCTGTCAGCTGTCTGGGCGATCACGTGCCAGTGTGGTCACTCTTGTTGACACGCCCACACACACCCACAACTGCCTACGACGGGCTGGCCAGGATAAGAATGCCCTACGACCCCCTGGTGCCAGTATGACTGGCTCTCACTCTCCCATCCTCGTAATAATAATACATGCTAGATCTTTTTCGCTGTTGACCAAGACAACCCATTCAACGTTGACCTCAAAGCTCGTTTAGCTTTTTGGCGCGCAAAAGACGGATTTCTTCAAACGCATGGCTTCCAACTATACGACATTTCTGAAGTAGGCACATCATCTTTTGAGTCCAAACCTCGTGGAATGCCGGGGAACTTGAATGAGGGCTACCCTTATGCTACTTTCGACAACGTTTCGCAAGTTGATAATACCGACGACAGTGTACCCTCCGTATGTCTTGACTCTTCCCATTCGAGCCTACAACTAAACTTGAATGCAGTTCGAAGCTACGTCTATGGAAAGTTATCGCCTGAGCTACGAATCCCACCAAGCTCACGATGTTTTCAGGGGCTTGCTGTCTATGTAAATGACTCTCAGCAGCGACACTTGGTGGTCAAATTAATTCGAGATGGTTCTCAAGAGCATCGTAGTCTTCAAAGGGTCATGACGCACCAACGACTGACGGGCGAATTTATCCCGGGACTTGTCCCGAATCTCGACCTCATCCCATTCGATAATCATTGGCTCTTAGTAATGCCACGGTGAGCCTTGAATGCACAGAAATATACTCATAAACTCATGGTATGATAGATGGGGCGCAGCCTATGGCTGCAACGCCTGGTTTGCTTCTGTGAAATGCTTATTAGACTTTGTGGAGGAAAGCCTCGAAGGAGTGGTATTCCTTCATCAGCACAGGATCGTTCATAGGGTGCGTGTAGAGCAATTTCACGTCTTCAGGGTGGCTATAACCGGTGGAAAGGACCTGGCTTCCCATAATCAGTTTGTCAACCATGTATCGCCATCTGGAGCGAGTATTTCATCTCAACCAGAAAATCGGCTACGTTTGCAAAGCGAAAACTTTCTCCGATACGGCTGGCTGGATTTCGGCTACTCTGTCGCTCTCCCTGAAGATGTGGCGTTGGAAGATTGTCGTTTTCCTTGGGAAGCTTCCTTCGCAGGTGCTTACGATGTTCCACCTGACCTATGGCAAGGAGAGTACCTGTATAATCCCTTCGCGTTTGACGTCGGCACGCTGGGAATTTTCTTCTGCACTCACTTTCAGGTATCATTTGCCTCACTTGGCCCGTTTATCCATGCCCTGATGCTGTGAACAGCATCTGACGCCTCAAATCCATCTCCTTGCCCCGCTTCTAGATGGGATGACGCACCCCAATATTGGCTCGCGGTTAACTGCACAGAAAGCATTGGAGTTGCTTCGGCAGCTCAGAGATCGGCTTACCAAAAAGCAGCTTGCTGCGCAGTGTTCGCGATTGGAAAGGGTCGTCCACTTCGAGGACTTCGATCGCTGGAGGTCTCTACCTGCCGACTTCGTAGAAAGCTGGTCTCATTTGCGGTGGTCGCCAAGACCTTCAATGCTAACACGACTACTCCGACTCATTTGCGAATATCCACGCGTCATTCGAATAGTACGGACCGTTCGGTGGGCCATAGACAAAGTGTTGGCAAGACATTATAGCATATTCCAAGTACAATAATCGTGATCGAAAGTTCCTGCAGCTAGCATACTCATAATCACTCAGAATGAAACAGCTCAAGCGCATCATTTTGACGCACGTGATGATATTCAAGTTGCCATCGAACCTCACTTTCTTTGGCCCAAACTCTCAAAACTCTTTATGCATGACCACACACTGGCGCTCCCGCTCGGAGGTTTAATTTCTACTGCCGAAACGCATCAGTCGACGTGATCAAGGCAGCATCATCCAAGATCGCACTTTCTTACTGTTTTCTTCTCCTGGGCGCTTCTACATCCACCTTTAACCTCCAGAGCTACTAGTATTATGTTCCAAGGATCTTTTTGAATCCTTGATAACGAGTGCGTCCGACCAAGTTAAGGTATGGCCTAGCCATGAATCGCAAGCATTTTGCAATCATGTGTATGACGCTACCACCAAGCAGCTTAGCATTTTTCGGGATCGCCTCCACATGCACTACTAGTCTCTACTAGTACTTGCGGTGCCGGCCGCCGCTGCACCGGTTCTTTCTTTGCACCCCAAATCGACCAACAGTGTTGGTCTTGATTCAGACTCTTTTCAATTTGTGGCGCAGAGATCCGCTCAGTACCATCGACAACAAAAGCGTATCCATGAAGGGTAACTGCGCCCCCCCATCTTGCCATTGCACATCATCATGTGGACGAAGCATAGAGTTAGATGATCGAATGAATCATGCAGATCGTCGTCTCCAGCCTCTTTCCACGTGCGGCGGCGTGGCCTAGTAATTCTAAACAGTAGTTATGTGGGGTGTGGCAATAGGTAGCGGGGAGGTGTGTAGAAATCCGGCCAAAGTCGCAAATAGTGGATAAATAACTGGAAAAAATAGGGAAAAAAAGCAATCCACAGCAAGGTAAAAACAGCGCAAAGAGAAGAAGAATAAAGCAACTTTCCCCGCCCGAGAACTGATGAACTGTGCGGTACAACCCTAAAATCCCGAGAGCAAAAGAGAGCAAGAAAGAGTAACAAACGGGGCGGGGAAAAGGAGCACTGTAAGCTGCAGGTGCGAAAGGTAACAAGTGTGTATGCAGATCAAGGTAACGCTGCCATGGCAGAGGCAATACCCACGAGGAGCAGAATTCCAGGCCATAGACGTAGCCTTAACGACTCAGCTCCCGAATGAGCCGTTGCGAGTGTTGCATAGGATGTTCCACAATCAGCAACGGCAATCTTGGCGGCATTGGGGTATGCTTCTTTGAGATGCGCCAACGCCGGGGTTGTCGATGAGTTGCCTACCGCGGTATAGTATAGTGTCATCAAGCTCTTGGTACATGCGGAGCAAGATGCGATGGTGTTGTTGGGGACGCGTATACCGAGGGGGAGGGAGTAGAAGAACGTATCGGACGGATTCGAGTTGTGGACCGCGTTGAGATAGCAGTAGCTGTTGGTCGTAGGGTCAATTAGACAGCCCGCACTGCGCATCACACCATAGGCATCTAGGGCTGGAAAGAAATGAGCCAAGACGTTGTTATGCCAAAGGAAAATGACGCACCAGTTTGCGTGTTGACAGCCATGCTATTCCTATCCTTCAGGTCAATGGCACACGCTGATGCCAGATTGGCAGAAAACCAGGCCATATTCGCTGCACAGGCGTCTGCTGTGGGTTCCGTGTTGCATGTCCCCCAGACCAGAGTATTTAGACGGCTTAAATCCGACTGTGCCTGTGATCATGACATTTAGAAAAAAAGAGTAAATATGACGAGGGCCAAAACTGACCCCAATGAACGCGTTAGACGACTGCAAGAGAAGTGAGAATGCCCTGCAGGATCTGAAGGGGACGGTGTTGGTCATGTTCTGGAAGAAATTGAAACATGAGATAGTTGAAAAGTTCTGGCTGAGGGCCGTGTCGAATGGTTGAGGGAACGGAGCCGGAAGGGTAGGAGAGGTAGGCACAACAGGTACTGTTTGTTGCGACGGTGGGCCAGTCGGGGCGGGTGGCGGGGCAGACGACTGCGCTGAGCCAGAGAGAGTTGCAAACGCGGGAGTGTCTGCGCGCTTGTCGAAATAAGATATTTCGGAAGAGGAGAGCCAGTCAAAGGCGGCGGGGTGAGTGAGGTAGCGGGTAGACGCGGTTATGAAAATAAGCGCCAGAGGGACCAAGACGACTGTCCATCTTGTCCGTCTCCCAATTCGCCGCTTGGCATTGACATTGGGGGCGGTTGTGGGAGGGGTATTGTTTGGCGGAATGCCTGGAGAAGGCGGGGGCGTAAACATGAAGGAGAGTGGGCCCCGAAGGGAAGGAGCGTGAGGTCAAGTGAACGTCGTGGTCGAAGGCCCGCAGATCAAGATCATTTCAGGAACCCTCAAGCTTTCGATCTTACGTAAACATGTATTTTGACTAAGCATGAAAAACACAAAGCTTTTACATATTTTATTAGGAAATTCTCTCATTCCATCTCATTCTCCCATTCCATCAGTGCCGCCTGAACGTCCACCCACCATTTGCGTTCCGTCACCACTTTTACTCTCCCATCTTCCAATGCCAACGCAATTAACCCTCCCCGATCACGGCCAGTTTGCTGACCCGGCATCGGTGATCGGCTCCTTGACTTTTCCAGCTCGATAATGACCTTCTCTATCCTTCTCAATGTCGTCCTCTCCAATGCTCTCCTGCAAATCGCGCGTCACCACACTCAACTCTGCGCTTAGTGCTGATTGGGTCAAATGGACCTTGATCAAACACGGTGCGGCATTCGCAATCAAATTGAGCAATACGCTCGGCTTGATGGTCTGGCCAGGGGTCGGCGAGCCGCTTAGCCGTAGATATCGCAGCGCTGGGAGAGAGTCCACGCTGCCCATGTTAGTAGAGATGCCAAATACCCCGTGGAGGACAAGCACCCGCAAGCGCGGAAACTTGAGCTTGTAGAAGAGTGGGCTTGGGCGGGGGTAATAAACGTGCACATGAAGAGTTGCGAGCGTCCCGGCCAGAATGGTCAATATTCTTTGCACGCTCGACTCGATGGCTTCCATGCTTATACCGACCCACTCTGTCTCGGGAGAGATGCCAAGTTCGGGAAAGAGCCGCTCACTAAAGACCAGACCCCGCGCCCGCTCTTCCTGTAGTATGAGGCGCTCCGTAAGCCATGGCCGGGGACGCGCACAGCCAACAAACAGCGACTCGACGTTAGCTTCAGGGGTCGCATCCAGGAGAGCAACAAATCGTAGAATGGGTCTGGCGCCTACGAGTGCGATAGACTGGAATTTGAATGGGGCAGATATTGACCGCCAATCCTTCGAGACACGAGAAAGGGCCCGCCCAGCAAATCCGTCGTCGGTACATGCCAGGCAGTGGATTTGCGTCCATAATTCAACAGGTAGTTGTTGGGCCATCGCATGAGTCAAGCGAAACTAGCGCCGCAAATTCCCACGCTCCTCAGTCTGGGGATTTTCGAGTTCAAAGTCAGTAGTGTAGAAATACAAGCACAAGGTAAGTTATGTTCCATAGTCCAAATAGCTTTAAACCAGCCCAAGCACAACACACGCCCTCAAACTCACCTCTCTGCTCCTGATCCCGCTCTCACCACCGTCCACAAACCCGAGATCAATATACTCATCCGTCCTTGTCGAGCTGCTCTTCCACCCCCACGACTGGCTCACAGAAAACACGTCAGGCGCACTCGCATACCGTGTCTGGCTTGCCCCCGTGGCGCTCGCGCAGCTGATCGTGAAGTAAACACAGACCGCTGGTCGCGAATCGCGGTAGGGTGATGTCGGTGTTGACGGCGCAAGTGTTGCGCAACCACCAAGTGCCGAGCTAGAACTAGTAGAAGAGACAGACGAGCTGATCGAATGCGGGAGCGAAGAGGACACCGACACTGGTGTTGTACTTCGTGTTGGGAGATCCCTCTGCGACGAAGAGTTGAAGTTGGGAAGTGATGGACCGCGGTTGTGCGTTCCGACAAGACTGGTCACTCGCTCTCTCACGCCATCTCCCCGATGCGCGCTCGCCCCAGGCACGTCCAGCGAGCTCTGCCGATGCAAATAAATGCCGAGCTGCACTGAGGCCTTCTCCTTCTTGCGCGTAACTTGCACATACGTGTTGAACAAGCTCCCGCCACACCAGATCGTTTGCGAGTACAATCTCGCCTTGTCAGGCAACAGTTCCGCATCCCAGAATTCAACGCCGAATCGGACAGGCGGCTGCAATGTCCAACGAGCTGTCCCTTCCGGATCAGCGGCGACACATTCTTCTGCACTGTAGCGTCGAGCCTGGATGCCAAAGAAATTTGACTCCCCATTCGAGACACGGGCAAGACCAGTCGGTCTCACGGCGGCCGGTGAGGAAGCTCCCGATGCGGCATTGGAGAACGAAGTGGTAAACAGTTCGTCCATAGATACAGAATTACTGTTCTCGGAAGTGGGAGGGTGCACGCTACTTCCATTGTCGCCAATTCGTTGGGATTGATCCGTTGGAACAAGATAATACGGCCCTTTCGTGTCCAAAGAGGGATCAGAAGTGGCTAGCCGCGCACGAAGTTCCGCGGTTGTTACAGTTATGCCAAGTTCCTTCTCCCTCTGAACGGGTGAGCCAGGAGAAGGTGCGGGGGCTGGTCGTTCCGCTACGGGCGATATTGGCCTGGCAGTGATGTGTTGTCGCAGTATCGAGCTTTGCCAATGAGCTGCCTGGAGGACCGCAATAGAGACATAAGGCAATTTTGTTGTAGGCGAACTGTCTTTAGATATAAAGATCGCATCTTCCATCGACTGGGAGAAAGTCAGAGAAATAAGGGACTTGTAAAGTTACCAACCATGTGGCAGTAATGGATCCCCTCCTCAAATAACGTCTTCCAGGCGTCCTCCTCCTCCTGAACGAGGCCATGTCTCCGCCGTAATTCAACAACAGCCCGTGCAAAATCATATCGGCCTCGCTCCCCTTCGACAAATAATGCGTCTGATGAAATCAATGCACATATCCACGGCACGCTCAGGCCCCCACAGTCCCAGATAGCGGGAACATTTGAGAAATCCGGGACTGCAGCATCTGACTTAGCGCGGCGACGCGTGGTTGGGGCTGGTGTGGCTCTAATCCCGGCCTTGCGCTCTTCGTAGGCGAGGATGTCTGGCGCCCAGCGTGCTAACCAGGATGCTGCTGATTCCCCAATTTTGTCGGAGATCGCCCCGTAGTAAGAAACCTTCCGCGGGTCTTCATTAACGGTCGAGTAAGCCGAGGATGCGTCATCTTGGGAGGGAATTGCCTCCGCGATGTGTTCCAAGCCCACGGCTGAGTCAGGTTCATTGGGTTTTGGTGCCGGGATGACCTTGCCGAGGGCGAAGTTCAGGTAGGAAAGCACAGTGTGAGGTCCGATAGTGCTCAAAATCGAGGATAAGGCTTGCGCGGCCACGAGGGGAATGGAAAGATAGACCGATGTCGCGAGCAAAGACAGTAAAAATCGTGGAGTTGCAGGATGGTGCCCCTGAGGAATGCTGGAGTCGATATTGGATGTGAAGGGGAATGCAGTCGTCAGCGGGTGGGATGTGGTGGGTATAAGTGAAGAAGATATATGCAATGGTGGTCCTCCACCGTAGAGTCGCGAAATGCAAAACTCGAACGCTGGACAAGAAATTGAGCGTCAAATGGTATTTCTAGTTGTGAGGCACACCTGCGCGCGTTATATTCGCGTCATCGAAAACAATAGTAACCTCTGGTTGCGCCTTTATTCGACTCGATTCCGCAAAACCTGCAGTGAAAAGCGACGAGAAGAAGCCGGCTTGGGTGAGGACTACTCTGTGAAGCCGGTAGTTCGAGCTCCAGTTGGTCGCTCGGACGAGGAGGATAACGTCGGGTGCGCGGGCGTTGATGAGAGAGTCGTAAATGTGGTGTTGTAGGTTCATGAAGAGGATAGGTGGCGGAAGTTGGGCGGAAGAGGACAAGCCTCAAGTAGTCAATCGGTCCGAGCACAGCATTGTGCCAGTCTTGGCTTCTCCACAAACTTCCACGATCATGATTCACATTGGCAGTCTGGAACTATCTACGCCCCTGGTAAATGCCTCTTGTGCATGGGCGTCGGACCTACAGCAGCTCCAAGCACTCTTTGACTGCGACTACACCGGAGCAGTCATCACTCGCACTGCGACACTACAAGGCTTTACTGAAGACGCGACTCACACAGTCAGCGCCATTCCGCTCGCAAAGTAATCCTTGACCAACTTCATTTAAGGCTGCCTTTGCCTCGCAGTCTCTGAGCTCCATCAACTCATATGGCTACAGCCCTCACGAACTCGCCCAATATCTTCTCTGGATCGACACCATTCTCTCCAGTGCCAAGACGAAGAAACCATTCATTATTAGCACCACCGCCTCCGATCCAAAGTCAATGGAGCTCGCCGTTTCCGCCATCCAATCGCTGCGTGCTAAACACCCGCAAGTCGGCATCGAATTCAATACATCGTGCCCTAATATTCAAGGCTCTCCACCGGCGGGATATACCCCCCGAGAACTCGTCCCTCTACTCAGTGTACTTGCGGATGCGTGGGCTCTCGACCCAACTCTTACCATTGGCCTTAAACTCCCGCCATACGTTCATGCAGCCCAGTTTATCGAAGTGATCAGCGTCCTCCGTGCTCTTTGTACCCTCCAACCTGGCTCTGGCGGCGCACGAAGCCCAATAGCCTATATTGCATGCACTAACACTCTCGGAAACTCGTTGTTGTTCCCAGACCAAGTCGACGAGTCTGCTGCGTCAGAGTTTGCCCTGCCCACTGGGCTTGGAGGGTTGGCTGGAGACGCTCTGCATCCCCTTGCGCTTGGAAATGTCCACAGCTTCTCCAAAGCTTTGGCTTCGGAGGGCTCTAATTCTGGCCTGCGCGATTTGATCATTATTGGCATCGGGGGTGTGACCAGTGCTGCGGCAGCGGAGCGTATGAGAAAGGCAGGAGCTCATGTCGTTGGAAGTGCAACACTTTTTGGAAAGGAAGGTATTCGCGCATTCGAGATTCTGGCCAAAAACAAGTAAGTTGAGTTGAGTCAATTTCTGTGTTGGATATGTACATATACCAGTGGAAACCTTGGGGGAGGACAGTTGTTTTCTGACTTCAGTGTAAAATAATATTAAAATTAGAAGACTGGAACAATTATACTTGCAGTGGGACCCAATTGAATCCGGTATTAGCGAGGATATACCCCACAGTGAATTTTTTTGCCATGCTCTTCGAAAGCGACTGAAAGCATCGTCTGCTTCTATCGATATGATCCAGCTTAGGCTTAACCGGGTATCTTTCGTTTATATTGCTTGCTCTCTCACTCGAGCGTGTAAGTTCAGAGAATCTCCATCCAGCCACTTGTTCATGGCTGGCATTTGGTGCATTGTGATCGCAATTCGCAAACTAGATTCAGAATAACCTTGATTCCACTCTTTGAACACCAGAATGCTTCATCGCGACAGAAGCAGGATTGACGTCGCAGTCTGCGAACAACGAAATGCTTGCGTGAGAATCACCCTCATTGCCATGAAGTCGACGTTTGGGAGGACGAAATTTAGAGAAGGTTGGCAGAGTTATGTTGAGTGAGTTCAGAGCAGTTCGATCAACAGAAAGCGTGAAGGCCCGAAGGAATGTAGGGAAATAGCTGAATATTTTGTCAAGAATCTAGAGAAAGGCTTCGGAGGGGCAGAAAGATTGGTTATGTCCTAGGTCTTGAACAATTGGGGGACTGAAAGTTACCAAGCGATTTGACCTCGAGCTCGACTCTGTCGACGTTATGGACTAGTATAGCCGAGAAGAATGTAAGCAATGCCATGGGAGCTCAAGACTTTACAGGTCCTGAACCATACAAACATTGTGGTAGCTGCTGCAGAGAATGAATATGTATGCCTTGCCAAAATCGGAACTTGAAATTGTGATTTCTTGCTTTCCACCACCCAACCACCAGCTACCCCTCTCCTATCCGCAAAATTCACAAACCTGCACGACCAAACCTCAGTGTCCCTCCCGATTTGACTTTCGTGTGGATAAATGGCCCATAACTAATCCATTCGGTTGTCGCTCGGTCATTTGGCAATGTTGGCCAGTGTTCACAAATGTTCAAGAAACAACCCACCCTCTATTGTGCGAACAACAGAGGAGTTTTGGAGTAGTACTGCAGAACTTCCAAGACGTTCTGAGTCTTCTGACGTTGAACTGCACGATAGATATGTCGCAAGCCGCAAGCAAGTTCGCTTCTCGCCAGCGCATATATCAAGGAGTCAGAAACTTGGGCGCTAAGACGCAAGAGAAAGCTGGGCATGCAAAGATTCTCCAGGTTCTTATTGCCTTGGTTTGGGTCTTGGGTGCGTGGGCTGTTTGGTTATTATTTCGCGACCTACTCTTTTTTTTAGAGCGACCGCAAAGAATCATGGTGCTGTCTAGTAGGCCCAAAATGCTCTTTGTCGACGGACGTCGTGAAGCTTGACTTCATCTTGGCTGCTGATCCAACATGGCAATGCACTATAGCTCTTAATCTTCTGGTGTGGCTGGCAGACAATTTGTTAACATTCAGACCTCCCACATTCGCGACAAGTTCGCAAACAAGATGCTGATGCTTTACGTGTCACAAAAGATCTTTCAACGAAATGAAGGCATTGAAGATATCCGGGAACCAAGAGAGGCGATCGCATGTCCAGGGTCGCGCATAATCGCCATGTGTAACGATTAACACGTTGTGACACAGCTTGTTTCGTGGTGTCACTTTGCGGTATTTCTTCGACTTGAATAATGCTGGTCCAGATTTGCAGTCACCTGCCTTAGAACTTGCATATTTGCTTAGCAGGCGGATATTCACCATAAAAGCCTTCTCTTGACACATTTGTTCAGTCTCGATCGTCATCTACCCTTTTCTTGGGCGTGGTTTACGCATGCTCCGGCTTTGGAGCTCGTTCTATTGCCTGACGTTGGTCGTCTGCAAGAAGTGCGGATTGTGTGTTGCTGGATCGGAGGTCGGCATTGAGGATAGTGCGCGATTCAAGAACGGAGCACTTAACGGCAGAGCAACCCACATATAAATTCTCAGAGGTCTTTATTCATTCCTCCCACCACTTCGACCTTGTCTTCATTCCATGGCCTCCACAACCGGCCCTGTTCATCCTTTCGCGCCTCTCACTCCCTCGCCCTTAACGGTTTGCCGTTACGAGCTGCCTCTGCCCCCAAATTTCCCTTCATTTACTCTCGTTATCACCCAGAGGCCAAACAACGACGTACTTGTATTTCCTTGGACCCCAATCGAATACATGCCTCGCGAACCGAAATCCATTGCTGCCCAGGTAAAGCATTCTTATCACTACCATCGCCTTCTTACGTGACATCCTTCCCTTTGTCCAGCAGAAATTACTATCGCCTGCGACGCAGCCGGCTCAGACCTCCACGTTCCGTGCACTGTTGAGATTCTTCCGGGTGCGTCATTCTAACCATATTTGCTCTGCTGAGACACACCTTCTAGCGCTGCGTTGCCTATATCGTCAAAAAATTCCAATGCAAACGCGCTCATCGAGCGTAAATGATGGAACCACCAATAAACTTGTCGACTTGTCAATGAGGTGTAGGCTTTGGTTGCCCTTTTCAATGCTGATTAGGTGCAGAATGGCGAAGTCTATTCTATTTCCCTACGCTGCCAGCTTGCTATCAAACCTGCATATCTTGCTTCTAAAACCCGCGGATGGAGCATTTCCTTATCCCCAAATAATGCCCCCTATAATCCACGTATCGTACATACGAAACTGAAACCTCAAACTGTAATAGTATGGCAGTGAAATATTACGGGACAATTCCGAAAGAGCTCCCCCCGCGTTTCGTGGGCTATAATCCTGACCCTCGCTATGTAGACATTTCCGGTTTTAAATTACCGCAATTTCCCAGGGCCTTTCGCGAACTCGGGGAAGGTCCATCTCAGCAGTACCTTTTCTTCGTGACTGAGCGAACGCCGAAGGCTCTTAGAGGCATCCTGACGCAGTTTTATAGCCAAGAGCTCTACGCGAGATACTGTGACTGGGAGTCGCCGTACACTGTCGGTCATTGGGTCAAGATACTCTCTACCAACTGGCGGTTGTGGACCGTGACAGCGAGTGGTCCTTCGACGGAGGTACCGCATGAGATGGTTCAGGGCATAGGCTGTAGCACTGTCGTCGAGTGAGTTGGATTCGTTCCCGGGATGAAAACGAGCACTGATGATGGTATAGGCGCGATATACTGAAAAGGACGATGTAAGGAGAATAGAGTGTGAGGAGAGATAGAATATAGCGGCGAGCAGCGCGGTGCGGTGGTTTCCGTCAAGGAAGTGTTGGTGCAGACGGATGGAGAGGGCTAATGAAGCTGCGTTGGCAATGATAGCTCGAATTGAATCTTTGGGGTATGAAATCGGACTAGAGATGAACGGAACATTATAACGATGTCTGTACGAGTTTGGCTGCCCAGCTGGAGTGACTCCTGAGGTTGCAACGAGGTTTACTTGCAATCGATGGTCACGATTGTGCATTATAAGCTCAGAATCTGGAAATTCCATGAAGGGCGTAGTGGCCTGGGCACCATAATATTTCCGTAAAAGAGACTCTTCCTCAGGAGAGATAGGGTTGGTCGAAATGAGTGTTTGCATTTCCGTCGTTCAGGGTGTTCGTTGGAAGGAAGCTGCACGTTACACGAGGTTACACGACGTGACCGTTACATCACACAGCGTGACCTTTCGCGTTTCGTTCCATCATGGCCCGAGGGTCAAGCAATTTTGGCCTCTCTTCTCGTGGACGAGGCTCATTTCGTGGCCAGCGCGGAGGTGGCTCCGTACACTTTAGAGGCGGCAGAGGGCGAGGACGTGGGAGGGGAGGGGGAGCAGGGTCAGAAGGCGCACCGCGACGCGACGATGACGGGACACAACTTGCCGAACGATTCGAAGAAGTCAGGGTGTCTGATGAAGTCGACGAAAAACTCGGGTTTCCAAGAGTTCAAGAGGGATTGCAGAAGGAAGGCTGGCTCGTCAACATGCATCCGGTGTGTTGCCTTTTTCTCGTTGCTTTCGACGACAGCAATTCACATGGCTTAGACACTAGTCAAAGACGCTGAGTGGCCCTCAGGCAAGGCTGCTGTTGACTTCTACTTCATTCAAGACGATGGCGGCATGTTTAAATGCACTTACCAATACGAACCCTACTTCTATATTTCCTGCAAGGCGCGTCTTTTGTCTTCCGTTCTTTGAAGACTCTTATGTTTGCCTAGAACGGCACAGAAACGACGATAGAGGAGTGGCTAAACAAGAAATATGAAGGGCTCATATGCCGCATCACACGCGAATGGAAGGAAGACCTCAAACTCCCGAACCATCTCATGGGACATCGGCGATTATATCTGCAGCTCTGTTTTCGCAACGTATCAGATCTCCTCGCAGTTCGAAGAGAGATAGTCCCTCTTGCACTGGCCAATAGTGCCAAACGCGACGCCGTTGACGCGTATGCTGAAGTTGTCAGCGCATCAGCAAGCGCGAGCATGGATATAGATTTTGAAGACGAATGGGGTGGTCGGGCGACGAAGAAAAATGGAATTCGGGACAGGGACCCTCGAGAAAGCATCATTGACGTTCGCGAGTTCGACGTGCCATATTACCTTCGTGTCGCCATCGACAACGACATCCGTGTTGGGCTCTGGTATGCAGTCACATTTACCGCTGGCCAGCCTGCTTTTCGCCACATCGCGGAACGAGTCAAACGTGCGGACCCCGTCGTCATGGCCTACGATATAGAGACGACAAAAGCGCCACTCAAGTTTCCTGACCAGGCCATAGATCAGGTCATGATGATTTCGTACATGGTTGATGGTCAGGGCTACCTCATCACAAACCGTGACATCGTTAGTGAAGACATCGATGATTTCGAGTATACGCCCAAGGAGGGGTATGAGGGCCCCTTCATTGTGTTCAATGAGAAGGATGAGGTGCGCTTTCCAAGCATTACAATCTTTTCAGGGAATTGATTGTCCTAGGCAGCTACAATTCGTCGCTTCTTTTCTCATATTCAAGAAGTTAAGCCAACTGTAATGGCCACATTCAACGGCGACTTTTTCGACTTTCCATTCCTCGATGCACGTGCCAAAGCCAACGGTATCGACATGTTCCTCGAAACCGGCTTTGCCAAAGATTTGGAGGACGAGTACAAGAGTCGTTGTTGCGTCCACATGGACTGCTTCCGGTGGGTGAAGCGGGACTCGTATTTACCCCAGGGAAGTCAAGGTTTGAAGGCGGTCACGACTGCAAAGCTGGGGTACAATCCCATCGAACTCGATCCTGAACTGATGACACCGTATGCCTTCTGATTCTCTTTTCTTCGGATTTGCTGACAGTCCCGATAGATACGCGGTTGAACAACCCCAAGTACTTGCGCAGTATTCAGTGTCAGATGCTGTTGCGACATATTACCTCTACATGAAATACGTCCACCCATTCATCTTTTCGTTGTGCAACATCATCCCGCTCAAGGCCGACGAGGTTCTCCGCAAAGGAAGCGGAACTCTCTGCGAGACTTTATTGATGGTGATCTTTGTTTTGCCTGCAGTGAAAAAACATCAGAGTTAACGATGGAAAATTCCAGGTTGAAGCGTATCGTGGACACATTATCATGCCAAACAAGCATGAAGAAAGCCATGGAGCCATGTATAACGGACATCTCGTTGCAACCGAAACCTATGTCGGTGGGCACGTAGAGGCGTTGGAGGCTGGAGTATTCAGGAGTGATATTCCGACACATTTCAAGATCGAACCTTCCGCAATTGAACAGGTTAGACTCATTTTCAAGATCCAGTCGACTTGCTGAAAGCATGCACAGCTTATCGAGGAACTCGATGCGGCACTGACATTCTGTATCGTCGAAGAGTCCCAATCATCAATGGACAAAGTGACCAACTACGACGAGGTCAAGAACGAAATCCAAAGAATGCTTGAAGTTATGCGCGACGAGCCAATCAGGATGGACAACCCGCTCATCTACCATTTGGATGTAGCCGCTATGTACCCCAACATTATGTTGTCGAACCGCCTTCAACCTGACTCGATGGTGGACGAAGCCGTATGTGCTGTATGCGACTACAATCGGCCTGGTAAGACCTGCGATAGGCGGCTGGAATGGGCGTGGAGGGGAGAGTACTTCCCTGCTCATCGGGACGAGTTCAACATGATCAAACATGCGCTCAATCAGGAGAGTTTCCCGCCCAAGAAACTTGGGGGCCCGCAACGAAGATTCCCGGACCTCACGGAGGCCGAGCAGACTGCCCTTTTGCACAAGCGGCTGGGAGACTATTCGCGCAAGGTTTACAAAAAGACCAAAGACACCAAGATCGAGAACCGCGAAGCCATTATCTGCCAACGGGAGAATCCATTCTACGTCGACACTGTCCGCCGCTTTCGGGACCGCCGATATGAGTATAAAGGGTTGCACAAAACCTGGAAAAAGAACCTCGACACGGTCGTTGCAGAGGGCAAGTCGTTGGGCGAAGTTGACGAGGCAAAGAAGATGATCGTGTTGTATGACTCGTTGCAACTCGCCCACAAGTGCATTCTCAACTCGTTCTACGGGTACGTGATGCGCAAAGGTGCCCGATGGCATTCGATGGAGATGGCTGGTATCACGTGCCTAACTGGTGCGACGATCATTCAGATGGCGCGTGCATTGGTGGAGCAGATCGGTCGCCCGTTGGAGCTCGATACGGATGGAATATGGTGCATGCTTCCAGGAGTGTTCCCGGAGAACTTCAAGTTCAAACTCGACAACGGCAAATCGATTGGATTTTCGTATCCCTGCACAATGCTCAACCATCTTGTCCACGCCAAGTTTACAAACCATCAGTATCATGACCTGGATCCCAACACGGGCGAGTACGTCGTCCACAGCGAGAACTCTATCTTCTTCGAGTTGGATGGGCCGTACAAGGCAATGATTCTGCCGTCTTCGAAGGAGGAAGATAAACTGTTGAAAAAACGATACGCCGTGTTCAATGACGACGGAAGTCTCGCAGAGCTGAAGGGATTCGAAGTCAAGCGACGCGGAGAGTTGCAGCTCATCAAAATCTTCCAATCGCAGTTGTTCGAGAAGTTTTTGCTGGGAACGACAACGGAGGAGTGTTATGCTGCTGTTGCACAAGTTGCAGACCAATGGCTCGACGTTTTGTTCAGTCACGCGGATAATTTGAGTGACGAAGAGTTGGTCGAGCTGATTGCAGAGAACCGTAGCATGTCAAGGACGCTCGCGGAATATGCGGGCCAGAAATCGACATCTATCAGCACAGCTAAACGACTAGCGGAATTCCTCGGTGATCAAATGGTCAAGGATAAGGGCCTTGCGTGCAAGTTCATCATCTCCGCAAAACCGATAGGCGCTCCAGTTACAGAACGCGCTGTCCCTGTTGCTATTTTCTCTGCCGAAGAGAGTGTCAAGCGAACCTATCTTCGGAAATGGCTCAAAGACAACAGCTTAACCACCTTCGAATTGCGGGAGATTCTGGACTGGCAGTATTATATTGAACGACTTGGGTCCGTTATCCAGAAGCTCATCACGATCCCCGCAGCAATGCAGAAAGTTGCCAACCCTGTTCCGAGAATTCGACATCCAGACTGGCTTCACCGTCGTGTCGCTGGTGCGGTAGACAAATTCAAGCAAAACAAGATGACAGACTTCTTCCGAGTGATGACGGAGGAGGAGAAGACGCAGCAAACCCAACCCCAAACGCAAGACATCGAAGATATTGGTGGGGAAGGGGACCGAGAAGGTGGCCAGAAACGGGCTGTGGTGAAGAAACGAATGCGGAAGGAGGCTCCAGCGCCAGAAGAGACGCCGATTCCGAGTCCTTCAGTAAACTACTCTGCATGGATCAAGGCTATGCGGCCGCGCTGGAGGCTGAAGCAGCAATTGCGCAATGGCTCGGGTGGGCCTGTGGTTGTACCAGAGATGTTCAAAAACGTCAAGGTTCGAACAAATCGACGATGGGACGTCATCCAAATTCGTCCAAGCAAAACTCCGGGACGGTATCTCCTTTGGTTGTCAGTGGACTCTGACATTGTTTCGCTCCCATTGCGGATTCCTCGCGAATTCTACATCAACATGCGTACCGCTAAAGAGGAGTTATTCCAAACCGAGTTGTACGTCTGGGAGAAGGTTACGCGTAGTCTGCCGCGAGACCTTTCTTCTGCAAATCTTTACAAGATATCAGTCAGAGAGGATGTGTACCAGCAAAACCAGGAGCATTTTATCGACTTGACGAACGATCCAAATGTGGATGGCGTTTACGAGTTACAGGCAAGTCATGTGACCGCGATATTGATGTAATGATTCTCACGATTGTAGGTGCCCCTGTACTTGCGTGCGGTGTTCAAGCTAGGCAAGACTTGCTCAACCAATGACTCGAGCACGTCTCTCAACCGGGCTCAGACCACCGGCCTGGATCTCTCTCAAATGGACCGCGCGGGAAGCACTTTCTCGAAACAAAAGTATTTCGACCGCGGCCAGGACAAAAAATACTTGTTTTTGTTCCATGCCCAGGGTGCCAATTCACCTCTCCATGTATTTGCGCTGTTTCTTCCAAACGGGACGGTCAAAATGCATCTAGTCGACCCAGCAACTCGGAGGCAACCTGTTTCTCGATTGGCGAGTACATATGCGGATTTTCTTACTACCTTCCGGGAATCTGCGTACGCCAAATCGAGTCCATATCCCTATCCCGATGCCCTAGAGTTTAGCACCACATATCACGGCAACGATGGTACGGCCCTCAAGGCCCTCTCTCGCGAACTTGGGTTATTGGAAGACAAATCATACATCATAGTTTTGTCTTCGAGCAAGGACGATTCTTACTTCGAGCGACTCGTCCCCAAGTTGTCCAAATTCCCCGTCCTCTCGATGACCAAAGCGCGAACTTCACACATCCTCGACATGTATCCGTGGCAGACCGACCTCCCCAAGAAGCTCTTCCGTCGCTACTTTGCTGTTGGCCCACATTTGGATCGGATGGCGACAATCGCAGATTACTATGACATACCGATTGGACATATTGAGGGAGACCACCCACTATTCCTCTCAGATGTATCATTCGCTCGCCGTCTTATTCAACAAGACATGGTTCTATGGTGGTCTCCAGGCGAGCGACCCGACCTCGGTGGTATCGAGGACGACCGGCGACCTACTGAAGAGTTTCCCAAAACGGAGTTCATGTCTCCCGGTGCATATTCGAACGTCTGTCTCGAAGTCGTTGTCCGCAATCTGGCTGTCAACTCTGTTCTACACTCGCTTGTCGTGAACGAACTGGAGGGAAGCGGTGGTGCGACCGCCTTCGACTCGGTGTCTAAAACCATGAACGAGTATGCCAAGGGAGAATCATCGCGTGACTTGACGCTTGGCGAATCGAACATTTCGACGCAGATGTTTAGTATTATGCGGTCGATGGTCAAAATGTGGCTTCTTGACAAGATAGAAAGTCAATTCGATGGTCCGGCAAACATGGTCCTGGACCATTTCTGGAGATGGATCAGCTCCTGTGCATCTCACATGTACGACTCTAGCATTCACCGCTTCGTCCACGGATTGATGCGCAAGACCTTCATCCAATTGCTTGCCGAATTCAAACGACTCGGGTCACATATCGTCTATGCCGATTTCAGCCGCATTGTCCTTGCGACATCGAAACCACCCGGTACCGCCCATGCTTATGCGACCTACATCACAAGCGCGGTCAACTCGCACGAGCTATTCCAGCATATTTACCTGCACGCCGGTACCTTCTACGACTATCTGCTGTTCATGGACCAGGCCAACTCAGGCGGGATTGTCTGCTCTGACCCAGAGGCCGTTGACCCACCAGAGACTCTCGAAGTTGAGGATAATTGGAACATCGCCAAATTCCTGCCGCCAGCCGTGCAAGATGACTTCAAAGCCGCTATTCAGTATTTCATCGTAGAGATGTATAAACTGCGGCAACGAATAACGGGAGGCGGGCGAGCTCCGCTTCGTATCATCCACAATGCCGATGGGGCCCCAGATTCGACCCAACGCGACGCTGGAAAGGCGAAAGAGATGGAGATGGTGCAAGAGTTTATTTCGCGGCGACTTACGCGGAAGCTTTTGAGGCTGGTTGGGGCTGCTCAGGAGCGATATCGTGACGCCGTTATGGACGAAGATGCCATCGTACAGTTCGATTTCCCGCTCCTTCCTGGTTCTCATCTCCATTTCGCCAATCCTACCCTAGAGCTCACGAAGATGATTTGTGCTGCGCTGGGTCTGGCAAAGGAGTACCATGTCGAGCTAGGCTTATTGAAGCGGAGCCTGCTCGAGCTGATTGGGGTGCGCGAATTTGCGGCCGAGGCTGTTTTCCGCAACCCCTGCGAGCCCTTGAAGCTGTTCAATGTGGCTTGTCAGCATTGCGAGGTGATGCGTGACATGGATTTCTGCCGCGACACAGACTTGGAGGTGACTAGCACCGGCTCGCATCAACGCTGGACATGTGGGGAGTGCGGGGGAGAATACGACCGGCTCGCAATCGAGTTTACGTTGATTGACATGGTCTACAGCATGGAGAGGTCATTTGCGCAGCAAGATTTGCGCTGCTCCAAGTGCCAACAAATCCAGTCAGACAATGTCTCGCGCTATTGCCAGTGCTCTGGCGCATATCAGCAAACGCAAAACAAAGCGGAGGTGCGGAGGAAATTGAAAACAATCGTGAATGTCGCCATTGTGCAAAATCTTCCGCGGCTCAAAGTGAGTTTTAGTCTTGGTTTACTTGGCACTTGCTCATCTTCTTCGTTCAGGAATGCGCACAGACCATGTTGAACAGTTGGTGAAACCTGACATACCTCTTGTATCGATACCCTCGCAAAGCACTCATACCAAAGATGTAGCCCAATAATGTAGATTTAAAAGTTTTGGATGAAGACTTCATAGGAGTATGCTGGTTAAGGAACGATGTTCTGGAGCCATGCCACCAAGTCGTCGATCTCTTGCGAGCTGATTGAATGACCCAGTTCTTCATAAGCGTTGAATGTGAGCCCGGTGGTACCGCCAGTGGATGGCGGTACGCCGATCTCGGAGGTCAAATATTCGATAGAGGTAAGCGCGAGAGTATAGGTAAGCACTGCGTCTGCTTTTCCGTGACCCCAGAAGATGGGAGTGCTGGCGGCCTGTGGCACGGACAGCTGGGGGGTGAAATCAGTTGTGCTTCGAAAAGGGAGAAATATTCTCGAAACTCACCTCTTTCGCCCGTGAATACCCACCCTGCGCATCACGGAGCGGAAGGCGGCCACTCAAGACTGCCACCCCGCGCACGCGAAGCTTCGAAACCAAAGCTAGGAGGAGCGACATGGTGCCGCCCTGTGAAAACCCGCCGACAACAATACGCTGGAGCGCAATGCCCGCAGCAACTTCGTTGTCAATCAGCCCCTCGAGCCATGCAAGGCTTTCGAGCATCTGGGCCTCGTCGTCTGCTGCTGGGGGAGAAAAGGACCGGACATCGTACCAGGCAGGCATCTGGCGTCCGCTGTTGGCGGTTATGGCCCGCTTTGGCCTGTTTGGTCATCAACTTTGAAAGATTTGAGGCTGCTCAGACGACGAACGCATGTGGGAGAACGAATTTACAGTGCCCCAGCTCAGCGGATTGGAGCTGGGTGGCGTCGTGGCGAGTTGTTTGAGGCCGTGGCCAGAGTCACCCAGGCCATGAACGAGGATGATTGTCGCTGAATGCAAAGTTTGGGCGGGGATGGTGAAGAATTCAATCATGGTGGTCATTCAGCTATTACAGGCGTCCTTTAAAGAGGAAAGGTGCCTCAGTCAGCTGCGTAAGGGTGGGTATCCAAGCAGAGTATCAATAGACTGTGAGAGGTCAGCATAACGTGTAAAGTGTTTGTCAGCAGAGATAATCTAAATCTTATCGTCAATAAAATTCCCACGCCAGTAATCGAGGAATGAGTGAATGTCAGTGCGGGTATGAGTACAAGATAGCGTCCAATGCTGTTCTATTGTGATTAATGTTTATGCAAGCTTGGCGAACCCAACTGCCTTCTGCTTCACATCGAAAACAGAGTAGACGTTCTTCATGAAGGCATCGCCCAGCAGCCACACTCCGTTGCCCAACCCAAGATCCTGCGCGGCAAGCGACGCAACACAGTCGCTTGACCCGGCTTTGGTCTGGCCAAGGTTGATGTTAGCGGAAGAAATTGTCCAGTCTTTGCCTCCCCAGTTGAAGGAGATCTATAATCGTATCAGTGCTGATTACTGTATAACAAGAAAAGCTATGCTTACCTGAGGTGGGGAGTTGCATGGATACGAGTAAAAGCCTGGTGACCATAAGCTTATGCAGATTTCATCAACTTTCCCGGCGCACCATTGGAAGCGTCGAAGAGTTTAGATCCCTTTACACTTGCAAAGATCTTCTTGACGGCATCGGGAGGCCCATACGCAAGGGTGGTGCTGAAATCGCTATCAACACTCCTCATAACAACGAGAAGGAGAAGAGATATACCCAGAGTCAATAATGGTTTGGATACCAGAGACAACGGTCGAGGTGCCAATTTTGACCTTGCCGTTCGTGGCCTGCCAGAATCCACCGGACGCATCGACGGAGTGGAACTCAATTGCGCCAGTGAACAGCTTCGAATTGGTCCCACCAATGTACAGCTCTGAGCCCGTTTGCGCGAGGTAGAAGCTGAACTGTTGGGTCTTGACGTTGCCGTTGCTGACTGCAGTGTAGAAGAAGGGGTCGTGCTTCAGGTTCGAGATGGCAGGGAAAGCCAGACCCAGAATACCTGTAGTGAGCAAGTTAGCATGACAGCCGCGGCGGTCGGTGGCGATACGGTGGGCTTACCGTCAATAGGGTCGTCGTCGAAGCTGGAGCTGAGGGTGGTCACAGGCGAGAAGTATTGCTTGCTCGCTTTAATGCCCGCAACAGCAACTATGGTGATGTTAGCCAAAAGACCCTAACTGTAGAAATGATTAATCCCACCTGTGTCAGTGTAGACGCCCCCGCTGACGGTGGAACCATCGCCATATTGGATAGAGAAGGAGCCCGACTTCTTGGCGCTGGAGGAAGACTTGGATACAGCATAGCGGCTCTTCTTTTTGCACGTGGAGCTTGTGCAAGAACTAGATGGCACCCAAAGGTCGGACGAGCCAGCTGTGGCATTTCTTAGTTGGAAACGTATACCAGTTCAAGAACCACGCACTGTCGAAGTCGATGAGGAATTTCTGGGCAGGTGTGCCAATAGAGATCGAGCCAGCCCACTCGAGGTCGTTCTCCTCATCGGTGAGCTTCTCAGACTGGCGCTTAACAGCGCGCTGTTGCATACGCGCCTCAACATCAAGCGGCGTTTTCCGGAGCTCTTTAATTTCCGCACCCTACATAACAATAAGTATGAATGAACTTTCGGGAAATGAAAGAGTCGGACCGCATTGAAGGCGGCGATACCCTTGTTCTCTTTCAAAGACAATAAGTTGTTCCGGTGTTTGTTAGCTGTGAGGACGGTGGCTGCAATGGCCCTGTCGTGGTCGAATACTCCAGCAGAAGTAGTCAGCCCAGCGCGCTTCGCCATTGGAATGGCGACGCCATCCGATTCCCGCTTGGACGGGTTTGGCTCGCGGGTTGGACCTGCGAAGGCTGACACAGCGAGGGTGATGGTAAGAAGGAGAGACGCCTTGTTGAACATGGAGAGCAAGGAAAGAATGGCGGTCGGTAAGAAAAGAGTCGACTGGAGAGTTGAACGATGGGTGCTGACACCTTATAAAGGCGCCGGTGGTGATTGCACAACACGGGAGTGAGATGAGAGGTAGAGCGGTCGTCAGGGTTCCGCGTCAAAAAGTTGGACAATGAGGAGAGCATGCGGCCATCTGCATCTGCATGGAAGCCGTCACGAACACGTCAAGCTAGCACCCCTTTAGCTGATGCTAGAAATAGCCCAACCTGTACAAGTTCACTCGTGGTACATAGGATCTGCAGAGTCTGAGCGCATGGTTGTGGATGTTGGATGGACGGAAAACGGTTGCCATCAGAGACACGGTCACGTTTTGATTGATGCCAAGTCGTAGGTGTATTTTTAGCTGTGGTGATTTAGCATTTCGCGCGCGAAAAAGAACAGAAAAGAACGCTGTGTAAAACATGTCAGTATCCATTACACTATACGAGAGAAATTACTCAAGGATAGAGTGATTTTAAAACGAGCTGATTTTTTGTTGAACTGCCTATCTTATCATCATCAACGGATCAGCGGTGTTTTCATCACATATTTTTCCCGCGTGAACGGTCGGAGTGCTCCGTCCATAACGCTCCTCCGCCTCACATACAGGTGTGTCGAAACACCCAGCCAGTCAGCGAAGCAGCGTTATCCGGATTTCCAAGGTAGTGTCCGACGTCAACGATGAGCAAAGTACCGGCGCTCGAGGGCGTCGAACTTGTTTATAAGCAGTGACCAGTCTAAGGCAGAAGTAACACCATGTCTTCCTACAAGTCTTTTGCCCTCGTCGGTGCTGGCCTTCTCGGAACTCCGATCGTTGTTAGTCTCGCAGCAAAAAACGTCCCCGTTGTCGTTATTTCTCGTCCCAACTCCAAGAGCCTCGACAAGCTTCCTGTCGGCGTCCAAGTCAACTCTGCCGTAGTCGACACTAGCGATTCTGCTGCGGTTACCGCCGTTCTTAAAGAAAACAACGTTGATGTGGTCATTGCCACTCTTGCTTCCCAGGGCGTGCGTGAGTGCGCAGAAACACATCATCGAAGCGGCCAAGAATGCGGGAGTCAAGTTATTCGTGCCTTCGGAGTTTGGCTTCCCGACTGAAGGTCACACTTACGGACTGCTATGAAATATCCAGTGCGCTCAGTGACCAGTCTTCCTCTCGCTGTCAGATACATATTGACCACAAAACAGAGCACCTGAAAGAGGTTGGGGTCCCTTCCCTGAGGATCTTCGTGAGTTCAAATTCAAATCCATCCCAATGCTAGCTCAATTCAGATCGCAGACTGGGCTTTTCATGGAATTCATACTAATGGCATTTGGATATGCAAAGACCAAGAAGATCGTGGTTCTCGGAAAAGGCGAAGCAACAATTTCCTCCACTTCCATCACAGACATCGCCGGTATTGATGCTAGGTCATGTAAAGTAATCGACATTAACCAACTCACAGGATTCGTCGCCCACGTCCTGACAACGCTTCCGCATGAACAGGTGGAGAATAAAATACTCCGCATTCAAGGCGATAGCCTCAAGGCTAATGAGCTCGGCCCGTTGTTCAACACCACCGTTGAGCATGTTGACGACATTCCAGGCCCTATGAAGGGCTTAATGCTGGCGGCAGATAATGGGGCTGGTAGTACAGGCTGGGACGTTGTCGCAGGAAGGGAAGGAACGGGGGATGCCGCTGCTGGAAGTGCGAGTGAGCTTTGGCCGGGCCATCATTGGAGGACGATTAAAGAGGTTCATCATATTTCGTAGACTTAAGAGTATTTGTGCCTAGAGAAGAAGTCGTACAACCATGAGATGTGGTTCCCTCGAAACGTGGTTTGATTTGGGGCGGACTGCGAGTTTGAGAGGAATACAGCGGCAGTTTAACGAGATGGAAGTCGTTCTGGGAAGTCGATTTGGAGGGCTCGGGAGTAGAGAAGATCGCAAGCAGATAGGCACTGGTGCTCATCGCAAGCGTGTCTGTCACAAATGTCACGCAATGTCACGCAATGTCACACGCTTCACACTTTGCAACACGGTCTCTCAAAACAACAGGCATAGCGTCATCCCATCCCTCACCGTGGCATGGAACCTCCTCACATCATACTCACCGACCAAAATTCTCTCACTCCACGTATAAATTTAGCTATGGGCTCTTAATTTGGCGCATTCTAGTCACCAGATCCTCTCCTCTGGACAAAAAATACTCATGGCTCGTTTTCTCATGCGCGCAACGCTGCTGATAAGGTGTCTATCTACCGGCAGCAAGCCTTAGCGGTGATGCGAAAGACGACATCCAGAGACAATGCACAGTAGGATCCACATGGCGTCCCACTTCAAAAGGCGCGCCGAACTGGTCGATTCAACCAGCCAAAAATGGTCCTCCGCTACTTTCTGAATGTTCTTTCGATCTTTGGCGCTGCCTCGGCAGCCAGCATGGTTCTGCACGAAAGGCGTTCAACTGTCCCGGCGGAGTTCACCAACAAGGGCGCGGCTGCAGCAAACGAAGTGATTACTCTGCGTGTGGGGCTCGCACAAAACAACATCGCAGGCTTACAAGACAAGTTACTCTCCATATCCACACCGGGTAGTTCGGAATTCCGCCAATGGCTGTCGATGGAGGAGGTATTGTACAAGCTGGTATCGATGCTACGATCTAATCATTAGAGCAGGTAAAATCTTTCGTCGAGCCTTCAACTGAAACTCTTGCTGCTTTTCACAACTTCGCCTCGGCGAATGGTCTGAAGACGAGTGTTATCTCCCCGAATGGCGACTGGGTCTCTATAGACCTCCCGGTCTCCCAAGCCAACAAGCTATTTGCTGCGAACTTCCAAAAGTTCTCACATGCAAGCTTAACTGAGCCCCTTATTCGAACACTGTCTGTCTCGCTGCCCCAGGAGCTAGTTGGTCATGTCGAGGTCTTACACCCAACTACCGAGTTCACTACCCCAAATCCGCGCCTTGGTCCTATCGCCAGCATGCCACTGCCGGCTGACAAGCGCGCGACCGTACCTGCGTCTTGCAACAGCAATGTAGCAACCGGTGTAATAACTCCAGCATGTTTACAAGACTTGTATGGCATTCCGACAACACCGGCCACAGAGAAAAGTAGCACGTTGCTTGTAACTGGCTACGTCGGCCAATTTGCACAGTCCGCAGATCTTTCAGTGAGTACAGCGAAATGCTTATATTCCATCCAACTGACCAAAAATAGTCGTTCCTCAAGCTCCTCCGTCCAGACATTCCATCGACAACTACATTTGCTCTCCAGACCCTGGATCGCGGAACTAACCCGCAAGGCGCAAGCCAGGCTGGTGTCGAGGCCAATCTTGACATTCAATACACCACTGGTGAGTTTTCTACTTGGATCAATGTTGTTCGCTAAATGACTTGGAATAGGCATTGCGACCGACGTACCGGTCAGTTTCCTTACCGTTGGAGGGAACAGTTTCTCCACTGCCCTACTGGATACGACCACGTTCCTCGATGGCGTCGCAAGTCCACCGTCTGTCATGACCACCTCATACGGTGACACAGAAGCGAACTTTGGAAACAGTCTGGCGACGTAAGCTTTTTCTAATAGACGATAGAAGACTAATATCCTTGCAGTCGCATTTGCAATGGCTATATGGCTCTTGGTGCCAGAGGTATCACAGGTGCTGCTTTATTGTCTTTTGATTCAACATCCCACTAACCTCCAAAAAGTTGCATTCGCCTCTGGCGATGGAGGGTAAGAACCATACCTGCTTTTTTCATAAAATAGTCTGACGGATTTTCCAAATAGTGTCCGAGGAAACCACGACTCGACCAGCGTATGCAACAACAACGTTTTCATGCCGGTATTCCCTGCCGCCTGTCCATTCCTCACCTCGGTCGGCAGCACTCAAGGTAGCCCCGTCGAAAAGGCCATCAACTTTACGGGCGGAGGATTCTCCAACGTATTCACATCACCCGCCTACCAAACCGCACAGGTGGCGTCTTTCCTCGCAACGGTACCAGCCAACTTCAAAGGGACCTTCAACCGCGCTGGACGAGGGTACCCAGACGTGGCGTTGCAGGGATGGAACTTCGAGATCGTGTCAGGCGGAGTTACTGGTCTCGTTGGCGGGACAAGCGCTTCGTCGCCATCTTTCGCCGGTCTCGTTGCGCTGATCAACGACAAGCTGGTCGCGGCCGGCAAACCCACACTCGGATTCCTCAATCCTTTCTTATATGCCAACGAAGGTGCATTCACTGATATCACTGCGGGACATAACTCGGGCTTCGTTTGTCCAGCAACGTCCGTTGCATTTGACGCTGTCGCGGGCTGGGATGCTTTGAGTAGGTCATCCAGTTTTTTGCCTCAAATATGCTCATTCTTCTTTTAGCTGGACTGGGCACACCTATCTTCTCGAGCTTGTTAGCGGCTGCGTTGGCTTAACAGTCGAACTTAAACATTTTTATCCATGGGCATCTCACTTGTACACCGAACTGTGGCCTCCATACACTATTTCAATAAACACTGACTTGGGCTGGAGCGCCGTTGGGGAAGATTTGCTTGAACAGATCGGGATAATGGCGTTCCGCAACGTCTGGATGGCTTCTACACCCATAAGTGACAACATAATGAACGATAAACGCCATACTTGACGCGACCAATGAGATTCACTCGGCCAGAGGGTTCTCGATCAAACTCAGTGAAGTTCACCGCTGGATTGACTTCATCAGCGCATTCGACCCCAAACAAACTTGTCCTTACAGTCGGTTGCGCCAACTGTTCCACGCTCATCTCGAAGTTTTAGGATTTCTGGTGGGACTGCGATTCAAGTAAGCCATCGCAAAATGCGGAAATGTTAACTGACAATCGAGGACATGCTCAGTAAGTCTGACGTCAAGCCCTATGTTCTGGAAGAAGGGAACAGAATAGCGGGCACCAGGAACGGTGTCGTCTGATGGCGAAATAACGCGATGAGAGGTTGCGCGAGCAAGCCCTCTTGTCACGAATTCCAGAGCTGGAGAAGTTAGGTCATAGTTAGTATCACTACGACAACGTACCGCGACCGATATTAACGACAAACGTCCCCGGGATTGGCGGTACATCGATCCATTCTCCGGTCAGGTTTTGCACCTGCAGCCCACGATGTTCCGTCGCTTGGAGGAGCTGTTCAAAGCAGCATCAGTTTTAGGCGGTGAAAGCCCCGGGTACTAACGAATGTTAAGAAACCCGCATCGTAATGCGGGCCAACCCCTTGAGCAGGTCCATCTGTTTGCGGGTAGCGCACAATCTTGCCCCGATGCTGCATCAGCTCGTCACTGTCGTAGAACTGTGAAAGCGAGTCGGCAGGCAGGCCAAGCGCCTCGCTGATGAGGTTGGCGAAGTCGTAGCTGAGTTGTTGGACTTGAAGGAGGTAGCGCTCCATTGTAGCTTTGAAGCCGGGAAGCAAATCTTCATTAGGCCACTACGGTAGAATGTTTGAAGGATATGTGTGAGTCGAAGGATATGCGCACCTGAGAAGGGCCCCATAAACTCCAATAATCTGGATCGCCCCGGCCAGCTACGGCGCGACAAACATGAGGTGTTGCGATATCGAACTGCTCTCGCCAATCTGTCTGTCCTTTACGAAGTCAGACCCGCCAACATTCGTCGCTGTCAACACACCTTTGGTGAATTCGGACCCAAGCTTGTTGTACCCCAAGAAATGCTTGCTGTTGACCATCGCGATCTTGACTCCGCAAATGAGCCACCAGGCAGAATTTATCATGATCACAACCTTGTCCTTCTCCTCCTGCGGCAAGTCGAAGAGTTTCGGGATGAACGCGACCAGGTTTTCAGTTTCGACAGGCACATTCGCCAAATAGAGGAAGCCAACGTTGATCAGCGCATGTCTCAGCTCACGAATGAAATGCCGTCGCTCTGCAGACACCGTCTGGGCATAGTCGAGCACCGGCACAGATGAGAAGTTGGCCATGGGTGGTGGTGGGAGAGGAGCGCTTATTCAGGGTGGTCTTGTGAGTTATCGCGTCAGAAGACGCAATTGACTTGGGACTGGCGGTGTAGGAGGAAGCAATGAATTCAAGGTAAATGAGCACATTAGCAAGTTGTCTGAATGTACCATGCCGCCAACTGTCTGCACCAACAACAAAAAAAGTCTGCTGGAAAGACGCTTGCCATGACTGTCACTCTGACACGCAAAACCACCTCTAGCATCGCCTCGGCACTTGCGGGCCTTGAAGAGAGGAAAGCAGCACACCACCCACGGTCTCGGCGTGAGCAAGGAAAACCGCAGATGGTGGCAGAACGTGTCTCGAAAAGTTTTGTGACATCGAAAAAAAAACCAGCATTCTGCCTGCATTCCATGTACAAGATAGGAAGAAAAAGATAGCTCTAGCTAGCTAGAACGTGCTATATACAATCAAAACTCATGAGACGCTTACTTCGCGGTGAACTGCCTGATTGTCAGCTTCAAATCAAGGCCAAAAATCGACACATACGTAGGTGCAGTCGTCAAAGGAGCCGTGCTGGGCAATGGGACCGATGACTGGGGCGTGGTTGGCCGAGGTGTTGATAGAGCAGATGCGATAAGCGCCTGGGGGAACACCAGCAGTGACAGCAGCAGTCGCAACGCCATTCACGGCAGCATCATCGACACCCTTTAGAGATCGTGAATTGTTTAGGCATTTCAAACAATCGACAACGCACCTTGAAGAAGAAGAACTTGGTGGGGTCAAGCGGGGTGTTCTGCTTGAGGTCCGTCAAAGTCTCAATGACCTAAAAAAACGATCAACATCTGTTCGTAGACGGTAGATGGTGAACGACCGACCATGTGGGTATGACCAATAATTTGGCCTTGAGCATTGAGTCGCTGAGGAGCAGCGAAGTACGTCTTCTGAGCGTTGGTGAAGGTACCGGTTTGGAAGTTCCTGACGTTAAGTTGAGCGTTGAATGCCTTGTTGGCCGGGATCGTTGCTCCATTGAGAGGGAACAAGAATTTGGCACTGGGCATGTTGCTGACCTATTCTCGGAGGTGAGAAGCTGACCATCACCGCCCAAAAGCCGTCTTACGGAGGGGATCAGACCGATGGGGGCGGGGTTGCAGGAACCAGTCTGGATTTGCTGTCCATTGGTGAGGGGAACGCCAGGCAAAGTGAGGGCACAGAAGTTGATGAAGTTGTTGGTGGAGGTCAAGCTAGGGCTCTGAGTCGCTATGTCAGAAAGGGCGCCCTTGAAAAATATAGTCAACCGTACCTGGCCCTCAACAGGTGGGTTCTGGCCATTGTCGGCGAAGTTGCTGCAGATCACGGCTGGGTTGAGCTCTATAGAATCATCAGCGATCTGACGATTGATGGGCGAGAATCATCCATACTAAGAGAAGCCTGGGGGTCATTGTCATTGTTAGCGGATGTGTTGTTGGTCGCAGCATTGTTGAGGGGAGGAAGGGAGGATGCGGCGGCGGCGGCGCTGGAGACGGTGGAAGCGAGTGCAACAAAAGAGCTGGCAGAAATAGAGGCCGAGCCTGAAGCTGAAGCACTGCTTGACTAGAGATCGGGGATTATTTACAAGCCAAAATGGAAGGGAACAAGCGACTTGCCTTGCCCCCCTTGTTGCCAAAACGGTTCCTTCCTCCACCAAATCCCTTACCGCCAAATCGGTTACCAGAGAAGCGGTCGTTCTCAGCACGACGGGTGGGCATGGCTCCGACAGAGCAGACGAGAGCGCCAAAGATGAATAGTGAAGCGGTCTTCATTGTTGTGGTTGTACGTTAGAAAAGAGTGAGGGATCCGGAAAAGATGGGAGATAGTTGAAAGACGCCTGGTCAAGTCGTCGAAGGAGAGGACTAGCCTGAGGAGACACGAAAGCAGAGAGAAAGAGTGTGGTAACGAAGCGGATTTGATGGTCCGTTTATAAGCCGTTTGAGCTGTCAACAAACAACGTCCATCGCAGATGCCCAACTATGCATGTGTCCAAGATGTGCTCGCGCTCTGAGTCTTATTTTTGACAGCGAATGGAGACTCGCGAGTCTTTTATGCGTTCTCCCTTTCCCAAGTTCCTTTCCATGAGTCGTTTGCCTCAGGAAAAGTTCATCTGATCTAAGCGTTATCCACGGCCCGACCCGTACTGATTCTCCTCAGAAGATCTCATAGAAGATTCGCCAAAGCTATGCAATGACGAAAATAGTTGGACAACGTACTCGGCACTGTCGCGGCTCGGTCACGATCCGTGACACTACATTCAACAAAATGCCCTCACGCAAGATTTTGGTCGATGCTGTTCTGTGCGTTTCGACAAACATGCTAGCCAGCGCTCATTGACCGGAAGTCCGAATCGTTAGTTTCGATATGGATGGGTGCAATCCAAAGAAATCGCACTCTATCTACGACTTACACGACTCATAAGAACGCTTATCGACTCGACACCTGGCCTCCACAAAGCCTGGGCTACCTTCAGCGCCGACTACAATCTAGGCGATCCGCTAGTCGTAGTGCATGACACTCACGGACGGAGGCTTGCTGACACGTTGAGGGAATACTGTCGAATTAGCGATGAATCCAAACTAGAGGTCTATCGAAAAGCTCAATGTCCGACCAGTGCTTAGAATTTCGCAGTCTGAAATCGACCGTTTTGAAGAAGAGGTCATCAACGGCGGCCCAATTGCTCTTCCTGGGGTCGCAGCCCTTCTGTCGCAAGTTTGTGTTGTTTTATGACGACAGTGTAATTTCACTGAAGACCCTGATTGAAGTTAGCGCATGATACGGCGTCGGGCTGGACCATCGTTACCTCAGGTACCATGGCGTTGCTGTAATGCCGTGGTTTTTGCATTGATCCATGTTTTCCAGCAACGCGGAACTATGCTCCTCGTGCTCTTGAACGCTGCGATATACCTCTACCTGCAGTCGGAATCGTAACTTCCAACGATGTTTCGCAAGGAAAACCGCATCCAGCTCCTTATCTCACAGGGGCAGCAAAATGCGGGGTCGACGCGGCAAACTGTGCGTTCCTCACATGTTTACCTGGTGCTGAAACTTGATCTCGATGGCAACAGGTCTTGTAGTCGAAGATGCGATTTCCGGTTAGCATCTGCTTCGGCATTCAACTCATCCCTCACAAGTTTTATCAGGAATCAGATCCGGTAAAGCCGCCGGCGCCGCAGTGCTTGCGGTGTGCACGTCGACGACCAGAGAAACTATCATTCAGTCAGATTCCCAACCCGACTTCATCGTGACCGACCTCACCAAGTACGTTTACCGATCCACTACCGCTGTCTGGCGAATGTCAACTTTCTCTAGGGTAACGGCCAAGTGGATCAATGGGCAAATAGAGGTGACTGTCAATGACGAATGAACTACTCCTTTGCAGTTTACACCTCGCGACTGTCTTGAGACTGTACAAGTATCTTCGCGTAAAGTATATTCACATTCTCTCCCCTTCCAGCTTGATCTCAACACCACACTGTAAATGCCTCAATTGACGACTGGATCGGCGGAAGCATAGCCCCTGGCGGCGTTGCTACCCGACCGAATCTGCTGCATCAATCAAGCAAATCAAAAGGCTTGGTATATAATAAGCCAAGGGACTGTCACGCCCTTTTTATTTGGATTCATCCCCGTTCGCCTTTTGCTCTTTCTCTTTCCTCTTGCACGATCCGAGATCGCTGCCCGCATTGTCCTCATTCTCTGACATCTTTGACCTAGTGTTCTTTCTTTGACTAACTACTCACACTCCTTCCACGATGCACACCCCCACCCTCATCGCTCTCGCTTTCGCGGCCGTAGCATCCGCTCGCCCCGCACGCTTCCAACGCCGCGCTGAGTTCACTCTCCAGAATGGCCAAGATGCCCTGAAGCTCAAGTGCGTTTTCGTTTCGATGCCACTCATTTCCGGACTTAGCCCCTCTTTCAGTGCCGATTTCAAGGCTTTGACGCCAGGCAGCGCCTGCCAGGACGGTACGAACGCCTGTGTTACCAACCAATTCGCCCAATGTGTTGGTGGCAAATTCCTTCTCCAACCTTGTGCGGGTGGAACGATGTGAGATCGGGTTGTCTTCTCTGATTTACCGGATCTGACGCTATGGTTTCCTAGCTGCGCTGCTCTTCCCTTGGTTAACTCTAAGGGAACTAGCATCACCTGTACGACTGAGGCTGACCTCAACGCCCGGATTGCAGCCACTGGTGCCACTGCCGGTGCTGCAGCCCCTCCAGCTCAGGCCCCTCCTGCCGAAGCTCCCCCTGCTCAAGCACCTCCCGCCCAGGCTCCTCCGGCCAACAACAACAACAACGGTGGTGGTCGAGGCGGAGGACGAGGCGGAAACGGTGGAGGCCGAGGTGGCAATAACGGCAACAACGGTGGCAATGCAGGTGCCGGCAATAATGCTGGCGCTGGCGCTGGCAACAATGCGGGTGCTGGCGGCGCCGGAGCTGATGCTCAATCATCCTTCAGTTCGTCATTTTCTTTTTTCTGGAATGCCATCAGTATTCACCCGCTAACAGCTCTTGACCCTGCTGTCATTGCAAAGGGTTTCGCTGACGACGGTCAAAACCCACCCACTGCAGGACAAACCGCCTCCAAGACTACAACTAACAACTGGATCAACTTCTGCAAGCTCACTCTCCCCGGTACTCCTCTCACCGACGGAAAGCAAGTCCAGGGTGGCTCGTGCAACCCGACGCCAATGGGTCTGCTCCCCTCCATCGACAAGATGCCCTCGGCCAAGTTCAACTTCCCCAAGAACACCGACTCAGTAAACGCCAACGTTCCCTTCAACGCGTCTCTTAATGTGGCAAACTTCCAAACTGGTACCTTCACCAACGCCCAGAGGACCTACTTCTCTGCTCCCCAGACGCTCAACGCACAAGGCGAAATCATTGGCCACACCCACATCGTCCGTCATTTCTAACAGGCAAATATATTTCATCTTGACATTTTCCAGGTCATCGAGGCTTTGCAGAGCATCGACCAGATCACCCCTACCGACCCCAAGAAGTTCTTCTTCTTCAAGGGTGTTGACAACCCAGCTGAGAACGGCGAGGCCATCGCCTTCGTCTCCAAGGGTGTCCCAGCTGGCGCTTACCGCATGTGCTCGATCAACACCTCTGCCAACCACGCCCCCGTTGTCGGCCCCATCGCGCAACACGGTTCGTTCGACGACTGTGTCTACTTCACCGCCAAGTAAACCAGCTGTTTGGTTGTTCTTCTTTCCTGTTGTTCACGAGCTCACGATGATGATGATAAATTATCCGCTCAGCGGAGGGGTCCCGCACCGTATACCATGGCATCCTGGTGGTGTTCGTAGCTTAGTTTTCTGGGAATTAGTACTGTTAGAATGAGAAATCAATCAAAAGGGTACCCGCTTTCTAATATTTTCTTGGCTCCCTTTGAATTTCTTTGTGGTTGATTTAGGCTGTCGTAGGCAATCGCAACGATAAGCGGTACCGACGTGTGGCGGGCGCCGAGCATGCACCCTGCCATGCTGGGTGCAGAGGTGAGCTGGACAACGGGGATATGGCTGATCCTGATCCAGCATTTCGCACCCACGGATCTGCCCAGAGAAAAGAGATCTAGCAGCTTTGGTGAGTTCGATTTTTCAATTACTGTCAAGAGAGTGATGTGTCTCTCCGAGTCTATACTTGGTGATACATGTGTGGATTCAGAAGCTACCAAGGACCGTTAGGTAGACCGAATGTTTTGAGAACGTCGGCTTCCGACACTCGCTTGTCTCCATCTTATCGAAAGCAATACACATCGAGTTTCAGAGATCAGCACCGCTGGAGCAATTGCCAAAGGACGAAATAAGCAGTATTATCAGAGTTGGAATATGTTCTACTAGTAATTTCTTGCTAATTTAAACACCTGGTCTTGCCGAACAATGCGCACCATTCTAAGGTCTACATCAGACCGAGTGGGTATTATTGACAAAATTTTCGGAGTATCCATATTGACACCCATAGTAGTCCAAATGAGTCCATCATTCCCTGAAGGTAAAGTCTACCGTATCTACGTGGAGACTTCCGGTGAGCGAAGTGTTCAGATTGGACGTCTCCTTCTGCGCGGCAAGTTGCTCTTTGTTAGGCCGATTTCTGAGTTGCTGAAGTTTCGAAATTCGCGAGAAGCGGAGCAAGGTGGTGATTTTGAAGCGTCAGATGCTCGGCATCAGCAAAGAATATCTGAAGAGAACAGATACCCAGCGGGGGGTGTATGAGAATTGTCAGTGAACAAGGTCACCGCTTCGAGTCTGCGGCGGGGTTGCGTGTACGCCAGCTCAAAAGTTTGGAGAAAGGATTCAAGTTGGATTGGATAGTTCGTCACAACCGAGGAGAACGAGACATGGATCGAAATCCATTAATTCTTGAAAGTGGTTGCGAAGTGTGCGAAGTAGTGGACGAAACGGTAACTGGGAGTACTGAGAATTAGTGAAGCTGCGGCATATACGATTGGGATTGGTGCAATATTGGTGCCCGCTGGGGTCCATTTCAATGGAATGCAGGCTATCGATCGACGTTCTAGAGGTCTTCAAATCAGACTGCTGTAGTGCCACTTGAATGGATGCGGATGAGTAGTTGGTGGGTTGTGAGCGAGCCTGAGGTGTGCTGCGATCGGGATTTGAAATTCTGATTTGTAGGGGATAATTCTTTCCTTTCAACCACCTTGCGGTCGAAATTAACAAGCTTTCCGGTCAACTCACCCTCCTCTGACGCCCGAACTGGTGTCGATATACGGTCCACTTTCCGCTCGCAGCTATCCCACTTGGTCCCTTGATTGTGGTCAATATTAGCCAGGTTCCCCGGGCCCAAATGTCAGAGACACAACCCACCATCGATTCTACAAGCAAGAGAGGAGTACCGCGACGCCTCTAAGACGAGCGCTGGATCGTGAAAGCGAGAGGGTGATGCGAAAAGGCCTTCTGAGCTTGAAACAAACAACAAATTTGTTGCGAGCCTGCTTCTCATTAGCGCTGGAATTGCCGGGCTAGGAACCTTGGGATGAGCCGGGCGGTCAAGGACCCTGTGGATTATTAATTATCTTTGCTTTTTGGATCTCAAGTGCGTCGATGGTTCACTTGCCATTCCGCAACTGACACTACCTTGTAGCGACGTAGAGTTGCCTCACAGGCCAAACCGCTTTACTTTGTCGACAGGCGTCGCAAACTTGACTTCATGCTTGTGCAAGTTGTTGGTCCGACCTCTTTGGGGCGACCTACTCGAGCTACTGTGGCTTTTTATGTTCTGGTGTTACTGGCGGACATTCCTGGCTGGCAGACGTCGGGTTGTCGAAATTCAAGTCTCTCTCAAGCGCGACAAGATTAGCATTGGAATGTGGCCACTAGCCTAGCAAACAAAGTGCTGGTTTCTGTTGATGCTCTTGCTTGTCACGTGCTTCATTTTTGATCAAGAAAACGAAGAGCTTGAAGACATTCGAGAACGTAGAGACCATTGCGTATTCTGGGTCGATTCGGGGCACGCAAAAGCATTTTTAATCGCTAAAGTGCATTGTTTGTGGTTCTGTGAAATTATCAATCACTGGCACGAAGTGTTTGCAGCGGCTTCGTCACCTTGGGAGTGCTGGTTAACGCTCACAGTCATCCGCTGGCTTGCACTCGTTTCCAATGATTTGCATTGCTGAAGGTTCACGGTCTTGCAAGCGGTTGTTTCGACACATTTGTTATGCATCGACTGTCTGCTGCCCTTCTCCTGGGTGTGGTACTCGTAGTTCGGCTTCGGCGAGTGTTTCGTGGCCTGGCTTTTGCCATCTTCCAGAAGTGCGGATTGTGTGTTGCTTGAGTCGCAGGCCAACATCGAGGATAGTGCGCGATTCAAAAACAGAGCGCTTAACGGCAGAGTGACCCACATATAAATGCATAACTCGCGCAGTTTCTTTATTCGCCTTTCCTCTTCCTCCCACTATTCTGACTTTGTCTTCATTTCCATGGCCTCCACAGCCGGCCCCGTACATCCCTTCGCGCCTCTCACTCCTTCACCTTTGACCGTTTGCCGCTACGAGCTGCCTCCGCCTCCAGATTTCCCCTCGTTCACCCTCATCATCACCCAAAGGCCAAACAACGACGTACTTGTGTTTCCCTGGACCCCAATCGAATACGTGCCTCGCGAATCGAAGCTCAATACCGTTCAGGTAAAGCATTCGTGGACAATCACTCCCATCGCCTTCTTACGTGACATCCTCCCCTTTGTCCCGCAGAAGTCGCCTCTGCCAACCGCGCAGCCAGTGCAGACGTCTACAACCACGATCCGTGCCTTGTTGAAATTCTTCCGGGTGCGTGTTCTTTGACCACATTTCCTCTGCTAAAACGCATCTTCTAGCGCTACATCGCTAATATTGTCAAAAAAGTAAAACGCAAACTCGTGTCCATCGAGCGCAAATGAAACTACCAACGAATCCAACACTGTCTGCTTGCTTTGAGGTACGCTTTAGCGTCGGCCACCCTCTTCCACACTTACTGGCTGCAGAATGTGCAAAATCTACCCTATTCGTGATCGCACCCTGCTTATCCAACTTGTCTGTCTTCTTGCTTCCAAAACTCGCGGATGGAGCATTCTACGGCCTCAAAACTAATGCCCCTCATAATCCACGTATTGTACAATAAACCAAAGTCAAATCTCAACCTGTAAAATATCGTTGCAGTCAAATCCGAATATAACCAATGCAGTTTTCACCACCACCATTGGGATTAATTGTTTGGGCTCTTGACACACCAGATGGGGAGGGAACGTGTCTGCATGGGAGTCAGGAACGAGACCAGTTGACTCATTCCATGCATGTTTTCAATTTCCAACTCTACTGCAACAAAAGTTGCAAAGCTAAAACAGCATGTTACTTTCGGAATCATACGACGATATGACCACTGAGCCGATTTCAAGACTAGTCTTTTGGTCATTGGTTACTACGAATACAGGTTCAGGTTGGTCAGAAGTATGTAGAGTTCGTGGATTACGTGAGGCATAATTTTGGGGGTCGTGCGATGCCCCCCCATCCGCGAGTTCTGGAAGTAAGTAGGTAAGATTTACATGTTGAATAGCAGGCAGGCAAAGTAGGGTGTTATGGGCGACAGGCTAGATTTTGCACGTTCTGTGACGAATGAGCATTGACTATGGGTACAGACAGGTAGGTGTACCTCAAGGCAAGCAGTCGAAAGCAGTTTTGCGGGGGAATTGTTTTGTGTTCATGGCTGTGGCACAGATAAGGGTGTTTTTACTTTGTCGACCAGATTAGCGATGCAACGCTACAGAGTATTTTCAGCACAGTCAACGTGGGTAGAGGAAGCGTACGCGGATGAATTTGAGCAAGGAAGTGAATGGGTTTGTCCTCGTCGGGGTCGGAAGAGGCGCGACTGGACGAGTGACAGGACGAGGCGATTCCTGTTGAACAAAGGGCTAAGTTGGGTTGAAGTTATTCTTGTCGACTGGTCTACCTGAACTGCAAGGAGCCTTGGTTGGGGCTGGATATATTCAATCGGGGTCCACGGAATGACGAGCACGTCATTGTTTGACTTTTGGGTAAGGACGAGGGTAAACGAAGGAAAGGTTGGCGGCGGATACAGCACATAGTGGGGAGCAGTCAAAGACGAAGGAGTGAGCGGGGCAAAATGATGGGCTGGGCTGGTCCTGGGGGCCATGCAAATGAAGACAAACACGAAGTGGTGGGAGGAAGGAATAGAGGCCCCTGGGTTTATTATATATGGTCACTCTGCCGTTAAGCGCTCTGTTTTTGATTTACGCGCTGTCCTCGATAACCTGAGCCCTCATGCAGCAGCAGCACACAGCCTACACTCTCTGGCGACGAGGGGCAGCGTGCAGGAGAATAACCATCATGTGGTGCACGACGAGCAGACCGCGGCCGATAAAACAGAGAAGACCATCTGCAGTGCGTCAAGAGGAAGGTTGTCACACAATCATCCTGCGCAACAAGCCTCCATAGAGCTCGAAGCACTTGGTGACCATGAACCCGAGCTAGCATCGAAGATCAAGAAATGGTGCCAATGCACGCGAAAAGCAATCTTGCCGACCAATAATACTTGGAGAATCAACGTGTTTCAATCTTCGACTGGTGTATTGTCCGCCTTACGATGTGGATTTGCCAGTATCCAGACTCCTCCAATCTTCAACCCACAAGACCAATCGTGCAAGTTCTTCGCCCCGTCAAAAGATAATTCCCGTGACGCGCATGTAACAAGCCCAAGCATCACCTGAACCAGCATGTTCTTCGCAAGCGCGAATCCAATTGCACATCTTGTCGCACCTGTGAGAGGCCTGAACGACGACAACCCGACAATTGCCCGCCAGAAAATGTCTGCCAGCACACCGCAAGAAGGAGAGGTAGCGCGCAAGAGACTATTGGACCAACATCCAAGATACCGACAAGTTTGATTACACTTGTCGCCGAAGAGCACGAAAAACAAAAATTGAGCCTGTTCACACTTGTAGGACGACTAGAAGTGCCAGTATCCAGGCTAGGTCCAATGAGTCGCCAAAAGAATCATGAAACCAGCCACGCACTTGGTCAAAAAAATCACGATTGCGAAGAATACCATTAGTCCCAAAATACTCTGAGTCGACGCCCCTCGCTGGGTTTTTCCTGGCCCCATATCACGGGAAGCAAGTAGAAAGTCGACATTTAGCGTTGACTTTGCCCGGCCTTCCTGCTTGCACAGGCAATCCTCTTAGCGGAGCCGGACAGTTCGCCACCCAGAGGGCCAAACGACGTGTCGAGGTGGCCATCTTGGTTATCCTGTGGTTGTGCAGCTGGAGGCCATTCTTGCTTGGAAAAATCATCCCAACACGGAGCAGCCAACTGGGACGGGACAGCCACGATACTATGGCGACTTCAACCGACCGTACTCGAGGCGCGGCAGATACACGAGCTGACAAGTCGTGCAAGTGGTTGAAAGGAAAGAAGATCACCGACAGCCCACAAACAGCAACCGCCGATCGCGCTCTTGCAAATCCCTCTACCACTGCCCTCACAACCAAAACTCCTCGCCAACATGGTCTTCAACTCCGAGGGATGGTGGCATGGCACGTCCACAACGCGACTTTCTTCTCGTGGATATAACCAATGCAGTTTTCACCACTATTTGGACACTTGACACAAGATGGGAGGGACTATATCTTCATGGGACTCATGAATTTCTTATAACGAGGACCGTTGGCTCGTTTCATGCATGGTTTGGACGAGAATGGGCGATTGACCCAAACCACCCGCTTAGGTAAGTGATTGGTCTTCTTCGTACCACCATGGGGCAGCCAGTTTGGTGAATAATGTGCCAAAGCATATACGTAGTGCGTTGCAGTCGTACTTATGGCTTCATAGGCAGCGACTGATTGCTGAAACTAGGCCTAGGATAACACAGATGTCGTTTATTCGCAATCCGAACTTTTTGCCTCAAAAGAATATTGTCTAAGACTTTAGCGCCACAGACACGCCGGTGGAGCGAGAGCTGACACCCGCTTGGCCGCATTTGCGGATTGGTTTACATCCGGTCTCAGTTTCTGGTTTAAATATCCTACGCCAAGCCCTAAGGAATCAGCCCGATCCTCCACTTTTTCGTTCAGCAGTGTCGTTCCACGCAGATGCATTCTGCTCGTGTCGTACGAGGGCCACGATGAACCCAACACTGGTACCCGAACAACGTTTAAGGTCGAATGGTATGCTGCTATTTCGATTCCCTTTTTCGCTGCTTATCAACTGCGTCCAGTTCTCTTCTCTGCTCGAGAGGCAAGGCGGAACACAACATATTAAGGCTGTTGTCGTTTTGGTGCTCGTTCCTGGGGAAGGGTTTGCAACCCTCGCGCTCCCTTGTCGTGGGCCCCAGGCTTGTCGTCTTGCGGGAAGCGGACTACTAAGCGCGCGTCTACAAAAAACAAAAGGTGGCATCGAGGTCGACGATGAAGAGTGTCATTGTGGGTCAATGGTGAGTTGATTGTTCAAAGGATTTTGCACCACTTAGTTCTTCTTAGGCGTCAGGTCGTTTCGAAACGTTGCTTTTTTTTCGATGGCAGCAGCGCGCGTCTGGGAAGCGTGCGCAGCTCGGGTTGTGGCAGACTTGTGCGAGCTTGAATGTCTCAAATCGGTGCCAAACGAGAGGCAATCGGCAAGCACCATCGAGGAATTGCACGTTTCGCTCGACATTGCTGTTGCTGCAGTGATACTTGCAGACGATGGGCCTGAGGATGAGGCACCGACGGGAGACGTTCCGGCGCTGTTTCTGATGCTTTGAGAGCAGGCAATGGTCTTGAGTTGGGCGGGCCCAAGACTGTTGTCGCTCTGGTTTTATTTCCTGGGGAAGGGTTTGCAACCCTCGCGCTCCCTTGCCGTGGGCCCCGGGCTTGTCGTTCATGCGGGCAGTGGACTACTAAGCGCGCGTCTATGAAAACAAAAGGTGGCAAAGTGGTGAGCGGGGAGGGGTTATTTCAGGTGAGTGTTGCCAATCGCCCATGACCAAAGGTTAATTTTTCGGTTCCAGTTATCAAGCACCTCAAGCCACCTCAAGCCACCTCAAGCCACTTCAAGTACACCTCAAACCGCAAGTAATCCGCAAATCCACAAGTCTCGCTGAGTGTCGCGCGGCCGTCACGCTTCAAGCATCTCCGAAGACTCCGTCCGAGGCACCACTGAGAGACGTCCCAGCGCTGAATCGGGCCAGTCCGGGGAGCTGCTTAAGCTGATTGTCGTCGGCATTTGGCTGTCAAGAACTTGAAACCGCAAAATTCTACTTCGAAGTTCGACGAGTTCAAGGGTTTTGCTCGCGGGTTTGCAGCCAGATTTCTTCGGGTTAGCGACGGGAGACGTCTCGTTGCCGATTTGAGTAAGTTTGGGTGCGGCCTTGCGGGCGAACTAGGTGCTGTTGGGGCTTTTTTTGCTCATCACGTCGCGGAAGGTCCGAACCGGGGCAGCAGCGGACGTCTCGCGGGCCGTCTCGGGGCGGTCAGACCGGGGCGTGGTCGAAGCTCAATCGTCGCAGTAGTGGCCGGTTCAAGCGGGGCGGGATGCGGCATGCTCAAGACTGCTGTGTTCTGGTGCCCGTCCTGGGGAAGGGCTAGCAACCCTCGCGCTCCCTTGCCGTGGGCCTCAGGCTTGTAGCCCATTCGTGGGTGACTAAGCGCGCGTTAATTCAGCACTTCTGGGTCTGGGACAGCGAGATGGTGCGGATTTTGATATCTTTCTTTTTATCCTCCACTCATGTTTACCTTAAGTTGTCATCCTTTGCCTCACGAGCCTTACTGCCTCTCCGCTGGTTCCGAGGCAGCGATGGGAGACGTCTCAGCGCTGACTGGGGAAAGCTCTCGGTTGTGGTCTTCCCTGCTGGTTTAGCGGTCATGTTTGGGAGGTTATTCATGTGCTCGCTCGAGGCAGTATGTTCGGATGATTCCAGAGGTCGGAGGCAAGGCAGGACTGTTGTTGTTCTAGTTCACATTCCTGGGCAAGTGTTTGCACACCTCGCGATTTATTACCGCGGGCCCCAGGCTTGTCGTTTATTCGTGGGCAACCAAGCGCGCGTTATTTAACAGGCACTTGACAATTGTCTCGCCGACACAATAGATGAATAAATCCATTTTAGGCAGTTGTATCGTCTACTTAACCGTTGTACTTGCTGGATGTGCGACAAGAAACTACAACCCTACCACCAATGCCCGTGCTGGGGAAGCGACCTCCCACTCGAGTAAAAGATTGATCTTCTGCTGCGCGGGCACCCCGCACACAAAGTTAAGCTTCCTCTCCAAGCCCAGCGTTTTGGGATCATAGTTTGCGTCGTCGGCGCCATCCCATTGGGCGGTGATGCCGTTTCCCAAAGACACCGTTTCCTGTTTCTCGCTGTCGCTGTTGCTGACGCTATTCCGAATGGAATTATCGGGCAGACTCAATGGCGGATTGACGAGCTTGACCTCGATCTGCGAGTCTTGCGAAGTCGGTATCTGGTCAATGATCTTCAATCGACGCAACGCGACCGACTTGGTGTTGTGAACGGTGATGCGCTGCGAAAAGGTGTGCGTCGATATCTTGGTGTAGAAGCCTGATTGCGTCCGGCCCTTCAGAACTGGATGGTATGTTATGCGAACAGACGGATCAAGGCTAGAGGAGATGAAAAACATTTCCGTCAAGACCAAACGAAACAGCTTACCCAAGGGGACAGTCGAAGCTCTCTTGAGGACTGACGGGTGGGATACGCGATCGTGAAATGAAGCTTCCATCGACGTAAATGCTGGCCTCCCCTGAAAGCAACGTATACTCGGATGCGTTCATCACACGCGCCTGGACAGAACATGAGTGTTTTGCTTCACAGAAGGTAAGATAACATACGCTCAGATGCGCCTTGGGATCAACTTTGGGGACCGAAACCCATGACATCGCTGCTTTGAGATCAAGCTCGACGATGGTGAAGTTGTGTGCTTGACCGTCACAGGGAATAGACACAAGGCCTGGCACTCGAAAAGTTGCGCTTATATTTCCCTTCGAAGAAACGAAGGTGCTGGCGACAGCCATCACGGGACTTGACGCGGCCGCCCTTCTTGTTCGAACCATAGGAGCGGGTGCTGCTCGAGCTAGAGGAGGGGGAGGTGGAGGTATTACCGCCGCTGGGAGAATTAACGAAGAGGAGGGCGGAGCCCCAACAGATAGATTCCAGGGATTCAATGTCGGCAGTCCCAACCCGAATGTTGGAGTGGATGTTTCGAGCTGCAGCGGGACATTGTCCCAAGGCTACGACAATGAATAAAAAGCATCTGGAACAATGAGGAAAAGCACACCTCGCCGGTGTTTTGTGTGACGGCCGCCTTGTAGATGAGTTTAACGGAGCTCTCTTCAGTGTTCATGTCCACCCTGATATTGTAGAATGCCGTCCAAGTTGCATCCGGAATAGCTGTGAGCAAGTTCAGACCGACTGCGGGTAAGTATAGGTAGAAGAGCATACTATAAATCAAGGCAATCTCAACATCGCCGGCCTCCGCTGCGAACACACCAACAGAAGCACTCATACGCAGTTTCTCGTCATCTTGAGGCGTATAGAGGCGGTCTGTCTCCAAGGCTATTTCATCGTCGAGACGATCCAAGTCTGCCTTCAAATCTTTCTTCTTGCGGTCAAGACGTTCCCCAGTAGCCTCACAGCGTAACAGGACGTCGTCCAAGTCGGTAACAGGGAGGTGTTGGACGTTGAGCGAGTTGAGGTATTGTTTAAGCGTCGCAATAGATCGCTCAGTTCGAGCGAGGGCATCCGATATCTCTTCTTGGTTCGCATTGAGCTCGTTAAGCTTGTGGCTTAAGGTCGGAGTGTGTTCCCTCTCAATCCGCTTTACCGCCACATCATGGATCGTTGCTGAACCCCGGCCTTCGACCCTAAAGGCGTATTGTAAGTTGTGTGGTTGGCAAATTTGGATGGAGACACGCACCGAAGCGTCTCGGACTCAAGCGAACTTGGCAAATCCACAACCTTGACCGTGTTGTGGCCCGCAGCAAGCTTGAGCTTGAACAAGCGAGTGACTTCCGCCCGGGACGAATATAGGTTGACCCCGACAATGCTGCTGTCAGCGAGAGACTTGAGAGTCACGGTTGTGGGCTCGAAAGTTGGAGGGTCACTGGTCATTATGATAGTTGCGGAAAGGGGAGCTGAAGAGGAGCTGCGGGTGAAGTCATGACAGACTTCACAGCTTTCCCCTCGAGCCGTCGATTGACTGGATGATGGTGAAAGGAAAGAGCGAGCGCTTGGTAAGCCCCAAAACCACTTCCAAAGACCTCAAGTACGTGTCATTCATGCTAGATTATAACAAAGTATAAGAACCTGATAACAAAATATGTGTCCGTCCGTCTAGATAGTACATCCTGAAAGCAAATGTCCAAAGCCAGAGAAATACAACTGCTACATAGTGAGTAAGTGAAATCAGGGTCAAGAAGGAGAGGTCGAGCCACTGCGACTGGGCGCGGAAAACCGCTTCGCGTCAGTCGAGTTCTCGTCCAACGCATATACGACCAATGCTCTCTTGTCGACCTTGCCGTTCTTGGTCATGGGGAACTCATCCAGTGCGAGGTATTGGGTTGGAACAGCATGGTAGGGCTGTACCGCCGCTGTGGCGTCACGAACTTGAGATAAGTCGACCGTCGAGGGGGTGATGAACCCCCAAAGTTCAGTCCCAACTAGAAGAGCAACAGCACTATGAACGGGCTCATGTGTCTAAGTAAAACCATTTGTAAGCTCGTGTTGTCATGATACTTAACAGCGCAACTCACCCGCATTGCAGCAGAAACACCATCTAACTCTACCCGGAAGCCTTTCACTTTAACCTGGTCGTCAGCCCGCCCAAGATGGTCTAATTGGCCGTCGCTTCGCCAACGTCCCAAATCGCCCGTATTGAACATCATTGCACTTCCACCCAAAAAAGGGTCTGGCCTGTACCGCTCAGCTGTCTTGTCGAGAAGATTCAAGTAGCCGTTTGATACGCCAGTTCCGCCAACCCACATACATCCCGTTTCTCCGATGGGCACTGGCTTGGTGCACGTTGGATCCCGCGAGAGGACATAGACATTTGTGTTGGGAATCGGTTTTCCTATCGAGAGAGGATAACCGGGTGTGTGTGGCTGGACCGTGTTGCAAATGGAGATTTCGGTTGGCCCACAGCAATTGCTGAAGTTGGTGAATCGAGCCCACTTATCCGCGAGGGCTATACTTCTGTCAGCATCCTGCCACTAAAATAAAATCAGAACAGGGAGATTACGCGCCTTGCGGGCAGGGTTCGCCTGTAATGAAGCATCGGCATCTCGTTCGGAAGCAAGAATAAAAAAAGAAACTGACCACCAACGATGACATTCTGGATGTTTGGGTAATCTGCAGGGTCGTGCAACGTCAAGATACTTGGGGTCGCGATCACAATGTGAACAGTCTTCATCAGTGTGATCCAGTCTCGTTTCGTGTTTCCACGGATGCATAGAGTGCAACCGTTGTACAGCGAACCAAGTATCTCCCAAGCGCCCATGTCGAATGCAACATTCAGAAACTGACCAACACGGAGGCCAGGTTTCATGCCAACATTGCCCGGTGTCCCACTGATGACTGTCACGTCCTGTTAGTCCAACATTTCTTTGGAGAACGGGCGGCAACATACCATTTGTAACACCGCGGTGCCGAACATCGACACCTTTCGGCACTCCGGTCGTTCCTAGCAGGAAAGGTCAGGCAACTCCGTTTCGAGCTCAAAGAGGACTCCTCACCAGAAGTGTAGATGATATATGCACCAGAAGATGGGGTAGTGGTGTCTACTGGTTTACTCCCATCTGCATTGGCTAGCTCGTCCGCATGAATAGCGGCTTCGAGATCGATGGTGGGGACCGTCCCAGAGCTCACACGATGAACAAACTCGCTCATGGCAAGGACAATACTGGGTTTGGCGTCGTTGAGCACATAGCTCAGAGTAGAATCGGGGATGGTAAGCGCATCCAAAGGCACATATTGCCCCCCGCTCTTTAACACCGCCAAAATGGCAGCGACTAAATGCACCGAGCGACGGGCAAGTATACAAACCCTCTTTCCGGGTTGAATCCCTTGCGCCCGAAGTCGATGTGCTAGGCGATTGGCCTGAATGTCGAGTTGCTTGAAAGTGAGCGATTGACCGTCTGTCGTGTGTTCGACGGCAACCACGTCTGGCTGAGTACGGGCATGATACTCGAAGGCATGGTGAATAATGGGGGTATCCACATTCCGTCTTGGTCCAAGTCCATAACGATAAAAGAGAACTCGATCTTCGGGGGAGAGGGAGGAGAGGGCCGGGTTCCAAAGCTTGTGAACCGCCTTGGAAGTAGAAGGCGTGGGCATCTGCAAGGGACTGATGGCCCACGCGATGGTCGGAGGTGTTGTAGTTGTTGTCGCGGTAGCCATGAGGTCGAGGGTGAAGAGAGTGTCGTTCAAAGGAAGGTGTAGGGCATTTAACCGGCAGGAAGGCGTTAGAGGGAAGAAAGATAGAGTGCCGAAAATATTAGCGACCGATCCCTTATGCCCTTATAGAGGTTTTTGATTTTTGATGTGGAGATGCGACACAGACACGGCTGACAGTTGGTATACGGGTCGGCATGATGATGGCCCTCCGGAAGATCTTCCTTGTGACCGCGTCACTTGTCTCCAACCTTCATGCCGTGGATTCTCCTTCCGAACGGGACCTACCAACGCCCACTCGGCGACAGTGAATACGCGTTATTCAGCGCATCCCATAGCGGGAACGGCGACATGTAAGCCTGGCAGTCAGAATGGAAGATTGCGAGCCTCATCGGACCAAGGTTTTTGCACTTGTCGCTACGCGCTTCGGCAAACTGTTTCTCAAGAGAACGCGTCGGGATAGCTTGGGCGTTGATCCGCAGGGAAAATCCCTTGCTCATGTCGCGTGTTACCATCGTCAATGACGAGCCTACACTTTATTTTGCTCCTCCAAGGGAATTGATTCAGGATGCTCAGGCTACGCTTATGTTCAATCACAAGTCTAAAGAAGGTGCGAATTATTGCATCCACTCAAAAAGACTCCGAAACGTCTAGTAGAGCTAATAACTGCTTACATGGACGGCGCTCGCCCGCTTTCCAACGACATTCTATCTCTCCTTACCATATCAGAATCAGCCACTGGAGAATACCAGATCTTCATGTGTGCGCCACATTTTTGTGGCGATGGGACGACCCTTCATGTTTCAACGCATGAGCTCATACGACTCGTCACGTCGAGCCAAACGAACGAGCAACTGATGCAAAAGCTTCATCAACCTGTGGAGTGGGTTTGTACTTTGTTACCCCCTTTCCTTTGTTCCCTCACCACCGATCAGATAGAGGTTCTCCCCCCTAGCCTTGAAGAACGGCTTCGCATCCCAGGTTCGCAATTTGCTCAGGCTGCCTGCAAGATCAACTATCTTCAAGCATTGAACAAGGAGTTTGCGAGTCCTTCTTGTGCTCCCTGATGTGTGATCTCACAACCTTCAGGGAGGCCATGTATTACCGCGGCTCCAACGCGCAGAAAAGTGCACCGGCTTTATTGAACGCGAGTTCTCTCTCGAGAAGACCGCAAGCATCTTGGCGAAATGTAAAGCTCATGGGGTAACCGTGAATCATGTACTCACAGCGCTGGCCACCATTGCTTGGGCACGCTGTACTTCTCAGCCTTTCGATCTGCCAATGTGAGCGAGTTCCAGCTTGAAATTTGGCATTCTTCTGCTGACACTAGCTACCAGGATGCTCTATACAGCGGCCAGCCTCCGAGGCCATCTGATCCCTCATCATCCGACCACATCAGATACTTTTCTTGCTCTGGCCTATTTTACGATTTCGTTACCCGCGTTTCCCCCGTCAGGAACGACCGGTGTCTGGCATCGTGCCCGGCTCGCAAAAAAGCAGATGCAGAATGCCGTACGCTCGCCTCTCCTCCCAGCCCGGGCCGTCCTGTCTGCCGCATCCCGCGCTCGTCGTATTACCAATCCGCCCCCGACCTCCTTACCAACGCTTTCATTACCTGGTCGCCCCGAACACAGTAAAGCATTGATGGGCATCTCACTAATCGGAGACCTCGACAGAACATATCGTAGACACGAATACGGGCCAGATGTCCAACTGCTTAGCGTTGGGACAGCAAGCAGGCTTAAACCCGGCGGGTTCCTTCTCCTCGGCCACTCGTTCGGCAAGAAGCTCGTTCTCCAACTATGCTGGGACAAAATGGGCTTTGTCGATGGCGAGATTGAGCGTTTTTGGACCCAAGTGGCCAGCGAGGTTGATGAGATCTCATCCTAATGTTCGAATAACTTTCCTCATCAATACCGACAAGACAGTAATCGCTATGTCCATTCAACCTCCATGCAACCGCCTTGCCATGGTCGACTGTTGCCCGACTTGAGACCGCTGTCCCCCCTCAAACGATTCCGTGTGCTAGCCGCGCCATGCCGATACTCTTCCAATGAACTTCTATCTATCATTTTTCGACGATGGAATTGTAACTCGTTTGCTTGTTCGGCCGAAGGCTTGAAAGATATATCAAGAGACCAGCCCCAATCAATGTGGCGAAATCAAAACCGCAGCAACATCCCTCTACATAGACGCTGAATCGCCGCGGGTGACCGATGAACTTCCCCGGCCACCGGCGTCTTGTCTCCAATTCTACCTCTCCTCGATTGGGAAGTGGCTGATATCATTATCCTCATCGACCTGCACATGTACTGTACACTGGCATGAAAATGCATCGTTTGACCGTTGTAACAGGGGCTTTCCCTTCATCCTGAAGGGACGCTTCTTGAATGGACGCCAAGAGAGACTGGCTTCTGCAACAACAACAGATGTAACAGACGGCGATGGGTACCTATTACCTGACTAATCCTCTCAGATCGCGGGAAAGTTGGGGAAAAGTATAGGCAAAGTATGTAGTTCAATCGGCTGCGTACCTTCGGGCGCCGAATATTGGAATACTGTACATACGAGCCGATGGCCCACAGGAGAAGACAAAGACAAATAGACAAATCACCGGAGCACTGGCAACACAAAATTTTTTGAAAAATTTAGACATTTTGGTGCCTCAGTCTCGCCTAAGCTGACGAAAGACCGGTTCTTGACTTCGGGTGAGGTTAATACCACCGTCAAACACCGCACGATGTAGCCGGCATGCCCGTAGCGCGAAATAACAACTCCATCACCGTTGTATTGTAAATTGTCGCGGTCACCTGACTTTATTGAAACGCAACGGTCGGGACGTGCCATGCGTGCCATCAATTAAACGCGTATGAGGGCATATTTTTGGTCAACGCGCACTTGGGTCGTGGACAGAAGGGAGCGCGAGGGTTGCAACCCCTTCCTCAGGAAATAAAACCATAATAACGTCGACGACAGTACCTTTTGTCATTCCGTCTCCCCTCCAACTGCTAGAACGTCTACGGTTGCCAGTGCTGCCTCGCCGAGCGAATCCATGGATAACTCCTCAAGTATGACCATTACACCAGCAGGGAGGGCCACGACGGGGCTTGCGCGAGTCAGTATTGGGACGTCTCCCATCACTGCCTCCCGCAAATCCAGCTGTGACCATCGCCGACAAGCATGGCGGCCATAACAGACGCAGTTGTGTCTGTAACAGATAACCGCGACAACGGGGCAACCGGACCCAGTTCGGATTACTGCAGCCCCGGCCGACAGGATTGGCCGCACACCGCTGCCGCGGGAATCCAGCAGGAAAGTTGCGGCCTGAACGCGTCAAATCAGTATGACAAGGGGGTAAAGAGCAAAACAGTGAGCGCACCATCGTAAACAACGGCCGCGATGTGGTTGGATGTTAAGCGCGAACCAAAGATGTCCTCTACGCCTCCCCACCACGAGATAAGGTCGTCATAGCGGATCATGAGCGAACGCCGTTGGTTGAAGCTGACGGGGTGGCAAAACGACTATCATTTGGCGGAGGCAGCACAAGCATGAGCTCGTGAGCAAGGGTCAGGTGAAGGTGGTGCTGGATGTAAACATGAGTCGGAAACAGAAGGAAGGAAGAAAAAAAAAGATGATTGTGCGCACCATCTCGCTGCCAAGACCTAAAGAGTGCAGAATTAACGCGCGCTTAGTCACCCACGAATGGGCTACAAGCCTGGGGCCCACGGCAAGGGAGCGCGAGGGTTGCTAGCCCTTCCCCAGGACGGGCACCAGAACACAGCAGTCTTGAGCATGCCATATCCCGCCCCGCTTGAACCGGCCACTACTGCGACGATTGAGCTTCGACCACGCCCCGGTCTGACCGGCCCGAGACGGCCCGCGAGACGTCCGCTGCTGCCCCGGTCCGGACCTTCCGCGACGTGATGAGCAAAAAAAGCCCCAACAGCACCTAGTTCGCCCGCAAGGCCGCACCCAAACTTACTCAAGTCGGCGACGAGACGTCTCCCGTCGCTAACCCGAAGAAATCCAGCTGCAAGCCCGCGAGCAAAACCCTTGAACTCGTCGAACTTTGAATTTTGCGGTTTCTTGACAGCCAAATGCGCGACGACAATCAGCTCAAGCAACTCCCCAGACTGGCCCGAGTCAGCGCTGGGACGTCTCTCAGTGGTGCCTCGGACAGGGTCTTCGGAGATGCTTGAAGCGTGAAGGCCGGGCAACACTCAGCGAGACTTGAGGATTTGCGGATTACTTGCGGCTTGAGGTGCTTGAGGTAACTTGATGTGCTTGATAACTGAAGCCGAAAATTAACCTTTGGTCATGGGCGATTGGCAACACTCACCTGAAATAACCCCTCCCCGCTCACCACTTTGCCACCTTTTGTTTTCATAGACGCGCGCTTAGTAGTCCACTGCCCGCATGAACGACAAGCCCGGGGCCCACGGCAAGGGAGCGCGAGGGTTGCAAACCCTTCCCCAGGAAATAAAACCAGAGCGACACCGGTCTTGGGCCCGCCCGACTCAAGACCATTGCCTGCTCTCAAAGCATCAGAACCCATCTGAAACAGCGCCGGAACGTCTCCCGTCGGTGCCTCATCCTCAGGCCCATCATCTGCAAGTATCACTGCGGCAACAGCAATGTCGAGCGAAAACGTGCAATTCCTCGATGGTGCTTGCCGATTGCCTCTCGTTTGGCACCGATTTGAGACATTCAAGCTCACACAAGTCTGCCACAACCCGAGCTGCGCACGGTTCCCAGACGCGCGCTGCTGCCATCGAAAAAAGCAACGTTTCGAAACGACCTGACGCCTAAGAAGAACTAAGTGGTGCAAAATCCTTTGAACAATCAACTCACCATCGACCCACAATGACACTCTTCATCGTCGACCTCGATGCCACCTTTTGTTTTTTGTAGACGCGCGCTTAGTACATAGTCCGCTTCCCGCAAGACGACAAGCCTGGGGCCCACGACAAGGGAGCGCGAGGGTTGCAAACCCTTCCCCAGGAACGAACACAACAGCTACGTATATCTCAAGCGTGCTGTGTCGTTGAGTGATAGACCATGGAGAGCGAATGTCCAATCTAGAAGCGCATCAGTCGAAGGCTATGGCCCATGAGCGCACCACTTACCCGAGTTCGCTACAAGACTCATATGAGCAATGACCTATCAACAGCTAATGACCTATCAACAGCTAGTGAAGGCAGGAGGCCGATTAGAGGCGACGTACCTTCGGAGTGCGTGCTCTTCAGGCAGAGGGCCGAGAGAGAACCCAGTCGTACTGCGTCAGACCCACAGATGAGGGAAGAAAAGAGAGAGCAAAATTGAGCCTGCATATTACCTCGAAGACAGAAAAGTATTTAAACGAGTTTCTGAAACACGGAAGGCGGAAGGCGGAGTCACTGCAGCCAAGACCCGCCGCTGTCTTTGGAGCGGGTGGGACACGGAGGTCTGAGACGAGTTTTTTTTTCGAAGAAGGGACATTGCATCGAATCGTCATTGAATGTACTAGTACTGGGATCTGCACGTTTCATAGGCTATGGCGAAGGAGGGCAAGCTCACCGAGGCTCTAGCACTGTTTGTGCCCCTGGCCACCCAAGTTCGTTGGAAAATAAGTACACAACTCTAGCATCAGTGTGGGCGAAAGAAACTAATAACCAGCACGTGGTCGCGCCATCAAATAAGTACATCGCGCTCAATCTAAATATCTCGATAGTGCCATTGGCAGGCTCTGGTTTTAGTAAAGACAGAATAAAATTGACGAAGACAGTGTCAATACCGCCCTCTATTATTTTGAGGGTACCGCTGCTGACCTTGCTGACCCTGCCAACGACCCTGCGCTTGCCCTCTCCGGCCATTTCCCCTCCAGTCCTGACCGTTCCCATTCCCATTCCACGACTCATCATACGAGTCGTCCCCACCACCACCACCACCACCGAAGCTATCATCAGCGCCATCACCATACCCAGCCCGCGAATTCCGACCGAAGGCGTCTGTTTGCTGCCCACCACCATCATCCCTTCCCCACCACGGCCCCGGTGCCGGCCCACCTCCAAACCCAGGCACCAGCCCTGGCAGCGAGTCTTCCTCTTCAAACTGCTCCATGTCTTGTTCAGGTGCCTCTGCGGGCCGCGCTCCTCCCCCAGCAAACACACTCGAGGTGTCGCCAGGACGCTCACGTGACCAGAAACGCGTCGTATGGTCGTTGGAGGCGCTGGCGAGCAAGTGGCCGAGCGGGTGGAATTGGAGGGACCAGACATTAGAGTCGTGTGCTTGGTCGAGGCTTGCGCGAGGGGGGGCCGCTGGCTGGCCGAAGCCAGGTTCGGGGGTGCCCAAATCCCAGTGTAAGATAGCACCTTCAGAGCCGCCAGAAACAAGAATGGGGTGGACAGGGTGCCATGTTACAGCTGTTGTCTCCGTCAGCAGTTACGAAAAAGAAACGAAAGATCACTCACAGCAAACCTCTTTCTTATGACCCTTGAAGATGCGGAATTCTTTCATAGCTCTAATATCAAATACGCGGACTGTCTGGTCTCGAGAAGCACTAGCAACGAGATCCCCATTGGGGGACCATGATAGTGCTTGGATGGTGTTTTTGTGGTGATGTCTCGAGGTTGAGTCAGTTAAAATGAAGGTCGAGCAAAACGAGGCATACAATGTTGAGAGAACTGTGCCTGAACGTGGGTCCCAAAACTTGATATCGTTATCTTTACTGCCAGAGACCAAAAGTCCTTTTGTCGGATGCCATTCGACACATTTGACGTCCCAACCGTGACCTTGACTATTTCAGCATCACATCTTGTCTGACTCAATGAATGTTTACCAGTTAGAACGCTCTCGACTTTCCGCTCCTGGAAAGACCATATCCTCACACTCGAGTCGTCGCTGGCAGTTGCAAAGCGCCTGTCGTCCGGACTGAAGCTCAGACCACGGATCGCCTCGCGGCCATTAGACCCTTGCCAGGCGGCCAAATTGTTCATATTGGGTTCAAAATACTTGATCGTTCCCGCCTTATCTGCCGACGCGAGATACTGGCCAGAGTGGGTGAATGTCAGCGTGCAGATAGCAGTGTCGTGTGCTTGTAATATGGTTTCGAAGTTAAAGGTAAGCCCATTCCACAGCGTGAATTCGCCGCTGGTGGAGCCTGTGAGCACGCGCCGCCCTTCGGGAGTCCACTGATTTGTCTTGAGCACCAAACGACCTTGAAGAAGGACAGCTTACGGTGACAACGTTGACTGGACATCGTATTTTGTTCGTGGACGTGTGGATGAACTTGGTGCAGAGCGAAGTCGACGCGTTATCACGATATGCTTTTGGTGGGTAGAGCTGTCGTCAAGTTGGCATTGTCATCGTGAACCTGAAATGCGCTACGCACGTCGATGATGAATGGGACAGCGGGTCGGACATGGGGCAGATATCCCTGGTTTGGGCGTAATTTCCGGAGCTCTTGAACTCAGTCTGGTGGAAAGAAAAAAAAATGCAAATATTCGTACCAGAGCCCAGCGACCCAATGGTCCATTGTAATCAACCGTCCTCCGTGGTCGCGTCTTCTTTATGGGTTTTCCATCTGCTAACGCACGGGCCGCAGCCTCGAGCTCCTGCATTCTCATAGTCTCATCGACAGGTGGAGGTTGCGGTTCAGTCAAATAGCGCGACGGTTTCCATTCGATATGTGGCACTGAAACCTGACGAGGAATTGCATTTGGAGGAAGAAGAGAAGTGGTCATCGGTGGCTGTGCAGACTTGAAGATTTGAAGCAACCTCAAGGCGTTCAAATAATGTCATAAAAAGGGTCGTCAAGTACAGGTCACGTCGTGGCTAGTAATATAGATGGTTTGTTGTGTGTAGTATATACCATGAGGATGATGCAGGTCAGTCTAGATGGATGAAGCAAGCAATACTTTTTAGATTGTGGAGACCTTTGTCTCCCGAAAACTTTTCTACCTTCTTCCCACAAGCACCGCAACGAGCACAATGAACGGGATGTAAGTGAAGAATGATATCACAGCCATGATGCGACAACGCGTGCGCCAAGTCCGAGCATCTAGCCGCCATAAACATGGAAACGATGGTGGAAATGAGGGAAAGCGCACCAAATTCAACTTGCGGGTCATCTAGTACAACCTGACCCTGTGATTGGCCTTTGCCCTCCGTGTCGTGACCCAATGTTCGAGTGCGAATGACCTGCAGAAAGCTAGCCACCCACCAGACGGGGAAAAGTACAAATCCGACGAAGAAAAGCCACGCATGGAGCGGGCTGCCGCCAGTTTCCGTGAAGCTGCGCCATATGTGGCTTCCCTGCATGTCTATTTCGCCCATGGCTAACGTCCAACCCGTGGGTTGTACTTTAGGTGGCTTGTGGGGGTCGCGCATGTGGAAAGCGTTATGTCCAGACGACAAAGCAATGGATGGAGCATGCGGAGAAATCAATGCTGATATTGGAATTGACGACTGGGAGAGCGACCGCCTAGAAGAGGCACGATGTAGTGAAGACTGTTGCGAGAGAGACTGTGACCGGGACAGCGGACGTTGGTTTGAGCGCCGACTAGACCAGGAGCCCACAGTAGCGGCTGTGTCAGGTCGGTTGGTAGTGTCTTCAGATTGGGTGGAAAGACGAGCCCGTTTTGGCTGCCGATGATACGACGAGGGAGCATTTGAGGTGGCGTTTGATGCACGCAAAGCTGAGCAGTCGTCAGGCAGGTGGGGTCGAAATAAAGAGTCTTACGTCGCGGAGATGCTGCAAAGGTAGCTTTTCTGGCGTCGGGTGGAGTGTTTCCATCGACTTCATCTGCCTTGCGTTTGCCCTTATTGGACGGGGTTTGTACAATGGGGGAGGGATCCGGTGTTGGTGACGTGACGAGGGTCGTAGGAATAGATAGTCGTGTGGAGGGCATGGGAGGTGAAGAAAACAAGCCGGGCTGGCAGGAGCCGAGATAATATTTTTGTGTGATCTGTCACGTTTCTCTTTCGTCTTGGACGCGTCTGGCCATGGCACGCGCAACTCGCTCACAAGACACACTCAAATCACCCAAACACGAGCTGAAGAAGAGGAAATTGGGCGATGATTCTCTTGACGAGCAGCCCGACAAATTCCAGCGAATAGATGCACCTCCACTGGCCGCAACAAACCCTATTGAGGACGAAACCGCTACCAAAATTCTCCATATACTTGAGAGGTGAGGTTAACAAGTCCAATGATCAGTTATCTGACGTGTTGTAGCATCGACGAGCAAGGACTGTTGGATCGTGTTTATGAACCACCACATTCGCTCAGGTCACTCCTCCAATCTCCCGCTCAACACTCCCTTGCCACACTCAGAGCTGCGGTTCTGAACCTCCGCCCACTCTCCTCCCATCCCAGGCAGCCGCTCTATCCACCAGCTGCCCAACAACAGCGATTTTGCGATACCGCACTTTCGCTCCTCGACCAAGCATCCTTCACTCCCCTCCCACCTGAAACAACAACAGAATCCCTTTTCCCCGATAACGATGAGCCCGGCTCGCGACTCCTCACCACCAAGCGCTATGCTCTCATGCAACGCCTCCCAGATGGAGACTATTTCACATCCACAAATATCGACCTTGGGGCGGACCTAAAAGATCTGTCGACAGGCCACGCAGACCTTGTAGCCGTTCTACCAGGGCCTTCAGTAACCTCCCTTCCCTCAAACTTGCCGAAACTTGGCGACTACCACATTGCCAAGCCTGAGGCCAACGTTTTACGTCGTTTTCACCCGCTCCCGTCCCGCCGCGTCTCACATGGCATGTTTTTGGACTATGGTCCCTATTCAAGTTTCGCTCCCACATGGAATCAGGACGGTGCAGAGATTGGCATGCGTCAAATGGGTGAATACTACGCCCAACGGGCCAAACGTCATAAGGAGCGGTTCCTTGCTGCGAAAGAGGCCGCAGCCAAATCTTCTCCTCCCCTACCTGTAAAAAGAAATCCTTCACCGCCTCTCCCGTCGTCAGAACCAATCCACGTAGACAGGGAGGCTCTGCAAGATATATTGTCGGCTGACGAGATTGACGGGCTGACTTCAGTCCTCGGTAACTTGGAGATTGAGAATTCTGTTCACGAACTGTTGGAAAGGAATCGCAGAGCACTTAGTCGTCTAGCACAACTTCAAGAAAGGCGGATGAGGTTTGAGAACGGTATTGCTGTTAAGGAGGGCGATGAAGAATGGGATCTTGGTGTGTATTGTGCTACTACATTGACTCCCTCTCTAACACCAACTTCAATAGCTCAAGGCATCTTATCGTCTCTGACATTACTTTCGTCTCTTCGACCGCGATCTTCTGTTCATCCAACGTCCCCGTTGGTTCCGCCACCAGATGTTATTCATACTTTGATGCGGACCCTTCCGCGCACGGCCGTTCCAGGTTGGCATGGAACCCTTCCTCCGCGAAATTCAACACAAGACGACAAAAAAGTCCCACCGGCTTTAAGAGGCGACACCACAGCACGAATCCGTCCTGGGGTTGCCGCTAAAGCACCGCCACCACCGCCAATGGAAGTGTCGACGCCTGGACTTGCAACAGCCTACGCAGCTGCATACTACACTCCCCAGGCGACGAGGTCACAAACAACTCGCTACAGTACTCGTGCAAGTACTAGTAGTGCTGTCCCCCAACAGTCATACTATCCACAACAACAACAACAACCACAACAACAGACTGCGTATGCTGGCTCGACCACTCAGATACCATATGGTAGCGCAGGGTGGGCTCAGTATACCAGCGCTGTGGGTTCAGCGACGCCAACTCATGTAGCTTATGGCGCCACGAACTTTGCGACACCCGGAGTCACCGGCTCGAAAGCTGTGGCAAACACTGTCCTGGCGAGGGGTGGTGCAACAAATTGGGGCGTTCCGCCAGCTCTGCCTCCCCATCTGCGGTCAGCAGTCGGTTAATGCATAGGGAACTTGCTTTGAAAAAGACTTTGTATTGTACACTAGTCAAGTACTTTACTCTAGAACCTAGTGTTGTGTATTTTCGCCAACGGAACAACGTTGTTGAATGAACTGCTTGCGTGTAAAAGTACAACCGAAATCTATCCTGGCCTAAGTCAGCTTAGACAGCTCGAAAATTTTGTCAACTAATTTGGCTTGCGAATTGTCGTCCTCTCGAGGCCTGAGGCTTTATCTCAGGCGACGAAGAGAGTATGACAAGGCTCTCATTATAGCGAATGTCCGTTAATAGGTTATGGCTTTTTGTTCCTAAGGCAAACCCTTTCACAGCTCAGTTTCGAGTGAACATTGGCACAACATTAGTTCTTTCTTTCTTTCTTATGATCGACTGCGTGTAAATGTATGCTATAATGACCAAATCTTCACCGTCGCATCCCGCCCGCCCGAAACCAAGTAGCGGTCCATATACCGCACCCGCTCGACCGGCTTCATATGCCCATTAGTCTGCAACGTCGACTGCTGCATGCTCGTTCGATTGTAAATCTACACAGACACACGGAATCAGCATGTCGCCACTGAGGGCAAGGAAAAAGGAAGGTACCTTGATGCCGTTCTCCCCCGTGGCTGCGACAATTTTGCGCGTGTCGAACTGGAGGCTTGTCACAGCATGGTCGTATTTGAGCGTTTCGAAGACGCCGCCAGTGCGGAGGTCCCATATCTAAAGTCACATCTCAGTCTCCTGGACGAGAGCTGTGGAGAAACGAACCCGTAGCGTCTTGTCTAAACTGCCGCTGGCAATGTGGATCTCGTCAAACTGCACACAAGTAACTGGCGCCGTATGGCCGAGCAATGTCCGATGGGCTTGTCCAGTTCGCACTAAAACAAAAAGTATTAGACTCTGAAGAGAATGGTGAAGAAATAAAGTACTCACTGTCCCACATCCTCACTGCCCCATCGCCACTACCACTCACAAGACCGTACCCCCAGAACTGTACGCCGCCAACAAAATCCTCATACATGTCCCAGGTGCCATCAGCGTAAGGCGGCATTGGGACGCCAAATGAGCCGACGGAAGCTGCTGCACCAGAAAAGAGGTTGTTAGGTAGAATCCCACCGGAAACGCTATTGCGCGGCTGGTGGGCATGCGAAATGGCCCACAGAATGTCCATCGTCATCACACATTGGCCCGTTGTGAGGTCCCATTGCCGCAGAGTTTTGTCAGAGGCGCCAGTAACCTGTTGCGATAGGATATTAGTATCAAGGTGAAGATCGATGGATTAGAGGTCACCAAACAGTCATCCTCGAAATACAAAGCCGTGACCGCTTTCGTATGACCCTCAAGAACACGCGCACAGCAGTCATCCTGCTCTACTGCGCGTTCTTTGCCAGCCCGTACTCGCGTTGTACCCGAAGCTGCTTCAGGGTCTCTATCAGTCTCCTGATCCTCGTCTTCCTCGCTGAGTGTGACAAGCTCGCCGACATCAGCCCAGCTATCAGCGGGTTCCGCATCCACCCGTCTTAAGTCCCATAGCCGGACATTCCCGTCTTCTCCACCCGTTAAACACACCGTGTCTTGCACTTGGAGGGCTTTGACGGTCCCAGTGTGACCCCGTAAACGCCCTATTTCCGTGCCAGAAAAGAGATCCCACACCCGCGGTTGTGCATCGTCCTGCGAGGCACTAACAAGCGTCCCGTAGGGTTCGGAAAAGTCTAATGCAGTCAAGGGCGTAGTGTGCCCGTCTAAAGTCTACAGCAAACTTGAGTAAAAAGGTAGCTGAATCTCAAGAGTTGTCGCACCATGAATGCAACACCAGGCGGCAACTCGTCGTGTTCCGAAGGTAGGAAGGCTGGACCTAAGCTCAAATGAGCTCAGATCGTTTGGGATGGAGACGAATAGTTCACCTTTCCGCCTCCGAGATGTGTGATGAGGCAGTTGGAAGGGTTGTTGAGTGGAAGCTTTCTGCAGATGCGATTGCTCAAAGTCCAGACGCTCCTTGACTCCCTCAACTACCAGGCGTTGAATACTGAAAGGAGGGTAAAGAAGTTATAAACGCACGCTCATCGTCGAGTTCAAGTTCGTCTTCGTGCAACTTGAGCAAATCTTGTTCCAGTTTGGCCCTGATAGCATCGAGTGCGGCAATTTTATGCGAGATCTCTGCAATCTCGCTATGAACGAGGTTCTTTCTTGATTTAAATAACAGTTTCCGGCAATATATAGTAAAACAACTCACCCTTCGGACGTGGATGTTCTCCTTGTCGCGAATAATCTCTTTCGACTGTCGCGTAAGCTCGTCTTTGCCGAGTGTTTTCGCAGTGCTCAGACTCTCCCGCCCCCCGCCGCTTTCCTTTTCCACCTTCGCGCGGCACAACGACTACATCCTCTTCACTGGTCACACTGTGGCCGTCGTGCTCGTCGTCATCAGTCATGAGCCCCCTTGCACTCATTCCCAGCCGCTTCAGTCCAATCCGCGGTGTTTCCACACTCCTCATTTGCCGTCTTCGCGCCCGCCCTTGTTCGGCGCTGGGGATTGTGGCATTAAAGCCCCGCAGGAGACTGACATCAGACGCGACGCCATCCGGCTCTGGAATTTCGCTCTCGAGCAGCTCGTCGGTGGCCTCCACAATTTGCAGGTCGCCTGACGTAATCCTTCGTGAGCCCAGCCCCAGCTTGAGCGGCGCACGCCCGAGGGTGGCAAAGTCGAGCTTCGAGTTTGCCATTGGTTTCGACGCCGGGCCCAGTGTTTGGCGGCGAAGAGAGGCGTTGGCGGTGGAGTTGATCATGCGCGGCGTCATTATGACCGGGGCCACTGCATTGGAGTGGGCAAAGCCAGAGAGAGAGGAGAAATAAAAATACTTACAGTCCGACAGAATTTTTGTCGAGTCGTGTTTGCGGTGGGTGAAGCGCGAAAAGATGGCGTTCTGGACAAGCTCGAACTTGGAGGGCCCCGGGTCGGTCGTTATGAGTGGGTCAAGGGGCGCTCGTGCGGGTGGTTTCTTCGGTTCTCCATGGGAGGAGGACATCGAAGTTGGGAAAACAAGATGATGGTGGCAGGAACAGAAGACAACAACAGTTTGGTGTCAATATGCATCCATGAAAATTATTGGATTACAGCATATATACTACGTTAGCGTGTCCAGGCAAAATCTACTACAAGACCAAGCCCGTAAGGTCGCAAGTCGTATTCCCAACGCAGAGCTGGCAGCGATGGAGAAGGCGGCGCTGGTACCACATTAACAATCGGTTGACTCCGTTGAGGCTCAATCACAGTCTTCCTCCTCAACTCGTGCATTTGTTTCCAAGCCACTTGCACGAACCCTCGCGCTTTACCGAAGACACTCGCTGTCAACTCGGATGGTGCAGTCTGAGGCATTGATTCAGACGCGTCAATATTCGGGGTAACGAGCGTGATGTTTGCCGGAGATACACTCGACTGTTCTTCAGCCTGGACTTCTGGTTCGGCACTGGCCTGAAGTTCTGTTGCGAGCCTTAATATGCTCGATTCCTCCCATTGCGAGACATTATATGGCTCAAAGAACCCGCCGGTCCAGACATCGCACCAGCAGCGGTCCAACGTCCGCACAACTGAGGGAAGCGGCGCATCATATGCGGCGGGTATCGACTGATTAAGCGCGTCGGCGAAAGTCGTGACGTCTTGCGACCACGGGCGATAGAGAAGACTGGATGAGGGGAATGGCTGCCAGTAGCATGACGAGAAGAAGAGGGCGACAAGCAGGACGATGCAGTAAAAGCTATGTAGACCGTTATGAATGACAAACACATCCGGAGCATGGAATTTGCTACCATGGTTTAGCTTGAATGAACAAGGCGAGGAGGAACAATGTAAGGAAGTAGGGAGGTGCCGTGGGCATAGGCAGGAGCAACAAGGGCAGATACCATCGCGTACACCACATCGGTCGAAGAGTCAAGGTCGTCACGCTGTGACATCAGTTTTTGTCTCTCCAAGTTATCGCAGATACTAGGTAGAAAGAATATAGCGTGCAGTCTCAACACGATCTGAGTGCCGAGATTGTCGATTTGGAGAGCTGTGAACACGGATATCAGCATACCTCTAATTGACAACACTTTTTGAGCACGTGTGATTCTTTCTTCCGCCTTCCATCTCTTTCCTTTTACCTCGAGCATGGCTGTTGTACACCCTGAAGTTCTGTGGGCCCAGCGCAGCTCTGAGTCAGACGAGACCAAGGTTGGCTTGCTTTTTTCTTCGTCAGGATAGGCGCTTGACGCGTCATCTAGAACATCGTCTACCTGACCGTCAACCTGCCAGACATCGTGGAGTCTTCGCTCCAATACAACCTCGAGCCTACAAAAATCTCGTTCAAGGCCACGTCCGGCAAGTACGCACGCATCTTCAAATGTTTTACGCTTCACTGTTCGCTAACCACCATCTCTGTCCAGCGACAAGACGGGATCCACAAAAGAGTACGCCTTCGAACTGGACCTCTTCGCCGAGGTCGTACCAGAGGTCCGTTTTATGCTCTCCTCACGCCAATCGGAGCCACGCCTGACCCGTCTCCTTCAGAAATCAGGAAAACGATTGACCACACGTTCATTTGCGCTCGTTCTTCGCAAAAAGGAACAGCAGGCAGAATACTGGCCACGGCTGACCAAGGAGAAGGTCAAGAACGCGTACATCAAGACCGATTTCTCGAAATGGGTCGATGAGGACGAGCAAGACGGTGAGGTTGTCAAGGAGGATGATGACTTCGACATGAACGCGCTGGGAGGCGGTATGCCGGGTGGTATGGGTCTTCCTGGTGGTGATATGGGTATGCCCAGTGGAGGTATGGGGGGCCTTGGAGGTCTGGACTTCGAAAAGGCAAGCAAACCATATCTCATCGGTTGATTATCTAACTCATTTCTCCCCCACCTCTAGATGATGGCAGAGATGGGCAAGAGTGGTGCCCCCGCTGGAGGCGACGACGGCGAGGACTCTGACGACGACGATGGCCCGCCCCCGCTTGAGGAAGCATGAAGATGATCTAAAAATATACTATCTACTCACACGCGTTGAAATTGTTTTGCAGATCTTGTCCAATAGACACGATGTCGAGCCATTTGAGTCCTAAAATTTAAGCAGGCAAATGTGCTGGGAACCGAAAAGCCGGCATGGGTTTATTATTACTAGAATCTCATCGCTTGGTACTTGCTTTCTCTGTGTGATTTCAAAAAGTCTAAACTAATGCTACAATGGGGATGACCCTCAGGCGGCCGGGTATGTATCGTGTCATAAACTCCATGTCTTACTTGGCCGTGAAGTAGACACAGTCGTCAAACGAACCGTGTTGCGCAATGGGGCCAACAACGGGAGAGTGGTTGGCGGAGGTGTTGATGGAGCACATGCGGTACGCGCCGACCGGGACACCCTTGGCGACAAAGGCGATGGCGATGCCGTTCTGCGCTGGGTCGTCAACACCCTTGAAGAAGAAGAACTTCTTGGGGTCGGTGGGGGTGATCTGATCAATGCTCTGCAGAGTCTCAATAACCTGGATAAAAGGGTAATAAGGGTAAGATATCTGTCTATGGAAGGTAACGGACGATGTGGGTGTGACCAATGATTTCGCCTTGTGCGTTGAGTGTCTGGGGAGCAGAGAAGTAGGTCTTCTGCGCGTTGGTGAAGACACCAGTCTGGAAGTTGAGCACGTTGAGCGAGGCGTTAAAAGGGACGTTGGCGTTGATCGAGTCCGTGTTCTTGGGGAAGTTGAACTTGGCGGAGGGCATCTTCTCGATGGAGGGGAGCAGACCCATTGGCGTTGGGTTGCACGAGCCACCCTGGACTTGCTTTCCGTCGGTAAGTGGGGTGCCGGGGAGAGTAAGCTTGCAGAAATTAATCCAGTTGTTGGTCGTGGTCTTGGAGGCCGTTTGTCCTGCGGTGGGTGGGTTTTGACCGTCGTCAGCGAAACCCTTTGCAATGACAGCGGGGTCAAGAGCTATTTGATGGTGAGTATTGATGCGATCATATTGAGAGACACGAACTCAAAGATGTTTGTGCATCAGCTCCAGCGCCGCCAGCCGCAGCACCGGCCCCTGCATTGTTAGCCGCTGGGGGGGCTTCAGCCGCTGGGGCTTCAGCGGCTGGTGGGGCAGCGGCTGGTGGTGCAGCGGCTGGTGGTGCAGCTGCAGCGGGTGCAGCGGGGGTGAATGGAAGGTTGTTGAGTTGGGCGACAAGAGCAGCGACTTGTTGGATCGCGGGGGATGTGATGTCACCATTCACGGCTCCAGCAACACAGTCAGAAAGACCAAGGGCCTTGGCCACATTACAGTTAGGCGCAGCAGTGCCAAAGCCACATCCACCAGACCCGTTAGTCTGGGCAACAGCCGGGCCAGCGCATTTGCCAGTCGTGAACCCACAGCAGCCTTGCTGGCAGTCCGAGTCGGTCGTGCATGGGCCAGTCACGAATTGGTCACCACGACGGGCAGCGGCGTAGCGAGAAGGGAGTCTATGAGCGGAAACCGAGACCGCGACTGTAAATCGGAGGTAAACAACTTCTTAAAAATAGATTTACTCTCAGTACGCACGGAGGGAGAGGGAAGCGAGAGTAGCAGAGAACTTCATGACGTCGACAAAAGGATGAAAAAGCTAGACAACGCAGTTGTCAGAGAAAGCAAAGAAAAAAAAGCGGGAGGGAGAAAGAGAAGGTGAGAATCAATCTGAGGGTCCTCACGCCCGACTCCACCTTTATAAAGGCTAGCACTCGGGCCAGCGATCATGCGTAATCGTCGTGATGCCGATGGCATTGAAACGCGTCCGTGGCAACCTATTGAATGACCAGGTCCCGCATTAAACAACCTGCGCTGCCTGTGCAGGTCTTGTGTTTTGCTGCTGGATAGTCGTCTCGAAAGTGATTCTTCGGGTTAATATCCACGTCCAAGAGCGCTCAAGAAAGTTCATGGAAATCTTTTTTTGCCCACGGTTGCCATAGCGGGAAGCGTGGCGGTGCAAACGTCCGTTCCCGTTGCCCGTCTAGCGCGAGTTAAGGGAACGGTATGGTTTGGTTGCTGCATGAATAGCTTTTAGGGCTTTGAAAGATATCTAATGTACATCGTGTGTGGTACCTTGGTTTTTGATGTAACGAGTGTGAGGACATGACTATTCGTGGAGGCGCTTTAATTATCGAGCGAGAGGGTCTTGAAACGCGTCAGTAGACGAGAAAAAGGTGAGTAACGCGTTGCGCACAATCCAATCGACATCCTGGTTCCAGGTATCTTCAAACGTCTTCTTATCGCCTGTGAAAACGAACGCTCCTTGTGTGTAGCCGATGTTAGCAACAACAGCTGTCCCGTCATCATTCACCCATTGCGGGGTTACGAGGCCACTGGTCGTATTGAAGAGCCACTAATGCGACATCAGCTATCAGTTTGATGCTTATGATTCTCTCCCTCACGATGGCGCTGGAGCATTTGCGGAGGATGTTTCGCGCATCGGTGAAGGTGTTGCCACAGTAAGATGGCTTAGCACCAGTGGCAGTCTCACGAGTACCACCGACGAGGAGGTAGCTGTGATAAAAACATTCTTCAGTTGAGTAACGACCGGAAGGTAAATGTTGACGCACTCTCCATCGCTACCGATTGAGCTGCCCTCCTGCCCACCGATCCCACCAAGGAACGGGTAGTTATTTTTGGGAGCATTCTATACATGTTTGGGTTTATTTTTTTGCCTGATTAGATGACTTACCTTGACTAATAAGCTCTGCGCGGTCCCATTCTCGGCTAGCGACAGATCGATGCTCACAAGCATTCGTGCAGCAACGTCGTCCTTGTTGTTTGACGGGGAAACTCCGATGTACTCGCCGTATGAGTTGAGCGCGCGCGACACGTAACCAATAACCTTGCTCTTGCCAGACGAGGTTGTTGCGGTGCATTTGAGGTAACCGAGGGTGTTTATCTCAGCGTGAACATCTCCATCGCCTGCAACATCAACTGGGAAAGCGGTTGACAGAAGGGCGGGGAGCAAAAGAGCGGCAAGGGATTGGACGAGCATTTGCCAGCAGACGAAGGGAGCAAACGAAGCGGCGCTGGAAGGTCGTCTGCTCTCTGAAAGAATGTTTTATTGCTCAACGCTTCACGTAAGTCGACGCATGAAGAACGGGATGCTCGTGTTATGACTGAATTGCGCGTTGCGCTGTTGCGGCGATTACCACGCGCTGCAACGACCAAGGCCATATGAGCGGGATCCTCGCACTCTGGCGGGTGCAGTGGATGCGTCATCGAACCAAGACGTCGACAACAAAAGCAGGGCCGTCGTAGTCTCGTACCCCGACGTTCTTTCGAGAATCGCTCGCTGCGCGAGCGGAGTCCTGCCGACCGGTCCACGTGACTGATTTTAGTTTTTGATGCAGGGATTCTCTCTAGAACGTCTGGGGCAGTTTGCATCAGAAATAGCAGATCCTTGGCGAAGCGATTTCTCACGCCCCCATGCAACTTTTGGGCCCAAAAAAGCGCAGAGCCAGGAGTTTCGAAGACGAGCTTTGCGCTCCAATTTTTTCTGGATCGAACGGAGGCGTCGTTGAATGGCAAGAGGACTCAAAAAAGGCCTAATTTTGGTGAAAGGACAGATTTTGGCTGGCTGACAGTTGCCATCAGCTTGAGGATCTGTCAATCTCTCTACGAACTGCCCCAGACGTTCCGGTCGCCATTCCTGCACATCAACCTCCAAAACTCACGTGCAGAATCGGCGAAAACCGGAACGTCGGGTTTCGAGACTAGGGCCGTCGTAGTTCATTGTCGTCAAGAAGAGAAACGATCACGTTTATTGATCAGCGCACCTTGCACTCCAGATTTCTAGCGACCTGCAATTTCCGTCGTTTGGACTTCCTGCTCAGTACTCTGTTTGCAGATGTACATAGTAGGAATTGGCCGGATATGAGGCTCTTCAATTCCAGTCACCAACTTCAATCAAGTTTAGCCTTCCAAATTTGGTGCCAGAACTTCGACTCGGACTAGTTTTCAGCATTCAATGGATGCATCCCAGAAGAGCGCAGAGAATAAGAAATGATCTATAGATATGGGCTTAGTTTGTAGGGTTGAAAAAGATGAGATTATTCGGAGAGATGAGTGCTGAAGAAGTATACAAATGGGTAGCCTTCGTGCCGAGACTACGATTGTTTTCGGCGCTCTGCCTCCCATCTGGCACGCATTAGCTGCAGACCTTCTGCTCTTGAACCAATTGCAGGGACGGGAACCAGCATTCGCCGCTGGCTGTCCTCCAAACCTTCGAAACCTTCGCTTCGAATAACCTGGGAAGAAAATAAGGTCATTGAAACGTATGAGAGTCGCTGTTCGCAGAACTAACGGAGCCAATTGCAAGGAAGAAGGAGAAACTTGCGGCGCTCGTGAGCATCGTCCGGGAAAGCGTTGAAAGTACGCCTCTAGGACCGGCGCCGTGTCTTCATTGGGGCATTGAGATTCGGTCGCATAGACAGAGGTGACGCACTGAAGAATGCTCCAGGATCCAAAAAGAAAGCCAATCGTGAGGCCGACTCCGCCACCCATGAGGGCACCCATTCTTTGCTCGTCAGAATTTTTTTGAAATATAGATAAATGCAGAGTCGTACTTCACTGTGAAGCCGTCAGTCATATAAGAGTGACTACGAAAGAATGCGGCGCACTTTTAGACCAGATAGTTGGTTCCGACATGGTGGTTGTTCAAAAAACGGGAAGACACCGTGATCGCGAGCAAATGTCTGTTCTTCCTTCCTTTCCACTCGCTCAACAAGCACAAATCAGTCTGTACTCTGTCTTGGCTCGCTTGAAGTCGATTAACACGGCGTAGTTCGCGCAAATCAACGCGACTTGTACCATGTTTCCTCACTGAAGGATCAATTTGAAGGCGTTTTGCGGGCATGGCTTGGTAAGTGTTGTTGTAGATATAGCGGAGCGCCCATAGACGTCTAGGAACTCGATGGCTCAGTCGTTGGGAGAAGGAGGTCAACTTGTTAGTGAAATTGGTCTACTACGGCTTGACCACTGTCCGAGGTATCAACTGCACTTGCGTCGATGATACTTCGTCTAACTATTGGAAAGCCACCCAGACTCTTGGAGAGGAATATACAGACATCTGGCAGTACTCCACTCTTCATGGGACCTTTCCACCCCCACCCGTGCTTCGGGCTGCTTTAGTGCTGTTGCCGACAATACCCGGTTACCTCTTGACCCGACTCGATGATTTCTTGCCTCAGAATGCGATCTCCCAGTCCTGGAGGAAGTGGCTCAAGAGACTTCCAAGCGTATTAGAAATCCTCACCGAGCTCAATCTAGCCGCATTCTATATCCAAGGTGTCTACTATGATCTTGTAAAACGAGCATTGGGCATTCGAAAGGCAAGAGAACTAATTGCGACATACTTCCTTAGCTCAGACCCAGTCTAGATTTCATCCACACCGCACAACCCTAACGTCCGGCCACCATCTTATTCACTTCTAGGCATTCTACTGGGGGTCCGTTTGCTACATCGGTTGATATCCTTTCTACGAGCGAGCTACTTCGAAGAACCGGAAAGCTCGAAAGGAAAACATCGCGCAACTCATATCGAAGACGAAGCTTTCCTAGACGAACGCCCTGTGTCAGAGTTTCTCGGGCCTGTGGACCCCGAAGGGCAACCAGCAAAACCAGCGGAGGAGGATGAGAGAACTATGCTCGACGTTTCTGCCATTCCACAGCAACACAGAGCCGGCAGGAATTGCACCCTATGCCTCGAGGAAAGGACGGATAGTTGTTGCACGGAGTGTGGTCATTTGTTTTGTTGGAGTTGCATTGTTGGCTGGGGACGAGAGAAAGCAGAGTGTCCGCTTTGCCGACAAGCACTCAATTTAACGCGTTTGTTGCCTATACACAATCTGTGATTTTTTGGGGGGGGGCTATGTACATACAAAAGTCAATTATAAGCTGACGCGCTCTTCATGCAACTTGCTGGATGAGGGTGATGTTGTCGCCTTTTAATAGAATACGACCTGGAACGAGAGTTCATTAAAATGGCCAACTGATGTACTAAACTCACCCAGCTCTCGGCGTGGTTTCGCGTCCTTGACAAATACCTCGGCCGCTTCGTCGATGACCACGTTCATGAATTCATCAAATCCCTACCGAAATGCGCGTCAGACATGGTCAAGACTAGGATTTGCTCCAAGTTTCAATGTGGGCACGAGAGAATTAGCTAAGAGACGCACAATGATTCGACCCTCGATGCGCATATCGACGTTATCATATAGCCAGATGGAGATTTTGGTGCGCTGGCGAAGGTTTAGTGGACAGATTGGATAAGAGCAAAACGGGAGACCTGTTGTAGATTTTTGAAGATCACGTTCTGCCAACAATGAGCGCTATGAAACGAGCAGAATCATGGACACTTGCGATGGGCTGGACCATCACTCGCTGCTGGCGGCCGGACATGTTGGGCAGAAGTGAGTGAGGGTGAGTTGAGTTGAGAGCGAAGGCCTGTCAAAGCACGTGCCAACCAACTCTTTACGCCTCGACGCGTAGACACAAACGACCATGGAGGCTAGTCCCTCCAGCACCCACATTTTTTTCGGTCTACTAACTCTTATTAGGCCTTTGCGCCTGGCAACTCCTCGACGGCAGCTGCCGTCACATTCATTACCTTCGTCCAGGACCTGAAGAAGAAGACCAAAACATGGGCACCCATTATAGACCTCTGTGAAAGTGGGGAGAAGACGCTACACCGGTTCAGATATCAGTTCCCGGACGACTGGCTGTACAGCGACCAGCTGCGTGGGGAGTGGAGCGCCTACAATGAGATATTGAAGAGAAAGAACGACTCCATTCAGGAGCAACTCGGTGCGTCCCCAATTGTCCCTCCAACTTGCCTACTCACGCTTTAATAGCCGGCCTGCAACTAAAGATTGTCGCCGAGGATAAAATCGTGGAGAACAAGATCAACGACATTATTTCAGAGTGGGAGCAAACTCGTCCTGTCCAGGGCAACATGCGCGCAGACATCGCCATGAACACAATCAATGTCTTCGAGGGAAAGCTTAATCGAGTACAGGACGACTACGACCTCCTTTGTCGGGCGAAAGAAGCCCTTGACCTTGAACTTGTCCGCCACACGCGTCTCGAGCCTGTCTTTGAAGAGTTACGTGACCTCAAAAGTGTTTGGACCGCCCTTTCCGGCGTGTGGAGCCAGATTTCTGAGCTTCGGGAGATGCTTTGGTCTACGGTCCAGCCAAGGAAATTGCGCCAACAAATCGACGGGCTGATTCAGTCAACGGGCAAGATGCCGACGCGAATGCGTCAATATGCAGCATTCGAATATGTCCAGGACGTGTTGAAGGGTCTCCTCAAGTCTAACTCTGTCGTTTCAGAGCTGCAATCTGAGGCTATGAAGGACAGACACTGGAAGCAGCTTTTCAAAGCACTCCGGATGCCTGCTGCTATTCCAATGCCAATGTTCGCTCATCGTTATCCTCGTCCGTAGCTTCCCTTACCGAGATTATGTAGCATGACCCTTGGCCACGTCTACGATATGGACCTCAAGAAGAACGAAAGCGTCATCAAGGAAGTTATCATTCAAGCGCAGGGAGAGGTAGATTTCTCCGAACTTTCGCTTCATATATGCTCAAGTCTTTTCCAGATGGCTCTCGAGGAATACATCAAGCAAGTCAAGGAGACCTGGACCAGCTATACGCTAGACTTGGTCAACTACCAAACGAAGTGTCGCCTGATCAGGTATGTACCATCTTCCGGTCAATATGTACATGTTCTAAAACGCTCCTTAGAGGTTGGGACGATCTCTTCACCAAGTGTAGCGAGAACCTCAACTCGCTTACCGCCATGAAACTTTCTCCTTATTATAAAGGTCATTTTATTTCACCGTTCCAGTCCAATCAAATAACGGTAATGCAGTTTTTGAGGAGGAGGCTGCGTCTTGGGAAGAGAAGCTCAACCGAATCCATGTCTTATTCGGTACTTTGTTCATCGCATGATGCTATGTTCGCAACTGATTCGTTTTTTAGATGTGTGGATTGACGTTCAGCGCCAATGGGTATATCTCGAGGGTATTTTCTCTGGAAGTGCCGATATCAAACATCTGCTTCCCGTTGAGAGCGGTCGCTTCCAAAACATCAACGCAGAGTTCCTCACAGTCATGAAGAAAGTCTACAAGTCCCCCTTCGTGCTGGATGTCTTGAACATTCAGGGAGTTCAGAAGAGTTTGGAGCGGCTCGCAGACCTGTTGAACAAGATCCAAAAGGCACTGGGAGAATACCTCGAACGAGAGCGGTCTTCGTTCCCCCGGTTTTACTTCGTTGGTGACGAGGATTTGCTGGAGATTATCGGTAACAGCAAGGATATCCTTCGCATCATGAAGCATCTGAAAAAGATGTTTGCCGGAATCTCAACAGTTATGTTGGACGAAGACCTGACCCAAATCCAAGGCATGGCTTCGAGAGAGGGCGAAGAGGTTCCGTTTACGACACCCATTCTGCTGAAAGATTTCCCCAAGATCAACGACTGGCTTGCGAAAATCGAGTCCATGATGCGCCTTTCCTTGGCGGACCTGCTCACAGACGCTGTTGGCGAGTTACAATCGTTTTACGGCACCGGCTCGTCTCTTCCAATGGATCAATTTATGGCTTGGATGGAGAAATACCCGGCGCAGTTGGTGACTCTCGCCATTCAAGTTGCCTGGACGGCTGCTGTCGAGTCATCGCTCGAATCGAGGACTGCACCAGATGCTGCGCTGCAAACTGTTACGCAGGCTCTTGATCTGCTCGCCGACATAGTCTTGCAAGAGCTTATACCTGTCACTCGTCGCAAGTGCGAGCACCTTATCACAGAATTGGTCCATCAGCGAGATGTCACTCGAACACTGATTGCTGATAAAGTGCTTGACCCAGCTGGTTTTACATGGTTGTACCAAATGCGATTTTACCTGGATCGCTCCGTGGAGAATCCTCTCGAACGTTTGGCTATCAAGGTGGCCGACGCTTCCTTCCCTTATGGTTGGGAATACCTTGGTGTCCCAGATCGGCTCGTCCAGACACCACTCACGGACCGTGTCTACCTAACACTCACACAAGCACTTGACAATCAACTTGGTGGCGCTCCATTTGGTCCTGCTGGCACAGGTGAGCCCATTTTTTACATTCTTCACTTTCATTCTGACATTTTTTAGGTAAAACCGAGTCCGTCAAAGCTCTTGGTGTCCAACTTGGGCGCTTTGTGCTCGTATTCTGTTGCGATGAAACATTTGACTTCCAGGCAATGGGTCGTATTTTCATCGGTCTCTGTCAAGTCGGTGCCTGGGGATGTTTCGACGAGTTCAATCGACTCGAAGAACGTATTCTCAGCGCAGTTTCACAGCAAGTCCAGAGCATTCAGCAAGGTCTTGCCTCGCTCGTCAAGAACCCCGACACGGAGATCGAGTTGGTCGGCAAGAAGTTGAAGATTAACAAGAATATGGGTTTGTTTTCACTCTTGTGTCGTAAATGGTAACCCATTTGTGTAGGCATCTTTATTACCACCAATCCCAACTATGCAGGTCGTTCTCAACTGCCTCCCAATTTGACCAAACTCTTCCGGCCGTGAGTATCCCCTATTCGCGTCGAAATTTGTCTCATATGGAACCGCAGAATGGCTATGACACGCCCCGATCGCGAGCTTATTGCTCAAGTTATGTTGTTCTCGCAAGGTTTCCGTACTGCGGAGTCCCTCGCATCGAAGATTGTTCCCTTCTTCAACCTTTGCGACGAGCAGTTATCACCACAGCCTCATTACGACTTCGGTTTGCGAGCCCTGAAGGCTGTATTGGCCAGCGCTGGTATTCTCAAACGTGAACGTTTGCTCAACGCACGAGCCGATGCGGAGAATGATGGCACCGTTGTTGAGCTATCGGATGGGATTTCGGAGCAAATCATCCTCATCCAAAGTGTCACCGAAACGATTGTCCCCAAGTTGGTCGCAGACGATGTTCCCCTTCTTACCAAGTGAGTCTTGTTTGCCTTGTCTTGTTATCACGAATCTAATCAAATTTTAGCCTTCTGGCTGACGTTTTCCCTGGCGTCGATTACCTACCAGTTGATCTCGATAAGCTACGCGAACAAATCCTCTTAGTGTGTGCAGAGCGCCGTCTCACACCTGGCGACAAATGGATTGCGAAGATTCTGCAACTATATCAGATCCAGAAAATTCAGCATGGTCTGATGATGGTGGGGCCATCGGGAACTGGCAAAACGAACGCATGGCAGGTCTTACTGGCTGCTCTCGAACGACTCGATGGAGTTGAAGGTGTACCCTATGTCATCGATCCCAAGGCGATGGACAAGGAAGCGCTCTATGGTACTTTGGATGCAACGACACGTGAATGGAATGATGGTCTGTTTACGCATATCCTGCGTAAAATCGTGGACGACGTACGTGGCGAAAGTGGCAAACGCCATTGGATCATCTTCGATGGAGATGTTGACCCAGAATGGGTAGAGAATCTGAACAGGTTGGTTTTCAAGTTGATTTTCTTTCTCGTCTGACGTCTTCTGGTCAGTGTCCTCGACGACAACAAGCTTCTAACGCTTCCCAATGGTGAACGTCTGAATCTGCCTCCTAACGTGCGCATTATGTTCGAAGTTGAGCATCTCAAGTATGCGACCTTGGCCACCGTCAGTCGTTGCGGTATGATTTGGTTCAGCGAAGACGTCATCGATCCTCAAATGGTCTATCGACACTATCTCGAGACACTCGCCGCTGTTCCCCTCGACGCTGACGACGAAGACGCGGGTGATATAATTGGGCGCAGAGTCGATCCATCAGCAAGCGAAGCCGACAACCTGGCGACACAAAAGGAAGTCGCGTCCATCTTAGAGCGATACTTCGAGGATGGAGAACTGGTCAGCAACGCTTTGACATTTGCAGACTCCATCGAACATATCATGGACTTCACTGTGACTCGTGCTCTCAGCACCCTCTTCTCGCTTCTCAACAAGACAGTCCGCAATATCATCGAGTACAACATCCAGCACCCTGACTTCCCACTGTCACATGACCGCGTCGAGCAATACGTGACCAAGCGACTCTTAGTCAGCATCATTTGGGCATTCTCTGGCGATGCTAAACTCGACTTACGCGCTGAAATGGGTGAATTCCTGCGTAAGCAAACCAGCATCGACCTTCCGCCTCTTCAACAAGGTAGCTCGCTCATTGACTTCGATGTCCAAATCTCCAATGGCGAGTGGATTGCCTGGCAATCCAAGGTTCCTGTTATCGACATTGAACCCCATGCGGTCACCGCGTCTGACGTGGTCATTCCAACAATGGACACTGTGCGTCACGAGGAGGTTTTATACTCGTGGCTGTCGGAGCACAAGCCATTGATGCTTTGTGGTCCTCCTGGTTCTGGAAAGACCATGACCTTGTTCAGCGCTCTTCGCAAGTTACCCGATATGGAGGTTGCTGGCCTCAACTTTTCCAGTGCGACAACCCCTGAACTCATACTCAAGACATTCGAGCAATATTGCGAATACCGCAAGACTCCCAACGGTGTGATTCTCGCCCCGGTTCAGATTGGCCGCTGGCTTGTAGTGTTCTGTGATGAGATCAACTTGCCTGCGCCAGACAAATATGGGACCCAGCGCGTTATTTCTTTCATCCGTCAATTGGTTGAAAGTGGTGGCTATTGGCGAACTTCTGATATGGCTTGGATCAAATTGGAGCGTATTCAGTTTGTTGGGGCATGTAACCCACCCACTGATCCTGGTCGAGTTCCGCTCACCCATCGTTTCCTCCGTCATGCGCCACTAGTCATGGTCGACTATCCCGGAGAAGTTTCCCTCAAGCAAATCTACGGGACCTACAACCGCGCGGTTCTCAAAGTTGTTCCCAATCTACGAGCTTACGCGGAGCCTCTCACCGATGCCATGGTCGCGTTCTATCTCGCGTCGCAGAAACGCTTCACCACAGACGTGCAAGCTCATTACGTCTACAGTCCACGTGAACTGACTCGTTGGGTTCGTGGTATTTACGAGGCAATCCGGCCTCTGGAAATCCTGGCAGTCGAAGGGCTTGTTCGTGTCTGGGCTCATGAAGCACTTCGATTGTTCCAAGATCGACTTGTAACGGAAGAAGAGAAATTGTGGACCGATGAGAACATCGATTCGAATGCGATGGAAAACTTCCCAACGATCAATCGCGAAGAGGCTCTGGGGCGGCCCATTCTGTTCTCCAATTGGACGTCCAAGAACTATATCCCTGTGGATCGCGAAACGCTCCGCGAATACACAAAGGCCCGCCTGCGTGTTTTCTACGAAGAAGAACTCGACGTCCCGCTCGTGCTGTTCAACGATGTGTTGGACCACGTTCTTCGTATTGACCGTGTCTTCCGACAAGTTCAAGGCCATCTTTTGTTGATTGGTGTCAGTGGAAGCGGAAAGGTTTGTCGGTTTGTTTGTGCGATATTCGTGCTTACTTTCTACCTAGACTACATTGTCCCGCTTCGTTGCCTGGATGAATGGTCTCAGCATTTTCCAGATCAAGGTCTCCAACAAATATACCGGCGAAGACTTCGACGAGGATTTGCGGACAGTCCTTCGTCGGTCTGGATGCAAAGGTGAAAAGATTTGTTTCATCATGGACGAATCCAATGTTCTCGACTCTGGTTTCCTCGAGCGCATGAACACACTTCTTGCCAATGCCGAAGTTCCTGGTCTTTTCGAAGGTGATGAGCATGCTGCTCTCATGACAGCGTGCAAAGAGGGTTCTCAACGGGATGGCTTAATGTTGGACTCGCATGAAGAGCTTTATCGCTGGTTCACACAGCAAGTCGCCAAGAATCTCCATGTTGTCTTCACCATGAATCCACCTGAGAACGGACTGGCCTCAAGAGCAGCCACTTCACCCGCTCTGTTCAATCGTTGCGTCCTCGATTGGTTCGGTGACTGGTCCGACCAAGCCTTCTATCAAGTTGGAATTGAATTCACGAACACATTGGATTTGGATCTACCGTCCTACAATCCACCAGTCAACTTCCCAATCGCTTATCGTGGATTAGCAATGCCACCTCTGCACCGTACGGCAGTTGTGAACGCACTCGTTCATGTTCACTCTTCCTTGCACCAAATCAATCAGCGGCTCAGTCGCAGGCAAGGTCGCCATAACTATGTAACCCCTCGACATTATCTTGACTTGTGAGTTTTATCTAATCAATGATGACACAATCTCACGTGTCTTTAGCATCAATCACTATGTGCGCCTCTACAACGAGAAGCGGGACGAGCTCGAAGAGCAACAACGCCATCTGCATGTTGGCCTCGATAAATTGCGTGACACGGTTACACAGGTCGAAGAACTTCGCAACAGTCTTGCCATCAAACGGTCACAACTTGAGGCCAAAGATGCAGAGGCGAACGAGAAGCTCAAGCGGATGGTTGCCGACCAACAAGAGGCTGAGCAAAAGAAGGCTGCTTCAATCAAGTTCCAAGCTGAGCTTATCGAGGCGGACAAGGTCATTAAGCAACGGCAAGCAATTGCAGAAGCAGATCTCGCAGAGGCAGAACCTGCCGTTCGTGAAGCAGAGGAGGCTGTTAGCAACATCAGACGTCAACATTTGGGAGAGGTTCGTGGTATGGCCAACCCTCCTGAAGCTGTCAAGCTTGCCATGGAGTCCGTTTGCACAATTCTTGGGCACAAGATCGACAGTTGGCGCGCGGTTCAGACTATTCTGCGCAGCGACAATTTCATCAACAGTATCCTCAAGTTTGATACAACGACACAGATGACAAAGCCCTTGCGCGAGTTAATGAAGCGCGACTTCCTTTCCCGCCCCTCCTACAACTTCGAGACGGTACAACGTGCCAGCAGAGCTTGCGGACCGCTTGTCAAGTGGGTTCTAGCACAAGTTCGATTCTCGGAAATCTTGGACCGCATAGAGCCGCTTCGCAACGAAGTACAATCGTTAGAGGTGGAGGCTGAAGTCACAAAGAAGAAGGCGGACAGCATCATTCAAATGATTGCTGAACTCGAGTCGAAGATTGCGAAATACAAAGAGGAGTATGCTGTTCTTATAAGCGAGACTCAGGCCATCAAGTCCGAAATGGAGCGCGTTCAAAGCAAAGTAGACCGCAGTATGAAGTTGTTGGAAAGCTTGTCATCAGAAAGAGGTCGTTGGGAGTCTGGCAGTCGAACATTCGACACAGAAATGAGTACCATCGTTGGAGATGTACTCCTTTCGGCCGCTTTCCTAGCTTACGGTGGATTTTTCGACCAGCAGTATCGGGAGGGCATGTGGCAGGAGTGGTCTCACCATTTATCCGATGCCAACATCAAATTCAAACCTGAACTCTCGCTTACGGAGTATCTCTCCACGGCTGATGATCGCCTGGGTTGGCAGTCCAAGTCCCTTCCTTCAGACAACCTCACCACGGAGAACGCGATAATGTTGAAACGTTTCAACCGTTATCCATTGATAATCGACCCGACTGGTCAGGCAACAACTTTCCTCCTCAATGAATACAAGGAGCGCAAGATCACAGTCACTAGTTTCTTGGACGAAGCATTCCTCAAAGTCCTGGAGAGTGCTCTCCGATTTGGCAATCCTCTTTTGATCCAAGATGTTGAACACCTTGATCCCATTCTCAATGCGGTGTTGAACAGAGAAATCCGTCGCACTGGTGGTCGTGTTCTTATTCGTTTGGGCAGTCAAGACATTGACTTCTCGCCGTCGTTCACCATGTTCCTTTCCACGCGAGATCCTTCCGTCGAATTCTCTCCTGATATTTGCAGTCGAGTCACTTTTGTTAACTTCACCATGACGCGAAGCAGTCTGCAAAGCCAATCTCTCGACCAAGTACTCAAGGTCGAAAGACCTGACACGGAACGCAAGCGCACGGATTTGATGAAGATCCAAGGCGAATTCCGCCTTCGTCTGCGAACCCTTGAGAAGCTGTTGTTGCAAGCCCTCAACGAATCCTCTGGCAATATCTTGGATGATGACAAGGTTATCGATACACTCGAGACTTTGAAACGTGAAGCAGGAGAGATCACTCGTAAGGTTGAAGAAACGGATGTTGTCATGAAGGAGGTGGAGCAAGTAACAGCAGAGTATCTTCCACTTGCCCAGGCGTGCAGTGCCGTTTTCTTCGTCCTGGAGCAGCTGAATCTGGTAAATCATTTCTATCAATTCTCATTGCGATTCTTCCTCGATATATTCGACTACGTTCTCCATCACAACCCGAATCTCAAGAACGTTACCGACTACGCCAGGCGGCGCGCCATCCTGCTTAACGACCTTTTCCTAGTCGTTTATCGTCGCACGTCACGTGCATTACTATATCGGGACCACGTGATGCTGGCCGTTTTGCTTGCGCAAGTCAAGCTTCGCGGCGTCGAGGAAATCGGAGACGAGCTGGAGTTCCTTCTCGAAAGTGGGGAAGGTGTCACAGCAGCGGCAGCGGCAACTTCTGACAAGAACTCCATTCTTTCCCCTGACCAGGTTAGCCGACTGGAGAATTATGCCAGGCACTCCATCTTCAAACCCGTCAAAGCACATTTCATGGAGCACGAGAGCGACTGGGCTCCCTTCTTGCAGTCTAGCAATCCGGAAACAATGGTACCAACACCATGGGACCCTAGTACTCGTAAGTTTGCCTATCTAACCAGTATCTGTTCTTCCCTGATCTCTCCGCAGCTGCTGTTGAAGCCCTCCGCTCTGCCCTCATCATCAAATGCTTTAGGCCTGATCGTCTGTTGCAAGCCACTGCAAATATCGTTCGCGTGGTCTTCGAGGTGGACATGTCTGCCGAGTCTGTATTTGACCTTGGTGATATGGTCACTAACGAAGTTCCTGCTGCAACCCCCCTTGCTCTTGTGTCAGTAACGGGCTATGACGCAAGCTATCGAGTCGAAAACCTTATAAAGAATACGGGGGCTCGTTCGACATCAGTTGCAATGGGTTCACCTGAAGGTTTTACCCTTGCCGACCAGGCCATTGCCGCTGCATCTCGTCAGGGCTCATGGGTTCTTCTCAAGAATGTACATCTTGCGTCGACCTGGCTTGGCCAATTGGAGAAGAAGCTACAAACCCTCAACCCTCATCGCAACTTCAGGCTATTCTTGACCATGGAAGCCAACCCCTCTATACCAGTCAATATCCTCCGCCAATCTCGCCTCATCATGAATGAGCCGCCTCCGGGAATCAAAGCTAATCTCTTAGACTCGCTGCGAAACATTTCTTCGTCGCGGTTGTCTCAAGGGCCGACAGAAAAGGTCCGCCTGTACTTCCTCTTGTCCTGGTTCCATGCCGTCGTTCAAGAACGTCTCCGCTACGCGCCTCTTGGGTGGAGTAAGATCTACGATTTCAATGATTCTGATATGGCGTCTGCCACCAACACCATCGATGCGTGGTTGAACTCAGTCTCCAAGGGCCGAGCCAATATTGATCCTGCAACAATCCCTTGGGACGCCCTCCGCACCCTTGTCAAACAATCTGTCTATGGAGGCAGGGTCGACAGCGACTTCGATCAAAGGATTTTGGATGCTTTTGTCGATAACCTCTTTACGCCAGCTGCGTATAACGTGGACTTCAACTTGGTACCTAACGTTGGCGGCGCGCAGTTACTTGGGGCTCCAGATGGAACAAAAATTGAACAATTTATGTCTTGGGTACAAGGCTTACCGGACCGAGAGCCTCCTTCATGGCTCAGTCTTCCTCCAACAGCTGAGCGTGTCATTGCTGCAGCTCAAGGTTCGATAATTTGGCTTGAGTTTGCATTGTACTCATCATTTAATCAGGCAATGAACTTCTTGGGAAACTTCGCAAGATGCGGATGCTTGCCGATGACGATGACGATACCACTACTACTTCAACGACTTCCAAATCCCAAGGATCTCAACAGCCTGCTTGGATGCGGGCGCTTTACGATCGCTGCCAGCAATGGATTGCGCTTTTGCCCACGGCAAGTTCTACATGTGCTTCGTATCTCGTTTTACTTAGTTGAACACAGAAATTCAGCACCTTGGCTAAGCAATCTGGAGACAACGAAGACCCGCTTCATCGTTTGTTCTCCCGCGAAGGCAGCATCGGTCGCAAGCTGCTAGGACAAGTCCAGAAAGACCTGAAGGATGTGATCAAGGTTTGCCAAGGAGAGCTCAAGCAGACCAACCACTTGCGGACGTTGATGAGCTCTCTCACCAAAGGTACGTTCAATCTAGCGTTTGAAATATTCCCTCCTCAGACTCGTTTCGTGAAGGCACTATTCCCGATCACTGGCGGCGATACAAAGTCCCCAAGGCCATGGCTGTTTCTGGATGGATCGCGGACTTTGCTCGGAGGCTTGCCCAACTCGATCACATTGCTAGTCTCGACAACCACAACAATGTCGAAGTTTGGCTAGGCGGGCTGTTCTTCCCTGAGGCCTATATCACGGCCACACGACAGGCAGTGGCACACAGGAAGAAGTGGAGTTTAGAAACGCTACATCTGCGACTCGATATAGAACGTGTCAACGACCCTGGGGCATTTATCATTGATGGTGTGTGCTTACCTCGTTCAAGTTTATTGGCTGTTCTGACTAGATGTTTAGGCCTTACACTCGAAGGCGCTTCGTGGGCTGTTGATAAGCTGAATCTGAACGATGGTGAAGCGGTCCGGTTGAACCCGTCCCAAGTTCGCTGGGTACAGATCGACGATGCTTCCACTTCTGGCGCAGTCAACCTTCCGGTCTATCTCAACAACGACCGCAGCGACGTTCTATTCACGGTTGATCTTCCATTCGACAGCAGCGCCGGCCCGCTTGTTGCGATGAGGGCGGTTTGTTTAACCGCCGGTGGTTGAAGCTTCCGGTGAACCCTTGCTGTTAACGACATGACGACTTAGAGCTAGAAGACTCGCTCATTATACTACCATTCTTGCGCATACCCTGGAACAAATCGCTGTCTTTGTTAATTGCTGTGTTACGATACGTTAATGACACTAAATACATTCTTTTCTTCTACTTCTATGTTGACTCAACAGAACAACCTCCGACTACTGTCAGTAATTTCCAGTCAATCTCGACACCCTTTTCTTTGAAGATTGCGCGGGCGTCATCGGCGATGGCGTCGAAGCCATGAGTAGCGAGTGCAAGGATGGTGGGGCCAGCACCAGAAAGGCATATGCCCAAGAGTCCTGGGTGGGTAGTCGGTGTGATTGAGGATGTTACCTCTGGGAGTCCGGGTATCTGGAAACGGTCTGAGGTGAAGAAAGCGTCACAAGAAGGTTACGGACCAGTGCTTTGCGGTATGGCTGGTGGATCCGATCTTTCATCGCTTCGTATATGAGCTCTGGGTCCGGCGGTGACTGTCCCAAAGCGGTGGTAAGGACAGCAAGTCGTTGTAGATTGAAGACAAGGTCTTTGCGAGAGTAGTGGGTTGGCAGGACCTCCCTAGCTGTTGCTGTGCTCAGTTCGAAGCGCGGAATGATGGCAACTGCCTTGATGCTTTCTGACCAGGCAAACCGCACAAAATGTCCGATGCCAAGTGGCGGGACGGGTGGGTTGAGACCCCAGTCTTCGCCCGCATCTGGAGGGTACTCTGGCAGGACTTCACTCAACGGCACGCTGGCCGCCTCTGTTGCGGCGCTGTCGAGTTCACGGAGATACGAGCCAACAAAACCGCCCACAAGTGCGGCGGTGACGTTATCAGGGTGGCGCTCGACCATGAGAGCAAAATCGAGGAGACGCTCATGAGGGAGGTTGAGGCGGCCGAGCTCGTTACCCAGCAGGACGCCGGCGATGACTGCAGCGCCAGAAGAGCCCAGTCCGCGACCAAAGGGGATCTCATTATGAACATCGATTGTCAGGCCAGAGGGAAATGACCGAATATCATGGCAGCGGAGGAGGTAGAGTGCGACACGTGTAGTCAAGTTTTTGTACGCGTCGAGGGGCACTTCAGCAGCTCCTTCACCTGTGTAGCGTAGTTTTGGGGGCACATACGAAGCGCCAGGCGATCTTGATGATTCTGAGACGACCAAAGTCAGATAAAGCGACAGGGAGAGTCCAACAACATCGAAGCCTGGTCCGATGTTGGCTGAGGTTGCAGGAACGCGGAGGGTGAAAGTTCTGGCTGACATTGATGAGTGTGATATGCAGCTTGCGGCGCCGGCTCAAGCCGTTTGGGTTCACATTTTCTGTGCACGAAAGTCATCCAAAAACGGCTCGAACGAATTATATTCAGGGAATGGACTTCCCTAAAGTAGCAGCAGTCATGACAATGTTTGCTGCACATTATCAGCATGCGGACGAGGCCTCAAGTCTGTCGAAGACAGAACTCAGAAATCCAAGTCTGTGTAGACTTGCCCCATAAAGCCGAGATGCCGTGTCAGACCAAATCAGACGATTTTGCCACACCTTGGCACATACGCCACGGCCAGAAAACCCTTTAAATGCTCTGAATCATTCGATGCTCGCCCGACGGCACGCATGGCCCTCTCCCCACCTCTCGGTCTAAAATGGCGCAGCTCATACGCCTTCACCACATTTGTCGTTGGGATTGGTTTGTCGTTGTTCAGTCAAGATCGTCTATTCTTCTAAGCAGTTGTAGGTGTCGCGACGGATTTGGTGGTTTATAGCATCGTCGTGCCGGTTGTCCCGTTCCAACTGGAGAGACTGGGCTACCATTCGGTATCTGCCCTAGCTGGATGGCTTTTGTTTGCATATGTGCGTAAATCAACGAACTTCTTAGACAAGTCAAGCTGAACAGATTTAGTCCGCTGGACTGGTTATCTGTTCGTATTCGACTCCTTCCGGCCATTTTTACGCTGAACAGAATGAAGGCACGATACCAATAGCGATGTTTTCTGAACGCTATCAAACACGCCGCGCTCCACTTATACTTGGGTTGCTTATACTCGTTGGCTCGCAGATAATGTTTATGGAGGCGCCAAACTACGCGGTCATGTGCATTGCGCGAGTGCTACAGGGTTGTGGATCGACTATGGTTTGGGTTGTTGGGCTTGCCTTGTTGTATGACTGTTCCGCTTCTTCCTGATGCACAAACTGAACTCCATGGCAGATGCGACTGCACCCCCGAACAATTCATCGGGAGACAACTCGGGCTAGCCATGGTTGGAATGTCCGTCGGTTTCCTGGCCGGTCCACCGATTGGCGGCGCAGTCTACAGTCGATGGGGCTGGCGGGGCCCTTTTATCTTTGGGATCATTATGGCCATGTTTGACCTCGTTGGGCGACTCTTCATCATCGAGAGAAAAGATGCTTTGAAGTATGGCTTCGATCCAGCCGCCGTTACTCACACGGCGGAGGAAGAAAAGGCGCCAGAAACACTGGAAACACCAACAGTCACGAACAACATCTCCCTTATAAGTGTCATTGTGAGACTGTGCAAGTCATCCAGAGCACTTGTGACTCTGGCGCTCACTGGACTGTTTGGGTGCGTATCTTGATTTCCGTTCCTGCCATGGACTGTTAGAATGTTCGCAGGTTAATTTACAGTGCGCAAGAACCCACGCTCCCCCTACATCTCCAAAGCGTTTGGGGGCTTGATTCAGCTAAAGTGGGTCAGATTTATATCGCCAGTATAGTGCCAACTCTCTTCTGTAAGTAACCCGACTCCTTGATCGTTGCAACAACTCAAGACTTCGATTAGCCGCCCCACTTTCTGGGTTCGCCACAGACAAGCTAGGTGTCGAGTGGTTATCTTGCATCTGTTTCGCCCTATCGGTGCCATGGTGGGCCGTGCTCATTGTGAGACAAAGTCTTGTGCTGTTCATTGTGGCATTGGCGCTCGGATGTGAGGAGTAAAAACCGAGTCGTATTGCTAGCTAATCTCTGATGCATAGCGTTTTTCGTTAGTGGTGTCATATCTCCACTAATGGTAGAACTTGCAACAGTTGCCCGTCAGATTGACGGTGTGGGCTGTCCGAGTCCTTTTTTCTTCCTTTTTCTCCCGTTCTGATGAGTTCAGATGGTCATGTCTATGGCTCATTCAATCTCGTGTACGGCATTGGTTTGTCCCTTTTTCCCCCTCCGTTGTTTACGCTGATCGTTGGCCTCGTGACCCAAGGAACGACACTCGGGCCTGTCATCGGTGGACAGGTAAAAAAACACTTGCCAACAATCTACTGGATCTGATGTTTTTTCCCTTGCAGATGTACGCCCATTTGAAGGATGGGTGGACGGCGATTATGATTTTAACTGCTGTTGTTCTGGCTTTGTGTTGCGGTCTTGGGTTTATGTACATCGGCGACAAGCCCTTGGGCAAACGACTGTTGATGCGCCAGAATCGAGATTAGCGTTTGTACATAATTTTGATGCGCTGGATCGAGATGAAAGTGACGTGTGACCGGCGCTGTCACGGCGCATCTCTCTTCCTTCTGTCCACCCCGACCCACCGTCGCATCCCAGCCTCCCAACTTATCTCCCCTCCTTTAAGGCGATGGCGGACTCTCAGTTGCCACCCAGCCCTCGCCCTTCCGACAACACTAATTCATACCCTTCCCCAATTTCGACTTCCATGTCGCCCAACCTCGAAGAAACGAGCAGACAGATTGTAGAGTCGAGCCAGCAAAGCCTTCGTGCAGCTTCAACTGCGCTTCAAGCAGCGTATCGTAGGATTCGTCAAAGTGCGTTGCAAACTTTTTCTCCTTGTGTTTTCTTTGCATTAATCATTCTGTTACAAGTCCGCCGAAGCCTCGATCTTTCCAACGACTCTATGCCGTCGCCGGACCCCATGGGCCCGAACCACTCAGCTCTATTGCTGACTGCGTCGCCAATTGAAGACGAGGGGAGCGATGCCGAGGATGGCATTGACTTTAGCGATCGACAGGCCCGAGATTATCCCCCGTTCTCATGGTCAGATCATCAACCTGTTCCACCTCCCCCACCACGGTCAAGAGGCCTTCAACTCCCGTCGCCCTCTCCTTCTACGAGTGAGCCGCTCTACATGCCACTCCGCTTCGGTTTGGGGTCCCACGCTCCCCCGCGAAACCAGTCCATAATGGATGATGCGGCCACGTTGCTGGGGAGGAATGTTGCCCAGCGCGAAGCTGCGGGGCCGTCCAGCCGCCCACTGGTGGACCCTGGCTTTGAGCACGAAATGGTGCAATGGCGAAACATTACGCGTCGCACTGACCCTGGTACATCTGCTAGCCGAGTGGACGCGCTCTCACGCTCAGAGCTCATGCGAAATGCACGGAGCCTTGACACGGAGCCCCCACATCCCCGCCAGCAATTGGCGAATATAAGCACCAATGTGCCACACGCCTGGCCACCCAGAAACAGGTGGCGGGTTTATCGCCCAAACGAGACACGACAGGGTTCCAATTCAGTCCAGTCTCCCAGTTCGGCTCAACCCCGACCCCGGCCGCCTCCTACAGACCGGCTGTCGCTGTTGTCCAACTTCTCCACTATGCAGAATCTTGCAACCCCAACTTCGACGCTATCTCGCGACAGACCACTCCTGTTTGAGGAACCTCAAAGTTATATCAACTCTCGCAGGGGGTCACGAGAGATGTTCGAGTCGCCCGCTGAGCGCAACTACTTTATTCACCGTCGGTTGAATGCAGACGGGGATGAGCTGGTGCACAACATCAACCTGGATTGGGACGACGACGATCCATTAAACTGGATTATGCCAATGAACCACATGAACCACCCCCCCAACCCTCGAAGGCGTCGGCAGAGATATCGTATTACCAATACTCGTGACCTGATTCCAACTCCACCGAGTCCTGAGCCGCGGCGGCGGGGATGGGGTGAGTATTCTGTTGTTTAGAAGTATATCACATGAGACTGACACCACCCTTATAGCTCGTTTGGACCAAGATGGGAATGCCATACCGTCCGACGAAGAGGAGGAACTTGAGCGAGAGCGTGCCGAGTATCGTGTGAGGGCCATGCAGCAAACCCGGGAGGCCAATCCTGACGCGTGGTCACTGGCTACGCGCCCCACTGTCTCTCATGACGAAGACGGGCAGTTGAGCAGGGTCCCCCGTGTGCATCTCAATGCGGGGCCTGGCGTAGTCCTGCCCCCCAGGACCGGCTATGGGTCCGTGCTCGACTCCGTCTTGGCAGTGGATAATAGACGGTCACGTGCTTCTCGGGTACGAAATATCCCGACGGATGTGCCCTATGGCTCCGCAGAGCCCTTCGTCGTCAACCCACTGCCGATGCCACTCCCGCTGAACAAGGGCAAGGGTAAGGCTGTCAATGGGCCAGGCATGCGTGTCTCAAGTGGCGCAGCGTTTGCTGGGCGGTAGCCTGGCTTTCCGCACCGCACATCATTAATAAATTATTCCCGTTTCTTGTGTACTTTGCTTTCTCTATCAGGTTGGATGGCATACGCATACTATCGTACTGGAGTCTTGTAACAAAGTTATCAGCTGTACACGCCTTGATTGACTTTCCCTTGAGCGCTGGTGTCTCCATGAAATGTTTTATTTTTGCTACCTGCGCTACTAGCTAAAGAGTCGACTATTTGTGGTGATTCTAGTTCCAGTTCCGTTCCATCCGTCGCAATAATAAGAAAGTCTAATCAAGCAGTCGAGAGAAAAATAGAAATAAGAAAGAAAGAGATGATATTTGTGGGTTTGATCCGTCACGCCCCGATGCCAATCCGGCCGAGCCACCCTCTGAGGCGGTTATGGCTACAACTCCGCGTGCTCTTTGCGCTGCGAAAGCTCTCCATCGACGGGAGCGTGTGCATGTGGAGGACAGGCGCACTCGCATCACGTGTGTGCACGTGATGGTGGCGATGGCGGAGGTCCGCAAACGACGTGGCTTTGGAAGCAGAAGGCGCGGAAAAGAACCTATTCTCAGGCACGGCGCCAAGCTCGTCGGAGTTGAACAGGTATGCCTTCTTGGACCGCGGGGCGTGGGCGTCTTCGCTCGAAGTGGCCAGGAAAGACGACACAGAAGCTGACGCAGAAGGCGGGGCCCGGTATCGGAACGGTGATGACGGGGCAAATCCAACGCCAAACAGGCTCTGGGTCTCTGCATCGGGCGGGTGGTGAGTGGGAGTGCCCGTTGGGGTAGTTGCTGACAAAGCAAACGGTCCAGATATTTCTGGCCGCGACTTGTGCTTCGTCCGAGAACGCCCCATAGTAAGAAAGCGCTTGAGGCCCTTGGTAGGCTGTGCGACTGGGGCGCTGCCAAATACGTCCACATCCACATCAAATCCCTCCACCAAACGTGAGTTCCATTCCTCCCCCCGGACTGCACCATCCCCAACCGTTGCTTGGTGGTCTCCGCGCGAGATGAACTCGTTGAACTTGACTGATTTGCTTGTGGAGTGTTTTGTTGAGATGGAGGCAGACCGTTTCGGGCTCTGCGCCAGGATCGACCGCGTTGGAGTTGTGGCCCTTGTTTCCGGAAGCGGGTAGTGTTGCGAGTACAACGACGGTGATGGGGGAGTGCGTGGTAGACTACTAGTGCTACTGTTGGTAGACAGTGACGATGCTGACCCCGACCGTTCTCGATGAATTGGTAGTAATTGCGGGCGAGATGCCTTCGTCCGCGGGGAACCGCGGAATTCAAGTAGATTGGGGGACGAACGAGATGGCGTGCTCGGTCGTGTTCTAATTGAGGGAGAGCGCGGTGACGGCGGCACAACCGTAGAATAAAATGGCGACTTGTTCATTTCAGTCACTGCATTTGGTGTATGTGGGCGAGTCCGCATGCGTGAGGGTGTTGGAGTCACAGAACGAGTGCTAGAAGCACTCCGCGAAATTGAGGAGGGTGTCCGAGAAAGACTAGAGGGGGACCTTGATAGCGATGATGGCGACCTGGGCTGGCGATATAACCATTCTGTTGGCCGGGGCGAAGCCGGCACAGTCTCCTCTTCTTGGATGGATGGTGTTGCAGAGTAGAAACCATTGCGGGGAGGGGTCGCTGGAAGAGGCTCGTCAGGAGACGACGGTGGCGTCTCTGGTCGACTTGATGTCTTTGTGTGAAAGATGTTTGAGCAGACTACTCGCACGCGAGCAAAATGACAGACGTACGTTTCGTGTCTTACGACCCAGAGGGTTGCTGCTCCCGAGAAAGTCGTCTAGTAGTATAGACCGACGCCTATTGTCGGTATAGCGTGCATTCTTTGGCTTCAGATGCAATAGATTAACGACATCGCCATGATTGGAATGGAGCCGAACACATACCGACTTGGGCTTGACGGGATCTATTGGGCTTGCAAGGTCCTCGTCTTCCCCAAATGCCCTGCTAGCATTCAGCCACCGAATCTCATCGATGGTGAGCGAGGTGAACGAGCGCGAAGCGTTGCTGTTCTACACCAACAGATTAGTTGAGACACAACTGGAAAAGAAAAATCAACGGACTGCAAACATGGGAGGATCGAGGATGGAGGGCTGCTGGTAGTGGTGGTTAAAAGAAGAGAAAACGCAGGTGGTGATGCCGCACGCTGCGGGGCAGGCTTCGAGTCGTTAGCGGAGAAGTAGGCTGGCCCTACATAATCTACACGCTCTAAACACGTTGCGGTGCACGCGTTTAGACTTTTTTTGGGGTCCGCGGTGTCCTCGTGCGAGTTAATTTGCGGGGGGCCATGTGACCTTTTTCCAGGTTTCCGCGAACGCAGGAGAGTGCAGAACGCGAAGACCGGCGACAGTCTTGACGAGCGAAGGGTACTATCGGGCGGAGTTTTCATATATTGTCTCCGCTATTCCAGATTGCGCGAGCCGCTCAAGAGGAGCCATAACGAGCCTACGACGAATCGTTGCAAGCTTGTTCATCAACGTTGACTTGCCAAAGGCTGAGCATGCAACGAGGTCGAGATCCAAAAGTAACATACCGTGGAATCACCGGAGGGTAACTTGCGATTACACTGTTAACGAGGTATCCGGACGTAGTAAGGAAGCATTCTGCCCATGAACAATGTCAGAACAAACTCCTCATAGTCTCCGTTCACAGTCGACAGGGTCAAGCAAGGCGGATCACGTGCTGTGACGTCGAACTTGAACTTCTCTCAAACAATGCCTGAGCTCCCAGAGGTACAGCGAGCAGTCAATATCCTCAATAAAGTCACGAAAGGCAAGACAATTACAAGTGTGGATGCTGTCGAAGACGCCATCGTTTTCGTCGGAATAAATCAAGAAGACTTCGTCCGTCAAGTTTATTGCTGGATCTCTTGTCTCATCTGATCACCCGCGAAGGCGAAGGAGCTCACAGGAAGGACAGTAGAAAGCGCTGAACGTTACGGCAAAGTGTTTTGGTTGAACCTTTCTTCTCCTGGGAGGATGCCTGTTTTACATTTTGGAATGACCGGTATGCTCCAGGTACAGTAGATAATAGCACTGTCCCCGCAGATTTTTCATTTCTTATGGCAGGTCAAGGGGGAGCTTGCAACCTACTACAAAGAAAACCCCCAAGTCCGCATCAACAGACTGGCCTCCGCGGTTCATGAAGGTCAGTTGGCCAAAGACCAATCAGTGACTGCCCTAATAAACGGTCCAGTTCATCCTTCACCTCTCAGACGGCTCTCAGATTGCGTTTTTGGACGCGCGCCGGCTGGGGCGAGTCCGTCTTTGTCAATCGCCGCGCGGAGAGCCACCGCTTGCCGATCTGGGGTTTGACCCAATCCTCTCGATGCCCTCGCTCGAAGAATTCGTGAATCGCGCTCTGGCCCGCGCATGCCCGATCAAGGCGTTATTGCTAGACCAGAAATTCAGCGCCGGGGTCGGCAATTGGGTCGCGGGTGAATTTCTCCGTTTACCGCTTCCGGTTGGATCCCCACTGACTGCCCAGATGAAATCCTCTACCATGCTCGGGTCCATCCAGAGCAGCGATCTAACACCCTCACTGAAAGCCAGCTTGCAGCACTGCACCACCAAACATCGAATGTATGTCAGACCGCAATTGCAGTGGATGCAGACGACTCCAAATTCCCTGAAGACTGGCTCTTCCGACATCGCTGGGCGAGCATATCGTGTCGGCATACGCCTGTTTACTAACTCTTATTAGGGCAAGGGAAAGAAGAGTGCGTCTACTCTGAAGCTAGTGTGTGGCTCTTTAGATCGGGCGGCGGTCTGCTGAGCATTACACAGCCCACGGGTGAGCTGGCGACGATTAAATGGATAACGGTTGGAGGGCGCACTTCCGCATTTGTCAGCGAGTTGCAACATCTGTATGGGCCTGCCAAGAATGGCAGCAGTACCCGCGGGAAACGGAAGGCTAAGGTACATTGCTTGGCTCCCCCAGAGTCTGCCCCTGAGCCATACCAGGACGAAGATGAAGACGAAGCCACCGACGAGAAAGTTGACTCGGCCGCTCCCAGCGAAATGAAAAGTTGGTTATGGCAGCTGCTTCTCGAGGGAAAAAACAATCTAACCTTGCGCTCCTTAGACACTGCGAAGAAGCCAAGAACCCGGACGGCATCAAAAGGTAAACGACGACCAGCAACCAACCAGCTAGAGTGATATGTACAGAAGTAGAAACAGCTGTATTTTTATTCGCTATCTTGGTCAGACTCCTCTTCGCTATACTCTTCCTCCGCTTCGTCATCGATAAACCCGTTCATTGGATTGTCGTCAGAGTCTTGGTCTGAGTCTTGCTCATCAGAACCCTCTTCGGAGGAACTTTCATCTCCACCAAGCTCGACGTCTTCCACACTGCCGTCATCATCCCCACTGTCGACCTCGACTTCAACATCCATTTGCTCCTCCTCTTCATCCCCACTCTCTCCCTCCACGTAACGCGTCAAGTTCTTCCCAGAACTCTGCGCACCTTTTCTTGGTGCTAATGGAGCCGGGGCAACCGATGAACGCATCTCAATTTGCGCTAGCACCATGTCTAAACGACCACTGAGCGACAGTAAGTTTTCTTGTAAGGCCAGCCTCGACGAAAGCGTTGCATGCAGTCCGGCCAGTCGCGCGACTAGGTCTGGCATCTAACGAAATATCAATTTTTGGGCTCGGCGTTAAACGAAAAGAAACAAACAAACGTACGGTCATCAGGTGGCCGCTATGAACGGCGAGAACAGTTTTCACCCAGACGATGAGGGTAGTGCCTCTCTGGGAGCTGGCGCCACCACCCCCGCCCTTCATGTTCGCAGCCCGGGCGCCGCGGCCAAGCCGCTCTACACATGCCGAAACTAAAGGGACAGCGAGTTGAGGCGGCAATCGCCGAATCGTATTTCGGATCAATGTTTGATCGGAGTGAGCCAAACAGGTCTCCAATAATCTCGTATCCGACGAGTGCAACGCTTGGATCAGTGTCCGGGTGAGAGAGTTTGCGGGCACGGCGCCTCCCTCTTGTATTACGTGGTCCCGATTCGTGGTAGACTTTTTCTTGTGGCTGCCTGATGGACCTTCGTCATCACTTTCTGACGAGCCGGGCCGCATGTCTCCAGAAAGGGCAGTTAATCGTTGGCCGAGGCTAAGCTCTGCCAGTTCGACATCAAGCTCGCCGTCGATGGTACTGGGTCCCAAGTCGTCCATCGTTTCATCCAGACCAAGTTCAACACCAGACCGTGCTGAAGCTCGCGCTTCAGTGTACCGGCGATTGGGGAGAAGACCCTTTTTAAGTAGTTTTAGCCGTCAGCTATTTGATAGTAAAGTAGTATACCTCTTCCACTTCGTTCAGCAGGCTCATCTTAACATCCTCCAGAACAACATCAGGAATGTAGTCGCCTTTCTCATCCAGGTAAGGCTAGAGAGGGTTAAGAAAATGCGAAGACTAGAGAAATGAAAAGTAAACGAACAACAAGATCGAAAACCGGTCGCACACCACCCACGATACGGGCTACGCGAACATTACCACTCACTCCGGCAGCAAACGCAGCCGCAATGGGAAGTGCTCCCGACGTGGCCTTCTTAGTAGAAATGGATAGTGTTGAACGTGGGAGGAGCGTTGAGACCTTGTGTTGTATTCGACTGGAGCTAGCTGGCGGTAAGAGCTCCGTTGGGATGGGATATATGGACATTTTGCCCGATGCAGTTAAAGTGAGAAGATTTTGTCGTTCCGTGGTGCTGGGAGAGGAGGCAGAGAAGGAAGTGGAACGCGCATCAGAGTCCAGTTGCACTGAGGCAATCATTTTGCCCTCAGACACGGAGTCCTCTGGTGTTTCCCAAATCGACACAATGCGGTCGCCTTCTGCTAGGGAGACGAAATGTGTCGAAGGAGTTTGCGATGCATCCCAGTGGAGTTGCTTAATGGAAGACGCATGACCAGTGAAAGTTGCGAGTTGAGTGGGTTCGTCGGTTATCGAGTCCGGAATGGCTGAAAGTAAGCGGATGGAATGGGTTGCAGCGAGAATATCAACGCGATCATTCTCATTCGATGGCCTGATAGCCAGAGACGAGCAAGGTATCCGATCATCGCTTTCCCAACTGCCCAAAAGGTCATTTTTCTGCGCGTGCCATACGCGAATTGCACCATCCGCACCAGAGGTCCATAAAGTTGGGACACCAGCAGTTGAAACTACTGAGAGAATAGGAAAGGTACTCGTTGAATGGGACAGAGTCCTCATCACGCGACCGTGGGTCGGGGAGAAGAACAAAACAGTTCCATCTGAGAGTCCCAACACAACAACTTCGACAGCAGATACTTGCAGGGGTCCGTCAGCGTTGGATTGGCTCTTTCTCCTCCTTTTTTTTACTCGGAGACTCGCCCGATTGTGCCTCAGAAAAATCGTAATCGGTCCAGGAGAGAGACGAAACGCGTGCTGAATCCACTATATGCTCCGCCACGGATTGACTAGTTGCAGTGTCATACACGCGTAGACGATGTTTGTCTACCGCGAGAGACAGAAACGCGAAGAGATTCCCCTTGGGAGAGAAGGCGGAGAGGTTGAAAGGTTGGGATGTGTCTTCCACCACTGGTTGTGAAATGGCAGATGTTGCTTGGGGACGCCCGCTTGGAGGCTTGTTTCGGTTCTTTTTGGACTTTTCGGGTGGCGCCATGAGAGCTGGGCGGGTGTGAGCATGGCTGGATCTCAAGCGCAGACACTAACCACTCGCCGCAAAAGGACACAAAATTTTGACAAGTCGAGTGACGGTCACACTCGCTTAGCCTTTTCCGAGTCGGCGACGATCGCGGCGCGTCGATGTCGACCTACACCAACTACATCCAGGTATGCATTGTGTTATGGGATAGGCGTTTCTCGCTAACATGTTTTTTTTCAGCTAGAGAAGCTCGGTGGGCATTATACGATGGAACGTCGCAGCAACTGCTGATTATGGACAGGCGAGGGAACTTATGCGACCGTTTATAAGGTGTGGCACAAGCTACAGAGACTCTGGCTCCAGCTAATGACTATCAGGGTCGCTCCAGGACCAGCAATGAAATCGTGGCGTTGAAGGAGATCAACCTTGATGCAGAGGAAGGCACACCTTCGACCGCTATCCGAGAGATCTCGCTTATGAAGGTCACTTCTGACAAAATGGCTTGTACGCTCAGCCAAACCGTCCACAGGAACTCAAGCACGTCAATATCGTTCGACTTCACGATGTGATTCATACTGAAACCAAACTGGTGCTCATTTTTGAGTTCTGTGACTCGGATTTGAAGAAATATATGGACCAGCACGGCGATCGAGGAGCCCTTGACCCATCAACCGTCCGCTCATTTCTATGGCAGCTACTCAAGGGCACCAACTTTTGTGCGCGCTTTTTTACTCTTCCTTCCTCCCTTACACCAGTAGGTCATGAAAACCAAGTTCTGCATCGTGATTTGAAGCCTCAAAATCTTCTAATCAACCGCAAAGGAGAGCTTAAACTGGGAGATTTCGGTCTTGCCAGAGCATTTGGTACGCCGTAGATTGTTTCGGATGGTTGTGTTCTGAATAATTTGAAGGTGTACCAGTAAACACGTTCTCGAACGAGGTTGTGACCCTTTGGTATCGAGCTCCCGACGTTTTGCTAGGCTCGCGCACCTACAGCACGTCAATTGATGTCTGGTTCGTTTCCCTTAACCCGCATGTGCTCTGGTCTAAACGACTGACAGGTCTTGTGGCTGCATTTTTGCTGAGATGATCACAGGCGTTCCTCTCTTCCGAGGCAAGAGTTAGCGGAGCTTGAAGCTCATCAGTTCTCATCCCTTCTGTAGGCAAGGACACCCAAGATCAACTTCTCCATATTATGCGCATTCTAGGCACGCCAACAGAGCAACAGCTTTCAAAGATGGCGAAGGACTCGGTCAGAAACCTTTATTAGTGCATCCATCGAGGGCCTAAGTTTCGAACAGCCCGAAATACAACTCAAACCATTTCCAAGGTGTCCTAAGATGGATTTGAAGCAAGTATTGCCTAAAGCATCTCCTGCCGGTCAGTCCCGCTTCGCTGTCCATGAGCCACTCTTTAAAGCTACTTCAGCAATCGACCTTCTGGAGCGACTACTCAAATTCGATCCAGCGGAGAGAATATCCGCCGCAGACGCGTTATCGCATCCCTACTTCACCGAGACTGCTAATGAGATACCGTTCGGTATGAATGCACCTCCTGGCTCGATGCCTCCGCCATCTTTCAACTTCCCTCACCCCAACCGCCACCAACAACGCGCTCAACATGTTCAACCTGGAATGCAGCCCCAGTATTCGATGCAACCTCCGATGTACCCTCAGCAGGGCTATGTTCAGCAACCCCAGTACTATCAACAACAGCAATATGGCCAACGCTGACTCTTCCTACCGCATCTTTGTTCTGTTCTGTTGTACTATGTTCGTGTAATGCTCGTCTTGGTCGATACCTGCCTGTAACTAGAAGTTGTAATCATTCATCTGATGGCCGATCAGATCGCGCCTCACTCTTACTTATGCAGCGACCAAGCCATGTCGCAAACATTGAACAAACGCGTCTGAAATTTTTCCTAGACGAGCCGGACTATGCGTATGGTATGGATCCTAAAGCCTTTCATGAGACAATAAAGACAGAATATCCTTCTCTCAACTCAACCACTTACCTCGACCACGCCGCGTCCACTCCGCCTCCACGGTCAACCCTCATCAGTTTTGCGGAGCAGGCCACAAATAATCTATACTCGAACCCGCACTCCAGATCGAGCTCCTCCACTGCGACTTTGCTTGAAATCGAGCGATGTCGAGGGCGTATTCTTGAAGAGCTATTTGGGCTGACTGATCCGTCAGCGAGGGGCCAATGGGATGTTGTCTTCACCTCCGGGGCGACTGCAGCTCTCAAACTCGTGGGGGAGGCATTTCCGTGGGCAAACTCCCACTCTAAGTATATCTACCTGAAACAGAGCCACACGAGTCTTGTTGGCGTCCGTGGTTGCGCTTTGGCTCACGGGGCAGTTGTCTCGACTTGCAATGTGACTGAAATGCCGGGGTTGGAGCATCCAGAGGCAGACTCGACATTGTTCGGTTATGCGGCCCAGTGTAACGCTACGGGCTCGAGACTGGGGTTGGGATATTGTCAACAGCTGAAGGAGAGACACCCTACATCATTTGTTTTGCTAGACGCGTCAGCATATCTCTCCACCGCCGTCCTCGATCTTGCCTCCGTTCCCACAGAATATGCGCCCGACTTCATCGCTTGTTCTTTCTACAAGATTGTCGGCTATCCCACGGGCCTTGGCTGCCTCGTGGTCAAGCGCACCTCGGGGGCGATTTTACAGCGGAATGGGTATTTCGGCGGGGGCACCATTGATTCAATTTCCGTCTCCTCTCCCGAGTGGTCTCGGCCGCGAAGGTCCTTATTACCGGGGCCAATACACGAGCGGTTTGAAGACGGCACATTACCGTTTCTGAATATCATCGCCCTCAACTGCGCGCTGGAGACCCACCGTAGACTCTTCAAATCCCAGAGGCACATCTCAAAACATGTTTCTGCGCTACTCCGGTTCGCAACGCGAGAGTTGGCCTTGCTAACCCACGAAAATAGTCGACCTGTGGTCAAACAGCACCAAGCTTTTGCTTCACTAGAAGAGCCGGGACCAACCATCGGATTCTCTATACTCGACCCAGCGTCTGAATACGTGGGACATACCAACTTAGAGCAACTCGCTACAGTTAATGGATTTCACATTCGAACAGGCGGTTTGTGTAACACTGGTGTTCTGGCCTCGACTTTCAATATCAGCGACGATGATCTCCAGCGGGAATATAACCGGGGCAGATCTTGCTGGGATGACGGTCGGCATGGGCTTTCCAGAACGAATTCCTGCTAATTAATCTCACAACAGAGGAGTTTGGCGGCATTGGGACTGATTACAAGTACCCACTTGGCATGGCTCGAATATCCTTCGGCGCTTGCTCAACTATCGACGATGTTCTACAATGGCTTTCCTTCCTCCGGCGGTATTTCGTCGTCTCCGACAAAATTACCTCTCTTCTAGAACCCGTGAAGCAACCGTCGATTTCGGCGTCCCTCAAGGGGCTGATGCTATGTAAGCTCTCTTCAAGCACTAGTGAATGGTTAAAGAAATACTGCTAGACCCTATAAAATCGTGTGGCGGCCAACCTGTTGGTAGGTGGGAGATCGTAAGTACAGGACTGCGATATGACCGCGAGTGGATGCTTGTCGATGCGGCCACTGGCAAGACACTTTCTCAGAAGCGATACCCTCGTATGGCTCTAATCAGACCGACCGTTGTTCCTGAAGATCGAGTATTAATTATCTCGGCTCCCCAGCGACCAGATTTATGCCTCCCGCTTGACACATCAGATGAACACGTGACCGCGGCCAATATCTGCAGCGATGTTGTGCCAGTGACCTCTGTAAATATCGACATCGACGAGTGGTTTACAGCATTCCTTGGCATGCCGTGCTGCTTACGGAGACTGTCCAGTAGTGCGCGTCGACACGCACATTTTGACCGTGCGACAGGCGCGGTGCCGATTCTACTTTCAAACGAATCGCCCTTCCTGCTCATCTCCCAACCTTCTGTTGATCAAGTCAGCGACTGGATACACGAGAGTAACGACATCGAAATCCATGCTGACTGCTTCCGAGCGAACTTTCTTCTCGGCGGCGGCACCGCGTCGCTCCCGCCATTTGTAGAAGACACTGTTGATCTTTTGCGGATTGGGAGCGAGACTTTTCAAGTGCTGGCCCGTTGTCGGCGGTGTTTGATGGTCTGTGTTGACCAGAACACTGGGTGCCGTATGAAGGAGCCGTTCAGTTGTCTTGCCCGCAAACGGAAAAGCCCACAAGGCAAGATTGAATTTGGAGTACATCTGATGTGGAGGGAGGACTTGAGCACGGGGTCGCTGCCCACCATTTGTGTGGGTGACCCAGTTACTTTTGTTTCGCTGCGGGAGAATAATGGTTAGGATGTAATACGATACAAGTGCACATGCTGTAGAATATAGAGCCATCTAAATAAGTCGTCTATGGTCTAGGAGTCCGCGTCCATTGACAGTCTAGATGCCAAAGAATGTCGAGGCAGTCGATGCAAGAAATTATGAGTGAAGGTCCTTCCAACCTTTCTTTAATTGCTATGAAAGGGTCACTATGCGATAGACTGCTAGAGACGGAACTTGCCTCGAAAAATACGAAGAGGAGCACAGTGTTTGGCCCTAGTCGGATGAATGCAGGTGTCCACCCTTTGAGTAGAACTCCCGGACCCTCTTCTCGAATAGAGGTGGTAAGGACGTGTAGTAGAGACTCTTTTGATGACTGCGTTTTATCGATCATGCAAGTCCAATGATGCAGGGCTAAAGCAACTTACTGACGACATGATGCGTGTTCTCATAACATCCGCTGGCGAGCAAACAGCTGGAAAACACTGAGTAAGGTTGAACGATCAGAGAAATGACAAACTTGTAGCAAAAGTTCCCGCCAATAGGCTAGACACAACATGCAGTAATAGGTTATCCTTGAACTGATAGTTAAGGATGCGGTCCGAATGTTGAAGTAGTTTGGATTTGAAGAAGTCATAGCTGCGGTTTTCATGAGGGTTGAGCCTCAAACAACTGAAGTTTGGCTCACGATCCCACTTGCGAAGCCTATGTTTGATGAGAAACAACGTCTATCGCGAATTCGAACAACGCACGTTCATAAGCACGGCTCGCGTCTGGATGATCAATTTAGCTTCACGTTGATGATCCACACACACTCACACACCGTGTTGGTCCCAATACCTCGTCCGAGCCCCCGGAAGCCCTCCTCCTTGGCCAGCGAAAACAACCCCGTTATTGCGTTCGAATATCGATATCTATTCTCTGGCGGTCGCATTGAGTCGCTGGTCATACGGACCAGTATGATGTCTATTCAGCAGGTTAAATTCGTTCGTCAGCATCAACACGAAAACGACGCGCCAGCGGGGTTGCCGACAATTCCGCCTAGTCCTCCAGCAAGACTAGCGGCAGCGATGAGTGCAAGACCTGAGGGTGGACCGTTGCGTGAAAGACGCGATTTAAACTCCTCGTAGGTCCCAATCCGCACCAAGGAGTAGCTCATTTGGCGGGTCCATGCTGCTGTGAGGCCAGTGTAAACGCTGCGAATACCAGAGTCATGAATCGAGGCGCGCAGGACATGGAGAATTGACGGTTTCTTCGCTCCTGGCGCGGTTTCTATCGTTTGCATGCGTCTACGAAATTTTGAGTGTAAACCAAGGCGAACCACACAAGACACCAACACTTTGGCAACGTCAAGCGGATGGGTTACAGAAGCCGCCACTGCGAATAAGACATAAATTAGTAGGCTCTTTATCGTGGAAGAGAAACGCACTTGTCGCCGCAATGCCTGACGTTGGCTTGTGTTCAGCGCGAAATTAACGAGGCATATAGCTGAGAACTCACCTCCGAGCCTTCAAAGAGCTCAGTATGGAGAACGAAATGGTAAAGAGTACACTAACCAGAACGGAGCATTGGTCATTGTGGTGGGAGGAGGAAACTCACTGACCCGACGCTAATCTTGAAATCCTGACTTTTACGTACCTCCAGTTGTTTTGAGCCGTTATCATTTTGCCGTCGCCCACCACCGTCATGGCCAGCCTCCCCAGAAAGTTTGGCAACTCGACGGCGTAAAAAGAAGCACATCGTGGGTAGGACGCAAATAGTGGACACCACGAGGTCTCATCCATGCCCCCACAACAAGGTGTCGTTCACAGCAATGGCGACGATACCGGCGCCAGCAAGAGTTATCTTGCCCTACAAGAGATGAGAGCGAAGGTCATGGTTGTCGACCGTGAGTCAGCTGAGCGCGGACTCAACGTGGTTCTCAAGCTCTCCATTTTAGTTTCAGCACGCGTTCATCTGACGCAGATTTTTTACAATCCCCTTCCAACAGCGACCAGCAGGGCTACCTACTTCTTTCCTGTACCTGCAAGTGGTGCAGTTTGCGGCTTTGAACTCAAGACCTCGGACAATCGCACAGTGAAGGCTGTTTGCAAAGGGAAGAGCAGAGCAAGAGAAGAATACGAACAGGTACCACACAGCACATCCGCTTATGCTACCCGCTGACACCCGCAGGCTATTGCCGAGGGCAAGGAATCGAGTCTGTTAGAATGGGTCGAAGACGACAGTGCGTTTTTTTTGTGGTTTGACTAAACGAATGACATGTTGTAGTCTTCACCATCTCGGTGGGCTCAATCCCCGCGAATGCCACGATTTCCACAACCCTGGTGGTGAGCCGCAATTTCAAGCTTCCTCCATTCTTGACTTGTTATAGTACGTGCTGACGCTACCCAACGACGCCAACACGGACGAAGTTCGGTTTCAACTCCCGATGTGTGTGGGTGAACGATATGGGCCACCTCTACCTGCACTTGTCGGCGCTGCAGCGCCCTCCTCATCCACTCGCATCCGCATCACTATGGAAATCCAAACGAATGGCACTATTCAGAGCATCACGAGTCCGAGCCACCAAATCACCCAGTCTGCACATAAGAAGAGCTCCAATCGCCCTTCCCGCCGTCGTATCACCGTGAAATACCGCTCCCACAGCTACCTCGAAAACGATTTTGTTGTTGTCGTTCGGGCGGATGGTTTAGACGACCCCCGCTGCTTTGCCGAGCTCCAACGCGACCCAACTGGCAGACATTCTGACACAGTGGCCATGCAAATTACTCTCGTGCCTCGATTCAAGCTGCAGACCGTTGTCGGGCAGGAATACATCTTTCTGGTGGATAGAAGTGGATCAATGGCTGGCGGCAGAATAGAAACCGCAAAACGGTTGGTGCTAGATTGTTCAAGTGTTTTCCTTGTATTTATTGCGGTTTTTCTAGCACTCTGAACCTCCTCCTGCGCATGCTTCCGACCAAGGGTTCGAGCCTCAATATCTTTAGCTTCGGATCTCATTGCGATTCGTTATGGCCAACAAGTCAAGCCTATAATCAATCGTTTTTGGAAACAGCAGTATGTCAGGAGTCCACTCGTTAGGTTGATCTCATGTTTCTCAGTCGACGTATGTGAAAGCTATGGATTCCAACTATGGAGGCACTGAGATCAGAACCGCGTTGGAAGCTGTTTTTGCTAGCAGAAACTCCTCCAGCTCAACGGCCGTCTTTGTTCTGACCGACGGTGATGTTCGTATTAGTTTAGAGACGGGTCAGGTCACTGATCGTCTGCTGCATTAGGTGACAGACCAGCAAAGCGTCATCCATACCATTCAACAAGCGGTTCGGCAGTCGAAAAGTAATGGCTCTCGTCATAGCCTTCGTGTTTTCTGTTTAGGAATTGGTGATGGAGTGTCATCGGCCATGTGCGAAGGAATAGCGCGAGCAGGAAACGGTGTATGCCTCTTCGCTGTTCATACCGAGAGCATTGTTGGAAAATGCGCGGCGCTATTTCATGCTGGTCGAAAAAGCTTCGTTCACAATGTCAGCGTTGACTGGGGTGTTCCCGATGAAAACCTTAGCCAAAGGTCAACCGTCAATTTTTCGACACCTAGGTCATCCCCAAGCAAAGTCCTCCTACGCCCAGCACCGGCCATACAACAGAGCCCGGTGCACATAGAAGATCTCCATGCTGGGTCTAGAATCAACATCTACGCAATTTTAACATTGCGAAAGGTCGTAGTGCCGAAACAAGTCGTTGTTAGAGGTGAATCCGATGATGGGACTCCATTTGAACTTCCTATTCCCCTTCGCGGCATCCAACTAGAATCTCGTGCACCTTTGATTCATACGCTGGCAGCGTGGAAGCTTGTCCAAGATCATCAAGAAAGGACCCAGCCGCTTGCTTTGGTGGTTGCGCCTTTTGATGCGCCGCCGGCGGAAGAAGAGATACGCAAAGCGTCAATCGTGCGACTGGGGGAGCGTTACCAAATTGCAAGTCGACAAACTTCATTCGTTGCAGTTGATGATGGGGTGGAGAACTCGCGTCGTAAAAAACGAGCGCCAACATCAAGTCGGCCAACAACAGCAGTCCGCACTAAAACGACTGCCACGCCCTCTGTTGATCCTGTCATTGGATGGAGGGATTTATTTTATCGTTTCTTTACTCTACCAGAGGCCGACCCTGACGAAACAGAATCACAATTAGCCGTCGACATCCCCGGGAGCTGGCAGTCAGACGTCACAAGTGACCCGGTGACGAGCGAAGACGACTCGGAGGATGGATATGAGAGTACTGAATCATTTTCGACAATAAGCTCTTTTGAAGGCCGTTCTTCGGGTTGGAGCACTTGGACGGAAGAGCCTGAGCCGCCTATCTCAGAGGAAGATGCACAGAAAATGCAGCATCCGTCACCGAAACTCGAGCCCGTTAGCCTTGCTCCTGAATCAACACGTGTGTCGCGTCGGCGAGAATTGGAGATGATAAAGCCGCCGCCAGTCATCCTTCCTCCGCCGCCACCAATTGATCCCCAGATCGTCCAATTGGTCGAACTACAGCTCTTTGACGGTTCTTTCAATGAGACCATTCAAACTGTGCTTGGAGAGCACGTGTTGAAAGTTGCTGAAGGGCTCAATCTCGACGCCAAGCTCTGGACGACTGCCGTATCTATTGCGTTTCTTGGCCAAAGGTTGGCACATCCGGGACACAAGGAGCTTTTGGAGGATTTAGTGGAAAAGGCTTACTCGTTTTTATATTTGAATGGATGGGACGAGCGTACTGTCAAGAGGGTGGTGAAAGCTGCGATAGATGTACTCTAATAAGATATCAGTGCTTGTATAATTTGTTGTCTGTTGTAACTTCCGAGTGGCTGTGCGATAAGATAATCGGGAGCGGAAGCGGAAACTACATGCATTATGTTACAAATGGTGCAAAACGTTTTAAAGTGATCCATATCCATTATTGCTCACTCCTGTGGACGCTTGATTCGTCACTATGGCACCTTTCGTACCCAACGATTGGACTACAGAGATGACAAACGAATCAACCTCATCTCGCGGAGAGGCACCAACAGAGGCCAAGACGGTAGTGTAAGCCGATTGAGGGCTGAGAGTAGCCAAACCGACTGAGCCGGAATTCCAAGCGGAGGAAAGTACGACTGCGCTTCCAACGCTGTTGGCTGCAGAACCATCGAGGGCACCGTTTTTGTTTGAGTCGAGGAAGTTGCCACTGGCGAACACCTTTTGGTTTGCGTTCATCTGAAAGTAGTCGTCGTTGGCACTCGTAGTAGACGGTCCTGCGATGAAGTAGTTCCCGATAATGTCATGACTGAACAGTCCGCCGGTGTTGGCGACTGTGTAGGCAGCCTGATAGTTATAGACGATCTAGATGAGTCAATGAACCGTTAACTTGAGTGAGAAACATAGGCAAATACGTTGTTGATATACTGAGTGTTGGCTTTGGTAAGCGGCTGTCTGTTGTGGCCACTGACCCAAAGGTTCCGATACCAAGTTGCAGGGCCCGTTTCCAAGTGAGCGCCAAATTGTTGCCCAATTGGGTAGGCAATGATACTGAATAAAGTCAAACAAACAAGCGTTCAAGTGGGACTGAAACTGACCTGTTGCTAACAGTGACATTTGCGGTCCCCACGGCATCAATCTAGAGAAAAGACACAGTTAATAGCATTCAGCTACTTTTGTGGGGAGATACCGAATCCCAGACGCCATATTCAACGCTGCAATGATCCAAGATGACATTCGAAGCTTTGCCCATGTTGAATGCACTTGAGTAGGCGATGATAAAGAAGGTGCATGAATGCAAGAGCGATAGTTTGCGAACCTTTTACCAGTATCGGAGTCCACGTTGCCTTTTGTTCTCTATCATTACATGACGAACCAGACGATGACTTAGGACCCACCTTGGCGGATGCGGAAGTTACGAATGATGATGTTGTTCTTTTCGCGAATGATTCAGTCGGTTCTGATTCGAAGACACAGCACAATTCACTTTACCACTTGCACTAATTTCTCTGCCCATAACACCGATCCCTTTCGCCGATACACGTCGGACAAATGACAAAAAAGCATAGCAAAGAGCCTACCATTACCAGGCGCAGTTTGTCCATTGATAGTGATTGAGCTTGACAGAGATACCGGAGACGAAAGGACAATATAACCCGACACGGCAAACGTTATATTTCGGCCAGAGACTGAGACGGCGTCGCGAAAAGTCCCAGTGCCGGAGTCGGCCAAAGAGGTGACCACAAAAGGAGTGCTCCCGCCAGTTGCGACGGAGCCAAAGCCCACTGCACCTGGGAAGGCAAGGCCAGATGCAAGTGTAACAAGACAAGCAAGCGTGGAGAGAAATAGACGCAGCATAATTCACAGCATCCAGCAGAGTGGGAGAAGGTTCAATATAAGAAGGGATTGGGATGTCTGCGGGTTAAAATCGGTGGAAATTGTTGGGCACAAGGTCGTATGCAACGGTCCGGTTGGCATTGCGAGGTCAATAATGCATGATGAAGCCTAGTCTCGTGCAGGTGTTCGGGCTAATTGACCTTCTTTCTCAGTGCCGAAGACGTTGCAAAGTGGTGTAGAATATCATTGACGACTGCATCGAATACTGTATCGCGCTGAATGTTGGGTCAAGTTGACCCTGGCTGGAGCACAGCATTGTGATAGACTGTGACGGTCACAGTCGCGCTGTTTGGCTGACTCTTGCCTCCACCACGTTCCCAACTCCCCATCTTTCTTTCACTTAAAATGAGCTCTCGAGGCGACGAAGATCTCATCGACTACGAGGACGAACATGACGTGGTTCCCACTGGAGGCACTACAGCAACTGCCAGCGGCGGGGCAGTGGACGACGACAAAGACAAGAAAAACTTCTCTGGCATCCATTCGACTGGTTTCCGGTATGCGTTACGAACCAAGTTCCGCCAGCATCATCTAAAATCTCGCCAAGTGACTTTTTATTGAAGCCTGAGCTGCTTCGCGCTATAAGTGACCTTGGCTTCGAGCATCCCTCTGAAGGTCGGTGAAATGAAGTGTCACGTCAAAACAGCTGCTGAAAACAAAATAGTTCAACAAGAGTGCATTCCTCAAGCCGTGTTGGGGATGGACGTTCTGTGCCAGGCCAAGTCTGGTCACGGGAAAACTGCTGTGTTTGTCCTCGCGACATTGCAGCAGCTTGAACCCGTCAATGGCGAGGTCTCCGTCATTGTCCTCTGCCACACGCGCGAGCTTGCATTTCAAATCAAGAACGAGTACTCGCGTTTCGCCAAGTACATGCCAGACGTCCGCGTCAGCACGTTCTACGGTGGAACTCCAGTCGTCAAGGATGCAGAGACCCTCCGTGACAAAGCTCGCTGCCCTCATATCGTCGTCGCCACCCCAGGTCGTCTTAATGCATTGGCGAGGGACAAGGTTTTGGACGCCAAACACGTCAAACATTTCGTACTCGACGAGTGCGACAAAATGCTCGAACAGCTCGGTTAGTCTTGCGACCAAATCCTACTCCGTCCTACTTTCTGTCCTTGCCGCTTGGTCGCTTTGCGTCCTATGTGCATGTCGCTACCACTGTGGTATCGGGTTTCCCTGGAAAACGGGTCGTTGGGTTGAGGGACAATCACCTCAAGGAGATCAACTGGAGGACACGCCGACGAATGCTTTCAACAAGCATCTCTTCCACACTTTTCGCTGGATGGAAGCTTGCCTTTTTTCCTGTCTTCGTGCCTGGTTTCTTATCTCGTTTTCTCCTTGCCGCATCCATCAAATCGCTTACCTAATTCGACATCGCCCACTAGACATGCGCCGTGATGTTCAAGAAATTTTCCGGTCTACCCCGCACCACAAGCAAGTGATGATGTTCAGTGCGACCTTGGCGAAGGAAATTCGTGGCACTTGTAAAAAATTCATGGCCAACGTATGCTTTCGACCTTCCCTTGAGATAATGGACTGATTTTCGACAGCCACTTGAAATCTTTGTCGACGACGAAACCAAACTCACTTTGCACGGTCTCCAACAGCATTATGTCAAGTTAGAAGAGAACGGCAAGAATAGGAAATTGAATGAACTGCTCGATACTCTCGAATTCAATCAGGTAATAGCTGTTAGCAGTTGTTTGCGACCTGCATTGACAATTTTATAAGGTCGTCATCTTTGTAAAATCTGTGGCGCGTGCCAATGAGCTCGACAAGCTTCTTGTCTCGTGTAATTTCCCAAGTATCAGTATTCATTCGGGATTGGCACAAGAGGAGCGGTATGGCTTTAGTCCTGTCTCGTGAACATAAACTGACGTCCTTGATCGTTAAGTATTTCCCGGTACCAAGCCTTTAAAGCTTTCGAGAAGCGTATTCTTGTCGCTACCGACATTTTCGGTCGAGGTATTGATGTGGAACGAGTGAACATCGTTGTCAACTACGATTGCCCTCCTGATGCAGACAGCTATCTCCATCGTGTTGGGTTTGTCTTTCCGCCTTCCTAAGTAGCAAGGATTTAATGTCTTACAGTCGTGCTGGCCGTTTCGGAACCAAGGGTCTTGCAGTCACCTTCGTCTCATCCGACTCAGACCAGCAGGTCATGGCCACCATTCAATCGCGGTTCACCGTCGCTGTTCCAGAGTTGCCGGCTCATATCGACCCCGCAAGCTACAGTGCGTTGACAGCGTCGTTTGATGTCCGATTACTAACTAGCTCATTAGTGACGTCTTGATTGTAATACTTACTGTGGTCGCAATTTTTCATCCATCCTCCGTTTTGCCATGTATCGTACTATTAGTGATGGAATATCGAATCCCTACGCGCTAGAATTGCAGCCGTCGTTTACCCTAGCCAGGGACTGAGCTTAATCAGAGACTAATATTTGTGACGTCCGTGCTTGATCACAGACTTGGTCTTTCCCAACTCCTTCGTGGTGGTCTGATACGGCCATCGTCTCTCCGTCTTCTGGGGAAGACATCCTGCCCTCGACGGAATGAGACGGAAATTTGGGCCTCTCGCAACGCTATATTTCCGAGATGGGATACTTTCAGTGCCTGGCTACACTTTTGAGAAGGTAAGAACGCGTTTGAGACGCGTCTCGGCCATTTCACCACTCCCAAGGCTCGACCGTGGCATGATACTGGGAGTATGACACTTTTGGCGGAGGGCAGCAGCCTCAAGGATGAGTCGAATGTTTTGGCTAAAATTGCACCAACGCAGTCCAACGGGTCGATGTGTCTCGAGCGAGAGGCCCATATGTGCGTTGTGAATTGGTTTCTTACACTCAGCGATGAACGTATCGATAGACTGGGGCGGCTTACAACCTCTCCGGAAGGCTCTCGCCATGCGTTGCGGATGATCGACTTCTTCAACATCCCCAAGGACAGCGGCGACGTCGTTGTCTTATTGGTGGTTCATCCAGGAATGAATCTTCTGGGTCGCTACCTTCCTCCCGCCAAGATAAACGACCTTTTACTTCCTGATGCTTCTCGAATCCGACCCCAGTCATCTCATGGCGACGCCTATATGATGGATATTGAAGAACCCAATCTACTAGATGAGGTCGGCGGATTTGATATCATGGACTTGGCTACTTTTCTCGAGCGAGTTCATTTCCCCCCTGGCCGTCGAAAGTTCATTGACTCATGCTATTTAGGTTTGCCATTCAAGCAACCCATTGCCTGGAAGCGATGCATCGGTGTGTTTTGATTGCCAATACCACTGCCCTCTTCTCATTTTTTTTTCTAGTGCTGGTGTTGTTCACCGAGAAGGTTCCTCCCTATCATGTTTAAACTTTCTTTCTTCGCTAACTTTAGTTCAGTCCGTGCCAACGCATTTCATCTCAACTCCCACTCTGGCCTGGTCCGCTTCGTACACTTTGGGAACCGGGCCATTTCTCTTGAATCCTTTGGCTCCCCTTCATCTCTGGTTATCCGTGCAGTCGACGAATTAGAGCGGGTCAAGGTTAAAGAGGCCCTCTGTTATCTCGCACCAGAACAGACCGGCAGTATCGAAACCATGACGCAGGATCATCGAACCGACCTATACTCTCTTGGTATCTTATTTTGGACTCTTCTCGTCGGCCGTGGCCAGATGCCCTTCGAAGGAGGCCCCATTGAATTACTCCATTCAATTGTGCAGAAGCGACCTATGCCTGTGCACGAAGTCCGCCGGGATGTTCCGCAGGTAAGTCGAAGATTTGGGTAGATAATCCAGAGTTGACCTGTGCCATAGGTTTTGGCGTCCATCATCGATAAGGTCTAGAACACTTCTGCCTCCAATGAACGTGGACCGATATTTTTGTAGCTGCTCGTAAAGAGTCCAGATATGCGCTACCAGAGTGCATGGGGTCTAAAACAGGATCTCATGGAGTGTCAGCGCCGTCTGCTTGCAACTGTGTCCGCAACATCAGAAGAGTCGACTGAGGTAAATGACCTACTTGGGTTTTTGATGATGCCGACTTTCCACAGCTCATACCACCATTCGATATAACCGCGCAAGATCGATTCATGGTACCGTTCCTTCTAAACTGCTGCTTTACAAACTCATAAACCATAGGATTTTACCATCCCCCTCACCCTTGTGCGACGTCCATTTATTGTGATGATGATCTTCCTCTAAGATCCTTCGAAAATAGTTCGGCCGCGAGAAGGAGCTCGAGACCGTGCGCAATGTTAGTAAGTGTGCTCTTCACTGCTTATAGATCAATTTTTGAGTCAGCTTCAAAGTTCGCAATTGTACCGCCAGCTTTTCTGTGGACATTTCGGCAAGCAGTGTGATACGGTCATCAGTATCCAGCGGTGACCCCGCGGATGATCAAACCCAGGCACATTCCGAGTCACCACACTCTTCTGTGCGGAGTGAATCCCCGATGGAGGACGTTAGCCTAAGCCTGAGCATGCCACCTCCTAGCGTCGTTGGCGCCCCTTCAAGTACAGGCTCAGCTTCTGGAATGACAGGGGTCGATTCTTTGCGTCGAGTCGCATTGCATACCAAATCAAGAACCGCACGAACACATGCAGTCATTGTAGTCGGACCACCTGGAGTGGGCAAAAGCTCCATTATATTGGCGAACCAGGCCAAATGGCGAGCTCATGGACTATGGGGGCATGCCAAATTTATCAGCACCGACTCATCCGGTCCATTTTCTACCCTGGTTTGTGTTGATTGATACATTTGATAATCTTCTCAGAAATTCTTCCAGCTTAGTTGTCTTGCAGCTGTCTTGCGGCAACTCATGGTTTTTCATACCGATTTGCAGCGATTCGTGATTGCGTTGAAAGAAAGACTCGGACCCCAGATGCAGAACGTCCCTTTGCTTTACGATGGTACACCGGAGCTTAGGGATGTGCTGGCTATATTCGACATCGAACTGGCGACTCCCAAAGAGCACCTAAGCACGCGAGAGCTGCGCGCGCGTTTCCAAACGCTAGTTCAAAGCGTGTTCGCGGTTATTGCCGAGACTCGCCTCTTCGCGTTATTTTTGGACGATCTCCACGAAGCCGAGGAGTCTACATTAGATCTTGTTGAAGCTCTCGTCAACGCCAAGGGTCGAATGGTACGAGCATCGAGGAACGCGAAAATCAGCTGACCCCGATTTCAGCTCATCTTTGCGACATTGCGGTCGGGTAATCAGTTAGTCGTCCGCGTTATATGCGTCTTTTCTAGTATAACCTCCATCATAGGGCCGTCTTTGACCGGATTCAATCGATGTTCACTAGCCGTGCCCGTCCAACGTGGATTACATTGGACTCCTTACCTTATTCGGCAATTGGATCTATGGTGGCCAAATCGCTACATCTGTCCAAGGAAGATTGCACGCCTCTATCTCGTCTCATCTATGATGCTTCATCTGGCAATGCATTTTCAGCACGAAATATCTTGACTACACTGCAGCGACAACATCACGCAAGTCGTTATCTAATCTCTTTTGTTTGGCTTTGTTAACAATGATTAGATCGTATTTAATCAGGAAAAGAATCACTGGGAGTGAGTAGAAAATGTTTTGCGGTAATAACTCTCCTCGATGGACTAACTTTATCTAGCTTTAACATAACCGCAGCAGAAGGAAGCCTCGGCAGCAAGAAAATCTCGGATCCGACGGACTTGTCTTTCCTGATATCCAACCTTCGGGAGCTTCCGGAAGACGCCAAAAAGTATCTTAGATGGGCTGCATTGTTTGGGGAAACGTCGGTCGTTCTGGCTTTGAAGCCTCCTGCCAGCTTCTAATGACGGTCCAGTTTTAATCTCACTGAAATTGCGCAGCTTATCGACGGAGAAGACAACAGCAGTAGCAGTGGGAGCTCTGGAGAAGAAGAAATCGAAGAACGATGGAGTATTGCCCGAGCAGTCTCCAATGTCCCCGATGCCGTCTCGATTGGAAATGCGTCTGCCTCGATGCGAGGACTACAGGTGGCAGTTGAGGAGGGATGGATTATTCAGAGAGCCAGAGACATGTGCAGTTTTGCCCATGATAGGTATCGCCAAGCAGCTCAAGCAGACGTCGCCGCACTTCCGGATGGCACAGCTGCCAAGATGTCCCTGCGTATTATTCTGATGATGCTAAATGATGTCCCTGTCGACATCTATCGCATAGCGGAACATGCAAGCAAGTATGTATCAAGTCCTCCTCTGTCGATACCTCATTTCTTCTTCTAGCTGTCTCCCCTTGTTACGCGATCATCCGAGGCATGATGATTTTCTAGACGTGCTGATAGCAGCAGGCGAGTCAGCCTGGGCCAGAGGTGCACATGAGGTACTTCATCATCATCAAGTACTACGTGGAGAGCTCATTCCACCCACAATTAATCAAGCTCGCACTACGTTCTTTCATCAATGCGAAAACTCTGCTCCGAAAGAATGCGTGGACCGCCAAGCCCATACGAACCTTCAACCTGATGCGCAGACTCGCTGCCTTGGCGTCGTGGGAGGGTATTTATATCTCTCCGCTCGCCTTCAAATTGCTGATGGGATAATAGGCGACTACGAACAATCTGAAGCTATCGTGCAAGAGTGCCTTACTCACGTTGAAGCCCCAGAGGACAAGGGCATCCTTCTATGGCAACGATCGCGCAACAATTGGCTTTGCAATCGGTTTTCTGAAGCGTTGAATGACACGCTCAACGCATTGAAGATCTTGGGTGTAGAGCTTACTTCAGTTCCGAGTAGGCGAGATGCAGACCGGTTATTTGATCAAGTCCACAATGAGATACTGGCCGTTGGGTTCGACGAGATTTTGTCCATTCCTAGGACAACAGATCCTCGTACCGAGCTCGCGGTCGCGTTATTGAATGATGCTGGTATCAACGCATACTGGAGCCCATCTCCATTTGCAATCGAAGTCATTGGATGTACCGTGCGTATCCATTCTGTTGCGCTCTCAATATTTGACTTGGGCACAGACGATTCGATTGGCGTTGCGGTCAGATGACATCTCCTCACGTGATCGCGTTCTTATGTGATACAGGTCGGGTATGAGTTCTGGGACTGCGATCGGTTTCTTCTGGGCACTTGGAGGTGAGTCTCATAGAAAAGCGTGAAATATTTTCGAATATTTTGGTAGCTGCTGCAGAGAGGAAGGATCTATATCGACTCTCTGTTGATCTCGCCCAAGTTGCCTTGAAAATCGCGGACAAGCATGGCGGGAGCGCTGACAAATGGTGAGTATATCCAACAATGAGTGCCATCTTTCCTTACTAATGTGTTTCCAGCCGTGCTCAACTTTTGTACGGCGCTATGGTGTCCGGTTATGACAATGTGCATATTCGAGCCAACTTGGATCGTATGCAAATAGCGATGCAATATGGGCATAGTGCGGGTGACAGGTACACCCCCAATCGGACGTATCAACCGACCTTCACAATCATACAGAGTATACACAAGCTTTGCTATCATCCACTTGACTTTGACGCGGTTGTTCGTCTGTGAACATCGTAAGTATCCGGGCTACTTGGATAGAAAATACTTACTGTTCAAGTGAATGAACTGGCCGTTGCTGCTGAAGAGGTAGTCACATTGCTGTTTGAAGGAAGTGCGTTGATCTCGCCGTTCAGTGTCTCACGGATGTACAACATTGGGCACCGAAGGGACCTGCACCAGCGTTAGCAATGGGTATGGGTGTCATGCTGTCACTCTCATTATCTCATTCTACCCACAGGGAACCTTAATTGCATTCGCGCTCTGGCGGGTTTGACCATTGCGACGTCTGCTGCGACGGCGTTCGACACGGAAACATTTGTGGAGAGCGAATATTCTGCCAATCTACGTGCCACGTCAGGAAATGTTCCTCTTGCTCTCAACTGGTGAGGCTCTTTGGGAAATTCACTCGTGTTCCACTTATTCATCGGCAGGTATGATTCCATGAAGGTCCGATCAAATGCTTTGTCCCACAAAAAAAATCAACGTGTTTCCAGATTGTCGGCCTGTTCAGTCTCGGATATGTCTCTGAGGCTGCAGCACTTGGATTTGAGGTGTATCTGATAAGAGAGAAACACCCAAAGTAAGAATACCCACCGTCCAATGCATCGGCGATCAATATTCACAGTCATCGCCATGTTCGATATGGTCTCTTCTTCCATAGTCTCGCGTTGATTGCGTGTCTTCGAACGGGCGACCTTTCCGAGGCTGATCGTCGGCGCTATTGGGACCAGGTACACAAGAATCAGAGCTATATCTCCAGGTAGTTTTCTCTTGAATGCTATCCAACTTCACTCACATCGATTAGATGGCGCTCTCCGAGTCCTGTGAATAATAGTACATGGGTTGCTCTCGTGGTAAGTGTTTCCTCCTAATCTCGACGTCATTTACACCAGGTAGGATGCCGAGCTGGCCTCATTAACTGACAGTTCTGAGGCAATCAAGCTGTACGACGCGGCAGTGAGGTGAGTTATTCATTGCTCGAGACGTCCGAGAAATCATGACGACGGCGTAGGCTAGCAGTTAGCAACGACTGGATCAATGAAGAAGGATGGGCTCTCTTCCTGGTGAGTCAATGAACTAGCAATGCACACAACCTGGGTTCATTTCGGAATAGCAAGGGTCCCATTTTGTTCGTCAAGGTGTCTATGGTCTTGGGAGTGAGCTCCAACGAAGGGGTATATCATGCCATGCGAAATGGGGAGCAAAGGGAATTGTGTATGTTCTCGATTGCTTGATCCAACATTATCTCATAGTCATAAGGAACCATCTAAACGCTACTCTCGGATCTGACTCCCAAGGACCCCCCACCCGTGCTGTCTTTTACTGTGATGCAGCTGTTCAAACGGATAGCATTGCAGTCGGAATTGGTGCACTACAACCATCACCCTCTGACCGACAGCATTCCAAACTCGGGGCTGACGACTTGTGGGCCATTCTCAAATCGAGTCAAGATATCTCGAGCGATATCAACCTCTCTTCTGGTTAGTCCAAGACTTGTGCAAGCAGGACATGACTCTGAATGCAAGCGTTTAGCTCTCCAACGGTTGACAGAGATCGCCACAGGCACGTGATGTCTTTCGTTGATCCCAATCTAATCTTATCGCAGAGATCTCCGCTTCACAAAATACTTGTGGTATGAACACAGAACCTGTGTCGTTCGTCTACTTACCAAATATAGTGGTCATTGCCCGAGAAGCTGGTGACTATACCCTGGCCACTAGCTTAACTAAGCCAGAACCGTGTCAGGTCTACGAGTATGTGTGCATGGCAGTTGGGATCGATCTTATCTAAGTGTGGCCATCCAGCAATCCAAGGTCCATCAGGACATTGTCGGACCCTCTACAGAAAGCAATAATTGAGCAGAGTACGTTGCACTTTTATCATTGCACGTAAACTTATACTCTCCTAGCTCTCAACACGAAGGAACCTTTTTTCTGCGACGATGCCTCTTTAGATCCCAAATTCTCCGCAGAAGCTACCCAGTCAAACCATCGTGCCATAATATGCCTTCCTATACGAAGTAATCGGGGTCAGACGTTTGGCTGCCTTAGCTTCCAGTCGAAATACCCGTTCTCCCCTTCGATATTCACTATGCTCACGCTTTTATGTCAACAAGCGAGCATCAGCGTAGCAAATGCTCTGCTTTTCCGATCAGTGCAAGCGGGGACGCGCGAGAATCTCAAGATGATTGCTGCGCAGAAGGAGGCATTAGAGGCGGCGAGAAAAAGTCGAGAGGATGCTTTGACTGCGACCAAAGTACCACCTTACCTAATTGTAAAATCATTTACTAATCGGCCTTTTAGATCAAAGGGCATGTATCGAGGCACTCACCGAAGCCGTATGCTAACTGGGTTTATCTAGCAATTTCCTGGCTTCCATGAGTCACGAGCTGCGAACGCCATTCAGCTCCTTCTATGGACTCTTGGACCTCTTGAGCGGGACAGAACTTGACCCTGGTCAGAGTGAAATTGGTAAGCGGCAACCGGTAATAATAGTCATCCATTTTATGGTCTGGCAGTACAAACAGCAAAACAGTCATGCGAGCTGTTGTTGAGGGTAAGCAGATTTGATATGAAGTTATAGGTGTTCTCATCAAAACTCAGATTATCGACTCCATTCTCGACTACAGCAAACTAGAAGCCTCCGGTGCGTTTTCGGCCCTTATTTATTTGTAGTGTTGACTCTTTACAGCGGTGAAACTGGAGCCTTCGGGATTTCTTGTGGAGGTGAGTTTCTACTTATATGAATTCACTTGTCTTCAACTCGATCTAGAGTATTCTCGCGGTTCGTCGTTTTGGCTCGATGTGTGAATTTCATGATATTCATCTCACACAGGACTGCATGGAGCTCCTCCTCCCGATGGCAGCGCAAAAATTAGATCTCACGTTCAATATTGAGCCCAATGTTCCTGCTTGTGCGCTTTCTCTCCTGGTCATATCATTTCTTATGCTTCTCAGGGGTCTTCTCGGATTATGCACGGATTCGACAAGTACTCATGAACTTGATTGGCAACGCTGTCAAGTTTACCGCAAGCGGCTCCGTCAGAGTCTTATGCTCTCTTGACGGTAGCATGACTACGTCGGATGAGGTTCGTCTCAAATTCGCCATCCAGTGAGTACTACCTGCAGCAATCATGCCAACGCTAATAAATGATCAGAGACACAGGCATCGGCCTTTCATCGAGTGACGTGGAGCTCCTGTTTGTTCCCTTCCAGCAAGCAGACAACTCTTCGACGCGGCGATTTGGAGGGACGGGTTTAGGGTTGTCAATATCTCGCCAAATCGTCAAACTAATGGGTGGAGCCATTGGTGTCAATTCAGAATTGCATGGTGTGTTCTACTACCTTGGTTCTCTTCGCTCGTGTTTTACGCGTTCCAGTTGGAAGCACGTTCTGGTTTACGATTCCCGTCAAGATCTATGACGCAGCAGAGTCGCGAAAGGTTTCTTTTTTTGGCTGTTATCTTATCTTATCGATCTTATCGATCCATCAGTTCATCTCTGATCTGGAAACCGTTCGGTCCGTTCTTATACATCCCCGGCCAATGGACGTCCTAGTTTGTTCTGCGTCAGAATACACACTCGCCTTCCTCAAAACCATATTCGACGGTCTTCGCGTGACGCTTGTGGCCACACTCGCCGACGCTGAAGCGCGGTTGCGCTCCTATGGGGAGACCCGCCAGCCGTTGGACTTTGTCATTCTGGACGATCAGTCTGAGACACATGCGGATGAAATGGCAACATTTTTACGCTCGCTGGGCGTCACCTCGCTGCATGGACAGGAAACCAAGATCATCCACATGTACACCCCCACGATGAACCGCTCCTCGCACTCCATATTCAGTAGCAGCACACCTGGGGTCGTGAAGATGACCAAGCCTCCACGCAAGGCGCGGATATTGCAGACACTGGCGGGGCTGAAGGACCTTTCGCTCCCCCACACTGTCCCGGCCACCACCTTTTCGCACATCGGAAAGGCGATGGAGAGCATCGAGACGGCACGGCGGACGCTGTTTGGCAATGTTCTTGTTGCAGAAGGTTTGCGGCTGGTTTTGTTCTGCTTTTGTAGATCTAAGGGAACTTTAAAGATAACAAACTCGCACAAGATGTCTTGGTCAAACAGCTGCAAAAACACGACTTGAATGTTGTTGCCACCTCGGACGGGAACGAGGCCCTCGTTGAGTGGCAGAAACACGAACCGGGTTACTTTAGTGTCGCGCTGTTTGACCACCACATGCCTGTGTGTGATGGAGTCGAGGCGGCAAAACGGTTGCGTCATCTGGAACAGAAACGAAAGGCCCCAGTATCCTTACCGAGTATGACCGTCTTTCGCTCGTCATTTTTCACTTTCTCACAAGCACTCTAGTCATTGCTCTCAGCGCCGATTGTCAAGAATCCACCAAACAACTATGCTTGAGTGCTGGGATGAACGCGTTCTTCAGTAAACCTCTGAAAAAGAGTAGGCTAATTCCGTTGGATGCGATACGTGCTGACCTTTTTTCAGGCGACTTGATTTCTCTGTTGTCGATGTTTGGGGCTCCTCCTGCTTAATTTAACTGACCTGCATTGCTATCGTGCTGTTTTTATGCAGCCTATTATATAAGTTACTTGTACCGCGTTATATACCTGTATCCGTAGAACTAAAATGACTGGGATTGAGCAGACTTGGAGATGAACTGTGTGGGTGGGTCCGGGAATGAACTAGGCGAAATGGAAATGTGTGGCAGAAAAATGACCATGACATCAGGGAGCTTTGTGTGATCTGGGGTGAGCGCGGCTTCCACCAGGTTGGTGGGGTTGTAGCTGGATTCAAGTTCTTATTTGCTCGAAGTGAGATTCTAGCCAGCCACGGGGAATAAATGCAGGTACGGTGGGATCTAGCGACTTCCGGAAAGAGGCTTCCGAGTTGCGGTGGCCAAAGTCGATGAGATTTGAATCTAGGACCGTGTCGTAGGGATAAGAATGGGTGGGGGCGTTGACATCAAGTTGAGCGGTGTCGAGGGTTGCTAGATATGCACAAAAGCGGTTTAGATGCTCGGTAGTGAATGGGTTGTAGGCTGGGACTGTGACAGGCGGAGTTGCAGCGACGTCAAGTTCACGTTTGGGAGAAGAGATCGGATTGTCTATCGCGCGAGGCTTGATATTTCCAGGGGTGACGAGAACTGATGACCCAGCCATCTGGCGAGTAGATAGGTAGTTCCTGCGTAGGTGGCGGCGGACAAGAAGAAGGAGCACGAGGGCAAGAAACTCAAGCGTTGTGATGGTCTCGGTGTTGATAGTGGGGGTCAACCAGTTCCAGTCGGTGAGGATTGTGATGAAGGAGATGCGGAAACTCGTGAATGCAAAGGATAAGGCGAGTCCGCCGAGAAGAGCGAGGATGACGCGAGCCATGGTGGTTTCCAGCTGAGTTGCGGTTCCCGGGCCGGATGACCGAGGTCGTTGTTTGGACTGCGATGTTGAAGTCCAAGTGGGCCTTCATCGCTCCAACCCATGCTGCTGCCTCCACCCCCCGGTCAGACTCGATACCTTGCCAGTGTTGACGGATCTACCCTTCTCTCTTCGGCGCCGTTTACCCGTGTTTGCCACCTACTCTGCCTCCACAACGTGTTCTACACAATGCGCCGGAATCAACTCAATGCGTCTGAATTATCCTCTACATCCAACTAAGCACACGAGGCGACCCTCTTCTAGCCAGCCTATAAAAGCGCACTCTTGCGGCCAAGTGGTAGCTCTTACCCACATACGATGCCTGTCCTCGACGCTTTCAGGATCAAGCCTTTTGACCTCGAGCCTGTTTACGCTGCTTGGCCAGTCTCTACTGGCCCACGCTTCCTCGGCAGCCCCAAGAAGGACCTGCCTGTCGACGAGTGGTTGAAGGCGATCAAGACTGGATGCTTGCAACATCATGTCCCCCGCGAATATTGGCATACGTGTGTTATCCTCACTTTTTTTGGCTCGGCAGCTGACGGGCGTCTAGATGCGCACAACATTTCATGGGTGATCAGGCGCGCGCGAGGTGGGTGGTCATTAATATGTTTCCCTCTCGCTCACACAACGTAGATTCAGTGAGCTGAAGAAAGTCATGGCCCAAATGCACGGTGGCAAGTACCGCTGGAATTGGAAAAAGTTCAAGGTCGCAATGCGAAACATGTCCTGTAAGTTGTTCGCCACCTACACTTCCCAGTACTCAATTCTCTTCGCAGGGGACATCGACATCAGCGAAACGGAGACAGTCAAAGTCCCCAGCGGGCCATTCTGGTGGCTGCCTGGCCGGAGCAAGACGAAATCAGAGTCAGAATGCGGCTCCTCACAGTCCATGATATTGGACTCGGAGGAAGCGGTGCTTGTTGAAGAGCCAGAAGCGCTACCCAGCCTGAGCCGCAGTGGAACTTTCATGTCGCTCAAATCAGAACGACCAGGCCCCTCCCGTTCATCAACAATGTCGGCCTTCTGGCCGCGTCGCAGAGACTCCAAAGACGTGGATGAGGGGGAACAACAGTCAGCTCTTACTCAGCGGCCTGCCCCACGACAAGCCAAGTCTGACGGCGCCATTGTCGCGAAAGCAAGCACCCTCCAAGTCGCTTCAACCAAAGACCTCCCTCCAATTCCCACCACCGTTGCCACGAAAGACGGCAACACTGTTCGTGCCCCTGCCTGGCTGCTCAACGCCACCCATGCTCTCGATTTCTTGCAAAACGAGCATCCAAAGGTCATGACCACTATCAGCGCAATCCTCATTGTGGCTGGGTCTATTCCTTCACTGCCAGGAATAGCAGCAGGGGCTGGGGGTGCCGTTCTTGCATCGTCAACAGCCCATGCTGTTGGGGCAATTGCAGTCGGAATCGGTAGCTGGATGAAGACCCAACAGGAAGTCCACGACGCCAAGCAGGGGGGGAAACAAACCACATAACTTATCTGACATATTCGGAGGACTTTGAAGCAGGCAGCAGGCACTATAATTATTGTTTATTCTGTACTAGATTACCCGTGGCTCATATGGGCTACCCGTCTTTGGAATCCACGAATCGTCAGGCATCCACTGCCCATCCACGCTCCCAATCAGGCCATTTGGCACCTGCTTATATTCGCCGTCGGTCAAGACAGCAAGCCCGCCATTCACATCCTCGTCGCTCAGCGGAATCCGCGCCTCCTTGCAAAGTTGGTGGAAGTCGTCAGGTAGCGGTGCGCCGATCCTCAAGCGAAACCGTCTGTGGGACCCAGCAGGTTTATACCGCTGTGCAATGTTAGTCAAGACACCTTGAATTCAAGGCAACCTACGAAAAACGACACTTGGGCAGCGTGTAGGAACATCCTGTCGCTTTCTGGCGGCGGGCGGAGGCGCAGAAGCGCCCTTTGGATACTGTCCATCGGGGGCTTCAGTGAGTGGACCGTGTCGCCCAAGATTGGCGCTACATAAAACTTAAGAACTAGGACGGAAAAACACAATTCGTACTTTTGAGAACGTGTGCGAGATGGACACGCAGTTGGTGCTTGTTACCAGTTATCAGTTTCAGTCGCAGTAGAGAAAGCGGCAGGTGAGGCTGCATAAATTCAGTTTCCTGTCTTGTGAAATAACATTCACTACTCACCGACGACGCGACCAGCTCCCAACCTGTTAGCGCCTCACGTGCTTCGTTGTCGGCGCCAGGAAGCAGCTTTTGCGTCGCTGTGGCGTGTCCGTCCTTGTAGACTATTGGCACGCGTATTGTGCCAGAAGTCTGTTCGAATGACTGTCTCCCTGCTCGGACGAGCGCGAGATAAGTCTTGTGGACATCTCGTTGCTTGAATTGCGTGTGGAAGTCACTGGCGAAGCGTTTGGAGCGTGCGAGAACGAGGGCGCCAGTGGTGGCCTACCCACATGGTGAAAAGTAGAATGAAAGAAGGGAAAAAACGCGCCTTGTCGAGACGGTGGACCCCAAGAGGGGGTTGTGGCAGCTGCAGGCGGCGCTGTAGGTCTTGAATGACGCTAGGAATCTCGGAATGCTGCGTAACGAGCCCTGGAGGCTTGTTCAGGACGATAACGGCGCGGTCGACATAGAGAATCAGTTCTGACCATCGCGTCATGGCTTACGTAAGTCATTGCTTTCTTCTTCTTCTTACCACCATCCGACTCCATCGCAATGAGTCTGGGGGTGAAGGATGTGCTAAGTATATATATAGTACGTCGCAGCCATATGGTTCCATGGACAACGACTCATTGCGTACTTGAAAACAGGATAACACAGCTATCCACACTTTTTCCCTCCAAAGACATTGTCTAAGACTTGAGCGCTTCAACACCACAGACACGCCGGTGGAGCGGGAGCCTAAGACCCGCGTGGTTACATTTGCGGATCGGTTTACATCCGACCTCAGTTTTTGGTTTAAATACCCTGCAGCAAGCTCTGAGGAATAACACTGGTCCTCCACTCCTCCCTCTCTTCTCCGTTCAGCAGTGTCGTTCTACGCAGATGCCTTCTGCTCGTGCCGTATGAGGACCACGGCACGACGAACTCAACACTGGCACCCACACAACGTTTCACCTCGGACGGTATGTCGCTGTTCCGTTCATTTCTTTGCTGCTCATCACCGTTGTCCAGTTTCTCTTCTCCGCTTCACATCTCGTCGCCGCTGTCCAGTAAAATCGACAACAGCCAACCGCAAGGCAACATGCGAAGATTAATGTGTTGTCTCGCAACCTGGGAAGGCAACTCGCACACATAGTGATGCGGGCTCCAGGCTGGCTTGTACCGACAGTTAAATAATCAGGATCGGAGAGCACTGTTGTAAGCTTCGTCGCTCACCATCCGCTAGTCACTCACCCAACTTTTGTAGGATGTCTTGTTCGTCAACGTTGTCCACCTTCGATCGCAGGGCATTCGGCTGGTCCTAAGCATTCGTGCCGGGCCGGCTATGGGCTTAATTGATGTCTTAAGTCGTTTTAAACGAGTTTAGTGGCCGCAAAAATTGGTCGGGTTGTTTGCTCCAGGTGAGTGTTGCACAATTCAAGATTACCGCGAACTGACACGGTTCCTAGCGGCGGACAAGTATCGGGGCCTTGGTTGAGCGTTGGTAAGAGGCCTTGTTCAACCGTCCTTGCGACACTAACACGACTTGCTTAGACTGTAGCTATCGTCGGGTTTCTTTACGTCTTTACGCTGGACGCAAACTAACTGTGTATACATCCTTTTTCTACGTTGTCTATCTTCGATGGCAGCGGCGCGCGATTCGGTCCTCCCAGACTGACGCGTGTGGCCCAGGTTCTGACTTGATCACTCAGAACTTGGGCATTTTCTAACAGGTCTCGTTTGTCTGGCAACCTCTGGCAACCTGGCTCCCTCATAACCTCTTGTAACCTGCCTTCAAGCGTTCCAAACAACTTCAAGCGCTGTCAAGTGACGCCAGAGCTTGAATCGCGTCGAGTGGCGGGCCTCCTTGCTCGCAGCGTCACGGAAGGACGGTCTGGGCCACCACTCGGATCGCTCCGGGGAGTGGCCAATGCTGATCGTTGCAAGAGCCGCCACTGGGCAAGATTCCCTTCAAATCGCGTTTTTCGAGACTGGGGTTCTCTCGCTTGATGCGTCACGGAAGGACTCGCTCGGGGTCAACCATCGGAGACGTCCCAGCGCTGACTTCGGGCCTGTCCGGGGAGTGGCTAAAAGCTGAAGACCGCAGGCTCATGTAACGCAAGATTTGCTTCAAATTTCATGGGCTCTTTCGACACTGTCAAGGCACGCAAGAGTTGTTTTGGTTCGCGTCAAGCTCTACTCTTCCACGCAAGATTTCGCTTCAAGTCACGTTGAGTGCCGCCGCGGCTTTCATGCTTCACACGTCATGGAAGGATCTGCCTGAGGCACCAATGCGAGACGTCCAGCGATGACTCGGGCCGGTCCGGGGAGTGGCTAGGGCTGATCGTCGCCGCACACTCAACGGTCGAGAAGAATGCAAAATCCCGCTTCAAAATCCGACGAGTATTCAGGGACCTATGCTCACGGGGTCGCAGCCGCACTTCTTCGGGTCAGCGATGGGAGATGTCTTGCCGCCGACTCGAGCAAGTTAGGGTGCGGCCTTGCGGGCGAACTCGGCGCTGTTGGGACGGTTTTTGCTCTTCACGTCGTGGAAGGACCAGTCCGGGAAAGCAATGGGAGACATCCCACGGCTGGACCGGGCCGGACCGGGGAGCGGCCAAAGCATCAATCGTCGCAGCAGTAGCCAGTTCAAGCGGGGCGGGACACGGCAAGCTCAAGACTCGCTGCTGTGTTCTGGTGCCCGTCCTGGGGAAGGGTCAGCAACCCTCGCGCTCCCTTGCCGTGGGCCCCAGGCTTGTAGTCCATCTGCCACGTGGACGACTAAGCGCGCGTTAAAAATGCACTTGTTTTGGATCTTGGCAAGCGAGATGGTGCGCCCAAATATTTTTCTTTCTGATTCTTGATTTCATCTTATTTCCAGCGCCATCTTCGCCTGTCCCTTGACTCCTCAGCTTTTTGCGACCTCCGCCAATTGATAGCCGGTTTGCCACTCATCAGCTTCAATCAACGGCGTGCGCCGATGATCCGCCATGACGACATTGGAAGTGGTGGGGAGGTGCAGAGATCCGACCATAACGCAGCCGTTGTTTACGATGGTGCGCTCTCTGTTTGACTATCTGATTTCGCCCTACTGATATGGCTTGCCTAGGCCGCAACTTTTCCGCTGAATGCCGCGACCGGGGCTGCAGTAATCCTGTTACTCCGTTGCGCGGCTATTTGGCGCACAACTGCGGCCGTTATGACCGCCACGCTCGCGGTGAGGGTCACAGCTGGATCTGTGGGGGGGTAGCAACGGGAGACGTTCCAGCGCTGGCTCAGTCACGCTCTCAGTTGTGGCCCTCCCTGCTGGCGCAGCGGTCATGCTCGGGGGGTTATCCACAGACTCACTCAGGGCAGCAACAGGAGATGTCCCGGGGCTGACTGGGGGCGGGATAGGTCCTAGGATTCCTCCGGAGCCGGTCGTAGGAAATTGGGCAGTTAGAGGCGAGGCGGAACACAGCGGGTGCAGGCCGTTTGCTGTTCTGGTGCTTGTCCTGGGGAAGGGCTTGCAACCCTCGCGCTCCCTTGACGTGGGCCCCAGGCTTGTAGCCCACTTGTGGGTGACTAAGCGCGCGTTTGGGAAAAAACATGCTCAGGTTTGTCCATTCTTTCTTTTGACTTGAGTGCTCGACACTTCGCTTAGTTTCTAACCAATAGATGACAGTTTTTTGAATTGGCGGAGGATTTGTGCTTAAACTCTCAACAGCGGTAGAAGGATTGGTTAGTTCTGCGTAGATGATACTCTGTAATTCAAAATCGGTGAAATAAAACTTTTTGCAATCTCATTCATAACCGACACTACCTTTTCTTGTTATAATCATTGACAAGGCTCCGATAGCCTGTATTGTGGACTGTCTGCATATGAACAGACTAAGTAGCAGTGTACACGATGACCTTGTCGAGATCGGCCGCATAGTTGCTCTGGTTGGCCCCAATGGTAATGGTATTGGAGCCCGATCTCAGTGTGAGTTTCATTGGGATGGACAGAACCACATGCCCGCCTCCCGTAGTTGGCTGTTGGAGGGTGACAGCCGATCCGCCGTTCACACTATTCGCAGTCAATCATGTTTCATGGCTGAGTGACAAGCTCACCTAACAGTTGTGCTTCGCCAAGAAGAGTCGCCGTTGGCTATGAAGTCAAATGAGAAAGAGGTTGTTTTGGGTTTGGAGGTGGACGAACCAATGTAGAAGCTAACCCATTGTGCCGCCCCGATACCCTGCACGGTGATGGTCAAACTACCACCGTTGCCTGCCCAAGATGTCAGTGGCTGTGTATTTTTTGGATCGCCAAATACAAGTACCCAGATACCCAACAGCCTTGCTGCCGCTGAAGGAAGAGTCTGTCGGTAGAATGACGGCGCTGCCGCTCAATGCGCCATTTTCGGCCTCGTAGGTGGTACCGCTTGCGATGCTCCATGTCCCCGCGGCCAGATTAAGACTCCAAACATCGGCCCAAACGAGCTGAGGCGAGCCAGAAGCCCATGTGAGAGGCAGCCAGATATAGGACGAGGTGCTGAGAATGTCGGAGCGCCAGCGATCACCCATGTAGATGGCGTTGCCCGAGACAAGCGGCAGGTCGAAGGCGTTCTGTGAATAATAGGTCCGTGTCGATTGCGGCGCGAGGTCGGATTGTGCGGAAAAAGTTGAGGATATACTCTGGAGAACCGCATAAGCAAACGCATGAAGGGGACGATTGATGATGTACCGATGCGACAAACCACTTGTTGGGATTAGGATCCCATCCACTGCATTAAGGATTAGTCACCAAGACAAAGAAAGCCTTCCAACTCCGGACCTCGTGTGAGAGGCGAACAGATAGTATTGCTGTGGACAACGATTAGACGACCAAATGCATTCTAAATGTGGACAGCGTTACCCCATTGCGCTTGATAATTCCCGGAGCCTCAAGCGTTGAGCCTATAAGTCGATTTAAATCCATTTTATTCGTAACCGAGCAGTGAATCAAACGCACCACTAAGAACGTTCACTTGTGTTGTCACGTTATAATAATTTGCGTCCATCCTCGAAATCTTGAAGTTCTGGTTGTTGTCTGAAGCGTACAGTAGATATGACGTTTGGGCAGCTATGCCGCTATGTAGTAAGTATATGGGTTTAATTGGCAATGATCATTTACCATCGTCTAGATGGAAAGTGAGCCAAGTACACATCAAGGCACGATTACCAACTGACCATCCTGGAAAATGCTCTCATCGCGTGATTGAGCACCAAGGGGGAGCAAAGCTGCCTTGAATAAGGTCAGATTGCGAAGAATTCAGAGAGATCGACATACTCTTGTAAGTGTACGGACCACACGGCGACTTGGCAGACGCGACACCAACCATAGCAGCCCCATAGCTATAAGTCGACTCAGTACCCCACATGTTAAGAGTCCATTTGATTCACTTAGAGCTGTCGCTGTGAAACCACATCACATATTCCTGGTTCTACGACGGAATGAGAGGTTCAATTGGAGGCGCGTGTCTCCAACCTTTTTATTGAAGATGACTTTAGGCCGCTCCACTATATTGGAGTTCGATATCATTGTCCCAGAAATCGGTGTGAGGGCGTTGTTTTGCCGAGTCCATGTCGTCAAATCCGTGGACGTGTAGCAGCTTACCTAGAATTAGGACGTTAGCTGCACACATTCAAGCCCAGAGCAGAAGCATACTGCTTGGAAGAGCGCACTATTCGACGCCTTGTCTGTTGCGCACTTCAGGGCTGGTCTTTTGCATTGTTTCTAAACTCACACCTTCTCCAAACCAATAGTAGGTGCTATCCACCTTGAGCAGTCCGCCACCATGCGCCTGGATGGAGTTCCCTGACGTGTCAACCCATGGTGCACCAGGAACAATGACAGCAGCAAAAGCTCTCCCAAGGAAGACGGTGCCAAAGGAGCTGAGGGCTGCGATTGACCTCATCGTTGAGGCAAGTCGGAGCGCGATCTCGCGCAGTTCACGGGAATGGTCGGTATTTATGCCTCTCATAATGCATTTGCGTCATGAGGCTTCGGGGTAACATGGCCAACGGCTCAAAATCGGACAGACAACGGTCCGTTGGAGGGAGATGGAAGCAACATAGCGCGTCGTGTGACGAGGATCACGCGGCCATCACGAGGCGTGACTCGGACAACCTCTTCCCTGAAATTTCTTCGGCCTCCGGATGGAAGCCTTCCAACTACTCTCGCGGGGACTCAATTTCGACAAGAAACGCTTTCAGAAGGATGCACAACTCTTCACAGTTTGTATCTGATTATCCTTCGACTATCGCATTCCGAACGAATTATATAGAAAGCACCGACAAAAACCAAGATTTCTCCAGCTACTCAGGCAGTAGCGACGGGGGCGCTTCCCGCTGAGCTTGATTACTTCAAATATGCACCGGGCAAGAGGAAATCAGAAACAGATGGGAATGCTGTCGTAAAGAAGCGGAAAACGACCCATGAATCGGAGTCCGATGAGGAGAGCCTAGACGAGGAGGCAGAGGGGACAGAAGAAGAAACTGGCGCACCTGCAAGACCCCGACAAAGAATCGTCGCCAAGGGTTCAAATGTGCCGGAGCCAGTCGAAACGTTTGCGGCTCTGGCTGAACGGTATCAAGTGTCTTCATTGATATTGTCCAACTTGAATACCTACGGGTATCATCACCCCACGGGTATACAGTCTCATGGAATACCAATACTATTAGAGGTGCGCTCACTTTTTGCTTTAGAGTTCAAACAATCCATTAACCGCTCCAGTCGCGCGATTTAGCTGCCATCTCCCCTACCGGCACAGGGAAAACTCTTTCTTACCTACTTCCCATCATGGCTTCGTTGGGCGCGCCTGCATCGAGCTCAAATACGAACGCAGGAGCAGGTGCCCGTGCTGTTGTCCTCGCGCCGACCAGAGAATTGGCGCACCAAATCCACAACGAGTGTCTGAAGCTTGCCCAAGGCCGCAAATGGCGAATAATATTATTCAGCAAAGCTACTTCCAATACGCTTTCAGATAAGTCCGCGCGGGATAAAGTTGGTAAGTTCTGTCGAAACATGACACGGTCCACAACTGACTGGTCTAGATATTATCATCAGCACTCCTCTTCGACTTGTCGCCTCGTTGAAGGCCGGTAATCTGGACTTATCCAAGTGAGTTCGATGAGTTTTAGACTACTGAGGGGCTGATCATCCTTCAGTGTCCAACATTTAATACTGGACGAAGCCGACCGGATGCTGGACCCCGAATTCCTAAACCAGATTGAGGAAGTTGTTGCTGCTTGCACCCACTCAAAGCTCCAGAAAGCCGTCTTTAGTGCGACGCTTCCAGCAAATGCAGAGAAAATTGCCATGGAAATGTTAAACGACCCAATCCGAGTCGTCGTTGGTTTGAAGTGAGCAAAACCTATTTAGGACAACGCAAATCATTAAACGCGCCTATTAGGGATACCCCGCTTCCGCTGATTGCCCAGTCACTCACCTACGTCGCCGACGATCCCTCCAAACTACCCAGTCTTCTCGCCTACCTTGCCCAACCATACGATCCACCAGTACTAATATTCACCTCTTCCCAACCGCGCGCGACATCCCTGGCCCAAGAGCTTATTCTCAACGGCATACCCAATGTCGACTGCTTACATGCAGGAATGACCAAGAAGGAGCGCGAAGACACGGTTGCGCGGATGCGAGCAGGCGAGAGCTGGGTTATGGTTAGCACAGAGGTTATGGCGCGTGGCATGGACTTCAAGGGCAAGTCGTCATCTTATCCCTCTTTTCTTTTTTTCATAAATATGCAGGCATTCGTGAGGTCATTAATTACGACTTTCCGACCAGCGTCCAGAGCTATGTCCACCGTATCGGACGGACTGGCCGTGCTGGACGTGAAGGCAAAGCGGTCACATACTTCACAGACCAGGACGCACCGTATCTCAAAGCGATCGCGAATGTCCTGCTGCAATCAGGGTCGAAAGTGCCTGACTGGATCATCAAGCTCCCGAAGCCGTCAAAAATGAAGCGCAAACAAATGGGCAAGGTGAAGCGTGATGAAGGGGTCAATCCCGCGCGGAAAATCGGACGAAAAGACGCGTTGAAGAAAAGGGACATGATCGCGGGCTCCAAGAGAAGGGTGGCAAAGGCTGAGGGGAAGAGTGGCGACGGACACAGTGACTCTGAGTGAAAAGGCTTTAGAATGGATGCCAGAGGAATATTATTTCCGTTTTGTTCTAGCGAGGAGAGACAGATATAATGAGCGATAAGTATTGGCTGCAAGTACATTCATTCTTTCCCACTTCTTCACTATCAAGCCTCCAGTTCAGACCAGTCGCTACCCGCCTCCTCGTTGGGTTTGGTATGTTCAGTCCCGACTACTGTTTCATCCACGGCAGCAGCAACGTTATAAGGCTGGATAGTTTCAGTTGGTTCCGGAGATGGGGTCTTGGGTTGCGCCTCGACAACTGACTGGCGTTGCGCGCGGCCAACAGACTTGCGCCAGCGAGATTCAACAATGCTCTCCACCTCATCCAAGGCTCCCTCGACCTTCCCGACCACCTCCTTGCGAGCGTGACGAACTTCTTCGTCACCAAAGCTGTCCACTGCATCGAGACGTGCAAGAAGCTTGCTCAACGCCTGATGGTAGTACCGCACCGGTTGATTGTGCGCACTATATGTCAGCTTCGAGAGGACTGATTCCGACTCAGCGCCGCCACGGACAGGTGAACTAGTGCGAGAGGTCGAAAAATCGAGTTGGTCGGGGAAAACCCATTCGTTGGAAAGAGCCGTAAAAGAGCCCTCTATCGCTTTGATTTCGGAGGCAGAGGTAGAAGCGTCGTTGACGGGGGCGGGAGCGGGTGATTTGCCCTTGGAATCGGTGGTAGTTGAGTTGGCAGCGTCAAGATCGGCGAGCGACATCCGAATCGCTTCAGCGAGATCTTGGTCCTCTTTCGATTGTTCACTAGACAGGCGTGCTTCCAAGTCAGCCTTCAACTGGCTTTCAGCAGATTTCGAGGACTGGGTCCACATTAGATGGACGAATGTAGAAAAAGGAAGATGACGCACCTCAGCCTGAGGCTGTTGGGGCTGCTGACCACCCATAAACATATTCAAGAGTTGGGAGAGGTCGACCTGGCCATGATTCGGTGCACAATGACCACCAGCAAACTGGTTGAAAAGCTGCTCAAGTCCGCCATGGGCTGGGGTGGGCGCCGGAGCAGGGCAAGGGGCTGCCTCTTTCTTCTTCGGTTCAACCGTGGGGACTTGCGGTTGTTGCTGAGAAGACTTGATATCGATAAGTTTGGCTGGATATTTTCAGGGGGAACAGAACTCACCTCAGCCTGTTGTTGGGGTTGCTGACCACCAATGAATTGTTGGAATAGCTGCGAGACATCGACTTGAGCAGCGTTCCCAGCGCCTTGAGTGTTAACAAGGTGGTGCAAAAGCTGTTCAAGGCCAACTGCGGCCTCTTTCTTTGGCGGGGCTGGCTGTTTCTTGACACCGAATATGGTGGCCAGAACGTCCTCCAAGCCGATGGGAGTCGACTCTGATTCGACTTCAGGAGCGCGGAGGGCGACCCTGGGTTTGGATGCTCTGGGTCTGGCGAACGGCGGAGCAGACAACCCATGAATCAGATCGTTCAAGTCAACATACTACGGATGAGAAGGTCAGAAATGAAAGCTGGAGAGGTAAAAGAACGCACAGTCGGTCTCGATGATCGCTTGACAAGTGCTGCTAGTTTCGCTTCCTCTGAAGCAAGAGCACGCTGACGCTCGACCGCCAAAGCACGCGCTTTGCGGACCTTGGCCTCCTCCTCTTGTTCCCGAAGAATTCGTTGACGCTCTTCTGCAGCGATTTGTTGACGGAGAGCTTCGATATCGAAAGCGGGCTGTTGGTTGTAGCGAGGATAGAGAGGAGCACGAGCAAAGTCGTCATAGCGAGGTTGTTTCATCGACTGAATCTGCTCAAGTCGGTGGCGAAGCATGTCTTCCTCTTGTTGAAGACGCTCGGCTGCAAGATATTCAGCTTCAGCAGCCTGCGCCTGGGCAATGGCGGCAAGGTATTTGTCGCGGGGAGTGGAGCGGTAAGAGTAAGACGGGGAGAACATTGTTGTTTGTAAAGTGTGATGGAGTTCCTTTCGTTCCAGCCTTTATAAGGCGCATACGCGCGTCCAGCACAGGCCGCGCGTACATTGTAGAAAGTGCTAGACGCAACACGCGTTCAGGTCACAGCGTTACCGTGACTAAGCCCGACGCTGACTCACCCCGACTGACCACAATTCGCCCGGCTTCTGCTTGTCTTACATAGACTGACTGTTGGAGAGGATGTGCGACCTCTTTCTCAACGAGTATGAAGCTCATCTACATATGCAGATATCTTTAATTCTCCCTTGACAACAGGCTCAAATCTCAAGAGAACATTTCCAGCCAGTTGAAACTACAAATCGTCTTTCATGGGTCCCTCCAAATTTGTTTCCGCTGTCCTCAGCCACGCTAGAATCCAGAGGGACCCCTCGAAATTAAATGCATCCGTGATGTGTTGATGCCTCTCGCTTTGGCAGCTTCTGTTCCCTTTGACAACAGCTGCAACAAAGAGCAGTACGCCTCGGACCGATGTCGAAGCAGTCAAGCTAGACCTTTTCTATCAACATGAGGCGCAATCGTGTCCCATCATGAATGGCTATTGGATCTCCGCGCACCATTCGTCTGTGATCACCTGCAAGGGTCCGCCTTGAGGCTATCGTGCCGTGCTATTATCGAAGGGAAGTCGACGAGCGTTTATGCTATCTGCTTCGACTTTCTCATGTTGAAAAGGGCAATGCGAGTGTCAAAGTCAGACACCCTGCCTTAAGCCCTCTCTCTCTATCGCTGCTTGCATCGCTGAGAATTATGGCTCCGCGCCAATCCCGAAGGCTTTCTACCCGTCAGTCGATCAGTAAAGCGGGTTCGTCTACCTTACCCAACTTCGTTTTCTTTCTAATGATTACTCGTTAGAGCCAGAGGAGTACACTTGGGAACTTCCATCGCCACCTTCCTACGACTCCGATCTCGACGTTGGACCTTCGCCGTCTGCCCGTAAACCAAACCACTCCTCGACCCACATTCCTCGCCCCCCCAACCAATTCATCTGTTTTCGTTCCGACTGGTGGGCGAAAAACAAACATCGTCCAGACATTACTCGCGACCACAGGCAGATCAGTAGGCTAGCTGGAATAGAGTGGAGGGCTTTACCAGATGCTGAGCGGGCAAAATACGCAGTCAAGGCGGAGATCGCGAAACAACGACATGCAAAAATGTTTCCTCAGTACCATTACAAGCCAGGTGGGCGCTCCTCGACTTCGAGCAAGGGCAAGAAACGGAAAGTGGAGAGTGACGACGATGCTGATGAGTGGGTTCCCTCTTCGGTCAAACGTCGCAAATTTCAACAAGCTACCTCTCCGCCATTCGAAGCCTCTGCGGTTTTCGCCTCGCCTTTACCTTCAACGGTCGAAGAGCCATCGACCCCCGAGCTGGCCGCCGATACTTCGTCTGAGTCATCCGAACCCCAATCCGTCATCTCCGCACACGACACCGAATCAGTCCATGAAGATGCCAGCGACGACTTTGTCCTCACCGCGGATATTCCCCCCCTCGATCTTTACGCGACAACTTCTGTAAACGTAAGTTCACCCTCAATCCTACTGTGGTGGGTTGCTTATCAAGATTCCTGGTAGAAAAATTCGACCATTTTTGCCTGCGACGCGTCTCACGTGCCTCCGGCGCTCCAGCACAACGTCGATTCGCAGTTTTTCAAGCCGGAAGTCTCCACCGAGGCCCGGGACATGTTCTTGTGGTGCAACCAAGTCCAATTCGTCGACGAACCGGATTTCGTGGATGACCCATACTTTGTGCCAGACGTCAACTCGGAGATACTGTTTACGAACCCATTCGCAATGTCGTTCACTTCAGAGTTTGACCAGCTGGATGCACCCATGATTGGACTATGAAAAAATTACGAATTGTTACATTTGCTTTGTACATATATCTATGCCTAGATGGTCCATGGAAAGCAAGCTTGAGCATCATTGCGTTGTCTTGAGGCGTTTTGGAGCCCGTTCATCGCTACCGCTACTGGTAACTGATATTCGCCCTGCTGCTTGTTCTTGTTGCAACCAAACAACGCAATCATCCGGCGTCCCGTTAGGGTGGTCCAACTGCCATTCGAGCACCTTTGCCAGCGCTTTACCCGTCCAAGGGCCCTGTTTTGTCGCGCCGAGAGCTTTGAAAACATCGTTTCCCTAATGTCCAAGTCAAACATCGAAAGCAATCGATTCGGCGCGGAATACCGTGATAATATGCTTCAGCTCTCCAACGTCTTCCAACTTGAGCTCTTCGATGCGCGAAGCGAACGTGTTGTACAGCTCAATTAGTGCTGCTACTTGCTCAGCTGCCATACACTTGAGAGTGATTTCAGAGCTGTAAAAGTGACAATCTCACTGTCGAATTTGTCGTCGTCCAAGTTGTAATGGGGTACAAGCTCTTGCGCAAGTGAGAAGAGGGTCGCGAGTTGCCATCGTTCGTCAGCTGGTGAGTGGTGAATCATCTTTTCTCGTAGAAACAAACCTTTGGTAAAACATTGTGTTAGCATCAAACACCACAAGGAGGTCGAGATGACGGACCAAGGGCAACCCGCTCCGAAGGTTCCTTCCAGCGAGTCAGTTCAGGGCTTTTCAATTTTTCAGCAGCGGCAAAGAGGAGCGGAATGCCATCGAGGAAGTGATGTTGACCGCCTAGTCGGAGCGATTGTTCAAGAGAGCATGGTAAAATCGATTGGGGTTTTTTCTTGCGGTCTAAATATGTGATACCAGCAAATGGAGTGAGCGCGGCGGCAAGATAGAGACGAGCCAGAGCGCTTGGGTTGTTCTCCACTGAAGATCTGATGCTGGGGTGAATGGCTGATAGTTCAGAAGACGGCGTGATTAGTTTGCGGATAATGCGTGCCGCTTTTACACTGAAATTTGCGGGTGCGAGTGGTGCAGATAGTGTTTTCAAAGCTTCTACAGGAAGCACGTTGAAGATGGGATCATAGAGGGACATGTCATGAATCAGCTCAATAGCCCGGACTGGGTCAGGACCTGAATCTCTGTGAGTTTTCCATGAATCTACGATTCGAGACAGACCTTTCATCATTTTTTCAATCTCAACCCCAACTCGATCCCGTGTAATCTTAGTTTTCAAGGCGTCCTACGACTGCCTCAAGGTTGAACCCCACCAGAGAAAGAAAACGCACCTGAATCTCTTCTTCACGAACACAGTTTGCCAACTCCGGGTCGATTTCAAACCCAAATCGGCTTGCGAATCGGATACTGCGTAATATACGCAATGGGTCATCCAAAAATGTTTGCCTTGGAGGTAAGGGAGTGCGTATGAAGCCATTTTTGAGGTCAGGAATACCCTAAAGGATAAGCTATTGTTCGGCATAGATGGGAGACACACCTTTTCCGTGCAGTCCTCGACTTCTCGTGAGTGGATGTTGTAGAATAACGCGTTTATTGTTATGTCTCTCCGCAAAGCATCTTGTACTGGGGTGCCAAATGCCTGATTACCATGAGAACGGCTTAAAGGAAAGAAAATTATGGCACGATAGATGTTGGGATTCTGCTGTCTGCGGCATACTCTTCGCTTCGAAGGTTGACGAGGTCGACCACGATGCCAAAAATAGGCAGCCGGGCAGTCTGCAGATGTTTGGATTGTTCAGGGTTGGGGTTTAAGACCGCGATTTCGCCAGCTTCCACGTTCTTGGTCTGGGCAAACTCTCTGAGGTGGCTGGCAAATACGTCGCCCATCATATCGGAGAGCGCAATGTCAATGTCGTCGCTCTCCATACCCAGAAGCTGTTAGGGCTGTTCATGTTGAGAAGAGGAAAAGGCTTCGGTTTGACCTTGTCGCGAACCCATCCACCTGCAATCCGACACGATGTCGTGACCCCGTGCGATTCGCGGAGGTGGGTGCAGCATTCATCGAGTAGCGTGCAAAGCTTGTTCTCAACTTCAGTGAGCTTGATTTCGGACTGGACAGATAGTTGGCGCGACATGGCGCGAAGCAAAACCCTTTTGACGGGTCCTCGAGTCAGAAGCATAAACTGGTAGAGCACAAGAATTGATCCGGGACTGTCTAGACAAGCAGCTTCAACCAGGCTAACAAGTCTTCAACTACACTATCGTTTATTGTGTGCTCCAGTCCTGCATATTTCTTCAACTCGACCTTTCCCTTCGTATTCTGTTCGAGGTATTTGATTGCGTCTTCCGCAAGCTCAATGGGAATCAAAGTATCTGCAAGACCATGACACCACAATATTGGAAGATTCGGCGACGCAATGGTTTGCTGAACAGAGCTCATTAGATGTGACGCAATTCTGAATCGGCTACTCACCTCTCTAGCTTTGGGTGGAATCCACCCCGATAAACTGGCAACACCGCCAAGATCATGGAGCGTGGAAAGTGCGACCATAAGGCTCAGTGCAGCGCCTTGAGAAAAGCCAACTAAGAAAATCCTGCGGGGGTTGATACCGCCATAGATCTCTGTTAGAATGAGATTCTCGATAATACCAATACTTTCAGCGATCGTGGTCTCATCGAACTCGTCTGTTCCAGGAGGAAGAGTCTTGATGTTGAACCAACTTGGTTCGAAAGCTTTTTTATAGGTCACTGCTTTTTTCGACGCTTGGGGCATGACCCAGCGGATTTGAGGGAGACTGGGAACGAGTCCTTCAAGGATCATTGCGCGCCAAGTATACGTGTTCTGACCCAGCCCCTGCCACAAGAAGGTCAGTTGTGTACAACGTTAAGCGATGGACTCAAACATGTACGAAAATGACAGTGGCCGTATGAGGTTCAGTCGGAGCAATGAGAGTTAGCTCTGGAGTCTTGTCCATGCTGAAAAGATCTAATGCAGACAGACAATGTTTTTAAACACGCCAGAGTTGACGCTCGACGCGATACTGCGCAGCACCGTCAAGAGAGTCGAAAACTGCGGAAGGGGCTGTGGCCAAGGTAAATCATCACCGAAAAGAAAGATGTCGGCAGTAGCAAATCTTGAGATGAAGCCATGGGTTATTGCTTGGTTAGCAGGATACATGGAGAACGTTTTTGAGTCGTGTGCTTGACGCCGCCATCAACTGCCATCAAGGAGGTGCACTGTTGAGCACGTGCATTTTCTCAGGCTTGCTGGGATTTTGTTCGACGACCACCTCCTCGCCAGCGTCGGCTGCCTTCTCTCTCTTGCTTGGAAACCGCATCTCCCAACATGGGCAACGTTACCAGCTGCTGTGATCCTTGCTGTCTGTCTATGTCTTCTTTCTTTCCCTTAAGCTAATTGACGCTCAGTCGGTTCGCGCCGGTCGCAAACATACGAGCCATTACTGCTTGAGAATGAGCGGGAAGCCGTCGCGGATCTTCTTCAGTATCTCGAGAGTGCGTCACCATCATCTCTCATGCTTAGCTGACTCTCCACCACAGATAGGACAACGACCAACTTTTTCACTGGTTCCCCACTCACTGCACTCACCACCCTCTCCTTCTCCGACAACGTTGACCTCCAGCGTAGTGCTGCCCTCGCCTTCGCCGAAATCACGGAAAAGGAAGTCCGCCCCGTTGGTCGAGACACCCTCGACCCTATCCTCTTCCTTCTGAGCAGTCATGATACGGAGGTCCAGCGAGCAGCCAGTGCGGCATTGGGAAATTTAGCTGTGAATAGTGCGTTGTATATTTTGCCCTACTTCCTCAGCTAACTAATTACTGCAGCCGACAACAAGCTTCTCATCGTCAAACTGGGCGGTCTTGAACCTTTGATTCGCCAAATGCTCAGTCCCAATGTCGAGGTGCAATGCAACGCTGTTGGATGTGTTACCAACCTTGCCACGCATGGTGAGCAAAGCAGTTATGTCCAAATGCCCTAAATTCACACGTTTCTGGTTATAGATGACAACAAGACCAAGATTGCGAAGTCGGGCGCTCTCGTTCCTCTGACACGCCTGGCAAGGTCTAAAGATATGCGGGTTCAGCGAAACGCAACTGGGGCTCTTCTTAACATGACGCATTCCGGTACGTAACCACAACTTCGCACTCAACCACGTTTCCTGAAAGAGGCGCTAGATGAGAACCGCCAGCAGCTGGTGAATGCTGGAGCAATCCCCGTCCTCGTCGGTTTGCTCAACTCGCCCGATACTGATGTTCAATACTACTGCACAACGGCGTTGAGTAACATTGCCGTCGACGGGACGAACCGCAAGAAACTTGCGCAGAGCGAACCAAGACTTGTCACCAGCTTAGTCGCTTTAATGGATAGCTCGAGCCTGAAAGTTCAATGCCAGGCTGCCTTGGCACTGCGTAATTTGGCAAGCGACGGTACATACTCTCCATTCCTCTCTCTACTATTTGTTCTCATCTAAATTCCAGAGAAATACCAATTGGAGATCGTTAAAGCTGATGGGCTCATGGCCTTGCTGCGACTTTTGCAATCCAACTACCTTCCTCTCATCCTCTCTTCTGCGGCCTGCGTCCGCAATGTCTCGATTCATCCTCAGAACGAGTCACCGATCATCGAATCAGGCTTTTTGCAACCACTCATCAACCTTCTTTCGTTCAAGGAGAACGAAGAGGTTCAATGCCACGCTATCTCCACCCTTAGAAACCTGGCAGCAAGTTCTGAGAAGAACAAGACTGCCATTGTCAAGGCTGGAGCCGTGCAATCGATCAAGGATTTGGTGTTGGATGTACCTATGAATGTTCAGAGTGAGATGACAGCATGTGTTGCGGTTCTTGCCCTCAGCGGTATTTTCTTCTCCAGTTTACATTTCTGATGCTGATAAATTCCTATACAGATGACCTTAAAGGCCAGTTGCTGGAAATGGGTGTTTGTGAGGTCCTTATTCCGTTAACGAGCTCTCCCAGCTCGGAAGTTCAAGGCAACAGCGCTGCGGCGCTAGGCAATCTGTCATCGAAAGGTGAGCCAAGCACAGGGCAGACTGCGCTGGCAAAAATCTAATGGCTCTGCAGATGGTCGCAACTCGGCCGACGACTACTCTGCCTTCAACGATGTGTGGGACAAACCGGAAGGAGGAATGCACCGATACTTGTACCGCTTCTTGACGAGTACTGACGCAACCTTCCAACACATCGCTGTCTGGACCATCGTGCAACTCTTGGAGTCTGGAGGTTCGTCAACTCTGTTTTAGTTGCCCGTGTTGTTGCTAACTCGATGCAGACTCCGTTCTGGTCAACAATATTCGGTCTTCACAGCTGCTGATGCCCAACATCCGAACTCTCGCTAGCTCCCGGACCTCTTCGCACAATTCGTCCGTTGGAACACCCACTTCTCATCGTTCACAAAGCCAGTCCTATCAAGATACGGAAACTGGTGAGGGTCAGGGTGAAATCCAGCAACTCGGTCGTCGTATTCTCGAGATTTTGGAGGGTGATGATGTAGTTTCCGGGAGCCTGCAGGCAGGGTCACATATGCCTAGGTCGTCGGTGGACAGTGATCATGAGGAGTTGCGCCGTAGCGTGAGGGAGGCGTTCTCCACAGACTCTCACCGGTAAGCCGGTCACGTGTTCGGGATCAGTTTCTTCTCCTCTTGGTGTACCGAACGATCTATCTAATCAACCCTTTTTGTCTTCCTGTATCATACCGTACCATACCTGCTTGCATTCCCCGCTCGTTTATTTATCACTTTTGATTATTGTGAGCTAGACTGTAAACATGATTTTCACCCAATCACTTGCTCGTGGTCACGGGTTGGTTGCCAAAATAATCTCGGCACGCAAACAATGCGAGGCGTAAAGATGCCACTCGGCATTCCTTCTGCTCTTTCCTTCTCCCACCACGACACGCTACCAGCTATAGACGCACGCGCTCCTATATACCTCTAGACGAGGGCAAGACCCCTTCACGATTTGATTGACGACCTGACGACCGATGCGACCCACTTCCATTCTCTTTCTTGCGCTTGCTACACAAGGAACTTCGGCCACTGTCTTCAAGCGGGCATCGACGTTTGCTGCTCGACACACCAAGTCCCTCGCCCGAGACCTCCGAGTGGCTTTTGGCGGAATACTTCCGCGGGATTCAGCGTCAAACGCTCAACATGTTATCTACTGCAAGAATTCGCCGCCATCGGGCGTGTTGGGCTCTGGCTCGAATTCAGACTCAGGTGTTGGGTCTGGCTCTAGCTTGTCGTCCGGTGTTCGATCCGGACCAGCCAGCACCACAAAGAAGGGAAGCACACCAACTGGCTCCGCGAAAGGTCCGAGTGCTACCTCACCGTGGCAATTGACCCAGTCCTACGTGTGTTCTATTCTTATTTCTCTCGCGATAGTCGCTAAATTTGTTCAGGCCGGCTCCAACTTCTTCGACGGATGGGACTTTTGGGACACAGACGACCCAACGCATGGCACGGTGCAATACGTTAGTCGGGCAGATGGGGTGCGTGTTACTCTTGTGTCTCCTTCCTTGGCTAAGAGTTTTCATAGCAAAGTGCTGGGCTGATAGAGATAAACTCGGCGGGGAACGCTGTTATGCGTGTTGACACAACTCCTTCTATTTCGGGAAACCGAAAGAGCATCCGGATAACAACACAAAAAGAGTTCACCGGTGGGCTTATTATTCTCGACGCGTTCCATGCGCCAACTGGTTGCGGTACTTGGCCGTAAGTCCGTCGATTCTCCACGTGAGCATCAACTCAATTTCCGACAGAGCATTTTGGTCGAATGGCCCAAATTGGCCAGTTGGAGGTAGAGCTCAGTGTCCAACAAAGTAATGACGCTTACCTCGCTCGTCAGGGGAGATCGACATAGTGGAAGGAGTTTCGGATTACACAAATAACCAGGCTACGATTCATACAGCGCCTGGTTGTGCTTTAACGACCGACAATCCTGCTAAATTGAACGCAAGCGCATCAGCGGTCACTGGGGGAACTGATTGCGCGGCAGCCACGTCTGGAAACGCTGGATGTGGGATGCGTTCGGCGGATAACAAGTCCTTTGGACCAGGTTTCAACAGCAATGGCGGTGGTGTTTATGCTAGTGAGTTGAACACATTGCAAGAAGGATGAGGCTGACTAGATTTAGTGCTGTGGCAATCTAGCGGAATCTCGGTTTTCTTTTTCGAGAGGGGGGATATTCCCGACCATATCGACGCAGGAGCTCCCCAACCTGATAAGTGGGGCCTTCCTATGGCTCATTGGCCTGCAGCAGTTTGTGACCCATGGAAGTACTTCTACAAGCATGTTGCCATCATCAACACCAGGTAGGAGGCAGTCAAATTAACTGTCGTGTCATTCACATTCGTCAGTTTGTGTGGCGATTGGGCTGGCAGTGCATGGACCAGCAGTGGTATTCCCGGTCAAGAACAAAGCTGCGCGCAACGAACGGGCTTCTCCACGTGCTCTGAATTTGTTCAGAAAAATGGAGGCTCCTTTGCGCAAGCTTGTGAGTTGATTGCACTTGGTTTGTGTGCCTCGCTGACTCTCGCTAGATTGGGAGATTAAGAGCGTCAAGTTTTACAACACAACTGCCCCGCTCTAGTGTGTTGGTTGAACAGGGTAATATATAGACGAAATCGGGATTAATAGTTGTATTCGCTGGATTTGCTATTGCTGTATCTTTAATCATGGTCACTTAACGGTTCTACATAAAGAAGGGAGAACGGCTTTGTTAGCCGGGGTGAGTCAGCGTCGGGCTTAGTCACGGTAACGCTGTGACCTGAACGCGTGTTGCGTCTAGCACTTTCTACAATGTACGCGCGGCCTGTGCTGGACGCGCGTATGCGCCTTATAAAGGCTGGAACGAAAGGAACTCCATTACACCCACTCACACTTTACAAACAACAATGTTCTCCCCGTCTTACTCTTACCGCTCCACTCCCCGCGACAAATACCTTGCCGCCATTGCCCAGGCGCAGGCTGCTGAAGCTGAATATCTTGCAGCCGAGCGTCTTCAACAAGAGGAAGACATGCTTCGCCACCGACTTGAGCAGATTCAGTCGATGAAACAACCTCGCTATGACGACTTTGCTCGTGCTCCTCTCTATCCTCGCTACAACCAACAGCCCGCTTTCGATATCGAAGCTCTCCGTCAACAAATCGCTGCAGAAGAGCGTCAACGAATTCTTCGTGAACAAGAGGAGGAGGCCAAGGTCCGCAAAGCGCGTGCTTTGGCGGTCGAGCGTCAGCGTGCTCTTGCTTTAGAGGAAGCGAAACTGGCAGCAGTCGTCCAACGATCATCGAGACCGACTGTGCGTTATTTTACCTCTCCAGCTTTCATTTCTGACCTTCTCATCCATAGTATGTTGACTTAAACGATCTGATTCATGGGTTGTCTACTCCGCCGTCCGCCAGACCCAGAGCATCCAAACCCAGGGTCGCCCTCTTCGCTCCTGAAGTCGAATCAGAGTCGACTCCCATCGGCTTGGAGGACGTTCTGGCCACCATATTCGGTGTCAAGAAACAGCCAGCCCCGCCAAAGAAAGAGGCCGCAGTTGGCCTTGAACAGCTTTTGCACCACCTTGTTAACACTCAAGGCGCTGGGAACGCTGCTCAAGTCGATGTCTCGCAGCTATTCCAACAATTCATTGGTGGTCAGCAACCCCAACAACAGGCTGAGGTGAGTTCTGTTCCCCCTGAAAATATCCAGCCAAACTTATCGATATCAAGTCTTCTCAGCAACAACCGCAAGTCCCCACGGTTGAACCGAAGAAGAAAGAGGCAGCCCCTTGCCCTGCTCCGGCGCCCACCCCAGCCCATGGCGGACTTGAGCAGCTTTTCAACCAGTTTGCTGGTGGTCATTGTGCACCGAATCATGGCCAGGTCGACCTCTCCCAACTCTTGAATATGTTTATGGGTGGTCAGCAGCCCCAACAGCCTCAGGCTGAGGTGCGTCATCTTCCTTTTTCTACATTCGTCCATCTAATGTGGACCCAGTCCTCGAAATCTGCTGAAAGCCAGTTGAAGGCTGACTTGGAAGCACGCCTGTCTAGTGAACAATCGAAAGAGGACCAAGATCTCGCTGAAGCGATTCGGATGTCGCTCGCCGATCTTGACGCTGCCAACTCAACTACCACCGATTCCAAGGGCAAATCACCCGCTCCCGCCCCCGTCAACGACGCTTCTAGCTCTGCCGCCGAAATCAAAGCGATAGAGGGCTCTTTTACGGCTCTTTCCAACGAATGGGTTTTCCCCGACCAACTCGATTTTTCGACCTCTCGCACTAGCTCGCCTGTCCGTGGCGGCGCTGAGTCGGAATCAGTCCTCTCGAAGCTGACATATAGTGCGCACAATCAACCGGTGCGGTACTACCATCAGGCGTTGAGCAAGCTTCTTGCGCGTCTCGATGCAGTGGACAGCTTTGGTGACGAAGAGGTTCGGCACGCTCGCAAGGAGGTGGTCGGGAAGGTCGAGGGAGCCTTGGACGAGGTGGAGAGCATTGTTGAATCTCGCTGGCGCAAGTCTGTTGGTCGCGCGCCACGAACTTCACCCGCTCCTGTTACGGAAGACGTTGCGAGCGAGACAACTACTACATCTCCCTTCCAACCTGCTTCAGTTTCTCTCGATACCCCATCCACTCCCGCCCAAAGCGCTCCTTCACCTTCATCGCATCCCGACGAGTCAACTGAGACTATTCGCCCCTACGGAGTCGAGTCCCCTTCACCTGCAATCGACACATTCTTACTCCCAGCTCAATCTGAGGAGCAGAAACCACAGCGAAGAAATGACGAGGAAGTGGGGAGTGATTGGTCGGAATTGGATGCTTGATGAATTGCCCGAGCACATATACTTATCGTTCATTAATTGTCTGTAACACTCTCACTACAATGCATTCCTCTGATTTTTTGCTGACTAATAGTAATGATGAAACTAATCAGGCGTGACCCACTTGAACCGAAGCTTAGCCCTGAGCGCTCGCCGCTGAGCCTCGATCTCTTCCGCAATGACGCAACTTAGAGATCAGAGGACAAGTCCTGGACAATACAACGGAGATACTCTGCGCATAGTCTTAGACTCTACCCGACCCGCTGTTTCGCGGAGATATGCAGTGTTGGGGGTATATAACCTCGTGCCTTACCCATCGACCAACCACTCCGATTCCACTTTCCGGAGACTCAGCAGCTCTTTTACGACCCTTGACGAATCACGACCAACGAAATGTATGCGATTAATCTGAAAACCGCTGGACTAGCGGTATTCCTTGCATCGACGAGTTTCCAATCGGTAGCTGCTGTCCCGAAGTGCGTTGCTGCCTTTGTTTCTCCTTGAATAGGTGTCTCAACATTTCTTCCAGTTTCAGGGCTAGAGACCTCTTTTCGCGTCAAAACTGCCCAGCTGGCAGTTACTTCAACTCTACCATCACTGCTGGGGGATCGTGCACTTCTTGCGAGCCAGGCAATTTCTGCAACGGAAATGGTAAAAGCCAGTGCAACAGTGGGACATTCCAGCCCGCTGCTGGCCAAACTTCCTGTATCCCCGCCTCTGCTGGAAGCTATGTGCCCAACAACGGGGCTTCCTCTCAGCTACCCTGCTACTTGGGCGGTTACCAGCCACGTAAATACATCCTTTCCTTGTCCTGAACTATAATAACCCAACTTGTCAGGTCCTGGTCAAAACTTCTGCTATGGCGCACCTTCGGGACGCTTCGCAGGCCAGACTGGAATGAGGGGAGTCTGTGGTGCCTGCTGTGGCTGGACGACGACGCAAACGAACAATAATGCGTTCGTTGTTCAGTGTGGTGGCTCCACTCCCTTCTCTGGACGTGCCTCTGGCTCGGGCTGTGTCTCTACTCGCCAGGGTTGTGACCCTGTTGCAACCTGCCAGCAAGCAGCTAACGGAGCGTGTCGTGCGTTTTTTCTCTCTTATTTTTCTTGTGTCGATCTCATTGGTCCCTCGCAGCCGATTTGTCATTTGAATTCGTTGAACCCCCACCACCGTTCCCCAGTTCTGCCCAGGCCCCACCCAGCTCGTCACCACCACCAGTTCCATCTAGCTCCTCGCTGCCAGCGCCACCCAGCTCCTCGCTACCTGCGCAATCCAGTTCGTCCATCACGCGGCCTACCGGATTCCTGCCTCCCTCCTCCCCTCCTCGTCCAGCATTGCGCCGTCTGGTTCGGTTTCCCCGTCCGGTTCGGTTTCTCCTTCTGGCTCAGTTAGCCCGTCTGGTTCGGTTGCACCATCCAGTTCTGTTGTCCCCTCTGGCTCCATTTCTCCTTCGGTCAGCGGCTCCATTTCGGTGTCACCCTCCGTCTCGGTCTCGCCATCTGTCTCGGTTTCCCCCTCTGTATCGGCCTCTGTCTCTGTCTCCCCCTCGGCCTCTGGCTCGATTTCCCTTTCGATTTCGCCTTCGATTTCTTTGCCCTCGATATCGTTGCCATCACTTTCTTTGTCGGCGTCATCCAGCGGATCAGCTTCCTCCGCTTCGGCATCCTCGGCATCCATCTCGGCTTCGGCCTCGGCCTCTTCAGCATCAGCGTCGTCTGCCTCCGATTCGGCTTCTTCGGTCTCTTCATCCTCGGCCGCACCCAGCCCATCGCCTTCGCCACCCCCAACCTTCATGTATGTCGTGCCATTTATTCATTCCTGTCAATCTTTCTCATGTTTTATCAGGGTGGCAGACAACATTCAAGTATTTGACCTGACAAACACCCAAATTGGATACCTGGGCATCAGCGGAACTGGGCAAGTATTTTCAGTTCAATCAACTGACGACGCTGATCATCCTTCGCAGAGATCGGTATACTGTTGTACCTAGTCTCACCGGCGCCAGCGTATTTATGACTACCGTCACCGAAGGTGCCAACTCCGGGCTCTTGCTGCAAGATGCTGTACGTATCTTCCCTTGTCATATCTTCCTATAGCTAAAGCCGCTTCAGTTGGTGTCTCCCGCCAACCAATATCTTGCCGGTCTTCTCACTAGCCCCACCCTCGTACTTGATATCACCACCACCAACTCCGCGATTTTGGGCGATTCTGTTGCGAGTGCGTCGATTTTCTGTGTTACCTCTGGTTCCGCAAACTAACGTCCAATCAGCCAACCCCGGAGACCCACCGCAATTCGGGGGCTCTACTTCCATCCCGAACTCTGCGTATGAGTCCGCGATCTGGGCGTATGACACTGTGTCTGGGAACTTGGCCCCGACTTGGGTCAATCCTGATAACTCGCGGCCCCCAATTGCCCTCTTGTTCGACCCTGACAGCAACACCCTGTACATTACTGGCAACCCAGGCGCTGTTATTGGTAATGCACCGAATGCATCGCCAGTGGTAAGAGCTTTTGTCCTGGTTGAATCGCATATGCGCTGACACGATTATGCAGTTCTTCTTCCTGCCCTCTGGCATCTAAATGAATTTTTTTTGTCTGAGTAAGTTACTTTCGATGAGTATGGACTTTTCTGCTGGATTTGTACGATAGTGCCATGTAGACGGTTTTGTGTTGTAGGTAGGACATCAAATACACGGTTCACATTTGCGACAAACATTGAAACAATTGAACTGTAGAAGATGTTCGGTCTGTTTGGTGCCCTCAAATACTCGCTTGTGGAGCAAATGCTGCTCGTCTGCAGTACTAAACAATTATTGTCAATGGGATAGATAAGTAGCTTTTTCTGCTGCTGATTATCAGAGCAACACGATAGCCACGTGATTTCAAGTCCATAATAGCCGAGTTCCGCCAAAACTAAGCGAAGAAAGAAAGCCAAGCTTCATTTGAGCTTCATCGAAGCCCTCAAGCACATCGTGTTTATGGGTTGAATTCACACTGTCTGTGGGGTTATAAGATGGAGTTTCTTCGGCAGTGTACCCACAATCTATGAATTCCGCTTTTGCTGGTCCAATCGCGGAAGGAACCGGAACGACGAGTATCACCATCGCGCTTCCTGCTGTTGAAACCGCGAGGTTTTAGCTAACTTAGATTGATACAAACGTGCGTAGAGCCTAAAGCAGCGTCGGTGGGGAAAAAAGCTGATGATTTTGCGGATGAAGATCGTAACGCGAACTGTAACGGACCTATTCCTCACTTGTGACGACATTAAAAGTATGGGTTGGCACCCTTCCCGCTTTCTGTAACGCCCTTCCCTCCCCTCCCCTACACGATGAATGCGTTTAAAAACCACCGTGTCATCGTCGCGTCCTTGTTTCTGCCCGACACGGTTGTTATTGCCACGGATTCGCCCATTCCAACACCAGACACTACTCGGACCCCGCCATTCACCGTGCCAGATGTCCTTAAACGGGTCGAAATCGTGGCTAAGGCAGAGCCCCGTCGACTCGGAAGCAATCCACCAGCTCGGAGTATTGTGGACGACCTCGTTAATGTGAAGACGCGAAACCCCACACCAGTTGCCTCCCCTCGCCAAGAGAATATAAATCCGTTCAATGCGCGCAAATACCAGACCACCCATAGCGAAAGCCGTCTCCGTCTCAGTCGCAAACCCACCTCCCGCTCCTCCTCCCGTCGACCAGAGTCAGAACGGGGTGTACGAGATGAATGGCATGTCGAGCATAACGCCCACTGTAACGGCGGCCTCCATAACGCGGTCGTTAGCATGGGTGACAAGCTCAAGAAAAAGCTCTGGGTTGGCGCTCTCGGCACTCATACCGATTCTTTCTCCGAGCCCCTTCGTCAAGCAGTCGACCGCCGATTGCTTGTCGAATACGGGTCAGTGCCAGTCTGGATACCTGACGCTGAATTTGAGAGCGCATACGACGAGTTTTGCCACCAAGTTCTCTGGCCCAGCCTCCATTACGCCATTCCAGACGCGCCCAAGACAAAAATGTTCTACGAGTCCGCGTCGTTCAAGCAATACGTCGCTGTCAATCAACGTTTCGCCGACGTCATTGCAGCCAACTACCAAGACGGTGACATCAGTGCGTTTTTCTTCTCCTCCTCTTTTCCTAGTCTCATGGCCAATTATCAGTATGGGTCAACGACTATCACCTTATGCTCCTTCCCGCAATGCTCCGCGCATCACCAAAAATTCCCTCTCATGCTCCCGTCGGCTTTTTTCATGCATGTCGCCTTCCCATCCTCAGAGATATTCCGTTGTCTTTCGGTTCGGCGCCAGCTCCTTAGTGGGTTACTCGCTGCGGATCTAGTTGGCTTCCAAACCGCCAACTATGCTCGCCATTTCCGGCAAACCGTCAGCCGGATCATGTCCTATGAGGCGTTGCCACGGGGAATTCAGCTGGTCGAAGGCCAAGGAGAAAATCGCCGGTCGCGTTTCGTCGATGTTGGTGTCTTCCCGATGGGAATTGATGTGCAGCAGTTGCAGGAAAAGAGGTACATCCCTTTCATTTTATCAGCCGCGTTATCCTTATATATACAGACGCGACCCAGATGTTGCCGAATGGGTTCAAGTCCTCAAACAGCGCTATGCTGGAATGAAAATCGTTGTTGGCCGAGACAAGCTTGACGAAATTCAAGGCGTGCGCCACAAACTGTTGGCTTTCCAAGCTTTCCTCGAAAAGTACCCCGAATTCCAGAACAAGATCGTTCTCATCCAAGTCGCGCTCCAAACGACTTTGACCGACTTGGCGGGGAACATTGCCGATATTGTCACTCATATCAACTCACGGTTCTCAACGCTTACTTGGCAGCCTGTCGTCTTTCTTCCGACCCAGGATCTGACTTTCAGTCAGTATCTTGCGCTGCTCACTGTTGCGGATGCATTCCTCGTGACTAGTTTGCGGGAGGGCATGGCTCTTCGAACCCACGAGTTTGTAGAGTGCCAAGAAGGCCGCCATCGACCACTGATCCTGAGTGAGTTCACTGGCTCTTACAGCTACAGTGGATTCCGCTCCTGCATCGCCATCAACCCTTGGGATACTCGCGGGACTGCTGAAGCTATTCACCAAGCCCTTACCATGAGTGACGATGAGGCGCTCTCGCGATGGGAGGACCTACACAGTCATGTGACGACGCAGACTGGACAGGCGTTTGTGACAACCTTCCTGTCTCGATGCCTCCGGGCCCATACGGAGCAGCATCTACAGACCCAACAAGCGGCGCCAACGCTCGATATGAGTAGTGTTCTACCCCGTTACAAGCACTCTGCGAAACGTTTACTGCTTCTCGATTTCGAAGGCACCCTCTGGACTCGGCCCAAGCCAGGTGTCCCGCCCGAAACACCGGATGCAGGGCTCGAGCGCGCCATTGACCTCCTCCGAAAATTTGCAGCGGATCGACGGAACAATGTGTGGTTATTGAGCGGGCTTCCTATTACAGGGGTCCTAAGCCGGATCGCAAAGGAGGTTCCTCTTATCGGCATTGTAGCTGAGAATGGCTGCTTCATCCGCCCCAGGACGCCAATGTCCCGTTCTTCGTCCGGCTATGGTGTCAATGGCCACGGCATGCGTCGTTCGGGGTCAGATTTGATACCTGTAAACACGGCAGCGTCTGTGCCTGGAGGGTGGATCAGCATGGTTGCGAACTTCAATCTTACTTGGAAGAGTGCTTGCGCTGAGATATTGAACTACGTATGTCACGTCCTCTTTTTGAGAGAAACTTTACTCACTTTCAGTTTAGTTCACGGAGCGAACACCCGGGTCTTTCGTGGAGGAACGCGATGCTTCTATCGTCTGGCGCTTCTGGACCGGGGAAACTATGAAGGACTGTGGTGACCGCCATTGGGCTTTGCGTCAAGCAGCGGAGGCGCAAAACCACATCTTCGACAGGTAACAAAATGATTCTTTCTATCATTTCTCTGGATATTGACCATCTATCTACTAGTCTGGGTGAACGATACGGACTGCGTATCATTCCTGGCGATAATAGCTTCTTGGTGCTCCCCAACAATGTCTCCCGATCAACTGCTGTCGGCGCCATCTTACATCCTGGCGGACCTGCTGCCACAGCCTTGCAACGCGGAGGGTGGATGTCCCCCAGCGCCGATGATGACGGTATCGCCAACGGTGACCTCGATCTCGTGCTCGCCGTCACAGGCGATGAAAAGCTTATTCGTCGCTTGAACGAGTTTGAGACGGCAGAGACGGTTGCCACGGGCGGCAAAGCCACTGACGCGCGGTGGAAGCTCGAAAATGGAAAATTGGTGGAGGCACTGACCGTGTTTGCGAGCGTTGCGACTTGACGACCCCCTCACATTTTCTTCTTCTTTCCCTTTCTCTGTACATGCGGCAGCGACTTCTTTTCCAGCTATCGTTATTCCGATTTCTCTTTGCCAGCGGTGACGAGGGGGCCGCCTTGAAATGAACATAAGTATAGTATAGTATGATTTATAAGCTTGTAATACTAGATGTGAACCCAACTCTGTACCTTATTCTCCTGGAAAGACCGACAACTGGGGTGTTGGAGAAGGTATATGTGACTTTGGTCTGAGTCAGCTTTGTGGCGAATAGTATGGACAACAATAGGAGATGAGAGACTCTCAGAGAGACTGCTACTGGCTGGCTGGAGAGATGTGTTGAACTGGTGATATGTTGGCTGTCACACGGTTCAATCTCGGGTGATATCAACAGCCCGACCTGGTCTCTGCAACACCGAGTGAGTGCGCTTAGCTAGCACGCTGACCGAATGGCGCCGGCTTACTCAGGTATTCGCAGCGCGCGTAGCTATGGGCGGTCACTGGGCGAGGCGTACCCTGATGCCTTCCGCGACAAACCACTGGCTAAATCAAGGCTAAAGGGCAACTGGTGATATGTTGGCTGTCACACACTGGCAGTTCAATCTCGGGTAGCCCGACTGGTCTCTGCAACACCGAGTGAGTGCGCTTAGCTAGCACGCTGACCGAATGGCGCCGGCTTACCCAGGTACTCGCAGCGCGCGTAGCTATGGGTGGTCACTGGGCGAGGCGTACCCTGATACCTTACGCGACAAAAATCAAGGCTAAATGGACAACAGGCTTGATAATCTCCCTCATCTGAATCAGCACATCAACAGGGGGATAGTCTTTATTTGGAAGGTACTCCCCCTATGTGATGAAAACGCGAGAAATTATAAAGAATGGAATGCGCTCCGCTGATCTGGGAACTATCGCTTCTATCCTTTTCCAGCATCATGTCCTACACCTCTTTCGCTCTCGTTGGCGCCGGCACCGTTGGCTATGGCATCGTCGCTGGCCTCGCAGCGAAGAATGTACCAATAGTTGTGCTCTCTCGCCCGGGATCCAAGAATCTAGAAGAACTTCCAGCAGGCGCAAAGTCTGAAGTCGTAGACACCACTGATACTGACGCGGTTGCGGCGATATTCAAGAAGCACAAGGTCGATGTCGTTCTCGCAACATTGACAACTACAGCAAACAAGGCGCAATACCCCCTCATCGACGCAGCCAAGGCGGCTGGCGTGAAGCTATTTGTGCCCTCTGAGTATGGGATGCCGACCGAGGGCCAGACAGAGGGCATTCTTGGTGAAAAGAATGATGTCGCGGCGTATGCGAAGAAGAGCGGGATTCCCTCTCTCCGAGTCTTCGTATGTCCTGCCAATATTATTTCCCTCACTCACCGCCAATAACAGGCTGGCGGTTTCGTCGAGTACATCCCCTGGCTGTTTACCTACACCGAGAACAAGAAGATCAACGTTGTCGGGGAAGGCGACGTCGCAGCAAGCTACAACGCCGTTGCCGATGTCATCGGTAATTATATGTCCTATCTTGCGCGACTCTGACGCGAATTGACCAGGCTTTGTCGTGCATGTTCTCACCACGCTGCCTCCGGCAGAGCTGGAGGACAAGATCTTCCGCATCGAGGGTGACCGGAAGAGACCAAGCGAGATTGCGGCCTTGCTCAACACGACCATTGAGCGGGTCGATAAAATGCCTGGTGAGCTCAGCGAGCTCAGGACGGGCCTCTCAATAGCCTTTTCATCTGGCGCTGGAAGCACGGGTTGGGATGCAGTGAACAAGACAGAGGGGACGGGAGATGCCGCAGCGGGAAGCGCCAATAAACTTTGGCCAGGGCACAGCTGGCAGACAATCAAGCAAGTCCATAATCTGTGAAAAAATGCAGTTGAATAAGTACAAGAAATACAATCCAGTCTACTCATCCATCTCGTCGTCTGACTCCTCAGCATCGCCAGAGTTATCAGGTAATGGTTGACCTTCAATCTGGACGACGTCGCCGGTCGCAGCCTCCCACCTGCATGTGAGCGACACCCTGAAGGTGACCATTTTTTCGCCGATGAGTTTCAGCAGCTGGGCTTGCTCACTCGTGAGCTTCAGAATCAGCTTCTTGCCCTTTTCGCATAGCGTGTGGGCTTGTTCATATACTTATGTTGATAGCCCCAGTTTCCGCAGCTGAGGCTCTTCGTTATGGGGGAAGGGTTCTGGGGGATCGGAGTATGTTTGCATGACGGGGCCGGCGGGTAAAACGACTGTTTTCACAGCGACATTCCCGGCACGCGCAAAGTCAGGTTGCTGGAAGTCGGCAAACCACTCAATGACCTCGTCTGGCTTGGAGTCTGTGAAGAAAAGGCCCACTTGGCCTTGTATTTGCTAAAATAAAACTAAGTATCAGTTGAGGTAAGCAAAAATAATATGCAGACGCACTTTCGCGAGCTTGCTGATGCCCATGCGATGCTCCTCTTCTGGCGTGGCCCCGAGAGCTTTAGCCATTACCGCACTCCGACCAAAGAATATCTTTGGAATCCTCCGGGTGAAGAGATGTGCAAATGGTGGCCGCCACGTAGTTTAATTTTTCGCTCCGGGTGATATCAAGCCAGCTCGACCTGGTCTCTGTGGCAACAACGAGTGCGCTTAGCGAGCACGCTGACCGAGCGGCGCTGGCTTACTCAGGCACGTAGCTATGGGCGGTCACTGGGCGAGGCGTACCCCGATGCCTTACGCGACAAACCACCGGCTAAATCAAGGCTAAATGGACAACAGGCTTGATAATCTCCCTCATCTGAATCAGCACATCAACAGGGGGATAGTCTTTATTTGGAAGGTACTCCCCCTATGTGATGAAAACGCGAGAAATTATAAAGAATGGAATGCGCTCCGCTGATCTGGGAACTATAGCTTCTATCCTTTTCCAGCATCATGTCATACACCTCTTTCGCTCTCGTTGGCGCCGGCACTGTTGGCTCTGGCATCGTCGCTGGTCTCGCAGCGAAGAATGTACCAATAGTTGTGCTCTCTCGCCCGGGATCCAAGAATCCAGAGAAGCTTCCAGCAGGCGCAAAGTCTGAAGTCGTCGATACCGCCGATGTTGACGCAGTTGTGGCGGTATTCAAGAAGCACAAGGTCGATGTCGTTCTCGCGACATTGACAACTACGGCAAACAAGGCGCAATACCCCCTCATCGACGCAGCCAAGGCGGCTGGTGTGAAGCTATTTGTGCCCTCTGAGTATGGGATGCCGACAGAGGGCGAGACAGAGGGCCTTCTTGGTGAGAAGAATGATGTCGCGGCATATGTGAAGAAGAGCGGGATTCCCTCTCTCCGAGTCTTTGTATGTCTTGCCAATGTTATTTTTCCTCACTCACCGTCAATAACAGGTTGGCGGTTTCGTCGAGTACATCCCCTGGCTGTTTACCTACACCGAGAACAAGAAGATCAGCGTTGTCGGGGAAGGCGACGTTGCAGCAAGCTACACCGCCGTTCCTGATATCACCGGTAATTATATGTCCCATTCCACCATCTTGCGCGACTCTGACACGAATTGACTAGGCTTTGTCGTGCATGTTCTCACCACGCTGCCTCCGGCCGAGTTGGAGGACAAGATCTTGCGGATCGAGGGTGACCGGAAGAGAGCAAGCGAGATTGCGGCCTTGTTCAACACGACCATTGAGCGGGTCGATAAAATGCCCGGTGAGCTCAGCGAGCTCAAAACGGGCCTCTCAATAGCCTTTCAATCTGGCGCTGGAAGCACGGGTTGGGATGCAGTGAGCAAGACAGAGGGAACGGGAGATGCCGCAGCGGGAAGCGCCAACAAACTTTGGCCAGGCCACAGCTGGCAGACGATCAAGCAAGTCCATAATCTGTGATATGCAGTTGAATAAGTACAAGAGATACAATCCAGTCTACTCATCCATCTCGTCATCGTCTGACACCTCAGCTTCGCCAGAATTATCAGGTAATGGTTGACCTTCAATCTGGACGACGTCGCCAGTCGCAGCCTCCCACCTGCATGTGAGCGACACCCTGAAGGTGACCATTTTTTCGCCGATGAGTTTCAGCAGCTGGGCTTGCTCACTCGTGAGCTTCTTGCCCTTTTCGCATAGCGTGTGGGGGTTGTGGAGGGAGGGCACACCCTTGTTCATATATGTTGATAGCCCCAGTTTCCGCAATTGGGGCTCTTCGTTATGGGGGAAGGGTTCTGGGGGATCGGAGTATGTTCGCATGACGGGGCCGGCGGGTAAAACGACTGTTTTCACAGCGACATTCCCGGCACGCGCAAAGTCAGGTTGCTGGAAGTCGGCAAACCACTCAATGACCTCGTCTGGCTCGGAGTCTGTGAAGAAAAGGCCCACTTGGCCTTGTATTTGCTAAAATAAAACTAAGTATCAGTTGAGGTAAGCAAAAATAATGTGCAGACGCACTTTCGCGAGCTTGCTGATGCCCATGCGATGCTCCTCTTCTGGCGTGGCCCCGAGAGCTTTAGCCATTACCGCACTCCGACCAAAGAATATCCGCGCAGTACTGCAGATGCTAAGGAGTTGTTGGAGGTCGGCGATGGATGAACATACTCTTTCCATAGCTTGCGGACAGTTTTGAGATGTGTATTGCGCATAGACCCAACTTGGAATAGCCAGCAGTACTTCCATTTTTCAGAGTTTTCTTGGAGCTAGAACGTGTTAGACGGGGAAAGAAATGCATGCTGTTTACGCACTTCCTTCATCAAAGCCCCCTTGTGCTCCTTCGTTTTTTTTCTCGACCTTTGTCAGGGAGACTAGGGGCGTTAAGCGACGTCGAATAGCATTGTAACGACGAGGATACCAAGTTTTGAGCGTTTCGATCGGGGCATGGTGGTCAAGTGCGAACAAAAAAAATAAGATCACGTCGCTTATGGCCTTCCAGATCACCGACTCTGACTTGACCGCACTCGAAGAGTCGCTCTTGAACAAGAACGGCGATGTCCTCCTGCACAACCGATTTCGCGCGCTGTTTACTCTCAAATCGCTCAAGTCAGACGATGCTGTTCGGGTGATCTCAGCTGGTTTGTCGCGCCAACGAAAAGATGGATATATAACCAAGCTTCACCAGGATTTGACGACCCTTCTGCGCTGCTCAAGCATGAGCTAGCTTACTGTCTTGGACAGATGAAGCGACCCTCTGCCTTACCGACGCTCGAGCGGGTGCTTCGAGACACATCTGAGGACCCGATGGTGCGACATGAGGTACGAATACTTTGTTTAGCCTGTTATTCCTGCTTATCTGGGTGAGCTTCCAGGCTGCAGAAGCAATGGGGGCCATCTCAGCGTCGACTTCGCTTCCGATCTTGAAAGAATTTCTTGACGATGAAAATCGCTCTGTGCGAGAGACCTGCGAGATCGCAATTGCCAAAATCGAATGGGATGGCTCTGCAGAGGGCAAACAACATTCAGAAACAATATCAGACGAGGAACATATCCCGTGCGCCGTTTTCCCCCTCTTTTGTTGTTGCTCCTCAACTGACCGTTTTATTGTGTAGTCTCTACACCTCCATTGACCCTGCTCCACCATCTTCGGGGCTCTTGGTGGGAGCGCCAAAGCCTGAGGCTGTCTCTGACGAAAACATCGCCGTTCTAAAACAAAAATTACTAGACACTCAACTTCCCCTCTTTGAGCGATATCGGGCAATGTTTGGTCTGCGAAACATCGGAACGCCTACTGCTGTCGAGGCGCTTGCATCTGGTTTCTCTGATGATAGCGCCCTTTTCAAGTAAGCTGCCCCCGTTGTCCTTATCAGATTGGCGATCAACCGAATCCAGACACGAGATCGCATTCGTATTCGGGCAGCTTCTCTCCACACACTCCGTCCCCGCGCTTCTCCGCGTCCTCCAGAATTCGGGGGAATCGGACATGGTGCGTCACGAGGCAGCAGAGGCCCTCGGTGGTATTGGGACTCCAGAGGTTCTGCCATATCTGAAGGAATGGATGGCGCGGGACGATGCACCGCTGGTAGTGCGGCAAAGCTGTCAAGTCGCGATTGATATGTGGGAGGTGCGTTGCTGGTGAATCTTTTACGCGGCTCGCGCTAACCTACTGACGAAAGCATGAAAACTCCGGGGAGTTCCAGTATGCGAACGGCTTGGTCGGGAGTGTCGGCGCTTGATTTACAGTTCATCTTCTTGTTTTTCGTATAGCCTAGCTCATTCACACAGACTTGCAAGACTTGCGAGGCCCATACAACTCACATCTTCCTGAAGTTGACCAACAATTTCGACACCATTGTGCCATCATCAGGTTCGCGATTCCATCCAGCCTGGCAGTTTCTTGGCCTCGTTGCGGAAGCCCGAGCCCGTCTCACCACTTTATCGTTATGTAACATGGGGATCAACCTTTGTCCTTCTCGGACCAGGCCGATGCTATCTGAGCCACCACCCGATGCAGGGGTAGAGCAGCTCGCGGCGCTAGTCACTTGGTCGCCCCATCGCATGGTTGAGATGGTTTCGTAATAGGCGGGACATCTAATCAAGCGTTGGCAATGGCGGCAGACTCGGTGGAAGTAACAATTGTGAAGTTCGGCAAGGGCAAGGATCGCATTATCATGATCCCAGCAAGCAGCCAGACTGGGGAAGATTGGGGAATAACCTTACCCCAGGTACCTGTGCAACTCTGGGGCCGCATCAATGTGTGTGTGTTTTACCAAGTAGTTTACTTGGTTGGAAGCAACTCGCTTGTGAGTCATGATTTTTGCTCCGAACGGAAGAGTGTTGACTGATCTATGATGCGACGATTGCGAGGAACGGGCTCATGGAGCGACGAAGCGATATGTTCAAACGGTACTTTTTCGAATTTTTTCAAGTTTTTGTGTCTTGTGCTCGACGAAACACTCGATAAAATCAAAATGCGAACCTGAGGAGATTCGAGGGATCGACATGCGTGTAAGCCGACAAAGATGTTTGGAAGGTCATGCACCCGTGACCGCCCTCGTAACCGAGTATGACTAACACGACCCTGTGCTGAATATAGATTCTCGGCTACGCAGCGCGTAAACAGCGAAACACGCTTGCTGGACGGCAAACTCCACCCCTGGCCCGATGGTTTAAATACTTGAGGGCACCAGCTTCGATTTTCCGGTGGAATGAAGATGCTGCTATCCTCTTCTCTTCTCGCCGCTGCGCTCGCCTCTGTCTGCTATGCGACGGCACCAGTCGTCATTTCAACGACTTCTGGACGATACCAGGGCGTTTCCGATGGCGGAGGTCAGTCGGAAACTTGCACACCTCAAAAACGCTAATTTTTTTTAGTGATCTCCTTCAAGGGAATTGTAAGTGACGCGTTTTTGTAGGTCTCACTCGTTCACCTTCCACTCCAGCGCTTCGGGAAACCTCCAACTGGAGACCTTCGTTGGACCGCTCCAGTTGCAGCCAAGTCAACGTCAAACCACATCCAGGATGCGTCCACGTTCCCGCCTTCCTGCGTGCAACAGTTCTCCTACGCTAGAGCCGCAATGAATATCAGGCTCTTCAACAACCCAGAGAATCCGCCGAAGGAATCAGAGGACTGCTTATTCCTGTGAGAGGCCTTTTCGCTCGTGCCATACAGAAGACCAATGGCGTTGCAGTAATATCTGGGCGCCATCACGGCGAGGAAAGAAGCTCCCTGTTGTCATGTGGATCTATGGAGGGTGTGTTCACTATTGTCTCTGGGCTTCCGCTCACTCACCATGAATGCAGGTCTCTATCTTTTGGGACCGGGTCGATTCCGGGATACGACGGCACGTCGATTGCTGCGAATCAAGACATTATCGTCGTGTCTTTCAACTATCGGACTAACGTTTTTGGCTTCCCGGGCTCGCCTGATCTGCCTCTTACTGGCAACAATCTAGGCTATCTAGATCAAGGTAAGGAATTGGAGACGCAGAACGCTCTTTTTTACTCACATTGGTCTTGAAGAACTCGCGATGCAGTGGGTGCAATCCAACATTGCCGCCTTCGGAGGAGATCCTCGTAAGGTTACTATCATGGTGTGTTGTGTCTACCACATAAGATTGAGCGAATATTGAACAACCATAGGGCGAATCTGCTGGGGCCTTGTCGGTAAGCACGTCTATTATCCGACATGCACCGGGCAAGGCTCCCTTCCGTGCTGGAATTTCGCTTTCTGGAGCCCAAGCATCGATGTCTCCTACTCCATCATTCGATTCGTTCAATGCATTTGCCTCTGCGGTTGGATGCGGCACAACACCCGGAGCAGCACGCCTCGCCTGCCTGAAGAAAGTTCCAACCGCAACGGTTCGAAACTATACAAACAGCGAAGCTGGAGCAGCATTGTTCAGGCCAACAGTCGACAAGTGTGTTTTTTCCTCATATCAAGTCTTCCTTTGATCCTAATTCATCCCAGCGTTGTCACCTTCTCCGATCCCCTGCAGCGTATCCGCACTGGGAAGACCGCCAACGTTCCCGTTCTCCTTGGCCACATGCAGGACGACGGGACACTCTTCACTATCAACCAGACCAATCTCGACACATATATCGAGGCGAATTACGGCACCACGATCACAGCAGACCAAGTTCGCAAACTGTATCCGGGGCTGACTGACGCTCAAATCATTCCGGCGACTTATAGGGATCGTGTATTCCTTTGGCAAGTGTCTAGTTGGCGGCGACACGAAAGTACTGCTAACCTCACCATCAGTTCTCCTCACCTCTGGGGTGCTGCGTTAGCGACCGCAGGTGTATCGAACGTATACCGGTATTCCTATGGTATGTTGAAGTTATCTCCAACCCCACCACTGAGGCTGATTATTCAATAGGCGCCGTTTTCCCATATGGCCAACCCTTCGATAATGCTGGGGCATGGCACTCTTCCGAGGGTGGGTGTAAAACATCGCTGTTCTTTGGTTGTTCTGACTTCACACAACAGTCCGCGTAATTTTTGGCACCTACAACCGCACAACGGCCACCCCAACCGAAGTGACGCTATCGAAGACGATGCAGACCGTCATTGCCAACTTTGTCAAGGATCCCTTCACTTCGCCCGCGCCACGGTGGGGCAAGTACGATGCCGGTAAAAAGACGTCGATCCTGGCCAAATTGGCGTACGACGGCAAAGTACGGCTCTCCAATGTAGTCGACGCTGTACGAGGCGATTCCCTCGTGAGTGGATTGTTCTCTTTCAGGCCTGCTACTGACATGGACACGCACTCCAGGACGGCCCGTGTACTTTGTGGGATCAGTTCTTGGATGTGAGAATTTAAACGAGCATGAATGTAGTAGTACAAAAAGAAAGATTTCTTCCCATTGAATGAATGAAGTTGTACGTGGCGGGCGAGGAGTGTAATGCTACTAGTAGATTTATTTCTGGTCTGGTAGTCGTAGCCTGGTTGAAGGTAATAGAGTGTGTTGCATGGTCTGTGAGATAGTACTTGACTGCAAGGTTCATTTCGACATTGAGTCATGCCCCCTGGCTTCATTGCGGAAGCCCGAGTCGAGCCGACAACAAGTTAAGACCTTCATTGTCATCAGTGCGCTTAATCGTTTGTTCTTGTGGGTCGGAACCAGAACAACTGCGTGTTGTTGGACTGATGGTGCGGTGTTGGGTGACCCGATGGAGGAGTACAGCAGCTCGGAACGCTAGTCATTTGCTCGTCCCATCGCGTGCTTTAGATGGCTTCGAGATAGGCGGGACATCTAATCAATGGCAAGTGGTCTGCGTTTCCGTGAGCGATATCGATGCGGGCGACAATTGTCAAGTTCTTTGGGAATCGCATGACCGCACTGGCAATAGCTTCGATTGGAAGTGAACAATAGCACGCCCAGGTACCCGTACAGCTTCGAGCGAGGGCTTTCTTCCCAATTTGAGTCGACGATATTGACCAAGTGTTTCTCTTCGTCCAAAGCGGAGTGACTGTCTTGTGTAGTTTTGACTCTTGCTCCGAACGGAAGAGCGTTGACTGATGTGTGAAATGACACTTGCTAGAGCAGGTTCGTGGAGCAACGAAGCGATTTGTTTGAGCGGTGGTTTTTGGGTCTTGTGCTCGAGGGGGTGGTTCTAAACAGTCAAATAATATCAAGATGTGAATCATAGCGGAAATATTGGCGTCGATTTGAGGGATCGCCATCGTAAGCCCGCAAGGCTACCGAGCAAACCTGGGTGAAGATGTCTGAAAGATGCCGTGGTACTGCACCCGTGACCTTCAACTCTTGACCTCCAACCAATTATGGCCAACAGCAACACTGCGAACCGGCGTCTGAATATAGATTTCTGACCGCATAGGGCATAAGCAGCAAACCAGATGACGCTTTCTCGACGGCGAACTCCACCCCTGGCCGACGGTTTAAATACTCATGGGCGCAGCTTTGGTTCTCCAGTGCTTTGAAATGAAGATGCGGTCCTCTTCTCTTCTATACGCCTCTACACTTGCCTCTCTCTGCTATGCGGCGACACCAGTTGTCGTTTCAACGACCTCTGGACAGATCCAGGGCTTGTCCGATGCTGGAGGTCAGTCAGAAACTTACCTCGTTGTCCAAAGGTAATTAATAGTGCGTTTTTAGTGATGTCTTTCAAGGGAATCGTAAGCCACACGCTCCCGTAGGCCTTCCTTGTTCACCTTCTACTCCAGCGCTTCGGACAGCCCCCAACGGGAGACCTTCGTTGGACCGCCCCAGTTGCATTCACATCAACGAGTCCTCAGAATGCGACCACCCTTCCGCCCTCCTGCGTGCAACAATTTCCGTTTCCCGTAGCGGCGCTCAACATCAAGCTGTTCAACAACCCGGATGACCCACCGAAAGAATCTGAAGATTGCTTATTCCTGTGAGCCACTTTCTTTTCATAGCACACTCACGAATGAGACCACAGTAATGTCTGGGCGCCATCACCGCAAGGACAAAAGCTTCCTGTTGTGATCTGGATTTATGGGGGGTGAGTCAACTATTAATACATGCTTCTAGTGGTTCACAGTGATCATGCAGGGCTCTGGCGTTTGGGACGGGCTCGATTCCAGCATACGACGGCACGTCAATTGCTGCAAACCAAGGCATTATTGTGGTGTCTTTCAACTATCGAACCAACGTTTTCGGCTTCCCGAGCTCTCCCGACTTGCCTCTTACCGGCAATAATTTGGGCTATCTCGATCAAGGTGAACCCTTCAACCCTTTCTTCCTTTATTTGCTCAAGCTAGTTTCAAAGAACTCGCGTTCCAGTGGGTGCAATCCAACATAGCTGCCTTTGGCGGGGATCCTAGCAAGGTTACCATCATGGTATGTCGTCCATGACTAAATAATATCCAAACATTAAGCAACATAGGGCGAATCTGCCGGGGGCTTGTCTGTAAGCACGGCCATCGTAAGACACGCACCAGGCACGGCGCCCTTCCGTGCTGGAATTATGCTTTCTGGAGCACAGGTGTCTTTCTCGCCCACGCCATCATTCAATAACTTCAACGCGTTTGCTTCTGCGGTGGGGTGTGGCAGGACTCCCGGAGCAACACGCCTCGCATGCCTCAGGAAGGTTTCGACGGCGACAATCCGAAGCTATACGAACAGCCAGGCGGGACAGGCCACCTTCAGCCCGGTAGTCGACAAGTGGGTTTTCTGACATCAAGTCGTTGTTTATTCCTAATAAGTTGAAGTGTTGTTGGCTTTTCCGATCCCCTGCAGCGTATCCGCACCGGGAAAACCGCCAACGTGCCCGTTGTCATTGGAAACCTGCAGGACGACGGAACGCTCTTCACTATTGGCGTGACCAATCTCAACACATACCTCCAAGCGAGTTTCGGCACGACAGTCACAGCAGCGCAAGTCCGCAAGCTATATCCAGGGTTGACTGACGCCCAAATCATCCCTGCGTCTTATAGGGATTATGTGTTCCAATGGTAGGTGTCTGTTATGACACTAAATAGTTGCTGAGCCTTATCTTTAGCCCCGCTAACCTCTGGGGCGCTGCCCTCGTCGGCGCAGGCGTATCGAACACATACCGATATACCTACGGTATTGTGGTCTCGGAGCCCATCATCACGTGACCTGAATGCCCTCTAGGCGCTGTCTTCGCAGACAATCAACCCTTCGCAAATGCGGGAGCATGGCACTCGTCAGAAAGTAAGGCATCGAAGCTTGCTATCTTCTTCTGACTGGGCAACAGTCCGCGAAATCTTTGGGACATATAATCGCACCACGTCGGCGGCAAACGAAGTGACGCTGTCGCAAACGATGCAGACCCTCATCGCCAACTTCGTCAAGGACCCCACCACCCCACCGGCACCCCAGTGGGCCAAGTACGCCCCTGGTAAAAACACGCTCGCCAAGTTGGCGTACAGCAACAATGTTCAGACCTCGAATGTGGTCCAATCTGTTCAAAGCGATTCCCTTGTCAGTTGCTGATCGTTTTTTTTGCTTATGTTGACACTGATTATTTCAGGATGGTGCATGTAGTTTGTGGGATCAGTTCTTGGATGTAAGAGTATAAACGGACAAGAATGTATTAGTACAATACCAAACGAGAGCTTTTGTTGTAAAATTCAATCTCTTCGCCGTCTTGGAGGCGATCTTGAGCGGGAACGGGACCAAGGTTGTCCTCTTGGAGGCGGAGAATCTCTGCGAGATGTTCCCCTCCCTCTTCCACGGCCAGGTGGGGGTGGATTTGATTCACCTCTCCAATGCCCACCCAGCCCTCTCGCAATTCCAGCAAGCTGCGACCCCGGGCCCCACCCAGAATCTCCCTTTCTATTTTGCCAGCCATTCGCAGATGACGGCGCGGCACCCTTAATGTTTATTTCGGAGGGCAAACTGACGCTTTTCGGGAGGAGGACTGCGATAAGGAGGAAGTCGCCGGGGACGAAACGAAGCTCATCAAGGGTCCGCTCTTCGCGCTCTTTGTCTGTCACCTCCTGTTGTTGGGGCTCCCACGAATCGTCCAGCAGTCGCGGCGCGGTTGAGTTCAGCGAGCCTGGCTCGCCAAGGATGTCACGCGAATAAACCATCCCCAGGTCTTTGGACACGAAGCGGCCCCTGCTGCCCTGCTCGACGTAGACGGTGCGGAAGCTGAATCGCGCGAGTGGGTGGCGATATTCAGCCACGTGAGGCGCGGTATTGCGCAGTGTGCTCAAGACTTCGCGTAGTGTTGCATCTTTCCTATTTGGTTGGTCAGCAAGCTGAAAGCAGGTTATGGTGGGCTAGATCATACCAAGTGAACAGTTGCTGCTCGTCGGTCGTCGGCAAAGTGCCCTCTTCGAAGAGCTGGATGCGGTGGAAGCTGCCGATTTTCACGAAGGTGCGAACCAGAAATGGTACTGCCTGTTGGCGTAAGTACAGCCTTTGCGGATATTCCACGCGTCCAACGCACTTTTTCTCGAGAAAACGGAGTTTCCGACACTGGTGCAGCTTCTACTTCCATGTGAACACCAAATGAGATGTAACGCGTGACCGTGACCGAAGGTTCATCTTCATCTCTGACCAAAGTCTATGCTCAACGTTGCGCTCAACTCTGAGTAGCAATGGAAATTCAGATGCAAGCAATCCTCAAGCCGCTTTACCCGATATTATTCGCCTTACCATAAAGACTGAAAATGGTCATTGACTATATTGGACATGCGAATGCTGCTATTTTTTGTGGTGGTCACCGGCTCATCCCACACTCGTCCGGACTGCATCCGTTCAGCAAGCGAACAATGGTTAAAAAGGCGAATGCAAGAAGTGTTTTTCATTCTCCGTCATGCGTACGCTTGAGGCCCTCGTTTTCATTGCGTCGATTGCTCTTTGCCAAGCCGCGGCACCAGTGGTTGTCAGCACTACTTCTGGGCGCCTTCATGGTCTTGAAGACAGTGGAGGTGACTTCATGCTCGTCTCTACACGAGACAGATTTAATAGTTTGGTTTAGTTATGGCGTTCAAGGGCATTGTGCATTCTATCTTTCAACCTCGATGATCTTGGACTTACGCTCATCTAGAGATTCGCCCAGCCCCCTGTCAGTTCTCTGCGTTGGGAACCACCAGTTCCGTTTGTCTCCACCGCGGACCACAATACAACAGTCTTGAGTCCTTCCTGCTTGCAACAATTTCCTTTTGCCAGCGCGGCCCTGGACGAATTTCTGTTCAACAACCCCGCAAATCCACCCGCAGAGTCTGAGGACTGTTTATTCCTGTAACTAGCTCTCTTCGTAGCTTCCTGGGCCAAATCTCACTGAAATCAAGGAACGTTTGGGCTCCTGCACCATCTAGTCGCAAGCTGCCCGTCTTGGTTTGGATCTATGGAGGGTTCGTCATCTAAAATATTTAGTCCATCGGGACCTGATAATGTTCCAAGCGCTTTGCAATTCGGAACCGCCTCTCTCCCAGCTTACGACGGAGTGTCCATCGTGGAAAATCAAAAAATCATTTTGGTCACTTTCAACTACCGCTTGAATGTACTTGGTTTCCCGGGCTCCCCCGACATACCACTCGGCGGAAACAATCTGGGATACCTGGATCAAGGTAAAAAAAAAACTACTTGTTTATTGTGTTTGTACCTAAACTCGAATCACAGAATTGGCGCTGCAATGGGTCCAGTTAAACATAGCAAAATTCGGCGGAGATCCCGCACAAGTGACGATCATGGTATCACTACTTTTATTTGAGGTAACTGGAGCCTGATAATTTTTCAGGGCCAATCTGCCGGTTCCCAGTCAGTCAGCACCGCGCTAGCAAGACACGCGCCGGGACATGCACCATTTCGTGCAGCTATACTACTTTCTGGGGCACAAACCAGTATATCGCCCATCCCATCGTTTTCATCATTCAACAATTTTTCTGTCTCCGTCGGATGTTCGCAGCAACCTGGTCCAGCGCGCCTGGCTTGTCTGAAGAAAGTACCTGCATCAGCGATCCGAAACTACACCAATGGTCCAACCGGAGCTTCGTTTGAGCCAATTGTCGACAAGTGATTCCTCCTTCATTGCTACTGAGTTGTCTCAAACTAACTCACCCATCTAGCGTCACAGTCTTTTCTGACCCGCTCTCCCGCATCCGCAATGGCTTGACAGCCAACGTGCCATTCATCATCGGCAACACCCAGAACGACGGCTCGCTTTTTGCGCTTCCGTTCCCGGACCTCACCACCTTCCTGAATGCTCAATTTGGCCCGGGCGTTCTTACGACAGCCCAGATCACACCACTATATCCTGGTGTCAATGCCTCGAGCCTTGTCGCCGAGGTCATCAAAGATTTGGTGTTCTTGTGGTGGGTGGCGTTTAATCTTTGTGATGGAATGATCCTGACCCTCTCACCAGTCCTGCTGAGCTGTGGAGTGGCGCGGCAGTTGGCGTGGGCACGACCGTCTTCCGTTATACGTATGGTACTTGTGTTTATTGGCTTGTCATCTCTCCGACTTACCATTTACTAGGCGCCGTCTTTGCGGACCTTCAATTATTCCCTAATGCTGGTTCTTGGCACAGCACAGAGCGTTCGTCTCTCACTACCAATATTTTATTTGAAGTTGTCTGACGGACGAGTAGTACCTGAAATTTTCGGAACATTCAATCGCACAACTGCGACCGCAGCGGAGGCAACCCTGTCCCAAACGATGCAAACGGTGATCGGCAATTTCGTCAAGAACCCAGCGATAGCACCAGCGTCCAAGTGGCCCAAGTATGTCCCTGGTAAACAAACCACAACTCTGGCGAAACTGGCGTACAATGGGAACGTCGATCTGAGCAATCTTGTCGAGGCTGTTGAAAGTGATTCAATTGTGAGATTGTATTTCCTGCATCATCTTGAAAAATTCATCTAATGGGACATCAGGATGGCCCATGCGACGCTTTTTGGAACAAGTTTTTGGACGTCAGAGAATGAAATGGGAGGGATCCACAATGCAACTCCCGTTTTGTCGTAACAGATAATCCAACGGGGAAAAAATGAAGCTACAGTTTCTAATGCTAACGCTACAAAATCAAGTCGCAGCCGCGAAAAGGCGCTTCTTGTAAGAATTCAGACCGTTGACCCCTCCTTCCACTTGTGCGCTGGCAGTCCGTAATTCGAAACGGACTTTTCCAGCAGTGACGCCCTCCCGGAGCTCTGAGATGCTTCGGACGCCTATATCCTGCAACGAGTGTTGCACGCCAACAAATAGGTAGGGCAAGAATGCTCTGACGCTGCCCTTGTCCTGGACATCGCCACTGACACCTTGGGCAACTTTGACCGCACTGCTCTCGGAAAAGTAGCGAGAGGTGGCCGCATTCTCCACAGTCGAGGTCTTCTTGACCTTGCCTTGTGGTTTTCCTTGCTCCATGGCCTCGAGGGAACCCATGCCACGATACGTCTTGACACGCTTGCCTTCGTGATAAAAATACTCTCCGGGTGCCTCTTCTGTACCAGCAAGTAAACCACCCATCATAACTGCACTAGCCCCGAGAGCTAATGCTTTTACGATGTGGCCAACATTACTGATACCACCGTCGGCAATGATGGGCACACCAAATCGAGAGGCGAATTCGGCAACGGCGTAGACAGCGGTGGCCTGAGGGCGACCGACAGCCATGACCTCTTGAGTGATGCAGATTGAGCCAGAACCCATTCCAACTCGAATACCGTCAGCACCAGCAGCGATTAGGGAAGCAGTTTGCTCGCGAGTAACGACGTTGCCGGCGATAACTTCCAATCGAGGGTATGTCTGCTTGATCCACTTGATCATGTCAATCTGGAAGGTTGAATTTCCTTGAGACGAATCGAGGACAACGATATCAAGACCAGCTTCGACGAGAAGTGCGAGACGGTCTCGATCTGCTGGTCGCGTACCAACTGCTGCTGCTGCGTAGAGCTGCTTGGTTTCTGGGTTTTTAGAAGCGAGAGGGTAGGATTGATTTTTGAGGAGGTCGGAACGGGCAAGGAGGGAGACGAGACGACTTTCGTTGTCAATGATGGGCAGCTTGCCCTTCTTGGAGTCGCGGAGAATGTCATTGGCTTCAAGGAGGGTGACACCTTGTCGAGCAGTAACAAGATCGCGGGTCCTAGATCATCTATTTTAGAGTAACACAGCGGAGAGGCATCGAAGACAAACATGACATCAGCCAAAGGTGTCGAATGGTCGCGGAATTGAACATCGCGAGAAGTGACAATGCCAACAAGCTTTCCACCAAGACGTCCGGTTTCTGAATGGATGGTCAGCAAAAAGTCTCAATGGGAAGAGGTTGAGAGTCAGAAAGCCTTGAAATTATCCGCAGATCACACGAGTTAACGCGTTGGCTCGGAAGAACGAAGGTTAAAAAATTTGTAGGTATTCATCACGAATATGAAGTAGAGAGAAAGGGGGAGACACTGACCAGTGATGGGGATACCGCAGAAGCCAAGACGGAGCTTGATATCGAGCACATCCTCCACAGTATTGGACGGTGAGAGGACAACGGGGTCGGTGATGAAACCGTTTTCGTGGCGCTTCACTGCGCGGACCATGGCAGCTTGGCTTTCGGCAGTCTGGTTGTGGTGAATGACACCGATTCCGCCCAGCAGCTTTTAGGCTTCAATATGAGACATGGTGATTAGCACAAGAAAACCCACCGCCATCGCAATGGCCATGGACTCTTCCGTGACAGTATCCATAGGGCTGCTCATGAAGGGTGTTTTTAAAACGACATTGCGCGTGATCCGACTCTCAGTTACAACAGTCGCGGCGGTGAAGTCGATTTTGCCAGGGAGAAGGAGAAAATCGTTATAGGTGAGGCCCCCATGCATCCGGGAATCCATCAGGTCGGAGACGGAGAGCCCATCGGAGCGAGGGTAGTCGGCGAGGACTTTGAGAGCGTCAGCAGGGTTGAGGGTCATGAAATGGGCGGTTAGCCGACCGACAAATTTTCTCCACCGGGGTTTTATAGTGACAGGAGAATTGATGTGTGACTAATCGATTACCAAGCAGCTCCGTCGCCGCCGACATCGACGACGTCGTGCGATGGTAACACAACGAAAAACCGGCGGTCAGGCTGAAGATATATATGCTGGTACCGCTTTGCCACTCACTCTTGACTACTTCTAACAAGTTCCAGCCGTTACCGAGCCCGGCGTCCAGTTTGAGTGTGACGCTTGTGCTTGCGACCTCACCCATACCATTCGCATAAAGTGCGCTGATCCAGTGTGCCAGTCGACCGATGGTGGGGTCGACATCTGTCCCCCGTGCTTTTGCCAGGGCAAGGAGTTTGGGAATCATCTTCGCGGTCATGCTTATCGCGTTATTGTAAATCCCGTCTTTCTGCACCGCGTTTTTGGGGCTCTAATCGTCACAGGAATTTAACTCGTACCCCATATTCTCAGAGGACTGGGGCGCAGACGAGTGCGTGTCGCGACGCGTTCTTTGCCATAAACTTTAACGCCACGACAGAGAATTACTGCTGCTCAAAGGCATCCAAAGCCAGGGTCTCGGAAACTGGAAGAAGATCGCCGAACATGTTGGAACGCAGTCTAAGGAGGAAGTGGAAAAGCACTACAATAGTGTCTATGTCGACTCGCCGAATTGGCCTATGCCAGTGCGTGCATCCTCTGTTTGAATTCGCCTGAGACTCACGTTGACAGCTAATGGACCGCAAATTTGAGATTGCACCTGAAGAGTTCCAGGAGAGGAAACGACGGCGAATATCAGAGTTGAACGAAATGCCTATCCCACCTGCAAAGCCAGCTCCGACCTCAGCCCCAGCGGTCCATGAAATCGCGACTTTTCTTCCTGGACGTTTGGAGTTTGAACACGAATTCGACAACGAAGCTGAAGAACTCGTCAAGGACATCGAGTTTGGTGTCGTGCTGCAGTACGGAGGAGACCAGATTCCTGAAGACGAAAACGATCTGGATGTAAAAGCACGAATAAAATGGGAGGAAGACCGAAGGAATGGCCTGGTTGGACAGACGATCTTCATGCCGGAGCGCAAGGCGGCAGCACCAAATGGCAAGGGCCCTGCACCACATACGAATGGTATCAACACCAACGGCGATTCAAAGGCAGCAGCAGAAGATGTAGTGATGGGCAACGGTACTGCCAACACCGATGACGACGACGAGCCAACCGTCCTCCCCCCGATTGAAACTGATGACTCGCTCAAATTCAAGCTTACTCTCTTGGAAACTTATTTCCAGAGGTTGGAAAAACGATGGGAGCATAAGGTCTTCATGTTCGATCGCGGACTGCTTGAATACAAGAAGGTCGAATGACTTTCTTTGAAGGTTCGAAACGGTCTAATCTGCTCCTAGATCCAAGCCGCGGAAAAGAAACGTGTCAAGGAAGACAAGGACATTCTCCATCGCTTGAGACCGTTTGCGCGCTTGCAAACAGGTGATGACTACGAGGCGTTCTCGAACGATATTCTCTGTAAGCACCGTCGGTATCTATATCAAGTAATCTAATATAGGCAGATGAACACATCCTGCGCAAAAAGATTCAAGACCTACAGCAACATCGACGATTGGGGCTATCTACGTCTGGAGACATAGAGAAGTACATCGCCGATTTAGGCAAGAGGGTGAGAATATTCTTTTGTTCAATGTTGTTCGGACTTCACGACAGCATACGCAGACTCAGACCAAAGCTACTTCCTATTACGACAAGAACAGGAGGCAATCCTCAGTGGCAGATCGTGGAAGCATCGACGATGAAATGGAAGCAGCACCCAAACCTGAAGCTCTGATTAATGCTCGTAAACGAGGTATTTTTGTGGTTGTACTCTGATCTGTGACTGACGCATTTTATCAGCTCCATTGAATCTTGCCAATAGTCCTTCCCTCCATCTACTCACTCCTGCGGAACAAGCACTCTGCTCAACATTGCGTATTCTTCCCAAACCCTATCTTGTGGTTAAGGAAACTCTTGTGCGAGAATACGCTAGGCGAGGCGGAAAACTACGGAGAAGAGAAGCCCGTGATCTGGTCAAAATCGACGTGAACAAGACAAGCCGTGTCTGGGATTTCTTGGTGCAGGCTGGGTTCCTCCAAATCAATGCCGAAGCGAATGTTGCCAACTCGCAAGCCCATTCCGCATCGAGCGTTCCGCCTTCTGTCGCCTCCTCGCAAGATAATAGGTGAACTGCGAATTACTTGTCATTCAACAAAATCTGAAACTTTTCTACTCTAGCGTTGTACCAAGCACCACTCCTTCACAAACGACTCTTAATGGCTCAACGGCTTCTCCTGTCATATCATCCCTCGGTGCCCCAGGCAGCGTACGACCGTCACCAATACCGCATTCTTCCTCGCTTCCTCCAGCAGGCTGATATTTTTTCCCTCCGTCGCTGACATTTGTAGTTTATCTAGTCGGTTCTGTATTGTACTTTTTAGTAGCTTAGGTGGAACTGCGTAAAGCAGCACTAGTTTAAATGCAACTCACCTTGTTGCATTCCCAGATTTCAGAGTGCCTATCAACAACGGATTACCCCCATGAGCTTGGCACAAGAGATTTAGTTTCTTACCTCGATGCCCACGATGATTGACTCGATTTCCAGTGGAATCTGAGTCACATGACCACTCAAAAATGCGCGCTTGTCATCGTCAGGCCAATGTTTCATGCCGAGCACCTTCTCCATATTCACGACCCCGGCTACACACATCTGCTTGTTGAGATGTGTCATCACAGGCTTGCAGCCCGCGAGAAAGGCCTCAGTACTGTCAGGTGCAATCGGGTCCGAGTCGTCGCTCATATCATCCGCCAATGCAATTCTACGCTGCCAAAATAGAGGAGATGGTGGGTCTATGGGCATAGACCGAGAAGAGCTCGCACAGCTACTAGCACCCGAGTATGACGGTCTCAGAATCGCGGTCTTTCGCGTTCTCGTCGAAGCGTTGCCAGGCTTCCCCCTTCCCCTTGTTCCCTGCACCCTTTCTACCACCGCGAATACGCGGACTTGCAGACCACTCCGCATTATCGTAATCATCAGCGTCGGAGTCTTCGATGATCATTGGCTTGGATCTGGGTTTTGCCTTTGCTTTGAGCTTGGGGCTGGCCACCACGGACATCGACGACACTTTTGCTGCAACACTGCTCGACTCCGAACTTTCTCTTGATCTCGGCGGGAATTCAGGCGCTTCCTCGCTCTCGCTTTTATCGCGCTCAGCCTGCATGCCGCGCCGCGAGTTCGGCGGCTCAGACCGCGCCTTGCGCTTGCTGTCAGAAGCTGCAATGAGTGCTTTCCGTGCCTAAATCGACGGTCAAGCCAACGATGAGTCACAGAATAAACAACCGACCCCTTTGATGGGGTTCGAGAGCTTGCCCGACTTGCCCAAGTAATCTATGGCGTATATTTGCAGGCCCTGGACCCGGTCTGCGTGGTTGGTATGCACAAGGCTGTCAAACAGCGCAGGGTGCCGGGACCTGACCTGCGAAGGAAGCCGTTCAGACTAAGAATCGAAAAGCGGACTGCATACCGTCTGAACAAACACCGTCATCGCTGATTGTTGTTGGAAAAGAGGCAGGGAGAAATCGAAGCACTGATCGGCGGCTTGACGGAACTCTTTCTGGACGGATTTATCAGACGCGTCGAGGGACTTGCGAGGGCACGTACTTTGTAGAAGGAAAACGACTCTGGGTCATTTGCAAGTCCGAGAGCTTCAGCAAACGCTGCTCCACCCTTGAATAGGGATGAGTAGAATGTTGGTGTCGATGTCAAGGACGACGAACGGAAATCGATTTTCTTGGTTTGAGGGAGCCTGGGCCCATTAAGCCAACTGAGACCGTTCAAATCAGGTATTCACTCACGACGACGGTCTGGAGGCATGATGGTCAAGGGAGAAAAACGACGTGCCCACAATGGTACTATACTTGCTCTTTTATAATGCGACTGCGGGAGGCGTTTCAAAAGCTTTCAACACATAAAAAAATGTATTCAGATCAGCAACTTAATCATGGGTTCTATACGACTTAGCGCGCTGGGACGGCGGACGGCAATCGCACTTGGATTGGGGTTCCCTCGTCCTCTCCCTCTCCCTCAAAATCATCCACGGCATCTGCGACCTTGCGCGCTTGAGTAAAAAATAAGGTGGCCTCACGGTCGCTGATGTTTTCGATGAGGTACGTATTGCCCCGCGGGACCATGAACATCCCCCCTTGCGCAAGGATGAGAGATTGCGTGCCGACGGTCACGTTGATGGCGCCTTTGACGATGTAGAACATCTAATTGAAGCTAGTTAGTACTTGGAACTCAAAGAAAGCAACACAGACATAAGTATTGTCCTTGGATGCCTTTGGTGGTTTCTTCTTTTTCGGAGGAATCGTCAACTGGCCTGCAGCCATAAAGTCTTCGTCTCCGAATATCTTTTGGCCAGTGAGACATACGACAGAACAAAGGGAGTATAGTCATCACCTTTTGGAAGGACCAAGCATCGTCTGGGTTTGTTACCCGTGCCTCTTGTGGATCGAACATGTTGGAAGTGAACGCGACGCGCCGCATGATCTGCTCTCCAGATAGAAAATCGACCACCATCGCTTGGGTATCCGTGTCATCGTCCCAGCCAGCCTCTGGATTCCCCTTGTTGACCTCTACGATGACCTCCTTCTCCACAATTTGAGTGCGAGATTGCGACCGTGGGGCGTGGCCAGTCTTGCGCTTGCTCAGTGGCTTGACAGGTTCCTTGGGTACCCGAACAATTTCCTTGATATGGGGAACTTGACGGGGCTGGGAAAGGTCTCTTGGCGCATAGACAATGTGCTCTCCCCGCCAATACTCGAGTGGGCTATAAGAAATCCGCTTGGACCGTCGTACACCCTCTGGTGACGAATCTGACCCATCGCTGACCCGTGGTTTTGGCTTGCGTTTCGGTTTTGGTTTCTTCGGACTGGCAGGCTTCGCCCGTTTCCTCGGTGGGGTCTCCTCTTGCTCGGATTGATAGTCTTCAACCCCAGCTGTGAGTGCATTATCCACATCATCCTCCTCTTCTTCTTCAAGCTCCCTCACCGGTGTGAGCGGTGCTTTCCTCTTTACCGCCCTATGGACAATGCCACCTTCGTCATCGGAGCTGTCTTGATTATTCTCCGCCAGCCTCGCTCGCTTGAGTGGCGATGGGGTGTCTTCAAATATGGGCGAGACTTCTTTCCGGTAGTATTGCGGAACGGGACTGTCGTCAATGTCCATCGAGCCTTCGCCTTTGTCTGAGCTATCTTCCTCGCTGGGGGGCACGACAGAGCCGCCTTTCTTGGTTCGTTTCACGGTTCGTTGAGGTGGGGTGTAGTTGTCTGAATGCGAGATGAGTTGGTGGAAACGCTCATAGCCGTCAGATGTGCGAGGGGCAGACGGAACTGGCTTTCCCGTCTTCTTTCCTCGAGTGGAGTCTTCGCCACGGTACGGGATATGTTTGGATGGCGTCCGCCCTGGCGTTCTCGCCATAGTGGTGGGGTCGTGAAAGGGTGACGTTACCCACTCGCACACGTGACGGTCACACGACGCGTTGGTAACGCTCAGAACGCGTTGCGTTTTCCTCCTTCCGTCTATTACTATTATTATTTACTTTATAAGAATAATGCGTAGCCAACACCGAGCGTAGCAAGCGAAACCAATATCTGCATCCGACTGGGCATTGCGTGAACGACCATCTCCTCCCATAAGAGCGGTCCAAACACCACACAGGCTGTATAGAATACTTGCAGACTCCGAAGAAAGAGGAAAGGGTATTCATCGAGTCGGGGCGGCGCGAGACGCGTTTTCTCTCCAGGAATAGCTCGGGGGTGTGTGAACATGACCCAGATTGCGTAGAACGCAACACGGAAGAAGTGATACGTGAGAAGTGCAGGAGATGGGGCGAGCCTGTAGGGTATGAGCCAATGAAGCAAGGGAAGAGGAGCGCTACGGACGCAGAGAGAATAGAGACCGGTCCGTTGACACATTCTCCCCCAAGTTCGAAATATTTGAAGCAACCTGTCCTTAGAACCTCCAGTTCCGGTGCTGGAAGTGTCAATACTAGCACAAAAAAGATAACCCAAGACTCACCATCTGCCCCAAACAAATCATATAATGCCACGCTCAGAATGTTCACGGTCGACGCCAGCGGTTTCCGAGCCACAAACCAAGCGTCCAACGCTCCCTTGACCTCCCTCCAGTCATCAAGATTCTCAACGGCACCCAACAATGGTTTGAGCGAGGCCACATCATTCAATGCGACTGTCATTCCACCGCCCGTCAATGGATGCCTCATATTCCAAGAGTCGCCAATGAGCAAGACCCCGGGTTTTGATGAAGCGCTGGTTTGTGGTGTCGAGGGTAACCAAGAGTTGGGCATGCGCCGCAGGCGGTCCTTCTCGATTGCTCGAATAACAGAAGGCTGCGTGCATTGTGGGAGTTGTGGTGCAATATTGGCGAGGATATGTGTCTGTATTCCTCGTTGAGTTGTGTCCAGCATAACGAGTATAAGACTTTTTTTTTCACCTTCAGGTCGGCCGGTATTGGTGTTTTGACGTCAATAAGAATGCGGGTGTCGTTTTGGGAGATGCGGTATAATAGCACGGGCCCTGAACCTTTGACGAGGCAGACAGTACCATGGTTGGCAATGGGCAAGGCTGCGTCTTCAAGCACAACACCGATGAAATGGCTTTTCGTGACCGGTTTTCCTGCTGGGCCAAGCACCACGCTCCGGAAGTTCGAGTAGCAGCCATCCGCAATGACAACCAACCGCGCTGAAAACGTCCGCTTATCCTCCTCTCCCTTTACTGAGGCTCGTACTCCAACAACTCGGGAAGAAGCGTCTTCTATGAGGTCTGTTACTGTCGCCTCGATGACCTCGACACCTTTTGCCTTTTGTGCAGCAGCCCTAGCATCCATTAGGTCAGAGAAAAAGATATACGGAACGAGGAACACACCTTAGATTCATAATAAGCCTGCCGTGGTGGAATGCCCGCCCTCTATGACCTCCTGGATACGGAATTTTGACCACTTTACCGCGCGCAGCATCGTAGACGCAATAGCCCTCGACTGGAGCAGCATCAATACCCTCCAATACGCCTTCCAGCCCAAGCTTTCGCAGTGCCAGAACCCCGCCCGGTTGCATTAGCTCGCCGACTATCCGGTCTGGCTCTTCCAAAGACCGTTCAAGCAGGCCAATTCGTAGCGGAGTTGAGCGCAGCTCGGTGGAGAGGGCATGGGCGAGGGCGCAACCAGCAACGCCGGCGCCCACTATGAGGACGTCAAATTGTGGGGGTGGGTGCTGGGACATGGAAAGAAATTGTGGGTCGACATTTCGAGTGAACAGATAGTAATTATAAACCTGATCCGCAAAAGGAAATCGTACGACCCACAACCGCACAATCGGTCGACAGCGGTCGACTCGGATGCACACGAGCTCGAGGCTTGGCCCGTCTTAGTTCTCGACTTCTAATCTCGAATTTGACTGCTGAATTACGCTACGTTCTGGCTCGCTAAATACTGTCTTCCGTGTACAAACTAATCCTCAGTGAACTCCACCATAAGCCGCGTTGCGAACCTGATAGTCCTCCATCACCCTCTGAGAATCAGTCGCAGGAAAAGCTGAATAGACTGGTTGTTGGACTGGCTGGTAGACAGGCTCCTGGGGGTATACGGGTGTGGCAGCTCGATACTGGTATGAGACACTGGCAGTATCGCTATAAGCTTCTTTCGGCTCTGGTGATAATGCTTGAGCTGAGAATGGAAGGGCCGATTTGCGATTTGGTGTCTCCTCAGGGAAAAAGTTGATAGACTCGCGTGCCAATCGGCGTTGGCGGCGGTTCCAACGACGCTTTTTTCGACATCAAACACGGTTCCAAAAATAGAAATGACGCGAACCAAAAAGAAAGCGACCACCATTGCAATTCCCAGTATGCCTGCCAATGAGCCGACGATGGCAGCGGCAACTTTGGAAGTTTGAACAGCAGAGGTTGTGTCGGGTTCAGAAGAGGCCGAAGCAGATGCAGAAGACGAAGAGGCTATGAAGTTTTCTGTTGAAAATACTGTGCGGGTAACTGGTCCAAGGGTCTAGAATGGTTGAGCATTGGAGTTGTTGCAAGATAATGGCGAAAGTAACCCACATCTGAATGGGTGGGAGGTGGTGGTGGAGGCGCCGGTGGTGGAGTTGTGGTCACAGTTGGGGGACTCTGAAGAACAAGTTAGAAGGCGGGCGAGACACTTATAAGGGAGGGAGTATACAGTAGTGGTTTCGCTCACTACGGAAGAGGATGCTGGGGCTGGTCGATTGAATAGCGAGCTGAGAGCACCTAGAAGACCGCCATTGTCTGCAGCACTGCTTGTCGGGTCGGCCGTGGAAGCAGCGGACTCGGCGGGCTGACTCTTCCCGCCTCCAAAAAGATCTAGCATGGGTAAGTGTCTTGCGTGTCCATGATAGACTCGACTGAACTGGAAACGTTGAGGTCGCGTTTGTGGTGGTTATATTTACTATGCATGGCGGGTAACGAATGTGGTGGTTGAGTGGAGGTTGTGTGGGACTGTCGGCAGGACTGTCGGCAGTATAACTAGGAGATGTTGGAACTTCCGGCATGCTTGGAGATTTTGACATGTTTCCGACTCGCCGCTCCACAAAAATCATTGCGACCCTGCGATGTACTGCTACGCTAGATCTGGTCAGTTGCCCTTGTGATTTGACAAGGACTCAGATGGAATGGAAGAGCACGCGAATTTAAAAGTTGTATTGCAAGCAGCATACAGTAGAATGAATTTTCGGTTCAGTGTGATTTGAGAAGAGGTGTGTGTGGCTTAGTCACATGAAATGTGATGGCCGGTCACGAGACCTAACATCAACACGACGCGCACCGCGTCTTTCATCCAACCACGATGTCCCGGGCCCCCTCTCGTACGGCAACCCGTCCAAAGACACCTGCTGCACCGCCGACCACTCGCTCTACGCGCGCCACAGCGGCAAAAACCGCATCCGCCCCCGCTGAACCTCCACCAAAGAAAACCACAACAAGAAAGCCACTCGTCAGCAAGGACAATGCAACAGAGACAAGTGCAAACGCGCCTGCCGCAGCTAAGAAGCCCAAGGCTGTAAAGAAGCCTGCGAAGATGGTCGAGGAGGAGCAAACGGAGAACATCATGGTCCTTAGACTACTTTCGGAACGTCCACACATACTTACTTTTCTGACTTAGGCATATCTACGACTCAGGCCACCTCTTGGAGACGATGAACCCACAAATACCCCATATCTCCTGCCACTCTCCGAGTCCTCTGTTCGGATGACTGACCCAAACGACCCTCACGAGAATGCAGCACGCTTCAGGATGTCGGCTGCCACACCTTCCTCGATCTACAAATTCTCGAAAGTGTTCCTGCCCGCAACGGCACAGTCCGACTTCTTCACTAAAACAACTCTGCCTCTTGTCCGCGATGTCCTGCAAGGACAGAATGGCTTACTGTTTGCTTATGGTGTTACCAACTCCGGCAAAACATATACTGTCCAGGGTGGGAAGAACGAGGGTAGCGCTGGGATCCTTCCGCGATCTCTGGATGTGATTTTCAACAGTATCGAAGGGCTTCATGGCTCAGGAAAGGTCAGAAGAATTCATCGCGCCGCGATTTGCCCTTGACAAATCAACAGTACCGCCCTGTTCGTCTTCAAGGAGTCGAATTAGCCGACAAAAGCGACTCGGCGCCTCCGCCGGTTGCGCCGGCTCCAGGTGTCGCTGAGGTTCTGGGCCAGCATATGGATGCGGCTGCTTCTGATGCCGACATCGATCCAACCGTTTTGACTCTCGACCGTAACTACGAATACACGATCTGGATTTCTTACGCGGAGGTCTACAACGAGAAGGTTTACGACCTACTGGACAATGTGCAGGAGAATCCTGCTGGCGGCATCCCGCGGTCCAATAGTGGCAAATCGCTGCTCCTGACACGCAAGGCGCTCCCGTTGAAGCCCTCTCCTCTGTCAGACTCGCCTGACTCCGGCGTCACTGGGAAATATATTTCTGGCCTACGCCAGTTCCGCGTCCACAGTGCTGCGCAGGCAAAGGGACTCATCAAACTCGGTCAACTACACCGTCGGGTCTTTGGGACTTTGGCTAACCGCGAAAGCAGTCGCAGTCACGGAATGGTCATCATCAAAGTTGTCCGTGGGCATCGTGGCGAGCGTGACGATCCCACTTCTCTACAAATTGCGCGTTTGACTTTGGTTGACTTGGCCGGTTCAGAGCGGACCAAGCATACCCAGACGACGGGCGACAGACTTCGGGAGGCGGGTAATATCAACAAGTCACTCATGGTGCTCGGGCAATGCATGGAGGTTCTTCGCAGCAACCAGCGCAAACTCGCAATAAGCCTTGGGCAAGATGCCTTCGATGGTCGTATGGACACGCGGGACGTCAAGCGCGGCCTCGCGCTCGTTCCCTTCCGACATAGCAAACTAACGGAAATACTGATGGATTACTTTGTCGGCGATTCCCGCGCGGTATTGTGCTTTGGCTCGTTCTCATTGTTCCTTTCTGAATATTATAGGTGATGATCGTGAATGTGAACCCTTACGACACGGGATACGACGAAAATTCGCATGTGATGAAGTTTTCTGCGCTTGCCAGGGAGGTCTATGTTACCCCAGCCCCGGTTCCTGCACAAAGAGTGCCAGGGAAGAGTAAGCAGGCTGAAGCAGCTGCGCCGAAACCATATCGCCGCAAAGTTACCATCTCAACTGGAGGTCCAGGAGAGAGGGCTCATGAAGCGGTCTTGGAGGTACTGGAAGGTTTGTGATATTCTCCCGCTTCTGGAGCTTGACTGAGTAGATTTTACAGAGGATGAGGCTGATGGGGCTGGGAGTGACGAGGACGACGAGCCGATCAATCCGCTTGTAGACGCCTTATTCGATGAGGTTGAGCAGTTGCGGATGCAGGTTTGTCCATTTTCTATTCTCCGTCGTCTGGATCTGAAACCCCTCGACAGTTGTACGAATCTGAAATGCGATGTGCCATAATCGAGGCCGAGGTCCGCGAAGAGGTCATGAAGGAAATGGAGGAACGAATGGCGAAGATGGAGAAAATGTACACTCTGCGGATCCAGAACGAGGTATATCCAATGGCACACTCGCGGTTCCTCTAACAACTCTTTGGGAACAGGTCACCCGTAGTGAAGAGAAGACAGATGCCAAAATCGACATGTTGCACCAATCTGGTTTATTTGCTAGTCCCGTCAAGCGCCCGCAGCAGCCCCCGCCGCGACGGTACGAGGAGAGCGACGAGGAAGAAGACGTCGAGACCAGTTTGGTATGGTTCCCTCTTTGAAATTTTGCTGTGTGAATAAATTTTTCTGCAGATGGAATATGGCACGGCAGATGAGACATCTGACGATGATGAGTCAGAACGTGCCCGTTCAGAGTCTCCGCTGGCTGGGAAGAGACCTGCTGTTATTCGCGAAGTTCGCAAGTTTATTCCGGACCCGCCGATGCTCCCGTCTGATGCCGAAGACGCGGCGTTTACGGAATCGGAGAATGAATCGGAGGAGGCAGAAGAAGAATCAGATGCGGACTCGGAGAGCGTTGCTGATAGCGGTGTCTCGGGAAGCGAGGTTGAAGACGAGGATTATCAAGAACACGTGACGGACGATGATGACGAGGAGGATGAAGACGAGCTGATGCTTTCTCCGACCAAGACCCCCCGTGCTAAGCCCCGGCCCATCCCGATGAGGGTTGCTAGCCCTACACCGGCACCGGCGCCAAGAGTCTCCAAACTGACCCGTGAATTGCGGGGCATGAAGCTCGCAGAGTCAGAAGCTGAGGAGTCTGATGCGGCAGAGTCCACTACAGGGAAGAGAAAGAAACGGTAAGATATGGCGTTGCAAGTTGATGTTATATGCTCAGATGATGGATAGGCAACTCGGAAAGAAGAAAATCGTTACCGAGGAAGAAGTGGAGCGGGCTATCGCCAAAGCTGACCAGGGACGGCCAGTCAGGCGGATGACGGGCCGATATTGAGATGATTTTCTCTTTTTCCTTTTTTGCATAAACAATCTAAATGGCATGCTTGAGCAACTCCGTCCAATCAAACTCGGCTGGTGTCTCGTGGAAAGCTTTGAGCAGCTTTTCTCGGTCTGGAGAAGCATCGAGGTAGAAGTTTTGGACGCTGGTGGTCAGACGAAGCGCGTCATTTTGGGGTAAAAGATAACGCTCGTCCGCAGCGGGTGCGCCTGGGACGGCAGCAGAAGGGGTAAGTTCTCCGTGAAGGAGAACAGTGTTATGGCTCTCGGCCAGGTCGGTGTAATTGGTGAGGACCAAGTAGGGCGTCGCAAATGTTGTGCGTGATTTGTACTCCTGGAGGGGAGTAAACATGACGGTGGAGACCGGCACGGTTGGTGTTGAAGGCTGACTTCGTGTTGGTGGTGAAAAGAGATCATCTTGCAGTGGTGGTGGTGGTGGGTCATGGAACGACCATTGGAGAAGATAGAACTCGTGTGCTGCTTCCTCTTTTTCGCCTCTCTTCAGCGGTACTACAAACATGGGGTATTTCGCTGCTTTTGCTGCCATTTTTGAGTAAAGCCCCAACGGAATGGACGCGCAGACATATCCTCGACCCGTCCCATTTGATCTAGATTCGTGGAATACGGTCCACAACGCAGATATTTGCTCGGAAGTGTGTGGAGTCGCGGTAATACGCGTTAGGTTGAGCAGGGACGACAGTGGCTGGTTTGGTATAAGCGTTGGCGAAGATTGGGCAGCTTGATTCTGACCTTGACAGGGGAGCTATCTTTGCGCCCTGCTCCTGAAGGGCTGGGTGCTATGGGTGGCTTGTTTTCTTGTCGTTGTTCTTGCTTTACTTTTGCCATCAGCTCCGACACCGCAACTCCTCGTCTACAAGACTATATAAGCCTGCAGCAGTTTCTTGGGTAGAACATACTCTTCCGCAAGCCTCCTAATCTTGTCCTGGTATTTCTGCTCATAGCTGAGATAACGCCTAAACAGTGGTGGGACGCGGCGGCTGCGCTGGAAGAAGAACCAAGACATTTTTTTGATGATCCGCTGCCAAACTGATTTCTGCTATTCGACACTCACCTCGCGATTTGACCCGTCTCTGTAGTATGAGAGGTGTTCCGTAGTCAACAGCTACAGACTGCGGTCAAGCTCTCAAGAACGTGCATAAATGACAAGCATCTAACTCTGTCTATCTTGAGGCTTTAAAAGCAACAAAACACCGTGGATCTAGTCCCTCCAACTCATGTCGATTCCTGCACTCGTTGGCGGCTTTGAGCTCCGTCAGTATGACCTTCCTGGCGCTATCACCTTTGCCGGCGCGTATGGCCTCGTCGTGCCTGTGCTCGTTTATCGAGCAGTTGTGGCCAATTCAAGAACGGCGATGATCTTTGAAATAATCCCATTCGCCATCGAACGGTACTTCTTATGTAGCTTTTCCCGGTCCTGTCTCATTTCTTTTTTCCAGATGTGTAGTGTTCTGTTTGCGCACTGTCGCTGCAGCGAAGCCGGGCTGGCAGTCTGCAGGATTGAGCGAGTACTTCCAGGTCACGTTAGCGCTCGAGTTCATCGCTCTTGCGCAAATTTTATCGGGCATGATACGCACTGTGCTCGTCAACTCCACCAACCCGCCGCCAGAGGACGAGCCAGAGCCTACCAAGTTGACAGGCAGTCCGCTCGTCCAAGACCAGTCGTCTGAATGGATCGTGCCCCCGACCAACGACAGTGATGTGCAGCGGCGACGCAACTACCGCAGTGTGGCCGGCCTTCAATTCCTCCTGTTCTACCTCCCCGCTCTTATTCTCGCCATTGTTTCCACACGCAGTCTCTACGCCAACGACCAGGTCTCCAAAAACAACCTGATGCAGCGAATGCGCTACGCCAGCACCGCCCTCGGTGCCGTCCTGCTCATCTGGGAAGTCCACTCGCTGGCCATGGCCTGGAGACGAATCCAGAATATTGACAGACGCGCAGTCAAGTACCTCTTGCTCTTGACTGCCCTCCTGTTCCTCCCAGCCATCTACCGCCTCTGCGTCATGTGGCACACCACCGCTGATATCGCTGCCCCGACGCACGCGGCCCTCAACACCCGAGCAGACAAAGTCATGTTTTACCTTTTCCATGTTCTGCCGGAATGGCTAGTGGTAACCTTGTTGTCCCTCGTCAACGCAAAGCAGGTGTGTAATCTGGGGCTGAGAGGGGACCATCGTTCCAAGGACGAGACGCCAGAACAGAGGGAGAAGCGTTGGGCAAAAGTACGCGCAAAGAAGGCCAAGCGGGAGCAGAAAAAACAGGAAAAAGCGGCCAGGCGAAATGGTGGTGGCCAGATTGAGCTATCCCCTACCGCTAGTTTCAAGTCGAAGCCTTATTCAGTGTAGTGTTTTCTTACAGCCAACATGTATTAATATGTACCAACCGAATGGCATTCATCGAGGGCATAGGGACAATCAACAAGTTATAACGACCTAGCGTAAGACGATATGTGCAAAGGGGCATCTAGATAAGATCTGCGACATTGAGGGGCATCTCATCGATCTGAGTGTTGTAGAACTCTGCAAACAGTTGTCAGGGAGAGGTCTTGAAAACAGTAGTGGTAAAATAACTCACGTTCAATGTCACGGAGCATAGCAACATCGTTGGTGGTGACAAAGTTGATAGCGACACCCTTACGACCGAAACGACCGCCACGGCCAATACGATGGATGTAGTTCTCGCGGTTGGTAGGCAAGTCGTAGTTGATGACGAGCGAAACCTGTTGGACATCGATACCACGAGCAAGCAGATCGGTGGTGATGAGGACACGGGTTGAGCCAGTGCGGAACTCCTTCATGAGGACCTCACGCTGCTTCTGCTCCATATCTCCATGCATGGCAGAGACAGTGAACTCGCGGGAGAGCATCTGCTCGGTAAGCATGTCGACCTTGCGACGGGTGTTGCAGAAAATAACGGCCTGGGTGATGGTAATCGTTTCGTAGAGATCGCAGAGGGTGTCTAATTTCCACTCCTCCTTTTCGACGGCAATATAGAACTGCTTGATACCTTCGAGGGTAAGTTCATCACGCTTGACGAGGATGCGGACAGGGTCACGCATGAACTTTTTGGAGACTTCAAGGACCTCAGCAGGCATGGTGGCCGAGAAAAGGGCAACTTGAGTGTCGCCGGGAAGAAGTTGGAAGACTTCGTAGATTTGGTCCTTGAAACCGTGAGACAGCATCTCGTCAGCCTCATCGAGACAGAGAATCTTGATGTGGTCGGTGCGCAGGGATCCACGCTTGATCATGTCCGAAGCACGACCGGGAGTGCCGACGACAACCTGAATACCCTCTTGAAGCTTTTTCATGTCTTCACGAACATTGGTCCCGCCAACACATGCAAGACTCGAGACATTCATGTAGTCGCCAAGAGCGACAACGACCTTGTGGATTTGCAGCGCAAGCTCGCGAGTAGGAGCAAGGATGAGTGCCTGAGTGCCCTTGATATCGGCATCAAGGCGCTGCAAGATGGACACGGAAAAAGTGGCCGTCTTGCCAGTACCAGACTGGGCTTGGGCGATAACATCGTGTGCTTTAACAACGGGCAGAATCGCACGTTGTTGAATGGCGGAAGGACGCTCGAAACTAAGGGAAAATCAGACCCTTGATGGGGTCCGAGGAGGTAGGTCACTCACCCATATGCATAGATGCCACGAAGCAATTCGGGCTTTAAATCCATACCATCGAAGCTAACGAAGGTAAGCACAACGACTCGCAGGACGACCACCCAACGACATACCTGTCAATGACTTGGTCCCAATTGGACTCTATCTCATTAGGGTTGGCATCTTGGAGTTCGTCTCTGTGCATCGATCAGCTGGAGGAATGAGTATGAGTGTCTGACAAACCCTGGCATACAGTGGTGTACTCGTGGAAGGGGAGAAAAAACTCTGCCTTCAAGGTCTTGGTTGGGTTTACCTAGTAAGAGCTGATAGACGACCTAAGGAGATCGCCGTAAGTTACTTTGTACTTTGTGCGTTGTGGGTGGTGTGAATGTAGTATGTCTCACCTGGAAGGACCGTCTGGTTTAAATGTGGTGGTGGTAGAACGCTAAGCGATGAAAAAATTGGTGCCATCAGCACTGCTCCGACATCGGTCCCGTGCTCTGATGTGTGGCACTCTGACTTGTTTCGCGACTCAACGCGGCTAATAAAATAAAAATACATTTGTGTGTCTGTGTGCTATGCTATATGCGACTACTTGGAGGCTTTTTTCAAGTCATCTTTGGCTTCACGGGCTGCGCTTGTCGCCTGGAATACGCATCAGCACAACAGTAAGGTCAGGGTTGAAAAGAAGATCTTCCAACCTGGTTCTTCTTCTGTTCAGCAGTGGCGGCAGCACTTCCAGCCTTCTCCTTCGCCGTCTCGGATGCGGAGTCTGAAGTCATATTTCATTTTGACGACTCCGGATGACTCCATCCGACTCACCGAAAGTTTCTTTCGTCTTTGCCGCAGCTTCTTGCCCAGCACCAATAGCGTCCGCGAGTCCCTTGCCCACCTTTTCTATGTATGAACGACCATCGAACTAATCTTCGGAGGACTTACTTTCTTGTTAACCTTGTCTGCTACTTCAGTTACTTTCTCTGTCACGGTAATCCTCGCAACGGCAGTGGAGTGGATAGGCCGAGCGTTGGCAACAACAGAGCGAGAGATTATTCTGAACATGGTGAAAGTTTATGGGGCGTTTGTCTCCGGGAGTGTGGCTTAAATACGTTCTTCGTTGGGAGACCTGCGTCAAGCAATCGTCATTGCTGCCAAAATGCCATATATGGGTCTGCCTCCTGTTGTCACTCTTTGCTTCCTCCTTCCATCATCTCTACATAGAGCTACTTAATGGCGACGTCTTTTGTTTTTGTGAGTCTCGCCGCTGTCTCTACACCATTTTAACTACTTGTTGCAGCCTCAGCATAGTACTACCACTACCGCCACCCGCAAACCACGGCCTCCACCGCTTGTTTTTCCAGCAAAACTCGCCAGCCCAACGATAGATTCGCGCGCCGTCTCGCCTGACTTTGATTCTCGCTCTATCTCGTCCATCTCAAGCTCGCCAGTCTCGTCTGCTTCCAGCGAGGGAAGCCCAACTAGTGTGGTCGGATTTGCCTCCCATCGCCTTTCGCATCATTCTAGAACGCCGTCTACTCTGGTCGGATTCGGTCGCAAGCAGCACTTTCACAGACATTCCATCGCCGCCCAGTCGCCTCCTTCCGTCGATTTCAGCCGCAAGCATGATAACCGACGATCTGTTTCGGCACCCATCTCGCGCCACAGCCGTTCACTCTCGCTTGCGGCAGACTACGAAACAGCGTCTAGCAACATCCTCGGCTCATCAGTCCCCAAGTCTGGCATTCGACGTGGAACAAAGCCCTTGCTCCTTCCTCAGCAAGTCAAGGCCAAGAACCGCCAGTCATTCACATCTCGCGCGAAACGTACGCTGATTCTCCGCATTGTTGCTCTTGCTACGGCTGCTCCGATTGAATTCGTTTTGAATCGCCTGGCTATCCGGACTACCCCGCGGCGAGTTCTCACTGATGATGAAGACGAGGAGAAGGCATTGTTGGAGCCAGACTCTCAGGCTGACACGAATTCGGATGAACGCGAGTCTCATGAATATCAATTGAAGAGGGTTTGGTTCCTTTACCGTTTCCTGCGTGCGTTGGCGAAGGTTTGAGACGAGAATACACATTACCAGCTACCCTGCCTGTCTTTACTACACATATGACCCATTCATGACTTTCAATTATTCAAGCCAAGTTATTAATACGAGAGTAAAGATAGAGCGACCACCAGGGCTGGTTGCGTATTCAAGAAGATGACCGTTGACGAGAACGTTCCCACCCTTGTGGACGTTGGAAATTTGACGAGGAAGGATCCAAATCCCCGTATGGTCGTTGGCTCCCGATGCCAGCTGCCACCTTCTGATCTCGTCCTGCCCACCAATTGCCTGACGTGTTTCCGTTATAAGCAGGGGGCGGCATCGTGACAGGTCCAGCATTGACAGACGATACGAAGAGTGGCGATGGCGCTGGGGAAAGGCGAGGAGTAGATGCAGGCGAGGGGGTAAGGAATGAGGGGTATGCTTTGACAGCACCTTTGGGCATATATTGTGCATATACTCCGCGCCGTTTTCGATGTCGACGAATCAGGAATACTGCGAGAAGTGCAAGCATCACGAGAACCGCAAAGACTAGGACGCCAACAACTGCCATTGTCGCGCTGGAGATACCCTTAGTTGACTTGGCAGCATTCAGGCCTTGTGCTTGGTGGTCGCTATCAACTGTGTAAACAATCGAGTCAAGGATCATGAGCGAGTCTGCGCCGCCTTGAATGCCATTCTGGATAGTTAGTGTGTGCGGGGCAGATGTGAGCTGCTCAAGAACAAAGACTGGAACATTATAGTCGAAACCAGTCGAGGAGGTTGCCATGCGAGAAAACTGGCCAGCTTGGACACCGTCGATGTAAAAAGTTAGCTGGATGTTTCCGTTGGGAGCAAAGGATGTGCGTGGAATAGCGCAAAAGACGTAAACTGCCGATCCTTGAAATAGTTCGATTAGCGGTTGCCCTCGGAATTGCAGACGCGTCAGTTACCATTAAATGCGGCAGTCGCGGTCGAAGGAACATTGGGGTGTTTGTTTGAGCTGGCCCGACTGAACTACAAGGGTGTTAAATCGAAACCGATTCAGAGAAAGGTAACACACTGTGGATTCATGCCAAGTTCCCCCAACTAGCTTCGTATCATCCGGACGAGCGGCACAAGTCGGAGAATTTGCCTTGCAGCTAGTGCGGGTATCCCATGCGTCGATTGGGGAGTAGATGATTTGTGCCTTGGTGAGAGTGTCGCCGAGTTCGTCGTCAATTGTAACGTTAACAAGTGCAGCCCAGCCGGAGAGAAACCAAAGAGAGAAAAAGCACCATGAACTAAGGAGCATGGCGCCAGAAGTCGCGGACTTCTGGGAGAGTCCAGCGCCCAAAGAAGAGGAACAGAAAAGAGGGCTGGCTGTTGACAGGCATGTCGCAGGTCCGTTGATGAGACGGATGATGGGATAATTCGTAAAATTGCAAATAAATTTGTATTCTTCAAAAGATGCTACGATGGGAAACGGGTGCAAGCACGAGTAAAGTACACAAGAGTTAAGTCAATTTCGCCTCTCCTGCCACTCCTTCTTAATAGCTGCCTTGAAATCCAAGAATGACATGTCACTGTTAGGTTCGAAGTGGTGGATTATTTTGTGGGTGTCATCATTCACGTAGTCGAAGGCCTCGTAGTGTCGCAAGTCCTTCGCGCCATAAGAGTAGCATTGAATAGTGCAGCAGATAGACCCATCGCGACCTATGAACGACTGCTTAGGAATGTCGGACAGAAGACAAAAAACTAACGCACTTTCGTTTGAAAGCTGATGCACTTGATAGTTATTAGGATCAATCCAAGTAACGTCTCCTCTGCTTAAGTTGGCCGGTGGACCAATTGGCACGGCATCGTAGAGACTAGTGAAATAGTAGGCCTTGATGCTGCCATGAAGCACCTTGATTATAGCATGCGAATCTCCGTGGTTGTGAATTGGAGATCTATCACTGCATCAGCATCTTCGCAGAAAATCCAGAGGGACCATACGCGTGCAAAGCGGGCCAAATTTCCAAGACAAAGGGGGCTCCTGGAGAGTTCCCCAAGTCAGAGCCAAGTGTGATGCGGAGGTATGTGCTTTTATAATCGTCGGGACCAAATTCAGTGCTTTTGTTCTTCAACATGGTTTGACAGAGGAGACCTTCGGTATTGACAGAGCGCTCGATAGCCTTGCTGAACTCGCGGAAATCTTCTGTGTCGAGTTCGATTTTGCTCCCAGCAACGTTGGCATAGAGCCGTTGACATTCGGGACTTAAGTTAGCAGCCACGGTGGCGCTTCCAGTAGCAAGCTGTTCAAGAGTGATAACGTCGTTTGGCAGGATTATGGGAGGAAGTTTCTGGACCACTGGCAGAGGGAGGTAGACTAGTTGTAGCGGGGCCTGGGACGGTGAGTTGAGCATATGGTGCTGCGTTAAAAGACGAATCTCACAGCAGTAGGACTGCCACCAGTTTGTTGGACAGAAACCGTTGTAAGCTCATCAATGAAAGCAAACTAGAGATGAACAGATGAGCTTCGAACTCGCAGACAACAAAAGTATGGTACATACCTTCTCGTTCTTCCAGTGGTAAACCCCCGGAGGCACCCGCTGCTTCAATTCTGCCTGATACATGGCCATCGACAGGTTGGCGTAGTCTCTTCCAAAGCGCAATATTCCGTTCTTATGATCGACCGAGAGCCAATAACGAGCAGGGTAAGGCATATCAGGGCGAAGGTATGAGCTGGTGGATTGTGCCATGGGTTGACCCTCGATGGCGACTTTGTCCGCAGGAAGAAAGCCGGAACTGCCTTGAGGTGGGGATGGCCCATACCAGAAATCCACGGTCGTCTCGGAAACTTGCACGTAAAGAGTCGATTTGGAAGAATCATTGGTTGAGAAGGCAAACAAGAGAGCAAGTGGACCGGTGCAGTTAGCGACAACCGTTCCTTGCCCGCGGATGTTCAACTTGGTCTTGGCATTATAGGTCAGATATGACCCAGGCGCATCGCCGGAGACGGTGTCGAGAGGTTTGGCAGTAACTACTGTCAAAACGCTTTTCAACGTCGGGCTGTATGGTGGTGGGGCATCGACGTGGGGCACAGCGAGTTTCACAGATTCGGTAAACACGTCCGAGTTATGGACGACGTTTCCTGGAGCAAAAACATCGAAGAAGCTGCTAAAGCGGTCGGTCATAGTGTTGGTGGGCTTTGGGTTCTGGGTGAGCGGTTTATAAACCTTTGTGCGTCCGGAGATTTGGAGCAGCCGTGGCAAGTCGCCCTGGACTAATGAAGCGCGACAGGCTACATTATTAACCATGTGTCCTGTTTTCTCCACCACTCCACTGTGGCCATTGTACTTTATGTGGTGAAGAATGAGGGAGGCGAACAAGTTTGGCATTCGGCATCGAAGAACATGAAGGCTTGAAGCAAGAGACGACACGGTCCCGTGACTCCAACTGTGTGGATTGATTCACGCGCAATGGCGCTGAGCAGTCGTTTGCACATCAAATTCTCTGCGCTCTCTATTCACCATCGCAGACCGCTTACCGCAACCGTTTACTCAAGGTCAGAATTAACAATTTAGATAACAGCAATACGACATAAAATCTATTCTACTCTATTGGTTTGTCCTGGGCGTGAACTTCATCCTGCAGCCATCCTTCGGGAACAAAGTTGCGATAATCCTTTGGAAGAAGTTAGAAGCTAGACACGGAAAACACCGGAAAACGTACTCGACTTTGTTTGTTGTTGGCGTTATTTCATGCTCCCAGTCAAACATCATGGCAGCAATGCCTAATACCAAAGCGATATTCATAGTCGCATATTCCAGTCCGATGCAACGATGCGGTCCAGACCCCCACACGAGGTAGTTTTTGGGATTTGAGTTCGCGAGACCATTTGGATCAAGCCACCGCTCAGGTTGGAATTCATCAGGTTCAGGGTAGACGTCAGGATCGTGGAGGGAGGGATAGAAAGAGGGAATGAGCATGCTGCCAGCGGGAACGGTATAATCATCGGAAATGGGGAAGGCTTTCGTCGACTTATATGGGACCTACGCATGATGAGTTCAAATCATTATTACTTGCCAATGCACGAACCATGACCACTGGTGGTTTAACGCGAAGACTCTCCTTCACTACTGCCTGCAGATACGGCATTTGGTCCATCAGTTCCAGAGTGAGAGGAGTGTCGTAGTTGCCCTGAAGCACACGCTGTTGCTCTTCCCGTACTTTGGCCAAAATTTCGGGGTGGTCGACAAGGTGTTGGAAACCGTAGATCAAGCCGCTGCTCATAGCATCTTGCGAAGCAAAAAGGAAGGAGAAAACGACCATTGCCATCTCATGGTCACTGAATTCGCGACGACCCTTGTAGGATGGATCATTGAGAAGCTGCACCCATTCGTCAAGCAAGCAAGTGGGTTCACCACCACGTGCCATTTCGATTTTGCTGTTGTGCGCAGCGAGAGTGAGCCACCGAAGCGCGACTTTGCGCGCTTGAATTGCTTTGTAAACTTTGGTCCCAGGAAGTGCGAATGGGAAGTTGACCAACTCAAGTGCTTGAGTGATGAACCAGTATTTGTCGCTGATCTCCCTCGTCGCCTCTTCAGGAATATGGTTGCCGCAAAAGACACGAAGAGAAGTATCCATGTTGAGGTAGCGAGCGTTCATCATGATTGGACGAGGTGAGGACGAATACTCCTTGGCCCATTGCGCGAAGTGCTTGCGCGTAATCGCATCCTGAATCGTGATATACATCCTAACAGACATGAGTTGCTTCATGATTGGGAAGGGAACCAAACTTGCCCGATGGCCTTGCGAGTGAACAGGTTGTTCAAGCCGCGACGGTAATCCACATGAGTTTTTCCTGTCAGAAATACCCTACAAGCGGTTTAGCCTTCATAGAAAGAATAAATAAGCGGGCAACACACCAGTTGTCGGGCAGAAGTATTTGTTTGGCCGAGTAGACCAGACATGGCTCAGCATACGTGGGGGAGTTGACAATTTTGCGAGCGTATTCATTTGACGACGCCATGACGATGAAGCTATAAACTATAAGAACTAGAATGAAGAAGCGAAAGGTCCGTTACATGTTGAACACGCTGACCGCACTGAGGACCCCAGAATTCCACTGCTTCATGTAGTTTTCCATCGTTGGGCTCATCGAATCGGCGAATTTACCGATGAGCGGGATAGTCCACTTGGCGCCAGGGAGGTGACGCTTTTTCATGCGATACACAGTTTGCTCGAGTGCGAGAAGTGCCAATAACACTGCTCCGGTTGTGTAGAGCCATGTGAAGGTGCCATCTGAGCTTTTGAACGACTGGGAAAATGAGTAGAGTGGAGATGACGTGGAAGACGGTATCCCGGCTGCTGCAGACTTGGAAGTACTGAAGAAAGCCATGGGTGACAAACCTCAGGTGGTTCGATTCTCAACTTATTTCCAGGCATGACACGATAATGTTGTGTCGATGGCGGCAATCAATTTCGCTCATTTTTCCACGCGTCATATGACAGGTTCGCCTTTGCCTCCTGTGGTCAGATAAAAGACTCTGCGTTGGGCTACGACGTGAATAACAATAATTCGGTGGCCCTCACAATATTCACTATAAATCATAGCTCATCACTTACGAAATCACGATGACACAGTCAAATCATTATCATCAAAAAAAAAAAATTCTGCGGTTCTGTAGGCTGTTTGTTTAGAGGGAAGCTTTGAGATGTCCGGTATCTACGTCGCTTGTCAATTTACTAGTCATAGACTCGTCCTCTACTTTCCTTTCCTCTAATTTTCAGATCAATTTCTGATGTCCATATTTGATGGTGCAATTAGTGATTACGTCACAACTGCCCTTCAACTCAAGACACTGGCATGAAAGGAGCTTTTCGTCTGACCTGCTTTGCGCCACCATGGCCAAGTCTTTCATTTCACACCGGCGACGCTCATTGCTTGTTCTACCGCTAATATTCATGGTTTTACTCCTACGTTCTCTTCCAAATCCGGATTCGATCATGCTTGGTCGACCTGGCACTACCAACATTGACCTTTACAAACCTCTTATTACTTACTCAGATCGCCTGCATTCATGGATTCCTGAAAATCAACGAACAATTCACGGCTTGTTTCTCTGCATGGAAGCCAAGAACTGTGCGCAGAATCAAACGAAAGGTGCGTCAGGGCACCTTTTATCTGCTTGCCTCACGTTGAATAGTCATCGTTCTTGCGAGTCCTGAATTCATCGAGAACAAAAAAGGTGGATATGTAAGCGGCGAAAACATCTGGGCGTTCAGCACCGTGTCAGCGCTGCAGAATATGGGGTATACCATGGTCTATGCCGAATCAACCGACGTGGCCGTCACACTCTACCACATCCTCGATCCGCTCGTAGAGATGGTTATATTCAACCCCGATCAAGCCTTCGAATGTTTCAATGCACCATTATGTGTCCGTAGCGAGGAAAATCCAGCAGGAATCCCTGCTTGGCGGATATTTTCATTCTGTTTCTGGTCAGGGCTCGGCACTGCTCTCAAAATCAATCCTCTTGGGGACAAATGGTCCCTAAGCCCCGAGGTAAATAATAGCATCTCTCGAAACTGTCACTGACCAAGCTCTCCGTAGGATTACCCGGGCAGAGAAGCTAGCTACGTCGGCTATTCTATCGAAGCTCAGTGTCACAAACAACGACATGTTCCGAAAGAGCAACGCAAGCATCAAGCGTATATATTGGGCAAACGCATAGGACTTTTTAGTCCGCAGAACACGGCTTGGGCACCAGAGTTGTACGATGCGGCAGCAACTGAAACCGGAATCGCATTCATCGCAGCAGCATATCAGGAAACGCGTGACCCTACACCCAAGTTGTCGAAAGCGATAACAAACCTTCTGGCGCCAGGCCAGGAAATTTTGTCTCAAGACAAGTTTTATGATCACCTGGCCCATTCCAAAGTTCTTGTGGGCCTAGGAGACCCCGTACTGTACGGGAAAATGTCCCACTCCGGTATTTTTGCTCAAACAACGCAGATCCCCGACGCCTTACGACGCCCTCTGCCTCGGCGTTCCCTTCATCAATGTTATCAGAAGCTGGGATAGGACGAATCCAGCTGATAAAAGCCGATGGGCTGCGCAACATGGATTCCTTAAACGACTGGATCCGCCCTACGTTTATAATGTGTTCGCTGGAGACCGCAAAGGATTCGTAGACGCTGTTAAATCAGCTGTCGCAAATCCCATCGAGAGGTACTATAACATCTTGACCGTCTGCAGAATTTGAACGTCTTCCCAGCTACATAGTGGACGCGATGAGAATAAGCGCAGTAGAGAAGCGACTAGGGGAGCTTTTACAGCGCAACTGGCGATCCGAAGCTATCGAATTATTGGAACAAAGGAGAAGTGGCCGAGAAAGCGGACCAGTAAGTTATCTTGGTCGCATTTTCTTCATCAACTCAAAATGTGACAGTTGTTCCATGTCGAGTAATGGTCGTATCTAAAAGTTTTTAATACTAGACTAACACTGGTGGTTCATTAGACAGGAAAGTAGGACGACTTGGATTGTATAATATGAACTCGATAAAATGCTAGACACGTTTGACTTTTAGCGGAAGTGAACTCATTGCAGTTCCTTTCACCCTGGGACGGATGACAAAACTCTGGAATGGCTCGATTTCGTGATCACAACGCACAGAGAATTGACGAATGAGAGCCACAATCAATGCCTAATGTCGGAGTCAATTGGTACGATTGGTTAAAGAAGGCAAGAGACCGGCCTTGATCTCAGCTTGTGCAAAACGCGCTCCGATGCAGGACCTAGGTCTAGGTGTCCCATGATAACCCGTCATATCAAAATATAAAGCGGCTCACCCTTCGCTGAAGGCGAGAAGACTTGGATGGTGCTGACTCTGACCATCCATCCAACGTCGAGGACGGAAAATATGTGCATCGTCACCCCAGAGTTCACTGTCTGTCTGCATCACATTGACGGGAATGAAGAGAATGGTGCCTTTAGGAATAACAAGCCGACTTTCCGAAGTTCCGGGGATGGGTTGAGACAAGGGCACACTGGTGGTTACAGCAGCCTGTTCAAGTTGATAGTAAGTCGAACACAGCCCAGTGTAGTCAAAAATATAAAATACCTCATGATGATTTTCAAGAATCGGAGGGTGCAAACGAAGAGTTTCGAGAAGGACACCATGAAGGATTGGGAATCGGGTGGAGAGTTCGTCAAGCGTTGGATCGGTATTATGTGATGAGATTTCCACTCGAAGCTCTTCCTGAGTTCGAGGGTTGATTGCAAGCTCATAGAGGACCCACTAAGGTTGAGTTAAGTCGGGATATGGCGTCAAAACCTAAATGATAGCTCACAGCGACTGTGCTGGAGACGGGTTCGTACTGGTGATTATTCAGGATGACTTGAACCAGCTCTTCGAGATAAATATTACACACCGCAGCAGAGAGAATGGTTCGCATTTGCGCGACGATCTCATCTAAATCCATCCTTTGCTCTGAAGCGGCGTCCGCTTTTAACATTTGCGCCATCAGAGTTTTTTCATAGGAGTCGTTAGCCAACTTGGCGTCACGCCACATCTTGCGAGCGACTTGTCCGAGTTCCATCTTGGTGCGACGAACCATCTCCCCTTTCTTACCGATGTTGAGAATGGAAGGAAAGATCCAAAATAATGCGCGCATGTAGAAAGAAGTTGCATTGTGCTGAGTGTTTGTCAACCCATCCAAGGCCTAGGAAGAACTGAGAAATCAATTGAACTTCGCTCGCTGAACGGGTTGTACTTCGAGCAGAGGACTAGGATCCCCAGATAACAGGTCGAATTCGTGCGAGAAAGCGGCGCGGCCAACGCTTTCGAGTCTGGAAATGGAATGAAGTTTTGTGAAGAAGCTTGACAAAACGAACGCAAAACGACCGGCCCAATTAGTCACTTCAATTTCAATTTCGTCGCGACCAAGATCGTCCATCATATGTAGCCACTGAACAGCTAGCTTGCTGGAGATTTCATGGAAAACGGGCATGAAGTTGCGAACAGATGGTTGGCTGAAGGCTGGAGCCAGAAGTCGCCGTTGTCTTTCGTGACTCTCTTTGCCTTCCACGTACAATATCCCCTTGCCTACTTGAAATAAGACACAGAAGCCTCGATAGCGAGAAGCATTACCCAGAGTTTTTTGGAACCAAATTCTGACGCCATGGGGTTTGGGGAAGTTATAAATGCCCTCCGCACCAAGGATGTATGAGATGGCACTTTCATCGGTTATGCAAAGCATTGGGTGCTACAGCATGCAGTCAGCGGTTGTCATACGTTTGTCTGTCTGGTACTAAACGCACTCCGAAGGCTCCGCTGATCTTGACGACCTTGCCAAAGGTTCGTTTCCAACCATGATAGTGGGAGCCTGGTTTGGTGTGATAAAGCTTCCACTCCTCGCCCCAAACGAGTGAAGGAGAGTTAGGACCGGGGACGTGACTGAGTGCCCGACGAGAGACGAAAAGGCCGTAGGAGAATCTGCAGACAAGGAGTAAAGCCGAAACGGCAACTGCCTCTGGCCAGGAAATCATGAGTTGGGGGTTTCAGATGCAGCCGCTATTTATCGAATGGTCGACGGTATTCGGTTGCATCGGCATTCCAGTGCTTCGCTGATGGTCAAAGACCAGGCTCGCCCACCGATCCAGATATGGACAAGCTTTTAAAAGATCGCGGGCGTCAGCAGTAAAGAACGCGACGACCCACATTGTACGCGTCTTCCATTGTGAACTGACACAGCTAGTTTCAACTAAATTTAGGCCATTACATGCGCTGAGAGTTTGAAGCACGCGAGGAGAAGACACTCGGGAAGAAGCAGCCGGGGTAGTGATTTCCTTGAGCTTGCAAACAGAACGAAATTGTGTTGTGTGGGTTGAAAGAAGATGGGCCAGAGGCTGTGACGCTTGATTGTTCGCTCGCTACGTGTAACTTCTGGTCTGCGCAGCCCGGCCTTGGCGCACTTGTATGTCGAGAAGAAACCCTACAGGCAAAGGCAAACAAACCGGCGAAGATATGCCTTCAGACACCCATGCCATCTCTTCGTCCCTTAGCGGAATTGCAGTCTCTCCTCGAACTTCAAAACACGCCCACCGGTCTAGTATGGAGGACGACACGGTTGACGAGGTAGAGCTTAGCCTTTTGGGGGAAGAAGAACGTCGTGAGGCTGCCCATGGACTCGATATTGAGGAGCAACATGTCCAACCACATTCCTTATCCACCGAAGACAAAAAGGCCATGGTTTTGCTGTGTGTTCTATGTGCGTCCGTCATCCGTTCTATTTTTTTCGTGCTTCATCTGCCAATAGACCTAATACAAGGGGTTCCTGTGCGTTTTATTGTTCGAATAGGGTGCTTAGTGCTAATGAATCCCTAGTTGGGTCTCGCTCTCGGTCTGTTCCAGTAATTTTGGGTACAAAACTACCTTTGACGTTCTCCAGGATCGGTCCCTTTTATTCTCAGAGAGAATTTATCATACTCGCAGCTGGGGACCTTTGCGCTCTCCGGCTATCCATATTCCCTTAAATTGTTATGGTCTCCCATCGTGGACTCAGTCTTCATTCCGTCTATTGGCCGCCGCAAGTCTTGGATTATACCAATGCAACTTATAATCGGAACTCTCATGCTCTATATTTCCCTCAACGTGCAAGTATTAATGGACAACGTCAGTGGCCTTGGGCAACGCGCGCGTGCAACAAAACTGACAACCATTTCGCTAGGCAAGCCACCATGTCGGACAGCTCACCTTCCTTTTCACCTCCCTCGTTTTCTTCTCGGCTACGCAAGGTGAGCTTACCATTCACCTCTACCGCTATTCACTGAGATGTTGTTCCACAGATATCGCAGTCGACGGTAAAACCATCCAAATCTTTTCCAGCTCTAGTTCTGAGACGAATTAGGATGGGCTCTTACCCTCCTCTCACCCGAAAGTCTATCGTATGCATCAACATGCCAAACTATCGGCCTGAACACGGGATTCTTCGCGTCGTTTACCGTGTTTCTCGCGTTTAACAGTGAAGCTTTCGCGTGGGTACTTGATTCTACTCGCGAACACTTTTTGAGGGTTTTTGCAGGACCAAATGGGGTGTACCACATCTCAGTCTTAGTGGCTACCTGAAGTTCTGGTGTGTTATGTCCTACGCAGTTAGTCTGTGGCTACTGTTTGCCAAAAAGGAGGTTAGAGCGTCCTTGGCTGTCACCTTCCGAAGCTCACCCAGTCTGAAGAGGAAAGAAGCGCTCAGCGATGTTGATCTCAGTATCAGCGCCGTGTATAAGCAGATATGGGCCATTTGCAAGCTTCGCCGTGTGTTGCATTTTTGGCCTGTTCCAAGTCATCAATTATCATTTTTCTTAGATGTTCAGCTACTTATTCTCATGCATCTGTTTGCCAAAATTGGGTTCGCCGCCAACGAGGCTGCGACATCCCTCAAGATGGTTGAAAAAGGTTTCCTTCGAGAGGATTTGGCTATCGCCGTTCTCATTGACTTCCCCTTCCAAATCACCGGTGGATGGCTAGCCGCAAAATGGTCACGAGGAGACCATCCTTTGCGCCCTTGGCTTATCGCCTTTTGGCCACGTCTCGGGTTCGCCCTCATGGCGACACTGATTGTGTACTGGTTCCCCAGACCACCAATTACCATGGGCTTCTTCATTTTCCTCATCATTCACACCGTCTTTTCCTCGTTCGCGAGCACAGTCCAATTTGTAGGAATTTCAGCGTTCCATACTCGAATTTCCGACCCACTCATCGGAGGGACATACATGACGGTACGCTCCGAATAAAGTCGTGGTTCCGCGTTGATTTTCCCAACCAGCTTCTGAACACATTCACAAACATGGGCGGGACATGGCCGAAGTGGTTTGTGCTCAAAGGTACATCTTTTTCTCGGTAATACCCCTGCCTCTAATTGCTTGCAGGTGTCGACTTGTTCTCTGAGGCCACATGCAAAGTGAAATCGGGCAGCACACCACTGCTCACAAAAGGCATGTCAGAGACCGATCACTCCCATCAAATGTTAATCCTCTTGATAGTGTCTGAATGTGTGTCTGACGCAGGTAAAGAGGCCTGCAAGGCTGCTGGAGGAGAGTGCCACATCGAAAAAGATGGGTACTACGTCGTTTCCGGAATTTGCATGGTGTTTGGAGCAGCATTCTTGGTATTCTACATCATTCCAACGGCTCGACGTCTACAGGGTGAGTTTCTGGTTGGTATTAGTTTCCCTCTTCTAAAAGATGACATTTAGCGCTGCCTACATCGGCGTGGCGGGTGAAGATGAGTTGAGAATGGAAGTAGGGTTGTCTCTTTTAGGATACTTTTTGTCATCAACGCGTTACCTACTTTTTCCAAACACACATCGCGAACAGTCGTAAAGCTCGCCTATGTCTACTCACACAATGCAATCGTCGACGATGCAATTTGGCCCTGAATGGATGCGCGTTAAGCAACCTGCGAAAACCCCACAAGGACCGTCACCACCCCCGCCAACAGGAAATGCTGCAAGCGCGTCCAGCTATTCTGCCTTGGTGTCGCCTTCTCCAGCCCCGCCAGTCGAAAAGCGGGACGAAACCCATCCATTCAGGTATACAAGGGACGAGATGCTCAAAATCTACCGTGATGGGGGAGGAAAGGCCAGTCTTGGGCTTGAGGTCGAGCGGCACGAGGGAATCGTAAGAGATGTTGGAACGGAGCCAGTCACTTTGAAAGAAATGAGCGACTCGGAAAAGAAGGTGCACAATCCGTGAATAATCTTGGTGGCCTCTGCTCACTTTCGCAGCTCTTTGCCAACGGACTCAACTCTGAACTTCGCCGTCGCCCCTCCATTGACACTGACCGGCCCCGTCTCCCTCATAATAACTCTGGGACGGGGAGTCCGTTGCGAGAGCGATTTCCCAGGCGTCGGGAAAGCTCAGGTATGCACTAAATCACAGTCTACTCTCTTGCTCATTTTTTTTTCAAGACCAGTTAGTACCACGACGACTTTCTTTGTCCAACAGCCAGGCTCCTCTTTCCCCTGCCCTTCCCTCCCCTCGTACTCGATTTGGACATCCTCCGACCTTTGATGGGGTTCTAAATGGTGGCGGGGAAACATGGGTGGCCAGACGTCGTCTTTCCGAAGCCAAGGCCGCCAACGCGTCGCGTGATCCTGAATCACACGAGGCGCGCACCACAGACATCCGGGAAGAGGATGAGGAGCCAACCCCTCCTCCAAAGGAGCTCACTCCCCCAATGCAAAAACCAGAGCCTAATGGAGCGGAGGTCAAACAGCAACAACCACCTCAAGATTTCGCCGCAGTCCAGTGGTCCTACCTAGATCCACAGGGTCAATTGCAAGGTGAGCAAGTATATTGCTTCTCATTAGCCATTTCTCACCCATTTTTAAGGCCCATTCCGCGCCGATACGATGCAAAAGTGGTTTGACGAAGGTTACTTCACCGCCGAGCTTTTAATGAAGAGGACCCACATCGATGTTGATTGGGTGGCTGTCAAGGATTTGGCTCAAATCGCACGATCTGCCGGTATCGACAAGTTGTTCTACGCTCCTTCTGTTCCTCCAGCTCCCCCCGGCATTTCCCGTCTAAACAGCGAATCATCTGCTCAAAATGTCCCTGATGCGAATTCGTTTGCTGCACCATTGCAGCCTGCCCCCGTCCGCACTCTCCGTAGCACTACTTTGGATGCTTTCTCCACAAACTCTGACTCTCCTTCCTCGTCATTCGGCACAGGTCGTTTTGGAAACGGATCCCCCGACTCCAACAGTTTTGGTGGTCGAGCCAGCAGTCAATACTCTGCCGAAGCCGCTCGATTTGGTGTCCCTCCCGAAAACTCATCTTCCTTGCGTCGAACCGGCTTTGGTGACCCAACACTTGATCATTCTGCACATAATCCTCGGTATACCGGCAACGAGATATATGGCACAAATGGAATGTCTCAAACAGCTTGGCCGGTTGGTCAGACGTTTGACACTGGTTTTGGTGTTGCTGGTTTGGGCCAAGGATCTGGTTTTGGACATCTTCGCAACGTTCAGGATGCAGGTTTTGTCAACGATACTCCTTTAGCTGTCCCAGAATACCTTGCGAGCAATGCTGGGTTCGGCCCTGGTCAACAGTATAATCCTCTACATGGAGGTTCCTTCATTCCATCACAATCTCCCGCCGCCAACTTATTTGCGCAAGGGTCTAAAGCGCCTCCCCCTCCACCAACCGTTGTTGCAACCCAATCGCCTTGGGGTGCTCCGCGAGTTGCTTCTGATTCCGCGAGGTTACCACAAAATCAACCACCCAGCCCCGTCCAAGCTTCCCCTTGGGGTGCCCCAGCTATGGCATCCACTCCTTCTGTACCTAAACCTGCAGAACCCTCTCCATGGTTTGCTGCCTCGCAAGGTGTCATTGACGACAGCAGCTGGAAAGAAGATCGCGGTCATAGTCTTACCTTCAGTAATCTTGGGCAACACAATCAGCAGTTTGCCGCTACGACTACAGAAGAAGCTCCGAAGGCCCAACCCATTCCATCTCCAGAGCCGCTCGCAACAGAAACCCCAGCGAAAGCTACTCAACCAACTAAAGCTAGGGCTAAATCTATCCAACAACCTGTTGTTCAGCAACCGGCTGTCGCCCCAGTGGTTGCAGAGAACGAGCCTGTCATTCCGGCTGGACAGTCAAAGACCGCATGGGCAAAGGACGATGATTCAAAACGGCCCAAACCTTCAGGAGTCACTCTCAGCTTGCGAGACATTCAAGATGCTGAGGCCAAAAAAGCTGCAACTCGCAAGGTGGCTGCAACAACTACCCGTCCTACTCCTTCTACTGCGCCTTCCACTGACGAAATTCAACCTTTCACTGCCTCGTGGGGATTACCAACATCACAAGCCGGTGCCAGACCACCTCCAGTCAAAGAGGCTCCTCCTGTTGTTGCTTCGACGGCCAGTGGAACTTCAGTGGGGGCTTCTGGTACTCCAGCCCCTGTCTGGACAAATGCAGTGAAAACGACTGCGACCAAAAAGTCGATGAAGGAGATTCAAGAAGAGGAGGAGAAGCGGAAGAAATTAGCTGTGAAGGAGAGTGTTGCGCCGGCTGCTCGCAGAGCTTATGCGGAATCAACAACTAAGGTCTGATATAACACTGCAATCTTTTTTTTGTGTGACAATATTTAGGCTGCGGCTCCTCCCCCAACCACTGGAGGCGGTGCTTGGACAACTGTCGGGGCCCCCAAAGCCAGCGCACAGACCCCAGCAGCAGCACCTACTCGTTCTGCAGTGCCCAATGCGACTCCGGCCGCGAGCTCATCTAATGCTCCCCGAACGAATGGGACAACTGCTCCTCCGAGAAGTGCCCCTCCGCCAGCTAAAGCACCTGTTGCCAGGCCAGAAGAGCACCCTGCTACTCCATCCCATGAGTTTGTGCGATGGCTGAGTGATGCCCTGAAAGGTCTCAATAGCTCAGTGAATGGTAAGATTATCTTTATCTGATTCGGAAACTATTTTTGATATTTCTCGGCAGTGGAAGAAATCATGTCCATGTTGCTGTCTTTCTCTTTGGACCCAGATGCATCCACAGTTGAGCTAATCTCTGACCTGATCTATGCCAATAGCACGACACTTGATGGTCGTCGATTTGCCTCGGAGTTTGTCAGCAAACGCAAGGCGGACGCACTATCTCGACCAAAGGCGGGTACAACCAAACTTGTTTCGATTGCAGATGTGGTCAAGGCTCAGCCGAAGCCACCGGCCTCGTCGGAATGGGGTGGATTCAAGGTCGTGAACAAGAAGAAGAAAGGAGGACGATCGTAAATAATGTAATGTGTGCCGCTGTAATGGCGGGAAATAATTTGTTTACTCTCTTCTGTTGTGACATGTGATCGTGGGTATGATACGTGACGAATGTGACTGACCTCTTGTTGAACGGTAACGTGCTCATCTCGCGTGTTGGATTCTGCGATGGTGAAGGAGCAGTCTGGTCGGCGCAAGTCTATCGCGGTCGCTGGTGACCAAAATCGGCCTGTGGCTCTGAGTAGGAAGCGGCGTGCTCATAGTATTGTGGGAAGTGATGTGCTCAGTCCCCGAGCCAAAGCACGACGATTTGCGGTGCGTCGCAATTTCTTTGTTCATTCAAACTTATTCATGGACTCCTCCCGTCAGGTGCCACGCAAGAGCATATTGAAGTCGACCGCGAATGTCCTCGATGCCAATCCCGATGGGTCAGGCACCCTGCCCACGGAAAACAGCGCAACCCAATCTATGGATTTGACGACAGATTTCCAAACACAAATTCACGACAACACTAGTAGAAAGTCGCTCGGGCGACGAGTCAGCTTTGCGAAGAACGCACATGTCCGACTAATCGAGTTGCGGACAAATGACGATAACACCAACAGCACGGCCTCTCCTCCCGGCTCTCCTGCAGCATCCTCCGACCCACCAGAAGATCCCCAACAGCCTAAAGTTGTGAACGATGAGAATGCATACCCAGGAGCTGCAGCGTCTCGGAACAGACGACGTAGCTCTATTCGCCAATCGTTTGGGAGCGAGGATATGGACTTGACTGTAACGGCCCCGGGTGGCTTTTTTGCCTTCGGTGACGAGCCTGCACTTGCGGATGAAGATATGGAGCTTGAGGACTCAATGGACATGGATATGACAGAAGACTTGGATGGCGAGTTTCTGAAAGGGCGACCTGTTTCGCTGGGTGGAAATGCGAATCGACCACCACTTGGACAAATATCTACCGCGCCAGCGGGCGAGCAGGACCAATCCCAGTCGTTTGACGACCAATCATCTTATACCTCCGACCCATCGCAAGAAGCACATACCGAATTCAGTGTACCTCTGAATCGTTCGCTTCGCCCGCCTGCAAGCGAGGACCCGGCTTGGATGGCTCTGAGGCGGATGACTCATTCTGGCGATACACCACTGGAAGACATACCTGCGTCGTCAGACGACGATTTTGGGGGCAACCAAGTTGTCTATGAAACCGGCGATGCCTCAATTTCGAGCGCTGACGACAGCTTCAACGACATCAACAATGGCGACAGGACCATGAACTTGAGCCAGGTGGTTGGGCGTGTTAGTATGGCCGGCTCTGGACCACGGTTCAGCATGGGCCAGCCAGACTCAACGATGGAAGAGTCTGAAATATATGGCACAATTATCCAAGCGCCTGCCCAATCCACACCGGCTCCAGCTCCTCGTCCTCAAGAATCAGCCCCTACGAACTCACGGCCACCTGTTTTCAGAGCACCGTCTCCCTCTAAGGCGTCATCTCCCTCTAAGAAGACAGCAGCAGCAGCGAAGCCTGTTTTCTTCCCTCCCGGTCCCAATAAACGCCCACGAGACAGCGATGTCGATGGTGAAAAGGGAACTCCCTCCAAGAGAGTAGCTGTTGCAGGGCGCTGGACTCCAACAACAACAAGCTCCCCCGCCAAAGGAACAACTCCTCAAAAGTCGGTGGCAAAGCCATTGTCTCCAAGCAAGAAGGCGCCATTCTTAGTCTCGACCAAGGCATCCACCTCTGTTACCCCTGCCTCAGCCCTTCCACGTCCTACAGGCCGGCGACCCAGTTATTTCGACAGACGAAAAAGCATGGCCTCTCTGGGTGTTGAGGGGTCGCAATCAGGTTCTCAGCCTTCTTCCTCCGCTCAGCCAAAATCGCCGCGTAAAACGTCGGGCCTTGGTATGGGTCGGGCAAGTATGGGATCAGCGCCCTCCTCGAACGGTTGGAAACCCTTCAAGAAGCCTTCCCCGACGATTAAAGGAAAAGAAAAGGCGATAGAGCCGGAACCTGAGCCTGTACCTGAACCGGAGCCTGAACTAGAGGAAGACCAGGAAACGGAGATGGAAATTGCCCCCGCTCCTTCGCCTCGAGTGGAATCACCCCCTCCACGGGCTGCCTCGCCAAGGGTCAATGTTACAGACTCGGTTGTGAATGTCTCGTCTTTGGCGGAGGAACGGAGTACTCCAGACAGTGTCGATATGGATGTTGACGCAACTGAACAATGGAGAGATAGAATAGAACAGACGGAGCCTCCAGATGAAGAGATTGTAAGTTTCTTTTCTAACCTGTCGGCTTATGTTAATAATGCTTTGTAGCAAGCGATCACAATTGAGCAGTTCTTCGAAATAACCAATGTCAAATTCATGGATGCATTGGACGCGCCGCGACGGTCAATTCACCATCCATCACGTGTGCCACGGCCCCCGTCGGAGATTCCGCTGGCGGAGTATGGTGTTGCAATGGCCATAACCGTCCCCGAGCTAGATCTTTACTCCAAGATTTGCAACGACCTGCAGAAATGGATGGACACCGATATCAAGGCTGTCTTCGAACAGGAGGAAGAGGCAGCGGCCAAGGTCACCCCGCAACTTTTCACTGAGTATCTTTCTGCCGACGAGGAAGATCGAGAGGCACTATTGGTTTGCAATTTATACTTTCACTGTGATTCTACTTAAAGTTGTTCCAGCATCAACTCCATCTCATCCGAAGCAATGTCCGCACCCAAGCCAAATCGGAGTGGTATGATTGGAAGTTGGAGTGGATTGAGAATCTGCGAGCATCGCTAGACGAGTCGTTGACTGCCCTTCGCAAGGTACGGTTTTTTTTTCGCTTGGTCATCATATCGGCTGACAGGCGGATCAGGATGCCGAGGCTCTGGAACAGCTTCGGGAGCTACCGGATCAGATTCTCCCTGGGTTGCAACAAGAGTATGATGAGCTGATGCGCGAACTTGCGCAAGAGGAGGCGGAGGTTGCGGAGATCCAGAACTGTGACCAGGACTACCTCAATGGGCTCAAAGCGTCTATCGCTGAACAAGAGTGTGTTTTCTAGACTATTCCCCTTGCTATTTACTTACTCGGAGCAGCTTTGTTGTCGAAGCGCTGAGAGGAGAGCTCGACGAGCACAAGTCTCGTTTGCAGTGGCTGAAAGACCGGATGGCTGACATGGAGGACGAGAAGCGGCAGTCACAAACTGCAATTGACGACGCTAATCGGATTCTCCATCTTCAACAACACAGCACGCATGCTGAGCTGACTCGTCTGAAAGGTCCGTTGAAGCTACATTATTCTCTTACCTTACTGAATTGGAATCAGAGGAAATTGGTCTGCTGCAACAGCTGCACATGCTCAAGATCACCAAGGTGGTCCCTGAGCTGTTTGAGTACGAATATGGGTCCCAGTTCAAGGTGTCCATTCCCTGTCGCCAGTTTAATCCAGTGCCGTCCAAAGTCAAGATAACACGCATCAAACCGTCGCATCAGTACTTGGACGACTTTCCCGAGCTCACCAAGTACTTTTTTGAGGACGCGATGCGGCATATCCCACGGGGCGATCACGTGTCCACTCGCAGTGTTCGTCCATGTTGATTCTCTTAATTTTCACAAGACTGATTACAATCCAGATCGTCGCGAGCCTATCCGACTACTGGATGGCGTGCTCACAACTTCGCGCGCAACTGTTCCAGCTCACGATTAAGTACCCCGTCACCATCGAGCTGCTGGCCAACGGGGGCGGCTTCCGGGCGAAAGCAGCCGTGATGTTCCCGGTGGTGCGAGGCAAGGCCTATATTTCGTTTGTCTTTTCGCATGACGTGCACGGCCGTTGGCCGCTGTCGATTGAGTTTCTGACTCATGAGGTCAAAACACAATTTGGTGCCCTGGAGTGCGTTCCTTTGTGGTTTATCCATCCATCATCAGCCTAACCCTTTTTGCAGCGCAGACGCTTTATCTACCCGTGTCGCGGAGAGTCTGAGCCAGGCGGGACCGATGGACAACAACGGGTGTCTGCTCGATGCGTGTCTTTCCGCGCAGGAGCTTTATGATGACAAATCTGCAAGCAAATCTCCGTGATCTTCTATTTTCCCTTCTCTTGTGTTATACTACTACTCTATGTGCTTTGGCTTGATTTGTGTACACACTAGCTTATCTGTAGGTGGATATATTTTTCATTTCGTGTAATCGAAGGCTGAAGCTGCACGTGACCGCGCAATTGATTGATGACGCGATCAACACTTCTTTTGGCTCCAACCCGTCGCCAGCAAATCGCATCGCAAGACTGTGTACATAGAATGAAGACGGACGAGCTCGCATAGCGTCAATCAGCTGTTCAAATCACGCTTGCGGAGCGATTTTGACGGTCGGACGAAGATCTGGGGCGCGTTTTTTGTGGAGAGGATGTAGCAACGAGAAGTGGTTGCTGCTCCGCCTTGCTCCACCTGACTCCACTGTTCGTCGAGTTGGTGATGTAAATAGCACCACAAAGGATGCGTATAAAAGGCTCAACAACTGTAGGGCACTAGCACTCAGAACCAACCAACCGCCCACTCATTCGCATCTTAATTGCCTATATATCATTCGCACTATGAAGTTCTTCGCTGCTGCTGCCCTCGCCATCGCTGCCCTCGCCGCACCTGCCATTGCTCAGGAAAGTGGTGATCCAAGCACTCTAGTCATCGACTCTTCCCTGCCGGTCCCCTCCCTCCCTGTGCCCTCTCTGCCGGTGCCCTCGGTATCATTACCATCGCTGCCGATTCCCAGCGTGTTTGTCTCTTTTTGTTTGCAACTGAGTTGAATACTGAAATAGACAACAGGTCTGTCTCTGTACCCGTACTGCCTAGCGGTGGCTCGTCGGTTCCCAGCCTCTCCGGCCGGTTGCCTTCATCGTCCGTTTCTGGATCGTCGCCGGCACAGTCGAGTGGGGCGCCAAATGCCGGCGCTGTTTTGGGAGTGCCTATCCAAGGACTGGTTGCAGCTGGCGCAGTTGTCGCAGCTGCACTCTTCTAAATTTTGGACCCAACTCATTAGACTCAAACCCGAACTACACTACACTACTCATACCAAGGACACATATTAGACACAAGTGCCAAATCATGTATTTATTCAACAACGCATTCAATGGGGGCTATTTATAGCCTTGACATCATTCTTTGGCCTAGTCGTATAAAAGCAGGCCAGTCCTCTCCGCCTTCTGGCTATACGACCCTCATGAAACTCGCCACGCTTTTCGTCTATGCAGCACCTCTCGTGCTGGCTGTAACCCCGCAACGAAGTCTGTGAGTAACTTTCTTATATTAGCCAGAAGAAAGACTGACTATGTAGATCCAACATCGTCCCAATCCCGTCTTTGTCGTTTTCGTCGCTCCCCACGTTCTCCCTGCCCACGCTGTCGTTGCCCACGCTGTCTGTCCCGTCGCTCTCCTTCCCGTCGCCGTCGATTCCTACCAGCTTGCCCGTTAGCGGCAGCGCCAACCCACCTCCATCGCAATCGACTTCGGCCCCGGTTTCTGGCAGTGGCTCCAGCTCTGGCTCGGCCACCTCTTCAGCGCCGCCCTCCCAGTCATCCACGCCAAATGCCGCGGCCCGCCAAATCACGGCGGCAAACGGGGCCGCTGTCGCACTTGGCGCAGGGCTTGTCGGCGCCCTGCTTGTTTAGTGTTGTTGAAAGGAACAATTTGTTACGTAGTATGTACTAAAAAAAGACTCGATGTGATTTGATTAGTCATCATTTGCCTGTCTTTTCCGAGTTTTCGTGCCCCAGTTGCCTGCTGCTGCTGGACCCTGGTGCTCGTTTTGCTGTGTGACCTTGACCTGTGACTAGACTGTACCTGGAGACGACACCTGGAACAGGACAATACATAAAGAAATGGCACAAGTCCCGTCTTTTCCACCGTGCTGGTGCTGCGCATTTGGTTGTCAATGGTCGCCCGGCCAGCTATGCCCGACATAGTACGGTCTATTCTGGCCATATGTCGCTGTCAAACTAGCGAGACTGCCTTCGGGACGCCTTCTTTCCGCAGTTTTCTGGCTGCTTCGTTCGCAATTCGTTCGGCACAATTACCCATTGCATCGAATTGATCGCCCGTAACTTCAACCTGTGTGTTGCTGCTTGTGCGCTCAGGGACATGCGTCCTTGCTTGTTTCGCCGGGATGCCCGTCGGGGAGAGGTATAAAAGGCACCCTGGTCATGTCCCATCCCCGCCAGTTTCTGTTTTTCGCCACAATGAAGTTCACCACCCTCTTTGCCTTTGCTGCCATCGCTTTCCCCATGGCGCTCGGTGCCTTCGCGCCCAACGAGTACGTTCTCTCTTAATCTTGGTTAATCATCTAACAACGCCCATAGTGTATTGGCTCGTCGCCAAGAATCGAGTGCAGGCCAAAGCTCGCAGCTGCCGTCTGTACCCATCTCCGAGTCGGAGGCGCCCGAAAGCGAGTCGCAAGGCCCGTCGCAGTCACAGCCCGGCCCTTCCCAGTCACAGCCCTCGGGCCCCTCCCAGTCGGGCGGTGCCGGGACTTCCCGGAGTGGCGCAGCCAGCATCACCAGCCAGGTCCGCTCCAACGCGCCGTCCGGATCAATCAGCGCCCCGCCAACCTCGAGCTCCGGCGCTCCTCGGCCGAACGGCGCAGCCACCCACAAGGCCGCCAGTGGCCTTGTCCTGGCCGTTGGTGCCGGCCTCGTCGGCGCGATGGTCCTTTAAGTCGGCCGATGATGATGCATGGACAATCTTGGACCTTGATTAGATAACGACAGTACTGTAACCCCGTCACTTAATCCACCAGCCTGAGCCCTGGGTTGGGAGCTGCCTTTCTTTTTTTGCCATCCCTGGGTGATTGGGGCGACGATTTCATTTCGTCGTCGTCGCTATGAATCCGAAACTTGGAGTGATGAACGGCGAGCATTGCCGCAGCAACATTGAGCCCTACAATTCACACGAATTTACTTCAGACATCAGTCCCTTCTATGCCCGGAGCTCCTTGTATAGTCAATCCATACCACTTCGAATCGTTGGCGTCTTATACTTACACAGAAGCGAGCTGTGGGAACGAACCTCTCCCGATCAAACATCAGTGATTGATTGATGATGCGCCAACCTTCTTCCTCTGGTCGCGGCACGATAGTCGCCCGGATCGAAGAGCCACTCTTTCGCTGAATGCGTCTGTGTAATACAGTACGGAGGCTCCTGGCCCACACACTCATTATTCGTGTTACACTGACAACCCATCGTGCTGATGCGTGACGGCCTGCCAGTGTCACGGTTGGGTCACATCCGTAACGGACTCTCTGTTGAACTGTTGAACTGTGCCCACCCGTGCCGCTCACCCAGCAAACTGCTCTTGCCGTCTCTCAAAGGCAACTACCCGTCTCTGTCAGCTATGGGACCTACAAGCCACTCTATTGACCCGGACCGCGACACTTGCACACCATCGTCACCATGGGCACAACAACCTCGAATGATCCTGATTACCCAACTTTTCGCAAACGACTGGGAAGAGGCAAACCAATAACATGTGGCTAATATTCTTCCACTGAAACGTCGCAACGAGCCACCAGGACGACTCGCTGTCCAACTACCTTGCTTACCGCAAGCTTACCGCCGGGTTGAGCGCTGCTGCGCATTGATGTCTGCCGGATTGCGACTTCACGTCCCAGCCTGGATGCCGAAAGTAGCGCCCATTTCTTATTGCGACGACTGAGGCGAAATCCGACCGGAATATTGCGCATTTTGGCTCAAGTTGCCTGAGCCTTGGGCCAGTGCTCAAGGCGCACTGTCGCTCACATAGCGGCAAGCTTGAGGCGGCGAGCCATATTTAGATGTGCATTGGACCGATGATCCGTGCAAATCCCCCGGTTTTGTGTTCCCGAACAAACAGTAAAGGGTATGGCCAGCGCTCTTCTGTGCTCTTATCCGGGAGGTCTTTCTCGTAGTCGACGGTGGGCTTGGCTCGCCGCAGAGGGCACCCGGCAAGTATAAAAGGCACGAGAGCCCCTCGTGTCCCGCATTCTCTCTTGTTCACGTTCTTGACTTGACCACGACCGACCGACCATGAAGTTCACCGCCCTTTTCGCCCTTGCCGCCCTCGTTGTACCCATGGCGCTCGCCGCGACCACACCCGTGGTCGAGTATGTCCTTGCTATGGAATTCTAGGGTTTGGTGCTGACCATGTGCACAGAACAACACCGCGCCAGGAGACCACGCTTCGCCAGGAGACTACACGTCGCGAGGAAACAACATATCGCTCCGAAGAGAACACCTATCGCGGTGAGGAGACCACCCGCAAAGCCTCTGAGACTACTCGGGGCTCGGAAACACGCAAAGTCACCGAGACCAAACCGGAAACTACCACCAAAGCGGGGACGACGACCGCGCCAGGAACAACCACCGCGCCGGGTACAACCACCCCCCTGGGCTCTAACGTGCCAGCGCCAGGTGTCAAGCTTACCAACGCCGCTCCGGCCAACAGCGTCGCCCACGGCTTCGGCCTAGTCGTCAGTGTGGCTCTGGCTGGCGCTATGCTCGCTTAGGGTTGGATCCTACACTCCATGGACGATACCGCATTCGATTCACCTTCTACCTACTATACATTTTAATAGTTAGATATCAATGCTTTTTGCCCATCTTGATTATCAAGTACAATATCATTCATTCAAGTTGAGGGGCACGAAAACGGTCATTCGGCCGATCTGCGCCGAATCAGATCAGTGACATCCGTCACGGGGATGGGCCGGGAACTGTTCTGTTCTGCACCAACTTGAAGTTGCTCAGCGCCGTACTGTTGCTCCTGCTGTCAGTGTCTTTCGAAGTCGGCCTCTCGCTTCCTCCGTCAATTACGAGCCACGGGATCTGCACTACACGCTGCTTCATTCTAATTCAATACATCAATGAATTATGACTGGCCGCAGGCTCCAAACTGATGCTGCGCTGGGCCGCCTGTCCCGCTGGCTCCAGTGCTCAAATTCTGTGTGCTGGCCTTTGGGGCAAAAAGGAAAAGAAACTGTCTTATCGGAGTTCATAAAGACTGCTGTCCTGGATCAAATGCGGTCTTTTTCCAATTTTTTTGGCCACAGTCTGCTCGTTGTGTAGGCTGCAACCTCTGAACGGTGTGTGTGCTGCGCATTGATGGATGAAGGTGGTGACATTAATGATCTGTGCGAAATGTGGCAGCAATGCCAGTATCGCACTTGCCACTTGGCGCGCCCGGAGACAATTCGACAATAACGTTGCTCTACTAGGAAATTGGCGAGCTATATTCCAAGTTGATTGCCCAAGTAGTCAGGATTTGCACACAAATCAATGGGAAATCTTATACTATCTGGCATGCCGTTTTGGTGTCCAAAGAAGAACAAAGGTCTTCAAGTTCAACTCGCTTCACCTTCTCATCCACGGTGGGTTTGGATCACCGCTATTCTGTCGTCGATAAAGTATAAAACCTGAGCAATCTCTGTCTGCTGCATTCAAGTTCACCAGTTACCCCTACATCCTACTTGACCGACCATGAAGTTCACCGCTCTTTTCGTCCTCGCTGCCATCGCCGTGCCTACGACGCTGGCTGCAACCACCGGCCTACCTGTGTCTCCGTATGTGCTGATATGCCGCTATCTTTGACTACCTACCCATGGAACAGGATTGGACCGCCCCCTGGCACCACCTGGCACTCGACTACCCTCTCCCACCCCACGACTGTGCCACAGGAGCCGACCACCCGCCGAGACACCACGACCTACTACTCACGAGAAACCATTCCGGGCACTCCGCTCGTCCCTGGGTCCTCTGGAGAGCACACCACCAAGACTGGCCAGGGGCAACTAACGGGCACCGTGTCAATCTCCACCACCACCACAGCCGCCGACTACAACGAGTCCAACGCGCCGGGCCCTGGCGGCGCCGTCAAGCTCACCAACGCCGCTGCCCCCCACAAAATCACCGTCGCCAGCAGTGTCGGCTTCGCGGTTGGTGCAGCCCTCGCTGGCGCTATGCTTGTTTAACATCGGGCCTGGCCCTTGCGGTCTCCGCCACGCACAAACTCCATGGACAATTGCTTTTAGTTTTGAATTCTACGTACTCTACGTTCCCCTGGGTCTTCGAGTCGAAGCCCGGCCTTCTTTTTAGTAGGTAGGTATCAGTTGTCATGCTGTCGGACTTTTGCAACTCGATGTTCTGCCCCTTAAATTTGTCCGTTGTACGTCAAAACCCCGTTTCCTGCTACAAAAAGCACTCGGATGGAGGCTTTGATGCACAATATAGCTGCCTAAGCGCACTAGGAATGCCATCTGCATCTGCCCTCGGTAGTACGTCCTCGTCCTAATAAGGAAATAATTCGTGAACAGGCTTATGATACCTATTTATTTTCATTATATCCGAATTTTCTTGATAGCATTCGCGTTTTTCCTCTTTATTACAGCCCTCGATGAGCTCGATGCTCCTTACGAGCATTACAGTCACATTTACGGCCACAAAATTCAAAATTGGTGCCATCAATCGATGATTTTGGACTTTTTGCCACCATCTTCAACCTTGAAGTCACATAGTCCGAACTAGAGCACATGGAGAAGCATAGTTTGTTACACTAATGATACAGTTGTGGGTGGTATACATAGTTCGAAGGTATAGTAACAAAATGAAGGAAAGAAAGCTCCGCATGGGGGAAGGATAGATAAGAAACAACAAGGCTGCAACGCGAAATCAGACTGGAGAAATAAAGACGCGACACGTAGACTCACTGGGGCAGCAAGTAATCACAATCAACACGCGGCCAACGCCCTCTCGCGCATGGCGTCTAGGTCAGTCAACAGCGCCGCCAGAATTTCCCGGTCGCCTTTGATCGCATCCAGCTCGTTTTCCGCAAAGTCTCTCACGAACGCCCACTGGGTGCCAGCAACACGTGCACACCACACGGCAGACACCTTCGCCCTTTCCACGTCCGCCTCTCTCTGCACGCTTGCCTTGGTCTCCTCGACAATGTCGTCGATCTGTTGGATATGTGACTCATCAGCGGCCCTCAACTGGTCTTCCAACGACGCAATATGCGCCGAGCGGTCCTCATCCGTCCGTTGCCGCAGTTCAAGACTCCCACGAAGTTCGTGTTCCAGATCGCCAACTTGTTGCCTGAGTTCCTCTGCATCCCGCATTCTCGCTTGCTTCAGGTTGTGGATCTCCTCCTCCATCAGATTCAGCTGATGCAATCGCTCTTTGGCCGTGTTCTCAACAGAAGCCAGTTGGAGACGCAAAAGGGTGACGACGGCTGGGTCGACGGCGGGGATGTCTTTCTCCGTCAGCCTCGAGTGGTTTGCATGTGGGGCGGGCGAGGGTGTGACCTCTGGTAAAAGCACCTGTGAAATCGAGCCAAACTCTCCTGGAGAGTTCATGGCGCTCAGGCAAGGGCTCTCTGGTACGTCAATCGGACTGACGGGCGACACTGCGCCAGAACGGAAGGGAGCGGGCATCTCGGAGAGCATATGGGCAATCTCGTCTTGGTCGAGCGACCGCGATGCTTCAGCCAGTTGTTCCCAGGACAAAATTGAACCTCGACCTGCAATAGGGACATTGCCAGCCGGCTTGGGGCGTAAAGAAGAAGGGCTATTTTCGTTTGTGGGGGGAAGAGGGGACAGATAGGACATGTTTGCACGAGACGGTAGTTGCGAGCGGGTAGGAGTCTGGGGAGGCTTCCGTACTCTGCGGGAAGTTACTACATTGCGCGGCATCGCTGGCGTGGGCGCGCCAGGAGGGGCAACTGGCGCTAGTAGAAGAGCAACTTCTTCGTCTTCGCTGTTTCCTTCTTCCGAGATATGGGACATGTTCCCCGCTTCGAGAGGGATTCCAAGCTGCGATGATGACGCTTTTTTGGAATGCCGGGCAAGTGGCGATTCGGTCTGGCTTCGAAGAGGACTGCCGTTTTTGCTACTAGCGCCACCTTTGGGATTTGTCGATTTCGGAGTGCGCGGAGTGAACGAACTCGAACTCGAGGTTGACGAGGAAGGTCGGGGGATAGCATTGTTGTTAATGGTGTTGTGGATATTATTGGCAGACGGGGTCGTTCTGACCGTCTTGGTCGGTCTCGGCGGAGTGTCCTTTGCTTTCGGAGCAGCTTTGACCTGTTTGACGGGTGGACTTGGGGCATTTATAGCGCTGCTTAGATTGGCCTTGAGGGCAGCCCTTTGCGGGAGTGGGCTGATCGGTCGCATACTCTTCTCAACAGCAGTTTCAACGACTTTGGAGGCCTGGTCATCTTCGTCTTCATCTGAGCCGGCTAGTCTCCGTCTAGTCCCCGCTCTCACTGGAGATGGTGGCTTCTCGCCTCCTACAACCGACCGCGGACGATACTTTGGAAGAGCAGACACCCCAGGCCGGGGTCTGAGTGACGCAGACCGTGTTATTGTCCCATTCCCATTCGTATTTTGCTCAGGCTGCTGGTCTTCTTTGATTGTGCCAGACACACGTCGGCGGGTGATCGTTTTGGACTCTGGGGTCATGGTTCGTTTTGGGGCAATGGTAGAAGGCCGGTTGACATCTCCCAGCGAAGCGCGAGGCGCCAGTGCGATGCTGGGCTTCGCGTCCACAGCGGAAAGGCGACGCGAATGGCCACTGGCGTCCTTCAGTTTCTTCGTTCCTTCTTTGTCTTTGCTGATAGCGGCCAACGCCTTCGACGCTAGTCCCAGAGAATGACGAATCGAACTCCTCGTAGCAGCTTTTGGGGGAGTGCTAGACCCTCCGTCGGATGGCATGGTAATAGAGAAAAGAGAAGGGGAAGAGAAGCGCGCAGAGGCGGCCCGACCCTCAAGAGGTGGGTGCAAAGTTGAAGAAGTTGGCTTTTGATGGGAGTCTTTCTATATATGGTGTGGCTACCACATAAACCTACCTACGCCCTCCCGAGGCATGTAGAGAAAAACATACATCGTCGCGGCATTAATAGCCACATACCATCCCCCTTCCAAGGCCACCGACCAACTAGGAATATCTGCCACCTGAGATCTCAAAAGAATGTAGGGTATCAAAAAGTAGCGAGGCTCCAGGAGCGGCGTAGGTAGCAGCGTAGGCAGAACAAATATGGGAAGGAGAAATGTTTGAAGCATGGTTTGTTGCTCGCCTATTCAGTCAATTCAATGAGTTTGGCAAATGAGGAGTCGAAGCAACTCAGAAGACCCACCAACACGCAAGAACCAGGCCCACGCACAAGCAATATAGAATGGAATCAGCAGGTATGGAGCAGGAAAGCGCATGTAGATCCTATGCCACACATAGAAAGTATAATGTCGATTGTCAGAGAGTAGGAAGGGGTGGTGAATCCTACTCATATCGGTCAGTCAAGCACGTTGGTATGAGAAGCCACACGAACGTGAAGAGATTGACTGTGAAAGCCATAGCCAGCGAAGAAAGAATGGTGCACAGTATTCGTCTGAAATATACTTCAGCAGTCGAATCATAAGACAGCGGGCTACGAACAGTTTGCTCCCAAACATCCGCAAGTAGACCTGCCTCACGAGTCCAATAACACCGTGTTTACCACTGATCAGGACTGGCCACCCAAATGCAGTTGAGAAGGCGATGAAGTAATACATTTGAGGGACATGCAAAGTGGGTATGTGGTTTGACTTGTCGCCTGCGCGAATTGAGACCCGATATAAGCACAGAGACAGACCCACCAAGAACAATCCCTCCATTCCAGACAACAAAGGCAGCAAAAGCAATCAACACCAAAGCGTATGGAACAAATGCTGGTAGTATGTCTCGAATGACGCTTGGCAAGCTCAAAAGAGTCTTGATAATATCGTCTAGACGAGAGAAGATAAGCTGAGAACGAGAAATATGAAGACAAGAAAACACACTGGGACGCGCTTCAAAAGCTAAAGGGTCGTGAAGCTGACCAAGTGGTTTTGCACCTGGCGGGGAGCGTCGGAACCGGAGGTACATGAGCTGGCTCATAGCATACGCGTAGAGCACCCATATTATATTCGTCTGGCGGAAGGTGCAGCTGCCTAGACCCAACTACATTGTTGAGACCACAGACGAATAAAAGTCCTCCACACACCAAAGCCGCAAGCCAGTGCTTGCCCTGGAAGGCAGCCGCTATCGTCCCAACAACAAAGACAAGACTGGGTACTTCGGTGTAGTACAGGAAACCGAAAAACCATGCAATCGGGAAGCAGGAGAGGATCAACGCATCGAGCGGCGGTTCAGTCCATCGTGGCAGTCGTCCGCGTTGATGGAAAGCAAGTAGACGTCCAAGAACGAGGGGAAGGAAGAGAAGAGATAGCGCCGTTGTCAGACGGAGTTGTGCGACGTTGCACTTGAGCATGAACATCTTCTTCAGCACCAGAGTCAAAATGTAGCTAAAATACTAAGAATTTTTGTTGTGGGACAGACAGCATAACTCACAGTCCTGGCGGAGTTGTTAGTTTCGGATCCCATGTGTCAAATTCGCCGCGACAGTATGCCTGTGCTTGGGGTATGTGGAATGGCTCGTCCTGGTTAGATGCCAACGGGTCATGTTTATGCAGTGATGAGTGTTGCGAATAGCACACCATGTAGGGCTCTGTAACGACTGAATTGAACTCTTTGAGCACAATGATGGAGAGGCCGACGAAGCCCACGTATGTGGTCGCCATTTTGCGTTGGGGGGAAAGAGACAGAGATGAATTGATTATGTACAAGTCTTAGTCTATCGTCGACGAATCTGATTAGTACACTAGAGTTGCTCGAGGCGATAACCTGCAGTAAAGAGTGAGTCTATGTTGCCTGGAGAAAGACAAATAGAATACCCAGAAGACTGCCACTGGGTAATAGCGAAGATATCAACATTGGGGTTATTTCTGTGGATGGGTCAGAAAGAAGGCCGTCATGAAGAGTAAGTAGCCCAACGAGCCTCTTATCGACGACGTGAGATGACTCTTCCCAAAACCATTTATCATGTGCAAAGAAGTCTTCACTTGCGCTGGCTGCTGCCTGACTTTGGGTTCGACGCTGTCTGAGCCTCTTTGAGAGCTTTGAATACCACTGGAAATTGAGAGGCGCACCTCTGCTCTTCCCATTGTGCAGCCGCGAATATTGATTGCTGAGGCTGGGTCGCCATAGCGCGCGTCGGCTCGTTGTTATTTGATTCATCCCGCGAAGGAGTTGGTAATGCGAGCGAAAGACCGGCGAGACAGCCGAGGATAATGGATAGTTTGGTGCTAAACATTTTGTGGAGGGATTGCTGGACACCCAAGCAGAGACAGTCTTATATAGAGCCCAAGATTGAGGTCGTACATTCGGAAGAGATTTGGGAAGCTTGGAAATCGCTTCGAGAGCCGCACAGAAGTAGAAGGAGGATCGTCTAGTGGCCCGTTAATTCTGTGGACAATTGAAAGAAGCTCCATTTTGAGCACGTAATGGGACGGAGGCAGCAGAAGCGAGTGTGACCTCCCAACTCAAGCTTGCACTCCGACCACGATTTTTGCGGAGTCGGAAGCCTAGTAGCCAAACCCAACAAACTCAAATGCCTTCGCTCGCTTCAATGGTCCCGTTACATTCTGTCGGGCGGCTTCTGCACCTCTTCCAAACCTGATTCTGTCAGCTTGCTTCGTTTGCCTCACCCCATCTCTTCTCAACTTGGTCAATCAACTCCCTCTCATGCAGTTCCCATATCTTCCACTGGCGGAGTCGACACCATTTAACTGGCCAAAGTCTAGACTTTACATCTCTTTTCCTCTCCTTTGCGTCTTACTGGTGTCTCTTTGCTTCAATCTGGCGACCGCGTATCTTTGGTTCGACGCATCCAGTCCAGCAAATCCATTGTTTCCCCAAGCCGTATATTGTCAGTTCACTCCTTGTGGACCGTATATTTCTTCGAACTCGATTAGCACCAGCTCAGAGCGCGTTATCTTACAGAGCTATCAAGTTCCATAGGTCGATTTCCTGCCTCAACTCCAGCTGCATTTGCTCATCCTAAAATAGCGGCTTCGGTGCCAACATGCCGATCTATGACCAGCCTCCTTCAGACGCTGTCGATAATGCCTGGAAAAGTCTCTACAAGTGTGCGTGTAATTTACGTTCTCTTGCGAGTCCTCATATTTTTCACAGTTGCTTACTCGAAAATACCGAGAAGTCAAGCGCAATTTCTGGCGAACAAGACGTATCCGATTCTTGGGGACGAGCCCAGGACCTATATGCTTGCGCTGGACGTATTCCATCAGCTCCATTGTTTGGTGCGTTTCCGTTGTTTCTGGTGCTTCTCGCGTTCAAACAGTGTCGAAGGACGAGATTCGCAAGGCCATGAATCCGGACTATTACCCACACACGGCGGAAGGAATCAACACGAGTCATATGCAGCACTGTCTCTCGAGTCTACGCCAGTCTATTATGTGTGCCTCCGATATCACCCCAATAGTTGCGTCGAAACTTGACTCTTTTTGAGTAATCTAACGTGTGGTTTAAGGTGTGGCAATGGTCCGAAGGATCGCATGCCGCAAAGGAGAGGTCAGATGTGCTTCATACATGCAGGGACTTTGGGAGAATTCACGATTGGGCCCAGGCTCACTTTGCTGGCGCCATGCAGAATATGTCGGTTTATATTGCAGACGATTTGTTTGTGTAGAGACTTTGGCATCAATGATTATGTAATCATCACTCTTTTGCTTCCCAAACATTAGCGCGTACGATGCGACAATGTTCTCTAGCGCATCCACGAGTGCTTTTCGTCACCTGTCCCTCGCTTCACATCGTGAACAAGCTCCAGTACGAGCTCCCTATTGGTCAAAAGAGGTCTCCGTCCATCTTCCAAAGTGTAATTTTCAGAATGAGCAATGACTTGAACAGAAGTAGACCTTCAAGCTCCCGCTATTCTGTGCCGCTCTTACGCCTTCCAACTTATAGAGTCGCGAACCGAATATCCTCACAAGATAGCCAGCCATATTCAGCGATTGCGAATGAATTGTTGTCCTGCGTGTTCGATGGCCAGGCATTAGTCCAGGTTGTATTTCCAAGGCAATGCTTGCTCAAGTCCGAATACTGGCGCTGAAACATAAAAGCAAGACGGGTCGAGTCTCCCGCCAGGCTTTTGAGTCGTGATGATATTTCCGCTGTCCAAGGTTATCTGTTAAACTCTCAGCAGATCCTCGACACGTTTTCCGTCCGGATCGTAAGCTTTCACTGTGGTCCAGACCGTCAAGCTGTTCGGTTCTTTCATTATATGGTGGACCCACTCGCCTGTCGGTAAAAAACAACGTTGGTTAAAACCATGTTTGGTGCGTAAAACCATCAGAGGTAGGAGTTGCGAGGGGCACGTGTGGCGCTGGATTGGGCAGGTAAGCTTCTTTACTGCGAATGAAGCCCCATCAACCACACGAGTAAATCGCTTCCTCGGGCGGTCGAAGTCCTTCACTTAAAGTGCCTCCGTCGACCCGACTTGTCCACGACCACCATCATCTCTTGCGCTTCCCGCCTTCGCCTTCGACCCCAGCGTAATGGACAATCCCCAGTACACGCTTGATACGCCTGATGAATTGACCTTTGAGAGGGCCTTTTACATTGGTTCATACCTCACGGCGATACTCTATGGTCAGTTTTTTCCCCACTTTCTTTCTGGCTCTTACGCCCTTCCAGGCATGCACGTTTCGATATTTTTCTTGACCAACTACTTTTTTCTTGCCTCTCCCAACTGGCGCAAGGAGTCGGCGTTCTACATCGCCTACGGGACGGTTATGCTGCTTCTCTGGACGTGAGCTTTCAGTATCTGGCTGTGTACACCACTGCTTTGCTTATGATTGGACAGTATAGCACATAGCTGCAATGCTATCTTCGGGCAATATGTTTGGATCGACCACCGTGATGTGGTTGGAGGACCGGCTGAATATCTTGGAGAGAACATGACGGCTTGGTATAACACTCTTGGAACTGTCGCTGGAATTTGCATGAACTTCATGGCGGACGGCCTTCTGGTTTGTTTAGATTCTTGGGCTAATTTCATCAGTGCTTACTTTGCTCGTCGTTTTTTGCAGCTCTACCGTTGCTTCGTCATCTGGGGTTCGTCATACATCATCATTGCCTTTCCTGTCGTCGTCTACTTCAGCGCAATGTGTGAGTGATTCTTCGACCCCGCATTGCCCTTTTAATGCTCGAATGTAGCAATGGCGATCTTGCTCATATACCAGAGCGCAATTCCCGCTGGCACCGGCTTCTTTTCTGGCAGTTCCATCTCGTTCGGATTGCCTTATACTGTCCTTACAGTCGGCCTGAACGTCATCACGACCATTGCTATCTGCGTAATTCTAGCCGTTTTTAACTCCCATGCTACGCGCTAATTGACTCCCTCAGGTGCGCTTGCTGTTTGTTCGCCGTAAAGTTCGCGCTATATTGGGCGAACAGCACTGTCAGACTTATACGGGTTCGTCGACTGCCTTTTATTTCCGCATATTAATGATCTGGCTTCTCTCTTATAGGTGTCGTCGCTTGCTTACTTGAATCTGCTTTGCCATTCACCACGCTCGGAATCATTTACGCTATTGCTTATGGTCGTAATTCGCCTTATGCCTTCGCACTCCTCCAGGTCTGGGCCGATTTTTGTGTAAGCATTCCAAGTTTATTGTCTGTTCTGGACTGAAATGCCCCAGGCCATCAGCCCCCAACTCATCATCCTCCGTGTCGCACTGGGGAAGGCATGGTCCAAACAAACTGTCGCTACAGTCTCCGTTCTTGTGTTCGACCATCGCCGTGCTGTCGTTGATACAGAAAAGGCGCAGTACCGCCACGACACTGAATTGGACATTGGCTTACCTCAAGAGCTGAGTCGTACGACTGACCTCACGTCCTCCGCGACCAATTCGACGTCGAGTACCAAGGATCTTGCACGTGGAATTGCTATATAAGCATTTGGGGCGTGTTGGCGGCGTCTGCTGTGTGTTAAGAGATGCTTCTTGTGCTGATTCTCGTCCATGTTGGACTGCGCTTAAGCTTATCCTGCTATCTAGAAACCCTAGTATACTTAGTTGCGCACGCGTTGAAGGCGTTGTTTTTTGTCGAACTGTACTTGTGAAATGAAAGATGTCTTTAGTATTCCCAAAACTCGTGGACTTCCATATCTGATGTGCACTAGCCATATGGCTTTGCTATTATTCCTAATCCAATTTGAGACCTTCCAGAGCGGGAATCGGACGCTCGGCTTGTGGGGTAATCCGTGCCCCGTGACGTCGCTCCTTCGAGTCGCCATAATCGACAATGGCAGAATGCGCCGTGATCCTATTGTCCCACAGCGCAACGGTTCCCGGCTCCCATTTGAGACGGGCTTGGTTGTCGCCCGACTTGTCGATATGGTCGTATAGGAAGTTGAGAATGTTTTCGCTTTCCTGCTTCTTCAGCCCGACGATGCGGCGTGTGAACTGCCTATTAACGTAAAGCGCTTCCTCGCCGGTCACGGGATGGCGTCGGACGACTGGGTGCACGTGCTCGACAGGCTCGCGACGGACGACGCCGCCACGCTTGCCGGCACGAGAGAAGTTTGCTTGTTCGACGCCAGAGTGGACGGCGGAGAGAGTGCGAAGGAAGGTAACGAAGGGGGGCGAGAGTTTCTGCAGGGTAGAAACTTGCGAGGTGAAGAGGGTATCACCGCCAGTAGTCGGTTGCGCCAAGAGGAAGAATGTGGTCAGGCCGGGTGGCTGCAGCTCGTAAGAGACATCCGAGTGCCAAAAGGTGGATGTTGTGGACTCGGCAATTTCAAAATTGAAGGTGGAATTGGCATCTCTGTCAGCCGTGAGGGCAAAGTATGGAATTTTGCAAGTAATGCTGACCGATAGACAAGGTGAACCTCCGGATAGCCTGCTGGATGGCCGCTACATTGTCTGGTCAGACGCAAATGAATGTCAAACGCTTAACTCTAACCTGGTAGGATGAATATGAAGTCTCCCAAAGTAAGAGCCCCATTGCTCTGGTGGAATGATTTCAGCGAATCACAATAAACAAGGGGTGAACAAACGAACTGTAAAAGTCGGGGCCGCGGTCAATGAAGTCATGCTGGTCTCTGAACACAATCAGACCGCGTCTGGCTACTTCCAAAGCAAGCTCGTCACGAGCATCTGCAGTCAGCTCTGCTAGATTAATCCCCCGAACTGGCTCGAATTGAATAATGAAGTTACTCCGCCATGATAGAACTTGCCTTCAGTTCCGAGACGCGGAGTCAGCTCGACTACGCTGGTGGCATTTTCAAGGAAAGCTCGAGGATTGGGGTGAGTCAACGCTCGTTGTCCAGGGTCGACATGTTCGAATGGCTCGAGAGGCGGGTATCGATCCTCTGAGAAATGTGGTAGCAGATGAGAGTAACGATAATCTTCCTCCGCCTGAACCGGATTCTTGAGAACTAGTGTTTGGGGCACGTTTGGTGCCTGGGTTTGCGTGATAGTCTGGGTCTGCGACATGGTTGGTGGAGAAACTCTTGCAACATCCCGAGCTTATAAAGGCAAGGAAGAGCGGCCGGACGGCTTGGAGTGATGAAGGCGCCATTCCACGACCACAAGACGCGATTGATGAGCAAGAAGGGATTGCGAGGGAATTGTCAGGGAGAAGGAGTCGAGGAGCTAAATATTGTGCTGAGTTGAGACTTGGGTGAAAAGATCATTCTTGAACGATGAAGCCATTGCGGTCAGCAAAACGTTGGTTGCAAAGATGCAACGACACAGCCTGAAGGTACTTCGTGCTCATTGCGCAAGGGAGAGAAAGTGTGAGTCTGTGCCGGTCCGAACAACTCCGAGTCACAGGATTCTTAGGCTCTGCCTAGACCCGTCTGCGATCAATGCAGACTGGATGCGAGTCTGGACAGGCACATCAGTATGGCACAGCATTTCCAAACTGGGACACGGATGAGTCACCGCTCTTTTTGTTTTCGGTTGACACGAAGCACTCTCACGACAATAAACCATACGGAGCTCAAACCACGGTATTTGGACGATTTCAAGACCCTTGTGGCTCGTATACGCATTGCTGAGCGGTCAGGAGTGCTAAACCACTTTACATGCAATAAACTGACCCTGCCAGAGGCTTTTCGCGTTTACTTCCGTCGCAAAACCATGGTCATAGCGTTATCAGAGGGATCACGCGCTTGTCTAGGTCTGCATTGTTCTTATTGTCTACTCGATCACCCCAGCGGCGTTCTTCCAAGCGGGATGGATTAAAAGAGATGTCGCCTTACCAGATAGTCCTACTCTCTTTTCCCCCCACGAGAGCAAGAGGCCACCATGGAGGACGATCTCAAGCCATACACCAGCTCGAGCGAGGAACTTCCTCAGTATGTTCGTCGCCGCCATGTCCCCGATGTCCCCGAGGATGTCGACTACATGATGGAGCACCTCAACGACCCGAACCTCGAGCTCAAGCGGCCACTCATGAAGCCGCAGTCCGTCAAGGACAAACAATACGCCCCGTCGGATGCGGATGCAGAGTCATCTGACCGCTACTCTATGCCATCGAGGGCAGGCTCAAGGGACTCTACGGCAATTGAGTTTGACGAGTGCGTTGCTGCTGACATTCATCTTATCTAATGCTCATCTTTTCTTATCAGTGAGTCCCCCTACCCTGAAGTTCGCGCTGCAGTCTCGAGCGTCGACGATCCCTCTATGCCAGTCAACACATTCCGCATGTGGTTCCTCGGCATCTTGTTAACGATTCTTTTGGCTGGCGTCAACCAAGTTTTCGCATTCAGAGGTGAGTTACATCTCCTCTCGACATTCCAGTTTTCTTAGCTTTCGTCAGCTCCCTCCGTCTTCATTACGAGCATTGTCGGTCAGCTTATCTCACTGCCCATGGGTAAATTCCTCGAATGGGCCTTGCCGACAACACAGTTCAAGACATTTGGTTATGTTTGGTCGTTCAATCCGGGGCCGTTCAACATCAAGGTTGGTGAAGCTCTCCAAGAACCCGAGATATTCTAACTGTCCATCCAGGAACACGTTTGCATTACCGTTATGATCAACGTTGCCTATATTGGTGCTTATGCGACGGACGTTCTCGCAACTCAGCAAATGTACTACCACCAGCGTCTTCCCTGGAGCTACCAGATTCTCCTCATTCTCGGGACACAAGTCTTTGGGTTCTCCATGGGTGGAATGCTTCGCCAGTTTGTTGTATGGCCCGCGTCCATGATCTGGCCCAGTGCCCTCGTGAACGCCGCACTGTTCAACACTCTGCACAAGAACTACGGCAAGCGCGACCGCGGGCACATGACTCGCGAGCGATTCTTCCTCATGTTCCTTGTTGGAAGGTAAAAATATTCGATTTCATTGGCAGCTTGGAACTCATTCTTTTACGCAGTTTTGTGTGGTACTTCGTGCCGGGCTATCTCTTCACTGCCCTTTCCGTTTTCAACTGGGTTTGCTGGATTGTGCCCACCAATCAAGTTGTCAATATCTTGTTTGGAGCGAATACTGGTCTGGGAATGAGTGTTATCACTTTTGATTGGGCTATGATCTCGTTTATCGGCAGTCCTTTGGTAACCCCAGTATGTGTCCTACTCTCTCTCGTCATTCGATGACTTGCTTACCTTCTTTATCCTAGTGGTGGTCCCAAATGAACACGATTGCGTCTGTGATCATTTGCTTCTGGCTGGTGGTGCCTATCATGTACTGTGAGTTCGAATCATCTTCGTCGTTGGATACTCTCTAACACTTTGTCAGTCAAGAATGCCCTTTATACGGCTTACCTCCCATTGTCGGCATATGTGTCGTTTGACAACACGGGAATGCCCTACAACATCTCGGCCGTTGTTCGCGACGGACAATTCGACTCTGAGCTATACGCTGCATATTCGCCAATCTTCATGACAGCAGCCCTGTGCATGGCCTACTTCGTCTCCTTCGCCTCCTTTGGCGCCATCTTTACTCACACTTTCTGTATGTTGTTCCGTTCGAACATGAGCACCATAAACTAACAAAGCGCAGTGTGGTTTGGTCGTGATATTGTTCGCCGCTTCCGAGCAAGTCTGAAGGACGAACGAGACATTCACTCTCGGCTTATGATGACCTACCCAGAAGTTCCCGCTTGGTGGTACATCGTCGTCGGTGTTCTCTCCACCGTCTTCATCTTCGTGGCTGTCGAGATATTCCCCACGCTTCTACCCATCTGGGCTGCGGCACTCGCACTCATCATTGCCATGCTCGCCACCATTCCTCTTGCGATGCTTCAGGCCATCACCAACCAACATGTCGCTCTCCAAGTCGTCGAGGAAATGATTATTGGTTACGCTCTTCCGGCTCGTCCAGTCGCCAATATTGTTTTCAAAGCCATTGCATATACCGGAACCGCCCAGGCTGTTGCATTTGCTGGTGATCTCAAGCTTGGCCACTACATGAAAGTTCCTCCAAGGATGATGTTCCTCGTCCAAATGATCTCGTGCATCATTACTTGCTTTGTTGTCACCGCAACACAAAGCTGGATGCTTGGAAACGTCGCAGGCATCTGTACCTCCGATGCACCCAACGGCTTCGTCTGCCCGTCCACACGGGTCTTCGCCACCGCTTCGATCACGTGGGGTGGTATTGGGCCTGAGCGTCTCTTCAGCTCTGGGGGAATGTACAACGCGCTCCTCTACGGCTTCCTATTTGGTGCTCTTGCACCAATCCCCTTCTACTATCTCGCGCGCCGCTATCCTCTTTCCTTCTGGCGCTACATCAACATCCCCGTCTTCTGTGGCGGTGTTGCCGCCATCCCAGCAGCGTCAGCCTACAACTACGCTGCGTGGGGCCTCACTGGCTTCATCTTCAACTTCTGGGTTCGCAGGAGACACTTCCGTTGGTGGTTGCGCTACAACTACATTCTCTCTGCCGCGCTTGATGCTGGCGTTGCTATTGCCCTTATCATCATCTTCTTCGCAATCCAGTACCCAAACAATGGTGCGGCAGGCACCATTGACTGGTGGGGAAACACTGTATGGCAAAATACAAACGACGCCATGGGCGTGCCATGGAAAGTTTCAGAGACTGGAACTTTCGGGCCGTCAACATGGTCATGATTCAATATTTCCTTTGGGCTGGCTTGTCCCTTTCCTTGCGATACATCCTCCGCTTTGCATATACTGACTCCCATCCATCACTCGCATTGTTACACCCCCCCATATCTTGTGTTACTATTATCCACTTCGCCTTCCTGGTTACGATTTTGTAGTTTTGTCTACGTATGGCTCGAATGACTGCAATGAAAGAATGACTCTGAAACCGAACAGTCCGACTTGTGTGTTCCTTTAATTTGACAACGACAGGATAACAAATCTTCGAAAGGAACTACTGAGCTTACTTGGTGCGGCAACGAAATAGCAATGGAACAAATTACATGGTCAATTCTACGTACAACAAACTTATGCAGAGGGCGACCAAATTCTAACCTCTCGTCCAGTGGCTCCCCAGATTTGCCGTCCCTGGGACGCTGGAGCGAAAACCAGATCCGTTACCTCTCCGCCTTCATCAAGTCTGGCCAGCTCTTCCCATGTTTTGTGAGCGAATATACGCGCGCCCTGACTTCCAGCGACACCAAAGAACTGTGCGCTGTAGTCATACACGACCTTGTTGATTTTGAAGCTCTCTCCGAGGTCGATTGTGTGCGCCGTCTTCCGCTTCCGGAGATCCCAAATGGCCACAGTGGACAGCGAGTTGGGGGCGAGGAGATGGTACCCGTTTTCAGAGAATGAGAGCGTGTTGACTGTGAATGGTGCAGCACCTTCAGGCGGGTCGAGAATTGCGGCAGCGGCGCCAGTACGGACGTCGTAAATATAAATTTTCGAAGTGGGTGTACCAAGTGCAATGAGGGTTCCGTCTGGATGGATACCAAGGGACGAGAATGGGTCGTCGGCAGGGGTAGAGTGGTAGACTTGTTCGGCCGTGGCAAGGTCGTGGAAAGAATACGTCTTGTCCGCTGAACTGAGACCAAGAATGGTCGATGTGGGATGTACAACAACGCCTGTGATGTCGCTTTTGTGGGTCCTAACCGTGCCTTTCGGGATATATTCACCCGACGCGGAGTCGTGGGCCCAAATTTTCGCAATTTTATCAGCACCACCAGAAAGCACCAATGTGGGTTCTCCATCGGCCTCGCGGAAGGCGACGTGATTGACTTTTTTGGTGTGGCCTTTGAGTGTGGCCAGGACCTTGTCGGTGTCACGGTCGTATAGCTGCACGATCTTGTCGTTACCGCCAGTCAGGAAGTGGGAAGGATTAGACGCAGAAACTGCCAGCGAAGTAATTCCTGCAGGAGAGGCCGAATGAAGAGAGGGAATGGTGTGTTTGGGACCAAGGGCTTTCATTTCAGCTGTTGTCACGTATTCTGGGGGGGGCTTGCGCTTTTTACGAACGCCAGAGAGCGCAGCATGCGTTTTTTCGATTTGTTCAACAACATGTGCAGGCATGGCGGAGGCAGATTCGTCGTTCATTTCGACGTCTTCAGTTGCAGAAGTTGGGGCAATGCCCACAGATACTTGGACATTTGCAAGAGCCCTAAAACACAAAGTGTGAGCTCTGGATGTAACGACAAAGAAAACTGGTTGACTCACTCTCGAGCCGCGTCGCGTTCTCTGATCAAACGCGCAACAACACGCTGAGCAGCATCTTGGTTGTACAAGGCATAGCTCAGCTCCTGTCGGATGGAGTTGTTTTGTTGTTTGAGGGCGAAGCACTCGAGAATCAACGCATCCCACTCGTTCTGGAGAGCATTCAACGTTGCTGGGATCGAGGTCAGAGATGGAGGACGTGGCGCGGCGGTTTCTGGTGCTAAGCAGGCAAGAGTGAGTCCATGAAGCAGTATACCTCATAATTTGTACTCACAAGCCTTGATGCTAATAAGGTCTGCCTCCTCCAACTTTTCGTCAGAGATAGGCTCCTTGCCATTCTCTGAGATATACTTGAGAATAAGCCTACGCTCGTAGACCTTCCCCGTCTTGGAAGAGACGACGGGGTCTTGGGGTGGCTCGCCAGAAAGTGCGCAGAAGAAAGCCATTTGGCAAGATGCGCAAACGCGTGACAGGTGTGACACTCAACGTTCAATGAACGACAACAAGCAACGCCTTGTGCTCAGCATCATCGACTTTCTCAACCAATCTATCGTCGATGGAACGGTGAAGAGTGACGATAAGGAGAGCTTGGAGGTTGCAAGTGCGCATCGTTATAGTACTCCACCCAGACCTCTGACTGCAGTCAAAAGTCCAGTGCATCGGAGAAGCATTTGGAGTTGATCCCGCCGACGATACCCAAGTGAAGAAACTGTCCGTCAAACCGGCTACACTGCCTAGCATCTTCGATGTGTTCCTCAAAACCAAGGATAAAGTTGGCACAACTGCGACACCTGCTGCTTCGACGTCCTCGACTTCCAAGCGGTCTGGCAGCGACAACACCAAGGCTGACGATTACAAGGCCAATGGCAATAAACTGATGTCTGAGAAGAAGTACGATCAGGCTATCGATGCATACACACAAGCGATCTCTCTGGATCCTACCAATGCAGTCTACTACTCGAACAGAGCTGCCGCTTATAGCAGCAAGGGAGACCATCTCGCCGCAGTCGGTGATGCTGAACAAGCCATCGCGACCGACCCGAAGTTCGTCAAGGGTTATCATCGACTAGGGTACATTTTATTATTCAGACGAACTTACTCTAAGTAACACTACAGCCACGCACAATTCTGCTTAGAAGATTACGAGGCGGCGGCTGAAGCTTTCGAGCGCGGGCTCAAGCTGGAACCAGGCAATCAAGGTCTCAAATCCTCACTCGAGAATGCTAAATCCCGTATCGTTCCGTCATCAAGCACAGGAGCCAGTTCAGCTACTCCCCGCGGTGGTGGTGGCGGCGGCGGCGGTGGACTAGCTGATCTACTGAGTGGTTTGGGTGGTGGTGCTGGAGGTGGTGGAGGCATGCCTGACCTGGCCAGTCTCATGAGCAATCCGCAAATGATGTCAATGGCTCAACAAATGATGGCTAACGGAGGACTGGAAAACCTTATGCGGAATCCGAACGTGGCCAACGTGCGTTGCTGCTTTTGCTTTCTCCTCCTCTAATTTTTTCCAGATGATGAATCGTGTTCAGAGTGGAGACATGCCTTCAATGGCGGAGCTTATGGACGACCCGTCTCTCAGAGATCTTGCCCAACAGTATGGAGGAGGTGCGGGTCGATAGAGCACGACAGACCAGATAAAATTATGTAAGGGTACGTATGTGGTCGTATACTCTACTAACTTTGCTTACCATATACTCTAGAGCTACTTGTAATGGGCGATTAGTTATACATGTTAGAGACCGTCTTCGTCAGGTGGGGTTAACGGACTTGCGTCGTCTGAAGAAGACTTGAGAGCACTGCATTGGGCTTTCCAGTAATCAATTCTGGCACGGTAATGTCTGCGCATGATGAACTTGGGCTTCAGTAACTCAGTTGACAAGCAACTCACTGTTTAGCATTGATAGAAAATGTTTTGTACTCAGCTTTAAGCTGGACGGTGTGCTCTTCAAGCCCTCTGGCTTTCTGCTCAGCAGTTTCAGTCCTGCTCCTGCTTTCTGCTAGTTGTCTGAACACTTTGAGCTGCGCGACACAAAGTGAATCGGTCTACCCACTGTTCTGTCTCGCATATGACCAGATCCTTTCCTTCATTATCTTCTTCGAGTTGACGTATAAGTGTTTCTTGCTCTTCTACCCTGTCCAATTGTGCCTTGAGGCAACTGCATGTTGGTCAGGGGAGACGACAACCAACCACAGCGATTCTGCTTACGTTCTTAGATTTGAGAGCTCAGATTCGTATTTGGAGAGACGCCTGCACTCCGCATTAGACTGCGTTTTCGGAATTACAGTACCTTACCCTTCAAGGGTTGTGATGCGTGAGGCTTGGTCCGCAATAGTCTTGCGCCGCTGATCATCCTCAAGCGAGTAAATCCGCGGTTTCTTGGTCGTAAGAGATGGTTGGTCTGGGTTTGCGGGAGAAACCTTTCGCTTTGAACTGCAACAGCTTCAAGTCAATTATCGACCCTTGGCACGAGGAATCGGCGACCATACTCAGACAATCGACGCGACACAGAAGGTCCTAGTTCACTAGCGTCTTCATCGTCGTATATAGGGGACCGTTGAGGAGGAGCTGAGCCGCCATTGAATACTTGAATTGCGGACTAGGCAATTTGGATCACGTACTTGAGTTAGGGTGCATGGTGGGCGGGAAGGGAGATTGGGGAGGAGAAGGAAGTCGAGCGTCATGAAATAAGGATGGAGAGCTGGCGCTTGGACCCAGTTTCGTAAAGCGGCCTGCCTCCATGATGGAAGGATGGAAAGGGAAAACAAAGCGAGACAAAGTCCCAAGCGATATGATGGCAACATGAGCGCTCGCTCAACCTAATTCCAGCATCACATTAAAAGTCCGTACAATAACCAAGGTAACTACAAAGTAAAATAAGAATACAACAATTATGGGTGAATTCTTGAAAGTGTCAGGTTGAACTGAAATGAAAGACTAAGGAGGAAGTTCATGTCAACTGTCGTCCTTGCGGCGCATTTTACGCGTCTTCTTGCCCATTTCCCGCGCCAAAGTAGGAGGTACAGTCTCCAACTGTGCAGCATCAGAATGGCCCTATTGTCAAATGAATGAGCACCGAAAATCAGCAGGAAGATAATAATAGAACGCGCATGCTTGAGATGATAACGTAAGCCGCTTGGTTGCTTATACGCTTTGAAGCACCCAGCGTGGGTACAAATGTAGACACGACGATTGCTGTCGGCTTCCTCAATCACATCGATCTCGTTAGTTGCCTCAAAAGTCGACGATACCGCGTTCTGGAAGTGAGCCGTTGATCTAAAGAGAGAATCAGTTTGCTTCAAACGATTGTTTTGAATACGGACATCTGTAGGTGATACTGGAGCCCATTAAGAGACTGGAAGATGTTGAGAGTTTGCCAAAATAGATAATCTGATCAAATTGTACCTTCCACGACTTGCCGCAACCTGCCAAGGCACATCTGTACGGTCGTGAATCATTGGGTTTGTCGGCAACCTCATTATCAGGCTCCTCTCCATGAGCCTCTCTGTTGTGGTCTAAAAGTTCTTTTGACGTCGAATAGCAGGCGGAGCTCGTAGATTCTCCTTCTGGCCAACAGGATTCAAGACCACATGCATATGCACGGAGCTCAGGACTGTTGATTTGGAGTCAGTGCCAGGTAGTAAGGGTCATTTTCAACCTACTTGGATGATGTTGGAAGAATGCATGATAGTCGTGTCTCGCCAATCGCCTTTGCTTTCCGTGGTCGCTTTTGCCGTTTGATCAGAGTCTGCGTGACGGGAGGAAGGGGATTGGGTTGAGATGAGAATGCGACGGGAGGCAGATCTAGTTGAGGACTATCTGCAGGAGATAGTGGAATAGGAGGGATAAGCGGAGAGCAGGTTTGGGTATCAGGAGGCTGGGTGGCGGCAACGCTACTCGTCGATTCAGTTGCTAATAACAAGGAGCTAGACGAGGGCAATGCGCTTGGAGGGTTAGTGCAGTCTAGTGTCTCGATAGACGGCGTAGGGACCAATACTGGCGTGAAGCGCTTGGGAGGTCGAGGGGGAGGTAGATTGGGAGAATTGATGAAAAGTTGTGCAGGTGAAATGGTGTACGGTGTTGGAGTCGTATAAAGTGGAATTGGAAGAGGCTGAGCAGGTGACAATGAGGTTGCAGGCGTAGTGGAGGCGGATGAAGAAGTCACCAGTTCGGGTGTGGGGGATTTGGAGTCTGCCGGCCCCGGAGAAGCCGAGGTTGTAGGAGACGGGTAGTCATATGGCATATCCATTAGTTCGTCAACTGGAGGCAGTGGTAGCGACGGGCGAGGCGGATCAGACAACGCTGCGCTCAGCGACGAGGAGGAATAATTGAAGGGCATCGGAGGAGACTTGAGGGGCATTTGAGGCGACGGCGCTCTATATGTTTCGGTTGGATGCTCGCTACCTAAGGCAGTGGGATAGGACTCTGGAGGGTAATAACGTGCAACAACAGTGGGATGTTGCTCAGTTCTTCGCTGAGCTTTCAGACGATTCCGCTCGAGTAGTCGATGTCTAAAGACAATGAACACAAGAGTAGCAGTGGGGAGACAAGAGGTACCTGTTTCTGCAACCCAGTCCACTTCGACCTAATTCTTGTCCGACCCGACCCCATTTTCCACCGATACGTGCAAATGCTTCCAGCAGCCTTACATCTTCCTGAGATGTCCATTCATCCTTCTTGAGACTTGGATCTAATGCTTCTCGATAGCGTTTTGAACAAGCCTGCGGCACAAGTTTGGATTGATGATGGGCTTGACGAAAAGACATACATCATCGGTGCGACCCTGGATAGATCTCGCTATGAGAGACCATTTCGGGCCATGCAGCCCATAAAGCTCGATGAGTAGATGGTCTTCAGAGGCAGTCCAGGCACTCTTTTTGATTGTAGGCGAAAGAGAGTGAAGCCAGCGCTGCCATCCGAAGTCAGACGCCAGCAAGAGTTAGCTCTATAAAAACCTTGCGGCAAGCCTTATTAGTCCTCCCAGGAACCGCTTGAGCCACGGTCTTCCAGTTATCATGTTCCCCAAAGTTCGCCACAGCGGCAAGTAGCAACTCGTCCTCTTCAACTGTCCATCGTCGTTCAACTCCCGCTCTTTGGGCCATATGATGGCGAATCTTCCGCTGAAATTATTCCGATGTCGTTCACGAGGCTATAAAGGCATTGCGTCGGTGTGTTGTTCTGCTTGCTGTGTGTCACGGTGACCGTGACGTGACTCATTCTGATGTCGGCACTCAACAACCTTGGATACTCGTCAGACGAGGACGAGCCTATTGCTGTTGATAACCCATTCGGTCTCTCAAATGAGCCTGCTGCAAAGAAAATACGCGTCGATGAGCCCGTGACGGAGCAGAAAACGGTACACTCTGCTGCTCCTCATGTCCTTTCAGAGGTTTGAACTGACTTTGCTCTTTCCCGTCGCACACAGCTCATGCACCCCTCCAGGATCCTCTTAACCAAACATCACTCATTACCCGACCCACCGATACCCAAATGAACGTCAATATTCCCTACCAAGACATGATTCTGCCCGTTCAAGGCCCTGTAAACCCCTTCGCCGACCCCAATCGTTTCCAGAATCAGAATGCGCTTGCGGGCCACGTCGAAGAGCAAGCTATGTCCCATCATGCATTTAAAACGCAGCAGCAAACCTACGCGATGCTCGGATATGCTGCGAATCCGTCGGTAGACCCAAACGCACCTGCGATCGTGGGGTCTATCGAAAACGCAAAAGCTAATGGGTTTGCCACCATCGACGCTATTCGCTCAACTAGGTCGGAGCGCAAGGAGCTGAAACGCAAACGGAAGGCCAAGGGCGACCTGGAAGTTGTTGACGGTGACGGCGCTTATGTTGGGCCCTGGGGTGAGTGGGAGGGTGAGGGCATTCAACACGAGTTCCTTGCGGGTGTAGAGGAGGATGCAGACGAGCCGTCGGAAGGAGAAGCAGAGCCAGAAGTCCCGATTAAAAAGGGCAAACCAAAACGCGCCACTGGTGTTGGCCAGGAGTATTCAGTTTTCCACGGCAAGTCTATGACGGACTACCAGGGACGAACATATATGTCTCCACCCGTTGCGGAAGCGCCAAATATTCTTCAAGAAGCTGGTTCCCAAGATTGCTTCATTCCCAAAGTTTGCATTCACACTTGGACCGGTCATACCCAAGGTGTTTCTGTCTTGCGGTTACTACCAGAAACCGGGCATCTTCTGCTTAGCGGATCTATGGACACTAAAATCAAGGTGCGAGCTGCGGCGCGCATATATTCACTGACTCATTTCATTTAGCTCTGGGATGTCTATACGCACGGAAATTGCTTGCGTACCTTCCATGGTCATACAAAATACGTCAAGGACGTCTGTTTCTCGAACGATGGCCGGCAGTTTTTATCTTGCGGCTATGACCGACAAATGAAGCTTTGGGACACGGAAACGGGGCAATGTCTGAAGAGGTTCAGTAACGGGAAGATCCCGCATGTCATTCGTTTCCATCCCGATCAAGACAAACAGCACATCTTCCTCGCTGGTATGTCAGACAAGAAAATCATTCAGGTTTGGTTTCGAACAAAGATACCCAAAAGTGCTATACTGATCGGTGTCACAGTATGACATGAATTCTGGCGACATCATCCAAGAATATGACCAACATCTTGGACCTGTTAATACCATCACTTTCGTTGACGAAAACCGACGGTTCGTAACCACATCGGACGACAAAACGCTACGGGCCTGGGACTACGACATTCCTGTAGTCATCAAATACATCGCTGAGCCTCACATGCATTCGATGCCTGCTGTCAGCCTACATCCTTCCAGTATGACTGAGTTTGCTTGCCTGAATGCTAGCTAATAACCCATTTTTTTAGAGAAGTATCTCGCTGCCCAATCGCTCGACAACCAGATCCTGATTTATGGAACGGACAACTTCCGCCAAAATCGCAAGAAACGATTTGCGGGGCATTCTGTTGCTGGCTACGCTTGCCAAGTTGGGTTTTCGCCAGACGGCAAGTGGATCAGCAGTGGTGATGGCGAGGGCAATGTAGTTTTCTGGGACTGGAAGACAGGTCGCATCAAGTCACGATTAAAAGCACATTCCAAAGTGGTCATCGCTCACGAATGGTTACCACACGAAACGGTGGGTGGTGTCTGCCCGCGGATGGTTTCGCATACTGACCAATCGGCAAACAGTCTAAAGTTGTTACCGGTTCGTGGGACGGACTAATCAAGCTTTGGGTGGGTTGCTGGGCTTGATTCGTGCGATTCCTGTGCTAACTATCTTCTCAGGACTGAGCTGGTTGTGTGACTATATGACCCTGTAAGAGTATGAGATCATATACAGACTGTTGAACGAGGGAAACCGCGTGGACGCTTTCAAAAAAGGCTGATAGTTTGCGCTTTCGGAACTGCGAATTCAATATGGTGTCGAAGCGCACTTTTGGTGCGGAATCAGGAAGGCTGTCTGGGCTCAGGTACGCCGAATAGGCTGACCCGAATAATTCCAAGATCGAGATTTATGGGCTCACAAGTCAGTGTCGGCGGTGGTGAGCACAGTGGGAAACAAGGGAGGGCCTCCACGGGAGATCTGTGGCTCGCTTAGGTGACTCTCGGCATGGTTAAGTCGTCCCTGAGGTCAAGATTTTGCCAAACTTCGCGTCAGAATGACAGCTACAAGTTAAACCCATTTGGCGATTGAGATCGGGCTACAATATATTTAAGAGCAACTTTTTCCGCCGTCTTGCTCTTCCTCCATCCACCAAAGCAAACCAATAATGCGTTTCTTCACCTCTCTCTCCCTTCTCGCCGTACTCCTCGCCACTTCTGTCTCCGCTCTTCCCGTGTGTTTCTCCCACTCAACCTACTTTTGCTGGTTGTAACGCGTCTTTCTTTGTCAGATCGTCGACGGAAACGTAGTCGCTCGGGACAGTGCTAACAATCGGGACTGGCGAAGAGATAGTGCTGGGAATCGTGACTGGCGAAGGGACAGTGCAAACAACCGGGACTGGCGCAGAGACAGTGCTGGAAATCGTGATTGGTGAATCAACCCCTAGCTGTTCGTCTTCTTTCTCTTTGAGGTTGAGTTTATTATTCACTCCGTTCAACAGTTTTTTTTTTTTTTGCCTCAAATACTTTGCAATCGCCACCTCTTTCTCGCCGCACCCACATTCATTGCATCGTCCTTACCGTGGCCACAGATAGCCAGAGCGTCTCCGTCTTGTACTCGTAAATACCTTAAGTTTTTCGTGGGACAATAGATCGTCTTCACGCGAACAGTCACTGTCACGCTCCCTTGTCATCTTCCGCCACCATGTCGAACGCCGTGTAAGTGGTCCCCAAACAGCCTTGCGCGCTCTCATTGCGTGTCAGTGCTACAGATGAGGACAGAATCGACGGCCACGCCACGAGTTTCGACGAGTTTTTGTCTCAAGACTTTGGCTCGCTGAATTTCAAGTATCGCGACCAGGCGACGCGTCTCCTTCGCACCGATGAAACCCGAATAATTGTGAATATCGACGATGTACGCGACTGGAAACGCGATTTTGCCAATGGGATCCTCCGAGAACCAGCAGAATACCTCCCTGGCTGCGAAAAGGGTCTTCTCGACCTCATCAAACGCCTACCAGAATCAGAAAAGCACAATATGGAGTCAAAGACGTTCCGCCTTGGTTTCGTCGGCTCTTTTGGAGATCACCATGTCAGTCCTCGCACCCTCCATGCTGCTCATCTGGGCAAGATGATCTCGGTCGAAGGCATAGTCACCCGCTGCTCCCTCGTCCGACCAAAGATGTTACGATCGGTCCACTTCTGTCCTACAACCGGCGACTCCCACTTCCGAACATACAACGACGCGACCTCATCCGTATCCAATGAACCACCGTCTACTTCTGTTGTTCCCCAAATTGACGAGAAAGGAAACATGCTCCAAACCGAGTTTGGACTGTGTTATTTTCAAGACCATCAACGAATTAGCATTCAAGAAATGCCTGAACGCGCCCCCGCAGGCCAACTTCCCCGCAGCGTCGATGTTATCATGGACGCAGACTTGGTCGATAGATGCAAACCAGGCGATCGAATTCAGTTAGTGGGTGTATACCGAAGCGTTGGAGGTGGTTCAAGTGGCGCATTCAAGTGTGTTCTTCCTGCCTAAAATGTACTCGTCTTTCCTGAATTCACTGCTAGGTCCCTGATCCTCGCCAATAACATCAATCTACTGTCCTCAAAAATTGGTGGTGGCATTGCACAAGGTCCCCTTACTGTCGACGATATTCGTAACATCAACCAGTTGGCTAAGCGTCCGAATATTTTCAACCAGCTTGCCCAATCGCTTGCACCCTCCATCTATGGGCACGAATACATCAAGAAGGCCATTCTCCTCCTGCTACTCGGTGGAGCGGAAAAGAATTTGCCTAATGGTACCCACATCCGTGGAGATATCAATATGCTCATGGTCGGAGACCCATCTACCGCAAAATCTCAACTCCTTCGGTTCGTTCTTGGTACAGCTCCCCTGGCTATCGCGACTACCGGAAGGGGAAGCTCTGGTGTCGGTCTTACTGCCGCCGTAACGACCGACAAGGAAACTGGTGAACGGAGACTGGAAGCAGGCGCTATGGTCCTCGCCGACCGCGGTGTTGTTTGCATCGATGAATTCGACAAGATGTCTGATATTGACCGGGTGGCAATTCATGAAGTCATGGAACAACAAACGGTCACAATCGCCAAAGCGGGCATCCACACAAGCTTGAATGCCCGCTGCAGCGTGGTTGCTGCCGCGAACCCGATTTATGGGCAGGTGCGTCTAACATGGTTTTCTCGGTTGATTTTGGTCTGACAGCAGTTTAGTACGACATTCACAAAGACCCCCACAAGAACATCGCCCTGCCAGACTCGCTACTTTCACGTTTCGATCTGCTGTTCATTGTTACGGACGATGTCGAAGAAACGCGGGACCGCTTAATTGCAGACCACGTTCTCCGGCTCCACCGGTACCTCGCCCCAGGCGTTGAAGAGGGGACTCCAATTCAAGACAACCTTTCCCAACCATTAGCAATGGACGGGCCCGAGGCCGCGCAAGAAACCGAAGTAACTGATACGAGTCCATTTGAACGCTTCGATCCCCTTCTCCACATCGGCGTCACTCAGCCGACCACTGGGAGAACAACCAGGAGCAAGTCAAAAGCTCAAGAACCGCCACAAATATTCACGATTGCCTTCATTAAAAAGTACATCCAATACGCCAAGAGTAAGACAGCGCCGATACTGACCAAAGGCGCGGCGGACCATATCGTTCAGGTGTATGCGAATCTCCGGAATGAAGTTATGGAAGGCAACAGAAAAAAGGTTTGTCTTGTCGCCGGCTAATAATGTTGTGCCTGGCTGACTTGCGCACAGACGTCACCTTTGACCGCGCGTACCCTCGAGACCCTGATTCGGCTCGCAACTGCCCATGCTAAGGCCCGTCTTTCGCCCCAAGTCGAGTTGGCCGATGCTGCAGAGGCAGAAACGATCATGCGTTTCGCTTTGTTCAAGGAAGTCCCGCGACGGCAACGACGGAAAAAGCAGAAGCTTAACTCGGGAGGAGCCCATGCTGAGGGTGATGGGGCTGAGACGGAGGCAGAAGATAGTGAAGAAGATGAACCTGAAGTTCCTACTCGTATGAGCATGCCACCTCAAAAGGGCAAGAATACCCCATCGCCTGAACCCGAGCCGGCGCCGCAAGCCCCTGCCCCAACTCAAGATCCCATCTGGGGTGACGAAAGTCAGGACGTCACAATGGAGGTTGACGCGCCAGCTGCAGCCGGTCAGCTATCGTCAGATCGGTAATTCTCATCATCGCTTTTTTTCGAGTTGTTCTGATCACCGCCTGTCTGTCTAGACTGGAAATTTTCCGAACTCGGCTAGCTTCTGCTTTACAAACGACCCTGGTGGGACAAGAAGCAGTCACATTAGCCAATGCTGTCGAGGAAGTCAACAGGGGCCTCAATGTCGACGACCTTTTCACCACGGCGGAGGCCAGGCAAGCATGTGCGGCTATGGACGACTCGAACCAGATTATGTTCAGTGCTGGTCTGATATACCCAGTATAACTTGAATTTCTCTTTTTTCTGCTTGTGGAAGCTGGGCGTTAGGCCTCCCTCTCCACTGTAAGTATATACTCCAATGCTGTAGCGCTTAGAATCTGCTTTGATTACTCGTTCACATTCCTAACGATACGCTGCACCTCCTCCAACGTTAGTTGACTCGCCCCGGTAAGGTCCAGCATCAACTCTTCCCATTCATCTGCGCTGCGGGCCCCAAACGTTGCATCTCGAGCCTTGTCCCAGCTGTCACCTTCCAGTCCTAACAATCGGCCTGCTTGTAATAGTTTAAGCCATGGTCGCTCAACACGAGCACGTCCGCCACCAAGAGCGCCACCCAATCCCGTCTGACAGGTTTCGACCCACAAATGGCATTCCGCCGCTATCGATCTACCTTCATGACGCGTCAGTTGGCCGCGGTACAGAATTTGCCGCTGCAGTATGTATTCCGCAAGGCGGCTAGCAATCCGGCGGTAAATGGAAGTCAAGGTGCTGCCAGGTAGCGTTGTTCGGAGGTAGCCTAAATGAGTGGAGAGGAGCGAGATCGGGCCCAAAAGTGTTTGGGATAACGCAATGTCTTCAGAGGGCGGACGGTTTGGGTTTGGTCTGGGAGGTAATCAAGTCAGCGGGTATGCCAATGGGAGAAGGTGCCAGCCTGTTCACGTTGTGGTTGCCGAAAAATGTGCTTTTAGGCCACTTTCTATTTCCCCACATACTTGTTGGACGATCATCTCCTCAGCCCTCTCCATCAATTTCCGATACAGACTAACGAGTTCCTCGAATACCGTCTCTTGTGGAGCTGCGGAGTTGCTGGGGCGAGGATCAGGTAAAGATGCGACCACTTGCGCTTGGGCCCGCAAAGCCGCCCGTCGTGAAATTTCCGTCCAAAGCTCCAAGAAGAACTAGTGTTGCTCGGTTAGTGTCTGCTATCATGTGGGGTGATGAGCATCATACCAGTTCATCTCCCCAGCCTTCCATGGCTGATTCCATGTACCGCGAGCTTAGCCAGGCTTTACATAGCCGTTGAACTCCTTCAACACCAGCCGTAAGTCGCCGTGCATCGACCTTGACTGAGGTCTCATCTCGACCACCCAGACTAACAGCCAACGCGCCAGGCACTGCACGAACAAACGCCGACGAAAGCGTTTCGAATGCATCCAATGATGAAAGAATCCGGCCATAGTAGTTTTCTAGCAGTGGAATTTGGACACTGATCAAGAAACGGGTTCGATGGGCGAATTGAGGAAGAGGGGAATATCGATCTAGGGGCCACAAATTAGTTCGCAATGAGAAGTGAAGAAACACCAATACGTACCAGTAACTTGTTCTACAAGCGCTTTAAGTCGTCTCGCTGAGGCCGTGGACCGCAAATCAGTATGTGGCAAGTCAGCTTCGCCCTCATCTTCAGCAATATGCCAGGCATCGGTAGCGGAGATGATTTCGTTGTACTGATTTTCAGCAACTAGATCACAAGTCAATACGCCAACTTGCGACAAGTAGAGAAACACTTACACTGCTTTTCGCCAGAAAGCCAGACAGAGAACCATTCTTCCTGACCCAAGATAATTTCGCTTATTCCGTCCCATTTGTCTCCGTCGTCCGACTTGCCCGATTGGCTTGCTGATGTTCCTGCAAGATTAAAGTGCTCTTCTCGAACTGCTGCATCGAAGAGCAACGCTTGATAAATTGTGTGCGCAAGGAGCGGTGGACGAGGAAGGAGGGATGGCATCGATCGTCGCAACTTTCGCGACAGCAAAGGGAAAAGAAGAAGCGTGAATTCTCTCTGTGGGAGAACTATCAGCTCAGTGGTTGACCTCAAGGCTAGATTCTACCTGTGCAACAATGTTGCCGTAGTCAGTGGCAGCTAGCAGAGGCTGAATTACCGCGTCCATGAAGGGTTGGTGCTCGTGGATGACATTTTGGATATGCGTAAAATACCACTCGGGCTGATAAGTGTGAGGATGAGTATAGGGCATGTTGAGGGACGGACTTTGTCAATCCTATTTGTTTCCCGAGAACCTTCGAAGTGGTATTTGAAGCGCATGGAAATTGGCTGAACAAGAGCTTGCAGTGAATATAGACCATCTTTTTCGGACCTCTCCTTGGGATTTGCTGGAGGGCGAATTTTTTTCGCCGCTAAGAAGATGAGATAAGATTCATTATTTGCGAGGAGATTAACCTACAAAGACTGCAATCGCAACAAATCTTGGAAAGCCTTTTCGAATGTTTTTCTGTCCTGTGAAGACGCAGCAACGTAATTAACAGGCATTGGCCACCCAAGCTTCTCGGAAGCAACCAGCAGCGTGCTAGCCGGCGAGTAAGACTCACACTGAACAACGAGGCAGCAACGGACCTGGATAGAACTCCTTTGATGTCCGCCCAGCATTTATCGCGTATTTTTTCCAAGAACGTCAACAGATGTAAAGTCTGGTTTCCGACAACATCTTCAACACCCGAAACCGCGGTGGAAACTTTGAGCACGAATTGTTGGAGGGCTTGGTATTCGGTCACGGAAGATTGCGACAAGGTGTCTGTGGCAGAGATGTCGCGCACTTGCTGGCAGGCCGATTCGCTGAAAGGGCTGGATGAGTAGGAGTGATAGAGGTTGGAAAAAGTTATAGACCTAAGCTTCAGCGCGTGGTGAATGACCTGCACATAACCTTTGACACTCTCCAATTCCTTCAGATTGCGATGCAGAGTCTCGATGTCTTCTAGCAGCGTTGGACCTTCGTTCTCCTCCGAGTAGGCCGAGGTGAGTTTGTCGGAGAGGTACGACAATTCATCCGCAAGGGAGTGACGTTGCAGCGAAAGGTCCTGCGCCGTATTGGAGTGTGTCAAGGCTGCTTCACGCGTTTGAGATAACAGCTTGTCGATAGCCTCTTGTGAATTTGCAAGCTGAGCTACGCCATCTAGGTCAGAGCTGGCCACATAACCGCGTGTTTGAGTTGACGCACCTTCGCCTGAAGCAGCTCATCTTGCTGTTGGGCTTCTTCAACGACATTTTCGAGCCCTTCGAGGTCGTCAAAGGATTTGAAACTATTGTTGAGGTATAAAACAGTCTTGTTGTGAGCCTGTTTTACATCTGGCGGTGTGAGCAATGTGCGAATTTGGAGAGAAGTCATGGCGCCAACAAAAGATCGTCAGGGTCTAGACCTCAGATTTCGGAAACTTGTTCCTTGCTCTCATCTCCCCGTTCACACTCTTCATATTGACCAAAAAAGCCATGGCTCCGTCACGTCCTACCATGCAACTTCAGACCATGGAGAATTTGACTTAGACCGGCATCACTTTTTGTTCTCGTTCGCCACCATGTTCCTCAACCGGATGTTACCCGCACGAAGCTGTAAACCAGCAGTTTACCAACAAACAGCCACGCTCTTCAATGCAGTTCAACGAAAACGGGATCAGGCGCGTATTATCGTGGTGAACGATTTGGAGGACCAATATTACAGCAGGAAATCGCAGAGGAAAAGGCGAAGCAACCTATTGCACTTCCACCCGCTAAACGACTGGCCATCGGTGCGTCCCACTCACTCTATGCTTATCATTCTTGCTCAATCCAGCTAGTAACTTGTATGGTGCGTTGTGGCTCGTCAATTGTTGCTTGGGTTCATCGAGAGTATAGGATGCAAGGATAAAGTAAACTTGATTTCACCACCACTATACCTTTCTCAATCGGTCCAGTCCTTTTAAACAGCTTGGATTCAAGGAAGGAGACGCCCATATAATACGAAATGCTGGCGGAATGGCGTGAGCTTTGCATCTCTTCCCTTTAACACTCTGATTAATCCCAACTAGCAAAGATGCCTTGCGCAGCCTAATAATCTCACAGCGCCTACTGGGGACACGGGAAATTGCGGTATATCATCATACTGGGGTAAATAATGTCTCGACTCCCACTTTCGAGGATTTACCACCCTTCAGTGTGGAATGGTGACGTTTCGAGGCTCGGAACTCAAGAAAATAGTCAAATGGTCTAAGCCAGATGATCCTTCGTGCGCTCAACAAGTGGATGCTATCGACTTTCTCGAGTTCACAAACTTGGAACAATCTGTCAAGGACGATGTAGAGTTTCTCAAGAGGAGTCCACTCATCATGGAAGGGACAAAAATAACGGGATGGATCCACGACATAAACACAGGAGAAGTACATCATTTTGTTCCTGACCAATCAAGCCACTTCTGAACTGTCTTAGGCAACCAGGGTAGCTTGACATCTAATCTGTAATCTTGTCATCATCATTCTGGCTTTCCTGTCCCCTGTCCAACTGTCCTGCGCTCCCGAAGCGTCACTAAGACTATGGTTGAGCGACCTATATAAGTCAGCTCGTTGCTTGACTCTTTTTTAACTTCCGAGAAGTATCTTCACCATGCACCAGTCTCACAACATCGCATGGAATTCTCTCTCTTCAAACCTCGTTTTCATCAAAGAGAATCGGAGGATAACCCCTCATCGCACAGACCTGTTCCCCCGGAAGCTACCTGATCAAGTCAAAACGCTGAACTACTTCGCCCGCTCGCTGAAGTCAGCGATCACCGAATTTTCGACCACAGAACGCGCCAAGTACCCGAATGAATTCCCTGCGCCAGATGACGCCGTCATCATCCCCAGCGACATTCTAAAGCGGTACTGCGATTTACCCTTCTCCTCTATCACACACAGGAATCAACACCTCAAAGATTGGGCGGCGCGGGCAGAGGACCACGGCGGTTCCTTATATTATTCGACCAGTCAGGGCGACCTTGCAGACGTCGTCAAAGTCCTGCTTGCCGAGAATGAGTTGGGTACTCTCCTCATGCTCGCACAACATCCCAAAGTCCCCCTCCGAGGTCTCCATTATCTCTCATGGGGTCACAGCTTCGGATGGAATCACGTTTGCCATTGGGCGCTCCATGGCTACATTTTCTTCAACATCCTACTTTCCAAACCGGAGCTCATGGAGAACGGCCAGTATCGTTCAATAAGCAGCTACAAGGACGCTATCGAGATGGTGACAATGACGGCAGATCATGACGCCCAGTCATACCCACATCAAGCGTTCTTTTGGGGTGGTTTCTACTACAGGCCGATTGACGAGTTTGACCCACTATCAAATCTCGAGAAGCTCCACGAATATTTGAAGATGTGCTTCCAGCTTCTATATCGGTATGACATGTTGGCAAAGGAATGCGGATTGGAGGTAGACTGGGAGGCAGAAATTGCTGTTACGGCCAGTCGACTTTGGGGCTTCAAAACTCGATTTGTGGAAGACTCCGAAGGCCATTGGATAAATCGTTTTGTCTAGCACCTATATCAATCCACGTGAAGTCTTAGAGAGCATTCCGGAGGTCCGAGGGAGTACACCAAGCAAGTACAGCCTGCTTACCCATTCCGTGGTTGTCGTATGTGTTTGCGGGAGCGAAGTATAAAAGGCTCTATGGCCAGCCTCAGCCGAGACAAACATGGAACAGCTGCTCATTGAGGGTAATACTAAATACGCACCAGCACATCAAACATGGACTCGTGCGGAGCGGTTCAAGAATATTATCGTTGGTGGGTCTTGATCAAAAACACGTATAGGTCAGAATCCTGAAATTTGTACTAGTGTGTTGCATGGATCCCCGTATCAAGTAGGCCTTGCCTGTTCCATTCCAGCTGATCTGGATGTCATGCAGCCCATACGAGCAACTTGGTCTTGAATCTGGAGCAGCCATAACCATCCGTAATGCGGGAGGATCTGCGTTCGTCATTTCTTTAGTTTGACTTGATTCTATCATTGAAAACAACCAGAAAGGAAGCGCTACGCAGTATTCTTGTCGCACAACATGCCATCAAAGTTGGAACACACATCGCAGTGCTGCATCATACCGATTGTGGTATGACGAAAACTACCACTCCAGAGATGCAGCATCTTGTCAAAGATTGGTGCTCTGGGAATACACAAGTCGCTGAAGCGGTGGAAAGAATTGACTTTTACCACATTAGTGACTTGAAAGATTCCGTCAAACGGGATGTCGAGTGGTTGAAGAGCAACCCAATGATCAAACCAGCCGAGGTCTCCGGTTGGATTTACGATGTGGAAACAGGAAAGGTGAGTGATTTGTGGCTGCTTGGGCAGACACTAACAAGCTATAATCTCCTAGATCACCGAGGTTGCGGCGTGAAAATTCCTTGTGTAGAACTAACATCCCTATGCCAGGCAAAATGAATAGAAAGTCACGTGCGAGTTGACAGTAAGATAAGATTAGCAATCTAATGATCTCATCACCGTCGTCACCTCTCTACTTCACCCATGTCGAACAATCTAACCAAGCTTGCTGCATTATCTCCTCCAGTCGAATCCGCCGAACCAGTCATTGCTATCGATCTTGATGATGTGCTGAGCCAGACAAACCATGTCGTCGCGGAATGTTTGTGGCCGAATGGCTTTGAGTCCAGGAGGACCTGGTCATCGGTTGTTCAACGCTATCTACAGGGCACAACAAACAATTCGGGACACAGATGACGCTTGAGCACTTCTACTGTTGCGTGTTTTAACTGCTCCTCTACGCCCCCCATGTTGACCAAACCCAGACTTCTACTATTGGAAGGTGCTCGTACCAATCCTCCTGCTTCTAAGCTCTTAATACTTACCCAACGACGCCAAGAATCCCTTCTGGGGTACACCGGAAGAAACCATGATTAAAGTGAAGGAGTTTTATAATACGGACTCTATTTTTCACGCTCCACCTGTCCCTGGTGCAAGAGAAGGTGTACAAGCGTTGAAGGATATGGGCTATAGGCTAATGGTTGTCACGGCCAGGACCTCGGATATTGCGGATGCAAGCTGGGAATGGTCAGTCAATCTCGTTTTAATCGCTGAATGCCTCAACATTGAACCTGCAGGATTGAAAAATACTTCCCTGGTGTGTCCAATTGAAAGAAAGTGGCAATTTTAAAAGTTCAATTATAGGTCTCTTCTCCAATGTCATCTTCACCGGACAGTTCAAAGACGCGCATAAGCTACACCATTCCGAACTGCTGACAAACCTAACCAAAGCTCAAGTCTGTGCTGACGTCAAAGCACAAGTTCTCATCGATGATTCATCTGAGAACGCCATACAAGTAGCGACTGCATCGGAGCCTACACCTGTGCTGTTGTTTGGTGATTACCAATGGAATCGCCGCATCTCAATCGCTGGCTCAGGTTAATTCCACTTTTTTGTCGTTTTTCCTGCGTTCTTGACCTCGGAACCATTCGCAGAAAGCGACTCATTGTCATTTGACCAGCGCTTAGCGGCCAGTCAAGGCAAGGAATTTTGGAAAGAGGAGACGCTACACATCCCCGATGGGACTCCAATTGAACGGGTGAAAGACTGGAGTGAGGCCCTTCGGTGGATTAGGGCGGCTCGAGCGGCCGGTAGAATCTTGTGATATGCTATGCTTTGGATCGCCTGACATTAAAGTTGACTGCTTCCTTGCCAGTGAACGCTGAGCCTCCCATCAGTATCAGTTAGGTTGCCCAAACTGTGGTAATCTCAATTCCTAATTCCCGATTTTCCATACGCGATGAAAACAAATTTGAATCTCGTGACCGCGTATTGATCAAGCCTGAATACGAGCCAACTAGATAATGTAGATGTGGTCCACTGGGGCCCAGTGATTATCCTCCAAGGTTGAGCGCGCCTGGAAGATCTGGACTTGGCCCGAGTCACCTCACTGTCAGTGGCAAATTCGAAGTGAGTTCAGGGTTGGACAACTAGCATCCATCATTTTCTACACTTCGCGTGGCCAAGTAGACAGCAATTGAGCTTGTACAGTAACTAACTAATCTGTTGGAAGCTGAAGGAAGGAAGTGTCGATTTGTTAAGTTGCTAAATTAGGTTCAGGGTTTGGTTTGCGTGACGTCACGATCTTTCGTCAAGGCCTGCGTGAATGCCGCTACGGCGTCATTTACCAACGCTATACGCGCATCCAGAGGACGATGCGCTGGAGAATGGAGGACAAGACGAAGGGTGGGAGGCCCCATCTACTTCTCGGTCTTACTATGCGACTACTTCACGTTCTGTTCCCTCACGCTCTACACCACTCAAACCTTCTCTCCCGACCGACCCATCGTCCAGTGTATACTCCCATTTCTTGAGGAGGTATCGATCCACCGTGCCAGATGACCCACGCAGCGATCCAGACAGCCATTACTACGAGAATGGATTGGGTCAACTGAACGATGCTGGGGACAGCGACGACGAAGCTCAGACTTCGTTCAGTGCGGCGGATCTATCTGCTCTTGCTTTCGAATCAGAGGCAAGCCTGCCGGAATCACGTGGAGAGCGAGAGCAATGGAGGGCAATGCTAGCATCCGTGTTGGCGGGCGATGTGCTCAAAACAGAGAAGACCAGGATTGCCACTGTGCTCGAGTCGACGGCATCAGAAAAAGAGCAGTATCACAGCAATGTTTTCATGGGTATACGCGCCAAATTACACGGAACAACGCCAACCGAGATGCGCTCCAAGCTCGATGAGCAGCGACTTCGCACCGTGGACAACGTTCTTGACGAAGTGCTGAGTTTCTGTCTTGAGAAAGACACGTCACATTCTGAAGCCCTCAAGCGAGTAGCATCTCTACTCCATCGCTTGGATTTCGTTCAGTCTCTATACCCTTCCCTGAAAGCACTAGAAGCTGACAGGCAAATATGCAAAGAGGCACAATTCATCAATCGACGCGATGCCCTCACGACCTGGTTCAATGTCATAACATCGGTCGGCCACCAGATTTCGCGTCTGCGACGATGGACTGGAAGCGAAACTCTGGATGTGAACCAACGCAACACATCTGCCGAGAAACCAATAGGCCCCAATCTAACACGCACATCCTCTAACGACATTGCCGACAGTTCGAGTTTTACTGAACGAATTTTGAAGGAGGACAATATGCAACGCATGTTCGAAGAACGATTCTTGGTCGTTGTGCACGCCTTTCTGGTCGAAGCACGTCAGTCTCAACTGCTATACGCGCCTCTTTTCAAAACGATGAATCTACCCACTTTCGAACACGAATTGGTTCCTTTGATTGCCTTTCCAACACAGTTGTCGCAAGCTGCTTTGCGACTGCGACTCGAATACGCAGCCAATCTAAAAGATCCTGAAGTCATGATTATCGACCAGATGACTGAGGACCTTAAGATTAGCATAGGTTTGGCCTGTCTGATGAAGAGACAGTACGAAGAATTCCTCGAGCCAGATCCCAACGGCAACTGGAATCTGCCTCGATGCATTGCGAACGATTACGACACCACTATACTCGACTCCATGAAGGTCTTCTTCAAATTAATTCATTGGAAGCTGAAAAGCGGTGCCAAGGGAATCTACTTCAAAGAAACAGATGTTCTCGAAGCACAGTGGGATACGTTCAACGACGTCAGCTTCACTGTTTCTCAAGCGTCATGTCTGATTGGTGAGGAGTTATGGTGAAGCCGTGTCTCTAATCTTATCGCATTGTTCACTTTTCTCTGTAGCTCAACGACCAACAAGTTGATGGTTCGCGTCACCAATTATTTTGATACTCAGGTGCAAGTTCCGATGGGTCAAGACTTGGGACACTTGCCCCAATCTCGTCGACATAAACGCCACGCGGAGGCAAATGGGACGGAACGGATGTCCAGCGAGCAAATGGTGCATTGGTATGGTAAAATCCTCGACAGCGTCAGGTTACGATACCGTAAGCTTCAACGCTTCGTCAGGTATGTTCAAGGCCACTTGGGTTCCATCGTCTGAAACATTCTTTCCTAGAGAATTGACCCATCGGCTGAGCAATGCCGCTGAATACGAGCTCGAAAACGTGAGGATGGAACCCTTCATTCGCACACTGGTGGAAACTGGCCACTTTCTTGTCTACACCGGCACTTACGAGGAGGAATCGACCTACATCGTTGCTTCTCCCTCATTACGGGACAATCCAGACGCTATCATCCGCATACTCATGGAGGCTTACAACGTCCAGCTCAATGATTCGCGGCCAGGTGGTAACAAGTCCTTTGTCGAAGATGATGAGGAGCCTAAATACCTCTTACTACTCTCGCCCATCAGCCCGTTCATCTGGAACGGCCACACCGAAGAACGTCCAGACATTCCCTACATCTCTTTCGAGCCATCAGAAAATCACGTGCGGCTTGTGGCCGATGGACCACAGCAACGTTTGACCATCGCCAAGGACATGTTTCTGGACATCTTCCTACTGGAAGATGAGAACGGTGACACGGTCGACCCGGAGATCACCATGCGATGTAGTGTCGACCAACTTTCCAATATCCCCTCTGTTAATCGTGAACTGCGCAAGATCGTCCGAGCAACGACCCGTTTGGCTGAATCAATCATCAACTCAGTTGGTTTCGTTCGAAATGCTCTCAACTCAACTGACGGCAGCCAAGAGCTCCTCGAGAACTGGTATTCATTCGCCTCTGACCACGCTCAGCACGCACAGAAGTCCATGGAACGTTCTGTGATGGCTCGGTTCGACCGAGCACTGATAAAGCATGCCATCTCCTGGGTGTCCTTCATTTGTGACGACTGCGATCCAACTGACCGCCGGACTTTCAAATGGGCGGTCAACGCTCTGGAGTTCACCTTTGGTCGTATCAAACGCAACATCCAACAGCTCCCCGAGGACCAGTTTGTCATGCTCAGACACAAGGTCGCTCGATGCATGACCCTGCTGCAGACGCATTTCGATATACTCGGTGCTCGCTCGAATATCGAGGCCAAAAAGGAGAAGGAGCGACAGGCAGCGATGCTGCTCGCCCAGGTCGAGAACAGCGACAGTGAAGTTCTCGTTGACTTTGACGAGAACTCAGGCACGCGGGCGTTCTGGGAGAAGGCGAGTAATGCTGTTGCGGACTTGGAGGCATGTCGGTTGGAAGCGATCGCAACAGAGCATCACCAAACTTTTGGTCGTGTTCTCGACAACTCAAAGCCAGAAGATCGCACCTTGGTGTTCCTTGCCTCGGCTTCGTCCAACGTTTCTATACGATGGCAGCAAGTCAAATTCATTGGGGCCGGCGCATTTGGCTCTGTGTACTCTGCGGTTAACCTCGATAACCTCACCGTCATGGCAGTCAAGGAGATCAAGTTCCAAGAGCTGTCGGGGCTTCCCAATCTTTACGCCCAAATAAAGGACGAACTGAGCGTGATGGAGCTGCTCCACCATCCCAACATCGTTGAATACTACGGAATCGAGGTTCATCGAGACAAAGTTTACATTTTCGAGGAATATTGCCAGGGCGGCAGTCTGGCTGCGTTGCTGGAACACGGTCGAATTGAGGACGAAAGCATTATCCAAATATACACGATGCAGATGCTGGATGGGCTTGCCTACCTACACAGTCAGGGAATCGTCCACCGCGACATCAAGCCTGACAGTGCGTCCTCATTTTTTCTTCCTCTTTTGTCCATGTCCTGATTGTATGTCTAGATATTCTCCTTGACCATCGGGGCGTGATTAAATTCGTCGATTTCGGCGCAGCCAAGATCTTGGCGAAGAACCAACGGACACTGCAGCGTTCGCGACGCGCGATGGACAGCAACATGCCGCCAGGGCTACAGGGCAACAAGGGGCTGAACCAAAACAGCTTAACCGGCACTCCGATGTACATGTCGCCCGAGGTAATCAAGAACGAGAAACGCGGGCGCCAGGATGCCATGGACATCTGGTCTCTGGGGTGCGTCGTTCTTGAATTTGCGACGGGTAAAAAACCATGGAGCAACCTCGACAACGAATGGTGCGCTGCCCAACTGTTTCCCTTTCTCCATTGACTTTTGTTGTAGGGCAATAATGTTCCACATTGCGACGACACAGCATCCTTCACTGCCAGAACCCGACCAGATGAGCACACTCGGTGTGGCCTTCATCAAGCGTTGCTTGACCGTGGATCCTATTCGGAGGCCATCAGCTGAAGAGCTGAAAGAAGATCTCTGGCTCAGCACCCTCCGCGCATCCTGGGACACGTTTGAAGCGCCGGCCGACGAAGAGTCTGTCCCCTCTGCTATTGCACAACAAGCAGTGGAAATGCACGACTTTGAAGTTGCCGAAATATTAAGCGCATCACCTGTCCCATCAAGCCCTTCAACTCAGGAAGAAGAGCTTTCTTAGCATGTAAAACACCCCCATCTGTTGTATCAACTAGCACACAAAACACGACAAGTAGTAGTACATTGTTCAAAATAGGAACAAACAAACAAAATGAGGGGTATGAAGGATTATCTAATTGGACACACACGCAGCACAGTAACATTTTTTTGGCAAAACTATACACTCAATTCAACTTTAATCGTCTATCACCCATCGTTTACCAGTACCGGCGGCCGTTGTCCCGTGGCTTTCGCTATCGCGGCGGGCATGATTCGAATCACCAGCAGAATAGTCGTAGTAGCTATTCAGGCTCCCATGGTCGCTGTTGCGCTGCGGCATCGGCGTGGTGTGGGTTAGGTATGAGTCAGTCGTCGAAGAACGGGTAACGGCAGCCAAAGGAGCAGCAATGGGCGACGAGCCAGCAGAGTTGGAAGGACTTTCAAATGGCTCAGCCGCTGAATTGAAGAACCTCGGGCCAAGCTGAGGGTTGGGCCGGAAGTCAGCTCCAGGCCCGAAAGTCGCTGTTTATCATCATCAATAAAGATGCCGAGATTGGATGGAAACGCACCAGAGTAAGTAGGAACGGGCTTCTCGGACGGAGACGGGAACGACACCTTCTCGTCGGTGCGCGACGTAATTCGCTGGAAATCATCGTCGCCTGACATTGACTCCTGTTGGGCATTGACTAAGGATAGAGAGTTCAGTTCAGAAAAAGAGAGTAAACGGAGAAGACGCACGATAACGAACAAGGCCTTTACCGTAGTTGTATCGGCAGACCACGCCCAAGAGGAAAGCAAAGAGCGAAAAGGCAACGGAAATCGAGGAAACGATGGCGAAGAAGTTCCAAGTTTCGAATGTCCAACGGAAGGTGGTTGATAGGAACATGACCGCCCAGCCGGCTAGATACCAGATCGAAATGGCCAGGAAAACAATCATGCCCCACCCCTTTTCGCGACGAACAGAATACCATCCCTGCCAACGTTTGGACTTGAGATAAGGGGGGAAAAGGACTGACCGAAATAATCCACGGAATCAATAGCTGCCAATCATAATGTCAGAGGATGGGGATGACAACCGATATTGCAACTTACCAATCCGGTAATGACGAACATGACCTTGTAAAGCGTCATATAGGAAGCAAGATGTCCGGCCCATCCGTTGATCAGTTGATCGAGGAAAAGCGAAATCGTCGCGCCCATGAAGAACAGACCCAATTGCAACACGATCGAGAACAACAGGACGAGGTGGTAGACACGCTTGATGGTTACTATCAATACGTTTGAGGAGATTTAAGATGAAAAGGGGTAGGATAAGGACTCACAGGACGCTCCGACACGCTTGAATGTTTGCCAACCGAACAACTAAGCAGCAGGTTAGTGGTAACTTAGGCTATAATCAGGGGGACCCACTTTGACGAGTTTCCATGTCAAAATCGATGAGATAACCAGACTGACGGCGTTGAAAGCCACAGTCGGGTACTCAGCACGGGCACGAGCTGCCCAGTAGGTGGGCAGAAGAGAAGGAGCACCGTTGCATGCGCCATGGGTGATATATCGGTCGAAGTCAGCGCGAAATGAGGCGGTGTGGGTAATTTGGTAGCCAGACCACGCCGTTGCTAGCACATGAGTGGAGAGAGAGGCCAGCATGTGCGGCATCGACTCGTTCAACAGAGCCACAATGGACATTCCCAAGACCCAGAATTGGAAAGCGATGAAGACAATATCTTCCCGCTTCGTGTTGTCCAATCTGAATTATAAGTCGTGGTATGGTAATAGAGGACAGAAACTTACTTCGCAACGGGCCAGTTCAGAGCCCACATACAGCTCTTGTCCAGGACGAGGGGGTAATGGTTATACCCAAGTCCGGTGATGTTGACAAGAGTGGTATCGTCCGCCAGGCTGAACACCTTGACCTGTGGTGTTTGGAAAACCTTGTCTGCCCTCTTATCACGGATAGTGGACGAAGGCGTGGCGGTCGGAGGAGCAGTTGAGGTGATGGTTTGGGTGATCTTGATGACTCTTGGAAGCCCACTGGGGAAGATTGCCGATGAGGACGAAGCAATCGGAGCTGATGCTGAGCTGAAAATTGGGATGTCTGAGGTAGAAGCGAAGTCGAGAGTGCTTGAGCTTGAGCGTGCCACAGTCGAGGTTGAAACAACGGCAGCAACGTTATTGTTGCTCAGCTTTTCACCTGCATCGAGGGCGCGGTTGTTGGTGGCAGGATGACCATCATAGACGACAACACACTCGTTGGTACTGAGCGTCAATGGGATTGTGGCACACATGCGGATTTCGGGTCCATGGAGCGCGGGAAAGCTGCTGTTGGTCGCATTTCCCTGGAGTGCAACACTGTAGAGAAGGGCGGCAGCATTGGCATTGATAGTGAAGGCCTGGGTTTGGAGGAAAATCTGAACGCCAAAATGAGCAATTGAAAAGAGGGCGTAGATTGTCGTCAGCCGCGAGAAGGTAAGCCGTTCCCACTATGAGCAAACAAGGTGAGCGACAATGGGTCAACATCGAGGACGGTGGCAACGCACCACAAGCTTGGCCTTGGAGGGGATGGAGAGGTAGGTTGGCATTGTTATCTAGGAGGAGAATTAGGTTGCTAGGTGAGGCGTTTTGGCGGTGGCATACAGTTGGGTAAATGAGTGAAAGGACCACTGGGGCGGGAGAAGAAGGCTAGGTAGCCGCAAAAACGGACCAGCCGAAGGATAGAAAGCGGTGGTGGGTGGTTGGTGGCTCAGAGCAAAGCAGCAAAACCTCGTCGTGACCATCAAGTCTATTTCGACCAACAACAATCTACGATGCTTGATACCAATGCCCTGGACCCTCTCCAACAAATACATAAACTTCCTTTTCTTCGTCGTCATCTGCAGGCAACGACCCTCCCCGCAACTGCACAAACCCCCCTTGAGTTAGATACTGCAACATTTCATAGATTTCCTGTCGGTCATAAACTGACCGCAGTCGCCAACGTAATTGCGCCTACAAATACTACTCAGACTCAACAAACACAAATAAAAAAAGTAGTCAAACCTGTGTGATTCCCGGATGGAAGACTAAAACACCCATAACTGCCCGTGCAGCGGCTTCCCATCTATCCGAAATTTTGTTGCCAGTCATGTCGAGCCACCGTCGAGGGAACACCCGCATCATTGGATCTTGAGAAATAAGAATCGACCATTTTCGCAGATATACCGACGCTACGAGCAAGAGCGACTTGTAACCGGTCCAAAACAACAGTGGCAATTTGCAGTCCGTCAACTTCCGGACTCCAGCACGGATAGTCTCCAGAGGCAGTCCAGTCTTCTCCTGAATGGACAGCCTTCAACTTCTTGATTGGATTATTTCAAGGACTCCACTCACCACAAGTCCGTTCTTGCTAATCCCGCTGGCACCGCTCCCGGTTACAACGTCTAAAATAAGCTGCAAGTTGTCGCGATCAATCACGTCAAGTGAATGGGACAGCGCTGCCCATTCTGCCTCAACGCAAGCAGGACAATCGACAAGACTTTCTTCAGTCACTTGTTTGCAGCAAGCAGACAGTCCATCCACCGTCTTCCCATGTTCTGCTAAAGTTGTGATTGGTTCCAGATTGGGCGTCTCGATAGGGCTGGGCGTTAGAGGAGCTGTAATAATATCATGAAAGCGGACGAAAATCGAAGTCTCGATTTGATCGTCATCTGGGACAATGAACGAAATGACCGAGAGTTAGCGTAGCTCATACCTGCTTTCTTGCTGTTCCAGTCAACAACCTTCCGAGCCGCCTGTGCTTGAGTTGTATCAACTTTGAAATGAACCTGGTTGATCAATCAAGCATGGCCTTGAAACGTCCAACAGTTCCATACCTTGTTGTCGGACACAAGTTGAATCAGTGCAGCACTATCACCGTCTGTTGCAACCAGGGGCCATTCTCGCCAGCTGTCGTCGACGGCCGAAATGTCTTCGAGAGCAGTGGCATCGTTGAATGTGTCGCGTGGGACAGAACCACCGATGGCGTTGTTATTCCTGTCATCGAGGCTGTCAATCACGGGATTACCGTAAATGGAAAACATACAGATCAGAGATCCTGAGCATCCGGCCGGGTCGACTGTTCGGGTTTCGGAAAGCCTTGGACAAGACGTTACGACCAAGTAGATTCCTGGTGGCAGTTTGAACGATAGGTTCTCCGATCTCATGTAATAATCGAGCAGCCTCAACTGGGTCGTAGCTTTCTAACCCACTACCCATAGTAAGCTTGACCGCAGCTTCCGCAAATAGAATTTCATCTGTCAGGTCGTCTGTAGCAAAAGCAAGGTCATCCGCACGAAGAGTGAGTGCTTGACGCAGAGACCGCTTTTCTCGATTGTCCTCGACCAAGCCACTGAACATGAAATCCCATGTAGGTGGTCCAGATATTGTTTCCGTTACCTCGAACTGGTCGAAAAGCATCTCCACAGTCGCGGGAATGATATTCTTCGCAGTATCGTCCTCTGAAAAGCCTACTCGTCTGTGAAATTGTGAGAATCTCTTGATCAGGGTCAAAAGGGGACGGAACGTACATAGCATTCTTGTCGACATGACTTCGAAGGAACTCAATGTGTTGGATGACGTTGAAGTCGGAGCTTCGAATGTCATCGTCCGGAAGCCATTTCGAACCACGATATTTTACCCAAATTTGGTGCCAATGGTCCTCCAGTCGCACCAAATATGCCGCTGTCGTAGTCGCATCCTTCAGACTTCGGACACGCGCACGTATAGTCCCCTTTGGTACGGCAGGAAATACTTGCTTGACGATTCCGTAGTCGATTTTGCCTCTCGTGCGGCAGCGAGAGTTGGCGATCACATAAGCGTCCTTCAGAAGCTCATCATAATCCTTGTTCCAATGGAAACGCGAACGAGGACCTGTGTTGACCTCTGGCTCTTGCTCCTTCCCTGCTTCCGCTGGCTTCTTCTTCTTAGACTTGGACTTTTCAGCAACAGGTGGCCCTTGCGTGGCGATGAGTGTCGCGATTGATTTTTCTGGAGCATTGGTAACTGTCGGCGGAGAGATAGTTGGAGCATAAGCCGTGCCATCGGCGGCAGCGGGCTTCGTTCTCCACTGCGGTCCTTTCCTTTGGGTTAAGAAGCGTGGGGCAATTGGGAGGTTAGCATCATGCAAAGCCTGAGCGATTTTTTGCGCCCATTTCTCAACCTGAGCTCCGCTGGACTGGAGGTAGGATGTTCGAACGCGCTTCAACCGAACGGCCGCTTCCTCTGGTAGAGGGTCTGGATGGACCTTGACAACCAGATTATCCCACCTAGCTTCCCGTTCAGCCAACAACTCGGCAGCCTTCAATGCTAATGATGCCCGTGTTTCTGTGTCCATAGCTTTCTTTTTGATCTCTTTCTGGAGACGACGGTTAGCCTTCTCAAGCTCGACCTCTTGGTTAGCAAGAGCTTTTTCGTAGAATGAGCGAACAACGTCAAGAGGGGCAGAGATAATACTAGCGACATGGGAAAGTTGTTCATCGGAACCGTCTAACGGAGGTAGGTCCTGGAGGCCACTGATACGCTGATTGATGTAGTGTGACTGGTGCCATGTGAATGAATATCCTTCTGTCCAGGAGACACGTCGACAGAGGATTTTGGCTGACTTTTTCGCCTTTTCTAACAGAGATTGCGCTGGTGGGAGGTCGGAAACAACGGCTTCAGGAGCGTCCAGGGATCCAACACATGCGATTTTAAGATAGTCCCAGTATTCAGCACTTTCTGTATCAGACGAAACGGGCATATTGCGTAGGAAGCGGGGTTCTGATGTAGACTGGGCCCAATGAAAGATAGGGGCGACAGTGAGGAATCGCCAGTAGTCCGGAGCATTTGTTGTCAGTTGACTGGTCCATTCGCCTACTTGCTCACAGAAAGCGGTCGGGAAATCTGCATTGGGCGGGCACGTGACCTTAACTTCGTCGGATTCGGCGGGCCTCAGCGGCTCTGCCAAGCCCAGCGACCTGAGAATCTCGAGCAATTCGAGAACTCTCCCGCGACCGCGGGTTCGACTTATTTGCAAGAGGGTGTGTAGATTCGCAGGGAGGTCCTTGACCGGCATGTTCCAACCATCGTCAGTGGCCAATAACTGGGATAACTCTTCATTGCCATCGATGCAAGCCACCAGTCCACAATAGAGGCCAAGAGGAAGTTCGGAGTAAAAAAATGCGAACGACGCCAACTTGTCAGCATGGGAAACGATACTAAGTGATGGGTCGCCACTGGTAAACGCATGCAAACAATAACGATGGAACTCCCGAGCGCGCAGCATTTTAGCGGGGATATAGCCATAGAGTTGACCAAATGTTGTCCGTTCCGTCAGAAGGGCCTCTCGAATGGCTTCATCGTTCATCGCAAATAGTTCGTCGGCCCGCTGGGCGTTCGGCATTCTGTTTTCATCATCGTCGCCCAACAAGAGTTGCGCGGCTGTGGACTTGCGCGGTTTACGACCAGACTTGGCACCATATTCAGTGTCTGCATCGACCACAATCGAGTGGTTGAAATTGGTAGGCGGGAATTGGGGAGTATTGCGGCCTTGTTCGAGTAGGAATGCTGAGATTTGCTCTTGAGTTATATGTGGTAAGTAGACGATATTTGCGGGGCGGACCAGACCAGTAATGCTTGTCAAAGTCGTTTTGAATTGTTTCACGCGACCTTTGGCTTCAAGACTTCTAAAACCTGCAAGTGCAGTCCGACGATCCATGGTCGTCCCGGGTGGGGCGCTGGCAGGTTCGGATGCTTCCGCAAGAGTGGTCAGATGCGACAAATGAGCATCAAAGAGCTCCTTGGTTTGTGTATTCGCAATGCCTCCAAGGAGTTCGAGAACCCGAAAGAGCTCGTTCTCGCGCCTTAGAGTCGAAACATTCATCTTGTTCATTTTGTTCATTTTCTGGCGAGGTTTTTTCGTTGGCTAGAGACAAATCAATGTCCGGACGAAAGTCGAATCAGAAATGAACTCACTTGGGATTGACGAGATTCCACTCTTGGTGCGATTGGCTCGATGTCTGGCACAACTGCACTGGCGTCATTTGGAACACTGGGTGGTTCGATTTGGATTGACGTCTCCGGTACCAACAGCGGGGATGAAATGAGGTCGTCTTTGGCTTCTACATGAGGACTAGGTAGCTCGGATGGCAGAGCAGATGAAGGAGTAGAGATTGGCAGAAGTGTGTCAATCTCAAGCGGTTCCGATTCCGGTATCGGGGAGGACGTCATTCTGGCACGTTTCGCTGGAGGTAACGGTGCGTCAGAGTGGTCTTCCGACTGTGGATCCGCTTCGCCACCAATGTTTTCGTCGCCTTTTTCATCGGTATCTGCCATCTGAATGTCTACTAAAGCAGCAGGGCTGCTCGTGTCAACCAATGTTTTTCCGGCGTCTTTCCTTGGCCGACCGCGCTTTCTTTTTTCTGTGGGTTGTCCATCAATGGGCGGTGGATTCTTGGGAGGTCGACCACGACGTTTTGGCGGTGGGCCTGACTGAGATTCTGCGGCAGCTACCTCTTCACCGATAGAATCGTCTACCGGCTTTTTCTTCGGCGGGCGTCCCCGACGCTTGGGTGCTGGTTTAGGAGTACACACTGCGTCGTCGCCATCACCCATGTTCTCGGAAGTAGAGGCGCCTATTTCTCTATTAGTTTTCTGCTTGCTGGAATGAAAAGAAAGTCTGACCGGGATCACCGTCTGTCCTGGATTTCTTCGTTGGTCTTTTTTGATCCTCGTTGTCTTCTTGTTTCCGTTTGCGTTTCCTGGATGGCTTGTCATCGCCATCGCCTTCCTCTTTTTGTTTCCTCGGGCGTCCCTTCTTGACCGTACCATCAGGCAAAAGAGGGTTTTTTCGAATTTTGGAGGATGCTTTGGAGGGACCTTTGAGTAACATTCTCAAGTCGCTGTCTTGGTGCGCGTTCAAGGCCGCAACGTTCGAGTAGAATAAATCTGAGGTAAAAGGGTGGAAGTTGCCGACTTGCGCACGATCAATTTCCGCATAACCAGAATTGCCTTGATCGAGACCCTCTTCAGCAACAAGGTCTAGGTAGGACGCGAGAGTGTAGTATCGGTTTCGCCGTTCCCGCCCACTGCTCTCCATCAGACAGGCAATTCCAAGATCGATCAGGTGAGCGGGGGGAGGGAATTTCTCGGTGCGGGTTAGTATCAGTTCAATCGTCCGGCGGTCGAATTGGGCCAGACAATTCGTCAATTCCTAAACGAGTTAAGTATGCGGCCAGAGCCAACGACAAACGACTCACGGTCAGAGTCATGCCGGCTTTACCAGACTCTTCGATAAGTGTTAGGATTTGTTTGTGGATAGTCGTGTTAAACTTGACGCCGCTTTGCTCGTCTGATTGAAGACATCAATATTGCATCGTCATTTGGAGGTGAGGTTAACCTGGATCATCATCTGCTTGTGTTGGCGCGACGTCTCCTTGTGTCGATTCTGTATCGGAAGAAACTAGACGGTAGCATTTGATCCCACTGTTCGTTGTTGAACGCCGTTTGTTAGCCACAAAAACACACTCCACAACACGCTGCTCAACAAGCTCCCGCATTCGTGCCGTGAAAAAACGACGATCAGTTTTGGTTGGATGCTGGAAACCCTGCACAGCGTAAGTTAAAATGGATGGCGTCAGAACTGGAGCTTACGATAGCGATGAGCATGTTGCTAGAAGCATGCATCTGGTTCTTCGAAGCTTTGAGCAGTTTGAGGATGCGCCCTTTGAGAAGGGTCAGACTCGAGAGATGACGCGCATCAATGGGGGCGAAATTGAGATTCAAAGCAGCTGGGTCTTGTTCTCCGTCTTCATCTGGCGCCTCAGCTACTTCTTCGGCCTGTAATTCAGCAGTCGCACGACTTTCCTCTTCTCTGATGCCCTTCCACAGTTCGCTGCGATCAAAAAAGTATTTGTGTATGACGAAATGTGTTCCAACACCACCACGACGAACTTTGACGCTGTCAAGGATGTTAGGGGTTATAGCTGTATTTGTAAAAAAAAACGCACACAAGATCTAAATCGGTAAGTTGCTTGACAAGATAAAAGCAAGTTTTTTGGTCGTAGGTAGATCGCTGGCCAAGTTCTACCACGGTGACACCATTGTCGCGACCGCGAGTGATGATTTGAAGGGCCGTATATACCATCGGACTCATTTTTGGAAACTAAAAGTGCAATGAGTCAGCTTGGTAGCCGACAGAAACGACTGGGAAAGCGAACGCGGATATGGGTACCAGTGAGGGCAGCATATGTTGTATCGGAATTGGTCGCAATCCTCAGCTTATCCCCATACTGAGCCTTGAGCTCCTTGAGCGAAAGAGTTTTGGCATCTGCAACAATAGCGAGCGTAGGCGGCGCTGTTTGAACGATTTCCTCCCCCTTCTCCTTCGCTTTGCGCTTCTGGCTGTTTTGCGGCGCAATCCAAACCTCCGAAGTGATGCCGTCAGGGACGGTCCCAACGATGACGGTGGGCTGTTGAGCGACGAGGGACCAGATGAAGGCGTAGAAGTCGTCGTCGGTGTTTTGGGGCCCTCCCTTTACATAGAAGTCGACAATAAAATCCCGTAGTCGTTCAACAGGACAACCTGTGGGAGAGTCAGAAAAGCGACTAGTGCGAGGTTCGAACTCGATGCTGCTCGTGTCAACAAGCATCACATGCTCGTGAACTCACCTAAATCTCCGTCAAAAGAGAGCTCACGAAGACAGTGCCTCAGTAGGTCGTCCATCTTTTGAAGATGGAGGACGGAGGCAAAGTGTGATTCCCGACGACCCTGACCAATTCGGTTTCCAAGTATGTAAACGTCAAGTCGTCCTGTTCGGCAAACGTTACACTGAGCTTCTTTCGTTTGCTTTTTACGAAGCTAGGACGCTATCCGTTTTCAAAAGGGAAAGGTCACAAAGTGTCACACCCAGCCATAGTCAATGTTTCATTCCACAAATCGAGGATGTAGTACACTAAAATACAAACTAAACTACTTTCCAGGAGGCACAAAATCTCTTGTCAAGTCGATATCGCCCGCCAAATGCGTATTTGTGAGCCGTACTTGACGCTGTCGTGGTGCACCTCCTCGTTTTCCTTTCTTTTTGGTGGTAGGAGCGCGGATCGGAGCCTGGGCAGCAGAAGTCAACTGTAGACCCTCTGTGGTTGGGATGAGATTAGCCATAAACCGTTTTAACGAGCGTTGCATACCGTTGGCCAATTCCCTCTTGAGTTCGACATCATCAGGTAGCTTCAGCTGATGCCAAAGATCCATAAATTCTAGCGTCATGTCAGCACTGAAAATCTGAATAATATTGGACTGACCCTGCTCAACCTTTTTACCTCCAGCCTCTTCAGTCGGTTTGATTTCGTTCCAAAAGACCATCCGAAGCTGACCATCCTTGACAGTACGGGTTACCAACACTTCGCCCTCCGCTTCCAGCTCTTCCACTGCTGCTGGCGCTTCCTTCCACACCTCCTTCAGGGTTTTAACATGAATCCCTCCGCCATTCTTGGTTGCACGTTGAATTTCAGTGAGCAAAGCTGGCTTGGTTCGAAAGCTGTATTCATGCTGGGTAGTGGCATTAGACGAAGAAAGAATTTGGGTAACTAATTGACCTTGTAGGAGTAGAGGTTCGTTTTAGGGTTATACAAAACGCGATCATGGGCTTTGAACTTTTCGAGCAACAGCGAGTCCTCAAGCAACGGCGTGCCAGTCAAAAGAGCGATATCTTCTAGCCGCATAGGATTAGGCGTAGACTACAATAGTTCAGAGCAATATGGTACAAATGCTGTTAAGCACAAACCTTGAGGTGGTCCACCGCATAGACGAGTTGCGTATTGACATTGTTTCCTGAACCAGTGTCTGCAGGCTGGGACCAAACAACATCTAAGCTTGTCAGCAGCGAGGCAGCAGCCCCATGGAAACGAGCCCACTAGACTTCGGGCGAGGTTTCTTCTTGCCTGGAGGGACATATTCGGAGTCGGCTGTTTGGGGCGTGGTAGCTGCGGGACTCGATGGGCCAGCAGTCCCAGCATTGGAATGCCAGGAAGTGAAATCTTGTCGCTTCAAGGTTTTCTGAAATGCAGCAGCATCTTGAGCAAGTTTCGACATAGTGGCACAAGTCTAAGCACAGCGAGTCACAAAATAACAATTATTAGAGAGGGTCAAGGTACTTTTGCACACACACATCTATACAAATCTAATAAGGTGGTAGTGGTATAATACGCAACGAGTGAGGCCTATGCGATACTTGTTGCCGTCTGACGCTGCTCTAACGCCCGCAGAACGTCCGTGAAGCCCAATTTGCCAAGCTGTGCGTTCTGCTCGAATCGTTGCACTAACCACCGCTCCAACCCATCTGCCGCTGTCCTCCACAGCGTCATTCTAGCCTGGATCTCCGCCGTTTGCGTGAATGTGGTCCGGTTTCCGGGCGCTGGCGTATATTGTATCGTCTCTAAGCAGGTTGCAAACTGGGAAAGCGACAAATTTATTGACGTGATATCTGCCCTTTGTCGCGCTGGGTCAACGAAGGAGATTTCTCGAACAAATGCGTCTTCAGAGCCGCCGAAAAGCTGCAGAAACGTTAGAAAAAAAACGTGAAAGATTAGAGGGTCACACACTTTTACTATCCAGCCTGGTGCTTTCTGTTTGCATCCCAGTATGCGCTCCGTTCGTATTATTCCCGTTTGGGGGTCGACAGTGCGATCCACGACGTCGATGCTGACTACGTGGGTGCATTTGGGATTCGGATATTTGTGCCACATCCCATTAACCACATGCGACCAGGAATGTCTGAACAGGGTTCAATTGAGCTCAAGAGTGATATCGGGACGCACTCGTAGCTAAAAGACTGAGAGAAAAAGTGCATATTTTAGTGTGTTCGTGCCGGAGTCGTCTATGGAGTACAGAGGAAAGATGTGCGTGATTACCCAATTGACCCGAATCACCCGATAGATCAACACAGCCACACTCCACACACATAAGTATCACAAGCTACTCATACAAAAATTACTTTTTCGCTTCCTCCGTGAGTGCTTTGAGCTCCGCGAGTCTTGCCTCCATTTTAGGGCTGCATTCTTTCAGTCAAGTCCAACACATGAACTTTCTCCACTCACATTTCAAGCAATTTCGCTTCAAGGGCTTGCTTCTCCTCCTGCAAGGCAAGGCGCTTCTCCGCATCCAGCTTCGTGAACACGTAACCACCAACTCCATCGTATTGCAAGATCAGAGAGTGCCATTTCCAAAGCGATGGACGATGCGAGACGGTGAGTAGAGTGATTCCTAGCTTCGTCGCATGTTGCATCAGTTTACCCTCCATATCCTGTGGCACAAGTGAGGTTGCCTCGTCCAATATTGCGTACTTGGGATGATGGTAGAAGAGTCGCGCCCATGCGATTTTTTGCTTGTCGCCACCACTGAGCGTGTCTCGCCATTCTTTAGCGGCGTCCCAACCACCCTCACGATCAACGATGCTCTCCATTTGAACCACGGAAAGAATTGTAAACAAGTCGGAGTCCGTGATCCCGCCTAAAAAAAAAATCAGCACATAGCAGCAAAGCGAAAGCAGAAACTGACGGCTATCCATAGTCGCCTTCGAATGGGGATAGATAATCTGGTCCCGCAAAGTTCCGAGAGACAGATAAGGCCGTTGCGGAATCAAAATGAACTCGGATGCCGCTGGTTTGCGTACTACACCTCCGTACACGGGCCAGAGGCCACCGAGGATACTGAAATAGTATTGAGAACTCCAAGATTCAAATAAAAGTCAATGTTTACCGGAATAAAGAGGACTTCCCACATCCATTCGGTCCGATGACCAGGAGATGTTGCTAAGGATTGATCAGCCGAAGTCTGATTTTCTACTTGAAACGTACACCAGGTTCAGAGATGTGGAAGCTGAGACTCTTGACAAGAACATCACCGGTTGGGGTCACGATTGGTACATTTTCGAATTGGATGTCGGGGGATTCGATGATAACACCTCGTCCTTTGAGAACTACAAAACTTCATCAAGTACTGCTCCTGTAAAAATTGATAAGCATACTTTCGGCGTTCTCTCCGGTGGTGGCGCTATTAACAAGGGCCTTCTTGAATTTGCCATGACGAATGTCCTTCATAGTGTCCAACAATAGCGAAACTCGGGATGTGTAGCCGGCAAGCTCGGCGATCTCCTTGTAGGAGTACATTATTCGCCCGAATGCGTCTGATGACGACATCAGCAGTCGTCTGTTGGTAATGAAACCTGCAAAGGTGAGAAACAGGTCGACATCGAGGCAGTCATTAGATACCCTCTGTGCGGCCGCCAAGATCAGCCTTGGAGATGCCGGGAATCTTGATAAACACTGGGGTTGCGCAAAGGATGAGCTGAGAGAGAGTGGGTCAGACGGTCAAGGCAGCGAATGATGTGCTTACGCCGAAACTCCCCCACAGCCACTTGATGATTCCCTCCTCGATACATCCAAACAACCAGCGCCGATTGAGGACGTGATTCTCGTGTTTAATCACGCTGGCATACTCCCTTTCAATCAACATCTTCTCGTGCTCTTCTCCGCGCATGAATGCGATCTCTTCACTGAATTCAGCAAGCCTTGAATGAGCATGGCGCAATGAACCAGCCAACTGAGCAGACATGGCGGTATATGCGCCAAATGGCGGCGTTAAAAGACGCACTGCTCAGGGTTAATGATAGTCAGTAAAGGGGAATGCGATACTTACATAACGCTGCGGTAGCCTGCACAAGAACGGTGAGAACGATTAAACCCTCTGCACCAACGTTCTGAGAGAGTTGGTAGTTGTACAATATCACATCGAGTACGGGTTTTGCCAAGTTAGAATATAAGGCTGCTAGATGAATAGAGAACTTCTGGATATCGTTGGTAATCATTCTGTTGGGAGGTCAGGCCAGCGAGAAAAATCCACAAGTTTCTTACTGATCTGCATTGACAATTCGGTCGTCAAGATTAGCTGTAAAATGTCGATGAGTTTGTGATTGAAGGATCAAGTCTTTTAACCGACAGAGTTTATAGTACACCTTTTCTTCTGGACCTTCCGCAGTTGATCCCAAGTACTGGCCTAAAACTTCGGTGGTCAACCTGGTTCTGTATGCGATCGCCAGCTTTGACTGGATGTAGTTGAGCCAAGAGTTGCACCACGTGGCAGGGATAGCGACAATCAACCAGCGAAGAATATTGAGAAAGAATTGTTTATGTTCAGCGCGGACCAGCGAGGCAACGATTGTTCCATCGAGGCTCGCCACATATAGGCTGAGAACAGTCCTAAACACCAACAAGCTCGAGTGAAATACCAGAAGCATTGCTTCCTTGCGGTGAATGACAATCTTGAGCACCTGGGCGAGTTGGGCGTAGAAATGCTTGCGAAGTCATTAGTTGCTTGCAAGCTCTGCACTTCGATGAGACATACCGCGTCTACGGCAACTTTGGGAGCCCTCGAAGATTTGCCTTCGTCCTTATCCTTTCCTTTGCCTTTGCTCTTATTCGACTGCTTGGAGGAGACTTGACCCGACGTTAACCTTCGTGCCGTCGATCCAACGACATAGAGAGCGAAGCCCAAGTTCAAGAGACGTTGGATGGTTGGGCGATGAGCAGCATAATTCTTTGCGAAACGCTTCAACAGCTCGTTGAGCTGTTGCTTGCGCGCGGTGGTCGACATTACATGCGATGAGAAGGGGGGAAAGAGAAAAACAATCACATGCATTACTTGCATCAATACTGCGGAGTCCCGGGCCGGTCCGGGGTAACCGTTCGTCAACCAACAAGCTACACCACGACATCCTCTGTCTGTGAGACCCTGCCTGTGTCTACATCATACACCCAACCTGTGATCCTAGTCGACTTTCTGAGAACAGGGTGGCGGTGGAGATAGTTGACATCACGCTGGACGGATTCGACCACATCAGTCCATTCATGAAAGTCGATAGTCTCGAGGAGCTGCGCAGCTTCTGCTCCATTTGCTTCTTTCACGCCATCTTTGAGGGCCTGAGCGGTAAGGTGACTCATACCGCAATCGGTATGATGCACAATGGCGATGTGTCTTAAGCCAACATGCTGAGCAATAATAATTTCTGGAAGCGCATTGTGGCTATTCAAGAAGTATTGGTAGCGGTCCAGGATATCAGAGTAACAACTCACGCCGAACCTCCAGCATTACGAACAATAGCGCATTCACCAAAAGTCAACCCAAATTGTTCGTACGGTTGGATTCGTGGATCCATGCACGTCACTGCTCTGGCTTTTAATCGGGGAGGACCTTTGGATTATGTACGAACCCAGAACGAGCTCAGGCTTCTTGCGAGGGCCAGTGGGTATGTCGAAATTTAGGGCATATTTTTCGTTGGCTTGTAGGATGTCTTGAGGTATGGATGACATGTTGGAATATCTGAAGAGATAGCTGTGAGCCTGCGACACCAGCCAGCTAGTTTCTATCCGTATTTAAGGTGTGTAGAGTTGACGTTCATGTTGACCAAGCAATCAAGAATTATTAACATAGGCCGCTAGATGAATCAGCCCCAGCCCGACGAACGCCGCGAAATCCGTTTTGGTGCTGATATATGGCACTGTACTATTCAGAGAGAGCGAGTCGCGGCCGGTGGGCAAAGTTCAAACACCGCCACCGTGCGTCACGGCGAATGTCACAGTCACGCTGCTGACTTATAATCAGCGACAGTGGACAGAAAACTCAGATATCCACCATGGGTGTCGTTGAAAAGGCTCGCGCAAAGCATGCTCCTACCTATAGCCTTACTTGAATATGCTTAGATAAAAGCGATTGAGGAGGAGATGGCTAAAACGCAGAAGAACAAAGCGACAGAGTATCATTTGGGTATGAATTCGCTCTTATCAACTGGTGGCATTCTTATTCCCAGACGCTTAGGTCTACTCAAGGCAAAACTTGCGCGTTATCGTGCCCAGCTCCTTGAGCCAACCAGCAAATCAGGACCAGCCGGAGTTGGATTCGATGTCCAAGTGCGCAAACAACGAAACCAAAGTGTTCACCAATTAAACACGCCTAGAAAGCGGGAGACGCCAGAGTTGCACTCATTGGCTTCCCTTCGGTGGGAAAATCCACGCTTCTGAGCAAGACGACGCACACTGCATCAGAAGCCGCTGCTTATGAGTTCACGTTCGTCTTTTTTATCCATAATTCCGCCGTTCAGCCCTCTTAGAACGTTAACCGCGATTCCTGGTGTAATTGAGCATCAGGGAGCAAGAATCCAACTCCTGGACCTTCCTGGTATCGTCGAGGGTGCCTCTCAGGGCCGAGGACGAGGCAGACAAGTGGTTTCGACTGCCAAAACCGCCGACCTTATCGTGATGATGCTGTTAGTGAGGTCAAGACCTGACGCGCTTGACTCATCGGCGCAGAGATGCCACGAAATCGGAGGAACAAAAACGACTGCTAGAAATCGAGCTCGATGCGGTTGGCATCAGACTGAACAAGCATAAACCCGACATTGTGTTCAAAAGAAGGACGACTGGCGGGGTAAAGTTTTGCCCTTCCCTTAAATGTTCAAGCTTTAACATAGAATGCTCAGATATCTGTACGATTTGGCTCGTCTTGCTAATCGCTATCTCAGCCTTGTTTCAGTTCACTTCCACAGTGAAATTGACTAGGACTGATGAGAAGACTATCCGAACGATATTGGCCGGCTGTCTGCCCTTTACCAACGGAATTGGCATCGCTGAATCTGCGTTCTAGACAAATTACACAACTGCGATGTCATGATTCGTGAAGATGTCAGTGCTACGCCTAGCTCCCAAGCCACGTAAACTTAGCAAATGCTAGATAACGACAGACGACTTCATTGATGTTCTCATTGGCACTCGCAAATACATACCTTGCCTCTGTGAGCCTTTTTTTTTTACTGGAGCTCCATATTAATCTCGTCCAGATGTCTATAACAAGGTCGACGCCATCAGTCTCGAGCAAATGGACAAGCTGGCGCATACACCCAACACAGTTGTCATCAGTTGTGAAATGGTTTGTGCTGGTTTTCTCCTGTCTATCGGCTAATCGCTACCTAGGACTTGAAGTAAGTCGTTGCCTCGATGGGTCTTGGGATCATCATCATGCTTCCAGCCTGGATTATCTCATTGAACGGATGTGGGCAGAGTTAGACCTCGTCAAGGTATACACAAAGAAGCGGTAAGCCCAATTTAAATCATCATCCAAAATCGCCCAAACGATCAAAAGAGGCGCCCACCCTGATCTCAGCGATCCTATATGTTTGAGAAAGGGAGCCACTATTGAGGTATAGGACGAAATTACTGTGTTTGTAATTACTAATCATTATAGGACGTCTGTAATGGCGTACATCGCTCATTGGCCACCAACTTTCGTTATGGACTTGTCTGGTGAGTCATGACGTCGTTTTTCGTCCAAATCCAAGAAAACTTCGTTTTAGGGTAAGCTCATTGCTTGGCTGCGCTTTACTCGTCACAATAGTACGCAGGGAAAATCCAGCAAGTTTAATCCGCATGCCCAGAAGGTTGGATTGTCACACCAAGTCCAAGACGACGATGTTGTATCGAGTGAGCCCCCTGAATTAGCCAAGTCTCGAAAACTGAATGGACGCGCATAGTTTTTACCAAGTAATTCAATCTATTCTTGTGTGTTGTCTACTTGTTTAAAGATAAGTCTCATCGTTCACGTCACGCTCATCTGTCCGCGAGATCTGGATGCGTAACCCATCGTGTGCTGGCCGAACCCAGATAGGTTCACCCTCGCCAATGAGACTGAGGCCCTTGACTTCGTTCTCCGTTAAATTGGAGCGTTGAGGTGTTTTTCCGCCCACCGCTTCACACAACGTTACATACTCGTCGTGAGCGATCTCGTGGGAAAAGCCCAAGAGGTAGGTTCGCTTGGCTGCGATGCGGCGGGCTGCAATCATGGCCTGTTCCACGCCAAAGTGAGAAGGATGTGAACGGAGATGCAGGCAATCTTAATGGTTCGGTCAACCGAAGAATCAAATGCAAGGGCCTGGCCAACAAACCTAGGATGCAGACAGGCAACTGGTAATCTTTCGATGGTGAGATTGAGGGCCAGGCAGAGTCAGGAATAGCGCCACAATCCGAAATATAGACGAAATCTTGTTGAATCCTGCAGTCTCTCTTCCATTAATACTGGCCAATGGGGTAGGAAATTCGAACCGGAAGGCCATTGCCATGTAGGGGGTGATGACCTGCTCGATTTCTGGGGCAGAGCCTTCTACCGATTTTCCAGCTGCCGGTATTGTTTCTATTGGCGTCGTGAATAGTCGTCCATGATTGACGAGGAAAGGAGTAATCATAACGGAAGTATCAAGTACTTCAAATGGAACACCATCCTCCATGCAGACATGCCACACGAATTCCGGAATCTAGGGGGAAAAATTAGACAGTGTGCATGAGATGGCGTTCGGTAGCTACATCTCCTCCTCCTGATGCAAATTCTTTTCAAGTCCGTCAGTCAATATTTGGCATAGCTTTGCCTTTAGCATACATACCTTTGGAAACAAGATACGGGAAAGCCCTCTTGATCTCTATGAATGTTGCTTCAGAGACGTAGATGTCGATGTGGCTTTGTATTCTGGTGTCGAGTGTCCACGCTCGAAGATCGTCAAGCCCATTCATAGCTAGTCCGCGTTGGTGTTGGATCAACAAGCCAATAAGTGGTAACTACCGTCAGAGTGTGCATGGGTAATAAGAACTGGAGGAATAACCGACAATGAGAACAAGTTCAGATGCTGGTGAACCAACAAACCTGCATCGATTCGTCGGAGGCCGTATTTAGGAAACCATTCCAACGCAGCCGCTTGGACATATTGGCTTGGATAGCATATACCGAGAGCATCGATTCGAACCTTGAAAGTTTTTGCCGCAATCGACAAGTAGGGTGCTTCACTCAGACATGAGCCCAGTTCTCCATAGAGAGTGATTCAGAGGAGTCACTTACACGTTACCCTCCTTGCCTGGTGTGCGGACAATGATGCTAGTATTCCGCCGGATATTCTTTTTTCCTTCTGGAGTGCCGTCTATCGTCGAAAGACACGTTTTACAAGGCGGTCGATCGGAAGACCCAGGAATTGCATGCGCGGTAATGCAGTCTGCGAGTTTAATGAGCGCTTGGCGGCCAATTTGGGCAACTACCATGCCTATATGTGGCACACTGCTCGAAGTCCCTGTGCCCAAGAAAATCACCTCTGTCGACATGGTGGTTCAAGACACAGAAGAGCAACGCGAGATTTCTATACGCATATGACAACCTGTGACAGAACCACGATCGGAACGCGTCCCGTTGAAGCCGGAATCTTGTTTCCGTTTTACTCGTTGGACCTAGGAGTTCGGGCTCTACCGTAACGATATATATGCTGGCGCCTCTTGCACAAGAATCTTCAGCAGCATGATACGTACATTACCGAGAAACACCTCGTCTCACATTTTTCAAAGCATGGACCTTCGATATTGATTGTCATATGCAGAAATTACCAAAAGAAGATGCTGGCGGTATGCTCCAAATAGGGAAGCTCAGGAAAATGTAAGTTAGTACAGTGACTAGTCAGCTATATAATCATAGGGTATAATGTCGTTTGATGAACGGCAACGACTCTGGGCCTTCTTCAGAAGAGGATGAGTCTGGAGAGTCGGCAGGTAGTATAACTCTGGAGCTGGAGCGGAATGCTCGTCTTCTGATAGGCGAGGCAGGGGACGATTGCAATTCGGGACTGGGAAAACAACGAGAAGTGGGCTTGAAGTAAAAGTAAGAATATTGGAAGTTGAAGGAAGAAAGACTATTCACCAGGCATAATAAAGATGATGAGGGCTGAATTCGCTCTGCGTTGCACTGCTTGGTCCCAAGATTTTCTGGAGCCCCAGTAAAACTAAGGACTACGCCACGAAGTCGGTGACCCTCCATTTCTTTCCTTCGCCGCTCAATTAATATCCGCTTTTTCCGGTCGCTCGATGTCTCGAAGGTCGTAACAACCTTTGGCATTGGTTCTTCTTTTTTGAATGTCCATTTCAGGATGAGCCATTCGACAAGATTGTTGAGGAAAGCAAGTATTGCAAGAAATAGAGAAGTTGGGAGACCGCGTTGGAGCGTTGGATTAGGAGATGTGGGGGGCTTCGACACTTTGTCAATGGGAGGGCTGACAGTAACACGAGCGTGTGCACTGTGCCTCCGACGATTTAAAGTTGAACGAACACTTGGATGTGTCTGGCGCAGAGTGAGCTCCTGATTCATAGCGGAGGCAAAAGTTGGGGGAAAGGGCAGGAAACCGACGCCTCCATAACTAGTCTTGCAGTCACGAAGGCTTATTGTTTGTGTTGATGGGTGAAGATGATAAGACAAAAGAGCGGTCGCTAAGCATCTTGCGTGTGATACAAGCCTGCGATTTCTTTACAAAAACACCAACTGACATAATTGAGAATTGGGGCGAAAAAGGCTTGACGAGGTCGGGACAATCATGTTGAGTTTGATGGATTAGAGACTTGTTATGACCTTTCGTTTCTCGGCTTCGGGAGTTCTGAGAGAGATCCGGAGACTATTGCCGTTTGTACACGCGTCCAGCACCCGTTCTCGATCCTCAGCATTTTCGCGGTGACGAAGGTCTCGGCAGGTCGAGTAACATAGAGTAACATCACGTGTGACACCACATCTCTCTCTTCATGCACGCTCAAGGTTGAGAGAGCTCTCATGAAGTTCTTCTCCCAATCTCACTTCTACGAGTAAGTTGACACCAAGAACTATAGCCAAGCCTCTGACTTGACCTAGCGACCCGTGGTCCATCGTCACTCTTGCTTTCTTTCTCCGCTACCCAAATCCATATGCTTCTCACGTTCTCTCTTGCGATGTCGTTTCCCGGTCCTTCTCACCTTCCGGCACTCTACTGACAACTCGCCTCATTCTCAAGCGCGGCGCAATGCCGCGATGGTTTCCCAAAGGCATCATCACTCGAGCGGAGTCGTGGGTCGTAGAGGAAACGGAAGTGGATCCATTTGGTCGAATCGTCAGCTGCAAGACACGAAACTTGGACCATGTCAAAATCATGCAGGTTGAGGAAACAGTTGTGTTCAAGTCATTGCCGGACGGGTTCGTGCCAAATTCGCCTTGGTTAATCCAATGCCTGACATTATCCAGGACAACCCTGCAGCATACTGAGGCCAGAGTTCGAAGTGGATTTGGATGGGGACTCACAAAACGAATTGAAGCTCATGGTCTTAATAAATTCAAGGCCAATATGCAACGAGTAGGTTGCAATCTGTTCAATTAGCCATTCACACTGACTCAACCACCGTAGTCGCGTGAAGGCGTATCCCTTGTTTTGCAGCTTCTCAGACAGTCTCGGCTCCAACCCATGGCTATTGGTGGACCGGAAAACTCCTTGATATTCCCCGCAGTGTCATCACCACCGACTGTCCAGTTTGAATTAAGCGAAACGACCCCACGAGCACAAAATTCATGGTCGTCACGGCTCAAGGCCTGGCTTCGTCGAGATTAGCTGGTTGTAATTGTAGCACATACGATATTCTCTGTATTAGTAGTTGCATAGTCCATTCTCATCAACAACGGGGAACTTCCCTCCGGCTTCCACCATCTCTCCCACTGAAACCAGATTTGGAGGATTCATGTTTTGTTCACGCCATGTACTTTCCAACCGCCACCGCACGCCAGCTCTCAACAGTCGCTGCTCTCCCCAATGTGCCTCCAGAGTCAGAGAAACTTGTTGCTCTTGCACCTAGCCCACGCAAGTCTTTGTTTTGCACCCTCACCAGGACAGGCGTGTCCATTTGGCGCGTCAGAGTGTGTCTTCTACCATCCACTTATCACCCAGTCTCTCAACAAGCGCCAGCCCTCTGCTATTCTCGCATATCTGTCGCGCACCCCGACTTCAATTCTTGACCATGGAGAGAATATTGCCGTTCATTGGGCGCCAGACGGCGGACGACTCGTGATACAAGTGAGATACGTCGTTAGTAGGTTAGGAATAAACTAATTCAACTTTACAGACCTCACAGTCGCATCTGGTCCTCATTTCAGTCATATATCACGCTGATTTACCCACACAAATACCACCCTCACTTCCCAGCACCAGCCGTAACTATTTCTTGCCAGGTCCAGGAGAAGCCCTGCCATTACAATGCGTCAGCTTGCGGTTTGAAGGTGTCATAAAGGTAGACGGAGGACTCTTATGGTGTGTGGTTGATGGAAAGTGCTGTCGTCAGTTAATCCCCCCCCTCAGCGTCTCTCCACGAAAACATTATATCTTATTTTCGACCAAAAGCCCGCCGGCAATCCAACGGATACCATGGCCTAACATCGAGGACGAAGACGCCGATGACGAGCCAACGCAGAGTCGAGCAGTCTCTTACGAAAACTGGATTTTCAACGATCAAGACTTTGATTTTCTTTTGGATCCTGACGGTTTGGGTTCCTTCTTTGGACAGTGTTCGCATTGACACGGCGCAGTAACGGCAACCCAAATCCTCTACTCACGATCGACGGGTGTGGAAACATGGATAACTTCCGATGGACGAGCATATTTTGTCGGTCTGCGGGATGAAGAAGTCATGCCAACCTCGGAAAGTATGGAGCAAAGTCCCAACCCAGCGCAGCACCAGAAGGTGAACCCCACACCTATTGAGTGGAAACTCTCTTACCAATGATTAGTCCTCTTCCGTTGAGTCTACTCCTGCCTCCAAATCCGTCTGGCAAGGTACATGCATTCACGATTTTGAAACGCCGCGATGGGTTCAAAAGTCTCGGCGCATTGAGCCTGATGAAGAGGACGAAGACTCGGAGTTGATCCAAGACGAGGACCATTCTCTTTCCGACCAAGACAGTGCTAAAAGCAAAGGCAAGGCTCGCGCAGTCTACGAAGAACCTCGGCGCGCTGTCGCGGTCGCTATCAATAGCAAGTTCTCCCTCGTTGCAGTGGGGATGACCAACGGTGCCATTCAGCTGAGCTCCTTCCCATCCGAACTGTCTTCTGTTGCCCCACCTTCCGCAACATTGGAGCCACCCACGTCATACAATCGTGAAAGCGGCCCTGTTTGTACTATGGAATGGAGTGGGGATGGCTACGTGCTTGCTGTCGGTTGGCGGGAAGGATGGGCGATATTTAGTGTTGGAGGACGTTGTTTGGCGAAGGGTTTCGGGACGGACGACGACTCGCATGAGGACAAGTCAAAGTATGTCTACAGGTTGAGCTTCTTGCCACCCTGACTTACATAATCACAGATTCCAGGACTCTTTTATGTTTGGCGTACGCAACCTGGTAAAGCGGAACTGCGTCTTTTTCGATAATGATACTCATGTCGTTAGTTCTGGGCTCCAGGAAACTTCGAGCTTCTTGTTCTGGCTAATCCAATGCCGCACAGTTCGTCATATCCAACTTCTTTCAGACACAAAACCCTCATAGTCCGTCCAGAATTTGATGGACAACTGTTTGTGATTCCATTTGCGAAGAGCGCATCAACTGGTCAGCTCGCTCCTGTTCGTCCACTCCCTCCCAGTGTCTGGATGTCATGACAAACGTCTTCAGGACAACACGCGATATGCTTTCTTACAAATGGATGACCGAGTGCTCGTTTATCGTGGCGCAGATCAACCAGATATGAGTGTCATTAATCCTGAGTCGGATGTGTGGCAACACATTAAGGTTGGTGGCTGCTGAGCTAAAACTGGATATTCTGATTGTCATGTTAGATACCTCAAAGCTATTTAGCAACTAATTGGCCCATTCGGTATTCTTCGCTGAGTAGTGATGGACGCCTCATCGCAATAGCGGGGCGGCGAGGGCTCATTCATTATAGCTCGACTTCTGGTCGCTGGAAGCTATTTGCGGACGAAATCCAGGAGCAGGCCTTCATCGTTAAAGGCGGTATGGTCTGGTTCCATCATGTTCTAATTGCGGCTGTCGAAGTATCCAAGTCGTATCAAGTCAGTTTTGGGATCTTAACTCGTTAAGTCGCTGCTGACTATTTTTACAATAGATTAGACTTTACTCACGCGACATGGAGCTGAGCAATCAGAATGTCCTCCATCGCGAAATTGTGTCTTGTCCTGTTGTCATCATGTCGCTGGTAGACAACTCGCTCCTCGTCTACACGGCCGACAACACCCTGTTCCACTATCTCATTGTGCCTACAGCGGATACAATCAAGCTACACCTGTGTGGAAGCATCACATTCAACGGAGTTATAGCTGTCCCCAGTGCTGTCCGAATGCTGAGCTGGATGATTCCCAGCGCTCAAAAGCGTGCGCCATATCCAATAGTGTGGCTTGATTTGATTTTTTTGCCTCAGAACTTGGAGATCCTGTGGACGATCTAGCTGTAGCCACCGTGTTGATGGTTGTGGGCGGTCAGCTAATACTGCTGCGTCCCCGAAAGGTTTGTTCACCTGCCATCACACCCGCTTATCTTATCTTACCCCAGGCCGGCGATCAAGAAGTCAAGTACGACATGCAGATCTTCGCGGACCGAATCGAATTCTGCTGGACCCATCTTCGAGGCATCAATACCTTGGAGAACTCTCTTTGGGCGTATGACGGACAGGGTATCCGGGTTTGGCTCAACGCCCTCTCTATAGAGGGACCGCGAGAAAACAACGCAGAAACTCAGGAAACGGTCAAAGAGAGTGTCAACATCCCGTTGGATTTTTACCCGTTATGTGCGTGGCTATTTGTGTCTCGTTATGTGCTTCTGATCTCGTGCAGCTGTGCTTATGGACAAGGGTATCATCATTGGCGCTGAACCAGAGGTAGCCACTCGGGCCAATCTTCCGTTTGTGATGTTCAGGCATGCGACCAGCGTAAACATTCTCTTAACCTTGACTACCAAGCAGCTGAATGACTCTAGTCACATTTATTCCTTCATCACATTTTGCTGTACCATCTAGAAGCGCGACAGGTCCATGAAGCGGTGGTTTTCGCCTCGCATTACCAATCGCTCGTGTTCTTCGCCCATGCTCTGGAAATCCTGTTGCATACGGTTGTGGAATGGGACGAGCCGACAGACGCATCGGAGGCAGAGGCGGTATTACGTAACGTTGTCGAATTCCTCGACCACTTCGATGCTGCCTTGGATGTCGTTGTCGGGTGTGCGAGGAAGACTGAGATGACACGCTGGAAGCGGCTATTTAGCATTGTGGGAAATCCAAAGCTGCTCTTCGAGGTAATACTCAATACTTCCCCTCAAAAAAACGACGCTGATCGTTGCCAAGACCTGTCTCGACTCCCAGCGGCTCAAGACTGCCGGTTCGTACCTATTGGTGCTGCACAATTTAGAGCAACTTGATGAGGGGCATGGCGATGTCATACGCCTTCTTGAGAGCGCTGTCGTCGTGAAGGACTGGCAATTGTGTCGAGAATTGCTTAGGTTCTTACACACTGTGGACGACACTGGAGTAGCGCTGGAGAATGCCCTTGCGCATGTCAAAGCTCTGGATAACAAAGCAAATGGGCCATAAGTCGGCGCTCTGCCTCCTTCGTATTACGAGTACTTTAGTTACGAGTTACGAGTTACGAGTACTTTAGTAATCGTCCATCACACCCCTCCCAGCGCAAATTTCAGCTCTCTTGTCACGCTCTAAAATTGTAATGCCGTAGCTAAAATGTAACAAATTTGAAACCCCTCGTCTTCAAATTCCATTAGATCATATTTGTAGTCTTTCAATACACTCAACCCTAACCCTAGTAGACATCTGCAAACATTCATAACGACCATTCCTCCACAAAATGTTCAAGCCTGAGGATACAACCTCAAATATCGAATCTGAATCATGATTTGGTCGCGGTGACCGTACTTAGTGGAGCCAAAGATTGAGTTCGGACGTGTTTGGGTTGTGGTCGCCGGTCGAGAGCCTTTTTTCACCTTCAAGTTAGGCTTCAGTTGTTTGCGGCCGACTACGAAAGCGCGGCTTGGATAGAAGTAAGGTATAGCAACTATGGCACTAAGTACATCAATCTATCGCGAGGAATTGTACTTACTATCGACTTTCCAAGGCTGTTCAAGCTCCCAGCGCCAGCCAACCTTTGAAATAGGAATGCTTGTTCTTGTCTGCTAAACGGTAAAGCGGCATTGGTGGGTGTCCAACTCACACTTGTTTGGAAGTGGTTGGACTGTCCAAGTCTGACGCATCGTCAGACATTTCAAGTTGCTTTTGTTTTGTTGTGCCGAGCTAGGGTTGGGTGTGTGGGTTGGGCTCGTACGCACCCTTTACTCATAGTATTGTGCAATTGAGTACTCGTATCCGCCGCGCACCGCGTCGGCCTTTCTCCCAAGTGATTAATATATGGACTGTGACACCTCTGTGACATTTCGCGCAACTTCCAGACGCAACTTCCACTTCTTCAGCCCGATTTTACTCACCCTCCAGCCTTTTTCGCGCCCGCTTCCTCCTTTACACCTTACCCTGCTATCGTAGCCGATTGATCCTGGACGAGTAGAGAATGGCTGTTGCATACACACCAGAAGGCGCTGTTAGCATATCTTATCGTGAGCTTATCGAGTCCCCACTCACTCTGACCGAGTCGATCGGTCCGTGTCCTTCTTTGCTTACTTCCGCGATTTACATAACGCCCATTCAGAACGCGCATTCGGATCGCAGCCAGACTGCCTCGGGATAATCGTCGTTCGGGGTGAGCACATCCAGCTAATCTCTCGGGCCACTACTCAACACTACCAGACTTGCCCGCAGCCTACGCCGGCTTGAGAGAGCGCTTGTTGATGTTATCCCACGCGTTCGCAACAAAACTCGACGAGCCCACCCGTGAACGGTATGCAGACGCCAGAAGCCGGTACAGGTGAGTGCTCTCTTCTTGTGGCTCTATTCCAGCTAATTAGCGTTTACAGCTTCGGTTGGTCGCACGGGAAAGAGATTATGAACGGCAAGCCCGACCTGCTGAAAGGCTCCTACTACGCCAACCCCGTCGTCGATCATCCGCCTGTCTCTGACGCTCTAAGAGAGGCGTACCCTGAGTACTATAACAAGAATATATGGCCGGACAACGAGGCGGGGGTAGAGACTTTCGAGGCCGCTTTCAAGGAGCTCGGAAGGTACGGCTATTTACTCCGATCTGCCCGTGTGTTGAGGGTGCAATCTACTTATAGGTTTGTCTTTGACGTTGGCGTCGCGCTAGCGAAAGCCTGTCAGCCATTTGGTACGTCCATGAACCCTTCCTACTAATACTCAATCTAATCTTCTCCAGCCCTGTCGCGATTGAACGACTCCTCCATATCGCTGCCCGACCTCATCAATACTTCAAACACTGCCAAAGCGCGCTTGCTGCACTATTTCCCGCCCAACAACCCCACTGGCGACGAAGACTCCGCGGTCGACGACTGGTGTGGGTGGCACAAAGACCATAGCCTTTTGACGGGTCTATGCTCTGCTATGTACCTGCAACAACAACAACAAGCGGACTCTGTTATCGTTCCGTCGCCGTCGCCAGCCTCTGGATTGTACATCCGAACGCGAGGCGGTGATATGAGTAAAGTCCTAATCCCCGTTGACTCTCTGGCATTCCAGACTGGAGAAGCTCTCGAGGTGGCTACTGGCGGGAAGCTTCGTGCTACTCCACACTGCGTCCGGGTTGGCTCAGCACCCAACAGCGACAAAATCAGCCGCGAGACTTTTGCTTTGTTCATGCAGCCCGATGTGGACCAGGAACTTAGCGTTGGCTACACATTTGGACAGTTCTCCAAGAGAGTGTTTGACGAGCATTATGATGGTGGTGCATGAATTGAGTACAGTCTACATTGCGGTAAAATCTAAAAATTATACTATGGTGCTTGATTAGCGGTTGCAGAAACTGTTCGTCGTCGGGGCGAGGGCAAGACTGACAAAACAGCTGCAGCCAAACTGTTGCGCTTCGAGGAAGGCTCTCGTCCACCGTCACTGTTTTGCGAGCTGATTGACATCCGCCGCCCGTCATGTTCCGAGATTACACTCCAGTCTTCACTCCCCCCACCTCCAGCCGCTGACCCACTCGAACTATAGCCTGATGCCCGAATAGTCGAGTGTTCTCCCTCCGCCTCGTCATCCACATCATCATCCGAGTCACGTTTAATCAGTGAACGAGCGTAGTCAAGGTCCCGATAGATGCTTTCAATGGCCGTCGCAACTCCATCCTCCTGAGTAGAGTAAAATGAGTTGAGAGCAACACCGAGTTGAACACACTCACCGCTCTGATCTTCTCTCCAATTAACCGAGCACGATCTATTTGTTTAATGTCTGTCGTCGCAGAAGTCAGAGCATCCGTGAGCGAGTCCACTGTCAGCTTCCGAACGCCCGTTCCAACGCCAAGGGCTTCAACCCGGTCAGCCCAGAAGAACTGATCCCCAAAGAATGGTCGGATGATCGTCGGAATGCCCGCTAAACAAAAGTAAGCAATATGGTCAACTGTGGATAAACAAGTACCTCTTAAACTTGCACCAGTGGTACCTGCTCCTCCATGATGACAAGCAGCGTCGATGCGTTGGAACAACCAATCGTGGGGTATCGAAGGGATAGGGTAAATTTCCTTTGGCAGTGGCTCCTCTGGCTCAGTCGCGTCGCTCTTGGCTTGTAGGCGATCTGACCAGCCTTTCGAGAGAATGGCGCGGACCCCGCTCCGTAAAACCGCATCCACCACGCATCGGGTCATCGTTTTCGGGTCCGAGACAACGATGCTGCCGAATCCGATGTAGACGACCTTCTTTCCTTCCGCATGCGCTGTGTCGATGAAGGCGACAAGGTCTGGTGGCGGGCTCCACTTCTTTGCACTGACATCGGCGTCATCGAGGAACCAGTAACCTGAAACAAGCAGAGTCAGCGTCACCAAAAAAATGAAATAACCATCAGCAAGTCACCTGTAACCCGGATCCATTCAGGCCAGTCTAACGGCGGCGGCACGATCTGCGGACTGAAGTTATATAGGAATGGTATCTTATGGGGTTCCATCTTGTCAAGGCTGGTGCTGCCTAGATGTAACACATTCCTCCTCCAACGATTAATCTGCCCAGAAATTGCTCGCCAGAACACCTGGTCGAACATGACATAGGTCATATAGTTATAACCACCACCCATCTTATAAAATGGTTAAGCATGAGCTCAGCCGAGTTGGAGTTCACAAACCTTGCGTTCAGGCACGGCGAATGCATGAGGGTATGCCCTACACGTCATTGAGTATCTAGTTGTGAAAAACCCAACAACGACAAACCGAGTGCGAGTCCAAGTCATAGTGAAGGCCCGGAAATAAGGAATACCCAGTGCCTCAGCAACATGATAACCACCCATGGCGCTCGGACTCTCGATCAGAACGTCAGTACCTTGGCAAGCATCCCAAGAGTTTTTGAGTAGGTCGTCGAGCCATCCACGGAACTGTGTGACAGTTGAAGTAAGAACAAAGGACGGGGGTTGAAGTAAACCTTCTGTAAACCCTCCTTCAGGAATGATACGGTAAATGTGCCATTCTCGATGCAGATCCGCATGAGTTCCGCAGGATCACCACCAACGAATCCGAACTCGATGCCGTGCTGTTGAAGAAAACGTAAATAGAGAGTCCACTAAGTGCCATACAACGCACCGACTCAATCCAGTCCTTGAACTCTCCATGGGTAGCAATCCGGCACTTATGACCATCGGCCATCAAACCTTTGGCTAGGGCGATGTAAGGCTGGACATCTCCTCGTGACCCAATGGTGAGGAAGGTGAAATGCAAGCTGCGTTTGGGTTTGAAGGTGAGGAAGGTTGACGATGCGGACGTGAACATAAGCGCAGGTAATGAATCTGTCATACTGTCCGTTGCCTCGATAAGCGACGTGGATGGTTGTGTTTGAGGCTCAAACTCTTCCAAGATGAGCGCTTCGCGTTTACCTGGAGTGACAGAGGTATCACCCTGAGCCAATCGGCGTTGGCAATCCTCCATCTGCGCCTCGAGAAGGGTTACAAAGGCATTACGCTTGTCTTCCGCGCTAAACTCGAAGAATAGCTCTTCGTGACCCTTGACTATCACGATCAAGCCGTGATGGCCGAATCGGGTAGCCTTCGTCTTTTCGACTGCCAGCAGGTCCCGGATCGGTAATGTCATCTGCAAACGATTGGTGCTGAGCAATGAGCGAGATCTGGACATACCCTCGTCTTTGCAGTAAGTGGCCCAGTAGATTTGAAGCAGAAGAAATTTGTGGAAATGTAGAGTCGCCCGGGAACAGGTAAAAGCCGAAAGATATAGCCAGGGAAGTCTCAAGACTTGTAAGGGGGGGAACATCATCATAGTAATCGCTTACATCCAAGAAGTGTCTCCTTTTCATCATAGGCAAACACTGTGCGGAACTTTTCGGTCATTTCCGGATCGATTTTCACATTTGGCGTTTCGAGAGTGCTGAATGCCATATCTCCCAGCCCACTTCCGCGACTTGCTTGCGAAGGCATCGAGTAAACTTCGCGGACACGGCTACTTGGAGAGGCCATGGCGGTTGATACCTCCGAAGGGCCACCTCCCCCAAAGACCCGTTTGGTGCCTCTGAGCCAAGAAGGGACCCCTATCCACGTGTTCCCACCGCTCTCGCTGTTGAACGGGTGGTCAGGATTACTGCGTGAAATAAAAGAGGACGGTGGATACGTGTGTTCTTGACTATGTATTGGAGTTGGTGTCGATGGGCTCGGGGTGTCGGGCGAGCTCGTGACTGGCACAAAAGATGTTGAATTTGGCCGTCGGGAGATGTGCGTAAACGGTTCATTCTCTGCTAGAGCACCAGTAGTTGGAACCCGGTTTCCAGAATCATGGAATGGCCATAAGAAAGACGAAATGCTGAACGATGACGATGCCTTGACATTCGCATGCTCGACATTGGCAGGCAAACTTTGTGCTCGGTCTGGGGGATGCGGAGTTGACCGTGAGACAGTGGTGTCCATAAGAAGTTGCGGGGATGCGCGTTCTGGTTGGCCTCGGTGCGCTCGCACAGCGTCCCGAATCTGGTCTAATGCGCCCGAAAGGTCTTCAAAGTAGGCGAAGAAGTACGAATCAACGGAAAAGTGTTCGTCCTTGTCGAAAACCTTGACTTCGATTGTCTCGCTGAAATCCATGGCCGTGGACTTGTCAACATCGAGAATGATTGAGTACGGGATCGCAATCTTAACGCTGTCCCCCATATTCTGAGCCTTGAATATGACTTTGCGAATTGCTTTGACCCACTCCTCCCTACTTGGCACCGACGGCGCTGACAAGTGTATAGACTTTTGATTTGTGCGTATTCGGAAGTCCTTGTCATTAACAGCGTCGCATGAAATCGCATAACGGAGATCGACAATGCCATGAGGAAAGTAAGGGTCCTAGCAGGCCATCGAGATGAGTTTTGATTCGGTTACAATGGTGGGAAAAACTGACTGAAGATGACTGGTACCATGAAAGAGCATCGTTCTTCAGCACGAACCAATGCTTAATCCAACGTTTCGTTCGCTGAGCCTTCTTGTTGAGGGAACCCGATTTAAGAACTTGATCCTACAGTAGCCGATGAATATCCAAAATGAGGCGAACAAGCCAGGACATACCTCTCGGCTTGGCATATGAGCAAAGAAACACAGATACGAGTTGGTCAAGTACATGTAACCTTGTAAAACTGGACCAGGATGAGCAAACGGCATGCTGAAATGGTAATATACTCACGAACTGAGCGCAATAGCCAACAAGGCATTTCTATGCAAAATGAAACCAAACTAATAATCATGTGGAAGAGAACACACCTGCCCAGACCTCCTCTATCCCATCGAGCTCAAAGACCTGCTTGAGCTTCTCCGCCAGTCGAACCCTCCGTTGTAACTTAACCGTTGCCATACTGCCGGAACGTAGCATGGACGGCGATAACGTTACACCACTTTCGTTCTGTTGCTGTCGTCTTATGTGCAAAGGGAGAGGTTGCTCGGCGTAAGGCGGTCGGGGCGTTGATTGTTCAAAGTCCTCTGCGTCTTCTTGCTCGGATATTTCGGATGTGACGTCCGAGGTGGTTTCTTCTTCGCTGACCGTCGTGTGCTGAGGGAAAGCCTTTCTACGATGACCTTGCGAAGTGTTGAGACGCTGTGAGCGAGCGAGCGGTCGATAGATGGTATGAATGGAAGACGCGAGGCGGTCGGCTAAGGATGGGGTTAGACTCGGAGTAGTGCGGCAAAGCCATAGAAACTTGCCTTGCTTTCCCTCTTCATCGCTGTCAATATCCACGGGACTAAGAGTTTGTGGCATAACGTCATCTTCATTATCGGGGTCTGTCCATGGAAGAGCTTGCAGTGCTTGAATCAAAGTTTGTGTTCCGGCACGCATCTTTGGGGAGTCAGATTTGCCATCATAACAATGATATAGCAAATGACCGCACCGAACCGCCGCCTCTAAATGAGCTGAGCATAGGTCGAGACGGTGCAAGGGTTGGTGAAGGCGGAGTAATGAATGGTGAGTCGTCCTGAGGCTCTGAGGGTAGGGGTATGTCTCTGGGCGAGATTGGACGCGACGCGCTGGGAGTGCTGGAAGCGGAGAGCAAGTCTGAAATAGGCAAATCGGTGACCGAGTTGAATGAGCTTCGCAACACACCTTCCTCAGCCCGACCCTTTCCTCTGCTTCTACTAAGACTGAATATACGTCGAGGACTAGCTGACTTTGTTGGGGAGGCCTTTCCACTCAAACTACGGCCAAGTTTGGTGACAGCATTCTCCATGGAGGCCGAGAGACGTTTTACGCGACTGCGAGATATGTCTGAGTTATCGCTGTCCATTTCTAGAGTAGCCGGAGACGTGTCAATCGGTACTGAGGGAGAGAACGGCGAGGGAATGTGAGAGGCCATGTTCGTGGCTAGGAGCAGGCCGGCATGAAAGTGTGACGGTCTGTAACACGAGCTGTTGAAGCTCAATAGAGCTCAATTGACCGCGTACTACAGCTGCGTGGGTTGGGTTTGGCGCTGCTTGAGTAAGTCGCACTTGGCTTCTCGCAATGTGTTTGATAAAGCCGAACTTGAAGGTCACGCTTGCCCGCTCCAACGTTGTTGTCGCGTTGGACGCGCTTACTTCTCACCAATGCGTGGTGAATTTTGCGTCGGTTTATCGTCCTTCCTCTCGTATGCTAAACGCTGTCAATTCTCTCGAGAAAGTCGCTAATGTGGCGCCAGACTCGCCTCACTACTTCTCTTGATCTTCGTGCATGTTGGTTCTCCGCAGTTCGCTCCAATCTGGCCTTATATGCGCTAGGTTGGCCAAATAAACACCTCTTCTGTCCCGCACGGAGTTTCACTCGTATGATCCTCAGAGTACCTCCGCTATCGAGCCCTCTCATCATCTATTAGGTCAAAATCAACGTGTCCCAGTACGGGTCCGTGCGTTTTGCTTTTTTATTATACTCCATTCGAATGATGAACTTGGTAGCGAGGCACTTCATGTTGCTCTCATCGACGACATAGACCACCTTTACACGAATAATGCTTCAGCTCCCCTTCAAGCTGGGGCTGGTTTACGCCAGCTCTACGAATTTGGATTGTACTCCCATTGTGCCTATGTTAATAGCTCCGCCGGGAGATGCACCAACACCTCAATTCAACAAGAATTCCGACCTTACGAAGCCCTCACGTCCGACATGCGTGCAAACTATACTGACATTACGAATTTTATTTTGAGTGGAACGACTTTCGCAAACTCGAACTCGCTGGGGCATAGTTCTCGAGCAGCATACTGGATGCTGCTGTTAGGCACCATATGCGCAGCAATCGCCCTCTTCACGTATGATTGGCCTCTTTCCATGGGATCAAGCTACTAACAAGATTCCTAGAGGCGTAGCTAAATACAGCTTTACTTTCTTCATCTCAACCGGCTTTTCCGTTCTTGGAAGTGTTTTCATCCTTATTGGCGCGAGTATCTGGACGACACTCATAAAGAGAGCTGAGACTGTCAATTCCATTATGATTGGAAATGCCTCAAACCCGGTGTCTGTGGGCATTCAGGTTTCGTCTGGCCCCGCACTATTCCTCATGTGGGCCTCCTTCGCGTCACTATTTGTTTCGGTGGTACCATACATGATTAGTTGCTGTACCTACCGTGGATAGAAGAATATCTATTGCTGCTTAGTCAGCGAACCACCCCCTCTTCCTCAACCACCATGTCGGCCCTTCTCAGCACACAACAGAATCTAGAGGATGCGTCAACACTGGTTTCGGAGTTCATCTATAGTCCGTTATCTACCCCTGCCACCCAATTTCAGCTCAAATGCACTAGGTCTCGACAACATTCCCAATGAAGTTGCCCATCTCCTACAGGAAATCAAGGAACTGGACACCAAAGTGCAAGGTGCGAAACAGCGTATATAATCATAACGAGATTCACCCACTGCTTCTATTAGATTTGCAACAAGAAATCGACAAGGATTCTGCACGGTACATTCGGCACTCACTCAAGGCATCCAATTCAGCGTCGTCATCACTTGCCAATTCCCCTTCCCCAGTTTCGAATCTCCCACGACCACCCTCCCCAAAATCTCAAGCCATTCCGCCAAAAATTGCCAAGGCCTACGAAGAGATCCATGCTCTATCTGCCGAGAAAGTAGCATTGGCTCAGCGCATCATCGATCTTGTGACTCGGACTCGAGCACGATTGGACGCCGAGCTGACAAAAGTGAGAATACTCCAGGGCGAGCCTCCCGACCCTCTCGCTCGCAGCAATTCGCTTGTGGCAGCCCCACTCGACGGTGAAGTCTACATTGGAGCCTCTCGAAACCCCGTCGGCTATGCTGAGACCCAACGGAATCCTCTGGCTTCCTCCACGTCCTCTGTAGACATTCGACAACAAGCAGTTGCCACTTCAGTATCAGCAGCTTCTGCTTCTGCTCAGCCTCCGTTGAAGAGTGCGCTCTAGTGCGCTGGATATGTGAATAAACTAACTATGTATTCCTTAGAACGTCGAGTTACAACCCAAACGTCAACCCCAGTCAAGCTTGCCCCCGTCACTCCGGTTCAAACACCACGACGGTCGCAGTCGCCATTAACTAGCGGTGTTCATGCCAATGCAGCCGCCGCCCAACCCAAACGATCTCGGCTGTCCCGCCAAATCCATCCTCGTGAAGATTTAGACTTGGACGCAGAAGGCGAGGAAGAAGGTGAAGGCGAGGGAGATGGAGACGGCGAAGATGAGAATCTTTACTGCTTTTGTCAAAAACAAAGCTATGGCGATATGATTGCATGTGACAACGACGACTGCCCATATGAATGGGTGAGTCGGTTGAACTTGCCATTGTCCTTTGCTCAATGTTCTAGTTCCATCTCTCTTGTGTGCAACTCACACAGCCGACACCAGAGAAGTGGTATTGCAAAGAATGCATTGACAAAGGTTTCGGGCCTGGCGGTCGAAAGGGCCGGAAACGGTGAAGCTTATGTAATTATGAGGGTGTGTCTACAAAGAAATCTATATGCCCTATTGTTCGGTTGAAGAAAGGCCCAAAGCTGTAAATGTGGTTTACTGGACGTGTTTTAAGTTTGGTGAATGTTGAAGGAAATGTAGGTGGTGGTACAGTTGTGACGAAGACCACTATTATTTCTACGTGTCGCATATCGTCCGTATGAAGCCACTGGAGCAAGTCGTCTGTGTATCTGTCCAGTGCCAAATGAGTGACACAAATGAATTTTGCCAGCGTCGAGCGTAGTTTGCCGTCAAGGTCTCTCCCCAGATCTGTCGCTTCAAAGTGGAGATGCACGTGAGTTATTCGCCCCTGCGCCAACTGTTCGATGTCTCCCGCGTCCTGTGCGGCCAAGAGTCGCCATGGAAGGCTCAAAAATTGGAGGTTTGGCATCCACGACAATCGAAGCGAGGGTCCCATGTAGATAAAGGGAGAAAGAATGCACGAATAATGGAAAGTGTGCAGGCCCTGAAGCCTGTCTCTGATAACAGCCTCCATTTCCTTTGTTGCGGACAACTTGGACCCTGTCAGCGCGAGTACCTTTACGCGTGGCTTGAAAAACTCGGGGTCGCGGCTCTGGGCAAAGCTGACAAACTTATCCACTTTAGCAGGGTTGAGAACAATGGTGTGGTAAGCAATCCAGCCAATCCTGAGAGGAGGGGTAGACTTAGCACCCAGAACTTTTTTTTGCACAAAGGGGCTTCACCATGTGTTGATTTCTTTCGACAGTACGAGTAGATTCACGACATGCTGTCGGTCGAAATATATGCTGTTCCATGCCGAGGCTTCCAACACAAGTCGAAGGATGTCGCATGGCAGTTCCCTAAACACGGAAGGAAGTATTTCGGTGGCGGGTCGCGGAGAGGCAAGGGTATTGGAATGGTTCATGAGTTGACGGTCTACGTCATGGGATTGCCTGGTTGTGAAAACAAGAGAACGTAACCGGCGTAGAACATGCATGGATGGTGGTGGTCGAGGTCAAAGGGCCGTTTGTCCAGACTTCAAACTTCAATTAATCACAGGGACGTGACGACGGGATTTTCATTCTTCGCCCGCCTCCGAACCAGGCTGCACCTCCACAACCTGGCCATCATCTAATATTACTCTAAATCGCACTGCGAAACGACTTCAGAGGGAGGAGCTGAAGGTGGTATAGAAGACGCACAAAGTTCATACGGTATACCCTTTGCCTTCCTAACACTCGTGAAGTAAACAGTACCAGAACCTGCTGTCATTAACGCAACCTTGAGCAGTCAGTATTGACGCTCACCCAGAGATCCCCTTATCCGGAAACTGACATCGATGTTCCCCTGCAACTGGTTAATCTAAACGAGGTGAGCAGAGTTTCTCGCATGGCACTTGTAACATGCCTGTCCATGAATTATTGGATAACCATTGAGCCACCATTCTGGTTGGGGTCGGATGGCAAGGCCCAAAGAATCACGCAATTGTGAATCGGCCTTCAAAGTTCGTATGATTTGTTTGACCACGGATGAAGTGCACTTGGTTTCGTTGGTTACATAAGTAAGAAACGCGGCCCAGCCAGCTACAACGATAGCGGTGACACCCAACACCGTTGGCCAGCGTCGCTAGAAGTATTACTCAGTATTTGGTGAAGCAACAACAAATGAACATGCACCTCTATCCGTGGGAGGTCTCGGTGAGACTTGAAATTCGAATAGAGCGCTGACTTATCCTGTGCGGGGCTATCACTGAAGCATCGTATCTGCTGCGTTGGGCGAAGCGGCCGTCGAAACGCGGGAAACGTGAGTAGACGGGAACGAAGCATATTTCTGAGCGTGATCCGAACGTCATCTCTTCGAAGCTTGCCGTCACAATAGGTCACGTCCCGTCGCCTTTTCCTCTTTACACAACTACTCTCTTTGAGCCGCGCGTGTTTCACAAGTTTCCTCCGAATTCAGAGACGAAAAACTCCTTGTTCTTCATCGTTTTTCGCAAACATCATTGTCTCCATGCGATTCAACGAATCAGACTACCGTAACTCTTCACGCTGGCGGTTACTGGGGTCCTAGTCGGCTACAACAGCCGTGCGCGGGCCCCCTGTGACTCGCCCTAACCCTAGTGCAGGACATACACCTACCAATCCATTCTCCTCCTTGTCTGTCAGATACACTGGCGGCGCCTGACATTCTGCATCATGTTTGAGAATTCGGACGCATTTTCGGGGGGTACTTAAGGCGGTATGGTTTTACGACCGTAACCTGAATCCCCATGTCGCTTTCTCAAGTACCTCTCCTCACTCTAAGCTCCAAATCAAGCCTAATCGACTGGGTCCTTATCCCTGGGATAGTTTCAGCGACCTCCGCCGCTCTTCTCCTAGCCCAGCTACTCTGGACCACAACGCTGACTCACGTTTTCTCTAAACGACGTGATGCGCTCCTTACGCCGGCCGACGCTGCAAAGAGCAGGCACACATTTGTTTTTGACCTTTCCCGGTCAGCCTCATGTGTGATCCTCTTTGCGATGTCCATTTCTCCTTTAGCGGACATCAATTGGTACCCTTCCTATTCCGCTCTACCCTCGTTCTCACTACGAATTAGGCTCTCGATCTCTCTCCCCGTTACATTCTTTTATGCGGCAGTTCTGTCCATTGCATCCATCAACGTCCGCAGTAAGGCTCGTCGACTATTCGTCAGGCACCTCGATACACTCCTTCTCGTCGTCTTCTCGATATACGTCTATCGGGATCTGCTGCCTCTCGCCACCTACCACGATAAACCACTTGATGCACCCGAGGGTTGGACCTTATGGGTTAAGATAGCCCTTCTGTTGTTTGCCGCTGTCGTTGCACCCTTGTTGATGCCGCGCGAGTACATTCCTGTTGACCCTCGAGTGCGTTGGTTGTTTCTCCTATCTTGCTTGCTCAATAATATTCCTTAGGACCCATCATCCGTTCCCAACCCTGAACAAACGGCTTCGATACTCTCTGCTGTGTTTTGCTTTTTCTTGGACTCGCTGGTGCTGAAAGGCAGTTCATCCTTAGGTTAGCATATGTTTCTTCACCTTGGGCTACATTTAAAAGCCTCATCAGACCAACTCCCTCCACTGGCCGACTACGACATGGCTAAACATGTTAGGGACAAGAGCTTTTCTGTAAGTTTCAGTCCTTTCTTTTCCAATGTATTGATTCAAGACAGTCTTTGGGAGTGTCTTCCCCGAACAAAAAACATGTTTTCTTTGGCCTTGTGTGGTGTTTCCGTACCGAATATCTTGTGATGGCCTTCTCTATGATTGTCATGGGGGTTATGAACTTCGCTTCTCCCCTAGGAATTAATCGGCTGCTCAAGTCAGTCAACCCTCCCTTGCTTGACGTCTCGTTCAACTTCATACAGCTATTTGGAAGATCCCGAGTCAAATCGCACTTTCCCACCTTGGGTTTGGATTATTTGCATGTTCATCGGTCCTACTGCGCGTTCTGCTGCATTGCAGTGGTACTCCCTTTATGCCACCCGCACTCGGGTCCGTTGTGAAGCCATCATAACGGAGCTTGTTTTTGAGCACGCCCTTCGCATGCGTGTCAAAGCGGAAACCTCTCAGAACAACACAGGTCTAGGAACAGAGAAAGACACGGAAACTTTCCAAGCCAATCTTGTCGGTAAAATCACCAATCTAGTGACAACGGACCTGGCTAATATCCTGGGCGGCATTCATATCTTGATGTTACTGGTTTTAATACCGATTGAAACTGCGCTCTCCATTGTATTCCTCTATAAAGTGCTGGGCTGGGCCGCGTTTGTTGGGTTAGCCATGATACTGGCGCTCTTTCCTGCTCCTGGATATGTGGCAAAGCTCCTCAAAGGTTTGTGTTCCATGTGCACCGTTCTCTTTAGCGAACTCGAGGTTGGCAGTTGTTCAGCAAGAACGTCTCAAAAAAACCGACGCTCGTGTACAGGTTGTGACTGAGAGTGAGTGGCCCTTAGATTCCGATGTTCAGTCCAAGTGATTGATGCGGATATTATAGCCATGAGTGTGCTGCGAACGGTGAAACTGTACCTTGATCTGCTTGCACAATGGTTCGCAACTGAACCTCTTGTAGCTTAGGATGGGAGCGCCAGATGAAAGATCGTATCAACGTGAAGCGAGAGGAAGAGCTCATTTGGATCTGGAAACGCCAAATGCTACAGCTACTTGATGGAAATGTTCAGTCAGTCTACACCACTTTCAACATTCACCACTCACAAGCTATGCTCAGATTTATCATTCCGATCACAACCATGTTAGCAACCTTTGCAACATAGTAAATGCCTAAACTCCCATTTCAGCGTGATATATAACTAATTATCCGCAGTGTTGGTCGTTTTTTTGCTTGAGATCAGGGTTGCTGATTTCAAGGACAGACGATCCTTATGGGGCAAAGTCTGAACGCTTCAAAAGTGTTCTCATCACTAGCTATCTTCGAAGTTCTTCGGAACCAACTTGGCTGGGTTCTCCGTTACCTGAACCTATCGATTACTGCCAAAGTCTCATTAGACCGTGTTGACGAATTTCTGCGCAAGGTATGCTTAAAATTTTATTGTGTGCTGTGCCCTGAACGCAGTGCCACGCAGACAGAATTACTCGATCACTATGCACTTTCCAGTGAATCGCCACCAGCCATACCACAAGATGACAGAATCGGTTTCCGTGATGCTACATTTTCCTGGACCAGCGAACATATTGATGGCACACACACACCTTCTCACCGCCGATTCTTGTTGAGAATTGACGGTGAGCTGTTGTTCAAGCCTGGATGCATCAATCTTGTCGTTGGACCCACGGGTTCTGGCAAAACATCATTGATCATGGCTCTTTTGGGTGTGTAGAAAATGCTGACTCGCACGCTTACGCTAACATTCATCAGGCGAAATGCACTTTATTCCGTCTGGACCCTCGTCCTGGTATAATCTTCCGCGTGCAAAGGGTGTTTCCTATGCTGCTCAGGAATCATGGGTTCAGAATGTTCGTTTCTCCTTCTTCCCCGCCCCTCATATTTAATGCTCGCCGGCAGGAAACGATCAAAGAAAACATTCTGTTTGGCGCGGAATACGACGAAGAACGTTACAAAAAGGTCATCTACCAGTGTGCCCTTGAACGTGACCTGGAACTGTTTGACGCTGGGGATGCCACGTGAGCCGATTTTGTCCTCGCGCACGGAGGTCAACTCATCGTTCATTCCAGTGAGGTTGGTGAAAAAGGTCTTACTCTCAGTGGTGGGCAAAAGGTAATCCAAATGTGATTGCACATTATTTGTTTGCTAACATTTCCAGGCTCGAGTCACTCTCGCTCGCGCCATCTACTCCAACACCGAAATTATTCTGTTGGACGATGTTTTGGCTGCCCTCGATGTGCATACCAGCAAGTGGATCGTCGACAAGTGCTTCCGTGGAGACCTCATCAAGGGCCGCACTATTATTTTGGTGACCCACAATGTCGCCATGGCCAAACCGATTGCAAGCTATGTCGTTTCAATGGACGTTGATGGGACGATTCATAGCCATGGCTCGATTACGGAAGCCCTTGCCCATGATGAGGTGCTTGCGGAAGAGCTAAGCAAGGACGAAAAAAACCTGGACGAAAAAACAGACGGAGTAGACCCTGCTGCTGCGCCGGTTGAACCCAAGTCGGATGGAAAGTTGATCGTCGCAGAAGAAGTCGAGGAGGGCCACGTCAGCATGGACTCGCTCAAGCTCTATATTCGTGGCCTTGCAGGAAATCATCCCACGTTCTTTGTGTTGGCTTGCTTGCTTGGTTTAGGCAGCAGTCAACTTTCCTTAACCAGCCAATCTTGGTATCTTGGACGATGGGCCGAGTAAATTCCATGTTACCCCTGGAAACTTTTCGTTGACGGCCATAGGCAATATGACATCGTTCCGCCGTCCCAGGTTGACGTTGCACATTATCTAGGCTTCTTCAGTGCGTTTATTTTTCCCCCGCGACACTCAGTGTTCGAACGTTAGCCAGTGTTTTTCGTGATCGGGACCATGGGCTTCTACATCACGAGTTTTGCTTTATATAGAACTGGTGTTTTCAGAGCCTCGAAAACCCTCCACCAGCGACTCGTTGAAGCAGTTTCTGGGACAACTTTCAGGTGATCAATCAGTTCTTGCTTTGATACGCCATGATCAACTGCTTACATGAGCTATCAGATGGCTAGACACCACCCCTACATCACGTGTTATCACGAGGTATTTTCCTCGTCCAATGCTTACGATGATGCGGTAATTGGCGTATAGATGCACAATAGACATTCAATCCATCGACATAACCCTCCCAGGATCACTTTGGAGTCTCATTGGTCAGTTTTGTTCAATGATATGGTACACTTGGCTGAATGAATTTGAAGAGATGTCACTGGGAATGCTGGTTGAGTTCATCATTGTCATAGTATATACCCCGACTTTCCTGCTCCCTGGACTTGTCGTTGGGGGCTTAGGTTGGCATTGTCCACATTATAAAATTAGGAAGCTAATACTTACTACAAGGTGCTTGGTGTGGTGTAGGTCTCAATCTCTTTGGCATGCAGCCCTTCTGAAGTTGAGAAACCAGCAACTATATATCACAGCCCAACTCCCGTTGAAACGCGAAATGAGCGTTGCCAAAGCACCTATACTAGGACAGTACGTGTTGCTCAATCTCTTCCGTCCCCAAGTTATCAGGCTGATTGATACTGGCAGCATCAGTACGGTGATGGCAGGACTTGGTGCATTTCTATCGCTCCGCAAAGCTATCAACTGATACTGTTTCCTCAGTGTCCATTCGCGCCTATGGTGCCCAGGCCGCAAGTGTTGAAACCTCTCTTTCTCGAATTGACAGATACAGCCGGTAGACAACTTCGTCTAAACTACTATTCTTCTTACCTTGCTGAAGCGCCGCGCGGACATTCCACAACCTGAACCGATGGATTGCACTGCGTGTGGACATTCTTGGGGCACTTTTTGTGCGTTGATCCGGTGCTCATGGCTTGGTATTCACCCTGTTTATAGACCACATCTCTGGCATATTACCTCGTATATTATCAGAATGCCAGAAACTCAGAGGTCGGATTTGTTTTGAAGTTGGCCGTTTCGTTCAGCAGCATGATACTGTGGTGGGTAAGTGAACACTAATATTATCAAGTCGAACATGTCTCAAGTTTGTGTAGGTGCGACTGGTCAACGACTTCGAGATAGAAGGCAATTCTTTGGAGCGAATCCGAGGCTACATCGAGATTGAGCAGGAGCCGAAACCAACGTCAGCTGGTGTACCGCCTGCTTCTTGGCCAACTAGCGGAACGCTGCACGCAACCGGGTTATCAGCTAGGTACTCCGCCGACGGCCCCAAGGTGTTGGAAAATATCTCATTCGACATTAAATCTGGTGAACATGTGGGCATAGGTGAGCGGACACGACCGTTTGGTGAAAGTTCTAATATCCGAACCAGTTGGTCGCACTGGCTCTGGAAAGGTCGGTTTTCGGTATAATCATGATTGGTGCAAACTCTTATACTCCTCGTAGAGCACCTTAACCTTGGCACTGCTTCGCACGATTTTCACTGAGGGCAAGGTGTTATATGATGGCATCCCCATTTCGTCTCTCAATTTGGACGCGCTTCGGTCCAACATTACCATCATCCCTCAAATTGTGAGACCATCTCAACGACACGAACCAAACACTCACCCGTTAATTGTAGCCTGAACTGCTGACCGGCAGCTTGCGAAAGAATCTGGATGTGTTCGACCAGTATGATGATGCCACGCTCAACAGCGCGCTTCGTGCGGCTGGGTTGTTTGCACTCCAGAGCGAGATGGATGAAGGCCGGATTACACTTGACTCCGAGATTGCCAGCGGCGGAGGCAATCTATCGGTTGGTCAACGCCAAATCCTCGCGCTGGGTACGGAAACTCCAAGTTTATTCGGCCATGGATGGCTGATTCTTTACTAGCACGGGCCATTGTTCGTGGTAGCAAGTTGTTGATCCTTGACGAAGCCACCTCCGCGATTGACTACAAAACGGACGCTGTGATCCAATCATCGCTTCGGAATGAACTGCCGAAAGACACCACCCTCCTCACGGTCGCTCACAGGCTGCAAACCATTATGGACGCCGATAAAATTGTGCGTTGTTGACATTGCCAAATGCCCTCAACTGACCAGATGTAGATGGTGCTCGACGCTGGTCGCATTGTAGGTGTTGTTGTTTTTCTTAACCACAATTACTTGATAAACCTAATAGGTCGAGTTCGACTCCCCAAGAGAGCTGCTCAAGAACAAGAACGGCAAACTCCGGGCTCTCGTCGACGAGTCGGGAGACAGAGATTTGTTGTACAAGATGGCAGGCCTCGTTTGAATGCAATGGTGGTGGTCTTGTTATATCTAATCCTTCTCCAACCCGAATATCTGCCACAACAAATTGATCTGGCCAAACGGCCGTTCGCTCCCCAGCAAGGTCGCTGCTGCCTCGTACCTATTTTCTGGTCTCTTCACTTGTTCGCATATTAATCCATACGATTGCGCCATTCGCCTCAAAGCCTCCTGATGAATTTGAATATGTAGTCGTTGCGCAGTCAGTTGAGCCAATCGGGGCGACTGGACGACTTCGAGACCTGATAGCCAGTCGGAGAAGGCCCGTAATGCTGCTTGGATCTGTGCAGGCAAGGTGGCGGGAATGCGTGACAGTGGCTCCTGAAGACGGTCAATAACGAAAGTGAAGGGTGGTAAAAGCGGACAAAGACTTGCCTTCTTGTCATGTTTAGCACATGTTTCTGAAACCACTGCCAGCCCAGCGTCACCCATGATATTTTGGTACTAAAATTCGACAGATCAGGGTCGAGATTTGTCGTTTTGTTTCGACTCACATGCTCCTCGGTCAGTTGTGACACCCTCTCATCGACCAAGTCCTGCAACGACCTCCGTTTTTCGGCTGTGAAAGAAAATGGTTCCATGACACTCTGAGCAGATATGAGGAGAGACTAAACGGCTGGGTTGCCCATCGACAGACCTGGAGGTAGCTTAAGCAATTCAGCACATACACATCCCGATCCCATCTTGGTCGCAGACGCTTCTTCTCTTCGCTGCCCTTCAGGCTCATTTCGATAGGAGGATCCACAGTAATGTCTAGTATTTTCCGGAAGCCTGCAGCCTGCTCTGCTTCGCCCTCGTCTCCAAGTAACGAGGAATCGTAGACATTCATAATTTCGCGTAAGATCTGTGCATGGTCCAAAATGGGCAGCGGCGGAGACAAAGATGGGTCATCGAGGTCCTGAGAATGCTTGAGCAATTGATTTCGCTGGATTTACTTTTTACTAACCAGAATCGCTCGCGATAGTGTTCGACCTTGGGCCTCAATGGCATCGTAAAATACTTTATAAGCGACGTCGGTGATCCTTGACAGCGTTAAATCACAACAAACAAGCCAGGCTTTCAACTCACTCGCTGAGTGTTGTTGACATCAATGCCGCCTCACCAATGGTTCGTCGCATGGTGAGGAGGTAAAATTGCAACAAGTTGGCTATCTTGTAGGAAATAATGCTGCTTTCTTGGGAGCGTACTGTTTGTTGCACTCGAACCTATTCATTGTCAGGACCTTCAATGGGGAGATACCGCGCCAAACCTTGAGAGGTACACACAATTTTCCGACAGCATGGTCCATAAGCTCTTTGATCCACTCCTCCTCCTCACTTTTGCCAGCAAAGACACGAACGCTCCCCACCATACGTCCGTCTGATTGGAGATCGAACAGGCTCTCCAGGAACTCTCGCTCAGCGGCAATGGCTTGGTGTACCCAAGCAAGCATGTCTCCAACATACCGCAGCGGATCATGTGCGTGCAATTCTATCGGCCGGGGAAGGCCAGATGGTCCTCCACGGGTCAAAGCCGTCAAAAAGGAGGACATGAGTGTTGTCTGGCGGGTTTCAGATAGAGACGCGAGAGCTTCGCTGAGGAGGGGACATTGTCAACACACCAGTCAACACAAATGTAGAAACTGACGTTAGGAGCTCAGGTCGTTTCCGAAGACGGCGAATGGTTTCGCGCATGATGGGACTGACTTCAATATGAAGATCGCGCATTTGAAGAAACTCGTAGGAACTCCATCGGACTATTTTCTCGTATGCTTGCTCCAGATAAGATGAAGTCGCGGCCATTATATCGAGACTTCATCTGGGTCAGCTAAAGAAAAAATTGCTTAATGAGACTTGAGTCACCCAGCCCTCGTTGGTTCCTCGTCCCCAGTCATGAGAACCCTGCAATCCGTTCGTATTCGCTCCGTCTTATCCATAGCTTTGAAGAATTGCTTTCCAACAGGAATATCGCGAGAAGTCATGGCCTCCACTTCTTCCGTGTTCAAAGTAAATCGACCGAGGAACAATGACACGATGGATTTCTTGGTTTCTACCTCCTGCCTACAACATAGTTCAGACCGAGGTGCCAAATCAGCCAAAAAAACACACCTGCCTTTCCTCACTCAGACTACCGGCGCGTTCGAGCAACATCGCGCTGGCTTCACTTGTCAGTCTCAGCTGGTTCTCTGCCTCATCACAGCTAGCGTGCATAGCGGCAACATGATATTGCAATTCTTCTAATCTCTGAAAAGAGAGAGAGACATGAAGCCAAGTAAAAGAATAACTGGATTGCGTACTTGATCAACCTCCGCAAACGTCGCCAGAAATTGCTGACTGCCCTCTGCCAGTTTCTGCTCCATGTCTCGTCGTAAATTCTTCCGAGCACGCGCCGCCGATTCGCCTGGCACGCATTCCGTCAATGCTTCCTCATTTAGTTCCTCCTCTGGCGCGTCTTTGCCCTTCACTGGTGTTGCATAGAGTTCAGAGAGCGTGTACAACGCTTCACGCGTAGTTTCGTCGTCGAAATTGGTGCCAAGGACCTTGTATAGCCTTAGAGCGATGGGATTGCGGGCTTGGGCTGTGCGTGCTTTGCGGTCGAAAGAAGGTGAGCTGGGCGAAGCGACAGGCGAGGCCATATATGTCACGCAGGTCACGGACATGAAAAATTCAAGCAACTACTTCCTCCAGTCGGGACACGTTTAATATACCTCTACTAAATGCACCGGCCACAGCGGCGAAGCCACCTTCCTTAACCTCTGAGACGAACAAGTCGTGCTGGTCTGCCAGTTTCTCGTTGTTCTGCCTAATCTCTCGAATGACCCCGTGTTCACGGACACACAGTGGACACTCGGTCTCGCTTTCCTGAATGCACCTGTTGAGTTTGAATGAGTTTTGTTTAGCTCCTTGCTAAGCACCATACCGTGGTTGATGGAAACTGTGGTTGCACATGAAATGCACACTAGGGAGGTCAAGCTGTCCACCACAAGCAGAGCAGCGAGTCACGTTGAACACGCGAGGATGCTCAGGGTCGGAGAGGTCCTCTACTTGTTTAAGCTTTGTGGTCGTTTCCAGCCGGTAAGAGGTAGTCCATTCCTTGTCCTAGAAGTTATTGGTCTTTAATTTGGAACTGTAAAATCAACTTAGAAATACTAACACTTTGGATCTCGCTTCTGGCCGACTGGATGCGAGATATCAACCACTCCTTGATCAAACCGACGCTGGCGACTTCGTTTCGAGAGAGAATCTGGACGATGCCAAGTGGCGTTGCAATGTGCTCTTTGTCGATATGCTCGATAACGCGACGAACGTCGCTTTCATGTCTTGTCAACAATGCTGGCGTTGAAGTAAGATAGCGCAGCACAACGAGGTAGAGATGCGGTCGCTCATGTCCGTACGAAGTTAGCCGTTGAACAACTTGATCAGATGCATTTGGCTCAGACGAGGCCATAAGAAACCTGAGGACATCTTCATACATGCCCATCCGCTCCCACAGAAGAACCAATCCTCGCGTATAGCCATGGCTCGAGCAGAGAATGAGTGCGTGAGTAGGGTCGTACGGTAGATGCGTGCTCTTCAAGACCCGGAGCGCTTTGCGCTTCAAGAGGCTGGGCTCATCTTCGTCTGTCTTGGCTGGTGTCGAGTCGGGTAACGTTAAATAGAGCTCCAATAGCGTATTCCAAACTGCAACCTGGTCAGGCTTGTCGTCATCCATTTCTGAATTTCGTGAATCTGAGTCGGGTGCGACTGATAGATCCTCGATTCCATCGACACTTTGTCCCCATCGTCGTTCTGCAACAGTCTCGAGGAACACCACAAATTGATCAAGATGGTCGACAAAGTGCGCAAAGTATATTCTTGGAGAGAGTAATTTGTGGGCAGGCTTGAGCGGAGGAGGTTTACGAGCAACACCAGAAATTTGGGGAGAAGGGGTATGTGGCGGTGTAGATGCACGTGACTCGTGCAAGGAGTCTCGTCTGGATGCTGTATCGCTCGGCTTTACTGTTTTGATGGATGGAGACGGTGGGGGAGGATCAATGGACACAGAGTTGCGGTTCAATGCTAGATAGGAGAGGTATGATGGACCATTTGCCCCCGCAGAGAACAATGCTTTCGTCGAGGCAGCTGTGTTAGGCACCTCTTCTTCAGGCTCTAGCACAACCCCACTGGGAGTGCAGAGATCAATTAAAAGCTGTGTAGTTTCCTCGGGAAGACTCTCCAGCATGGCACGACCATAACGCGCCAGATTGCTTTCGGCTGCCTCACCACCAAGTGCTCGGAAATAGACAAGAGCTTCCGCGTAATTTTGGGAGTCTTCGATCTGGATCCGGAGGTACTCTTCGTGCCGCTCGTATTTCTTGGCTAGATAAGAAGCATGGGAAAAGTAGCCAGCTTGTCGACAGACTCGAATGGCGGTGTCCAAATCGAATGGTAGCTCGGTTTTTTCTCCATTTGCAGACGTGACGCGGCGTGATTCAGTCTTGATGAATCCATCCAAGCGAGAAACATCCTTGAGTTTGGTATACGCGTTTAGGAGAAGGGTTGTATGGTCTGAGTTGGCGCGACCAAGGGAGTGCAATTCTTGCAGATATGTCACCAGGTTGTGAATTCGTTGGGCATCGAGGAACTGATCAAGGTTCAGTTGAAATATTATTAGGTGTGTTAAGGGCCAATGACCTTGCGAATAACATAGCTTGGGGCAACACATCCAATGGTTTTGACGAACTGGGCCATCGCTGCGTCCCAGTTGCCCTTGTTGTACAGGTGGTCACCATATTGCTTGTGAATATCCGCAACTGTCTCGCTGGAATCTTCTAGACCTTGAGTCTTAGCGAGGTTCAACGCCACGGGAAACATGGAGCTGCGATACAGCATTTCGAGCTTGGCCGAAAACGGCTTTTCAAGCAATTGTTTCAACTTGGTCAAGTCATTAGCGAGCCAAACGAAGTAAATAGCACTCACACTGCCATCGTTACCTAGTATGTATATGCCTCCCCATTCAGGTATAGAAATTATGTCTCGCACTCCTTGCGTGAAGGGACTACTGTACCCAACAATCTTGTTTTCCGGATCGAAGACGGAAACTCGGGTTATTTCGGTGTCAGTGCCATTCCGTGAGGCAAAGTTACGGACGGTTCGATGCATTGCGGCGGCAGAAGGCGTGGTCGGGGGAGAAATTATAACAAGATAGTTGAGATGCGAGCGTACAAATGACTTGTGCCCTGCCAATTGGTTAGAGCGAGACCACTCGAGGCTTAGGTTTTACCTTCATATGCGTAACATGCGCCTCGACTTTCGACATTGCAAACGTAGATGGCCTCCTCCCTTGCAACGACTACAGCGTGCTCTCTCCAGTCCATCGTCGCGCAGCCAAGCGCGCAGCCCACTTCATCAACAACAGTAGCCCTGCTACTACTACCTGAGCCCGAAACTTGGTATGAGAGGACACGATTTGTGGTGACCACAAAAAGAAACTTGGATTCGGAGAAGCCCAGCCCAGTAATAGGTTCGGTCGGAGATTCGTGGATTGTCTTGGGCTTCAAGAGTGCAGTATTGTTGTTAATAGATTGGTCGATGTGTCGATAGAGTAGAACAGTCCCATCGGCAAAGCCAACAGCCAGGTGTGACAATGAAGCAGAAAGCGCAATTGTGCAAACTGGGTGAGGTTTGGTGAGCTGGATCTTGGTCGAACGTAATAACGGCGGTGTTGCTGCTTTCTTCTCGAGGTCCCAGATCTTTAAAACTTGTCCACGAACACTTTCGTCTTCCCCCACCGTAACGAGAATACCGCGCCGCTCTGCCATATGCGTCACCCTTCCTCCTTCATACGCAGCCCATGTCCGTTGTGGTTCAAACTCTTTGTTGACGATGTGAAGCGTGCCATATATGTCTGCCACGACAACTCCAGTAGACGAGGCAAGTATTGTTGATATTTCGGCGGCGGTTTTGAATATTTCGGGAGACGCGTTCAAGTCATGGGCGTCCTTTATAGGAACCTCGTCGAAGAAAGTGAAGTTTCGCCACTGCCATTCAAGTCAGGAAAGGTTATCTAGTCCATAGATTATGTGCTTACTGCTGGCGCTGTTGGAGGCAAACTGGACATATTAGCTCTGCATGAGCGTGTGACCGATTCCGTCTCGGATCAACTTTGGTATCGAAAGCTTATTCAGGCTTGCTAACGTCTCTCATCTACTGTACTTACAAGCCAGGATGGCGTCCCTTCTGCAACTGCCGAACGAAGTCATCGAGCATATCATCTGCCAGGTCGCATATATTCACCCAACATCTGTTGCCGCCGTCTCAGCATCTAATCATCGACTTCATGAACTGGTCCATTCAAACTGGAGGGCCATCTATCTTTCTCTTTTCGATGACCCCCGCACAAAGAGCGTGACACTATCAGAGACCCCGCTACAACCGCGCAAGGCCACTTCGCGCTCCAACTGGACGAGCTTTACTCAGCGAATTGCTGCCGCAAACGCCCTCAGCGCTGACAATTCAGACTGTGACTTTCAAAGTCTCATCGAGACCCTAAAAGACACACCGGCTGTTTCGTATGAGCAAGAACTAGAAGCTGCTCATTGCGAACGCGCCGTTGTATTCCCTCCGCTGCTTCGCCGAAGGAATGTGGCTGACTCCAAGAATATAACATGGCTCCAACAAATCATTTCTCCGAATGGGTATCCTTCACAACTTATTGGTCGATATCTTCGGCCACTAGATCCTGACGGTGAACCTGCAAGCCGACCAGAGTTTGAAGATGGGGTTCAGGGTCAAGCTTTCAATAAGCTCGTCTTCCTTCGGGGCTTCATGCCTGATACGAGCGATGACGCTCCTGACCTCGAAGAGCAGCATATTCTTTCCCGAGCACTGGCTAGAACGCGCGTGTACAACACCAAGTATCTGATGGGTGAAAGAATGTGGGGCCCATTCCAACCTCTGGACCCACGCAAACATGAAGCATATTCATGGCGAACCCGACTCCATCGCACAACCAAAGAAGAAGACGAGGCTGGAAATCTCCTTCTGCGTTCAGCCTCCACTTCCCGCTTTCTCGATCCATCTTCCATAATTCTAGCCCACGCTATGAACATGGATATGGATTCGGACTCTGACGATCCTGACTATCGTCCAGAAAATGATGCTGATCAAGATGATGGTGATTCAGATGACTCAAACGACGAAGACGATCCCAACACGCAGGGATTGCTGTTGCAATTTCTGGCTCAGCATGGCATCAATCTTGCCGCCGATGAAGAAAGTCATCCAACTTATGTTTTCCCCGCCCCCCACCGTGTTATTCCCGATTATGCCTTCCTTGCAGCAGCCCGGATTGTTCTTGAAGCCAGGCTGCGTGATATTTTCAACATCAACCAGCGAAATCTATTCCTTGCAGAGCAGTTCGACACGATGCGTCTTGCTGCACGAGATGTGAACTGCGAGTTGGAAGACATTGTCGAGGCAATGCAGTCTCTCAACATGGTCCGTATGGGCGGCGCTCCTGGCTTCTGGCAGGCGTGGCGACCAAAGGTCGAAGAGGACGTCTCAATCAAAGACACTGGAAAAGAGAAAGAGACGGAATACAAGGGTTGGGACTGGGCAGGTGTTGCTGGCGAATGGAGGTATGTCATGTCCAATTTTGTCGTCGAGCTATCCATTCTGAAGCTTCCTTCGAGGCGAGTTGTGTGCTGGCTAGACTATCGAGACCTGCTAGTGCACAACGTGAATATCCCGGCACTGACCTTCAAACGGAATGAAGTTTCGGAAACAACTCGCATCTTCCCGATGACCCTCCGCATCGCCCGATATGAGAGGCCGCCGCGGCCTCCTCATGGGGCGAATCCTGACGACCTCATTTGGCGGTTGCCCATAATTCATGTCGAAGGAGAGTCACGCGGAACCGACACCAACGTCGATTTGAGGCGTGTCATTGAGGGAACTGTCCGTATGATTGGGGACGGCGCTGTTCGATGGAGCATGGTAAGTTATTCGTTAATTACTGTGTCCCGTATCTCAGCAGCCTGCTCCAGACATCTGGGGAGCCCTCGGCCGATCGCCCCGAGTGGGTCACGGAAAGCGTCCAAGTCGGCGAGTTGGGGTCTGCGATGGGAATAATTGGGCTCTGGACCGGCGCAGAGCACTCTCAAACAGAGCCAATTGGGCCTTGTTGGGCGTGGAAAATCAGCTCATAAAGTAAAAACGTTGTATAAGCTTGCGGACTATGTACTAAGTTTTCTCTATTTGGCAACCCGGGTGATGCCAAACACATTGCGGTCTCTTCCGAACCCCCACCGCGAACGTAGGCTCTCCGAAGCCTGTTGTCCTCTCTGCATCGCTCACTTCCAAGTAGACTTATTTTTTCAAAATGGCTTTCCTTGGCTGGCGCAAATGGCCGACACCAGTAAGATGCTTCCGGCCGACGTGTTTAGCACCCCGCGTCATGCCTTCAACAGATCCTTAAACCCTACTGGCCCTTCATGGTCGCCGCTGGCGTCTCCCTATACGGAATCTCCAAGCTGCAGGATATGGCTGTCCGCGGTGCGTGTTAAAGTGGTAGCAAATGACCCACCACTAATCCATTCCATAGCTCCCTCTTATGCGAGTGACCCCAAGAACCCATACGCCGCTCAGATTGCTGCGGAGAAAGGAAGCGCTCATTAGATAGAGGCTGGTCCAAGGCGGATAGAGAATAAAAAAATGACTTCCCTCATGTGTGCCCATTGAGTCTGCTCCCTCCCTTACTTTGTCGTCCAACAAACCTGCGTCAATTGACGGACAATAATCTTGGTTGCGCATGTTCCGTGATACATCGAGGGCCGCAACCCTTGCGGAAGCGTGTCCGTAACCCTGAAGAAAATGGGAGTCCACCATAAGACGGAGGTGGAATATAAGTGCATAGAGTGCCAACGGTATGCCTCAAAGACTCCGTTGAGAGGAAGAACTATGCTCAAAGGACATAAAAAGGTTGCAAACAAGCTTCGGTGGACAGATGCTTGGAAGCAAAAGAACCTGATAGCCCACCGCGAGGGTCGAACTCGCAGCCTTCAGATCTCAAGAGATAAGAGTCTGACGCTCTATCCGATTGAGCTAGGCGGGGATGAAAGAGTATTAAATTATGGAAGTATCACCAGCATTATACTGCCACCACTGGCAAACAAATTACAATATTATCACTAACTCCAGAATAGTCCAAGATGATGCAGTTAGACAATGAACCTCAAGCAGGAGCAATGGATCAAACATTCGTGTTTATTAAGACTGTAGTCGTAGCTTTCAAACGAGTGGACAAGTATTACTATTCTCGTCATTTCATCGCGCGCATCATCTAAATATCCTGGCCGGGCTGATTGACCCACATGAACTCGGTGCTCCGGACGAGAGTTTGGGTGAGTTCCAAGGTGCTGGTGTCGTACTTGAAAAGTTGTGCGGCTGTTGATTGGGTTAGGCAATGGTGACATTGTGTTGTTGTCCTACGCACTGTAAATAGAGCCGTTGAAGAAGAATGGGAAGGCCAATGGATAAGTCGCTGGGATGGTCATCTGGTCGAAAAGATGGAGAATGACAGGGCCTTCCCATCTGCAAAGTTTCAGTGGATGGGAGTATATAAGGATTGGACTGACCCGTCAGCGGTGATCGATGCTGGAATGGGCAGGTCGCTACGAACGACACCCATTCCGAAGAGTTCATTCTCCAGAGCGATTTCGCCTTTGTAGTCCCAGGTGAGGACGTCTCCATTGTGGTGAACGGGAAGGTCGGCACGTGTCTTGACATCAACAACACCAGCGGAAGCAACCGCGAAGGCAGCGAAAAGACCAAGGAATGCGGCTTTGAACATGACGAAGGAGGCTGAAGGAAGATGGAGTGATGTTCGTCTGGACTCTGGAGCTGCATCTTATACACTCTTGTCGTCGTCAACCCGGCTTAAGGCCGGCTCCCAAGACGTTTGCGAATGACATGGCGGGTAAGGAAGAAGTGGAAGAGCTCGGTGCAGAGTCTGACGGATCAAGCGTTGGTGTATGGCTGTCACTTGTTGCGCGATGCTCCGCAGCAGTTGATAAAAGGTACAAATCGCAGAACTTGTGGCTCAGTGACGATTGTGACGTATGTCGCCTGGACTTGTAGAGAACGAGCATGGCGAACCTTGGCTAACTTGTCGTCTCTTGTCGCGAACGATGGAGTCTCGTTCAAACTCAGAATCAAACTCGTTATCTCGGAGGAGTCATCAACGGATCACTAGTGGTGATTGACAGCCACGTGCAACTTTCATTGCGCCGAACGCGTTCAAATGCGTTCTTCCTCGCCGCGTTCTCAGTCCGACAAAGTCAAAGAGGAAGTATCACTATTGCACCGAACTTCCGCTCCTCCTCCCTTCCAGGCTGAGATTGAACCATCCTCTCAAATTATTGTCAACGCTCACGGAGAATTAATCGAAGACAACAAACGTGCAGTGAGAACAATTCACCAGACGTAGTTGGCTTTTACTACTAGTAGCTAATTGGGCCTCTCCAGCAAGCATTACCTCCTTCCTCAACCCAACATCCACCTCTGAATCGGACTCGAACAACTTCCCCGCTCAACGTCAACCAAACTCGGGCTGAATCTATCCAGAGAACTGCTTCACCGACTGTGAAGAAAGAGGAGCAGCTGCCTGTATTAATTCAAGAAGAGGGAAAAGACAACTACATTTCTTATGTCTCTCTCGTCAAGTCAGAACGCCAAGGCTATAGCGTCTGGTCTGTGGACGCGTTCAATCTTGGCCCAGAGATCGACGTACCCAAGAAGTACCAGAGCAAAGGCTGGACCCGTAGAGTTATTTCTGCCGTACGCTTTTTCTTCCAGCCGCTGAACCTTGACTGCTTACTCAATCCAATCGGAGGCTTTTGGAGGGAGCGTGCAAGCTGTTGAACACCACTTCGGCAGTAAAGCGACAAAAACACCATTGTATGGTCTCTTCCGCTCATCAATTACCCTGATCCCCTCCCAGTTTGACGGCCCAACGTTCTTGGAACTATGCCCTTCCGCACCCAGGAAAGCACGGTATTGGCTTTCTGGACTTGAGGGACTGTCGTGTCCGACCAGAACCCATCCCAGTCTTCGCAGGATATGGTCGGTGCGTAATATCGCAAACAAAACTTTGGTCGAAAGTTCTTGACTCCAAAGCCAGCAATGACTGGCGCCTTCTTGGGATGTACGAGTATTCGCGCTACGGTGAAATTGCACCTCAACATGTGGCTGAGCTCCCTGAAGATGTTTTGAAGGAGTGGGTGAAGGGGATCGTGACTTTCAAGGAGTGGGGTAAAAGTTGCATCGCTGAAGCCAACGAGACCATTGTAGACGAAGACTTGAAGGTCGTGCAAACCGAACAAAGCGTGGAGGCCGCTCTGCGCGACGGACGGCTTGCCATCCCATTCACCATTCTCAAATGTGTCCAGTTTCCGATGGAGTGGATACGGCGCTTGGAAGAAGAAGAGGAAAAGCAGAAGCCAAATTCCAGGAAAAGACGGCCAACGAAACAAAAGATGAATGTGTCGAAACGTGTTAAGAAGGAAGAAGTTGTGAAAGACGAGGAAGAACTGGTCAAGGCAGGGTTAGAAGGTGAGGATGCTGGCCACTCGGAGCAAGAAGCAAACATTTCTGGGTTGAGAAGGTCCCAGCGCAAACTCAAGATGAGGGTACAATCATAATAATAATCCACTATGTTCTCTTGAAAATGCGTAAGTAACTAGTGCGACACTTGGCACCGACTCGACTTGGAGTCAGAACTCAGTAGTGAACGACTTGTATATACCTGTAGAAACAGAATCAAAGTACTAAGTGAGTAGAAAGTACATAAATGTGGATACGCACGTCGGGGCACTTAGTGGAGGAAGTTCGTGACTGCCAGTGATCGTCACGTGCAAGTATTTTCATTGTTCAGCTGAACCAACGCGTTCAGATGCATTCCGAGTCCGACGTAGTCAAGAAGGAAGACCCAGAGAATAAGGTATGCTGTAATCCGTTGAACCATCATAGAACTACAGCATTTCAAGGCGTTGGCTGAAAGTACCGCACTGCTATCAAGAAATATTGTCGATGCACATGGTCAATTGACAGAAGATGAACATATCGTCACAAAGGAGAAGCCTCCTGTGAGCCTGGCTCAGGAGACGCGAAATTCCTCGCCACTCCAACGCGTGCCATCCCCATCACCAAGCCATGTAGCGGCCAATGTTGGACAGCGTTCCGAATCTCCTCCAAGAAGCACATCGGAGTCTTCGCCAGTGGTTGTTAAAAAGGAAGAACAGCTTCCCGTTCTCATTAAAGAAGAGGGCAAGGAGGATTATTTTTCTTACGTTTCACTCGTCAAGTCGGAAAACGGCGGCCACGATATATGGTCGGTTGACGCGTTCAATCTCGGCCCTGATGTTGAGGTACCTCCCAAGTACCGAACTAAAGGTTGGACGCGGAAGGTTATTTCTGATGTACGTGTTCCGTCGCACCCCTTATTTCGCTAACATTTGTTGAATAGGCATTCGGAGGAGGACTTCAGGCTGTTTCCCACCACTTTGGCGAAAAAGCAACAAAACCGCCATTGTACTTATGCTTCATTCCAATTCTGTACGTTGTGCTCACCACCCACTGTAGCATGGCTGTCCAGCGGTCCTGGAACCATGCGCTCCCGCCAAATCCAGGAATGCATGGGATGGGCTTCTTCAATCTTAGACACTGCCGTGTTCGACCAGATCCGATCAACATTTTTGCGGGGTATGGCCCGTGCGTAATTCTTTGTACGCACGTTCTCTCTCTCAAATACGTTTGAAGCAACGACTGGAGACTGCTCGGAACATATGAATATCTGCGTTATGGTGAAATCGCGCCCCACCATGCAGAACAGCTGCCAACAACCGTCTTAAATGCCTGGGTCAAGGGGGTTATCATTCATAAGGAGTGGGGGAGGGCGTGTATCGACAACGCCAATGAGACTATCGTGGACGAAGACCTGAAGGTTGTCCAAACGGAAGCAAGTGTTGAAGCTGCTATTTTGGATGGTCGAATGATTATCCCGTTCACCATTCTCAAGTGTGTCAGATTTCCCATGGACTGGATCCAGCGGCTAGAAGAAGCGGAGGCCAACCCGAAACCATCGAAGTCCAAATCCAAGAAAAGAAAAGCACCGAATAAAAAGCGGAACGTTTCGAAACGCGTCAAAAGGGAGGAGGGCGTGAAAAAGGAGGAAGACATGGTGTCAGGAAGTGAATCCGAGTCGCACAATGATCATGACAGCGACCAGGACGCAGACGTTCCTGAGAGAGTATTGAGAAAGTCTCCACGCGAACGCCAGGCGAGGGTATGAAAACAAAATGCAAGATTGATTTTCTGAACAGCAATTTGAATCAGTTTGAACGCGTGAAGTAACAGTCACTTGAATTCGTGACACTCGCTGCACCTCACCTTGATGGAGCCGAAGACAAGAGGAGGGCGTGGGCTGAGCATCTGTCCAAGTAAAAGATCCGAAGTTGAGGCTACCGAAAACGCTCATTGCTCTGCTGCTACCAAAAAAATTTCCGCGGCACTTTGCATCCTCTCCAACTTGAATTCCATTCCAAATGGATGACCTCTGATCCAAGAATCTAAGCCCTTGACACTGGAATGTGACGGCAAGTTGACCATGGATGCAGGGCTAGTCTCTTTGTCCAAGCTCTTGCCCCGCATCTGCGCCGACATTATCAGCATACCACCTGAATAATATAGGCCTGAATTAGCTAGGTCATATATGGCGTGTATATTCTTCTGAATCTAACACATCTACGTTCATCTCTTTGAAGTTCAGGCTTTCGGGACCTATAAGTTCAATGGCCAACCATGAACGCCCCTAGGCCTGGCAATGATGTGCTGGCTGGATGCCCGCTGCCAAGACCCAACTGTTAGTTAGCCTGGGCACCCAGGGAGGAGCTACCTGTGGTGGAAAATTCGCCTGCGAAATCAGAGCAATACCGAAGCGTTCTTGCTGACTTTTATTACATTGTTATTGCGAAGTTTGCTGTGCCTTCTGGGTTAGACAATATTTTTTAACTCGATCGTTGATTGATCATCACACTGGTCACGCGTTACGTGTGACCGGCTTCCTTCTCTCTTCATTCTCGTCTGCAAAAAAGTATGGCAGCCTCTCCAACCGGTGGTGGGCAGGATAACTGGGGCCCTTCTGATGACTCTGGTGTTGTCCGTGAGGCTGGAAACGGTGAAGCTCCTGGAGATGAGCGTGGGCCAGAAGGTCACGACAGTGACTATCCTCGCGGGTCTAGTCTCGGGCCTTCAGTCTCAAAAGGCGAACATCATCGCGAAAAGCAAGTCAAGGTGCTTATTCGGTCTTTTCTGTGCATTCTCTGCTTCTACAGAACGGCGTCTTGGCTCGTGCTGTCTCGCCTGTTTGTTGCTCCTGCTCTTCCTGGGCTTTGCTTTGGCTTCGACCAACCTCTCGTTCAAATCCGCTTGTTTACCTTCTGTGCAGCCGAACAAAGTCTACATTGGCGGGTTACCCGAACACACGCGCATGGAAGATCTCCAAAACTGCTTCGGTCAAATTGGCCGTATCATCAATATTGAACTAAAGTGAGTCGGTCAACTTTCTCTTCTATTGTATCGTCTTAACTCTTTTCAGAGTCGGATATGGTTTCGTGGTACGCTCCATGTTTTCGGTTGCCTTTGCACTCACTCCCAAGATAGGAATTCGATAGCCGTGCCGCCGCAGAAGAAAGTGTTGCAAAATACCACGAAGGACATTTCATGGGCAATAAGATCCGGGTCGAGCTCTCGCATGGTGGAGGGCGAACTGCCAAATACGCGGGTGATCCAGGAGCATGCTTCAAATGCGGCAATATGGGTCACTGGGCGAGGTTCGTATTCCCCACTTTTGTATCGTCTTACTAACCATAACTTGAAGAGAATGTCCAAACAGTGGAGGGTACGTTATATCCTCTGGCAACCAAGTGTCGACGCTCATCTTTCTCAGTGGGCGTCGTGATGACCGCCATGACTATACCCCACGTGACTCTCCTCAAGACTCTCGCCATGACTATGGTGGTCGAGATTCACGGGACTATCGTCGTGGCCCATCTCCTCCACGTGACTATCGAGACTACCCGCCACGAGCAAGAGAGTATGACGATTACCGTCGAGGTCCTGAAAGGGATCGGTACGGGGCACCGCCACCTCCCCCTGACCAGTACCGCAGTGGCCGTTATCCGCCTGATTCTCGTTATGGACCGCCTCCACCTTTGCCTCCGCAATTCGACCGTTATGACAAAAGAGGTCCTCGTGACGACTATGACCGGCCTCCCCCTAGAGAATTCAGTGAATATCGTGGTCGTCCTGCTTCTCCTCCTCGTTACGACTACTCTCGTGGGCCGCCTGATGCTGGGGGGAGTCGCTATAGGTATGCGACAACTGGTCTTTTCTTTTTCTGTCCTTGACTGACGAGACAACCCAAGGCGGCGCTCAGCAAGTCCTCCTGCTAGGTCCTCTGGTGGCTATGATCAAGGCTATCCTGCTGGCGGCGGAGGCTACTCTAACAACGGTTACTCTGCGGCCCCCCCTTCTCGCTCTAGAGATTATGCGCCACCTCCTCGCAATGGGGGCGGAGACAATTACCGCCGCTCCTAATGCTGCTTGGCTTTTGGCTCGACTTGTCAACATGCTAACCTTGCTCTCTTTTCACAAATAGTCTATTTTCCCGTTTAACGTAGAACGTGTAAATATATAAGATCGTGGTATATAACTTAGTCTTATGCTGCCCCTGCCATTTTGTACAGCGCATCTTTGTCTCCCGACTCGTCTACCAGAGCTCGGAGTTTGCCGTTCTTGTTCTTGAGCAGCTCTCTTGGGGAGTCGAACTCGACCTATTAGGTTTATCAAGTAATTGTGGTTAAGAAAAACAACAACACCTACAATGCGACCAGCGTCGAGCACCATCTACATCTGGTCAGTTGAGGGCATTTGGCAATGTCAACAACGCACAATTTTATCGGCGTCCATAATGGTTTGCAGCCTGTGAGCGACCGTGAGGAGAGTGGTGTCTTTCGGCAGTTCATTCCGAAGCGATGATTGGATCACAGCGTCCGTTTTGTAGTCAATCGCGGAGGTGGCTTCGTCAAGGATCAACAACTTGCTACCACGAACAATGGCCCGTGCTAGTAAAGAATCAGCCATCCATGGCCGAATAAACTTGGAGTTTCCGTACCCAGCGCGAGGATTTGGCGTTGACCAACCGATAGATTGCCTCCGCCGCTGGCAATCTCGGAGTCAAGTGTAATCCGGCCTTCATCCATCTCGCTCTGGAGTGCAAACAACCCAGCCGCACGAAGCGCGCTGTTGAGCGTGGCATCATCATACTGGTCGAACACATCCAGATTCTTTCGCAAGCTGCCGGTCAGCAGTTCAGGCTACAATTAACGGGTGAGTGTTTGGTTCGTGTCGTTGAGATGGTCTCACAATTTGAGGGATGATGGTAATGTTGGACCGAAGCGCGTCCAAATTGAGAGACGAAATGGGGATGCCATCATATAACACCTTGCCCTCAGTGAAAATCGTGCGAAGCAGTGCCAAGGTTAAGCTGCTCTATGAAGAGTATAAGAATTTGCACCAATCATGATTATACCGCCAACCGACCTTTCCAGAGCCAGTGCGACCAACTAGCACAGATTAGGCATGTTCACAAAGGAATCGAGTGACTCACCAATGCCCACACGTTCGCCTGCCTTAATCTCGAATGAAATATCTTGGAGAACCTTGGGCCCATCAGCAGAGTAACGAGCTGAGAGTCCTTCTGCAGTGAGGTTTCCGCTATTTGAATATTTAGTGGCACGTCATCATCGCAGCGTAGAAGACACACGAGGCAGGCCAGTAAGCCGGTGGGGTTCCCGCTGATGTTGGTTTGGGCTCTTGCTCAATGTCAATGTAGCCTCTGATTCGTTCCAAAGAGTTGCCCTGGATCTCGAAGTCGTTCAAGACTCGAACCCACCACAGAATCATGCCGGAGAATCCGATGGCCATATTGAGCGTGAATCCAATATTACTTGGGTTGAATGTCTAATGACAATTAGCAAATAATCAGAGCCAATGAGGAAACCACTTTACCTTGAAATACACCAAGTAATATGCAAGCCCCGCGGCCTATTTGCCATCAGCGCGATAAAATGTCAAGGCAAATCGACGTGCAAACAAGCCACCCAATGCATCAATACGGACGCAAACCCAGCGATTCAAATTGTAGAAAGTGCGAGCAGTACTATTGATGACCCAAAGTGAATAGAGGTAGACTTTTGAACCCACTCAGACGCACCGAGTGTAGCTATCGATACGGGACATCGATGTGCTGATACTGGCTCCTTGCGCACCATATGCACGAATTGAAGCTAGCAAGGTCGGTGAGTTAGCATCTGGTCTCAGTCAAGAACGAAGGCGCGAACTAAGACCAGCAATTGAGGCACCAAAGCTATACAAGAATAAACAGGTTTCCCGGAAGTGAAGCTCGCAACGTACTGTCCCAAGACAGGAGCCTTTGCGTTGCTCATTTCCCGCTTAACTCCGAGCTGTGCCGCGATATAAATTTGCTGCATGGTTGTGAGTCACGTGAATGACGAGGAAGCAGAGGACATACACCACACCAGCCCCCAAGGATGCCGACCAGAACTCCGGGGATCAAGAACAACGGAGTGAAAATCATAACAGCAGCGAATTTCACGATCATCGAAACCGACATTTCTGAGAATGGTTCAAGATTAAGCACATGCAGTCGGGCATATGACACACCCAGCAAAGCCCATAGCCCCTGGCTGATTGCACCGTCAACAGTTCTATCACATGTTGAGCATAACTGTGTACAGAGTGAAGAGGATTACTTGCCTGATATCGACGGTGCATCGTGCGATCACTCGTGAAGTGGGCGTGATATCAAGCCACCTGCCTTGTTCAGTTGTGACTCGTTACAATGAAACCTTCATACCTCAATGTGGTACCGAGAACAGACTCCACAAGCTGTCTGTGGATAGTCTTTGAAGCGCGGAACACGCCAAGCGAATAGAAGACGAAGGACATGGCGTATATAATCATGGCAGCCAACAGGAGAAGACCTAAATAGTTCAGGGAACAGCAGCATAACGGGAAAGAGGAGACCAACAGAATATGCCCAGATAGTAGAAAACATCAACATCAGCTGGATCATGAATGCTGTACTGTCTTTGAAACAGTCAGCAAGTGAAAACCACATTTGACGGAGGTAATACCTTGCCCAATATCCAAGGAACCAAGTTTGGATGGCCTGAGAAATTTCCGTTGCGCTGATTCCCAACAGGAAGACACCGAAAAACAGCAATGCATGGTTGCCTCCCATGCCTTCGAAGTAGAGCTTGAGCGAGTCCATGCTGACGTGGCCCTCCTCAATTTCTTCTGCAACGATTAGCTTGCCATCCGACTTGGGTTCGACCGGTGCAGCAGCAGCGTCTACTTCGTTCGTTTTCTTATCTAAGATTTTCTCGTCCTTGCTTAGCTCTTCCGCAAGCACCTCATCATGCGCAAGGGCTTCCGTAATCGAGCCATGGCTATGAATCGTCCCATCAACGTCCATTGAAACGACATAGCTTGCAATCGGTTTGGCCATGGCGACATTGTGGGTCACCAGAATAATAGTGCGGCCCTTGATGAGGTCTCCACGGAAGCACTTGTCGACGATCCACTTGCTGGTATGCACATCGAGGGCAGCCAAAACATCGTCCAACAGAATAATTTCGGTGTTGGAGTAGATGGCGCGAGCGAGAGTGACTCGAGCCTGGAAATGTTAGCAAACAAATGATGTGCAATCACATTTAGAATACCTTTTGCCCACCACTGAGAGTAAGACCTTTTTCACCAACCTCACTGGAATGAACGATGAGTTGACCTCCGTGCGTGAGGACAAAATCGGCTCACGTGGCATCCCCAGCGTCAAACAGTTCCAGGTCACGTTCAAGGGCACACTGGTAGATGACCTTTTTGTAACGTTCTTCGTCGTATACCGCGCCAAACAGAATGTTTTCTTTGATCGTTTCCTGCCGTCGAGCATTAAACATGATGAGCAGGGAAGAAAGAGAAGCGAACATTTTGAACCCATGATTCCTGAGCAGCATAGGAAACACCCTTTGCGCGCGGAAGATTATACCAGGACGAAGGTCCGGACGGAATAAAGTGCATTTCGCCTGATGAATGTTAACGTAAGCGTGCGAGTCAGCATTTTCTACACACCCAAAAGAGCCATGATCAATGATGTTTTGCCAGAACCAGTGGGTCCAACGACAAGATTGATGCATCCAGGCTTGAACAACAGCTCACCGTCAATTCTCAGCAGGAATCGGCGGCGAGAAGGAGTGAGGGTGCCATCAATCTTTTCGCTCGTCCAGGCAAATGTTGCATCACGGAAACCAATCTTCTGGCTATCTTCAACGTCTGCGGGAACAAAAAGTTCTGCGGCAGCCGGGTCAGGCTCTGTGTAGCGATCGAGGAGTTCTGTCTGCAGACATGGTTATTGATATAACGGGATGGATCCTCTTAAGTTCCTCACCCTGCGAAGGAACTCGTCTACTCGATCAAGGGACACTTTTCCAGTGACGGCCTGACTGAGGGCCCAGAAAATGAAGTGAAGCTGATTCCGCAACATGTCGAAAACACTTAAGCTTGAAAAGCTAGAGGAGTTGAATGAGGCTTCGAATAGTTCTGCAAGATAAAAAGCAACACCTTGGATGCGCTCAGATTCTCTTTCATGATGATGGTATAAGTAGCATATGTCGCCATCATCGTTACAACAGGGATGAAAAAGCTGAACAAAGCTTAAGATGACTCTGTAATTGAACCAATACGCTTACTTGAGAGTCCCATTCAGAAGATCAAGCATCTGCCTCTTCCAGATCCACCCCAACTCTTCCTCTACAAAAGGGTAAGTTTAGGAGAACTGCGATAAGATTGGATACTCGCCTCGTTTCTCCGCAACACGCTCATTCATTTGTCGTTCCCATCCGAAGAGCTTGATCATCCGAAGCACATTCATAGCTGAAATCGTTGGGAACATGCAGCCTTGACAACGCCAACTCACTCTCGGTTACCACTTGGACACGGGCGTCGGTCTTCTTCAAACGTTGTTGTTGCACATCTAGTTAGAGACGTCAGCCATTGGCTAAGCCAAGAGACTTGCGAACATTGAATCTTCTGGGCAACATAGCCGGGAACGGGGAAGAGAAGGACCATCACAGCCATGCCGACAAACGCGCTGTGACGGATCAGCACGTGACTGTTACACAGGCGCGTTACTTACGACCAACCCAACACATTGTACAGGAAGACCACACAAAGGGTGATTTCCATGGGAATGAGCAAGGTAATAAACAGGAAATCTCGGGACTCCGTAATGTTTGTCTAGAATGCAATTAATACAGAGGACGGTTTAGGAGGTAGTTGTAACTCACCAAGTCGGTTGTAACAAGATTGGTGATCTTTCCGACCAGGTTATCTTTACCGGATTCAGCATCGGATTCAGCCTCTTTGCCCTTATCCTTCTTCGCGGACGAACTAGATTTGACGCTCGCCGAGCTTGCCTGCAGTGTTTCGTCTCTCGACAATGCGTCAGTCTCAGTCGCAGTCTCGTCACCGCTAGAACCCTCCTCAACTGGCGACGGAGTCTCGCTACGAGCAGGAGTTGAAGTACCACTGGTGGGTGTCTTCTCGCTACTTTCCGCCTTGACTCTGATCCGGAGAGCATGTTCGAAAACGAGTTGAGTGATGATAGCTTCACAACGAACAAGGGTTCGAGTCGCAAGGAAAATATACCACTGGAATGCTGTCGATCCGGTCATTGGACCGAATAGCAGGGCCAACACCCAGACCCAGGGCTTGATGGTAGGTTCCACGTCCGGATTTTCCAAGTAGCTATATAATATTTAATGAGACGAAGTCAAAACAAGCGTTCTACGCACTTGAGCAGGCGATTAATCCCCAAAGGCGACGCAAAATTCATCGTACTCATCACAATGATAGTGAGCGCCTTGAGAATAGGTCACTTGGATTATGAGTCAGACGAATAAGCCGCACCATGCACAAGTATTCAATGCGGAAGGTCCATATCAGCCCGAAGAAGAGGTGTCGTTTGTTGGTGGGAGTAACTTCAAGATGCTGTGAGTCCGTTAGATTGGGGGTGAAACCATAGTATTCATTGCCTACAGGAAAGTTCCTAGCCCTCATATTGGCAGCATAGTCGTAGTCTGCTAGTGGAGGCAGCTGATCTGATTATAGATTGAGCTAGTGTTAGTATAGTATGAACGATCAACAAACCTGCGGAGAGGTGGCGCAGACGGTAACCTAAAAAGACGACGGGGTCGAGGAAGAAGTAGAACATGAGAGAGAAGATGGACGCTGTTTGCTCTGGGTTTGGAACTGGCATCGGATTCTATGCGACCATAAGTTGATTGCTTCAATGAAAAAATAAAATTACGACCGACCTTGGGATCTACGGGGACATAGGCGCGTGGGATAAACAATGGGACAACCACTGCGGCTATCACGAGAGCCCCCAACTTGGTCCACAATATCCAGCCCTCTGAAGCATCTAGAGGAATATGATGGTAGGTTATCAGCGGAAACACGTCGCGGTAAGAATACGTCGCGAGAGCTGCAAGCAAAACAATGTTCAGATGCTTTACGACAACCGCGCTCCATCGCCGCTTTGCGATCACAGTCGTAACCCCGAGGGCAGTAGCGTAAAAGAAGGTCATGGCAGTCACGATTTGAAGCCATTCCTTCGTGTTCAGCCCATCTGAGGGACGAGTCTTTTTGGGATGTTTCTTGCCCCTGTGCAGAAAATTGGATCAAGTGAAGGGGGGAATGGAGTTGGGTATGCGAACCATTTGCCAAATACACTTTGTTCAGCTTTAGCCTCGAGAGCCAGGGTTGTAATGGAGAGTCCAAGCAACACAAGACAAGCAGTCAAGCGGACCAGTTTGAATGCGAAAACAACTTCTCCACCGTGGTCGGCCACATGATGACGAAATTCAGCAAGGACACCAACGGGTTGAGCAGCATCGACCTCTTCGGTGGGTATTTGAGAAATGCCTCGTAGCTTTCTGCCCCATGTCGAAGTGAGGAACAAATGTAAGAGAAGGATGAGGGTAGATGCCGCTGCAACGACTGCTGGAATAGCCAACGAGTCTTTCCAGCTGGAGAAAGTGAGTGCGCAAACCACATATGATAATTTTTACGGACATTGAACGCGCTGGGGAGGAGAAGAGAGCAACGATGGGCTCAACTGTCGCTTGGGATATGGAGAAGGGGGCTTGAGCCGCCGACCAAAGGGACATGGCAGTATCGGCCCAAGTCTCAGCGCTGGAAAAGTCTTTTGGGCCGTTGAGATAGGCTGCGGTCGAGTCAAAGGTGACGGTTCCGTATGGGTTGGACGCGAATCTTTTCTAAATATGTTGTTTGATGGAGTTTCCGATTACGTACGCTTGCAGTTGACGTGACCCACATGGAGCCTTCCTCCAGACAATCGACCGACTCCCCGCCAACGGGTCCCCTCCCGCTGTTTGAAGCTCATCTACGTCTGTTAAGCGACTCTTTTATTGCCTTCTTCCAAGAGCGGTGCGGCGATCATCCTCGCTACACGCTATCTTACTCATTATTCCAATAGAAAACGCATTGAAGAGACTTAGTACGAATGTTGACCTTTTGGCGTGAATTCATCTCACCAAACAAGTGTCGATTCATTACTCAAACTTCACAAGAAGATTAAGACCATCGACGCGTTCCTCGATGACCGAACTGACCTCAGCACCACACGACATACATGGGCTGAGGTACGCGATAACACAGAAAGAGGTGCGCCTACACAGTGATTCAGCGCTCCTCTCAATGCTTCCCACAGAGGCTCAAGCCAGACAGGCCTTTCTCTCGGCGCTCACAGTCGATGTCCTCAATCCGTTGACATCACTTCGTGTATGGACACCCACACTCCATTATAATCTCGTTGTTGCTCAACCTTCCCCAGGAAACGCAAGAGCGCACGAGGAAGCGCATTAAAGAGGATATCAAAGACTCCACCTCCAGCTACGATGACTTCGCTGAAAATGGACTGCCAAAACTCCGATCCAAGTACACTCGCAAATTTGCAGAGGTCGAGGTGCGTTGCCTCTCGATGCATGAGATTTGGACTGCTCAGCGGTTTGCTCTCAGGAAAACAAACGTGCAGCGGCATCCGTTCCTCCTGTTTCCCCCACCACAATGACGGCAGGCTCGGATCTTCACACCAGTCCCAAGGCTGCCAATGTCCCTCTGCGTGTCACCTCACCACAGCCACTACGCGCTCTTGAACGAAGGCCATCTGGAAGCGCACCTAGCGGTCGGAACAGATCCCCATCCTCTTCAACTGCTTTCTCCGATTTGGCACAGCAAGGCAAAAAGCAATTGAATCAGCTCCGAGGACTTTTGGAAAAGAGCGGCACCGTAAAAGAGTCGCTGGGCAGTGGGAAAGAAACCCATGCCTTGAAAGCCGTTCGTGCGAAGCGAGAACTTGAGGAAGCTGGTAAATCATGACTTCTTTCATGCGTGTCCCAGTAATCAGTCATTTTTCAGACAAGGATTATCGCAATGGAGTCCACTGGCTCGAAACTCTGCGATTGAGGCGATTCAAAATCCTGGAGAGTGGGTTCAGGGTGTGTCAAATAATGCTTTTTTTTTCTTTTCGATCTCACATCATCTAGAGTTTGGAAGCTTTTGTTCATGAGTCTTCCAGCACAGTCAAATCTATTCTGGAAAAGTACACAGACAATATGACGTAGACAGTCAGCTCCTGACTAGTCTTTCGACTGACACATTACTAGGGCGACGAGCACAACACAAGCCCAATTGGCGACTCATGCTCGTGCCATCGTCAATAGGATTGTTCCGGGCATGGACATCGCCAAACTCTCCTCAAGTATTCCTCGCTCCCTCGCCTCCGCGATACCAGATCGAATTCTATACCAAAACGGATTTGTGGGGGAGTGCCAGGATCTTATATTTGGCTTTAGCTTGTTGGACTACGCTACGGCTCATAATCTGCCTGATGGACTTCCTCCCAGGATTGTACAAATTTGCATTGCAGAAATAGACAAACGCGGCCTAGCCTCAGAAGGAATTTATCGAGTATGACTTGCTTTCCCCATTATTGCTTGCTTACATAATTCCATAGGTTTCGGGACGACATGCCATAGTTCAGAATGTCAGTCCTGCTGCTCTTCACTCAAGCATTTCTCACCATTTTACAGCTACACCACGAGATTGAACGAGACGAGTCTAAGTTTGAGTTTAAACCCAAGGACGACATCTTTGCTGTTGCTTCGTTGTTGAAGGTAAAATTACATTTCTCGATAACGTCCCAGTTGCTCAGTTCTCCTAGTTATACCTGCGTGAACTTCCGGAACCCGTTTTCAGGTTCTCCCTCCAAGATCGAATGCAACACACAGAAGACCTCGGTTCGTTTTCCCAACAACTATTCCCTGTCCTTCGCTGAACTCCCGCTTCACAGCCGAACATCAGTCCAACAACTTCGTGCTCTTGAGGTCCAAAATACGACGGCTACCACCCGTTCATCAAGCAACATTGAAAGTTCTCGTCGAACACCTGGCGCGAGTCGTTGCCAACTCGAACGAAAATAAGATGGATGCTAAAAATGTTGCAATTGTGTTTGGCGGGGTTATCTTTGGAGAGGATGACGTACCCAAAGGAGGGACTGACCTTTTGAATCTTCAAAGCACCAAGGTATCGGTTGTCTCGACACTTGACTTTCAGTTAACTGACCGTTTTCAGGATTCTTTGATGGAAGATCTCATCTTACATGCCCATATATTGTACGATGACCAGCCTATCCACCACTCTCCACCCCTTCCTGCAACACCCGCAGGAGAACCTGTCCCCCCTGTTGTCTACGGTTCGAAGCGCACACAGGTAGCGACAGTTCCGCCTTCTTCGCCTCCGAACAGGGCAACAACAGCTTCTCCACAAGACTTTACCCCTCGCCTGCCCTCCAGACCTGTTAGCAGCATCCACCCTTCAGCACGCGCCAATCCACCGCCATCCCCAACCAAGGAAAGGGTGAATGTACCTCCACCCCCAGCCCCAGCCCCAGCCCCACCCATACCATCACAATTTGACCTCTCACGGAGACCGAGCCACGAACCTTCTTCGCCCACTATTTCTACGACTACTCTAGAAACTGAAACATCCTTCCAAACCCGCACATCTCTCGATTTGGAAAGCACGAGTGAAGGTTCGCGGCCGCCCTCTACTCGGCAGTCGTTGCAGTTGGAGCCGGTTGAGGAGGACGCTTAGCATTGCCTTGCACTATTTCCCTTTCCGTTGCCTGAATTTCCGGACTGTTTATGTATTTAGTGTCCAATTATGTCGCCACGATCACGTGCCATCACAGTTACCCTCCTGACACTTCCTACTCCGACTGTCATGCCCAAATCCACCAAAAAGAGGGTGGGTCGGCTCGGGCCCTCTTATTTCTTTTCATGAATACTCCAGTTTTATGCGGTGGCAAATGGATTGCCTCCGTGCCCTGCCATTTATGAGTCATGGGCACAATGTGAAGAAAAGGGTGAGTGCTCGTCGCTTTACTTGAGGTCTCTAATACCAAGCCACGATAGTTATTCGGTTCCCGGGAGCGAAATACCAGGGATTTCAAACAAGGGCAGAGGCTGAGGCGTATATTGGAGGTAGGGTTGCCAACCAAGTGTGATAGATTTTGTTGACCTTGAAAAGCAAACTACATCCACAAAGCTCCGAACCCCACAGCAAAGAAGCCTTATGATCGTCCAGCGAGTGGTAAACCAACTGAACAGCCAGTTATGGCCCCAGTAACCCCCGCTCCTGCTCCCGCCCCCGCTCCTCCAATCACTCTGTCTCCTGAGCAGAATGCAATTCTCCAGCGGGTGCTTGACGGAAGGAATATTTTCTTCAGCGGCTCTGCAGGAACGGGCAAATCTGTCCTTCTGCGGGCCATCATCGAGAGATTGAAAGCCACTGGCCGCTATGTCGCTGTGACTGCGTCAACAGGCATCGCAGCCGTGAATATAGCTGGCTGCACTCTCCACTCATTTGCTGGGATAGGCATTAGTCAAGAGCCTGCAAAGAAGGTGACCGGAAAATGGTTTGGGAATTACAAAACATACGAAAAATGTATAAGGCGCTGGAGAGGGGTCAAAACTCTCATTATTGACGAAGGTGGGCATGGACAACGACGAGTTTCTCCCCCTCCTTTCATTCTTTTTCTAGTCTCAATGATCGACGGGAGACTATTCGACAAACTTGTGAGCTCACTCGTAATGCGCGACGAAGCTGAATGAATAATGCCAGGAAGAAATAGCGCGGATCATACGAGGCAATGAACAACCATTCGGTGGCATCCAACTCGTACTCTCAGGCGACTTTTTCCAATTGCCTCCAGTTCCCGACAGGTGAACCAAACCATCGTTGCATTGCACCTTTTCACAGTTGTAGAAATCCTGTCACAAATCAACAAATGCCTACAATATTCGCCTTTGACGCCCAGAGCTTTGATCTCTGCATGGGCCCTCCGGTCAACCTCACCCGAGTTTTCCGCCAAAAAGACGAACGTATGAATTTCCGCCCACTTCACCACTAATGTCATCTGTTTGAAGGTTTTGTTGAGCTGTTGAACAACATGCGCTACGGCAGAATCGAGCCCGAAGACGAAGAAATCTTCCGCTCCCTCGAGCGTGAAGTCCGATATGACGATGGGATCCAACCAACCGAATTGCGAGTTTACTTTCCCTTGATTTGTGTTCGAAAATTGACCAATCGTAGATTATCGCGTCGAGACGAGGTGGATCGGGCAAACAATCGGAGACTCAACGCATTGCCTGGAGCAACGAGAACTTACACAGCGGTTCAGTCCTCAGGAATCAACTCTCAAGGATTCCCGATCACCCCCGAGCAAATGGAAAAGTTGCTTGAAAAACTTGTTGCACCAAAACAAATCTCGTTGAAGGTGACCGCCTTCATTTGCTGGTGTTCCGTTCTCAGGCATCGCCGCAGGTTGGAGCTCAAGTCATGTTAATCAAGGTCAGCATTCGTGAGCTGAATCACCGCATTGGAATGACATCTGGTAGAACCTCGTGCAAGGCCAACTCGTGAATGGGTCAGTCGGTCAAGTCATAAGTTTCAGGACAGCGGAGGATGCCGGCAACGAACACATCAATATCGCCAGGGCTGAAAATGACAAAAACGACAGGAGGCCCGTTCTTCCCCGTTCACTTGAAAAGCATCTGTTCCCCGTTGTTCGCTTCATCAATGGCTCTGAGCTCTTGATGATACCAGAGGACTTCACGGTTGAAAACGCAAACGGACAAATGGAAGCACAGCGAATTCAAGTGCGTTTTATGGAAACTGCGCCGTTATGCGTTCACAGACCAATTGACATAGATTCCGCTGATCTTGGCCTGGTCACTTAGCGTCCACAAATCTCAAGGGCAAACAATTGAGAGGGTCAAGGTGGATCTGAAAAGCACGTTTGAGAAAGGACAAGGTACGCTAAACTGACTTTATTACGAAGTCATGCTCAGTGTCTAACAGCATATGTGGCTATCTCGAGAGCAACCAGCCTGGAGGGTCTGCAAGTGCTCAATTTCCATAGCTCCAAGTGCGATTTGCGTTGTCCTCTCCTACGACTTATTGACCTTTATGCAGGGTGATGGTTCACAGCCATGTTGTTAAATGGTATAGTGCTTGTCAAGACATGGCCATGCGACAGCAAGCCGACGATGACGAGTGGGAGATAGGAAGGGAATCTTATTATGATTAAGGAGGGAGGATCTAGACGGGCCATGGACTATATAATACAACCTACTAAATACAGTAAATGGGTCATCTTTTGTAGCACTGTACACATTGTTTTCTACAAAACATCGACGAAATTGGCAGGAAAAATACCCTTTTCCCCATTGAGTGTTCCTGTCCACCTAAAACTGGGTTATATAAGGCAAGGATAGAGACACAGGAGCGCACCAGTCATCGGTGCTATTTGAGCGTTTGGTGACAACGATAATGTCGCCTTTGGAAAAGGACAAGTCGCCTGGCTGGACGGCCTGGAAATCATAAAGGGCCACTGCTCTTGCAACACCCTCTGGAGGAGGAGTCGAACGGCTAAGCGCAGGCTGAGGTTTAAGGAAGGGTGTTGATATCGATTTCGGTTTATATGGAGACGCGCTCATTGAGCGGGTGTGCCCCAGCATCGGTTGATTCTCGGCAAACGGGGAACTTGGGGAGGCCGTGGTTGGCTCAGCATCAAAGAGGTCAAAAACGGTAGGAGGTTGCGACGCCGTGGCTGATCTCACGTGTCGTTTTTCTGGGACAAAGTCGGACTTAAACTGGGTCGGGAACTGGCTTGTACTGCCGGTATTGGCTGCAGCATCCCAAGGATCGAATGGACTGTCGTATTCTGGCTTGCCACGAAGAGATGCAGCCTCGACCTGGTGGCTGAAATATGACCCTCCGTCGCGGGGTTCACCCCAAGATGTAGGGGGGAAGTCGGACTTCGAGTCCTTGCGTTTCTTGCGGAGCTGACTGGGCGGCATTTCGCTGGTCGGGGTGGCGAAGGCATAAGCAGAAGTAGGGCTGGACTCGGTTATCCATTCACGGTTGCCTGGCATCCCAGTACAGCTCGTGAGAGTCTTGATCAAAGGTTCTGCCCATGTTGGTGGAGGAATCGCACCACCTAATAAAAGCTTTGCAGTAACTTGAGACCCGTATGCTTGAACGTTGGCGTCTTGTCGCTCAACAATGACTGAGCCCTGATCCACGGTCATTAGAGAGGCATGGCATACAACAAAAACGCACTTCAATCGAAAGACCGCCGAATAAACCTGAAGACGTATGAAAATAATCATCTTCGTCGAGAGCAAGACAAACCTCGAGTCTTGGAATAACTGTACATCGCTGCCATTTTCCCGCTGGTATTCACCGAGCCGCTTGCCTCTCCATGTCGGCCCAGAGGACCTATAGCGAGGCTCATATTTCCTCTGTCGAAAGAATTGGAGCGCATTTATGGATGGAGCACAAACGAACAAACCCTAAACTGAGCGAACCACTGGCCATGAAGGACTTGACAGCAGATCTTGAGTTGAGGACGATGAGGAAGTCTGTCATTTCGGCTCCCAGCTGACTGCCAACCCCTCCATTACTTGGTCGGCGTGTTGCTCTGGATATGACAGCAAACACGCACCCAAACCAGCTGTGCCGATAGCGGAAGGACTGGACCATGTACCGTCAGGTAGCCTTGCAATGACGATGCCAGTCCCGGCCCTCGCCGAGAAGAGGAAGCCGGCCTTGAGAACTGTGAAGATAGCAAATCCCTTGGCTTGTTCAAGCACAACTCTGGGGATGAATCCGTCGAGACCTGGTTTGCGGTCAGAATCAGTAAAATAAGAAAACGAATCAAATAGGACCATTGTTTCCTGAATCCACGAAGCTATTGAAGATCTTGGCCGCTTTCTGGCATTCTTTGGGCAATGGTTGTGGTAAAGGACTACTCAGTTTCTTCATCAGATGGGCTCGAGAATCGTCAAACGAAGCTGCCTGTTATCAAATCAGCTGTAGAATACACTACACTTATGGTGAGTGGCCTTACAGCCTAGCGGCGATGAGGGTAGAGTTGGAGCCTGTAGGCCCGTGTTTGACCGAATGACGATGAGTAAAGATTGTTTATGAAGTCTGTTGAGGTCTGGTCAGAGTCTGATACGTCACGGGTAGCTCTTCTACTTTCGACCCGACTAATGCTGCAGCTGGTTGGCGCGATGCTTGAATTGTGCCATCGTACAGCCTGCTGTAGGCGCAACTGAATCATTCAAGATCAGGCACATTTGCAATGACATAGCCGCTAGCCACCCTGTCTTGACCTCTCTTCTACTTACCATCGTCTGGGCTACGGTTCTATTCACCACTTAAACGAACATTTCATGAAACAACCTCTTTGGTGGACACTTGCTCTTCTACGCCTTGTTGCTCAGACGAATGCGGCGGATGCGTTGGGATTTATGGATCAGGTAAGAGCTATAATTGGGTTTATTGCCTTGGCCTCATGTTTTTCGTTCAATCAGTCGTTCTACTTCTCCTACACCCCACCTTCCCAAGCGGTCCCAGTGCCAGTAACAAGTCTGTTCCGTTCACCACAGAGATAACACACTCGTCTTACGAGTTAAAACACAGGTCAATGCGAGACCATCCATCTTTCGTGGTCGAGGGGCGCAGGAACTGGGCCAAATCCGGAAGCCCCATACTTTCTCCAAGTTTATACCTCTGCTTTCGTTTTCCCCTTCATCATTCCTGCTGGAAGTGGACTGAGCTTTGTGCGTCTCTCTAGCTGCTTTGACTCGCATCTGCTTACATATTTTCAAGGACTGGCAAGTGCCGTTCAGTGCTGGGACATTATACCAAATATGCATGGTGCGCTCTCCCCATCCAACGCAGCTCAAGCAATTAATATCGGTCACAGTTCGATAAGAATGGCAATAGTGGTGGTTGCCAAGACATGTTTACGACGATTCCAGCCGCCTCCACGCCATCCTGCCCTAATGCAACATTTCCCCTCGGACCGCTCGAAGTAGATGCTTCAGTCAGCAGCGGGCCATTATCACAATATGGCTGGGTAGACCAAGTATGTCAGCCGATCGCCCTTCCATGAATTGACCTTACACGCTCTACAGTGTACGGACATCACAGTCACTCCTAAAAATGGCACTCCACCGTATATTTTCACGGTACGAAGGCACTTTCCGAAAAAACAGATCGAGTTTGACAGCTCTTAGGTTGCCCCAACGTTGCATCCACCGCACAATCAGACAGTGAAAGGACAAAGCCCGACAAGCTGGACGGTCAATCTTTCCTGGGGCTCGTCATTCTTCATCAGCGTGGTAGATGCAGAGATGAACTTTTGGAGTTACGGTCCACTTCACAGCGGACAAGGCCACTCGACCTCCTGTCTCTCGGCCAAATCCAAGTGAATCTCATTCAGTTTCCTTCCGTGCATAGCCAACATTTTCCCAGAACATCGGTCTCCCCGGTAATTTCTGTTGCCTCTGGCTTGGGAGGCATAGTAGTCGGTCTTGTGGCAGGCATCGCAGCAGCCTTTCTGTTTCTTCGACGCAGGTGGAAACGGAATGAAGACCACGGTTTTATTGACTACCCAAGTGGATATAGCTCCAACCCTTTCCAAGGGTCTTCATCCGGTCCGGCGCACTACAAACCCCTCAATGCTACCCATGGCTATGACGGAAGCTTTTCCCCCAGAGCTAGTCATCAATTCCAACGCGAAAGCACGAACTATCATGTTGAACCCTTTGTCATGCCTGGAGACCCACATGAGGGCAGCACGGCTGGCAGCACGGTTGGCAATAACACCGAGTCAGTCACTGGAAGAAATATTTATGTTGTTCACCACGACGCTGGCCGACCACCAGTGACCGTCTATCACGCAGACGGGACGGAGGTTGTTGAACTTCCGCCTCGTTATGGGAACGTCCCTCCAGATGATGGAGGAGAGAGTTACCCCACCAGCCCGACATCAAGTATTCACCCACTTCCCAGCGGCTCGACAAGCACTCGAAGGCAAAGCTCTATTGCCCCGTCATCCGTTCAGGAAATGCTCTCACCCACAAGGAGACCGAATCGACCGTCCAAGCCATAATTTTTTTTCTTCTTGTTTTCACTATGCTTGGACTTGAATTTAACGAACCTGCATATGATTGGGACTCTGGAGACTATCTACTTCATACATTACACATTTGTAACAACAAATTAACGAGCATAAACTCCAATAGGACAAGGTTTCCAATTTGAGTCGGTGCCGAGGAGTTGCCAACCAGGAGCGGTCTGCACGGTGAGGAAAGCATTGCTTTCGGTAGACTGCGTTGTATCTGTTGAAATGTCTACATCTGATGTACCCAAAATTGCTTCGAGTCGGTCTTGCATCACCACGATATCATCAGGGGACCATTCCTGCTATCAGATTAGCCGGATGAAAGCGGAAAGAGTTTGACTGACTGCTTTGCCTCCGATGGAAAGCTGCATAAATAATGCTTGGGTATGCTCCAGCTCAACATCTCCAGCACACAAGGCGTTCATCAATGACCTGGCGCTTTGTTTGGATTCAGTGGTTGCCTAAAAAAGAAAGGAAAGAAGACTACGCAGTCGCATTCTGGTTGAATCCCGTTGCAGGTCCTAATCCGGTGATGAGCGCAACCAAGGCGTCTTTTTTCGCGTCTCGGCTGGGTGGTGGGAGATTTTCTAGAATCCAAAAGGCCCAACGCGCCAAACATTCGTCGTAGGTCGTGTCTACTGCGATGGCGACGATGTCTTCCTCGGGAAGGGGGCAAGTCAGATGCGTGATGATGCGGTTAGTCAGTCTGAACTGCAGGTCTGGATGTGTTGCTGCAACTTCGCGCAAGAGTCCGCTCCAGACAGTGACAGCATATGGTGGAGGCTTGAATTCGTCTTTTGGAAAAGTTCGTTTTCTGCATTAAAGTAAGAATCTTATGAATCGACAGTTGCGTTGCAAATACTTTTTTGATAGTGGGACGAGACCAGATTTGTCCAAGAGTGCTTCAGAAAGTCGATCGAGAGCCCAGTGCTCTTTGAAAGTGTCGTCACTCCAGCCAAGATTGCCGCCAGCGACGTTTGCGGCTACTGTTGCCTCTGCTATCCATCTTTCGACATCTCTCAGCACGGTTTTGATTTGTTGTTGCTGTGTCTTGAGTGTAGCATCCCTCGAAACGAGCTTGCTCAAAGATTTGTACTCTTTCAACAGCGGCGCTAGAGGTCGTAGTTCAGGTGTCTTGGGTGCGGGAGCGGCAGAAGGATTGATAGTGGGAAGGAAGTAGTTATGCAGGAGCCAAACCATCGACTATTTCTGCACTCAATGAAAGGGTCCTGAAGGATCAAATTAAAAGCTGACCTCCCGTGCCGCCTGCCGCAACAATTCGAGGCTGGGGAGATCTTCGTGGGTCGCGGCATGACGAAGCTCGACAAGCCAGGCCGGGAGTCCCAGCTGAGTAGCGATGGATGCAATTGAACGGGCATACAATCCTCGCTGTAAAGGGTCCACCAAGCCGTTCACCAAACGAATTAACGCGGCCGCATAACTGTGTCGGAGCGATAGATAGGACGGAAGAGGCTGCGAGTCTTGAACCAGGACGGACAAAAGAGCAAGAGTGGCGTCAAGTGCATGTGGAAGGGCAGTGATGCTTTTCCAGGCAGATAACTAAAAAAAATAATCAGTAACGAGAAGGAGAAAGCAAACAACGTACCCTATTTATTGCTCTGTTTTTGGCGTCGATGTCCGTTTCGTCAGTATATATCCAAGCGCAAACCTGGTCCAGTTCAGCGATGGAAGCCCATGGAACCCTGCGTGGTAATCGCATCCACAATTGAAACGCGTCTAAATCAGAGTCACGTCCACAAGCTGACGCGTCCTACTTACCTCTTCCTTCCACAATGGTACACGCGCAATTTCCTTCTTTCTTCCTCTATTCACTGGCTCCCAGCTACTTCGCGTCAGGTCCCCCGATGGAAACTTTCGTTTCGATTTTGCACCCACGGCAGATGTTTCCGAATTATTAGCCAAAGTGCCCGTCACCCTTGCGATCCGTCTCCCTTACTCAGAATTTTCAGGTGATAGAAACGGCTCCCGATGCAGACCCGACGAGCTTTACGATGTCCAACCAACCCAGAGGGAACGAAGCTCCATTTTCCTCGTTGACTGGGAGATCATTGCAAGCCCTCGGTCTCGGGTGAGTATTTTTCTCTTTGTGAACAATCAGAACGCGTTCGAGCAAGTGCAGTCATGCCGATTTAATATTCGTGGGCTACAAACGCCGGACAGCGACCGCGTCTACCTCGTCAATTACCACCCAGCCTCAAACAACGACGGAGACAGCCACAAGAGTTTGGGAAAATGTAACCGAGGAGCCCGTTGATGTCTATTGGCGTGCCCGGGATGGGAAGATACCCCGGAGTCGCGATTCACGCTTTTGCACCCATGCCGCCAAAGGAATGTGCGACTACTGCATGCCTCTTGAACCCTTCGACACTGGCTATCACAAAGAACACGCGATAAAGCACCTCTCATACCACGCCTATCTCAAGAAAATCTCTCCCAAATCAACCACCTCTGCTACCTCAAATCTTCCCCCGCTAGAGCCACTCTCCTACAAGGTCAAGGTCCCGTGCCCAAGCGGCCACCCTTCATGGCCAGCCGGTATTTGCACCGCATGTCAGCCCTCTGCCATAACTCTCCAGTCGCAGCCTTTCCGTATGGTAGATCATGTTGAAATCGCTTCACATGAGACCGTTGAACGCTTCCTGCGTGTTTGGCGAGAAACAGGTTCACAGCGGTTCGGATGGCTCATCGGCCACTATGAGCCGTACGATGTCGTTCCAATGGGCATCAAAGCCGTTGTGGAGGCTATATATGAGCCTCCGCAAGAGGGAGAACTCGATGGACTTACGCTTGGTCTGCCCTGGGAAGAAGAACAACGTATTAGATCCCTTTCTGCCGCTGCATCTACCCCTTTGACCGTTGTGGGCTATATCTTCACTGACCTCACTGTATCAGAGGAAGACAGGACCAAGACGATCTATAAACGCCACCCAGGCTCTTTCTACATGTCCTCTTTGGAAGCTATCTTTGCTGCGACCCTCCAAAAAGCGAATCCCACCACTTCGAAATCATCCCCAATAGGACAGTTTGGTTCAAGGCTCGTGACGCTGATAGTAACGGCCAATAAGGACGGTGACGCGGACCTCGCAGCATATCAAGTCTCTGAACAAGCGTGTGCGATGGTGGAGGCAGACATGATTGAAGCCAGCGTTGATCCTGGAATTGTTCGGGTGAAAGACGAAGACCGATCCCAGGAGTCGGCACGGTACATTCCGGACGTTTTCTTCACGTACAAGAACGAATATGGCCTGGAAGTAAAGAAAACCGCCAAACCTGCATTCCCAGTCGAGTACCTCATGGTCAATGTAAGACTTGTCTTTTCCGACCCACGACCAAGTTTTATAGAGTTTTCAAGGTCACTCATGGATTTCCCTCAAATCCTTCTCCATTATTCAACTCGACGAAATATGCGATTGAGAATCGACCTGGCCTGGAGAACCAGACCATTGAAAGCGTCATGAATAACTTGGCCAACTTGGATGCGCCGAATATCCATGACAGTCGGACTGCACGACCAGGAGAAGCCCACAAACGGCGGGAACTTGCAACATGGCTGAGCGACTGGCATCTTGTCGCCTTCCTCGATACCACACAGCTGTTTTCACCCGTTAGTCCTTTTTGATCATTCTTTTGCATGTCGTTATCCAACTCCCTTCCAGGACGATGTGAAGCTGATGATGCGGATTGTCTCTTCTCCTAATCTATTAGACGATCTCAGCCAACTGGACCCGCTCCTGGCCACCGAAGGCTGGACGAATTTGATGGCGTTTACCCAAACCACTGCAGCCGCCAGCAGTGTCAGCAATACCAACGCTATGGACGACATCCCACAGGATGTTCTCGACCAAATTGCTGCTCAAGAAGCTGCTGACAGAGCAAGTGGCGGGGGAGCAAGTTCCAGCGGTGGTATTCGAATCTGTCCACATTGCACATTCGAGAATTCGCCTGGTGGCTCAGATTGTGAAGTCTGCGGTCTCCCACTGGCATCATGAGGACAAAGTGAGAAGTGACACAATTGAGTATGAGGAATGCTTGAAATGAAACTACAATTTTACACATGTACTCTCTAGTCGAGACGTTATAGCGTGAATAATGTTCGTGTCCCAACGGATGGTCGTCTACTGGAATACCCACCAAACAGCGAAACCCAAACCAAAGATAATACCCAGTGCACGTGCCACAATGACAAGAACCAAGGCTTTGCGAATGGCAGCGTAGAATGTGCTCAATGCCGAACCCGACCAGTTGATCCTGTTAGAGAATGAGTAACGAAAAAGAGACAGACAAGAGGCACATACCGTCTGTCATTGACGCCGCCACCACGCACACTGGCCTCCCATCCACGAACAACTTCTCGATATCGCTTACCAAAGACCCTACAAGGTAATAGTCAGAAAATGAAAGCACAAAGAGTGTCGTTCAACGAACCAGATCCAGAAATTCACATCAGGGTACGAGAAACGGGGGAATACACTGGCCAGGCTGGGAGCAACGATATCCATTCGAATGCCTTCAGCGCCAGTTTGGTAAGGGAGTTGCATGATGGGTGAGAGTGGAGAAGATGCGCCAGAACGAGGGTCGACTGTATCGTTGGGCAAAGGATGGACCATATACGACATCAGGTCGAGAGTCATACCGAGCGAGAGCCCCCAAAGCTTCAATTGCTGCGGCCGCTTGAATCCCTTCTCCATGTCATAGCTGGGTTTGCCCTCGGGTGTGACCGGCGAGACCGAAGATGGTTCGACAATGATAGCAGGAAACTCCATGCTACCGACGAGAGCTTGAACAAGAATACGCAAAGCAGTAGAATGCTTGGGAGCAATGCGAGACGCGGCATCGACTGTCACTGTGGACCATTTCGGTGGGGGATTGGCGGAAACGAGAGAAGACAATGGTGTCCAGTGCAGCGTTGTGGTGGAGACTGGGTCGGGCGCACTAGCTTGTGGTGTCACTTGAAGAAAAACGAAGGGCGATAAAATCATTAAAAGGCGCTTTCCGAGAGAAGTTGTTATTTCTCTATCGTCAAGTTGGCCGACACAAGTGTAGTCTTTCTCCGCAAGGTCAATTCCAATCTCTTCCCAAGTTTGTCGCATCGCTGCATGTACGTGAGGACATGTTGTCTCTGTTTTATGTAGAAGGGCACGTACCCGTGTACAGTCCCCCTTCATCATCAGTCTCAGTTCTTCCACCCGGGAAAGCGACATGGGCTTCGTTGTTGTTTCTGACGCGACTCATACCTGAGTCTTCAGGCGCCGGATTCTCCCGTTGTAGGAAAAGGATTTCTGGTCGAGCCGTGGGATCATTGACCCAGTCCAACTCAAAAAAGTCGGTAAGCGAAGGAGATTGCGTGGCGTTGAAAACAGCATGTGGAGGTGGCACAACTCGAATGATAAGTGCGACGGCGGCTCTCCGGGGCTCTAAAGGGTGAATTTAGACAATGAAGGATAAGGCCGGCGAGGTACACACGAGTTGGGGGTGACGCGATTATACGTGGAGGAGTACTGCGTATTCGCTGTAGGGCACGCGAGAGTAAAGGAACAATAGAAGCTGGCTTTTCTGGACTTTGGTTAGAAGCAGGCGCTGCAAGCAGTTCGCGAACCCACCCGACATGGACGAAGACGACAACCCCAAAAACAGAAAACCCGATCACTGGGGCTGACGTAAGAACCTTGGTGTGACTTGGCGGCTTCTTTGAGCACTCAGACGAAGGTTTACTGCTGTATGGCTGTATGGGAGGGATGAGTGGCCGCATCTGTAAAGTCAGAAACGAGAGGTCGCTCAATGAATTCGAAGTCTGCAATGATTATCACGGAATGGCCGGGCCGGGAACGACCAAGCAACTCCTGGATCAACTTCGATACTTAAAAGGAGAAGCCACGAGGCAAAAGGTCGTACCCGGGTTCGAACCGGGGTCACGGGAAGAGAAGAAGAACTTCAAAATCCCGTGTGATAACCACTACACTATACAACCGTTGAAGGAAGTCGCTCCCAAGTGTATGTTACCCCCATTCGGTATCACGAGTTTCGGGGACAGACTTTAATTTTAGTGCGGCTGAAAGAGCGCTTGTATACTTAGATGTCAGACTTGCAAGCGTTATAGACTTGATCTTTCCGAATTCAGGACTGTCGACGGCCACGCTATCAGCTATCAGAGCACCTGTGGCAACCCATGAATGTTCTACTCCATAACCGAATTGACAAAGCAGACATGAATTAATATGAGTAGACGGATTTGCTTGACTATTGGTATAGCATGCGGCATTACAACTCAGCCCAACCTCCGTTCATATCATCGCCACCACTGAATAATGCTAATGCGAACATAATAATGCTCGCTCCAAGCCTCATTCCTAATCCTCGGTACAGCTGACCGATGCCTGTGTTGCGCATCCATCCCTGTTCTTCTTCGGTGGTCTGTGGTGGGACATCGCCTCCCGCACGCTCTTTTCCTTTGCCTTGTCGTCGCTTTCGCTTGCTGGGCGTAATGGGAAGATCCGAGCGTTCCTCGGTGAGAATATGCCAGAAGGCATCTACAACACCATTGTATGGTGCTGGCCGTAGCTCGACGCAACCTTTGATGGGCTTTGCGCTACCACGAACCTGGACTTGTAACCGTCGACGGACAGTTTCAAAAGGTAGGGTAATTAGCAGGCCAATGCAGCTGGCAGTGAGTTCAGCAAAGCCCCAAGCAATTGGGTGCGTCTCTTCCGATATCTGGATGCCGATATATGACGCTAAAAGTCCAGGGAGAACGAAGGAGACAAAAGATGGTAGTGTATTGTCGATGATCGTCGGAATGAGCAGGTGAGGGTGAAGGTAGATGCCCTTCAGGCCACCCTCTTCGCGTAGAATGCGAGACAGCGCGTCTATGGGTCCGGTGTATGTCACATGACGGGAAGAGAAGGATTGAGCGATGAGCCTCGTTCGAATTAAATCGAGCGGCGAGAGTGCAAAGCCCATGATGAGGTGAGAGAGCACAGGAATGAACAATGGTGGTCGGTGGAACACGGCATTCCGAGGAAGAAGGATTGTTTGCAATATATTGCGGAGAATGGGCTGGAAAGTTGACGATAAAATCTCGCTGATGCATGTCGTCAGCAAGCCTAGAGCGAAAAAGCTGGGTTGATAGGTTTTAAGCACAAAGTGGCCTGTGCATACCTTTCCACAATGCCAGCCAACCCTCACCCCGAAAACGACCAACACGCTTGATCATGCCCCAGACACCATTCGCACTCCCCACTGGGATGATATATTCTGGACGTGTGCCTTCTTCAAGGACAGAGCGGCGAACAATATAGCCCTGTTCATCAGTTTGGCGCAGAGAAGATGAACCGGGTTGAGGTGTTGCATTAGCGTTCGGATCAGCAAAATAAGAGTCATTATCGTTTGAGGATTCGCTCAACTACAAACGATTTAGTTGAATAACATTGCGGCAAAACAGTCATACGGCATCATCTTCGTCGTCTGGCAGGTCCACCAAGTCGGGTTCGCCTGCGTCGCGAGGCACCCATTGAACTTGGAGGAGCAGCTTGCCAACCTCCCAAGGCATGGCAATCGCACTGCTTGTGTATTGTAGGATGGCAGATGTAGCAAACGTTTTGAGTAAATGAACGGTGTCTATCCCATCCGCTGGGTCAGCGAGTTCGGGAGAAAGGTCGAAAATTGAGTTGTGAGCTGGGCGAGACGACCATTGGTAGGCTGGACCCGCGACTGGCTGAGCTGTTGAAGCATTGGCTCCAGAAGATGGTGGTGGGGTTACAAATGACCATGCAGTGTTACGGTCGCTGTAGAGGCCACGAAGGGAGGCGGAAGAGGCAGACGACATTATGGCATTGGGCAAGTGTAGGCAAATCAAAACTTGTCAAGTGATTCGGTGGGTGTTCCCGAAGAACAGTAGGGCCACACCGACAATGTGAGTGCTTCTTGGGTCGGGTGGGTGGCCTCTGAAATGTATGTATGTCTCAGGAACCACACCTTTGCGTCATTCCCACCAACACCCCATCTTGAACAACGTCACACCCACTGTATTTAGTTCGAATCGCCTCACCTTACCATTCTCTCCTTCACATCCCTTTTCACCCCTCATGGCGACCGCCAACGGCAATGGCGCTCACCTCCCTCTTGACGATGCCAACTCTCGTGTCGCCGTCCACACGTTTGACCCCGAAGCCTCTCCAACAGAAAAGGCGGCCGCTGCGGCTAAGAACAGAGACCAGCTTGCCAGCGTGAAAAAGGACTCTGGTCCCGGTGCGAGAGGTATGTTGTACTACTACCCCTCGACTTTCATTTCAATATTTGTCTAGAGCTGACGGTTGAGACTGGCAAGCCTACAGCCATCCCCACTATAAAGGTGGAGGACATGGAGTCGACAGAATTCCAACAAGTACAGGACAATACTCCCCAACCTCCAGGCGCCATTGCGTCACCGGTCGCGGCTGCTATTCCTGATTGGTACACAGTTGGATGGCGACAAGCGGCGGGTATCGACGAAAACACCCTAACCGAAGGCGAGGAGCGCGACAAAGGCGTGCTCGACATGTTCCTCGGTGAGCAGTTCTACGGGGCCTGGTATCACAATGCAGGGATAATTGTTTTCGTACGTGTAAACTGCTCTCATTGACACGTCTTCTAACTGCGCCAGGCTGTGTTTGCTTCCCACTTCCTCACTCGCTTTCATTTTGGCTGGGGCTGGCTTTTTATCGTTCTAGCGGTATGCAGCACATACTACAGCACTTCCATGCAACGTGTTCGTCGGAGCGCGCGCGACGATATCCAACGCGAACTCGTCAAAAGTCGTCTCATTTCTGAACACGAGTCGGCTGACTGGATTAACAACTTCTTGGACCGTTTCTGGCTCATCTACGAGCCGGTACTCAGCGCCACCGTCATTTCCTCTGTTGACCAAATCCTCAGCGCCAACACTCCTGCATTTCTTGATTCTCTCCGTCTTACTCAATTTACTCTCGGCACCAAAGCCCCCCGGATTGACAAAGTCAGGACGTTCCCTAAGACTCCAGATGACATTGTTATGATGGATTGGGGCATCTCCTTCACTCCCAACGACATTTCCGATCTTACTCCACGTCAAGCCGCAAACAAAGTGAATCCTAAGATTGTATTGTCGGTCCGGCTGGGAAAGGGCCTTGCAACCGCGTCAATGCCTATTCTAGTGGAAGATATTACCTTCAGCGGCTTAATGCGCATTCGTATGAAGCTTATGAGCAATTTCCCCCACGTTCAGGTGGTCGACATATGTTTCTTAGAAAAGCCCGTCATCGACTACGTGCTCAAACCCATCGGAGGGGAAACCTTTGGGTTTGACATCGCAAACGTAGGTGGCGTCTTCGGTTCCCAGTATCCCCGTTAACCCTTTTTTCTAAGATTCCTGGACTGTCATCATTCATTCGAGACATGACGCATGCGACACTTGCGCCGGTCATGTATGACCCGAACGTCTTCACTCTCAACCTAGAGCAGCTACTTTCGGGTACGCCACTTGACACCGCGATTGGTGTGCTCCAAGTAACTGTCGAGTCCGCTCGTGGTATCACTGGTGTCAAGATTGGAGGAGGAAAGCCGGATCCCTATATCTCTCTAAGCTTGAATAACAGGGAAGAGCTCGCGGTGACCAAGTACAAGAGCGATACGTCAGTAAATCCTCTCGCTTTGCTTCATTTCTTACTTTATTACAGCTATAACCCAACCTGGATGGAAACCAAATTCATTCTCATCAATTCCCTCAACGAGTCGCTCGTATTGAGCTTGTACGACTACAACGACCATCGCAAGAATGCCTTGCTCAGCAGCACGAGCTTTGAACTCGCCCAGCTTCAGGACGATGCTGTTAGGGAAGGGATCGAAGCTCAACTTCTCAAAGACGGAAAAGATCGCGGCACACTGAGATATGACCTTTCATTCTACCCTGTTCTTAAGCCCGAAGAAGGCAAAGAGCTACCCGATACGAGTAAGTTGACCTGCTATGACCTCTACCTCCGATTGACGTCATTCAGGCGTTGGAATCGTTCGTTTGACAATCCACCAAGCAAAAGAGCTGGACCAAAGCAAGTCTTTGTCTGGGGATCTCAATCCCTTCGCAAAAGTTTGCCTGGGAGATCGAAAGAATGAGGTTTTCCGCACTCGTCGATTCAAACACACCAACGCACCAGTTTGGGAACAAGCTCACGAATTTTTATGCGTGGACAAATCGTCCTCGGTCATTTTGATTGAGGTTGTCGATGATCGCGATTTCCTCAAAGATCCCGTCGTCGGTTATATGTCTATCAAACTCGAAGACCTTCTTCAGAGCAAGGCTGAAGCGGGGCGTGACTGGTTCCCACTTAGCAACTGCAAGAGTGGCAAGGTCCGGATTTCGGCTGAGTGGAAACCGTTGAACATGGCTGGAAGCCTCCATGGTGCAGAGCAATACAGCCCTCCTATCGGTGTTGTGCGGTTGCATCTCGACAAGGCCGTTGATGTCAAGTATGTTCATCGTCTATCGCCTAGCCCTAATCCTAATAATTTCCAGGAATGTCGAAGCAGCTCTTGGCGGAAAGGTATGTGTGGGACCTCCTAATGAACTAATCGCTAATTTACTCTTAGAGCGACCCGTACGTGCGCGTCCAGGTACATGAAGTCACCAAAGGTCGTACCGAAGTGATCAACAATAGTCAGTAATTCATTACGTGACCTCTTGCAAAACTGACTTGACCTTCCACAGATTTGAGTCCTGTTTGGGACGAAATTATCTACATTCCAGGTTGGTCATTTAGACTGCATATCGCCTTGGTTAACTCGTGGGTTTAGTTCATAGTTTGAAAGAGGTAATCATTCGGATGTAGTATTGAGACTAAGCGCTTATCCTTCACAGACGATGCTCCTCGAATGCATGGACTATCAGCACTTGACAAAAGTAAATTTGTCCCCCTCCGTCTGTTCAGTGCTAATGGTATTTCTTAGGATCGATCGCTTGGTAACGTTGAGCTGCGAGTTTCAGAGCTGGCTAAGGAATCGAGCGACCGGCAGTATCCCTTCGAGTCCACGGGCCGAAAGACAGCGATAGACCCAATACGTCTGGACAAGAGCAATGCTCACAAGGGCCAACTGCACTACTCCGCCGAGTTCATACCTACTCTTGCTCTCGAGGGTGTTAAATTCGATGCATCCGGCAATGAGTTACAACGAGCTGTGGGACAGGAGGATCCCGATGGCGCAGACGTTCATTCCTCATCGTCTTCATCTTCGTCCTCCGTTTCTGGTGAAGAGGGCATATCAATGGTGCCGACCATCGTCGAGCCTTCTCGCAGCGAAAAGGCCGCAACAAATGGAACTGTGACACCAGAAGAGCAGCAGGCAGAAGAGCCGAAAGGCGTCAAACTAAGCGTCGACGAATTACTCACCCATCGTACGAGCCTTGATCATCTACTTGTCGGCTACTGACGAGAAATCATTAGAATCTGGTGTCATCGTCTTCAACGTGATCTCTGGCAAGCTAGCCAAAAAGGCTCGATTGGAGGTCCTCCTTGACGATGGCTACTGGCCGTGCTTCAGCACCGTCCGTGCCAGGTCTAATAATGCTCAATGGGAAACGGTTGGTGAAGGATTCGTCAAGGAACTTGATTTTGGGCGTGTTTGGCTGAGGCTGAACGATGCTGATGACGGCGCCAAGGACAACATTGTGGCTGAGTGGAAGGGTGACTCCAAGGCATTCCTCCAATCGACGCTGGTTCGTTGTTTTCCACTGTCGTCATTTTTGCCATCTCACTGTCCAAATCCAGTCTGGCCCTCAGGAATTCACCCTTCAATCGGAACAATTGACAACGTCGACGGTGATGATTGAGTCTCGATATGTTCCCGCTCCTGTCCACCTGGAACCTCGAGAGAGCATCAACAGTGGGTTCACATATACTTCTGACTCCTTGGAATCTTACACGCCATAAGACCAAGGTATCCTCCGTGTTGATCTATTGGATGGAGGGGAAATCCGTGGTGTTGATCGCTCTGGTAAGCTCTCTACTTCAAGCTCGATATTTTTCTCAGCGTATCCTAGGAAAATCGGATCCGTTTGCGGTCTTCTCCCTGAACAAGAACAAAGTCTTCAAATCGCAAACCAAGAAGAAGACTCTGACGCCAGTCTGGAACGAAAATTTCACGACCTCGGTGGTATGTTTTCGATGCTGAGCGTATTTCGTGATATTCACCCTGCTCAGCCTTCACGGGTCGCCGCGGATTTCTCTGTCGAAGTTTTCGACTGGAATCAGATAGGGACTGCCGAAACTTTGGGAGTGGCCCAAATTCCTTTGGATGATCTCGAACCATTCGAATCCACTGAGCGCACGTTGGACCTGGTTTCTTCCAAGGGTCAACATGGTTTCATTCGCGTACGCCTGATGTTCCAGCCAGAAATTATCGCGAAATCGCGCAAAAGCACGTCGACCTTCTCGACAGCAGGGCGGGCGATGACTCAATTTGGCGGAATCCCAGTCAACGCTGGAAAGGGCGTTCTGCATGGCGTGACTGGTGTCTTCAAGAAAGGGAAAGATGATGATGTTCCTCCAGTACCTACTCTCAGCGCACCATCTGGTCAAGCTTCGCACCCAGTTGGGCAAAACGACGAACTCCATCCCGATATGTCGATCATGTCACATGACAATCCACCATCCAGTGAACCTGGTACCCTTCGTGTCACCGTCTTGGATGCAAAGGATTTATCAAGCGGCGATACTAAACCTTACGCCACGATTCGTGTCGGCGACAAGGAATTCAAAACGAAACCTACCCCCAAAACTGCTTCCCCAGAGTGGAACGAAACTTTCGCGTTTGTAGCTGGCAGTTTCACGCCACGATTATATATCTGGATTCACGACCACAAGACTCTTGGGAAGGACAAACTGCTCGGTGAGGGTGAAATTGATGTAGGTGCTGTTTCCCTAGTTGTTGCCTAACGCTCATATTGGTATAGATTTGGAGACACATACAACCGCAAGGGTTGACGGCGGCTGATGTTTCGACAGAGCTTCAAGGTAGTGGTTTAGTGCGGGTGCGCCTCGAATATGACGCGAATGGGCCACCATCGGGTGGTGCTTCAACACCTCGAGGTGAGAATGGACGGACAATGTCGATGTCGTCCCCTTCGCGGTTCAGCTTGCGCGGCCGCAGACCCGGAACGGCAGAATCGGATGACTGAAAAAACAACTTGCACTGTGGACATTTGCCTCAGCAATGGACTCAAAATTGCTACGACTCACCTAATATCCTAAAGTACTTCGTTATTGCTTGTATTACTATGAAACACCGCTGTTTTAACTGCCAATGTTTTGCTGAACCGGATGACGGAAAGATGTTCTCCTCCAGCTCTGCGACGTAGAACAACCTGGACCAGTTCTTCTCTTTCGAAGCAAAAGGAAAACAGTACACTTGCCTGGCTTTCCAGACCATAAATGTCCTTCATTCGTTGCTGCATTGCCACTATGTTGTTCTGTGTGACTGCGACTAGATAAAAGTGGCCTCCTGGCGCTAGCAGTGCCTAAAATTGATCGTCATAGAGGTCATGGAACGAGTCAGCGACCGCGTACAGAAACGTGAGGCAGGAAAACATTGGTAATCTCCATCCCATCCTTGCCGCCTGCCCAGGCTCCACCGATTCCACGATCCGCCTGAGCAGTCCAAGCCTCATCGGCAACAGTCGGTACATAGGGAGGGTTGAAGATGATGATATCGACGGCGTTTTGGAGACGCCATAGAAGCGGGTCTGCAAGAGAGGCGTTGACGAGGTTGAGCGGGATCTGGTAGAAGTTGGTGTCTTTCAAGGTTTACTTGCGGGTCACGTCCTTACCTTATTCTGGAGTCCAGTTGCAACACTACAAGAGCAGGCATGTGGATTGATATCGGTACATAGGAACAGAGCTTCAGACGAGCCGAGAATGCTACCGAGGAAAGTCGAGACACAACCAGACCCCGAGCTGAATGCGATGATAATGAATGAGGGTTGGTTGGAGAAAACAGTGGCTTTTGTGCTAACCCGATTTCAAGGCATAATCGCGGACGCAGCTGTTTCAACGTGTCTGAATCTGATTCTAAGGCATCTAAGAGGATGAATGTGTCCTCAGCAGGTTCATAGACAGTCTCATAGTCTGAAGCTTTGAGATGGCTGAGGTCTGGTGTGGGAATCATCGCGGTCACGAGTCAAGTGGCGAACGACGCGTAAACAAACCTATATCAATACTGCCTCGTTGGTAACATGCGGAAAGCACAGTAAATACCCCAGCCAGTTCCACCCATGTCCGAAGAGACGTTCTTGGCCCCTTGTACCAAAACTACGGCAGAACGAAGCGTCTTTCAATCAACGGGCATCCTGAAAGTCATCATCCAATCAGCTCATATCGATTCTGGCGTCAGGTGGTGTCTTCAGCCACCAAGCCCTTTCGTTGTCGTGCAGGGAGGGTTCGTCTTCCAAAGAACGAAGACGCGAGATCACACGTATGAGCCTATTCTGCCATGAGAGTTAGTATTGATCAGTATCTAGATACGATCCTAGCTGGCTAGAGGAAACTTTGTTTCTACTTGTGAGTTCGGCGGACGAGAATGTCAAGCTCAAGGTGTACGATGCGCACAGACACTGGAAAAATCGATTGCTTGGGGTCGCGGTGCTTAGAGGAGGGACACTTGACACACAGCTGGCTCTGCTAAGAAGAGGGCAGAAAGTGGGAGATCTGTCATGCTCAGCCTTTTATTATCCAGCGGAAGCCGCAGACGATGGAAGTGGTATGTGGTTCAGAAAAGCATTCGTCGTGACTGGGTTGAATAATAGGCGACAGAGACGGGAATCGCGAGACTGACTCTTCATCGCGTTGAAGGCTTGGCACAGCCACCAGTGGCTAACGGATGCAACGCTTTTGGATTGCCAGCAACGAAGCTGAGAGCATTAGTTCGTCTGGATTGGGATGAGCGGCCAATATTCGCCACTAAGAAGGTTGTGTTGAAGGATGGCGTCGCAGCGTGGGAGTTGGCCCATGAGTTCCTATGTCGCAAGAGCTCGACATGCAAGGTAAACATCGAGGTTTGGAATGAAACCAGGGGCGAGCAGGTTGGGCTTGTCCATATCGGGCTAATGGAGATGGTTGAAGCAGAGCGAGCAAGTTGGCCGTTGGCAGGAACATCGGTGGCCACAGTCAAAGCGTCGGCCGAGTGGCGCCGCGTCACACTGTGACATAAAACCTTACGTGGTTGTTGTCTCTTGGACTACTGTGGTGAATACAAGTCTTTGTGAATTCGAAGCGCGTCATGGTGTCAACGGATGTCTCTGAACACGATATCACTTGCTTCCAACGCTTCCAATCGCTCCAGGCACTGGCTTTTCCCGATTTTCATGCGATTTCGTCAGTCGAAGCACCATAGAATGGCAGCTCTCCATAAATAACGACCATCTCATGACTTTGCTTAGCTTGCTCCTTCCCTTCTAACGTCTCCCAATGCCATCTCAACCCTCTCCTCGTTCAGTTTATTCGGTTCCTCGCCTTTGATTCTCCTGCTCAATTCTGCTTTGGCAATATAGGCGATGCAGCTCAGTAAGTTCCAGAAGGCGAATTCTCACTAACTTAGTACTTACACACACCCCACTCATAGGTTTCAAGGCGGCGATGTCGCCTTCATCCTCGTCGGTATGTGGACTAAAAGCTAACAAAGCTGAATCAACTGAAGACCAGCTGTTAGCTGGCATCCTAGTGTTGTTCATGGTCCCTGGTTTAGGTCCGTGTGCCAGTGTCTGGCGATGTTGGTAAGATTCATGGCGTAACGAGCCTTGCAGCATTCCTGTATTCCGGGCTGGTGAGACGTAAGAGCGCGCGTGAGTGTTTCTATTGATTCAACTGTTGACATTGATGTTCTCCAGTTGGTCTCATATGGGTCGTTTCTGGTGCCAATGCCGTTACCATTTTTCAATGGTAGACACCTCGCTCACGTCGTTATTGCCTGAAACACGATCCAAGGTTCTTCTGGGGCTACTCGTTGGCGTTTTCGTCCAGCGCGACCAATGGATTCATTGGTGATCTGAAAAATTTCGGTCTGCGAAAAGTGTTGGGGGATCCTTCACCTGGTTCCCCGGTTAGCAAGCATCCTCTCAATTCCGTGTGGTGCTAACTTGGATTAGCTCATTCCAGAGCTTCTCTATGCTTTCTTTCAAATGGAATTTGCGTGTGTCACAGCTGCGATCCTTATGGGCGGCTTTGCAGAGCGTTCTCGGATCCTGCCCGCGATGGTCATCACGTTTCTTTGGGTAACACTCGGTATGTTACCCGCACTTCATGTTGCACTTGCCAGTCCTCAACCGTAGTATATAGTCTATTGTCCAGTGGCTTGCTGGCAAGTAAAGACTCCTATAACTGTGTTACAGGACTCATTCATTCATCTAGGGCTTGGTCAACCAACGGATGGGCTTTTAAGTGGGGCGTCCTCGATTTTGCAGGTGCGGGTTGAACGGAGCTGATCTAAGCAGGGATGAATTTTGTTGGTAGGCGGAGGACCAGTCGAAATCGGAAGTGGTGTTGGCGGCCTCGCGCTTGCTTGGGTCCTCGGACGCAGAGGCAAAAATGAGCTGCTGCATTTCCGCCCGCATAACGTGTCGATGGTCAATCTAGGCACCTTCATCCTCCTGTTTGGATGGCTTGGGTTCAATGGAGGTTTGAAGTTTAATTACCGATCAGGCGAGATCATTAATGTCTATGTAGGCTCTGCCTTTGGCGCAAATCTCCGCGCCATCACGGCGATATGGAACTCGTTGCTTGCCGCATCGTTTGGAGGAATGACCTGGGTGCTACTTGACTTTAGGCTGGAGAGAAGATGGAGCATGGTCGCTTTGTGTTCCGGTGAGTTAAACTCAATATGGAAGAGTTCGAATCGATGACGAGGAACTATAGGTACCATTGCGGGTCTTGTGGCAGCAACACCATCAAGGTGGACTGCATCAATTATACTTGGGTGACAAAACACTTATTTTCGATAAGCGGGTTTGTCCCACCTTGGGCTAGCATCGTAGTGGGGATTCTATCTGGAGCGTTGTGCAATTTCGCAACCCAGCGCAAGTGGCGTTTTATGTCCTTATAAACTGAGCTCATACCGTTCTAGTCAAGTTCCTGCTGGGCATAGACGGTGAGGTATGGAGTATAACCGGAAATGTCCCTGATGCCGAATAGACAGTCTTGATCTGGCTGCTGAGCATGCTGTAGGCGGTAAGTTTCGACTATCCTGCACCGACTAATTTGAGTTGAGTTCCAAACTTAGGAATTGTTGGTCTGTTGTGCAATGGCCTTTTCGCATCAGCTGATGTCATCGCTCTGGACGGAATCAACACGTCCGTTCCGGGTGGATGGATCGACCGCAACTTCAAGCAGCTGTACATCCAACTTGCTTATGTCGTCGCCTGTTCAGCGTATGTCTTCGTTATGACGGCAGTGATTGTCAAGGCGGTTGATATGGCGGGGTTGAAGCTGAGGCTGACACCAGAAGAAGAGAAGCTGGGCATGGATGAAGTGGAGATCGGCGAATTCGCCAGCGACTACATCGAAATCAGAAGAGATCTCATGGATGATCCGTCGTTTGCGTCACAACAGTCACAGGAGAGGGCTGCGCCAGTTGCAGCGGGCGACAGGCATGCTGCCCCAGACCTCGACATGGCGTCTGACCAACAAAGCGGGGAGCAATCGGAGTCAGATGGGCGGGCAGCGGTCGATGAGAAAATGGAATAAATTCAGTCAAGCAATGCAAACAAAACACGATTAAAAAGCAAAAGGCTAACCCTGCCAGTGTTTGTACAGATTATCTAGTTTGTGTCGTTAACAGTCCCAGCCATAAACATAGTCGTCCGCATCTTTGATTACGTCAGTAGCACCGCAGATAGATGCATTGAAGTGCTCCGCCAGCAGTTGGTCGACTATATTCCGAGAAGAGATAGTCTCTGTTTCCATCGTGCTGATGAACCTGGACGCAAGGTAAGTTTGTGATGAACAGTCACCCAAGATGGAATTACGGCTCGAAGGAGTTGGCATAATATAACCCTGGGGCCAACTTGACCTCAGGGAACGTCGAAGTGGGTGGAAGGACGGGATATGCATCCCACTTGAAGGTGTCAATACCTTTTGTGACTGAGAGTATGTTGATCGTACCTCTTTTCGATGTACCCACCCGACCTGGCCATTGAACATCGTGTTAAGCCAGTCGTCTGTGATGCGCTGCTTGGAAAAGATCTTCACGACCCATTCTTCGTCGGAAATCTTGCCGTGATACGACAGCGAGTTGAATTCCGGTGTCTTTCCTCCATTCCGTGCACCTTCATAGGTGGTGAGTAACATTGCCGGGATCTTCGTCGAAGAAGGTAGGCCAAGCGATTCCGCAGGTAAACTCGCAAGCGTTGTGCTCAAGAGAGTTACGTGCAGGTGAACATAGGGTTGCACGGGTATTTTTATCTCCGCTGGCAGTTGAATATTTGACGAGTGCCACGGCGCCCCAAGAATGACAGCAGTGTAAGTTTCGGAACCTCGGTCGCTGACAACTTTCCATTTGCCCGACCTCGGAGCAATTGATTTAACCTGGGACTGTTACAGAGAGAAGGACACAACCCAAATTTCCTCACCGTCGTGTTTAGATAGAGATTTGCTCCGGATCGATTCAAGAATTGCTCGAAAACTTGGTAGTTGCCGCCTTGAACACCACTGAACATGTCGTGAACCATTTATTTTTCCTCTCTGACGACTGGAACTTACACAGCTCCGGTAGGAGCAAGTGAACAAGCGCCTTCTAGCGCATGTATCTCATCCGCATTCTGAATAATATTTGGTTGATTGGTCATGAGTAACTGAGACCATCATACGCACTTGTCCGTAGTTGACACGAGTAGATGCCTCTACCAGTTCTGAAATGAACTTGTCGCTTACTCCTTCCGCCTTGAGCCATTCCACAGTATTTCGTGAGACCAACGAATCCCAGTCTAGAGCGGTAGCCAAATCTTCGATTTTTGACCATTTTGGTGTTTGGGAGGAGTATAGGGTCAAAAACTTGGCCACCATTCCATCGACGGCCTTTTGAGTTCGTCTGGGAGAGTGGAAGCCATATCGTAACAAAGCCTTCGCCGCGTCCCAGTAAGACCACCAGCCGCCAGTCGTCTGTCAACAGGTCCGGGCTCGTTCGGGAGTCTAGACTAATAGAAAAACGCACCGTAAATAATAATTTTTCTCCGTCCCAGATTCCCAGACCCTCTTCATCTTGGAAATCGCGCCGAGTAAGGTTGAACTCGTCCACAGCTCGCCACATATTGCGATTTTTGGGAATGAAAATGGAGGCACCGAGCTCGACAGCTGGAAGGGTTGGATTGCCATACGGGTATACCACAGTGCCTAAGAAAGTTGTCAGAGACAGTCAGTAAGGTCAAAGTCAAACGTCGACATACTCCCTATGAGAAGAGGAGTCAACGAATGGTATGGATGGAAGTAGCAGAGACTTACGACCGCCGACATAAGAGGCTTGCTCGAACACATCTACCGCATCTATGGGTATAGAGAATCGCTCTTGAGCCTTCGATATCCAGTAGGCAGCCGATGAACCAGCTGCGCCAGCACCGATGATTGCAATACGCGTTTCTGAGTTTGTAGGAAGTTGGAATTCTTGCTTGTTCGATTGGAAGAATGGGATTTTGAACGGCAGCTGGAAAGCTGCGGCATTTGCAGCAGGTAGCGCTGCAAGAAAAGGGGTCAGACGCATATCCAGTGAAGGTTGATGTCAGGAAGCGCTCGTCAGCAAATTGATGACGAAGCGGGTTTAGCTTCCGTTTTTGATATGGGCTACTAATTCAATATATCTTGGCGGTCTGTTCTTACCACTTAACTCTACCATGCCAGCTCAAGTCCCCAAATCGCCCCCTCTCATTTTTGGAATACCTTCAGAGGTTCTCCAAGAAATCCTTCTCCTTTGCCATCCTCGCGATGTCGCTGCCTTTTGCGGAACTTGCCAAAGTGGTGGAGACCGAGGGATGGACCAATACCTATGGCGCCAGCTTTTCCTCGGTTTATTCGATGTCCCCCCCAACGTGGACTCCTGTCGTTGGCGATGCGAGCTATCCGCCCGTATGAAAGCGGAACGAGATGTCTGTAGAGCAGGCCGACAAGATGCGGGACTCTCGGAGGCTGACCTGCGAGCAGCGCTGGAAACTCTTGTCATCGTCGCTGCTCAGATATCAGACGCAAACGACTCGACCGACTCTTTGCCTAGTCGTAACGCGGAATGGCTGAATAATGTCTTGCACAAGTCTCGCATTCTTGATACACCGTCAAGCCTTTCCAAGGACTGCCAATATGTGGACCGTTTAAGGACGTATATGGCCCTATCGCTCCATGAAAACGACGACGAGAGTATTCGTCGCATACGCACCCAGTCAAGATGCTTCATCTACGACCTGAGAAACTACCACGAAGCCAACAGCTGGGGTCCTTATCTCGGGGACAAAATTAACTGGACACATCTCAACTATGTTGTCAACGTTATCGTGACCAATTTGCGAGAGCAACCAGCTCTCAATCTCCCCATCCCACCTCATGGACTCGCCGCTACCCGCGCCTACTCAGCTCCAGGCAGCAGATCACCCGAAGACTGGGCCGGTGTCGAGGGTGAGGTTGATTCCGGCCATCATGCGTTTCAGTTCACATCCTCCCAGGAACATGGCATCGATACGTCTCGTTTATGGACTACCGGTAAAGCTGCTGCCTTGCTCCCATTTACTCGTGGCTCACACAAAGTGTTTCGTCTAGTGATTTGTTCGGTCAGTATCTGCCCGATCACAAAAAAATCGCGCTCACGTGCTTCCACCTCGGTCTTCAGCCTTCAATGTACGTGAACAGACCGACCTAATTCTTTCGCCTATTCACATGCGGTCTAGTTTGGTGGAATCCTCGCCAATCATCGCGACCCTGCTTTCTTCGATAACCTGCATTTCCGGGAGGCAACACGCCTGATCGAACTGACTCTGCATCTCATACCGCGCGAAGAAATGCGGATTAAATTCTCCACCAACGACCCTCCCGTCGCAACACACCCAGATTACCCGACGCTTTACTTCTCTGGAACCTCACGGGGTATCTCCATGCTTCATCTCCAACCAACAGTCCAGGGGCTTGTTTATATGGATCTCGATGGTATTCCTCGGTGGAAATTTGTTCGTGTCTTGTTTCCTTTTGACCTCTTTTGGCTTACCTCTTCATGCATGCTGATAAGACGTCAATGCAATCAAGTACCCCGCAGTGGAGTTCCGAAGGTGTTCAACTAGGCAAACCAGGCAGTCAAATGGGTTTGGCCGGGGTATGGTCGGCGTTTGGACACGATCGCGATGATCCAGCAGGGTAAGCAGCAATCTTGGCGCCTTGCGGTGTGCTTATGGTGATTTGAAGACCCTTCTGGGCATGGAAAGTCAGTTCAGATTGAGGAACTTAGCAGTCACGTCGTGTTCCAAGCCCTATGCATATATTGTATTCTTACAGCAAATAATCACTACAAATATTTCTTTCACAAAGCTTTGCTGAAGAATTGAGCTAGTCGTGTGTAGAGATCCTCAAACCTAAGCGCGTCCATGTCAAGGGGAATCAATCAGCCGTGGAGCACATATACTTACTGCTCTTTGTTGTCCGGCTTGTTCAGATCAGCCCGAGCGGCGGCCTGAGAAGTTGAGAAACTGCAGTAAATGAACCATCAAACATACCCATCCATGATGCCTAACAAAGGAGATCAACGAACGAAGGCCGAACGAACGAAGCACGCACATGTTCGCATAGAGCTTGTTGTCGCAACGACTAGCGAAGGGTTTCGAAGCCAAAGAATTCACGATTTTGACGTACTTGTGGCTTTAGTAAACGGACCACAAACAAACGAAAGCAAAGCACCTCGTCAACTGGCTCATCCTTGGAAGGGTAGATTCCCAGGGGCACAGTCAATTTTTCGGCGTCGCCAACGGACATCATGCTAGAGTAACGGTCAAGGTGTCAACTGACAGCAAGACACTGGTGACTTACGCGGGGTGAACAATGGAAACAGCATCAAACGGAGTGGAAGCACCACCCGATACCAATGTCACTTTGCCTCCCCAACAGAAGCCATATGCGCCAACCTTTGCCGCACCGTTAGATTTAAGATGCTGACCGAATGCGGTTAGCTTTTCGACAGCAGCGGGTGGACTGGCGGTTCCTCCGAAGAAATCTTGAAGCGCTTTCTTGCCCTCATCAGTAGTTGGCGGAAAGTTTTCAGAGGGAAACGGTTCGTTGGGCTCAAAGAAGTCCGGCATATAAACTGTGACATTCAGGCTAGACGCCAGCATGTCCGCTCCCTGCTCTGTCTGAGGGAAGTATCTGGGCTTGATCTCAGCTATCTATGGGCCGTGGGAAACTGTAGGATACCCAAAGATATCGTAAACGCAGACGAGTGCATTGGTGGCGGAGTTCGATTCTCCAGTCACGTATACTTTTTTAAAGTCTCCGACAGATTTGAATGTGCCTTGGAGAAGTCAAAAGTCAAGTCGTTACCTTGTCAGAACGCGAATCTGTGCTTACCCTTCGGAGTATAGGCAGATTCAACTGGGGGAACTGAGCAACAAGCTTTATTGGTATTGTGGACGGTGTGAGTAGACATTTGGCCTCTTAGATGACGATTCAATAGACCTAGGCGGACTCTGGCTTGCGATCTTGAATGAGAATCGAGGTGGATGTTGTGGGACTCACCAAGCATCCAAAGATAATGACGTCACGCGTGACAGAGGCTATAAAAGAACGATCAACCATCAACACCTGCCAACATTTTTCTTCTTCCTACACCGACCGCTTGAGCGGAACTCATCTTCGCCTCCACGACGACGGGTACTCTGGCTGTAGGACAGACGGAAGTTGGGCTCAATTAAGCCGGAGCGCCTTCCAGCGACGCAACGCGTGCAAGGGAAGCTGCTTGACTATGAAGCCCCGACATTTCACCCATATTTGGAAGACTATCCTACATACATAAATTTAACCATAAATCATTCTACCTACGGTGTCTGCGAGAGAGAACTGTGCTGAATAACAGGTATAGCACGGCGACAATAAACTCCAAAGCAATGCCCAAAATGGCATAGTAAATCCATTTGCCTGTAACAGGGTGGAACATGGCTAAATTCCGGTTTTTGGATGGTAAGAGTCCGAATAGGTCTTGAGCAGAAAAAGCAGTGAGGATCTCGTAGGCAACGCGTGCACCCAAGACAGGAAGAGCGAGTAGGACGCCATAAAGTAGCTGGAATGTCCGATCAGAGCAGACTTGAATAGACTGTGGGTACACGCACTCGTCTGCGAAAACTCCGCATTTCGTATCGGTCATCCCAACACCGAATATGAATCCAAATGAAAGCGACATAGACTGCGCCATGGAGAGCGGCCCCCGTCTTGCGTAGAATGTCGCCAATGTGACCTTGTGTTGGCGCGAGATGGGTCCCCAAAATACCACCCGCAATGGTCAGACCCAGTGCGATCACCAGAAATACCGCAATGGCACTATATTCCCATTAATTGAATGGTAGGCAACGGTATCAAAGGCCACGGACCGCTGCAAATCGGTCAGAAAGGTTAATCTTGGAACAGACAACACATACAAACATCCGGGTCGTATAGAGATACTCGCTATAAGTGTGTTGACCACTGGCAAGTGTCAGAACAAGAAATGGGCGAGTGCACCACGAACGCAAGGCCAAGGAAACCCAATGTCGAGAGCATAAGTGGTGCAAGTCCGCCATGGAAGAGGATATAGGCAGCAATGTACATATCTGAAGGAGTTTGGTTTGGCGGAGCCGAAGCGGTAATGGCCACATACCTTGCTTGGGGTTTTTCATCACCTCAGCCGCAATAATTAGTGCTCCCCCAGCGATTCGGACTAGAACAGTCACAAGAAAGCAGCGAAAGTATATTTTTCGTACCAAGTGAGAAAATCATGAGGAAAATCCATCCTGCATCTCGGCGGAGGGCATATCGGATTGTCAAGTAGAGAGATACTGCTGCAATCGGGGTATAAGCGCCCAATTGTGCTGCCGCGATGATTCCTAACTCAGATTTGAGCATTTTCCATCCAGATTCGGTTAGATAGGCTCACCTCGCGTGTCAAGAGAGGGCATAGGTCGTTAGAAGCGTAAATCTCGTCAAGGCGCGCAGAAAAGCGAACCACGCGTGACCGCAAGCAGTGATCGTGCATCTTGATCCCGGCTGTCAAAAAGCTCTTCCGTCCGACCCTGATGTCCGTCAAGCAATTGCTAGGCTTTCCCAAGTCGAATGGCTTTAGTGCCCTGCCTTCCTCCATAGCTGAGCCATCATCAGCGACAGGCGCGACACGGGCTCGTGAACCTACTCGAATTCGAGCATCTGGACCAGAAGCACCCATTGCTAAGCCTCCTCCGGATGCTCGAAATTTCGTGCGACGTGTCCTTGAAGGAGAAACCACCAGATTCACCTACGAAAGTGCCTATGGTGCTTGCTTCTACTCCGTCTGCGTTGAAGATAACGGAGCCCAGCTCTATCAGAGAGTGAAAGAAGAGTTAAACAGAACAACTACACAACTCAGAGGGGACATATACGCGATGGAAGCGCCAAAAGATGCAGACGACGCAGAGAAATGGATCGCAAAATTCGTGGACAAGTGCACTTCATTCGAGAAACAAGTTGTGAGTGCACCGGCTTTGACCGTTATCACTAATGCCGAGGCTTCCCAGGCTTTGCTGCAGTCCTTATTCACGCATCTTGATCAAGTATATGCTCGACGCACTCAGAATGCCTCTATCCGGTATGTCCCCAGTCACTAGACCCAACCCTTGACCAACTCTTGTTTGATGAGCGAGGTCGCATTCTCTTCCTTCTCCAATTCAATATTCACGGAACGAAGAATGGTAGAAGCCCTTCATAACTCCGTCCGTATTCTCGTCAATGCGGACCGCGAAGTTGGGTCAGTACCTCCTCTGCCAGTTTGCGCAACGCGTCTTAATTGACATGCACACAGCTCCAAAAAGACAGACCGCATACCCGCTCTAATCGGCCATCTCCGTACGCATAAGCAATTCTCGTCCTTTGAAATACGCTATCGTGACGCGGCATGGGATTTCTATGAGAAGGATTCCGAAGAATTTAGGAAAAAGCATAAAGACGAACCAAAACTGTTCTTTGAGCATGTCCGAACACAACTAAAGAACGAAGTGGACCGTTCAGAGAAGCTTCTTCCTTTGGGGAGCTGGAATATGGTGCGGGAGGCAGCCCTCAAGGCCATGCTATCCGGGAAGATGGTATGGATTGCGGAGGGAGGTAAGTGAAAGATCTACCCCGGTTTAGTTTTTCATATTTTCGCTAGCACTGGGAAGCTATCTTGATGCGCAGGATTTCGAAAATCTGAAGCTGATGAACGAGTTCTTCTCAGTTGCGGACGGTTCCAAGCTTATGTGTGACGCCTTCAAATCTTACATCTTGGTCAGCAGCAGCCTAGCTCTGCCATGTTAAACTCATTGACGCCATAGAAATCCGTTCAAGCCATCGTGAGAAACCAAACAGAAGATGACAAGATGGTCGAGCGATTGCTCAAGTTACATTCACTCGCAAATAAGGCCATCCAACAATGTTTTATCGAAGTCCCCCTTCGGGTTACCCAAGCTGATACAGATGTCCAATCCACAAGCTCTGTACCAGCGACGCGTCCGAAACAAGATTTCGTTTACGCCTTGGCCGATGCCTTCCAAATGGGATTCAGAGCACGGCGCAACAAGCCCGCGGAAATGATTGCTCGCTATCTCGACAAGCTTATGCGAAAAGGACAAGGGTCGCAGTCTAATGCTCAATACGAAGCACAGTTGGATCACGTTCTCGGTCTATATCGCTACACTGACGACAAAGACGTATTCAGAGGTTTCTATTTGCGGGCCCTGTCTAAACGTCTACTGCTTGAGAAGCATGCCTCCACTGATTTCGAGATTGCGGTGCTGAACAAACTGAAGAAAGGTCTGGTGGCCATGCGTCCTCTGGTCCATTCTCTCACTCTTCGCAGAATATGATCCAGAGTTTAGTGCCGGCGCCGAGATGTTCAGCGATCTGACTCTGTCCAATGAACTAATTTCCGAGTATCATCGGAAGCTCCCACTGAAAGGCGACGGACGGAAGCTGAAGGTCATGGTGCTAAAACAAGGCGCATGGCCATATTCGCAACAACCGCAAGGAATCACGCTACCAGTTCAAGTTTGTTTTGCTTGATGTCTTGATTTTCGTTGAAAATGACTCTTGATTAGATGCAAGAACAGTTGAACAAATTCGAGCTGTTCTACAAAGCTAAACGTCAGTCGTTCTCTTGGGATATTTTTCTGATCACATTGTGACTGACGTTGACTATCCAGACAAGGGAAGGACACTTCACTGGCAGTCTAGCGTGTCTACCATGACGCTCGTTGGTCATTTTCAAGAGAAGAAAGAGCTCTCCGTCAGTTTGTTCCAAGGCACGATATTGCTACTGTTCAACGACACTTCCACGTTATCCCTCACCGACATTGCTGAAGCAACTGAACTTGGTTAGCATGCTTCTATGTCCCGAACTTCTTCTCATGGATATGTAGAGGATGGGCTCCTGCGTTTAACTCTGCAAAGCTTGGCCTGCGGAAAGAAGCGTGTTCTACGCAAAGAGCCCGTGGGCAAAGACATCAACGATGGCGACATTTTCCACTTCAATGAGAGGTTTACCGACCCGTCGTTGAAAGTCCATATCAACTCAATCCAAGCCAAAGTTTCGGTAGGTGTGAAGAACACTCCTTAACCTATCTAATGCATATATTATTAGGCTGAAGAATCAAAGCAAACCCAAAACGCGATTGACGGAGAACGGAATGCCTCGCTCGATGCTGCAATTGTGCGCATCATGAAGTCAAAAAAGGAGATTATGCACCCCGCGCTACTTACGGCTGTGATCGACGCTGTGAAGAGCCATTTTACACCAGATGTCTCGACTATCAAAGGGCGGATTGAAAAGCTGATTGAGCAGGAGTACATGAGGCGCGATGAGGTCCAGCAGCAAAAGTTCATCTATGTCGCGTAGTACTAGACCAATGTCGTAGCTATTTCAGAATAAGGCGTGTCTGATAACAATTTTATCATCATGGCGTGCTCAGAGACAAACCGGCGCTCAACCGAGCTGAACTGAGCCGGCTCGCTCGCTAGTGAATTCCGAATTGTGTCTTTCTTCGCTCCCATCGAAGATGACGGCGTGAGACCTTGGATAAAGGCGCGTCAATCCCGCTCCCAACTCCCGACGCGGTAATTTTGGGGAAAAACGCGTTACAGGCGACGAAAATACGCGTCGTTCTTACCGGGCCGGTGACTCAATGAATAGCAAATTCAATAGTGGCCGGGTCGATTTTCGCCATCCGAGCTCGCAATTGCGCGCTCGCTGTGGTGAACAACCTTCTTCAAACCTTGTGCCGTACACCCACGCCTCTTATGCCTGGCAGCCTTCCTGCGGGAGTGCTACTTGATTCACTCACAAGTCAGGCTTACGACCCCAACGCTGAGCTCGACCGTTGGCAAAAACTTATATTTTCATTCGACATGGATCCGAACCAGCACAACAATCCAAAGCCAAACCCCAACCCGAACCAGAAGACCAGACAGTCAGCAGACGGTTAGTGAGCAAAGACAGCAGGAATTTAGTTAATTCTGACGCGTCCATCGCGGTAGATATTCAGACAGCCGCATTGCTAAACCAACTCGCCTCTACCTCGGACCTCTTTCCGCTCAACCCCGACTATGGAGCGGGACTACAACGACAGGGGCTATTCAACCCCCAGCAATTCATCTCTCCGATGAGTTTAGGGCCACAAGGATACGACCCTAGGACAGCTCATCCAATGTATCGCGGTTCCCCACTCCCATCGCCACAACTCCAGCCATATAATCCCCAAGCAATAGCTGATACCACGCGAGGAGCAAGAGCAGCGCCACCAGCCCATTCCCAACATGCCGGACCATCGACAGCCACAACAAGCAGCGCTGCCGATACCGATCGCGATTATGTCGACGACGACTACGAAGATAAACGGAGACGGAATACAGCCGCCTCAGGTAATTTTCCGCTTGTTTTCTCGACGATGAAAAACGAGCATCAACAGCCCGCTTTCGCATCAAGAAGAAAATGAGGGGTCTGGAGCTCGAGCGGTCGGTATCTGACTTGACTGGCCGCGCAGAAGAGCTGGAACGAGAGGCCGCTGATTTGCGACGAGAGAATGGTTGGCTTAAAGTGAGCAAATTTGCGTTGTTTTGGTTTGATTAATTGACGAAATACCTAGGAAATCGTGATGTTGAAGGGCGGTCATTTGTCAGGAATTGATTTATCCGGAGGGATGGCCCAGCAACGTTCACAGGAGAAGAGACGGGAAGAGGCCCAGGAAGAGTCGGAATCTGAGTCAGAGAAAGAGCATAGCGGGAAAGATAGAAAGGGCAAAGGCAAAGCATCCAGCAAGAAGAAGTGATCCTCTTGTCGGTAATTAGCATAGGTCGATACACGTTCAACCATGTTGGTGGTGGAATGTTCACTTTTTGGTCGCGTGACCGTCAGTCGACTCTCGACTGCTGAATCATCAGTGATGAGTTTCGGACGACCACCCTCTGTCAATGTGGGCTTCAAGCCTTCTCCGCCTGAACGTGGCGCCTTCCCTCTTGACCATGATGGTCCGCAAACATCACCCGACCTCTACCCTAGTTGCTCTGACGGTCGATAGGCGAATGCAAAGAGCAGATGATGCTCTACATGACTTGCCTCAAGGGTAACGCAAATAAATCAAGCCCTTGTCGCCCTCTCAGCAAGGACTATCTGGATTGCAGAATGAATAAGTCCGTAATTCTAAAGCTGCTTGCCGTTCAAGTGACCTAACCCACAGAGGCTTGATGGAACGGGACGAATGGCAAAACCTAGGTTTTCAACGCCCAGAATCGCAGAGCAAACCATCTCCGAGTCCTCCTCCAGACCCGAATAAACCGTCTACTACATAGCCACATAGTACCACATTCGCCGCGCAAACGTGTGCCCCAATAGCACGTTCGTCGACGTCACTCCTGTTCCATAACACTTTTCCAGTCCGCAAAGATTGCACCGGGAATAATCAAATTCGTGTCAAAGGAGCTTTCTATCCGCAACTGAGAGGAGCTTTGGACTGATTAAGTTGTTTTTTATGTGGGCGTCGAGCAACGTTCGTTGCGGTCATCGACAAACGAGGTCAGTTCCAATTAAAGCTTTGTTAACAACCAACTCCGAGCTCTTCCGGAGCATCCATGTTCCTATCCCTTCTCCTGTTGTCTCCCTCCCTTGTCCTAGCTGTCCTTCCCCTGCAACAGCAACCATTTTTGCGTCAATTGCCATTTGATGTCCAGGTAAGTTTTTGGAACCTGTGTGGGTGTTATTCTAATGCTGTCTCTAGGGCCACCGTGGCGGTCGAGGAAATGCGATAGAAAACACGCTACCCGGATTCGCGTGGTAAGATCGCAGCTTTATGTTGTCCGGTAATGCATCGTTGGGAAGGGGCCTCATCGACGGCGCCACAACCTTGGAGCTTGACAATGGAATAACTAAGGTGAGACAATCTCTGCAATGTTGTGGTAGTAGTACTAAAGAAATCCTACCAAGGATGGCGTAGTCGTAGTCTGGCACGACCAGCAAATTTTACCGGAAAAATGCTTGGATACTGCTCCCGCTGTGCGCTTTGTAATTCAAGTCCGTCATTCTATCTTACCGCAATGAAAGACACCTGGGGACCCATATTTCCCTTACGTCGGAAAGTTTCTCGTCGATCTCACGTTGGCACAACTCCAAACACTTGACTGTGGCTCTCAGCGACAAACGAACTACCGTTGGTTACCCGTGATTGTTAGCGTCTCAGATGTTAATGTTTATCAGCATTACAACTCACTTACCCCGGAACCAGGATCTCTACTCTCGAGGAGGTGTTCGCATTTGTGGAATGTGCTGATCCTGAACGCTCGATTCTGTATGTGACTTCCAGTGACAGTGAGGGGTCAACTCAACGTCCTCCAGTTGGAACATAGAGTCAAAGATCGACGCTGTCTTTCCCGAGAGGACGGCTAGTGTACAGACCTTCGTCACCAAACAGCATGAAATTTTCGCGAAAAGCTCATACAAGAATGCCATCACAGTCCGTGCTACTCCTTGGACTGCTTGCGTGTCGTTTTATTGTGTGTAGTTTCAGGGCTTTGATTGGAGATCGCTGGTGGCCATGAGGGTATCGTTGTGATTTTTTTAACTTACCGTTTCTAAAACACCTCAAGGAATTGGATCCACAAATCGTCACTTCTGCGTTGGCGGAATAGTAAGCAGCTGATGATTCCCTTTGAAGGTTCTTTCACCTGTGCAGTGAGACGACCGAGATGTATGGACAGGAAGTCTCTCCATGGTTAGCAGGCGTAGATCTCGCAGCATTCTCTGGATCGTTCGGTGTCAAACTCGCCCAGGCAGCCCACGCTATAAACGCAACAATTTTGAGTCCCAGCGCTTTCAAATCGAATCTTTCTTTGACAACCAAAGAAATGGTCGACCGCGCACATGAGCTGGGGATCCAAGTCAAACCTTGGACTGTCAGTCAGCCTCTTTTTTCACTTTTCCATGACTTGACGCGTTGCAGGTCAATTCGATGGATGTTGCTCAAGACTTGTTGGATTGGGGGATAGACGGGATGATTACAGACTACCCCAACATGGTGAGAAGATTTGTCCAGCAGCAAGGTCGAGTCGTAGCACCAAAGTACCCCAAACGGCGTGTGTTGAGCTGCCTAGAGAAGTACCTGTAGAAGAAATTAAGTAGAATAATTCTTTGGTCATGTTCGGAGCACACCGGCTGATTACATAATTTATCAAACTTTGTCGGCGTCGACCACCACGATGGCATATAATGGCCTGAAAAAAGCGGTTACACTCGCGCCAAGTGTGAGGACGCTTCCTTCTGGGGTCCCTGCTGCTCCTCTTCTCAATCTCTCTGCGCGAGCCCCCGCTGACCCTCATGCTCATGGTCATGGCGCAGTTGGACCCCGTTCTGACACTCCTCCTCGCTGGACTGGCGGCGTCTCCAACACATCTTCAGGTTTGGTGTCAAAAAGTTATATTACCCGTCCGTGTACCAGTTGTTATCCAAAGAATGCGGCTCACAATCCACTCTTAGTTTCTCCAACTACACCTTTTTCTGCCCGTTTCCTGCATACCACCCCCCGCTGTAAAAGAGGCACCAGAGGTCCCCGACTTTGGCCACTACCGCGCCAATGACAACGACTCCAACCGCGCCCTCTCATACTTCATGGTTGGAACTCTCGGTCTTGTTTCCGCTTCCGTAGCGAAATCCAGCGTTACCGAGTTCCTCAAGACAATGTCCGCGTCAGCCGATGTTCTTGCACTGGCCAAGGTCGAGATTGACCTGAACACGATTCCGGAGGGCAAGAATGTCGTCATCAAATGGCGTGGCAAACCCGTTTTCATCCGCCACCGCACCCAGAGCGAGATTGACGAGGCCCGCGAGGTCAACTGGCAGTCGCTTCGTGACCCTGAGAGCGACGACATGCGTGTCAAGAAGCCTGAATGGCTAATCATGCTTGGAGTCTGCACTCATCTGGGTTGTGTGCCTATTGGCGAGGCGGGAGACTACGGAGGATGGTTCTGTCCTTGCCATGGTTCTCACTATGACATTTGTGCGTCCTTTTGGACTACTTTTCGCTATTTCACTACTAATAACTGACATAGCTGGTCGTGCCCGCAAAGGGCCTGCACCTGTGAGCTTCTCTCTATTTTGATCTGTCAAGCATCCTTCTAATCAACCCTGCAGCTCAACCTCGAAATCCCGACGTACGAATTCAACGAGGCGGAAGGGAAGGTCATCATCGGATAGACATGCAGTAGACTAGAATAATAATATATTTTCGACTGCACACACAACCATCTCCGGCTGTGATCAACCCGTAACAACCGCTACTTCCCAGCAACTTCCATGTCGCCTCCTCCACCTCAGCAACTCTCTGTCGCGACCCTATTGAGCCTTGTCCAGCCCAGTGGAATCTATGCTCTTACATACGCGTTTATCTATGGCACGAGCGTCTGGCTCTCCTTCTTTGGAGGCGTAATCGCCTACAAAACACTGCCCAGAGCCCAGTTTAGTGCTCTGCAGCATAAAACCTTCCCCATCTACTTTGGGTTGAGCATTGGCGCCGGAAGTGCTTTGCTGGGTGCCTGGACCTGGGCGAATCCGCTTGTGTTGACACACTACACGAACCCGCTTGTGCCTGAGGTCGCCCAGGCGTATACTTTGGCCTTTGTGATCCTCATGCAGTCGGCCAATTACTTCGTCATCGGCCCCTTGACGAGCAAGTGAGTTGCATGTACTTTGGGTGTCTTCTTGGACTTACGCTGTCAAGGACGATGTTCCAGCGCATGAAGTTGGAGAAGGAGGAAGCCAAGACGGATGGGAGTGTAAGTGCAGAGATGAAGAAATTGAACAGTAGGTTCGGTATGCTCCATGGACTGAGCTCCCTGGCCAATCTTGGTGCAGTCCTTGCGTTGGGTGAGTTCATATTTTTATTTCAAGACAACGCGTAACCCTAAGCTAGGATTCCATGGCCTGTGGATTGGAAACTTGGCGAGCGTAAAACGCGTCTAAACTTGTTTGTTTGTTGTTGTTGTGTACACAAGCTATTTATATGCTTCGATTAAAGAAAGTACAAGTGAAGTGCGCCATCATGCGCCTACAGACTCCATTTCTGGCATATAGCCGTCTCTCAGACTCCGCTCGAGACGTCGCACCTCCTCCATTGAAGAGGCTTTCGCAATGGCCGCCTTGACCTTTTCTGCGTCCTCCTTGGACATCAATCGACCCGCTTTGCCCGGCATTGGCGCTGGTTTTGGTTCGTCTGTCGTGACGAGTGCTTTGGCTGATTGTGTAGACACCGTTGAGGCTATCGTCGTCGCAAGTGCTGTCGGCAAATCATCCGCTGTGACGAACAGAGCTTTGGCAGCTTGTCGCTCCTTGGATGCGAGCTAAGCCTTCAACAAGATGGGCATATGAGAGCGCACCTTGTCCCGAATCCTCTGGAAATCTAAAACTCTTAGCCCAGGAATTCTCCAGGCAAGCCACTCGCGGTACCATTTTTTTTCCCTTACGGGATTACCGAGTAGGGAGAGGTATTTGAGCTTGCGTAGCTCCTTCAACGGCTCCAGGTCACCGAGCTCGGCGAAATTATTGTTGGTGAGTACAAGAGTGGTGAGGTTGGGAATGGAGATATGGATGGATGGCGAAATATGCGAGATGTTGTTATTGGCAAGCAGAAGAGTGTACAGGCGCTTCAGGAGCGGGAAGTTGCCGAGAATGGCGATGGCATTGTCTGTAAAGTCGATGCAGTCGTGTTGGTCCTGGAAAAGGCGCGAAATTAGACACAAGTCGCGGTTGTTTCGATAAGTGGACAGACCCTAGTCACACCCAGATTCTCGATTGCAGGGATTTTGAATCCTGCACAGGTTGATTAGGGCAAGATTGCATGGAGAGCAAGACGATCTACCTCGTAGGTCGAGTTGTCGCTCTTTTGTGGGATTTATGAACGAGTTTGCCTGCGCGAGCAGCTCGGGCGTGAGCTTCATGAGGCGAAGAGCGTCACACTGTGACGCCCGCTTTGGAGATCATCCTCTGCAATGACCACTGGCTCTATCATGTTCAGCAAACCACCACAACTGCCGAAGCAGTTGGTTTCGCCGTCACCTCAAACTAGCCGCCGTACTCAAATACCCATGCGCCTCAGCAGATGCTTCACTAATTGGCATTGCATACTCTAGCGACTATAGCAATGGCCTTCCATTGTTACTTAATGATGTTTTTCGACTCCCACATGAGGTGAAGTGTGTCCAGCATTCTGTCCTTTTGGATCTCGTTATCTTACAAGGGAGTGGCTTGATCGCACTGGAGATCGATTCAAGCTAAACATCCGAAGCCTCATCCTAATATTTAACCCCACCTGCCCTCTCAGGTCACACTCAGTGCTTCTTTCCTTTCAACTACCACCTACCTCGGTGACCTTGCGTTCGACATGGAAGGCTACCCATTCTCGTCTTCTATGACTTGTCTGCTCTCCAAGTACACCTTGCTTTGCACTGTACGTGTTATCTTACAATGCCGTCGGCGCCACTGACTCCTTCATACCCGGACCAGTTTACTCTGTCGCAAGAGCACCGTGTCTGATGTTCGTGCTGAGCTACAATGTTGTCGCTGCGTGTAGCGTCGGGCTTGCACCAATTCACGACGTCATTTCCCTTGCTTGTTTGTTGCTTCGTTGATGATGCCGTCCCACTAATTTACCGTCAGTTATATTTGTGGCATGGTCCAACCAATCGTCCACTCTCATTGATGAGAAACAGCAAGTTGCGACCCCAGCCCCTTTTTTCTCAAGTGCGTCCGGTTCCGGCCCGAGCAACTAAGCAAATTTGGGAATGCGAGTTTGGTCCTTGGCCGTTGCCTGGTGCTTGTATTAACGGACCTCGCTCTCATCCATCCTTCATTTGTGCTCGGCACTGAGGCTTGCCAATGACTACGTGGGTGAACTATTGAGTTCATCGTCTGGCCTTCCGAGATGTGAGGCCCTCTAAGGCAACGCAGTGGGTCGCAAATTGTTCTGTTTCGTTATCCTTCACTAGTGGTACGATTCGGAATTGTTGGATATGTACCAGCTGTAGCAATGTACCAGTTTACAACGTTGTCAAAACTTATCTCAGGCTATTCGTGACAGTGCCAGTACCGACACAGGCGCCAAATAAGGTAGTGGTAGTCGGTGGCTTTTCGAGGTCAGTGCTCGGGTCACCTATATCTTGAGTGGTTTGGAGGAAATGTGTCTGTGTCAGACTGATGGCCAGTGATGGGAAACAACTCGGACTGGCAGTGGCCTCACACGATGCGGAAAGGGTGTGGACGGTGAAAAGCGGGCGGCGGTGGGCAAAGCGGCGGTGGTTGGACGAATGAAGCGCGTCGACGCGTAGGTCACACGAAGTCACACGTGGCGGTCAACAGGTCGAAAAATGGATATACATATGTATCAGGGCTCGGCCGAGTAATATGCGCGGAACCACTCCTTTATCCAGCGCCCCCTGGTTGGCTAGTAGCAATGCAGATTCAAGCATGTGTCCCACTACGCAAATGTTGTCTTATTTTTCCCCTTGTGGTGGATTGCCATAGTATTTGAGTGCATACTAGTCCCGATAATTGATTGTACAGTACCTTGTTGCTGATAGACGACTTGGTGGTCCCAATTTTGTGAACGCAGGGCGAGGAAGAGAAGTTGCGCTGGAGCTGATGGCCAAAGTATGGGGCGAATGGATCGAACGTGCCAGCGATAACTAGAGAATGTTTATTAGTATGATCCACAATCAATCTTAGAGCATACTGGGTTGCGGGACTCGCCCCAGTGGAATACCAACACAAACGACAGAATTGTTTGATGTCGAGTCTGTTGTTGAATCAGTGAGATACTGTAGTTGTTGAATAATGACTAACCATCTGTCGATTCCACACACTCCTTGGCATTTTCAACGTTGTGCTTGCCCTGAACATTGTCTATAGGAAGTATCATCAAACGCGACAAAAAGACTAAGAGGCAACGTACCCCCAGCATCTACTTCCCGCATTGCCTCCCGTTGCAATAGATCAAGCTCGCCACACGGTTAACGATGAGAAATTCACGAACTCGGAGACGAGACTTGGAATTACGGAGGGGAGAAGCATCTTCAAAATAGTTCCGAGGTCTGTATTGAGGCGGTCTCTCCTGACCTGATCAACCAGATTGCTGGCGGCGATGCTGGCGTAGATGGGAATGCAACTCGAGAGAGCCGTCGGGCCTATGACGCGAGGCGGCCACAAACCAGTCCGCTCAACGAGCCGAGTGATGCTGCTTCCTCCATCGATTGCAGCGAGTAGCTCCGCCGTTACTTCGTTCGACGTGAACGCGTCTACGAGTAGCTGGCATGTAAAGTAGGCGATGTCATCAGAACAGAACAGCGTCACTCACCGAGATCTCGCCCAACTCCAGCGTCCCTTATTTCCAACTGGGCAAGTATGTCCGGAACGAGCTGGGTCAACACCTGACGTCCCCGTCTCGCCAACGCCTCTTCTTCAGCACGGTGGCCGATACGCGCTTTGACCCACTGGGAAGGGGTGGCGCGAGTCAAGCGGCAGAGAAACAAAGTCGAGGCGTGGGTGTGGATGCCGTCGACGAATGCTTGTGCGATTTTGCGCAGAATGAAATTTCTGAAGCAGAGTTAAGAACGAGAGTGTTTGCACATGAGGGGGAAGACACACTCGACGTAGGCATCGGCAAACAGATCTTCCATGACGTATAACTGGAGAAAGAATAAGAGCTACTGGGCGAGGTTATGAACTGCAACACACAAGAGTGAAAGAAAACGAGGGGAAGTCGCCGAGGTTTGGCGAGGTTTGTTTAACGAACGGCTAAAAGGGCGATGTCGGTGAGAGCGTAGGAAATGAAGACCGACTAACCAGACAAGATGGTTGGGTACCAACTTGCGATGTCTTGCATGAATGAATTGGGGTTTTTTATAGTCTGCGTGACCGTGTTACATCCGCGATAAAGTCGTTCAAGCTGACAGTATTCCTTTCAAGCGATCGGGGACTGTAGGCGTTGTGGCGAAGGGTGAATGTTATGACGCGTGATAAGTTGTTGGCGGTGAGCAAATGAGTAGGCAAGCGCTTCGGGAGCCGTAGACGGCGATGGAATTGTCGCGTTGGTCTGAGAGAGAGAATACGCAAAGTTAGACTAAAAGTCGCGGTTTCTTCGATGAGATTCTCGACAGCAGGGAATTTTATATCCAGCAAAAGTTGATGAGAGCAACGAAAGGCCAGACTAGGTCAAGTTGTCGCTCTTTTATGGGGTTCATAAGTGAGTTTGCTTGCGCAAGCACTGGCAGCGAACTTCATGGTGTGTCACACCGTGACCCTCTGTTTTGTAGACTAGTATCGAAGTGTGTCGACGACTTGCTTGTGAAGCATTTTTACCCATCGGTCCGGCACTCCCACTGACTTTGGGTTTCCCAACAGCGTCGACTCTCCCTTAACCGCGACCAACATGCTTCACCAACGACTCCAGCTGTAGGGAACCCTGACTATTCCAGTTCTGTCTCTGTTCTCATACTTTGATAGCTACACTCAGGGAAATGACGCCTATATCTTCGTCCCCGATGCATCTGTCGGTCCGTCTCTGACTATACACCGCGCTTCTGGAGAACTGGCCCTAAATTGTGCGTGCCCTATTTTCTTGGCTTTCTCCTCCAAGCTGACTTCCAATAGCGCCCCATGCCCTTCCTCCCTCTGCTCGTCGGTCAAACAAGACCATATATGCAATCCTTGGAATAATATCACTCTCGCTGTGTATGTCGTCGTGTCACTCACTGCGCCTCGACTGAGTACATGTGGCTTCAGCCGACTACGTTGTTGTAATAACTGAACGAGAGTTCAAGGGAAAACTACTTGGGCACGACATTTACCGCGCCGCTGACTACGACTTGCTCCCTCTTGCTCCCAACCTCAACACTTATAATCCACCGCATGCCGTCGAAGCCCATCTTTTGGCTCTCGTGCGCTCACACCTTGCGAATGGCGTCTTTCTCTTCAGCTACACGTGGGATTTGACGCGTCATCTCCAAGCTCAGTGGCAGACAAGGGAAAAGAGTGGGAACGCGCCATTTTGGCAGACGGTGCGTAATCTTGTGTCTTTTGTTCATGCTCTCTTATACCCTCCATAGGTCGATGATCGCTTTTTCTGGAACAAGTCCGTCGAGCGCTATCTTCATTAGAGCGAAGCTGATAGACAAGCAGATATCTACAATCCCGACTGATAGAGCTCACAGTTGGAAACCCAGATCAAGACGTATGGACCATATTTTCTTGCATTCGCCATTTTTGAATGATTCTTAGCTGAGCCCCTTTATCATGCCAGTCATGTATGGAAGTGCGCACATTTTTCCCAGTCACCGTTTCCATGTCTGAAGTACTCTTCTCCTAGCTTTCGACATCCGAAAGGTCTCGTTGCGTGGACGTACCATGCAGCTGTGTTTAATCAGTCGTCGCTCTCGCTTCCGTGCGGGCACTCGATACTTCAGGCGTGGTATCGACGAAGAAGGTCATGTTGCCAACTTCAACGAGACGGAACAATTGTTGTTGGTCGACGAGGCGGGAGGCAGTGATCTGGGGACGCAGATGAGCTTTGTCCAGATTCGCGGCAGCGTCCCTGTTTTCTGGGCCGAGGTGAATACCCTCCGATATAAACCTGACCTGCAAGTCATGGATGACCCAAACACGGTTCGACTTCAACCCATGTTCATAGTGTCATTCATTAATCACCCAATAGGCCAACATGATGCGCCGGCATTTGCAAGAACAAGTTGCGACCTATGGAGATCAGGCACTTGTGAGCCTGGTGAACCGTAAGGGGTACGAGCAGCCAGTCAAGGAAGCTTATGAGCGATATGTTGCTCAGGTATGTTCTCTCCCTCTTGACTTTGGAGGTTCTGAAAAGAGATTAGTTGGACCTTCCCAACGTTCGATACCAATACTTCGATTTCCACAACGAATGCAAACACATGCGTTGGGATCGAATCAGCGTGCTTATTGACCAGCTGGAGGACGACTTAGAGAAACATGGGTATGTCACTCTGCCATTTACTTCTGCTTTACTTGAAAACCAGCCAGTTACTTCCATCTCCCTTCCAATCAACAAGCCCCTGTACTTCTGCAGCGAGGGGTGGTTCGGACCAATTGCATGGACAACCTTGACCGTACAAACGTTGTCCAGGCGGCATTAGCGAGATGGACTCTTAATAAGCAACTGCGGTCGTTGGGAATATTGAACGACGATGATAGCATTGATGCCTATGACCAAGTCAGCCAAGATTTCAGAGAAAGTGAGGCTTCTACTACCTTTTCAGGCATCTCTCTAACTTCTTTTGTAGTGTGGGCCGACCATGCCGACGCTATTGCACAAGCTTATGGGGGTTCTGGCGCCTTAAAATCTGACTTCACGCGAACTGGCAAGCGGACAAGGAAGGGTTTATTCGACGATGGCGTCAAGAGCTCGTTACGATACATCAAGAATAACTTTTTCGATGGCGCTAGACAGGACGGATTCGACCTTGTGTCAGGTAAATGGGCGCCTCCCAAAAACCCCGCCAGCTCCATGTTCCTGGTTACCGATTCCAGGCCATTGCTTACTCGGGCGGTCAGTATTTCCGTGCCAACATATCAAGGTCGAGCGCTCATCTCCGATAAAAGATGCCGCTCGCTGTTTCGTTTTCTCTGTTCATGATCTGTGCAGGCCTCACACTGCCTCGCACCTCTGGTATGTCTTGTGACGTTGGAGGCCACAAAAAAACACAAGCTAACGGAATGTTGTACAGACTACTCGCTCTTTTATTACTTCATTATGTGGTTCACCCTCCTTTTCGGCGCTCTTATTTTTATATTTATCCACGGAATCGACTACGTCTCTTGGCCACGGCTCGTTTCCTCTTCAGAGTACATATACTACAAAGGGCCAGGTTTTCGTTCTGGGCGACATGGCATGGGGTTGGGGAATGGCGAGGGGCCGAAAACGAGAATGGGGACGACGATGAGTACCAAGTTGTTGAGGAAGCGGACGGGCAGCGTGGCTCTGGAGGAGGGGGAAAGGAAGCGGGTAGATTAGTGCTGTCAAGTCGCAACGCCATCAAACACCTTTTTTTTGTTTGCGTTCTCCCACTATCTACACCAAAAATGGCCAAAGCAGGGGTTAAGCGTGCCTCTCCTGGCGCGGACGAGGAGAAAAACCCTCTCGCCAACGTCGACCTCTCTGAGGAAGATGCCAAAAGCCTGCAACAGTCGCAACGCGACCTTGGCCGTGTCGAGCTTGCCATGGGTTAGTTTTCCCCCCTCTTTGTCAAGCTTGCAATAAAATCAACTCGCACGAATAGACCGTCTGGGGCAAACTAAAGTGGGACCCGCCTATGAACGGCGCCGGGCTGTTGTCAAAAAAATTTCCAAGTTCTGGCCTGTCGCGCTTATGAACCACACCCACTTTGCGTACTTTGCGCAACACAGTGCGGATCAGCTTGCCCTCAGCTATCTCGAGGACCTCTGGATCGCGCGCGACCCCGTAGAGCCCCGTTGCTACACAATCGAATTCGTGGGTTTTTTATTATTTCCCTTTGTGGGCGGCTAATCCCGTCGGCTAGCACTTCAAGGAAAACCCGTTCTTCACCAACACGGTGCTCAAGAAGGAATACAAGTACAATGCGCCGCCACCCAACGCGGAGAACGACCAGCCCGACGAGAACGGTATCACCGAGACGATGCTTGACTTTTCCTGGGAGCGCGATGTAGAGGCTCAGGTATTTAATAAGCTGCTCTGCTTTTTTCTCTGGCTCACAGTGGAATTGCTAGGCCTTCAAGATCGACTGGAAGGACCCCGAGAAGGCGCTGACTAAACTGTACCCGGGCGAGGCCGGTGAGGATGAAGATGACGAGCCCGTCGAGCCCGGGACTTTCTTCAACTTTTTCGAAAAGGGCCCTGATGGCGCTGAGGTGGGTTTACTACCTGGTTTCCACACGCAATGACTGATTTGTTCAGCTCGGGATAACAATAGCCAACGAAGTTTTCCCAGAGGCGATTGAGTACTTCCTCGGGCAGGCAGGTGGGATGGACGACGACTCTGTTGACTCGGACGAGGATGACGATGATGACGACGAGGCCGAGGAAATCGACCTCGAGAAGCCGCGGCCCAAGAAGCAGAAGGTTTGAGCGAAAAAATATATTTTTGGAGGAATCAGGACACATAGCACTCCGGGAGTTGACAAAAAAAAAAAACGGTGGCCGTTTCGATTGATTATACACCTAATAAAAGATTGTACAAGTGGCTCTCTTTTGAGACAAAAAAAAAAAAGAAAGGTGAACTTTTCCTGGAGGTAGCTCAAAACTGCCCGTTTTGGTGGAAAACTATTAGGCCCAAAATCCTGACATCTGTTTGATGCAAGATTTGAGCTAAGAAAGGCCACATTTTTGTATCAAAAAAACCAATTGCCCATTTTTGTACTCACAATCGAAACGCGTTTATTTACGACCTCTCGCAGTGTAGTTTGTTTATAGCTCCACACTTGATGAGAAAATCGACTCTTGCTTCCGTACTTCCACGACCCGATGAAAGCCACCGTGGTCATTTCGCTCGTTGCTGTCGCGGCCAGTGAGCCGCTGCAAGCCCGACAAAGTCAGGCCCCCGCTTCTGGCAGTGCTGGCTTGACGAGTGGTGCTGCTGCCCCGCCGCAAAGCTCATTTCCGTTCTCTTTGGCCACGACAAATCCGACCGCAGTCCCGTTGGCGTCCATCGTCTCGAATGCCCCAAGCCAGGCGACCACCCCGCTTCCAACAACGTTTGCAGTGAGCAGCACGCGCCAGACTGATGATGTCATCGTTCACACTTGTCTGTAGGCAGGCGCAACACCGACAGCACTGAAGGGCGCTCCACCGTTACCGAATGGTAAGTAGAGGCGACTAATGACCATTATGCTCACCCTTCTTCTAGCTGCAGCGCTAGTGCCGTCTAACTATCCTGCCCTCGATGTCATCGTCCCGACAAACAGCCCAGAAGTGCAGCAGTGGATCCGGGAGGTGAACAGCTCTGGAATCACCATTCCCAACATCGCGCCAACTGTCGCGGGTGGATGCCCGGCCAACGCTCAGGCAGCAGCAGACACATCGCGGTAATGTTCACCTTCCCGCGTTGTCGCTTGCTCATATGATCTAGATGCTGGTGGACATGTGGGGGTTGTGTGGCCCCCTCCGATATCACTACATGCCCGCAACAGCTTTCCTGGGGTGCGTAGTGCTACTCTTAATCTTGCCGAAATCTCTCTCTTGGCTCAAGCTTATTTTTTTTACGTCACAGGGCTGACATACGACGACGGCCCGTCCCCCTACACCGAAAACCTGCTGCAATTCCTCGAGCAGAACAACCTCAAGTCGACATTCTTCTCGGTCGGCTCGCGCATAATTTCGTGGCCCCAAATCACGCAGTACCAGTACATGACCGGCCATCAAATCGCTGTTCACACGCAAGTTGCTCTAATCTTCAACGCGGGACGCGGTCTGATGCTTTTTTCTCTTTGCTCTGCAGCTGGTCGCACCCCTCGTTGACGACGCTTACTAATGAACAAATCATCGGCGAGCGTGAGTGATCGCGGTGGCGAAGAGGCTTGCTTTGACGTCGTCTTCAGTGGGCTGGTCGAAGAAGATCATCAAGGATACTTTAGGCGTTACGCCCACTCATTTCCGGCCTCCATTTGGTATGTGGCCGTTTTGAATGCCTGCAAATGCCGCTAACTCCGACCCCAGGCGACATCGAGTATTTTTGCTTCCGATGTTGGAAATACTTTGGTGCTAATTTCACATAGTAACCGTGTTCGTGCTATCGCCGCTGCGATGAACCTGCAGCCTGTCATCTGGACGCGGATCAGTCCGCTGGCAACTTTCGATACGGACGGTATGAGTGCTGCAACATGGCGGCACGACGGGGAGCTGAAACGATCCTCAGATTTCGACCTGCATTCTGGTGCATCGACGCCGTCCAAGGTGCTCCAGAATTGGGACTACATCAAGGGCAATGCTACGACGTTCAACTCAGGGTTCATTCTGCTGGAGCACGGTCGGTTTGGCTGGTTGGTGACCATGGGCGCTGCTGAGAAATCCTGGCAGATTTGTTCCAGCAATCGGTCGACATTGCGACGGGTCAGTGAGCGGGACAAGTTCGCTCCGCACGCACTAACGGAATTATCTAGGCTACATCCTGCCCGATGCGCGTAAGCACTACCTCCGTTCCCAGGAAAGCTATCCAACAGCATCTTTGCAGTCGTGCATCAACCCAAGTTCAACATCGCCCCCGTCATCACCTGCCTGAACAAGCCAATGGAGGTTGGTCGCACCGCGATTTCTGGGACCGCGCTGACGGCAGAAAACAGGACGCGTATATCGAGACGAACGACAACTCGACTAACCCGATTGCCTCCGGTCAGTTGTTGCTTTCAAATGAAGATGTGGTCTAATCGTCCCCACTTCCAGGCGGTGCTCCTGCGCTTTCCTCGGGTGCTCCAGGGTCAGCGCAAGCCACTAGTGGTGGTGGCGGCTCAGGCTCCAACACTGGGAATGCCGCCTTCGCTGTCGCGGCTCCGGTGACTGTGCTTTCTCTGACATTTGCACTGATTGCTGGGTTCATTTGTGCATAAAATGGGACCTTCAACAAATGCGTACTAGAAGTACACCTATCACCCACGGACACGTATTATTCTATATACCTCGGACCTTCACTTAGGAAGAAAAAAGAATTGAATATTTGTGCAAAGAAAGGTATATACGTCCAGATGGTCATAGATGCAAGTGTGGTATTAGTTGGGTTTCCCTTGCTTGCTGTGAACAAATCCTAGAGAGCGAGAAAAATTAGTAAGCGAGTGAGGCAGGTATAAGGTCGTTGAGCAGTTGGTATCTTGGATGATGATGCTGCGGAAACCTCATGCGGCAGTCTTGGTTTCCTCGTCGTGTCCATTTTCGTGGCCATTCGTGTCTGGGGAGAGCAGCAATTAGACCGAAAACAACGAGGGCAAGATATGTAGTGGCGTACCAGCAGCGTTGCCTTTGACGGCGACTTCATCCTCGACAGCCTTGGAAGAGTCGTCTGCAACGGGAGATTAATTCAGAGGCAAAGAACAAGATTAGAAAGAATATGACTGACCAGCGTGGACGTCGAGAGCTACTTGGGGTCCTGGGGTTTCGCCACCAGGAAGCATTGCAGCGGGTGTTGTGGGTTCAGCCGGGCCGGTTTCCTCCGCAGATTCCGGCGGAGGAGTGAGCTCCAGGTGAGAGATGGCTGTCTCGCCATGGACCAACTCAGGTCGAGAGTCGACGACAGGCACTGGCGGTAGATCAACGAGTGCATCGTTGGGGGCAGGGGTTTCATGGAGAGGCTCGATATGGCCAGCAGCTTGTTCTTCAGCCTCTTTTGCAACGCGCTGGGCCTCCTCTTTAGCCAGACGTTCCTGCTTCTCTTGCTCAATTCTGGCAAGTTCAGCGGCCTCTTCCGCCTCACGCTTTTCCTGTTCAATGCGCGCGAGTTCTTGTTCGTGTGCGATTCTGTCCGCCTCTTCTTTGGCCAACCGCTCTTGCTCGAGGCGGGCCAGTTCTTGCTCGTGTGCGATTCTGTCCGCTTCTTCTTTTGCGACACGCTCTGCCTCAATTCTAGCCAACTCTTGTTCATGGGCGAGCCTTTCGGCCTCCTCCGCTTCCCGCTTTTCTTGCTCGTGGGCAATCCTTTCGGCTTCCTCTCGCGCAAGGCGTTCTTCGAGTTCGCGCTTCTCTTGGGCGAGTCTTTCAGCCTCTTCTTTGGCAAGCCTTTCCTCCTCCTCTTTGGCCAGTCTTTCAGCTTCTTCCTTGGCGAGTCTTTCAGCCTCCAATCTCTCAGCTTCTTCCTTCGCCAATCGCTCCTCCTCCTCACGGGCGAGGCGTTCAGCCTCCAGTCGTTCGGCTTCTTCCTTTGCCAATCGCTTTTCCTCCTCACGAGCAAGTCTATCGGCTTCCTCCTTTGCAAGTCGTTCAGCCTCAAGTCGGTCAGCTTCTTCCTTTGCAAGCCTTTCCGCTTCTTCCTTAGCGAGTCGTTCAGCCTCCAGTCTATTGGCTTCCTCCTTTGCAAGTCGTTCAGCTTCGAGTCTTGCGGCTTCTTCTTTCGCCAATTGTTCTGCCTCCTCACGTGCAAGCCGGTCGGCTTCTTCCTTTGCGAGCCTTTCCGCTTCTTCCTTAGCGAGTCGTTCAGCCTCCAGTCTATTGGCTTCCTCCTTTGCAAGTCGTTCAGCTTCGAGTCTTGCAGCTTCTTCTTTGGCAAGCCGTTCTGCCTCGAGTCGCACTGCCTCCTCACGTGCAATTCTCTCTGCATCCTCCTTCGCAAGCCGTTCAGCCTCTTCCTTGGCCAATCGCTCCTCCGTTTCCCGCCTTTCCTGTTCCAGACGAGCCAGTTCCTGCTCATGCGCGACCCTCTCCGCCTCTTCTCTGGCCAAGCGTTTTTCAATTTCACGCTTTTCTTCTTCGAGCCGGGCAAGTTCTGCAAGCCGCTCCTCCGTCTCGCGCTTTTCTTGTTCCAGCCGCAGTTGTTCCTCATGCGCAAACCTCTCAGCTTCCTCTTTGGCCAGACGCGCTTCAGCCTCCCGCCGTTCCTGCTCGATACGCGCCAGCTCTTGTTCATGGGCGACCCGTTCAGCCTCTTCTCTGGCCAAACGTTCTTCAGTTTCCCGTTTTTCTTGTTCGATACGCGCGAGCTCCGCTTGCTTGTCGGCTTCTTCCTTGGCGAGTCGTTCTTCTTCAACTCGGAGCTGCTGTTCTTGTGCCAGACGCTCTTTTCCGAGAGCTTCAGCTTGACGAGCAGCCTCAGACTCGGCTTCGGCTTTCTGTTTCTCCTCTGCAAGTGCAGCATCATCGGTGGACGAGACCTCGGTGGCGACGGCGACGGCGGGGACTGTCGTTATCAAAATTAGGTGGTGGTGAATATGAGTGCCAGCTTGAATCTCACCATCGGCAATCTGCTCTTCAGCCTGAGCTTCAGTGGCGGGAGCGGCTTCGTTTGGCGGAATCACGGGTTCTTGATGGCATCAGTGATATGATCATTTTCGTTGACCGAGAACTTTTACCTTCGATAACGGCTGGTGCTTCGGCGGGAGTGGAATCCGAGGCCAGTGCTTCGGCTGATGAAGTGACAACTGCTTCAATTGAGGGTGCTGTTTGTGGCTCTTCAACGATAGGTTCTTCAGGCGCGGGAGCGGCTTCGTTTGGCTGAATCACGGGATCTTGATGATATCAGTGATCTAATCTTTTTTCGTTGACCGAGAACTTTTACCTTCGATAACGGCTGGTCCTTCGGCGGGAGTGGGTGCTGTTTGTGGCTCTTCAACGATAGGTTCTTCAGGCGCGGGAGCGGCTTCGTTTGGCTGAATCACGGGATCTTGATGATATCAGTGATCTAATCTTTTTTCGTTGACCGAGAACTTTTACCTTCGATAACGGCTGGTGCTTCGGCGGGAGTGGGATCCGAGGCCGGTGCTTCAGCGGATGGAGTGGCAGCTGCTTCAGTTGAGGGTTCTGCTTGCGCCTCTTCAACGATAGGTTCTGCCGCAGCAGGAGCGTCGGATTCGACAGGAGTAGAGTCTGCGGCCGGTGCTTCAGCGGATGGAATGAGAGCTGCTTCGGTTGCAGAAGGTACTGCTGGTTCCTCTTGAACGATTTCTGCCTTAGGTTCTATATGAAGTTGTAAATATTGGATTTTGTGCATTTTTTGATTTATTAGTCACCTTCAGTAATCGCAGGGGTGGCTTCTGCCACAGCGATAGCTGCAGCTGCAACAACTGGCGCGCTGGATAATACTTGAAGCATGTCAGAGAAAAGATATCATATACTTGTGTGAATACTGACCTGGTGGGGTCGGTTGCGCCACAACGACAGTCGCTGTAACGCTGCATCAGCAAACCGAATCTGAACAACATTCCGAAACTCACTAGCTGCAGCCTTTGGAGGTGGCGCGGGGGTGGTGCTTTTACTACCAGGTGTAACAGGACTGGGCTCCTCTTCCTCTTGCAGGATCTCGCCCATCTCCCCGACCTTGCCGCTGCCCGCCTTGGCGCTCTTCCGCTTGCTTGTGGAAGAAGAAACGGAGGTAGAGCTGAGGGAGGTGAAGAAGCTGAACCGTTTCTTCTTGGTGCTTTTTGTGTCTGAGGCAAAGGAGGGCTTCGGGCTCGTGGGCCGTGGCCGCGCTTCACTCTCGATCGTGACTGTGGGAGAGCGCGGTGCGGGGGCGGGCGGCGGGGGCGTGACGAAGCGCTGCTCAATGAGAAGCCATTGGACGGACTTGTCCGCAAAGTTGGTGGGGACGGATGACTTAATCTTACCGAGCACGAAGCTCGGCCAGGTTGCGGTGATGGGGTCGAGCAGCGCGTCAGTCCAGAAGTCGACGAAAGCCTCGTCTACTTGCACGACTTGGATTCGAGTTGCCTTTGAGCTGCCTTGCTTGACTTGGTCTTTCTCGGCGTCCTTGAACGCGGGAAGGTCCAGACTCCGTCCGCGGGATGTTGGCAGCGGAATAAGAGGAGGCGGGAGTTTGCGACGAACGTTGAGCGGAAGCTTTGGCATGGTGATCTCGACATCCTTGTTATCAAGGAGAGTCTGCGCAATTTTGGACGTTCGTTGGCCATTGTCGTCAGAGAAGAAACCTGATGTGGAGAATTGAGCCCAGTCGATAGCGAGAGGCTCGGCTGAAAGAGGGCTGGCGTTGCCCGTGGAGGTGCTCTCGGCAGAAGCTGCCTTGGAATGGGCGACAGCAGCGGCAGCAGCCGCTTTGTCTTTGTCGCCCATTGACATGCTTCGTCGCCGGCCAATCTTGTTGGCAGGAATAACGATCGAGAACGGAGCGGGTGATGGCGCTTTGGTTTCGGTGTCAGACGACATTGGGAGGAGCGAAAGGAAGCGGATCGTCTCATCCGCAAACAGACTGCTCAAGCCGGGATACGACTCTGATTCAGCGTCTGCAACGGAAACATGCTTCTTGAGAGAATCCCAGAAAGCGGCTTCCGCGCCATCAACCGAAGAAGTTGATTTGAGAGCATCTGCAATGAGCCGCAAGGAATGGTTCTTCGTTCCTTTAGGCGACCCGGCGACAATCTCCGTTTCGATCAAGACGTGTAGTGTTTCCAGCTTACGCGTCGAGAACCGGGGTGTTGGCAGGAAGGCGGCGTCCGTCGTTGGGGACGCGGTCTTGGTGTAGGGGTAATGCTTAACGAGCTCTGTGAGCCTCGTTGGCAGTCGCTGGTCGGTTGATTCATCCCTAGAGTACCAATGCTAAGCAACGACCAAACAACACGTAAACAGATAGACATGCCTGATTTTGGACAGGAAGAGGTGCTCGACGACGCGCCCCCATTTGTCCCATCGAGCGTAAAAGGAGTGGAAGTCATCGCCATCAACGATGCGTGGACCAGAAACGATCCAGTAGCCCAGCATGCGAGTGAGCTTACTTCCAGAGATTCCGTTGGCCTCTGAATGGGCCGCAAGACTGGAGAAGATGTCGAGCAATGCGGTCAAGAGATGGAGGTGGCTAGGAGGCAGCAATGGCACGAGCTTCTCTGTGAACGCCTTTGGTGGGTATTCCGATGCTTTTTCAGCATCGTGGAACGTCTCGTACCACCGCTCGTCTTTGCCGAAACACGAATTATCGAGTTGCAGATGACGAAGACCCCAGCGAAGCACTGCTGCGACGTCGTGAGGAGAGCGCGTTGAGTCAATCTGAGACTCGAATGCAGATACAGTAGATGAAGCAGACGGAGAGAGCGTGGTTATTGGGCTGTTGAGGGCTAAAGAGTGGATGAACAATGAGATGAGCTTTCGCTGAGTTGCAGGTGAAGCCGAATAGTAATGGGGAATCTAAGGCAGGGGGGCTCAATACTAGGGGAAAAAAGTGAATGAGCAAGAAAGCGCACCATGATACCCAGCGTCTCGAGTCCATGAGCAGTTATGGACTGCGAGCATGCCTTGACCAACAAAAAAGCCTCGAGCGGACTCAAGTTCCGCTCACCAATGACGGCCTCTGACATTAAAATCTGGGCATCGGGATCCGCCTCAAACACGGCTCCCAGTGCCCTCGAAGACTCCTCTTTGGGGGTAGGGAGGTTGAGCGAAAGTTGCCAGTCAAGGTCTTTCCTGTCCTTGAGGGACTTGTTCCTGGTGATTGCAGTCGCGGCGGGCTTGCTGGTGGATGTGCCATTAAACGAGGGTGTGGTGGGGGTGAGCACTGGCGGGATGGCCTCGAATTTTCCATCGAGTAGCGATGGGTCAGACGAAAGGCGCTGCCGGGGCTCTTTCTCCTCCTTCTTGGACCGCCCAAAAACCTTCGATAAAAAGGAAGGCATCCTCGAACGAGTTTAATATCGCTTCTGGGGTATACACGCAACTCACGGGTCAACGAAACTGTCAACGAGGCGACAAGGTCGTAAAGTTTGGGTCACGGCTCGTGTCACACTCTCCAAAGTCTCCACCTTTTTGGGGAGTCGAATTGCCGTTGGTGGTGTCTTTCCGCGCTGCGTACCAAATACTTACGTCTGAAATCAACAGTGGATTCAACGTGACTTGGTTTAACCAAGCATGCAACGACTCCATCGATGCCTCCCCCACATCCTTCGACCCACAAATACGCGTTCATATGCAACCAAACCTTCTTTGCTCTCGCACTCTCTGGACCAGAATAATCATCCCAATGACAAGGGAACATTCCAACTTGGCTTCGGAGTAGGTCAGACCACAGTCAACCGCAATGAGCGCGTTCCACAGTGGAAGGAACTGTCTACAGCCGGCAAAGGTAAACAAGCGTTCACCTATGTGCCTCCGTTAAGCCATTGCAGTCAACCGAACTGCTGCAAGAACTAGCAATCTCGGTGTCATCGTACTTGGCGCCGGTCTCACAGCAATTCTGCTGTACTCGTTGGGATCCGACCTTTTCTCGCCCAATTCGCCCTCTGTTCTCTACGAGGACGCGTGTAAACGAATTTTAGCCTCATCCAAGGTGAGCCGCTCTATTCATACGCTCGTTCTTTATTTTTGACCTTGCTCTAGCTAGCTCGTTTCCTCGATGGAACCCCGCGTTTTCATCTAGACCCACCAGCAGTTGCCCGACCCAGACATCGCAATCGACACGTCTCTTCAACCCTGAGAGTGGACGCGTCAGGACGAGAACATCTATTCCTCAATTTCTACCTCCAAAGTCACCCCCAATCACCCTCTTTCCTCGAGTCTACGCAGACCTGGACTCAAGACAAGTTCCATCTGTTAACTGAACTGTCCTGGGATGAGGTACTTGATCGGAGTAGGCAATCCGCTTTGGCTGCATGGAATAGAGCCAAGGCTGCCGCAAGATATCTGAGTGGGACGCCATCGCCACCCCCACCTGATGCTGGACCCACCGACACCAAAAAGGAAGCAGCGCCGACACCGGTGCGGAGCGGATTTATGGACCTATTCTCTTCATTACGGAGACCGAGAGGCACAGTTACGGAAGCAAAGGCACAGATTGAAGCCCACGGTCAGTTCAATGAGGGGGAGGTTCATGTTGCCTTTGTCAGAGTAAGTGTTTTAGTCTGTTCAGATTCCGTTTATTCATTTACCAGAACATGAATGGGGACTTTGTACTGCGGTATATCATTGTGGAATTGCCCAACTCAAAAAGCAAGGACGCCGTTCGGGTATTTGTTGAGAGGGCACCTGGCGTTCGCGACACGGAACCCGTTCTGCAATGGTCACCCTCGCAGCATTAAATTTTATCTTTCAGCTTGTATTATTAGTACATTGTAAGTCCATGCGCGTATCGTAATGCACTCTACTCTCCAAACAACTTCTGGACCCTCTTCAGCACTGAGTCCTTAGAGGGGTCGTAGGGGTGGTCTTTGCTGGGGATTTCGAGTAAGGCAGGGAAGGCTTGCTGATATCGGTCAACGGTGGGACGGATTTTCTCGGCGATCTGCGACAATATGAGCCAAACCACAATGAAGCCCTCAGCTCACATGCTGGTTGATGAGCAGAATGGCGATGTCGGTGCGCTCAGTGAACTCCTGGAAAGCGGCCTCTATCGTAGACACTTGGGTTTCTGTAGAGACATGAGCCAGAGTCTCCCTGATAAATATTTCCTCCATACTAGTATCCACTACCAAAAAGTTCTTCTTCTGATTCTCGTTAATATGGCCGATGCCGGCGAGAAGGAGGCCAGTTATTGAGTCCTGCATCGTGAGCTGTTGAGTTGGACAGTATGATTATGCTGCACACCTCATCGCCAATGACTGCAAGTAGATTGCGATTCTTGAACGACGTAGCCGTCGCCATTAAAGCCGCGTTGTCACAGACCGTGACCGAGAAATGGACATCTTCAATCGGCCTCCAAGCATCTCAGACGATGCTCTTCAATATGCACTCTACCTAACGCATGAGCAATCCAACAAGGCTGCTGTGGCTTCCCTCGCTGCTTGTGTCTCCGACTATGTTGACCAACTCCTACCCAACTTTCTCTGGCATCGAGATGCATTCGAGCTCAAGGTCGTCCCGCGCGATGACGAGCCTCAAGATTACTATTTAGAAGGGACAATGCGTGTTGGCGACTGCGTAGATGACGAATGGTGCACAGTCTGGCTGCTGAAGCAGATCAGTGCGAAATGGGATGTAGCAATCAGGTTCGTTCGTTCATGTTTCTGGAGTCCGAAGCAGCTGAGATGAACTAGCGTGATTGATTCAGATGGAGAGTTTCTTCTCATAGAAGCTGCAGACGCGCTACCAGACTGGGTCACTCCTTCTAACGCGACGAACAGGGTGAGTATGACTGTCCACTTCGACGCGCAACTCAAGCATTCATGTAGGTTTGGATCTACCAATCTAACCTGCATCTCATTCCGCTTTCCCATATCTCTCCTCCCTCGACCAAACGCCAACGTAGGAAACTCCCCGGGAAGTCAGACAGTGACGACGAAGGAGCTAATGAGGACGATGAAGACTTCATCTCGGTGGCAGATGCTCTACTCGTGATCAGAAGTGACTCTAGCAACACACTCGCCTCTTCCGATGTGCAAAGCGCGCTTCTCAAGAGAATAAGCGGGTGAGTCACTCATCAAACAAAAGCGACAAACGCGGTCCTGATGTTCGAGTGCAGATACCCTGCCGCGCTCAAAAACCATACTCATGCTACCAAAGTTTACGTTCCCACTGACATTGCTCGAGCTCTTACGATTGATCCAACCCTCATTCAAAAACCAATCGAGACCTTCTACACCCGCGATGCCATCCAACTTCGAGTCAGTCCCATTTTTTTGCTTAAAGATCATTTTCGTTGTAATCAATATCTTAGGCAGCTCACCGGATGTCTCGCTTTCCACCGGAGCCTGAAGTTCTGGCTGTTGTCAAGTTGACACGCACGGCTTACGCCCAACTGGTGGGCCAGAAATTCTTTCCCCCCAAAGTGTTTGGCCAGTGGAAAGAAAGGGAAGGTTCAGCTGAGTTGCGATGGCGCGATGTCGGAATGAAGATAGTATGTGACTCCCCAGAAGAAGATGGTCCGTCTTACATTTTTCTAGGCTGTTGGATTCGAAATGCTTTTTCAAGAGAGCAAAGCCCGAGTTAACCCTGCAACTCTGGCCTCAGATAACTCACAAGAATCTGTCATTTTGCCGTTGCCCCCTCTCATTACCAACTCACTTGACTCCAGATTGACGCCAGATTAGAAGCGTTGCGGAGGAATCCACAATATCTCTCTTACCTTCAAAATTTAGTGGCTGCTAACTACTTCCGTGGGGAGTTGGAAGGGTCTCAGTTATGGAAGAAACTCGAAGAGAATGCGGCTGCAGTGTTCCTGAAAACATTCCGCGAGGAGTAAGTGGATTCTCCATTGTTTCGTCTGTGAAGTAAACCGTGTGTTACAGCGATTCTTCTCGTCCTTCATTCGCTGTCCGCGTTACCGAAGCTATCTCACGGGCAACTGCTCCCATCCCAACAACACTTCAGGTGGACGAAGACAGCGACGACTGGTTGAATATCGATGCAAATGACTTCGAAAATATGCTGGAAAGGACAATGGGTACCAATTCGAGCAACGCCATGGATGTCGATCCAGAGGATCAACTAGCTTCAGATCAAGCTTCCAGGTTAAAGAATCTTGCAAACAAAGTGGAAGCCTTCGTTGATGGCAAGGGAGATCTAAATGGCGCGTTATTTGACGAGTAAGGTTTGAATTACTCCGTTGATTCAAAATTAATATGTTGCAGCGAAGAAAAGACGGATGACGAGGAAGAGCTGAGTGATGGGATGGGGTCAGATTCTGAAAGTAGCGCTGACGAAGGAGACCCCGCACAACGCCAGGCAGCAATGGACCGACTGGTACCTGGCCTACAACCATCAGAATATGGCCAGATGCCGGCTTCGTTCCACAAAAATTCACAAAAGGTTGCCCGACCTGCAGACCCGCCTGTTGAAGAAGAAGAACCGGCAAGCAAACCCGCACCAAAAGAGCCCTTTACAAAGCCTCTCCGTGACCCCATAATCCCTCGCGACAAATACGATGGTGTCGATTCAGATGATGAAACTGATTCTGACGACGATGTAGACTCTGAGTTGGAAGAGGACCAGCCTCAGGTCGTTGGGGATATTGAGATCGACATGGGAGAAGAAGAAGACGAGTTTTTGGAATTTTCTCGGCAAGCTCTGGGCATAAGTGACGACCAATGGGGTGATATTCTTAGAGACCGCAAGAGTCGTGGAGGTAGGCATTTCTTTTCATAGATTTTTTTATGCGGTATGAAACATGTTGAACAGCATTCATACCTGCGGGCATGGCCGTCCCGACTAAAACCTCGAATTCTCACAAATCCACTGCAACCGCAACATCAACGGCTCCGCAAAATCGTCCCCCAGAACCGGGGCCGCGACCTAATGTCAATCCGAATTTGGATTCCTTTGAGGCAGTCATGAAAGCGATGGATCAAGAGCTTTCTCGTTCGCGCACAAGCAAAAGCAAACCGGCGTCAGGTGACAAGGGGAAAGGCCGAGCTGCTACTGTAGAGGAAGCTGAGGATGAAGACGAGGATATTGACCTGGCAATGGACAGAGAACTGCGGGCGGCGTTGGAGGGAGGTCAAGGAAGTGATGACGAAGGGGAAGAGCCGATGGACTATAATCTGATCAAAAACTTTTTGGAAAGCTTCAAAAGCCAAGCGGGTCTTGCTGGGCCGGTTAGTACGCTCGCTGGACGTCTGGATCCTGGCTGGCAGCTTCCTCGAGACGGTTAGATAAAAAGTAGTGTAGGCCTGTCACGAGGGCGCGTCATATTATGTCATCGACTTGACCATGATCCATGCTGTTCTCATCTGTAAGACCCCGTTTCTCGAGCTCGGAGGTGTTGTTGTTGAGGGCCCTACAGTCAACACATCTGGCGTGGCACGGCTCAGCAAGTTCTACACTCCGCTGCATCAGTCAGCGCAAACGCTGATACCGAAGATATTCTCTCTTGTCTGTTCAAGACCGGCCAGTTTATGCAACTTTCTTGATGCCCCAGAGCTAGAGGCATTTCTGGGACCGAAAGGTGACGAGGATGAGCGGTGGAGAATAGTCTATCGCAGCTACGCGACGCTCTATTTCGTATTCGTCGTCGACGGAGCTGAGAGTGAGCTGGGTATTCTTGATCTCATTCAAGTCTGGTTTATTCCACTCAATTCTTCATCCAAAGTCGTCTCATCCAGTCCTGCAGGTTTTTGTGGAATCATTAGACCGCGCTTTCGAGAACGTGTGCGAGTTGGATCTTGTCTTCCAGTTTGATGAGGTCTGATTTCATTGCTTTCTGACGAATGCAGCTAACTTAAAAAACGGCAGGTGCACCATGTCTTAGCTGAGCTAATACAAGGAGGACTTGTACTCGAGACGAATGTAGATGAAATAGGCAACTCTGGTGCGTCATAATGACCATTCCTCGATAACTTAGTCTCAACCAGCATAACAGTGCAACTTGCGTCTAAATTGCGCAAGGAATCATTTACCGCAGCAAACCCGCTGTCATTAGGGACAGGTGTTGGAGGAGCAGGATCGCGTGGTAGTAACCTCAAGTCGCCGTTGGGTTGGTTGACGGGCAAGATAACGGGAGGCAGAGCAATGTAAACTTGAATGCCATTCACGAGGCAGGTGGAGCTTGTAGTGTGCCTGTGGTCTCATATCACTTTGTGAACAGAAACACTAACTGGCCCCACATACGTTTTCGTTTCTTCTTTCCGGCACCCGGTAATGATTTTTGAGGAGGATCTGCTGTGGTGGGAGTGGGATTTGACGGCGCCTTGGTTGTTGGTGGAGGGGCCGGATTTGCATTTGTCTGTGCTGTAGCAGGAGGGTCTGGAGCATGTTCAGCACTGGCAGCTTCCAACACGTTGGCAGAGAATGAAATCTTGGAGTGCAAAGCCGTCGCTCGCATAGCATTCATGAGGAGCATGCCATTCTGATGTCTGGAAAGACAAAAGTCAAGTTTGCCGCCGAAAAGTTTCGACAAGACGAACCGTTGAGGAGCCTTTGGCTTACTACTTCCCTCAGTCGGAGGTGCATTCGAGTCGCCGCGATTTTCTGATTGAGATGTATCTTCTTTCTTTTTGGAGTCTTCTGACTCAACTATCGGCCAAACGAAACCCGTTCTTGGGAGATAGTCGGGTCTGTGGCTTCGAAGGATGTCAAGAGACGATTGTAGCGAGCAGAGCGAGGTCAGCTGATGATTTCAATACGTCAAGTAGTGAGAGGCAGCAGCAACGCACAAGACGATTGGACAACACTGTGTACACGTCTGGAGACTGGTATATTCTGTTGTTCATGATGAAGTAGGCTGCTAGTGGGCGAACTAGGCGCACATTTGTGTCAAAGCATGTAAACAGAAAGCGAAGGGATTACCTTGATCGGGCGAGAGTCGTTCACGTTTGTGAATAATGAAGAGGGACGGAGGCTCGGAATGAACAACAGCAAACTCGACACCGGTGAATCGCTTTAGCTCTTCTGCCTCGTTGACGATTGCAGTCCCAGTATGGATGGTTTGCATGCGGAGCACTTGATTATTACTCTGTTTGTCGTAGAACATCGACGTGGTGAAATATTCAAACACGTTCTCCGTAGTCAACGGTCCATTCGCCTGCGGAGAAAGAAAATAAAGTCTGGTTGCCCAGCCCGACAAGTGCCACACTAACCTGGATCCATTCGTGCCAGATAAAGAATCTATGACTGTAGTCGTCGGTGGGTGCGAGAGAGTCCATAGTCACAGTGACAACGTGATCGTGATGACACAGAGAAGATAAGAATTAAACTAAGTACATTTGTGGGACATGAAAGGACATTAAGAGTTTTCCCTAGGGATAACAGAGGAAATTTCACATCGAGGACACGTTCGTCGCTGGGCCATGGAATTTCTCCAGAGCGGTACGATACGTGCCTCATCGAGTGACGCAGGAAGTGACACAGAACAGGGCCGCAGTGTGTATTTGCGGTGAGCCCAAGAGCTGCGGAGGCGGTAGAAGCTGTTATGTAAGCGTTAGGCGCTTAATAAGCTGAGCAAGACCAAGCTCACAATTCAAAGATGTCTAAGTGCAATCGCAATCAACTGCGTGTCCCACGAGCCCTTTCCCGCATCGGTCACACCATCGACGCGGACCTTGTTCTACTCCGATAGACTGCTTGGACCCAATGGAATGATGGGAAGAGCAGACGGAGCCTTCACGTTGCTGAGACTCATCGCGATGGATGCTGACTAAATGACGGCCCAAATCGTGCTTCCGACTGAAAGAGCGACCACAGGAGCGATGTGAACACACGTAAGGCTTGGTGCGGTTGGGATCGTGTGTAGCCATATGAGTTTTGAGGTTATAGGCGCGTGCAAATGCTAAGAGCGATTAGACGGTGTAAAGACGCCAAAAAGACTAACCTCGAGGGCATGACGGGCACTTGAATTTCCGACGAGTGTCATCAACCTTGTAATCTTCTTCCTCTGGAACATGGGCCATCTGTCCGGCAGGGATTGTGGGGAGCTGGGTTGATATGTGAGATGGAGAAACGGTTGGACCGGGACCGTTGAAATCTAGTTGGCCGTAGATGTCGACCGGGATAGATGGTCGGCGAGTGGAAGGACCGTAATCTGAGAAGGTAGCCCTAGGATTGTAGGCTTTTGAGTAAATTTTTGTGCTGCGGGTGTCACCCGCCGTAGTTGGTGCAAAGGAAATGCGGGAGTTTGTTGTTGCTGCGGCATCATTGGCTACTGCGTATTCTGATACGGCGTCTACTCGGATTCTCTGGAAATCCATCTCGAGGTCAAGAGGGAAGGAATAGTTGGATGGGGGCTGCGGAGAATGGGGGTAGTTATAGAAACTTTCGCTGTAGGAAGACAACGAGTCGTAGGCTGACTCGGACGAAGCCGTGATATTTGAGGGTGGCCCCCTCGTGGGCGTGTCCGACCGAAACAGCGAGTATGCATCGTGTTGACCGATTGCAAGCAGTTCTAGTTGCTCATCGTCGAACCCAGCAAGGTTGCTATCCAATTCTAATTCGAACAGATCTGGATGAGGAGCCAGGATGTCGTTCGGACTTTGAAACGACACAAAGTCGAGGCTCTTGTTGAAGTCTTCATCGAAAACAGTGCCGGGCCCAAACTGCGTGGCGGACATGGTGAAAGAAAGGGAGAGAGTTGAGTACAGCCTTGAGTGATCGCTACGCCATCAACTGTCCGATCATTGATTGCTTCTTCTTCTTCTTTCTGCCTTGACGATCTGCTCAAAACTAGGCTACAGTGCTTGCACATTCAGCAATGGCTCTCTAAACTCGCTGAATCACTTTGGATTATCCTTATAATACGAATGGCCCAACATCTCGTTCTGTGACTCTTCATCTCAGTTTGAGTTCGAGCGAGGCTCGCTTTTGACTCGCACTCGATGCAGAAGCCGCTCGCTGCTATCAAGCCTCATTACGCGTAAGGACGATATTCCGGTCAATTGGCCGGTCAAGGTGCGCCGCCTTTGGTGGAATATCTGGCCATTTACTTGCAAGCAATTGGATTTCCTCCACCTACATAACGCTCACTGACAACGCAGCGATCAGCACGCAGGCAGAGCGACGTTTGTTTTACGACTGGTTTTTTGAATTCCTCGTTTCATCTCATCAATGACCACGAGATTCCGACTACTTCCTGGGCAACTCCCGCCTGCTTCCAATGCTGGCATTTCGTGGAGAGTTGCTACATCAATCATCCAGTTGTAAGTAGATTTGACAGCCTCACTCAGACCTTCGCCGCAAGGCGGTCCAAGTTGTCTCCCGTCGATGCCCGTCAGTAACAGAGCGACGGTCTCGCTACCCCGTCTTACGAAAAGACCAGGAGTATAAAGGGCACTCCTGCACTCGACTCACTCTATCCTCCACCAGCATGTTCAAAGCCGCTCTCCTCAGCCTTTTCGCCGGTCTTGCCATCGCATCGCCCAGCGCCGTCCATGCCCGCGATGCTCTTCCGGTCCTTCATAACGGACAGAACATCACTTGGGACTACAAAGACGTATTTTTGGATGAGACCAGCCGCTTTGGCATGGGTCTACTTCGAAGCAACGCGGCGCTGCCCCCTACAGTCGTTGCTGATGGGTTGGTCTGACATACAAAGCCTATCTCGGACTAAATCATTTGCAGGTGGGAAGGTCCTGTTGTCCTCAATATCCTTGATCAGGATGTAATTCCGGCGACCTATGTCTTGCAGTACCCCTTCTTCCAGAATGGATCGACCTATAGTGAGTATTTGCCTCTACTAGCACTCCTTCTGACTAGTACACAGCCGCCCAACTCTTCGAATACAATGCCAATACTTTAGCGGTCACCGTACCCCAAGTCCGAAGCACCACGTTTGTGTGGGTTAACCAGCCCGGCCAGAATATCTGAACTACGGTCACGTAAATAGCTGGGAAAGTTGTTCACCAGCATTAAATATATTATACACCAAGAAGTTTCTATATTGTGTGGGCGGCTCCACTGGCTTATGCTTTCGACTTGAGTTTGCGTAGAGATCTTCGCAATGTTGTCTGACGAGATTCCTCCTCGGGTTCTGAGTGGTGATCGGATGTGTCCGACCCCGAGTCTGATTCTCCTTCCGACTCAATCTTTACCGCCCCTTCCTCTTTCTTTACGCGTTTCGATGCGTTTCGCTTGCTCTTTGGCGCAGGGCGCTTCAAAGTCTTTGTCAACGCCGCCTCCGCTTCTTCCAACCTCCGGATCCAGTCCATCGGATAACCGACACACTTGAGGATGGTGAATGGGAGTACGATTCGTCCATCCAGTAATGCAGCCTTCACGCTTGCCTCTGTTGGCACCACCTTCAGGTCGTCATCGACAATATACTCGTTCGCACTCGCAATGCTACGTTTACCCCAATCTTTGGTGATGAAACCTTGGATCCATTCGTCCAGCACTTCGCCAGGAATCTGCGCTGCTTGCTGGGGTGCAATTTCGCCATAACGGGAATACTCGTATGTTCCAAGAAGCCGCCAGTCATTGCTTGATATTCCGTCAACATCTATTAGAGAAAGTATACGCAGACGCACCGGCCTTCTCCCGAAAATATGTTAATAGGTTCTGGTCGATTGGGGCAATCTCTTATGTCCAAAAATGCGATGCCATGCATTCCTGGTGTGGGAAGAGGAGGGTGCCAAGTGCGATTAGGCGTCAGACTGGGAATGGTGAGTAATGATTAGTTGTTCTGGCAAGTCATAAGTACAATGGCGTCCTGGTCGCATTTGAACCAAAATGGTGGTGGACAATTTGCGTGTTACCTCCAAAGGCCTAGCCAGTCTGTGAAAACTTGAACTTGTTCCCAGTTGGAGGAAGACTCACTTTGGAGATGGCTTTACGTGTCCAGCCTTTGGCAATGTATCGAGCAGGGACATCAACTGTCGGGCCAAGATTGAATGCATCGACCGACCAGATGCTAAACCCTTTGTTCTCTGACTTGATGAGTGACACATAGGAAAAGTAGCTTGGCTTTCCCTCTTCTTCCATCAACAGAGGGAGCTGAAACTCTTCTTCCTTTTTCACCTGTACCTGCGGAGACGTTCTGCCCATAGAATTGGTATCAGCAGTCTGGTCAACTTCGTGAGAAGTTTCCAATTGAGTGGGAGTTGGCGATGGAGGTCTGCTGCCAGTGTCCGGTGCAGGAGCAATCTAAACCAAACAAAGCTGCTGCCTTTCATAGCGCTGAATGTAGCTCCTCACTATGCTTTTATCGTCTTCGGCAAGTTGAACATGGCCGTCCAAAAGATTTTTTGACAATGCTGTTTTTGCAGTGAGGGCCTGGGGTCATAAGTTAGTTAATGAACATGTAGAGACGGTCCTTACTCGCTCATCCGGCTCTTTTTTCAATCTGTCAGAAGACATTGACCGCGATTGACGAAAGCAAGACGAACTTGTGGTTGAAGAGGCTGTCACCCATGTCACAAATTAAAGGCTTCGATAGTTGGATCGACAAGCTGAAAATTGATCCGTCTCGCATACGTTCTCTGCAGTCTTCTGCTCATCATGTCGCTCACGAACACAATGACGGTCTTCAAGTTGGCTGGTCTTGGCTTTTCGCTGCTTTCGCTGTTGCATCTCAGGCTGCGGGTGTTCGCGCCGTAGACCAACGGAGACGTCCTCACTTAGGACTACAAAGGCGAAAGTTGCTTACTCGAATGAACTCTTCGGAATGGGTGTCGTTTGCAGCGACCTACCTATTCCAGCATCGATTACTTACTGTGGACGGGTCGGTCTCGTCTTCCTCTCGAGTATCGTCCACTGAAATCCTTGCAGATGCCAGTGGGAAGGCCCTGTCGTTCTCCATCTTTTCAACCATATGATCATCCCAGCGGACCCAGCCACTTATTTGCTGGCCTACTAGTACTCAACGGCTCCATCTACGAATGTTACCATTGCCTAATCCAATCAACAGCCGCACAACTGTTTGAGTACGACACCGAATTCATGTGAGTTAACCAGCCCAGCAAGGACATTTAGATGATGGGCGATGAAATCATTTAAGTAGAGTAGCACTCGACCACTCGCACCACACCCCTGATTACCTTTCCAGGTTGGTGTATGTTGTTCATGCAAGCTTGATGCTCAAACTACCGCCGAGTGGTCTGGGGATGCATATCTTACTAATTTTGAGTTGCTGTATAACACAGCCATTGATATGCCTCTATTGAAGCTGACACACAAGCAGTTTTGATTTGCTTGCGGCGTCCTGGATATTGCGGCTGATCATAGCAGCGCCATTTGAACCATTTTCATCCCCGCCTAGCTCAATCGGATAGAGCGTCAGACTCTTAGATCTTGGGATCTGAAGGCTGCGAGTTCGACCCTCGCGGTGGGCTATCAGTTGTTTTGTCTCCGCGCACCATATGTACATTCTTCGTCCTTAGCGTTAATTCTTGGCAATATTTTATTCCACAGTTTCTTCGCAGTTCCAGGTTTTCTTTTAGTCAGTGTTGTACCTAGGCATGTGCACTGGACAAAACAGGGTTTCTACGTCGTCGTCGTCACTCAGTCTGAATGAATAAACTTGGTTGTGATTGCAGACCAAATCAAAAAGGGGGGGAAGGAAAAAAAGAACAGATAGCCCACCGCGAGGGTCGAACTCGCAGCCTTCAGATGCCTTAAACAGACGTCTGTAAAAGTCTGACGCTCTATCCGATTGAGCTAGGCGGGGTTGAAGTGCGTCGCAAAATCGCCGCCAGGTCACGCTGTCCACACTCCTACGACAGTTCACGCGACTTCCACTTTCGGCATGTACACTAACACAATTTACCGTCAGACCTAACGTCTTGGGGTGTTTTACAATGAATGTACAGGCATATAGATACAACAGAATCAGACACCAACTCTGTAAGATGTCAGTCAGGCCCTAGTAACGGCGATGAAGAACAAACCTATGAACGACTTTTTTCTACAAGAGAGTGAATATCATGATATCACGGCGTGGAAAAGAGCATTATTGCTTACCTGGCCGGTAAATCGTATGACTTCACTCTTCTCCATCACAAACAAGGTCCGCTCTAAGGCGTGGCTTGAATAGCCTTGTTGTGTCACAAACTCCCGCACGAGACTCTGATAGCTTGTGCTCCATCCGACAGGCAGTCGCCGGCGTAGTTCGCGTTCAATTTTGACCATTTCGTCGTTGAGTTCCCCTCGAGTTAGGCCGTCTGCCGAACCAGCCGAAACAGCATCCATCGTGGAGAATTTGAACAGACGAATAGCCTCCTCTACATGATGATTTTGGACGGTGGTCGAGAGTGTCATCTTTGCCAGCGATTCTGATATCCGAATGATGGCTTCTAGTTGTCTGTCTGTTCTTCAGCCGGAATTCGCATAGTATCAGAGTATGAGGGGTACCGGATGGTAATAGGAATAGAACTGCGCTCATCATTATCCCGCTCGACTTGCTGCACTTGTTTACGCAAGCTAACAAAGTGACTGCTCAGCATCTCTTGGGCTTCGGAGGACAGTCGTGGTGCGCATTTGCTGCGAATTGGCTTAGAAATCCATGTCCAATGGGGAAGTAAGGATGAACCTCTTGCAGTAGGCAATATACCGCTTCATGACATCTAAACTTAGTTCCCCAACGACTTGATCGGCATTATCTTCTGGTCGGTTCATCTGAATGTTCATAACGTGTCGAGCTATCATCTACACCAGTGTGTGTGAGTCGGTGGGCCCAAAACAGCGAAGGAAAGTGCTCACCTTGTCCCGTTGTTCATTGTGCTCGTCTTTGACAATGAAAATCATATCAAATCGAGACAAGATTGTGGTTTGAAAGTCGATATTCTAAGACTATGTCATCCGACGCAGAAAGACGAATTTGGACACGAACCTCGCCTGGACTACGACCTTCATCATACCGACCAAAAACGGGGTTAGCCGCAGCCAGAACACTTGTCCTTGAGTTGAGTACGGTGGTAATCCCTGCTTTCGCTATCGAGATTGTTTGTTGTTCCATCGCTTCGTGAATTGCGACTCGGTCCTCATCCCGCATTTTGTCGAACTCGTCAATGCAGACGACGCCCGTGTCAGCAAGTACCATCGCACCGCCCTCCAGGTAGAATTCACGCTGATGGACTTATGAAAAGTCTTCGGTGATGTTGGAACTTGACTTACAGAAACAGTGTCGCGTTGGACAGATGCAGTCAAACCAGCCGCACTAGATCCTTTCCCAGAGGTGTAAACCGCAATTGGTGCAACCTTTTCAACAAATTTGAGAAGCTGACTTTTGGCCGTCCCAGGATCGCCAAGGAGAAGAACGTTGATGTCGCCTCTCAGTCGCATACCATCAGGAAGTACTTTCTTTGAGCCACCGAATAAAAGGCAAGCAATTGCTTTCTTGATATCTTGACGATATATTAGCGGAAATCGAAGGTGGAAAACCCAAAGGCCGTACCCAGACTGCCGAAGATACTTGGAGCGACGCTACGGGCGAAGCGCTCGTAGAATCCTTCGCTTCGGGCCATCGCTCCGAATTCTTCCTCCTCTTCTGGTGTAAACTGGAGACCAAAAGGATTCGAGGAGGAACTCGTGGGTCCTGAGGATAACTCAAGATGAACTACACGAAGGTACGGTTGGCGCAGAGCCGTGGCACCCGCATTCTTCTGTGGCTTGTTCGAGACATATCACGCTTGTATCAGTTTGTGAAATACCTTCTTTGCTGATTGGAATGTCGAGTAAATGCCGGTCGCGATTATTCGCGAGCCAGGTACCACCTTTCCCGTTAAATTCCGATCGACTGAAAGCAACATATGTCTGGGTAGCTCTCCGACGGGAACCATATCTGGAGCCTCTTGGAGTTTGAGCGTTTGTTGATCCGCGAAGGTCGACTTGGAGTGGACGATGAGGTATGGGTCGAGTGGACAGTCTTTCTTCTGTCCAGCAGGTGCTTGTGAATCACATTGGCGAGGAAGTCCGCGATCTGAGCCACCACCGACCCCGCCCATTCCACCAGCAGGATATATCTCTTTCGGCGTGCGGCATGAACGACATTGTAGGTGAAGTTTCGTGGCACGAGACGAAAGGACTGAAGCAGAGATGACGATTCCAGGTATTCGGACGAGTTTGTTCATAGTATTGGCTGTCAAATCGCGGAATTGAAGCAGTGAAAGTCCAGAGCGAAGGCTGATTTGTATATTGGGAATGGCCGCGACAGCCTCATCCATTGTTTGCCTTCTCATAGATTCCCCGCCCACAACACCGACCAGAGGGAAAAGAATGGATCGAGCCGCTTTTGTTGCTGCGTTTTCAAGCTAGACAAGGACTCGGTATGATTGGAGGTAATATTTAGACGCGTCACATACCAGGGGAAGCGTTTCTGAGGGCGTGTTCTGGATTACATGAACTAACTCTTCGTTGTAGAGGTTGATATGCTTGAGGTCGACTTCGAGAACCAATTGTCTCATGAGAAGATTTGCCCTCAATTTGTCCCTACGCACTGAGTATCAAAGAAACAGTGAATAAGGGGTGCAGACGCGTACCGATATATGAATTCTCCACCCAAGCGAAACTGCAACAGGAAGTCCAATAAAAGCTTCTCTGTTTCTGCAGGAGAGTCGGGGGAGATTGCGGGTGCTGGATCATGGGCTTGCACCGTGAAATGACGGTCTTTGTCATATCCAGACATGCTAAACGCAGTTTAACGCGACTTTATCGTTTAGATGAATGGGAACGCGGAATTCGGGACGTCCACTTGAAGGGAGAGGGCAAACACGAATGGTCACGCGTTACCACGCGTTACCGTGACGCCACTCAAGTCATCGACACCGCCATGAGCGCAATGGACACTGATGAGCCCTCTGTGGTATCGAGTTCTACCGCAACTGGTCTGACGCTCTCCCTGTCAGCTACCCCCATGCCTTTCATCCCAAACCTAATCCTCTTTCTCCAGTCACCCGCTCCCGATTCTCAACATCTCTGAGCACTTGACAAGGCTCAAACTACAAACAAATTCCCCCTCTCCCTTTGGTTGGTCCGATATGAACGATTTAACGTATATCTGACCTCAGGATAGTTCTTGGTGCGCTGCTTGGAACCCAAAATGGGCGAGAGGTTGAGATCGTGAATACTTTTGAGCTTGCGGTCGAAAATGGGGGTGAAGTCGTGGACCATGGTTTCCTCGTTTCCCGACGTGATCAATGTCGGTGTGAATTCCTCGATTCCTTTATAGCCGCTCAGATCGACTTGTGCAGACAAACAGGTGTTTCCCTCGCTGGAATTCATTGGGTGGTACACGGTCGCACAGCGTCCAACGTCTCGCCATATCGCGCTCCACGAACAAGTTGCTCTATCGCCGGAACCTATATTCAGCGCTGACCCCTTTGATCTAGTTTACAGGGTACTGCTCGACACCGTTGCTGTTGACTCTTCAGCCTGCGATGAGTCTTGTCGCGAGTTCTGATGTCAACGCTCAGAATCTGCCTTTTAAAGCATATGAACCCACCATAGAACTCCGAGACAGGAAATCGCGATCAGTGTTCATTGAAGTACCGTTCAGTGTGGAGACGGGTGAGGCGGAACGCATTGCAGTCGATTGGACAGCACGTGGCGGGGGGAGTGGAACAAGTCGTGAGTGTGGTCTGTCTGTTCTCTCACAAATCAATATGCCCTCTTTTCAGTCGAGTCTCATCTTCACACTCAACGCGCCGCTGTGAAGATGCTACACGACCGAATCATGGTCTTAGTCAGATATGTCAGCGAGCTCGTAGCTGGTAGGCTGTGGTTTCTTCCAGGGCCATTTTCTCAACGCAACAATTAAGGGCGAGCCCACAAAGATCATGCGACACTACGAGCACTCTCGGCCCTGATTGCGTCTTTGCCTGCAACAGAAAACCTTGCCTTCCGTCAAGAGTTTGAAACGGTACTTGAACCTTTGTGCTGCTGAAAGCTTTCCCTTGACATTACCGCGTCAGGAATACGAGGATGTCCAATTAACAGCTTTCTTATCCTCCTTGACTAAATCCGCCAACATCCTGAATGACGTAAGTCACTTCATTTTTCTAATGCCAATAATTTCACACCCTCCTTACAGCTTGTCGATAAGCACATTGTGGTGACGAGTGGAAACCATGAACGTGGGCCTGGTGGACCCAGACGACGCGGGATGGGCATGGGTATGGGTCGCCACAGTGAATGGGACCGCCACTAGCCTTATTTTCTCGTGAATTTGTACTGCCAGAATGATGTAGAATACGCCTGGAATGCCAGATAGTTACAAACAAACGACTACTTTCCGCGGACTACAATTGTTGCGTCTTTGATCTGTGAGGACCGAAGACCAGCTGCACCTTTTATTTTCTTCCATATCCCATTCGAAGATCGCGATGAAGAAAGACTAGAAGATAGACCGCTGCTTGGAGAGTGTGACAGTGACGACGATGTGGCACTCGATGATAGTGAAGAGCCTAGCGATTCCGACATCTTGGGCTTGGGCATCGGCATTGGATTCGTCTTGGACAACGGCACAACATTAACCTCATTCGGTGGAGCGATTATCGGAGACACGCGTCTTGCAATGTCAGGAGATGGGTAAATTTCTGGCTCGGCTTCGCTGTCCTGTTCCTCTGGAACTGATGCTGGTTCGCCAGGGTGAGAGCGTCTTTTGGGATGTTTTTCATCTTCGAGTTCGAAGACTTCGCCTTGTCTGGATTCTGACTGGTCAAGCCACGTGTTCCGGGCGGAATGGGGGGAATTAATTGTGGTAGCCCCAAAGTCCCACGAATCGATAGTGCCATGGAGCGAGCCACCACGAATGATTCGTCGTTCTTGCCGGTGGGTGAGCGGCGGGAGATCCTCTGAGAAAGAATCAGTATGTGCCATGGAATCGAGAATACAACACACTCAGAATAGCATTGACAAGATAAGACTTCTTCTTCGTTGATTTGAAGAAGGGACTTTGCAAGAGTTCGTGCGCCGTGGGCCTGGGATTGAAGTCAGCGGAGCTGTGCTGTACAACTAAGCAGAGAGTTGGGACCGTTTGACTGGGTCCTTGACTAAACAACTATCGACAAGTTCTTTGAAGCTGCGAGAATATTTGTGGGTGCCGCCTTCTCGATCCAAAGTTGGCGGAGCTTCCTGAATGCTGGAAGGATGCATATAGGCAAGACGGTGGAGAGAGTACAGAACTTAGGCGTACATTTTTAATAGGACTTTTTGAGGGGATTCTCTGGACCGAGGTGGGCGTCCTTGAGCTAACTCGAGCCTAGTTGGGTTAGATCGGCTTCATGTTTCGCTCAGAAACCTACGCAGTAATACCAAAACTCCAAATATCGGCGGATGAATCGTAGTGTCGAGCCTCGATTACTTCAGGGGCCATCCAACAAGGCTAGCAAAGAAAAGTGTCATTTAATCAAGTCAAGATGACCGACGGTTGACTGACTGTGCCGACGAATGACTTGCGCTTGCCTACCTTGGGTCGGGTTCCGGTGGTTTGAGCTTCGAATGAGATGCGTTTTGCACTATGGGCACTACTTCCACTATGTTGGAATCTGACCGCTGCTTCTGCACTGACGATACCAGGTCGCTTATGGGAAGATGGGCTTTTCGAGGTATCCTCGGTTAGGTCTGCGGCCACACCAAGATCGCCGAGTAGGACTGTTCCGTCGTCTGAGGCAGGATGAATCTGAGCATGATATATTCGTAAAATCACAGACCGTCGACAAGGAGGTTCGCTGCCTTGACGTCTCGATGGATAAATCCATTCACGTGCAGATAGTTGAGACCTGGAACAGCTTATTAATATGAAAGACAAATCGATCGGAAAAGAGTCCGTACCTTGCAGGGCTTGTTCAAGAATACAACGAATGACGTCCTCTTCCATGCCGCCCGGCCAACCATACCGCATGATATCAGCAGCGCTTCCTCGATTCATAAGACGCAATGCAATGAACAATTTATGGTTGTCCAGCCACGACCCACGAACCCGTAGCACGTTCGGGTGTTTAGACAAAGACATCAAAGTTGTTTCACGTTGCAATAGAGCAAGACTGATAAAGATTGATCAGGTGCCCCTTAGAAAGCGGAAAACACACGAATGAGGCGCTATCTCCGCCGGTGCGGTTAGCGCGCAGAAAATAGGGTGGGGTAGAACATACGCAGCGCGTCGAGATCGAGCACTTTAAGAGCGCAAGGGACACATTTTCCGGGATGTGAAGAGTACTCTGCTGCATAGACAATGGAAGATGCGCCAAATCCAATTGGAGCACCGATGGTATAGTCTTGCCGTAGTGTTAATAACGAAGACTATCTCGCTTGTTTCGAAACTCACCAGAGGACTTGTCGCTAAACAGTTCATATTCGTCCTTCACCGCACCGATGAAAGCAGGGACAGAAGAGGCTGGCGCCATTGGATGAATTGGTTTGGGAGTTTAGCGTCGTGGTTGTAAGCAGAGTGGTAGACTGAAAGGGTTGGTTGTCACGCAATCGGAGGTATCGTTCCGAGACAGTAGGCCGCGGGGTATATATCAGAATGTGTCCGTTTATGCTCTGTGTGTTTAAACGGCTACCGTGCCTGCTTAATGAGCCTAGAGGCAGGAAGATCACTCGATTCTCTTTATTGGGTGCCGTAAAGAGCATCGGGATAGGAACGTTGACTTTCTTGGCGTGACCTTGATTTCGCCGCCTTTTTTCTTTCTTGCTCTGAATAAATCAAAGCTCCGAAAAAGCGTTGGTCGAAGGCGAAGATGGTGGCAAGAGCTCAAGGGTGGGTTCTGCGCGTGGTCGATTGTGACCTGTCAAACAATTCGTTGATCGACCAATCAAAATCTCCCAGTTGCTCCTGACGACGACGACCAGCCTTCCGCCACGATGGCGCCCGGCACCTCGCAGCAGCCGGCCAAGTACCAGTATGTGTACACTGCTGGGAAACCAAAGATTCTTCCCGTCGACGAGGTCCCACAAGGAGAGGAGAGTCCCGCTGAATACAATACTGGTGGCTATCTCCCTGTAAGACTCACCGATACTTTCAAATCCGGTCGGTATACTGTTGTCCGGAAACTAGGGTGCGTTTTACAAATCATTCTCTTTTTTCGTTGCTCATAGATCGAAGCTGGGGCCATTTTTCAACGGTTTGGTTGGTCAGGGACACTGAACGCAATCGACACTCCGCCCTCAAAGTGGTGAAATCAGCTGGGCGCTATGCAGAGACCGCGAGGGACGAGATCAAGCTGCTTTCTCGAGTAGCTGCTGCTTCGCCCCTCCATCCTGGTCGACAACACATCGTCTCGTTCATGGACTCGTTTTCACACGAGGGCCCGGAGTCATCTCATATTTGCATAGTATTCGAACCTCTCGGCGAAAATCTCCTTGCTCTAATAGAGAGAAATCGTCGCAAGGGTGTCCCTCGTGCGTTGGTCAAGGTATGTTCATTGCTTCCTACGTTTACAGAGGCTTACAGCCGTCAGATCATAGCAAGACAAGTTCTCTTGGGCCTCGAATATCTGCATGACGAATGTGATCTGGTTCATACCGACATAAAGCCGGAAAATATACGTGAGTAATTATCTAGCTTGACCTTTCTTCTTTTGATCACACAGCAGTCATCTCGATTCCTGATGTGGAAGAGTATATCTGCAGCGAACTGATTCATTCGCCATCTCCCACTTCTCGTCGGGTTGGCGTTCCCCCTCCAAAGACACGACCTTCGGTGTCAATACCTCAAACACTTGCACGGTCGCGTCGACAGGTCCAGATCTTCGACTCGCAACCCCTCGCCAGTCCAGGCAGCCGAAGCAGTGGTCTCGGGAGTCATAGTGGCCCTAATAGCGTCAGCAGCAGCTACGTTTCCCCCATGCAAATGTCACATATGGCCAAGTATGGTGTGAATGGGCTCTCGTCGAGCGCTCCAAAAGTCCCAAGTGGACTTTCAACATCTGCTCCCCGAAACCTAGTCCCTGTATCTTCCAAATCAACCCCCGTCACTGCTGCTTCGTCACATGCCAATTCTCCCATCTCACCGCCTTCTACCTCCTCCTCGTCGTCGTCCATATCGTCCACACCCTTTACTGCGGCAGACTCGGTGAACACTCCCCCCACTTCACTATCGAATTCCTTTGCAAGCGCTATGGTTGGTCTCTTGCAGGCGACCAAAGAGCCCGGCAAGAGTAAAGCTGTGTCATTGAACTCGACGTTCAAGGAGCCAGCTGGCCTGCCCATGAAGAACAAACGGCAGTCCGTCATGGAGTCGGAGTTGGAAGATGCCCTCTCAACTTCATGGAAAGAGAAGCTTGGTTTGACCTCGGCATCACTATCACACAAAGCAAACTCTTCCATCAGTGCTAAACCCAAGTTACCGAGGGGACATACTAGGTCAAGCTCAGGCATATCTGTTTCTAGTTCTTGGAAGGATCCGGGTCTTTCAGCGCCAGCGCCTGCTGTTGTTGTATCTGCCGTTGTGCGAGCAGATGGCGAGCAACAAGGCGACTACTTCCAGCTTGCGAATAGTCTTTCTGAAAGCCAGGCACCTACCCCTGCCTCGTCACAGAGCTCTTCTGCAACTGTCACGAAAGCCCATCCATCTCCAAATCTAGATTCACAGCCAGGCAAAGCGGCGATCAAAGTGTCGAATCCCAATCCTTCCCTCCTCTCCCAAACAGCCCCACGGACGCGAACAACTGTAGCTGCCCATGGCGTACTACGTGTTTCGCCACCTTCCTCCCATATTTCACAACTATCTGCTCATATGCATGTCCATGCCCCGCCCCCGTCTCCCTCAAATGGTAGAGTCGATAGAACATCATTGCCGCTTTCTCCTTCGTCTGCCACATCTCTGACACCAACTGCAGCAAGCCCTCCAATGGCAAGCCCTCCATCTGATTTACCTCTTCCTCATCTTCATACTCCTGCCTTGGCATTACCTCAACCTCGACCGCCTCTTGCTCCACAAATATCCGTCAAGATTGCCGACCTAGGCAATGCCACTCCTTCGAAAAAGCATTTCACGGAGGATATTCAAACGCGTCAATACCGATCTCCTGAAGCCATCATTGGCCGCAAAGATTGGGGCACACGGGCTGACATATGGAGTGTGGCCTGCCTGGTAAATGTTTCTGTACCCGTTATAGTATTTGGCGCTAAGCGTACTCAACAGGTGTTTGAACTCCTCACGGCCGAGTTCCTTTTTGATCCTCAAGGCCAGATCGACTTATTCACCAAAGACGACGATCATATGGCACAGATCATTGAGCTACTCGGCGACTTCCCGCTTGAGGTGAAAATGGGCGGGAAATATAGTCATGAGCTTTTTGATTCAAGCGGCTCGCTCCGATACATCAAAACGCTCAAGCCTTGGCCCCTGCAGCGTGTCATGACCGAGAAATATCTTTGGAGTGATGACGATGCGGCAGTTTTATGCACTTTTTTGGAGCCGATGCTGGCTGTCGACCATCGAAATCGTGCCAGTGCCAAAGACATGCTTGACCACCGATGGTTGGAAGTTTTGGATGTGGATGATGATGCGGTGGGTGAATGGTGAGCGCAGCCGATCTCTCTAGAGCGCATTAGACTTGGTTTGGTTTTTTTACCTTATTATTCAATTGGTCTACTCTACGATTGTTCCCCCTCTATATACCTACTAGACTTTGGCTGTACTTGTAAATATGGACTCGTAGACGCGTTGATCGGAACACAATGCCGCGTGACAAAGACATTTGGTTTTGCGCTGACGCGTCCACGATAAAACGCGTCACTTGAGAACGCGCGTCCCATACAAGTAAGACGCCGACCACCACCCAGACTCAATCATGGCTTCCTCAACCACCTCGCCAATAGAACTCGATATGGATGTGGAGCTCGATATGGACGACCATGACAATGCGGCATTGCAAGTTTACGTCGACGCTATGCCCTATTCCTGCGAAACAACGTCAGTCGTTTGCAGAAGAATCATCCAGTCATACTGAATAATATTCAGCGCCGAAATGAACTCCAAGCTTGCTGACATCGTTGCAAAGATGCACATTTGCGTGAAGGCCAAACAATGGTTTGTCTTGTCTACATGGGATGGCGTTTTAGAAAGGTCCGTGTGTCGCTCATACGAAGGAGATTTCTCACAATATCAGCTGGCTGCTCATGCGCTACCCCATTGCCAAACCACTCCGCGCCAAACTGGCCCGTCTCTATTACGAACTCATTCTGTTACCGGGGATTGAGGTCAGAGGACATGAGCGCTCTCGTTGCAACTTTGTTGACAACTATTGCAGGCGCGGACATGCCGAAACTGGGTTCATATGTTTAATCGTGTTCTTGCAAACAAGCCTGGGATTCCACGAAAGCTGGAGCCTAGTGACCTCCAACTTCCGTGGCAGCCACTCTGGACGATGGTCAAGAAGGAGCTATGGCCGTCGGGCCGGAAGCGCACCGATCTCGCTGGTCGAAACATGATAAATCTACTCTTATTCACAGCGGAACATGCGCGCCCATACTTCCCCCCCAGCGAGATACCGGAAATGCTGTCTGCCTTTTTACCTCTGGTCACTAGATCGGTTAGTCCCCCCGTCCGCCTCGGAATAGTCTTGCTTACTGACTTGATTAGACTATGCTTGGGATGTTTCCCGTCCTAGTCTCCTTCCTTCCACCAACACACACACACCTCTATCTTCCAGCCCTACTTACTCTTGCTAGAAGTTTCAACTCGACCATTCTAGATGAACGCCTACTTGAGCTAGCAGGGGAACTTTCTGAAGAGCATGTTGCTGGCGCCGCTGGCCCCGCAGGCGAGGAAGGCGGCGCTAAATGGAAAGATATCGGCATCTACACTGAAGCCGATTGGAACTTTATCGTTGGGAAAGGTGAGCTTGTTTCCGTCACAAGAGCTCGTCATCAATCTTGCTAGGTTTAACCTCTATGGATGTACCTGTGGGATCAAATCGGGTAAGGAGGACGAAGAACAACGAACTGATCACTCATATCTCCTCAGAACGCGTCCACAACTTCATCTCATGCGGATGCTCAACACAAATGGGCCTTGAAGATCAAGAAGAATATCAGTCGCCAGCGTGTGTAGCTCTGTCGCAGTCAGAAATGCTCTAATGTGTTGCCTTCAGAATCGCTAGCTAGAATGCTAGTCTATTCTATGGCTGTCGATGGACCTGTTCGCGAAAGTTCTGCACCAACTCCACGCGCCGGAGGCGCGAAACTCATCCAGCCTGTCGGCTTTGTTGCTGGTTCAAAGGCATTGGACACCCTCGACCGCATTATCACGAGTTTGGAGACATTTTTTCATCCTTCGAACTCCGGTATGATGTCGCATTTCCATGTGTAGACTGACCTAAATCTGCCTTTTAGGTTCATATACCATTGCGGTACAAATTCAACCATGAATATTCCGTTTTTTGCTAATAGATTGTAGTTAACGTCGTTCCTGCAATATCTTTCCGCCTTCTTTTGTCAGAGAATACGGGAAGAAGAGCAAGGCTCGTGTCGGACACCAGTGGTGCGTCTTGGACTGCACGGTGGATGCATCCTCATCAAGCACAGACTCAACGACTCACTCCCGCGATTCGTCGGTCATTTGTCAGTATCTTACGGACACCTGCTCTTCTGGCAATGTTTTCCAAAGACCCTATGTCCATGGCATGTGCTCAGGCAACTCTCCGCGCTTTGGCTGTACTCGAGCCCAGCCTCATCATTCCCGAACTTTTGGAGCGGAGCTACAGTGGACTGGAAGTCGTCAATGAGACTCATCGAACCACCGCAGTCCTGACGATGCTCAACGCCATCTCTCGGACACTAGTCACAGAAAAACTGTATCTTGGCGGTCAAAAGCATCTGGTGCCATTGCTGGAGTTGAGTTTACCTGGCATTGATTTGAACGATGCGGGAAAGACTTCTTGTGCTACTACTTTTATCGTCTCCGCCATTCAGCACATCCGCATTGGAGACCTATCAAATAAAACATCGGGTTCTGCATTCGACGAGGAGCTCATGGAAGTAGATGGTACCGATTCTACACCATTTCCATCGGGAACAGAACCAGGCGATGTACCAATGCTCAGCAAAGACGAAGAACGAGCACTCGTACGCGACAGTACAGCGGCCTTCGCAGACTGGGTCACTGCTCTCTTCAGACGTGTATTGGCTTTATACGAAAATCTTCCTGAAGAAGGTATGTCGAGCTTATTTTCACCACCTCTCTGCATTAATAATAATATCTTCAGGCGGTCGTCGGAATACCACAGGCGGAAAAACGGAAGGTCTACATTTCTGCTTTGTTTAGTTTCGAGTTGTTGACTCGTTTCTCAGAGACTGTGCTGAGCTCCATCAAGAGTATGATCGATATAGTTTGTCTTCACTTAGACGAAGCGCTCTTCGATCTCGTGCTCAAACTAGTGTTTGACTATGGAACCACCAATGCCAAATCAAATGTTGTCAAGGCGTTCGGTCAACTCGTTGGGTGTCTGGCCCGCGTGCGACCTGATGAAACTCTGGCCAAATTTTTACCCCATTGTATTGCATCAGTCGAGGAAGAGCTCCGACATGGTGCTTCGAGTGTGAGGACCACTTCTGCAGGAACGGCAGTCCCTTCAGATACGACGCTTCATTGGAGTACGCCGGAATCACTGCAACTAACCCTATTGGAATTGAATGATTTCTAGACCTTGCCATCTTACGGGGCTGTCTCGGGCACTCCGGGCCGGCGCTTCTCAAGTACAAGGAACAGATACTAAGTCTCCTAGAGTTGCTCGTCGACAAAACTAAAGGCGAAAGAGGCTATAGTAGCACGGGACGCTTGCTCTCGCGCATTCTTCATGTTGCCAGTGTCTACCCGATCAATAGCAGGTTTTTGAATAGTGCGGACTGGCATAATCCAGGTTTGTCAAACCACAATTCTTGCCACCAGTACCTCAAGAGCTACAGCGACGGAAAGCGCAGCCTATTGGGGCAAATTCTATGAGGGCAAAGACGTCGTCATTGAATGGCATGGTATGCCGTGATATCATCCTTTGATGTCAACTAATTTTGTCTCTTAGTGCCGTCGGCAGCTGAGATCAGCTTTGTTCTGGAGATCATCGACAGAATTGGGACTCCAGCTCTCAATAAAGTAGAAGAACTCATAGCAACGATGGGAACTTGGGACTCAGCAGCACGTAATGACTTCTGTCGCTATTTGCATGCTTGTCGCTCGGCACGTGACATTGGCTTTTTTCCTGGCTGTTGTTAAGTTCTCCCATAGATTTGGGGAGGACTGCCAACTATACTGAAGGAACAGTCCAAGACTGTTCCTAAAGCTCTTGTTCGTCCGGATACCGAGATGCAGGAGCTCCTTGTCTCGCATATCGATGTTGAGGCGGGCTTCGCTCTGAAGGACCCTTCTGATCCACGATATCGAACGGTAAGCAAATGTGCACCTCTTTTACAATGTAATTCCGCTGAGCTATATAGGTTCTTGATGCTCGTCTGCGCTTTGGTGATGTTGTTCAGCGTGCCGCCAATGCCTTGAGGCAAAATACTGGTGGCGAAGACCACATCGATGCCATTCTCGGTGTCGCTCGATCTATAGACATTTATTTGCTGTCGGTCCACGTTTATTCTCAGTTCGTAGTCATCCCAGCTGATGAAATCGGTAGGACCTATGCAGTGACCAGAACCACGGCAGAGGCGTTGCACAAGAATTACACACAAGCTCGCGAGTATGACCCTCATCGAGAAGGCTTTATCTCTTCTGACACTTGCTCAGTGCGAATCGAATATGGTCCCAGCAAAAAGATAATTCCCGCTTAGTGTTCATCAAACGCGCCCACGTGTTCCATTGCAACCGGCTTTATATGCACAGCTTGTATCGACAGCGTTCTGCTCTGGATGACAAGCTTATCGACGAACTCTTGGAACTGTCCCTTTCCCCATATACGCGTATTAGGCGGTATGCCGGGTCCCTATCATGAGAATATTTCGACTCAACGTAGCTTAGATCTGCCCAGGGTATCTTCAACAATGTTTCCGCGGTCTACCTTCGATCCACTCGCTATGCTCTCCCGACCCTTTTGGGAGCACTTTCAAGGGGAAACGATCCTGATCGCATGAAAGGTGCACTATATGTACTGGCGAACAAGCCAATTAGTGAGCAATATATCCAACAATGTCCGGCGTGAACTGACGTGTTTTCGAGTGATGTACGCTGTCGGTGGTATGTTGCATTACTCAGTTTCTCTGGCCTAACACTTGAGAATAGATCTTACCTATTACAACCAGCTACATATCGCTTTATTGGAATGTCAACACGAGGAAAAGGTGACTCCTTCCAAACTCAAACTCCTTGCGTTCTCAAATCGAATGTTCTAGCCATCCATTCAAAAACTCGTTTCGACACTGTCGGCAGACTGTGCGTCACAAACTCGAGAAGAGGACGGCCATACCGACGCGTATACACTGGAAACCCAACGCGTCGAAGAGGCTGTAGCGTCGCTAGACGCAGAGTTATCTGTGACAATTGACCCACAACTCCTCAAAGAGGCCAAGCTCAAGGGAGAAGCTCGAACTCGTTTGCGCAACTCCACGCACGCAGCCATGGTAAGTCGCCTCTCTTCTAAAATTCCGCTACCAACACGTTTCAGATGAATTCCTTCCTCGAGATAGCGGTTCGGCCTACAACACACGTACGTCGCTCAGGCTGTCTTGAAAGTTTCCAGTTACACTGAGCTGGCCCTACCTGCAGTGGAGATACGTCCAGATGGCCCTCCGCTTTCTCTCAGCACATCTCCGCCGAGATGTCCCTCCAGTCCCAGGCGTGGGACAATTCTTCTTGAAGAACGCTCTTAGCCCTCAGCCAACAATTCGCAGTACAGCTCAACTTGCTTTAGTCAAGATGATGGGATTCATCAAAATGAGAAGCTACGCCAAGTCTTTTGAGGAACTGTGGATGGACGAATGGAAACACCCCCTGGAAAGGACGGTTCAAATACATGATCCTATTGTCTTCATGAACTCTCTTTTCACGGCAGACTCGTGAGTGTGGATAACCTTCGTTACCCACCTTCTAACGGGATTTGTAGGCTCTATGTCGATAAAATTCAGACTGGGTTCGTATTGTGGAAAGCCGGCGTTAAAGGCTATGCTCCGGTTACTGGAGATGCGAAAGCTGTTACATGGGAGAAGGACTCACAATCAACCCTTCAGGCTGTCGGAGACCTCATCTCTGCTGAATACTTTCAGCAATTGGCCTTGTTGTGGAGCCAGGAATCGCAGAAAGCAGGTGTTGACCTTCGGGCAGACAACGTCGCTTTCATCAAGACTCTTGGTTTGTTTGTTTCCGATGTGGTTGACCTCCCGTGACGACTTTTCTTCCAGCTAAAATATTCGAGGGCACCATCCTACAAAGTGTACTGACGACAGTTGATCCGTTGCTTTCTGACCCCGACAAGTTCAAACAACGAGCCGGAGGTCCATTTTCCCTATGTGCACTGGATCTTGTCATTGAATCCACACAGCTGAATTCCTCACGGGCCTATGGCGAGGGTCCAAACACTGGCCACAACCACTTCACCACGAACTTTGGACATGGAGTATACCAAGGCTCAACTCGATACTCTCACAAATCAAACCGGATACGTTCCCTCTCTGGCAAAGTGCCATATCGGTGTGGTTCGATCTCGATGTGACTCCGCAACGATTAAAACTCTCTGTAGCTTCAGATTCAAGATCGCGATCCTCGGCGCAATCAAGCACTCATTGACTGGATTCTCAGTCTTCCCCTTGATTTCACCGGCGACTCTGCGTTTGCTAGTGAGAGAACTTGTTTTATCAATCAACCTTGATTCAATTTGAACAGTGAGCAAGTCGTTATATCTTTTTGGGCTGGTTGCAGATGGCCTTAGTGTTCGATTCCGGCCGCGAGCGGATCAGTCAGTCAACCTGTTGTTCGACAATGCCAATAACGGCTACAACGAAGTGCGCAGATTTTTTTCTCCTTTCTATGAATATTTTAATGATAATAACATAGATACGAGCACATATTTCGGCGTATTTGCATATTTTAATCAGAGACCAATGGACTCCGTCCTACCCTTCGCTCAAAGAGTTTTTATTGGCTTGTGAGAGCTCTCCCGATCCGTTGGGTTTACGGTGTGTTTTGTTTGCCCAGTGAAATGTGTCATTCATCTCACCAACAGTGTCGCCAAATATGATGGACGCGTCAAAGATATTCTCAGCAAACTCCCGAAACTCAAGGAAGAGCGACTTCCCCCGCCTCGAGTCAGCCAATCAGAGGTAAGTTGCCGTTTGATGTTGTCCTTCCATTCTCAATTGTGCCAAGTATGACAAAATCGGCTTGACCCTTCTGCAATGGCTATGGATTTCTGCTTATAGCTCCAACCCTGCGTTGATCTTTCCTTATGCGGTGCCGATGATGTCCGTCGTCTTCGAATGCATACCACGCGCTGACACTTGCGTAGGCCAGAGATTTTGCGGATGTCTGAGCTCAACGATAGTTCCGACCTCCAAGTCTACAGTTCCGCCGTTCTCTACGTGTTGTCTGCAGTGGCCGTGCCAGATGTCTATGTTCCCGATATATTGAAGGTCAGTTTACGAGTTGTACTCTGTTCTTGTGACAAGAATTACTCAGAACTTCGTCGACGCCATAAAATCCTCGACTGTGAGCCGCTTCTCATGAAATCTGCGACTCTTTTTTAATGGCCAATCTAGTCCTGGCGCATTCGTCTGCATGCCTTACCTGCGCTTGTAGTCTTCTTCTATCGCAATCTCCTTTCGATCTCGTCAACAGGTGTAAGCCAAGTTATGGACGTTCTTCTAGATTGTCTGGGCGACGAGAACGTAGAAGTGCGACAGATGGCGTCCAAGGTTCTTTCCGGAGTTGTGCGTTGCTCACAACGACAGAGTATCGTCCCACTCAAGGTGCGAAACCATCTAGCTCAATTGACCAACTCGATTGAATTTCCATTTCAGAACCGCTTCCTCGCCTTGGCGCGGAAAACGACGCTACCAGCGAGAAGGGACCCCGCCTATGCCGACTCACTTCGGGCATTGCATTCGGCCATTCTAGGGCTATGTGCGCTTATTGAAAGCTTCCCTTACTCCGTGGAGCCTTGGATGCCTCCTCTAACTGAAAGTAATTCGGTCTACAATCGTTTCTGGCGCTACTTTGACCGCTCCGAATAGTTCTGGCGGCTCATGCGAGCGACCCGCCGCCTATCTCCACCACTATCAGGAACTGTGCTTCCGAGTTCAAAAAGGTGAGTGTGAAAATTTGAGAAAGAGACCTCCAGTAAACGAATGCCCTTCTTTCCGCCGCTTGTGTAGACACATCAGGTACGTATCGATTCATTTCACCTGCTAGCACGTTGACTCAATCGCCACGATTAGGACACCTGGCACAAGGTGAGGAATGTCGCCGGAAAGAAGGGCAAGAGATTGACAGGCTTGTCTAGGATCAGTTGTTGTTCGACGAAGACCAGTTGCAGAGTCTGTCGAGCATGTTGGTGGGAACCTCATACTGTGAGTTTTCACTTTGAGGGGGAAACTTTGTGGATTCTTAGATGCACCTTTTTAGACGCATAATGGATGGACGAGGGCCCGAATTCATCTACCGAATGATAATACTCTAAATTTTATGTAGTCATGACTGAGCATCGATGAGGGCCCGTTTACACGTTGTGAAGAGAAGGGACTGATTGTGAAGGAGAAAAAGTGCCGCAACAGGGAGAATCTTGACAGGATCACCTATGTTGGGAGGAGTTGACTTGGTGGTGTCTGGATCATCTCACTGTGGTAGCTGGATTCAGTTGGATTGCGGGTGAAAACAAGAGCAAACGATGAGGCCAGACGGAGGCAGACGGGGTTTTCAGTCATTGAAAGGCGGGCACGTTTTGATGGGTGGCTGTGACACACTTGTTCGCTCGGAGTCGGATTCGCTTTAAGGCTGGCTGTCCTTCTCTTCTAACCACCATCTGCCCTCACGACCTTACCACGTCCAATATCTATACGCATCTCTACTTGATTATTCTGCAATCTTCACTCGTCTTTATTCCTCAGGAATAATTAAACAGGTAAGCTGGCGTGTACTCGCCCAGTCCCACTCACCGCGACGACCCTACTCAGTTAAATGATTGAAGTAACGACCCAAACCTCACCCACCATCCACTCTGACACACACTCGTGGCCAAAGCCCCACGACGTTGAAGAGGTATGTCAGCCTCGTGGCCTCTGGCTGTTGTTTGCTTATGAACCGTCCGTAGAATTGGCATCTAAACGACTCCCGTCTCCCCCATTCAACTCAAAAGTTGCCCTTCTCGCCCTCTTATATGTCTCCTCTTACCTCTATCGATAGTTGGCGGATGAATAACAGCGGCCAACTCGTTGATGCCGCCACAGAAGAGTGGGATCTGGCAGACGAGATTGTCCGCCTCAAAATCGGTCAAGAAGAGATTCCTATTAGGACCCCAGCAAAGTCAAAGCTTGCTTCTGCTCAACTTAGAGAAACCAGTCCGACCTTGATTCCAAGCGTGAATTCTTCACCGCTTACATCCGACCATATCGGCGCTTCCCATTCGCGGGGCTCCTCCACCGACTCCACTGTTTCCAGCTCGCAAGCTTCCGTGGCGAGCAACACAATGATTCCCCCCCAAACAGTCGATGTCAAAGAGCGTCCACATTCGTTCAGTGGAGGCCTGTCAACCGCTGATCTAAGGCGTCTCCAACAAGTTGACGATGAAACTCATTCTCAATGGGCGTCTGTTGGCGTGGAAAAGGCCCCAGAGCAGCCTGCCTTCCCTTCCCTCGCTCAGCGTCAACAGCCGCAATTGTACGACTACAGAACGGGTGCTCCCCAAAACGCGCCCAATCGCGACGACCTCCAGATAGATTATAATATTCAACAGAGAAATTTCAGTCCTCTTCCTCAGGCGGCCCCATCGCAAGTCCTTCTACCTCCCCGTCCGACCAATCTCCCGATGACCTATCGCCAAGCTCATCGCGGTTTTCCTCAGCAAGGTCTGGTTCCCAGCCCGACCACAATAGCCTACCCTCCCATGGGCAACTCTCCCCAGTTATACGAAATGTTGGTTCCCGCCCATGAACGCTTACAAGCTCAGCACAACGCTTTCCGCAATGCTCATCATCACTCTGCCTCTGATCCGTCGTCGACTTTGAGAGACGCTGCAGCCCTGGCCCTACTCAACAATAATATGCAGGCTTTTGCTGGAAACATGTTCCCCCAGCCAATGGCGCCTCCTCCAACCGCCTTGCCGATGTATGCTGGCCAGTTTTATGCGGCTCAAGATGCTTATGTGCGGCCCGATGTCGTAACTGCCCAAGCTATGGCCCGCCTTCAGGCTCAGTACACAGGGCCATACAGCAACGTTCCGACGATGGGGATGACTGAGGGGAGTCTTAGTCCAGGGAGCAATAGCGGCCAGGGTCCTAGTGCAAACAATAGAAAGTTGGGCCTCTATAAGACCGAGCTCTGCCGAAGCTGGGAAGAGAAAGGTTCTTGCCGATATGGTGGCAAGTGTCAGTTCGCCCACGGAGAAGAAGAGCTTCGCACTGTTGCGCGTCATCCCAAGGTCTGTTGACTCGCACCATTCATATATTTAGTCTGACATGTCTGTTTGTGTGTGCCAGTATAAAACGGAGATTTGTAGGGTAAGTGTTGTTGTTGTTGATGCCCGTTTCCGTGTGCTAATCTAAGCGATAGACATTCTGGGTGTCAGGATCCTGCCCATATGGCAAGAGATGCTGTTTCATTCACACCGAACTGCCTCCTTCTGGGGCTCCAGGCGATGCTGTTCCACCCCCTCCTCATTCTTCTGATGGTCGGGCCAGATCGATGAGCACTAATAGTGATCCAAATGACGCCTCGGTCTCGTTATTGGCTAGAATCGCCAAACGCGAACCGGCCACCAGTTCGACTTCGTCGACGGCAACCCCAACAGAAACTACGCCCAGTGCTAGTAGCGGATTTGCCTTCACCCGTCCCCCAACTGGATCCCTTCGTGTTGACACGAGTTCGATTGACTCGAGTGCCTCGTTGAAGCAAAACAAGTCGGCATATCCAACATTCACCGGCAATGGCGTTCTCATCCACCCACCCGATCGATTCTCGTCCAAGTCACCGGCTCCGGTGACTGCAGGACCAGATCTCGGCCGCCACAACAACTCGAGGCTTGAAATTGTCGGCTATAACAATCAGGTGAGGTCTTATCGGCTCACTATCTCCGTAGTTGACTAACAAACAACCTTTAGCGGAACATTAAGGCGCCCACACCGTCAAACGCCAATGTGCGCTCGCTGAATGGCTCGGAGAATGATGTCACCTTCAGCCCATCTCCGCCCGCACGAGCCAATGGCCATGTCAGAGCCGGAAGCGCTGGGAACTGGGGTAGCTTCTCGCGAACGAGTCATCTTGCGACTGGGTACAGTCAGGCGAGTCCTTCGACTGAAGCCCCGGCCAATTCGCCCTGGTCAACCACCGAACTCGCCGTGGGTTCTTCGCGACTCAATGACAAGGCTTGGGCTTGAGGGACAAGTTCAAAAAAAATCAGCAAGTGCTCCTCCGTTCCGTTCTTCCTCTTTGATCTCTTTCCCCTGTAATCATTTTCCCATTTCTCTCTGTACCCGGTCTTGTTGAGGACGGCTGCCGCCTCAGTCGGACATTGCCTAGCTCATATCGTCTCCCGTTTGGATTCCCTCCCCCTCCGCCCTTGTTTTTTGCTTTCCCTCTTGCATGCAATCGTCGTACCACACACAACACACATGTCTTTTTATTTCTCAATCAATCGTCGCCTTGTCTTGTCTATCCTTATCTTGCTATTAAAAAAAAGAAACTAGGGCTACAGGCGGAGTTACAGTATTACATCGAGACACCTTACAATAAGCAACTCCCGAGTTTGAAGAGAAACGAAAATGTAAATTTGTTTGCGTTGCTCAGAGGCCCAGTTGCTTGACTTCTCGTTTGAAGGCAGCGAGTCGGCATTTGGCGTAGGAGATGTAGTCAAACTCTGGCTCTTCGACCTGATTTTCGACGTCTTCGCGAGCCTGGACAATTCCCCAAATGGTCCACATCGCATGGGAAGCAGGGCTCCAGGCTCGAACTTGCTCGTCAAGATCACGAGCAAGTTTAGTAAGCTCCGATGGCGATAAAGGAGTCTCGGCGGCGTGCTGAAGATAGGCCATGTAAAAGTTGTCGCGCTCTTCTTTGGTCGGGTAGCGCGTGTGATCAAGAATATGAGGCGTCTGGGAATGGTAGTCCGCAGTCCATTCATGCCAGTGGTTCGCGATATCGAAACTGGCCGGGTTCGGGGAGGCATATTCGAAATCAACAACGATGATCTAGGAAGAAAAATTTGAAGCGGGTGAGAACTTAATCTATGCGACAAGCGACGGGGGAAGTAAGTACCTGTCGATGCTCAGGCAGGTTCTCGTTGCGTTTGTTCAAAAGTAGCAAGTTGCCGTATTGGGTATCGTTGTGAGCAAACACCCGGCGACTACCTTTGTGCACGTCATCAACTGACGCTAGCCAGTGGGAGTACCGTTCCCAAGTTTGCATGAAGCCGTCCAAGTCAAACTCTTTCCTCAGCGAGTCCGAGACAAGCGGGAGTGCAAGAACGTCGCGGGCGGGGATAATCCAAGACTTGATGTTCTTTTTTACAGCAATTTCCCACCCATTACCTTCGCCCCGAGTGTCAGGTGACGTCCCTTCAATTGCTTCGACGTCTACTGAGTGGAGCTCGGCCATTCTTGCACCAATCCACCGACTGATCTTTGGGTTTCTGAGATCCGCCGCACTCAGTGTAGTTGCTGCCATGATAAGCCTTAACATCAGAGACCAGACCAGAAAGAAAGAAAAAATGGGCATACATTCAAAGTATTCTTCGATGCGACCATTTTCAAATGTCCCATAGACGCGCGGACCGATGTGATACTGGGAGGAAAGTATATGTAGCGTATTCAGCTCCCTCACTCGTGAGATTAACGAGCCAGAGGAAGGACCGTAAATTCGAAGTAAGACGGTCCGATAGCCCGACAACGAAGATGAGACAAAGAAGACAGCATTGGTCAAGGAACCCGAGACTTTAGCGATCCGCAGGTCGTGGGGCTGAACATCTGAGCTCGTCCAGGTCGGAACTTTGAGTTTACGGAGGCAGTCGAGTAAGCGAGAAGCAAACGTTGGTTGTTTGTAATGTCTGAGGAAGTGATAGCAGTCAGCGAAGGAACGGGTGAAGTGAGCGACCATATCAGACCGTAGTCATTTTAGTCTGCTTGTCGGTGAGCTTTGCCGGGTGCCCCAGCTTGACTGCAAGAGAACTGGCCTCACCTTGCGTCCAGTTTTAATGGCACGTGCCTAACTCCATCCGTTGTGACGACTTCCACCTCGCCCTCGGTGAATAAGATGGAGGACGAAGAGCTGGCAGTTGATGAGGAGGTGAGAGACGGCCTGTCGGCTGGAGGGTGAATGGGAATGACAGAATTCATATCGAGCATAATCGAGATGAGAGTAGAGGTCAAAGTTGCTGTCACGCGTTATCTGAATTATCTGGGCACGCGACGTGGTCCGACTTTGATGGAGCCTCATTGGAGGCCTTGCCGGTTTACCCTACCTTGCCATGCTTGTCCCAGCCGATTTCCAAGGCTTTCCAAGACACGCACACACAACCGCACAAGTCATTACGCCCTGAAGAGTTGCTTCTTTCTCCTATCTGGGTCCATAGCAACATAGCCAAATACCGAACCAACGTTTTATTTTGTGCTAACGGAGATACTTACTGACTACAACAAACAGAGAGTAATTACGGCAACCCAGTCAGGCGCCCACATTAAATACAAATCATTATATGCGGTTTAGTCGAGGCTTTAGAATACGGAAGGCAGTTGGCTATGCGAGATTTGCTGCCGCTGCCTTCTCGTCCGACACTTTACCAGTGACGTAGATTGTTCTGGGGGAAAAGTGCCGGTAGCGATAACAGGAAAGATAGACCAAGGCACGGCGCGCAGAAAGCCCATATCGTCTGAGCATCCCAAAATGAGTATAGCTTGCTGACCACGATTCGTTGACAAACCTGGATTGACGTCGCAATAATGTGCAACACTTTCTGTTCAAGTTCCGGAGGCTGCAGCATTCTGAGCCTCGCGAAATCTATTGAAGAGCCGCTATTGATCAGCAGACCCGGAGGTATTCGACCTAAAGCCCGTTCGTCAAAGACAGCGCCAGCAATTGCCTAATATGAAGGAATATATAAAAAAACTACCATCAGTCGAGGAAACGGCTCACCAATCCAACTGTAGCACCAGTAAATCTGACAAGGAAGAAGGCACTGGTCGCGGCGGCCAGGTCTTTGCGCTCCAAAATGCTGGTAAACACCTGGTAAGGGGCGTGGAATAGCATTCCTAGTCCGATTCCCGCTACCAAGGGAAATAATTCTGCTGTCACGGTAGATCGTTCGTCCAATAGGTTCAGTAAGCCTGTCAGATTAGCAGCGACTTAGCACTGCATGATCGGTTGAGACGGGCAATCGTACCGAAACCTAAAGTCGCAATCAATAGGCCAGCTGTTACCACAAAGTTGGAGCCGTGTGATGTTTGGGTTCTTTGTCTCCAGTATGTGGCGAACCAGGCAGCTGGCATAGAGGCAAGGGAAGAGCCCAGAGAGTATGGCAATAGTTTGAATCCCGCTTCTAGTGGCGTGGAGCCATTCGCAGCCTGGACTCCCTTCAGACCAAGCCACATCTCCGGAAATCGTCCTGAGACTGACCTGGTAATAGAGACCCAAAAAGAACGTCCCCGCCGTAAATGCAACGTTGTGGAAAAAGGTAATGGCAAGTACGGCAACTGGATGCGTTGATCTCGGTAAAAAAATACCAGATGTGGAAGACCGACATACTGGTTCTGTGGTTGTTGAAAGTAGCCGCTGGGAACAAACAATCGCGCGTGGTTCTTGTCTCGTGGACGCCACCGCACACAAGAACCAAGAAGCCAAGACATATAAGCAACAGAGTCGAAGGTGCAGTCCCTAATCGATCCAGTTAGATGTGTCATAATCTCGCACGATTTGTTCCTACAGCCATTGGCAGATGCCAAACTGAACCCCACAACGATAAAGCTGCTCCCCGTCATGAATAGAAGTCTACGGCTGCCGTAAGACACGACAATGGAGAGGAGAGGGAACACTTACAGTCCTCCGAAGTCGAAGGTTCGGAGAAAAGACCGCCAAGACGCTGCCTGAGCCCGTTGAAGGGTAACCCCACGGAGCGAGAAGAAGAGAACCACAAAGGCGACAGAACAGACCGGCAGGTTGAGATAAACTATGAAGATCGTCAGTTTGGGGAAGACGATTGTGGGGGGATTGACGTGCATCCATATCGCCAACTGAGGCCATTATGACTGCCTGATCAAGTTGGATAACCTCTCGGCGTTAAGGAAATTTTGCGGCTTACCGCTGAACACGCCGCCGAGAACAGGGCCAGCAATAGCAGAGCAGCTCCAAGTCACGCTAAGAGCCTGAGACCATTTCGCGCGATGCTGGTCTTCCACAATCTCTGCCGTAATAACCCAAACGGAACCGACGATTCCTCCGGCACCTATGCCAGAGATAGCCCGAGCGGCCAGCAGCCTGTGGTAAAATCAGCTGCTGTGCTATCAAGATCTAAGCGGTACAAACATGGTAATGTTCTAGTTCGATTTAGATGGCTTGAGAAAGTGGTCCAGAATTTTACTTGCGCACCTGGGCTGCACCACAAAGCAGGGAACCAATAGCAAACACCAAGATGCTTGTGTACAAAACCAGCTGCGGGTGTTTTTTAGTGCCTTTCACTGACATGGGAGATGAGAACGACAGACCTTTCTGCCGACCAGATCAGAAATACGACCATAGAGTGGTTGAAAAGCAGTTTGTGTCAACATGTAGGCGATGCCAACCCAAGTATAGTCGGCCTGGCTCATCTCCAACTCGAGCGCGATGGTCGGAAGGCTAGTAGACACGATCGTCTGTTGAGTACGGTGAGACTATAACTCCGGAGAGTATGGAGTGTCTCACAGCGTCAGTCGTGGCTAGGAACAGAGTTAGTGCAGCGCTAGAATTTGGCATCAACAACCACAACAAAAAATGAGGAGATAAACGGACCCGATATGTACTACGAGGCGGTGGGTGGTGGATAACTGAGGGCATGGGGGGGAAAGGTCTTCAAGCGTTGCCGATGAAGAGGTGTCGATAGAAATTAGCGACGGCTCAGACGCGGTTTGTGGGCGCGAGTCCTCGGCAGCTTTGTCTTGTATGTCTTCACTCAAGTTGAGGGACGAAGATCGTGGAGAGGGGGTTACTGGTGAGTGCGCCATGGGTAAACGGACGACGCGTTCAAGCCGGGTTGAAAGAGAGCCATTTTATAGCACAGGGAAAATTATTCGCGAAAAGACCACCTGTCTTTCATCCGGGCGACAAACAACTACATCCGAAGCTAAGAAGCGTAGCGAATCGACGATGAAGATCTGAGATAACCGAGAGGTTTGTCTGCTTTTGTGGCTTGGTAGGTCGTGATGACAATTCAAGGCATTTGGCCCGCCTCGTGTTGGGAACCGATGGACAGGCGGTCAAGTAAACTGAGGGAACAGAGTGAGAAGGAGAATCTCTGGTCACACAGAGAATCTACGCCGTCGTTGTGGTCACTGGTCAACCCACTTTCAGGTCCAGGGTCAACTCATCGGGTAAACGGATACGTAAACACCAGGAAATTGCGTAAGTAGAGTCTCTAAATTATAAAGGAGGCCATTGAGTATAAATTTCTATCCTGTTGCAGTCGCCCTTCGCTTCTCATTTGATTTCTGACTGGTCTCTTCTTCAACGGCCCGGTTCTGCGAAGTGTCGGTGACTTCTGAAATAGAAATGAGTGAGCGCACTGTCTGACTCTGAGAGTGTGGGCATTGGTCCAATCAAATGCCAGTAATCTCTCGAATGTATTGCCATGTTCGGCTTGCCCAGCCCCGGCTTTTACGAGTGAAAGAGGGCATACCGTTATCATTTGTGGACGTCCCCTCGTCACTCTTGACTCCCGGCTGCCGCCCCTCTACATCATCAGCATACATTTGAAGAAGTTCGCGTTGGCGGTTGGTCAACGACCTGTTGTTCCTCGGTGTTAACGTGACCCACAAACTCAAGTATTCACCCACCTTGGTAGTTGAACAGAGAAGGACACAAATAGATCACCAGTGACTCCTCCATGAGGGGAAGAGACACCGCGACCCTTGAGCACCATTTCTTCGTCTTGCTGAGTTCCACCTGGCAACCGCACATCCACCTCGCCATCCAGAGTTGGCACTCTAACCTTTCCACCAAGCAACGCCGTGTGCATCGGAATACGCGTTTTGTGGTACAGATTGTTGCCTTGTCGGGAAAAGTCCTTGGACGCTGTCACATGAATCCTCACCAACAAATCGCCTGGACTCCCTTTCCCAGATATTGGTGCATCTCCTCGTCGGGGAAGACGTAGCGTGACTCCATCCTCAACGCCTGCCATTATGTCGACCTGGACTGTACTTTTTGTGCGAACCTTGCCGACACCGCCACAATGAGAGCATTCAGAGTTGTGAGGGACAGTACTGCCAGTGCCAGAGCAAGTGTTACATGTACTCGCCATCTGGAAGCCGCTATCTATGACAAATGTCCGAGTCCCAGAGCCTTTGCAGGTTGTACAAGTGGTCCGTTTGGCGCCAGGCTTCAATCCGTTTCCGGAACAGGGAGTACAGTCGACAACAGGGGTGATGTTGATTTTGCGAGATGTGCCTTTGCAAGCTTCAAGGAAGGTGATTCGTACAGAAGCTTCCAGATCACTCCCTCGAGACGACTGGAACCCGGAACGACTGCTCCCACCGAGACCTTGAAATAGCTGACTGAAGAGGTCCGCCGTTTCGCCCCTGCTAAATGACGCTCCGAAATTGTGGAATCCGGAGAAATTGCCTCCTCCGAAGCCGGAGAACGCATTTGGATCAAATCCAGGCTCTTGCGACGTCGAGCCAAACTGATCATAAACTTTTCGTTTCTCATCATCTTTCAGAATCTGCAGAAAAGGGTAAGGAAGTGGTTGCAGGAAGGATGGTTTTGACACGCACGTCATACGCGGACTGTATCTCGACAAACTTGTCTTGTGCGCCCTTGTCGGTACTCGTGTCGGGGTGATGTTTCCGAGCGAGCTGGGAAAGTCAGGTCTGGTGTAGAATGGGACAGTTTAGTTCCTACCGCAAAGTAAGCCTTTTTTATCTGGGCAGCTGTAGCGTCGCGAGGTACTCCCAACACTTCATAAGGGTTCTTCTGTGCTCTTGAGGACGGAGACGCATGAAAGGCGCGCTGTTATTGGTCACCAAATTGGCACGAACTTATATGACCGCTTCTGATACCTTCTGGCTTGGGACGTGCCATGGAGCGTTATAAACGCATTTTGGTCTGGATATTGGGAGTGAACGCGATGCTTGTGGAAGTCGAGAGCAGGAATAGAAGGCTAAGAAAGAGGAAAAGTGCTTGGGAGAGGGCATAGAAGGAAAGAAATTTGTGGGTCACGCCGTGACTGGAGAAACATCTTGTCGACTACAATCGTCTTCCGCCTCAGTGCTTTCCTTTGGTGCTCGATGTGCCCACCACTGCTTTCCGTATGAAACCAATACCTCTTCACCAGCTTTTATTGCACGACTGCTCTCAATCTTAACCCGAAGCTCCCCAGTGCTTGTTCTATATTCAACGAAGACTGCGTTCGGCCTATCGTCAATGCCACGAAAATCATTCACAAATCTTGCCTGAAAATTTTATCAGTAACACCCTCTGTCAAGCTCGATTCCCTCACTTCGTTGCCCATCCTACTTGCATCGACGCCAACTGCGATTTCGTTGCTGCGATAGAGAGACAGATCGTAATCGGAATCCGGACGCTCGTCACAATGGACCTCGCCTATAACAAAAGGGTTGAACAAGGAATTTCTAGGATCGAATTTGGATTTGGAATGTTACCTATATAGTCCACAATGTGTCGTTTCGGTGGAATCTTTTTCGCAGCAAACAAACCAAGTTGACCGAAGGCTTTGAATGTTGTAATGGATAGTGTCAGGCGGGAGGCTGTTTACCTGGATGGCTTGTGTTTTTAATGGGCTGAATGAGGACCTTGGAAGGCTTGCCGCCATCAATTGACGCGTCGGGTTGTCCTCGTGCTATGAATTTGTGCGTAGAAGCATTGACTGATAAATGATATTTGCAAGCAGTAAGATATTGGAGGGTCGGTGGCCAGTTGGTTGGTGGCATGTATCGTAGCTGGAAGTGAAAGTTCTCACGTGGTTCATCGCCTTTCTCTCTCACCGTGCCCGTCCTTCTACAATCTCGGCTCTGGCTTTCACGCTGTCGGCTATACTCCAAGAGTAGTATACGTCTCATGGGCAAAACAGCGCCCTCTGTCTCTCGTGTCTACCCCGACGTTAACGCTAAGCTTGGTTCGTCACCACTCAACCCCATCGCAATTTGCATTTGACTTTTACCAAGGCCCTTCATGGCACGAGTATGGTGAGTTAGATCCAGCTTGTTAGCGGTTATCTGACCAGTTTAGACAACCTCCAGGTGCAGTGGGGAACGCAGGACCACTACGAGATCGTTCGCAAGGTTGGGCGGGGGAAGTATAGTGAGGTATTCGAGGGAGTAAATATTGTAACCGAGGACAAGTGCATAATCAAGGTTTGCTCTTCACTCTTCATGTCACGACGTGAATCGACGAGAATCCAGGTCTTGAAACCGGTGAAGAAGAAGAAGATAAAACGTGAAATCAAGATTTTGCAGAATCTCGCAGGTGCGTGTTCATCGGGGAAATATGACTATTCCTTCCTAACCAGTTTAGGCGGGCCGAACATTGTCGCTCTTTTGGATGTTGTACGCGACCCCGCGTCCAAAATACCCAGTCTCATCACCGAATACGTCCACAACGTGGAGTTTAAAGTGCTCTACCCTCGCTTCACGGACCTCGATGTCCGGTATTATATGTTCGAACTCCTCAAGGCGTTGGATTACTGTCACTCAAAAGGCATCATGCACCGAGATGTCAAGCCTCACAATGTTATGATAGACCACGAGCATCGAAAGGTAGGTTTCTCCAAAATTTCCCGACGTTCATCAAGCTTTTCATTTCTTTCAAGCTTCGCCTAATCGATTGGGGACTGGCAGAATTCTATCATCCCAAGACAGAGTACAACGTCCGTGTAGCCTCGCGTTACTTCAAAGGACCGGAGTTGCTGGTCGATTTCCAAGAATATGACTATTCCCTTGATATGTGGAGCTATGGCTGTATGTTCGCGTCGATGGTGCGTGGAAAAGGCGTGTTGTGGGCCAAGCTAGAACGATTCAACGTGTGTGCAGATTTTCAGGAAGGAGCCTTTCTTCCACGGTCACGACAACTACGATCAGCTTGTCAAAATAACCAAGGTTCTGGGAACGGATGAACTCTACGCGTACATCGACAAGTATAGCATTCGTCTCGATCCACAATATGACGAGCTTCTGGGGAGGTATCGTCATCTCCTTGCTGGTAGTTTCCCTTCTCAACAGAGTTTAGATACCCTAGGAAGCCTTGGACACGGTTCATAACCTCCGAAAATCAACGATATATTTCCAACGAGGCCATCGACTTGTTAGACAAGCTATTACGGTATGACCACCAGGAGCGTTTAACTGCCAAAGAGGCTCAAGCGCAGCCATACTTCGGTCCGTATAGATTCTCCTCAATCTTATCAGGTCTTGACCCAATTCGACAGATCCTGTGCGATCTGATGGGGCAAGCGATAATCATTGATGACTAATTTGTGTATTGCTCTGTTTTGTGTAGGTTCATTGTACTTTTCTCTCTCGATTTGATAGAAACCTGCTCTTTCGCATGCTATAAGTGTCGTATTGGCCTGCGTCGGGTGATAAGTCAGCCACCACCAACTGGCTGGTCAACAGGCAATCGAATGAAGTCATTGTCAAGACCGTCATCACCTTCTCTGATGTGGTTTCTCTGCTTTTAGACCACTCGCCATGCTTATCGTGCTCACATGTATTCGCCGAGGCCTGCACCCGTTGCTATCTCTCCCGGTGTTGCAGCTCAGAAGACTTGATTTGCCCTCAACAGATAATATACCGCATGGCTCTCAAGTTGTCTAACAAGAAGTTCGAATTTCAGTTTAAAAGCCCGTCTCCATTTCCTCGCGGTGCTTGACCTCCTCCAGGATGGCGTTGCGTTTTGTCTCCCTTGCCGCACTCTCCCTCTCGGCTTTGGCTTTTGACAATTCGCGCTATGACAATGTACTTACTTATGTTACCATTCCTCACTTCCCATTTTTATTGATCTTGTTTGATTAGGTGGCTGTGTACTGGGGACAGAACAGTGTCGGTGCCAACTCGGCGAATCCACCGTCGTCGTGGCAAAAGCCGTTGGCATTTTACTGCAACGTTGGTCTTTAAATTTCCTAGCCTTGGATTGTCATGACCGATCGCTTCAGGACAATGCCGTAGATGTGTTCCCCATCGCGTTCGTCAATGTATTTTTCAGCACTGGCGGCCTCCCATCGCTGAATTTGGCAAATGTGAGTTACGCCAGTACTCACTGCTGGCAGGCGCATTGACTAAAATGACGACCACAGACCTGCAATCCCACCGACAACGCCACTTTCCCGGGCAGCTCGCTACCGAACTGTGCGAGCCTTGCTTCGGACATCCAGACTTGTCAGAGCAAGGGCAAGTTGGTTACGCTGTCGCTTGGAGGGGCAACTGGAGGTGTTGGCTTCTCGTCCGACGACCAGGGTACGGCGTTTGCGCAAACGATATGGAACTTGTTCCTCGGTATGGTTTCGTGGTTTCCCTTCACAAGTAAGAGTCGCCAAACAGAATTCAGGCGGATCTTCGTCCACCCGGCCATTTGGTAGCGCTGTTCTTGATGGGTAAGTTTCTTTCTCTTTGTGCTGCGAAACATGCTTACGTGTTCTAGCGTCGACCTTGAGTTGAGTGGAATCTTGGCGCGTTATCTGTCCCTTACCGATTAAAGTATCGAGAGTGGAGGCGGTACCGGCTATGTCGCGTTTGTGAACAAGATCCGGTCTCTCGCTAGTGGCGCCAGCAAGAAGTACTACATCACAGCTGCTCCGCAATGCCCATACCCAGATGCCGCTCTTGGAACCGTTATCAACGCCGCAAGCTTCGACGCTGTTTACGGTGGGTGCTTGCAAGGCAATTGTCCAGATTTTGGTTAATCCTCGGAACAGTCCAATTTTACAACAATCAATGTGGTCTGAACAACTATAACATCGCTTCAGTGTGTTTTACTTTCCGGTCGCTCTGGAGTCCATCACTAACCATTTGAAAAAGGACTGGGACTTCGGCCTTTGGTATTCGATTATTATTCGTTGATACGACGTCGGTCTGATCGTTCTTAAGGGACTACTGGGCACGCAATATCAGCCCCAATAAGAATGTGAAAGTCTACCTTGGAGCCCCTGCCTCTTCTGGAGCTGCTGGATCAGGCTACGTTGACAGCGCAACTCTCAGCAGCATTGCAGTCAAGATGCGCAAGTCGTTTTCAGCGTTTGGTGGTGTGATGCTCTGGGACGAGTCTCAGGCCTATCGTCTGTCTTCTTTCCATATTTTGGCTGCCCGTTCTGAGGGTCGACGCACAGAAAATGGCCGATTTGATCTAGCCATCAAGAACGCATTGGTTGCTGCTGGTGGAACAGGCTTCACCTTCCCGGCCTGTAGCGCTCCGGCATACTCCACATCGGGAACCTACACGGCTGGCACACAAGTATCCTATCAAGGGTCAGTTTACACGAAACTCCGAATCAAGCAAGAGCTTACATCATTGAAGATATATTTGGCAGGCGAAATGGTGGACTGCAAACGTTCCTTCAGCCAATTTCAATGGCGACTGGGCTGCAGGTGATCACTCACAACGTTTTCCTTTTGCTTGTTGTACCGAGTCTTTTCTTTAGTCAGTGCTTGTGGTGGCACTTCCCTACCTCCGTCCTCGTCATCAACCACAACGTCGAAAGCCACCAGCTCGACTAAAGCCAGTAGCACAACCTCGAGTTCGCCATCGGGTCCAACGAACGGAGTTTGCACAGGTATCGCTGCTTGGTCGAGTTCGGTGGCATATACCGGTGGATCCAAGGTTACCTACAAGTCAGCATAGTGTCTCGTGCTACCAGTTCTTGGCGACTGACGCTTCTTCAGCTCTCACCTTTGGACTGCGCAATGGTACAAGTCTTTTAGTCCAGTGATTCCTGTGTTTGACAGAATAATTGTAGGTGGACACAGGCAGACACTCCTGGAGGCTCTGCTGGCGTTTGGATTGACAACGGCGCTTGTGCCAGTCTGGCAAAAGTTGCCACAGACGCTAAACCCACCGTCGACATTCGGGCTCCTTCTCGCTTCTTCCGGGTATGATTCAGATTCCTATGGGTCCTCGAACCGGTTCGAGGAATAGCAAATACAGCGAATTTCTATGACGATACAGATATTATTAGACAACGTATAACGAGCCCAAATGAAACAGAAAATTGGACAAACACGTATCACTCCGCAGTGTCTACTGTGTTAAGTTTCCGGTTTCTAGGCAGCTCCGGATGATATTTCGCGGGGCGTGGTCTACCACCGGCAGCTGGAGGTGGTTTGGGCGGCAAACTCGGATGGGAAGGAGCTGGACGTTGTGTGTTGCGTGCCCTAAAACTTGACTGACCAGGACGATGAGAAGGCTTGCTTCCTGTTTGCACAGGCAACCGGAGTCGTGACGCATCAGTATCGGTTGTTGGCTTAGGTGAACGTTCTTTCTTGGTTTTGGGCTCCTTTGGGGGTGGCGGCGGCCCAGGGTCATAGTCTGGATTAAACGGCGTCCACGGGGTACCTGTGCTGGGGACGACAAGACTGCCGCGCTGACAGTCGAAGCTATAGCATCGAGGTTCTGGTATCTTGGACAGACTGAGAAGCAACTGAGAGAGTCTCATGAATAAAGTGTACCCTGCGTGACTATCTTTGATAAGAAATTAGATTTGTTCAAGAATGAATGATGACTGCGAACCATTGCTGGCATCTGTCGAAACAATTAGACTGTACGGGGAGTAAAAAGGCACGAGGAACGCACACTCAAGTTGTTCGGCATCTAAACGACGTTCCCAATTGCTACGAGTGACTTTCCCTTTGAAGAGCAGAAGGTCTTCGTATGTCGCAATCAGCCTCGCAAGGCCAAGAGGGTCGGAGTATTTGCCCTTCCACCGTTCATTATCGACTGAACGCGCGAGCAGGGCGAGGTCTACACATCCTCGAACGCTCAGGCCAATGTCTTTGTACAGTTTCTTTGCGTCTCCTGATCAGCAATAAGACGCGTCAAAGAAGCTTCAGTGGTTGCAAACCTTGGATGCCAACACCTGCTTTAACAATTTCTGGGTTCTCCAGAAAGGCTCGTAGACTTGGTGGTATGGCTGCACATAATGGTATCGTCAGGCGCCGGGGTTAAAATCCGATATACCTCTGATGTGGTGCAAATGAAGCAGCAAGATGGTGTCTGTGTTAGCCAACTGGAGCAATGCCACCTAGGCACTCGATTAGAAATGAACAACGATTAAAATAGGCACGAACCGGGTTCTCTGCCTGCCCTTTGACATACGTCGGCCTCCACTCAATGTCTAACCCGCAAGGCCCGGTAAAACAGGACATGGCCTGTTCTGCGTGCTGTGCATCGGTAATGTAGTGTTGTTTTATAACAGGATTGAGCGTTTTCCAGCAATAACGTGTTGTTGGTAGTGGAGGCTTGGGAGGTGCTGATTCTGATTCAGCCACTTGGCTTGTTGACATGAGGGAAAGATGACGGTCTAGCCGGGACTGTGACCGCATCACAACACACGCCTTTTACTTTTGAAACCTTCATGCGAGCGTCCATAGACACGCAATTATCCAAGACCCTTGGCACTTGCTGCCGCGTTGATCTTTGTGGGATCTAAAAAACTTGTCGTCGCTTGCTTGTTTCCATCGTATGTCGGGGCATAGGCAAGTTATACTCGTCGAGTAAGACCTATTCTCAGCCTTCCATTTGCATTACTCTTCTCCGACGATCGCTCCACGGAAGCGAGTGGGCCCGAAGCTGAGAGGAGAGGTCTTTTTTTTCGCTGCCGTTCCTGGCAATCAAAGTGGGCTGCTATTTTGGTTTGCCAAGAGATATTATCTTTAGTTAAAATGTGCTAAGAGCATGAGCTGTCTCCTCATGAGTCGCTTGCCCCCACCCCACTACAACGAGGCCTCGTCCTCCCGTTACCCAACTGCCCCAACCTGGCCTGCTGAGCCTCCACTGGGTCATGTACTATCATCAGCGTCACGACTACTTGAACAGGCACGCACATTTAGTTTTCCTTGAAAAAACCTTTGTTGACATCCTCAAAGCCTCCTGCACCAACACTTCGAGACGTTCTTGGGGCCTACAAGGCCAATGGAGATGGAGATCGTGAGGTATGATGCGTTATTAGTCGTCATCATGAAGTTGAGCTGATCATTGCAGGTGTTGCTTGCCGTTTTAAAAGCGAAGACATCGGAGGATAACCGTCAAGCTGCGCTGGCAACATTATACGATTCGATGCTCCAACTCCACCGAGTACCGGTTCATAATCCATACCCAACACCCGCCTACACACACTCACCACCAGAACCATCCCATCCATATCGCCACTACCGCAATGTTTCTTCCCTCAGTCGCTCACCCCCACCAGTCCATACCCGCCCGCCTATTTCACAGGCACGCTCTATCAGTCCTCGCGCTGAACACCGGCGGAAAAGAGCACGTAATTCGCATTCGCCAGGCTCTGAGGCGCCGGCAGAATTACCTCCTTCTCCTTATTCGTCTTCAGCCGATTCACCGCGTTCCCGTGGTTCGATGGCCATTGGGTCGTTACTAACGGTCGAGCCGACAACAGACAGTAGTGGGGAAGAACGACCGCAACCTGAGAGATAGCCAAGAGAGAGTATGAATCCGGAATACATTTTGTCATCACTGTCCTGTCTTTTGGTTTGGCTTGGCACTTGTTCCAAGAATATCTTGTCTCCCAAAAAAAATCTCGTTGCTCTTGGCTGCTTGGACGGCCTCCGGGTCGGGTTTGATGGATCATTGCTGCGAGGAGTAGAACCAAATGTCGAGTTGGTCGCATATAAGTAGAGAAATGGGTCAACCAAGGTACAACATCGGGCATTGCAGAAATGATGCCGAGAATAGCCGCGGTTCAACGGGTTGGCTGAGTTATTTTTGTGCGACTTCGGAGTTGACACAGACGAAATGACATCGAAGTTGATCGCGATCACGTGCAGCTCGTTCCTTCGCAACCCCCTCGTTCCACACAGATGGACGAATTCATACAGGGTTCCTCGACGGCTTCAGACTTTGACGACATCCCGGACCCTTTTGCGGACGCTGAAGTGGATTGGGATACCCTTCTGGGCAGTCAACCAACACAAACCACTCAACCCGAAACCCAAAGCGTTGGAAATGACTTCGAGGACATCGCTGATATTTTTGCCAATGTTGATGTCGACTGGGATAATCTGCTCTCAACACCACTCCCGCCGACCAGTCAACGTAGGCCGTTATACCATTGTCAATGTCTCCGTTGACTCTGAATAGTTTCTTTAGCAACTGAGCCTCCGTCCTCCTGTGAGTAGTGTCCACGACTTTCAACTCGATCTCAGCGCTTTTAGTTACTTCATTGAAACGGCAACGAAGTGTCTCTCCACCGCCAAGCAGCGCCGAACGCCGACCCTTGGGGCCATATAATTCGCCCCCGAAAAAGCGCCAAAAAAGCCCTGAACCTGCGGCAAAATTGCTAGAGGGCTTTGAGGATGAACTAACATGTGCTATGTGTGTCAATTATCTGGTACTTACTGCTGCATTCTGACCAACCGTCATAGTTGTTGCGACTTGCTGTTGGTCTTTGTTTTGCAATGCCACATATTTGATACTCACCAATATGCAGGGCTGCCGCGCATTTATTGAATCCTTGTGGGCACTCCTTCTGTGGGGAGTGTGTTTCAGAATGGATTTCGGTCAAAGTCGTGTTTCCCTTGTTTTTTAACCCGTTCTCATGGTCAGATAGAGAAAGACGACTTGTCCGGTTTGTCGAGCCATCATTGCAAAGCAACCTATGGCGCCGAATATCTCACTCGATAAACTGGTGGATGTTCATGTGCGTATGTTGGGTATGAATGACACTGGGTGGAAGGAAGGTGGCGAAAAGTTGGCTGAACTCGATAAACGACGCCGGTGAGTAGCTATTTTTTTCAGAGAAAGGGGGCTCACATTTTTTCAGGACATGGAAAAACAGAGCTACTGCGAGGGCAAGGCAGGACATTGTGTCCCACACAGTGTGGGTGATTGACGACGAGGAATCTGACGAGTCTGAGGACTACGATGAAGACGAGGAATTCAATGAAGAAGATTTGGACGATATTGTCTGGCTTGCCCAACCACCACATTGAGGACGCTCCTGTAGTAGACTATCATCTCGCGTGACGTCACCGCGTCGCGTTTTCTCTCATGCACATCACCTTCAACCCACCGCTCGCGCAGTCCACTTGTATTCCCGCTGGCTCGAGAAATCCTCTTAAGCTTCATTTTACGGCTACCCTCCATCAGCAAGTCGACTATCGTGACTTTACTACCCGCGGGCTCAAGGTTCAACTCTGGTCTGACCTAATTGACCCAGCATGGGGAGCAGCTGATTTCGTTCCCATCCCCGAACACGACCCGGAGTCTTCCTCGCTGGTAACACGAGACTACACGGCGTCAGGCCGCTTCTCTCTTTCTTTGACCCTTCCAGCCAGTTCTGGATCTCGCCAATTCTCGTTTACATATCGCGTGCTCCATCCTTCCGGACAGCTTGAATGGCTTGGAGAATATGGTCAAAATGGAACTCTGTTACTGGAAGATGGTTTTTACAACCTGGATAATTCTTGGGTGCCATCCGGCTCAGGCACATCGATGAAGCACGAGGCTGGCCTCCAATCGAGTTCCGAGATAGCAAAAGTGGACTCCTCGTATGAGGTCGTAGGTGATAGGTGAGCCACTTGCGTATTTTTGTGACCAGACTGAATCTCGCTGCAGTACAGAGGTTCTCATCTTGGTGCCTAATCAAGCCTCGGTCGTCCGCACACCCATCTTAGTCTTCGCAACAACGTCAGTTGGCTCTATTTCGGTCGATGCAAATGGCACAGTTAGTGTCTCTGGAGACCCCAGTGTCGAGTTCACTTCATGTGAGTCGATAGAAGAACTGCAAGATGCTCTAGTTTCTGCCCATACCAGTTTTTTGCCAACTGCCGATTCCATAATCCTCGGTTCAGCAACACGAGCCTACATTCTTCCAACCAATCTGTCACCATCGCCACAGGAGGTCCGCGTGGCAGTTCGAGATCTGGCTGCGATTGCTCCGACGGCATTGCCACTGTGCTTGTACTCCGAGCAACACCAGTTTGCTAAATTCTTCGCGGCCGACGAGTCAGTTTCTTTTATCGTTGACCCCACCGGTGGGTCCTTGACCTTGGTGCCCATGTCGCGACATAGCGAAGCATGGCATGCTGGAATCGTCTCTCCCCATTATTCGTCTCCTACGGACACCCTTCCAACGCCACCACCGTCTCCTCGACTGCGTCCATTGACCCACCGAAGGCCTTCTAACTCTCCAGACCCATCTTTCTTGGATCTTTCCGCCCCGGTCGCTGTTCCAGAATTCACGCCACCAAAAGCCGTAATGAGACCGCGGCCCAATCTTTTGATTTTACTTGGCTACACGATCTTGGCGTTAGGCGCCTGGTTTGTGCGCTTGCTCTTCTGCTTGCCTCGTCGTCCAAAAGCTCTACCAGCGCCCCCTCGATCTTCAAGAATACCAGATGAGCAAACGCCCCTTCTGAGCGACAGCGAGCCTCCAACTGTGCTGGTCGTTGAACCAGTCTTGAGGGCTAACGTTCCAGCAGGCAAAATCAGTATTCTGTTCTATGGCAACGAAACACCATTCCATGTGCCGATTCAACTGGAAGGCAACAACGTGGACCGCAACATCCATGAGATGCCAGGGTCATTCTATTTGGTCGAATTCTCAAGCAAATCTGGCGGGATGTTGATAGTTGGCTGAATGGGTTCATCTGCATTTAAACATAGACATATAGACCGTTTTAGGAACCGTTGTTGTACAAGGAGTCATCACGTCGCCCAATGTCGAATCTCACTGTTGTTTGTTGTATGAGGTCCTCCAAGATTTCCGGGGGAAGGTCAAATTCTGAGCCGCGAACCATAACAGCATACGCCGCTGGGGTGATGTGAGCTATGAGTAACAATCGCACTGGGAGATCATACCGGCTTCAATCTTCTCAAGTGAACTGGAGGTAACAGATTGTTTCTTGCCCAAGTCTCTGATGTGCGGAATGAATTGTTCGAAGTCTAGGTTATGTTGAGTTCAGGTGAGAGGAGGTACCTGCAACGAGGAAACTGGCCTGCTTTGCAGTCGCGGACAAGTCGGCATATGTCATTGGCTGTTGTCGAACCACCTCGGCGAGAAATGTTAGATATTGCGAATCTCATGAGCTCGCCTGTGAGGTCAGAGAGACCGAGAAGGTAGTCGCTGACGGTAAGAGGGAAGTACTAGATGGAAACGTCAGAGTTAGTTGCAAGAGCGAAATATATGCTACCAGTCCATCCGCATCACTAAAAGCTGCTTGTGTGTCGTTAAAGGGTATGATACTACCATGCTCGAGATAATGGGCGAAACTCAAAGCTTCTATATATTCTTGAACAGCAGGGGAGACTTGCCGTTGATGTCGCCAGAAACGGTCACCAACGAGCTCTAACCGCATCGCAGCAAAGTATGGACGCGCTTCATCGAGTTTTGAGCGGCCTTTTACGGCAGCACGTCGCCCACGATCGTCATCCGTGTCTTCAAGGATTATTCGATGGAGGAGAAAGATCGCTTTCTTGGATATGTTTGTAACATCTCGGCTCGCCTAAGCGGCTGAGTTGGCATTTTTTTTTGAGTCCCAAGAAAAGGAGAAGAGCAGCACCTTTATCAGGCGTTCGCGTCTGTCGTTGCTCTCGTCGATTTCTTGTCTGAATAGTTCGAAGGTTTCAGCCGTCTTTGGCGGCATAGGATTGCGAGCTGAACGACCGCATAATCTGCTGTCACGCTTTTGTCATTTGTCACACCCCTTTGACCATGTCCTCATTTGCGCCGAAACCTGGGTGTCCGATGTGTAGCATCGTTGCCTCGTCTGCACATATGATACCAAACACTCCTCGTGCCCCAACATTTCCTGCTGGCTCCACCCAACCAGAAGTTCTGTGGAGAGACGAGAACTTCACTGCTTACCGCGAGAAAGCAAATCCCGTTTCAACTAAAGGCCATATTATCGTTGCCTTCAAGTGCGTTTTGTGCATGCGCCAAACCCTTGCTGACATCTATACAGCCTCCACGTTCCCTCAATTTATACCCTTGTTTGTCTTGCCCTTTCTTATTTGGCCGAAATATGATCGTCACTCCGCAGTCCTCAACCGACCTCCCCCTGCTAGTCAACATTCGAAACCTTGCGACTCGTCTCTTGACAAATATCCTCCCTTCCTCCTCACCTACTCTTCCAGCGACTTCTTCTCCGACCGCATCTACACCAAACTCGCAGCTCCAGATTGGGTTCATCACACCACCGTTCTCTGATAGGAAAATCCCTGTAACAGACCACTTACATGCGCATGCTTATATTCTACCCGCCGACCAGCTGGGTTGGTGGCGTGGAATTGCCTACGGACCGCTGGCATGGTACGCCATCGACGATCTAATTGCGGAAATACGGTGCATTGAGTTGTCTTTTTTTGTCTTTCAGTGCTCTAATCTAAGTGTAGGGAGTCGGTGACGAATAATCGCATCAAGTCTGGCCACGATAACCGAGCGCGAGCGCCTATCGACAATGTCCCGGATGCTGGGGCAAGGTCAGGGACTGCAAATGGGTTAGAGACAACAGAGCCAGGATTGTCAGCCAACACAGACGCTGAATTAGAAGGAGGCGGGCGGACTCCATCACATCTCGCACCACCAGAGAACCGACCTTGAGAATGTACACACAATATCACTATAATGACCATTAGTTTATTTGTGACTGGTTTCGTGAGGGGAATCAATCGGTGCAGAGTGTTTCCAGGCGTTTACCGCATTGGTCTTGTTGTTTCCCGGGTCTTGTCATATCTCTCTCTTACTTCAGACCACCATGGGCATGAACTACCGACGCTACCTTGCTGGGGAACGCATCTATGGCTGCTCAGGCTGCAAGACCCATCTGGCAACCATACACTCGATGATTTCGCGTGTAAGGTGTGGGCTTCACCAACACCGAACACTACTGATTACTCCATCACAGGCTTTCAATGGGCAGCATGGTCGAGCCTATCTCTTTGACGGAGTGTAAGCCGCCCGTTGCCCACAAAGCATTCGGATAACGTCTTCAAAGAGTGAATGTCGTTGAAGGCGAGCCTTGCGACCGGCCCATGACTACGGGAATTCATGTTGTGCGCGACATCTACTGCTGCAAGTGTGGAATAACTCTGGGCTGGAAATATGTGCGTCATGACTCGATTAGACTCCTAAGATTGAACTGATCTTTCTATCAGGACAAAGCCTATGAGCCTAGCCAACGCTACAAGGAAGGCAAATATATCCTCGAAAGGAATCTACTTGTCGACGTTCAATGAAGTCAGGAGCGAATGCTAATGGCTTGGTTATTTGTAATAATGGGTGCATTATTCCGACAGCTGTCGGGATCGGAAGGAACGGTTGCCTCAATATAGAGGCTGCTTAGGTCTAGAGGCTTGCAATGCCCAGCATTGCGTCCTGCCCCGTCTTGGTCTTTGTCGTTGCTGACTTGCTCGGTTGCTTGAATCTAATAATGGTGTTATCCTCGGCTGACAAATTTCGATGACTTGATGAGTTTCAATCGCCCCAGTCGTTTGCAAACCCCACAGATTCGAGCCAGCGTTTCTTTCACCACAACCACCACTGCCATTCTTCAATTTGACCTTGTCCACAATGTGTATGCCCCCTCGCTGTCCTTTTTGCGATCCCTAGAACTGACATTTACTTCGTTTTCAGCCACACTTAGCGCTTCGCGTCCAATGATTTCTTCTCCGCTTGCTGGTCCAACCCAAAACGCCAGGGCCCCACCGCCACAAACGAGGCCATACGGCGGTGCTTTCCCAACATCTCGCGCCCTACGTCCGTTCTCGACAGCCGCCAACGCTGGCAAGAAACCGGTGAAAATCATCCAACCACCCGCGTCGCAGAAGGATTGTTTTGTGCTTGACCTAACCCAGGCGGAGCTGAGTCGGAGATAGTTGGAGCATGTTCGGCGAGAGAGAGAGAGCAGCAGACTTATTTTCTTGTTTGTAGACCTAGAGTGTAAATTACCCCAGGAACTGAGCATGGCGTGACCCATCATCAGAGCAGTGCTAAGCACCTTACCTTGAGCGACCACACGCTGACGAGGCCTTTCCCGTCTCCTTACGACTCCTCGACGAACCTTACCACGACCTTCTTGTATCTTTCTTTCTCTAGGTTCCCCTTCCATTCCCCTCCGAGGTACCAAGTTGCTATCCACTTACCCACCCACCCCGCAAAAATGGATCAATGGACAGTGGCCGTTCTCGGAGATGGTGGAGTTGGCAAGACTGCGCTAGCCGTTCAGGTAAGTCCTGGTCCCTCTATTTGCTGCTGGGAACAGTCTCCAATAACTCTTTCCACGCAGTTCACCCTCAGTTGCTTTGTTGGTAAGCCTTACTCCGCTTACACGGCTCCACTCAGCCCTCTGACGTACCCTCCACAGAGGTATGGCTCTCAATGCGGCCATAATCGGGCTATCAGACTGCTCACCCGCCTCCTCCAGACTTATGATCCCACGATAGAGGACGCCTACAGAAAGCAATTTATAGTCGACAATCGTATGTGTTTTGTGGAGGTTATTGACACTGCCGGCCAGGGTACGTTGGTCAGTTGAAGTTGAGTGCCGCCGTTGTTGACCCTTTCTGGCAGAGGAGTATGCAACTCTTCGAGATCAATGGGTGCGGTGCGTGATTTTACAGCTTTGGCCCGAAAGCGTCCGCAACAACTAACCAATATCACAGAGAAGGCCAAGGCTTTATTCTTGTCTACTCAATCGCATCGCGGCAAACATTCGATCGACTCGAAATCTTCCGCCAGTCCGTCCGACGAGCGAAGCGGGGAGACCCGATTCTGATGCTGGTTGGCAACAAGTGTGACAAGACATATGAGAGAGAAGTATCCAAAGAGGAAGGCGCGGCGCTGGCAAGACAATTCGGATGTGAGTTTATCGAGACATCCGCCAAAACGGCCCAAAACGTCGAACGGGTATTCACAAGTCTCGTTCGAGCATTACGACAAACAAGAAACGTAGAACCCGGGCCAATGCCAAACGCTGGCGGCAGACGCGAGAAAGAGAAACGGAAGTGCGTCATCTTGTAGGTTATCAGTTGAGGGACTTTTTTTCTGGGGAATTGTATGCCTTGCTTAGATTCTTTACCTCTTTGATGATACCACACCTCTCTCACCCATCCATGTCATCTTTGCTACAAAGGAAAACATGTTGTCTGACTCCTATGGTACTGCGCAACAAGAGTCCACGTCAATGCTGTGTTCAACCACGTCGACCTATCTGTCCAGCTTATATTTATTCTGCCAAGTATTCCACCACCTCCCCCCATGACTTCTTTCGACAACGCCGACTTTGTCGTCTATTCTGCCGAGGGTTCCCCCTTTTCAGTCAGTCGGGTCAAGCTTCAAGATGGATCCCTCGTTTTCCGTATGTCTGAGAACACAAGCTTCCCAGGTCCAGCCATATTTATTTTGCTCAGGCGACATGTTTAGCTGCTGCGACGCGTCAAATGACGACTCATCCCAAGTTCTCGAGCTCTCCGAAAAAGAGGCTGAACTCGCCATTCTGTTGCGACTGTTGCACACTCCTCCTGACCCACCAGTTGAATTTATCCGGCTTCCTCGCACGGAAAAAGTGAAGACACATCTACCCAGTAACCTTTTTATCTGCGCTGCTCTCATGTCCCAATCTGATTAGGTCTCGTTTCCCAGTCCGATATGATCTCTCGACCGCCATCCCGCTCCCCATCATACGGCTCATGCGAGCCCTCGCTGACAAATATGCTATTGAGGCCTCCATACTAAAGCATCTGGAGCCGCATTTAGTTGCCCACGCGCCAGAACATGCCCTGGAGGTCTATTCCACCGCAGTGTCGCTTGGCATGCCGCTCGTGGTGAATGAAGCCAGTCAATACATACTCCCGCTTTCATGGTACTCGCAAGACGAAATCAAATTGATTCCCACGGCCATAAGCTACCACAATATCCACCGTCTACAGACCTTCCGTGTCAAAGCCCTGCAAGACATTCTATTGCGCGAACCGCTATTTCCTCATGGTCCGTCGATGACTAGGTTAGCCCCATTCTGACTGACTGACAACAACAGGGTATGGTACATGTCCAAACCACGATGACGCTGCTGCAATATGGGAGCGAACGGCGCTGATCTTGTCGCGCAAAATAGAATCGAGTAAGCCTGCTGTTTGCGCCAGACATTGCTTTCTCATCCACCGAGTGCAGATTCTGACGTTGGCGGGGAAATGGAAAGTCTATACTATATTTACCAAAGCTGCTCAGCGTGTTCAAAAGCGTTGCGAGCGGCCCTTGATATGCTGGCCTACAAGTGTAGGCGTGTGCCAAGGCGACTTGACCAGTTGCCAAACGAAGATGTATGACTCTATGCAATCATTGCAATGACAGGAAATCTACTGGTTGTGCCAAAGTAAGGTCTTGAGATTGGACCATCTGTCGCTGTCGCGATACTAGTCGAGTGTAAGTAGAGTCAAAAATAAAAGACGGCGGACATACGAGATAGACCATGGAGTTGAACATTCCAGGTTGAATAGCCTCTCCTTTGTGCTCGAATAACCACATTACGGCACCCCAAGCGAGTGCAGCAAATACTGTGAAATAGCGCGGGTCTGGCGGTACCGGCTTGGCTTTAGTGCCGGGAGCCGGAGGGGCTGAAGAGTATGGCGAGCCAGAGCGGGGTATAATGGTCGCGACAACACGGGACACAACATAGAGAACAATCTACAAAGTAAAGTTGGTGTTATGGTGACGCAAACCGGGACGGACCTGCTCATTAACCGCCGTTCGCTCTCCGAAGACGATATAACCACCAAGGAGGCCGGCCAAGAAAGTGTCTCCGCTGCGGGACTTGCCGCCGTTGGCTTTCTGCTGGATAAGCATAAAGGTCTTGTAGAGGGTCACGAATTTCGCCAGATTGAATGCGTGCTGCTTCGTGGCGCGAAATATCATCCGTGCTCTATCTTTCCAGCTGCCAGACGAGCGTTATGTCAGCCAGGCATCGTTTCCTTTGGGCTGAAAAAGACCCACTCTCCCCGACCAAAGAGTATGGACATCACCAGCGCATGAGGGAATCGAATTTTAACGCCGTAGACGAAGCCATTACGGGCACCCTGGTTGAGTTTCAATCTTCCGGCTTTCGGAAGGAGGCAATGTGGTCTACCTTGAGAATGGCCAGATACGGTTGGTAGGCCGGATTGTGGATAATAGACTCAACGACGTCCATGAAGAGAGAAAGGGTACGGAAGTGATCGCCCGATAGACCATAATCACGGCGCATCAAAATTTGATCAAATTCTACAAAAATCTACTGTGGGTACTTAATTGTCGGTGAAGCTGAGTGCAGAAGAAGACAGCCATTCGAACTGGATCCGAGTCAGCAAAAGGAGGTTCGCTGGAGACAACACCTCACCCCTTCAATATCGGATGCAGTAAGAGGATCAGACTCTGCTCGGATAACAACAAAACGACGGTAAGTCTCCATGATCATTGGCTGCCGTTGCATGATGTCAAGGTCTGCTATAACTTCAGCCTCAATGGTCGGAGCCCATTGGACCTGGGGTAGATTCGCATATCGGGCATGGAATGCATTCAATGAGCGCTGCAGAATTTGTCGAGCATCGAGGGGCCGATTGATCCAATGGTCTCTCAGCCAGTCAGAAGTGCTATCGGACTGGGATGTGAAAACTCGATCAGGGGGTGCTGTGAGGAGCGAAATTTCCCCCGCCACGAATGCTTTCAATAGTCGTTCGAACACAAACACGCCGCTGCAACGATTGTTTGTCTATTTTCGGAGCGGGAGGGTTGCTTCTCACCTATCGTATGCCGCAAGGGGATCTTCGTTGAGGTAGCAGAGCTTGGTGGCCATTCCCAACACGGACGGAAGCATATAACACGTCCATAATGGATGGTCTGCAATCTGCTTAATCTTGTTCACAATGCCCCAAGGGTCCTCGTAAAGAGCACTGGGAGTGAATGTCACCACGCCACCTAAAACAGGTCAGAATAACCTTCTCTGGAATCAAGTGGCCAGACCAATGGGGTATATTTCTCGGACCCTCCACTGAGCCACAGGCACACAGGGATGGGTTCCGTAGGTATAAAACCGAACTGTCAAGGACCTCCGTCGATCAGCAAGAAGAGGCAGCCTTCGTAAGGTTTTCAACGCTCCAACATGAACGAAGACCATCCTAAGTTCCTGTCTGGGCTTCACAAGCCTTGCCTTGTGATACGCCATCGTGGTCATAAGTTGCCTAGTGTCTGTATCTTCATTGGCCGCATCGGGGAACGAAGACCATATCGTAACGGGGCGACGCGCTGTTCCAAACCAATCGAGCAACTCCGGCGGGAATTTGAGGTTTCGAACGGCCACGTGATACTTTCGTGCAAGCATAGTCTTCTGCCAACTGGTTGCATTCACGCGTGGATGAACTGTAGCTGGAAGTTGTCCAAGGAGTGTCCGGGGGTCTTTCATGTCGACCCACGGGACAAGAGCCAGAATGAGGGACGAGTTCATGTATTCGGCGTGTGTAGGCACCCCAAGAGCAGAGCGGAGTGTCTGTGATCGTGGATTGAAAACGAGAATGTGACCAATGAGAACACCAGTCTGCCAAACAGGAATCAAGCTAACCTAGATGTCCGCATCAGCAAAGCTATGGTGAGCGGGCAGTGACTCACGAGTTTCTGCTGTGCCATATAATCTGCTAAAACTTTCAAAGATTCGCTGTCTTGGTTAGTTTTAGAATCCATCCGCGCTACTTGCGGGTTCTCAAAAGACGACCCAGGCACTGGCCGCAGAAACGGATGCATATCCAAGATCTCATGGAAAGTTTCAAGACGAAGGGAATCTTTATTGGCCAGTGCACTCTCGAATGAAGGGCCCGTTACCGATCCCGACCTGAGGTCGTGCACATAAACGTCACAAAACCGCTCCGTCTGGCCGCCGACGTTGGCCAAAAGACCCCCCGTCCAACTCCATTTTTTCTTGAAGCTGTGGAAATGAGCCGAGATTGGACTCTATTGACAGGTTGATAAACGAACCTGGTTGTGATCTTATGGATTGTAGGTTTTGGAGGTACATCGTTGTCTGGTCTTGATGGTACCGAGCTAGTGGACACAGTAACATGTGGGTCTCGCAAAGGTGGTTTGAAACTTGATGGTCATCAGAGGACCGTCCTGCTGCAAACAAATCCAAATCTTACCCGAGTGTCCCGAGAAATGCTTCAGCATCGGCGTCTGCCCCAGGTTTACGGGTGAGTCTAACGGTATGTCAGAAGGTCGTCGCCGAAAAAAGGTCAAACTGACGCGGGGGGAAGAAACGGGGCCTCATCTATTTGCATTGGGGTGTCTATAAAAGAGTCCGTTTGAGGCACATCTGGTTGAACAACGGGCTCCGGTCTGGTTCGAGGATCCGATGAGCGAGCTACCGGAGGTATTACAGGGGAAGCAGCAGCTGAAGTTGTTGTCGTTGTTGTCGGTTGTTGTTTCTTCTTGAAGCTCAATGTGGAAAGGACTTTGGGCGCAGTCGGAAGTAATGCACCCTGGGAAAGGCGGGCTTTGGTTGATAGTCCACTGGTTGCAAGATTTGGGCTGTTGCTCGAGGACTTGGCACCTTGGAGGATGGAATGAGGCATTTTGGAAGAACTCGATTGAACGGTCGAAGGAGGAACCGTGAGTGGCGGTTTGGCAGATGAAGAAATAAGAGGCGTGGTTTTTGAGGTGATATTGGGTTGTGCTCCTTTGGAGGTGCTTGAAACTGGTGTAGACCGCGATATCAAGCTAGGTGGAGGCTGGGTAGACGCAGAAGGTTGCTTAGAAGGTAAAGGGAGTGCTTTGGGCAAGTGCCGGACTTTGGGAGCCGTTGGTTGAAGTTTTGGTAACGTCGGTGCCGTTGGAGGTGGGTTAGGTACGGTAGGAACAATGTCTGGGGGTGTGGGGGTGAACAAAGAGCGCACGGCAGAAAGATCCGGACTTCTAGGAGGAGTCGCAACCTAACATGGAGTTGGACAATCGATTCTCCGAAAAAGTACATATACGCAGATTACCTTGCTGGATGTCGATGGTTTTTGGTTTCCCTGAAATCCAGATGACATCCAAAGATCCGAAACTCAAGCTAGACAATTCATACCTTCTTTTGGGCCAAAGGTATATCCGCGTCTGAGTCTGCCTCTGAATCAGGACTTGCCCTCTTGATCCTCTTCTTGGGGGGCTTTGTAAGAGATGCGACAGAAGCACTACGCGAGGGTAATGATGCAGGCATATGCTTTCTGGAGGGAGTTTGTTTTCCCTTCTTATCGTGAGTCTACTTACACTGAGCTAACAGTACAAAGGGAAGTTGGAAGGACGGACAACCTTCTTGGATGCTGCCAACTTCTCTTCTTTGCGGCGTTCAGCCCTCTCTCGCTGTTTGAGTTTCTCGGTGCGCTCCTTATTGAATTCTACTTTGTACCGCTCACGTTGTTCCTCTTAGAAATGTTGAGCCATTTAATATTGATGCAAGTTTCAGCAAGCTCACCGATCCATTCTGGCGTTGCTTTGCACGTATATCCTTCTGGGTAGTCGTTGTCGTCAACACCAATGTGGCTCCAAAATCTCTGAAGTAGCTCTTGGCAGGCAGCAAGATTGGCAGCGGGTTCCCAGCTATCATGAGACGAGTCGTAGCCATCCCACTGTCGATGTTTAGATTGCACTTGGAGATCATCACTCTTCTCTACCTTGACAAAATATTCCCATCCGTTTGCATTTGTCGAGGCGTCGAAGCAGACACGGGCCATTGTGACACACTCTACTGGGCTTTAGAACTTGGAGAAACGGATATTGAAAACGACATGCCAACAGCGAACCCTTCGTCATCGGAGTCATCACTCTGCTCGTCGCGCCTTCTCTTCTCGGTTTTAGCCATATCGTTGAGAGAGTTGGGCTGGAAGAAAGGAGCTTACGTCGTGACGGTGACGTAAGTCACACTCAGGAATCATGTCCAAATCCAAATCGAAGGCAGACGAGGCGTTGGCTTTCCTGGACGATCTCGACTCATTCACGCCGCCTGATGCTGCACCTTCCACGACGTCTAATGCTCCTGCTCAGTCCAGCGGTGGAGAGGCAGAAGTACTTGCTTTCATTGACGAAATAACCCAGAAGAGCGCTGAACCAACTCCTCGTTCTTCCCATCTCGAACGTCCAGCTTCACGCTCCGGCACTCCAACTATTCGCAAAAGTACTGAACGTGTTCGTCTCGGTGGAGGCGGAAACCCTTCATTACTCCGAACCCCCTCATCGTCTTCGCTCAAGAAAGATGCAGCCCCAACAGCTGAACAACAAGCCCCATCGACTGGTGGGTGGGGTTGGGGAAGCGTATGGAATAGCGCATCTGCAGCTCTCCAGCAAGCAAAGTCGGCGGTTGACGAGCAAGTCAAGTACCTCCCCAAAAACGAGCAAGCTCGTAAATGGGGCGAAGGAGTCATAGAGTACGCCAAATCGGCACAGCTGGAACGAATTGGTGGATTCGCATCTTTTTCATGATGACAAGAAATAGCTTGATCCTGTTCTAGGCCAGGACTTCAAACGCGTTGGCCTTTCAACGTTAACAGACATCCTCAATGTTGTTGCACCTCCCATTTCTGAACATGAAGTCATTCAAGTTTGGCTCAGTCACGATATGAGGGGCTATGAAGGCATTGAATCACTTGTCTATCGCGCGCTTGCCAGGGTACGGTCACGCTTCTTCTACACGTTGATTTCTTCCTTGACACGTTTTATGCGCACAGATAATGGAGCAAGTTGAGGGGGGTGATTTGGTGGTCAACCGCGGGGACGAATCTCGACCGAAGGAAACAACCGATGCATCCCGGGAGTTGAATGCAGTAGAAGGGTTCGAGGCTGCATCTAAACTGGCACAGGCAAGCAACCACTCTGTTCAATTTGCCCTATCGTTTAGCTTTGTGCAGGCCAATCTAGACGAGTTAATCAAGAATAACAAGAAAGTAACCGCCGATAAGAGCGAATCAAGCGTCCAGACACCCACAACGTACTCGCATGTCTACCTGCGAATTCAACCATTCCTATCATCTTTCTCATTCCCCGCTACCGACGCCGTCCCACCCTCGCAACAGCTGCAATTCCTCATACATCTTTCAGATCCGTCTCACAACCTCAGTCAAAGCACTATCACGCAATGCATCTCAGGAGAGTGGCTAGCGGAAGGGATGTGGGAGAAGTACGACTGGGTTGAAGACTTGATGGCAGAAGCTTTACGAGTTGGTGTCGAGGTCATTGGTCAGCAATATATTGTGCAACGAATGGGCTGGGGAGCGGAGGCAGTGGAGCAGGCAGAGGAAGAGAGCAAGATTGACGCAGTTGGAGGACCAGGAGAGCTGGTCGAGAAGCCTGAGGCATGACTACTTGTTTAACACATCTGTACTTATAAATGACATGCGACGTCTATTTCTTCTCTTCAGCTGGTGGTGGTGGCAAGGGTTTTAGCTCAGCGGGCCGTGGTGCAATCGTCCCTTGGCCAACTTGTTCCCAAGGAGAGAGAGATTCAAAGTTACTACACAGGAATTAACATCACTCATAGGGAGAGATAAGCAACACGCACCGGAAAGCTTGCGTGAGTTGCAGAGGCTCGTAAACAACCCGTTTGCGCTCTTCGTCATAACGCAATTCAGTGTAGCCCTATTCAAGTGTGAGTAAGGATAGAAACACGTGTGAAATTGGCTGACCGTCAAAGGGAAATCCTTGCGCAATGGGTGACCTTCAAAGCCTACCAGCAGGGTCAGTGAAATTTTCAATCAAGCAAGCACGATGATCAGGCACCATAATCGGTCAGAATGCGTCGTCTGTTCAGTCAAATGAGATTTGAGAGCATGCAAAAAGGCCAGACGCACAAATCTGGATGACCGCTGAAGAAAACGCCGTACATGTCCCAAACTTCGCGCTCATACCTAGTAATTTTCAGCATTCGATTTGGAAATCAAGAGTCTGTTTTGACCAGTCAGCACTGCGGAAGACACCGGCAACACTTGGAACGTGATCTCCTTCGCCAGCATAGGTCTTCACACGGAGTCGGCCTTGTGAGGAGGTGCTCAGAAGATGGTATACGACTTCGAAACGCTTGTCGCGCTCTGGAAAGTCGACTGCCGTCACCTGCATGAGGTACTTGAACTGGCATTGGGAATGGTCGCGCAAGAAAGTCATCAAGGGCACGATGGTAGCAGGAGCAGCATAGAGAGTGAGTTCGTCTTTGCTGACGGAAAACTGCTGTATGAACTTGGGTAGGCACTGGGTCAAGTATGCGCCATAAGTGTGAAGGGCACTGGTGGTTGCCGCATATTTTTCGACTGTTGGGTTGGGAGATGTAGGTTCGGTAAAGGGTGATTGAGATGCGCGGGGGATATGAGAGCTCTGAATCGACCGTGCAAGGGCTACACTGGCCCTTCCAAGCCGCGGGCCAGCGAAGCGGAGAAGAGACATCGCGAGTAACGTTTGTCACATCCAATGTCCGACTTCAACCAACTCTTCGACTCGCTTCCCTACTACGATAATGACCTTGATCAATTTCCAGGCCTCAAAGAGAAAGTAGATCGCGAATTCGGTCGCGAGCCAAAGCCTCCAGCAACCCTACATCCCCGCGTACCCCCACCCCCATCCCTTTTTGCAGTATTGTCTGTCTTAGATCGCGTGTTCTAAGCTTAAATTCTGACAGAACAACCCATTGCTGAAGGCAGAGCTGCAACGCGTAGAATCACACCAAGAATTTCCACGTCTCGACACTCTAAGATATCAACTACCAGCGCCGTCATTACCGGGGACAGATGAAGAATGGCAAGCAGCCTTGAAAAACGCAGAAGCTCAACTCGAGCATCAACGCATTCGGTTTGTCGTTGGCTGACTCCGCAAAGATAATCTGGCTCATTTTCACAGACAAACAAACCTGCAATTGCTGCAGACATATGGGCCAAATGCATGGCGCATCCACAACTATCTTCTTGAAACGACAGTAAAGCAGGCTGAGAAAGCATTGGAGGAAATGAAAGAGCTGACCGTCGAGGTCAATCGGGAACGAAAGAACACGCAAACACAATTAGGGAAAGAGTTGAACAGCCTCGAGACGCGATGGACAGAGCTGATTTCCAACGTGCTACAAATTGAGCTCGCGAATTCAGCGTTGGATGCTGAAGTAAACAGACTTAACCGGCGAGAGGCAGAACTTGCAGAGCTAGCTAGGCAGTAATAATAGATCATATTGAGAGGTCGGAGTTCGAGCGCATTTTCATTAGTCACGTGCGCATCCTTCCCTCCATCCAACTCACGAGTACATGGCAAATGAAGAGACTACAACAGCCAGTTCTTCTCAACTGACGCCAGACAATGTCCCATTGCAACAACCCACTCCCGTCCGCAACCTCGTGCCGTTGGGCTCTCACGGACCCACCCAGACGAAAAAGTTCAGCGCGGTCAATATTAACAAGAAATTCCTTGAAAAGAATTCGACGACATCCCCCTACTCATCCACCACAACATCAAACTCAGCGGCGAAGTTATCCGGTGCTGCTGGTGTGTTACAAGTTGCCTTCTTCTTTTAGCAGGGTCTGACGAACAAACGATAGTCCGACCCATATCGCAGTCAACACCAACGCATTCGCGTCTCGTTACAACTAAGCTCACAACTGCCTCACAGGGTCATGCTACAGGTCCCGGTTGGTCACGACCGTCGTCTGCTACTCCTCCGACTTCAACAACCCCTACAATCAATGGTTCTGGAGATGCGTCAACCTCGACAACGGCGCCAACCATCCAGCCACAGTCTCGCCCTGCAAGACAAAGAGATATGGGAGGTGGCACAAATAAACCCGCCTGGGGCAATGCGAAAACCAACCAGCAACGCCCAAATGTTGCTTCTCAAATGGAATTCCCGACGGCGGCAGAAGGTTTGCTTTGCCACAAACTATCTTGTAAGATCTCACTCTTCCTAGTTGCTGCCGCCCCACGTAAATCCAGGCCAGCACTGGCTGATCGGAATGTCGCTTCGAAGGAGACAATGGCTGCAATGCAACAGGCTGCAGCTGCAAGTAAACAGGCGAGAATGGAGGAAGCAGACACATTTCGGGGAGTGCACTTAGATCCAAACGCACATCATTGGGACGAGGTCAGTTTTCATCTTTTTACTTTTTTTTTGCAAACAGCTTATACCGACCGAAGATGGAAGAAGACGATGACAATTTCTTGGACGGTGTTCTTGATTTTGGAGATGGAAGACAGTACAAAATTGAAGCAACAGATCTCCCCACTGATGCGTCCAGTGCAACACTAGTCACTGCCAATAGTCTCACCTCTCTACCTTCACCACCGAGCACTGCGTCCCAAGTAGAAGAGCCACAAAATGGTCCTGTAAGCAAGGAAGACCGCTTTGCGGATGATTTCGACCGCAGCTGGCCTCGCTCTCGTGCTTCGCCTTCCGTTTCTACTCGCGATCTCCCCACTGGGCCTTCTTCTGTTGCTGGACCAAGTCCAGTTTCTCCTGCTCTGTCCATGCTACACTCTCCACAAGAACCTCCAGGTTCACGTGGTATGCTGTTCAATGAGCGGTCAAACAAACTCGAGCCATACAACAAGGGGGTGGTCAACCAGAAACGAGGCAGTGATGGATTCGTATCTCCCACTGAAGCACGTGGCCGGGACAGTTTTCAGCATCGAGGCAGGGTTTCTGGAAACGACCGCCCGTCGCGAGTGCCTCCAGCTTCACAATCAGGCCCACGACCTCCTCAAAATACATGGAACCAACGAAAGGAAGGAGATGAAGTGAGAGGGAGACCACAGTCAGATATGGGTCCTCCCGCTGTTCCGACTCGTCAAAAACCACCACATCTGTCGACAGCTGGCCCTCCCCGCCGAACTTCAACTTCACGAGATTCCCGACAAAGCGAAACTCCATCGTCTGCTCGACTTCCTCCATCGCAATCACCTGCGCTGTCTCATACATCTGCTGTAGCCCAGTCACCCGTCGCCGCCCTGGCACAACTATCGACCACTGAGCTGAATGAAGCTAGAAAAGATGTGATGCAAACAGCAGCAGCTCGTGCTAAGGCAAGGAGACAGCAAGAAGAGGAGGAACGAGAAAGAGAGAAAGAGCGGGCGAAGCGCAAGGCTGCTGAAATTGAGGAGAAGATTGCTGCGGAGAAGACGAAAGTACAAGAAGTTCACAAGTCAAGAGAACAGGTACTGATTATTCTGTCTTGTATTGAAATCCCCCCCTCATGGCGCATTGTAGGAAGCCTTAGAAGTGATTGAGTCAGCGGTCAAGATGGTTCAGGTTCAGCCTCAGCGAATTGCTATTCCTGAGAGACCTATACACAGACGAGCATCAGAGGCTTCACCGCAAACAACATTCGAGTCAAGGCCCCCTGTCCCACGAAAAATAACGTCCAGTACCAGTGTTCCTTCCCTAGCCCCAGTCGATACACAAGGATCGTGGCGGAGCAAACCTAGCGCTGGAGCAGTCACACCTTCGCCTCAAACTTGGGAGCGGCCTACTCCAGCTCCAGCACAGCTACCACCGCCAGCATTTGTTGCGCCACCAACTGCTTTGGAACAAGTGGAATCTCTCGCCAACGACGACCTTGAAGTTGTCGACTTTTCTGATCTTGGAAAGTTCGTTGGCGATTCTGACGAGCAAGCAAATGTGCCTACTGTTGTTCCTCGGCCATCGCGACCTTCAGCCATCGACTTTTTCGATGATCGACCGTCTGAAGCTGTGCCAACGGAGAAGATTGGGCCTACGACTTGGCGTCGACATGAACCTGGGTCGCGTTCCATTGATGCTGACATTACCGCGCCGTTGGAAGGGTTGCAACCAACTAATCGCACACCCCGCAAGGAAGCTGCCATGTCAACCCTGGATGATGTTATGTCTCGCATCAAGGGTGCACTAGACACAATGCAGACAAGTGAAAGAGAACGTCGCTCGCCAGAGGTATCTGCTGCCGGAGCAATCCCTCGTGGCCCAGCTTTCTTGCCCTCGTCACGCTGGGTTCCTCCTGCCTTCCGTCCACGGCCAAGTGAGCCCCCAGAGCCACGGGAAGAGCTCGTCACTGGCTGTGAACCACCACGCTCTCCAAAACCAGCTTGGAATACGTTTGTCATCCGCTTACCCAAGAGTTCGCAGGCTTTGGAACCTCTTAGTCGGAAACAGCTAAATATGACAACTCGTCCAACGCCGTTGCGTTGGGATATACTCTCTTTTGATCCTCCGGTGGAAGGTATGAACAAGAAAGATTTGAGCATCAACGAGATTCTCTTCCGGCGAGTCCCAGGCAAGGGCAAGTTCAAGGTGCTGCTGCCAAACTCTCAAGTCAGCGGGCCCAAAGTCAATGTTCCGCCGATATCTAGCAGGCCGACCTCCTTCGTTCGCTCTCCTTCTGACGCTCTGTCGACGTGGCGAAAGGCGCCGGCTACAGGTAATGATGACCAAGGTCTAGCTACCGTAAGCCGTTCGCCTCCCCCAGAGTTGCCTTCAGAAACGCCAATCACTTCGTTCAAGTCAGAGGATGCATTCACTGCGCGCTCAAGGCCGGAGCCCAAGATGCCTGTTGGATCTTCCGTGGCATTTTATCGCGACTCCGTTGAAATGGATGGCCAGGCGTCGGTCAATTTTATTGTCAACAGCGAACTGGAGGCAACCCCTAACAAACTCAAGCCCAGCATATTGGTTTCTTCTCCATCTGCAAGCGATTTGTTGGCAACCAATGGTACTCCTTTCAACCCACGAGCAAATGGATCAGCAGCGACGTACATGCCTTCTTTGATTTCGAATAGCAAGACGGAAAGCAAGAGTTCAGAAGACTCGGTGGGTTTTTATCATTGTCTTTGTCCCTGTCGGATTGAACCTTTTTGTAGACCGATCGAACCCCCATCACCCCTCCATCACATCCCAATGCTACATGGGCAAGAACATCACTAAGCGGTTCGGGGAAAACAGGACCTGACCCAGAACACCTGAAGGCTGTTTGGTCACAGAGTTCTAACCAGGCGGCTCCTGTGAACTCACTGGAGGGCATAGCGGATGATTTGACGGCTATTCCATTCACATTACAAGATGTCAAGTCAGAAGATGGAGGCACTCCCCCACCAACTGCTACGTCGACAGCATCTTCGCGAATGTCCTTGCACGATGTCACTCGAGCATTTCAACAGGTCCCAACCTCTTCAAGTTCGACTATCAGAACACCAATTTCGCCCCCCTTCGACCTCTGCACCTGTTGCTCGCCCCCCTCCAGCGAATTATTCATACCAACTCCCTCCGCCTCCTAGCCAGATGATGCGGCCAACATATGGCGCTTATTCGCCGATACAGACTCCCGCCATCATATATCCGATGGCCCCCAGTCCTATTCCTCGCCAAGTGCCGGTTAACGGTCACGCACCGTTATATAGCCAACCAGTCTGGATGACACAGAATCCCCCAGCTATGATGCGACCGCCGTATCCCCAACTTATGCCCTATCCAACGCCTGCTGGAACTCCGATGGCTTACCAGGGAGCGCCATTACCTCAGCCTAATGGGTCACGTGGTCGAGGAATGCCTCCCCAAAATATCATGTACCCGGCGAGTCCTATCCTGATGCAAGCCCCCCCGATGCCCGTGGGGTATATGGCTATGCATCCACCAGCTGGTCGTGGCCAAATGCGGACTGACAATGGTCACCCACCTCAGCAACCTCCACCCATGCCTTCGCCTAGTTTCACTCCCGTTCCTCCCACGTCGTTCGTGCATCCGACTTGGTAGTTTTCCTCATTCCTATCGTTATCGTCTTCGCTTTCGGTGTATCACATTCTCGCATAGCTCAAAGCTTTTCTGCACGATTAAGGTTCTCTGCAGTATAAACTACCATAAATACGCGTCAGGTATGTATGATTTCTAAGCAGCCAGTTGGACTGCACGCTCCGCAGCCTCGTCTAAGCTATCAAACGCAATAATTTTTAATCCAGAAGCCTCGATCATGCTGATGAAAATAGTCATTAGTTTACTCTTTTGAACAAGCAAGCGTCCACTTACTCTTTGGCTTCTTGTTCTTTGGTGCCCTTGAGGCGGACGACGAGAGGAATATTGAGAGCAAGTTCTTTCGTGGCTTTGATGACACCTTCCGCGATGTAGTCGCAACGCATGATGCCTGCAAATAGAGCTGAGTAAACAAATAGCAGGAAGATATCATACTCGTACCCCCGAAGATATTGATAAAGATACTCTTGACTTTAGGGTCAGCGAGCAAGATTTCGAAAGCCTTTTTGACGGTTTCTGGAGTTGCTCCTCTGGGTTAGGACAAACATTGAGCCACATTGCGCTTGCTGAGGATGGAGACATACCCGCCAACATCCAGGAAGTTGGCTGGATTTCCGCCATGCAAAGAGAGGACATCCATGGTAGCCATGGCCAGTCCGGCGCCATTAACAAGGCAGCCAACGTTGCCATCGAGTTTGATGAAGTTGAGGTTTGCTTTCTGTGCTTCTACCTCGGAAGCCTCCTCTTGGGTGATGTCCCGGAGAGCGAAAACATCTTCTTGGCGGAACTCAGCATTGTCGTCAAAGCCGAATTTGGCGTCCATGCTGGTCAAGTGAGAAGACGAAATCGACCGTTATTTGCGCTCACCAGAGAACTGCACCGTCGTCAGTTTCGGCCATCGGGTTGATTTCGATTTGAGTCGCATCCTTGTCTTTGAAAATTTTGATCAGGTTGATGAAGATGTCGGCTGCTTGGGCTTGAGCATCGCCCTGGAAGCCCAACTTTATGGCAACGTCGAGGGCCTCTGCCTTGGAAAGACCGTCTTCAAAGCTGACTGGAGTGGTGATGATCGCAGAAGGGTCCTTGGCAGCAACTTCTTCAATATTCATGCCTCCTTGTGCGGACGCAACAAGCACAATCCCCTGAGAAACACGGTCATTGAGGACCGCAACGTAGTATTCGTGTTTGGGGTTGCGGCGCTCAGCGAGCATGACCTAATCAAAAGTATTCGTCAGTGTTGAGCAAAGTTGGTGAACTCTTACTGCATTGCAAATCCTACCGCCAGCACCTGTTTGCTTGGTGATTAGATTGGCTCCAATCATCTTGGAAGCGTATTCTTTAGCCTGTTCCGGGCTATAAAAACGATTATTGGAACAGCTTGACCCGGTATTCGACGCGACAAACCTGCCAACCATATGTACACCACCTTGCAAGCCATTATCGAACTTGCCCTTGCCTCGTCCGCCAGCGAGAACCTGCGCCTTGATCACAAGCCTGTCATGGCCTGGACAGAGAGTGAGCTGGCGGAGCGACGTCACCGTAACAAGGACAGACCAAAGTTCTTCGCGACAGTAAACGCTTCTTCCGGTGACTTTGCAGCGACACTCTTTGGAGTTGGGATTCCATACTAATCCGAGAGTTGAGACACAACTTGACATGGAAAAAGGAAGCCGAAGTCACGGAGTTGAGCAATGTCATGGATTGGTATTCATGGATGGAAAGAAAGCGCCTCTGACCTGCAGACGCAGCCTACGTGCTTAATTAGTTGAGAAACAAGGTAAGAAAATGAATGCGAGTACCCGAGCGAGGGAGCCCGCCTTGCGTAGAGAAGACAGCATACTTGGGTCGATAACAAAGTTGGGAAGCGAGTTGATGCCGTGACAAGATTTTTTTTCACACTTGACCGGAACGGCGACGACGGCTACTTCGACAACGGTGGCCTGTCTCTCCACTCCTCCGTGAGGCCCTTCTGGCAGATAAATTTCTTTTCCTCCCCTTGAGTTCGGACCGTTCAGCGTGAGCTGGCTCGAAATTTCGTGGCAGGAACAATCCTCCTTTCTTTCTCACCACATGGTCAATCCAGGCCAAACATCGAGGCAAGGCAGACGCCTCACCCCCTCCGCGTTCACATACTTATTAATGTAACTTGGAAAAACTTGTTCAGTCCACCCACCATGCAAACCGCTCTCGAGTCCGATTCTTCCCTCCATGTTGAAGAAACAACGCTCACACAACTCCTCGTCGTGGGCCGAATTGTTCTACAGCAGGGTGCGCTACCAGAACACAACTTTTCCTATCATGAACTTCCACTTCAGGCATTGACCTGCTTGATAACCATTTGACCTCCGATGAACAGCTCACTGTTCACTCAAAATATCTGCCAGGCTCTACAATCGGCGCGTCGCCCTTTCTCTTGGGTCAGAATGGTCTCTGATTTACTCATAGGGAAACATCTACGACATTCGCGAGACCACTTCGAACTGCTCCTGGATTGCATCCAAGGAAGTCCTCCATATGTTCTATGTTCGTATTCTAGTCTATAACGACCTCAAAAACTCAAGCCAGCTGGATAACAGCTTATGATGTCAGAATAAGGAACACACCAATGGAACAAGACCGACATGCTGCTCGAGCCGCCTTGGTAGACACCATCGCAAAACTGGAGCAAGTCGTTCCCAACGCGGATGAAGCCACACCTATGAAGTTGCAAGCTGTTACTCCCTATCTCCAAGAGTTTGGGACGACCTTTGGCAGGGAGGTATGGTTCAATTCAACCCTTGGTGCCGAGAAGTCGTCGCTCAGATGGAAACGTAGCTCTGGTTTGCGGCATTACACTGCGTTCACCACTGGTCAATGGTGAGCACCCTCTTTGTCATTCCAGCTCTACATGCGAATCCATATCCAGGTCCGCGTCATTGCGGGTGAGCTTGTGAGTGGAAGCCTCAATAAAACTGTCAATTCCCAATTTTGTTAGGACCTGAAGCTCGCGGATGATTTTGGATGGGCGCCGTCGTCGCTTGTCTATCATAGCCTTGAGGCGCCATTAGGAAAGGCCAAGATATAGTACTAGATAGTCCACTGTTCAGACTTGATACACGAATTTGGAAAGCCTTAGTCACAAACGGTCACATAACCTTCATCTCAACTTTCGACCAAGCTGTAAGTAAGCAGAACGCGTCAGAACGCGATGGCGCATATGATCCCTCTGGAGGGAGAAACAAGCAAGAAACGTGTTGTGAGTCAAATATTTTATTATCGACAGCGCTGAACACCATTTTTACCGCTCCTAGTGTTACTTCTTCGACTCTGACATCGGTGGCTTCCACTATGGCCCTGGACACCCGTAGGCATTGGAACTTGTCGTCCCGTTGAGGTATCCATAAATATTTCACTGGCAGGATGAAGCCAACACGAATACGGATGTGTCACTCATTGGTGATGAACTACGGACTCTACAAAAAGATGGAGATTTTCGTTAGTATTCGCGTGCTGTGATCTCACTCGGCACGGGCTAACTCATGTACCCAGCGCGCCAAACCTGCAACCAAACGTGAGATGACCCAATTCCACTCGGACGAATATATCGAGTTCCTCAACAAAATAACGCCAACAAATATGAACTCGTATATCAAGGAGCAGCACAAATGTCTGTTTTTGTGCCCTTCTTACTTGTTCTCCGCCAACTCTTGCTCTACAGATAATGTTGGTGACGATTGCCCTGTTTTTGACGGGCTGTTTGATTATTGTTCCATCTCTGCCGGTGGTTCCATGGGTTTGTGCCTTGTTCTGAATTGGACGTACTCTGAATGGAACCAGAGGGTGCTGCTCGTCTAAGTCGCGACAAATGCGACATAGCGATCAACTGGGCCGGTGGCCTGCATCACGCGAAGAAGAGCGAAGCAAGCGGCTTCTGCTATGTAAACGGTAAGCTCTATTTTCCCTTCCAGATCTTGTCATTCATCTTGACTTCTAGACATTGTTCTGGGTATATTGGAACTCTTGCGGTATCATCAACGCGTCCTCTATATCGACATTGACGTCCATCATGGGGACGGCGTCGAGGAAGCCTTTTACACCACAGACCGGGTAATGACAGTCAGCTTCCACAAGTATGGCGAATACTTCCCTGGAACGGGTGAGATCAGAGTGATATTCTTGTCTTTTCTCGCGCACTGGTGTTCAAATTGTCCTAGGACATTGGAGTCCTCAAGGGCAAGAATTACTCTTTGAATTTTCCACTACGTGACGGCATCTCTGATGAAAACTACAAATCCGTCTTCGAGCCGGTTCGTTCATTCGAAGACCTACCTTGTTGTCTGAATTTGTTTTCAGGTCATTCAACAAGTGATGGACTCATATGACCCATCAGCCATTGTATTACAATGCGGAACTGACTCGCTATCTGGAGACAAACTGGGGTGTCTGAACCTTTCCATGCGTGGTGAATATCTCTATGTCTCGGTTAGCTGTGAAGACCAATACCCCATAGGACACGCCAACTGTGTTAAATTTGTCAAGTCGTTCAATCGTCCACTTTTACTGCTAGGCGGCGGTGGGTATACCATGCGCAATGTCAGCCGGGCATGGGCATACGAGACGGGCCTTGCTGCTGGTGTGGAACTCGGTCCTGGTAAGCTGACTGTGACCTGTTCTGTTCTGTTTGGTTCTCAGGCCGATCCTCAGAAATACCTGTGAACGAGTACTACGAGTACTTCGGCCCTGACTACGAACTAGACGTCAAGGCGTCAAACACGGATGACCTGAATACGCCTGCTTATCTCAATCGCGTCAAGCGGATTGTCATGGAAAATCTGCGGAATTGCGGTGGTCCTCCGAGTGTTCAAATGCAAGGCAAGTCGTGCGTGCTTATCAGTGGCCAGGTCTAATAGTTGCTCAGACATTCCTTCCATGCCGATTGACATGGCCCTCGACGATCCTAACGCGGATGAAGATTTAATACCGCCGGATTCTCGACGTCATCGACGCCTATTGGACTCGAGACGACAAGGTGATGGAGAGCTTTCTGACTCTGATGACGAAGGCGAAGGCGGGCGGAAGAACCATGCCGACCATAAGACTGCTGAGAGCATTGGGGATAATGTAGCAAGGAAGTTTGGCATTATGTCAGCGGCGACAACAGCTTCTGGTGCGGGTCCCAGTGCACATACAACCACTGCTCGAGTTCTGTCGACTGGAACAAAGATGGACGTGGATGGAGCTGAAAATGGTAGCGGGAATGGTGACAGTGGCAGTGTGGATAGTGTAGAAAAGACCGAAGGCCAGGAAATGGTTGTAGATAATGTTTAATTTTATTCTGTTTATTTGTTCGCTCGAATCAGTTAGAATCAGTCGCGTGACCGTGACTGAGACGCGTTAATTAGTCACACTCAGACTCTTCACCTCCTCCATGATGGACAGACTCGCAACCCCTCCACCTCAGCCATCTTCCTCTGTGTCACTTCAGCTGACGCCTGAGCAAGTACGCCAGGTAGAATTGAACCGTCTTCGTGCCAAGGCCGCCCAAAGGAAACGCGAAGAAGATGCTGCAGGGTCCAGTGCTGTAAACGCAAACAACAAGCGGCCTCTCGGAGTGACTCCAGCGAACTCCAACTCTCCGACTGCACCGGGTCCGTCAAAGGCTAAGCCACTGAAGCGAGACGCGCGCTATGGTCCGATTTTCGAGTTCGATTTGTCGAAGATGTCTGACCCTCGAGGTGGATATATGCCGGTGGAGCACGGTCAGGACATCGACGAGGAGGTTGTCAGGAAGGAAAAAGAGAGAGAACGCCAGCGAATTGAAAAAAACCTCAAGCTCGACGACCCAATATACTTGGACAACTCGCTTAATCCACATTGCCGCGAATGTGGGTCGGTCTCCATTGATCCCTCATACCGCAAAAACTTTAGCTGTCTGGTTTGCAAGACTTGTCAGAATGATAACCCAGAGAAGTACAGTCTGCTGACCAAGACAGAATGCAAACAGGACTATCTCCTTACTGATTGTACGTGGACGCTTTCTTCGTTGTGGCGCTAGGCATAACACATATCGTAGCGGAGCTTCGGGACGAGAAAGCATTGCCTCACATGCTCAAAGCAAATCCACACAAGTCCACCTACGCCAACATGATGCTCTACGCACGATATCAAGTCGAGGAGTTTGCATGGAAGAAGTGGGGTTCTCCAGAGGCACTAGACGCTGAGTACGAAAAGCGTACGTCAGAGAAGAGCAAGAAGAAGAACAAGAAATTTGAGGAGGGGTTGAGAGACCTGAGGCGAAGAACAAAGGAGTCCGTTTGGCAGCGAAGGCAGGATGAGGAGCATAAACACGTCTTTGGGCCGTCCACTGCTAGACGGGGGAGTGAGGGACAACAAGTCTGTCATAGTTGTGGTTTCACAATCGATTTTGAAGAGTTGTAGTCCGGGTTCAGGTAGCTGATAAGATGCCCCTGGCCGAGCAGGTCAGCATGTAATACCGAGAGGATAAGCGATCAAATTACTACCCGACCGGCTTTCTGCCTTCCGACTGCGAGTATAAAGCAGCGCAAATATCATACGAGGCGCTCTTTCCTGTCACCCTCATAACACAAAGCACCTTACAATGTCGTCTGAAGCTGAAGAGCAACCTTGGCACGAGCAGATTTCTGATGCTCTAGACGTGGAACGATTCGAAGTCGACCTGTTTCGTTCAAAAACTTTGTGGCTTCCAAATCGCGGTCGAGGCGTTTTCGGAGGCCAAGTTATCAGTCAAGCGCTGGTTTCGGCCACCCAGACCGTTGATCCCGTATACGGACTGCATGTAGGTGAACTGAGTAAAGCTCTTGTTCCTTACACTAAAAGCTTTTTCGCAGTGTAATTATAGTCCCAGTTCACTGACCGCGGTCTGACTGGCCACCTCAGCTCTCCACTGCTACTTCTTACTGAGCGCCTCCGCCTCCGTTCCCATCGTCTACTTCGTCGAAAGACTGAGAAATGGGAGATCTTATATCACGCGTGCAGTCAAGGCGGTTCAGAACGGAAAAATGGTCTTCTTCATGATGTGCTCATTCCACAAGCCAGAGTAAGTCAATAACTTAGAAAGCAATAGTGATGAAACATAATTTCCTAGACCCTGGCAGCCCGTTGGGCAATGGTCCATGCCACCCAACGTCCCTCCGCCTGAAGACTGCCCTACTGAGGAAGAGCGCTATCAAGTGCTCCTGAAGAAGGAAGGACTCGATGCCGATATGCGAAAGATTTACGTCGACATTATTGCTGTTCGTGCAGTCAACTTTTTTGCAAAATCCACGCCAAACCTTGTTTAGGAACGCAAGCGCAGTCCAATTGCCGTCAAGCCTGCTCTCGAAAAAGACCGTGTCTCGGGAGGCTCAGGAATGACACGATACATGTTCTGGCTTCAGGCGCGAGACATCCCCAAATACGAACCGCACTTTCAGAAATGCATTCTGAGTTATATGTCTGACCTCTACGTGTAAGTCTCTGCTTGATTTCTTGCACAATCTAACGCGTGTCTTCAGTCTGGGTGTGGCTGCACGGACATTGGGGCTGGAACGAGTCGGAAAAGGCCCAAACGTCAGGAGCATGACGTCCACCATCGACCATGCCGTTGCCTTCTACGAGTAAGTCCACATTTTCAACGAGAAAGCGACCTTTCATCTGCATCTCCAGCGACACTTTCGATTGTGGGGACTGGCTGTTGTACGTGGTGCGTATAAGGTTCATGGAGAAGAGGCAACAACTCTAACTTTGTCCAGATGGCATCCCCACGCGCAGCTTCTGGTCGAGCGATTGTCTATGGCCAGGTTTGTTTTTCCACACACAAGGCTTTTGTTGCACTGCGCTGATAGCATCATCTTAGATCTACAAGCGAGATGGGACGTTGGTTGCGATTACGACGCAGGAGGGCGTGGTGCGAGCAAATAGAAGAGGGCCGGAGCCAGCGAAACTGTAGAATATGATAGCACTCAAAAGAAAAATGATTAATGGGACACATATAGTAGTCATCGAGGCGGGCCCGTTTCCAAAGCATGATTTGGAACATAGATGGAAAGTACATGGGCAACATGAGAGCGAAATGGGGGAGGGAGGCTTTAGTTTTTCCGACGGAATGAGCAGCCTTGAGTGGATAGAATGAGTCAAGGGAGGCCAAGGACGGATGGGAGACGCACCCTCGGTCAGACGAGCCTTACCACCAGTGGGTTGGCAAAGGACACTCGCACACGACCCACAGAGAACAACGGTGTGGGCATGAGAGAAGACAGTTGTGATAGCGAAGCAGCCTGACAGTGATGAACACCCATAGCGTAGAGAAAGCCAGATCGTCGCGCACCAGGGCATTTTACATCCATGAAGTAGGAATTGGGAGATTGCACTAAGCGCTTCAGTTTGTGTTGGCGCTTCTCGAGCTCATTAGAGGGGTTGAGGAGATCGACGGCGAGAGTCTATATCGTTCATTTCAATGGTTGGGAATAGTTAGGCAACACGCCGCCTACCATGGTGGACGACTTTTTTGGAGGAGGCTGGGACGGGGCGTGACGCTGTACATATACTGATGCCGCTCGGCACCGGATTAGGTCGTGACAGCCCCTGAGTCTGGTCGAAGTCTGGATAGTCACCGGAACCTTTGGATACAATCGGCAGACCCGGTCTGGAAACCTTACAACGAAATAAAGTACCCGACACACATGTCATTTCGTTCCTCTGTTGATCTTGAGAATGCAAACCTGAGCTTGCTTTCATGATCTTAGACAAAGCAGACGACTTATGGCTCGCTTGTCGATGCATTATGCACTCAACTGACCAAGACTCACCCCATTGACGGAGAGCAAAGACCCTTGCGGGCCGCTGCGGGTGTTGCATTCTCTCCATCGAGGCCCATAATAATCTCCTGTCTTGATTATATTAGGAGATGGGACTCCGTTCAGGGACATTCTCGGTGTTGTGGGTCTTTGTATGACCTTGTGCTGGACAATTACAGTGGGAAAGATAGAAGTCGAGTTGGACATCTTCCGCTCAACCTTCGAACAATAAAACAAAAACTGTGGGCATGGCCAGAAAAGGAATAAGGTCTCATTGGTGTCACTGATGTCACGGTGTCAAACGACCTGTCTTAAACTGCACAACTTTCGAGCTCTCCTCAGTTTCCGCGATCTCTCTACCCCCCCAACCGGCACCGCCCTATAAGAACGTCACGACACTCTCATTGCAATTCTGTCATCTCTCTGTCTCTCACTTGACGAACGTCTATTTCGTGAGCACAACACACCTTGTCTGGCTCTCACACTCATTCCAGCAGTGTAATTTGCTTGCATCGTCTTCCGCGCGCCTCTATACCGCATAATCCATCGCCGGACGATCCATCGATTCGATTCTCATGTCTTCCCTTGCATCTACTGTTGCCCACGCCGTTGCGTTCCTCACCCGACCCCTCCTAAACGCATATTCGGCCCCAACCACCGCCAAGCTCCAACTTGTCTTGGAAGCCAATCTGACTGCGCTCTATTCCCAGACCTGGGATATCACTAACCCTCGTAGTGGGTCAAGTCGACGCTGTTTGACCCTCTCACCAGACTGCCTGCCTCCGCGGGCAGTATACGCTGCATGCATCGCAGCTGGTGTTCAGTGGTTTGACTGGGTTAACCTCCTTGGTACCCGCCAATTCGACCTCGTTGTCGACCCAGGCTTGGTGGCCATCCGTCAGTCTGGCCGCACAATCTCCATTTGGACAGAAGAGCTTCCTCAAAAGGCCTGTCACAACACGAAGACCGCAGCCCAGCTTCTCATCGAGAATGATGCGGCATCTGACGACCTGATCTTTTCCATGATCGCCGACGAAATTTGCGCCCCAACGTGGATGACCCCGACCATCGCGGAGTTTCCGGACAAGCCACGCTCCCAATCCCGTTGCAGCTCCCGCTCATCCAGCTCGAGTTCCGGGTTTTCTTTTGCTTCCTCCGAGTCGACGAGTGTCTCGTCCGTTTCCACTCAGTCACGCGACGATTTTGGACAACCAAAACAGTCACGCCGCGAACGCGCTCGTCAAGCTCGCGTTTATATCGACACTTCTAAAAAAGAGGTGACCGAGTATGACGGCGGTCGGACCTCTGTCCTCGGTGGTGGTGTTATGCTTGGCGCCAAAAAAGCAACTCCCGCTCCCCCTACTCACGGCTGGCGAATGCGCATCTAGACGCACCCTTAACGCTCTTAACGAGAATTCACAACGCCCTCTTGACGCAATTCCCAACACGAACCTTGGACCAACTATCATACACAGCCACTCTCTTGCATTTTTCAACTTATTGTGCTGCATCCTTTCACTTGTTCTTTTTGGATTCCTTGATGTAGCTTTATTCTTTTGCAACGCTCCCTGGGAGTTTGCCGGTACTCCTTGGGCTAGTATATTTTGGATTTAATCGTCTATCTTCTTCGATGTGGGTAATAGTTTTTGTTTTTCTAGCCACTTGTTGTACTGTCGATAATCTGCCTTAACGGCCTGGTGTATAACAACTCGAACTTCTTGGACCTTGTAGCCTGGGAATTCTGAGCTCATTGCGAACCTCAATTGCCAAAAGCAGCTAGTAACTCATCTTCACCTTCACAAACTGGCGAGCAGAAAGGCGATGAAAAGTGTCACGCGAAACTCCAACAGCTGGAGAATATTCGACGTCATTCGTGTCGCATACCCCCACACATTATGAAGCAAATGCAAGTCGTCAGTGGAGGGAAACACCTCCGTTGTTTGCCGATGTTGGAGGAAGAACTGGTTTCCAAACTGTAGAGACTCGTCATATTTGCTCCACTGTTCCGTTGGACATGGGTACTTAACTTGGTGTTTTCCCACTTGGGAAACAGAGATGGATCTTGGCCAACTGCTTTGTAACAGGATTCGCGATCGCGTTCAACGAGGAGCTGAGCTGCGGGTTTGTCGCTGTCAATGTTATTTTACTGTAAGCAATTACTCACTTGATGTGGGGCCAACTTGAAAGCTGATGTCGTCATTGGTTATGCTCGAAAATGGGGCACACCAAAAGCCTAAGGTTAGAAAGAAGCCGTGAAGGTGTATGCACAGTTTGTTTGTGCTGGCGAGCAACCGATCCTAAACGAGGTTCACATGCTAATGAGGCGATCTTGTGTTAGCGAGAGAGAAAAAGTCTCCAAAAGCCAACTCCACTCAGAGCTCTAATCGACGTCACGTCGCCGTGCTCCTCTTTCATCGCAATGACGAAAGCGTTGAAAGAATGGATAAATGCACCACCGCCGAACCAGCAAGTTCCAACTAGCCCATAACCACACACCCACCATGACTGCCTTGACGATAGAACAAAAGAAGATCCAATATTCCCGCCAACTCTACGAGTATACCGAAAAGCAATGTAAAGCGGCGAGGAGTCGTATGAGCTCAACAAAGGCGGCGCCGGAAAGTCACGGTCATCGAAAACCCCACCGAGCGGATGCTGAGGCGGACGGAGCCGACGAAGATGGCCTCAGGACGCCAAAAGCAGAGAGTAAAACCACCAGTGAGCTCGTCTTGTTCCAGTTTGTGCGAGGACCTGATTTACACAGAACCCAACAAGACAGCAGCCTCCGCGACCGCATCAACAAAGCGTGGCGGCGTCTCTAAGTGATTGCCTCGACACTTCTGTAACAAATTGTGAGTGAGAAAGCCTGAAAGACTGAAAGACTCAACTTGAAGCCTAATTCATCCTCGTAGCCCCAGCCAACATCCAACTTGAATCTGGCAAAGTTACTGTAGCCTAGGAAATACCTTTTTTTTATTTCTGCATACCTTGTACTATTATCACCGTATACTCGTCCCCATAAAATACCTTTCGCATGCTTGGAACTTGGAAGCGGAACGCGTCGATTCCGTGTTGAACATACTTGTAGTGATCGGAGATAAGAAATCAAGTCACATGATGGTGCGGCGTTGTCAGTGATCTAACGTTTCTTGCCCCAAACCCCAACGATGTTTCGAGCCCTTGCACGCAACCCGACGCGACTAGGACGATCCCTTGCGACCCACGCTTCTGCTCCTCTTGATTCCTCCCGCCGGACTTGGTCAAAGCCAGAAATACAAGAACTTTATGATAGCCCCCTGCTTGACCTGGTTTTCCGAGCAGCATCGGTCCATCGCCAGCATCACGACCCCTCGAAAATTCAGCTCTGCACTCTTATGAATATCAAAAGTACGATCCAATAGAGTCATAACAACGAGCACGTCTCAATACTCATCTGTTCAGCGGGAGGATGTACTGAAGATTGTGAGTTTCGGTTCTATTCGCTTGCGACTATTAAACGTTATAGGCTCTTACTGCTCTCAGTCATCGAGGTACTCTACACCAACAAAAGCCTCCCGTCTCGTTGAGCTCGAGCCTGTTCTTGAGGCAGCCCGTAAAGCGAAAGAAAATGGAAGCACACGATTCTGCATGGGCGCAGCTTGGAGGGACCTCGCTGGCAGGAAGCGGGGATTTGAGCGCATTCTGGAAATGGTGAGAGAAGTTCGGGGAATGGGCATGGAAGTTTGCACTACTCTTGGCATGCTTTCACCCGACCAGGCTAAGCAGCTCAAAGAAGCGTAAGTAACGTTTTCTTCACTGTACACCCTGACTTGGTTTAAACTCCTTGCAGAGGGCTTACAGCTTATAACCATAATCTGGATACCTCGCGGGAGTACTACCCTCAGGTTTGTCATTGCCCCTAGTTAGACCCGGCCGTAGGTCATATCTGTTCCCAGGTCATCACCACTCGCTCGTATGATGAAAGATTGGACACCATCTCAGCAGTTCGTGACGCTGGCATCAGTGTGTGCTCTGGTGGTATCCTCGGCCTGGGAGAGTCGGACTCAGACAGAGTAGGCCTCATTTGGGAGGTCGCAAAGTGCGTTTTCATCGGATCCGGGTGCAATGCAGTCAAAGCTCACTTCAAATAGCATGCCTGAACATCCAGAGTCTTTCCCGGTGAATGCGTTAGTTCCAATTGAAGGAACACCGTTAGAAGGCAACGAAGTGCGTTTTGCGACATGCCGCTCGCTCTCGTTTTTCTGACTTCTACAGCCTGTAAAATACCATATTCTGTTGAGGACGATCGCCACAGCGCGTATTGTGCTACCCAGCACCATCATCCGGCTGGCGGCAGGTCGAAATACATTGGCTGAATCTGAGCAGGCCATGTGCTTCATGGCCGGGGCCAACGCAGTCTTCACAGGCGAGCAAATGCTGACCACTCCTTGTGAGTCTTTCTTTTTCGTTTGAGGCCCCCAATGCTTACATGTTACTAGGCTCCCCTTGGGATGAAGTAACGCGTTTCTTTCCGCGTTGATGATCTGTAATTGACTTTTCTCGATAGGACAAGAGTATGATGGGTCGCTGGGGTTTGTCTGGTATGCAAAGCTTCGCAGAAACACGTTCAGAATCGAAGCAACAGCCACAATTAGAGATACAGCCATAGATTTTTTGTTATTAGTTCGCATTTGTAGATCCCGTGTCACGTTTCCCATCACACATTCCTTCTTGCACCATGTCCACAAGCAACAAAAGACGCGCCGAAGAAGACTTGAATCCACAGAAATATCCAGCGCTTCCTTTGAGCGACTCGGCCCTGTGGTATTATCCTTCGCTCGGCGCTGAACATGACAATGAAGACGACGGTCAATGTTGCCCCAGTTTCAAACGATCGCCTCTGCCTTCCTCATCATTTTACAGACGACGACGTTCAGGGAAACTGGGGGAACAAAGGGCGCCGAACACGTTGGTCCAGGAAGGGTAAAATGACTTCTTGGGGACCGGGAGAGGGCAACTGGGAGGTGCGTGTTGATGAATTCGCCTACCACGAATAGCTCACATATATATAAACCAGGAAGAAGAGCATGCTCGAAAGCGTATGCGACTACTCCTCCCAGAAAGTCGTTCCCCGTCACCACCAACGCTGCCGCATTTGGAACGAGCCGTGTCCCCTCCCTTCACAGCACCTTACCCACCTCCCAATGTCCAACACACCAGCTATACCGCATTTGTTATGGATAAATCCATTACACAAACGTTTCGGTCGGGTCTACTTGACGAACTGGAGCAATCAACAAACGAATTGGTTGAAGGCGAGAGCATATTGCGGCGTGCAATGGGCCGACTTTGGCAAGTCCTACGAGAAGAAACGGACGGTGGGAGTGCACCAGTTATCATTCCAAAGCGAGAAGATGACGAGGACGATTTGGATGAGGTTGCCAAACGGGTCGCACGCGCTCCCGATTTGACGCCAGGTGCCCATAAGCTATTCCTATCCCAAACGGAAGGCCCGCCTGTCCAAGAACCCTCTCATTTCACCACTCCAATATTGCAACAAAGGGACAACCTGGAGAAGTCGCTTGCCACTCTACGGGAGCTTCAAGACGATGGTAGAGAGTACACAGAGAGATTAGAGGAAATAAGGGAAGGTTTGGGTGATGTGAGGGCACAACGCGGTGTCGTTTGGACTTGGATTAGGGAACACGCAATGGAGGAGTTGCAGAATTACATTTCAGAGTACGAGTAGTTTTTGTTTTGTTGTCACCAGATCAATCGTCTCCACAACTCCGCGTCGAGTGGCTATCTCACTTTCCTTCCGCCATCAAGCATGGCACTCCCAGACATCTCCCTTCTATCTCTGTCTGATGACCCAGGCGGCCCTTCCAACACTCAACAACGATATGCCGACAAGTATTTGCAGTACTTGCGATCGCTGCCTTACACAGTGGAGCCAGAGTCTAAAATCCTCGAATTGCTCGACTTCATCGTTCTCCGTCTGACACAGGCCGTCTCAGCACGAGACTATGAGGTCTGTAGCCTCGTTGACCCGTATTCTACTGACATCTGCTAGGTCGGATTCCTTCAATGGGACACGATGCTAACACATTGGAGCATGCTTAAATATGAGCTGCCCAAGGTAAAGCACAAGCCTCGACTTCTCTCCCTCTCATATGATCGCCATAGGAAACGCGTGTCAGACTGGCCAAAATTTATTGGCATCTCTCGTAGGTGTCCTCCCCAGTCTTTGTTTTGGTTCACCCTAAAAAAACCAGTGTCTTGCCTGGAGCTCCTACTCCAGTCATGGCAGCAGCAGCCGACGGATTCAAAGCGCTCACATCATCGACCAAGAAAATATCCATTAAGGACATGCGACTGCCCTGGCGCCCCATTTTCGACATTCTCTCCAAAGAAATGTTCTTAACGCGCCGACAGTTTGAATACACGTAGGCAACCAATTGTTACCACCATTTGTTTTTTCAATGCTTGTAGACAAATTCCTTGGGTCATGGGCTACATCGCTGCCAACTCTCGTCGATTCTTCCATCCTGCGGCCATTAATGAGATGCTTTCCGTATTCGTACCACTCATTAACGGTACCGACCTAGATGTGAGTACTTGCCAAAAGCAGCTCTATGCCACGTTCATTTGTCACCACAGTATATGCTAGCGGCGCAATTCTACATGCTCAACTTCCTGCCGATTTCCCACCCACAGAGCTATCTCCCTATGCTGTTTCGCCTATGGGAGAGCGTGAACTCGCATCAATTCGATGAGCGGATGCTCGACTTTCTGGCGAACGTAACCGAACTACATGTAGCCGCCGATGTCAGCGATCCTCGCCACCTTGCCGAAATACCAGATGACGCGAAATCAGAAGGCGAATCCCGACCTCAGTGGAATGAAGATGATATACGTCCTGGGCCTGGCCAATGGACCGGAATCTATCAGGACGTTGGAATATTCACCGAGCAGGATTGGAGTCTGATGTGAGTGCTTCAATACCTCAACATGGACTTGTACTGAGTTGTGCGACCATAAGAATGTTCAAGTGTCTCAGCTCGATGGAAATCGGTCTCGCTGATGGAGGCTCTCTTTCAACTGGTTCTTCAGCCGATCGTTTCGTGGCAGCGGAAATTGGCCGGCTGCCGAAGCCCGAATGGAGAATCGGTACGTTCATTTTCCCGTATTTTTTGATCCCCGTGAATAGCTAATGATTCAATGTAGAATCTTTGGCTCGCATTATTGTCTACTCAATGGCGCCAGATGGTGTCCCAACACCTCCGTCAAATGCACCAACCCCAATGTTCACGCCCCTTCCCTCTGGGATGAACACTCCTCAGATTCCGACAAGTAACTCGATACAGGACTATCTTTCGGCTCCCCTCGCACGAAGAAACGGAGGAATCACCACCTCAAAGTATCACACATATCTCGCTGGTTCAAAGTCGCTCGACTCCTTGTCGCGCGTTATTGCATCTCTGGAAAACTTCTTCCATCCTTCCAATTCGGGGAATTTTACTACAAGTGTGAGCTGTGTTTCACTGGTGGTGCATTCGAAAAATTAACTTGGCCCCAAGCTGGCGGCTTTCATCAAATACGTTGCCTATGACTTCAATAAACGTAAGCTGACCTGCTGTTTTCAGTCAGACGCTGAAGTACAATAGGTTGGATGGAAGAACAACAACCTGACTGTAAAACACCCAGGGTAACTAGCCCATTATTACTATTCGATGTCCATGTTGAATGTCATTTTAGAACCGACGTCTCACCAGACAAATGCGCCGTGAACTTGTCAAGACCCTACGTACTGTTGCTCTCCTCGCCATCTTCAACGAGGATTCCACAGTCGTCAGCAATATCCAGTCATGTCTCAAGTCTATGAGCGTAATGGAACCAGACTTGATTGTTCATCCGATATTAGAGAGAGCAGTGCCAGCTCTGGAGACGCTGGTCGAAACTCAGAGAACGATAGCTGTTATAAAGGCTCTTGGAGCCATAGCGCCTGCCATTGTTTCGCGCAAGGTGTACTATCCTGGCGCAAAACATCTGGTGCCTATACTGCAAATGCTTGAAAATGGCATTGACATCAATGACCCAACCAAAACTGTATATAAGCATGCTCTACTTGAGAAGAGCATAGGAGCTAATGATCGCAACAGTTGCATACGACACAATTTTTGGTCGAAATTTCGCAGTGCATCATGTTTTCAGACTCCACTCCAGAACACCAAGACTCAGAGTCAATGTCAAGGACAACAGTTCGCCCTTCGCTCATTCCTGCTTTCTCTCTCGACGAAGATGATGATACGGAATTTCCTCGACTATCAGACGCAGAAGAGGATGCTTCGCTACAAGTTTGTGCTACTCATTGAAGCATTTGTACGTCTCTCACCAGGTTATTAAAAGGACACAACAGGCAGCTTCGCCGACTGGGTATCAAGTTTCATTCGTCGCGTGTACCTGCTCCAGGAAAGTCTTCCTGATGAAGGTGGAGGTTCTTCAGAAGGTCCATTCTTCCATGATAGATTCCGTCACCTACTCAACGGAAGTACATCAGTTGACACTGTGGATGCTGTCGGTCGTGCCTGTTCAGCCATCGTAGCTCATCTTTCCGAGCCGCTGTACGATTTGGTTTTGAATATGGTCTACGATTATGTCAGCACTCATGTTCGAGCCAATGCTGTTCGGTAATTCCCAGTTCTCGCGGTTATCTCTCAGTTTATACGAATACTTTTGTCCAGGGGCATCCATCTTCTTGTCGAGTCACTGGCGAACGCCTCGCCTGCCAAGGCACATTGATTGCTTCTCTGCAGTTTATTGCTGATTCCCACCTCTTAGTGCATGGCCAAGTTCTTTCCTTTGTGCGAGAAACAAATCAGGCTAGAACTCGAAAACGGAGCAAGCTCTCTCCGGACCACAGCTGCGTCGTCGCCTCTTCCCAGTGACGCAACCCTTCATTGGCGTCAGTCTACTTTGCTCGCTTCATTTCCTTGTCACATGTATCGTAGACTTGGCTATCCTAAGGGGCTGCGTCTACAAGTAAGTGATCCATGGCTCGTTGTCCTCTTTTTTGACGCATGAACAGCGACGGAAACGCGGTAATTATCTCTCATCACACCACACGTGACCGTTCACCCCAGCGCAGATCCTTCCCTATCAGGACCGTCTCATTGATTTGCTATGTTTACTTCACGAGCATTGTCGATCGAACAGAGGCTTTACATGGAGTGCGAAACTGCTCAGTGGTTCCCTCCTTACGCTCACGCACACGTACCCTCTCGAGAATAAGTTCGTGAATCAAGACGAATGGGACTCGCCAGAATTCCGCAAAAACCACCATCTGTATTGGGGCAAAGTTTATAAAGTGGAGGATGTCAAGGTATGCATGAACTCCGTTGGTGTCGCATGTGCAACGGTGATCACACACTCAACAGATATCCTGGCACGTGCCAAACGCAAAGGAAATTGATTGCGCACTTCGGATGTTCAAGAGAGTAGTCGAGCCAACGCTGGATACTCTCGAACAACTCCTAAATCCTGGTTTGTGTGCGCTCAATCTGGCGTTAACTAGCGTAACTGTTCTTTTAGATACTGTGCGCAATGCTATTTGGTCCAATGACTTTTGCAGGCACATTTCGTTTGTCACGAATGCGTTCTCCGGCATACCCACCCTTTTCCAAGACGTATTCGACGAGAAGGCATTGCGTAAAGCTATGGAAACCAGCGACATACTGTGGGCCTTCTATTTCCGTAAAGTAGCGATGACTTGAACGTTGTTTAGCTGTGAAATCAACGAAATGATGTAGGTCTCCCCACTGTTTCTCACGTTCACATTATAATCGACCACTAGCGGAGTAATTGAACCTATAGAATCTGGATTCGTACTCACCGATCCCACCGATCCTCGCTATGCATATATTTCCTCCTTGCGTCGTCGTTTCGGAGAGTTTTTGCATAATGCTTCCCGTTCGCTCACTCAACAGGGAGAGGAGAACACAGTTGATGCCGTTGAAATGCTGGTGCGTTTGTTGTTTGCCTCTAGTGTGGGCTCATCTACTTCAAGCTTGATGGCATTCGGTCCTTTATGCTGGACTATGGCGATGGCCGGGACGGATATCATACCAACGAGAAGAAATATGCAGCAGGTTCGTTGTAACCCGTCTACTACATACGCGACATCCACTCATGAAGCTAAGAGAAAAACATTGCAAGACACTTCGCAAAGCAAAAGGAATGGCCGAGATCAGTCTGGATAAGACGGGCAAGGTTTTACCATTCAGCAAGGTTGCATTGGAACTCCGCGGAGCGTTTGCGTGGTCCACTTGAAGACCTCTTAATCGATGACCTGGTTGAATGGTCACTTTGGAACTACGCAACCATCCGATCGTGTGTCTCGTTTGCGATCAACTCCAGACATCCACTCAACCAACAAATAGCTACGGACAGTCAATCCTCGAGTCTATATGCTCTCTGTATGATGGAGTTCGACAGCGCACGCTTCCCACACTTTACAAGGCCTTGGATCCTGGCACTGATGACGATAGAATGAAAGGTAATTGATTATTTCTATACCCTTCAAGTTCTTATGCTGAACCTACATTGTTAAGGCGCACTATGGACGCTGAATTTGGTCTCATTTGGCAAGTATGCTGCCTCGGAGCTCCTCCTTGCACCAGAATTAGTCCAGAAACTCTTCTCTTGTCAACATAACGAGAAACCTTCCATTCAGGATGCCGTCTCTACCGTGGCGGAAAATTGTTCGTGAGGTATCGCTTTTTTCGAACATCATTGATTCTTGATAGGTCTCAACAACCTACCGGAGCCTTGCTTCCTTGCTTACGATATACCGACTCCCGAACTCGATGCGGTCCTCCCAGTGTTTCAACCAGAACAGCTATCGATCATTCGCAGCTGCACAGAAAAACGAAAAGAACGGGTGGCGCTCATGAATCGACGGTCTTACGAACTTGTGGGTATTTTATGTTGCCCTGCAGCTGGTTCTGACAACGCGACAGACTGAAGCCATCTTAGCGATTGGCAACAAGTCCTCGACTCATTGGAAATATGAAATTGGTGCGCTTTATTCCTGTTTTTGTCTAGAGAGGCTGACCTACGTCTATGAAGCTGCGGTGCGATGCCTGAGAACCATCATTCGCCGAGATGTAGCTCAAACTCCTGAGCAAATTCGTTATTTCATCAGCAAGACGAACGATAGCAATCCCAATATGCGCTATGTGAATTTAACCCACTTCTCCTCCAACCTCAGTCTGACTGGTCGTGATTTAAGTATTCGCAACGATCGGCCATGAAAAGTCTGAGGAATCTCAAGATCAAGACATTTGCTCGTAGTCCTAAAGACCTTGCACTCGGACGCAACCATAATCCGCTTTGTTTACGCCTTCCTGTAACACCGACCCATCAATTCACCCATCAGATATTGCACACCTTGACAATTCCACCAGACCTCTCTGACGTGAATTTGCGATTCTTAGACAAAGACCCTCTGCCTGGTTGGCTGACCTGGCCAACAACCATTGCACTATACAAGCCGCCACATCCAGAAGTACGTGTTGGCTGTGTCATGAAGTCCATTCTCACTACCGCCAGAAATCAACATTCTTGCCTTGGGATAACGAGGGGGCCGGGACTGTTGCAGTCGTGCGCGAGATCGCAATGACTGCGTCATTTTGGGAACAGCTGTCCACATTTTACTCCGAAGAAAACAGCGAAACAAATATCAGTCTTGATAATGGTATGTCGCATGAAATCGTATTCCCTGTGCAACGACAGATTAATGGTCCCCAAGTTTCCTACATCAAATCGATCTGTAAGCAGGATATGCCTGAATTTCTCTCTGCTTATCCGAATTCACGTAGTCCAACTGCTGGAAGACGAGCCATTTGAGGTGCTTGAACCAACTCTTGTCTCACTTCTTTCAGAGAAAGAGCCCGACAAGCAGCGAGCGTTGGCTGAATTCCTGGCTGGTCTCATCGGAGGTTCGGTCGAATCACGTGACTAATACTTTCGGCTAATTCTTTCCAGGATCAAAACACTGGCCTCTGTCGAAGCAAAGGTAGAATCTCGAGATATTATTTATGCGGTTAATGTCTTTGAAGGAAGCTTTGGGACTGGTTTAAACCCGTAATGGCGAAGATCTTTAACGAAAACTTGAAAACGGACACCATCACCATTTGGGAGTCGTTCCTTGCGGTATATATGACTAACGTTTTTGTGGGTTTTACACCGCTCTAACATCGGTTGTAGTACCTGTTCCACAATAAAGACCCACGGTGAGCCATACATTCCAGTAGTGGTCTAATGCTGATGTTTTTTCTAGGCGACTACAACCACTTGTGGACCATATAATGCAGCTTTGGCTGACCATGGACTTCCAACCTGAACTAACTTTTGATGCGACCAAGATCTTATCTATCTTTAAAGCATTCTTCCAGGAACTAAATTGGAAGTTCACATGTTCGTGCTCTACTTTCGCTCTCCTTGTTATTGTTGAGCTTGTGGGCAGCATGGATGGATCCAGTTGTTGAGCGATGTTGGAAGCAGCTGGAAGTAAATGAACACGAGGAGGCACGTCAATGCCGGCGGTCTTTTCATCGTATTGACTTGAGCTAGGTTCGCAACCATATCGCCGATGTCCTACTTTTCGCAAGTATCATCAAGGCACGCCCAGCTCCTTCTGAGCCAACCACCGAAACGTTTGTGAGAGAGTGCCGCGTTTTGCCTGCTGACCACGACATCATGGGCATGCGAGGACAATACCACCGAGACAAAATCTTGGCACTTGTGCAAAAGTTTAGTGGCTGGAGAGAAGAGCGGATTCCTGGTGTCCGCGCCTTCCAATCTACATACGACCGGTAAGCGACTGATGAACTCATGAGAATGGCAGTCAACTCTCTTCGCAGAATGGGCATTACCATTTGCACGTTCTTGTTCGAACACCTCCTGGAGCCCTCTGCGATTGCTGTCTTTGACTATATCGTTCCATTAATGCCCGAACTTTTCCGGTTCACAGAGGTCAACGACAACGAGGACCTGGCCACACGAGGCAATGATGTCCTAGTGCAAATGTGTGGGGTTAACCCTCCCCGCCAACTCATCAACCCGATTATCGATGGCATATTCGACACGATACAAAACTCCCCCGTAAAGTCCTTCCAGAACTATCTTGCTTCGGCTCATCAAACAATAGTCGTGGAGAGTGCGGCTCAAAGCGCTACCCCTGGTTCAAGGTCCAAACGCGCCGATTTCTTGTATCCTTTTTCTGACCTGTCATAGTATTCTATTTCCGCCAAATGCCGAGAATTAGCGAGGGCAAGGTGCTCGAAATTCTCGAGGAAAGAAGGCGTCTCTACCTACCCCATACCAAAAGATCTAAATTAGCCTTTAGGTCTTATCGAGGTGTCTGGACGACGAAGTAGTTGATGTTCGTGAAATGGCAGCAACGTATAGCTCTTGTTTAGCACACTTTAATTTGCTGACGTCTTTCACAGAACACTCTCTGGTGTTCTGCGACTGTCGCCTCGTCGTCATATTCTCACACTCCGAGTAAGCCGTCTATTAGGCCCATTATCTTAATTCACACTTTCCGTAGGATCGTTTCGTTCAACTGATACGAAAGAGTCATCTGCCACCACGAAGTGACCCATCGTATGCCCGTAGCATTCGACAACGACATGCTGCCATCCTAGGGGTTTGCGCACTGGTGGAGAGCTCACCCTATACTGTAGAAAAATGGACCCCAGGTCTGCTTACGGACATCCTGGCAGAGCACACATACGATCCAGTAGGTCCTTTCCCTATAGAGGCAACTTGACTCCTAAGCTCTTCACAGGCCCCGATTTCAACCACCGTCCGTAAGACGGCTCGGAATTTCAGTCGAACACATCGCGATACCTGGCACGAGGTAATGTGAACCATCTATGGCAGTAGTCGGCCAACTCAACGAGTATCCAGGACTCAGCAAGGTTCAACGAAGATCAGTTGGCGGCCTTGAGCACTCTTCTGACTGGATCGTCTTATTGTGCGTCCCTATTAGCACTTGACTTGGCTTGAATTAATGTTCCCCAGACGCTTAATATTTAGACAACAACAGTACGTGTCCAGTTCCATTTCCTAAATCTTGGGTTTAGATTCGACCCAGGCAAATAATAATCCACGGACTAAATTTCAAACTCATGTAATAACTTGTAATCGGCAGCTCTGGCTGGGGCTGATGGACTGTACGGCTTGCGTTTTCTAAGACCGCGATGACAACCAAATTAGAATGAATGGATGGGGCAAACCTTTCTCCTGCAGCAACTGATGGAAAGGAACCAAATAGATCCGGATGTTTGGGGAGAGGCGATTCGCTAAAAACGTTGGTTGAGCTCCCGCCTGTTTCAGAAGTAGGCTGCGTACGTGAAGTAAGGATGTTGTTGAGCCTCTTCTGCGGTGATTCTCTGTTCAGGGTCATAGCTCAGCAGTGACATGAGCAAATCGAGGCCGGCTGTGGTCAGATATGGAAATTTTTGTCGGAATTGCGGCGGTTGAGGGGAGGGCAACAACAATGTTTTTGCCAAGGGCAAAGCAGCATAGTCGGGCCAAGAGTTTGCGGTGGGCGGTCCCAGCAACTTGAATATCATGGCCAAGAGCTCCGTTTCACCCTTAGCTTGGAACAGAGGCTCTTTCAATATGAGCTCTGCAAAGATGCAGCCCACCGACCACATATCAATGGCTGTCGAGTAAGTGGTTGCACCAAGCAAGATCTCAGGCGCGCTTAATGATGCTCACTTTCCGGTCAACTACGAGAAGGGACAAACGCACCGATACCAGAGGGTCACCACCAGTTGTGTTAAACCACCAACACCAACAGGGTCGCCGTAGCGACGTGCCAGCCCAAAGTCAGCCACCTTAATTGTGCCGCGGTTGTTCATGAGCAGATTGCTTGTCTTCAGATCGCGATGCAAAATCCAGTGTGAATGACAGTGGCCGACAGCAGACAATAGTTGTAGCATCAATGTCTTGATTTCGGACTGGAGAAAGGGAGCGGGCATCATGGTGAGCAGTGACTTGAGGTCGTGCTCGATGAAGTCCATTACAACGAAGACCCTTTCCACGGTGATAATATAGTGCCGGTCGTCTTTGCGGAGCTTACTCACTGAGTCAATGTGTCCCCAACAACAACCTCACGGATTCCGACAACATTTTCATGTCTGCAGGACATGAGTGCATTCACTTCCCGGAGAGCAGTTATTGGGAAGCCATTTTTCTCTTCATCGAGTTTGAGCTTCTTGAGAGCGACGATTTCGCCTGTTTCCTTGTCGCGGGCGCGGAAAACAACGCCATACGAGCCCTCCTCAATCTGGTTCAGTCTTTCGTAGGAATATACGGAGCGAGAGGGCGTGATGGGTGGGTGGTGGGTTCTGGGTGGAACGAATCGACTGTAATTGTCTTCTTCTTTTGCCCTGCGCTTCTGAGGTGGGCCGTCAAGGTCATCGCTTTCTTCCGTTGTGCGCTTGGGCATAATCCCAAGCGTTGGGTCACGTGCCAAATGATGATCGCGGCTTGCCCTTGTTTTCGAGAATGAACAAAGGCAACATATATAAACGGTTGCCTGCGCTTCGCCCACTCTCATATCCGCCATGATGCTCGCCCATGACCGCCTGGCCTCCAGGGGCGATTCATCTTCCATATTTTTCCGCACTCTGTGTGCCGGATTCAAACCACCACTTCAACAGACCCTACCCATTGAACCCCCGTCCATTTGTGAAGAATTACCAGTGGAATGGTCAAGACCAGAGCCTGCAACTTCCTCGGCCCCTCGTCGAATGAAATCACTTCCCAAGAACATCCCCCGAGAGGTGCTCACAAAGCAAATATATCATCCGACGAAGAAATGGGAGTGGACATCGGGACTTGCCTTCAAAGACACTGAGCCTCGCGTCCCCCTTTCTTGTGAGTCATCATCGCCAATTGCCTCTTTTCCCTGCGATTGAAGCTATGGTAGCTGGGACAATGTGTTCTGCCTTCATCCGAACTGGTTTAATCGGCGATCGCCCTCTCCAATACGTATCTAAACTGTACGTGGTCCCTCAACCCTGTGCATTTCTGCTCATTTGCGCTCATCAGTTGGCTCACCAATGCCAAATGGCAGGGATTCTTTTCTGAGGTTTGTCGCGCATAGTCTGTGAATTTTCTTAGCAGCAGCTAATAGCCTTCTTCCAGCTTGCCCTCTACAAAGTCCAGCTCAAGTCCCTCCAAGGCCGCATAGTACCGTCTATCATCAACGTCTATGCCACTGTGGGCGCGATTGATGTTGCAATGGAGCCCCCACATCATTCGTTCTGGGTTGAGGCCTCGGCAGATATGCCCAATGTTCTCAAGAAGCGATGCATTCGTGCCTACGAACAACTTCACACTGCTGGGGTCCTCCACGGAGATGTAGAGCTCCGCCACATGCTCATCGGAGGTGATGCTCGTGTTACCATCATCGACTTTCAAGAAAGCAGGGCGCTCATTCCGAATCCTGCGGTCAAGCTTGGCGCCGCCACACCCGCCCAGATGCAGCTGGAAATGCGGAAAGTCAAGTATCGGCTTGACTACCAAGGAGCACGTGATCTTGAGGACCAGAAAGTTATGCGTAGCAAACGTCTCGCGCGTCGAAATGCGACTGGCAGCCGCGAGCCCCCCTCGCAAGATGACATTCTCAATCCACCGGTTAGCATAAGGGACTGGGAAGGAGAGTGGCATGCACCTCGACCGGACCCACAAAGATTCGTCATGCCAGGTCAGAGCACTGAAGATTTGGAAAAAGCTGTCGAACGTTTCCTTGATATCCTCGAGAAGTTGGAAGAGGAGGGCGATCCAGAAGATAAAGAATCGTTGCCTCCAATACGCAAGAAGTCCCCCGAATTCAAACTTCCTGCCCTTCCTATCAAAACTTCGAAGCAAACGCCGCCTGCACCACCTAGACCACCGAAGCGAAAGGCTGAACATAACCCTGACAATCAACACAAACGTGCAAAGAGCAGTTACAATTCCCAGCCACGTAATCCTCCTCCTCCTGGACCTCCCCCACCGATCCGAGCTCGCGATTTTGCGTCGCACCCTTCATGGAAACCAAAACCAGCTCTGCACCCTTCCCCACCCACAAAGCGAAAGCGGGATCCAGATCTGGATCTTGGTTTGGAAGAGGAAGAAGACCAACGGCCATCCAAACGTGTTTCGACAGAAATTGACCCAAGCCTCTGTCCCCATTCGACGTCCACATTGTCTGTTGCCAGAATTCCACCGAAAGCGGCATCCTGGAAGGACGATTCGTCTCGAATATCGGTTCCTAGTATATTCAAGTGGATCGAGAACATGTGGCGTGTCGTATCTTAAGTTTTTCTTTTAGTGCATGTTTATTCGTATTCAGCGTTTCGAAGCCCTTTCTTCTTCCCATACCTACAAAAGGCCTGAATTAATAATGTGTGACATTGGAATAAAAGAAGACCTGCCTCGAAAAATCGACGACGGTTGCTAACACGGACACCACGACAGCTTTTGAGACCCAAAGTTGTCAGGAGCACACAGCCGTCGAGAACACTGAAGAGGCCATCACCTGCAAAAGATGAACAAGATGATTTGGTCAATCAAATCCGTACTAGTCATTTTGGTCTCGGCCACTTCCAGCCATCTGAGTGAAGCACAAGACGCAAGGAAAGGCGCAGCGTCGTCGTCGATACCCGTATTGTTCAGCAACAATGTTTCCAGCCGTGATGGTGCCTCCGCCAACTCGTCGTCAGGGACGAGTGGAGCAAGATGCTGTGAACGTAGTCCGGGGATGCTAGACAAGTTTAACCACTGCAATTCAAAATCCTGTTAACGACCGATAGCCCCGCGTTGTCACAACCAACCTTGCAATTTCTGCCCACAGCCGCGATGAGAGGGCCAAGGGAGGAAGACAGCTTGGTGTTTCCAACGAGACTCAAATTTGTGAGCATTTTCAACGATTGCAGATGTGGGATAAATTGGAGGAGAACTGAGTCGGTCAACGTCATTGAAGAGTCAATGGCAGAAATTGAACGTGGACTGGCTCCGAGGGCACCCAGTGCAAGGGAAGTAAGTGAATTGAGTTGAGGAAGCAGCGACAACAGCTCCGGATTTGGAATGGACGTCGACGTGAGATAGAGCTTCTCGAGGAACGGAAGAGTGCCTATAGATGTGCCTTGGAATGGGTGTCGTACAGCTGTGAATGAGATGTCTAGACGTCGGAGGGCTGGACAACGATTTGTAAGGTCGTTCAGCGGCGCCTCCGAGACATTCAATCGGCAAACCTTCAGCGTTAGGAGCTGAGGTAATGTTAAGTCCGGGGAAAGCATCTTCCGGAAGGTTGCGTCGGTCTGAAGGATTCTCAGATTAGTCGACAGAGGGAAGGAATACGTACCCAGTTAGGAATACCAGCTAGTTTGAGTACTGTCAGGGTTTTGTGGCAGGCGAGAAGAAATGGCTGCAGTGCGGCTGGGGTGACTGCAGTATAATTGAAGTTTGCTATCTGCATCTGTGTACATGATTCAGCTGCTTTCATGGTTGCAGGTCCAGCCAGCGAGCAGCCCCTTCTCAGTCGGTGAGAGGTATCCATGAAATTATAAGTCAGCAACAAACCGGAGCACGAGGCGTCTCAGGTTTGGTAGATGGCGAATCGCGTCAGCAAAGGTTTTGTCTGGCACTTTCTTGAACCCGCTAACTTCCAAGTCACGTAGATTAGTGCTCATTCGCTGCAAGGCGCGTATAGAGTGATTATTAACGCCTGTAAGGGACGAATCCAGGGTAAGAGAGTGCCCTCGGAAGAAGTATGTGACGAGGAATCCGTGTGTAAGATAGGTTGGACAGACTTGAGTTAGATCTAAGAGTAGGAGCGGAAGAAGGGTTTCTGGGAGGCCCAAAAGTTGAACAGAAAGTCGTTCCTTCCATAAAGTCTCTCTGTGGTGCAACCGAAGGAAATTTTCGGCGAATACGCGTGATGCAAGGGTGGTCAGTTTTGGAACAGAGGTATATCGAGGGGGACGCGTGCTTGGCGCTGAAGAAGAGGGATTTCCAGCTCCGATAGCTGCCGAAGGATTGTCGTCTTCAGTTGCAGCACCGAACTCGATCTTCGCCCTTTTGCGCGGTGGCATGCTTGTCCGAATGAAAGGGGTTGTGTGACGGCCAATGTGTGACATGTCGTTCAAGCGAAAGACCCCTCAAGGTACTCAACCAACATCGCAGCTTTTCTCCACTGGAATTCCTTCACTCGATGACATACTAGGAGGAGGACTTCCTGCTTCTTGTCTGCTTGCTATTACTGCCCCCGATCTCCATACAGACTATGGGGAATTGGTGCAAAAATATTTTGTTGCGCAGGCTATTGCTTCTCGCCAACGAATATGCGTGGTTGGCGATCTAGACTGGGTAAACAGCTGCATGTGGCTACTATCGACCACCCCCAACGACAACGACGAGGAGTCACGTTCAAGCGAAGACAAAATCAAGATTGCATGGCGCTATGAACCGATGAAACAATTCCAAACGACTGTCGCGTCCGATAACTGCCACCCGTTCGACCTTTCGGTCCGGATACCGTCCACAGTCGTTTCGGAGGCGGTCTCTAGAGGTTTCCTAATCATCATACCGATTGATACGCCCTCTCAATTGCTTCACTCCTTGCACCAACTTCTCGAATCTAATCGCGAACCACTGCGGATATGTATTCCATCGTTGGCATCTCCCGAGTTTGGAGATCCTAACAGCCAAGTGAGTTCTTAACTCGGCCGAGAGCCAGCTGATTTGTTCTTGTAGGATTTGTTGCGCTTCTTACATGGACTTCGCAGTCTACTGCGACAATACCCACACGCGTGTGCCTCGACAAATCTAGTGGCAGAAGCGTCGATGGACGCTTCCGGTTGGAACCAAAAGCTTGGTTGGGTTTCCGACTCTTTGATAACGTTGTCTGCATTTGCAGGTAGGCAACACATATCGCTTCAACTACGATCTTGACCCGCTGATTGTCTAGCTGATCCTGCTTTGGCGGCTGCGTTTCCGGCCCTCCACGGATTGGTACAAATCCACTCTTTACCTTCCCCGAAGAGTCTCGTTTCAGCTAGTGACCGCTTTTCTACACTTCGAGGAGCTGCTGCTGGGGGAGAGAACAATCTTGGATTCAAATGCACACGGAAAAGGTTAATAATCGAGACCCTGCATCTAGACGTAGAGGGTGGAGTGTCTGAGCGTCGGACGACTGCCCCGGCTGTGTCCAAGATGGGAGCGGCAGTTACAATTGAAGTGGAAGACTCCACAATACCCGTTAAGAAAGGAAGGAAGAAAGTTGGGTTCCAGAGCGATCGCCCTGAGCTGTACGACTTTTGATGTATGGTTGGTACGGAGGCGAGCACTTGAATTGTAACGAGTTTGAACTATTAGAGTCTTTTTTTCTGAGTTTGTCCGGAGATGTAATAAGCGAAGTGTGACGACAAGCAAATGATTTGCCGCGTGGTTTGTTGATGAACTTGGGCGACTTGCTGCCTCCCGCAATAATGGCACCTCCCGCCGACCGTAGTTCGTGGATTTCGATGGAGAGCTCGTATGAATCGGAGGAAGACAAACAAAGTCGTGAGTGTGACACACCTTCTCTTGTGATTTGGCTTTGCTCCTGAACCTGTGTCTCTTGTAGCGTCTCTTCTGGCGCCAAACCCTCCTTCGATGGCTTCAAACGCCGCCGTTGTTCTTAACTCTCCCTTGACTGCGGAATCCAACAAGAACATAGCCTTATTCGCTGGCTACACTCGCGAAACCCACTCCTTTGCCCGTCCCCCCAAATCCTATCGACAACAACTCTCCACTACACCCCCCTACCCTTTCCACCGCTTCTTCTGCTTCGACCAGGTCCTCCGCATTCACGAGCAATGGCAGTGCTCAAGCCGACTACAATCACGTCCGTGTCGCGTCAGGCGACCCAGAAGACTCACAAGCAATCGGGATCACCTCCGACTCGGTTGTCCAGCTCATGGAGAGCGAAAACAGGGCCTCCACTGGGGACAACTCACGCTGGTCCGAATCTTACTCTTCTGGCCGGTCGCGCGCGTCGTCAGTCGGGAACAATAGCAATGATTTCCACCTGTCACCTCGACTACAGCAAAAAAAGAGCTACGATATGGGCTGGCAGCGGGCGTTGGATGAACGTGATGAGTTTGGGGCGAGCGAAGAAGAGACGGACGACGATCATCTACTATTGGGCGATGAAGATGACCCAGAGGAGGAAGAACGTACATCTGCCGCTCTAATCGCTGAAGAGGGCCGCGGTCTAATTGTTCATGGCGAGGGTATGAATCTGGCCGACATCCAAGTCCAGCCTGGTATGTCTCACTATTGCCATTTACATCATCACCGCTCACTGTCCCTCAGGCACAACTCATCTTCTCCTGGGCTCATCTAGCACGCCCAACACACTCCCTTCATTCCTTACTTGTGAAATTCCCCCAATAACAACGTCGCTTCTCGCCCTGGACATCTCGGCCAACTTCTTGAATGCCCTCCCCCCTACCCTCGCTCTATGCATTTGCCTCGAGGAGCTTAATATCGCCTCAAACCCTCTCCGCGTTTTGCCGGTATTCTTGGCTGATCTCTTGCATCTTCGTGTTCTCATCGCTGACTCGACCGGCATCAGCACACTTCCCGACACTCTTGTAGATCTGGACAAGCTTCATACGATCAGCATTCGTCGAAATAAAATGCACGCTCTTCCAAGCTGGCTTTCCCTTCTGCCTGTCCTTCAGACACTTTATGTTGATGGAAATCCATTCCAAGGGCCGTGGAAAGCACTAGTGGAGCCGTTACTAGCAAAGGTCCCATTGACGCCCGTCTATCCCCCGTCAACGCCCATGTTTCCACTTCATTCCCCGTCGTCTGATGAGGAGTCCGTAGATCCTAAGACACAAGAGACATTTTCTCCTGACGAAGAAGACCATACCATCACTGCCCGTTCACCAACTGGTCTTGTTCGTACTCGCACAACTCCCAATCGGGCCCATCATCCCATTTCCCGTCAAGAGTCCCAGCCTAGCAATTTCCCAAATCCTGAGGTTCGAAGAATGAAAAGTGCGGGAGATATTCGGAATCGAGGCTTAGGAGATCCTTCGACGCGTCCTCCCCTGCAACCTCTCGGTCCCTCACACTCGAGTTCAAATCTGCTTAGTCAGACCCCTCCTCGCCCTGCCATACAGAAGCGTTATGGTAGTGTCGGGCCTGCAACTATGCTTGACGGGAGCTCAACTCTCAATGCTCCGAGTAATTCTCGAATGCCACTGACGCGATCAATGTGGGAAAATCCAGGCGGAGATGGCGACAGTTCAGTTGCATCACATAATATATCGCCACCGCGAGCTATGGCTATAGATGTTGGGAACAACAACACCATCCGTGCAGGGAAGGAGAAGAGTGGACGATGGGGATTCTTGAAAAAGATGTCAATGGGGAAAATGAAAGTGGACCCACCCTCGCCACGACCTTCTCCCCCCCAAATTCGACATATGGCACCCCCGGGCACGGCTCCCCCAACTACCGACCGTTTTAGCCCTTCCCCTCAAATCAACATGCGGATTTCCACGACTGGCAGTCTCGACGCTTTTACAACTGCCGCAACTCTGCCTCCGCCCACTGTTATGGAAGAACGCTCACCAATCCTCCCGAGTCCTGGTGGTAACCTTCTCCTTCCTCCCACCGCTGCACGCTCTAAACGAAGGAGTTTCCTTCCTATCGACGGCCCACCTTCTCTCAATATTCCGATTCCCGAAGCGTCGTCTTTCATCCCTGGCGTCACCGCAACAAACGACGTTGACGGTACGAGTGAAAGTCCAAGCCCCGTCGCGGAAATCAACTATTCTCGGCGTGAGGAAGAACGTGCACGTGACGCCTACCAACGTGCCCTCCGTTCAGTCATGGCCTACCTCAAGGACATGAACGACCTTGGCTTGTCCCATCAAGCGGGCGGTACAGGAGTTTATGGCGCTAATGGTGACGACGTTCTTCTTCCCAGATCACGACGCCCAACCGGTGCAACTCTTGACCGAGAGGCCTCCATCGCTTCTAACAGCAGTTCAATTGACTCTGGACAGCTTCGTTCGCTCGACTCTCTCAGCGGTGGTCGTTCCGGTAATTCCACACAAACGAATAGTGTCGCAACTACGGACAGTAGCGGCTCCGGAGATGAACGAAAATTCAAGGATGACAAGGGCAAACGGGCTATGGTTGTTCGAGAAATTGTTGTGTGAGTTTTTAGGTGGCTTTATTCTATACTATTTGCTCATAGGCTCGATAGGACGGAACGGACATATGTGAAGGGTTTACAGGAGCTCGTTGACCTGTACATCAAGCCGGGTTCCGCCCCCGTCAACGTGCTAGGAAGTTCGAGCAAGGAGACGGTCGTTCCAGCGTCCGAAAGAAAAGTCATTTTCGGGGGCATCGAATCATTATTTTCTTTCCACAAGGACAGCTTCCTGCCCGCTCTTGAACTTGCAGCGGCACCACTGATGAAGACGAATACGGAACTACAGCAAGCTGACGCTGACGGCCAACTTTCTCTGAACGTCGCCAAAGCCATTGGCAATATGTTCCTCAAACATGCTGCATTCATGAGGATGTATTCGAGCTACATCAAGTATGTCATTGGCCTCTTCTTTCTCTCGCGAGTTCTAATCATTCTGGAAGTAACTTCGACAATGCCGTGCAGCGTGTCAAAAGCTGGTCAGCTCCCACAGGCCCATCGAACGCTACCGCCACAGTTACTCCTTCTACATCCCAACTAGCTGGTCTTGGCTTGACTCTTTCGGCCATTTCGAGCCCCTCTGGCCCTCCAGATGCCGGCTCTGCGGCGGGAATGCCACAACTTACCACCAGTCAGCGAAAGCGCTTACGTTCATATCTCAAACGGTGTCGGATGAATCCGCGCCATTCGCAGCTTAACCTCGAAGGTTACCTATTGCTTCCAGTACAAAGAATACCCAGATACCGTCTACTGCTGGAAGAACTTCTCCGGAGTACACCGCCGACATATGAGTACATGGATGACCCACTAGACCGGTCGCTGGCGGAGATCGCGTTGCTAGCGAACAACATGAATGAGGGAAAGCGGGAATCTGAATCTCGTCGAAAACTCGTGCAGTGGCAGTCACGGATACGAGGGAAATTCCCCAGTCCACTTGTGCAGCCCCATAGGTATCGTATTTGTTGATTGGGACGGTGATGGGATGACTAATCATATGTCAGACGTCTAATTATGGACGGCCAGTTGCTCCTGACGCGGGTCGTGAGGAAAGCAATGGTGTCGTTCGAATCGATCAATGCGCAAGGAGACCCGTGTAATGTCCAGGTCGACTGTCTCGCTCCCGAGCTTACCCCGCGGCCGCTTGTGGGCATACTATGCAACGATTTGCTTGTGTTATGTCGCGATCCTTCAGAAGGGCAAGACCCCAACTCATATGTCGACCTGTGGGCCGTGTTAAGGATGCAAACGCTGCCTCAACCGGCAAGTATCGTCCACGGGAATGCGCTGCGGCTGGTGGACAACAAAGCCATTCTCTATTTTGACGCGCCGTCGCCATCGGACGCGTTGAATTGGTATCGAGGTAAATTTTACACCACCCGATTTCCTGCTGGTTTCCGACGCGTTTTATTAGCTATCAACTTGAACCTTCCGAGGCATTGAGTCTACTTCTGGCCAGTTGCTGTTTCTCCCCCCCCTTAGAGGCCTTAATTGCGAATCTAGCTATTCTGACTGTCTTTTCACCGTAGCATCCCCCTCATTGTATCGATTTCAATATTTAACTCACCCAGGATTATCGCTGCACCAATCTTTTGTAAAAAAAAATGCTATATTCTTTGCACAACTGTCCTACTTGGGTCGAATAAACGCCTCAGACTTTGTAGGGACCATCGAGACCGCTACTCTGAACCTTGTCCCACACCTTGCCCGCTGTACCAACTGCTATGTGCTTGTCACCTTTTCGGAGACCGTCGAGTGTCTTGCTCGTGTATTCGTCGAGAGGCATCCAGAATTTGGAGAGAGCTTCCGTTGTTCCTTGTGCTAAAAAACACCGCTTGGATCGTGACCAGCTATGGTTCAGAGAAATGCATACCGTCGTGAAGCTCTGATTCGACGAGACTTGGAAGCAATGAGCACATGAAAAAAGGGCAAAGGACACATACTCACGGAGGTATGATCTCCAACACGTTGATTTTGGTGTCGGCCAGTTGCACACGCAGCGACTCGGAGAAGCTGTGGAGCGCCGCTTTGGAAGCGGAGTAGTTGATTACCTGGGGCGCGGGCATTAGCGCGAGACCGGAGGTGATGGGGGAGATCCAGGAGGGAAGGCCCTTTTCCTGATGCAGAAAGTGAGGATTCAGTTGAGTGTGTTAAGCATGCCATACACTGAGTGCGAGGAAGTGGGGAATGAACAGCGAGACAAGGGTGACGATGGAGAAGTAGTTGACCGTGAACTCTTGGTGAATCTCTGTTAGACACAAATAAGCATAAGGAAGGATAGTAAGTATGGGCTACGGACCATCGAGGTTGATGCCGCTCTTGAAGTTGTGCTGGTATTGAATGCCCGACGCGAGGATGATAGCATCCAGCTGTACAGTACTTCGTGAGTGGTGAATCAGAATGACGAGTTGAGCCAGACATTGGGGTATTTGGCGAGAATATCAGCCACGTTCTTCTGGAGGACCTCCCGTGAAGCAGCGACATCGAGTTGGACCGCTTCGAGGCCCTGGGAAGCGAGTTCGTCGAGCCGCTCTTGCCGTCTTCCCGCCGCAATGACAGTGGGTTTGCTGGGGAGTGCTGCCAACGGAAGAGCCAGAGCGCGTCCAATGCCAGAGGTGGCGCCGATAACAAGAATTGTTTTCGCAGAGTCGATGGACATCTTCAGCCTTGAGAGAAGAGCGCTTTTCTGTTCTTTTATGGCATGGCGGCGGCCTCGGACAACCCTGGGCAAGGGCGGTTTGTCAGAGTGGGTCGAAGGTTCCGATTTGCCGACTGATTGACTCGAGTTATTCACTCGGAGTGCGAGCGGTGAAAGAAAGAAGTTCGGGCCGTTATCGTCCAGTCACGGGACCGCTCAATGGTCTGTCTCCACCGTCAATCGTGAACACGATCTTCTGACCCTGGCTGGCTAGGATCCCAGCGAACTCAAACAAGAGGGCAACGAGCACTTTCGCGGGCAGCGATGGGAGCAAGCACTCGCCGCGTATCGCACCGCGCTTGGCCGGCTCCCCAAACGACGGAAACTGCCAGAACCCAAGCCTGTCCCGCCAGACGACGATGAGGACATTCAAGAATCTAATCAAGAGGAAGAAGAGCCACAAGAGCTAACTCCCGAAGAGTTGGAACACGCGAAAACGCGTGCAGTGTTGAATGCCAACATCGGTGCTTGCTATGTGAAGCTGGTGCGCTGAATCCTCAACTGAGAGGTCAAATAATACTGAGAGTATATCAGGAAGACCACAAATTAGCGGTCGAAGCCTGCACTGAGGGTACAGCCTGACAAGGATCATTATTGAAACTGAAAGCAACCCTCAGCCCTGTTGGACGATCCAAACTATGCCAAAGCATTGCAGAGACGCGCGGCGTCAAACGAGAAACTTGGCACATGGAGCTCGCTAACCGCAGCACAAGAAGGTAGCTCTTCTGAGTGGTAAAACTCGTTTGCCTCAACACACACGCAGATTACAACACGCTTCTCAAATTAGGCGATCCATCGGTTGAGCGGAGTCTGGCCGCGTTGAAACCACGCTTGGAGGCGGCACAGAAGAGGGAAACAGACGAGATGTTGGGCAAGCTGAAGGGCATCGGGAACAGTATTCTCGGTACGATTGATCAGAGTCCTTGGCCATCTAATCTCTTATCAATGGCCAGGCAACTTTGGCTTGTCGACAGACAACTTCCAGTTCGTGCCGAATGGTGAGGGAGGGTATTCGATGAATTTCACGCGGTAGATTCTTTTGGGTTGCGAAATACTGTAAACCGCGAAGGTGGCCATATCTGCAATTTGCTTTGTGAGTATACTACTACAGAAAATTGGGCTCCTACCCTGGCAACCAGCCTGCCCTCTATCAGACCCATTGGCACTGGCCCGAAATTGCGCGAGTCGCGCGAATTCGCGGGGTTGTCGCCCTCAATCCACATATGCCCCGGTGGAATCAATATACCCTCGCCGGAGGGGTCGAGTGAGACGATATCGCCAGCTAGACCAGTCACGCGCTTACACAAGACGCGTCGTGGGTCAAGCGGGGACCGTACAGTGATGATGTCCCCCCGCTTAACCGTGTCTGGATTCCGTCGAACAGACCACCGGTCTTCAAGCCCAACTTCACCGTCAGCCGCCAGCGTTGGGAGCATTGACGGGCCCGACATTGTCGCAAATGTCCCAAAGTGCGAGAGAAGGTGGAGCGCGGCAGCAGCATTGATCACCTGTAACAAAGGCGTAAGACAGGACAAGAAACGCCAGCAAGAGTTCCGGCCACTTTGAGAGCTTTCAGACCCAAGGATTTGAAGAAACGCGACATTTCGGATAATGCCTTCCAAGTTCCTCCGAGTCAACTACCGGAAGTTGTTGCTGAGCTGTTTCTACCATATGTTTCAACTCCATGTTGCAAGGATCAAGAAAGACTTGCTGCGTGTTGTTTGACGAGCAGGCAGCTGAACAACAACTCAGTGTTTCAGCTCCTGCACAGGGAAAAAAAGGAATACACTTGACTTCAAATTGCTGCGCTTTTCAGATGCTGGTCAGACAGATACGCGTGGAGTCACATTCATCACACCACCCAAACTTGAGCTTTTCTTGTCGCGTCTTGCGCGAGACCAAGTTGTATTTCTGGAAGCCGGTCCAGTAACAAATACTACAAACAAGCTTAGAAAAAAAAATGCAACAAGGTACATGAAGACGAAAGAGAACGCGTAAACGACAGTGGAGTGAAACAACAACAACAAATGCTGCGCGTTCAGATGATGGTACTACAAAAAAAATGAGACTGTGTCCATGGCGTTGAAAACAAATGCGGTGGGCGTCAAGAGTGGGATTGGTTTGATTACATCTACCTGGAATGCGTTGCGAGTTGCGTTAATGATAATTGTGAGAGTTCGATGAGAGAGAAAACAGCATGCGCCATGACATAGAAACATAGGATTTCATGAGGGTGCCCTCTTTCACTCCGGCAAGCCCCCAAAGTAGCCACGCGCATCGACCTTAGAAAAGGCGGTGGTGGGTGTGGGCGGAGCTCCAACTCCAATAAACGAGCGAGTACGGCCTTCGGATCGGAAGGTTGAAACTCGCGGAGTCGTAAGGCTCGGGAACGGCAAGGGACCATTCATGTTGGAGAGGGTCATAGCGGATGGCGTTCGACTCGTCAACGTTGTTGGGGATGGAGGGAATAAAAAGAGCGTCTGAGAGGGCGTAGCCAAAGCCGACGGAGGGTTTGGAGTTTTTGTTTTCAACGAGGTTCGTAGATGAAGAGGAGGAGGCGCTGGTTTCTTAGATTCGGTGCGAGTACGAATGGGCGGAAGAGGCTGCAACAGTGGACGGGGTTTGATGGGAGTCTCGTGGTCGTCGTCCACCACAATCTTGATTGGAGACGGCGGTACAGCAGGCAACGTGACCAGCGGTGTTGGTCTCCGCTTGCCTTTAGTGGTGGGAGGAAGATTGAACGTGGGACGGAATGCACTCGCTGGAGGTGGAAGATTGAAAGAAGTTTTCCACACGGGAGCAGAGGGTGGCAGTCCACCGGGTCTACGGGGAGTAACAGCAGAGTGGACATCGTCTTCTGGCGAGCTTTGTGAGTCGGGCTCGGCACTTGAGCCACGGTCATCGTCGTTGAAGCCACCGCCGATGCCAAGCAATTCTTGCTCCTCGTCTTCTTCCACCAGATCTTCGCTGATGATACTGCTGCCATTTGTCATGTTACTGGCAATTGACCCAGTACGCTTTCGAGATGCATATCGGTTGCGCCATGCAGCACCCATGCCAACACCACCTGAGGATGAAGAGGCAACAGAAGAAGTCGAACTCTTGCGTGCAAGGATACGAGCTTCCATGGCCTTATCCAGATATTGGGCCTCTCGCATAATCAACGAGCTTTGCCGTTGCTCATCTTCGTCGTCGTCAGTCGCATCATCCAGCATCTGTCTCCTGCGACCCCATTCTTCATCTTCGGCGCCAGACTCTGTCCCCGACATGTCTCCGCCGTCGCCTCGTAATTTCTTCTCATAGTCCAACAGTTGATAAATAAGGCTAGAGTGACATGTTATATTGTGGAGAATACCCGGATGAGAACAAAAAAGAACGCACGACATATTCGGTCCCACCCATTTGCTCTTTTCCTTGAGGAAAGTATAAGCACCTTGCATACCCTTGAGAGCCCATATTTCAGAAGGCACCGACGGAGAGCGCTCTGCAGCAGCCCGCATAATCAGGGCAATCATAAAAGTAGCAGATCTTGAAATGCCTAACTGGCAACTGTAAAACCGTCAATCCTCGAGCTGTTTGACAAGACACGACATGACGCACTGGATCAGCACGCCGTCTCCTCGTTCGAGAGCTGCGTCGGTAAACGCCATTGCCTCTGGGAAACCATGCTCCACCAAATTCTGTTGGCCATGAGACCACTGCAGCTTCAAGTAGTGCATGCTGGGTCTCCCGGTTGCAATGTTGGCCGGGTAGTACGTCGAATCTGAGTCATCCATCGTCGTATTGAGGTTAGGAGTCGAGGCAAACCCTCGGAGAGCATTCGCCGGAGCGTTATCAAACGGTGAGACAACCTCCTTAGCGACATTCAGAATCGACTTGATGCCACGCTCTCGCAGTCGTGCCCAGTCCTTTGCATTCTCCTCTGAACCTAGCCAGACACCAGGGATGACTTGGATAGGGCCATCGAGGTAAGGTACAGTAGGAGACCCGTCCTCCACTTTTCGGGTAGTCGCCATAGGGTTTCCAGTTGTTGGCGGGAGAGATATGACCGAGGGTCGTCTCGGTCGCTCCAACGCAGGCGGATCCGGTTGAATGGAACTTGCAAGTGAAGTCGTTGAAGACTGAGCCGATGGTAGGTTAAGTGAGAGTTTTTTCATGTTTTGAAGCGACCTCGGCTTGGACGGACGGTTGAACGGAGGGTAGTCTGCTTCAGAAGTAGAGCTGTCGAGTGTGGAGGCAGAATTCTCGAGGGCTATATGAGGCCGGTGCTGGGTAGAGTCGATAAAAAGGGCTGCGGGAGGCCCACGCTTTATGGGGGGCATAGTGGATATGGCTTATACAACACGCGCAGCGCGACCGTGGAACAAGAGAGGAAGAAGAGAAGAAATCGTCGAGGGAGGTAAGTGGCAAAACCCAACTCGTGACACCACGTCACACATTGTTGTCAGGTACGATTTCTCTCCCATTTTTTCGGCAAGTCGGGCCACGTCTGGCGTTCGGGTCCAGACTTCGGAGTTAGTTTTTTGTCGCACGATATCACTATTAGATGCCAAACAGAAACCAACTCGTCTTTCTTACTGCCCTCATCCTCCCCTTTGCATTGCTTGTTTCTCTCGAGCATTTCATTCTCTCATCGCTTCGCGCCAAAGGCTACGACTTGTCTCAGCTCATTCTCATTGGTCTCCCTAGAACAGAGGACGCTCCAAACAACATGAGCTTGCACGCGGTAAACCTACCATACTTTGGTACTCAGGATCTCGTCGCTTTGGCTACCAACCCTGCCTTCATTGTCAGTGGTGGACTCATCCTTGCTGGAATCCTATACGCGACACTTTTTACTTCCGGTTCGTTTCACTGTCGTAATGGGTTTGACGCGTTTTAACGCTGCTACCTCTAGGAAGCCGCAAGGTCCTCGACCCCAAGGAATGGCAAGAGTTCCCCCTTGTGAAAAAGACCCAAATCTCGCCCAACACTGCCATGTTTGTTGCTTTGCCCCACGAGATGGTTAACTCTCGCTGATGCTAGTTATTTTCGATAGCTATCGGTTCTCGCTTCCCAAGCCTACCGACATCCTCGGGCTTCCTGTCGGCAAACACATCTCGGTCTCTGCCATCCTCGATGGTAAGGAAGTCAGTCGCAGCTACACGCCCATTAGCAGCGACGAGCAGAAGGGTTCTTTTGATCTGCTCATCAAGGTGTTTTATAACCTGTTCACGTAATAACTCGTTTAATCTCCTTGTTCCAGTCTTATGAAATGGGGAACATTTCGCGTCACTTCACGACCCTCAAACTTGGCGACACCCTCCGGGTCAAAGGCCCCAAAGGCAACTTTGACTATGTTGCTGGGTTAACCGGTTCCATTGGCATGATTGCGGGCGGCAGCGGAATCACTCCCATGTTCCAGATCATCAACGCCATTCTCCGGAACCCGAGCGACTCTACCGAGGTCAGCCTGATTTACGCGAATGTCAACGAGGAGGACATCCTTTTGCGGAGAGAGCTCGATGCACTTGCTGAGGCCCATGACGACCACTTCAAAGTCTTCTATGTCCTCAACAACCCCCCTGCTGGCTGGACTGGTGGCGTTGGCTTCGTTACCAAGGATCAGATCCACACTCATCTCCCGCACCCGACTGACGAGGCAAAGATTCTTATGTGTGGTACGCATTTCTGTGAACACTCTTGACCTTTTTATCTGACTTGTCGGCAAGGTCCCCCTCCGATGCTCAAAGCTATGAAGTAAGTGATCATTTGTAATTACCGCTATACTTAACCTCCGATCAAAGGACACACTTGGACGAGTTGCAATGGCCAGCGCCGCGCACCGTCAGCAAACTTGCTGACAAGGTGAGTCGTAACCCGCCCGTGATCTCTCCGTCGTTGCTTACCGCATCGCCCAGGTGTTCCTCTTCTAAACTCTTCTCTGAAAACGGGCTCGGTGTTCTGGCGATGGCCTCGCTGACCACCTCATTGGGTTATAAATAAATACTCGATGCTATATGTATCAGTGCTACAAAGTTAATGCTTAGAATTTCTTGCGCGAGAACACGTGGGCGTGTAGGACTTCTTGATAATCTCTGAGTAACCCCTGTCGAATAAGCCTTCCGCCCGGTCATGTGCTTATCCGATCGCTTGTAGGCGCGACGATCACCGACCCGGTATAAAATATGGCCAGTCCTCCATAACTTGCATCCCAACCACACACACACTACAATGACCAAAATCCTCTACGTCTTCGCTGGCTCCGTCTGGGCCGCCGCCGCCGAACTCGCCATGTAACGCGCTCTTTCCCCTTCTAGCCATTAGCTGATTTTATCAGTGCGGAGCTTGGGTACACCGAGCCCAATCTCATCGTCAAGACCGTCAACCTCATCGAGGGAGAGAACTTCTCGCCCGATTTCATCAAGAAGGTGTGTGCCCTCAGAATCTCCCTGTCGCAGGTTAATGACACGGAATAGAACCCTAACGCGACCCTCCCCACGCTTGAAGAGGACGGCAAGTTCTACACAACCACCGCGGACGTGATTGCAGTCCTCGTCAAGGACGCGCCAAACAAAGTCAAGGCCGGAACGTCAATCGTCCAAACTATCCACGACGACAAATACGACCCTAACTTTGCCATGCTCTTGACGGTAAGCGAGCCATGATCATTCCGTTCTCCGCTGGTATTGACCATGGTATCAAGCGTAACGAAGAGGAGCTCGCGATCAAGAGCAAAGGTCTCGCAGGTTTATTCCTTGGCAACCGTGAGTGAAATGGCGTTGAAAGATTTCAATCCTGACACCTCGTAGGCCAAAAGGCTCTGGAGAAATACCTGCAAGACCCCGCTGCAGCACCCTACAAGACATTCCTCGAAGGCAAGAAGGCTTTCAACGGAGGCAAGTTGTTCAATTTTCTATCCAAACACTATTTGTTGACATGGACCCAAGGTCTACTAGCCGTCGTCAACGGGACCGCCAGCGCTGAGCACAAGGCCGGATTCTTCGCACAATCACAAGCCCATTTTGCCTCGGTGAAGACTGGGCTCTACGAGGTTGTGCCTGGTTTGCTTCCGGAGAGTGGTTTCATTGGCGGAGAGATCCCTGGAGAAGATGATTTCCATGTTGGCGCTTGGCTTACACGTATTGCGGCCACAACTGGAGCAACATCGGCCGACAACGGAGTGGAGTCGCTTGGTAAAGCATATGGAGGGCCAGTGCCGGCTAAAGTCGCCGCATATTGGGCGGCGTGGACAGCCCGCCCCAGTTGGAAGAAGGTCTATGCCTCGAGCCTTCACTAGACGTAGAATCAAGTTTCAATGGAACCGAAATCAGTCACTGAGGATTCGAGTGCCTCTAGTCGGCATTCGTTGAGACTGAATAATACCAATCAGAAAGCGATGGCACATAGAATTGAACCTACGTCTTTTTGATCTCCTCTGCCGCTGCCATGCCCAGTATGAACTCGTCTTCAGTGGGCTCTTGAGCAGAGTTGCGAGCAAGTTGGATTGCTGAATCGTAATAATGCAAGGCTGTGAACTCGTCGTCTTGACTGTTGAGCAACGGCAACAGGTAACGGAAATGGTGAAGCATCCGAACGTGGGGCTTCAACGTTGGGTGGGCGGGGATGACCATATGCGCGAGAATGTCTGGGTTGGCGTCAAGCGATTACTCCAACCTTTGTGTTCGACACACCTATCTCGGGAATTGTGTCTAGCAGAGCTCTGCGGAACCGGATGCCTTCGTATTTCGTGCCTAACCAGGGCCGATGAGCCCAGGGAAAACAACAACAAATTGGTTCAACACACCGGGCCTGCCCCAGCCTGGGTGGACGACTTGGGTGGGCAGCGACTCGTGCGCTACAAGACAAGCTCTGATGTATTCCTGGGCGATGTACTCGTGGACAGGGGGAGGGGCATCGCTGCGACGAAGAAGCGTGTAACCCTTGGATATTCGAGAGAGTCGCATGCGGACCGCTAGCCGTCGTTTGAGACAGAAGAATATCGAGACAACAAGCTGGCATTCATTCCTGTGAGGCCGTGTAGGCAGGCAGGTGTTAAGGGACTCACCACGATAGCATAGGACGCGCCAATGACGAGCGCGTTGAAATTATTGGTCCATGTCTGGCCTGGGGACTGGCGAACTGCTTGGGCAAGAAGGGCAACACACGACAGCCCAACGAATATGACCGTCAAGAGCGCGAGGAAGAGATAAACGACATTCGAGAGAATGGCCAACAGTTTCCGGGAAGAGAGCATTTCTTTGGTGTTACAAATACGGCAACAAACAAACAAAATGGTATTATCATGGTAGATGTGACGGAAAGCGACAATAGTGGGCTTGCACTGGGGTGTAAAGAGAGAGAAAAGTCGTCAACGCCATCGTCCTCCACACTAACCAACGATCTACGCCTGAACGTTCTGTCTGAAGAGACGCTTAGTTGAAAACTAATAGGGACCAGCTCTGAACGCACCCAAATTGACCAATAACGTTGCCTTGTCTTGAGTATTCGCAGACATAGTATTGAGCAGGCTGCAAGCTGGTGAGATGGTGGTTGGCATGGAATGCGATCAACTTACACCAAAGCCAGGGAAAATACCGGAGCAGGTTTGGACAGCACAGCCAATTTGCTGATTCAAAGGTCAGTCTTTGCTTTTCGTCAGTGGGAGGACATACTGTGGTGGCCTTCCAAACGACTTGCGTAAAGTGTGAAGGCTTGGGGTTACCGGGGTTGTAGTCGGCTGGGAAGAGTCTTAAACAATGGTCGGTGCAGCAAAATGGAATCTACTCACTAACTTCATCCGTCCAGTCCTTGACGGCCTCAGAGATGCTGTAGCTACCAGTACCAGCAGCAAGGTTCTCTGGAAGGGCGATGAGGGATCAGTGATGAAAAATCGTAATTTGACTGACCTCCAAATGGACCGAGGGTTCCACCAGAGTGCTGGTTAGTGCACAGGTCAGCCCATTGCTGGGCCTTCGCTGCAGCCTCATTGCTCCATGTAACATCGACAGCTCCGTGTTTGGCACGGATCGAGTTATGACCCTTGAGGTAGGCTTGGACATCGGCGTTCGACGCACGACTACCGTTTCCTCCAGATCCACCAGAGTTTCCGGTCGAGCCGGAGCTTCCGGTGTTCTTGTTGCTGTTAGAGTCGGAGTTGCTCTGCTTGTTGCCGGAGTTGGAGTTGGTGTTAGCGTTCGAGTTGGAGTTCGACTTGTTAGTGTTCGCGTTGGCATTCGAATTAGAGTTGGAGTTGGATTTCGAGTTGTTGGCATCAGTGTTGGTCTTTGGCTGGGTGGTCGCAGGGGGCGGGGCGGCGAATGCATTAGTTTGGGCCAAAGCAGCGAAAGACGGACGCGGTGGTGTTGTAGAGGTTGTCTTTGGTTTGGTGGAGGTTGAAGATGTAGATGGTTTGGCGGAAGTGGAGGACTTGGTGGTGGAAGTTGTGGACGACGATGGACGAACAGAAGTGATAAAACGAGCAGGGGCACTAGTGCTCGAGGTTGCCTGGGTACCGAGGCCCTGGCGAAGTGTAGGCTCAGGCTTGGCAGAAGAGGACGGGGTCATGGGCTTGGTATCGTTTCTAGCTTGACTGGTTAGTTGAAATTACAAAATCGTCGAGCAAAGCGGACGCACGGTTGGCCACAGGCAATGGCGACTTGGAGGTAGAAGTCGTCGATTGTTTTGCCTGTCTTCGCTTCCATGACTGAGCCCCAAGGGTCGTTACCCATCATAAGACCGGGATAGCCCCATTTCGAGCTGCATCTCTGAATGCAGTCGCTGGTGTCTTTGTACTTCTGAGCGCATGCTGGACCAGCTAGCCCGCTCGGAAGAAGTCCGACGAGGAGTGCGATCGCAATTAGATGCGCCATTGGGAGAAAAAAGAGCGTGAAAAGGGAACGAAGGGAGGTAGCGAGAGGTAAGAGAGAGAGAGGATGATGGTTACAAAAGATGTATCATCAGAAATTGGCACATGGGCGTCGATCAGCCTTTGAATTGAGCAACCATGCTACCGCCTTTCTACGTCCTGGTTCGACCCACTACTTCGTACCTTCACCCAACGATCCAATACCATTACCTCGATGATTCACCACTCCCTCTTATTCCTCGTCAAGGAGAGCAAGTTATCCTTCTTGACTATGACCCACAGCCCATTGCGCAAAGCCTCTCACCCGCTATCTCCGTTTCCAATGTGAAAATCGACGAGGCCCAAGGTGCCGCGCTCGACGAAGGAATCGTCCGAAATGACCGAATGTACACTATCGAAACTATCCCAGCTCAAGAGAGGTAGGTAATCCAACACCCCGCCTATTCCTTGCTAACATCAGGCCTAGGCCAATTGACGCTTCCAACATCGGTGAACGGAGGCCGGCAAGCCTCCTGCTATCACAGTTCAAGCAACGGTAAGTAAAAAAAAGAACCTCTTGGTAGCAAACTCTCGAATGTGTTTCAGAAATGCTGTGCTGCGACGGGCCTTGCTTAATCCTCAGTGAACTAATCCGAATCCATTATATTACACAAAAGTTTACAGCTAGAGTTCCAAAAAATAAATCAGTTTCTAATCTTCCCAGTCTTCATGTTCAAGGTCTAGGCTATCATGCTCTAGGTCCTCCAAGTGATGTTCATCGTACGGCCGTAGCAACAAACTACGTGGACTTCCGATGGAGGTGTTCTGCTCAGTTGTAGCCATGCTTGTCACCGATCTGTTGGCTCGATGACCAGGAGTAGGAGAAGAATCAACTGTCATGACCCGACCGAACACCATCGTAGGCGATGCCATAGCTAAAGTCCCTGAGCGTTCATCAAAATCACTAGAGTTGCCCCCATCTTCGTTGAGCAACAGAGACATGTTGGATGGTGGCGCAGCAAAGTTGGACGATGACGAGCTCAGACGTCGTTTTGCTTTACTGTTGCTGGTTGTAGTGGTATTTCGAGTGGCAGCGGAAGACTGGAACGAATCGTCCTCCGCCAACCTGAATGGTTGCGTTGGGACATATTTGGAGGTAGACGCAACAGGAACTGACACGGGGGCAGCAAGTCGCAGTTGAAGCTTTAGTTGGCCCGCTTCTTCCCTCAACTCAGAGACGAATTCCCGCAGGGCCACATTCTCGCGCTCCATCTGAGTAATACGCTCAGTATCGGTTTCCAGTTTGGCCAGCCGTTGACGCAGTTCGTTATTCTCCTCCCGCAATACTTTTGTTGTCCGTTGCGAATCCGACAAAGCACTGAGCAAGGCACCAGTCTCTATGGCATGCTTGTCCTTAAGTTCCCGGATTTCGTCCCGATCACGTTCCCACGATGCACCAGAGACTGATGTGGGTGCTGTTGATGCGGAACGAGGGGTATCTCGACTGGACAAAGTAAGTGTTGGGCTCTCTCCAAGCTGACTGCCAGCGCTTCCAAAGTAACTCCCACTCCCACTTCCCCGCCTCCGTGTACTCCCAAATGCAGGAGAGGTCATACGCTCAGAACGAGATGGTGCACGAACAGACCCAAATCGAAATCGACCACTTCGACTAGCTTCAGAAGGCGATTGAGCTTCGCCAGATTCATTGTCGCCTGGTGGGCCAAGCAACCCAGCTGCCCGGAAAGCTTTAGCAGTTCGTGGTCCTAGCCATTCAGCACGGTTGGCAAGGCTGCTACCAGGACGCGACAATTGTCGTTGTGGGGAAGCATTGCGACTTGTACTAGTAGAAGGTGAGGTCTGTTCATCAACACTCATACTGCGTTTCCTCTGTCTTTGGAATCTGGCATTCCAAGCATGGGAAGTTTCAGAGTCCCCACCACGACGCATTGTGTCGAGAGAAGGTCTCTGTCGCGGAATATCCAATGAACCTCGGGAAAGAGAGGTAGTTGAAGTGGAGGGACGATAAGAGTCAAGACTGGGACGCGTTGTGAGAGTACGAGAGGTTGAAGATCCCTCCCAACTGTCTTGCTGCGGCATCCTTCCAAGCAATGGTCGTCTGAGTGAGGTCTGGGGAGTCGAGGTTGTCAAGCCATGCTGAGTTCGACGAACAGCGGGGGTCGATGAATTATGTGGCGAAGGATCGGTCAATGGTGAGGGTGGGGCAGGGCCAACGGGCGAAGGAGGGTGGGAGAGGGAAAGAGGCGAGGGTGGCGGCTTTCGGACGGCGGTGGAATGAGTTGTTGACGGCGACACTGATGGTGAACGTCTATCGGAAGGTGGGGGGGTTGGACGCTGGATAGGGCGTAACCGTGGTCTGGAGGATTGGTGTTGGGGCATCAGACCAGGGGGAGGCGAATCGCTAAGATCCATAGACGGTTTTATTCTCGAGCTGACTATTCGGTTAGGGCTGAGGAGAGCAGCCAACTCGGGATCGAGGGCCCCAAGATTAAAACTCGCGTCTGCGGCTTCTGGGCTCGATTCATGGGAAATATTGAACCACTTTTGAGCAGCAGCAGACTGCGTTGCCTGAGCTAGAATCGCATCCTTGACTTGCGCTTCGAGCTGAGAAGTTGACAAGTCTAATGCAGATGTGTCGTCAGTCGATATCGAGTGTTGTGGGAGTGAAGGAGGTGAGGGGGAAGGAGATGGGGAAGCGGAAGGTAAGTGTTTAGATATTCCAGATGTGTCAGCTTCAATTATGGTGGATAGCTCAGGATTGGGAGATGGTGTCCGGTAGGCTGAGACCATGTAAGCTACGCGTGAGAAGCGAGAAGCACACCACATACTTTGGGAAACGACCGGAGGTTCGTCCCTGGTTGTTGCTCTGTTGGGCTCAGGAGAAACTACAAGTAGCCAAGTCAATTTATCAGTGTGCCTATTAAGCAGGGAAGATTTTACCTCTGCGTATCTCTCTGACGTCCGGTGGGTGAGAGGGGAGCGGCTTTTCGTGTAACGAAACTGATTTGCGTAGGGGTATTTCCTCTCCAGCACTCTGGTCGATTACCATTACTGGTAGATCGGTTGCTGAGTGCGACGCTGAGAAACTCGGCTCCCTTTGCATGGACTTTCTGACGACAGAAAAAGAAGCGAAACGGGAAGTCCCATTTGTGTTGGGAGTTGAATTCGGAGATGACGGTGAGACCGAACTTGGTTGTTTGGTGGGTCCAAATGGCAGAAGAGACCGCAATGCACGGAATCCGGATGGACCATTGGTGGCAACGGTTGGAGATAAAGGACCGGGAGTGGTAAATGAGGGGCGCCTTGGAGTTGGCAGAAGTGACGGTTTGGGGGTGATTGGAGACCGCTTGGAGGCCATGGTATACGACAAGCACTAATTGGGCATGCTCCAGGCAAAAGAGGGAACGCGAAAGCTGCGTGGTGTGGCGGCACAAAGAGAACGAAGTGGTGATGTTGGTAAATCAAAATTTCCCAGGAACATCCACGAATATTATTTGTACAGTCTATACTCTATTACCGCCGCCGATTTTTAGGACCACTACGCGTCTTTGGAACTCCCGGAGGGGCAGGGGCTGCAGCAGGGGGCTCTTCCGCCATTAGAGCAGAAAATCTCCACAGAAAGATTAATAAACACCGAATAACACACAGGCAAAAACACTCACCCTGCCCTCAAGTCGCCGCTAGCCATTGCACTCTGTAGCTGGGACGCCTTTGCCTGACTTTCCCTGGAAAAGAAAGTCAGAGGCGAAGATATAAGAAGGTGTGCTACAAACCTGAACTCTTTCATCATTTCTGGGTCCATGTTATTCTGCGAGGGTCAGGACAAGCACGCAAATGGGCTAGAAACCCTCACCATGAGATAAGGCATGGCCAGAACCATTCCACCCCCAAAGATGAATAATAGCACCATTGGGCTACCCAACATGCCCATGAGATTGAAGGATTGCGGCGGCATATAGTAGCTATGAGTAGCGCGCGCGAGGAGTGCGATCTCCGGCATGATTATTGTCGAAGGTGGGTTCAACGCTGTGCCGACAGAGTAGGGTCGGACGAAGTAACCAGTTTCATGGACATCTATGCGAAGCTGAAGGTATTGAATCCAAGCAGAGCAGACGCTGAAACGAAGCCGACCTGGTCGAACACATGGTCATGAGAGACTATCGATAGTATGTAGACTCCGTGAGAGACGTTGGGTCTAGAGATGGATGAGGAGGAGTGGAAGAGTACGAGGAATTGCAAGTACATGGTGAAACTGCCGTCGAAGATAATGCTGCCTTTGTAGTAACCATGGTCGAGAATAGCTTGAGCAGAGCCCAGTGTACGGACATCTGGCAAAGATTAGGAATGCTTTGATTCGGAAAAACAAGAGCACACAGACCAGGACATAGTTCATTCCATTTGATGCTACCTTTTACATCCACCGCTAGAATGGAGAGTGCGAAGCTTAAACCAGTCAACAGATGAGATTATTCGATAAATTGCCGTTACCTGAGAAGGGAGAGCAAGAACACGAATACGGTCATGGTCAAGCGCGTTCGTGACTTGTGACCCTTCACCCCTAGACCACCATGCGCCAAAAACGAGCGAAAGCTTATCGCAAACTTATGGAGCTCTACTCGATGTCGTTTGGCTTCAGGCAACCATACCAAGTGCTTGGTACTGCAACTCTGCGATCGCGAACTTGGCTTACAGTTTTCCTCAGTCGATGCTGAATTTTGCAAGACCTCGATCGAGGCAAAGACTGAACTGTCGAAGCAAATCTCATCCGTTCTTCAAGGCGACGTCAAACCCAGTATGGCCACCGGTCGTTCACTGTCCTTATAGCTAAGAAAACAAGTCTAGTGATTACACAATGTTGCATTCATGAACTTTACTTGCAAGGCAAAGGGCAACAACCTGCTGTCGACCTAGCCAAGCAGTTTGAGCGCAGGAAATGTAACCATCGGGAACCAATCCCTGGTGACGACTGTTTAGCCAGCGTAGTCGGTGAGGCTAGTGTGCATCTGACTTCATTCCAGTCTCATTCTTCTCCCGAGGCGAGGCCAACAAACATCGTTATGTGGTCGCGACCCAGTCGCAACCTCTCCGAGCAAGATTACGCGCAATTGTCGCTGTCCCAATCGTGCATGTTAACCGTTCTGTTATGATACTCGAACCACCCAGCGATGTGACATTGGCGGCCAAAGAAAAGGTTAGCTACTTCCCCACTCTCTCGCGAGTTGACCTCATTTCTTCGATAGCGCGAAGAGCATGCTCTGCATGCAACGAAGTCGGAGAAAACAGCCCTCCCTACACCAACAGAACCGATAAAGAAGAAGAAAGGCGCCAAGGGTCCGAATCCATTGAGCGTCAAGAAGAAGAAAGTTGAACCACCATCCTCAAATGTCACTGGTCAGAAGAGAAGAAGAGACGAGGAGACTGAGGAGGTTGCTGCGCCAAAGAAGAAAAGGAGAAGGAAAGCTAAAACCACCGAAAACGTAGAGGAGTAGCTCCAAGTAGGTCTCACAATGAATGTCATTTGGAAACGATGCGTGTGGATAGTACATTAAAATCTAAAACGTATTACAACTCAGCGCCACCACGGAGACGAAGGACAAGGTGGAGAGTTGACTCCTTCTGGATGTTGTAATCAGAAAGAGTGCGTCCGTCTTCCAGCTGCTTGCCAGCGAAAATGAGACGCTGTTGGTCGGGGGGAATGCCTTCCTTGTCCTGAATCTTCGCCTTCACGTTATCAATAGTGTCAGAAGACTCGACTTCGAGGGTGATCGTCTTTCCCGTCAGAGTCTTGACGAAGATTTGCATTCCACCACGGAGACGCAATACGAGGTGAAGGGTAGATTCCTTCTGAATGTTGTAGTCCGAAAGAGTGCGACCATCCTCAAGCTGCTTGCCGGCGAAGATCAGACGCTGCTGGTCGGGGGGAATGCCTTCCTTGTCTTGGATTTTCGCCTTGACGTTGTCGATCGTGTCGGACGACTCGACCTCCAGCGTGATGGTTTTGCCGGTCAAGGTCTTGACGAAAATCTGCATTCCACCGCGAAGACGAAGGACAAGGTGAAGGGTAGACTCCTTCTGGATGTTGTAGTCGGAGAGAGTACGGCCATCTTCGAGTTGCTTGCCAGCAAAGATGAGACGCTGTTGGTCGGGTGGGATACTAGCGCAGCAGTTTAGAGTGGCTCAATGGCAGCATGAAGAAAACATACCCCTCCTTGTCTTGGATCTTGGCCTTTACATTGTCGATGGTGTCAGATGATTCGACTTCGAGGGTGATGGTCTTCCCGGTGAGAGTCTTCACGAAAATCTGCATGCCTCCACGGAGACGCAAGACAAGGTGAAGGGTCGACTCCTTCTGGATGTTGTAGTCGGAGAGAGTACGACCGTCTTCCAACTGCTTTCCAGCGAAGATCAGACGCTGTTGGTCAGGGGGAATTCTACGACGATGGTTGGAGGCGAGTTAATAGCGATATGGAGTAACGTACCCTTCCTTGTCTTGAATCTTGGCTTTGACATTGTCGATTGTGTCGGACGACTCGACTTCGAGGGTGATGGTCTTGCCAGTGAGGGTCTTAACAAAGATCTGCATGATTGCGATTCTACGAAGGAAAGGTAAGTTGAGGGAAGAAGGCTGAAGGGGAGAGAGCTCACAAGAGTTGTGTGGGTGGAGGTTGGAGGGGGAGATAAGAAGCGGAATGATGGGAGTGGCGAATGAGCCTAGGTTATATACCCTTGGCCGCGTGACTCAGAGCACAGCTTCATTCCAGATTATGCTGGAACAACTTCCGCATTCGTCATAAATGCATCGGTTCCGCTTACAACTCATGCTGAGTGTTAAAGCCGACTCCGAGATACCATATAAAGTAGATGTTCATGTACAGTCTTCTTCACGATGACAACGGACTCCAACGACGCAACGATGTCGGACCGGCCATCTCACGGATCATTCGGCCAACAGCGTGTTGTGTGACATGTCACACGATCATTAAATTTCTCTTCATGGCAGAATCCTGGATTTCACCACCGACGCGGCAACCTCTCATCGAGGACCTCGTATCAGGCGTCGGTATGGTTCGATCTTACTTCTCCCGTAGATCATACTGACAATTCCATCAAGATCGATACAACCCGTCCAATGTTGGCATTCTGGAGGATTACCTCTACCACCAGATTCGGAGTCAGGAATACGACTGTCTTGCCAACCTGGCTATCTTGAAACTGTACCAGTTCAACCCAGAACTGTACAATCCCGACGTAGTCATCAACATCCTCATCAAAGCACTCACTACTTCACCATTGCCCGATTTCAACCTTTCCATCTCTCTCCTCGACGAGCGGTCGATCAATTCGTCACTTGAGGAGCCCGACCCAGTTCCCGCTCTATTGCCAACCTTGAAACGGCTCAACGACTTACTCTACAAATGCCGTTTCCCCGCATTCTGGGAGTTGTATCAATCGGCTGAGTTGGAGCACTTGCGAGATAATTATACCGTTGAATGCGTAGGCTTCGAGGACTCCGTACGAGAAGTTGCCATTCGGGCGGTCAAGGCCACATTCACGCGTATTTCAGCCGAGCGATTAGCGTCTTACCTGGACTTGAACGGTGCGTGCAAAGGCATATTATCATCGAACAGTTGTGATGCCTTTCAAAGGGACTGATTTAGCGGCGTTCGTGCAGAAGAAGGGGTGGAAAATGGAGGCTGGAGTGATTGAAATACCTCCAAACCCGGACAACCAGATTGAAGCCACGGTCGTCCAAGAAAATATCAAGCTATCGCGTACGTGTTCACACTTTTGTTGCTTCAGCTCCTCATTATCCGTGAAGAGATCACTAAATTAATTGCTCATGGAGCAAGCAACTAGTTACTTGTTCTGATATTGATAGCCAATGAGTAAAGCTTGAAACATCTGAGTCAATAAGGTAGAATTGTTTAATAGTGCGAGAGTACAACGCGAGTGGTACATTAATGTTGAATTGCCTTCTATATGCGAAATTGAAAAAAAGTGAATGCCAAAAAAGAAAGTCAAATCATGCCATTGCTGTTGTTGTTGCTTTGCGGTTGCTCCACACCATATATGGTTCTCGTGAAAGATCGTAACCAGCAGCCGATTTAGTGCGAGTACTACGACGTGCCTCAGGAATGCGCGCGCTGGCGCTGAGATCCTAAAAAACATTAGAGGGTTGATGTTGGAAGGGGAGAGTGGAGACTAACTGCGACCCGACGTCGGGCACCGCTGGTAATGTGTGGCCACCATTTCGTTAAAACCCCCTTTAGCGCAACCTCCCGCTGCCCTTTCGGATTGAGCCATGCCAGGAATTCCTCGAGCTAGAAACCAAATCAGACGATACTTGAGGAATCCACGATTAAACTGGCCTCCTCAATATCAGAGTATGTTGCCCACTGATTTTCAAGCAGCGTTCCTTCAGTTCCCAACTCTTCTTCATATCGCTTATCCAACTCGTCCTGACCCAGTTTGTTGAGCAGTATCACGTTGTCGATATTACTAGGGCCCTGGATGAATAATCGCCCGGCCTGGTACTGAGTGGCACCTCCACTCCCAACAAGAGAACCGGCGCCCATTCCATCGAACCACCAGATACGATTGTAGAAACGGTCTCTACCCAGCGGTTTGACACGAATGCTGGACAGAAGTTTGCGGAACTCTCGTTCGATCGCCTCAAGTCTGCGTTCTAGTTTGTTGACTTCTTCATCGAGTCGGCGATATTCAGCAGTGGCCTGCTTGATGGAGGCTTGCTTCGCTCGCGCAGCTTCTCGTTTTCCGCCAGTGGATCCATTCTGTGGTGGTGGGGGTGCGTCCTTTTTGCCCTTTTTCAGACCAGCGTCCACACCCGACACGTCTGACATTTCAGAATCGACGACAGATGCCTCTTGGTCAACGTTTGGTGCAGGCGACGCCTCTTCCCCTTTCATTTCAATTTTCAGGGCATTCATATCCTCCGAGCTATACGTAGTGGTTAGGATGAGCTTATGAAACGACCATTGAAAGCTTACTGTTGTTTTCTTAGACGGTTGACATCAATTTTCTCTTTGCGGAGCGCTGTTAACTCTTCTTCACATTTTTCGATGTAGGCATGGATAGTCTTGCTTGACATGGCGAGGTCGGTCATGAATGAGAGAATAGCAATGCGATCGGAGACTGGAAGAGCGTAGTACCGGTCTGCTGGATCAGATGGAACGGTCAAGTCAGGAGGGTCAGGAGTTGATTCCGGAGAAGAACTGGACGATGAGACAGCAGTTTCTGCCTGAGGGTCGGGAGCAAAAAGAAGCTTGGTCAAAATATCGCGGAGGTCAGGGAAGTTCTCTAATGTAGCGTGCTGCAAGTGAGATTAGTTCAAACGAAGATAGTAGTGTCGGTTGTCCTTACATCCTTGAGACAACCAAGCATTGCATCCTCCCATCCCCCCCGCCCCTCTTGAATCTTCAACGGGGCACGCTCCCAGTCACCCCCATGATTATTCATTTCGGCGGTCAGCGTGTCTACAGACACTCCAAAGAGGAGTTTTGGCTGAAGGTTCTGGGGAGCGATGAGGGAAATGGCGGCACTGTGCTTGATGAAAGGCACTCCGCGTAGAACATGGATCAGGGAGGTATGCACTTCGCTGAGTATGCTGCACGGCAGACCCTTCACAGAATGTTGGATCGCATGTTCAAATTCGTCCAGTGTTATGGTCGAGAGGTGTAATGCGTTGCTAAAAGCAGAGTCAGCATCGTCTAGCGATATTTATGGTGTAAAATGACCCGTAAACCACTAAGAAATTCCACGTCATTAAAAATGCCTCGTAACTCCCAGCGGGTTTGTGGAAGGGGGGTGCAATGCGACTGGGAAGCGGCCGCATGACTTTCATGCCTGCTTTCTTGTCTTTTTCGCTCAACTGGACGTCGAGATCCTCTGTTGGATATCGGACTGGTTTCTTCTTTTTCTTTTCGGGGGACTGCTGGAGAACTGCCTCTTCTTTCAATTGGCGTTGTTTCTCGGCCTTCTCCGTTGCCTGGCGCTCTGTGAGAGATTCAGATGTCGAACTCAGCCAACGTCGTAGCCATACATACCTTTTTCCTCTTGAGCCTCCATCATCTTCTTCTGCCGCTTGGTTGGAGGCAATTCTTTCTCTTCCCAAACCTTCTTTCGTTTCTCCGTTTCGCTCGACTTCTTGCTAGACTCGGAAGCTTTTGGTTTATTTTCGGTAGGTTGGATATAAACACCATAGTGTTTTGCTATAGGCGTCTTGACAATCCAAGGGGACGCGACTGCAGCATCACGGTCAACACAGTCGCGAATGAAACGGCGTAGTATGGATTTCGAGAATGAGAGGCGATCCCGACTACAACCAGCCCAGATTAGATTGAATAGGTATAAAAAATCGGCGAAGCACCTCATCATATCGCATTGCACCTCACGAATGCTGTCTATCATCTTGAGATTGTCCGAGTCCCTGGCTGCTTTTGCGCCCTCTCCTTTACTCCTTTCGAAGTCCAGGACATGGACCCAGTAATAATATAAGCTGGGGTCGTCGCGTGCGTTAGCGTCTTTGGCAGACTCCTTCAAGTCGCCAGAGATGGTATGGGGAGGGTCTTCGCCTTCAGGAAACTCCCCAGACTTGCCACCTGGCATGGCAGGCTTGTAATTGTCCCGAGCAGCGGTGTCTTCGTTATATTTGGGCGTGAATACTTTCTCGACGCGGGCGCCATATCTAAATCCAGTTGAGTAATGGGTAGGTTACGGAGACTGAGGAAACAAACTTGACTCCTCCCAAATCGACTAAGATCTCTGTGGACACAGGTCAAACAATGCGCGCAATGGTGGCGAAAGACACGAACTTTCATCCTTGAAGTAACGGTCTTTAAACCGCTCAAAGACAGCCTCCACAAGATGATCCAGACGACCAACAACTTCTGTTAGAACGCGGTGAGAAAACGTGTCGTTTTGGGAGAGGAGCTGCGTACGATACTGGACAGACCTGAGAACGGCTGCTTTCAGAGGTTGGGGGAAGCGATGGTGGAGAATGCGTGCTTCTTGCTGCTCACTCTCGACGGCTTGGAAGTAGTCGAGCCCACTTTTGCCGGTGACTTCGCATTGAAACTGTTTTTGCCGATAAAAGGACATGCGTGCCGAATATTGCCTAGAAAAGGGGAGTTGAGGGCAAGTGGGGAGGGTATGTGGTCGACAACGCACTCATAAGTGTCGAATATCTCGCCTGTTTGGCGCAGGAAATAGACCTCTTTGTCAGGGTCGGTCTTTAACGCCTTGCTTATAGCGTCAGAGGGCTCGGTGAGGACCACCCGTTTTCGACGACAGGTGGGCATCCTTGTTTGGCTCTAAACGACTTGTAATGGGACGGCAGGACTGGCTGTAGGAAGGGCGGTGTGATGAAGGGGCGAGGAAGTTAAAAAACCGGCGCGTGATGTGAGTTGTCGATGTGTTGTTGCGAATTGCCCAAGCCCGCTCCAGACATGGGTGACCTTGACCCACTCAAAATTCCTATTTTCCCTTCCCAACACTGCAGAAACCTCCAAAAAACTACTTCAGAAACGGGGCGGCCCATTCTGACGGCTTAGTCGTTCCGTGGCTGTTGCCGCAATTTCGAGGAGATGACTGCGAAAGCAGCCAGCCAATGATGCAGTGCCATTTGTTCGATATTTCTTCTCTTGTCTCTCTACCCATCGTCTCCTTCCTGAGCCATATTCTATCAACTTGTGCTAGGTTGGGGCTTCGCGGATCACTTGTGTTGACCAGCGAGTCTCGGTTTTGCCACATCCCGTTTCGGTGATGATGCCGCATTGTTTTCCGCACCAAGTCTTCCTTCCACCCACAAATATATTCGATAATTCGCTGCACACTCTCTTCAAGTCCCTTTTTCATCCACATTTCCACCTAGATCGTTTCCACCCCATGAAACACACAAAGCAAGGCCCAACTCCACGGACCTCTATAATCATCGCAGTTTCCTGTTGTTTGCCTTTGGTGACTTTCTTGTCCTACAAGATCCACTGAAGTTCGCTCCTGAACCTAACCTCGACAATATCATGCCCCTCCATGTCATCTCCCGAGAATCTCCTAGCCCAAATGACCGAGTAAGTTCCGAAATCAAGCGTTTCCTCCGTTATATGTACTCAAACTCTCTGCACAAAGGAGGTGCAAGTGACTCCTCTTTGGAGTTGTTGACCATGAACCAACCTCCAGTCATCGATGATTACGCTTTGTCGATTGACACCATATTGCTGTGCCCCGTTTGACAGGCGGTTCTATGTGACCGGCGCGCACGGCCCGACGGTCGGTCCGCTGCGGTACCACGAGCAATTTGACGGACCGCTTTGCTAAGTTTGTTTCTTGCCTTCTTCCTCCATCATCATGGCCAACCTCAGCAAAATCAACGCTCTTATGTGTGCGTAACGCTTTAAATGAAGCTTTTCAGCTCACTCATGACTCGTAGGCGGCACAGTGCGTCGAGTGCAATATCATTTGCGGGAATGATTGTTGACGATTGAGCAGGGGGAGTATACTACCGGCTGGGTTGGCACCGGAGCTTCGAAATCTGACAAAAAGGTCGGCTTTCCGCAGTCAAGCTCTGCATATATCGACCGCGATCTTAGATTGGTGTTGTGGGCTTGACTCTCTTCGATTTGCGTCGTCTCGGCAAGGTTGACCAGCTCAGCATGGTACGCTGTACATTTTATCCGGTTGAATCCACTAAACGCAGCACAGGTGGGGGTAAACGGAGGCAAATTCCCTGCGATCCGCCAGCACCTTGCAGAAAACATTGGCGGGGTCTACAAAGACATGGACCTTTCGTCAGCCACTTTCTGCGAAGTTGATCCGAGACTCACCGAGATATTAGTTTTGAGGAATATCCGGAAGGCGGAAAAGTTGATCCTGAAGCCTGTTTGCTTGTTTGGCTTGAGCAAACAACCCACGCACTCATACTTTATCAGATAAATTGGCGATTGAGAAGTTGGCACCAGGTATTGCCCGCATTATATTCCGTGAACCCACATAACGCGCATCTCTCTAGGTTCTGCGGTCATCATCTTCACACCCGATCGTGAGTGTGGTCTTCTCAGTTGAACACCTTCCTGACAGCAGCATCCAGCGACCCATTACCCCATTGCTCTCTATGCAATCGAGCGGGGAATGCATGTCCTGATTACTAAACCCGCCACTCAACTTCTGTCCCATCATGTTGAGCTCATTGAAGCAGCGAAGAAACACAACGTCGTTTGTAAGTAGACACTTCAGCAAGGAGAGCGCTGATGATTCACGGAAATGCAGGCTTTGTTGAGCACCACAAACGGCAGATTCTTTCTTTGCGAAAAACTGAATATGAGCTAATATCGTTCGTAGATTCGACCCTGCATACAGCGACGCCAAGGCACGTGCCCAAGCGCTGGGGGAATTCAACTTTTTCAGTGCTTGGATGTCGCAACCGAAACTGCAGTTGGAGGTATTTAAGAGCTGGGCCGGAAAGGACTCGGACATCAGGCAAGCAGGGTTTACTACGCCGTCGCGGCTAACATGCGATTGGTAGTTATTATCTCTCTTCCCACCATATCGACATCTGTTGCTGGATTCTCCAGGACCGCGCGGTTCCTACACGAGTAGTTGCTAGTGCGGCGACGGGAATTGCAACAGGCGAGCCGTACAACTGTGTTCCTCAAACAGAAGACACGATAACGTTGATGGTCGATTGGGAGTCTACAACTAGTGACCGTCATCGGGGAACGGCTGTCTACACTGCCAGCTGGACTGCGCCACTGAAGGCTGGGGTTCATTCAGCCCAGCATTGGTACTATATGGGCGAGAAGGTGGGCTCATATGCTCCGCGATTCGACGAAGCACGCTCATCTTATTTCTAGGGTGACATCACGGTCGACCAAGCTCATCGTGGCTACGACGTTACCGTCGATGAGACCGGGAAGATGTGGTACAACCCATTCTAGTGCGTTTTCCAGACCCCTTTGTCTCCGTTTGGCCGAGTGGACGCGTCTCGTCACGCTGTGACGAGACGCGTCAGCACACGCGACTGACGGATATTGTGCACAGTATGAAGTACTCCCCGTCCGAAACTGGGCACTTTGACGGCCAGCGAGGATATGGCTACATTTCTATCGAGAAATTTATCGACGCTGCTCGGTCTGTTAATGCGGGAAGTGCGACACCTGCCGATTTCGATGCACATGGTCTGCCTACGATAGCTAACACCGTTCTTACGACGGCTATTCTCAACGCTGGGCGTATTAGCTTGGACGAGAAGCGGGCGGTGTTCATCAAGCGGGCTCTCTCAGAGAACGGGGCAGAACAGTGGGTATTGGAGTAAACAATAAAGGCAGTTCGGGGGCCGAAGTGTGCAATTGATAACAACATATGGGAGGCTGATAATGAGGACGTCATAGTGAGGAATAAAAAAGGCGGATTCAAAAGGCTGGGCAGTAGACCCTGGCCGGCGCCGACCAAATCTTGATCAGAGAATAACAAAATGGAGAGCATCCGCGCGACACAACGGTGCTTTTGGTGATGAGGTCGAGGGTGAAATGGAAGGGCGCCCAGCCTGAGAGCATGCTACGGCGGCCACAATCAATCGCTGCTGCTAGACTTGCTTCGCTGTGATATCGTCTGCTCGGCTCATCCGTTGCCAGCACTTGTGGGTAAAAATTAAGAATCTTACGCTCGCCACCGTCAACTCAATAAAGTAACTTGAAGGAATTTTACCCCACGATTGCTCGGCCGGACAGCGTCGCGAATGAAACATCGGAAGCGGTCTTAACGCGTTCAATTGGTTGATAGACGACTTTGTTATTCGATTGGAGGAAGTATGTACAGGTGCGGGTTGTAGGGGGGGTGTTATAACGGAAAAAATAATGTGCAGGTGAACAGTAAAATGCGACGAGACCGACGATCAGAGGCTTTTTGTACCAAAAGGCGTCATGTGGGATCCAAAACAAGGAGAAAACCAACAGGTCGGCGGGTGGGGGAATGATGGTTGCAAAAAAATACCTAAATGAGGAATAAAGTATTTTGGCTGGGAAAAAAGCGATTGGTTACAGGTCGTCTTTGGTTGGGGTGAATGCATAGGAAGGAGTGTAAGCCGTTATTAGGGTTTGCCCAGTAAAAATATATGAGCTGATTCGACGGGTGGCTGGGGCCCGACGACACTGGCTGGAGGAGAGTTATGACTCCATACAAACGACGAGAATTCGTCGACTGTTGTTACACCTTCGCGAGCCTTTCGCTGATAGAATGTGCGCCTGCCAGTTATAGGATGTTGACGAGGAGGGGAGAAAAGAGGAAATTGCGAGTGACAGTGGATGCATGCTGGATGAGGTTGCAGAGAGAAATTGCGGTTGTCGGTTCTCGACGTGTATGATGATGATATTACATTTTGCTGGTAAACTTTTTGACGAGGACGGTTACAAGGCGGGGCAGCTATGGCACCATCGCCCGTGGGGAGACGTTGTTAAGGGTGTGGAGAGCAGTACGACCAAAAGTCACAAAATCATGCGGCAGGAACTGCTCTGGCGCTGTCTCAATTCGGTGCTTGTTGACCACTGGCTCAAACGAAGTCGGCATGTTTTCCTTGTCGCTCGACGTCGAATGCGTTAATCCACCGAAAGGATCGCTGGAGAAAGCAGGAGTCGTAGGGGTGACAGGGAAGTCGTCAGACTTGTCTGACGCAGTCATGGGGGTGCTCGCAGTTGACGACGGCGATCTTATTGGTGTTGCAGGTAGAGGAAGGGTCAACGGTCGAATATAATGGCCGCCTTGGAGGTAATATTGGACGACGAAGGTTGCTGCTTTGGAGTAGAACGCATACGAATACTTCTTTACCAGCGTCTCCGACAAGTCGTTGACATGCTTGGATAGCCTAGTGTCGAGATAGTTGATGACGGCAAAGCACTCTTCAGATTCGTCCCAAATGCGACGAGGCTTGCCGCAAAGGTAGCGAGCAAGGGTGAGGGCGGCAAGTGCTATTGTCGAAGGGGAAAATTTGACAAACTCGCGATAGAAGAGCGTAATCTCCATCAGGAAGCGCGCAACGTGCTGAACCTTGGCGTCCTCCACACAAGCGCCGACACACATAAGACGAAGCCATGCCTCAGCAGTGGGGTGCCCTAACGTCCATTGGATGGTGGAAAGAATATGACCCTCCATTTGAATGAACGCTGTGTCGTCGTATTCATCTCGACATATTTGGGCCAAATCTTGGACAGTTGGAACGCGGTCTTTTGCGTCTTCGAATTTGGCAGCAATCCATAGAGCAGCGCAACCGACGAGTTGATAGTGCTTGATGTAGACAATTCTTCTCGACACATATCGATCGACAATGTTGAGGGTGAGGTAAAGGGTTTCTGGGCGGAGTCGGAAGGTGAAGTGGACCTCAACAAGAAAGTCTACGAGACACGGGCGCATATGCCACCTTATCTCGGGCTGTTGGTCCATCGACTGGAGGGAAGACATGGTGTAACGCTGGTCAAGAGAGTTGAGGCAGAACCAATAAGATGGCTTGGCGAGACTGACCTCCATCTCATGCATGTAGTGGCGAATGTCATCGCGATACTCTTCTTCTAACAGCACCCCTTCTCTACGCAGTGCCTGTTGCTGGACCTGCTGCTGCTTTTGTTGTTGAGCAAGAGCTTTTGCTGAACGCGGCGTTTTTCTGGGGGGATGGAGAATTGGAGTCTTGTGCGACTTTGTGATTCCATGCGGAGAAGGACGTTTCTTCGGATAGACTAGGGAGTTGCGGGAATGCTTGTTGAGCACGGAGACGTCCTTCATGGTCGGGGTGCTGAGGCAAGCTAAGATTGGGTGATTAGTACTCGACGCGTCAAGACATTTGAGACAATAAGAAATTAAAAGGAAAAACAAAAAGGCCCCACCCGACGTTCTACAGCATACGACGGGACTCCTATGCGCAAGCGGGTGGCAATTCGTGTGGGGGTCGTAAAGTAGGAGAGGACCGAGGACGGTCAAGGAAAGAAACAAGAGCTGTGACCGAATCGATTATTTAAAAACGATCACGGATTGTGAAGAGTGAAAAGGGCCGTGGGCACAGATCAATGTCATGTCGCAACCAAAACACCACGTTTTACGGTGAACACAAGTAAGACAACAACAACTGACCAAAGAACAAGGCCTTTGGAGCCGAGTCTGAAACGAATGACTGGGGTGAGTGAGTATGGCCCTCAAAGCAAATTGAGGGCGAGAGAGGAGAAAAACAAAATAAAAGTGGGAGTGAGAGCGGGTTGTGGTTGGGAGGGGGGGACGCCTTTTCAGCAAAGGGCAAATGAAAGGAAAGGCGTGTTCTCGTATATATCACCCTTGACTGGCGGGTTTTGATACACGCCTTGAGCCTCGAGGCATCGAAGACTCTTACCCACGTAAACTAAAGTACTTTCTCATCACATCGCAATCTAAGCCTCTTCCCGCTCATCTTATCCCAACAAACTCCTCGTCCGAGTAAGTATTGTACTTTCAGCAGCAAAATCCCCCCTCGGAATTCCATTACCCAGTACTGACGTAGTAGCCTAGAGCAACCTCATTATCCTTATGGTTCGAAACTGATCCACAAGAGTGCCTGGCGACTCTATGACGCGCTCATCATTCACATTTTATATCACAAGAAAAAAAAAGGCCAAATGAATTTGCTGACACGACAGAAGAAACGAACACGAAGAATGCTGGGACCTACAACTCTAGTCGCGATGTCCTGCCATGAGTAACGCCATGAGGTCCGGTTGGCCATTGCCCTGGGCTGGCTGGTGTGGTTGGAGGTGGTGATTGAGCATATGAGGAGGGAGCTGTTGTTGTTGCTGCTGGCGTTGTTGAACAAGTAATTGTTGCTCGCGTAGTGCGTGTTGGATTTGCTGTCCTTGCTGCCCGCCAAACCCTCCACCACCACGTATGCCGCCAAGACCCAACAAAGCTGGATTCCCATGCCCAAGATTGGCGAGCTGATGTTGAGGCGGTACTGGTCGCATCTGCGGCTGGCCATAACTGTTGACAGCGAAATTGTTGGCGAACTGTTGTTGCGGGGGCATTCCCATGAACTGAGAGCTCTCGAGTGGCGGCCGACCGCCGAGATTAGCCAGGCCAGGAGGTAACCTTTGCTGCGATATGGGTGATGGCGCGCCTCGGTATTGAGGTTGGATGGGAATTCCCGTATTTCGTCCCCCGTAAACGGGGTTATACATTGGGTCAAGTCGATGTGGCTGTGGTTGTGGTTGTAGACGAGGTTGACTAAAGTGCAGGGTATCCTCGAGGGAATCAGAATACATGCCGTTGTCCCGACTGCGAGGCGGTGGCGCAGACCGTAATCCGGGAACCATACCATCAGGCACAAACTCTACACGGCTATCGTATAGCGAATCTAACCGGCTATTCATCTGCATTTGCTGTTGCTGCTGAAGCATTTGCAAGTTGTGCTGTTGTGCTTGCTGACTAAAACCGGGAGATGGCGCCGAGTTCAGGATATTCGGTCGTTGGATCTAGGAGATCACGTCAGCAGGAGCTGCCAAGACGCACAAAAGACTAGCCTGAGCTGAGCTGTTTAGCTTCGAAAGTAAACCGTCCATGACCCGATGCTCCATCGGATTATAACCAACATTGACATCTCTCTGACTCTGATTTGGTGATGGAGAGGTAAATCCAACTGGGCTCTGGGTGACTGGCGGCTCCCTGTTCTTACTGTCGAAGTATTTCGCGAAGCGACTGCCTTTGCCCGAAAGGATAACCGCCCGCGGAGTCATAGACTGACTCAGAAAATGGCTCGGCAACTAGGCCATAGCTCGTTCGTCGAAGAGGTTCGCTGGACCCAGTCGGGTCATCGAACGGCGAGAATCCACTCCGGTGTGGCCCCGTTTTGACAGAAGGCTGGTTGAGTGATAGCTCGTTGGACAATATGGAGGCACTGGCCAGAGCCGAAGAAGTAGGCTCCGGCTGAGCTAAGCCATTGAAGTTCGCCGGCTTCCCTGCAGACCTTGTCCCAAACGCTAAAACGCGGGAGCCTGCTGGAGGATTAAACTGTGGTGGGTCGGTAGCAGGTGAGTTGGGTATCGTAGAGTTTTGGGAATTGATGGGGTTGGGGAAGAATCGTGACGATGCAGGGGGTGGGTCAGCAGCCAAATCAACATTGGGACTCGGGTTGATAAGCGGTGAGGTTCGTGTAACTTGCTCAGCCTTTCCCAAGATAGATAATAGGGAATTCGGGTCATGTGCGGGAGGTAAAGTTATTGATGGTGATGCAGACGGTCCAGCAACACCATCGGGTGGTTTTGCGAGTTGTGCTGATAAGATAGGATTAGAAACTTTCGCTAACTATCAGAGAGAGAGAGAGAGAGAGAGAGAAAATACAAACATTGAGATGGTTTGTTGGGTATTCCGGGAGGAGGTGCTACAACCTCTTTGGGAGCGGCGCTTGGGTCAGGTGAAGAGCCTTCTGCAAGTTTTTTCTCTTCCTCTCGCTTCATCATCATACGGAAAAGTTGAATTTCATCCATGGGCTTCTCGACTGGCTCTGCCGATTGCTTCTTGGGTGTCGGGGCGCTGGCCGCTGCCTTTTCTTTCTCTTTTATTCCTTTCTTCCATGCTTGGATGCCATCAAGTTCACCGTTGGGGGCTTTTCCGCCAAGGATACCAGTCGAGCCAGATGATTCGGGAATATAAGTGTCCATCCAAGCGGGCTCTTTGTCTTTCTCCCGCTCTTTGTCTTTGGCTTCATCCGCGCCACCTGCTCGACGATCACGGTGATTTCGCTTCGTTCGGGCTTCACGTTCTTCGACGACTGTCCAGCGTCGGTCTGCTGGATTGTCGCCATTCTCCTGTGATGCTTTGTCATGGCGATCAGCGGCACGGCGAGCCGCCATCCGCTCATCACGTTTCCCATCATCCCTCCACCTTCGAGGATCGTCCACTTCTTCCTCTTTGTCTGCATCTCGATCACGCTCTCGACGATGCTCGTCTCTTCGTCGGTCGTCACGTGTCCTGCGATGGTCTTCCTTGTCATCATCCCGGTCACGCTCGCGTCGGCTGGAAGAATGGTCTCTCCTGGAACGAGAACCGTCGCGGGCTCGAGGTCGACCTGTTTCACCGTCATCCCGATTAGCTCCTACAAGTGGTCAAGATTCATAGCCGTCATCTCATCCATTACTTACGACTATTGCCGACTTGGAAAGCAGTTCAGAGATAAGTCCAAACGCGAACAAGAAGAACTTACCTCTTCGCCAATCCTCATTACTTTCCCCTACCTTCTTCTTTGTGCCTTCGCGAGGTTCTCGTTCTCCCCTGCGTGGAGCGGTTGTCAATTGAGTGGAACCACGAGTAGCGGCTTCAACGCTGAGATGAGGAGCAATATCTCTCTCTTTGTTTCGTCCGCCAGGTGCAGCCAGCCTGTCACGGTCATACTTGTCGGAAAGCTGGTATTGAGTGATGTTGAGTTCGAGATAGCAGTGTTGTTAGCAAAAGATCGACTTGCATTTCTAAGCCTTTCTTGCCCTTCCTTATCCCGAAGGTCTCGTTCGCGCTCCTTGTCAGCGTCTCTATCCCGCTCCCGGTCGCGTAAAGACTGGTGCTTGAAGTTGCCCATTTGTGATGGTTGTGAAAGGGTAGAGCGAAATGAGGGTCGCGATGATGCTTCTAGACAGACAAGGACATTAGACCCTCTGGAGATTGGTTTTGACGACTGCCCACCACCATCTTCAGCGTCTCTCCTGAATCTGTAAAATTGTTTGAACGGTAGTTATGACAGCCTCAAGATTGCTCTCACCGTCGCTCTCTGGTGCCGTTCGGAGTTGACGGCTCAGAGTCCTTTTTGTTTTGGCTAGGTTCATGGTCACTACAAGTATTATTCTGCCGATGTACTTGGGCTGGGTGGACACATACCCAAACCAATGCTTGAGTTCCGGCATAGAGGTTGGCGGTTTTACAAGAGGAGAGGCTTGGAGATGGAGCAACTGGGAACGTGTATATACGAGAATTGGTCGGCATGTCGGAGATTGAGAAGAGGTGGCGGGAATAGAAGGGGAGGGTAAAGTGGGGGTAGAAGGCTTTGCTTCAGCCTCGTCGCTTGCGCTGAGGGCCATTGTGGTGGTAGTCACGGCCAAGTGTCGCGTTCACGTGTCGCCGCTTGTCTTTTCTTTTCCTTCACTCCATGCAGCGATGACGCGGCTCTCAGGCGTCCTCCCCCTTCGGCACTGGATTCTCAAGCAACAGATCCTTGACCTTTACCGGCACGCTATCCGTTCCGTCAGCATAGTCTACTCCGTTGACATTCTGCGAACTAAATCTTCTAGACTCGAGGTAATTACAGTGGTCGACGTGAAGTCATCTAAAGCTGTTTTTCTGGAGTGATTCAAGACCATTCAACGCGGAATGAGACTGTAGCGTGGATTCGAGAAGAATTCTTTGAGAAATACCGTCACTTGGAGGATCTGGTTGCGTCCCAAATAATAAAATTGTCAAGTGAATAATGCTCAAATTCGACAGGACGCAGTGGAAAGCATGCTTAGTATGGGGAGGCGAGAGCTCAAGAGAATTTTGCCCAGCCAGAGGCTTTAGCGCCTTAGACCTATAATTGATGAACCTGTATTTGGCAATCTAGACGCTGAGTCGATCTTCTCCTCTACCATACCTCTTCGCACCTCAACTCGACTATTCCTTAGCCATGACCGAATCCGAGCCCGCTGTGGAGGTCTACATCCACGGCATCAGACTATCTGTGAAGAAAGCACAGCTAGAAACGGAACTCGCCTCCATCTTACACCGCCCACCCTTTGCTTCATTCTCTAATGTTCTGGGGCCTGTTAACTTCGTTGTCTATCTTTTCAAGGATAAACAACACCGTGGTCGTCCTCACGCTGGCCGAGGGTCTCTGACTCTCCGCCGTGAGGTCGCTAATTTATTCCTCCAAGAATACGGAGATCGGTCCGACTCCCCGCCGAGCAAAGCCATCTACATTGCAGGGGGTCGGCTTCGTTTCTCGGAATCGCGGTCAAAACCACGACCAGAGATCGTCGACCGTGTGTTGCGCTTTCCTTACACTGATCCTGCTGTGTCAGCACAGAAGGAGCAGGCTACTGCCATATTCCAGTCAGAAAGTGTATCGTAAGCTTCTGCACAACATGTTTGATGACCACTTCTAATAATACCACAGTGTGAATATGTGCCAATTTGGTTGGTACTGTCGCGACGCTGTTTTCTCTGTTGAGTGGGAAGCTGAAATCGTCGGTTCCCTTCGGGTTCGTGACGAGTCATATGCACTTTGTCAAACTAATAACCGACAGATAAACGAGGAACGGCGAGAGTTTCGACTTGAGATCAATCGGGGAGCTGAGTTCCAATTTGTGGCGATTCGGTTCTCCAAGATAATCCATGTCTCAACGTATTTCGAATTTTCTGCGGGAGCTCTCCCTGTTATCTTCCTCGGCCTGTCTGACCCTCCAACCTTCGAATCGGTTGAAGCGGGAAGCAAGAACGACCCCCGTGCTCGCCGCCGCCGCCTGTCACATCTTGATATTAACGACCACGAGCGAGTTGCTGCATTTACCTCACTCCATCTCCGCCTTGTCTGCAAGACTGCACAAGATCTTGCCTCTTTCAGGCATCTCACCGAAACTGCTAATATCCACAATGTAGACAACGTCGAAATCCGCATCGAGCGACGCGGACTATTTGCTCCTACAGCCATGCGTCAGCTGACCCGAGAAATAGCACGGCTACGATGGTCTGTCGCATTCCAGCTCGAAGCTCTCTGGCGCAACTCCAATCTCGATACTCTGGAGCTTTTTGCGTCTCATCCCTCTCGTCAAGACTCTAATGACTACACGTGGACGAACTCATACTGCAGAGTTTTTACGTCATTTCGGGAATAAAGCTCGCTACTGGACCTTTTATGATTCGGGAGTGCTAACAGTGGAAGATTTCTTTTTCAAGGAGCACGCTAAATATTTAAAGATGATAGCCCAAGCGATACGTCCCCCGGACAATAGCACATTTGAGTCGTTGCATGTCTACGTTACTCCCACCAGCATCTTGCTGGACGGTCCTTTTGTGAGTAGCTGATTCACCGTCTAGCACTAGATAATAATCTCTCAGCCCGAGGTATCCAACCGCGTCATCCGAAGCTTCGACGTCAAATACCACGAATCGTTCCTTCGAGTCAGGTACTCCCCTTAAATTTGGATCTAATAATTTAACTCAAGTCACTCCATAGCTTCAGCGACGAAGGGAAAATGCAGTATCGATTCGATCGCGAGTTGGACTGCGTCGCATTCACCCATCGGCGGGTCGGTGCATTCTTGAAGAAAGGACTGCAAGTCGCGAGTAGAAGCTTCGACTTTCTCGCTTACTCTCAGTCTGCTCTGAAGGAGCATGCTGTCTGGTTAGTATCTTGGTCCCTTCTGATTTGGTTGTTCATTGCCTCACACCAGGTTTGTTCGACCTTTTCAACGAGACGGGACTGTGGTGACTGCGCAAAGTATCATTCGAGGACTTGGCCGATTTGATAATCTTCCATTTGATCCAAATTTAATGCGCTGCCCCGCCCGTTATGCCGCTCGCATCTCCCAGGCATTCACCTCTACAGCTTCCACGACAGTGGAAGTCGAAGAAAATCATTCACCTGGACGATATATCGACAGCTTCTGGCAAATACCATTTCACTGATGGTGTGGGAACCATGAGCCTGGAACTGGCGAAGGATATTTGGACCCAACTTTCCGCTACGCGGCGGAAAAGAAAAACAAAATTTATTCCGCGGGCCTATCAAGTACGTTTCCAAGGCTGCAAGGGTAAGCTAGAGCGTTTGCAAAAGCTCTGGTCCGTCTTAATTACAGAAAAATAGGAATGCTCTCGGTGGACTACAAGCTCAAAGGGCATGTTGTGTGTTTGCGGCCTTCCATGATTAAATTCAGCGCACCACACACCCGGGTCGTGGAAATTGCCAGAGCCTTCGATAGGCCTGGTGTCTACTACTTGAATCGCCCATTGATCATGATTATGGAAGGTTTGGGTGTCGACTACAAGGTTTTCAAGGTATTACACAAAATGCCTCCACAAATTTTTTGATCCTCATGATTGGGCAGAAATATCAAGACAAAGCCGTGAAGAATGCCGAAGAATCGACAACTTCACTCAAAAAATTTGCAGAAATACTGGAGATTCACGGACTCGGTGCCTCGTTCAAGTGCGTTGAAGCCATCGATTGCTACATTCTGTCCCATTCAAATCTAGGATACCGTCTATATTGAACAGTCTACTTCAACTCGAGGTCCACTCCCTCAAGGGGCTCAACTTTTATCAAAAAATGCTCGAGTTCGCAAAGCATCATATACTGCGCCTATTGAAGACAAAGGCCCGCATTCCGATTCCACACGCAGTAACAGTTGTCGGCGTTGCAGACGTTCACAAGTATCTCAAACAAGGCGAAGTATTCGTCTGCACTCGTGCTCTTGAGAGCAACAAACTTGAGTACATCCAAGGCAATATTATCATCTCCCGATCGCCTACCATCCACCCTGGGGATGTTCAGGTGGTCAAAGCTATTGGCAAACCACCTCCGGGGTCTCCCTTTGACCACGAGCCACTTCCGAATACCGTTGTTTTCTCTGTTTTAGGTATGTCTCGTGCGCAGTTACCCGAGCCAACTGACCAATTGAGCCAGGCGATAGGCCATTGGCGTCATGTCTGGGAGGTGGGTAAGTCGTTTTTATCCATCAGCACGCTTCCAGCTAACACTTTCTTTCGTGATTGCGATGGTGATACCTTCAACATCATCCCTTTGTCAAAACTCCCAGAGTTCCGACCGCGAAAACTTTACAAGGCTGCAGAATACGCGCCAGCGGAAAAGAAACTCGTTGACGGAATCAGCACGATGGACGATGTTGCGGATTTTGTGATCGACTATATCAATAGTGACGCTCTGGGAATCGTCGCGACAAACTGGTTACTCATCGCCGATCAAACTGAGGAGGGCATCTTCCACCCGGACTGCTTGAACCTCGCCAATCTGCATTCAACAGCAGTTGATTACCCGAAAACCGGAATGGTACCACAACATTATTATCTGACATCATTAAGTTGAAGCACCCATTTTTAGCCTGTACCCATAGATTTGATTCCCAAACCACCTTCCAAATCGATGCCAGACTGGCATGCCCCAGAGATTACCGCCAACTCGAAGGACCATTACCCTAGTCAACGTGCCATCGGAAAGCTTTTCAGAGATATCAAGCTGACCGACATACGACCGCAAATGTCTAGCTTCGATAGGCAGTTAATCAAGGAGGGTAAAATGCAGGCCCCGGACGTTGCCGATCTAGCGGAGACGCTGGATAGCATGACTGTTGAAAACAACCCACTGGTTCGAATAATCGAAGATCGAGTTTCCGACTTCATTTCTGTGGACGAATACCCAGGGGACTGGACACTGCACATCGCAGAAATTTTCAAGCAATATTCGTCTGAGCTCCAAGGTCTCTGCATCAATCACACTCTTTCTCATGCAAAAGCAGCACTGCTCTCCGAAGTAGAAGCTGTGGTTGGTACAATCATTGCCAAGACATCTCAACCGCGCAAGCGCGCCGATTTAATGGCGTCGTTGCGTGAAAAGACCGACTTTTTGGTGAGTGGGCCGTTGGACAGGTCCTTCTTCACAACGGCTAAGAGTAGCACAAGGTACGCGGGGTCAAGGAGGAAATCCTGGGAGATGCCGAATTATTTGAGTGGGAAGATTCGCTGTTGCGAGCATGGCTGGCATTCAAGCTCGCAGTAGCTGAACAAGAGAACGGGGAATTCGGCTCACAAAGCTTCATGTGGGTTGCTTTAGGCACCATATTCGAGGTGTTGAAGGAGATGGAAGGCGAGTAGAACAAAGTTACAGAGAGAATCAAGGTGTTGTCGCTAGCACATTTATATATGGCACAGAAAACATATCAAGCTTGATTGCGCAAAACTAGTTTGTCGTCGTCAGTAGTTGACCGCTTTGCAGACGTGAGATGTCTACTCACTTAGAATCACCGAGTCCCCGCTAAGAATAAATCAACGTGGCTCAGTAGAACGACAAGAAAACGCACCGCAGGAACATTTTACTGATAAAACGGTCCTTATTCACAGGCTTTTTGTTCTTTCCCTTCGGAATCTCCGTCCACATCTAGATGGATCGTGAGAGGTATGGCTTAGATAAGGCAAGAGACACACCTCTTTTACATTTTCAAGAACCTGCACGAATAGAATCAAATCAGCGTTCTGCTAATGGACAGAGCTACCACTCGCACCATGTTACTATGTCGATCGAATGCCTTAACCCTTGCCAGCAGTTTCTTGTCGTTTCGTAACGAGATCAGGACCTGAGCATGGTTTCGGACAGCTTGTTGCAGCACAGACAAGGGGCCCTGGGAGATTTCGTGTTCTTCAAGTTGACGCAGTTGAGCCTCGTCAAGCTCAGATTTCGGGACGTGGACGTATTGACTGTGGGAAGTTGAGGAAAGGTTCTATACTTAAGATTATACCTGCAAACCTCATGGACGAGCGCGAACAAGATGACCGTGACTCGCGCCCGTTGTCACACTCGAAATTTATCTCAGCCTGTGATGGGTCGTCTCCGACAAAAGGGCAAAGCTGGTGCTGCAAAAGCCTATGTTACACGGACTGCCGCTATCAAGAAGCTACAGTGCTCTCTTGCAGACTTCCGGCGACTTTGCATTCTCAAAGGTCGATATTTCAGTTGGTTACTTGACCAATTTCTGACCGATGCTCTAGGTATCTTCCCTCGTGAACCGCGAAGTCGCAAACGTGCAAACAAAGGATCATCGGCACCCACATCATTCTACTACGCAAAGGACATCGCATATCTAGCTCACGAGCCTGTCTTGAAAAAGTTGCGAGAGCATAAGGCGTTCGCGAAGAAAATATCCAGAGCACTTGGACGAGGAGAGTGGAGCGATGCAAAGAATCTGGAACAGAACAAGCCTGTTTACCGTCTCGACCATATAATCAAAGAGCGGTAAGTGGTCGAGCTTAATTTGTTGTCCACTCACTCACTAAGCACAGTTATCCAACGTTCATTGATGCGGTCAGAGACATCGACGACGCCCTTTGTATGGTCTTCCTCTTTGCTTCGCTGCCTTCAAGCATCCAAATGCCTACGTCACTCACAGAGAACTGTTCGAGGTTGGCGGCGGAATGGCAACTCTTCGTCATGCACTCTCGCGCATTGCGCAAGGTTTTCCTTTCAATAAAAGGCGTATACTACCAGGCCGAAATAATGGACCAAACTGTTACCTGGCTAGTGCCCTATCAATTCACCCAGCATGTTCGTCTTATATTATTCTGTGAAGCCCCAAACTAACGAACTGACGCAATAGGTTCCAGTAGATGTGGATGTTCGCGTAATGCTGACCTTCTTGGAACTGTACCAAACATTGCTCGGCTTTGTCTTCTTCAAACTATACACTGACTCAGGTTTGGTCTACCCACCACCACTTGATGTCAAGAAGGATGAAGGAGCAGCTGGTGTCGGCGCCTTCTCTCTCCAGAGCTCCTCAAAACCTGTAGTCGATCCTTCAGCGAAACCCAAGACTGTGGAGGTGGAGGGTCGTAAAATCACTGGTAAAGATGTTCGACAAGCGATAAAAAATGTCACGGACCCGACCCCTCATGCTGAAGAGAGGGATTCAGAGGAGAATTCCATGGAGGTTGACGAGGAGTTCGTTGCCCAACAATCAAAATCAGATCCTCAATCTGCCCCGTCCCTCACAACGCTCAAGGCCTTACAAGCGTTACCTCAATCACTGACGACCTCCTTATTTTCACCATATACGTTCTTCTTGTCTCGAGAAACATCAAGACCAATATTCGAATTTATTGTTCGGGCATTCGGTGGACGGATAGGCTGGCCATCAACCTCCGGAAGCGGGTCCCCGTTCGACGAAATGGATGAGTCCATCACTCATGTTATCATCGACCGACCACTCGTACCTTCGGAAGACGAGACACCAGAAGAGCGATCACGCAGGTCCCGGCGGAAATATGTGCAACCGCAATGGGTTGTCGATTGCATCAATGCTGGCAAAATTTTACTCGAAGAGCCATATGGCCAAGGAAAGACACTTCCAGCACATCTTAGTCCGTTTGGCGAGCATGAAGGGGCTTATGATCCTACTTCAGAACTTGCTGGCGACGGCGTGGAGGAATCGGAAAGCGAGGATGAAGAAGAAATCGAGGTAGACGAGCAGCAAGTGACCACTGACGAGAAGTCGGCGCTTCTTGCTGCTGCCAATGCCACGGATGAGACATCTAGACGGGCTGCTGAATTGGCAGCAGAGGTGGCTGGAGTTGATTACGGTGATTTCGAGAAGGAAGTCCGGAAATCGCACAAGAAATCCAAGGCCACCGCGAAGGATGATGGTGTCGACTCAGAGCAAGACATGAACAAGATGATGATGAGTAATAAGCAGAAGAAACTGTACGAGAAGATGAAGTACAGTCAAAACAAAAAATCAGCCGAGGTAACCATTAGTCTTTGTTGGTGGTCTTTGTTTTACTGACTCAATAAATCCAGCGTACAACACTGGAGGCCAAGAGGAAACAAATTGTAAAGGACCGACGCAAGGCTGGATAGATGAATAGACTTGTTTTTTTTTTTCTCGTTAGCATGCTTTGTAAAAAGTCCATATGCCATCACGCGATTGGATTGCACCCGGTCAGGGACAACTTGGAGAGCGACTGCTACAAAGTTTATGGGTCGTTTCTCGCTTGGAAATTCACACAGCGAGTCGACGCCACCCCCACCCTACCACGAATCCTCTCCGACCGTCTTGGTATCCCAGACAACGACGACCCAAGTTACGCATACCGTGTTCTCGCTCCCACTGCCATTGTGGAAGAAGCGCTCTCAACAGCACCAACAAACTCTCCGTGTTGAAAAAGAGCTTCCCCCAACTCCACCAACCGACGAAGAAGAACAGGGCAATCCGATATTCTCAACACCAAAGGCCTCGGCTCCAGCTGCGCTTGCCCACGGCGGTCTCGGTCTTGGACTTGCTCATGCCATTCGAAACCACCCTTCGGCATCGTCCTCAACGTCAGACATAAACAGCATTGTGTTCGCTTCACACGAGCCTCGCCAGGAGGTTCGCACACCAAGACGCGCCAAAAGCTCATTAAAGCTTCGTGCAACTTCAGCTTATGAACCATCTCCACCAGTCGAAATATCCTACTCTGATGATGCAAACAGACGGGCGAGAGGAATTTCGCTAGGCTCAGATGCCAAGGGAAAGCAGAAGGAGGTTGAAGAGCCATTACAACCTAGAGTTTCTCTGGCCCGACGCGCTTCGTTTTGGTCCCGAAGGAAGTCAACAGCGACGGATTTACCAGTCCCGACTCCACCCAAAGAAGTGGTTCCACTACCATCCCTGCCCTCCATGCTCCCGTTAACTCCATTCACGATTGACGACCTAACCACAACCTCATCTGGCTCTCGTCATACCCGAGCTCTTTCTCGCAGTTATTCGGAACGAGCTGCAGCCGAATCAGGTGAAAAGTCACCATCCACACGCTCTCGTCGCCAAACACGGCGACCAGCGACAGCAGACTCTGCAACACGAAGTCCAACTCTCCGGCCCCCAACTCCGCCACCACCATTACCGCCTTCGCCATTGGTCGATAAACCACCACCGTCTCCCCAACGACCTACCACTCCTTCACGCAGACCTAGGGCCCAAACCAACCCTCCGTTGTTATATAGGCTTTCGATGAATTTGTTTTCGTCGCCGTCAACCTCCACATCGCCTTCACTCCCTCAGGCTCAGCCACCAAATCGCATCCATGATTCTCCTCTAAATTCACCATCCCTTAGTGCTGCCAACTCTCCTCGGCCTTCTTTGGTCAAGTCCCCTTCAGTGATACCCAAACCCGAGATTCAACACGAATCGCCGGAGATCTATCTGAAGCGACTTTTACTTGCTGTGAGCAAGTCAGAAGTAGCTGGTGTCTTGGCCTCCAGCGCCGATCCGTTTCATACTCGCGCCTTGCGCACTTACATCGGCAACTTTGACTTCACCGACAATCCCCTCGACGTTGCTCTTCGCAAGCTGCTTATGCATGTTGGCCTGCCTCGAGAAACGCAGCAAATTGACCGCGTAATGGAATCATTTGCTGGACGATATGTGGAATGCAATCCTAATCTTTTCATTTCCGATGGTAAGCTCCGTTTGGCAATTTTGACCTGCTTACTAAAAACATTCCTGAACAGACCATCCTTATATCCTGGCGTTCAGCTTAATAATGCTTCATACCGACGCGTTCAATAAATCTAATAAACGCAAAATGACCAAGGCCGATTATATTAAAAATACGAGACTTCCCGGAGTGCCTTCGGAGGTGTTGGATGTGTGTTGAACCCGTTCCTTTCCTAGCAGAATACTGAATGAGTTCTAGTGTTTCTACGACAATATTGTCGTGACGCCGTTCATTTTCGTTGAAGATCCACTTGATGTCGACGGACAACGGGCAGAACCTGTTACCCCCATTCGCTCTCTTTCGCTTGGTAATCCCCTCTCTGCCTCCACGAGCAGCACAGGCTCCCTCCTGGGCAAGACAAATAGAGTAGACCCCTACTATCTAATCGCAAATGTATGCAAACTCCTATCTCCGCTTGTCCTGCTCATCTGTCTTCCAGAATCTACTGGGACCTTTACGCGTCAACGTAGACTCTCTCGTCCCTCGCGAAAATCCGTTTGACTTTCATGGCTCCGGTGGGCCATGGGACGAGTCACAACTCCAACTCGCGTTCATAAACCCTCCACTGATCGAAACACCCGCACCTATAGTCAATTCCCGAATGTCTACCTTTGGTGTCAGTAGTCCAGGCGGCTCAGTGACGCCTTTGTCTGGTTTCGCAGAATTCAGTTCACAGCCTGGCGGCATCATCACAACCTCAATAAGCAAGATTGGCGTCTTGAACCGCAAAGACGATTTGCTGGAGGGCGGAAAGAAGTCAGCCAATCGGAAATGGAGACCATGCTCCGCAATCATCACCGGTCCACAACTACACCTTTTCCGAGACCATACTTTGGCGGCCTCGATTGCTTCGCACTTGACCTCGCCAGAAGACGAGATTCCTGTGCTCTCGAACCCATTGCCTCCCAAAGAAGAACGGCTATCTTTGAACGATGTTGTGGCGGTTTACGATAAATCCTATAAGAAGGTATAATACATCGTGGCCTTGGTTTTCGCTACTGAAGCAACTTTTAGCACCCTTTCGTTTTCCGATTGGTCATGTTGAATGGAAGACAGTCGCTTTTCCAAGCTGACAACGAGGATCAAATGAACCACTGGATAGCGGTGATCAACTACGCTAGTGCTTTTCGAACTGCTGGCCTTCGTATGCGCCCGACAGGAATGTCTGATCAAGTAGTACAATTGACCGGGGTTGCTGCCGCTACCTCACATCTCCACGACCTACAGCATGCCCAGACAACCGCTCATCGTACTCATAAGTGGGCCCATAAAGAGTCAATCGAGCTCATGAGCATGTTGTCTGGCGAGACGTCCCCTGTCAAGCGTTCAACGGAAAAGCAACGCCGAGCGACAATGATCAACTTTGGCGATTTGGATTTAGAGGCTCCAACGGCGCCTGAGATCGAGGGAGCCGCTCAATTCAAAGCCACATTTGACCAAGTCAAGGCCGAACTCGCAGCAGTACATCATCGGAAAAGTGGAGATTCGGCAGAGGAATTGCCACCATCAATGCCAACTCCACTACCATCGAGAACACATTTCATCCAGTCCAAGATTCTCGATCTTGACTCGAAGATATCGACGGTCCAATCCCAGCTTGACTCCGACTTGCGTTTTGTTCGCAATGTAGCAACTCTTACCCCGTTCCAGCGCGCAACTCGCGAGCGTTTAGTGTCTGCCGTTCAGACGATGGCTAGGCGAATTACCCAAATGCGGCTGGAAATGGCTAAACTCTCTTGTCACCGCGAGGTCCTGTCCACCGACATTGACGCGGAAAGTCATGATTGGAGTGAGGCGAAAAAGATCGCTTTACAAGCTGCGACTGCGACACTGCAAAGCCGCGGAGACGATCATATTCCACGAACAATTGTCACATTTCCAGACTCTTCTGGGTCTCCTCGCGACTCTGGCTCGTTCAGAAAGCGGTCGTCGTCGTCGCATCGACCAGACTCGACTGCTGACTCATTTCATTCTGCTCTCGACTTTTCTGAAGATGCCAGTTTGCTGGACACTTCAATGCGGAGAGACAACTCTTCACAGAGTAGCACCACTTCTGTCCACGAGCAAATCCCGCTTGCCGCTAGCGAGGGCGCTCACACGTCGTCACATGAGAAGTTCTATACGGCCCTGGAAAATCCGGAAGCTGCCGAGGACTGGAACCAAACTCGCCTTACCCAGCGTGTTTCGCTCGTGCGAGTACCATCGACCCTGAGGATATCGAATCGGTTTCTTAGGACGCCGGAAGACGGAGATGAATCACCATCAGATTAGCATTTAAGTTTTTTTTTAGTTTTTTTTTTCGCATATCTTTATTTCCGGTTGTTGTACGATAACGTGACCTTTCAGTCGCTATGGTGCCATCATTGTTTCATGGACGTTCGCCGGAGCTAAGCCCATTGACGTCGACTAATTGGCAAACAAGGGACTCGGTTTGGAGGACACCGCAGGCTCTATGCGGGGTCAGGACGCGCGAAATAACGCGGAAAAAGTAGAAATATTGAAAAGCGTCGACTGAGTTGTTGTTATGGACAAATGGTGAGGCACCTTGAAGCTCTCGTCAAGGCTCTCGTTATGTTACGGTTGCGTCACCAACGGCATTTCTCATCGCGTACGATCATTGGCGCGTGAACATTGACACAATACCTGAGCCCTCTTTCTCTCTCTACTTTCAGCACGACGACAAGGGTGTCTTTTCGTCCCACTGCCTGGACAAATCGACGCGTAATCTTCGCCATGGCGGAAAAGAAGATTCTTCATACCGCGCGGAAACTCAGCAAGGTGTTTAAAGAGACGCCCTACACGATCGAAGCCAAAACCTTATTGTCTCCCACGTCTGAGACTGCTACAGCCTCGAATGCGAGTGCGAGTGCTAGTTCTCTGGCCGTGGGCTCTATCTCTGGGGTCAGCATTTCGACAGGGACGGAGGAGACGAGTTCGAATGCCAACTCCACCGAGCAACTCCGTAGGAAGGCATCAAAGCTGACCCGCGAGTCAGCTGAAAACATCCCCCCACCACCATCGCAGCGTCAGTCCATGGATTCTGCTGCCCTGACCACCCCAAGACCGCATCTAAGGCGGAGCCGATCGATGTGGGTGCGTCAACAACAACAACAGCAACAGCAACAACAAGGGGAGAACGAGGCAGCAAACGACTTTCAGGACCGTTACCTGCGCAACTTCGGTACTATGTCTGAGCGCCAGCGAGTGCTCAACGTCAAGCGCGCCAGGAAAATGACCCAGGTGGGTACAGGTCCGGACATGATAAGGATTTCTCACAATGGGGTTATGTAGCTGTTTGGCCAAGAGCCTCCGGCGGAATTGATCCAGATATTGGACGACCGCGAAAATGTGGATCCATCTCGAGACTCTGTAGCGTTGTCCACACTGATGACGTCGACGCCACTAAGAGACCGCGCCAATTCGGTCTCTTCGTTAGCTGATGGTGTCGGTGCCGCTGCTACTACACCTTCAGCTGTGGCGCCAGAGGCCGAGGAGAGTGATGTCAACATTTTCCAAGACAGGCGGCGCAGGGCTGCGAAACTGTCGCGCTTTTTTGGTGTGGGATTCCAAGACATCACAAGTCTCCCAGATGTTCTTCCTGTCCCGGTTGTCTCTAACACACAAGTCGACGTGAAAGTTGCCGGCCGACGGTTCTGGAGTTTCGGTGATCGGCCCCGAGACAGCGATATGCGAGAGGCAATCTCTCAGTTGAGAGGGTTGAAAGCAGGGTGATCAGAGAGTTGGCAAATGGATTCTGGATTCTGGATCTGTACAATAGTAATATGCACCGTATATTTCTTGTAGTGGTCGACAGTAGTAAGTGAATAGGCTGGTTCACCTTCGCATGAGCAGATAAACAGGTTCACCGAGAACGATGCTCGTCATGTGACGGTAGGACCCGGTGAGGGACAGCAGTAGTCCGCCGAACGACGCATAAGCAGTCCTAGGAAAGAAGCCGTTAAACACCAAAAACTGGCAAGTTCAAATGTCGTACACAATCTCACTCGTCCCACTGTCGAATTTATAAACCTGCCAGGCCAGTGAGGATTAATAGTAAGAGGAGAGGAGTGTACTGACCTTGCCATACATGACGTAGTCGTAGTCTTCTTCTAGACCGCGTCGACCAGTTCCGTCTGGCCGCCAGACATCTCTGTCCTTGTCTTCGTCAGCTGCCCCGTCTGCACCAGCGCCAGATTGTGGTCCTCCACGAGCGAGAGATGAGGCAAGCGCCATAGCAAAGCTGTCGTCATTTTTCAGAGGGAAGAGCTCGATGTTGTAATCGAGCGTCAAGTCCATGTCGTAGTTTTTTGAGTGAGCGTAGAGTCGGGAGACTGGGATCACATGATGGGGCGCGCGTCTCCAATAGAAAACGACAAACCTCTGTCGAATTTTTTGCCTTCCTTGTCGATGGCATTTATGGTGAAGATATCGTCGAAGACGATGCTGGACGCGTTGTTTGATTGAGCCATAGATTCGCGGTCACGCTCGTCACGCGTCAAATGCAGCTCTCTCCGCTCCTCAGAAGCAGTCTGAAACTCTCGACCCGAGTACGAAAGTACACCATAGTCAGGACGCCGCCTGCTAATGCCCCACGTGAATGCCCGACTCCCCTTCTTTTCGTGTCCGCCGCGAAATGGGATGCCGATTCAGCCAAAGGGTGAAACGAACCATCGCTGTGAACGGGTAGTAGGAAGATGAACAACTCCGCAGGATCGACTCCCTATCTACAGTCCTGACATCCAAGGGCTTCACATGCATTCATTCCGATTTGTCTCCCAAGACTACTACTGAGTGTCCGACCGCTCTCATTGACGGATTCGTTCATGGTTGGTGTGGACGATGATTGCACCTGGAACGTCTTTTTTAAACGCGTCACAGAGCTCAAATCCGAGTTGCGACTTTCGGGTTACGCTTCCTTCTTTCCTCCAGTCATCTTCGGACGCGCCGGTGCATCACTTATCGCTCAGGCTTATATCTCGTCAAATCCGGTCTCCGCGATGATGCTTATGGGTAACATTCCTGCCAAGAACGCTGAAGTGCCCAAGACACTGCTGTCTGCACCACTTGAAGAATTCAACTTCGAGCCCAAATTCCCAATTTCTCTGTTGACAACTCCACAACATATGCAGCATTTACTCGAACACAATAGACTGGCCAGAGCTGGAGTCAGCAGGTACGCGGTGGACGAGTTGGATGGCCAAGAGGCACTTTTGAAAATCGAAGAGTGGTTGGATAAGCTGGGAATTTAGGTTGCACCATTAGTTTATTAGTTACACTAGACCCTGCTGGTCAGAATAATACATTGCGATCATATATCCTCTTCCTTGAGCTCCTTTAAGACTGTTACTGGTCGTACCTCGACCGTGCTCGCTAGACCGGGAAGGGCCACGCGTAAAGGCTCTCTTGAAGCCAGTAAACGCCGAACTTGCAGCTGGATCAGTTCATGAAGTTTTGGGACATCGGCAAGCTTGGCGCGGCTGCCCATGAGTGAGGTTGTTTTTAGATCGAGGGTGAAGTTGGGTGAGATTGTCAAAGTAAGGACAGGCGACGACGAGGTTGGTGAAGGAGGTGTTACAATGATCTACATAGTAGGTTAGCAGTTGCATGCCTAAGGGAAACAACAACTCACTGAGGATTTGAAGAGAGCAAGGGAAATCGTCAGATTTACAGGTAGTCGGGCAAACGACGGCAACGGATAGTTGAAAAGGCATGAGGTTGTGAGTGAGATGGAGATTGCGTCAGTATAAGTAACGTCGAATTCGACTTCCTTTACTTGGGTTAGTGAGAGACCGATATGGAGTTTGGCTTGTACCGAGAGAAGGTCTGTAGGATCGCTCTGTCGTTTTATTTGCGCGTTGTACAAGCGTGGAGCAGAGACCCCAAGGTTGACAGACTGAATGGTTATATAACCCTGTCGCAATCGGTCAGAAAATATTGAGGAAAAAAGCAAACAACGAGTACCAGAAAACCTGCAGGCCGTATCTTGTTTGCGTACTCTTCGACGCGTTTACGCGCAACTTCATCTCCTTCCCCACCAGGCAGATCGTCTCGTAGCTTGGAACGATAGCTTTCTACTACCTGTCGGAGCCATGAGACATTTTCACGGGCGGGCCAGTGCGACGAACGTACCTGTTGCAACAGCATACTGAACCACTCGAGAGACTCCGATTTCTCATCGCTGTTCGTGCTTTCAGGCGTAGAATGGGGCACAACATTCTGCTTCAGAATATGATTGTCGGTATTGGCCCGCGGATGATATGATGAGGTTTCGAATGGATACTTGGTGGAATCGAGGAAGAGATATTTGAGTATAAGGTATAAGAGGACAAGAATTGAGAGTTGCCCGAGAATAAGGCCTTGGGTGAACGTAGGCTGGAGGGAGAAGAGGTAGTTGGACATGACACAGTCCCAGCTGGAAGTAGTGAGCAAGCCAGGAGAGTGGTTGTCGTCGTCGCGATGCAAGAAATCGCAACGACCTGTGATTTTCACGCGTCACGCTTCGCGCTTCCTTTTACTTCCGACTCCGAAGATGTATTCAGCTATCGTCCATTGGCCATCGGCACCGGTCACCAAATCTCTCGTGCTCAAAAGTCTAAGCTCATTGACCCCGCCTATCCCGATTGTCGATTCACCAGACCAAGAACAAGCAACGTTGTTTTGGTCGACATACGATGAAATTGACCATGAACTGGTGCATTCACGAAGAACCACCGTTCTTTCGTCGTGTTACACCTTTAGAAAGGTCTTAAGGGTCAACCAGCCTCGATCTGTACTCAGTGCTGCTCAAGGCTCTCATCCGCAAACATTTTCTGTCGCGATGCATTAGCCAATTCATCGCTAAAAATCCACAATCGCCGCTCAAGGCAGCCGCGCCGAGGACGTATGAGATCGAGCTCTCTTTTCTCGACGAACTCGATGAAATGTTCGTCGATGAACTGTGGGAGTTGGGCAAGGAACTGGAGGAGAAGCAAAGTTGGTGGATACTCAAACCGTGAGAAGCCCAGGCATTGCAGTCTATTTGATTCTTCATGCTAATAGTATCAGAGGAATGGCGGATCGGGGAAATGGTGTTCGTATGTTCAACTCACGCGCCGCCCTTGAACGCATCTTCGAGGAATTTGAAGAGGCAGAGGACGACGACGACGATGACCAAGATTCGACAGCCGTCGTAGCTTCACAGTTGCGACATTTTGTCATCCAGGTCGGACCAAGATAAGACCTTTGTCTTCAGCTTCTCAATCAAATGCAGGAATACCTCAGCAATCCGTTGCTTCTTGATCCCTTAGAAGCATTATCGGATAAACCCCAAGTCTTGGTTGGCAGAAAGGTACCGTTCTTGTCAACGGTTCAATTGCTGAATCAACGACAAGTTTCACTTGAGGGTTTATTGTGTCGCCGCTGGGGCCCTCAAGGTCTACTTCTTCCACAAAATTCTAGCTTTATTTGCAGCAACACCCTACACGCAACCTAGTGTCGTAGAAGACGAAGACGGGGACCCACTTCCCATAGATTTGTCGTCTCATCTTACCAACACTTCTCTGCAAACAGAAAAAGGCGATGAAAACGTCCGATTACTCGAAGAGCTCGTTTCTTGTCATATTCTCTCAGACGACTCCCAGTCGCGACTCTCAGAGGAGGACATGAAAAATATCTTAGACCAAATTGCAGTCATCTTGGCAGACACATTCAGGGCCGCCGTACAGGTGCCGACGCACTTCCAGGTGAGTAGTGAGGGCTGACACACCTGCCTATGGACTTAATTCACCCAGCCGGTTCCTAATTCATTCGAACTCTTTGGAGTCGACTTTTTAGTTACTCATTCTCCTTCGCTCCCCAATCCATATCAAGTCGCTTTACTCGAAGTAAACGCGGAACCTTCTATTGAACTGACTGGCCCACGCCTCTCGTGGATTCTTGAAGATCTTTTTATCGCTGTGGGCAAAGCCTGCGTCGACCCGTTCTTCACACAGGAAATCACGCCATGGCCAGTCGGAGAAACACGAGAGGGTCTAATCAAGTGTTTAGAAATGGAATTGGGAATGTGATGCTATTGTCCGTGCTACAAGACCAAAAATACAATCAGAGTCTAGAAATATAAGTAAAAGTTTGTGGGTGGGTGTACAGTATGGGTTGTGACATTATAATGAAATGATAGTGGGCATTATACGTGAAGAGGGTCGGACATCCAACCTCCGGGCATTCCGGCAAGACTCCAGTCGAGAGCAGAATTGGGAGGAACAGGCCAAACATCCAGCATCGAGAGACGCGGAAAAATATCGGAATTAGTGCAAGTAGTTGACGCTGGGCCAGGTGACGGTGACAGGACGTGTTCAGACGCGTCGTCTGTTGCCATAAGCGAGAAAAGGGGCGACGCGACCTCAGACTCGTTATCGACACTCCCATGATCAAGCCAACTCCCTCGTTCTTCGTACTCCTCAATTGTCATGTTATTCGCAGTCATCTCTTCGGCATTGGCAGCACAGTCTCTCAACCAATCTGCTAGTGTGTTTGTTCTGGAGGACTCGCAGGAAAAGGCAGGAGATAGTGATGGCGAACTGGGGACGAGGGCGGCGGGCAGCGGTGGGGTCGGGAGAGGCGGAATGTTTTTCGCCTTGGACGATTTCCTGAGCACCTTTGTTACGCTCTTGACGCCCTGCTTGACTGTCGCTTTGAGATTCTTCAAGCTCTTGGTCAAGCGAAGCAACCGATTGGGCCGAGGCATGTCCTGTGGCTCTGGCGCACGTGCTCCGCTACGGGAGTACGGCCTTGAGTAGCGTGACATTTGCGACGAAGGCGTAAGTGGTCTAAGGATGTTTCTTCGGACTGGGGAGGCCCATGGCACGTATGGACTGTTCGGATGGGTGATTGAATCTACGAGCTGCGTAGGCTGGGGCGTTTCTGGCTTGGCGCGTGGGGTCGATTCCAGAGCTAGATCAAGAAAAGAAGGTAAACGCAGTGGCGAGGTTGCGAGAAGAGGCGGGAGAGGTTGGAACGGCGTGCATGGTGTAGATATAGACAGGCTCAATGGCGTGTCGGGAGAGGCGTTGTCACAAATGCTGATTTGGGTCAATGGTTTGGGCGGAGAGATGGTCAAGGCTGGCAACACTGGTTTGAGTGGTTTGCGCGTTCGCGTCTTGCTCTGAAGAACGGTAAACACGCCTGAAGATAGCATCGAATAGCACAAACAGGAATATTTTGGGATTTCGTAGCTAACGGGACGCGATGAGGCACCATGATAAAGCTATCGAGGGTCGTGGCAGGCAATGAATGTGTGCAGTGCAGAACCAGGGCGTCGAGTCCAGCTCTGGGATCGTGACAGGACATGAGGGGTCTAATAGAAAGAAAAATGAGTGTGGGGGGTTTGTGAGATGCTTGATCGCAATACCCACCGTAAAATAAAGGCCGCTGCAGCCGAAGACAAAAAGACCTTGTCTCGAGAAAGGCAAGAGCTTGATGTGATGGCACGTGAGCGACCATCAAGCCGCGGCCCGTTACTCCGCACGTTTTTCCGTCGCCCTGATGTGTCTCTGACCTACCCACGAAACCGTCCGATATTGACCCCAGGAATCCCACTCGGCTAGCTGCCTCTGCCAAAATGAACCACGAGACACGACAATCGGTACCGTCATCCCAAATGTCCGCATATTTTTCGGAGAACGATGCGATTATAAGGCACCCCAGATGGGACGAGGTTGTCTAGCGCACCATGCCCAGTCTCAGCTCTCTTGCTGCTCTCGCCATCACGGCGGCTCGTCTTGTGGGCGCAGCTTCACAGGCTTACACGTGGAAGAACGTCAAGATCGGAGGTATAGTATTGCGTCCTTCCTTTTCTCGGCGGCTTTCTCACATTCCAAGGTGGCGGAGGCTTTGTGCCTGGTATCGTCTTCAACCCTTCGCAAAAGGGCTTGGCGTTCTGCAGGTATGTGGTCCATCCTCTCATCAAGCGTATGGAGCTGACCCTTCCCTGACTATAGAACTGATATTGGAGGCGCCTATAAGCTGAACGCGGATGACTCTTGGACACCCCTGCTCGACTTCGCTGATGGCAAGTCGTAATGGGCGCTAGCTAGCCGTCTATTCACTCGATATAGATGCGCGCTGGAACTACTGGGGCGTCGCCGCTCTTGCAACTGATCCCGTTCAGGTGTGTTTTCTCCCATGACCTGATGCCAACTCACTAATATGCAGCCTAATCGCCTTTACCTCGCGGTAGGAGAGTATCTGAACTCCTGGGATCCTAACAATGGAAACATACTCGTAAATTCCGTCCTTTCGCACGTCTTCAAAAGTGCTAATTTCCCTCTCAGATCTCAACCGACACGGGCGCCACATTCACACCGTTAGTCTCCGCAAGTCATACGAGTGAATCTTCAATAATATATCGACAGCTCCCCGCTGCCGTTTAAAGTCGGTGGAAATATGCCTGGTCGAGGAATGGTGCGCAATTCATCCTCGACTCAACCCTCATTCACCTTCCAATCCAGGGAGAGGTACCTTCATCCTGACTGCTGCAGAACAATATATTCACAAGCAACAGCGTCTTGCGGTGGATCCCAATCTCAACTCTGTCCTGTACTTTGGTGCAGGCGGTGGCAAAGGCTTGTGGAAGTCCACTAATTTCGGCGCGAGTTGGTGCGGACCGATATGGAACTCAAAAAAAGCGCGACTAATTTCCGCGTAGGACTCAAGTCACTGCATTCCCAAGTGTCGGTATGTTGGCCACTAGTTAGCCTTTGATCTGTCTTAAGCGTTCGTAGGGACCTACGTACCAGATGCCAGCGACTCGAATGGCTATAACTCTGCTCCTATATACGTGCTTTCTCTGCCTACATATTTGCCAACTGATTTCCATTTACAGGTATCGCATGGGTCACTTTCGACTCGGTGCGTTCATAACCATATCTTAGTCAGCACCTATCTGACATTCGCTAGACATCTGGCTCCAGTGGAACTGCTACACCCAGAATCTTTGTGGGTGTTGCTAATGTTGGAACGACCAACATCTACATGAGCACGAATGCTGGATCGAGCTGGACCGCCGTTCCTGGCCAGAACACAACTTACTTACCCCACAAAGGTGTTCTCTCTCCGTCAGAAAAGGTGCTCTATGTGTCCTATTCCAACGGCGGTGAGTAATCATATCGAATGAATGGGTTCATGTCTCTTATACCTCGTAGCTGGTCCATACGATGGGTATGTCGGTTTTCAAATCTTGATGGGTGCATCTTAATGCGTCGTGCAGCACTCTCGGAGCCGTCATGAAATACAATATCGCAACTTCCACTTGGACTGACATCACCCCAGTTGTTGACTCGTCGCTCGGAGGTATGCAGACCCTTTTTCATCCGCATTAAATACTTAGTGCTTCTAGGCCCGCTCTACTATGGATTTGGAGTGAACCTACTGCCTTGCTCAATGAACACATCTGAACATAAGCTCAGGGTCTCACAGTTGATCTCCAAACACCGGGAACCGTCATGGTCGCTGCTTTGAACTCTTGGTGCGTTTGCGTTTAGATCTATCATCTTCTCCTGCATTAACACCGTCATTAGGTGGCCTGATGGTCAAATCGTGAGCACATCTCTGAATCTGTTAATTGACTTAGCCTGCCGCGTAGTTCCGCTCCGTAAGCATAGTTTGTTTGCACTTTGGTAAACCTCGGCTAATCTTCCAATAGCTCAACAGTGGGTCTACTTGGTCGCCTCTCTGGAATTGGCAGAGCTATCCGACCATGAATAAAGTGGGTTCTGCCCTGCCTGCATGAAGATATCTGACCCTTTTGGTTCAGTTCTACCATTACTCCGACTCCCTTGCACCGTGGATTGGCCCTAATTACGTCGACGGTACTCCTGGCAACACACAAATTGGTTGGATGATGGAATCTCTTCAAATTGACCCCTTCGATGGAAATCATTGGTTGTACGGCACGGGAGAGACTATCTATGGAGGCCGCGACCTCAAAACAGTCAGTTCTCCCGTGCAAGGTACAGTTTCATTCACTAATCGTTGTTAGTGGGACACCAAGCATAACGTCTCCATCTCGTCCCTTGCTGATGGAATCGAAGAGACGTCCGTACAAGCATTGATTTCCCCACCCAGCGGCCCGCCCCTTATCTCTGCATTGGGAGACATCCAAGGTATAATAATATTCTGTAGTGGTCTAAAACTCTCAACCCACAAACTTCGATCAGGTTTCGTCCACAATAGTCTTACTACACCTCCGCCGTTGTCTGGTGTTTGGTCCAATCCCCAATGGTCTACGACCGCGGATCTCGATTACGCAGGAAATGCTCCTTCGACCATCGTCAGAATCGGCACTGGCGACTCGTATGCCACTCTACCTCAGAAGGGTTCTCCTCAGCTGACTTGCGTCAGATCGCAAGGAAAGCAAGTTGCTATCAGTAATGATGGCGGTGCGACCTGGGCTCAAGATTATGGTGCAGCAGATAATGTTCAGGGAGGCAAGGTTGCCATCTCAGGTACCAATTATAATCAATTTCCACAGCTCAAATTCTAACGATCATGGTTAGCCAATGGAGACACTGTTCTCTGGAGGACCGCGGGACAAGGCGTCTTGGTCTCTCAATATACGAATGCTTTTGCCGCCGTTTCGTCACTTCCTGCTGCCGGTGTGTTTTGGTGACCTCGCGCATGACCAATATACTGACCCCATATAGCTGTGATCGCATCTGATAAGCGCAACAACTCCGTGTTCTACGCTGCATATGCAAGCTCTTTCTACTTGTCGACTGATGGTGGCAAGACGTTCGCTGTCAAGGCTACGCTGGGCTCGTCCAACAACATGCAGAAGATTGCTGTCCACCCTAGCGTGACCGGCGATGTTTGGGTTACGTCTGATAACGGACTTTTCGTGCGTCTGCTCGTGCATTTTTTGCTGATCTAAGACGGTCAATACAGCACTCGACCAACATGGGTTCAACTTTCACAAAAATATCAGGTCCTACTGCTGCATGGCAAATGGCCCTTGGTGCACCAAAGACAGCAGGCGGCTACCCTGCCCTCTTTGTTGCTGCCAACATCGGTGGAATTGGGTACTTCCGTTCCGATGACCAAGGAACAAACTGGATCCAAATCAACGACGCTGCCCATGGCTTTGTGATTTTGTTTTGCGTTCTTCGATGAACATGATCTGACTAATTTTCCAGGGCTCAGTCTCTTCTAATCCCATAGCTGCTGATCTGAAGACATACGGACGGTGAGTTGACCAACGATGCAGACCACCCTTCGTACCTAGTTCATTTTTATAGCGTCTATATTGGCACAAATGGTCGCGGTAAGCCTATGCTGGTACCGATATTAGCCATGGCTTAATTCAAGTTAGGAATATTTTATGGCGATGTCGCTGGGACCGCTCCTCCCCCTTCATCGTCAAGTAGCGCAACTCGATCCAGCACAGTGTTGTCTTCCTCGACAGTCAAATCGTCGTCGTCATCCGTCAAGCCTTCATCGTCTTCGACTGTGAAATCATCATCCACCGTCAGCTCAACAACGTCCGCTCCTCCGTCTACAGGAACTGCGGGAGCCTATGCGCAATGCGGAGGTCAGGGTTGGACTGGGCCAACAGTTTGCACATCAGGGTTCACGTGTGTCGCACAGAACACCTTCTACTCCCAATGTGTACCATCATGAAAATGTTTTTTACATCTGTATCCATAGAAAAAAAATATATACAAGGAAGACTGTTTAAGGAAATAGACTTGCCTTTATTGGCAATGGATGACAGGAATGATCCGTTATCGACGACACCGCCACTGATTGGCAACATTGCTAAATGAGGTGGAGCAGAACCGAGTCAGAAAGTTTTTTTTCTTCTTCAACAACCATGACCTCTCTCTGGCTCCGCTGTGAAAAAAAGCCCTTTGAGCGACGGGCCGCTTTGACCCCGACTACTGCCAAAACTCTCCTCGATGCCGGCTTCGCTGTCACTGTTGAGCGCGATGAGCAACGCATCTTTGCGGACTCGGAATATGAAGCGTATGCATAAGATAAACTCATCGAAATGTGATCTCACCAGAGACAGTGTTGGCTGTGCCATGACTGCAAACAACACCTGGCCCACAGCCCCCAAGACCACGACAATCATCGGATTGAAGGAACTGGAGGAATCGACCGAGCCCCTCCCTCACAATCACATCCAGTTCGCTCATTGCTACAAAAATCAGGCTGGCTGGTCTCAAGTGCTGGCGCGATTCCATCGCGGGGGGCGGAACTCTGTATGACCTGGAGTTTTTGACTGATCCCAGTGGCCGTCGGGTTGCTGCATTTGGATTCCATGCCGGCTTTGCTGGCGCTGCTGCGGGTGCACTGGCCATAGCCTCTCAGAAGAAAGGAGAAACTCTCGGGGCTTTAGAGCCATATGAGAATGAGGCCGCGATGGTTGCTGGTGTCAAGGCCGCATTGGGTGGGAGTGGGAATGGTATCAAGGCACTGGTTATTGGTGCACTGGGCAGATGTGGAAGAGGCGCTGTAGACCTATTCAGGAAGATCGGTGTTGCAGAGTGGGTATCAATTACTGTCCAGAATGACGGGATTTGCTGATGTGCTTCCAGAGACGATATTCTCAAGTGGGATCTAGACGAAACTGCGAAAGGCGGTCCATTCGACGAGATTCTGGGCGTTGATGTCTTTGTGAACTGCATCTACCTCAACACCTCAATTCCGCCCTTTATTACTCGTGAACGTATTGCTGCAGCGGGTCAAGGCAGACGGCTCTCGGTTGTTGTCGATGTCAGCTGCGACACGACAAACCCGTTCAATCCTATTCCGATCTACAATATCAACACTACTTTCCCCGAGCCTACGGTGCCAGTTGTGCTAGGGTAAGCAATGTTTCTTGCTCCCTCCCGACCAAGTTGACGGCAGTGTCAGAGCGGATTGCCCGCAGTTGTCTGTGATTTCTATTGACCACCTACCCACCTTGCTTCCGCGTGAAGCATCAGAGCAATTCAGCCGTGATTTATTGCCCTCTCTACTAGAATACCCTCAAGGCCGAGTCTGGAGCGACGCTGAGAGACTGTTCAAGACTAAGGTTGCGGAGGCAGCCTCGGTAGAGGGTCTATGAGAAGGTGTAGAACACCATCAGTTGTCATTCTGATATTCGATGAAACCAATTATTATTATCCGGCTGGATTGGTGGTTCGCGAGCGTGCTAGAGCTAGACAACGGTTGATGAGGTATGTTGTCGCCAAGCGTGATGCCGTTGTTGCAGTCGAGAGAGTGTAGATGTACAGTCACGCTTTCCTTTCCTCCTCTTACAGCCAACAGGCTTTCTCTCTCTCTCTCTTCTTCCTTCTGCTATTTCCCCCCTTCGCCTGTGTCCAATTCCTAGTAATTTTACACCGGTGCTGGACGCCTTCGCTCATTTTTTAGTAATCCTTCATTCGAATCACTCTCCAACTCGTTCCGCTCAAATGCACGCCGTTCCCCGTGTCCCCCAAATTTCAGTCTCACTTGCTATCGAAGAGCCTATGGCCCCCGAGCCATACTCGCCATTTTCATGGACATCATCGAGTCCTGTCGAAGACGATGGCTTCCGACCGAGCCACCTATCCCCTCCGCCGAGCTCTACGAGCCCGAGATTTATTCGTCAACGATCGCCACTCAACCCCTCTCAAGTTCCTTCGGGCCAGGGTATAGAGCGCGAACGTTTTGAAGCTTTACTTCAGGCTTCCAAGGAGCGAAATGCAGTTGGTAGCAAGAAGGGAAACGATCTCCGCAAGGAGATCGCCCTCAAAGCCCATAGCAAGAAACAAGGTCCGTCTGATCAACCTACCTGATTTCTTCCAACTAACCCTTATCCGCTACAGTCGAGCGTCGAGCGTTGTTTCTGTCAAAGGTTTTGGCCCCGCCTTCGCCCACTAGTACACTCCTACCCAAGACTCCCCCGGAATCTCCTGCCATTTTCAATTATGTGCGTGTTGCTTGCAATCTGTGTCAAGCTACTCTCATCCTCTGCCTCTCCCATAGACACTTCCTTCTCCCGGCCTGGTTTCGCCCCTTGCTTTATTTGAATCCTTGAACGAGAACCCCGCGTTTGGCCCCTTGGGTTATCGAGAGCCATGGGTCGAACAAGTCGATTTCCGCCTCCCCAAGAAAGCCCCATCAGTCATCCCGACTACCCACGCCCGCCAAGCAAAGCCCATTCCGTCCCTTGACCAGATTACCGCCAGACTTTCTTCCAAGGGCCACGTTCGCACTCCCAGTGCCGAGAGAAAACGACTCGCTGCTTTCATTGCCCAGGCGAATGTTGGCCGTCTTCAAATGCCTATTCGAGCTCCTTCACCGGATATGCCCCCTCGTTCGCCTTGCTATCCGTTGTCGCCCAAACTCCAGATTACGACTCTGGTCGTTCCTCGCACTTCGTCTTCTTCGCCCACTGCACTCTCCGAGTCCAATCTTCTTGCCTTGAACTCACGTGAGCAGCGCGCCAAGAACATGTTGTCGACTATCAGGAAACGAACAGAACATGGTCTCCCCAGCCTCGACCTCGACCGCAAATGGAAGCGTCGCAGTGCTCCCGCTGAGCTTAGCCCCCGCGCTCGCTCCGGTTTTGAGCATCCAGTGCTTGCCATGGTTGGTGGCTTCTAGTTATGCCCTCAACAACAACAACGTCTGTTTCCTCTCTATATATGGGTCGTCTCATTATCTATCCGCTCAAGTTTTTCATCTGCCTGGGGAGAGTTTTGTAATTGTACGATAACCGGGGCCGTGCATCAACCAACTAACCAAGACACTCACAATCTTCGCTTTTCGGGCTTTGCTCGAGGTTTGGCTGTGCCACCTCAGACCAAACTAATACTCGCATAGCTACCAACCAAACATACAATTCCACATTCACTTATCACAAACGTTGTAGGGCGGAGCCTAGTATTTAGCAATCAGCACAGAATTTGTGTTTCCGGGCCGCGCCCGATTAGTCCCATTCAATATCGCGCCGGAAGCGCGGTGGTTCGTCGTCAACCAAAGTTAGGTCGGGTGTTGGTGATCGTGCTCGTAGCTGTGTCAAGATACTCAGGCGCCGACCTAGTGAATATCAAAAAAAAGAGTCAAGTACTTGTTCAGAACACACTATAGTCAATAGCAGTTCCCTCGTCTTGGCTCTCCTCAGAAGAGTCTTCTAAAGGATCATGGTTCATGACCACATGCCATGCCTCTGTGACTGTTCAACAGCTAGCCATGAGCGACAGCGGAAAGACGTACGGTCCAGCATTGAGCGTTCATCCCCTGGCGGTGGCGTTATGCGGGCGATTTTATGATAGAACTTTCCTCGCATTTTGCTAATCTTCTTCGCCATTTCACGCTCTGGGTCGGGAATGTAGTATTTGTAAGGTTCTCCTGGTTTGGGGGGCGGGGGTATCGCTCCAGAACGGGTTAACGGCAATATATATATCGTGGGAAAAGGCGGGCTTACTTGTGGTATACTGTGGCAGGATATCTTTGGTCTTCTTGTGGTCATCAATAGTGCCCATGACCAGTTTTGTCAGAAAGTCATTACGAATATCTGGTCGGACTCTCAACGAGGAAACAAGTACAAACAAAGGCGATGAAACTCACTTGTCATCTTTTTTCCAAACTCCTTCTCCTCAGGCGTGTCCACGTTTTCGAGGGCTTGATCTTCCTTGGTCAGTCGTTTGATAGCTGGTGCCTTGCCTTTGTTGGCGGCAGAGTAAGCATCGTCGAAAGGATTGGGACCAACTGAATCTTCGAGGTAGTGGTAGATCAGCCATAAAAAGGCATTGGCGCGGTCGGGAGAGGACATGGGCTTCGGAAGGAACAGATCCAGAAAGTTGATGGTGCCATCAAAATGTCTATTTGCGGTCGGCTGAATGCAGGTTAGTTAAGTATCTAGTTGCGGGCGTTTGCTGACCGCAGCGTGGTTGTAGAGAACGAAAATAAGGTTCACAACGCTAGTCGGAGGTCGTAGGCCAGCGACGCGTTTGGCAATTATTTCGTCGGGCGTAGACGGAGGCACAGATTTGAATTCGGAGGGCAAGAGAGCAGCCTTGAGACAGTTCTTTATTCGAGGAGCATCTTGCGCGTTGCCATCAGTCTTCTGGAGGGATGGAACTATTTTTGCGGTGTTTCAGCACACCATAATGCGATGCGACAAAGGAAACGGAACCTGGGTGATATGTCCGCAAAGCGGTCTTCACTACGTGAGCAAATGAGCCAAAGACGCGTAAAATCGGTTAAGCATACTCTCTGGGAAGAACTGGGGAAAAAAAGGCGTGAGACAAGGTATATGCAGCACAAGTGAGTTGACTTACAGCCATGGTTGTGTTGATCCTTGCGACGTTCACGAGTAATGCTATCTTGCTAAACTCGATACCAAACGCTGGAGACTCTGTCATCCTGTCCTTGAGGACCTTGGAGCATTTATTGGAGCTATATAATGCGTCCAGATAAAGTTGTCGAAATGGAACCAGCTTGCCTGGGGACATGTCAACAATTCAATCATACCAAGCTATGAGCTCTACACACCCTGTGGAGAGTGAAACACATTCTGGTTGTTGTCAAATACGTGGAATAAGAAGTCTAGCGCGCGCATAAAATGGTAAGCATGGCTGGACGCATCACGCGATTTACCGTATTGGAGGTCCTCGCGAGTCAGAGGCTCAGCATCCATCCGTTTTATCGGCAGACTTTTCCGGCTGAGGTAGCCAACCGGTGGCAATGGTTCTGGAGCCATTACGGAGGCCAAGGGAGGCGTGAAATGGTGAACGGCGCGTCGAAGAACGACGTTGATTACATACTCTGATCGGAGCTGTCCGAGAACACGTGGCCCTTCATCCTGTTTCCGCTCCGTCTCCACAAAGGCTGCACCTTGCTTTAGTGCTCTCTATGAGTCATCAATTTGACGAGGAAACGAAGAAAGAGCTCGCCAAGTTTCTTGAAGGGCAACAGGCCGAAGCTCAGGTGTACTCAACTGTCCATAACCTCACTCAACTCTGCTGGGACAAGTGCACTCAAGTCTTTCGTTCTCTCAAGAGCTAAATAAACAACTCAATAGATGCATTACCGGCGCTCCGTCGTCGCGTTTTTCGCGCTATGAGGAGAGTTGCCTGGCTAACTGTGTTGGAGCGTCCGTTTGATATGTTTTACTAGTCCTGGCTGAGGCTCATGTCTCTTTAGATTCCTGGATACTACCAAGTAAATGGAAACGACTGCGCCCCGAGAGACATGCTGATATTGGCTTTAGGCATATCGTCAACAGAATTGAAGAACAGCGCAAAAACAACAACAACGAATCCTTATAAAAGCTGTCTACATTTACATCAGTTTAGTGCCCCCGTATTGTGGTCCAGAGATATTGAACACCAGAGGGTATGAAAAATGCGAAAGCGTCCAAGACTTCTCTCTTCGTCCGCAATCTCAGCGGTATATCCAAGTGGAAATTGTCGAAAGAGCTTGTGTTGAACCATCGAGTTATTGACTCGTCCTTCTCTTGCCAAAGCTCTCTAAGCCACACATCGAATACGCTCTTTTCACGGTCTGGAATTTCGACTTCGACTGGCGCCTTGGAGTCTGGAAGAACAGCGGAATTTGTTCGAGATAGATCGCCTATGGGCACTTCACTGGCCACGTCGAACATGCGTAGATGCATGTGGATTACTGGCGGCGGCATGCGATGCAGGAAAACTGAGCGAAGGGTATAGTAGTCTTGTCCATAGCGCAAAGGCGGAATTCCTGACGTAGTTGAGTTCCGTCTTGAGTCGGACAAGCAAGCATTTACCTGGGTATACAGTGGTGATGTCAATGAGCTTCAAGTCTCGAATGCGAGGAGACAGTGAGCGGAGACTATAATGCAAGCCAGTTGAGCGAGGCAATAACACGTTAGTCATGTCGTCGATTCCAGTCTTTTCCGCAAATTTCTTGCTGATTGGTCGCGTGTCTTTACTGACCAGGGTTCCTTCGGGATAAATGAAGAAAACAAAGGGGTCGTCTTCCTGTTGAGCGGCCTTTCCGAGAGCAGAGAGACTTTTGGAAAGCTTCGCTCTATCAGAAACCCTTCATATTTCATGTCAGTAGGTGGCAAAGGTGCAACGCCATTGACACGCCACGCACCAGGAACGTGCCAGGAAAATGAAGTCGTAGAACTGCATCGCGGGCCCTATTACTGGTATCCACTAGAATGGTCACGTATATTATGAGGAAAGAGCGCGTCTGGTATGCGAACCTGTAGACTCTTTTTGAGAGTTATATAGACCGAACGATGGATGCCGTTCTTTCCGATGAAGTAGGTCAGATTCCACGCATACCACCAGTCCAAATAGATCTTTCCACAGAGTTCAGCAATGTGCAAAAAAGTCAGAGTCCAGGCTTACCTGGTGATTAGATATGAGCACGAACTTCTTAGGCAAATCCAATGCCACGATATTGCCGTCTTCATCCTTGACGGCGATCTCCTCTATTTGCTCCTGAGAGAATTTCCCCTTGCCCTTCGTCTCGAAAGTGATGCGGAGTTTGGTTGGTGCAAACCACTGGCACATGAGGACTAGGAATCGTTCAGACGTTTTCGGCGACATGAGGTATATGACCCACTGAGCAAGAGACCAAACGAGCCTTTGGTATACCGAATGCCACGCTTGTAAAGACCTCTTGACCAAGGCCATCCGAACACAATAAGGACAAGGAGTTGAGTAGTGTGTATCTTGTGGTTGACTGAGCTTCCACTAACGGCCACGCGAGTGTTGGACCAACCGTAATACAACCGAGGTTGAAAAAGACGCAGAATAGGAACGCAGAGACTTGCTGCCGCCACGATGGACTATAGTTTCGAGACGCTATCGGGACAGAGTACAAGGCGGTGGTCATGGTCGTATCTCTGAGGAGCTACGTAATGGCTATGACCAACGCTAACTACAGGTAAAGGGGTGTCCAACAATCCCATCGCGGTACGCGTCATTGATAAGCTGGAAAAATATTCAGCGGTCGCCCTGATCATAGAGCACGGGTATACTCTTATAGAAACGTATGTTCCCGCTACACACACAAATGCGCCAACGGCAATCGTGAAAAGGGCAAGTAGTGTGTGAATCGGACGTTGTCTGATTCCTACCCAACCTCCCTAAATCGAGTCATGAGCAAAGTTCGACTATAAGCCAAGTGAATAACTTTGCGCGTATATGTAGTGTGAAGCTCGAAGAACCCAGCAATCCCGTAGGTATACCAACTGGCGAATAAAGATGCCGCAATTCCAATGAGGTAGGAGAAGATCGGAACCGAGACAGCGAAGATGAACGCTACAACGACGGCAGCAAAGCAAAGCGTGACCCAGACAGCCCATCCAAGAACTGTGTGCATGTACAAATGGCGAGAATGGCGAAACCATCGCACAAACAATATTTTAGCCGCAGTATGCGAATATAGTGAGCCAGCTCTAGAGAATCTGAAGTTAGCGAGCCTGACAACAGAACTGGACCAACATCAGGAAATTAAGCAACGCTATACCAAACGTCACTTTCGACCAAGTCTCCGGAAGTGAGAAAAGAGCAGGAGAGGCAACGGTATTGCCAATATAGACATAGATGACGACGGCAAACACGGCGTAGAAGACGGTAGAGAATGTCTGTAGGACCCAAGCTGCCTGTGTGGTGGTGGTTAGCACTTGTCCTGGATGCGGAATGCTCTCACTTTCATAGCATCTTCAGGTCTTTTCATTTCTGATATCAGAATGAAGAACATAAAATGGCCTGCGTAGGCGAAGACCTATAAGCTTATGAACGATGTGTCTAGGTTGTGTGATGTTGGACTGACTGGATTTGTTATGGCAAGAAATGCTTGGTAGAAATTGGTTGGGATTGTCGCGCTAAGCATTCGACCAGGCAAGGGGTTGCTTCCCGCTCCGATCATGGCTACGATACCGGAAATAGTTATAAGGCCTGCACTGAAGAGCCCAAGCCAGCCAACTTGATTGAGGGTGCGAGGCAAGGCGAGGAGTAGAGTGGCCACCGCAAAAATCAAGAGCAAGTAAATCGAACAGAGACCGTTATTAGATAACGCTGAGAGTGCTTGTTGGCCGGACAGCAGCTCGGATCCTGTTCCAGCAATCGCAAAAATGATGGTCCCAGCTGACAGCAGCTCTCGGACAACCGGTCCGCCCAGGATATAGCCTGCGTCGCCCATGTTGTGCACACTTAAGTGAGTTAACTGTGCCGTTTATTCTTAGCAAGTGAAGTTGCCAGTGCAATAGTCAACCTCACCTTGAAGTCAATCAAGAGCTTCGCAGTATATAACGCGAAAACTCCAAAGAAGACGATCAAGACGACGGCAGGTACGATTCCTTGAAGCTTTGAGTTATCATAATTGCTTGTTTCTTCGCCTTGGTGGTCGCTTACCGACCACAGCAAGAGCACTAGGCAGCGATAGCATCCCATTGCTGACGATTTCTGCAATCATAAGTGCTGATACGAGCTTTGGCATTGTTCGGAGTCTGATGAGCAGCTTTAGGTTACTCTGACCTGCCAACTGAGCGTCTTGTAGCGAAAGTCATGTTCTGGAGTCTGTTCAAAGACGTCAACATCGGTTGCGGAATCGTGCTTTTCGGCCTCTGCCATGAAAGTTGGCAAGGAAAGGCGTTATCGGGACATGAGAGAGACTAAATTTAATGCTTCTCTTGATCGTTGAACAACGGCATTTGTGTATCTCTTCGTTCCGACCAAGGTTTGTTGGCGTGACACCATGTGACATTAGCGCCGCTTTCAGTTTGGCACCGACTCTCAGTGATGTCGTCTCCGAAGTCTTCATATCTTGAACCTCCTACCCCTGCTCAGCCTCAAACGCGTCGTCGACCTCTCATTCAAGCAATCGAGTCTGCATTTCCGGCCTTCGACTGCGACGCTGCTGTCGTACATCCATTCCAGGACGAGAATCAACGCGATACGGAGTTCCAGAAAGGTAGGCTGAAGGCTCCATACTGCTTCAACTTGCCTCAAGCCATCGTCTCGGCACGGACTCTTCTCCTTCTTGAATCTGAACTAAGGCAACAGAATTGAATGAAATGCTTCTCAACTGTACCATTGAAATGCACGCATGGGCATCAGCTCGCCCTTTCTACGAGACTCGGGCAGCATCTTCCACGTATGAGAGTCAGCTACAAGAAATTCAGCTAAAAGAGAGGGAACAAGGCGCGTTGCCTATACGACCATACCCTTTCTATGTTGTGTTGAACTAATTGGCAGAAAAGACCCGACAACGACTGCAGGAATTCGTGTCTCAAATGCGGAGTGCCATGGCTTTGTTGAGATAGGATGTGCTTGTGTGCTTTATGTGCTGCTGGGAGCTCTGTTGCTGTTTATCGTTTGTAGCCCTCTCTTAATGTGATGTGTAATTATCGGCGGTTGATTGCCGAAGTCTCTCTTTTCGTTTTGACCGTTACGGTTTTCCTGTGAGGCTCCGCCCTCCATTCTTTTTTTCGCTGCCACACGATGCAGTCAGTCGTGTCCCGGCCCCAACCCCTTACCCCCACTTCTTCATCCTCCCACGGTCCGCGAAAAAGCAGTTCTTTTATGTCGCTCGGACGTGAGAAGTTGAAGACTCCGCCAACACCTGCTGAGGCTACCAAAGCCTCCTACTTTGAGGCTTACCCTCGTATTCCAACCAGATCGAAGCAACGAACCGGCCAATCATCGACTCCACGCAGTCCACCTGTTGCTTTCCCCTCCGTCGACCCACCCCTCGAAACTTCCTCCCACCAGTCGATAAGACATAGAGCGCTAACTGGCCCTTCAAATCCAGCATGGACACGTGGAGTCCCCGACCTTCGCTTTTCTGGCTCGTCCACACAACATACAGAAACCCCACCCGAAACCCCAGTTGACAGTTTTGACGGCAGCTCATTTCGCGACTTTGCAGTCGTTGTCTCTGCGCCCGTTTCTGGGGTCGAAATGATGGATGCTTTGGTTGACGGAATGAATGGTGGCGAGGACGAGAGACCGAGTCGACAGCGTTTCGGTATACCCAATCATCACCCTCTCTATGAACCACCCCTTCCCACACCGCCGCCCGGGGTAATTCTAGGTCCGCCGAAGCAACGACGACCAAAGCGTTACTCGCAGTCAAGCGACTCGAGCAGTGAGGATGAGCCACAACCTCCAGTCAGACCCCGAAGAAGACGGCCCAAACCATCTCCCCCTTCTCGCGCAAATTCTGCTTCTACCATTGTCTCACCACCAGAGACACCTGTTATCGACCAGCCATCTCCTTCGCTGCCACGAAAACCGGTCATTGTGCCCTCAATATCCGACATTATACGCACACATGGACCTCAAACGCAATTGCGGTCTCGTCCTTCACTTAGAGCCTCCTCTGTCTACTCTCACAGTCAAGGCCATTCTACGGTTCATGAAGAGTCAGAGCCTGAGCCACTGACAATGGAGGAAGAAGCCGACTTTCTGTCCCGTTCCTCTGTCGACAGCATTGCGGATGAGGTCCAACAGACCTTGCGTACCCAAGCTGCCCTGAGGCCAGCGCCAGTAATCCAACCATCCTCCTCATTTCGAAGATATTCAACTTTCTCCGATACGATGAGCATTGCCTCGCCACGGTCGGATGGAGCAGCTGGCACATCGCTTTACGCTCCTTCAGTCATGTCCAATCCTCAACCTTCCTCCCCCATCGACGTCAACTTCCTTTCGTTCACCAAGCAGCCTTCAGCTTCCCAAGCTGTCGCTCAATATATTCGTTCTGCTAGATTAACTACACTACTCAAACTCACCCGCTCGCCCCACGCTTCTCAAGATACTCCGCTGACTGTAAGTCTGTCAGACTTAGGGAGTCCCAGCGGATACCCCGTTGTGGTTTTCCTCGGCTTAGGTTGCGTCCGCCATGTGATGGGCCTATATGATGATATGGCACAATGTCTAGGGCTCCGTCTCATCACCATTGACAGGTAAATTCGTGTCCCTATACGACGTTCTTACTAAAATTGATGTTAATAGATGGGGTCTTGGTCGCACTGAGGCAAGGTCAAAATCCTCGAAGGGCGTCATGCAGTGGGCGTCGGTCGTTGAGGAAGTCCTTGACATGCTTCAAATTGGTGAATGCAGTGTGATGGCCCATTCAGCGGGAACTCCATATGCCCTATCTTTTGCCAACAAACTCCCCGAACGCATACGAGGAAACATTTTTCTGCTGGCGCCATGGGTTGGCGGCAGCGAAAATAGTCCGTCCACCCTTCCTAGCTGTTATCAATGATATTCATCCTTCGTCAGGCGGGTACAAATGGCTCAAATACGTGCCCAATGGAATTCTCAAGACGGCGCAAGCTGCTGAATGGAAGATTCAGGCGTGGATGATTGGGAAGCCTCCAACAATCGCGTATGAAGGCATTGGATACACTGCAGCACCACGACCAAAGCCTCCTCCCCTACCCCCAGTCACGACGAAGTCGGCAAGTCAACAAGAAAGTCGTCCGAGGCCTAGTATGGGGAGTGCATTCAGCGAATACGACGACTTGCGCGATTTCGATGGTCGGTTCGAAAGCAAGAGTACTCTTGGTGCGGGCAATCCAGTTCAGGTTGCCAAGCGGAAGCCATCTCGCAAATTCTTGAACATCTTGAAGCCAACATCTCCTGTTGAAGAATCGAAGCCTGTTCAGGGCGGCAAGAAATTGAAGGCACTCCGATCAATGGGGTCACTAAGAAGCAAAGCCTCAGCACGAACATCAGCCAAGCGATCAGAACCTTCTAGTCCACAGCTCCCTACACCACCGAAGCTTGACTTTGGGTTGGGGTTGGATGATATCAACTGGTTGAAGGGTGGAGGTTCAGAAACTTCATTGATTCCGGACAACAAAGGCATCAGCAATGACCGGTTTTACACTACGCCATTGCCTCGAGCTGGTGGACGCCGTTCGATGTCTTTCACTGCGACGAGTACTCGCTCATCACTGCGGTCGCCAGCATCTCCAGCGATGAGCAGCTATAACACCAGCTCGACCTCAATTCTGCCATCGAAACCCAACACCGAGTATCAGTCCACTTTAGGAAACGCGTTGATCGCCGCTTCTCACGCGGAGTCGGCCGGGGGGATGCACAATGATCTTCTGCAGATCCTCAATCACGAAAATCACCCGTGGGGTTTCTCGTATACGCACTACCCGCATCGGGTGAGTGTGTGGTATGGCGATAAGGACGAGAAGATTGCGGAAAACGCCGTTCGCTGGATGGAGCGTAACATGGGCCAGGACAAGTGCACTGTCAACGTCGTCAAAGGCGCTGACCATGCCCTCATGTACAAAAGCAGCGTGGTTGTCGAGGTGTTGGAGCAGATACTGGCTCACTGGCAACCTGGTGTGTCACATGTTCACCGACAGCACTCGGTCTTCTAATCGTTTGAACAGAATATTAACCCACTTTCCTTCCCCCTTTCCTGCTATCATTATAGTTGTAACACAAGGTCACTTCGTTCGTCACATATTTTCTTTTTCTGGATTTCCTCGCGCACACCAATTTGTATCTTTACCACTGTTTCTATCTCTACGTAGTCTAATTTCCAGTCGGATAATGAACATACCACTACCATCGCCCTTTGTAGATGTATTTCCATCACAATTTCCTTTTTTGCCCCAAATGATGTTACATAATAAGTGAGTACAAGGTTTTGGAAGGTTCTAAGACCGTCAAGATCAAGTAATAGACGTGCCTAGCGTACGTCTATACTGCATAGAACTCATTCCTAGCAGGAGTCCGCGAAATCCACATATCGCTGCGTGAGCCAGATCTATTAGAAGACATGGGGCTGTTGCTGCGACTCTCCATTCGATTCAGTCGGGCACCCGCTGGAAGATCAGGAAGTGGGATTGTGGGAGCTAGCCCGGGACTTGCGATGCGACTATCAGGCCGTTGCCTCCTCTGCATCATCGCGCTGTTGGCTGGAGGATCAAGCGGGAATTGAGGGACCGAATATGGGTCTGGGAAAGATACCACAGGCTCGGCGAAGGGGTTCATCGAAGCTGGTGGCGGTTCCATTATTGGAATGATGGAAGAAGTTGGGCTGGGAGGTGTTGGTGAGACACGGCCTTGTTGCTCTCTTCTGCGTCGCCGCAAACAAATAATGAGAAGAGCGACAGTGCCAGTCGTGACAACAACGGCGAACACGGTCAGACCAATCACTAGTTGTTTGGATACTCCGCCAGTTGAATCTGACGCGTCAGACGAAGCGCTGGTCGCGGACCCATCAGGACCGGTATTGGTGGCAGATATATCGTTCGATGAAGTTGCTTCGCTTGTCGCCGATAGCAGGATTACGGAAGCTGTGCTCTCCGCCAATGATGAACTTTGCTTTAAGGCGGTTGTTCGAGGCTCTGTTGTTGAACTAGCTTCAGAGCTGAGCGATGTTGTGGGGTTGAGATCTGGTGAATACGGGCGTTAAGCTGTGTGTGTGAAGATTGGCTGGAAATGAACGACGACTACCTGAAGAAGGCGCGGCTTTTCCAAAAGTCAGTACATATCGGTGATAACGGAAAGATAAGCGCACAAGCGTTGTCCTGTACTACCAACGAAAGATGGTCAAAAGTGATCTGGCTGGAGTCGGCAGTCCCAAGATTGTACACCCGCAGAGTGTGATTCGTGCTGGGGTCAACGTCCAGAGTGAAAAGAGTGGACTGGGAGGGAATGAGGTGGGTTACGGAGCGGAGTGATAACTGGACACACAAGTGTGGAAGCGTCAGCAGGATTAGTTCCGTTTATTGTTTGCACCAAGCAATCGTCCAAACAGTCGAGAGTGTAACCATAGCGCGAGCTACCCGTCCGACTGGGGAGACGAGATAAGCTTAGGCAAATAGATTAGCTGGCCACACACCTGTAACCAAAGTATGAAACGGATGAAGTCGAAGCTACAGTATTATAGGGTGCGATTAGCGCACTGAAACCGTTTGACGGGCAACGGACGCACGAGGGAGAGTGACAGTGAGATGGCAGAGAAACTCTGTCGTTGCTAGAAAGTTGGCATCGGATTCCGAAATGTTTTGCCAACCAGGAGTGAAGACAATGGCTGGATCTGAAGCGGAGATATTCGTAACGGAGACAGCTTGACTAAGACGCAACAGCGCAAAGAGAATGAGAGTGGCCAGCATCGACGGAAAGGGTCAGAGGATGCTCAGCATCTGTCTGCCAATGAGGGAAGGGAGAAGATCCTGAGGGTATAATAAGGTGGTCTCCATTTATATAGTTGGTCCTTGTCCGAAGTTCATCAAACGACCTGTGACACATAGGTTTTGAGTTTGACAGCTCCTATGCCGGGTAATTACTCCAGGCTCTCCTCCAGTCAACAACAACGATGAGCGTGGCTGGATCCCGCCCCAAGAAGCGATCACCGAAACAGCAGCGGAAAATCGCCCTTGACGCGGCAGAAAGCGCCCCGCTTTGGAGGGCCGACATCCAATTCGACCTACTCTCCGCCATATTCGCAAACCAAGTCAAAGTCTTCACAGGCAACTCTAATAAACTGACTTTTGGCGAACTCTACACGGAATCCATCTTGCGCTCGCCCAAAGCAAAGACAGTGCTCAAAGACAAGCTTTCTGGAGATGAGGCGTCTGAGTTTGCAACCGACTTTGCCAAGCTTGCCCTTCTTGTGAATGTTGGTCGCGTTGGGGCCTCAATGAGCTGTGAGTAGCTCTGCCAGTCTCCATTTCAGCTATATAACGTGCATTCCCTCAAGTCTTTCTCGAAACCCGAACGACGCAACGCTCATACCATCCCATTCCATCATTGCAACACTCGAAAGGGAACCTGCTTGATGCGCCAAGAATAAAATCTGTGCTTAGAGCATGCGAAGATATCGGAGAGTCAAAGGGTCAACTTACGACGCCAACACAAATGTTAGCCAGAGCCGTGAGTCTACGTCTTTTTTCGACTCAACCTTCTAAACGGTGGCAGAAAGCAGGCCAAATTCCGCCAACAACGTTACCCAACCTTTTATTTGTGCTGTCGAACCACTCTGCTGTACGCAAACAGCTTGTTCATCGGTCGCATGTTCATCTAGCTCCAGCAAATTGGTCACGACCATCTCCATGATGTAGAATTCCTGGACTTGTTTCTCCCGAGCGCCACCTCGTCTCAGTCTCGTGCTCAGCTGTTCCTTTATTTCTGCTACCATTACCATGAAGCCCCAACGGGAGATCTCGACGACGACTCACATGCAAATCCGTTCGCTGGGCCAGACGGCAAACCTCCCACTTTGATCACTCTGACCTCTGAAGAAAGCGCTCAAGAGAACGTGGATAGTGCAGAAGAGAAAGAACACGCAGAGGCACTCGTCACGCAGAGAGAAGGTATACTTCGGGAGTATTCCAAGCGAGAGAGCGCGAAGGAAAAGACGGAACAGCCCTCAAAGGCCAAAGCGAAACGAGGTGGCGCTAAACGCCCAGTAAATAACGACAAGGATGACGATGATGCAAATGGTGACTCTTGTTTCCTCCATCTTTGACCCTTCAACTAACATCAACTGAGGTGACTACGCTCTCAGTGAACGACCATCGTCAGTGCGCGGCTCCTCTCCCCATAATCAGGGCCATCGCCGCTATTCTCCGTATCCTATGTCGCGAAACTACTTGCAGTGTACGATTCCAACACAGAAGGGCGCCACTACTGATTTGTTTCCGTCAGACACTTGGCAGTTACTGCTCTCGGCCGCCGATCCTCTTGACGATTCGGATGAGGATGACGAATACTCGCTCGTTCAACGTCTGGCTGTTTTGGCCGAGCTCAGACAACAATCGCCAACGCCTGAACCTGCGGGTCTCCAACCTATCCCACGACCCTTGGCATGACGATATCCTGCTTTGAACAGGGTGTCCCTTTTTATTCCTTCAGTAATCAGTACATTATGCTCAAACAAGCCACAATAATCCTACAAAAATTCATAGTAACCCAACAAAAAAGGGGGGAAAAGGGAAAAAAAAAGGAGGAAAAGATATGCAAGCAGGAGATACAAATAAGAAAACACTAATAATTGCAATATGGAAGAAGCTGAAAGTGAAAAGTAAAACGTGCCACTCCCGTCTAGTTGTCTTCACCCGACGTGCCCCTCGGGACGCGATTGGCAAGGGCTTCATGGCAACAAAAGTTTTCCAAATACCCTCCCTCACGGCCCTGGTCACCGTAGCGGAACTCGAGATGAAGCTTCGATCGGGTTCGAAACCCTTCACTCTCCCTCTCCGTGATTATTCAGCCAACCACTTTTCATAGTTCTTGGCGTACTTGTCGAGAAGCAGGGAAAGATCACGGATAACGAAGGTCAGCACAACAGTCGCGAAGAATTGCGAGGCCCGCTTGAGCTTGTTGTCTGCGGCGGCACGGATGTCTGGAGGCAAAGCAGCGTATGCTGGTGCCACAGGTTGGGCGGTGATGGCTTTGGAATGCTCATCGAGTAATTGGGCTCGAGAAAACAGCTTTTCCAGCCCAGACACGTAGGTTTGCGGAGAATCGAGGCTATGAAAGGGATTGTGAGCAACGTAAAAAAATAAGGTAGCTTTGTGGGAGACTCACTTCTTTCCGTTGGTTAGTTTGTCGAACCGACGCGAGAGTTTATCACTCCAGGTGGTCTTCTTGACAACGAAGCCCTCCCCGACTCCCAGCTTCTTTCCAAAACTAGCAACGATGCCGTCACAGACATTCAAGAACTCTTCCAGACGGGCGATCCATGCATCACCCTCTTTGCGACCAATGCTGCCGATTCCAAGCGCAAGTCCGCTGCTGACATTACCTGCGCCAAAGTATTCGGAACTGCTTGTCTGCATCTCCTCCAAAGCAGAGCATAGAATGTCGACCACCCTGACTTTCTCAGCGACATTGGCCAGCTTTGCCCCGCCCTGAGACCAGACTTGGCGTGGTACATGTAATCGCCGGGTCAGGTAACCACCGGTGGGCGATGTGATTGTTCCCCGAAGTTGGTTCATCAAATGGTACGGCTTGCGAAGGGGATCGTTTGGAGGTGCAGGTGGCAGGGGGGAAGTTGGCGTTGATGGGTTTTGACCGAGATGGGGAGGCCCGAGAGAACTTGGTACAAGGTCGGTTTGGACAACCAGTGAATTGTTGGGGTTAAGTTTGGACGGAAATGACGATTTGCGCGGGGCTACGCCATTACTTGGGGGTAGAGGCGGAAGAGGATCGATGGTAGGTGATATCCTGCCGTTGACTATTGAAGGTCGGCGGCCAGGTTGTGATGCCGAACGTGGTCGACCTATTGGAGCGGTGGGTAATGATGGAACAGCAGTCTTGGGTACAGGGTTTGAGTTTAGAGATGAAGTAGACTCTGCTGGCGAGGAAGACCGTTCACTAGCAGGAGTGGACGATTTTGTAGACCGCCGTTGGTAGATGGTACCAGAAGTTGTTGAGCCATTGATTATGCCTGCGGGGGGCTCAGAACGGGGCGCTATTTGAGATGAACCACGGGGTCGTGGTGTTATAATATTCGGTAAACGGGGGGAAGGAGGGGGTCTAGACAATGCAGCGACTGGTTGTTGTTGTTGTGATGGGACTGGGGGGAGTGGAGGAGAATCGCCCAAACGCGGTTCATCTCTATTCTCCTCTTCCAAGGCGGCTAGTTTGCTGCCAGAATTTGATCTTCGATGGGTTGTAGATCGACCGACATCGAGGAGATTGGGGTCATTAGATAATGGTGGTGGAACTGGGGCTGGTGGCAAATGAGTTGGAGGAGGGGGCAGTGGGGCACCCAAGGCTGCTGCCGAGGGTTTTCTTGGGCGTCTTATGCGAGGGGGTTCTTCTTCATACGAAACAGCAGCCGCATATGGATGGGCAATTGACCGGTCATTGTTACCCAAGACAAATAAGTCTGCTGGAGGTTCTGTCGGAGAAATAGGCGAGGTTATCGCCATTGTAGGTGTTGGCTGGGCAGCCTCTGCCGCCATGACAGAGTACTCATGGGTGACAGAGTAGGGTATGGGGGGAATGTTGTAGATAATACTGAGGATGTTCATTCTGTCGGCATAAGTGTCATGCTAACCAAGTCAGTGTGGCCCTTGAGATAAAAAGGAGCATTGAACTCACTATGTTCTGCAGTCGCCTGACTTCTTCCTCCTGGGCCACTGCGCTCCTTGGACGACCATTCCGGCGTTTTTCAGTGCTGTCTTCCCCCCGTCGCACCCTTTCCATAACCTCGCTTAAAAGGGCAACACTACGAGCATAAGCGATGACTGCTGCCTCTGGTTCCTCGTTTGTTGAATCCAGTTGGACTGCCTCTCGAGCCAATTCAAGTGCGCGTGTGAGAGCCCGTCTTGATGACGGTATTCGCGGTTCTGACCGTTGCTCAGGTGCAGTTAAGAGAGAAGTGTTGAATATAGAGGGCGGGGGAGGGTCCTCAAGTTCATCCTGGCTATGACTAGTTGCAACCCGTCGCAACATTTCTGGCGAATCGGGAAGTGGTGGGATGGGAATGTTGGGAGCGGGCACGTGAGGCGGTGGTAGCGCTGGCCTTGTGGCCGCACTGGACCGACGACGGGCGGCCATGAATTGGGAAGGAGGAGCAGGAGAGAGAGATTGGTGGTTCATCGCATGCTTGTTTGATGGAGATTGATGGGTAAACTATTCGTACACAAGGACTACCAATAGATCGTGGCTATCTATATCGACTACGCTGTGCTCGTAAAATTGTTGAAAATGAGAAGGTTGACCGTCTCAGCAGGTAAATCTGAGAGAGCATTGGGCGTTGCAAGTTGAAGCAATGCCCGCTTCAACTGAGCTGGGGTCAAAGTTGGGATTGGTGCGACAGTTTCCTCCACAACAACGGGTGATGGGAGAAGGCTCGCTGCCCAGTTGGGAAGAGCAGAATACCCAAAAATATACATCGTCGAGGACAACGCAATGGCCATGGGACGTTGGAAAACACTGGTCTCCACTAACGGCTCAGCATCAAACTTGGGGTCAAATGCCTTGGAGGGGTAGAGCGAAAGCAGATAAGCCAGCATTCCAGCAGTATGGGGCGATGCCATCGAAGTTCCAGATATCGTGTTCTCCGCGGAAGTGGACCCAATCCAGGTTGACCTGCCGCCAGTTCGACACAAAAAAATGACAGGCAATGAGCAAACATACCTGATGTTCAGACCGGGAGCGAAGACATCAACACATTTGCCGAAGTTGGAGAAGTACGCCCGTTCATCCGACAAGGTGGAGGCACCGACAGTGACTGCCTTCTCAGCGGCAGCAGGAGAGTAGTTGCAAGCATCACGATTGTCATTTCCTATTTTGTCAAGATAAATATAACGGACCAGAGTCAAAAGCACAACATACCAGCTGCGACAGCGAAGTGGAGACCCTTATCGACAGCAGCGTTGACAGCACGGTCAAGAGCGTCTGATTTACCACCGCCCAAACTCATGTTGGCAACGGACCCTTTGTGTGCGGTCTTTCCAGTCGCTTTGAATTCGGCTTCGGCTTTAGCTTTCTTGGCGAGCGATGCGGTTGTGGCAAAGTTAACACCACCTGTTTCCGTGTCAAAAATAGCCGACATGAGGAATCGGTCAACTCCGTACCAATGACATCAGACATTGAACCAGAGCCATTCGAGCCAAGGACCTTGACTGCGATTACATTGGCAGCTTTGGCGACCCCAAACTTGCGAGAGGCGATAGTACCAGCGCAATGTGTGCTGTCATCCGGATCATGTCAGCATAACAGCGTCATACTGCGCGTGAAACGCACCCGTGTCCATTGCCGTCCTCGTCAACATCGTTCTGAGGAATGGTGGCGCCCCATGAAGCTCTTCCTTGGAACTCCTCGTGATTGATATTGATGCCAGTGTCAATAACCTAGAGAAGAAACAGTTTAGCACCAATTGCAGAAAGAAAAAAAACAGACAAACGTAGACATCGACGCCGTCGCCGCCACTGGGGTCGTAGTCGTATCTAGTGAATGTGCCCAAGCTGAGTTTCTTGCGGTGACTAACGCGAGCGAGTCCCTAACACCGATTCGTGGGCAATCTCTTGGCGGTTGCATGTGACTCACCCATGGCGCCAGCTTCTGTGTTTCCTGGATGCGGACCACCTGGTCCCGCTCAATGAAGTCTACTTCAGGCATGGTGCGCAAATGCTCGACAGCCAGTTGAGAAAAGCGGCCAGCGTAACCATTGGTATGTTCATAGACGTGAGAGATGGAGAATACGTCGTCAGCCAAGGGGGCAGCGTCGTGAATGGCCTGGAGAAGGTTGAAGTGGTTCTGCATGACAGAGGCCGGGGTGTCCTTCTTCAAAACGACAATGTACGAGTTGTTAATTGGCCCATAGCGCTGGGTCTCAACGAGCGGAGCAACGCCAACTGGGAAACGTTGCGGTGGTTGAACGAAGGGACTGGTGGATAGCGGCGTGCTGGAAACAACCGCACTAAGTGAGAGTAGAGTTAAGGTCAAGACAGACGCCATGGTGGGAGTTCAGAGCAAGCGTCGTCTTGGGGTTGATAAGGCACACAGCCCGTGACGTATCGTGACTTGCCTTGAACAATCCTCATGTAGGTAGCTTGCGTGTCCTACTGACAGTACTGTAGGCCAAAAGAGTGTAATTATTAACCAAGTACGAAAGTAACAACAAGTGAATGTGTCCAAAAAACGTTGTACGGGTATCTTATCAAACCTCCATGTGCTCTTAATCGCGGAATTCTGCAGAACCTTGAGCAGCCAAACGACTTTCCAGGTTGCGGAGTGACTCTTCCTACGTAAAAAATGCAATGAGTCAAAGGCGTGTTACAGACTGAATGCTTACCTTGGCCAGTAGTTGTTGACGTCGTTCCGTGATTTCTCGCTGGACGCGCAATTCAATTTCGCGCAACTTTTCTTCCTCTTTCCTCAACTGTTCTTCTTTGAGGCGCACGCTTTGATTAGCCATCTCCTCTGGGAGGATTGAAGAATCTTGCATGTCGGGATTGACACTGCGAGACAATTTCTCTGTGCGATAAGTTTCGTAAAGGACATCATGGGTGAGGGACTTGAGGTCAGAGAGGTGCGAGCTAGAGAAATGTAAGACAGAATTGAGACGAATAGTGAGAGACATGCTTCAGTAATGCGCTTCGCAGACGGGAGAAATCAGAATGCTTGGGATTGTCCACCTCGGCTATGCCCCACGGATAAACACGAGCACGGACAAACTGGCCGTCAACCTCCACCTCTTCCTCAGAGCCAATTATGGCGAAAGGAAGAAGCGCCTAGATCAATTAGCCCAAAGGACATTAATACAAAGGTTACCCTTACACGAAGCTCGCTATTGTCCTGGATTGTGTCTTCGTCGTCTTCTTCGATGTCGTAGGGGAAGTTGTAGACCAGCATATCATAGTGCTCAATATCTTCCATAATCTGGAAGCCAATATGTCAATGTTTTTGAGGGAACTACTGAGATCTTACCCGTTTTTTGAACCCTTTCAGTTCACTTGGGGTCAGTGTGTCTGCCTTTCCGATGACTGGGATGACATTGACGCGGGGAGAAAGCCGGCGCATAAGTTCGATATCCATTTCACGCAAACTACATCTTAGCCAAGGCGAAAGAGTGGAAGAATGAGCTTACGAGTGTCCGGTCGGCGGGATAAAGTATAAAAGGGCGTGTACCCGATTATCGCGGAAGCGAGGGTTCCGCTTAATGCGAGATTCTTCAGCTAGAATATCGTCGTATTGGCGCTCCAGGTAGCCCATAATTTCTTGGAACCTTGCAAATAGTCAGGCATGGGAGTGTACCGGTCTGTTCAGCTTACGCGGCTTCATTGTCGATATTGTCGCCAAAGCCAGGAGTGTCGACAATGGTAAGCGCGATTCGGACCCCATCCTCCTCGAGTTCTGGGTGCAAAATTATATCATTGAAAGAAGAGACGCGACAGAACATTACGAACCAACATTCACGGGCTTGATTTTAACCCCCACCTCTATATGCGCCGTTTCGGGATCGTCAGAGACCTTGTGGGTAAGGACCTCGCTTTCGCACAAAGTATTGACGAAAGTGGTGCGACCAGTCCCAGAGGCGCCTTTGGACGATTACAAATAGATTAGCACGCGATGTAACACATACCAACGACCATGACGGTGAACTGGACGCCCTTTTTCACCTTGTTCCCGCGACGCCGAGCTGCAAACGACATTTTGGTTTGATCTAGAGTACCCTAGTCACGCTTGTCACATGCTTGGTGCAAGCAATAATGTCTTCGTGCGAGGTCTAAAGATTCAAAAGCGTTTTTTTCGCGCAAGAGGCCCCCAACTCGCGGTTAATACCAAAAAATCCTACGCAGAACTCCCCAATACCTATATTTTACCTGATGGGACGCCTGCACAACCCCTTGAACAATGGCATGCTAGCAGTAAGTCACTAAACACGACTATTCCTAATCTCAACTGTTTTTAGCCCAAGCTGAAGTCCTAGAAAGTAGCAAACACTCAAGATCACGACGCCGTGTGGCAAAAGAAACATTGAGTGCTATTCAGGACACTTCAGATGGGGTCCTAAAGAAACCCAAGAAGAGAAAAGAGGTTGAAGTTGTTGATGACGGTCAGTCTACACTCAATGTCTTCAACAGCATCGACCTACCACTTTCAAGATGTTAAGTCGCGTCCGAAACGCGTCTCCAGGAAGGTTAAAGACGCCGGTAAGGTCGCGTCCTATTCCGTAGCTCAACCGCTAACAGTTGTTCAGAAGAAGTGGAGTCCACACCAGGTATGCCTTATCCGTGTGTCGAATTGTCGAATCTCACCACAATCGTGTCAAGTTCCAAAAGGTGGTGTCCTGATGCCCGAGATTCTCGAAAACTTGCAGCGTTTTCCCCATTGCATCCTATTCACCCGTGTTGGCAAGTTTTACGAAGTACTTTTTTTAACGACACCTAAAATAAACTGCCAATCTACTTCCTAGTCTTACTACGATCAAGCGCATGAAGTTGCACGTCTTCTCAATATCAAGCTTGCTTACCGAAGATGGTCCAACAAAGTCGTTCCTTTCTGTGGCTTTCCCCTGCAACACATCGATAAATATCTCAAAATTCTCGTTCAACAAAACGGTCGTTTTGTAGCCCTGTGCGAAGAGTTTCCGCGCTATAATGAGCGGGGAGTTGTTGCCTTTGATCGGCGGGTTGCTCGTGTTGTCACTCCTGGTACTCTCATTGACGAATCTTTCCTCAACCAATACGAGAACAACTACCTCCTGGCTATTAGTCCCTCTGTCAAGGGCTCAGGACTCGGCTTTGCGTGGATTGATGTGTCAACAGGGGAATTTTATACGAAACTCGTTGCCTACGAAGCTCTTCGAGATGAACTTGCACGAATCGGACCAAGAGAGATTGTGCTCGACAAATGCTTTGAGCATGCGCAACCACCACAATTGCGAGATGCTCTCAAGGAGGAGTCCCGCTGTATTTCCTTCACGACTCCACAAGCGGACGCTCAAATGGAGGAAGACAGAACCGAGTTTACACCGGTGGATGACGTGACAAGTACTAGTAATGTCCCGTCTGTGCCCCTCCTCTCAGAATACTCGCAACTCGAACAAGATGCCATCAATGTTCTGACGACGTACTTGCGGGTGAATCTGCTTGACCACATGCCAGCATTGTCTAGTCCTGCTCGCGAGGGAGCAATCCCTCGGCTTCAGATTGACTCCCACACTATCAAGGCACTTGAAATTCGAGAGAGCCTACGGGAGGGTGGAGTGAAAGGCAGTCTTCTGAGCGCAATCAAGCGAACGAGGACATCCAGTGGCACGCGTCTTCTTGCACGTTGGTTGTGTTAGCTACTCCTTCCTCCATCTGGCTGCCAGATCTGAATATCTCGTCAGGTTCGCCTAGTACTTCTCTTCCAGAAATCAACGCGCGACAATCGCTAGTCGCATTCTTTTATAATCGAAGTCACTTCCACGATGATCTCATTGTTGCTCTAGCGAGTGTCGAAGACGCAAGTCGGATTGTCCAAAAGTTTTTGCTTGGAAAGGGGGATGCCACTGACCTGCATGCCGTTCGTTCAACAATAGTGACATGGATGACCATCAAGGCCCGCATTTTACAAGAACGCCAGCAAGAGGAACTTGAAACAGGTCAAACACAACGGGGATTCCAAGCAGATGAATGGAACAGTTTGGATGCTCTTATCGGTCGCATGGCCAAGCTACATGAACTCTCGGATCACATCGGCCGAGCCTTGAAACCGAAAAGTCAAATCACATCGTTTGAGTCCACAGACGGTGTTGACGACGAAGGGATAGCTTCACAGTCTTCGGACCGTGACGGTATATCCGCTCGACCTGTCTGGCGCATCGGAGACTATAACTGGACGATCAAGCCTGAGTAAGTCACCAACCATTGTTTTCACTTTGAATGTGCTTGATGTCCACAGTTATTCAGAGAAGCTCTCTTCGCTGCATATTATATTGGATGATCTGATTTTACGGCGGGAAGCTTTGCAGAACGCCCTCCAACTTAAATATGGTTTGGTGTCAAACTTGGTCCACGTACTCTTCTGAAATGAATCTAGATGCCCCATCGCTCACTCTACGGTCCTCTCCAGCGCATGGAATGCATGTCCATCTTCTGAAAGCGAAGCGAGACTCTAAACAGATCAATCAAGATCCAGCTTTCGTCAACATTGCTGCGAGTGGGACAACCAAATGCTATTTCCATGGTGTAAGAATGTCGTGATCCCATGTGTCTTTCTATGCCTCATTGCCTGTAAAAGGAATGGGCACAACTAGGAGGGCAAATCATTGAGACTGCTAATGCGTTGACTATGGCGGAGAAGGAAGCGTTCGAGTCTCTGCGTTCTCAAGTGCATACATTCAAACCAACCGTTGATCAGATTTTAACGATCCGTAGGTCAATAGTCATGCCCCTCAACTTCGCCGCAACGCACGAATCCTCGATGAACTCGATGTTACTCTGGCGTTTGCGGATCTGGCAAGGGAGATGAGATTCGCACGTCCGACCCTAACGGAAAGGTTAGAGTCAGACCATGTTCAGACGATTGCATTCAACCTTGATTCAGTCAAGTTTATGATGTGAAAAACGGCAGACATCCTACCGTTGAACTCGGTCTCTTAACTAACGGACGTGTCTTCACTCCCAACTCTCTTCAGTTGACCCCCGAGTCACGCTTGCATGTCATGTTAGTTCCTCTGTCTTCTTGTGAAGCCCTCATGCTGATCATCGTAGCACTGGTCCCAATATGGCGGGAAAGTCGACTTTTCTGCGACAAAGTGCACTTATCGTGGTACTCGCTCAGGCAGGCTCGTTTGTTCCTGCCGATTCCGCAACCATCGGAATTGTCGATAAGCTCTTCTCGAGAGTCGGCGCCAAAGACGACCTGTTCCATGACCGAAGCACATTTATGGTGGAAATGCTAGAAACCGCTGAAATCCTGCAACGTGCAACGCCCCGAAGTCTTGTGATCATGGACGAGGTTGGCAGAGGCACTACCGTCAAAGATGGTCTTGCGATAGCTTTCGCCACAGTCCACCACCTCATCACCTTCAATCAATGCCGCGCCCTTTTTGCAACTCATTTTCATGAGATCGCCGACATCTTGGGCTACCCAACTTTGGACATTTTCAAAAATGTCGGCTTTTTCTGCACGGATGTTGATGAAACCGACGCAAGCCTTCATGAGCTACTCCGGTTGATAACCTAATTTTTCGCAGGACAATCATTTTGCCTATTCCTACAAGATGCGACCGGGAGTCAATCGCAACAGCCATGGATTGAAGGTCGCACAACTGGCAGGGCTGCCGACATCAACGATTGATGTTGCGCGTGATGCGCTCACGTGGTTGAACGCAAGCAAAGAAAACTCGTCTCCAGAGGGCCTCAAGGCCTTAGGGGAAGCCCTCTTGAAGAAAACATCAACAAAATAACCAAGTCGTAAGGTACTTTTTGTTGTGAATATCAACTACAATGCCATTTGTGAACGGATGTAGTTAAGCGCACTACCCGCTTGAAGCCATCGGACCTGGTCTTCAGACATAGTGTGCTTGGTGGGGATTTCGAAAACATCCCCGTTGGCCTTGGTCACCCTCAATTTGATTGTGGCCGAGATATTGCCAGAGAGCAGCTGGGAAACACCGACAGTTTTCACGTCATCTCCAGAACCGATGCGAGAGTAATCATTCTTGTCAACGAACCAGAGAGGCAGAACCCCTTGTTTCTAAGAACCATCGAGTCAGCACGACATTTTCATCAAGTGAGGCTAGTTGCCTTGAGATTGGTTTCATGGATTCGGGCGAATGAGCGAGCGATGATCATGTTGCAACCTGTCTGTGAGTAAGCACTATAATGTCGCAGCAGTGGCTGTCTCTGACCATAGAAGCGGGGCTGCAACGCCTGGATTCCAGTTTAAAGCTTAAAAGTACCAGAGTAAAACCGCCACTTACTGCATGTTCACGAGCGCTTCCCTCTCCGTAGTTCTCGTCAACAACCAGGGCCCAAGGCTGGTTCCGTGCTTTGAAGCGTTTGGCAACACCGGGTATCGTGTCTGTCGTTGTCTGTCCGTCGGGACCTTGATCAAAAGCAACATTTACTTCACCCCCTTCGTCGTTAGTAGCCTAAAAAGATAAGCTATTCACGCTCTCTTCCGATGGGATGCAATGCACCGTAATAACTGAACCAAGCTCAGCTTTAAGCCGTATGGCTCAAACATGGGAAACTTACGAAGATTTTCGGATATATTCGTGAGATGCCCTGCGTTTGTTCAGCAAACACAAAGTCACAGTTACACCGACTTGCCTTTGTACTTCAACCATGGCCCAGCAGCTGAGATATGGTCGGTTGTGCATTTGCCTCTTACTCTCATCAGAACCTTCATTTCAGGGAGCTCCCGGATCCCGTTAACGAAAGGGCTAGTAAAGGGCTCGAGCAATTCTAGGCGTTGCGAGTCTTTGTTTATTATGATTTCTGTGTCGGGCTGAGGCTCCGGGGTTTGCTGTGGATAGAACGCATTTTGTCCAGGAGTGAATCCAGCGGGCGGCAGGTCTTGACCAACAGGTGCAGCGAACTTGAATGTGCCGCCTGACGGAAGAGGGATGGTATCTTTCATCGGGTTGAACTGCCGTCCAATATTAACAAAACTGTTGATGCCCCTTTAGCAAAGAAGAACCTGTAGACTCCCGGAGAACGCCATCGCAGTTACAATTGTCGGTGAAGCAAGGAAATTCATAGTGCGAGCATTGCCGTCATTGCGTGACTTGAAGTTGCGGTTGAAACTAGTTAAAATCGCTGCAACATATGAGACAATTTGCCCAGTATGGCAGGCATGCAAACCGTTTTCTTCGCTTGGTTGATCCGTCCGCTTCCACTGACCGATGCATGGCCCACACGCATTCGCAAGAACTACGCTTGTGAGAACGAGAGGAAGTTTAAGGCATCAAGCACACCTAAGGCGCCAACATCCTCTAGTGTGGAAGTGACGTTGTCCCGTTCCATTGTAGCGCGGATCTGTTCAGATCCAGGGGTACAGAGAAAGGGAACCTAACCATTGTCAGACAGATAGTGGCTAATAGACGAAGCAAACCTTGGTTTTGAGTCCAGCAGATCTTGCTTGAGACGCAAGGTCAGCCACGCTGGTCTGATAAACGTCAACCAGCGACTACAATCGAGTATTCGAGCTTGACCATATCCTGGTAAGAGCTATTGGTGCACGATCCAATCAAAGCAGCGGAGAGGTCGTCTTTCCATCCGTTCTCCTTGACGAATTCACCAAACTTAGACAAAGGTGTCGCAAGATCGGGTGTAAATGGTCCGTTGATATAAGGTTCAAGCTCGGAAAGGTTCTGTGTGCGATTAGGCAATCATGAATACCAATAATTTCAACCCTACGATTTGGATGAGTTGATCGTACTCAGCCCCTTCATCCGCACTAAGGAATCCTTGAGCGGCGGCCTCATCAGCCGCGCGAGCCACAGGGGCTCTGCCGGTGGCATTGAGATAAGCACGCATAGCAGCAGTATAAGGGAAAGTTGATGTAGTTGCACCAACTTCTGCTCCCATATTGGCAACACATGCCTTTTCAGCTTCATAAGACAACGCTCATAAAAGTAAACAAATCTCACCAGTCCAGTACACGACTGGGCATCAACGCCAGGACCAAAGTACTGAAATTGTCAGCAAGTGCACTATTATTTTGCCTGTTAAAGCACCTCGAGAATGCGCCCAGTCCCTCCCTACCAATCATTGATGAGTTTTTTATTCCACACGAATGGCATTCACATACTCGAACTGTGAGTTTCCCAGCGATATGAAGGATGAGATCTTTGGGCGAAACCCAGGGGCCCATCTTTCCCGTCAAATGGATGCCTTTGTCTCTCAGACAGCAATCACACGCAATGCCAGAAAAGCTGACCAACTATTTCCGGGTGCCTGAACATAGAGCTGGTCAGTGTCTGGGTTACTGCAAGAAGGATCGAAATTCACTTGAGTTCCCAGGGAGTTCCTGTCATTGCATCGACGGCATCTGCCCCTCCGACGCCTATTGCAAGCATTCCCAGACCGCCGGCATTTGGTGTATGCGAATCTGTAGCTGTTAGAGGACAAACTAGGCCAATGCAATGGTTTCTCACCCGTCCCCAGCCTATTATATGTGAGTTAAACGCGCGCGAGAGAGAGAGAAGATGAACAGACATGAGCATCCCTGGAGCCGCGTAGTTTTCCAGCACAATCTGGTGAATAATTCCGGACCCAGGACGCCAAAACTCGATGCCATATTTGCGAGCAGCGCTTTCGAGAAAGTCAAAGACCTCTTGGTTCGTGACAATGGACCGCTGAGCCATCAGTGAGTAAACTGCGAATGAATTTGGGGCATTCTTGGGCACCTCGAGATCGGATTTCGCCCCATCAACGGCTTGGATGAGATGGTCACAATGAATGCTTGCTGGGACGACCGATTGGGCCAAACCAGCGCTCATAAATTGCAAGAGAGCCATTCTGATTTGTTATAGAGAAACTGACTCAGACGAATATTTGTTTGGGCTTACTGAGCTGACGCGTCTTGCATCGCAACTCGCTACCATACGAGTCAGAATTCAATTCGGTGATGGCCTTCAAAAACACGCCTACCTCTGGACGAAGCTGGAGATATGCCTGCCCCCGAAGCTTCCCCTCATCCCCAACACGCTTCTTTGGATCATAGAGGTGAGAATAGAGAATTTTTTCTGCCAATGTGAGCTTATGGTGGATGTGTTGTCTTGCATCGGCCAAGTTTTGGATCAAGAGGGCATATGGCGGTGTGATGGACTTGCAGTCTTTCTCCGAAAGTGCTGCATGCGTCGCCAAACGGCGCCGACCAGCAGCCTTTCCAATTTTCTTGACGCAGAACATGGGCGTTCAGTCCAACCCAATCACCGGCCGAGTATTTCCGAAATATCCGAAAAAGGGTATGTCGTCATTACATAAAATTAGCACCGATATCGTTAGTCTACCATAGATCCACACTGTCCTTCCATCCATTAGTCCTGGACTCCCAGTATCCGCCCGTGTACTCCCACTCGCCGTTAACTTGCTTGAACCAACGGGGAGAAACCTCTTTCCCACTCTTCCGTCGACTACGCTGTAACTCTTCCACCCTCGTCTTCTCACGTTCAGCAAGGTCCACATGCCCTTCCTCCAATGCTCGCACATCCGGACGGTATCTCGAGTCGGTTGGTGGGAGTTTACCCTCCATATCACTCGTGATCTCGTTCAATGTAATGCCGAACGATGTGAACCCATAGTACGCTTCGTGGTCAATAATCGGCGGTGTTGCCCGCCACAGAATGCGGAAATGCGAATCATCTAGCGTTTGAGACACTGAGTCGTCCCACTTGCCTTCCAATTTGGCTGTAGCTTGACCGCACTGCACGACGCCTGATATTTGGTTGGATGCCCCAAAATACCCACTTGGTTTGAATTCAACAACACATCGAGTCGGCACACTCGCCACAACATTCTCGATCGTCATCTTACCCACATGCTCGAAGTATTTCGTGCCCACTGGAAAACAGTCAAGGCCAGCCATTCAAACACGATTTGAACTGACCCATTAGATTCCGCATGAATGAAGATGGTTTATTCCTGAGCGTCGTCAGATGGCTAGCGGTCACGCAATGCGAAAAATTACCAAGTATACCGGTCATCTCCGATGGTTAGATATGTGTTTCCCAGTGGAATAATCTCCAGACTCTTCCCTTGAGTTCGGTCAATAACCACAGAAGAAATGCAGCTGTAGACAAACTCACCCCAGAATTTAGTCTTGCCGGTAGACGTTGCCTGCAAAGCCCAACCTGGGCCTTCGGCGTGGTATGCCATCTCCAATGGATGATGGCGAACCTTCTCGGCAATGAACTTCATTCGATGGTCTTCGAATGTTTCCCCTAAGAGATGGGTCAGTTCAAGTTTGGGCAAAATAAAGATGCTTTACCAAGCATGGGATTGAATCCCTTTCTGCCGGAGCGATGCCGCGTATGGGCATAACCCGACACGGCAAATGCCGCAACATAACAGATTCTGTCGACAGGATCTGTGGCAGCAGCAGCGAGGTTGAGGAGGTCGTAATATTCAACCTCCTCAGCGGCACGTTGAAGAAGGGTCAATGGTTCGTTGAATGAAACAGGGAAGGTAATGGTGGAAAGGTCCTTTCCGACATTCTTCTTCAACACAGAAAACAGACTCCCTTCGTCCCCGATGGAAGGCGAGGGCAAATGGGTCCTGTGCACTACGTGTGATGGTTCTGGTTGCTCTGTAGAAACTTTCTCTGGCTCCCCAATGATATCTGTATCAACACTGGAATGTCCCAGGCTGCTAGTACTGTCGTTGGCACCGATCTTGCTCGGTTGGGCAGTAACATCGAGAACGAATTCTTCTGCTCCATCGTGACTTTCAGCGTCAAAGTCAAACCACTCATTGACACTCTCGGAGGTAGTTGTGGTGAGTACGGATGTGCGTTTGCGAGAGATTGGCGCGGAAAAGGAAGGGACGGGTGAATCGGAAATCCGAGGTATGTTCTCGGGTTCTTCTGCGGTGATTGGGAGAGGAGAGCCCCGCAAGGACTGGCCAACAACATCTGTGATAGCAAGAGACTGAATTGATTTAACCAGAGAGCCGTGTTGTGCTTTCAGGGTCTGAAGAATGTCTTGAAGTTGTTGTGTTGAAGTCGTCTTCTCGGAAAGCTCTGGGGGATTGTTCTCCACGTCGTTGAGTGCGGCATGATGAGAAGCTGTCTGGTCGTTAACAAAGGAAAAGGGAGTACAGAAGGTCCCCACTTCGTTTGAATAGACCAAAAACGGCCTTGTCTCCTTTGGCCTTTTCCTTCTCGACTTTGGCTTTGGGCGGTTTGAGATGGGACGCGCCTTCGCGTGGTAGAGCAGAAAGGGCCTCCTCAAGTTCGCTCAGTGTCTGGTGTTCCTTAGTCTTAGCGGGAAAGGTTACTAAATAGCATACTTGCCTTTGCCATCTCTTCCAGGACAACACCCGATTTATTGACATTGACACTGCCATGGCGGGTCAAGTGTCGCATACTCATCGAGCGCCGGGACTCAGGGCCAGTGCCGATGAACCGTCTACATGAGAAATGAGTGTCTTGCCGAACTTGTTTAGAAGTACAGCACCTTAAAGAGCTCATCCATAGGTCAAAGTCGGCGGGAGTCAGACACTTGAGATGAAAGGTTCCAGCGTTAGAGTCAATGTGAATATCCCTCTGTCCTGGTGCGGTGGAAATAGCGGAATCGTGAAGAGAGAGCTAGGAAGTGTTAGAGCCACTGGTGTCTGAATTAGATCCACAACTTACTTGGTCTCGAATAGGTTGGGCTTGATTGAAACTGTAGGCCAATACGCCGTTCTGGTATAGAGTGAAGTACCTCCTTGCGAAGCCTTGCATCTTCTTTCGTCTTTTCTTGAGAATCCATCCCTCTCTGATGACCACACCGGCGGTTGGGACGGTGGCGGCAACGAGGGTCCGCAAAGTACCGACGGAAGCCATTCCTGATCGGGTGTCACTTTCTGACTGAAGCCATGTCGAGGTCAAGTTGCAAGAGTTACTCACGAGCACGGTCAAGCTCGGCAATGATGGACTCTAGATGGGACACAAAATCGGGTTGTCACGCATCTACGGCCCGACGAATCTTAACCATCTACCCCCACTACCATCTCTTTCACGAACATGGCTACGTATGTCCTCGTCATTTATACTACTCTTTCTCATCGATTTACCAGCGGAGACATCGGCCTCATTGGTCTTGCCGTCATGGTCAGTAGTAGCGAATGAAACCCAGATCGCACCAGCTCAATGTCTTTATGTAGGGTCAGAATCTTATTCTGAACATGAACGACAAGGGCTTCACTGTTGTTGCTTACAACCGGACCACCTCCAAGGTTGACCATTTCCTCGCGAACGAGGCCAAGGGTAAATTATTCTCTGTCATCATCCCCAACGCGATTTAGTCAGCGCTTTCAAGGTACCAAGATCCAAGGCGCCCATTCGATTCCCGAGCTTATCGCGAAACTCAAAAAGCCCCGCAAGATTATTCTTCTCGTCAAAGCTGGTTCTGCTGTTGACGACTTCATCGACCAACTTATCCAGGGCGGTCTTGAGCCCGGTGACATTGTCATTGACGGTGGTAACTCCCACTACCCCGATTCAATCCGTCGCACCCAGACTCTCGAGGCCAAAGGCTTCCTCTTTGTCGGCTCTGGCGTCTCTGGAGGTGAAGAGGGTGCCCGTCATGGCCCTTCTCTTATGCCTGGTGGTTCTCCGGCTGCCTGGCCCGCCATCCAACCCATCTTCCAGAAAACAGCGGCTCAAGCTTACGGAGAGCCTTGCTGCGATTGGGTCGGTGAGACCGGCTCTGGTCACTACGTCAAGATGGTCCACAACGGCAAGTACAATCTCTTTCCCGGTGTTGTGTAAAGTCTAAATACTAATAGGTATCGAATACGGCGACATGCAACTGATTGCCGAAGCCTACGATATTCTCAAGCGCGGACTCGGTCTTGCGGAGGATGAGATTGCCGATATTTTCCTCAAGTGGAATAAAGGCGTCCTTGACTCCTTCCTCATCGACATTACCGCCAACATCCTCAAGTTCAAAGACGATGACGGCGAACCTGTTGTGTCCAAGATCCTCGACAAGGCCGGGCAAAAGGGAACTGGTAAATGGACGGCCATCGCTGCTCTTGATGCTGGCACTGCAGGTCAGTGTTGCTTCCAAATTTTTCTTGTCATGACCAATCCCCATTAGTCACCCTCATTGGTGAAGCCGTTTTTGCCCGTTGTCTCTCCGCAATCAAGGAAGAGCGTATCCGGGCCAGCAAAGTTATGGATGGACCCAAGAAGGAGCCTTTCCGTGGCGACAAGCAGCTCTTCATCGACGATCTTGAGCAAGCTTTGTATGCCTCCAAGATCATTTCTTACACCCAGGGCTTCATGCTGATGCGAGAAACGGCGAAAGAAGTGCGTGATTTGTCATTCGTCACTGACAATGCACTTACCAATATCGATAGCTCAACTGGAACCTCAACTACGCTGGTATCGCTAAGATGTGGCGTGGCGGTTGCATTATCAAGGTGTGTGGTAGTTGAGATTCTGTCCAATCAACTGACGGGCATTGTTAGAGTGTGTTCTTGAAGGATATCACTGACGCCTACGTGAAGAACCCCAAACTCGAGTCCCTTCTTTTCGACGATTTCTTCAGCCGAGGTCAGTACTTGCTTCTTCTTTTACTGAACTCTATCTAATGTACTCTTCAGCCATCCGTACTGCTCAACCTGGATGGCGACGGGTCATCGCTCAGGCTGTCCTCTGGGGAATTCCCACGCCCGCTTTCAGCACTGCGTTGGCCTTCTTCGACGGTTACCGCAGCGAGGTTGTGCCTGCCAACCTTCTCCAAGCTCAAGTTTGTGTTCCGCCTAGTATCGATAAGTCTTTCTCACACAGCCACAGCGCGACTACTTCGGTGCGCACACCTTCCGCGTTTTACCCGGCAAGGAGAACGACAAGTTCAAACTCGGCGAGGACATCCGTATGTGTCAACTAGGTTATGCTTTTGAAGCTGATCTGATGTGATCTTATAGACGTCAACTGGACTGGCCGCGGTGGAAACGTCTCTGCTTCGACCTACAACACATAAACACTTGGACGATTGTGAGGAAAAGGCAATTTGCTTGGCCACTCCTTAGAGACCGCGTATATGTTAGAACATGTGTACGGATAACAAATCAAAGCTGTATTTCTCGCGTTTTGGAGGTTTTGGGAATCGAACCGTCAGGGTGTTGCTAGCTCGTGTCTTGTCCGTATTCATTCCTCGCTAAGAACTTCCATCTAATCGGCTACGATTCCGCCAGAATATTAAAAGGAGTTCTTCAACCTGAATTGAGACGACAGTTTCTACCCATGTGCGGTATTTTCTTCACCATCCAACAAGAACAATCGCAGTCCTCTTCGTTTCTGGAGTTGTGTCAAGCCCTTGAACGCGTGAACGGAGCTCGAGGTTGGCCTACTCTTATACCACCACAAAATTCAACTCCCCAGGGCCGGACGCACAAAGAACTAGACGCATTTCATTATCTGACGACCTGATCTTGAACTTTTTTGGGTCTGAACTGCTCTTGCGTGGCACTACGGATGTCGTCCAGCCACACGAAGCCAATGGCAATATATTCTGTTGGAACGGCGAAGTACGTTTTGGAACCAGGACTGCATCGATATTTTTGATCTGACCATAATTAGGTTTTTGAAGGAGTTTTAGACGTATGTCGTTTTCTTCCAAATTGAGGACCTTTCAGCTCAGACGAACAGATCGGACAAGACGAAAACGACGGTGTCAAGCTCTTCGAAAAGTTGTCTTCTCTTGATTCTGGTCGGGAACTGTGCGATTTGTTTGGGAATATCGAAGGACCGTATGTTCTGGCTTCCACATTAGGATTCTGCAAGGCTGATTACTCTGCATGTAGCTATGCATTTGTCTACTACAGTGTTGAGTAACTCCATCGCTCATTCTCCTATGCTCAACCATACCAGGCAAAAACGCGACGCCTATTCTTTGGCAGAGATCCTCTGGGCCGCCGTTCGCTGCTCATACACAAGCCCACACCTGAGAATCCCTACCTCTTACTAGCATCCACTTCGATTGGCAGGGACACTCGTTATGATTTCCAGGAACTCCCTACAGAGCACATCTGTTGTCTCGAATTAGGGCTGCTAGGGGACCGCGACGTGAGTTAGTTGTGCCTAGTTCCAACGGACAAAGACAATGGTCACAGCTCGTCAATGGACTTGAATCGTACTGGACAATATTCAATCGTGCTTCGACGAACGCCCCTTATGTGAGCGGCAAATTCCACACGGAGAAACACTGAATATTCAAGGAATTGTAGACCCAACCACCTCGGATTTGCGAGGATGTGCCCTCAGACGATTTGCCTCTCTTAACCTCTCTGGAGACCCCCAATCGTTTTGAAGAAGCTCTGCAACAGTTCTTGGATGTACTCGACACCAGCGTAGCATTGAGAGTCCGAAACATCCCCAAACTTCCGTGAGTCCCATTTGCCCTTGTAAACTCACATCTTAGATCCGTAGGGAGGCTGGAGCTGCACGTTTGGCAGTTCTCTTCAGTGGAGGTGTCGACTCCACCGTCATTGCGTTCCTTGCTGACAAGTATGGCGCGTATTTGCTTCGTGAAAACCACTGAGGAAGCCAGATACATACCGGTTGACGAGCCTATCGACCTGTTGAATGTTGCGTTCGAGAACCCGCGGAAAATTAGGCTTCAGAAAGAAGAGAGAAACAAAGGCATAGGTGGACAAGAACCCCCTCCATATATGGTTCCGGATCGAGAAACTGGCCTGCAAGAGTTGGAAGAACTTCGGAAATTGCGTCCCCATCGTCGTTGGAATTTTGTGAGACATGATCCTCTAGTTTGCAGGCTGTTCATATATCAGGGTAATAGGTAGAGATTAATGTACCATACGAGGTGAGCTGTTTTCCTCCATATATTATAGTTACCTGAAGGAAAACTGCAGGAGTCCCGAGCAGCACAGACCGAAATCGAGGCGGTCATGTTTCCAGCACGGACAGTTATGGATTTGGTACTTTTATTCCACTGGCAGATCAGGAAGTATCGAATAAGTTCCCCTCCAGAGCTTAGCGATGGCGCTATTTTTTGCATCAAGAGGTCGCGGAGTTCTAGGTGATGAAGTAACCCCATATCAAAGCCGAGCTCGGGTTTTGTTGAATGGGCTGGGAGCCGACGAGCTTTTGGGCGGTTATAGCAGACACAAATCAATCTACAAGGTCAAAGGGTGGAAAGCGCTTATAGAAGAGGTAAACCCTCAACACAAACTTTCTCATCCCGTGTTTGACGCGCTTTACAGCTTCAATTAGACATTGATCGAATCCCAACACGCAATTTAGGACGCGACGACCGTGTAATATCTGGATTCGGCAAAGAAATGAGACATCCATTTTTGTCACTTTCCTTGGTAGATTTCGTTGCCAGGCTGCCAGTTCACTTGAAGATGGACCCTCGCGGCGCAGCTACAGAGGGAGACAAGGCACTTTTGCGGCTGGCAGCAAGACGGTTGGGTCTGGTTGAAGCAAGTCAACGGAAGAAGCGTGCTATGCAGTTCGGATCGCGTTCAGCGAGGATGGAGGGTGAAAAGCACGGTGATACTTTGTTGGAAGGATAGATATTTGTTGTTCAAGAAAGCTATCGGACTTCAGAGACTGAAAGCAAGTTGTGTTTTTGACATGTCACACAATGTCACATCCGCCGAGCGACGCGTGAACTTTTATGTCGGCGCAGAGTGCATTACTCAAAGTTGCTATCCCTCTCGGGGCAGCTCTCGTTGTTGGACGCGCCAGCATCTATGATGTCCCTGGTGGCTATAGAGCTGTGATGTTTGACCGCTTCTCCGGTGTGCAAGACAAGGTTTGACTAGTGGTTACTGTTTTGCCTTCGTTCACCAACAACCATAGGCCACAAGTGAGGGCACCCACTTCTTGATACCGTGGCTACAGCGGGCTATTCTATATGACTGTCGCATCAAGCCACGGGTGAGTGTCTTTCATTAAGCACTCTTCCGGCCAATTAAACCTGTTCATATAGAATATTTCTACGACCACTGGGTCTAAGGACCTGCAAATGGTCTCTATTACTCTTCGAGTCCTGTCCCGTCCCGACGTTTCCCATCTTCCAAAAATCTACCAAAGTCTCGGCATGGATTATGACGAGCGTGTCTTGCCTTCGATTGGAAACGAAGTGTTGAAAAGCATTGTAGCCCAATTCGACGCGGCGGAGCTCATTACACAGCGTGAAGTCGTACGTATTCCATCCATCTCATTGGTCTGTGGGTGACAATTGCTCAGGTGTCGTCAAGAATCCGAGCTGATTTACTTCACCGTGCTGGAGAGTTCAATATCAAGTTGGAGGATGTTTCAATTACGCACCTGACGTTCGGAAAGGTCAGTCGCGTGTGTTAACTTGACATTACATTCTAATAGCCCACAAGGAATTCACGCAAGCTGTTGAGGCCAAACAGATTGCACAACAAGACGCGGAACGAGCCAAGTTCATCGTCGAAAAGGTATCTGTCCTATCACTACGACTGGGCGCGTAATTGACAGAACCTATAGGCAGAACAAGAACGACAAGCGGCCGTTATTCGAGCAGAGGGTGAGGCTGAAGCTGCTGCCACTATTTCTAAAGCATTGGAACGGGCTGGGGAGGCATTTGTGGCATTCCGAAAGATTGAGGCGGCAAAAGCCATTGTTCAATCACTGTCGAGTAACCCGGGGATCTCTTATGTTCCTGCTAGCTCTGGTAATTTGTTGTTACAAGTACCTAAGTAGGTCAAATCTGAGTTGCGTTGTTTGTTTGCCGAGTGTGTGATCAATCCGTGTGAACTTGTGAAACAGCTTTGCTCTTGACCTCACCAGCTCGGTTCGGTTTCTCTCTCTCTCTCCGTCTCTCTCCGTCTCTCCTCTCCTCTGTCTCTCTCCTCCCTCTGTTTCTGACTGTATTCTGATATCGGTCTTTCGTGCGTAGTCCCTTTCACTCTCCCCATCGACTATCACTTATTCGTGTCACCAGCATCTCATTTCCCTTCCTATTTCCAGTCCAAACATGAATATGATGAGTGTGGCTGAGGCTCCGGTGAGTGCTTTACTTTTTTTGCGTCTACGCTAGCCTCATCGTCACCTAGAGACGAGCTCATCTTTATGTCGGGAACTTGAGTCCTCGAGTGACTGAGTACATGCTCACCGAGATTTTCGCTGTCGCTGGCCCAGTCCAGCATGTAAAAATCATTCCCGACCGCAACTACCAGCATGGAGGCCTCAACTACGGTTTCGTCGAGTACATGGACATGCGTGCAGCAGAAACTGCCCTCCAGACCTTGAATGGCCGCAAAATCTTCGATACTGAGATCCGCGTCAACTGGGCGTACCAAGGCCAGCAAAACAAGGAAGATACTACTGGTCATTACCACGTTTTCGTCGGCGATTTGAGCCCTGAGGTCAATGACGAAGTTCTTGGCAAGGCTTTTAGTGCGTTCGGCACTATGTCCGATGCTCGAGTTATGTGGGATATGAACTCTGGCAAGTCCCGTGGCTATGGATTCCTTGCTTTCCGCGACAAGACGGATGCTGAGCAGGCTATTGCGACGATGAATGGTGAATGGCTCGGATCACGTGCCATCCGTGTCAACTGGGCCAACCAGAAAACTCAAGGTGGAGGAACTACGGGTTCACCCATGCCCCCAATGCCTGCTGCAGCTCCTGCTAGACCGGCCGGAACCGGAATGGCCTCTCCGATGGGAATGGGTGGCGGTGCTCCGGCTGCTGCCCCCATGAATTTCCAAGGCGGACCCATGTCCTACGAAGCGACTCTGTCGCAAACTCCTGCCTATAACAGCACTGTCTATGTCGGAAACTTGGTACCCTACTGCACCCAGGCCGACCTTATTCCCTTGTTCCAATCCATCGGCTACTTGTCCGAAATTCGCATGCAGGCTGATCGTGGTTTCGCTTTCGTCAAACTCGACACTCACGAGCACGCTGCTCAGGCCATCGTACAATTGCAAGGCCAGAATGTCCACGGTCGTCCTATCAAGTGTAGCTGGGGCAAAGATAGAAACGATGGTACTGGAGGCCAACCCATGAGTCCTGCAACCAACGCCAACCCCTACGGAAATCTTGTATGTTTTTCTTTCCCATCTGATGCCTGACTAATTTCTTCGTCTCAGCCCATGTATGGCATGCCACAGGCAGCTTCCTACGGGCAATATGGTTTTGGCGCTTACCCCGGTTTCAATCAAGCTGGTGGCGCTGGAGTTCCTGGTTCGCCTGGTATGCCTCAGCCAGCGGGCGCTGCTGGTCTTGGTTTGGGAGCTGGTGCTGGCCAACCTTCTACTGATCCGAACGCACTCGCTGGTCAAGCCGGCCAGGCCCAATGGGGTGCCGATCCTAACTCGTATTATTCCAATTACTGGGGTGGTTCGTTTATTCCGGCTTTGCAGTATATTTATTTGCTCACTTTTTTCTTTCTTCACAGGCTATTATGGCCAGCAACAAGGCGCAGAGGCTCAAATGCAAGGTCCTTAAGTGTACTAATAGAAAGTTCCCTCAAAGTGTAGCTCAATCCCTCAACATTCATTGCCCTACTTTTTCGAGCTATTTCCATTACCGCCCCAAAAATACTTGACCATATGTATCTCCAGTTCTCTTTACTCAGTGTCAGTTTCCTGAACAATCAAAGTCTTTTTTCTGCCGTCCGTTTATTGAGGATATAGAATTAAAAGCGGGGTATGGAGGAGAACAGAGTTGTGAAATTAGTCGTCGACTATTAGCCATTCGGCGTCAGATCCATGCCCTTCGCCGCTGGAGATTGCGTCCCATCCGTCTTCTTTATCGGCTGTTCTGTCTCCTCCTCCTCCCCGTTTCCCGACACCGACGATTGTGAAGCAGAGTCTATGCCATTTCCATCAGCCCCGTCGCGCCATGTAAGCACTGTCTGATGGCGAGAGCGCATGTCCTCATAAAACTCGTTGGCTTCGTTCATCTTGTTAGCCTCGCTTTGTTTGGCATCCAACCAGCGTTGTAACAATTTTGCGTTATCTTTAGTGAGGGTTTGATTTCGGTCTTCGATCTGGCCAAGCTCTAGCTGCAACGTGCTGATTTCATCGTGGAGAATCTACATATTGATGAGCAAACGCCAATAATAACGCGAAATAAAAACTTGCCTGTACAGTCCGATCTTTCTCTGTCATGAGCTCATTGTGTTGGTCAACCTTGCGTCGAAGGACTGTGAGCTCGTCTCGGGTTTTCCTGAGTGCTTCTGAATCAACTCGAGACAGTTCTTCCTTTTCTCGCAGGGTCTCGTTCATGGCAAGCAGTCTCTGGGCATTCTGGCCTTGTGTTTTGTAGACTGTGGCCAGTTCATCACGTAGAGATGATATCTGCGACTCCAGAGAGGCCATATAAGCCGCTCGGACGGGATTGCTGATCGTTTCATAAGCATTGGCATTGTAAACATCCGCATGCTGCTTACTCTTCGCCAGGTGTTGGAGTACCTGAGTTGCCTGGAGTTGTCGGGCCAGAACGGGCTGTACCAACAGCCCGCAGAAGAGAGGCATTGCGCTCCTTCAAGAGTTTGGCTTGTTGGGCCAACTTTCGATCTGAAAACCAGAGTCAACATTCATTGAGGCAGGAATCGGAAGACTACATTGTTCGATTATTGGCGCAAAAGATGACTCGCGGGTATTGCGCTCAGTCAGACGAAGGCGGATGGACTCCTGCCAGGCAGGCTCTGCCATTTGAATGACGAGGGACGAGTTGAAGTCACCACCCGTGTGACACCTTATCGCTTCAACGCCCACTTGATGTCAGGTATGGGCCGCGTATTGCTCAAGGTGAGCCTCTTTTTTCCCCTCTTCTGCCCTCTTGCTTGTTCCTTGCTAATATTCAACTCTAGGTTATCATTCTCGGCGACAGCGGGTTGGTTAACTGCGCGGTCATAAGCCCCAGCTCCTGACATGTAACTTTCTAGCGTCGGCAAGACGTCTCTCATGAACCAGTATGTGAACAAACGGTTCAGCAATCAATATAAGGCGACAATTGGCGCAGACTTGTGTGTTCTCTCAGCCCTAAGCTCCACTACGTCTAACTCCGCCCGCAGTCTAACAAAGGAAGTCATGGTTGACGACCGACTCGTCACGATGCAGGTGCGTTGGGCATTCTGTGGTATCATCATTCCTCCAACTTCACCTTAAAAAGTTATGGGACACGGCCGGTCAAGAGCGCTTCCAGTCATTGGGTGTTGCATTCTACCGAGGAGCCGACTGCTGTGTGCTGGTTTACGACGTAAATAGTGCAAAGTCTTTCGAGACGCTCGACAGCTGGCGCGATGAATTCCTCATCCAAGCTAGCCCCCATGACCCGGAGAACTTCCCCTTCGTTGTGTTGGGCAACAAGATTGATGTTGAGGAGAACAAGCGACAGGCACGTATTTATCCTATCTTCTTTCTCTTGTCCCTTATTCTCTTCTTCAGGTGACCCAGAAGCGTGCTATGACCTGGTGCCAGTCAAAGGGCAACATCCCGTACTTCGAAACGTCAGCGAAGGAAGCCATCAACGTTGAGCAAGCATTCCAGACGGTAGCCAAGAATGCCCTGCAGCAAGAGCAGGAAGAGTCTTTGTCAGATATTCCCGTCGTGGACCTGAACCCGCCTTCTAACAAATCGCTATCTGACAGGTATGTTGACTACCCGGACCCGATCCAACTCGACGCGGAGAGCTCACAAAGCTATAGCTGCAACTGCTAAGGAGGAAGGAATTTCATGCTGTCCTACATAGTTTACCATTTCTCATCACCTCCATAATGTCTTTCTTTTCTACGTGCTATACCTCCAATGACGACTTGTACAACTGGATGAGGATTAATTTTCGGAGTCACAACTTGTCACGGCAACCAAACTTGGCATGCACTTCGACCCAGTTCCACTAAAACCATGGCTTGTCCGCACACTCGAACCTATGTTCGTTTTAGACACACGGCTTAAGGCAACTCTAATGATCTAATCCAGATGCGATGCGGAGCCCGGAGCCCTTGCTGACTATATACTCGCGTTATTGAAGCATAATGTGCCAGAATCTGAAATGCGCAACGAATTGGCCGTGCAGTTGGACGAGTTTCTTGAGAAGGGTGTGTACCAAACCTTGTTATAGTCAATTTATACGCTAATCCTTCCCAGAATGCAGACCCTTTCTCGATATTTTATTCACTGCAATTCGCACCAAATCATATCTTCCTTACGCCGCTTTCCCTACCTCCTCCACACATCCTGACATGCCACCCGACGTTGGATCTTCCCCAGGTGGTACTCGCAAACGAAGCTTTGAGGGCGACCAGCTAGACGACAGACCAAATAAGGGACCTCGACTGAGTAATGGAGACGGGGACTCTCGCTGGGGAGGAAGGGGCGATATAAACCCAAGTGGTTATCGGGATCGTGACCAGCCGCAGCACATGAACGGCGGTAGACGCAACGCTCCCGTCTACGCTCCGCCTGAACAAAAACGAGGGATATGCAGAGATTACCACAGTGCGTTTCAAGTGATTTTTTTTTCCCTTGAAAACTTGCCTAACCGATAACTAAAGATAATGGCTACTGTTCTCGAGGAGCATACTGCAAATTCAGCCATGGCGAAGACGCTGTAGTTCCTGGACAACTTTTTGCTGTCAATGGTGGGGGAATGCCTGGTGTACCCTTCATGCCGATGTTCCCAGCTGGATTTGTCAGCCCAACTCCAGCATACGACCCCCATGAATCTCGAATGGATATGCGGCCAACAAATGGTGCTGTCCGCCCACAACCTCGAGCCCCGTTGATATCTCGCGCTCAACAACAGGATGGAGGCCCCATGCTTCCTTCTGGAGAGCTTCCCGTTATCCAAGACCTTACACCCCCGACAATTGACCCACAAACGCAAACTCAACCCCCACTCATGACCCCAATACCGCCAGAAAACTACAACAACAACATGCCAATGGATGTCGATAACTCATATCCTATGGGTGGGCCCAGTCGGCCTCTACCATTCCGTGGCCGTGGCGCACCGCGAACGAAAGGTGTATTCAACGGGGAAGTCCATAAATTCAACGGGGAGCGACGCAATGATAAAACTCTCGTCGTCGAGAAAATACCTCAAGAAAAGCTCAGTCTGGAAGCAGTCAATGACTGGTTCAAACGTTTTGGGACAGTGACTAATGTCGCCATCGACACCTCGGGCGGAAAAGCGTTGGTCAGTTTCTCGAATAACGACGAGGCCCGTGCAGCCTGGAAATCGGAGGACGCTGTATTCGGCAATCGTTTTGTCAAAGTATTTTGGCACCGCCCGATGGAAGGCCAAGGTCAGAACGGTGCCCGAATGCTTGCTGCTTCAGCGCCGATTGTTGCCAATATCACCACTAAACCCGACCCACCCGTTCCCACCCCTCCAGCCCCAAGACCGACATCTTCAGTTCCACGAAAAGCTGCTTCAACAGCGTCCACGGCGTTGGCAGCCAAGCAGCAACTCCTCGAAAAACAGATCGCCGAACAGAAAGCGCTGATGGCTTCTTTGGCTACTGCTTCTGCAGACGAAAAGAAGGATATCATGGCGAAGCTAAGGAAGCTTGGGGAGGAAATGACTTCGGCACCAAAGGCTGACGACCCTGCATCGAAAGAGCGAGAGAGATTAGATAAGGAGCTCGAATTGCATAGTGCGGTGGGAAAGGTTGAAAGTGAGGAGACAACAGAAGATCTCAAGGCCAAGTTGGAGCGCTTGAAGGAGGAGGTAACGGATTGAGCCTCCTTAAGTTGAGTTGAGCTGACGCATTTGTACAGGCTGCCAGTCTTGGATTGTCAGAGTCTGGCCCAGAAACTTCGTGGAATGGTGCATCATATCGTGGTTATAGAGGACGAGGGCGAGGAGCTCGGAGTTTCTATCGTGGCGGTGCATTCGCGCGCGGCGGGCCCCCACGAGGAAGCATGAAGCTCGATAACCGGCCCAAGAAGCTTCTGGTCAAGGGTGCCAAAGAAGACAGTCTTCAAGCGGTCAAGGACTGGTATGACGTACGTTTTCATTTCCGTGGTTTCTTACTTAGTGCACTAATCTAAACATTGAAGACCACGGGCCAGGTGGAATCTGTTGCCCCAGCAGATGATGGAGATATTCTGGTCTCTTTCTACTCCCGAGCAGCAGCTGAGCAGGTCAACTTGTGTCAATTTTCTCCTTTGGCCATTGCTAACAAACGAACAGGGACTCGCTAAAGGACAGAACATCTCTTTGGTTGGACCCGTTCATATTTCGTGGTACACTGGTGCTCCGAGCAATTCGACACTGACCAAATCCGACTTACCCCTCGACCCACCAGACGAAAGGCCGCCTTCACCGGGCCTGGAAGAGGAGGAAGTCGCTGGCGGCTGGGGAGACGGTGACGACGACGGGATGGGAATGCCTTGAATTTGCCTTTGCTTGTAACATTATCTTTGCTGCTGCTGCTGCCGCTGCTGTTGCTGTCTTTGAGGTTGCTCAATCAATGCGCCTCTCTTCCGTCATGAAAGTCATCTATTGTCCCCAAAGCTCTGGAAACAGAGTCCCAATGATACAATCCAGAAGTAACATGATCAAGTGGACATTACACTCGCGACTCGACAGCGGGTCAATGGCTGTTGCGAGGGTCATGCTGGGGTCGGGACCCAGGAATAAGGGCAGAATGTGGGTTTCCACTAAGCGTTTGGTCAACTGTGGCATATTGTTGTTGACCAGAAAAACATACCCCAACCCGACTTGCCGCGATATGCAAGTAAACGAGCTCGCATCTGTGCTTGTTCCTCAAGGGTTGGGTCGATCGGTGGGGGCGCTGGGTAGCCATTAGGGAATAGTGTTCGTTTCGCGTTTCGTATCGTCGTTAGAAGGAGCTTGGGTGAAAGCGCCTGCATTAGAAGGTAAGGGAGTAGTCTGGGGTTAACGACATCAGCAGAAGCATCGAATGGAAGGGTAGCAACTTGCCGGTCCAGGAATGGCGTAAATGAGACAGCGAGGAGCAGGAGGGGGTGCATGATCGACGATGCAGCCATTCGCGCTTGTGTGGAGAAGATCTCGGAAACAAGGTACAAGGCTGGAAGCGCATAGTCGTTGGTCAAGGGGGCAGAAGGTGGGTTGGAGGTCAGTGTGGTATCCTGTGAGGGTGTGTATGATGATACCGAAGAGGACGCTGAGATGGATGGTGAAAGAGGTACAGGCAATGGTGTAGAAACGCGTCTGCTGATAGGTGGTCGGGTGGGCGTCTGGTTCACCCGCTTTATTGTGCTGACTGCTTGCTTGTACGCGTTTATCATGGCGAGACAGGTGCCTGACAATGTTTGGATGGCTGATAGAAAGACGACAATCAGGGTGTGGAATGAAAGGGGAGAGGCGGCGGGGGACTCTGGTCGAGACTGCGGTGATGTAAGTTAAGTAGACGGTCAGTTTTAACCTGCTGACGTACTTCGGGGAGTACCATATCATCTTGACCCAGCTGGTCGAGGATAATTTTGTGAATGAACCATGGCTGGGTGATCTTGGGTATAACGTCCTTTAAAAGAATCTTGAGCACTATTTCACGTATGACAAAGCGCTCTGGGTCTGGAGCATAGTCTTCTGGGGGAAGGCAAGATTTTAGAATATGGTCGATTATTTGACGCATGTACTCTTCGTCAATGCTGCCATCGGCGGAGACTGCCATGTGGGGTTGGAGGTTGTGAAATAGGACTGGGATGGGAAGGGCTCCACCAGAAGCATAAGAAGAGTTGGCCTTGGCTTCAGCATTACGGTAGTCGCGGTAATGCTGAGTAACAATGGTTGGGACATCGCGGAAAACGAGGGGGGCAAGATCGCGGCCGTGAACGCGTGTTTCCAAAGCTCTCACAACATGGGTAAGGATCCTTGTTATGTCAGGAAGAAACTGCTTGTCGTAGCGAGTGATTTTCGTCCACCATGGATTCACAAACGCGCGAAGAGCAAGCGCTATGAAATCATAGACCTCGGCTGTAAGCTCTGGTGGCGTATTTGGCGACGAAAATAATGGAGGGATGTCGCCAGTAGAATTGGGGAACAGTAACCGCTTGGCAAGGTTTGGTTGGTTTGGCCCTTTGGACTGCGACACAATCGAGGGAGTGGGCATCGGGCGTCACGGCGTGACACGTAGATTTGGTCTTCGACTGCCATCTGGGACGGGCTGTAAGCCCAACCAACCCTCTTCCCCCTCTGGCCCACTCATGCCACTCCCTATAACAACGCTCATTGCGATCATTGTTCCGTCGAGTGCTGGCCTTCTCATCTTTCTCCTCATCATCTACTTGAGATGTTTGCGACAAACCCACAAGCCGGTTCCTCTCCCACCTAAACAAGAGCTGGCTCGTTACCGCGAACCTCACATTGTTACTGCTTCGTCCCAACTGGCCCGCCAGCCGACATGGTACGACCCTGGAAAACTCTCTGCCCCCGCGTCTCTGGCGCCCTTTAGCACAAGCCGGTCGTCGCTTGTCCCGCCAGACAACAGTCTGTCCCGCCATGCCAGCTTTCAAGCGAGCGAAACCCTTTCAGAGGACCTGTCCTACGATGCACACCCCATATCCGTGGCCTCCCTGGCATTACCTCATCTCTCCTTCGACAACAGCAGCACGTCCCTGTCGACTGTTGAAACCGACTCCCCACCAATTATCTCTGCGACGAACTCCTCATTCTCTCTACACCATCAATCTCGCAGGCCATCATCCTCTTCACGACCCCCCCGTCGCCACCGACCCCTCTCTGTTGGATCGAGTTCTCATAATACAATTCGTGGTGTTCCTCATGGCCCTCATAGCCAAGTCCAAATTGTCCTCCCCCAGCCCCTCGCGTTTCAAAGTGGCCCCAACCACCCGCCACAACAGCGGTATAGCGTTGTTGATCAATGGGCGCTTACTTCCACCCGTTCTTACCAACCACAACCACAACCACAGCAACCAATACCCCGGCCGTTGAGCTGTACGTAATTAAATACCCTGCCTTCATATTGTTTTGAATGATATTCAGCTGCGCCTCGACGATCGACCTCACAGTCGAGCCTTGGCCACGCGCGCCGACCTGTATCAACCACTTCTACTTCTGTACCTAGAGACCCCCTTCCCCACCAGCACCATATTCCACCAGTGCCCCGCCTGCCCCCGGAATTAGTCGCATCTCTGACAGGAGCGACGGAAAATTTCGAGCGCGGGCGCTCGCACGAAATGTCCACTGATCGAATACCCCTTCCTGTAGATAAACCACCTCCACCACCAGCAAAAATACTACAGAAACGCAGTCGCTCGAGAGGAAGAAGTGGAAGCTGAACACACAGACTTTTGTTGTACTTAGATTTACGATTTTCTTACGTACAAGATTTAATCAATGTCAAAGGATTTTGTGACCGGACCGAAAGTCGAGTCACACTGGTTGCTCATGAACCAATTACTGCTCCGCGCCGCGCGCCACCGTTCTCCTCAATGGACTTCCCAGCGGTTCCTTGTAACAAAAAACGCTATTCCGGATCCCATGACGGGAGAACTCATGCCTCCAACACCTGATATCCAGGTAAAACTCGATGGCAAACATTCAACGACCCTCGAATCAATCTGTCCTAGCCAAACCTTCTCCAAATAAAGCGCAACGCAAACCCAAAGACACCACCTCCAGCGCAATCACTTGTCTTTGGTCGCACGTTTGTTAGTTGTGCAGCTCCAGGGCAAATCTGCCATGCTCATTCAGACAATTTTTTAGACAGACCATATGTTGGCCATCCCGTGGGATGCTGTCTCTGGTTGGGGCGTGCCTGAAATAAAGCCTTGTTCGTCGCGTCTTCGCTTTACTTTTTTCTAAGCCTGTGCTAGATGGTCCGTTGGAGATGGAGCCAAGTGCGACTGTGCTGCATTATGCTCAGACGCTCTTCGAGGGAATGAAAGCCTACCGCGACGAGCATGGCAAAGTAACTCTCTTCCGTCCTGACATGAACATGAAGCGAATGAACAACAGTGCTCAACGTCTTGCGTTGCCGGTATATATCAGTCTCGCCGTCTGTGGTGGATATTCTCAGAATTTTAGACCTTCAACGGGGACGCATTGCTCGACCTTATCAAGCGGCTTATCTCCCTCGACAGGCACTGGATCCCCAAAGAGCCAGGCCACAGTCTCTATGTCCGCCCAACACTGAGTATGTTTACTTCCCGCAAGTCAAGATCCGTGAAGCTGAATCATCATTGAGTTGGCACGCAGAAAGCGATCGGCGTAGGTCCTCCGAATGAGGCCCTTCTCTTCGTTATCCTTAGTCCTGTCGGCCCATATTACGCATCGGGCTTCAAACCAGTAGCCTTGTATGGAACGACGGAGTTTGTTCGCGCGGCTCCAGGCGGTTCGTTATGCACTAGTAACCCACTTTTAGCTGATGGTAGCACAGGCACTGGCGCTTACAAGCTGGGTGTAAACTACGCCCCTGGCGTATTGCCCCAAAAATCTGTTGCTGCACTTGGCTACTCACAAAACTTATGGCTCCACGGACCAGACCATGAGCTAACGGAAGTGAGTCTTCTCCCCCGCAGTTTCTTTGTACAGAAGCTTATGAGAAAAGGTTGGCACAATGAACATGTTTGTTGTGTTCAAGACTGCGGATGGTGGACTCGAACTCGTTACGCCTCCGCTGGATGGAATGATCCTCCCTGGCGTCACTCGCGACTCTGTGCTCACTCTGGCTCGCGAACATATTTCTGGCGTCAAACAGCTTCCTGAGCTCTCGGACAAGCTTGTTGTTTCAGAGAGGACGGTCACGATGAAGGAGGTCAAAGCAGCGGAGAAGGCAGGGACGCTAGTAGAGATGTTTGGTGCGGGGACCGCTGCTGTTATCAGCCCTGTGAATAGGATTGGGTACATGGGCGAAGACGTCCACATTCCAACGGGAGAGGATGGCATGGGTCCCGTGTCACGGCCAATATGGACAGAACTCGTTGGCAGGCAATGGGGCAAGATTCCCAGCGACTGGAGCGTTTCCATAGATTAAAATAATGGTTAAATATCCTATTTTTAAACAAGTGAAGACTCCTTGAGCACTTGGGTGAGCACTTCGTTTGCTTCAAACGCTTCAGCACCTAGATAAGATTCGGCTGATGAGCAATCAACAGATAATTTGGGCTCACCTTGCACACAGCGTAGAGTATTCGACCGGGAGGATTCCTGCATCTCTCCGGCGAGCACCAACTCGTCCAAAACCTAAAAAAAATTGAGTGTGAAGGTCAAATCAAGCCTCCAAGTAAAGAATTTACCGCGTAAGCTTTTTGAAAGTTGAAGATACTTTGAGTCGTGGATTAGCCCACAGTGCAAGACCGAAGAGCAAGGACGGACAGGTCAAGCTCCGTCACGTTGGAGAAATAACGGTCGAGAATTTCGACATAGCGGTGGAGGACTTCGAGCGTTATCAGCTCGTTGTCCGTTGGGTCTATCGCACAAACAAAGAAAAGCGACGCGTAGCGCCTATAGATGAGGCGGGTGTCCTTATATTCAAGCACATTGCACATTCGAGGTCGCCTCGCAAGCACCCGAGTGGTAACATCTTGCACTATTCGCGCCTTCGCTTTGGAAGGCATGGTCTTGTACCACTTGGCAAGGCGCACTTTTCCTGACACGACACAAGGGTTATCCGACTCTGTGAACACCCAGCCAAGCTCACCTTGTCGTGATATCAACAGCACATAATTGAGCATCGCAACAAGCGCGGAAAATCAGCCACGGTCACGTGGATGAAATGCTCTTGATCTGCGACCTCCAAGCCGTTGCACCTGCACCGTCATTAGACCACTTGCCCACCGAAATTCTACAGGAAATAATATCATACGTATCTTCTGGAGGGAAGCTGATTCCAAAGTGCGCCGCTCATTTGTTTACATTTCTTGGTTTAACTCATTTTTAGACACTTTCAGACGCTATATGCCATAGCCAAAGTGAATAGACGATTCAGAGCGTTGATATTGGCTCAATTACATGCGCAAATTAGTGTCCCGTCCCTCAGTCGTCTTGAGCGAGTGTTAGACAACTTCAAGCCCCACTTCCCCTTGATCGTGTAGGTGCTCCCCTCAGCTTTTGCATTCTCTCAACGCATCTAGAGCGCTACGCGTATCTCACTCTCACCTCTTTCCTGTTGGCACCACCTTCCACGAAGGCGTCAGATTCACCCACCGACGGTTTCCTTGTGCTCTATATCTTCTGCCGAACCTTACAGTGTTGGACTGTCTCGACTTTTGTTTCGGCCCCACGCAGCTCTCGTCTGTTCTGGGCCGTCTTCGCAGCCAGATAGAAACCGTCCGAGTCGGCTGGAACGGGACTCAGCCCTTTCTCTTCGCCCAGTACCCCGCATTGACACACCTCTTCATCCATGTTCAAAAAGGGAGAACCCCGGAAAATCTCGTTTCCCGCCTTGAACTCCACGCGCTCGGACTGCGCGCCACTGAAGACCCTCACTGTTATCGACGGCTTGCGCTGGTTCGAAAGGGCTGTCCTGGAGCGCCATCGTTTCTCTGAACTGACAAATCTGGAGTTGTTTGCTTGTGCTGCACATCCGACTGCCATAATTGGCTTCATAGCGGAACACCCAAACTTGCACGCGGTTTCGCTTGACCCTATTGAGCTGTCTGTCCCGTTGGCACTCATCGTCGCTGCGAGTGCCTTCCGGCGACGCGAGCTGCGACTCGACTTGACGACTTTGCAGTGGGAGGGACCACCACTGAACTTGGCGCCCGCTTCTACCCGTCTTGCAGTGTTCAATTTCGCCAATGTCGACAATTTGTCGTTTACCCGTCGCGGGCCATTGAGCGCTGCCGTCCATGACCATGACCATGGCCTGCAGAGCCTCTCTCTGTCGTTTTCCGCCTTGTTGAACTTGTCGCAGCTCATGGCTCTCGGTGCGATCCCTACTATTCTACCTCAATGCGGCGAACTCAATCTTAAACTACTCGGCACGACGCTGCAGACGACCGAGGCCCTCCTTGTTTGTCATCGCTTCGCTACGCTGTGCTCACTTTTCTAACCTCGACAGGATCGTCTGGGACAAAGCCTTTCCAAGTGGAATCATCTCACGACCCTTAAGCTGGCGTGCATACTCCCCGACGATTGGGAGACCTCCCTGGAACTACCGCTCCCTGTGGATCATCACGGCCGCCCATTCCCCCCGACTGAAAACAGCCCCACACCGATGGACACTTGGTATGCAGCCACAGTCCAGTCTGCAGCGCGTTATGTTCGGGCATTGGCGGCGCAGGTCACGGGACTAGCGGTGTTTGAATGGAGCTTACGGCCAGATAGCTTCACGAGAAGTAGCTGGGGGCCTTTGCAGCCGCCGCTCTGGCGCTGGGACATAATTCGGGACCCAGACGGGAGCATCAGGCTGTTGAACGAGCACTTGACTTGGGACGGGCAGATTAACCATCCACCTTATAGCCGATACCACTAAATTCAGAAAATATTGCTTACCACTAAATTCAGAAAATATTGCTTTCATAGTTACAAATACTTTACACTGCTGCTTAGCGTGGTCTCTATAACTTGAACGCCGTGCGCGAGTATTGGACTGCTGCAGAAGCGGCATCGTCCACGAACCAGTAGAGCTGGCCTGGGGAAACCGGTTTGACACGGGATGAGGGGAGGCCTTTCTCTGGCTCATCAAGGACGGTGCGCAACATTTCGACCTTGCCCGCGCCAGACGCAACAAAGGCAACGCGGAGGGCATGGTTGATGACGGGATAGGTAAACGTAATTCGCTTCGGCGGGGGCTTGGGCGAGTCGTCGAGCCAGGCAATCCAGCGGTCGTCTTCGGCGAGGAGGGCGTGACCGGGAAAGAGTGACGCGGTGTGGCCGTCTGGGCCCATGCCGAGAAGGATCAGATCAAACACGGGAAATCGCGCGGCATCTTTTTGCGCAAACTCGCGGATAAGCTCCTTCTCGTATGTGTCTGCCAGCTCCTCCAAGTCATCGAGAAGACTCGTGTCGATAGCGTGGATCTGTTCTGGCGGAATGGCCACCTTGGAGAAGAGGGTGTCGGTGCAAAGCAGGTGATTCGAGTCGGGGTCGTCGAGTGGGACAACGCGCTCGTCAGCATAGAAGACATGCCTGATTATTAATTGACAACGACACAAAGAAACAAGCACAACACACCATTTGTCCCATTTGACAGAGGGATGTCCAATGAGGCCACTCAGCATCTTGGGCAGCGACCCGCCAGATAACGCCACCGTGAACCGTCCTTTCTTCTCAACCGCCTCTTTCTGCGCCTTCAGGATAAAGCTGGCCAGGGAGGAGACAAGCGATCCTGCATCTGGGAAGGAGTATAGGATCGGTGGATGGGGGGCTGGATGCGCCATGAGTAGTAAGTAGGTGTTGTGACGTCACGCGATGCAGGAATCCTTATCGATTTGTCAGCGCTTCTCAATGTACCCACTCCAGTTGCTGGAGGTTAGAAGGTAGCCTATTGCTTAGGACCCCTCAGACATTGACAATACGGAATCACTCATGAAGGACTCAAATAAGAACGAGGAGTTGAATTTCAGGAACAACTAGAGACTGGAGTCGTCGAATAACTAGACAGCATTAGCTATTTCGAAGGATAAGCCTGCTTGATCAAAAAAAAAATACCATGGCCCATTCGGTTCCTAATTTCGCCAAGTTTAATTGCAGACCTTGAAACATCTCCAGGTCGTCGCCTGCGTTTCCGTCCCTGTTTGGGCGAAGCAACAACGAGTTCCCGAGTCAGCACGGCAATATTAGCTGGCTCGGGGTTTGGCCTGCTCCCATTGGCTGCCGTTGCCGCGGTCGCGATGGCCGACGTCAGGGGGCATGTGCTGTGTGTCTGCGAAAGATGGGCGACAGCCGACAACACAGGAAGACGATGTTAGCGAATGTAACGTATTTGAAGAATGGTGACGAATATTTTGAGGACGGGGGGAGTGTGGGTGCAGGGGATCATCGATCAGGGGGTCATGGTGGGGAGGAAGGGTGGGCATAGGTGTGGATGGAGAATTGAATGTTGGGCTGGACAAGGCAATCACAGAGACAAACACAAATAAATGCGTACAGCGTATCGGAGAGAGAGAGAGAGACAGGTTGGAGGATAGAACGTTGATAAGCCTTAAAGAGCCTAACTTGACGGTGGTCGGGCAGAACATGTTAGTCGACGACGACGACGATTTTGCATAGCCGATATATTATTATTATTTCTGCACTTGCTGAGTTGTGCCCAGAGGTGTTGCAGGTCGAGAAATGCTCTCTATCTTCGAGTTTTTTTGGGCCAGGAAGGGCATGAGGAAGGTAAGAAAGCAGAACGAAGAGGGGGAGTGGAAACAACACGCGAAAAAGGCGCTATCTCGTATTTATACCGGACCCGGAGGAGTGGCTTGTCACGCCAAGGTGAGCCTCTTGTGCTGTGATGGTGATGGCAAATCGCCGGTCTTCTGGCCCCGAAAATTCAAGAAAATACATTTCGGGCACTGGCGCAGTGAGCTCCGGCTACTACAAGCCGTTCTACTAGCATTGGCTGCGAGCCAGCAGCGTCCGAGCCAGCCTTGACTTGCTTCAGATGCAAGACGGCGGTTTTGCAGGATTGAGCCTTTTGTGCTGACACTTGATTGGCGTGATGGCGAAGCGCTGCCTTGCCCAAATTTATCTATCACTATACGCTGCTTGTAGTGGGAGACTAAACATCTCAAAAATTGCTTCTGAAGGTGTGCCCCAGCCTCTGACTCCCTCGACTCTACTATCCATCCGCGTCCCGAGAATCACCCCTACCACAGCCCCCGTTTCCTCGTCTACAATCGGTCCACCACTCGACCCAGACGTTGGGAGCGTCGAAACAAACATATTCGCTAGCGAATCATACGTCCCAGGCTACAATATCAGGCATAGGAAAACAAGACCATACTCAGCTCACCTCGGTTTCCCGACCAGCAAAATCACGATACGAGACAACCTTCCCCCGAGAGCATTTCCTCCAAGAGCCTCCGATCCAAGGGGTCCAGTCATCTCCAGTCGAAGGAGAGTGGGAGACAAAGTGCGTCAACACCGAAATGTCACGCGGTGCAGGATACGGCGAGACAGGCAGTGTTTTGAGCTCAACCGGAGTTTGGAGCAAGAGCAAGTCGGACTGCGGGAGAGCAGCCAATATGGCTGAGACGGGCGATACAAGCATTTCCCCAGAAGGGCCTGCAGAGACGACAAAAGAGCCCGAATCAAGTTTGCCGTTGGCTAAAAGAGTTGAACGACGGAGCTGACTGCCTATTCGGTGAGTATAGACGGGTCATGAGAATTCATACCTCTTCCAAAGTATGAGCACAAGTAACGACAGTGGCCCCGTCAGGATTCGGCGTGTCCAGCGCAAAGCCGGACGAAACAGTTACTTGATGGTCCCCATTCTGGTTTCGCACGCAGTGAGCGACGAGTACAATACCCTCGCCCGTCTCTAACCGAGCTCGACGCTCTTTTGGTGGGCGTGATTCATAGGGAAGCGCATAAGGCAGAACGCGACCAGAGTATCGAGAGAACTGGTCCAGTATCGTGGGAAGGCTCGTTTGGGATGGCGTTCTAGAGAGTTTGTCGAATAGAAGTGCGTCGAGCCAGCTTGATTCAGAGTTGCGAGGTAAGCTTTTAGCCAATGTCGCAAAACATCGAGTGACGGAACGCGACAACATCAGGATGAGATCATTTGATAGAGTAATCAGTAAGTACAAGTTACAACTTTAAGTATTTCAATGCCACCTAGATACCCTACATACGATGCCCAAGGTTGATCTGGAAGGTATATTATAGCAGTGACCCAGAGCAAACAAGAAATAGGACCCACGTGGACACTTTTGACTGCGACGTAATTCGCCAGTGCGTGCTCTCCTGCAGTTCCCAGGTCAAATCGAGTAACTTAGCAAATGGAAGAGACTTACCAAGTTCCCTTCCGATACCACTCTGTTTGTATCCACCGAACGGGACTTGAACATGGAGTTGATTGACACAGTTCACCTAAAAGACGAGCAATCAGTCACCAGACCAACACGTGACCGCGAAAGCTACTGACCCAAGCTGTTCCCGCTTGAAGTTTGTGCGCTGTTTCGATCGCGCGATTGATGTTTTGTGAGAAGACCGCAGCAGCAAGACCATATAGAGTGTCATTGGCTTGCCGGATAACATCTGCGCAAAGGGAGTCAGTCGCGTTCCAACCCAGAGGCTCACCAATCGCGCACCTTGCTCATCCGTGAATTTGATAATAACCCCTACTGGCCCGAATATCTCCTCCTGAACAATCTTCATCTGCGAGTTGGTGTCCGTGAAGATTGTTGGCTCGATAAAGTACCCTTCCTGAGAAATGATCAGTACATTTACGACCTGAATGCGCGGTTATGGACCTTTCCAACACGGCCACCACCAAGATGGACTGTAGCCCCGTCGGCTTTGCCAGAGTCAATATACCCCATGATACGCTATTCATGATTCAGACCCAGGAAAGCAATTGGAAAATAAAGACCAACATCAAATTGTTGCTGGCTGACTTGCGGCCCTTGGTCGACCTTTTCGTCAAATGGATCGCCCACAGTGATTGCCTTGGCCTTCTCGGTGAATGCGGCCAGGAACTGGTCATAAATCCCTGCTTGCACGAAGATACGAGAACCGGCGCAACACGCCTGACCATGGTTCCAGCTAGAATTTGATGCGTAAGCTGGCGGAAACGGGACAGATGACCACACACAAGATGCCATGAGCTGCCCATGAGACGGCCTGGTCCAAATCTGCGTCATCGAAGATGATGTTCGGGCTCTTGCCGCCGAGTTCGAGTGTAACGTTCTTGAGGTTTGAGTTGGCAGCAGCAGCCATGACCTGAGAGAACCGGGTCTAGTTGATAGAAAATAAACGGCAAGAAGGAACGGACCTTGCGACCGACGAGAGTTGAGCCGGTAAATGCTACCTTTTCGATGCTCATGTGCTCTGAGATGGCTGCTCCGACGGTGGGGCCAAAACCCACGAGAACGTTGACCACACCATCTGGGAATCCAGCCTACACTCAGCCTCAGAACGGGCTTGCAACATAGAGAAATGGGCGATTGACCTCTTTGATGAGACTGCACATCCTCAACGCGGTGAGTGGGGTGAATTCAGAGGGCTACCACATTCGTCAACTGGTTTATATTGAGCAAAACGACCAGGACGCGCCTTGAGAACAATAGTGTTGCCTGTGGCCAATGCAGGACCGATTTTCCAAGCGAACATGAGTAGAGGGAAGTTCCCTGGGGGGGGTACAGGACGTCAAGCACAGCACATTCGAGGATACCGAAACTTGCAAGGAATAATCTGGCCAACCACGCCGAGGGGCTCATATCTTGGATGAATCGGTCAGTCAACGAAAGCTTCTGATCAGCCGGATTGAACCCACCGAGTGTATGCGAGCTTCTTTTCATCTGTCTCGATGGTCTGTCCCGTGAGTGCCTTGTCGGCCCAGCCAGCGTCTATTTTCCGTGGTTAACGTAAGACGGAAGCAGAACAAAATTGAGTAGCGAACAGTATCTGGGACACGTCAAAAACAAACGAAGTGAGAGAAGCAGGGAAGTGTGTGCGGCTTACTTAATCGTGGAAATGCTAGACGCAACATCGACAGTGCGGGCCCAGGTGATGGTCTTGCCTGTGGTGGTGGTATGGGAAAAGAGAGAAAACCGATAAACAAAGTTCTCACGGACCGTTATCAAGAGCCTCGATAGCAGCTAGCTCGTCGGCATCGCGCTCCATAAGCTGGCCAAGTTTATTGAGTAGCTGGGCGCGCAGCTCTCCGGAGGCATTCAGACCCCAAGTGGTCTCAAAAGCCTTCCTCGCAGCCTTCACAGCTTGGTCGACATGGGAGGGATGAGCTTCATCGACCTTGGTGATAAGTTGGCCATTTGCGGGATTCAGCACTCTTTACAGTCGTGGTAAGCAGTCTGGATGCATCATGGTGAGTCAACATACTCGAGAGTTGTGTCACTCTTCTGGAATTTGCCGTCGATGAAGAGGCCAGTGGGGAACGACGATTTGCCCGTGAAGCCTTTGGACTTGAACTCGTAGGTAAAAGTGGATGCCATTGTTTGAGAGAAAAGGACAAGAGTGCGCGTCAACCTTTATACGTACTGTGGGGCGGTAGATCGGTCTGCTGACTTGTAAATTATTATTCCAAGACCGGCACGGCTCTCCGCTATTTATTGAAACAAACCAAATCTGGGGTAATCTGGGGTAAGATCTGGGGAATATATCAACGCTTCGTAGTCTCGCCCTCGCTGCAACTATCGTCAGCCACCACAAAACTGCCAAAGGCGTATTCGTCCGACTCTGACTCCCCCCGATATGGCGAACTCGAAACAACCGTTGCCCTTTCGCGCTTTTCACCCCCCAATCTTCCGAATAAGCCGTTCCGAACCGGTCGACCGGCAAATATAGGACCTCTCCCCGGTGCTTGCGTGAGCAAGCTTTGACGATAGACCAGACTCTGATCGTAACTGGGCGAGACTTGTGTGTCGGGAAAATCTTTGAGGAATTGTCTATCAGACTCGCTCTCTGGATCCTCCTCTTCAGAACCACCTTCGCTCTCTTCATCGCCGCTGTGTACGGCCTCCAGATCATATAAACCCCGGGGTGGTCGTTTCTTCTCTGATCTGACAGTTGGTTTGTCAACCCTAGCTCCCCGTCGATGTAGTCGACGTTGAACTGGCGATGAATCGACTTGTGGCGACGACTTGATATCGATGATTTGCACTCGTTGCTTGCCGCCTCTCCGAACGGGAAATGAAGGTTGTGGAGGTGAAAAAGCACGGGAGGGTACAGGCGGGGGCGGCATATCATTCTTGACAGGGGTTGAAGCGCGTTGTTTGCCAGCTGCTTTGGCACTTAATGTCTTGACTGGTTCCACAACCTCGACATCGTCGTCATCTTCGTCCAATAGCCACCCAATGTCAGTTGAAGAAGGATTCTTGGCTGTTTTAGGTGGGGCTTATTTACATTTAGAATAATACGTGACTCGAAGAGGCAAAAGACCTGCATGAAGATCCTGAGTCAGACTCGATGTCGATCACCTCAGATGCCTTAGAAAAGGTAATCTTGCTCTTGACACCAGTCGCTCCCGAACCTTTCTTCGTTGTTGCCCGTTTCGTACCTTCCGTCGCAGCCCGTCGAAGCGTCGTCGTGTTGATTGACTTGGTGGTTGTGGCCAACGAGTCGGCAGTCATTGCTCTGTGTCGCAGACCAACAATACCTTCCTCTAACTCCCTGTCCATATCATCGTCTTCGCCCCGTTCTTCGAGTGATCGAGTATCTTCAACTTTTTGGCGTTTGGGTTCTTTAACTGGTTTGGGTTCTTTTACCCTAAGCTTCGACGCCGTGGTAAAGCCCATATTGGCCCCAGTGGGAATGTTGCGTGCCGGGTCATCGTTGCGTTTTCGCTTTGTACCCTTGCTATTTGAGCTTGTTTCCTTGGAACTGGTCCGCTTCTTGTCGTCTCGAACATATCTCTCGATTTCCATTTCTTTTTCAAGGCATTCCGGGCGAATGTGGTCAGGTAAAAGGCGCTCGACGTCACCGTATAGCTCGAGTTGTTCGCCATGCACGATAGCACCATGGACCAATTTCTGCTTATCCATGGCTTTGTCGATGGTTACTTCTTCCCGTCCTTCCGACAAGAGGACATGAACAACACCGTCACGCTTACGGCCCGTTCGGCCAAATCGTTGCAACTATTGCCAATGAGAAGAATAACAGTAAGCCAACCTCAACGTACCACGCGGATCGGGGTACTCTGATTTTCGTAGCATATAATCAGATCAACTTCTCCAATGTCGAGTCCCTCCTCGCCGATAGAGGTAGCTACAAGGATATTGAACTCGTCGGCCTTGAACTTTCGGATGACCTGTACAACGGCATTGTTTATTGGGTGCGGCTTGGTATATAAAATACTCGCCTCGAGCTGTTCCTTCTGAGTAAGTCCCTTGACGCCGTTCTTGTCCTTTCCTTGGCCAATAAAGGGTTGCGCGCGAAGCAAGGGATGATCCTCGTTGAGAAACTTGACTACTTCCTCAACTCCTTCTCGAAATGAAAGGAAAACCATAGCCTTGGTTGATGCAGGCTCCGCTTCCCCGTCACCCAGATTCTTGCCAAAGTGGTCGATAAGAATACGCTTCAGGACCTCCATTTTTGGATGTATGAGGACGCCTGTTAGACGCAGTGTTTCGAGCTCTTTAATTGCCGCCTTGAACATTGGTTTCTCGATCAAGTTTTTGACCGCGTTGTTCCTCTTGCCATCTTCATCGGGTGGATTGCTCGCCAACGTCTGAAGGTATGTGCTACACATGCCAATAGTCCCCTGGGTCTATTGGAGTGAGTCCGAAGAACCCGTGTAAAGAAATTTCACGCACTAGGTACATGACCGCCCTAGCTAGTCGAGACAACGACATCAATGCTGACATCGCGGCGAATTTCTGGCCGCCATGCAAGCTTTGAATTGTGGCTTGAGGACGATGAGGATGCATGGACAGCGCATTGAAGGGCGGACCGTCGGATGGTATGCCTTGGCTCCGCAGCGTAGTTATATAGGTGTTCTGGCCACTTCAATTTCTGGTAGGATTGTGGGGAGATGCATACCATCAGCTTGATCAATGGGTCCTTGATCTTATTGATCTCTTCACTCATCTTGATTATATGCCGTTCGATTCTCTAGCCGGAAGGTAAGAAACCACCAGCAAAGCGGACCACAGGGAATACCTTCTCATGGATGTAGGGCTGTATGTCAAGACTGTCGTCGTTGCGAATTTCAATCCTGCTAATGTGCAGGTTATCGACCAACCCTTGAACGACTTCGGGGGTGCTTCCGGGAGTTGCACTCAGAGCAAGGACTCGGAAGTAAGGGTTTTTGGCCATCATATACTGAACAATCTTGGTATAGGCGTAATCCCCTTGTGCTCGGTGGGCTTCATCTGTAATTGAGGTAAGAAACTGAAGTGAAAAGACAGAGCAAGATACCAATGACTATTAGTACGACATCTCTTGCATCGCATGTCCCCTTTTCCAGATCATTGAAAAAAGTTTGAGGAGTCATGTAGAATATTCGCTTCTCCTTCCACTAAAATCTGGTTAGATTCAGCGGAAGCATGCTTGGAATTTTTTACAGCTCTCGCTCGCATGGCAACTGGATTGTTTCCCGTCAGTTCTATGGCGTCGCTGCCAGGTATTCCACAGGTCTCGTGACAAGCTTCAATCTGTTGCGAGACCAATGGCTTTGTTGGCGCTGCGAAGACAACTTTGCCCTTGGGAAACCACCGATAGTCTATTCAATAAATGAGAGCTGACACTATCGCAAAACATGGGCGTACAGTTCAGCATGACAACTCCTGCAATGAAGGTTTTGCCCAGACCAGTCGGCAACGCGACAATTGTGTTCTCGAAAAGACAATGCTTGACGATATTGAACTGGTAGCTTCGCTTTTCGCGGTTCAGTGGATACACCCAGTGTTTCGCCTCCAGAAGATCAGGCTTGAGTTTCATAGGCGGAGGCTAAACATCGTTCAGAGACTGCTTCGAAGGAGCTAGAGGGATTATTTACGGGCCTATAAGATTCAGTCGCGCATTCCACTGAAAGCAATGGACGCACCCAGCTGGACATATCATGAGTCAATAAAAGACAATAAGTATCTGAAGGGAAACACGTACGTGTTATGAACGGAGCGGGGTACTGTTCGAATTCAACGGTTTCCACTTCTTCCTCCGAGTCATATCCCTGCTTTTTCTTTGTTGGGCGTTTCTTCTGCCCAGTCGCTAGGAATTTCGTCTGGTCCCATTTCTTGGTTTTGGATGATTGGCGGCCAAACGGTGTCCTGGCCACTGGTCGTGTTGTTTCGTCGAGTGGCAAGACATCTCCGAAGAGGGTTGTTTGATGCATACGGCTAGGGCCAGCGACCGGCTGAGCAGCGCCATTATAGCTTGCTTGTATGAAGTCGTCGATTCGGTCCAACTCGTTGGGGTCGAATTCGCCGAAAGTAAAGTCTTCTTCAGGTTCAGGAGATGATTTCGTGGTGGTGGTGGTTGGGGCGAGAGCGGCCGTCTCTATCGCGTCTATTTGGCTTATTGCCACGTCATTCAGTGAAGGGAAGTCGTCGAACTCGTAGTCTGAGCTCATCGCGACTTCAGGGTCGATTTGTTGGTAAACAAAAGCTTGGCACGTGACCACGACACAGCTTGACCATCATGTCTGCTGCGACTATTGCTCGCTGGAATGCAATCTCACTAAGCGGAGAACGGCCGCTGAAGGTACTCCCGCCCGCCTTTATCGTCGCACTGCCCGTCACTTCCTAGCGCTCTCGCTCTATCTCTGATGATGAAGAAGACAATGTCTCACTCGTCTCTCGCAGCCCATCTCCAGTTTCAATTCCAATGGAGGTTGACCCCTACAAATATGACGAATACGTTTCTCGGCCAGCAGCCCCAGAAACCATCACTGTCGAAAGTCGGATAAAACCCACCAACAAAGGCTTCGCAATGCTAGCTAGGCTAGGATGGCGCGAAGGAGAGCCGCTGGGCTTGTCTCCAGAGGGTCTGTCTGTTGTATTCTTCTTTTTGGACGTTCTCATGTGCTTCCAGGCAGAGTCGACCCAGTTCCCTTCCACATGAAGCAAGACTCTCTGGGGCTGGGTCGTTTGACTCAGGATATTCGCATGATAGAGACAACTGGTCTGTTATCTTTGGCAGTGCCCCGCCACGTATATCTTACATAATTTCAGTGTCGCAAAGACGCGACATGGACTCTGAACGGATGAGTAGAGAGTCGGACGAACAACGTAAAGCCAGAGAGGTCAGTCTCTCCATAGATCAGCGACATAACCTGTTAACCTGCATCAAGGACAACGTAGCCCGTCGCTCTGCCTTGGAGACTCAGCTCTCATCAACCATCAAAGCATTCCATTGTGAGCTTTGCGACAAGCAGTTCAAGAATATCGCGGCCTACACTGAACATACCAATTCATATGCGCACCATCACAAAGCTCGGTTTAAGGACATGCAATCAAGCATGCGAGGAACACAAGACGAGGCCGAGAAGCGGAAAGAGAAGGAGCGCAAGCGAGAGGAGAAAGAAATGCGAAAAATGGCCGCTGCAAAAGGAATTAAACTGATAAAACCAACCACGGTTGTGCCATCCAGTTCTGGTCCTAGCCATTCCGATATGGACATCGATGGCGAGCCTATTATTACTGAACCAACTCCACAGTCGGGTTTTAAAGCCTCAGGGTGGACGACAGTAGCGTCATCCTCTGAACCGCCAAACCCTGCAACGACGACGCCCACTCCAGCCGCCCCACCACCGCCACCACCATCTGAACCACCACTTCCTCCTCCTATTACCACACACCCAATACCACCACCAGTTTCTGCCGCCGAACAACCCACTGGAAAAGCTCATGCTTCTCGACTGGGCTGGCAGCAGTTCCAGAAAAAACGTCGATAACGAGAAGAAAATTCAGTACTAGCTAGCTACAGTTGTGTTAATCGAAATGTATCGTAGTGCCTTGCTCGCAACAAAATGACCCTCCCAAAAACGAGCGAATCGGCAGTCGAAAATTACATGACGCGTTCATTCGGAATCGCTTCCTGACGAGTCTGAACCCGAGCTTGAGTCATCTGATGAATGGCCTCCACCACCAGCCGGTACGGCCCCATTCCCGGGTTGCTCAAACAATGCCATCCGAGTTTCAAGCATACGAATCTTCTCCGCTTCTACATCCTCGTCCATACTCTTCCGCTTCAACCCGCCAGTACCTGTCCCCTTGCCTGGCCGACTACGTTTGGTGGTTGGCGGTGCCCGAAGTGGCCGTAGAACGAAGTTGTACAGCTTCGTTAGGACAGACGTTGGTAACAGGTCGATCTCTAACTCGATTTCCTCCGTGCTCTGATAGTCCCATAAGATATAAGGAGAAAGAGAGAGAGAGCGTAATAACGCACGTCCTTAATTTCAGGGACACCTTCGTGTATGATCTTGATTACCCGCTCCAGCTTGGGTCCATCCAACTGCGCGATCGCCTCGCTCAGGTCCTTCTTTTGTTCAAAGGTAAGGACATCGTTTTCCGTCACAACTTTCTTGCTCTTTTTCTTGTTGGACGACGACGATGACGTCTTGGGTGGTTTACTAGGCTTAGATGACGAAGAAGCAGCTCGATCTCGGCTCTCGTGTTTCTTCTTCTCTTTTTTGGGTTTCGACTTGAGCGCCTGGATGTTGCCGCGCATGGCTTCGATCTGACTCTCCATCATGGCAATACCTGGGAAAGGGGAGTTAGACACAGGAAGGTTGTAAATCACATCGACCAACGCTGGGCGTCCTCGTCTTCAGTTTCGTCATCCTCATCCTCGTCTTCGCTTATGTCATGGAGTGGAGGAAGATTTTGCCACTTTTCGTCAAACACACGTTGGACTTCGATGCCCGCTTGGTGAACTGGCGTGCCCGACGGATTGAAAGCGAAGCAATTTCGGATCATGAGCTTGAAGTCATCATGAAACTTCTGTGCATTCAGATATTCGCCCTCATCCAACTTCTTGCGCATCGTCGACAAGTCCATGGGCTTTTTGACGATTTTGGGATAGGCAGGCAGGTCGAGTTTGATGTGATCTACGGCTAATTGAGGGTTTTGCTAGGAAAAATAGAAGCAGTACGTACCCACGGGCTCATAGAAGTGAACAGCGAAAGGGAAATATTGCTTGCGATGCAGCAAAGTGAGCATACTGCCGCAAAACTTGAGTTGTTCTGAGGTCCCATCGTCTTTGACGTGTCTTGTCTTCCGCACTTTCTTGGGGCCGTCTGCGTAAGAAAGGTCCTTGGGGGGTGGAGGGTGAACTTCTCGCTTCGGTCGCCCAGCTATCTCTGTTGCACCTGAGCGTTGCACAGTAGGCATCGACGTGGACGCACGTCGAGGGGGTTGAGCCTTTTTTTGAGGCAAAGCAGTCGGCGCAGCGGGAGGCGGTGTTGGCTTCTTAACGGGAATGGGTTTAGCCTGGGTGGGTTCAGTAGTTAGATGCGACCAGTCGGACACCAAACCTCTACAGGTAACGGCATGTTCTTTATTTGCTTGTCGAATACCTCCTCAACGCGACGAACCATGGCCGTAATTGGGTGCTCAGGGCCATTGAAAAGAATACAGTTTTTGACGATGAGCCGCACGTCAGCGACAAAGTCGTCAGTGGTGAGGTAGCGGGGATTCTCGGGGTTGGGGTCTGGTTTAGCGGGGTTGGAGGAGACGAGTTTGCGCTCGATGGTCATAAGGTCCATAGGATTACGAACAATTGTGGGATAGTGGGGTATTTGAAGGGCAACTGGGTCGACGGGGTGAAGGAAGGGGGGAGAATCCTTCAGCTTTTTCAGGCTGCGAATGGTGGAGATGCAGAATCTCCATTGAGGCAGGTCGAGGGGTGGTTTGGACTCGGCTGACGGTGGGGGAGGCGTCGCCGACTAATTTGGATTGTTATATCAAGCATAATACCCTCGAGAATGAATACACACATTAGCGAATGAAGCTTGGTCTGCATCTGAAAGAATGCGCGGTCGCTTAGCAGGTGGTGGCTGGTCATCATCGTCTGCGGGTGAGGGGTGTGATGTACTGTTGGAGGAAGGCGGTGGTGGATCGCCTGGGGTAGAGTGGTCTTCGATTTCCTCCATTTTCAGGCTGCCGTTCGTCCCGTTGATAAGTTGAACTGTCAGTGACGAAGTGAGCGAGGTTCGATATAATGAGCAGATGGGGCGCACCTGGTGAAACAGGCTCTTGACTATCACCATTTAGTTGTTGCTCTGACATATCCACCTCAATCTTTGGCTCCGACGCGACAATATTTGAGATCGGGGTTGTGGGGTCTTCATTCTGGTGGTCCACGCCATTGACAACGGGGACAGGCTTTGACGCGTCAGGTTGAATATTGTGGGTGCCATTGGGAAGAAGAGGTGAGGAAGGGGAAGTGTCAAGGACAGTCGGCGCGTCGTCCATTGCGGGAGTGTGTGACAGAGTCGTGTCACACCGAGAGAAATCGTGGGCAAGGAGGGATCAAGGGGTGCCATCAAGCAGTCTGACTTAAGTAGTCGCTGAGCCGTGGCTGTGCATATATGATCACCACAGGCCACGACGACCACAACGGCTTGCGGGCTGCCTGGATCGTCATTGGCTGCATTCAGCGGACGTAACAACACACAAACTTCATCCATCCCGGCTCAATCTTCAGACCTAATTTTGAGCCCCTCTTTGACCCCCAAAAACTCTGGTTGCCCCCAGCCAACACAACCACTTACTCCTCTTCTTTTTCCTCCTCTTCGAGCTCCTTGCTGACGTCCGCGAATACGGGTTTGGGTTGAGTCGCGGACCATGCTGAGAACGGGGAGAAAGAGGCCACGTCAGATCAGTGCGCCAAACAAGACCAAACATACCTGACGTCCATTGAGGATTGTTCTGTGTGTTGGCGTATTTGAGAAGTGCCTCTCGCGGCTAGAAACGCGTAAGCGAAGATAACTCGGTTAGCAACCCCATCAAGCAACTCACGTCTTCGTCTCGGGTGGTATCGCGGACCAAGTTTTGCACCATATGTTGGGTTGCACTAGCCCCAACTCTTCCCCCTCTCCCTGGCCCAGTGACAGGTAGTTCTGGCCGACGAAGTTTGCGAGGGTCTTGCTTCCCGTGTTCTCTTTTGCGCTTGTGTAGTTTGATGATGCCGTCGTTTTCTGAGAATAACGGATCGTCCACGGGATTATGAATCACAGGCTCAAGAAGGGCCCCCGACATATCTTCCACCGTTGCCTTCCTGGGTGGTGCCTTATTGGCAAGCAACTTGGCTCCATTCAGCGAAGTAAACGGCGAGTATAGCACTACAATCTCTCCGCTTGACAATCCCGTCACAATCTACAAAAAAAAAGTTGTCAAACGCCGTCTAAAACAACTGATTGCACACGCACTTGGTTAATCTTGGAATGCCATAACACCTTCACAGGCGTCGAATGGATCTCCAGAGTTTTCACAACCTCGAGTCCTTCCGTACGCATGAACACCATACGCCCCTTCCCGCCCTTCGCTGTAGCGCCAGCTCCTGTCACAATATACTTGCCGTCAGGACTGAACACGGCATTCGTGTTGGGATATAAGGTAGCAAGGTCTGTGCGTGTTGCCAGCGGTTTTTTGAATGCCCTTAAATCCCACACTAAAAAAAGTGTGAAGCAAGGGCGCCTATAACACCGACAATAGCTTACATTTCACGGTATCGTCTCCACCACGCGTCAAAAGAGTTCGCCCGTCGACCGAAAAGACCATTGAACCAGTCTCTGTGCCATTAACATGCGCCCCTTCCACCGTCAGATTCGGCCGAACAAAATTTGAGTTTGATTGCCAGAGATGTATAGCACCATCAAGACAAGCTAAACCTGGATTAGCGGCAGAGACTTTTAGCAGAAACCACACGTACTACCACCAATCATCCCTCCATCAGGAGAGTAGGCGCAAGATGTGATCTTGGTACGCGCTCCCCGTTCTTTAGACTTTGCCACGATGACAGTCTTTTGTTTGCGTTTGTTCTCCGCGTCCCAGATACTGTAACGCCGATGAGGTTTGGACTAAATTGGTTGATGAACGTACCGAATGGTGGAATCTGAGGACGATGTGATGAAAGTTTTCGAGTCTTTCGGATGCCACATGCAGCCCGAAAGCTCGCTAACGTGTCCACTGAAGCAAACTTTGAGGACTGGTCAGACGACGCGTTAGTTTTGCTTACGAAGTATGCTTCATGTCGCGGATATATGGGTCGCCCTTTATAAAGGTCGCCCTATGGTTAGGTGAGTCCATTCTATTTGGCAAAGAGAGCAATCAACGCACTTTTCTTCACCATCCCGGTCGTACAGTTTGGCTTGCAACGTTCCCGACACGACCAAAAATCGTTGACCATCGTTGGAATATTTGAGGTCATGAATCTATACCAAAAGTTAGCTCCTCTGTGGTTGAATGGAAAAGACACACAGACATGGTAGCTTCCCGCAGGCTCCCAACTTTTGAAAGGCTTACAACGATGGTCCATACCTCCAAAATCCCAGAGTTTACAGTCATAGTCATGAGAGCCAGACAGGACGCGAGCGCCAGATGGGTCCAAGGCCAAAGCTGAGATGACTTTGGTGTGGTCTTTAAGCACAATTTCGTGTGTTATTGGAAACTGGGGTTGTTCCAAGTCATCGTCGGAGGGGTCGTATTCTGGTTCCTCCGGGGTAGCATCTTCCTCCTCGATAGTTGTTGTCTCTTGAGATGGCTTTTGTACTGGCTTGGGAGGCTCTTTCGAAGGACCAGCAACTGGCTACTCAGGTTAGAGGAAATACGCCATGTGGCACCTGCTTACCTTGGCTGGTTCTCGTTTCGTCTTGTCGAAACGCATGGGGTCAAGTTTCCTTGACGCGGTAGCCTTTCCAAAGCCAGTTATTCCCATCGTGGCGAACACATCGTCCATTGCGAATATGCACAAACAACGAAAGGTGCTGATGTCACAGCATTCACTTTCTCTTAGCGCGTTCGACCTTCCTTTTACGATTACGACGAAATCCCGATGCCCTCAGACCAATCCACCTGGCTGATAGCATACCCTCAGGTATGAATTCGTCGGGAAGCAATTGTTGACCACTTAAGTATATATCCAACATCTAGGATGGAGATGCGGAAGGTCTCTTCGAGGAACTATCGCCAAAGCTTGCCCAGCAGTCCAAGGCGAACGTTGCGGCCTCTTTCCCCATTCCAACTTTCAAGGTCCGCACACTCTTGCGCTCTCGCATTACCCCGATCTTCAACCGGAAAGCAGACAGGGACGTTGGACGGGCTTATATCCCTCTCAGAAGACCTTCCCAAGCAAGAGAATTTCTTCACTGCAACCGTTGCTAAAACCGTCGATACGCTCCGCAACCTTCTGAATAATGACCCCTCCAAACTTAACCAGCATGTCCTCGTCAACGAGGAGCCAGTCGATGGGTACATTTTAAAGGGATGGAAATGGAATGAGGGCCGCTATGGAGTACAGCGAGGACTACGAGATATTGTTGATGCCCTCAACAAGGTGAGCCGTCGGTGTTGTAGTTTGAAGCATCGGCTATAAGATCTGGTGCAGGAAATGACGTCCATCGACGCAGCCATGAAAGCGAAGCTCGCCAACTATAACCTGGTGAAAGGCTCTCTGGTGCAAATGCAACGCAAGAAGACGTGCGATAAGTCTTCGCTACGTCAAAGGTCCTAGCTCATGCTCAACCATCAGGGGTAACCTCTCTGTCCGTTCGCTGGCCGATGTTGTCTCCAAAGAAGATTTTGTTCAAGACTCCGAGTATCTTGAAACTGTTCTCGTTGCTGTCCCGAAGTAAAGGATGCCTTGAAATAGTTGCCATTTGTTTGACTGCTTTCCCAAGATCGAGCGTTAAGGACTGGAGCTCAAAATACGAACGCCTTTCCTCAATGGTGGTGCCCCGCTCCTCCAAGTATTCGCAATTCCTTCTTTGCTATCAAACTAACTTCTTCACCTAGATCAATTGCTTCCGATGACGAGTACACACTGTTTGCGGTAGTGATTTTCAGGAGGGTGCACGATGAATTCATCCAGAAATGCAGAGAAAACAAGTCCGCTCACTATGTAAGCTCTCTTGGTATATCTAATCATCGCCAGATTCATCGTGCGCGACTTTGTCTACTCGGAAGAGGAGATGGCAAAACAACACGAAGAGTTGGAAACGGCTGATACGACCGAGAAGGAATTATGGGTATGTGTAGATCCCGAAGGCTCACGTTGATAACTGAATAAACAGACGGAACTTCTTCGTTTGTCGAGAACAAACTTTTCAGAGTCCATCCAAATCTTGGTCCACCTCAAAGTCGTTCGCCTATTTGTCGAGAGTGTGTTGCGATATGGATTGCCCGCCAACTACACCGGACTCGCCGTCAAAGTAGGCTACTTGCATTGGCACACACACAACGCTGAGCTTTTCCTTAGCCTGATTCGAAATCGGCCAAACGGACGTTTGGGGCTCTTCAGACCCAATTCTCATACCTTCGACCTCGGTCCAACCGTGCCAAGGGCGGGAAGGGCGGGAATGACGAATTTGTCGGCGAATACCAGACGCTGATGGAGCAGGAATTCTTTGACTTCGTGTTGTGTGAGGTTGGGTGGATAGTCTACTAGCGCTAATAAATACCAAAGCCGGACAATTGTATCACATTTTCTATTAACTGAACACGGCGTAATTTACACTTTCGAGAGGTAGTACAAGCGACGACTGCTCGTAGGAAAGAGGGTAGGTGTGAAAAGGTTCCAGACCAGCAAATTTACATTTTTGGGAGTTACGCCATCACAACCCAAGTGTGGAAATGACGCGGGAGACTTCGTCCACATCCAACTCCGGTCGTTGCATCGCAGTACCGATAACTGCAGAACGCGAGATAGAAGTACCATAGACGCTAGGGAAGGACGGCGCGGTGGCTGAGATAGGACTGGAATTACCACCAGTTTCTCCCGCAGACGTAGTGGGCGAGTCTGGTGGCAACCGAGACTCGGTAATGCGAGAGAGCGAATAGGTGAGGTCAAGCGACTGCGCGCGATTTTGCATTGAACGCGGCTTGGTCAGCTCATCCTTGAGTTTAGCCTCGAGTAACGAGTCTGAGCCTCTTTTGATGGCGTCTTCCGAGTGTCTTGTGCGATGGGGAATACCCGAGCCCTGAATGTTAAATCAGCTTCAGTAACTGCAAGCAGCCTTGGTAACTTACAATCGGAGGCAAGGGGGTCCAGTAATCGAGCGAGCTAGTGGTTACATGATTGCTTTGACGTTCATTGTGTTCAAGATTGTAAATGTAGGCTGGGGAGTTGAATAGAGCCTTGACATCTGGAGACGAGTTGGCCATACGGAGCCTTCGATCACCGACAAAGTCAGGGCGGCCCAAGTCATCGGATTCTGCACCGGGTTAGTCATATAAACATTTCGTGCAAGAACGCTAACCATGATGAGTCCTCGCAGTCGACAAAAGCTTGCTGTCGAAGTGGGGGAAAGCCTCAGCAAAAGAGTCGCCTCGCTTGTGGACATGCGAAGCCGGCGCAGGGAAGAGATGGATGTTATGATTGGTCAGGAATTGTTCAAGCATTTCGCGAGCGGTAACAAGGAAGTCACTATTGCTCCGCTGACACCGGAATTTGAAAGAAAACTCGGAGGGGATCTCGGCGCCAGCATCTTCGTTCACGGTGGCCATTTTCATATTCGGCACGATAGATACTTGTAGTTCGCGCTTGATTCGTTCAACAAGACTGCTGAACTCCGGTGACACGATCAGTCGAGACAACTCCGCACTGGGAGGCACACCCATGTCTGCCTCGTAAGGTACGTGGTCCTGGGAATTGGATCAATGAAATTTTTATGGGGGGTGGTTGTGACATACGAGCAACATCGCCGCTGCAATTTGCACCTGACTTTCTGGGCCAAAGATTGTGACGACGTCCGACGCCAGCTCCTTTGGAGGGAAGCGAACGCGCGAGTTGGTCTTGGTCTCTATGTCACGGATGAAGATGCTCTTCTCTCCCAGGAGTGTGCGGTGGTAGCGGCGAGGGATAGAAACTGTCTCGTTGATGTAATCCTTATCCTATCGCCGCAGTTGAGAACGGGTAATGGGAGGTCAAAACGATAGTGATACCTTAGGGTTGACAAGCTCCATCACAGACTGCTTGAGGTTGTCCAAGTTGATGGCATTCTTCGCGGGTGTTCGAGCGACAACATTGTCATCATTGTCATTGTACCCGCCGAGAGCCGCGAACTCTTCTGCATTTGAGAACTTGACATAGACCCCGTACTTCTTCATGATGCGCTGGATGCTTCTTCCTCCAACCCCGATGATTCGTTTGTGGTACGCCTCTGGGACGTGGAAAGATAATTCTGCCGGCAGTTCTTCCTGCAAAAGGGACAGGCCTTGAAGTACAGAACCATCGGGTCCCGCGATGTCAATCAAGAAATTGTGGTCGTTGAAGGTTTCAAACTTGATTTTAACGTTGGTCGTTTGCATGATTTTGTTGATCTTTCCGTTCTTTTTACCGCTGATGAATTCGCGGTGCTCATTGGCGAGCTCTATTTGGAACCGAATTTCGTGGTGGAAGGCTTGTATCATCTCGAGCTCCATGACCATTCCAACTGCCGAGCGCACCTCCTGCTCCAGTCCGTGCATTTCAAAGCACATACTCTTGAAAACGACTTCTGCACCAGACGCAACAGAAATTTGCTTCAAAAGATTGGTGACTTGAGACGGATTCAAAGTAGCGGGCGGCAGTAGTGCATTGAATTGGATGGGCAAAAGCCAGAATGACCCCACGTAGTAGTTGCATGCCTATTTCAATTGAGAAAGGATTAAAAGAGGGGAATGACGCACAAGCTGCATAATTGAACGGATAGTTCGCTGAATATTGACGCGATTATCGCCATAAACGGTGATGAGACTGGTAGAACTACCCAACGCTGGGAATTGTATGAAGGTAGCGTTGTCGCTGACAATCGATTTGAGGTCGTCAGCCCTGTCAGTCACCATCCAGTCAAGCTTGCGGGGTAGGATTGCCGTGTCACGGGAGATAACCGACTTGCTCTGTCAACGGTCAACTTGACAGAAGCGGAATACATTCAACTCAAACCTTGTTCACGGAGACTTGGAACAGCATGTCTCTAGCGCGCTGCACCCCAAAGAATTCTCCAGTTATCCAAATTATATTTCCGCTCCTGTTAGCAATGGGCGATTCAGAGCCAGGATGGTCGGGTCCGACGAGACCTTGCAAAGGAGAAGGGAAATAGATGTTCGTGGCAGTTTCCTCTTGAATGGACTGCAAAACGGAGCGCTTTCTACCGGCAACAATGGCATGGAGCTTTTGGTCGATTTCACACATTTCAGCATGGAGCCCGCTCTGTCGGATGTTTAACGAGAAGTCTTGGCCTGGGGATTCAAACTAACCAATTCATCCAGCATCACCAGCAGTCTAACGCGCGCCAAATCGACGGAGTCACCCTGTCCAGTAACCACTAGCTCGCAAACCCGCTCCGTTTCTAGACCAGACCAACCACCATTGCTGATCCCATCAGGTGGGGTGCGGCTAGATAGAGAGAGCGGGCTATTAACGACGGCAATGTGAGCGAGGGTTTGAGACGCAATCTCATCGAGACGACGTCGAACTTCATGTTTGAGCGAGGGATTTGAAGAAGGCGAGTCAAGGATTTCAGAGCGAGCAACTTTGATTGCTACACGATGCTAGTAAACGCGAATGTCAATAAACTTACAAGGTTGGGCATTGCATACTCACTTGAATAGGGCATTCTTTGAGAATCATTCCACGGGCGAGGAGGACCTGCTGGTATGAGCCAGAAATATAGAAGTTCCAACGTCCAGGATCTGTAGAGAGCCATAAGAGGAGGGCTTAAAAGTGGTAAAAATGAAACGTACCCGCTTGAAAATACGAGATGTGGCAGCCATGGAGGGACATTGCCATCATGACGAGCTTCTGGATGGCCTCTGCGTCTGGTTGGAGAGAGGCATCAGGGATGTTGACATGCTGGAGAGCATACGAGTCGGGGGGGAGGAGAGCCTGATTTCCGCGCCAGGAAATTCGAGTGAAGAAGGAGCCGAATGAGCGTATCGCGACCGGCGTGGATAGGTGAAAGATGTGGTGTAAACGTCCATGCTAGACTCGCCGTTTGGGGATTAGGAAGAAATGTACAATGTCGAGCAGGTATGTGTCGTGGAGGGAGGGTATTTGGGGGCAAGGGTGGTATCGGGAAACTCCAGCCTCGCTGTCGTAGATGAACGAACGCGAGAAAAGGAGTCCTGAGTCTCAGAGAAAGCGGAACTGTGACGTGACAATGTGTGACGGTGTGCCCAGCTCAAAAGCAGTCTAAATTGCATTTGTCTATTCAACTACAACCAAGGAACCCATGTACGATCTTCCTCAGAAAAGTCGAACAGTTTATTGTAGCAGGCACTCCCGGTTGTGGAAAAGTGCACATAAGGTTGAGTTTTGTCCAACTTTGAGCCACATCTGTAGCAGAAATGAGTGAGGCAACGGGAGCAAGTCATCTGGAAGACCTCAGCTTATGCAGGGGTCGAGTAAACAGGGCAAGACATACGTGATTGCATCCAAGTGATTTTTCTATGTGCAGCTCACAACTAGGACACGCCATGGCGTTCGATTCCAGCCAAGATTTGTTCAACTGCTCTTCTTCATAGCGGAGGACTAGTTTTGCGATGATTGATTTTCCGTAGTGTGCTTCCAAGGCCAAGCGTTCCCGAGAGCCTTCTGGTAAAGCGAGATACTCTCGAACAACAGTCTCTGTCTGCGATATTGGACAGCTGTTGACTCCATGCCCTGGAGAGTTGAATGAGTTTGAACCACAAGTAAGAATGCGAGACTGACAGCTCCGTTTGCAGAACGAACAAAATGAAAACGAACAGGCCGAGCAAATACGAAGCTTGTCTGCCCTTGAGTCGGATGTAGCATCTATGGGACGTGGAACTGGGCTTTGGCAGAACGACATAGGACAATGAACAAGCGAAGGGTCTATGAATGAATGAGAATTATCAGTCGGTCGAAAGCAAAAAACCACCTTTCTCAAACATGATCTTCTCTCTCAGCCAGGTCCATCGCTTAACCGCCTCTGGCGACACTATGCGAACTAGATCCTCTTGGTTTACGGTGCGTTTTGCCTTGACACAATCTGCATCAGGACAACCCAGAAATTCGACATCGCCTTCTTGAATCTGCAACGACCAGAAATCGTTCAAGCAAGCGCGACAGAACACGTGAGTGCAAAATAGCTGGATACAGCTTTTTCCTTTCTTCGAAGATAGACAAATGGCGCAGTTGTATGCTTGCTCGGAGAAAATTGTGGAACGAGCGGACTCGTCGTGAGCCGTAAAGAGTTCCATGAGCTGCCGAGGATCTGAATGCCGCAAAGAAAGTCCACCAGAAGACCCGTGAAGGTCTAATGAGGACAAGAATGTGCCGGAACGAATGAACTCGACCCAGTCGAATAGCACCTGTCAATACGGATTAGTACATAAAATTCACGTCCACCCAGAAAACTTACGGCGTCGTGCTGCCATATATTTCGAAGAAGGTTGTGTAGCCTTGACGTAAGCTCCAGTGAGAGCCAGGAGCACCGAATAGCTAAATCCGGCGGGTTATGTTCTGGATAACCATGACCCAAGACAATATGCAGAATTAGAGGCGGTAGGTTGCGCAAGGACTTGAAGAGGGTGTCTGACTCTCCGACGATTTGCACTGTGGTGGGTTCTTCGAATTGGACGGGAATTTCTAGCCGCACGAAGGATTCGCTGGAATCGTCGCTTGGAATGAAGTCCGGATATATGGACTATGAGGGAGAATAAGCGGACTAAATTCGCTGGCTGAACGCACACCTTGAGTATCTCAACTTCACTCATGACGGAGAAGTGTATGAAGCGGCGAAACGTTGAGTCATCGACGCTCTCCGCGAACCGGAGTCCAAGTAGTGATCTAGATGTCACAACCACTTTTCTACCGACAACAAAGTACCGCCAACTATGGCTGCAAGAATCCTCGTTATAAACCCCAACTCCTCCATCTCCGTTACCAAGGGCTTAGAAGAGTCCCTCCAAGCACCACCAGGCACAACTCTTTCCTTCTACACCGCTCCCCCTGATGCTCCGCCATCGATCGACGATATGAAAACTGGCGTTCTCAGCGCGACATTTTGCTTTAACGACATTCTTGCAAGGAGCCTGATAGACCAACACGATGGTTTCCTTGTGAGCTGCTGTAAAGAGGCGCGGTTGCCCCATAACTCCATCCTTGACCAAAGCATTGCTAGTCTCTGACCACCCCTTGATCGCTATGCTGCGGGAAACCACCGTCAAGCCCGTGATTGGTATTCTTGAAGGTAACCTTGAACGACATGATCGCAGCGAGCTAACGAGCCAAAGCTGCGATCACACATGCCCTGTTCTCAGGTCAGCGGTTTGGAATCCTTAGCACTGGGACGGGATTCCGTTATGATCGACACGACGAAGTACGACGCTTCTTTGGAGGGGCGACAGCGAAACTGGCAGGCATTATCATGAGTGGACTTGGGGTTGTTGAAATCAGGGAGGGTGACCCGGACATCGTCAACAGAAAGTTGAGGGATACGAGTAAACAATTGGCTCTACTTGGGAGCGACGTCATAATATTAGGTTGCGCAGCTATGGCCGGTAAGCAGTCTCGCTGCGTTTCTAACACTGTTATGTAACTTCGCCCAGGCAAAGAACAAATTGTGATTGACGGGGCGAAGGAGGCTGGCAACAGTGGCCTGCGTGTGGTGGATGGAAACAAGGCTGGGGTAGAGCTTCTTGGTGCGCTTATCCGCTTAGCTTGAAGGGTAGAGTAAAGATGTGTATGAGCGTTGGCTCCGTCATTGAGGTGGTGGCCAGAAAGCAGCCGAAGCGGGAGCGTGACATGCTTGATCAAAACTTGAACTGGCGCCATGTCGAATTTGCTGCTCAGTCCAGCAAAACTACAGCAACTTCTTCGCTCAAAATCGGCGAAAGCGGTTGTTTTGGATTGCACGTGGTTTATGCCCAACTCTCCTCGGGTCGCAAGGGCAGAATTCAATGCAAAGCGCATTGTGGGTTCAAGATTTCTCGACCTTGACGAAGTCGCAAGCCCTCACGAACTGGGACTAAAGTAACCTCTTGTACGCGTTAATTCCAGCTCTAACCACGATAACGAAGGCATATGATGCCCAGTCCACAGCACTTTGCTCAAGCTTGTGGAGAGAAATTCGGAATCGAACCATCCTCACATGTTGTGTTGTACGATGCTCATGGTGTAGGAAAAGCGAAGCCACCTGTTTCATGGCTCTAATGATTCTCTTCTCAGGTATTCTCCTCACCGCGCGGTCTGTGGATGTTCAAGAGTTTTGGTCATCAGAATGCATCTATTCTTGATGGCGGGCTCCCCCGCTGGGAAGCAGAAGGCTTTCCTGTCGACACCAGCGAACCAGATATGTCTTCACCGCCCAAGGTGGACTATCCTGCTCCGTCTCTGGCTCCAGATGCAATTCGAAGTAACCTCGAGCTATCATTTGCATATCTAATCTTATTAATTGATCCCATTTAGGCTATGAACAAATAGTTGCGAATGCCTTGAAAATTCCCCTTCAAACACCTGACGCAGAGATTGTGGTAGATGCCCGGAGCCGTGGAAGATTTCTGGGAACTGATCCAGAACCTCGTCCTGGTATTTCGTCTGGGCATATCCCCAACTCTTTCTCGCTGCCATTCAATGTCTTCCTCGAGGATCACGTTAGTCCAACGGGCATGAAATATTCAACATATCTCTCTGAAGACAAATTACGCGATGCTATCACCGAAGCACTGGGATTAGAACGTGCTCAAGCTGTGTTCAAGGGGGATGTTTCAGTGACTGCCAGCTGTGGAAGCGGAATGAGCGCGGCGATTCTTTGGCTGGGTTTACAGCTTATGGGAGTGCGTGGTGTAGGGCTTTACGATGAGGTATGAATCGGGTTATTTTCATTTCGCTTCGGTCACTGACCGGAGCTATATTTAGTCCTGGACTGGTTACGGTCTCCGACCCACCAGCGTTATCGAGAAATCGAGTTGAGAGGAGAATATTATATGCCACAACAAAACAGTTACAGGTGCTCGATGGTATCACAACGAATCTATGCACTCTCTTTCATGCAAGACTTGCATAAACGGCGGAGGTCGTAGTGGTGGCAGATCGCCTTCGATTTGTGCGGCTGAAGGAGTCTTCATTCGGTTCTGATGTCAGCGGTAAGCAGACTCACGTCGTCCGTTATAACTGACTTGCACTCGATGTCGTTTTCCTCGACGGTACAAAGTCAAAGTCCAACTGGTCTCGGTCAGCTTACAGAGCTTGAACAGGAAGATGATTCGACCTCTAGTGGATGGGTTCAGCGAGTGTGACAACAATAAGAAGGACCGACTTCAGAGAGTAATGCATTAAAGCCTCGCTTGGCTATCTCTCCCAAGAGCTGCGCTCGAGAGTAAACGACAGTATTCCGGAGTTCAGCTGGGGTGACAAATCGCTCGAAATTGAAGACATAGGTTCCGCAAGTATCGCCCTCCCCAATGCACACGACATCCAAATCTCGTCTCATGAATACGACGTTGAACCGAATAGTGCAGCGAGCTGACCTTTATCCTCGTCGTAATAGGTGGGCACGGGTTCGATAGCTTTGCTGTCCACGACCTCCCAAGGGACCTCTCTTCGACGAAACTTGCAAAGCATTGGGTATTAAGAAAGAGAGAGTGGTATCGGGGAGAAGAGGAAGGTGTTTACGCACACGATGCTTACACTTGTGCCGCAGCCGAGAAAACCCTATTGACAGGATGATCGAAGCCCTAAATCGCTAGTTTTATTATATCATGTGAAAAGAGTGCTGTCGCAATATCACCCTCTCTTTCCGCCTATAAACCCTCAACACAGCACAGGAGAAATGAACATGCAAACCCGACCTCTTCATTGTCGTCCTGCGACAGCATCGACAGCGAAGCTGTTACGCCGAACGAAACACCGATCAGCAGACCGAGCGGAACCGGCGACACGACAAATGGGAAATGACATAGAGGAGATCATCACTGACAATCATTTACCAAACACAACACAACATACACCCTCTATCCAATTAAGGCAATAATCGATAATGGATTATATTTTAGCCTAATTTTAGGCGACAGCAGCAGCTATCCCAAGGAGACCAACGACTACAGCAACAATGCTAGCTTTAACTCGCTCGCCAGCGGACGGGGGATTGGACGGCGAAGGACTGGAAGAAGGCGAGGTCCTTGCTGACGATCCACCGGGAGCACCAGAGGAGCCAGAGCCAGAGGCGGAACGGGTTGCACTGGGGGCAGGACTCAAGGAGGCAGATGCAACGCCAGTACCATTAGAGCAAGGAGGTGAAGTCACAGAGCTCGAAAGAGTGATGTCAGCACATTGGAAGAGGTCACTGTCGCCTCCGTTGAATTGTATCTAACATCATTATTAGTTCATGATTAGCTGAAAAGGACGTCAATACTCACCTGGAGGGTAGCATTCTGTCCATCGGCAAGCCCAGTAGCGTTCGTCTTAGAGAGATCGAAAGGCAAACAGAAAAGGCCTTCGCCCGATGCCTACATGTTCCAAACAAATAAGTCGAAGGCGACTCACGGCAGAGCACACAGACCTGAAGAACGCCCGTTACCGGTGCGAAATCACTGAACTGAGTTGGGTCCGATTTGGAGGTAATCGAAACGACCGCTGCACCATAATCAACCCATGTCTTTGCTCTAACGACAACGCGTACGCACCGACCCATTTCGCATGTTCAGAGTTCAAGCTGATAACACCACCAGAAAGAGGGAAAAAGGTGCGCCGACTGGCAGGGTCATCGTGGCCGTCACAGAACTTTGGTTCATCATCTTCTACAAAGGGACCGCGAGGTGCGGGAAATTGCAGCTGGAAATGAGCGTTCGCAGCAACGATGAGGGAAGCGAAGACGACAGAAGCGAGCATCGTTGACGAAAGAAGACCGACGACTGGGGTGGTGCATGTAGGGTTCCCGACTTATATAGCGATTTGACCGAAAGAATTTTTTGGTTGGCAAAGAGTTTTTTTCTGAAAGCTCTTGATGCCATCAGATCATTCTTGAAACAGTTCCCAGACAGTGGGCCAGACTCCAAGTAAGTAATAAAAGGTATGCAATCTTCAACTAGCAACCATTGCGTCGCTACTTGAAGTGAGGCGTTAATAGTCGAGTTGAAACATCTCACGCCATCACGTGATGTTACATTTGTCAGTTACATCTCGCAAGAGCTCGCCATCTGTTCACACCGAACGATGTTCAGAATTGCCGTCTTTCGCAGTGCACGCGCCATACGCCCTCAAATTCTCCGACCATGCTATAATATTCCTCGACGTTATGAATCGTCGGTCTCTGACGTAGATAAACATGCGGCAGCCAAGAAAGCTGCTCAAGTGTTGTCAGACGACTTGCAGCGCGACTGGGACGCCCCGATAATAATGTACAACGAGTTGCTCCCCAAAATCAAGTCTCCCAGCCCAGATTCGTATCTCATCGATGTTCGCGAGCCAGAGGAGGTCATTCAAGGCATGATACCCTCTGCAGTCAATCTGCCCTTGTCCGTCCTTGCCAACTCGCTGCATCTTCAACCCGGCGAATTCAAGGCTCGACATGGTTTTGAAAAGCCTGGGAAAGAGCAGGAGGTTACGTTTTACTGCAGGAGCGGCAAACGAAGTACTAGTGCCAGCGATATTGCGAAGCGGAATGGGTATACCAAGTGCGTGTTGACTTCGCCCATATTCTACGTCCTCAATATACCTTTCTGCAGTGTCCTCAATTACACTGGGTCTTGGTTGGAGTGGGTTGAGAAGAGCGGAGAGCATTCAAAGTAATATGTATTATTAAAGTAACGCCATGCTTTCTTTCCGACTCGCATCTGCCCGACTCTGTCGCGTTCGTTTTCGACTTCCACCTAGTGCTTACCCTCGACATCGGAACTTGGCCACTCCACCCACACAATTAGCCTCAAGGTCCTTCTTGTCGTCCTTGTTTGCTATTGTCCTTTTTGAGATTCTCAACAGCACTCTACCAATCGAACGCTACCATGCTCTGTCAGACCAAACTATGGATGGTCTTCTGCATTCACTAGAAGAACTAGTGGACTCAATAGCAATTGCTGGCTATGAGGTTGAGTACCATGTGCGTTCTCTCTCGTTGTTCAGCTGACACTCAACCAAACAAGAGTGGCGTCCTCACCCTCCAACTCGCTGATCATGGCACGTATGTTATCAACAAGCAACCACCGAACAAGCAGATCTGGCTTTCTTCTCCATTCAGGTACGTGACTAGCTAGGTATATTCACACTTCAACACCTGTTGTACCAGCGGACCTAAACGATACGATTATGTCGAACAAACGGATTCATGGGTCTATTCGCGAGATGGAAAGTCATTGTCAGACTTGTTGAATGAGGAGCTCAGCGCGACGCTTCGACGCCCTGTCGATGTAACGCAGAGCCTGGAATGAAGCTATGGCTTTTTCATGAAGGAGTCTGAAGATGTGAGCGAAGTCGACGAGACGACGACGAATTTACTTTCGGCGAGACTGTAACAGCTCAGTCGATATATGAACGAGAGGAGGGTCACTCACACTGCATGCCTGGCCTTAATATTGTTCTCTAAGTAGCCGGTGAGCTTTTTTAGCAAGCTGTTACCAACGACATACTCCACTCCTTGAATATTGCGGGGTCATTGCCGGATTCTTTTAATGCTGCCTCTGAGGGATATATAAAGACAGACACATTGAGATGTTTGTGGAACGAACTGAATGCGTCGTCTGCAACTTTGTTCACGTAGGCCGTTGGGTCTTCGGTAATAAGAGGACCGAAGGCAGCTTCACTTTGACGGAAAAGATAACGCTGAAGTTCTTCGGGTGTTTCTGGCGGCTCGGCTTCTCTTAGGGCACGTCGGATCTCTTTGATAGTCCTCCGAGCTTTACTTGGTGCCGAACGCGAAAATTGTCGTCTAACAGAGTGGTACATTGGAGAGTGAATTGTGTGACATCCCAGTCCAGTTCAGTCTATTAGCTTCAACTTTTATTGACTTAGTCTAAATACTACTTGAAAGACTCCTACGACTTTCTCTATGCGTGTGAATGTGGGTGTGTTTACAAGTGATTTGCGTTGAAAATACAGCCTGAACGAGTAAGATACAAACAGAGCAAAGGTAATACTGAATTGAGGTGTAGAAGGGGTTATGAGGGCTCTCGTTCGCGTCGTCGATTTAGGAACAGATTGCCGAGGAGTCTTAGTGAAAGTTAGTCGCTTGAACCACTGCTTTCATAATGCACTCACTTGTTGGATTCTTCGTATCGCTGCTGGATTTGAACACTTTCTGGGTCCAGCTCTGATTTACACTGCACTTGTGGCAACATGCCCTTGTCTGGATAGCGTGGTGTTGGTGAGGCAAAGATGAGGCGATGACGATGGAGGGTATGCAGTTCGTGAAGGAAAGTATTGGCTTGTTGGTACTGAGTATTAACGATAGATTGCTCGACTGAGCTGGTGGTTTCTCTAGGATCGTCTTCCTCTCCGTCATCCGAGTCATGGGGTAGAGTGGCGGAGCGCTCTTGACCATTGAGAGAGGGTGGAACTATACGAGCGCGCTTTCTGGGAACATCTTCGTCAACCACAAGAGGAATATCAGAGGTTGGTGAGGGAGACGACGCGCGGGCTCGTTTGAGCATGATGAGAGTCGGTCACACCGCGTGACTTCATCTCTTCGCCCTGGCCAACCGCCATGGACGATGCCCCAACGCCGCCTAGCCGTGCTCCAGAAGGGATTCAACTTTCCAGACCATTTCGGTCACGACGCGCTAGGCCTTGCGATCAATGTCGACGAGCCAAGAGTCGTTGTGCGATTCCACAAGCAGGTCCGCCATGTTTGGAATGCCTGTGAGCCAAAATAGCTCTTCAATCGTACCAAGACTTATCTATCTAGCCAAATGAACAAACAGTGCACCTTTGAAGAACTACCGCCCGAAAGAAAGAAGCCAAAGGCGCCCGCGTCCCCAACCAACCTCCCAGGCCCTTCCAACCTCCCTCTCGAAAATCCCAAGGTGAAACGGCCAAGAAGTCCAGATGATAGCTCCGCTGCACTTCAAGCCCTGAGCTATGCTGCCTCCAAAGAGAAACGACTGAGAACTGGTGATGCTGAGCCGGCATCGCTCGACCTCTCGATTGGCAAATCTCTTGATCCCCACGCCATTACTACTTTGCTCACAGGTATGTCGTTTGGACAGGTACTGAACACAGCCAACGATTCTCATTTGCAGATGACCTCTTGCCACTTGGAACGCGGCAAGCCGGACCAGAGGCCGAAGCGCCGCTCTCTGACGCGTACATCCGCCAGATTTCTAATGACCGCTCGAAGCCACAATATATCATCTTCAAAAAACGAAGGATTGGGCCTCAGCATCACGCTGGCAGTCCCAAACAACTTGGTGTCTTCAGACTCTGCTCGTCACTCTTGGACCCTCCCCCACCAGACGAAGCGGAATTGATCGACATCTACATGAACTTTTCTAATGCCGCATTTCCCCTCGTATACCCTCCATCTGATGAGAGGTCCATCGAGTATGCCTCTAAACTATGCCTAGCCGCTTTAAATCATTGCCCTCCTTATCGCTCCTCGAGAATCACGATTAGGTCTATCCTCCAAGCGAGTGAAGACCTGATACAACAAGAACCTACTCGGCTGTCTTCTGTTTCTACCGCCTTGCTTGAACTATCAGCTAGGCCTGTTGTTGATGTTGAAGCTAACTATATGTTATTGGCCAAGGTATGTAACTGTCAGTATTGTCTACCACCCGCCGAAAACAAGCTGTCAGACGATCGCGACTGCGCAATTGCTGGGTCTCCATATCAATCCAGCTACCTGGGCGATTCCTGTCTGGGAGAAGGAGCTACGGGTGTGTCTGTGGTGGGCTCTACGGATCCATGACGCTTGGTAAATTTGTCATCTTTGCATTACCTATATTCATACGGAAACAGGATCTCTTTCCTGAACTCGCGACCGTCCCACATCCAAGCAGACAATCATTCGACTCCACTACCAGATAGTCTCGCTCATATTTCCATTGGCTCCGACTCAGGCCGCTCTGGCCAAAGCTTTATCATGCTGTGCCGGCTTTCGATCCTGACTTCGAAACTTCAAGCACAAGTTTCTACACTCGCTTCAACATTTTTGGCGCCGTCGGAGCGTTTGGCGATAGTGAAGGTGCTTGAAGAAGATACTCAGCTGCTTATCACGGAAGCACGACGCGACGAAATGTCTCGGTCCATGGCCTCAGGTGTTGGTGAGTGACTCCATTTGACTTGCCCGGGTTATAACGAATAGTCAGCCTCCCTCATGACATGTCTTCTGGGTTTCCGATGCATGCTCAGACGCATTTCCATCGAGCTTAGCATCGGACTCGGTAGCCCGTACGTCCTAGCTAAGCTCCTCAATCATGTCGTTCACCTTGAGTAGGTTCACTCCAGATCCAGCTACCCTGGAAATATATGCAGAGGCGGTAGACTATGTTTGCAGCCTTGACGGCCCGGCCTTCAATGGATTCTGGCTGAATTGTATGTGTTTTATTCTAGCAAGGCCCTTATTCACTTGGCTCGAAGATGTTGGACACATACTTTCTTCGCTCACATCAAGCCTGATTCGCCTCAGTCTTGCGACTTCAGCGCAAGGCTCGGCCTCGTTGACCCCTCAAAGAAGCACAGTCACAATCCAAGCGAGCTCAAGAACAATGCCATTAATGATGTTGTCGCGTCTTCAACGGGCACTCCAGGCAGCTCAGGCATTACATTGGGATCTCGCAGATGCCGCCCTGACTCGTGCCGAAGCTGTTGTTGGCTGCTTGAAGCCATCTGCCGAATATACCGGCATCATCAACGCCCTCCAGGGCCAATACGAACACGAGTTCCCTCGCCACCCGACTGGTGGGTCTGTCAATCAAGCTAAGAACAACGGCGTTCATGACGGCCAAATGGACAACTATGGGTGGAATATCGACCTGAATGCATTCGGCATTGACTGGAATGGGGCTGATGCGGGGCTCAACGGTCTCAACGGTATCTGGGGTACCGCCACACACCCAACAGATGCCCATGTCCTCCAGAACAACATGCTTCCGATGTACAATGCGTAGTGAATCAGATGTATTGTGATTGTGTTTTACTTGGGTAAATCGTCTTGACTCATGATGCTTTGCGGTGGGCTATCATAACCTCTTTGTCGTTTTATTGGCGGCCACACCCAAGTGAAAGCTAGGTAACAGACAGCCCCGACAATCACCCCGATAGGCCAAACCAATGCACTATAGAGGTATGAATAGAACGAACTCGGTCAGCAGACGAACACGTACAACACATAGGTGGCGCCGACTGGAACCTTGATGTTTCGATTGACCCTTGCCGCAAAGCCGGGTAAATTTGGGACCAGCGCGAGCAGGAATGCCACGATGGCTCGCGGGTTGACCCCATATGTGTACCTTGACAAGCATAATGAAACCCGAGCAGCTTGGACAGAGTGATGTCTTACCAGTAGAGCGACGTTTCTCGTTGGTAGAGCGACAGGATATCGACTCGTTTGCGTCGATAGATGAACTGGTGATTCACGTAAGCCAGTCAAGTATAGACGTGATTCGCTCCTGAACTCACAAAGTCAGCGAGAAGAATCCCACATATCGGGCCAAGGAAGATGGAGTAGCCAGCGCTGTGCTAAATCAAGACAAACGACGGTGCAGATAAAATTGGCGCACAGGAAAGCACTGTGAGAGGTCGAGTAAAAAAAAGTGACGGAAACTACGGAAGAGCATACGTGAAGGATGTGGCAGAGTTTTGGATGATCCACTGTCCAACATTGAGCACCCACCAATCAGATAAAATGTTGTAACAAACGGACAGGACAAGTAGCGAGCCCGAGGATCGCGCAAATGTACTGGCCGCGGCGAATATCGACAAAACGCGGAAATAAGACAGTGAGGTCGTTGCCGACAGCGGTGGAGCTGAATTCATCGTCGGAAAAGAGACATGAACGCATATAGGTCAACAGAAGCACCCACTTGGCTGAGATATTTGTGGCGAGAACCGCTAGACCCCAGCAGAATGCTGCAAAGAATTGCGCAGCGCGATTGTCCCATAGCTCACAAACCTGCAACGGGTTCCAAGTTGAAACGCCGTAGATGACTTGGGTTGCTGAGGTTACAACGACACCGAGAATACTGTGAGAATAATAAATAGGTATCATAATCAACATCAAAGGCAGCCCATACGCGCAGAGGGTCACCGGGATCGAAAGGGAGAGGATGTTTGTCCATATGACAGCTGTTGGAGATTTTGCGAATCGAGTGAAGTCCTGAAGTCCGTCAGGCGGGTCGAGAGATGAACTAATTCTCCCATACGCATATGTTCAGCGCAAGCGTCGCTTTCGGGGCAATGGCTGATGTCATTGCAGAGAAGAAGACAACGACGGCCGGAGCTCCAGCCACTTGAGTCGGCTGAGAAAAGATGGGACCAAATCCATGGGCTCGACCCACTGCCCAGCCGACTGGTGGATCATGTAAGCACGTAATTCGACAGGGAGAAAAGAGCATTACATAGAGCAAAGCCAAAGATCGGCTGAGATGCTGTTAAAAAATGTAGAGAAATCGTGGCAGAAAAATCACCATCAAGACTACTTTGAGCATAAAGAGATGCCGTAGACGCGATATATGCACCCAAAGAAGCGGAAGTTGTATCAGATAAAAAATGCTGGAAGTAGTGTCAGCTCAGTGTCTACCGATTGAATGAATGACCGCACAAAAACGACAGCAGTTGGGAAGAAGTGACATGAGCGGACGGAGGTAGTCGATTTGGGAAATGCTTGAAAGACGGGAAGATGGCCCGTAGCATCACTTCAACGCATTGACCGCCTAATCGACGTCAATCTTGAGTGGTCACGAAGAACCGCATGAAGTCGGTACCTTGAAATGTCTGAGTGCCGAACCACACGATGGCTTTCGGAGAAACAGTTCATAGAGGCCTTCAATAGTGAAAGTCACCAACCCGCTACTGCGCGACACATGATGGCGACCAAGTTCCCGTATACACCAAAGGAGATCCTGGCCAGGACAGGGAAATTGATTCCATGTCGAGTTCCTATCCATCCGTTGGCTGCACACGCAAGCGCTGTTAATCGTGATTCCGAGACGGAAGTCGGAGAGTTGAGAAGCGTACAGACAAGGAAGTGACCGAAGAAGACTGTGGCCAGTGAGAATAACGAACCAGAGTTGTGGTTAACGAACCGGCCCCAATAGCAGCACCTGGAGACAGACCGGCTGCGAGTGCAGTCGAGGCAACCTGGTACTGACTGTTCAAAAGTGAGCCCTCTATCGTGACCAGAAGGCGGAATATAACCTAATGCCTATGGCTCTTAGTTTTCAAGTGGAAATGCGAACCAGTGTGGACTCACCAAAGGCTTCAGCGATCCAATAGCCTAGAAAGAGGGATGGTGGTCAGAGCTTGACTTGAAGGGCTTTGTTACAAAGGAAGGACCAGAAGAGTAGCCGAGGTAGAACTTTAAATCAGTAAGAAAAGCGATTGAACTTACCTCCTAGATGCAGAGTGTTCCAAGTGCGAGCATTTTGTGGAACCGGCAACAGATCAGGTTGGGTAACGACGCTAACGCCGTCAATTTCGATGTGGGCTTTTCTCAGTTCGATCCGAGCAGAGGAGACGCGCATGATAGAGTGTAGCCGGGCCTGATGACATTTTGCGAAAATCTTTTGGCTTAAAAGAGGCGCAGTGTGTGACCCGGAGGTTGAGTGTGACAGTAACTCGTGAGGCGAGACCAGACGCGACATGTTGAGATGCTTCTTTGCTCCACGCGCTCAAGGCACCGTCTGACCAGTCTCGCCAAACAGCATATAGCTATCCCCAACAAGTCTCAATCAATTAATACTAGTAAACATAGAACACCCATTACTACAGATTACTGCTTCAACTCGCACGTATGTTGAACCTTCACCTCTCTCCAAATCCGCGGCCGCTCAACCTCAGTCCCCCAAAACAGTGAGAACTATGGGAGCTTTTCTAGTGTCGCTTCAGCGACGGCCACCACCGAATTCTCTGGCAACAAACTACACTCTAACTCTGACTAGCTTGGAATAAACACTGGATTTGAATGGTCTAGATACAACAATTTGCAAATAAGGGTCACATCTAATCGGTTGACTTGGGCAAACGGCGGACATAGACATCCTTGTAGATGTTCCCATTTGCTGATGTTGGATCAGGTTTGACAAAGCCTGATTTCTTTTTCTCCTCTGAAAGCTGGCGGACGACGGAGAGGAAATCATTGACAGCGGCCTCGGAAGTCTGGATATGCACTACAACACGCGAACCTCCAAGGATTAGTGGCTCAGGCAGCTGACTTGCACGTTCGCCAATTTCATCGTAGGTCACACCAATCGAAGAAGGGTCGTAAAATATCTAAAAGTGGTTCAACAGGCGATACGAGATGAATCTAAAACAAACCATGCAGGTTTCAGCTCGACTAGTTATTTCTGCTCCGATCTCCTCCAACCCGGCTTCTAACTTGCGTGCGAGCGAGTGAACGGCGGGCAAAAGAGGGAAGTTGTATGTCAACGCATATGCGGCACAGGCAGCAAGAATTCCAGTTTGACGCATTCCGCCACCAAAGAGCTTCCGGAAATGTCGGGCTCGCGAAATGAAAGCACTGGAACCGACCAGACAAGAGCCGACGGGAGCACCTGGTCTGTTGGTGAGCTTAAAGACGAAAGTGAAAGTTGAAACTCCGACCTAATCCCTTGCTAAAACACAGACTGACAGAGTCGAAGGGCTCGCAGAGCTTCTTGATCGAAGTTTCTGTTTCTGCAGCCACATGCCAGATTCGAGCACCGTCAAGGTGCATTTTCTTGCCTTGCAAGTGAACAAAGTCCGAGATTTTGATGATCTCATCTTGTGGGAATATGGTGCCGTTGAGAGTGTTTTCTAAGGCAACAACTTCGGTGGGGGCACTGAAGGCTCAAAGATGAGAGTAAAAGAAACGATGACATGAAGACTAGCTCACAAGTGGATGTCAGTGCTTAGAATCATGTTGCTCTGCACGTCCTTCAAGGTTAGGTGATGCTCTATCCCACGTTTAAAACAAGCTGACTCCTGATTCGTTGCTTACCATTCGCAGGAATTATCGGCAGCACGGCTGCTCCAGAGTGAAATGCGGCTCCGCCAGCCTCGTACCTGAAAAGTTGGTTATTTTCCAATCCAAACCATACTAGGACCCACTTGTGAATATGGGCACGATGGTCACAAATTATTGAGTATGGCGGTTGGGCGAGGTGTGACCTCAGTGCAATCTGCATGTTGTCAGCCTGACGATTTGCGCTTGAGTAGGTTTTACTTGATTGCTTGCAGTCCCGCTCGGAAGGAATAAGGCAGCTTCTTTGCCAGTGATTTTTGCAACATGATTTTCAAGTGCTCTTGTTGAAGGCTCTAAGGATCGTTGAAACGATGTCCAATCGAAGAACGATTTTCAGACCGAAGTAGACGTCGTCACCAAGTGTAGCTAGCGTCGCGTATTGATACATTTCCTGAGTTGGAACTGTCGTAAGGTCGGCTTGGTAGCTCCACCAGAAAAGATTGTCCGACCAGTTATGGTGTCCGCTACATGAGGTTAGGCGCAGAAAAAAATGACTGAAAATCAAGGGTTGCACGTACAGATAAAGGTTCTCGTAATCTCCTTACGCTTCGCAATGTTGTCTTCGAGGTGATTTTCGGAGAGGATGTCGAGCTTGACCTCCTCTGCTACATTGGCGAATGTGGATGCCATCGTGAAGCGTCGGTTCAAGGTCCGAGTCGCGATTCGCAGCATTTTATAAATCTTGCTCGATCAATCGTGACAACCCCATTTGGACTCTTTCACCTCCACCACTCAATGGGCAACGTCCGTCGTTTCCATTCAGACGACAACAATCCCCCTCATCCTGCGTAGGGTGCCAAGGCGGCACAGAAACGAGAGCGAAATGCAGACAAGAATGCGGCCAAGGGCAGCAAGTCTCAGGCAAAGGTGCGATCATTGAGTTGCAACTATAATTTTGTCTGACGACGGCGATTTCTTCAGGTGAATGAGGCGGCCAAGTCAATAATCTGCGCTACCTGCAAACAGACATTCGTATGTTGCTTTCAATAGGAGATCCCTTCACTCACTTTAGTCAAAGCTGATCACGACTCGAGCGCCTGCGTTAGTCCCTCGTGCTTTTCATTTCCCCTCCTCCTCTTATCGCTTTCACCAGACTCGAACAGCATGCAGTCGACAAACACAACAAAACGATGGCGGATTGCTTCCCTGGCGTCACCAAGTAGTATTTGTGCCCGTGTATTTTAGAGCGAGCGAGCTACAAGCAATTCTAGCGCTGCATTCCCTCTCCTCGAATCTTCAGTTTGTCGCCAACCTTCCCGTAAACCTCGTGATATTTGGAAACACAACGGTCGATGCAAACAGTCTCCCCTTTGCTAAGGTCTGCTTCCCCATACCGAGCAATGCATTTACTCTGGCATGAGCTGCAATGGAGTCAGAATCAAGAGTGTCGCGAAACGAACAAAACAAGACTGACGCGACCATTCGGTTGAACAGGTCCGTGACTGTGTCCATTCTAAGGGAGGGTTAGAATAAGAGGTGAAAACTTCAGTGTAGCTACGCACTCTGTGAGAGCCATCTCGAGACGCTCTTGATTAAGACCACCCGAAGAGCTGCTGCCTCCACCACCAAACAGGCTAGTCATAGTCGCGGGAATTAACGGAAAAGATTAGGTGAAGAAAGACGGAGGGAGAGAATCGTTATGACACGTGATCTTGACCGCTCTTGAAAATTTTGGCATGGACGCGCCGCTCGCGTTGCATCGCTGCCGGTTCGTCGACTTCACTCCTTCACCAATAACGGCCATCGCATTTCCTCCTCTTCCACTCCCTAAGAAGCCGTCCTCTATAGGAAAACAACCTGAACGATACGGCACACTTGCTGTTGGGCATGCTAACGGAAACATCGACCTTTGCGAATGGGCAGGAGGCCAACAATCTCCGCAATCGTGGACTGTTCGAACGGTAACGCTGTGCCCAACGTTCTATTTTCCCTCTTATGCAAGTCAAGACACTCTCTGGGCCCTACCCCTCAAAAGTCGACTCGCTAGTCTTCGCCATTCGTTATCCTGATCTAATAGACCCAACGGTGGTCCCTTCTTCTTCGGACCTTCGCTTATTTTCCTCGGGTGGAGGTAGCGACCTGTTAGAATGGGATATGGACCGTGGTTGTGTGCGGGTAAGTTGTTCTCTTCGACCGCAAGTCATTCTAGAGGTTCTAATTTGAGAAGCGCACAATTAGCTCGCAAGGGGGCTCTATCTGGTCTATTTCTGTCAATCCTGCGTCAAATATTATAGCGCTTGGATGTGAGGATGGCACGGTTCGACTACTTTCCATCGCCAACGACACTTTATCTCATTACCGTCGTTTCGATCGGGTCAAGTGTCGCGTCCTAAGCATAGCTTGGGGCCCACCAATACCGAAACAAAATAAAACCATTACAGCAGAGGGGTCAAGCGATGAAGATGAAGACGACGAATACTGGACAGATTCCTGGCTTGTGACGGGAGGATCAGACAGCAGTCTTCGAAAATGGGATGTGAAGAGTGGTCGATCTATTGATCGCATGGGTACCGACAAAATTCGCGGAGAGCGAACGCTGGTCTGGGCAGTTGGCGTCCTTGGGTATGGCCATTTCTATGTTGACCTGTCCTCTTTTCGCTAAGTTGCTAAAGCGATGGTACAATTGTCTCGGGTGACTCAATGGGATTGGTCAAATTCTGGGACTCTCGGACATGTACGCAGCTGCAGAGTTTCCAAGCGCATGGCGCTGACGTCCTCTGCCTAACGATTGACCCGGTTTGTTGTTCTTTGTTGTCTCCCATGTATTCTAATGCACATTGATAGACGGGTACCGCTGTCTACACTGCTGGTGTTGACCAAAAGTTGACGCAATTCTGCTTTATCAACACTTCAACTGGGGACAAGGGCAAAGCTCGACGTTGGATTCAGACCTCCTCGCGTCGTTTACACTCGCACGACATTCGAGCACTTGCTATGTGGCCCCCATATTCGACTCTCCCATCTTCACACAAGCGTCTTTTTCCAGTAGACATTGCGCCACTCCTGATTTCTGGCGGTCTCGATATGTCTGTCGTGGTTACCCCTGCAGCTCTTCCCACGAGCACTGTCGTAAAAATTGTAAACCCAATATCCACCAGCGTTCATTGCACATTCGAGGACTCATATCATCGGCGGCTAGCTTATACTCCTGGGCCATCTTCGATTCAAGTCGCCAGGGAGGCACGACTAATATCTTGTACGCGGGATTCCGGCTTGGAACTATGGCGAATTCCCCGAAAAGCATCTTCAGATGAAGCTGCAGGGTGGGAAAAAATCTTGACTATGGACTTGAATGTCCACACTAATCTGCTTGCCAGCGCCATCTCAACGGATGGCAAATGGCTGGCCACCTCTGATCTCTACGAGTCAAAATTATTCTCACTCGTTTCCGATGTAATATATTTCCTTCTTGTCTATTTTTTGACTGATTTTTTTCCCAGTCTGATGGCTGCATTGCACCTCGACGTGTCCGCGATTTTTCTGCTATCCTACGCGCTCATTTACCGCCAAAGAGCACGTCGAGTGGTGCTTTTGCCTTCCACTTCACAGCAGATTCGTCGAAATTAGTCATCTCAACCGCTACGGGAGCCTTCATCCTCGTTGTGGACCTGGGGAAAGTTGAGCAACCTCGGGTTCTACGTCGGTTTGATCAGCATCGGATGGCAAGCCTGACGAAAAATCGTGTAGTTGTGGGTCGTTCATCAGTTGATGAAGAGGAACCTGAACCTGAGGAAGAAGAAGAAGAGCATGATTTTACCCCTATTGCGACGTCGATCCTGCGACTGGCTACAAGTTTTGACGGACAATGGCTAGCGTCGTCAGACGTTCATGGTCGGACCCACGTGTTCAATCTTGATTCTGTTCAGGTGCTTGTTGTTTCTCTCAACATCTCCTCCTGGCTGACACGATTTGAAAGCACCATTGTGTTTTGCCCTCGTTTCCACTAGCAGCACAATCTATCTGTTTCGACCCAAGCCGGCCCAGCGTTCTGGTCTTGGCATTTCCCGATAACAGTATCCAAATCTTCGATGTGGAAGCGCGCCAATTTCCTCCTTGGGGAAAAGAAATTTGCGATAACCTGCCCAAACGCTTAACACGGACGCATGACCACATTTTGGGTGTCACATTCGACCCAGCGATGGAGTCCCAGTCTTCTACGCCACGATCTATGCTGCTTTGGGGATCTACCTGGTTGTGCAAGCTCAGACTTGAGCGCAGTGACACAACGGCTCGCTCCGCTCAACGGAAACGCCGTCGAGATGATGACAAGAGTCCAAAAATGGAGCCTGTGGATGACTATCTGAAGATGGTTACTCACTATCGTCCTATTCTGCATCTTGATTTTCTTGGTGCTGGGGAGGTTGTGGTGGTTGAACGACCATTAGTTGACGTTCTTGCGACATTACCGCCAGCTTATTTCGTTCACAAGTACGGGACGTAAAGTACATTTTCTATCATTACCTACAGACTACTGTACAAATCAGTCAGACGGATGTCCGAGTTCAGTTATCCAAGCGTGCGGCGCATGGCGATCTCGCGGTCTTGTTTGTTCTCTTCTCTGGAAAGGAGTTCAGCCTGCAGCTCAACTCGTTCTCTCAACGTACCTGGCATTGACGGTAGACAAGTAAAGAGTCCAGAACACACCACAAGTTGATTGGAAAGGGACACGCAGTGGGAGAGGCACCAATGTGAAGTTCAAGGTTTGGAGGGCAGGCCATACCGTCCAATTTGTCCGCAGAGTTGGCACTTTCGAGACGCGATTCAGCTGGGCTCATGAGGAACACCATCTAGCTTACCAAACATGTCTTTGAATTTCTACAAAGTTGTTAGATAATCAAGAACTTGCTTATGAAGACAGACCTGAGTGATCTGCTCTCGACTACGGCCTTCGAGGACGCCCATAGTGCTTATAAACGCGACGAGCTGAAACTTATAAGCAACCAACAGAGCCGTTCAATTAGTTGTCGCGCACGCCGATAGGAGCCCTAGAACGCATTCAGTCAGAAGGTCTATTATGCCAAGGGAGCAACATACATAATGATTTGGTCACAGGCAACGCGTTTTGAGAGTGCATTGAGGCTGAGCTTGGCTCCGGCTGCGCGTAGAGGAAACTTTCGCTCGAGGAATGCGTTCCAACGGCCAAGAAAGGGTGATATCGAGGCCCCAAAGATGAAGAACCGAGCGGTTCGAACTGGGTCCCAGTTTTCGTGTTTATCGTGGGTGTTACGCGTCTTAACGTTGTGATTCAACTGTGCGACAATGTCGCCCAAGGCATTGAGGGCACCACCAGTTAAACTGTGGCGGAAAGTGGTCAGTGATAAGGAATGTCTACTTGGTAAGCCAAAGCCATACGCTAGAGTCCTGTGTGGGTGGGTGTCGAAACTCGACTGATATGCGCGAGCGAGAGTGAGAGTAGCCATTAAGTTTACATGGGCTCCTAGCTGCTCCAAATCGTTTTAAAGGGAGATGCGGCATCATATGTAAAGAAATGCGTCACAGTGGAGATGCGGCATCTGATGGCGGCTTTTCCATTTTAGGACGACTACTTACGTAAACTACAGAAGCCTTAATTTCCCAGTGACCGCGTTGACCAACTCAACAGGCGCGGGTCCGATTGCAAGTATTGTCCTTGTTTCGCCATCTTTCACCACTCGAGCGCAGAGATTTTTGGCTTTGGCATTGGCCTCCAATTCCATCAATTGTTTCTCGGACGTGGCTTTGAGGGCGATTTTTGCTTGACTGAGAGGATAGAACTGAGCATAAAGATGATGAGACAGCATCATCGCTCATACCCTGTTCGTTCCCAATGTCGAATGAGCTACGACAATGTGAATCTTCCGTATGCAAAACTTGTGCGTAGACATACCGCAGGGTTCTTTTGAACAAGAGTACGATAACAAGAAAGTGTTGCCGTCCTAAGCATTTAAGTTGAGATTTTCTGGGTTCAAAGTTGTTGATGAGCTCACCCGCATCTGTGTTATTCAATGCAATCAGCAGCAGAACGCAATTTGACGCGACTTACTGGGCAAATATCGTCGCCGGCGACATCTTCAGGTCATGTCTTACCACTAGGACCTTTATGGTGTTTATGAGAACGGCACCAGATTCTCAAAGGCATTTACAAGTTTGCACGGTTCAATAAGTCCTGCAGTTATTGCTGCAAGGTCTTGATCATCAGGCTCAGATTCGTCGCTCTCTGTGACGGGAGAGAAGATATTCGTTCTGCGGTTAGCATAGTAGCCTATGGCGAATGAAGTAGCGCAAAGAATTGTTGTCGCGACGAGATGGTGCTGAATGTTTTGCATGTCAGTGATGCTTGTGTGACGCGTCACGGACACGTCCGAACTTCAAGTTGTACTTGACTCTCGATATTCATGGCGACTACGCAGGTGAGTAGACTCATTCTCAAGTCTTTTTCTCTTCTCAAATAACCGTATAAGCATTATCTATGGGCCTCTGGTCATTTCCTCCTCCTGGTGGCCTCCCTCCGCTATTTTCTACCGTCGTTGTTGTGGAGAAGTGTCTCAGCGGTGTGGTATAAAGGCACGCATCCTATTTGTGATCCCGAATAGGCCTAATATTCTCCTCAGCGAGCTTTGCGGGGGCCCTTGTCAGCTATGCGATTGTCTGCCAGTGCGCTTACCCTCTCTGCCTCATGTCTTGCTGCTAACCATCGCGTTTTTGCAGAAAGTCGCTGGGAGTATGTGATTGCTTTTAAGGGCATGGCCTATCCACTGATATACTCTCCAGACACCTCAGCCCAACCCCGCCTTTATCAAGAGAGCCCTGCTCGATGAGGTCGGTGTTGACTTGACATCATCAGTCGCAACTCCACTCAACTCACTGTAGAATGTTCAATATTTTGCCCTCGCCTTCTTCTGGTGGATGTCTCGACCGATTACTAGTGCGTTTGCCGTTCTGCTTGTGCTCTAATACCAATGAGGACAGTCGCTCTTCTTCCTTACGCCATATTCTCGCTATTCCATGCCTTGACTTTTACTCGAACGACTTTGATGCCACAATTCCTTCCGCCAGGCCCGCCTGCAACTGCTGGTGGCCCTCCGACGCCCCATCCATTGGCCAAACGACTACAAGTTTGGGTCAAAAGTCAGTCGTACTTTCGGACGCATCAGGTTTTCGTCTGACACGTCACCAGCGAACTACGATTCTGCCATGAAAATTGTGGCTTACACCGAAATTGTTATTTGCGCGCGCGTAGTATTTGGCACATTCATCCTGCAAAACTCTCTTCTGGCGCCTATCGTGTTTGTCCACTTCCTTCGCCAACGCTACTACCAATCCGCCTTCACGCGTGATGCAATCGCGGTCACGACCAAAAAAATTGACAGTCTTATTCGCAAACCAGGAAACCCTCCAGTTGTTGCGCAGGTTTGGGATCAAGCTCAGATGTTGATTGGCCGCTGGGTTGGGACGACATTAGCACCTGCTGGAGAGCCTGCACCACGACGATGATGAATTATTTTGGTCAAGACAGGACTGGTGTAAACCTCATTGACGTGCTTCGAATGGGATAGACAATGATGCTTGGTATGACGCCAGCACTGTGGAGTCGTATTCTGTCCTATATAATTGTCGTTGAATCGATGGACTCTTCTCATAACATAACCATGGCCCCCACCATCGCATCCGCGGTTTCAGACCTACTCAGCGCGCTAACAAACATCTTATTCTCGTTACTCAACTCAATTCTCGCGTTCTTCCAAGCCGGCGTTATTCTCGCCAAAGACCTTCTCTCGACGGTTCTTCAACTCGGCGCGAGCCTTGTAGCCTTCGTTCTTGGGTTATTACAAGGAGTATATGGATTAATAGCGGGTGGGTGTTGCTTCCCTGGACATTCATCACATCACTAATGCCCGATAAAGCAAATTTGCTGGCAATCGTGCTCGTAGGAGGCGGTTATTACCTCTATACCCAAAGAAACGGAAAACAGCGCGGTAGCAGGCGTAAAACACTGTAAACTTTACCCAATCGCAGTCTCTCGGTTCGATAGCAGCCCTAATGTAACACTTGAATGAAAGCATCATGTCACACACTGTGATTTTCGTTTGTTAGGACCACCACCTCAACCTCGTTCGCTTGCCGGACCGTGGTTGTATGTCTCGTATACCCTTACCTGTATCGCATCCCCCGCCACGTGCATTTTCTCCCGTTCCTGATCAGCAACCCTCTCGTTCAATGTCTACTCTCTCCAACTCTCTGTCTTTTCCGTCCCCAGTCTCGGAAACGCGCAAGAAGCAATCCAAGAGAGACGAAGCAAGCCCTTCACTCTAATGTCACATGCCCCTTCTTATATTTCTCTTCCCAGGCCATCCGCAAAAAAATTGAGTCTGAGCTCTCCCGAAAACGGACGATTTCGACAACAAACAGCATGCGGAGCGGCAAACGGGGCAGAATTACGGCTGCAAAAGGAACGGTGGCAGCCCTTAGGCCTAGCCCAGCCCTTACGGTGCCGGAAAACATTACCGTGTCAGAAGCCAGTCAGCTATGTGCTGCCAAACGCACTGACTGTGTCTTGGTGGTCGACGACGAGGAGGGACTGAGTGGAATTTTCACTGCCAAGGACATGGCTTATCGGGTGTGTTTTGTAGTCCTGCCAAAATGTTGGAATAATTTCTTGCCAGGTCAGTGCTGAAGGACTGGATCCACATACTACACAAGTACACCAAATCATGACCAGAAACCCAATGGTCACCCGGGACTCGACAAGCGCAACAGAAGCGCTCCAATTGATGGTGTCGAAACACTTTAGGCATCTGGTGCGGAGATTTTTTCTTCGGCCTTTGACTTGATTGCTCTTACCATAAATGATAGCCTGTGTGCAACGAAGAAGGGAATGTTGTCGGCTTGTTGGATATCACGAAGGTCTTCCATGAAGCGTTGGCCAAAGTGGAGAGGAGTTCGGCTGCGTCCGAGCAATTATTTGCGGCCATGGCCGGGGTCCAATCTGAGCTTGGCGCCGCTGGAGGCAATCCCCAAGCGACAGCCATGCTTGCTTGGGCTGAACGTTTGCGCGAAAAGACTGCTCTTCCAGACCTTACTACTGTCATGGATGTTCGTTCCCATCCGGCAACCGTCGGGCCCAAGACGACAGTAAGGGAAGCGGCACGTTTGATGAAAGAGCGACGCACTACTGCGGTTTGTGTTATGGAGAACCTGACCGCCCCCAATGGTGGTCCACCGACAGAAAAGATTGCGGGAATTTTTACCAGCAAAGACGTGGTTCTTCGCGTTATTGCTGCTGGTCTCGATGCTGGAAGATGCAGTGTTGTGCGAGTTATGACTCCCCATCCTGACACCGCGCCGCCTTCCATGACCATTCACGACGCACTCAAGAAAATGCATAGTATGTTGCTTGTTCTTTCAAATGACAAAGGCTCACTTGCCTTGCAGATGGGCATTACCTCAATCTCCCCGTCGTCGAAGATGATGGCCATTTGCTTGCTATTATTGATGTTTTAACGCTTACATATGCCACCTTGGAACAGGTACGTTGTCCTCTTCTTCTCGTACCCGGCTAATCTCCTTAGATGAACGCCATGACTTCGGGAGACGCTACTTCCAGTGGTGAAGGAGAAGGCGGTCCAATGTGGGGACGATTCTTCGATTCTATTGGCCACGATGATAACGACTCGTACCTTTCTGGCTCTCGTGCGACTCCAGAAATTCATTCAATCGCTTCATTACAACACCTGCACCCCCCTCAATCTCCTCACTCAGAGGTTCACCCCAACGACTCTGCTTCAGTTGTCGACGATGAACCCTCGGCTGTAGGTGGCCGTCATCCGACTGGTGCTCCCTCAATCACAGGATTCCCACCCATCGATGATGGGACTTATGTCTTCAAATTTCGGACTCCCAGTGGACGTACACATCGTTTCCAAGCCCGCCATGACAATGTCGAGCATTTACGCGAAATTGTTGCTGGCAAGCTTGCGACTGACCCCTTTTTCACCGACTTCAAATCAACTTCGGATCCTACTGTTATTCCTGACCCCATCGACTTCCATCTCTCTTATACCGACGCAGATGGAGACAGCGTTTTCATCACTGCTGACCACGATGTCATTGACGCAGTCAAGATTGCCAGGAACTCTGGGGCTGATCGCGTTGTTCTAGTAATTCATGGCGGAAAAGGATGGGGAGCCGGCGAAAAGGAGACTGTTATTGAACCAGAGACTCCACCGCCTGTCGTCGAAGCGGAGACAGTCCAGAATACTCTCCTGGAAAGCAAAGCAGTTCCAAATCAACAAATCCCAGACGACATCATGGGAATTCCAAAGGACCTGTTATTGCCTGCCAGTATCGTTACCCTCGCCGTCGCTATCATCGGAGTGTTCGCAGTATCTAGGATGTCCCAGCGGTTCTAAACCTTAGTAGTTAGTTAGCTAGACAAATTTTTATGTGCGGAATTCTTAGTAATCATCATGCATTGATGGACGTTTTAAGCCCGATCACCGAACTAAGCTTCCGTCCGACCCGTCATGCCCAAGTCGCAGAAAGAGGATGCACTGTCCTCCTTGGTTAAATAGTCTTTCTCTACCTTGTATTCTCACTCAAGTCTTCCTAGGCAAGCCGCCTCTTCAATATCATGTTGGAGGATCTCGTGATGGGTTGAAACTGCAGCTTTCCAACTGTCTGCACTCCGGGTTGACTGAATTCCTAGATATTGCCCTCCAGTCTCACCAAGAAGTCTCCCGGAGCCTTTCTACATGTCCAGTGTGCAACACAAAGTAAGTCTACGCGTATCGCTGCTTGGCAGACTCATGTTTTGCCTAGGTGTAGTGCAGGTGCCGTCCTTGATTACCAACCAAGGGACCCACTTGACGATTGCCACCAGTCCACGTGCCCCCGCCTTCAACTACACAAGCGCTACCTTCGCGTCCATCGACGCCTCTGCCAAATGGTTCAGCAAGCACAGGCACCAGCACTCCCACCAAAGATGGGAATACATACCTCGAATGTCTTGTCTGTTCCCGCCAAGTTCGTGCGATCTCAACCCAGTCAGCTATGTTCCAAACCGAGTACAGGTCGCGTCAAGTCGCTATGCTTCCCACCTCAGCTCCTGCCTCGGTCTCGGCACAACTCGTAGAGCCGCCGCGAGAGGGAGCACGATGAAATCCAAGTTGGTGCCAATCGTCTGGTATCAGTCTTGTCTCTTACGAGTCCTAGGCCATCTTCCGATGCGGGAGGTCGCTCAACATCTCCTGAAGATGATGTTTCCGACGATGGGAAAAGCAAAGGCAAATCCAAAACGAAACCTCTCGGTCGGAACTTTCAGACTATTCACGCTCTATAGTTTCACTGAATGTCCTCAGCAGATGGAGACTTCAACCTCAAGCGGAAACGGGTTGGTTGTTATTAAGGCAACATTATCTGATATGCTCACGATAGCAGGATTCAACACAATCGACCCCAAACAAGAAACAGAAGAATAGCAGTGTTACTGGTTCGTGTCATTTTCCTCGATTCTTGCTGTGTTGACAAGGTCTTAGGCTCACCGGCACTGAGCAATGTAGGTTCACTCCTCGGTTCCCTCCTCACTCGCTCTGAACAACGTATTCAGGCATTGACCTCTCCATCGAAAGTGCCTTCAAAGCTCCGCGACTCTTCAATCGCTTCCCTCGTGGCTGGCTCGCAGACACCATCCTCTCGGGGTTTTTCTTCACCACCACCTGACAGTCCCGGAGCTTCCTCTTCCTATTCCGCTCTCAGTGCCAACGGTAGTCCAATCAAAAACGGACGGCGTGACATTCTCCCAGCCAAACAACCATCTCCGCCACGACAAGTGGTTAACGATTATATGCTTGGTAGGCTTCTTGGTCTCTACAAGCTCCTTTCTCTGATGCGTTGGTGGTCGTCGCAGATGACAGCGGAGACGAAACAGGATCGTCAACGGACACAGACAGTTGAAAAGGGAATGACAACAAGGGTTAATTATTTCAGGCAAATCCAGCATCCATCTATCTACAACTTTTGTATCAGCACAGCTATGGAGGACTACTATTAATTTTGTCGGAGGGCTCTAACAACTGGCTGGTGGGTTGGGAACAAATACCAGACAACAAACAAGGAACTGGTCAGCGCGACGGTTATATATGGCCACTTGTTCATCGTATACTCGGTGGTGATGACGCCTGTGACAAACGGAAGGATCGCTGTGACATCAGCCCGTCATCAGTGTGGTGCTCTGGATGAACAAAGAGGTCACTAACCACTTCCCACAGAGCCCGCTGCGGAACTGAGACGGGAGGTTGAGAGAATATAACAGCTGGTAGAAAATCGGCACGCACATAATGGCCATGGAAACCAAGTGGACTTCTGCGGGCAACAAGTCGTTCGCCAGCTCTAAGAGGGCAGGGAAGATTGGGCCAAAGAAGAGACCAATCAGGCCAACTGATGCGCCATTCTCAATAATCGAGTCGATGAACCAAATCAAGAAAAGCATCGCCAGTCCAACGCCTGTGAAGTGTTATGAGCGATATACCATGTTTAAGGCGACTACATACCACTGTAGACGAATCAGTGGCCAGTTTCAGACACCAACTAGAGAACAACTCACAAGCAGATCTGCACGGCGTACTTGCGCTGTGTGAATGAAATTCTGTTCAGATGCGTATAAATGGGCTTGAATCAGAAAGTAAGAGAGCGTGTACCTGGGCGAGAAATAGCTCCATCCAACGCGACTGATGCTGATCCCAAGCCAGAAACCCGAAGTGACGTACCCAACCGTATCGGGGTCGGCTTTGCGTTCAGCTAACAGATATTGGACGACCTTGAATCCTGCTTAGGGAATACTTGTTACTTCAAAAGTCAAAGCATACCAAGCCTTGAATTGTGGTTTCCCTTGTAAACAGTCAGGACGTCAAAACGAGAGCAAAATAATTATCACCCACGTCCCGCAATAAAATAGGGTGAAAACAGACACAGCCCATTGATATGGCATGACCGCTATCAAGCGCAGAGCTAGCAGCCAACAGAGTGAAATTTTCTTAACAAGAAAGTTGGAAATTTTAGACTCACGATTTTTTACGGATTTGGAGGTTGTGTCATTCTTAGCGTCAAGTGGCTGAGATGTGACTTGAGCCAATGCTTTCTTCCGATCCGTTTCGAGTTCTTGCGCCGTTGGCATGAAAGTGATAGCAAGGAATGTCGTGTTCGCTGCCGCCAGGACCTATTTTTGGCAGGGTTAAGTAGATCCGTAGTAACATACAATCGTCAACTGACGAGCGAGCCGAAGTAGAAATGATTCCACGGAAGGCCTGCTGCCGCCGTCGCCTGGAAAATAAGCGGGGAAACGACCGCACCAATGCCTTAGATAAGAAAAGATTAGAAGTATGAAACAGGCATGGTAGGCCGCCTACCCCAGAGACCAAAAGCGTATCCGAGTGGTTTGCTTGGCATTTCGGACAAGAAAAGATTTCTGAGTTTGGTGTTGGAACATGGATGGCCGATACGAATAGGAAAACGTACAACGGAGCTGTGGAGTCATGAGAATTCTAAAAGATCGAGCGTAAAAACGAACCTGTAGATATGGCTCTGCCGAATGAGATTATAACGTAAGCGATGAACATGACCGCTAAACCCCGCTTGGACCCCATCAAGATGAAATTTACAGGTGAGGCGAAACTGGTGATAATGAGGGCTAGGAATCGCGCCTGCGAGAGTGAGAAGCCCATTGGACCCAGGCGGGATCTAGAAAAGATGCTTCGGAATGGGGAAAGTGGTTGTAATGCCAAGTTTTGATGGGAAAAGTAGAATCGACCGAGAAATGCGATGATTCGGGGGACGAACAACGTCCCCAGAGTAAATCTAGAAGTGTATCGGTTTTCGGGACATCATCATAACACAACACTGACCCGCACATAGTCCCCGCGAATAACAACGACGAGGTCATGTAGCTAAGATGGAATTGTGCCCGGAAGTCTGTCCAGATTCAGACCTTAGAAGGCGGAGGCAAACACTGTAGTGAACGTACATGGCAGCGCCGTTCCAGTGACTAGGTGCACGTGGTGAGTGGTAATGATAGAGTATGGACCAATACGAACCTCCATCGCCCCAACCGTTAAGGAAATATTGGAAGAGCGCGCTGGCAAGGCGCCATTTGAGGCGTAGGTCTCCAGGGCGACACTTGGCTTCAAAATATGATTCACAGTTTACTGTTGTTACAGTCGATGTAGTTTTTGGCGAAGAAAGAGTGAGATCGTCTTGGTGCCGTGATGTAGTGAAACTAGAAGAGTGGGATGAGGTGTGTGCGGTGGTAGGGTGATCAATATGGCATTCCACATCGTCTGCAAGGGCACTTTCATCCCGTGTAGCTCCAGACGCGTAGCCAAGAGCAGGAAGGATAGCTTGAGGACGGATAGAACTTCTGCGACGGCCCCGAAGGGTAGAGGCTTGACAAAGGTCGAGGGCAATGGGTTGCAAGCTCATCTTGTTGTCATTTCTTCATGAACGTACCGCTCTTAAAGGGCCTTTCCCGTCGCATGAGCGCCCTTCGGTCTACATCGGCCTACAGTTTTTTTTGCTCAGTGAAGCAGGTGCATGATCGGTGACTTCAAATTTTTGAATTCTGGAGATGGTATTTTACGACGCGAATACGCGGTCAGAAACTAAGCTCCGAGGAGGACACGAGGGAAGAATTAGGCATTATCGGAGTTGGCGAGGGGGGACGCGTGGAGTAAGCGACGGGCGGAACTGAACATGGTGGTGAAAAGCAACCCAGTTAGACCCTGGTCACAAATGTTGCTTCTCGCGATTTACACCGCTATCTTACCAGCCTTCGGTCTCGGCTGGTACTTGGGTGGGAAACGACAAGTGAAGCATGTAAACAACGAGGAAGGGGATGATTCAGATTCAGAGTCTGAAGCAGGGGACTTGTGGACCTTGGACGCGTCGGAAGACTGTAAAATGGTGGGTTTTTCGTTAACGATAAGTCGAAGATTGGGCATTATAGCGATTGAACAAGGTTCTCGTCGTCCGAACCGACCTGGGAATGACCACGGGAAAAATCGCGGCACAGTGAGTTGAAAGATAGAGTTCAGCATTTCATCTCAGCTCTGGTTGTAGATGCTCGTGAGGAAATTTGTTTGCCACGACCAAAAGCTGTAATTATTTCACAGACACGCTACCCTCGCTTGCTACAAGACCCTGCTCTCTAAAAACGCGCCAGTGCGATACGCGACTTGTCGCTAGAGTTACTTGAATGACTATCTACAGCTCCTTCATCGGTGGGCAAAGGCAGGCTATGTGAAAACGGTTGTTCGGTGCGAAAACGAAGACGAACTTCTCATACGCCAAGCTCAAGCGCAAAGTCTGAATTTATGTGCTCGGTCCATCCAAGACGCGTGGGTTGCATTTCGGCCTCTCAAACCCGGTAACGTCAGTAATCATGTTTCCGCAGCGGAAGGACACAAATTGCGGCAGGGTCGACAACGGTGCTTGGAATCGCAGGTAAATAATACAAAGAAAATAGAGATGAAAGACTTTAAAACAACCCTCACAGGACCAGGGAGGGCTATAGACCAAGTTATAGAGGGTTTAGCGAGTTGGACTTAGATTATTAGTCGCGTAGTGACCAGTGTGACAAGCTTTGCGGCGACCACCACCCCGTTGCAGTACCTTTGCAGGACGACTGTACTGCGCCCACACTCCTTCGTGCTATGGCTGCCCACGAATTGAAATCAGACTATGAGGACTCATTCTCCGCTCCTTACGCCCGCCACCAAACATTCACCATTGATCCACAAGAGCATTCACGCGACCCCTCTTATCCACCCAAACCTACTTTCACCTCCAAGACTCAGGAAGACGCCCATGACTTAACTCCTGTCGCTTACCCACCCGCACCACCCGAACGCGCCATAGCTGGGGAAGGATTCTGGCAAAAGGTGTGTTGCTTCCGACCATCGGTTCACTCGGTCTGATTTCAGTTACAGATCCTACCCGAGTCGATGGCATGTCGGCTGTATGTCCTCACGGTTCTAATAGAGACGACGGTCGACTTGGGAATCGAAGGAGAGCTTCTTATTCAAATCAATAAGAGCTCGATAGGTGGAGATGCGCAGGACCGGGTTGCTGCAAACAAAATGCCGGTCTATCTGAGCATTTTCGCTCTAGCTCAGTCCGTCAATTTTTTTGCTCTGCTCCTTACGCATAGCTGATTCTTTCAATAGCGTCTTCCAGTTTGTGATGGCAGTGGATGCCGTCTACGCACGAAATACACTGCAATTCCTTTGCCTCACGTACGTCACCTTTGCTCTTTACTACTCGGTCTCACTTGACCGCAGAATATTTAATGCACTCTTCCTCGTGTACGCCGTCATCCAAATTGGAGAAATCCGCCAATTAGATGTTGCCTCAACGGCCACCTCGAAACTCCCTGTGACTACTCTAACAGCGATAATACCCTGCGGTTCTTGACTTTCCCCATTCTTTTTTATTCTTGACTGACTCGCCCCAGTTATTGCTCTCGCCGAAATATCTTATATTGCTCTTGGGTACAAGATATATCACGAGTTCGGTTGGAAAGTTTACAAGGTACACTTCTTGTCCATTTTTGTCACCACCAAGTTGAAATGCTTTCCAGTTCCTCGGCGCAGACCGTCGAATCAAGAAGCTATACGCTGACTATCAAATCTACGAGTGTCTCGTCAAGTATGGTCTAGTTCCTCGTCGATCTGTTTGGCTGATTTGTGAAACAGATTTGACGTTTTCTTCTGGGTTGGATTCAGTGTTCAGTTCATCTGGCTCGTGCTCCTCGACCATGATTGGGAATACTACGTCACTTGCGCGGCATTGCCTCTATCGCTTGTCCTACTGGTGGAGGGACACCTCGCCGCTAGACACGAGAACAAAGTCATGATGTCCACCTTCATCTCAGGCTGCTCTGCAGCCATGATTTATTTCGTCTACAAGGCAGGTCATGTCACCCGCCGTAAACATTGGCACTGATTCTTTCCTAAGTTGGCCAAAGTCCTGAGGTATCGAGCCACAGATGACTATAAACTAGTGTGGAAAACCCTCACTGTATTTTGTGCGTTGGAATTCGCTTCCCCCATCTCGTCGAGCTAACCGTTGATTTAGCCGTCATTGCTATATTACTACTGGCGGCTTCCATCGTCTATTCGGTGATCGTTTTCCGAAACTTTGGACGTGGGTTAAAAGATGCTCGTAAGCCTTCATTTCTTTCTTGTTTGCAGTGCTAAGCACAACCAGTCACACGGAAGAGCTTGGGTCCAGGCCCATTTAGTTCCCAACAGCACCGACGAGCTGCCAGCATGAACCCAAATCGCATGAGCATTGACTGAGACTTTGTACTTACCCACTATCTACACTAGTTTTATTAGAGTATTTGTGTATTTTTTACCAACACGCTATAAGCTGGACTTTTTTTATTTCTTGATGCGATCAAGAATGACGTCCTGTATTTTTTTGACATGCCTCCCTTGTGCCAACTTTCTCCACCCTTCTTGACGCCCACCACCACCTTCCTCCATGTCCGTAACATCTCCAGAATCCTCTGGGTTTACTCCCCGACGGGAGTTTCTACGCGATAACATCGCGCATGTTCCCAGCTCATTTTCATTACTTGCATTTGCGGGAGCAAACTCACTCAAATTATTCTCATTTCCACTCCCTGTGCTCACAGCTATTCGACGCCTGCTCGACCACCTCGAACTTGTTACCAATGTTAGAGAGGACATTACCAATCAGGTATATAAAACACGTTTCGCAGATCGCAATTACGTCTTAATGGTTTTCAGGTTTGCGAGTACTCCCTTGGTGGCCGACCTTGGGCTAGTCCAAAGAGCACCCACACTGAAAGAGTAATAGTTCAGATACTGGCAGTCATATACGAGCATGGCTACCAATATTTGTCCACAATCGACTATGGCCGCGAGGCAGACGATAAACTAGCGCTTGCCTTCGCGCGTCCCGTACCTCGTGTTCCCGCCTCCCTGTCGCCTGTCGAATCTCCTATTCCTACATCCATTTCGTCAAACAGACAAGGACGCCGAATACCTTTCGCCCTCTCTTTCACCTCACAAACCACACTTCGCGTCATCGCTCCACCACTTCATTCAACTCCTGCTATTCTTCAAGCCGTTCGCGGTGCCTGGCCTCGTGGTGTAGTAGGGGAGAAGAAAGTTGCCGATAATTGCTTCGAGTTCAAGCTCAAGGGCTATAAATGTGGGTGTTACAGAGAAAATAACTCCAATGGTATTGCTTACTTTTGCTGTAGGGTTTCACGAGGACACATTTGCCGCCGATTCATTGCGACATATTCTGGCCCTTCTATCGTCTTTGGATGCACATTCGTTCTCACTAGTGGCCTCCATTTCATTGACTGGCCGATCTCGCGTCAAAGATCTCTGGGTGTTTACTGGTCCTTCTTCTTCTGTTGACTCTCTTCCCGATTCCCCCGCGCCGTCTATTCTCAACGGGTCCAATGCGGATTTCCGACGCGTGGCAACTGCTACGTCCCAGATGGCTAATTCACCTTCGGGCCAAAGCCAGCAGTCGCTTCATCATCGACGACTGGCCACAGATCCTTCGCCTTCCACTACTGTTCCACTCGCGCAAGCATCACATAACCGCTCAGCGACTGAAAGCCCGCCTAATGCTTCATCACGTGCTGCAGCTGCTCGACAATCTCTTCTGCGTAAACCAGCACCACGAGCGCAAGTTCCCATCTCAGTTCATGACACGGATAATCCAATGCCTGAACCGGAGCCTTTGCGCGCTCAACTATCATCTTCCAGCGGAGAACAATTCGACAACCGAACACGAGCTCCTGATGTGTTATATACTTCGCCCTCGTTGCAGAATTCTCCTCCAAAGGAAGAGCCTTTCCCTTTGCTATTGCCCAAAGCCGATTCTCGGTCTCAAACACCTTCCAGCCACGGAAAAAGAAGCAGTGGTGACGCAGTCCCGTCTCTGGGCTCTGGTTCACACTCTCCATCTCCTTTGCCATCGCCACCACTCGTGGTGACTCCTCCTCTCGAAGATCTCCACGACAGCCCTGCTGAAACGCCGCCTATCCTCAGCCCAAACGCCTTTCGTGATTCGACTCTTTCAAGTGCAACGGACTCCACATATGATATGCCCATTCCCATCAAATGGACTGGTCTTGGGCGTGACTCTTCGTTGGATGAGCGGGAGTCAATGGGCCCTACGCTGCCCGGAGGTTGGCAACCAACGCCCATCGACGAAAAGCCAGAGGACTTGGAGGAGAGCTTCCAGGATAGTCTGCTTACGCCAGATATCCAAGAGGTACCTGTGCGGGTCAACTCGCCTGAGCCTCAGTCGCCCGATCTTGAGCTAAGGAAAAGTGAGGCCGGGCTTGTCGGGTTGATCGCAGCCAGCGAAAGCTCAAAGCCTACGAACGAGGGCAAGGGATGGGTCGTTGTTGATGTTGAAGGAGAAGGCGAAGATAAGGTAGTCGCATCGCCACCAGCGTTGTCTCCGACACCACCAAAAGCAGCCAGCGCACCTTCCGAAACTCCCGGCTCCAGTGGTGCAAATACGCCAACGCCAATATCGCCTGCAGCCAAGGCTATCGCTATCGTGGATGCTATCGAGTCGAAGAACAATAACAAATCTACTCCTGCGTCGTTGGCGTCATCAAAAGCCAAATCCCCAGAGGGTGGAGTGAAGAAATTCTTTTCTTTAGGACGGAAGAACTCGACTACTGCCACGCCTTCTCAGCAGCCACCACCGAGTCCTATCCCGAATAAAGCCGGCGTAAGCGAAAATGATACCAAGCGTGCGATTGAACTGGTTCGGGATGCTAGTGACGCCAGCAAAATGAACCAGAAGAAGAAGAATACCAAACCAAGTCTGCGCCAGCGATTACGTCTGGCGGGTACTCCAGAAGCATCGCGGAATGAGGACAAACGCCGCAGTTTGAATTAATGGACTGGATGGATCTGATACCTTAATTGCTGTTCATCTGCGCTCGATCTACTTACCCACTACTTACTACTACTACTTACCACTCTTTCCTTTCAGCGGACTCGTTGTACTTATTTTCGTTCATGACCTTACGACCCTAGTGTACTACTACCCAAAAAAAAACAATGTGATTGGTTTCAAACTGGGTTTATACATAAGGAATGAAAGAGCTACATACGGGGCGATTCATTTAGAAAAAGTCCACCGCACGGCAAAAAGAAAAGCGGAGCGTTAGTTCAGTGAGTTACACGGAGCCTCGACCTCGCGAGGATAAATTAATCGACATCCACTTTGTTCTTCAACCAGCATTCCAGTTGGGGGTGAGTTGTGAGTTGTGTTCAAATGGCGATTGGGCCGCGGGCGGTGACGCGCGAAGCGAAGTTACGGGGGCCAAGTTCATCTGCGCCAGAGGGAGGGCCATGGGGCTGGCGGGAAACGATGCTCTTGTTCAAAGCGATAGTGACTGCTTTGACGGCCTCCTTGGAGATGGGGAGCTCAATGGACGAAGATGAGTGGGGGGTGGTGGGCGGGGAGTTGGTTGCTGCCGAGTCAGAAGAGCTGGTTGAATAGCCGTCGTCATCGAACGAGTTGTCGATAGCGACAACCGGCAAGGCAGTCTGGACAGTAGCGGTGGTGCTGTTGATGCTGAGGCCCTGAGGACGGGCCTTGGTCGGGGGAGGAGAAGTGCTCTTCTTACGAAGCACCGAGTTGTTGTTTCCTCCACGACGCCAGTTGGAAGCCGATTCAGACTTTGAAACGGCGGCTGGGGCGGAACTGTTGGTGTTGTTACTGCCGCCCAAGGAAGTTCCACCGGAAATGACAGTTGTGGTGGGCTCGGCTGGGAAATGGCCAATAAAGCCGGGAGCAAAGGCAGGAGCGCGGATTCCGAATTTGCCATCGATGGCTGCGGTCATTGGCGTACCACCCATAGATGGGACACGAAAGTCAAAGGAGGCAGTTGGACCAGCTGTTGCCGGAGGGTTGAAGTTGGGGCGACGAGCACTCTGGGGTTGATTCTGAGCAGCGAGAAGTTGGGCTTGGTACTGCTGAGCTTGGAGTGCCTATCGGACCTTTTTTTTCAGCAAGTGAAACAAAAGGGAAGAAGCAGAAAAAACAAGGGAAATTGAGGTCAACTCACCTGCATGCGCATGATCTCGATTTGCATCATTTGCATTTGGAGAGCTTGGGCCTGAGCATGCTGGGGGTAGGCGGGACTGAAAGGTGCGCTCTGTTGGCGAAGGAAACCGGGGCCATCGACAGCCGCAGTCATGGGCATTGCCCGATTGGGATATTGAGTGAGGTTGTCTTGTTCGGGGTACTGCTGGATGTGGGGAATGTTGAAGGTAGCTCCAGGGGCAGCAGTGTGAGGAATGGCAGCAGAGCGAACTCCGCCAGTGCGGAGGCCAGAAAGCAGGGCGGCACGAGGGTTGGAGGAGGTATTAACGGACATGGTTCAAGATAGAATAGTGGGGTAGAGAATGAGATGAGAAAGATGAAGAGAGAAAGGGTTGGCAAGGAAGAGGTAGGAAAGAGAGAAAGCACAGCACATGTCATCAGTCAAGTCGTGATTACAACTAGCTAGGCCCACTATGTCTACAAGTGTTTCTTTGCGCTGGCTCTTACACGGGTATCAAATATAGAACTACGTATGGGAGTATGGGCAGTATGAAAGGGATTCAGCATCGTCTAGATAAAGTCAAAAACTCCAATTCTGACAAAAAAAAAAAAATTGGCGTACCTTGACATATAACTCCCAAACATCGACGAAGAAGGACTTGATCCCATCGTCGTTCTTACCCTCATGCAAAAGTACAAATTTCATGTCTGATTCTCCTCAGCAAAGACGAGGAAGAGCTTATCACCATACGCACTGCCAGGAGTGATAAAAGCGGAAACCGTCCATTCGTTGAACTTGTCGACAGATTTGAGATACCTATTCAGCTTTCAAGCATTGAGTTGCTACTACTTTCTTTCACTTCGTACATGGCATTTTGGGTCTTCATAAGGTCTTCGATTACATCCAGTGAAGCATTAGCGATCATTTGAATAACATGTCGGTCCTGGCCTGCATCGACGCTGAGGCAACCGATAAAGCCTGTAGACAGTGACTAACCGCCTCCGACACGGGAATGTCCACCAGATTGTTGCCCCGAGCTCGACGCGCCAGATAATGCAGTCAGAGTTCCCGCAAACGCAGAAGTTGACCAATTAGGCAGATTTGACGAAAGGGGCGAAGTGGGATTCTGAACAGGCTTTGCGGAGAAGTGGGTGAGACTATATAGAGGCGTGTCCGATGGCGACAATAGAAACAAGTGGTGGGACATGGTCAAGTTTGGATTATAGTATTCGGTCGTGACTGTCACGCGTTTGTGACAAGTTTGAACTCTCTCTTCTCAGTTCTTCATCGACAGCTCGCTTGAATTACCGCAAACGCTACCCAAGAAACTCTTCGCCAAATGCATTCAAACTCCCCGAATCGTTATCGTCCACTCAATTTTCACTATGTTTGCCGACAATAACCATAGCATCCGCTCCCCTTTCTGCTCGAACTCATGCTGGTTTGCTCTACTGCAGTCCGGGTCAATAGGCTTGCTCTCTTCCACCGCAGCTATTTGTTGAAAAGTAGCCTGGGCCTTCAGCTCCATAACAAAGAAACCGTTCCCGTTGCTCGCGATCGTGGTTTCTTTTAATTAACTCCCTTGGCAATTAAATCCCAGTCTTGATTTTTATCACATCGTGAAGATCCACTGGCCGCCGTGTTTCCTTCAAAAACCCTCGATGAAGGATCGAGCTATTGATCATGCCACGCTTCCTCGCTACTCTGACTCTAGTGCTTTCCACGTTCGCGTCGTCTTTCGGACAAGATCTTCTGCGCTTGCGAAGTAACCAGACAACCAGAGTCAAACCATTTGGCATTATTCCTGGGCTGCTAGCTTCCCCAGCGAACTATATCGCAGCACGTGCTGACAGCTCAGGTTGTCCTATTGGAGGAATTGCTTGTTCTGACGCAGGTGAGGCGCACATTTTATAGCGATCGACGCTCATCTTGTGCTTAGATGGATGGTATATGCTTTTGGAGACCTATTCACTTTAATGACTGTTTCAAAGTTGCCCAACTGCCTATAGATGTTGCTCAGGCGGCGGTTGTTGCCAGTTGACCGAAGCGTGTGTTACTGTGAGCAATTTTGTTCCCAGATCTTTCGCAATGCGCACTCAATCGAGAGTTTAGGTGGACGGAATCAAAGGCTGCTGCCCGGTTGGGAGAATATGCACCGCTCGTGAGTCTGGGCTATGTGTTTCAATCAGCGAGTAGTCTGAATATTGCCACAGCACACTCAACCCACTCTTCCTCGCAGACCGCCACAACAACCTCCAAATATACCGCATTGACGAGTCTTCCGAGCCCTTCCGCCGTCACTCATGATGTCGCCGTCAATTTCTCCGCGATGACTTTCTCAGGCAAGTGGCAGACTGCCAACTCGTCTTGTGGGGGCGAAACCCCCTCTAAAGTAGTGTTGTCGGATGGCCAAACAACTTCCCAATTCGGCACGGCGTCGTACTCTTTTCACGGTGGGTAGGCCTTTATTGCTCTGGTTTCTTTACCTCAAGCACAATCTCTCTCTCTCTCCAGGTTCTGCTGTCTTTCTCAAGATGTCCGCTATCAATGCCGACTACGCGATTATTCTTGACGGTGCCACGACTGAATATGGGGGGCTCGGTAGAATTGGAGATGCTGCTCTCCCTCCGAACTGCACCTTCGGATGGTGGCGCGACAACTTGGACTCGACCTTGCATGATATCCGAATCACGGTCTATGGAACGGGAAACGCAACCAATAAAATTAAGCAGCCTTGGACTGTAGAGTTCCATAGCTTAGTGTCTGTCTTCTTTTTGTTTTGGGTTATTTGCTCTTTCCTAAACTAACCTCGCAGCATCACACGATCTGGCGCAAGCAGCTCAACGAGTCGGGGTGCTTCACCAACTACGTCAGGACCAGCTGGCGACAAGCCGTCTACCGCAGATGGATTGAAGGATGCCAATAAGCATCTTGTTTTCCTTGCGCTCGTTTTATTGGCAGTTGTCCATACTTAGCGTATGAGTTCATGAGAATTACGATGTGACACGTTGACATACGCGATTTGACCAAAAACCACCAGCGGTATGGCACAAAGGTACGGCAAGTGGAGGCTCCAGCAAAGCAATTCTCTCATCCCTCAGACTCGCAAAACAGAAGGGCCCCGTCATCGTATTCCCGTTCTTCCCTGCTTGGTCCAACCCCGCCGGCTTCGGGGCGGTCATCGCCCTATAACTACGAGCCAACCGGCCAACGATTTGCAGACGACCTCGAGGGTCAGAATGACGAGGCTTTGGAAGGGTTGAGTGCAAAGGTCAAGCTACTCAAGGATGTGCGTGAGTTGCCTCCAGCATTGTCTTGCTTTACTGAGCAAGTCCCTTTTCTTGCTAGATCACTGTCGGTATCGGTAATGAGGTCCGGGAGTCGACAAAACAACTGAGCGAAATGGTGTGTCTATTACTACAGGCTTGGTAGTCTCTTCTCTGACAAGAAACAGAACGACGCTTTCGCAGAAACGGGGTCAATACTGAGTGGGACATTCAGACGGATGAACAACATGGCTGCAAGACAAGGGTGTCGCTGGCTATGGTACATTGTCTTTCTCGTCATTGTGTTCTGGTTCTTCCTTGTTGTGTGGTGGTTTCGTCGGTGACGGCCGCCTTACGCTGCTCGCCAGTCGAATTGTGTGGCAATTATTGGATGTACAAATTCTAATACTCGGTCCGCAAAGTCGCGTTTCCAATTTCCCAAATCATTCTGCGTCGTAGATACGGGATGTCTTTTTGCGAGAAATTGAATGGCTCTGCCCCTCGAGAAAGCGATTCCAAGAATTGACAAGTGAAGACACCGCAGTCATAACCGTTTTCTTGCTGGGGTATATCCTATCGTTATTTCAGCTCAGTATCAAATTCTGACCAAGACTGGGCGACAAACCGGAGACGTATAATCCACCCAACCTGTAAAGTCGAATGGGGCTTTCTTCTTATTGCGGTGCTCTTGGTCAACATATTCCCGCAGATGCTACATTAGACTGGTCAACATGATGCCCACAAACGCTCATTGTGTGTACCTTATAAACAGACGGACGGTCGTCACCAAGGCTGTCATACGACTCGATTCGCTTTTGTCTGAAGTTGATGGCAGCGGCGGTCCAGTGCAAATTGGCGTGGTTGACTGGAATTAGGATGACATCTTTGCTGAAAAGATCCAACTAGAGCAACATATCGTTAGCCTCCTCAACCTCGGATACTATGGGCTCACTTTTTTGGTCCACTTTGAAAGCCGCCCCTTCTCATAACCCTCCTTCACAAGCTTAGGCCAGAAGAAGGTACTGAAGTAGTGAACAGCCAACACGTTCTTGGGCCCATTTGGAGAATTCTCTTTCGCCCCCTCAGATCGACCCAAAACAAGAGCTCCATAAAAGTTGATGATCTCGTCATTGAGCCAAAGGGCAGGCTTGAGCCGCGCAATGTCCTGGCTTGCAACTTGCTCTCGCGCATACTTAGAGATAACGCCCGATTTTTTCAATAAAGCGTCGACCTGAGCATCTGCATCTGAAGGTAGACTAGATGGGAGCGTTGGTGCACGAAGCCTCTTCTCAAGCTCAATGTCCTTGATTTGACGACGGTACCGCACTTCCTTCATATGAGGTGTGTGGGGCGGAGGAGGCCGAGGTCTAATGAGCGTAAGAAGATGCAAGGTTAAGAGTTCAATTACTACGCACTCGTTAAGAGTAGCCCGTGCTTTTTCTAATATTCTCCGCAGAAATGCGCTATCGTCCACCTGAACTATCCTTTAAACGGCGCCAGACATGGTTGAAATGGACTGGACCTCAACTGATTCGCTTCTCTTGCCATCTCTTGGAAACACCCTGGCTGCTTGGCGATGAGCCATGCTGGGAGCGGTCGAGAGCTATCACAACTTACTTGACTCCATATATCGTTGTATCTGCAACTGCTTCCTCATGAGCCCTGGAAGACGCTCAGCCCATGTCAAGCCCAAGTCTGAGCTGTTACCTCTGAAAGTCGGAAAATCGGCGCTGTAGCCTGGAAGCGGTCAATAACGTTACAAGGGAAATTCGAATCTACTTGCCTTTCTCTTTCTGGAGAACATAGATCTGCTTCAGGGTGTCCTCCCGTCTTACAGCTTTTGTCGCTTCCACCTTGGCCTTATGCTAACGAACCGCCATTGAGCTTGCCACCTGAGGAAGTAAACACGGCGACATACCTGGTCCTCAAAAATGTGTTTCCTCCTCTTGGGACGGTGTTGTTTCAGCCACAGTTTCTTCTGGAGCTCTCTGTCCACTTGGGGGTAGTACGACTTGGTCACTGACGTCGAAGGCCACCCAATAGACGGGCTGGGTTTCAGCACTGGTGTTTGGCTCGGTGTAGTCTCAGTTTCGGCATCGGTAGGACTGGAAGTTGAAGGAGCAGAAGTGGATGGGGGAGCAGCAGCGGACGACATAGAAGAATGGGTAGACGCAGCCCTGGAAACATGCGTAGGTAGCGCTGATTCTGGTGAGTGACGCGTATTGAGATTGGAAAATCATCGCACAGGGCTGGGGGAAAATAGTGTCGCGAACGAGCTCAACAGTGTTAACGGCGAAAACCCAGCCAGTTTGGACATGTGTCCTCCAGCGATCCCCTAGAGTGCCACTTTCGGAGCTGCCCATCGACAACCGTGCGTGTTTGCGGACTGGGGGGGAGAGCGAGTCGTCGCCAGGTCGTTTCCGAGTGCTTGGTCCAGCTTGAGGCATAAGAAGAGGGTGTCACACTTGTCACCTGTCATGATTTCACATCTAAAAAACTAAAATACGTTCAAGATAATCAATGCCACATCTCTCCCGCCTCCCAAGTACCCCAGTCAGACGACAACTCACGGAGAGCCTCGTAGTCTTCAATTCCCGCGCTATTTGCAAGGGCCAAACTAAGTGCAGCCACTGCCTTCTCCGATCTCGATGACGGTGCGGTGGCTCTATATGGTAATGATTCGGAGGAAGACGATGCTGGAGAGAGCCGTGGTGCAACATGCGAGTACTCGTCGTCTGATGGATATATAGAGGAGCTAGAGTCGCATGTTACTCCAGGGGATGAACAGCGGGTAACGCGTGTTATTTCGTCAACCGAGCAAGCACGTTGGGAGAATGGCGGGGTCGAATTGCCCGCAAATATTTGAATCTCGTCTTCTTCGTCTGAATGCTCTGGATAAACAAGTGATCTCCGACGACCACGAGGTTGTGTTTCCTTCATAGCGTTGCCCCGGGAACGCTCGTAAAGCTGCATACTGTGGACCCACGACTCGCCACTCTCCTCAACACTCCTTCTAAGTGACCAGAAGGCTTCGGATCGCAGGCGAGAAAGTTCGGAAGGATCTGGTTCGTGGACTGCTTCAATGGGTCGACCCTTGTGGTCCTTCTTCTTCTTGGGAAAAAGATGGAATTGTGTCGGACTCGTCGCAAATGTAGGTTTGGGTGCAATGGGACTGGAGTGAAAGCCCAACTCGACATCCATTGCCTCTGAATCGTCCTGCATGGACGGCAATGAGGATGCCACTCGCCGTCTGAAACACATCCAACACACCGATATGTTCCGTCGTCTTCTTTTTCCCCGCCTCCAATTGTCTACATCCAATCTCTGTGAGGAAGCAAGTTCAGGTTGAGCCCTCTTGGCGGCAGTTCGCCAGGCGTCAGCTGGAGAGCGACGGGGCAACGAATGAGATTTTCTATGGTGTTTGAGCGTCGACATTGGACGAGTTAAGCAAAGAGGCGATTATTCACGTGCGTCATAGTCACACAAAAATATCCTTCTTTCTAAACCACCACCGCCACTCGCCCTGCCCCACTCTCCAAACGATAAAATATGACTCGCTCCGCCAATTCAGACACTGAACAACTCGACCTAGTCCGGATCTCCATCATTCTCAGCAGAGTTCAAGGTAACGCGGCGGGTTAGACAATGCTTACCGCTTCCAGTAAGCACGGCCCCACCATGCTCAATCTATCCTTCAAGAAGCTAGTATATTCGTCATCGCTTCCCGCCGTTGTCAAAACGTGTTTCAATTCGGCGCATATGTTCATTGTCAAAGGCGTAGAAAGCATGTATTCACCTGAAACTCTCGATTAGCCAGGCTTTTGTGATCAGCAAAACACCTACGGCCCGCTGATTCTGTCGACAGCAAACGCAGCAGTCCCTTGCATATCGTAGGACAGACCAGCAATGCGAGCGGTTCTTGGTCGTCAGTATAATGTCGTTTGACGATCAACAATAATGTCTCGGTCAGATATCGCCACGCCTCAGCACAGTACAATGGGCCACAGAGGGATGAAGCTTGGTCAATATAATGTGAGAATGCGGCTAAATCGCGGTCAGGTGATGCTGCTACACAACCTATTGATGGGACTCGCCAGCAATGTACACCTCCGAAGACGACCTTGACATAGCTATCCCCCACAGTGTTTCTCGTTGTTGGTCTTGTTTAGCAGCAGCGGATGCTATAAAGACGGTATCTCCCAGAATTTCGTACGCAACCCGGGACGCTGAATTGATGGAAAGAAACTCAATCACCGCCAACAATAAAGCAGACGCTGGTTGCTTCGGGACGCTATTGACTGATTTACTCTGCCAAATGATGGTCAGAAAATTGAGAGTGGCTCGGACAAGCCCGAGGCTGTCGACATCCCAGGTAACTTGGGGATTTCTAGTCGACAGAGATCATTAGCCGCTGTCAATGAGTATTGACGAGCGCACGCGGAGACAAAATTGGGGACTAAGATCAAACCTAAGAGAAATCACTTTTGCGGTCACTTCCATCGCGCCGAATTCCACATACGTTCGTTCAAACGCGCCGAGAAACGTAAAGTGATGTCCTGCTGGATCTGTACCAGACAGAGCTCAAGAGTCTCGGGATCTAATAGGCTGAGTGCTTCCAAAACCAAATCACCGACTAGGGAAGATGTAAGACGCGCCAAAGAGAATAACATGACTGACCAATTACTTGTGCCGGTCTTGGTTCAAGGAGAACAAAGAGACTCAGAAAGACCTTGCCGAAGTCCAATACGATCCAATCCTGGCCCTCTAAGGAATTGTTCAGCAGGTACTCAATCGATTTTATACCGCATGAGCAAGCATGCGTAATGATCGTCGGGGACGGCGGCGGGGAAACTGATGCTGTGGTAAGTGAAAGCACTATGTGGTGCAGTACTCGCTATGCATAGTCAATTCTGATCAGGGTCGTCATTGGTACGTACCAAGATTGCGACGCTAGATGCAGGGGTGGTCTGTATAGTTTCTGGACCCTCGGTAAACCGAAGCCACATAGAAGTCTGGTGTTGAATAGAATGGCCTCTGAGTTGAAAAAAAAACGAAACAAACGGACCAAGTAGAGGATAGTTTCAGAGCCGACCATTCGATGATCATCCCAAACCTCCCAACACCAGGCAACAACGTCTGCCCAACTTAGAATGAGATTGATAGGGCCATCAATGCTTTCAAGAGGGTGAACGAGCTGGAGCATTGATATAGTTTCTTTCGGATGTATAACCTCTTGAACGACGCGAAGGAGACGGCTAAGTGTATGCGGGCGCATTTGAATTCGACGACCAGCAGATCGAGATTGGTGGTGAACCGTCTTGAAACAATTAAATTCAGAACCAAAAGCAAAGACAAGGAATATTGACCGAAAATAAACAAATAATCATCGCCAAGTTGAGACGCTCCTGGACAGCCAGCCGATCGCCTGCAATACTGGTAGAGAACCCCGACGGTTCGCTGTGAAGAAGATAACGTTCAAGAGTCTCGGAGAGTTTGGGCGGTACGCTATTCTTGTTTCGGCGGTTGAGATCTGGCCCAAGAACAACAGCCGCAAATATAAGACGCAATGCGAGGCGTTTTGTGGCAGATGAGGCCTCTTCAGATGCTATTACAGACGAGACTGAGCCCCATTCAACTATTGATGTAGTTAAGCGTATGAGTATGGCGGTATAACAAGCCTACCAGGCAGTTGAGCTGCAGCCCGAAGACCGTCTTCTTCCCTTCCAGGTACTAATGTCGGGTTAAGGCTGTCCAAGGAGAGACCACTCGCTAATGACACAATGGTATCGCCCATTTTGGCGAGGATCGCGTCGACCCAACAGACCACAGCTCCAGAAGAATGGTGGATTCCTTGAGCCGCGATCCGATGAAACACCTTCCGCTGTTGAAAGAGCGTTGCAAGAAAGCGATGATCAACTGCCTTTATATGAGCATTATCCAGAAAACAAAAAAAGAACCCACCCAACGCCCCAAATTCAACCAGTCGCCGACGAGTGGTTTCTGTCGGTTGAATATCTTGGACGATATGCTGACAACAGTTCAAGAAGGTTAGCAATTCGTTCGAGGCTTGTGAAATGATATTTTGCAAGCGCATATCCTGGTAAGGTAAGCTCTGGAAGCGAAAGAACTGCGGTTTACTTGGGAGAGGATCTCAGGCCGAGGAAGAACTAAACCATTTATTCGGGCAATGGTATCAAGAATAGAATGCGGGGGAGATTCAGACACGGAATCAGGCACGAATTTGGTTGCGAGAGTATGCTCAGACTCGGACTCGGACTCTGTCTCGCTCGACGACATGAAGGGATTGGACAAGAGGCGTTGATCCCGGATCAAAACTACATCTCGGCAAGCTATAACCCTTCGATCGACTTGAGAAACACGGTCATGTCTTCTTTACATTGTAACGCCTCTTCGCTCCGTGAAAATAACCCTGCAAATACCTCCTCCGACTCGGCTGTCTGGAACCAAATCAGCTTATGCTGTGAGAGAAATAATGGGACATACCGTCACATCGAAGAACTGAAGGTCTTGCCAGTCCTCATCTTCCTCAGCATGGATTACAGCGAGCATTTCTCGACGCGCAGTGGAGAGACCGCCTAGAGCTTGTGCACCCCCACCTTTGTCTTCAGACTTTCTAGCCGTCACATGGACTTCACGAACATCTCCAGTTGATTTTCGCTCTTTCTTTGGTACTGGGGCAGGAGCAGGTTCATCTGGGTCTGGTGGAGGACCATCATCAGAGTCTGAGTCATTCGGTTGACGCGACCGTTTGTTTTTGCGGGAGATGACATCAAGGTAGGTGAGAGTCGGTCGCATCTGGTGGGTTTCGGCAATAGGATGTAGATGAAGCTGCCCTGAAGGATGGGTAAGAGTGTAGATATGATTGAAAACACAACACACCGTCCCTCATGATTCCGAGCATATAAGTTCCAGGCTGTTCAATTGGCTCGCTCCGCATCCGCACCTCACTCAACCGAGGCTCGTCTGCCCTCCCCTTCGTAGTTATCTCCTGGTTTTTCTCTCGATCGTCTTCTACACGCGCCGCCCCCAGTTCCCTCGCTCGCTCGCCATTCCATACTTCTGCTCGGGTGTCTGCTGGAATATGAACTTCCAGTCGACCAACGACTGGTTTTATTCGCGCTGAGATTCGTTTACCACTAGCAGCTGCAGATGGCGGTACTTGTAAGGCACGAGTAAGTAGAGGAAACTGATGGATTTGAACTTTTGAAGAGAGAGCATTTGAGAATCGGATAGGAATGCGACTGATGACCTCGTCTTCCATGTATGTCACACACGCGTCACACTGAACGAAGGAGGTCAAAAGCGTCAGAAATACATTTTGCAGAAAAATGGTGATGTTACAAAGCGACTACTACTCTTCATACACGCTTTTCATCCAGACTGCTATTCACAGACGGTCTCCTTGCTTCAGATCGCCCGCGTTGCGAAATCAAGTCATTGAAGGGCAATGGAAGGCTCGACCTCCGATCACGAGACATGGCTGGAGTGGGCGACGATGGAGAACGAGAAAACTCCGAGTTCCACGAGGAAGTTGAATCTCTGATTGCACTGGCGTCGCTGAAGGGGTCTTCAGGTACTCCTGGGCGTAACGGGGAAGTCACAAATGGCCCCCGTCGAGCGTAAGGACTGCGGTGATCTGGCCACCAAGAAGATGGATGCTGGAGTAAAGCTTCCTTTTCGTTGCGGCGGACAACGCGGCCGCAGCTGTGGATAACGAGAACGGAGATCACGACTTCATTCAAGGATAGCCAACCACTGAGGTCGAGACAGTTTGGGAATTTGGACGCCAAGACGACGAGGAGGGCGAGAATAAAGGTGGTGACTGTTATTGCTGTTGTGTACAGCAGCTGTGAGAGCATGAAGTAAGATGCGAGCGACAAACGCGGACAAGACACACACACCTCATCCTTCATAACCTGATGGAAGAGTCCCATGGTTGGTATGAACCGAAATATCGAAGTACCCCGCGACACAGTGCTCCTGCCGGAGTCAACCAGTGGCTGCTCCATAATGGGATCGGAAATATCATGACGAGAGAAACCTGATTTGCGAGGATTTGCCGCTTGTTCCTTGTTGCTCATTGCATCCGCCGTCGGCGAAGCCACGTCCAAGGCTGAGAAGTTGCGCGTACTTCCGCGACCAAAGAGCCAGAATCGACGACTAGGCTTGTCGAATTTAACACTCGGAAAATCATCCAGGGTTACCCGCAGAGAGAGACGCCCACGGGCTGCGGGGGACGCTCGCGATTTCCAAACAGCAAAGAAGACTAGGGAAACGTCAATTACCTCGGGCCAGTTCGCACCATAAACAACAACTCACAACAACAAGACAAGAAGAAGGAGTGGGCGAGTTGGACGATAACGTAGGATCGGATGAACTGGGGGTTTCGGTCGGTCGCAGTGCATCCCCCTGAGAGCCTACGCATTCCTTGAATGTTTGCCAGGTGGAATATGAGAAGAGTCGACGAGGCGCCAAAAAAAGCGACCAATACAAGCAGAACGACACGGGAATTGTCCAAGCAGCGGTAGGCCTTCATGCCTAAAACCCCCGACATCTAACGAGTGTCAGAGAGAACAAGGTTGCCTCATTACTTTTTCTTACCAGAGTAATAGATGCTAACCCGGTTGCAGCACCAGCTGTAAAAAGAACGCTACAGATCGTTAAGAACCAGTTGCAGCAATGCTAGATGACCCGCATACGCAGTACACTTGAGACTCGAATAGAAAAATGAAGCAATAACCGGCGCAAGACCGAGCTATGTAAGATCACAGTGAGGGTTGGTTGGTTGGTAGTTGAGAATGAAGACGAACAGAGAGAATCTGGCTCGAAAGAAGCAAATACAACAACGTCCTCCGCTTCAAGTTGGCGCGTCGCAAATAATCAACACAGACGATGATGTTCCGGATAAACAGAGTCGCAATCATAGCCATTACGAGTAGGTTGGTATATGAGCTAGCCATTATATAATCAGATCGTGCGTCGAGAGGAAGTTATCCGCGAGCTCACAAGCGAAGGTCTTGCAGAAAGGCCGTAGTTGCAAGAGTACCGTCCGGTAAGGCCGAGTAAAAGGACTCGGAGGAAGGGCGACCATGGTAGAAGCGATGAGGGTCAGGAATAACAATTGTAGTCGCTATTTCGACCACCAGCTCGTCTGGTATAACGAATTGCGGGGGCGGAGTAATCCGAGGAACCAGCTGGGGAGAAAAGAAAGTGGGTGTCGGGCTAGACATGGTGGTGGGTCTTTCCAGAGAGACCAAAGAGGGTCTGTGAATCAAAGAGCTGGCAAGCCTGGCATGGAGAAGGAAGCGAAGCAAGGGTGGGTTTCTTATGGCCTCGTCCGACAGTCCGTCAGATCAGACATAACAAATTCACACCCACGTCAGTTCATAATTTTTTCTCAATGAACTCCGCTCCCGTCATCGTCATTACAGGCACTCCTGGGACCGGCAAGTCTACTCATGCTCAGCTGCTGGTCGACGAGTCACCTATTCCGCTACAACATATCAACGTTGGCGAATGGGTCAAGGAAAAAGGCTTTTATACCGAGTATGATGAGGAATGGCAAAGCTACACTGTCGATGAAGACAAGGTACGGCAACGCGTCAAATCGCTCAGCAACCAATTCGGCCTCAGCTTCTCGATGAACTTGAACCTATCGTCTCCAAAGGAGGCGTAATACTCGATTGGCACACATGCGAAGCCTACCCAGAAAGATGGCCAGATCTCGTCGTGGTACTGCGATGCGACCATTCACAACTTTGGGAGCGACTCGAAAAGAGGTTTGCTCCGTAGAATGCGTCATTGATACTGCTAACAAATCTACAGGAGCTACCCGCTGAAGAAGATCCAGGAAAACAACGAAGCCGAAATAATGGAAGTGGTTCTCGATGAAGCACGGTCTTCGTATCCGTCTGAGATCGTAGTGGAACTGAAAAGCGAATCCATGGAAGACCTTCAAGCCAATGTCGCGCGAATCGTCGAGTGGATTGCCAACTGGAAAGCTCAGCACTCGAATTAGCGTAGAGGAAAAGTATAATGCTACAATAAAATACGCCAATACAGAAGCAAAAAACTACACAAACCAAAGATAGAGGGAGAAAACTGATTTGCTGCATTAATGGGCACAAATCCTGATCTATTGTCCTTGTTCACCGAGACTACGGTGGTCAGAGTTGAGGTTGCAGTGTAGCTTGGCATTAATCAGAGAATGGTATTCAGAGCGGGAGCAGAACAGACGTCGTTGGGGTGCCTTGGTCGGTCCGGGTGACTGTGGTCTCCGAAATCACCACGACTGCCACAGGTAATGTATCAAGATGCAGACTGAGGTGAAACGAATTGCTTACCTGTTGTAGGAGTGGCTTGAGAGGTCACTGAGCTCGTTAATTAACAATTGGTGGAAGGAGGAGGCGCGCCTACCAGTAACTGTGGGCAGATTCAAAATCCCATTCGACATGGTCAATGTCAGTGTGAAAAGATCTAGCAGTTTGTCAGATTCGCCACCCATCGACTGATGCAAAGATGGTGACCAGGGGAAATGAATGGCGACTCTAGAAGTGGGATGGAAGGTTGAGGTTGCGGGAGGAGGGGATTCGAATCCACACAAGAGCCTGATGGATTTGGGTTCTCAACTTGAACGAGAATTGGCGTTATGGCATAGACGAATCCGGAATTGAAAACAGAAGCTTCGTGAAAGGTAAGGTTATAGTTTCCTTGTTTTAAGCAGCTGGGCACGACAAAATTTAGATGCTTCACAGTCGAGCCGCTCTCTCCTGTGAGGAATGTAGAGTTGTCGACGACAGTGATGTTGGCGTTGGTTTGTGCCGACACAAGGAATATGGTAAGGGACTGGAATCCAGTTGGAAGCCCAGAGCCTGGGAGACGGGCAGCAGCAGGTAGCTTTCCATTTCCACTAACATCGACTGCGATAGGCACTGTGCTGATGATGAGTATATTGGATGAAGGGGACGTGGTACAAACATGTTGCTCCTGCATGTGCAGGACTGTTGGGGCTGGGCGCATCCACAATGGCAAGGCCATTCGTGAATGTTTGTCCATTGATGAAGGCTGATGCTAGCGAAAGAGTGAAGGAACAAAAGAGGGTCAATAAGGCGCAGACCAGCTGTTATAACGTGTCATTAGCTCCACGTAGTAGTTGAGTTGGTTGAAACGCACCCGCCCAAGGGACATCGTCGAGGTCGAGAACGAAGTTATGGTGACCAATCTGCCGTGACGACACATTAATATTGCCTCGATGATCCCGTTATATGAGGCCAGCAGCCAATTCCATAACTGGCGTTTCTCTGCTCAAAATCTGGACCAAATACGCTCCTCTCTTAATGCTGCTGCGGTAGGCGTAATTCGCAACACCTTTGAGGCTGACCAGGTACTTGATACAATAAGTGCATTCTTCTTCGTCTCAGCGGCTCTTAGCCAGGGTCTTCTGCCTCAATCTCTTTCTTGAATCCAGACGAAGAACTATTGCTTGTCCGCCTCTACGCGTCAAAGATTCCTCAACTCTGCGGTTTCTTCAGATTTCCCGAGGAAGTTGAAGCCACAGCAGTCAGTTATCTCAAACGCTTCTATCTCAAAAACACAGTCATGGACTGGCATCCAAAGAATGTCATGTGCGTAGTCTCCATAAGCGAGAATCATAAGGGATAACCGGGTTTCAGGCTCACTGCGTTGTTTCTTGCGACAAAAACGACCAACCACCCTATTGCCCTGGACGCCTATGCAAACAACATTCCCAAAACCACGCCTTCAGATGTTGTCGACTTAGAATTTCTTGTTGCGCAAAGTCTTGGGTTCGAATTTGCGGTATGGCACGCACACAGAGCATTGTGGGGAATATGGTTGGACCTTCAGGTGAGCTAATCAATCAGGACCCAAAAATAAGGCTCATAAGGACAGAGTCTTCCAGACGCACCCCCAGACCGCGCTACTTCTCAAAGAGACGTATATGAAGCTGCACTCAAACACGTCCGAAGTTCGCGTCTATCAGACGCCGAACTCATCTACACCCCTTCCCAAATCGCCCTCGCAGCTTTGTCAATTGCTGACCCAGAACTCGCTTCCGAATGGTCGCACTCCAAGTTCCCCTCAGAGTCCGCTTCAATACCCCATCTAGATAATACGCTAGCTGCTATCCGTGCATTGATCGAAGCTGCCGCCAATCCACAAGATGTCGAGGTTGTTCGGGCAGTTGACTTGCGGCTTAAAATTTGCAAAAACCCAGAAAAGGTGGTCGGAAGCAAAGCCTATCTTGCCAAGAAAGCGGAGGAAGAGAGGAAGGCAGAGGAAAAGAGGACTCGAAAAGCGGCTGATGCACCCCCAACGGAGGGTGATCCTTTTGGTGATGAATTAGCAGGCAGGCTGGTCGACTACGATGACGATGACGACGATTAGTACAAGATGTATCCGTGCAGTATCAACGACATGATCAAGGTCGGTGGGTGATCCTCCCCAGACAAGAATAAGCAACGGCATCTCCGTCTTGGCTGCATATTGACCTCGACAAATCATGGAATTGACATGCGAGGCTTCGAAAGAGCCTGAGCGATTCGGTCTGGCTCACAAGGAATTCAAGAAATAGGATTGCGGCGTGCAGTCAGAAACCTACGATTCAAGAGTGAGTAAACCAAATTGTGGTAATAGTGTCTGTTTCTCTTACAGCATTCACAGTCGAACGGGCACAGGGGGGTATCTGAAGACTTGTAAGCTGTAAAATAGAGACTAGCAGAGACGCGCCTCCGCCTTCATTACTGATTCCCAGTTCATCCTCTTTATATACTGACCACCCTTCTTCCGTCTTTTTCCCTGGAAAAAAAAATTAGACGGCAGGGTTCAAATACGAGATACGCACTAGGTCCGGTGCCCCTGGAGTCCTTGAACTTTTGGATGTCGTCTTTTTTCTCTGGGGGTGGTTTGGTTGACAATGGTGGTTTCGTTTTTTTGATCTCGGGTTTGGGTTTCTTCGAGTCGACTTTAGGCTTCTTCCGTGAGCCCTCGACAACGGTTTCCTGCGGCGCAGCACGTTTTTTCGAGGACTTAGTCTGTTTGTGGTTCGCGAAAATATCATCGATTTCGGACATGTTGGGAGTTTGAGTCTAAGGTGCTTTTCCCTCTTCTGTCACACCCCATTCGCCGCCATGCAGTCCTTCGACGGGGCGGGCCTTTTTCCACTGGACGCAGCGCAAGCTAAACAGATGGCGGCAATAAATGCCGCAAACAATTTGAGAAACAGGTCAACTAGTTTCCTCGGAGAATCCTCGACTCTTCTCCAAGATCCTGCTGCCATGGCCCAAAGACCGCAACAACCGCCTCCTTCCCGACAACATGGCTTTTTGGTATCCCTAGCCGGCGTTATGGCTAAGCGCAATACACCTCTTCCACCCGCATTGACTGGTGTTCAAACCCCAGGATATGATGCTTTGAGTTCGACCTGGCAAATGCTCGACATTCCCGATGTCGGGGTTATCCGCATTGCTGGCAGGGATATCGAGCTGTTAAAGCTTTGGGGACTTGTCAAACAAAGCGGAGGTGGTCAGCATGTAGAGACCTTTATTCTTGGAGTTCCGTGTTCACCATACTGACTTTGTTATTTTATAGCTCACCACCCAGAACCTCTGGGTAAACATACTGCCATCCTTTCAATTGACGGAGGAAACGCTGCCAACCGGGCTGACTGTGACCCAAACGCTTGCCACATACTATCAGAATATTCTGCTCCCCTTGGAGGAGGTATATCGCAACAATATGCAAGGGAAAGTCCATGGTGTTCAGCGTCAACCAGTGCGTATTAAACTTCCATGCGGCGTCTAATGACCTCACTGCAGTTACCTGAAACACCCGCCCGGCGCCTTTCTTCTGCCAGCCAGGGAAGCGTTCAAAACCCCGAGGGAACTCTGGAGAATAACGATCAGGATCTCGGTCTCAAACGAAAGCTAGAGTCGGAAGAAGGAGACGTTAAACGGGCGAGGCAAAAGACCGGTGCGTGTACACAATCATTTGACGAGCAAAAACAAGCACGCTAACGATAGCACAGAAGTAAGCCGTTGTCAATGCAGATTGGACTTGCTTTTCATATGATTACGTTATAGACTGCCGGCATGAATGGGGTTGACCAACCTTCAACTGGACCACCAACCACAATGTCCCGTCCCAGCCGCCGCACCAGAAACAAGATCGAGTTTGTCCCTCGCGCTCGCGAAATCGAGCACACTGGTGGTCGCGACCTCGGGCCCTTCGAAGACGACTCATTGCCGATGAGAAGACCAATGCGAGAGTTGCAAGACTGGGGCAATGTTTCAGTAGACCACTTGGCTCTCTCGATTCGCTCTCAGCTATCAACCGAGCTGGCGTATGCGCTTACCACCATCACATTTTTCTCAACAATGCGTGGTGACACACCAAACCAGGGCTTCCCCATCGGTCAATGCTACGAACTGTTAGATGATATGTTGGACGTGTTGGAAGATAGGGCCTTTGGTGGTGCAGAGGACGATTTTTCCGCGAAGGATTACGTCATGGCTACACACAAAGAGCTTACGACGGCACACGTCGACGCCGAAAATGAAACCTTTGCCAGTTTGCATCCACGCCAGGGCTCCAAATACCCAGATGTCGGCCCACTCCAACGACCAGGGAATACGGTGCTGGCTATCACCAATATCCTCCGCAATCTTGCTCTGATTCCTGACAACCACCAGTTCTTGGTGAAGCAGGAGCGAATGTTCGATATTCTGCTACGACTGTGTTCTGTCACGAGGAAAGACGGAACACTTGTGGCTTCCTCCCATATATTGTCTCTTATCGACTTGATAACTGTTCGACGGGATGTTCTCTCTACCTTGATGCATCTCTGTAGTCCCAACACTCCTGCACACACCCAAGGAATCGTTCTTTCGGATGCATCTTCCCAGGTCGTATTGCGAATAGCATATCGAGCCTTCCATTTACTCGCTTCTTTCATCGTCGACCCTAAGGAAGCAGTTTCGCCGCTAAGCTGGATCCAGGTGGGGGGCAGTGTAAACCGACCGCCTTTGGCTGCCGATATTGCTCTCGAAACGTTCACTCGATTGGCTCAGGAAGATCCGACACGCAAAGTACTCTCCCAAATAATACCTCCTGCCTCTATTCGACGTTTCTTTACGGCCTGTCTACATCGTCTGCCAGTTGCCGACCAAGACTTTCAAATCCTCGCTCGGGAAGGCTGGTTGGGATATACTGAAAAAATTATTATGACCATCTATGAGCTAGCCTTCATTGCTCCACCCAGCTTAAAGCGCAGTCTCAAAGCGGATCGCAATCTAGGCTTCAGATCCGTCATGCTTCGCCTCGTGCAGAAGTTTTTGACTATCCCAGCCGTTGAAATGAGGGCACACTTCTCGATTGCTGTGCGGCGAGCTGTGGAAGCCATGAAGGTGTTGGATGACGGTGAAGACTTGTTTGACACCTCCGAGGTGACGGTGACAACGCTTTCGTTTGGTATGGGCTATGGGGAAGGTGCCGAAAGCAATCATGAACGAGGGACAGGGTTACTGGGGGGCCATCGTGAGTTGACTTGGGAGCTTTTGATGCAGAGAGATGTGTTGAGGGATGTGGTACTTTTCAACGAGCTGGAAAGTCTGGCTAGGGTTGAGTAACGAATACTTATCATGTTGTTTTGGATCTGTAGGTTACTATGTAGCACGTGTTCGGAAACTGACGTCTCTTTCCCTCTCTGCTCCGACTATCATGACTGACCCTGCCCCTCCGCCAATTTACTCGCAACAAGACGGTTCCGACACTAGCTCGGCTTCAGATGTTTCGCTGGACCCACAAATACTCATTATCTCAAGCTCTGATACGATGAACTTCCAAAAGGGATACCTTGGCGCAGACGATGAACGGGCGGCCATCGAGGGAGAAATTCAAATCAAGGGTGCCGAGTCTACGCGTTGGTCCAGAGTGCAAGCTTATTCTCTCCTTGTTGTGGTTCATACTGACCGGGATTTGCAGAACAGTTTCGCTTCGTTCTCTCGAAACAGCGTATGACCGGCAAATCGAGCTCGGGTTTGCTCAAGTCGTATTGTACACCTCAGTCGACGACTCCCCTTTGCCTTCCTCGCTGCTGTTTGCAATACCATTGATGGAGGACGCACCCCAATCGCTGCGAACACCGCATTCTTCCATAACTCATACGTTAACTGCCACCCTTGATCCATTGGACGCGTCTCTATCACCAATTTCTGAAGCCCTTGTCGTCCACACAAAACGCTATACCTCGCATTCACATTCGCTGGATCCTTCTCCCGAAACCCACACTCTGACCGAACCCACCCGGGTGCAAGTCCAAGTTCCGCGCACTACTTTCATCGCAGGCGAAATTGTCCCACTATATGTGACCATTCCGCCTCCCCCTCGTGCTCTCGTTGTGGACCAAGGTCTTCGGTTGAGAAACGTGAGGATCGAGTTGTTGCGTATCGTCCAAGTCACGGGGAATGATGAATACGAGGCTGACTCTTCTGGGCCTTCGACTGCCACAACGCCACCAGCCCAATCATCATCATCTTCGAAAGCCCCTGCGAGCCCTGTCTCGTCTTACCAGACTGTGATCGCTCGTTCCGGAGCATCATGTCGTTTCCACTCCTCTAGACCAGTTAAATTGCGGTTTCTCCTTCACCAACCCGCACCGTCAGAGTCTCCTCTAGACGCCCATAGCAGTCTGCCTACAGAGTTTGGCCTCATGGAATCGGATGCTGAATGCGCATCTATCACGCAATTGACGCTGCTCCATTCGGTCACCTTCCAGCTCAACATCCACACTTCATTTGTGGATATGAGCAGCCATACTGAGCGTGTCTCAACTATTTCTATTCCAGTCATCATCCTCGCACCACCTGCCCCACTGCCTGAAGTGGCCCCTTCGATGGATGCTGCATATAGCAAAAAACACGATCGACCACCAGCCAGAACGGTCCGTTACGAAGATTCAGACCACTCTGCCCCTCGATATTCTCTCGGAGAGGCTGGTCCCAGTGCCGCACCGCCACCGTTTGAAGAGAGAGACGCGCCGCCGCCATTTTTCCCTTCCGCAGCAGAGGCGTCCAGCTCATCGCGACTGCCTACTTTTCTCGAGTCAGAAAACGAGTTTATCATGCCTCCAAGCGACAACCATTCCACCCTGCCGCCCACTGATCCCACTGTTGTGGGCGAAGGCACGCAGTTTGGATTTTCTGCTGGTGAGCAATTTGACGGACACTCGGAGGACATGCAGCGGTCGTCCACACCGCCTCCAACGATGGAAATGGCGAGTACCGTGCACGAGTCTGAGCAAGCAACTGGAGAAGCCAACGACCTTCCGCCTCCCCCTCCCGCTTTGGATGATCCGTCTGATCCGCCACCGTCAATCGACTCTGAATTCAGGTCTCCAGACCACCCACCTTCCCCTCCCTCTGAACCACCACCCTCTTCACCAGTTCCACAAGCAGCTGAACTCCGGCCTGCAGATGTCCATGCCCCACCTCCCTATCTGATCCCAGAACAGCATGCCACACCGCCACCATATGTGGACTGACGAGAAAAGAAAAACACATTTGTAGATTACATAGAAACAACGCAAACTTGTATGAATACTCAAAAAAAGATCCAAAGACCGTGGCGTGTCGTAAACAAGGGAAATATAAGTACTATTACTAATCAGCAGTTGCAAGCCTCCTTGGGCTTCGCGTTGCCGTCCAGATTGACTGCCCCATCTTGTTGTGTTCCCGCGCGACTACCACCCGCTCCAGGTCGGCCGGTAGCGCCGCGGGTAGCTGCCAGAATGTGCTCAATTGGGATCTTCTTGGCTGAGAAAGAGGTCAGACAACGTTTGATAGCAAAAAAAAAGACGCACCAATCTCGGTAAATATCTCAACAATGCCCTCTCCCGTCTTGGCGCTAGTCTCGAAGAAGAGGAGGCCAGCTTCCGTAGCGTATGCCTGAGCCTCTTCCCGCGGTACTTGACGGAGACTCTCTGGCTCAACTGAGCCAGGAGTTTCCCCTGGTGTGGCAGTTGCGTCGTCAGCCTCGTCTTCCGATTCAGATGTTGCCGTTGCGCCCGTTGACGACGACGAAGCTTGCACCAAATCGACCTTGTTCCCGGCAAGGGCAATGACGATATTGGGGTTGGCCTGACGCTGTAGCTCCTTGACCCACGACTTGGCCTTCTCCAGACTGGAGGCCTTGGTTACATCAAAGACAACAACGGCTGCCTGGGCATTTCGGTCTAAGGGCGGAGCAGTAAGCGCTGGGAGGAGGAGACCAGGGCGTTGCCAACTCACAGTACATAGGCTAGTCAAGGAGAAAACAGTTAGCCTGAATTGAAGATGCGCCAGAGGAAGACACACCGCCAGCGAATGGAATCGCTCTTGCCCTGCAGTATCCCAAATCTCATAACGCAACACTCGATCCTCCAGTCGGCATTTCTGCGTCAGGAACGCAGCACCAATGGTGGGCTCCTTGTTCGGTTGGAACTCGTTGGAGACCTGAATGATAGGTCAACTCGAGAGTGCGGGTAGGGATGAGTATGGCACCCACAAAGCGAAGAACAACAGATGATTTGCCGACTGCGGCTTCACCTAGTCAAGGGATAAGATATTCACAAAGGAAAGCGTCAAAGGTAAACTCACCAAGTAGAACGAGTTTCACTTGCACGGATTTGTCGGCTGAGCCAGAGGCAGTTGCATCGGCCATAGTGGTGGAGGTGAAGAAGGGAGATGACGATGATGGCGGCAGTCACGGGCACAGCTTCAGTCAAAAAAAAAACCATTCATAGTTCTCGGTTACCCATCTACGCTAGTGCTATTACTGTCTACACTGGGTAGGTCGTCGGCACAGAAGTAGGGCGCAACCATGCCACACGTTACATAAAGCCCGCTCTCCAATTCGAAACCATACTCCTGCAAAAACGGTATCAAGTCTGTGGGTTTGCAAGTAGGATTGCAAGTGGCGGCGTCTCTGGTGTTCCCAGCCTTTCGACCTGATGCTTGAGTGAACGCTTCGCGCTGGTTGTAGAACCAAACAGGCTCTTTCTGGTAACCCGAGTCGAGATTCTTCATGAACTTGGCATAACTTCCTTTGGGATCACCGTAGACAGCAGCGATGGCGGCAACATGCGGCAGCAATTCAGTGGCATCCTCGTCTTTCGGGTCCACTCTCATCGTAAAGTCGACTGCGTCCTGAATTGTAGCTCCATACTTCGATGTCGCTTGCCAAAAATTGAGGCCCAACCAATCTCCGAGTTTGGCCGCCGCCTGTTAGGTGTCAACTCCAAGTCAAAGCCAAAATCATCGACGCACTATCAACCCTTCAAGATGGAAGCATCGGTAGTGAAATGGTCGTGTTCGAACGGCCTCGAAAGGTTGCTCGCCGCTCTTTGCGATCTGTTCTCGGAACTTGTTTTGGAAGTACCAGTTGAGAGTCGAGGCAGCCGAATCAGAGTCACCAGAGGCAAGTAGGACGGCCGCTAGCTGGACAGCATAGAAGGTAACATGGTTACTGGTTGAGAGTTAACAGATGTTTTCACGAACAGAACAAACGCACTTCGCTTTTCCCGCGACCGACTTGCCGATATCGCTCGCCTGAAGCCACTTGGCATATTGACTTAGCCATTGCGTCATTGCGTTGTCGATTGTGTTGGTCCAATCAGGACTTTTCGCGCTTTTGAGGACGAGAATGGCGTTGACGATTTTGACGATTCCACGGATATCCAATACACCTGTGAATGCTCCTTGCTGACCACTTTGCCCTGGACCGCGTACTATTTGTCCAAAGTTGACGTTAGGATTCATTTTCGTTGAGGATGTCAAGAAGTAGGCTTGAATGAAGCGAACGGCATCTTGAGAACATGATCGAGTTCCTTTCAGGGCAAAGCAATGCGCGTTGTAGAAAACAGAATCTGACACATGAACGATGGAGGGCGGGCCGGTTAGAGTTCGAACGTCCGGATTGACCTTGCCGTCTTGGACCTCGTAAGGGCAGGTAGTCCAAGTCGCACTTGGGGGCATAGGCTTCGTTGGCGATGGTGTACACGCTGGAGCTTTTCCTTTGCTTGCGGCTGCCTCTTCGAGTTCAGAAAGTTGTGTTGGAGTTGAGAAAAACAATAGAGCTTGATGTTCAGTTTCTGCTTCGGATCGACGACGTTGACGGCTCATCCCGCGCTGTGCCTGCTTGCCAGAAGTCTTTGCAGGACACCAGTTACACTGCGGCCAGTGATATGGAGCCCAGCTGAGATAATCGTGTGAATCTTTGCTTGGCGGGGAGACTCCTTGAGGATTCTTGGTCATGGCTAAAACGCGAGTTAGAGTAATAGTGAGGAGACAGAAATCGTCTCATACTCCAAGGGCCGTTAGCGGCAGTTGACCGTGCCATTGAAACGACCGCGTTTTGTGCATCTTTAGTTGCGAGTGCCGTGGTTCTGGTTTGTTTGGATATGTAGTCGACATTGACCCAGTCAACGATGTCGCCTAGAATAAGGTTAGGTTTCATCTAAGCTCGTCAATAGAAAAGACGGTACCACGAGAGAATGGAGTCAGGGCGAGAAGAATAGCAAGGCGAGGGAGTGTCATAGTAGCTTTGTGCACCAAGAACCGGCTTGGTTGTAAGACGTAGGTGGAAGAGAAACGCAAAGGGCGGTTGTGTGACAGACGCGACCGTGACACTCTTGATCCGTTTATGTAGGTTTATGTTATACTTTCGCTACGGCTTTCCTTCCGACGGTCAACTTGAACCTGCGCTGATGACGTTCCAACCGACTCCAGCAAGCATCCCACCGCGCGACAACCGACTTACCCTACGGCAACCCTCTGGTCTCCCACCAAACATCCAACCTCTGAATCCACTACAATTTATTCTGCGAGCAGCAGAGATTTATCCGAATCAAGTTGCCCTCGTCCATACTGATTCGCCAGCTTGGTATACCTACTCAGTGTGGTGCCAACGCGTCCAGAACCTAGCCTATGCCCTCCTACAAGCAGGAGTCAAGCCTGGAGATCGCGTCCGTTGCGCCTTGCTTCTCAAGGTCGGGTTTTGCTGATGCCTTTCTCCAATAGGTAGCGGTCATTGCCCCAAACTCGTGCGTTTCACTAAATATTACTTCTCCAGCTTCCTCACACTCTTCAGACCCATGACAGCCGGTAGACGTCCTACAACGCAAAGTTCAATAACGCTGATACCTCTGGTAGATGCGCACCACGGCGTGCTCGCCGTCCAAGCGGTTCTATGTACTGCTGGCATTTCATCTGGCCACCTGTTCACTCATTAGCGTCCAGGCCTGATCAATACCCGACTTAAGCCTTCTGATGTGGCTTACATTCTGGAACACAGTGGCTCAAGCATAATCCTCGTCGATCACGAATACACACACCTGCTTCCGAGTAATCTAAAAGTTCCTGTGATCGTTAACAACGACACTGGAAAGCAAGGAGACCCCTATGAAGATTTCTTGACAGTCGGTCGCAAGTTCAGCAAGGAGAGAGGGTGGCCTGATCTCGAGTATAACGCTGACGAGAACGCTGCTGCTGTTCTCTGCTATACGTGAGCTTTTTCTTGGCACGACAACGATATCCAACCCCTTTGACAGCTCGGGAACTACCGGTCGAGTCCGTGCAAGGCTGTATTGATTTCGCGTTTTCCTTATTCCAGTGTTCTAGCCCAAGGGAGTCATCACCACACTGCGGGGCTCATATCTTGCGGCGGTGGCAAATGCATATGAATCGAATATTCGTCGCGATTCGACCTATCTTTGGTATTTTGCTTGAAGTGGGCTGTTTTTTGTGCTTATCTCTCCTCAGGATCTTACCAATGTTCCACGCAGGTGGCTGGACATTTCCCTGGGCGTGTGTTTTCGCGATGGGAAAGCAGGTTCGTCCTTGAGTATCAGATTTTGCGCATTATCTTACCAGACAACAGATTACCATGCGAACAGTCGACTACCCCACGATTTGGAAGCATTTCTTAAACTCTTCTGTGACACACTATTGCGGTAAGTTGTCAAGCCTTTTCAATACCGTACTTACTAAGGCGAACCAGGAGCCCCAACAGTTCAAGTTGTGTATACCATTCACTATGGGCAGCGGCTTACGAGTATTCAGATTGGTATTGTCAATGACCCTGCAGCACGTCTATTAAAGCAGAAGATTTCGGCTATCATCGCCGGTGCTGCACCGACAGCCAATCTCATAGGATCACTCGAAAGCATTGGAATAACACCCATCCATGTTTATGGTTTGACGTGAGTCCTGAATACCTATCGGCCAGGCTTTCAAGTTGATCTCTTTCAGAGAGGTCAGTGAAATTTTTCTTCCAATCCGATAGCTGCACAAAAATTGCAGACTGTAGGTTTTGATTCTTCGGTGATTTGACTCGTACTCAAAAAGGAAATCCCAGTATGGTCCCTTTACACGTAACTACCCGCAAGATTCATGGGCCAAACTATCAATTGAGGAGCGCTCCAAATTCATGGCTCGTCAAGGCCATAGTTTTGCAACTGCCCAGGATGTTCGGGTCGTCTACCCACCCAAAGACGGATCTGACCAACTTGTGGATGTACCCCGGGATGGGAAAGCCATTGGAGAGATTGTCACTCGAGGAAATATGTGCGATTGTGTTCCAATCGGAGCTGTCAGCTGAATGTCACTTTCTAGCGTCATGAAAGAATATTTCCGCGACCCAGAGGCTACGGCCAAAGCGTTCCGAGGAGGTGAGTTTGGGTATTTCAACCCTAGAACTAATAAGAATAACACATCATAGGTAGCTTCAACTCAGGCGACCTTGCAGTCATGTTTGGTAAATCCATTGCCTTGACTATTCTTATAAGTTGAGCACAACAACCAGAGGACGGATCCATTGCTATCGTTGATCGCCAGAAGGACATCATCATCAGTGGTGGAGAGAACGCCTCTAGCCTAGCCATCGAACAGGGTATGTCTTCACTGTCAGCAATAATAGTAATGGATGACCTTGCTCCACAGAATTGGCAAGCCATCCCGACGTCTTGGAGGTTGTTACGGGATGCTCCCAGAATTTCGCATTGATCATTCCCCCAGGTCTCCGTTGTTGCTCGTCCTCACGCTAAATGGGGTGAACGCCCTCATGCGTTTGTCATTCTCAAGCCACATGCCTCCAAATGGAAGGGAAAACACGATGCCTTTGTTAGCGATCTGAAAGAGCACGCCAAACACAGACTGCCGGGTTTTGCTCGGCCAGAGTGGATCACAGTTGTCGAAGAACTCCCCAAAACATCCACAGTGCGTTTGATGTCCTTTGAACACCAACTTGGCTAATGCACATGTCACAGGGCAAGATCGTCAAAGTTGAGCTCAGGAAGATCATCGCCAAGTTGTGACGGTGGAAGCAGCAGTCTCAATTTGCGTGTTCAAAGACGTTTTACAGGGTGAGTAATGAGATAAATTGACTTGCAAATAATATAGGAGCGAGTCCTTTTAAAATTACCTATATAACGAGGGGGGGAAAAGAACGTAGATCATGACGGACTTAGCCGTAGAATTCGGAACGAACCAGCGTTCCTTTCACACAGATAGAGTTCGTCTTCTTTACGGCCTAGGAAGAGAACCTCGTCTACAATCTCCGGCTCTGTGTCACCAATCGAGAATTCTGTTCGTCCAACAGGTGATTTAGAGGCAGAGCTTGGCTTCTTGCTTGCGATGTGGTGACCAAAACCACTCTTGCTCTTTGTTGAGAGCACAGTTGCAGCCGTTCCAACTGGCGTGCCCATTTTCCACACAAAAGGCCCACGCCGGTTGATATTTGAAGGCGGTGGGTTGAATTCTGGTAAGACAGTCCGTGACTCGTCAGCGGGTTTGAGAAGAGCGTCGCCAAGATCAACCGCCTCAAGACCACCTTGTCGCATCGCAACAAGAACTGCTCGATCCCCTTTGATGTCGAATGCTTCTAGCCGCCTGACGTCGCCCATCCGCGTAAAAGCTACTTTTGTGTCCTCTGCTTCACCATCATCGCTCCACAAGAACCGACCCTTCAACACAGAGCGGCCACGCGCATCTACAATTGCTGTACTGTGGCCACCACGCGTTGAAAAGAACAGGGCAGGAGGGCCGAAATGTCGTGGCTGAGCTAGCAAGGAAATGGGTGACAGAAGCGGTTTTTGTATTTCGGTTGTCGATGCACTGGTTGAGGGTGCTGGAGGAGGAGGGGTCCGGAAAGGATGTGATGGGTCGACACTCTGTAGCCGTAGATCTTTCAATAGCATATAATCCTCGTCTTCTTCCCTTCGAACGGGTAAGTCGGGTGGTAGTAGGCCGTCCTTATACCACGCCTGCATTAGAGAAGCCTTCCAAGGCCCTGAAGGACTGTTAATTGGACAATTGAATGGGTGATCAAAACAAACCATGTATAGTGTTTTTGGGGTCGCGATAATACCACCTTGATGGCGCAGTCGCTTGGGGAACAGGCAGACCGGGAGGGGTGAACTGGACTTGAGTAAGGTCCGCAGTATTACTGCCACTGGCTTCGGGCTCGTATTCGTTACGGTAGTCTATGAAATTTGGATATGTCGGGGGAATGATATACTCGTCAGCGATGGCGGCCAGCGGGAATTTGGGAGCAAACGACAACTGCTGGAATGTTGTGTAAGGTCCCATACGAGCAGTTGCAAGTGCTAAAAGCTCCTCCGCATGCGATATCGACGTCGTGGGTTCATTGGCGGTTTCGTTATTGACATCTGAGCCAGGTTCAGGTTGGTCAGGATGATCCCCAGCTATAAGTGGTGGAGTCCCAGGTTGGCTGGCATCAGCACCGGTACCTGTGGCAACTACAGTAGAGCCAACTGAGACTGAAACGCCGATGTTGACGGTGACTTGAGTGTCTTCATCTCCCGCATTATCGGCATCGGCCGCTTCCCCAGCTCTCACCTCACGTGCTCGGCGTCGAGCTGCTCTACGCTCAGCCCGTCCAATCCTCACTTCCCGAACACGAACAGTTGCAGGCTCCAAACCGAAGACATTTTGACCAAAGACCAAGAAAACTTCCACCAAGTCGTCACCCTGGAGTTGCAACTCGAGTAATCGAGGTGAGTCGGGCAAGATAAAAGTTCGCGATAGACCAAGTGCGGTCCTATACGTCCCAGCAAAAAGCTCAACCTTTTCGCCGTTCTCGCCGCAGAGAATCGCGAGGAAGCTGAGCCAGATAATGTTAGTCTAGAGCTGATATATAAAGGGAAGCTGACCTCTTTTTGGCCGTCTCCACAGCCTTGATGGTAAGTGCGCCTTTCGTACCAGGCAACTTAACATACTCCAGTTTGGGTGGAGGCATGTGAGACGTAGTCGGCGTCATTCCTGTCCGACGAATATCCACATCGGTTGTAGTCTTAAGGGCAGGAAGGGGCGGTCGCTCATCTGCCCGGCGACCATGAAATGCGTTGCTTATTATTCGCGGAATAAAGCGGGAAGAACGTGATGACGTTGAAGGAGTTGGAGTAGACCCGTCTTGAGGTGTTGTGGAAATGAGCGTAGCGGGCGACGTTGACGCAGTACTTGGGCGAGTGGGCTGGTGCGTAGTGGAAGCAAGTGACTGGTTAGAACGATAGGACTGCGATCTCGCCATTGATCCTGGCGAACGCTCGACAACAGGAGGAATCTCTGAGCTGCTTGGAACTAGTGCGTTGCTGATCAACACTGACCATCTTCGTCGCCGATTAGGCCGAGGCTCAGAATGTGTGGTATGGGGAGTGGAATGCTCAGATGTACGAGGACTTGAGGGTTCTTCTTCAGCTGGGCCTGAAAGGAGAATAGGTTGTTGCGGTTGGCGTGTGCCCGCTGGAGGCAGGTCGGGTAATCGGCTCTCAAAGAGAGCTTCTGCCAAACTAATATGACCTTCAATTTCTTCTTCCTCTTCTTCGAATTCGCCAAAAAAGGGAGTGTCCGGATCATTTTCTAGTTGGCGTCTCGTTCCGCCGGACGGCGACTGAGAAAGAGCTTGACGGAGAGTGAGAAGAGTTGGGGCTGGTGAGGGTTCTGAGGGAGGGATTTGAGAGGAAGCTGTAGGTATTGATAGGCTGAGATCCAGGTTTGCTGGTCTGCTGCCCCGGCGAGAAGAGCTGACAGTGGCAATATCATTGCTCCCTGGTTGGATGCTTAGATTTGCCGACAGACGAACACTGGTCCGCTCATCGAGAGCCTGACTCCCACTCGCACCAGCGGCAACAACATTGATGGCCTCGTCGTCACTTGACCCGTCACCCCAATCTGGCTTAGCATCAGGATCATTTGGCCTCACCGTCGTTGAGCGCCGGGCCATAGGTGCTGCCGCAAGCACATTTGACACAGAGCCAGCCCGAGACCGAGGGGGCCGTGGGATAGTGAGGGCTGAAGGTGAAGCCGTTTCTGTGGGAGTTGAATACGGGGGGCGGCCGGCCAGACGGTTCTGGTATGGGAACTGGAGGGACCGGAGGCGGTTTATTCTTTATACGCCGAGTTGTTGGTGTCCTAGGTATGAGGGGAGCTGGAGGAGTAGGACTTGGAGAGGGCGGGGGAGCAGCAACAGCTGGAATGGATGTCTGTGACCCTTTGCGTGGTAATTTCCCTCGAGCAACTGGTTCGCCTGGAGGAGGCGTAGAAAGACTCGCTTTTCGCTGTTTTTCTGACGAATCGCGGATGTCGGATTCGACATGAGCAATGCCGCCAAGTTTCTTGACTGCCTCTCTGCGTTGACGCTCTCGCTCCCTACGGACTTCGACCTCCATTCTCCACTCAACCGCTTTTTTAATTTCCTCTAGCGCATATACGCGCACTCCATCTCTCCTTCCAGCGATAGCGACAAGAACGCCGCGCTGCTCCATCACTACAACCGACTTGAAGCTGACGCGCCTCACGAGAGCATATGGTTGGGAAACAGGCGGATTTTGGAGTGGAAGCACATCAAGACCTTGGGCATGGCAAAGAAGAAGATAATGGGGAGCCATGAAAGCACCACTAGTCGGTGGAGTGCTGAAGTGAGACGGCGACAGGTCTTGGGTAATGGCAGACATTGCGAGGCCAAGTTCCGTTAGTGTTGGTGGAGGCAATCGGGGAGGTGGGGTTGCTGGTCGTGCTGGAGTCGGAGACGATGACCGGGAAGGATTTGCAGGAGATGGTCGTTCTTCTCTAATTGGGCTTCGAGGAGGTGGTTCTCGGCGGTGTATTAGATTCGTAAAAAAGCCAGACAACCTGTTGGATGCGCGAACCTAGATAATGTCTGAGCAAAATAAAACAAACGGGTTAACGGCTTCAAACTTCGACAGTAGACCGACGATTCCTGCGTTCGTTGGGTGGGTCAGCATTAAGCCGTGTGGGCGAGGCTGGAGGTAAAGGGTCTGCTGGTGGTTGAAGAGTTGAGTCTGGCTCGGTAACAAGTACGGCGGGCATCGAATGGGTGCTTGCGGCGTCATCAGTGGTTGAAGTTGAAAGAGATGGCCCACGAGGAGTTGTTTCCTCGGTAACGACAATCTTGTCGGTAGTTTGAGAGGGGTCCGACTCGTGGACGATGGCCACTGGGACCTGCTCTTGTTCGCTCGCCTCCATCGGCTCGCTCAAAGCAGCATTTGTCGTGTCACGCGTGACAGCCTACTTAATCCAGGTCTCATGTGGCTCTTACGAAGAGCGTACACCTCGGTCGCTCCGAAACACGTTCAATACTTCCAAACCATTCTTCCTCCCCATGCTGTTCTTTCCTCCCTTCCTCCCCACAACACCCCTTCCGAAGATCTTACTCCATTCAACACGGATTGGATGCAAAAGTATCGCGGTCAAGCGAGCACCGTCTTGAAACCGAAGACAACTCAACAAGTCAGCGACATCGTGCGTTATTGCTCAGAGCACACAATCCCAATTGTACCTCAAGGTGGAAACACTGGTCTTGTCGGCGGTAGCATACCATTGCGTGACGAGCTCGTTGTCTCCCTGGCCAACATGAATTCTGTCCGTTCATTTGATCCCGTGTCCGGTTTGCATTCACTCTTTCCGATGACTGATTTCTAACCTGTCTCCAGGTATTCTCGTGGCAGATGCTGGTTGCATTCTCCAGTCCTTAACAGACTATGTGGCGCCGTATAACCACATAATGCCTATTGACCTCGGTGCTAAAGGCAGGTCTGTGCTCGTTTCTTGAAACATCTACTTTGCTAACGCGAAATCGAAAGCTGTCATATAGGTGGAAATGTCGCGACCAACGCTGGTGGCTTGCGCTTATTGAGATACGGCTCTCTCCACGGGTCTGTCTTGGGTTTGGAAGTCGTTCTACCCGACGGTACGATCCTTGACCAACTAACATCGCTTCGCAAGGACAACACTGGTTACGATCTCAAGCAGCTCTTCATCGGTGCTGAAGGGACACTCGGGATAATCACCGCCGTCTCCATTCTCACACCACCCTCCCCTCAGGCATCGAACAACGTGATTCTTGCTCTACCACATTTCGACAATGTCCTGCCATTATATCGAACTGTCAAGCGTCAACTTTCCGAGATTCTGTCTGCCTTCGAGTTTATTGATCGAACTGCCTACGAGTTGGCTGTCAAACACGGCCAGGGTCGCGGTCTGTCCGAGGATGAAATCGCTGGCGCAGAATGTTTCGTACTTGTTGAAACCAGTGGTGGACGACGCGAGCACGATGAGGAGGTATGTAATATCACGTGTCCGTCTATTTTTACTGAAAGGTTAGAAACTTACGGATTTGTTGGGCGACCTCCTTGAAGCGGAAAAACCCCTCATCAATACCGGTGTTCTTTCTCAAAATCCAGCGCAGTTCTCATCTCTCTGGGCATTGCGTGAAGGTGTAACCGAGGCGGTTTCGAAGGAAGGAAAGGCCTATAAATACGATATTTCCATCCCTTTGGCTTCTTTCAAGGAGGTGGTAGATACCACACGGGAACACTTACGTTCCAAAGGTCTCCTAGGGGAACACGCAGTAAAACACGTCCTGGGCTATGGTCATGTCGGCGATGGTCTGTGTTACTTCCGTACTTCTTCAGGGGCTTCCGATTGACATCGTTCGACTAGGAAATTTGCACCTAAATGTTTGCGCCGCAGAATATACTCAAGAAATCCAAGATGCCTTGGAACCTTTCGTATATGAACTTGTTGGTTAGTGTTGGATTTGTTTGTTCAACTCCTTCAACGTGCTCAATGAGTGATAGCCTCTTATCGCGGTTCTGTGTCTGCTGAGCATGGTATTGGGTCAATGAAGACTCATGCCCTACATTACTCGAAGAACGACACGAGCATCGCTTGGATGAAAAAGATCAAGACTCTGTTCGACCCGAAGGGAATCATGAATCCAGGGAAGGTGCTTGAATAGCTTTTGTATTTTTAGTTCAATGGTATACATGGTCATTTGGAGCTTATGCCCACACGGCGAGCACCGATGCTTGAAAGTGCAGTATTACCAGTGAAGACCGTCACGAGACCCAACACACTACCATACAAGAGAACTTGGCCCAGTTTGAGACCGACCCAATAGTAGACGAGAAGGACCTCGAAGGCACCCAGTGTTGCGATGAATGGAAGGATTCTGGGAGAAAAGAGGTGGGGAACGCCAGGGAAAACTTGGCTCCACTAAACTCACTTTAGTAAATATGACTGTACACAGTTAGAATTCATACCAGTGCAGAAAGGACTAGCCATGGAGCAAGAGTAAGTGCAGCGAAGACGGCCGAAATGAATTGTGGCGGCGTCTTAGGTGGGAGACGGAAGGTATGGTGAATAGTAGGCAGCAGGTGGAATGATGCTTCGTCCGGGTGTTGAGGCAAAGAACCTGACGCGGGAAGGATCAAGTCGAATAGGTGAAGCTTCAAAGGAGAGTGGTCTGGATGGCCGATAATGATTGTCACCTCCAAGGGCTCGGTAGTAGTTGGTGGAATGGATGGAAGAGGTTTGGCCATATTCTGTGGCTGCTCAAATGAAAGAACATGGGCAACTCTAAACGCTTACTAGTTCGAACTTGGATTTGCCTGAGGGAGTCACGCGAAGCGGCTGTATGCCCTCCTCACCAGACACACGATCATAGAAACGAAGGAAAGTCTGTAAAGGCTGAACGCCATCGGTGGTGTCTTCCTTCACAACCGTGAATGTAAGCTTCAAGGAGTCGGTTGCACCAAGTGTGAGTGGGATTTTGACTGGTTCAGGCGTCTTGATACTGAGCGTAGACGGTGAGCGAAGATATTACAAGCGACGAGCCAAACCCCCACTTTTCGGTGCGTATCCCTGCGCCAGTGGAGTCAAATGTAGTGACACGGGGGGCATATAGACTGAGAACGGCTGCCCGCGCCGTCGCAGCGACGAGCAATAATGAGAGTAGTGAGCGCATTCGCGAGCAGGACGTGTCCGCGTGACGTGACGAGGCGTGACACAATTGTTGATCTGGACCACAACGCGCGAGGCAGCCATACATTCAATCTTGAGCGTGAAGATCCAAATTCAAGTGATTTGAACTCTAGCAACCTAGGAATCGTCAAGGGTACGGGTTTTCCACTGTGTTGTCGATGTAATCTCACAAACAGCCAGTGCAACCCTAACCCCAGTCAAGGACTATGGTGCCACTAACGATGTTCGTCCCTAATACTCGCTCACTCGCTCCAGCCTCCATTTCAGGACTCGAATGGACTTGCAATTAAGTTCTTCATTCAGAAAGACCTCAGCCAGGATTTACAAGCTGAGCTTTGTGAAACAATCACGGTGGGTAATTATCTTCAACCTTCCTGCTTAGAACTCAGAATATTCATAGGCTCTTGGGGGACGCGTAGAGGCGAAAGTTCCACGACAAGGCTATATCTTAGTAAACCCAAACACACCTGAAGAAGAGCGTCTTCGACTGTGCTGGACAAGTGCAGATCGACCTGAACGGTATTTTGTGCCGTATACGTTTGTTGAGGCATGTAAAATCAGCGGCATGCTCCTCAAACAGCTTTTCATCGAGAACAATGCCCCAATCCCCATGCATATCCATTCCAGTATTGCCAACATCAATGCTCGCTCAGCCCTAAGTGCGCGTATCAGGGTATGTGACTCAGCAAATCCACTGTCATTAATCGAATTTTTTATGTAGCACTCAGGTGGGGACCCTACCGCGTCGATAGCCACAGCCCGCGTCATTCTGGCGGATCCCCACACAGAAGTTTTTCACCATCTGGTTCAAACATATCAAAGTGATCCTAATAAATATATCGAGTCGTACTTGTGGATCAAGAAATGCATCGAGCGGGGTATCATGACATACACTCCTGTTGTCTACAAGAATCCGGGAGGAAGGAGACCAGGAGAAGAGTAGGTTTACTTCCGCTCGGCCTCGTTCGGTCACCTGACCTGATGATAGTCGGACGTTATTCACGGAAGAAGACGAGCACAACCTATGCGTTTATATCGCGGCTAAGATTCCTTTCAAAGAGACCGGAGGACGGACAGGCAACAGAATATACACGCAGCTTTGCGATATGGTAGGAAATACCCGTTATTTAGGTGACCCAAGCTGACCTCCGCTCACAGAAAGACGACCCTGAATATGCCTGGGTACAACGACATACTTGGCAATCTTGGCGAGAGAGATACAAGAAGAATTCGGAGCGATTAGACAAACTGATTGCCACTATTGTCGCACAAACCAATCCGGCTCATGGCGAGAAGGGGCAATATGGCTATGTTCGTCAACCGGAAGAGAAACCTAAAAAGTCGCGGAGGAGGCCTGCGAAGGAGTCCCCTCCCACTGATGATGAGCAATCAGATACTGGTCGATCCCCCGTAGCTGGGCCATCAAAGCGTCCGGAGAAAAATGTCGATGAAGACGATGAGAGTGAATGGGCAGTCCGAGTCGGGACTTCTCCGCCACCCGCGTGGGCAGGAGAAAAACGGAAGGCGAATGGGAACGACGAGACGCTGCCTGCTAAGCGGTCTAAGTCAAAGTATGACATGCACTATCCCCTCTGGTTACGACTAATCGTTTTAGTGTGCGCATTGACGAAGAGATCGCCAACATAGCCAGGGAGTATATGTTCACGACAGAGGAGGTCAGGACTCACTTCTCGTCCTCTAGAGACTTGGAAAGAACGAGGGACCGGTTCAAGGGCATGCGGGAGCTTTTATCTACTAATTTCTCGCCTTGATTATCTTTGTTGATGACGTAATCTTGATTTGTACGCTTGTGACAACCTCGGCTCATGTCCTAGCTCGTCTCACCGCCTTGTGCATGCCCTCGAAAATATTCTCTTCAATATTCGGCAAAGGGACACCACAACAGGCTAAACCACAACAGCCATCTTCTCAATCCCCACACGCTGCATTTGACGCTATTTCACTCACTTCTCCCAACCAACACTCAGACCCCGCGTTTTCTACGAACCCTTATGAAAACTATCTACAAGTCAACTCAGCTCGACGCTATAATGCGGCCATGCCTGCTCAGGAAGAAGAAACGACTCCCACACAATCTCGTTCGAGTTTTCAAATGAGCTCGCAACTATCTTCGTCTACGGGGTCCATCTTGACGACTCCTTCTTCGTCGTCTTCATATCTACCTATGGCACAATCCCATAGCTTCCAACCGCCATCTTCGCCTCCTCCAGACTATGAGCCTGACCCGAGCCCAAGTTCATTGCGACCGATACCGTCGCGAATTGAATCGGCGCCTGAGTTTCGCCATGTTGATCCACCTGGTTTAGGACCTCGTTCCCAAACTGTACCGCCGCCTCGGAAAGCCCCCCCTTCCAGTAATTTAGATCGCATCGACGAACTCGACGAAAGCAATCCACTTGGTGTTGCACTTCACCATGAAGGGCCTTTCCAGGCCGTTACCTCGATGCTTCGAACACCAGCAATGGCGGAGAGACCTGAGCGTCCGATCAAAGTGCGTTATATCCTATCCTTTCTGAAGAACGTCTCATCTCATCCTTGACCTAGCCTCCAAAACACGGACACGTTGGACATCGAGGTATCTCGCCGGGAGACGTGTTACCACCCAATTTCTTTTTGCATTACCAACAACAAACTCCTTCCCAGCGCATGGGGCAGCCATATCAGGCCCAACACCTAGTCTCTCAAGTAAATATCCGACCTCAGGCACTTCCTCCATGGCCAATCTCGCCTATTTACCACGACACCCAGTATGATCCGGTGGAACAGCCCTCTGAGGATGAGGATTTGCCTTCATCAGGCCATTATCCGCAACCATCTCAAGATTTTGACGCTGCATATGGAGGGATCGTTGACGAGTCAATCCCACCAAGCAGTTCAATTGCTGGACCTTCAACGCAAGCGCCAATCAACCGTCATCATTTCTACGGTCCACCCAACTTGCTCTCTCCTGATCCTCGTATCCTTCGAGCTCATGACCCGAATGTACCGAAATCGACCCATCAGCATGGTCACTCTCTTCCAGCTGAATATTTACCACCACCACCACCACAAGAGTATGATAACGGTCGTTTGAATCGACCTGCGTCATATCAACCTCCTCGACAGGCGCAAGCAGTGAATTTCGACCCCCACCATCGTGCATCTCTCCCGCCTCCTCGATCAATTGTCGACCGTCCAGAAACTGTTTCTGTTGCCCCATCGATAGCAACTTCTGCAGCACGTCGTGGGCCACTCCCTCAACATGTGCCCCGCCATCTAGTCATGCCCACACCTCTGCAACAGACGAACCAGCTCCCCCAGGCCAGACAACAAGCTCGATTCGAGCCTGCGTCACAAACCCAGCCAACGCGAGCACAGAACATTCAAATGGTCCAAGACCCCAATGGGGGTCGACATCTTCTGCGAAAACGATCGACCATCCAACAACCAGTGAATGTGATGCCCCCAAAAGCACGACCAAGGCCAACATCTTACATGGAGCCTCCTCCAACCATTCCCATGGCACCGATTACTCGACCACCTGAGCAGCAAGACAAGAAACGACCCAAACGACTCCTTAGTAAACGACGGACGGACTTGTAATTTTGTTAGCATACTGCTTTGTTCTTTTTTTGCTATCGTGGTGTAGACATACGCATTTAGGGTTCATACGTTGAGACGATACATGAATTGGAAGCTATACTGCTTCGTGTCGGCGTCCCAATGAGACCAGTTCCAGTAACCAGCGTCGTCACTCTCATCCTCGATTTCACGAGCTGGAATTCGGAAAGCAATTGTTTCGTAGGGTTCAGCAGCAACCTATTGAGAGTCAATATAAGCTGTATTCAAGCGAAAATTCAAAAAAAGAAAAAACTCACAATGAGATACTGGTAGGCCTTATTTGGCGGTTCGCGTTTCTGCTCCCAAGCGCTCATAAATCTGCGTCGTGGTAGCACTCCCGGCTTGACTTGCGGGAGATGAACTTGGACCATCATTCCTTCTTTTCCGGAGTCTCTGTCGCGTATTTTGGTCACCCGGTATCCTGGTCGTCCAATTTTTAGAAATATTTTGCGTTGAACGGTGCTTTGAGTGGGGGCAACCATGAGCTGAGTGTCTTTGGCATCGCGGGCAGCGCGACGGGCAAGGTTCGTCTGATGCTTTTTCCCTTGAGTGTGGGCAAGATAGGACCCTTCGTTGGTGTGGAGAGTCAGACACAGTCGACATTCAAGCGAGCCAAGGTGGTTGCGAAGGATGTAGGGGTCCTGTCCACAGATTAGTGAATGAAGGCTTTCAGTGTAAGCAAGACGCACCTTTGCCAGGTCTATCGTCTCAAGCGCCAGCTTTCGGAGTCGCTCCCGTCGATCCACATTGCTTTCACTCGCCCCAGCAACTCCTCCACCACCAAACTTGGATCCGACACGGTTCTGGACTAGTGTTAGGGAATCTTCATATAGACCTGACAATGCTTGCCTGATAATCTGCGGTTACAATGAGCAATAGACTCAACTGGATAAGAACGCGACTCACCCATCGGGACGGAAGCAAGAGAGGATGCGTGACAGTAACGCGCATCCCCGGTTAGAATTTTTTAATGCCCACCGCCGTGAAGAGACCGTTGGACGACCCGTCTTCTTCTAGAAAAACTAAAAAGTCTAAGACAGACGAAGCGCCTCCAAAAAAAGCATCCGGCGATGTTGACTTCCCTCGTGGTGGTGGAACTGCATTCACCCCACTCGAAGTTAAGGCCATCCGGGCTGAAGCCGTCAAGGAGGCAAACGAGGAACTGTTCAAGGTTTGCACTTAAACCTCATACCACACAGCCCTTCAATGCTCATGTAGGAAGCCAAAGCGACCGTCTCAAAAAAAACGGAAACGGGACACTAACTCAGAAATTGGACCAGCGACAGACAAGATTCGCATCGAACATCTCAACTACAAGGTGCGTTGTCCAAATTCTTCCTTTAATGTTGCTAATAGACAAATAGCGACTAACGATTGGTATGAAAATACTTGGCCAGATCGTTGCAGTTCAGCCTCTTGCACTTGTGGTGTCTTTGCCGAACCAGCTTCTTGCCCATGTCCCCATCACGAATGTCACCTCCCAGCTGACTGCACTGCTGGAAAAAAACATGGAAGAAGAAGAAGAAACTGAAGAGGATGATCTTGACTCCCGATCGCCTGAACTCGCGGAAATGTTCAAAATAGGTCAATATATCAGAGCAGTCGTAGCAGCAGTGCATGCGCCGGGATCAACAGACCATACTGGAATGGGCCGGTCGAGAGATGAGACTACGAAGGCTAGCAGACGCGTGGAACTCAGTTTACTGCCGGAGCGTGTCAATGCAGGGGTCAGCAAAGCTGATTTGACCGCCGGTTTTGTGCGCATTTAGTATGGTTTCTAGTTTCAACGGGCTAACTCACTTGACAGACACTCTCCGCTGCGGTGCAAAGTGTCGAAGACCATGGATACATCGTTAACCTTGGTGTCGCTGATGTCACCGGTTTCCTGTCTTTCAAGGACACAAAATCCAAGCTTGCGGTTGGGCAGCTTATCGGAGTAACAGTGGTAAACACTTCAAAGAACGGGAGAACATGCAACATCAGCTTCGATGAGAATACCTTCTCTAGTTCATGCGTGCGTATTTCCTTTCTTGTTGTTTCTTGTTCTTCTTGTGACGAACTATAGCTTTCTGAGGTTACCAATGCCTCATCTGTTCTTCCAGGAATGTTGGTTCAAGGTCTGATAACGGCAGTCAATCCCAATGGTCTCAATCTCCAAATCCTTGGCTTCTTTGACGGCACGGTCGATCGAGCACATCTCGACCCTAATGCCAAAGAAAAGACATATAAGCTAGGCAAGAAAGTCAAGGCCCGTGTACTATACGACTATTCAACATCACCACCTCGCTTTGCTCTCGGGCTCACTCAGCAAGCTATCGGGCTGCGAGCGCGCCAAATACAACGGGGGAAAGAGTGGATTTCTCTGGCAGATGCCTATCCCATTGGTACTATCTTGACCTCTGTCAAGGTTTTGCATATGGAGCCAGAGCGTGGTGTGGTGGTTGACGCGGACTCAGGTGTTGTGCAAGGATTTGCGCACGTACGCTATTCTTTCCTTTCCCTTTCACCAGCGGTCAGCTTATCTACATCAGATTTCACATCTCTCGGATGACCATATTCCTTCGCTCTCAAATTCAGGACCTTGGAAGATCGGCTCTCTTCATACGGCTCGTGTCACTGGCTATTTCCACTTCGATGGTCTCTTGCAACTTTCCATGAAGCCTTCGGTATTAGAGCAAAAGTTCTTGCAAGTCGCTGATGTTCAAGTCGGCGAAGTAATCAAAGGGACAATAAAGACCCTCAATGACTCAGGTCTCTTCGTCTCCATCTCTGGAAATGTTGATGGAGTCGTGTGGCCAAACCATTATGCGGACATCGCCTTGAAGCATCCAGCGAAGCGTTTCAAGCCTGGAAGTAGTATTAAATGTCGGGTGTGTTGTTTCATGGGACTGTTTTATAGCGGCTAACATCGCTGTTCAGGTACTAGTTGTTGACCCAGAAAGGAAGCGAATATCTCTTACGGCCAAAAAGACACTTGTTGAATCGACTCTTCCTATCGTTACTTCAATGGCTGACGCGAAAGTTGGAACGGTGACACATGCCGTGGTCTTCAAGGTCTTTGAAAAGCACCTCATGGTCGATTTTTTCAATAATCTGAAAGCGATTATCCCGGCCAAAGAGCTGAGGTAAATTTATTATCTTTGCCTTCAGCATATCTGCTCATGTTGTTATAGTGAGACACCTTTGCCTAACATCACCGAGTCCTTTTCAATCGGCAAAGTGTTGAAAGTCCGCATCACTAGCTCAGATCCCGAACAAAGCCGCATCGTCGCGAGCGTTAGACAGGCGTCTTCAGACTACGATATATCAACAGACATGACCGGCATCGAGATTGGAAATGTTGTTGAGGGCACACTCTCTGAGATCCATTCAGAAAATGCCCTACTTCTCCTTCAACCAAGCCGTGTCAGGGCCTTGATATCGCTGAACAACGTTGCCAATCACCGGAAACTCGCTCTGACCCAAGTCCGTACCGTTTTAAAGGTTGGCGAGCTTTTAACCGGACTTGTGGTGGTCACCCGAGATGTCGAGAAATCCTTGGTCATCGTAGCCAACAAACCTGAACCAAAACCGAAGTCTGAACCCAAGAAAGCAGCACCTGTTATCAAAGCTTCACTGAAGCTTGACTCCCTTTCTGTGGGCGACCCGGTTGGTGGTCGTGTCATCCGACACACTCGTCATGGCTCCCTGGTCAAACTTACCCCACAAATAATGGGGACCTTGCATCCGATCGATGTTGCAGACGATTTCGAGGCCGCGGTGCCTTTCCCACCTATCAACACTCTGCTCAAGGCAAGCGTTGTTGCTATTAACGCGACCAAGAAGGAAGTTGTGCTGTCAACTCGGCCATCTCGGATGAATCCCGACCAGGTTTTCGATATTACCGACCGAGAGGTCGAAAATGTCACAGATCTTTGCGTCGGGCAATCTGTACGAGGCTTCGTCAAAAACATTGCAGACCACGGTCTGTTCGTAACAATTGGACGCGACATCGACGCTCGAGTCCAGATCAAAGAGCTTTTTGACGATGTACGTCGCAACCACAAGTATATCAATTTGGACTGACGTGTTGGCAAGTTTGTCAAGGAGTGGAAAGAGCGATTTTCTCCTAATCAGATTGTGAAAGGTCGTGTTCTGAGGCAAGCCCTTTCCCCAACATTGATTGCGCAACTCACATTTTCTCTAGTGTGGATACCGACAGCGGAAGAGTCGAAATCACCTTGCGGTCTGGCGATTTGGTCAAGCCAAGGACCACCGCTCTTGGTGTTTCTGATCTTAAGGTGGGGCAGAAAGTCGACGGTGTTGTCACGCGAATCGAAGACTATGGCATCTTCATCTCAGTTAACAAATCCAAAGTCACTGGACTATGCCACAAATCACAGGTATACTCGCTTTTTGTTTCTCTCTTCCCAGCTAATGCATATTAGTTGTCCGATAATGCTGATGCCGATGTTTCTGTCGCTGTTCGTAGTTTCCGCGAAGGCGATCGTGTCATGGCGGTCATCATTGGCATCGACAAACAGAAAGTCTCTTTCAGTCTCAAGCCTTCCCATTTCAGCGAGGAGGACTTCCAACAGCGCGACACAGATTCTGAAGGGGAGGAACAAGAACCTGAAGAGCCGTTGGACGACCCTTCTGAGGAGGAGGAGATAGCCAGCGGCAGCAATAGCGACCAGTCCGATGACGAGGTCATCGAAATGCCAACTGACACTCTTCAATCAATTACATCAGGGCCAATACTACCAGCGGCATCGAAGCCCTCTGCTCTTCATTTGACGGGTGGATTCCAATGGTCCAACCCCCAAAACGAGGACGACGAGCAGGACAACTCAGATACCGATGACGAGGAAGAGGACTCTGGTCCGAAAAAGAAAAAGCGCAGAAAAAAAGCAATCGAGTTGGATCTCACTGCTGATATGCATACCAAGACACCCGAGTCTAATGCTGACTATGAGCGTCTTCTGCTGGGATCTCCAAATTCGTCCTACCTGTGGGTGCAGTATATGTCATTCCAACTTCAACTCTCTGAGGTCGACAAGGCCCGAGAAATTGCCAGGCGTGCCTTGCGGACAATCAGTTTTCGGGAGGAGCAGGAGAAGCTCAATGTCTGGATAGCGCTTCTCAATCTTGAGAATGCCTATGGTACTGACGAAACGCTGGAAACTACCTTTAAGGAAGCGGCTCGAGCCAATGACTCGAAAACAGTTCATCTAAGACTCGCCTCTATCTTTGAACAGTCGCAAAAACACGCGGTAAGCGACAAGCAGGCATACGTCTATTCGCGGGTGGACCTAACTTAGCATCGTTAGAATGCGGAGGAGCAGTACCAACGAACATGTAAAAAGTTCGGGCAAAGCTCGAAAGTGTGGACGTTGTTCGGGGAGTTCTACCTGCGCCAAGGGAGCATAGAAGAATCGCGAAAGCTGCTACCCCGATCGCTCCAGAGTTTGGACAAGCGCAAACGTGGGTTCTGATGCCAACTAGGCCTGAACTCCAGGATGACATTTTGACAGACCTTAAGACCATCTCACGCTTTGCACAGTTGGAGTATAAGCTCGGCGATCCCGAACGAGGCAAAACACTTTTTGAGGGAATCATCGACTCCCATCCTAAACGGCTAGATCTATGGTCCGTCTACATGGACATGGAGGCGGGTCAAAACCAAATCCAGTCATTAAGGTCAGTGCAAAAGACCTTTTGATTAAATATTCAAACAAATTTGCCTTTGCTAGAAACTTATTTGGCCGTGTTCTGTCCCAAAAGCTGACAAGCCACAAGGCCAAGTGAGCCTTTTGTTATTTGTCGCTTGTGATTACTCACCACAAGTGACAGAGCGTTCTTCAAGAAATGGCTGGAGCTGGAGAAAAGGATTGGAGATGAGGAAGGCATTGGGAATGTGAAGGCCAAGGCGGTGGAGTGGACTCTGAGAGCATCATCAGTTTAATAATATACGTTATGTACTACTAGAGAAACGAAGGAAAGCATGATAGTTATGGTAAGAATGTGAGTAGCAATCCAAGCGAGAGTAGATGTGGTGGTGCGGGTATAGATAGATAGTTAACGAAGCGAATAATATGCCATCAACGAGGAGACCGTGCTCGCTCAGCCTCCGAATCAAAATCACTCAACGGTCGTCGATTGCTCATCGAACTCGCCAGTTGACGTTGCCAGTCATCCAACTCGGAACTGAGATGTTCAAACGCCAGAGCATTTTCTGAGCTCGAATTGCTAACCCGACGAGCTGAAATGCCTGATATTGGTCTTCCTCGACCGAACGACGGCTGATCAACTTCAAGGAGGAGCCCGATTTTGTGTGAAAGCTGCTCATTTTCCCTCCGTAGAGTGGTGTTTTCGCTGCTGAGCTTCTCAAGAAGTGTCTCCTCGTGCCCCCCACGAGCAATCACCAACGAGGACTGCAGTCTATCCACCTCGTGTTGCAGGTCTTCAACTTGAATCAGACGGTCATCTGATTCTCGCTGGGAAGCCAACAAGTTGTCTCGGAGGGACTCAAGATCCTTTTCGAGGTTCTCCAAACGCAAACGAAGCTCCTTGTTCTCGTTGCTAAGTCGCTGTACTTGTCGTTGGGCATCCACAAGTTGACCGCGCAAAGCAGAGTCATTGCCATCATCAGACGACGGCGTTGACCGGCCATTTAACAGTTTTCTGTCTTGTGGAGATTTGACACCGCGCGCTGCGTCAAGGTCTGCTTGAAGACTGACATTAGTTGACTTTTGCTTCGTCAACTCATCTCTCATTCGCCGCATCATCTTCTCTGTGCCCCTGTCAAGGTTGAGTAAACGAGGCCAGACGAATAATAATGATAAACGTACTTGACATAATGAACGGCGAGTTGATAGTCTTCTTCCATCTGTTGCATTCGAGCTTTATAGCCTTGCTCGGTTTCCTCCAGCTTGCGTTCCGCTTCGACAGCACGGGCCTCGGCTTCTGGGTTGGGCGTAACGGCTGGACTTTGAGTTGATCGCAAGCGGTCCAGTTGACTGGAGAGTTGAGCAAGTTGAGCCTCGATATCGCGCTTCTGCCGCACTGCCATAGCCAACTCGCGTTCTGTATTTTCGTGGAGGCGAGTTCGTTCGGCAAGCTTGGTTTCCAATTCCGCCACTAATGGAGATGCAGCACCCTTGGCACGTGACCGAGATCTTTCAGAGTCTTCATCGACACCAATGCCATTCTCTGCCAGATAATTCCGCAACATGCCGAGGCGAACAGTGGCGTCGGTGGCTTCCTTAGCTTTGTCAGAAAGTTGAGCCTCTCTGTCAGTGAGGTCTTTTTTGAGACGACCTGCGTCTGCCAGAGCATTCAGCAGCTGAACTCGAACGGCCACGATTTGGGATCTCAGCGACGATTGCTCCGTCTCGTGATCATGAACTCGCTTGCGTTCCTCCGACAGTTGACTTTGAGCCTGGTCAGCTTTCTGGGTGGCTTCCTTGAGCATTTTGCGCAACGAAACGGCCTCTGCCTCCATAGCCTGGGTCTTCTCGGCATGACCACGCGCTAGCCGATCCTCGTCCGATTTCAGATCACGGTGAGAGTCAAGTAGTTCGCCCAGACCGCCTGTTGTGAGTGCACGGAAAGCATCAGCTTCTTCTCTTGACTTCGCCCATGAGTTTTCCACATCAGCAAGTCGTGAACGGAGTCCGTCGGCCTCAGCAGTTCGCGAGTCAAGTTCAGCTCGTAAATCAATGAGGTCAGCTTCGAGGGAACTGATTTGTTCGCGGGCCCTGGCATGTTGGGCATCAACCTCCTCTGAGCGCGAAGAAGTGGCTTGTAGGGCAGTACGAGCCTGCTCCAATGCACGCAAGTGTTGGTCACGTGCTTGGATAAGTTCGTCGACTTGGACCCTCAAGCTCATCTCGTCAGCCTCTTTCTGTTGGTATGCCGTGGTTTGTGACAGTAAGCGGTCAGCATGATCTCGGAGTTGGACTTCAAGGTTGGAATGCCGCGTTTGAATACTGTTGTGTTGTTGCAACGTCCGCTCATGGGCTTCTTCGGCCATTTCCGCGCGTGTCGAGGCATCGGCCGCTCTAGCTTCTGCTTGTTCATACAAGGTTTCTTGGAGAGCTAGAGAGTCTGATAATTCGCTCATTTTCCGGTCTTGTTCCCAACGGTCCTTCATCAGGTCGGACAAGCGTCGTTCTAATTCAGCCGACCTGTCCTTGTCCAGCCTAGCAACTTCCGCGGTATTGCCATTCTCCAAAGCCGTCAGTTTTGCTCGATAGTAGGCAGCCTCCTGAGAAGCACTAGTCTTCACTCTTTCAGCGTCGGCAATCTGTTCTGATGCTAAACGAGCTTGATCCGCCATCATTGTCTATATAAGGATCAGCGTTTTCGAGTAAAAAAAACTATGAAGTCTGACCTGCATCTGGGCCTTGAAGTGCTTGAATTTCATAGCGAGCTCAATGGAGCTGTCAGTGCTCCCTTCGGCGGTAACAACTTCTCCGTCGCGGTCAACATAGACATAACCAGCCTTGGTTGCCTTTGCTAGCGACTCCTTCATCCACATCATTTGACGCTTGACTACTTCCAGCTCTTGTTCTTTGGCTTTGAGATCTCTGAGCAAGTCGGAGGTAACATTCACGGAACCATTTCGAGAGGCATGGCCAAGTTGGTGCCCGGTCAATGGTGATGGATTTGGAATAACATCCACAGGCCGACTACGGTCGCGGTCCATGGCGGGTGACGCTCGTCCGCTGAGGGCCAGTGACACGCCTACCATGTTCATTGACGACCCATCAGTGACGTTCATGCCATTAGTCGGTGAAACAGCACGATTTGCGACAGCAAAAGGAGGACTTTTCGCCCTTATCTGAGCCACTTGAGCAGGTGACATAGCTCGAGGAGGAGCTTCATCCATGCTGTCTTCTGCGGTGTCTTCGTCTTCACGGGGAGGTCGGACGGGTGCTCTGCCTTTGTCGTTAGCTGAAGGTGGCTTGTTCTTCATGTTAGGTGGAGACATGGCTCGTCGTGGGTCCTCCTCTGAAACAACACTGGGTGACATTGGTCGGCTTCCATTGGCAGTACCATTAGGGAGTTGCGTGGGCGCTGGATTTGTCGAGGGTTTACGGGAAACACCACCCTGAGCTGGGGGTGGTTGAGCCGCCACTGGATATTTGATGTGCTCTAGAAAGACATTAAGGCAACTTATCCAAAGTCGCGAATGGTTTATTACGTACTCGTGTCCAGAATATGAACCAAACTTGGATCATCTCCCTTTGTTGGAGTGAAGGATTCACCACCCAAAACATAAACCTTGGGTCCAACTGCAGCCATCGCATGACCGGAGCGTCCTGTGGGTGATGGCCCCATGTTCTGGAACATGTACCATCTCTGATCTGCCTCGGGTGTTAATTCCAAGTAGTGCGCAAGGTTACCATCACGTACTCGATATTTTGAACGCAGCCAAGTCGCTCAAATCTTTGCCATCCACGCCTCGTCCGCCAAAAATGTAGACCACGTCATCAACAAGAGCGGCAGCATGTCCTTCGCGAGGAGAAGGAATGAACCCGATACACTGCAGTTCCGACCATTTTCGAGTGTTCAAATCGAATGCCCAAGTATCATTATAGTGATATTGGCCGTCGGTGCCGCCAAATCTAGTCCTGTGAGCAAGCGAAGAAAGCTAGTGGAAAAACTTACACTAGTATCCTGTTCTCGTAGGTGACACAGATATGACCTGTACGCTGGGCTGGCTTTTCTGCTGATGCTGGTTCTACGAGCTCCCAAGTGGCTCTCGTTCGAACTGCGAAACACGATCAGGAATTAGCAAATTGGTTATATTGGAAACACACGAGAGTTGAGGTCAAACGACCACAGGTCGTTCAAAAACTCCCCATCAACCTGACCACCGAAGACGAAGAATTTGGAGCCTGCTGCCATCGTCACCGCATGTCCGTATCTACCAACAGGACCTGAGTTGTAAACCGATACTTTGGTCCATTCTCGGGAGACTATTACGGGTTTGGACTCAGAGTCATATATAACAGTTGGCACGCACCCAGATTGAGGAGATAGAGATTGTCGTCTTGCTTGTCAGTCGGTTTTGATTTTGGGTCTGTCTTCGTGTCACCGCCCCATACGATGAGCACATTGCTGACGAGGGCGCTAGCATGTCCTACACGGGGCGTAGGCCCATCTCCCGCAGTCTGAAGGAGGGTTGCAGACTGCTCTCGACTCGAAAATAGGTAGAGGTCGTTACGTGCGGATTCACGGACGAGGCCACCGAAAATGTAGAGGTCACCATTGGCGGTTGGTGAAGCGGGAAGGGCATGGCCATAGCGGGGAAATGGAGAAGGAGAGGGTGATGTGGAAGGGACAACGCCAGGCTTGTTGAGAACGACGGGTGGAGGAAGGTTGAGTCGATGGGCTGACCATGGGAAACCCGAACGTGGTTGACCTTGCTGAGGTTGAGGTGCTGGGCCGTTCTGAATACCATTTTTGGGCCGCGCTTGCTGTTGTTGTGGTCCCGGCTGACCATTCAGACCGCTGTTGCTGTTCTGACTACTGGGAGCGCTGGAAACTGGGTGAGTAGCAGAGCATAGCATGGGTGAGGCTCACAATTCCTGTTCATTCCTCTGCTGATTTTGAGATTGTGGTTCCTTAGCACCGGAGGCCGAAAGTTGGGCGAGTGCCTGGCTGGGAGTCTGAGCAACAGTGACGGTGGATGGCTGTTGAGGCTGGGGTTGTTGCTTCTTCCTTGAGAAGAAGGACATTCTTCTAGTTCGTACACCTAAAATCGACGGTATTTTGTAGAGTTGTGGGGGGGGGAGGAGCTCATGCAGGAGAACACATTCGCGGGCAGAGCAAGTGGTGATGGGCTCGCGTCACAGTCGTGACAAAATCCATCTTCGCAACAAACGCGCACACCCTCAAGAGGTCAACGTTGCAACGCGGCCAAACGGTTGGCCGCGTAATGCCCCCTTTGTTATCCACCCTTCCACTTATTGTGATGTTTGTCTGGAAGGCTACACCGAATCAGAACCATACGCAATCCCCTGCGGTCATATATTCTGCTTGTAAGTCTCCTCCATTATATGTTTGGTGGTCGAGGCTTATAGCAGTCCAGCAATTGTCTTCATCATGTGGAGCCTTCAAACTGCCCGCTTTGCCGTCGACCATTCTTACGAGAGCGAGCAAAGCGACTTTACGTTGAACGTCCTGAACCAGATATTGCTCAACGTTGGTTAGATCGGATAGCTTTAGTATTCGAGGACGCGTCGCCTGAAGAAAGGCAAGAGTGCGTGTCCCGTTAAAACGCGTCGTCGATTCTCATCTGCAAAACAGACTCGCAGATGAAGTAGACCTGTGGTTGAACGGACAATCAGAAGACAACGTTAGTCTAAGCGGTGTATCCATGTCTTTTCTGCTGAAGTTTCAGTAGCATGCACCTCTTCGCAAGGCACGCAGCGCCTTTTCTGCCTACAACAGGCTTTTGCACCGTAAGCATCAAGACAGAGAAACGTGAGTTATCTTGCTTAGTCCATCTTCAGCTCTAACAAGTCTTGTCAAGTATCCGAGACTACCAAGCTCGTTTGCGGCGCAAAGATGATGAAAACAGGCAAGCCACCGTAGACAACTCAGAACTTACCGCCAAGGTCTCCCGTCTTTCCCAGTTCGTTATACTCTTTAATGTCTTTTGACTTGACGAAACCGTCCAAATAGAGAAATCACTCAACTTCAATCTCAGATAGAGCCACTTCGCTCAGAACTGGCGAAATACGAGCGACCCACCCATAATCCCCTCCCTGCCCCTCCACAACCTGTAGACTTTAACCGATATCCTGCTTTCGCCCGTGGAGCTGCTGAATCGGCTGAGGGCTTCGCGGCTTCCTACCTGTCTACAAATCGGGCAAACCTCTTTCCTACGAAATCTTCTTCTTCCAAGCGGAAAGGCAAGGCCCGCCAAATTGATACACCTCCTCCTTCTCCTCCGGAACCCTTTTCCCCTGGTCAGCAGCTCCAGTTTGGTCGGAGTGCTAATGTGATCATTCCTGGCGCGAGCCCCAGTCAACGAGTCATACCATCGCCAGACATTATCCCGAATCATGCGTATGTTACGCCTCTGCCTGCGTCCGCCTACGTAAATGGCTATTCGACAGGCTATAATCAAGGCTACAGTGCCGCTAACACGAATAGCACATTCATGCCCAACTATCATACATCCAGTTCAGTGCATCAATTACCAAACCACTTTTCGGAGCCAGACGAGTTAGATGTAGCCATGGGTGGTTTACAACTGCAGGGTGTGCCAGCAGCTTCTGCTGCCATTGCTCCTTCCCGTCGACCGGCTCCCGAATCGGCACCGGCGTCCAGAAGTACAACTAGGTCCGCTCGTCGTCAAGCCCAACCAAGCCTTAACTCGGAAAGATCAGTGGAAGTAGCTTCTTCTCGTCCATCAGCCCCCAGACGAACTACCGTTCAAGTTGATAACCAGCTTCACTCTACGCAACAGCCTCACATTTATGCACAGCCTCCCATTTATGCACCACCACCCGAGCCTGTCGCTACCTTGCCTGCAGCTTTACCAACTGCCTGGCAGCAACTGCAACATCGGCATAACCCAAACCGACAAAGCTACTCTTCATGGGGTACGATCGACTCCAATGCCTCCAACTCTCCGGCGCGAACAAGCAACAGCCTCAGTGATCTGGGTAGTCTTCGCAATTTTCCTTATGGTGTTCGGACGACTGAGGACATTCTTGATCGTGGGTTGGTCTCAACGCCCGGAGCGGACGACACCTATCCGCTGGGGTTTACCGGTCCAACCCCACAACCACGCCGTGCACCTAGCTCCTTGATGAACCCTACCTATCATTATTCAACAACTTTGGAAACCCTACCACGGTCCTTCTCTCAACAGCCTGAAGAGGAATTCGGACTAATGTCAGCTCCAAACTCTATGGATAATGCGCTAGGATTGGAACTAGGTCTCGAACCGCAGGAGTATACGATTAACGCTCCGACTCCGCGGGTCCAAATGGGTCCCTTTGTGAACTCTTGGGATCTGAATAACACTCACTAATCACTCATTTTGCATTGCTGGTTTTGCTATGTCACACACACTGTATCTTACGGAAAGGAATTTGTAGCCATCGATGTATTATTCATTCCAAGTAATGACCTTGCCAGGATCGTCAGAGTTGTGATCACGTTTCCGGTGTGTCATCAGCCGTTCTCGAGACGGAAACAGACGAAAACAGTCTAAAGTCACCAGTCATTACATCCTCGTATCAGCTTGACAAGAAGTACCGGAGAATGCACAGATGAACAGAGGTGTTCTGTTGCAAAATCAGGTTGATGTAATTTTTCACGAAGTTAACCCACTCCTCAGGTGACGTCACTTTTCCTAGCGCTGCGGCAGCAGCTAGCTCTTCAGGTGTAGGATCAAGTGGAACAGCAGGTCGGGGACGCAGGACAGAAGGCAATAGCGACGTCGATCTCCCAGACATGGATGTAAGTCACAGAAGGCGCCGTCACATGATCAGTGGCGCTACACTCTGCTTCCACGTCCGTGCAAGATGGAAAGAGGGCTTGAGGGCATGGCGAAACGCTTCACGAAATAACATTCTGCACTGAACAACACTAATGCGAAAATCGGTTGACGCCCCGTAACATACTTAGTAGCCCTGCGTTGGCAGCGCTGCACGCAAGCTATAACTATACGGCAACTTGAAGGTTGATTGCACTCGAATCTGTTGACCAACCCACCACATGACGATTCACAGTCGCTCCTCGCCGATTGGGCATTCTGTCAACTAGAGCTGAGTATCCCTGGAATGACGTGTTGGTTTGCCAAGTGAGAGAGGTCGTGGAGAGATGACAAATATTAAGGCAGCGTCCGAATATGAGAGGCGAAACCAGCTAGTTCAGGCTTAACCCAAGGTTAACCGGTTAGAGATCGGTTTGTCACGCCTGTCACACCTCACATGAGTTATAGTCCTGCATCGAAACATTCACCGCTGCTTCGACGTTCTTACCTTCCTCGGTCTCGCATGACCGAAAGGACTCCACTAAATCAACGACTCGAGTCCCTAATTGACGGAGATTCTTCTCGACCCCGAAAAACACGCGAAACACCTCAGGAAACACCTCCAGTCCAGAACCGACTACAACCCACAACCCAGCCGATTCTACGCTGGCTCGGATCGTGGAGTCCCTACCGCTCAACTTCTCCTGAGCCAGAGTCTGGCCAACAACGACGCAGTTCCTCTCCGAGTCCTCCTTCACCCGGATTGGCCTCATTGAACGAAGCATTAAACGAACCAATCCGTTCCCCTCCCTCAGCCCATCTTCCGGAGTCGTTTGTCCCAGCAAGAGCATTACATCGGCCACCGCCTTTCCTGGACAACTTGACCCGCTCCACATTGCCCACTGCTTCTTTATCACCGACCACTCGCGAGGACAATCCGTTCCATGACATATCTTCTTTACATTCAACACCACCCGGCTCTTCTGTTGCGGCACTACGCTCTGTCTCCCAACGAGACCACCGTCGTTCACTCTCATCCCACGCGGCGATTGCGGAAGAGCCTCACTCTGAATCTTCCCCATTTGCACGCTGGTGGTTCCAGTCCGAAAACAAGGAGAATGTTGATACTCTTCTCGAATCAGAGGATCGAGCCGACAATATTGAACAAGAGCAGGAATTACTGCACAATAAATGTTGGTTGTTCCATTTGTGCACGCCCTAATAGAAGTGAACATCACCGCAGATCGCTCGACCAAGAATCCGGTCGTGTTTTGTCACGGACTCCTCGGTTTCGACTCTGTTTCCATTGGGCCCGCAATTGCGCCGGTTCAAGTTACACATTGGAGAGGCATCCGAGAAGTGTTGGAAGCAAACGGCATTGAAGTGTTAATTACGCGCGTGCCAGCAACCAGCTCTCCGCAAGACAGAGCCAAAGTTCTAGAGGAACGAATATCAGAGACATTTCCGGGTCGCAGTGTTCACTTGATTGGGCACTCGATGGGAGGGTTGGACTGCCGATATATGACAACACATTTAACGGACAGGAAATTTCAGGTCCTTAGCATCACCACGATCGCCACTCCTCACCGAGGATCTTCGTTTGCAGATCAATTTCTGACGACTGTCGGTGCAGCTAGAATGCCTTCTGTCCTATCTCTCCTTGATCTGCTACCGAACGGAGGCGGCGATGGCAAGGCATTCCAGTCTCTTACGCTTGAAGCTATGCGTCAGTTCAACGAGGAAACAGTACGAAGCTCCAGGCAACCACTTCTCTTCGCTGACGGTTGGGTAGCCCGATGTACCCGACGTTCGATATTTCAGCTGGGGAGCAACCTATCAACCAGGTCTCATTGACACGTCCGTTCTTTCTAGCTCATCTCCCCAAATACTGACATAGCTTGCAGCTGGAAATGGCCTCACTCCGTGGTTCTAGAACACGAAGGGGAGAATGACGGTCTAGTGTCCGTCGCATCAGCAAAATGGGTTAGTTTTCAGCCAAGTCAACATGTTTTCTGACGAAACTAGGGCACATATTGCGGTACGCTACAGGACGTCTCACACTTGAACTTGGTCGGCTGGATCAATCCGGCTCAGTACAAGTGGGCGGAAATGATGGGACGCGAAATCACTTTCCGTCCCGCCACCTTCTACCTCGGAATAGTTGACATGCTCGCTGGAGAGGTGGAAAAACAGCCGCCGATGAAGAAAGCCTCTGGCGGAGGCTCGAAAGCTACCTCTCCCTGACGATCATCTTGCATGTACCCTTGCATTTGGGACTTAGAAGCAATTTACCATACGCTAATCCTAATGTCATGTAGCTCTTTGTAATTATTTGTATCTTGGCTTGAGTTTTCCCTCAACACTCCATGGCATGTGACCCGTGCTCTGCCTTTCTCCCACCATGGCTGCTGCTCTCGAGTTGGTGTCGTCTAACAAGGTCTTTGGAGGTGACCTGCGGAAATACAAGTTCAAGGTGTGGTCGTTCACGCGCGATGAGGCTCGGTTGACAAGGAAATAGTCTGCGGCGTTAGGCGGACTCTCGGCGAACTTCAATTTATTTCTTCCCTCGCAATCAGCGACCGCCAAAGTCCCGATCCTCTTCTATTTAGCTGGGTTGACTTGCACTGAGGACAATGGGGACGTCATTTTACTGTGATCCATCTGTCCGCCAGCTAATGATAAGATTAGCGCACAAAAAGGCAGTTTCTTTGAACCCGCTGCAGCCAATGGCATCGCCATCCTATTTCCCGACACCTCCCCCCGGGGCGCCGGAGTTGCTGGCGAAGACGACGACTGGGACTTCGGAACGGGTGCTGGATTCTATCTGAACGCTACCACACCAAAGTACGGAAAATCAGTAATACTTGTGTTGGCTTCAATGTTCGAATGACCCACAGTTATGCGTCTCACTACCAAATGCTCACCCATGTGACGCTCGAGCTTCCCCAAGTAATCGAGGCAGCTGGCCTCCCCGTCGTATGATCTTCCTACGCTTTTCTGGCTCAAGTAAACCAGATATCAAGGATCTCTCACGACAATCGATATTTGGCCACAGCATGTAAGCGTGGTTAGCTAAGCTTCATTTCATCAAGATTTGACTTGTTTTTGGACAACAAGGGGTGGCCACGGTGCTCTGACGCTGTACCTTGCGTCCCAAACCAACCAATATCGTTCAGCATCTGCATTCGCGCCGATATGCAACCCGATCAATTGCCCATGGGGCCAGAAAGCTTTCAAGGGCTATCTCCAAGGCGGTGTCGAGGAGGCCCAAGATAAGTACGACGCGACAGAACTTATAAAGAAACACAAAGGCCCCGTTAACATTTTGATTGACTACGTATGCTGGCGCCTATGCCTTAATGTTGCTGACATACCGTCGTAGGGAACTGGCGACAACTTCTACAAACAAGGGCAGCTGCTTCCTGAAAACTTTGTGGCCGCTGCTCAGGGCAAAGACGTGACCGTGCGAGCTCAAGAGGACTATGACCATAGCTATTACTTCGTCAGCTCCAAAAGCCGCTCTTTTGAATTATTCTGACTTGGAGTAGATTTCCACCTTCGCAGCAGACCACGTGAACTGTACGTCTCACGATTATTTTGAATTTGGCCGAGTGTTGAATGGGATCCTACAGTTCATGCCAAGTTCCTTCGTCAATAAGTACTAGGCGTCGTCGTTGACATTGCAATCACGATTATGTAAGTATACAGTTCCGTTTCAGAGAGCATTGAGGAATTTGAGAGTTCAGAGGTCAGTCGAAATCACGAGCATATGACACAGAGCATCGATGGTGGTAGTTATCGTCCAGTAGTTTCTGTTCGGATTTGATCCAGGTACTGTCAAGCGCGTTCTGGATAGTTGCCCGTTGCGAATAGTCATACGTGAGCAAGCTGCAAACGAGAGTCTTGGCTGAACAGAAATGAGAGTTGACCATGCAAGGTCAGATACCAACACCTACCATCAGGGACGCGTCTCCAGTGATACGGAGAGTATTCGATTTCTCCACGAAGAATCCTGTTTTTGAGACGATCTTCGGTGTGGTAGTAGTTGTCTGACACGCAAGAAGTATGAGACGCGCGTATATGGCTATTCCAGTCCAGAGAAGAGCCGAACGAGGACGAATCGTGATCAAATGGGTGGGAACCGCTGTAAAATGGTCAATGACTTTGGGGTGATGATCACTCGCCCAACCATATCATGATGTACAGTATCACACCAACACTCCAGCAGTCGGAAGGCATGCTACACTGGGTCAGAGGCCAATCAAGTTGGACAGAAAACCAACCCCATATATTTTAAATGCCCTTGATTAAGCGCCGCTATTCCCTCTGGCGGAAGATATGAAATTGTTCCACAAACGTTGAGCGTTGATTGGTACGAGTGTGGTCGAGCTAAGCCAAAATCAGCGATGACTACGCGCGGATATGGGCCAGGAGCATGAAGGAGAATGTTTTCGGGCTGGATTGGGAATATTTAGTCAGCGAAGAACGTCGCAGAATAACCAATAACCTTGAGATCTGGGTGGGCTTTGTGGTGAGCAGTCTAAGCAGCGTATAATGACGCTCACCTCTATGAGCGATGTTCTTGGAGTGTAGGTATTCGAGCCCAAGGAGGATCTGGTACATGATGAATTTGGATTCAGCTTCGCATAGTGGTCGATTCTTCTCGATATTGGTCGTAATGTAAGTGAAGAGATCTAACGCCACGATTAGTCGAGGTCAGAGGTCTTCATTGATTATGTCACCGCCGCCAGTGCAAAGTTGCAAGAAGATGAACATGAATTCGTGGTTGTCGTCGTGAGTTGCCAAAATCTTGTTGATGTTCGGCTGAAAGTGAACATGCGCGTCAAACTTAGCACCGAGGTAGACACAGAGCCAACACAAACATGAGCCAAGCCATTCAAAATAGTAACTTCTTTGAAAACTTGCTGTAGGTCGTAGCCTTTCTTTTTGCGGATCGTCTTGCACGCAACTTGTCTAACAGAATCATCTAAGCGCAATTGAGCGAGAAGGTGTAAGTATTGATAGTGAGAACATACTGGACATGTCGAACGCAAGATGCACGGTCGCAAAGGAGCCACTTCCAAGTTTCTGGCTAGATATCAGGAAGTTTGCCATTTTCTGCGAGAAGTCAATGAGAAAGAAGACTATCTGACGAGGTGAATCACCTTCATCTTGGCTGGTTCGACAGTCGGAGGTGTGGGGTCGAATAAATCTACTTTCTCGTGACGATCCTTCCAGATATGGTGGCAAGTTAAGACTGCATGAGCTTCAGCCATAAGAAACATATCGGAGCAGAAGTAACCTTGGCCATCCGGGAGTTCCAGTTTGTCGCCGTGCATCAATATAACGCTGCTCTTCTCGACGATACGGTAGCCATTGAGAAGAATGCCATTACGGGAATAATCCTAGGGTTGTGTTCGGGGGTTGAGACACAACAGAAGCAGGAGCAACCTGGCAAGAGACAATGACGCCACCGTTTTGACTTGGTACCGCAAATAGAGTACAATGGTGTAAAGAGGTAAACGGAGAGGTGAGGACATAGTCTCTGCAGACATAAACGCGTCAAGTCCAAGAGCATAACAATGTCACTCACGCGTGAGGGTGTCTACCGATCTTGACTGGCTTGTTGATGCACAAAACTATAGCCTCACGCCTGGTAGGCATACCATGCTCTAAGGGTTTCGAAATGACGACTTTGGCACAGATGGACGACTGAAGCATGAGTAGAACACGTTATGTCACACACCGTAACAGAGTCTAACTAATGTCGTAACCCGCCCCACTCCTCTGTTTTACGCGTTTTATCTTTTTATGGTGCTTCTTTCCCTCTCCAAGTACTCCTCCATGATTAGCCAGAACAGACGCAATGCGTGCTCGCCTGCCACTCAACGCAGTTCCATCGTCCGCGACGGCGTTTTGATGGGGATATATGCGTGACCGCGAAAACGTTTGCCCGCCTCTACCTCCACCTTGTACGAATGGCCTGGAAGAAACCCCAGAATTCTCTTCAAAGAAAGACTTGTCTAGAGCTTGTGACTTCAATCCTTGAGGTCGCTGCACTTGATTAGAATTCGCCAGAGGCACAAATGTGTCGGCATCCTTTCCGACCCTGGTGGTTGGTGCCCGTTTTTTATCCGCGAAACGCATCATTGCGAGTTCATGCGTACGACGGTTAAAGCTCTCCTCTGTTGCTCCGGGAGGCGGATGGCAGAAGAGCAATTTCGCATTCACATAGTCTTTCAGAATGTATCTTGCTGAGCGAGCTTCGTCAGGATTCCCTTGACCGGAGCGCATGTAGCCCCGTGCGACTACAAGCATTGGATGAGAAGCCTTTTCTCGATCTAACACTCACTTGCGTGTGCAATCAGAAAATTTTCAGCGGTTACCTTGCCATCGCCCCCTTCCTCGAGTCCTTGAACTTTGATGCTCAGTCCATAGGTGGCCTCTAAAACTTCTTTCCGAATTCTCCGCACAACCAATGCGATAGGACCAGTGTGCTCCCTCATTTGGTCGATTGGAAGTACACCGTCGCAAACCAAATCTGCCTTGGTCGTCGCAAATTGAGGGAAAACAAGACCAGGACAATCACAAAGTGTGATCGTGTCCGATAGGTTGATAGTTTGGAAATGCTTTGTCTTGCCTGGAGTCGAGGAGACGCTGACTTTTTTCTCCCCCAACAACGAGTTGATAGTGCTTGATTTACCCACATTTGGGTAGCCAACGAGGCCTACAACCAGCTTGGATGGTGGCTGGCCAGAGGCGTCCAGGAAATCTAGAGAATATGTCAACTGAGACTCGACAAAATACTGCAAGGCAACTGGCCAGTGAGTGGCGGTGCAGTTTGTTGGAACAATCCCTCCAGTTCCAAGACGGACAAGACCTTGGCTCTTGGATCTTGTCCTTCAGGTGTATCCTCTTCCGCTGAGAAATATGCATCATCATGTGACTCTTGGTCGGACTCAGATTCGTTAGGCAACGAATCTTCATCCCCACTTTCCCAATCCTCATCTACATCCTCCGTTTCCGACGCCATCACATTCTCTTGTCGGACTAGTTGTTCCCTCCGAGCCTCTTGTAAGGCTGCAGCGTTGGCCGCCGAGAAGAATGCGTATTTGACGCCTTGTTGATCAAAGTAATCCGCCCATTGGCATCTAAAAGTTAATCTGAGCCGCATAACTTGAGATCAAAACAGAGTTGACCTTTGTGCCGCAGTAAGTAGGTCTGCCTTGTTTATCAACAACAGGCATCGTCTCTTACCTTCTCCTGTCCCATGTTCGCCTTCCGGACCCTCAACATCGTTGACGTAGGCTTCGAGGTCTTCGCATCGGAAACGGAGTGGGTTACGGGCGTCGACGATCTGAACCACAAGATGAGATCGCTCCAGCACTCGCCAAAGCTGTCGCCAGACTTCGATGTTGCGCTCAAAAGGAGTGAGAAGAAACTTGTCCTCATCTTGGAGACTACAGCGATCAGGGAAAGAACGGACAGAATCATTTTCTTACCTGGCTAAACCTCTTCTCCACTCTAAAAAAGCAGCCTTCTCTTGCTTGTCTAACTCGTTGGTAGATATATATTTTTTGTCCATGCTGGCCTTCGAGGCACTCGGAGGCGTCGCTTATGTTCTTGTTGTTTCTTGAGAGCAGTAATCTCCTCCTGTTCGGTTAGAAGGTAAGGGTTCTGACTCGATCCTGCTGTTTGCTGTATGATCTTAACACTGCGGCGTTCTGATAAAAGTTTGACCATGGCAGTCCATACGATAAAACAACAAACCAGCTGTAAAATCGGTGCCTGCTAATTGCGCGGTATTGAAGAATTCATCGAGGTCGCGCTCTTGAGTGACGGATTTGAGGCGGTCGTCGCTAGAGTACTACAGATTGATCAGCAACAGCCGCTGGACTAGATTTGTCTCTTTACCAATGCTGATACTGGCGCTTTTTGTGCATCTTTTACTTTCCGATTAATGATTGCGCGTCCAAGACCACTGGGATTGTGGTCCCGTCGAGGAGGCTGTTGCGATGAGCTGATACCATAACGCAAACGGAGGTGCTTGCCATGGCTAGAAGCAAAATGCTTTGTCAGAGTGACATCATGAAGGCGGAGATTTTCGCGTCTTACAAGGCCTTTCTTCGACAAACGCGAAAGCTTCCAACGCAATACCTTAGGTTTGGCACAATCCCAAATATCTCCACTGATGACTGAAGTAGTATAGGCAGTTCTGGCGTCTCAAGGCCTTTGACGATGTTCGTGCAATCCTTGGGGCTCAAACTCTTCACATTCGTCAAACCAAACTTCAGCGAATGGCAAAGGTAGTACAATGGCTGTCGCGGTTCTTACTTCCCCTTTTGACTCCATGTTAGGACACCCGCCGTCTGGAAGCTGCAAACAGCCACAAAATCCATGCCTTGGATCACGTCCTGAAGGTAGCCTATGGTCGCAAGGGCAAGCTCAAACGCGAACTTATCGAGGTTGTGTTATTGTTGAGCCATATACTCCCAGTTCTGACTTTTCAAATAAGCCTCTGTTGTCTGACCCCAATGCGCCGTTACCTACACCAATAATACCTGGCGTCGAAGATTCGCGACCGCCGATATACTCGCCAGAACTGAGGGCCCTGCTAACGTCTTCTGCGTCTCGGCCGTCGGCAGTCTTGAGAAATGACGCACTGGAAACACCCCCCACATTGCCTGCTCGGGCTAATCCCAAATCTGAGGAAGCCAAGCTTCTAGGTCCCTTCAGCAAACGACGTGAAGTCAACATTCGATGGCGGCACTTTGTGAAGGAATCGCGCAAAGTCAAGCCACCACTCCAGGTCACGGTGAACGACAGTTCAGGCTCTGTTAAAACCGAAGCTACTCGTGAAGTTGGCATTCGTTCGTTGCCAATGCAGGATTGGGGTGTTTTTGAAGACATCGAAACTCACGCAACGTCTCCACACCTTTCACGCTGGATCCGTCGCCGATTCCAGACTCTTCTCAACGACGTGCCAGTTCTGCAGTATCAGAGCAACAAAAAGTACACTGTCGCACTCTCTGAGCAAAGGCTCTCATCCGACCAACAAAAAAAGCTGAACGTGATGGACGATGCGGATGTCAAGTGGTTGGAGCGCTAATAAAATACAATTTGTACGAATAAATTATGAACTTGCCTCCATCTCAAGCCCATGCAAATCAATGACATACATGCTGAAGTTGCGGTCCACAGGCTTAGCACCCTCGCCACTGCCTTCAACTACTCCACACTGAAGGTTAAGCATGATCTGGTATTCGTCGAATGTGAAGTCTTGCTTCTTGCGAATCCCGTCCAGCATTTCCTGAAAACAAAGTGAGACGGACCAACAGGGCAAGGTTGGACTGACTTGGGGTGTGACACTAAAAAGCTGGTAGTAACGTTTGGCGTGCTCGAATTCCGTGCTATTCTGCTCATTGGTCAACGTCCTGACGCTCTGCTGCAAGGCTAAGATGTTGCGGAGAATCTTCTTGACGCCCAATGGTGTTGGTAAACGCAGATGACGAGCACCAGATATTAGTAACTGCTCCATCAGATTACTGAGCCCCATGAAAACGAACCTACACAAGCGTTATTATGGCAATGTTGCTGGATACAAGTTTGAACCATACCGCCGTTCTCGTTTTGGGAGACATGTTGTGGCAAAGTCGTTACATTCACTCAACTCATTGTTCAGATCGACGATATGAGGGTCAGGTTCTCCCGCTTCTCGTTCGATAGAGTAATTGCCCTGCAGGGGTGTAAGCAACGTCTTATTCGAAGCTTGGAAACTCTTCGTACAAATTTCAGCGACGATTCGAGGTAGTGGATGGCACGACATCGAGTATCGATTCTTATCGAGTCTAAGATCAGCTCCGAGAGTTGTTCATACGTCTTCAAGAGCGCCTGGAAGCGACTATAGAACAGTTAGAGTGATGCCGACTCGCAAATGTGATAAACACACAGTGCCATTTCTCGCGATAGAGGCAATTGGAGCTTATCAGCCGATGCTACAGTGGGGAGTGGGGGCAGGAAAGGAGTATAAGGGGTTACAGCCGAGGGAGGTTCGAGGTTGGTAGGGGACATGAGGGTATCGTCCGATGTTGATTTCAAAATCGAAAGCTCTGATGCAAACCATGACTGGTTTCGCGTTAATTGGAGGTTGTGTCATGGCTAAAAAGAGCACAGACCACACTGCGATATAAGCTTGCTAAGGCGCCAAGATTGCGAATAGAGACGATCAAGTCTGTGCGCTTAATGTCCGTCTGACCGAGGAAATTCAGTTCGAGATGCGTCTCTTGCTTACAAAGTCGTTGCTGCTTCGGTAAGTCGCTTTCCTGGAGACTAGTAAGTTGCCGCGTTATCAACGGTGATATAGAAACAGACAGTGGTGGTTAGCATCTCAGCTAGACAAGGGGCCAGTTCTGACCGTTGTGCCCACTGAGCGGACAGAGCAGGATGTGACTCGGCATCGGGCTCTTTGGGATTAGGTACCGATACAAGGTCCTGGAAGCGGTCACTGCATCGTTGATAGAATTGTATCATGACGCTGAGGATTAATCGAGAGTAATTTTCGCGATGGAAGGGTGACTTGAGTAACATTGCACAAAGAGAGTTGATGAGAGCCATGAGCTGGGTGCTAGCTTTGACCAAAGGTTCGGGCGATAGTCGAGATGAAGAAGAATCAGGTTGGAAAGCTTCGGGTCCAGTCACAGCTTGATGGAAAAGCAGTGAGACCTTTTCTTCGAGTTGGGGAAGATAGACGCGGAGGACAAAATCATCGAGGACTGCAGTCGATTCACGAGCAGACTCCATTCCAGAAGGTAATACGTCTGAAACGCGGTCCAGAAATGCCAAGGTGGGCTGGAAAAGAACGGTCACGTGGAACGCGTCGGCACGAATCAATAATCGATGATGTTGGCCAGCGCCCAAAAGACGATCATCCGTACCAACAGTTGACAAAGCTGCTTGAACAGTACTTTCAGTTGTCTGAACAAGACCTGGCATAGTGTCTTTCAGGACGCGAGTCAGCTCATCTTCGTGTGGCTTAAGGGCTTTATTTGTCTGCTTGACGTCCGTGTCGGCGAATCGGAACACAGCCTTGGACTTGTCGCGGGAAAACTTGCCCTCTCGTAATATCTCGTTGATGGAGGAGATGGGGTTTCTGCCCGAGACTGAACCTTGGTTCTCGTCCACCAGATAGTCATAAATCAATGTCCGAACCTTGTTGCAACTGAGCACCAGCTAATAGAGAAAGGCTGAACATACTTCGGCTTGTACTGAGGTCCAGATTTCTGACAATGGGAAGAGAGCGCCTGGTTTTGCCCCAGAGGCGTCTTTAAAATCACGACGCTGAGACAACATAATGAACAAAAACAACATGTTGGAAAAATTAGCTGACCGAACCAATCCGATTGGCGACTTCATAGACAACGCGAAGCCCTTGAGCTACGGCATCGAGCTTCGAGTAAGCAGTCCAGAAAAAGTCTTTCAGGACTTCGTGGTCGACTTGCTTGGCGGAAGACTCAAGCGCCACGAGACGAAGATTGGATACTTTCCATGCTGCTTTGGATGTTGTTGATGTTGATGTTGAATCGGTACAGAATGTGTAGACCCCATCGTGCCGACCGGAAACACCAGAAAGCGAGAATGTTGAGCGAGAGCGGCCATACTCTGCACGCTCCTCGACTTCGTCGAGTGTAGTTTCCACGAGTGTAAAGACTTCGCTAGGAAGACGTTGCCCGATATTGTCCAATGCACTACCCAGCTTGCCCAGCACTGCGAAGGCTTCCAGCAGGGTCTCGATATACGAAAATGAGTCAGATTCGGGATTGCTGGCAGTAGCAGCAGCAATCGAGGCGGATGAGCGCCCTACTAACGTTTCCGAACTGTTGCTGCCGAATGTGGGGTCGTTGAGATCATAAGGTGGATCATTGGGACGCAAAGCGAGATCATTCAAGAATCGCGTGAGACGTGTTTGTCGGAAAGTTTCCTCGGAAGGGGACGATGTAGGATTGGTAGAGGGCTTTAATTCCACCTCCGCCTCGAATTCCACCTTCGGGACTGAACGCAGATGAGAAGGAAAAACATCAGTGACGGTTATCACACACAAGATTGTTGATTGGGAGTATATGCAGCCCAGCGCGATTCGCACCAGAAGGATTTGAGATATAGATGACTCTGTAACTCGTCAATCAAAATTTCACGGAGCGCCTACGAGTTGTTAGAATATAACAAGGAACCGACGATGAACACACAGTTTCTTGCGAGTTCAGATAAACTCGAAGGTCAGAGACAGCTCCGATCTCGATCATTTCAGACTTGTTGATGATTTTTAAACTACGAACAAGTAGCACTGAAGCTTGGAGTAGACGCTTCTCGGACATGAGAGACTCCAAGAGATCAGGAACCGACTTGAGATGTTCACTGTGGACATTAAACCATGGATAACAAAACAAACAGAGCCTACATTTGGTCCAAAAGCCGCATCATCTCATCAAGTGTTTGCCTCCTTGTCCAGAGTTGCACAAGGTCGGCGCGTTTGCTTCCCAGTGCATCCTTGGACTCTTGTAGCGAGGTGCGAGCCTCCGAGATTTGCGTTTGGGTTGCAGTAAGATGACTGATAAGCGAAGCATGATGTGGAAGGGAAGCTGCAAATGCCTGGTAATGGGCTGTTCAAAGTTGTAAAAACGTTCATAAGCTCCAAAGACAAGACGCACTATCCACAGAACCCTTGAGCGCCTTTGAAAGCATGTTCTTCGTGCGACGGAAAGAATCCATATCCTTCCCAGCAGACTTGTCATCGAGCAACTCAAGCGCCAAGTCGACATGATTGAACTGAGAATATTCAAGCATAGATAGTGCAAATTCTGTACAACACGCACCTCTGGATCCACAACAAACTCCCACCCATCTTTCACTTGGTCCAGAACGGCTTTGAGACAGTTTGAGCTAGAAACGCAAGAATGAAACATGGTTAAATACCGTCAATGTCGCCGAGGCGTGTCTTGCCAGTCGGTTTTCGACCTGGTGCCTTATCTCGAATGCGCTGTTGTTTGAGCTTCTCTGCCTCTATTTCTTGCCTCCGTTCACGTTGATAATCCATTTCCTCGCTGTCATTGGTCATACCACGACGACGAGACCCAGCGGACTGGAATGCAGACAAGACCGTATTCATGGCTGGTGGTGGTTCTTCGCCTGTACGGTTTCTCTGAGGTGTTGAGCGGGTGGTTGACCCGTTTGGAGCTGGAGGACGTGATCGGTATGAAGTAGAGACGTCGGTTGAAACGCTGTCTCGGTAAGAGGACGAATACTCTGATTCGCGACTTCTGAGGCCTGAACGTTGTGGCCGATTAGGTGGAGACTCTTCTGAACGAGGCATCCTCCTCGATTCATTACTGGGAGTTGTTGGGCGAGATGGGGGGCGGGAGATTTGGAGGGGGCGTGTGTTGCTGGAAGGCGGGCCTTCCGTATTGGACAATGACGGAGATCGCACTCGACGATTGGGAAACGGCGCTTGCCGTGACATCCCTCTCCGGTATGGGTGGAGGACAAGACTTGTTCAAGCAATTGGACTGTTGGCTGATGCCTAGTAGACGTGACAACGCGATCTGGTCACTGGAATTGAACTTGGACGCGTCCTTGATGCTGAATTTAGAGCCTCTCCATCCGACCCCAAACTCGGTCTTTCATCACCCAGAGCTCGGCCCAGTTCATATCCAGTACTACCCCCCGATAAGCCACAACGAACCTGACACCGTTTGCCTCTTCATCCCTGGTAATCCTGGTCAATTACACTATTACGAGTCCTTCTTCTTTCATCTACAACAACGCGCGCCGCGGGTTGCCATTTTTGCTCATGCGCATATTTCACACACGCCGGGCTACCATGGAAAAGAACATAGTCTGGCAGCCCAGGTTCAGGTGAGTGTTGTGTCGATAGGTGATCTCGTGCAAGGCTCTGATTCAACTTAGAGTGCTATAGAGGCATTCGACGCCCTACAAGAAGACTTGTCGTCTGCAAAAATCATTTTAATGGGACACAGTGTAGGGGCTTGGATTGCGCTGCAGGTACGCCTCCCGTTTGGTCATTGTGCTCTCATATGATAGCCGCAGTAGGTCCTCAAAGCACGGCCTCAGAATGTTTCACAAGTGCAACTCCTCTTTCCTACCATCACGCACATTGCACGCACTCCGAACGGACGAAGGCTTTCTGTAAGTGAACTTCACACCAGCGACCAGCGCAGTTCAACAGTCATAAGTGGGCTTTTCGTTCTCCAATTCCCAGACTGGTGTCCTGGCTTTCCTATTTAACCCGACCTCTGCCGATTTCCCTGCTTTTTAGGCACTGGTAAGATGCCATCCCAACTGAAGACGCGAGAAGTACTCAAGGCAGTAAACTAGGCCAAAAACGCAAATAAGTGTCTTGCGCAGTCTTCTGAATTCCCCGCCGGCGATCTATGCTTGTCTTTCCATGGCACACGACGAAATGCACACAATTCGAGAGCTGGATGAGGCGCTCCTGGTCGAACATAGAGAGCGTATCTTCTTGCTCTTCGGCGCGCTGGATGATTGGGTGGCAGAAAATAAGCAGACAGTTTTGAAGTGCGTCGGCGGGACCGATCGTCACGAAGAGGTCATGATTCCGCATGCATTTTGCATTGAAGATCACACAAGCAAAAAGGTAGCAATAATTTGTTCAGAATGGGTGGAACGTCTAGATATGCCATCATAAACGCGTGACTATGTGTGACAACCAAACGCGTGATCAAACCTTTCTTACTCTCCGCTTTCTATGGCGGACAATCCCGCCGAGCTCTTTACACCAAGGAAAACCCCAACAGCAAGTGCTGTGCACCACGTTATGGATTTTGTGAAGGCACCGACACTGTCGCCCACGACCAAGGGGACTTACCTCGAGCCACAATCTGCACCCGTCCTTCGAGAGGCAGTTCCTGCCGACGAAGTAATCGGGGAGTACACGGAAGACGATACTAAGTGGTACTACGCGCGCTATCAGGGTGGTATAGCCCACAAAGTATGTTGTGCCACTTGACGCGTCCCTTATTTTCTGACGCGTCTTAGTACTCCTCAGTCAAGTTCGAGGAGGACTATCCGATGCTTGTCGCCGAATACTGTGAGAAATCTTTCTTTTGGGTGACTCTGAAAAGTTTAGAATACTCTTCCAGTGCGTAAGAAGGCCGCGGGCGAATTGGCGGAATTTTCGCCATCAGCGCACTACGTACACCCCAAATCCCGGGTTCGATTAAAAGTCAAATTGCGAACACCCAGCATATCATCCAGAGGAAGTGCTCCGCCGACCTCAACGCATTCAACGAGTGAACCTGACGAGTTGACTGACTCAGAAGACGAACTCGAAGACGAATCCGACGGATACGATGAAGACGAATCTGTTGAGCCCGTACGCCGGAGTGCACGCAACGCTAGCTCAAAAGCCCAATCGAGGCTGCCATTCAGTCCCAAGAAGACGCGTTCAAGAAGACCACTAGTCCTTGATTCAGACTCTGATGATGACCAGAGCGTCGCGCCACGAAGGTCAAGTCGTCAAAAGCGCACCAAAATCTCCGTCGATCGCAGTGTTTCCTATGACCCAAGCGTTGACCGAGATGGGAGCGACTATGATAGTGCACCCAAAACAAAGCGCACCAAGAAATCCCGCAAACTGGACTCCCGGCTTTCTCATGGTCAAGTTAAAGGAATTGAGGATCTCGATTGTGATTATGATGCTGACGCCGACTCTGCTGGGCTCAGAGTTCACCGCAGTACATGTGAGAAGTGCGACAAGTTGCCAACGCACCTGTTGTTGGAGGCCGAAAGAAAGCGATCTAAGAATAAAAAGGGACGCAGACGAAAATCAACCGAAGATGAGTTCGAAGAATCAGGCGATGAATTAGAGAAAATAACAAAGAAGGGCGGTTGGGTTAGATGGTTCGTTTTGCCGCGCAATATAGTTCCTCTCTAACTAACCTCTCTTGCTGCTCAGCTCGAAATGCCCCGTCGCCGTTCATTGGGCCTGTCTCTCAGTTGCTGATCGCGATGAGATTCTCAAAGCCGTACGAGATGTTGATAGAGCTGCTTGGCGCAGCACACAACCAGAGAGCGAACTTCAAGACGAAAACGGAAATCCCAAAGCAAATAAGAATGAACCCTCCAAGCGAGCGGGCCTTGATCCCGAACAATTTACGGAGTTCATTTGCGGTCAGCTTCTTCACTTGATTTTTCGAGCGCTCACGATGTCTCAGGTGCATGTTTGAAAGGTGGAATATGCATGGGTTGCAAGGAAACAGCTCTTGAGCCTGAGCTACGATCTTCTGGCGAGGCATCATCCTCTGGCGATGTTGAAATGAAGACCGCGCTCAAGTACAACTGGCCCACAGCCCTCTTTTTCCGTTGTCTCACGTGTAAACGCATGGCACATTACGAACATCTACCTATTCCTTCGGAATATGACAATGACGCCTCAATAGCGGACATTGCCGCTCATTATACTTCATCTTGGCAATGTGCCGATTGCGCTTCGTTCACTTTCCAGTTGGACAAGATACTAGCATGGCGTCCTTACCCAGAAACTGCGACCGAACCACGATTGCGGCCAGACGAGGTACCGCATTACAAGTCTCCGCTTCCTCGAGAATACCTTGTCAAATGGCAGGACAGATCGTATCGTCGAACGCAGTGGGTCCCACACATGTGGCTAGCATCCACTAATCCGGGGAAACTGAAGCATTTCCTTGCGATGGGACCCAAGGTGGAACTTCTCGAACAGCCCATTCGAGATGGCGAACAGAGTACCGCAGAGAACACACAATTTCAGGTCGTTGTCGACTCGCGACAGTCCTCCACCAAGCCTGGTAGTGCTGACAAAGAGTCCGCTTCACGTGACCCCCTTCCAGATGCTGAGAAACGAATCCCGCCTGCATGGAAAACCGTTGACCGAGTGTTAGACATCATTCTCTGGCGTCCGAGCAAGGCACGGAAAGCAAAGGGAAAGGGTAAAGCCAGGATAGAATCCGAAGATGAAGAGGACGATCTGGATGAGGAGTTGGAGGCAGAGCGAACAGCTGTTTTCGATGGCGCTGAACCAAGCTCGGCATATTCGGAGTCACTAGCTGACTGGGAAAGTCGAACGAAACAGAGATTCTCTATGCAACATATCGGCGAGGTGGCATGGGCCTTTATTAAATGGGACGACTTGACTTATGATGAAGGTGAACATTCTGTGCAAACAAATTCAGATCGAAATAACACCGATGTGTCTAGCCTCGTGGGACTCACCTCCGCTTCCCGACGACCCTGTTCACTCTGCTTTTGCGACTGCTTTGCAACGTTTTGTTGTTTCACGTGATGTCTGGATCGCTGATGGCAAAACGACTCGGAAGCCGGGAAGGGCCAAGGAGGGCTACAGTGCTCACCGACTTAAACGAGCAGAAGAGCTGAACATTGGACAAGATCCTAAATTCAAATTAATGGACTTCCAGGTTTGTTCTTGTTTGACGAGACTATACCGTGCCAACTCGTCGCTAGGTTGATGGTTTTAACTGGTTATGCGATAACTGGTGGAATAACCAACAGTGTATTCTCGCTGTGCGTGGTTTCATGATCGAGACTTCTCATTTGCAGTGAACTGACGGCATTGTTTAGGATGAGATGGGTCTAGTGCGCTGTTCTATCATGCGATTGGTGATGATCTAATGGAAACAGGGGAAAACCGTTCAAATTGCTACGTTCATTGGGAAGATAATCCAGGACTTTGGTGCCTCTCCGGCGTTGGTTGTCGTCCCCAACTCCACTATCACCAACTGGGTTCGCGAGTTTGAACGATGGGCCCCCAATCTTCGCGTCGTTCCATTCTATGGGGAGGTCCGCATATCTCGGATTGTACAATTGACACGCACTGATCTCTACAAGGCAAAATCTCGGGCAATCATCAGGGAGTTTGAACTCGTTCACAAGGAAAAGCGAAAGAGCGGTATGCTGGGCATTAAGTATCATGTCTTGGTCACGACCTACGACACTATCATTGGGAGAGAGTTCTCAGTTTTCAAGATTCCTCGCTGGGAGGCAAGTGCGATACCAACATTGAAGTTAGCCTGGAAATGATGTCTCCACAGGTTCTTGTTGTCGATGAAGGCCAGCGCCGTACGTGGTTTCTCTTACTGCGATGGTCATACTAAATTTGATCCTGTAGTCAAGAGCGATTCCAGCCTTTTGTTCAGAAAGCTGAATGAGCTCACGACATTGCATCGTGTCATCATGACTGGAGTATGCTCACTTGACATTTGCTTTCTCTCTTAATCACCAGCCCAGACGCCATTGAACAACAATATCCGGGAACTTTTTAATCTGATGAATTTCTTGGACCCCAAAGAATGGAACGACCTTGAAGGTCTTGCCAGGACACACGAAGAGCTGAACGAAGACTTGATTAAGGATCTGCACACACGATTGCGACCATATTTCTTGAGGCGTATCAAGAGTCAGGTCCTTAAACTTCCGCCAAAGGTTGCTCTCTTCAGTTCGCTGACCATTGTCATCTCATAATTGATAGAACGAAGTCATTGTGCCTGTGTCTATGGCACCGCTTCAGAAGGAGATTTTTCGGTCCATTCTCAGTATGTGGGCATGGACGTGAAGGTCATGTTGTTGAGATATTTTTCAAGCTCACAATGCCGATCTCCTCAATGGGCTTACAACAAAGAGGAGTGCCGCAAAAGGGAAACTCAACAATGTCCTGATGCACATGCGTAAAAACCTACAACATCCCTACTTATACGACGATTCGATTGAACCACGCAATCTACCCCCAGCAGAGACGCACGAAAAACTGATCGACGCAAGCACCAAATTGCGTTTCCTCAAGGTCCTTCTCCCCAAACTCAAGGCACGAGGTCATCGAGTTTTGCTTTTCAGCCAGGTTCAGAGCCTTCGACAAGCGTTCCCCAATTCCACTGACTCGTGTATTCAGTTCGTGATTGCATTGGATATCATTGAGGATTTTCTCACTGGGGAAGGTCTTCGTTTCCTTCGTTTGGTCAGTCAGGTGGCCCCACTAGTTTCGTGCTGACTTGGATGAAGGATGGTAATACCAAAGGAACAGAACGCCAGAAGGGAATGGACGAGTTCAACCGCGAAGGTGAGTTGTCATACGTCATCATCCTTTTTTGGCTCATTTTCACAGGTTCCGATGTGTTTATCTATCTCTTAACCACTCGAGCGGGGGTAAGTCCGCCAGGCAATTTTACGGATGTGTGACACTGCTCAACAGGGAGTTGGCATTAACCTCTTCACGGCTGACACCGTGATCGTCTTCGACCCCGACTTTAATCCACATCAGGTTTGTTTTCCAGCTTCCGCCGTCATTTTCACTAATTTCCTCTACAGGATCTCCAAGTACGTTCAAGGCTTCCTACCGGAACAAGCATAACTAAGCATCTCCATCCAGGCGATCGCCCGCGCGTATCGTTATGGTCAAAAGAACACCTGCCTAGTCTTCAAGCTCATGGTAAATGTCAATCATCCTTCGTACCCGCAAGTGCTCATACAACTCATTTCTCAGGTCAAAGACTCCCCTGAGGGTGAATACCTCCTCACAAACGGATAACGGCGCTGACATTCCTATAGAACGTATCATCCAAGTTGGCAAGAAAAAACTCGTTCTTGACCATTTGATCGTCCAAAAAATGGATGATGATGAGGACGGCGGCGACAATGTGGAATCTATCCTCACTTATGGGGCACAGGCTCTGTTTGCTGCAGATTCAGATGCCCGTGACATTGTCTGTATGTTGGTTTTCTTATTTGTGGCTCCCTCCGCTTAGCCTGTGATGCAGATTCAGACCAAGATATAGACAAACTGATCGAGAAAACCGAACACGAAGCTGAACCCGAAAAGTCCACTGGGGAGGAAGGCGCTTTCTCTTTCTCATTCGCTAAAGTCTGGGCGGCAGACAAAGACACGCTAGAGGAAGTTGTCGAAGAAGACATGACTGCTGACTCGTGGGCCCAGACGTTGGAGAAGATAAACACGAACCGTGAAAAGAATCAAGCACAAGAGATGGATCGTTATGGTCGCGGCAAACAACGAGCGGGACGAAAGCAGAATTACACGATGGACGAAAGCCCAGTCAAATCCCGATCACGTGCTCCCTCGAATGCATCAGTTGGTGATGATGATTCGGCCTATGCGTCCGATGGAAGACACTCGTCCGATTCAGATGATTCAAGTCAGGATCTGCATGGCGACGATGGAGCTGAAATGCTAGCCGAAGCGCTTAATAGAGCCGCCGAGCAACCGCGGAAACGCAACAGGTCAGAACTCATTGGGCCTCTATCGACCATTGACAATGTTGCGGTGACTGGAGAGCCTCCATGCTCGCTGTGCGGCCTTCGCCATGCAAATCAGCTTGGGGCGTGCTTGATGACTGAGAAATCAGAGCACTTGGCGGAATTCCGGGAGATGCTAATACTGCATCCAGACGACGAGCCGTTGGACAAGAGGGTACTTTGTTTGTTTCTCATTCCATGCCGACTAATGAACACCGGACCTTAGCTCGCCGCTATTGCTGCCATCGATGAAATTCTATACAAGCGCGGCCATGTTCATCTCGTCCACGGACAGCCACTCGAAATCGTTGGTGACGGAACGACTGGGACTGCCAACAATGTCTCATCATCGAAGAAGGCCAAGATACGAGTGGAAGAGCCTGTAGTGCTTACACAACCTAATGCCGCGGCAAGCTCCTCCAAGCGTCCACTGTCCCCTGGCCCAGCCTCAGACGGGCCGAACAAGAAAGCTCGACAGTCGCCGAAAAGCGACACGTGCTTGATATGCAAGATCTCTCCCCATGCACCTCAGGACTGCCCTACGATCGCTGAAGGACCCAAAAGGTTTGTCATCATCGAGTAGTTTTTCCAGTCATCTCAATTCGTTGTCGGCAGGGTGTCCTCAGAAATCAAGCGACTTGAGCAACTTCCGGGAACGACCAAAACAGTCGACACCCTGCGCAGGATCCTGGCAAAACAGAAGAAAGAAGAAATAGCGAACAAGGAAGTCATTGACCTGAGCCAGTTGTAACTGTAATGCCTCCCTCCACATTTACTTATTACCCCTTCGATCTTATAATGTAGACTATTTTTGTGCGTATATTATAAGGCTACAAAATCTAAAGCTGACCTAACCCCTACACAAATACACAGTGCCCAATTCACAACTTGCTATTAGTACTACTTGTCTGTCCCAGTGAGGTTGCATGCCGTTGGATGGGCTGCAGTTTACGCTTAACGTCGCGGAGAATGGTGGTCTTGGGCGACCAGTGTCTAAAGGCCGCCGCCAGTTCAGAGATCTCCTTTGAGAAGAAGTGCGCGACATGTGGATCGGCGATCATGTCCCGCAACGACCAAGGAATCTAAGCACAAATACTCAGTGACCACAAGCAGAAAAAGTCGGCAAAAGAAATACCTCGTAATCGTTCTGCTCCGTACTAGCGTTGAACCTATCCTTCATTAGCTATGATCACCGCTGCGACTATATACGCACGGCTCCATGACAAGTTTAGGATGAGGCTCAAATCCGCTGTTCGTGAGGAACAAATACTTCACCGCCTGATAAAAGTCAGATTTTATTGTTTAAGCCACACGACCTCTACTGACCAGTCTAAGACAAGATGAGAGAAGAGCTACTGATGGGAACGGGAGAGACGCACGAGTAATTAGCAACTTCTTCGTACGCAGTCGAGTGGCCAACGCCATTGAGTGAGCCGGCCGTAGCTTCGGACAGGTGTGTTACAAGACGCTCTGAGAGGCCAGCGTTGAGTAACTTCACCAACAGCACGAGGAGGTTGGACAGGAAGTCGGAGGAACTTGAATCAAATGGTCAGCTATGCAGCCAAACAGCGAGAACACAATTTGACACACTGATAGACGTCTCCATCGATATAGAGAGACCTCAGAATCAATGGATGGGATGCCGCTGTGAAAAGGCCGGAGTAGATGGGAACTACCTGGTCGTTCAGCGAGGCAACATAGACCATTTTAACCTGGTCATGCATGAGCTCATTATACTAAAAGATTCCAGACAACCAACCCCGTTGTCGAGCACATTTTCCAATGACTTGACGTAGGATCGTGAGACTTCGTTGTCCGTGTTCTGGCCGATGATATTTAATAACCAAATTTGGGTTCATCTCGTACAACCGACCTGGAACTCGAATAACTCTTTCGCCGCGGCGGACTCGAAATACTAGGTGGTTTTCTTCGTCAGCAAACACACAGCAACGAAAAATGAACCGCACTTGGATATATGGTAGCAACAACGAACTGGAGTTCAGATATCGAAGAGGGCCAAGATGGATTCCACAGAGAGCCAGACAACAGACACGCTGTTTGGGCGCTGGAGGCAATGATTGAGTAACAGATGGACTGCCTGGAGACTTTTGGGAATCATAGCCGCCGGTTTGAATGTGACCATCGGTGATGAGACGGTTGAGGATGTGTGTGGACACGATGCTTCCTGTAGTTCTGTTACCCTACGCTGTGAAAAGGGGATGGTTTACTTGCCTTGTGAATGTGTAGCGACAAATATAACGTCAGCAGCATGAATATCGTCCATCCATTCAGAATTCGAGGTTAGAGTGGTATAGAGCCTGAAAAGACGTCAGACTAGATTATTGGAAAGCAAAAATATCACTTTTCCACCCTCCTATCAATGGTTCCCTCCCCTTCTAATGGTATCTTTGTGATCTTGTCTATGCGCACGTCGTACTCCGTTTGAAAATCTTCTAATGCAGTGACCATCATGTTGACAAATTTTGTCGAAGTTCCTAAAAGATGAAAAATCAGAAAGAAAGGTAGCAAGACATTAGGTTAAACTTCACCTGTCGGCTGCAGGGGATGAGCGATCACGTGATAGATATTGATGAGCCACATACCTCACCGAGGACGCTCCGCATTACCGCACCAGGGAACCAGCCATGTATACCGATGATAGCCACCCGCTTACATCCTCTCAAGACATCCTCGATGTTACCTTCTTTGTTGTCTGCCGTGCGTCCCTGGGCGACAGCAGGTTTAAGAATGTCCCAAGCTCTAGGGAGACCAAGACCCCACTCTTCATACCGCCTCTCCGCGTCATGGGATTTACTCCTACCCAGTGATGATCGTCTCTTTCGACTCGGGGAACCGTCTGCAGCGAACAAGACCCCACTGACGAATTTCATAGTCTTCTCAACAACTGCTCGCCCAACAGTTCTTCCGCCATCAATGAAGCGTTGAGGGACAACGGAGCGCGGAGGAGTATGGAATGTATCCGCCCACGTTGGAAGGACGAGATTGGGAGTCGGTGTTCGCGGCGGCGCAATTGACGCTGGTTTCTTTGGACTTTTGCTTCCCGTTCCACGTGACGCGACCGACGGTGCTGGAGAAGAAGAGCGTCGAGAGCTGATCGTGCCGGTATTGTTCGCGACTTGCTTCTTGACCGATTCAGAGATGGTTAAAGGAGGAGCTGTTGGTTTCGACTTCGAGTTCTTGGAAAGAGGCGTTGTCGAGGGAACTTCATTTTTAACGACCTTGGCAGGTTTATCCTCCTTGGGAGCCTTCGGCTCAGCGTTGTCCTTGGCTCCTTCAATGCGCTTTGCCGCTTTGACCTCCGTCTTCGTATTTGCAATCGGAGGTGGTGAAGCAGCAGTTGTCTTTGAAGCTTCTTCCTCGGCAGGAATATCGTCCACATCAATCTCCATGATTTCAGGCTCGCCTGAGGTCACAGTTTTCCGCGATATATATCCCAGAGTGCCCGTATTGAAGAATGACACCCAGCTAGCCCGCTGTGTCGTCATGCTGTCCGCAACGGGATTTGGTAATGAGACTGACGAAGGAGTCTTTGGGAGCGCTGCTGTGGAGACTGAAGGCGATGATTCACTTGAAGTCTCCGTTGGATCCATTGTACTCGTTTCCGGAGGAAGCTTCACATTTGATTCCTTTGATGGCACCCGATTGTTCGATGAGGAGAAAAATGATGTCCAATATTTTTGCTGTGCAGCCGTGTTGGTCGAGTCTGGTAAAGAAGCGCCCGACTCTGCCTCCGCTGCCTCCGGAGAGCTAGCGATTTCAGGTTCGACTGGAATATTAACAGGATCAGGTTGGGTTTCGGTTTCTTGAATCATGGGCTTTTGATCGTTCGTATGGTTAGGGTTTGGTGGGGCATAACCATACCAGGCCCACGGGGAGTACCAAGAAGCGGGCTGTTCTGCTGAGGCCGCAGTGACAGTCACTTCAGGGGTTGGAGTGGCTGCCTCATCAGCTGCGGGTAGCTCCACATCTTCGGGAATTTGCTGGAAAACAGGCTTAGGTGTTGTGGCCTCCGCAGTTGGCTCAACTTTGTCGTCTTCGGCTGGTGGCTGCGCTGCTGCCGGGCCAGAACTCCATCCCACATAATCCCACCACGTACTAGCTTGAACGGTTCTCTGTTCCAGCTTGATTTCCGTTGTTTGCGTGCCAGATTCCTCGACGACACCGTTCTCGATAGACGTGCTTATGGTTGCTGGCGATGCATTCAGATTTCGATAATTTCGGAGCCAATGACAGAGACATACTAGCTTGTGTGATCTCTGTAGACAATGAACAACGGGACGTGGCAGGGTAAGATGATAACTCACCTTGGACGAAGGCTTCGGCTGTTTCGGTCGATTCTATGTTCTTGTTAGCGAGATTAGGTGTGCTGACCAAAACGTACGACTTGTGTCTACACGAGGGATGAGTGTGGAAACGTGTCATAGCAATGAACTTACCTTCAGCAGCAGAAGTAACAGGCACCGGCTTAGTGCCGAGCAATGGAAGGCCTATTCCAAAGTGGCCAACGGCAGGATTGAGTGAAGAGAGACGCGGTCTTTTGCGGACCGTCGAGTCGTCTGGAGGTTCTTCGGAAGAAAGTGGGAAGCTGACGGGTATGTCAGCCGGGGGTGTGGCCACCGGGAGTGGAACGGACGAGTCGATAGATGAAGCGACACTTGCAGTCTCCGATGGAATATGCAGTGGCTGCGGGACTGGCTGGGGTGGTGATGCAGTCCGTAGAGGTGATGGCTGCGAGGGTGAAGTTGCAAACCAAGACCGTTTCGAGGTTGGTCGTTTATTGGTGACTGGAATTGGCGGTGGGGGTGGTATTTCCGAGATAAACGGATCCACTCGCTCGGGTGTGTCGGGGTTGGAAGAGGTGACTGGCTCAGAAAGTGGAGGGGGAACAGGATCCGCAACGGGCAATGATGATGTAGGCACCGGCTCGAGGAGGTTTGGGGCCGAGGAAGTAGCTGCTGCTACTAGTTTCTCTTTGCCCTTAGCGCGGGACAGGGAGCCGAACCAAGATGACCGGCTGGGGGTTGGGGAAACGGAGACAGGGAATGTTATCGAGTTGGCCACCTCAACTGTCGGAGTATCCGATTCCGCTTCCGGAATTGCCTCAATCTCGTGTTGGACAATGCCGCTGGTCGAGGAGGGGCCAGCAATTGGTATGCTATAAGCCTCCATTCGCTCACGAGCGCTAGCGGTGGAAGTTGGTGTGATTTGTGGAGTCGCAACGACAGTCGTAAGAGTTGGTTCTGAGCCCGAGCTAAGGCTATTTGTCCTTCCTCTCAACGTATTCACAGTTCGCCAAACGGTAGGGCGTGGTGACCTGCTTGACGCGGTACTCCGGATAGAGGCGGTTGAAGGATGCCGACTCCGTCTAGGAGCCTTGAAGGAAGAGGTTTCCGAGCCGTCGACAGCGCTCATGGCCAATGGTGAGGCACAAGCATACGCAAGGCTTAAGTCGTGTTCTGATGATTATGATGTCACCTAATGCGATCACATTACAGCAATCCTTGCGTGGGGTACAGTCCAAAGTACTCGAAAGGTTACAGTAAAAAAGTCCAATGGATTCAAAGAGCCTATTTAAATCCAATAGCCAGAACGCGCTCCAGCAACGCGTGAGTTGATGTAGCGCTTAGAGGGCCCATTTTCAGCCCTCCCAAGTTTGTTCTTGAGGCCTGAAATCAAGCCACCGAGTAAGCCTCCTTGTTGTGCTGGCGCAGCACTCGCGTCGGATGACCCAGCAGCGGTCGATGCTGCGGTGCCAGATGTACTGAGATGAACAAATCAAACACATTTGTCAGCATCTATCAGATGTCAATGATGTCAACTTACGGAGCAGCAGATGCCGCGACTGTCTCGTTTCCGGCAGCTCCGGCAGCTGCGCTATTGCCTGATGCGAACGCGACACAACCACCGAATGGGCCGGCAAGGGCCTGGTTGCGGCATCTGGACGGGGTCACTCGAAGTCCGACGAGAAGGAAAAGACTCACCTCATGATACACGCATCGCCATTGGGTCCAGCGGTACAGGCCATGCCACTGGATCGAAAGTTATGAACTATATTGCGACCAAGTATCTGACGTACGCTGGCATAGTCGCAACAAGCGAAAAATCCGTAGCCTTTTTCAGCGAGAGTCCTAGGACACCAGGCACCTGTTGGGTGACGGTGGCAGCCGAGAAAGTGTTGCCACCATCCTGAGTGGAAATTAGTCAAGGAAAAATAAACACAACACGACCTACACCAGAAACTTCGCATTTGTATGGGCCAGCACCGTCCTGATTCACTTGATGAAGCGTCATGGACAAGCTGCCATCAGCAGCGGTAGTGGGTAAGCCAGCCTGGGAAGCGGCAGCCAACTGAGAAGCAACATCGTTGTTGCCTCCAGCTGGAGTTCTTCCGCAAGCTGACGCAATGAATCAGCACCTTTCAAGCATTCACCAAGACCAATAGTTACCTCCCGTTTTACCACTGTTGATTTCACGGTCACGAATGATTGAAGTGTCTTGTTCGAAAGGCTGAAAGATATTTTTCAATGCATGCGTTTGGGACTGGGGGGGGGTCAAATACCTTGGGAGTCGAGCCTGTGCGTGGAGTGGTGGCTATGATGCCGAACGCAGCAGCCTTAACATTGTTGTTTCCCGTTACACCAGTGATAGCGCCATGGGATCTGACAAGAGAAGAAACAGAGAGGAGGACAAGGACGGTGTTGACGTTGAAGAACATAGTGACTGGCACAAGAGTAGTATCAGCGCGAAAAGTTGCTGGAGCGTGAACAGTGGCTAGCACGAGGCGACGAAAAAAATCTAAAAGAGTGTTAAAAGTCGCGCCAGACTTGAGGTAATCTGTGGTACTTGAAAGAAGAAGGGGCTCGCCCGAGGACTGAAAGTCTGGAAAGAAAGAGGCAGGTGGCTGAAGATTCCTGCAAAGGTGCCCGCTTTTTATAGTTGGACGAGGACAATCGAGAGAGAAGAATCGAATGATCAGTATTGAAGATCTCAAGATTGTCCCGGACGGCAGGATCAGCTTCCTTGTGGTGGACAGATGAATGGAGCGTTGAACTGGAGGAAATACCAATTGACATGCACTGGTTTTTGTTGCTAGAGAATTCATACAAGAAGTAGGAGCATAAGTGGCTCTCATGATGCGGAAACGTCTCATTTGCACCCTTGTTCGTTGGTTGCCTGAAAGCAGACATGGTATAGGAAGTAGCAACCGCTGAGCTGCCGTCCGAGACATGTTTATCACGATGGGTAAGTTGACGGCCAATATGGCTTCCGGCGGAGCGGGGGATCGATGAGAATTTGCTGACAGAAAGCCCGATGTTGCTGAATAGTCATGACTTGAGCAAAAGTTTCGAAAGAGGAGGTACTGCTGTGACATGATGAGTCACAGCACATTCAGAGCACTGCTGCTCACATCCCGACGCAATGGCGACGACCGCAGGAAAACCGTTCCCTGCGAGTCCAAACCATATAGACTGTGTGTGAAATTGACTTTTATCTTTGTTTGTCCTGACCTCGGCCTACTCAGTAACGGCTGACGAAGACGACGAGGTTATCCAAGCTGTAGACACTTTCCGAAAGCCTTCATCATCGTATCCAATGGCCATTCCCAACTCTACTACCCGCCCATTCCAGCCACAAGCACCATCCAGCCTGAATCCATATCGACCGCCTTTTGCTTCTCAAGTCCGACCATCATTTCAGGCCCCAGCGCCTACAATGAATGGGTCGACCTCGCGTATAATAGACCTCACGAGTTCTCCTTCCCCGCCCCCGCCGAATCTTCTCCAGCCGCCCCCATTGAACCCGCAGCTTGCTCCGAAAACACCCGTGTGCATTGGTCAGATTACTATTCACGCTCTGGTGCTCTACCCGATACCATACATAACGCAAAGTAATCCTCCAACCGAGGAATGGGTCCCTGCTCGACTCGAATATGAACACCTCGCTGGCAAGTCACAGGCGGAAACCATCCATATCAAGATACCCTCAGGTCGTCCTTCAAACGGGGAAAGCGAAACGTTTGGTATGGTCGAGCAGAAAGTTGCGACTGCCATCGGACCAATGCTGGGTAAGGGCCTCATACGACTCGATGTCAAAATTCGCAAAGGCTCATCTGGTGTACGTTGTTGCTATCTAAAAGGACGCGTTTGATTCGTCTTAACGTTTCGCTAGCTGCCTATCCTTCCTATGAGAGCCCTGGTTTTCACTCCGAAAGGCAACATCCCAGTTGTCGGCAGCTATCTTCGCCAGTGTGGATTATCACTCGAGCACCCATCTCCCCCTTTCGACCTATACCAACTACTGATACAAAAACAACATTACTCAAACCCTCATAACCCACCACCAATTGGCCAACGTGCTGCGCAGCCTCAACCTTATGCCAGTCAGAGCCGGTGGACAACACCACAAGTAGCGGGAAAGAGCGTCGAGGTTCAGAGGAGTCAAGTTGACGAGGTCTTCAAGAGCCTGAAAGGTGGTGATGAACTGCTGGAAACCGAGCCCAGTGAGCATGGCTTTGCAATCAACCGGGTTAATAGACTAAGCAGTTTTGACTAGGTGCCGATGTTGCGACACGACTCTATCCACATCAGAAGAAAGCACTCACTTTCTTACTGGAGCGGGAAAGGGAAAAACCTGGCCCAGATGGCCAATTTTCTTCCCTTTGGCAGCAACGGATAAACAGCATGACCCAACGTCCATCTTGGTACCATTCTATAACGACAAAGGAAGTTTTCGAGCAACCGCGGGAGGCAAAGGGCTCTATTTTGGCGGACGATGTATGCATTTCTGTTTCATTTTTTTGAGTCAACGATGTTGATCATATCCGGAATAGATGGGGCTGGGAAAGACCATTACTTGCGTATCTTTGATCGCTGCAACGCTCGCCTCGGCCAATGATTTCGCAGCCACGCCATTGGAACCACTCTCACCTGCGACAAGTGCACCTGCCAAGCCAGATGCATCCCATTTTTCTGGCCGTGTTTGGAACATGCCGGAAGAATCGATGTCAGCCAAAGCTAAGGCCAAAGCTGTCCGAGCCCAAGAGAAACTCGACATCGCACAGGCCCGAGTGTCCCGGATCAAAGTCAAGAGCCGCGCGAGTTTAATTATCTGTCCTTTGTCCACCGTTGCCAATTGGGAAGACCAGTTTCGTGAGCATTGGCGGGGTGAAGTCGTCGTCGTTGGTGGTGCTGGTGGCTGTGTTCCTGCTACCCCATCACAAGCTTTGACGCAAGCTCTCGCACAACCGTCGATGTTTGTCGACGACAATGGCAAGGGACGTGAAGGATCCCAACTGCGTGTCTATATCTACCATGGAAACGCTCGCAAGCCAGATCCATCATATCTAGCCGACTTTGACGCTGTCATTACAACATACGCAACACTGGCCTCGGAATACTCTAAGCAGAACAAGAGTATCGTTAGTGCTGAAGATGAAGATGAAGAAGAAGAAACAAGTGACAGCGACATTGAAGTCGATGACAACGGGAATTCTATCGTCAAACTCAGCAAGCCAAAGAAGGCGGGAATGAAGCGCAAAAAGAGCGGTGCTCCAGGTGCTTCCGAGGTCTCCAGCGCACTGCAAAGCATTCATTGGTTTCGTGTGGTACTCGATGAGGCCCAGTATGAAAATTTTTATTATCGTCTGTTTCGGTGAGGCACTGACATCATTCCCCCAGCTGCATCAAAGAGACAACCACTGTTGGTAGTCGTGCGTGTTGCGATCTCGTGGCCGACCGCCGGTTATGCTTAACTGGTACTCCTGTCCAAAACAAGCTGGATGACGTCTTTGCTCTCATCAAGTTCTTACGTCTCAGCCCGTTCGACGACAAGAACGTATGGACGGAATTTATTGGGAGTCCCGTCAAATTCGGACAGCCTCTCGGCGTTGCGCGGCTCCAAACCATAATGAAATGCATCACACTGCGGCGTACCAAAGAGTCTAAGAAGCACGATGGATCTCGCATCCTCGACTTGCCTCCACGCCGCGATGAACTGCGCTACCTCAAGTTTGACGAGCAAGAGCAAGAGATATATAACCAGTTTTATAACGAATCCAAAGCCGAGTTTGAGGATTTGGCAGACAAGAACGAGGTCATGAAGAACTATGTGGGTATCCTGCAGAAAATTTTACGCCTCCGTCAAATTTGCGATCACTGGGAACTTGTTGACGGCAAAACCCCTTCCCTTCAACAGCAATCATACGAGCAAATTATTTCCGATATTTCCAAGGAGGGCATCAATGTTTCGCGGGCTGCGGCCATTTTTGCCATCTTACGGGAATCCGCCACCACCCAGTGTGTTGAATGTGGTGTAGAACTATCAACCATGGATCTCTCCCAGGCAGACAACATGGATGTCGATGGCCCTCCTGCCCCGAAACGAGCCCGAAAAGCGAAGACGGCCTCGTCACGTGGCCCCACCCGTGCCAGCAGCCCGTCAACACCCCGTCCGGTGTTGACAAGATGCCAACATTTGTTTTGTGTCGAGTGCTATCGCAACTGCATCTGTCCAGGCTGGCCCAACGTCGCATCTGATACTCGCCGGTCGTGTTCAGCTTGCCAAACCGGCCTCACCCCCCTCGATGCCGTTGAGATCAAACCCGACGCTACCGCCGACATTCCTATTCCAATTGCAAAGAAGAAACCTTCGAAGAAAGAACGTCGCCAGAAGGGAGGTTCGCTGGAGAACTTCCATCCTTCGACCAAAGTCAAGGCGTTGTTGGGTGATCTCGTGCAATTCTCGCGAGCAAACCCTTATTCTGCTAACTATGAGCCTGACTCTGTCGAGGTTCAAGTGGTCGATAATAACGGAAACAGTCTGGATGACGGTGTCGTCAAAACTGTTGTGTTGTCAGTCCATGTGTGCTCTGAAATTTTGCTATGATCTTAATTTTGGTTGCAGCTCTCAATGGACCAGCATGCTTGACAAGTAAGCCGCCACGTCTACTGGTCAATAATTTATTGACTCTGTTGCAGAATAGAGGATGCATTAGAAGCAGCGGCGATCCATTACGAACGTTTAGATGGGACGATGAAGCGTGAAGAACGCACTCGCTCGATGGATGCGCTGAAGCATGACCCTCGCTGCGAAGTCCTCCTTGTCAGCTTAAAGGCTGGTGGTGTAGGCCTTAACTTGACAGCTGCTCAACGTGTCTATCTCATGGATCCTTATTGGTATGCCTGACCCGGAATTTCTTGGGTTTAGAATCTCATATTCTCAGGAATCCTGCTGTGGAGAATCAGGCCGTAGACCGTATCGTGAGTACTTGTCTGTGGTCACATCATCGGCATCTCAAGCTCGAATAGCATCGACTGGGTCAGACTCGACCTGTCACTACCATCAAATTGATCATCGAAAATACAATTGAAGCACGTCTGCTAGAGGTTCAACGCAAGAAAACTGAGCTTGCGAACATGACTCTGGGCAACTATAGCAGACAAGAAATGATGGCTCGCCGGGCTGAAGAGCTGCAAGAGCTCTTCAGTTAACCACTTGTAGAAAATTATATTATTCTTGACCAAGCCAGCAGGCCAGCTCTTGTTGATACAATACACTGTACCACATCTATACTACCACTACCTCACACAGACCGTAATTTTCTTGTATCGCTAGAACGGAAATGTCACATGATCTATTCCACTACGCCCAACACTCAAAAAGGAACTTTTGCTCAGAAAGCGAAGTGAGCCGCATTTTTACGACTTCCGAAGGAATAAACTAGCGATTCATTAGATCAGCATATGATATAATGAATGAACACACCGACTGCTTGCCCAACAAACAGCCCAACGCTGCAGCCCATATGAGTGGTCCGTAAATATGTGGGAAGCCAAGCTCACCTCACACCAGCCGCAACTGATATCATTCTCAAAGCGAGTGAGAATCCGCTAGAGTACTGATCGACTGAGCTCTTGTATGTTTGTGTGAGTCCACCGCCCTGTGCGATGCCAGACTACGAGACATAGATGATATCAGCAGAGGACTCGGGGACCACGGGTAGTAGAGCTATTACCGGTACTAGGAAGAGAACTCCCGTCACCATCGAAGTAAATGCAGTTCCCCGAAGAAGTCGAGAATAGAGATTTCCCAACAATCCAATGATGAAGGCGCCTGTGGCAGAAACAATGTCCGGTCGACTAGGGAGTATTTGGCTGACGGCTCGGTTGGCAGTATACGAGCAGCAGGAGAAGAAGACCATGATTGCCAGCTGTTTCCGGGAATCCCATGAAGACACACTCTGCAGATTGGACAAAGAAGAGGAGGTCGTGTACAAGGGCACTAAGAAGAGCATCGTCCACCAAGGAAAAGGCTGTCGAGTCCATGGCCAGACTGGATGGCGGAAGCAACCTGATCCACGCGTCAAACAGTTTAAAAAATAACCCTCAACCAGTACTACCTTTGATTATGTGTTCATTTTCAAAACTTCGCCCAGTGAGACCAAGTACTCCTGAAATCGATGTTCCCGTATGAGATCCGTTGCCCACTTGAAATATTCCATGAGTATATGTGGTAGGATCTGTAGCAGGACCAGAATGATAGGCTCTTCGCGCTCGACCATCCACAGCAAGATATAAGTCGGAACCAAGGGTCAAACCAAAGCCCTAGTCAAAAGTCGATTTGGAGTTACTGAGAAGAGAGGGAAGCTCACAAGGAACAGGGTGTATATGACGGCGTAGACAATTCTGACAGAACCGCAGAACATATTCTTGGACATTAGCTCCAATGAGGAGACCAGAACAGTGAAGCCAGGGAGGATGACAATGACACCTGCACGGACGGTCAGTCTGACAATACTACCCTCCAGTATAGATCACCTGCTGAAGAGATCGCGCTATAGCAGAAATAATTGCCCTAGACCCGAATTGAGGCTCAAGGGAAAGCGACCATAAAAAAACTGCACACACAGGAATATTACTAAGCCCGCGGGCAACAAAGGCGACGATAATGGTTGCAGATATTCTACAAAAATTACGTGACCGCTTCGTGGAGTTGTCGTTTGACTCACTCGTAGACGTTGGCATACATGGAGCTCTTGCTCGCTTGTCGAAATCTGATAAGATAGCGATCCAAGTTCTGACAAGAATGACACTAACCGGCGTTCAGACCAAGATATTGCAAAACGGCGGCGCAGCATCCGCTGATCCACATATCAAGAAAAGAGCCTCCAAAAGACAAGACACAAAGAATTGAAGCGCAGGTGAAAGAAAAGAGACATCGAATCCAGAGGTTGTACACAGGAGGAGCCGCAAGCAGTTTTTTGAGGGCTATGGTACCTTCCTTGGCATGAAATTTGTCGTGCAGCACCCGGCGGTATATGCGGTGAACAGCGTTCAAACGAGAGAGCGAGATGCGACCCTTGGCGCGAACAAAGTAGGTTCTAGTAGTCTGTCCATGGCGAATAGTCACGATGATGATATTGGGCAGGTGTACAAACACTAGATCCAGTCAGGTAGTCGGAATAGCAGGCAAGCTTGACCAACTGGCTTCGGCTTCTAGAATTTTCGATGCAGCAACAAGTTGAGATTCAATTCGATGGGATGGGGCACCAAATGTCATCAGAGCTTTCGCCAGCTTTAGAATGAATCTTCTTCGGTCGTCGATGTCTATAGTCTGATTGAGTCTAGGGTGAGAAATGGCAGTGAGAACGTACCTGCTACATTGTGGACAATGAAAGATCGTCGGCGAGTTTTGTTGCTGATGAGAGGAATGGCAGATGTGTCGAGCCCAAAGTTGAGGAGCGATGAAACAATACTAGGCCTCGCGGGTCTTGTACTTGATCGCGAAGAGGCTTGGAGACCGGTTTGGTTTTCAGACTGATGCGTTGCTGTAGAATCGCTTTGAGGAAACGGGTTATTTTGAGGTTGAGGTGGTGGTTGCTCCATCGAAAGGAAATGTGACGAACGCGTGACAAGCATGTTGCATGAATCAAGCAACAAACAAAAAAAATTACAACATCACGTTTATAGTACAAATTTTTGAATACAGAATATATCCAAGACACAGCGTAGGCAAAGCATGACAAATTCACCAGATTTGAGGTGTTGCGGGTAAATAGTCCTGTGGAAGAAGGAAAGCATTGATCCCGTTCTGCGAGAAGGAATTTCCACCCAAAGACTGGTCTGATATCCAAACTGGCAGCTGTTCGCTAGCGGTCATCTCGAATCCCCGCCAAATGTGCTCAGCTTCGCTCGGATGATGGGGTGGGTGGGGCGGGTGTGCCGTCGTGGGGCTAGCGAAAGTTGCATCGTACGGAGAAAATGGTTCAGGGTGTTGAGGTTGGTGATGACCCTGGTCGATCGGCATAGCCATTGGGTGGTGAGCGTCCCGTGTTGTTTTAGGGGAACGGGATGCAGAAGAAGCCGATTTGCGCTTGCGCGAACGCTTGAGCATGACCTGCAGAGTCAACGCATAACGTTTGCCCGGAACTCATGAATGTAAGCACAACTATGACAAAAAAGACAGTTCTTACTTTCAGCCATCAATGTCGCCAATCGTTCAACTTGATTACGTATCTCAGCCATCTCACTATCATTTGGACTATCATGGCCGTTAGTGTTGCTAAAGAGTCAAATAAGTGTACGTACAAGAGTCGGGACAGGCGAAGGAGGAATGAAGCAGCGAATGTAGCAGTCGCGTGCGTGTAATTGACCGCTGTAAGTTGTGAGACGGAAGGTGGGCGACCGGGTAGGATGAAGCAGACCATATTTCATACCCTCGCGATATGCTGGAGAGTTGACTGTTATGTCTAGCCCTTGACGCGCAATCTGGATGGACCGAAGCGCTAGATGCTTTTGCTGCTGGGGCATGTTCTGAACGTCCTCAGGACCATTGATGCCTCGGAGAGCTGTCGCGTTGTGGAATAATTCAGCATGCAGATGTTGGATTTGTAGAGATTGCCGATAAAAAGCTGATGTCAAATGAAACGAAGAATCCAAGTTAAAGAAATCAGGTACCAGCATCCTCATATTTCTGCGAAAACGCTTGATCCCATGTAGCGTACCAACTGCGGAAATTGACATCCGCTCGGCGCAATTCCTCAAAATGTTCATCCTTGACTGGGCCATCAAAAGGTGACAACGCATTGTGCACTCGTTCCCTAAGAGCCATTAATTCAACAGTGGAAACGAGGCGCATGTCGTCTTCGATGGCTAAAGGATGCTGGAGAAGAAGACGACAGTGCTTGATACTTTCGTCATCCTTGAGAACAGCTGGACGGCCAGTTCCATATGAGAGTCTAAGAAGGTGAGAGAGCTGAACACAAAACCAACGGATCCGCCTCACTGATGTTCGAAAAGATACAAACAGAACCAAATTCGGGACGCGACAACCAGCTCTCGATCCGCAACCAGATCAACTTGGTTAGAGTTCATTCGCTTCAATAGGGCGGGCCAGGCCTTGTGCATTGCTTTCATGATGTTGAACAGTTGGTCGAGTAGAAACGATAAACTTGACTTACAGAGTTCCATTGCCTTGAGAGATGTTAGAGCAAATGCACTTGATGAATCGTGACATACCATTCGGACAGCATGCCCACCGCTCAACCAGCCGTTATCTGCCCAACCTGCAACCAAGACTTGATACTTTTAGTGATGACGCGGCGTTAAGAATAGCACTTTACTCATGGCTTGGACTGCCTCGTGTCGGGAGACTGGCGAGAAGAGTGTTGCGCGCGAGATGGTTTGTACTTCTTCTAAGGTTTGAAGATACGTTTGACTGGATCTTCCTGCAGAGACATTAAATTCTCCGCGATCATTGACCGGTAATTGACTGCTTACCTCCCCCATCTCGAACACGTGCAGCAACCATGCATATGCAGTCAACGGCAAATGGCGAGCGTTCATGGAGGGCATCAAACGTATCAGAGTTGCAATCAAACACCGGACTAGGATAAGGTTCGGAGAAGAAACCCGGTGACCTGATAGAACGCACAGAAATGTTGAGCATCCATGATAAAATCTGTTTGAAGTCATTTCGGTCAGCAACCAGCGACCAACGAGGGCTAGGGACCAACATTCTGAAAAGCTCCCGCGCTTCTGCCTCCGATACGATATTTTTGGTCACAACTAAAGGTTTGTTAGGGAGGCATCATAGAAGCGGAAGCGCAACAACCATCGGGGAAGATGTAGGCAGGTCGCGATTTGTGGTGGAGTTTGCGTCGCTTACGACTCTGGGGGTCCGGTGAGGGAGTCCGACCTCGACTGTGTGGCCCACTGCTGTCCCCATTTTCCTAAAGCATATCAGACGTAGGCGATCGACAAGGGAAAAAAAGGGTCGCTTACATGGGCAGCACGTTCTGTAGCTACATCAGCTAAGCCTCTTAGTACTTCCAGTGGAGCGACAAGGCCCGTTTCCGGTAGCTCCCCGTTGTCTTCATCGTCCATGTCAGAAGAGTCTGCACTGGTAACATTGGCTGATCCAGAAGCGTGTCTTCTGGTAGGCTGGTTGTGCTGAGCCTGTCTGCTATGCCCGTCGTAGCGAACCGAAGAGATGTTGGCTTGAGAGGCTGGAGGGCCCATAGTCTGAATGCTCGAAAAGGGAGGAAGCACGTTGCTTTGTTGATAGTGGGGAGGATAGGCTGGAGGGCTGGGATGCCCTTGATGGCGTGGACGCGCCAAATGATGGGAAACTTCATTCTGATGTGGATGGGCGGAAGGAGGGCTGGCCACCATTGGAGAATGAGGAGATTGGTTGTAGGATTGGGGTGGGTATGAAGGTGAACGCGCCATGCCCCCACCGCGTAAGAGTGCCAGAACCTCGGCAACAGACGACTGGATTGAAGCTTGGGTTTGTCTGATGTCCGCTACATGCGCTTCCAAGCTACGGATACGCCTTGAACACTACGTTAGTTGCAATCAATCTTAGTTGACAATGCACTTACTCAAGCCCAGCTTCGCCGGTAAGCGTCGTTTCACGGGTAGGTTTCTCGAAGAGGCATTCAAGGCCCGTGTTCCGACATCGCCTTGGATAATCGTTGACTGGAGGAAGGGTAGGATAGCAGCATCACACACCTACACGGCGGATTCTCCGCACCCTCACAGCGCATTTTTTGCTTCCGACAGGCTGACTGGAGGCTCTTTTAGTGGACAAGGATAAAATCGTGAAAGCAAGGTTCGTACACAGGCGCCTACACGTCTCAACATCAGCGAAAGATAATGCTTGTTTGAACTCACGGGGAACACGGTTCAAGGTTTTGACCACAGTTTTGACGAGCTTCTCATCCTTGACATCTTCATGGCTGCCGTCCATGGCGGATTGCTTTCACGAAAGCGCGATGCAAGTCGGCGTCTTCAGTAAACCTGTGATTATACGTGTCACAGTCACTTGATTCCTGATTCCTGTTTGCTACCACCATCTACGTATGCTGCTGAATTGCGCTCCCCTGAATCGCGTCTGACCATCGTGAACAGATACACATTCTCTGGTATATAAATGACTTCGTTTTTGGTTCATATTGTTGCTGCTTGGTTTGCTTTCTTGCTCGTTCGTGTGCCTTGCCGTCTCTCTTTTGCTTCTTCTGACAATAACTCAGCCCGCTTTTGCGACCTTCAAGTCTGTTTCTCATCGCCCGGTTTCTGAGCCAGAACTTGAACGCTGGGCCAAGTACTGGTGTGTCATTGGCATCATCGTCGCCTTCGAGTATTTAGGAGAGTTCCTCATTAATTGGTATGTTCTTCGTCCAAGTGCAGTGTACTACTACCCTCATCTTCAACCTTACAGGCTTCCGTTTTACGATGAAATCAAAATCCTGTTCTTGCTCTTCCTCGCTTTGCCACAGACGCAAGGTTCTACCTACGTGTTCGACACCTTTTTAAGCCCATGGCTCTCTCAGCATGAAGCCGCTCTCGATGCTGGTCAGTTATTACGCGATTTTCGCGCTCTTTATCAGTTTTATTTATTGATTCATATCTTCAGATATCTTGGCCATTCAACGCAATGTGCTTTCTTTTGCCCAAGCTCGTCTGGGCCGTGTTTGGGAACTCATCTCTGCGGCTGTGAACAAGAATGCTGCCACCGGTCAACAGGCAGCAGGAGCTCCTGGCCAAAGTCCCGCTCCCGGTATCAATCTCCAACAAGCCTTGGGTCTTTTCCGCACTGTGGTACCCTCTTTGGCCAGTGCTTTTAATCAACCTGCTTCCACTCCTCCGTCTGCCGCCACCACACCTGCAGCCGAAGTGCCTAACGCCGCTCCGCGTTCATCAGTTCTGGTCGATGCGTGAACAAACGAAGCAGGGGTATAGACTTTTTTGTGTTATTTATTCATAGAGTATTCAATAAAGCGATTGTCATTTCTTGAAAGCGCGTAACAACCAGAGACAATACAATGACTTCCGTTTGTGACCTGTTGCCTTTCTTCTCATACGACATCATCAATCGCTTTTGTCTGTAGCCTTGACCTCGTTCCAGTTATAAGAGATCCAACACAAGTCCTTATGAAGCACCCACATCCATACCCTCATTCGACGTCTGCGCCGGTCGCCCCTTCCCCATGACCCTTACGAATTGTCCCCTCCAGCTCCTTGCTGATGCCGCTTCTAATCATGACTCTGACGAATCGTCTCGCTGTCCTTCACCCGAATGTCCTCCACACGATCTGCGACCGAGGAAGTCAAAACACCACCGTGTGGCGCGACGACAGGTCAAAACAAAGCTTTGTCCCCTCGACCGACACGCGAAAGAATTGAAGAAAGCGAAATATGCTGACGCGTGCAATATCAAAACGCTCAGCAACTCGCCAGCCAATCCATTCCAGCTTCGAATGCTACGCATGGTTTATGACTCCGTATGTCACCAATCACCTTTCCAACTTGCGTCCAACTAATGAGTTCAGATAACTATATACCCTCCAGACAACTGGCAGGCGTTGCTTGCTTTGGGGCTGTATCGCTCGCCAGTTCAGATCAGGAATTGGTTCTCAAATACGCGGTACTTTGTTTTCTTCCCTTCTTCTCCGCCTCGATGCTGATTGCCGTTAATAGTCAGAAGAATAGAGGTGACGCGCGGAAGCCTTTTGTTGATTTAGGCGATGGTGTCAAGCTTCGACCTTCAGCGCTAAGCCTCTCTGACGAATGGTCGGACGAAACATTCGAACAGATTCTCTCAGCCTGCATCACCTTATGCTCCTTCCGCGAATAATTCCACTGTAGTATTGCCCTCTGTATCATAGTCCTGTAAAGTACTCCTGTAGCCATAAGTACGAGTAGTAGTTTATGTAAGTAATTGTAGCATCATCGCATCGGCCCGATTTCTGATCCGAGTGAGGTATGCCATGACCGCCATCTTCTATGCTGCCTGTGGTGGCTTTGTCTGGTGTAGCTTTCTCTGGGCTGTTGGAATTGTGGGCTGCTCAGCCGCGTGAGTCAAGTCAATTTCCCGGCCTGTGGTATCTCATTCTCCCTAGTCGGAAACGATACCGACTACGCCCCCGTTCTCCCCTCGCGACAGCACCAGCTTCATCCGTTCCGGGTGTCTCCATTCTTCGACCGTTGAAGGGTCTTGATACGAACCTTTATGAAAATTTGGAATCCACATTCACCCAAGAATATCCCAACTTTGAGATCCTGCTCTCTGTTGCAGACGAAAACGACCAAGCACTCCCTGTTGCCCGCGAGCTGATTGCCAAGTACCCACATGTCAACTGCAGAATCATTGTGGGCGAAGAAATCGTCGGTGTCAACCCTAAAGTCAACAATCTCGTCCGCTCATACCGCGAAGCTGCCCACGACATTCTCTGGGTCATAGACTCGAATGTTACGGTGCATTCAGGTACCCTTGCACGCTCGGTAGATGCCTTATCTGGTTCTCCTAATGCGAAGAAACGCATCGCTCTTGTACACCATGTGCCATTCGCCGTCGTCACCGAAAACAAAATCGGGTCGCGGATCGAGGAAGCATTTTTGAATACCAACCACGCCAAGATGTACATCGCAATCAACACTGTCGCCGTCGACTCATGCGTTATGGGCAAGTCCAATGTCTACAGACGGTCCGATCTTGAACGGGTGAATGGCTCTCTAAAGCCTGTCCCCACTTCAGGTTCCCAGCCTGGCACCCGCGGGTTGCCCGCATTCGCCCGCTTCCTAGCGGAGGACAACATGATTGCTGGCGCTTTGTGGCATGAACTGGGTGACCGCCATGACCTTTCATGCGACATTGCCCGTAATGTCGTGGGAAACATGTCTCTCTCAGACTACATACGGCGTCGCGCGCGTTGGATTCGTGTCCGAAAACATATGGTGCTAAGTGCGACTTTATTGGAGCCATTCACCGAATCTGTCGTTCTTTCGTTAATTCTGGCTTGGAGTCTCAACACACTCTTCGCAGTCCCCCCATTACTATCGCTTGCTGCTCATTTTGCCATCTGGATTTATGTCGACCTCGATGTTTATGCATCACTCGCCGGCCATCCTTTACCTGCTGGCCAGCGATGGTCGTTCATGGCGGCTTGGGCTGCCCGTGAGCTCCTCGCATTGCCCATATTCTTGTTTGCAATCTTTGGCAGCCAGGTCACGTGGAGGGGACGCAACTATACCATCCTGCGCAACGGCGAAGTCGAGCGGGCAGAGCAAACGCGCTCCTGGTTTCAACGACTAAGACAACCAAAAAATTACGATCCTCTCAGTACTGAATTATAACGCCTCTGAACGACATGTATGTATCAACTGGGACTGTTTGGCTCAATGTCGTCCAATCCAAATAACTCGCACGTGTTCTTGAAGGCTTTGGCCACTACCTTGTCGAATGGCACGCCATGAAGCTTGTGTATGACCCACGCAACCCCGCCGATGGCACAGGGTTCATTCCTTCCTTTGACCGCTTTGCCTGTAGTAAATTGCTCTGGTCGAGCAGCTGGCGGAAAGTACACATCTCGCAACGATTGCGGCAAAGACGCTAAGTGCTCCTTTGAAGCATGACCACCAGTCATTGAGCACCACGGAGCATCTGCTTTCGATTATAAAACCGCGCAATATAAGACCTGAAATCATACCAGTTTCGAGCAGAATGCGTTCCGGGCGTATCGTTTTGGCGGCTCGAAGGTTGTCTTCCGTCTTTAATGAGCAGCCATTCACACTTAGGTGAAAGCCCATGTCCATCTACGTCAGATGAGGCAGGCAAACGCGGGACAAAAATATGCTGACCAGTTCAATGGCTTCCTCAGGAGTGCCAGTGAAACTGTGGACAACACCAAGTGCCTTGTCATTCTCTGCAAAACCCTCCTCGCGTAAGATCTTCACAAAGTCATGAAGAAACAAGGGGAGATTATACTTCCTCGCCAAAGCAAGTTGAATCCTGAAGTACTTGCGTTGGACCTCTTCTGAGGCAAAGTGCAGTCGGTCGTAGTCTTCAGAGTGAAGTGAGCTCTAAGTATATATAGATATCGCGAGGGGCAACTTACCAAGACCGCATTCACCAACAGCGACAACGCGGCCCTTGCCTTTGAGATTCGCACTGATGAGCTTTTCCAGGGCGTCGAGGTATGCTTGGGGGCCGCCTTTGTGTCTATCGAACTCGGCGACGCGAGTTGGATGGCAGCCAATAGTGAAATAAAGGCCGAATCGTTTGGCGAGGGCAGCAGCTTCTTGCGACTCCCGCAAAGAAGTTCCAGTTATAATCTGCGACACCACTCCTGCCGCTTTTGACCGCTGCAGCATGTCCTCCATGTCGTCTAGAGTCGGATATACTGTAAACCCGCAGAGTCGCTGCGATTGCCAACACACCCACCTTCATGACGTTGTTTTCCTCGGTAGCTGCCGCGAAATACGGGGTCTGAAAGGTTCACTCCGACATCAATGAACTGGAAGGAGCTTGGATGAAGTTGAGGCTCAATGGACGGGCGGGGGACGACGGTAACAGGCATGTTGGTGGTGAAGGAGTGACAACAAACTTTTATTGGGCACAGAATGCCAGGGCGTACACGAGCCAATCCAAGCATGGATGACTGGTTGTGAGTATCGGCTCTTCAGACACTGGCCATATGATGATTATTTGTGGTCGGTGCCGTTGTGACTCCCGGATTTTCCTTGCAAAAAAAAAATCCTTCGCCGTGGCAGTGTCGACGGACTCGGGCCGGTGATTGAGCCCGGTTGTCCGGTCAATGATTTAAATTAGCTTCTCAACTATGGATCAATTTGAACGTCTTTCGAACCCTTTCAAACCTCCCACCATGCAGCGGATACAGCAGCTTGCCGTTCAACTTACTGGGAACTTCTCAAATCAGAATCCAGATGATGTCGTCATCACGTACGCCAAACGGTCGCCATTGACGAAGGCAAACCGTGGTGGCATGAAAGATGCAAGGTCCTTTACCCGCTACTTGACTCCGCAGCCTCTCAAACGCGACTAGAGCTGATGAACTGATGCTTGAAATGTTCAAGGCTGTTTTGTCCGAGTCTGGCCTCCCCGACCCTGCACTCATAGGTGATATATGCATCGGAACTGTCCTGACACCAGGTCAGCATGCTTGCTCGCCTCACTTTATGTTCACATCTTTTCAGGAGCCCCGAGCCAAGCTAGGGCTGCTGCACTCGCAGCAGGAATCCCGGACAGCGTTCCGATCCAGGCCATCCATCGTTACTGCTCCAGTGGTATATATCTCGTCTGGCTATACTTCGCATCAGCTTAAACCTAGCTGAGGATTGATGGCGGTCACCAACATCGCAAACTCGATAAGAAGTGGAGAGATCGAAGTGGGCCTCGCGCTCGGCGTGGAGTCGATGTCGGAAAAGTGGGTACAACGTAGCCCATCTAAACTTTTTTAACGATTCTCTTCAGTCCTGATAACGCCAAGCAGTCTCAAAGCGAGCTAATAAGTCATGTTCCGGCAGCCAGAGACTGCACTCAACCTATGGGATGGACGGCCGAAAATGTTGCGGCAGACTTCAACATATCGCGTCACGACCAAGACGACTATGCAGCATTGTCATTCCAACGCGCTGAGGCTGCGGATAAGGCCGGCCACTTTGCGCGGGAGATTGTCCCCTTTACCGTATTTTCTAAAGACCCCAAGACCGGGGATCGAAAGCTGGTCACCATCACCAAGGACGATGGAATTCGTTATGGAACAACTGCAGCCACTTTATCGAAAATTCGTCCCGCTTTTGACTGGGGAAATAGGACCACTACTGGAGGTAATGCGAGCCAGTGAGTATACTTCATTACGTATCGAGAATGCTCACAGTATTAGGATCACGGACGGCGCAGCAGCTTGCTTGCTAATGACTCGCCGCAAAGCCAATGAACTAGGCCTCAAAATCCTAGCCAAGCACGTGGCTACGGCGGTTGCAGGTGTTCCCCCTCGCATTATGGGTGTTGGACCAGTCTATGCGATACCAAAGGCATTGAAGGCCTGCGGCATCTCTCAGAATGAAGTTGATCTGTTCGAGGTATTACAATGGCATAAAACAGGAACCAATGCTTGACTTACCCCCTACAGATAAACGAGGCATTTGCTTCTCAGTGTTTGTATTCTATTCGCGAGCTGGGCATACCTTTGTGGGTCCCAGGTCTTGTTTAATTCCCCTCGCTGACGCCTTGCCAGGGATAAAGTGCGTTTTGGTCCGATTGCAATGACGTCTCTCATGCACATTTGAAGGTGAATGTTAACGGGGGTGCTATCGCGTTTGGACATCCTTTGGATAAGTCTCATTCTTTGGCATGGAATCATTGAGCTAAAATTTGGGGTCGGTTACGCTGCACTGGTGCCCGCCAAATTGCAACAGGACTCAATGAGCTGGAACGTCGCAAGGGCAAGGCAAGTATAGACGAATGGCCACACAGATGAGTAGCTGAATGAATTTCAGGTGTTAGTGACTTCGATGTGCATAGGAAGTGGAATGGGAGCGGCAGGAGTGTTCGTTCGTGATACATGATGTGTTGTCAACTTGACGGCGTCGAGGCTACAGAAAGCCGCATCGCATGCTCATGTTGCCCGACATCAAACAGTGTGAGCGTTCGATAGATGAAACGGACAGCCGGAGATTCAAGTGTCAGGTCAGGGTCATGATGATTCGATTTGTTGCAAGCAAGCTCTCCGCAGCCATTTTTGAGGACAGAAAGTCCGGATCCTGGACAGGCTAGCGGTAAAGTTGCATTGAGGTATAGGTCATTCGGGATAGAGAGTATTGTTTGGCCGTGTTGACGGAATGATACGCATTTGCTCACGAAAGTTGTGAACTGATTGAGAGGAGTACTTCGACCTGTTACGCTTGTTACACCTTCACTCACTCACTCTCTTCCCGCTCTCCCTCTTCCTCCGTCTAGGATTCGACAGTGGCTAGTGCCGTCGGTGTGTTGTCGCTAGCAATTCAACTAGGGTGAGTGTGACACGTTACCGTTGCCATCCTTGTTCGTTGTTAACGTCCACCTTCTTGCGGCTGCGCCCATTGCTCTCTGAACCTACAGACCGCCATGTTTATAAAACAAAGAACTATTTCCCTCACGCTCCTTGCTTCCCTATTCGCCCTCGCTTCTGTCGAGGCTCACGACTTCCAACCCCTCCAAAGGGACCACAAGCGCTTGATCAAGAAGCGCACTCCCTTGGACTTGCTCGGCGGACTGGCAAATGTGGTCCCTGACCCATCTGCCTCCGCCAACCCGGGTTCAAGCTTGCCAGTCTCCCTCTCCTCGGTACTGCCCTCCGGCTCATCCGTAAGCGTCTTGCCCTCAGGCAGTGGTCTGGTATGTGATACATTTTTTCTTGCTTCCTTCGTGAGCTCAATCGATATGTCAGAGCAATTCAGTGAGCCCTAGCGGCTCAGCTTCGTCACTGCCCGTTAGCTCACTCAGTCCATCCTCTTCTATCCCCGTCGCCACGAGCAAAACTACCCCTCCACCAGACCCGACCAAGGAACCTGCGGAGAACAGCGTTCCCGTGTCTCGCTCGACAGTTACCAAGACAGCTTCGTCTCTGGTAGCTGCTGTTGCAACGAGCCCACCCACGCAACAGCAAGAGGCTGCTATACAGAAAAAGAGCACAATCACCACCATCCTCATCGTCATTGCGGCCTCGGTTGGTGGAGTTGCTATTCTCTGGACTATCTTCCGCAAGTGGAAGCTCGGTGCCTCGAAGAAGTTCGATGCCAGAATGGATCCCATCAATTGGCAACCTACCAACGACGATGACATTGTTCCTGCTCACCGTCTTGCCCGTACCAACTCGCAGGCGTCATCCAACCAGCCTTCTGCCTATGGCCACGGCGCTGGAGGCTACCGTGATCCTGCTCTTGATCATGATTTCACATCGGTTCCTCCTTCTCATCTCGCGCCAGTTGGTGGCTATGCCGATTTGACCCGTGGACCGAGCCCCCAGCCTCAAATGCAGGAAAACCTCAACCGTGGCCCAAGCATCAATCGTTCTTATGGCGCTGCTTATGATACCGGAGTGCCCCTTCACCATCAAGCCGGCTATGGACGTGCGGAAGCGTACGACTACAACGGCGACGCCGTTAGATTCTAGATAACTTGATGGGGCCTCACCCATTTTTTACTACTTTATTGCATATATTACGCCGGACGCTTTTCATCTTCGCTTTGGTACTAGTCCAAGTAGTGCTTGTTGGGCTTGTCCCATATATACCTTTTACAGTTTTCTCACGATAGAACATGAAAATTCCGGTCACATGATCTGTCGCGACACAATGAGGTTTGTTTCCTCAAACCCACTCCAGCCAGACCCCAGGTCGCGAAACGCGTCGAAATTCGCGCGCGAGCTTGCTGATGAGCAAGAGCCAGCGTCTTCTGACGACCCCCTCCAAATCCCAGTCAAGGACTATCAACAACATATCTCCTCATTGTTTCCAGAGTACATCCAGCCGATGGAAGTCCAGGATGAGGAAATGAATGAGACTTTTGAAGAAGAAGAAGAAGAGCAGGAGGACCAGGGCGATGATATCGACATGGAAAGCGATGAAGAAATGTCTATCATGAAACGGCCTCCAGAAGAGCGAGAGGAGATTGAGAATGAACTGCGGGAGCTTCAAAACGTGGTGTCCACTCTGCACGCCGACTATCGACTTGTCGACCGTCTTGGCACCGGCACGTTCTCCTCTGTTTACAAGGCGGTTGACTTGGGCTACCATGACAAATGGGACAATCGCGCATGGCTTGGCCACCACCCCGAATCCTCCTCCGCCCATTACCAGTCCGTCCCAAAGCCACCTAGCACCAAAGTGTTTGTGGCAATCAAGCGAATCTATGTTACCAGCAATCCGGAGCGTATTCGAAATGAAATCTCCATCCTCACCGACTGTCGCTCGTGCAGACACGTTTCCCAACTTATTACCGCGTTTCGCCAGGAAGATCAGGTCGTTGCAATAATGCCTTACCATCGGAACGATGATTTCAGGGTGCGTGGACGCGTCTTTTGTCCCTTTCTGGCTCTCAATAGGCAAAGGACTTTTACCGCGAGCTGCCCATGGCTGGCATCAAGCAATACTTCCGCTGCCTGTTCCGCGCGCTTTCTGATATTCACGCCCGTCGCATAATACATCGCGATGTCAAGCCTGCTAATTTCTTGTTCGATTGCGAAACCTATCAAGGCACGCTCTGCGACTTTGGTCTTGCTTGTGTTCGTTGTCAACCTCTGTTGTTTGTCCTTTAACTAGAGCCTCTTTTTTCTCCAGCGATTTGATTCAGCAACACCTCAAACCTTGGGCTCGTGCTTCCACACACCTCCGACTGTAGAGCATCCACACGGCCGTGTGCTTTCACGCAACGATTACAATGCGCAAAGTGCGAAACAGAGACAACATGACGCACGAGCGCTGTCGCAGAAAGCGTCAGAGAAAGTGGGATATCCGGCTAACGACACTCGGTTTGCTCTTTTCACTCAGCCTTACCGACATTCTCAATGCCACTCAGGCCAACTTCGAAAGCCAACAGAGCCGGGACCCGTGGGTTTCGCGCTCCCGAGGTTTTGTTCAAGTGCTCCGAACAATCAGGGGGTACGATTGTGTCAGCCAACACTTTGTTTCCACTAAAAAAAATCGTGCAGCCATTGATGTCTGGGCGGCCGGTATTATCCTGTTGTTCTTCCTGACCGGAAAGTTCCCTTTGTTCCAAAGCTCTGACGACAATGAAGCATTGATGGAACTTGCTGTCATTCTTGGGCGGAAGAAGATCGAGAAGGCAGCTACTCTACACAGTAAGATCATATTGTCGTCTACAGTCCGTTGTCTGACCATCAGGCCGCACGTTTGCGACCAATGTCCCTAGCGTAAACGAAGAGGGCACGCCATGGAGCTCATTTGTGCTTCAGCAGAATCCCGATCTCTATGAACGCCCGAAGTCAGCTACGAGCTTTGATATGCTGTCGGAAAACGACACAGATTTGGACGGTCAAATGAACACAGACTCGATGCCTCCCGTTTCCTCGTCTTCGCCATCGCATTCGCCGTCTTCTCCGGGCTCGAAAGCCAGCGTTGCGTTCAGCAATTCCCTGATGGAATCACACAAACGTGATGTCGACTTGGCTTTCAGCTTACTGAATGGTCTGCTGGAGCCAGAAGCGCATAAACGTTTCACGCCAAAACTGGCATTAGCGCACGACTTCCTCCGCGATGAAGGGCCAGACGATCAGGACACAGTTCCCCATCCATTTGGTGTTGGCGTCTGCGCGAAATATCATTTCATTGACGAAGTTACAGAGGAGCTTTTTGTCAAGGTGTTCGAACCTTTGCAGCCTGGGCAAACAATTCGTCGGCTGGGAACGAGGGGTGTAGCGCCAGGTGAGGGAATCGCGATTGGTCGATCTCCCTGCGAGTTCCATCAAGATAGTTCGCTGTACGGTTGACTTTGTGAATTAGATGACATATATTGTGATGTTGGAGGGATCGTTGGAAGTATTTGTGAAGAGTTGGCGTTTTTGCTCCTGCCCCAAGCATTGTAACCCAGTGCGAGCAGCACAAGCACTGATGGGGCGTATACCCACCACCACTTCCATTGTGGCGTTACTTGACGAGATGAGACTTCACCCATGGTCACGTCCTCGTCGCCAATTTTGGTCATTTCGAATAGACTTTCCAGTCCTGTTGGTGCTTCGGGGGCAAAGAAGCGTTGCGGGCGGAGCCATATCGGTTCCGGATTGGTCTTTGGCGCTGCTGGAATATCTACGTCCATTTCATCGGCCTCTGTAACATGTTCGTTTGAGGATGGAAGCATTGACGAGACTCCGAAAACAGGCGCCTTCCTTGGGGGCGTCAACACCGGTTTTGACGAGAATGATAATCCAGCGAAGAGTTCTGGTTCGAGAGAACTCCCTGGGACTGGCGTGGGTGTACGAGACGGCGCGGTGTCGGCCTTGTGCCTTGCTGTGTCAATTAGGCGGATGGCAGGCGGTTGTTGGAGGCGAAGAATAAAGAAAGGAAGGATGGCACACTGGATTCGTGAGTTATAGTCCGAATGGGCCAGGGGACTTACAGCAAGTTCAATAACTGATATAGATGCCAAATATACGCGACTGGAGGTAGAGACAAGGTGTAGGGCATTAGGGCCGGACCAATGTCTGTAGATAAGAAGGGACGTGGTAACTCGAGTAATCCAGCCAGACAGTTGAAGCCCCTGCGGTGACTTAGGTAGGACCATAGACAGTGAGATTTACGCACAATGTGAATCTTCTTCCCTTGGACTCTTATTTGTCGCCCCTGAAGCTTTGCCGAACGAAATGACGAGTAAGTGGGGTCCCAAAAAGACCAGAAGATGGCCAGTATATTAAGGGAGAGTAGGAGCCATGGTCGGTTGAACGTCGACGGCCACCATCCGAGACCTGCTACAGCGGATTTTACTATTTTGATACACAGCAGCTTCGAGGAACGTACCCGTCGCATTGCTCAGCAGAGAGATTATTATCGTCGTAGCCCACAGGCCGCCACGCAGCCGCCATATCAACAACTCGCGCGACAGTTTGTCGTGTTCATGAGGCAAAGCGTTTTGGCGTTGCTTTACTTTGCCTCTGGTTTGGTTTAGCCAGGCACCTAGCGCTTGCGATCGCGCCATTGCGTTTTTCTTGTTGATTTCAGCATCTACTGAGCTCTGGCAGGAGTCGCAAACAAGAGGGTAGCGCGTTGAAAGGGACTCTCGATATTGTTCGATGCTATTCTCGTCTTCCGAACCCTAAACATCGGCGGTTAGAAACGGGAGGATAGAATGAGCACAAACATACCTCCACATAATTGGCTAATAGCTGGACAACGAGGGTGGCATTCCGTTGACAGCTATGGCACAGAATGTCCCGACGACCAAATTCCGCAGGCAGCCTATCGTTCCTCTGTCTCACGAAGCTGCGTGTATTCATTTCCAGGTTAAACATAGCGGGATCCACCAAATTCCCGTTGACAAATCGGTTGACTGAGCCGCAGTGGGGACACCCGAAGTTTGCTGGGTCCTTTGGAAGCACCGGGGCATTGCAAAAGTGGCACGTAATTGCTGAGCGTCGCAACATGGTTCAGTCGCGGTGCAAAACGCGTTAGTCACAAGTGACACGTGACGATATTGTTTTCGTGCAACTCCACCACGAACTAGTTTGACTTTGGTTTTGTTGAGATCTATTCACCAACAAAACATGTCTGGTACACGAGGTCAAGTCAATCTACAACCCAGCTACTTTACATCGTCAATATACGTCAAGGCTCTTCGTGCAGATATTTCTACTCTCGTCTTCAACTTCCACGAGAGCTACGCGCGCGATAATGCAAACCCATTCGGCACCTTCAAATCTTTGTGGGAGGCCCAGGGCTGGAAGTGGCTACACTTCAGGGTGTTTGACAACAGAGCACGCGAGACATTTCTGAATGTAACAATGAGACTCTTCCTTGGCGAGTGCTTCTGTTTACTTCGTCTACCCCATGTGTTTTCACCTTGGATTTACAGAAAGGATGGTCAAAACTGAAGCCCCATTTACTCGTGTTGTCGCACTTTTCGCACTGTACACTTTTTTCAATACTCAACCCACCGGCTCAGCACCTCCGCTTCACGTCGTTTCACATATCCCGATCGCAATAGGTGCGCCCTTTAACGGCTAATCACGGCGCAGTAATCAATGGACAGACCACTACAACACCTTGCTCCAGTTTCCCCAAACTCTCGCAAATCCGTTTCTAGCACCATTGCAACCATTTGCGTCTTATGTTCTGTCGAATCTTGTCCAGGGCAATGCGTTCTACCTTCTACCCGGCTCAGAACTTGGTGCGATGAATCCACGTGAATTACCGCGCGAGATATTTGTGGAAGAAGGGCTAATTGATGGAAACCAACCACAACGAAAGGGCCAGTACTCGAAACGGGATAAAGTCGTTAAGGCGCGTTCAGCCCTCGAAACCATGGCTCGATTGCTGCAGCAATCCAAGCCTTTACTGGGTACGACCGGGTTTCAGTATGATCGCCAGAAGCAAATATTGTTGGATCAACTCGGCATTGATAACCCCATGTTGCAAGAAACCAGTGAAAGTGTTGTGGCTCGACTGCGAGAGGCGCATGAGCAGGAAGCGGACGTCGAGCAATGGAATGGATTAGAGAGACTAAATACTGCATTAAGCGTACCTGGAGGCTTATTGAAACTTGTTGAGCGTTGAGCCGACTTGTTCACTGCGCATCAGCTTTGCCATCACAATCATCACGACCTTCCTTTTGTCCTCCATGCCCCCGAACCAATACCCCTTCGCCGCTCCTTCATCCTCCATCCAAGGCGCCCCGGTTGGCCCGAATGCTCAACGTCGCTACTTCCAGCAACCTGCTGCTCAGCCCTCTTCAGCAAATCTCCTTCCGTCGTCACGGAGATTCTCCAACGGTAGCACCGACTCTTTCCACAGTCAGAGCACGAACCATAGTGCCATACATGCGAATCTTGCTCGTGGACCCTCGACAAAGAGTAACCAGACCTTCTCAAGCGTCAGAATTCTTAGTCCTTTCTGGCTCCATCCACTTTCTGATCGTTTCACGTAGAACCAGTCCCCATACTCAGTCCCAACGCAGCACGCTCCTTCCGTAGCGCCTTCCCTTTCAGACAAGGTAGACAATCCGAAAACCACACCTCCATCCACCCGCTCAACACCACAATAGTTCTCTCTTTCTCCGGACCCTGCTGCCTGGGGTGCAGGTATAGTGATTTATGGTGTTAAACGACGGCTGCTTATCGGGACTAGACATCAACCACTCTGAACCTGATGACTTCTTGCACAACCCCGATCCAAGACGCGACCGAAAGAACGACAGAGACCATGATGTGTTCACCTTGCGCGGTGTTTCCAATCTTGGTTGTCTGCTTATACTTGGCGTCGGGCTAGTCACTCTTTTGTGCGCTCTGGCCTCTTTCCTCATTCCATTACTCAATACTCATACTGCTTTGCAGTGCGGGATATCCACTCATCAGTCATTTCCAATCTCATCCTCTTTCCTTCTTCGGTGGATTCAATGTCGGCGGTACCAATGCGACTGGGCAGGTACCGTCAATGACGGGGAATTTTGGTTTAATCGACGTCGCTACGCCAAAAGAGTTCCACACGATTAATTCCTATCATTCGCCCAATGAACAACTTCAGCTCGTTTTTTCTGACGAATTCGAGGTCGAGGGTCGTAGTTTTTACCCTGGTGAGTCTCAGAGAATGTTCTCAAGAGCGTGTGTTGACATGGGTTAAACAGGTGATGATCCATACTGGTCTGTGCTTGCTGATTGACTTGACGTGACACCATTGCTAAAACAAGTGCAGGGAAGCTGTCGACCTCCATTATTGGCAAACAAACAACCTTGAGTCAGTGGTCTCAATGCTGTTTGAGCGTTTCCTGACCATTAAAAGGTGGTACGATCCGGCTGCTGTTACAACTAGAAATGGCGCCTTGGAAATCACCTTGTCGAAAAAGGAGACCCATGATTTGAACTACGAGGGTGGCATGTTGTCAACATGGTCTGCAATTCTTGTGCACATCAGTTCAACATGCTCAAATCATGTTATCAGGAACAAGTTCTGCTTCACGGGAGGTGTCCTCATTGCTGCTGTCAATCTTCCAGGTCTTGAACTTTCCTCGACCTGCCCTTTGTCTGCTCATGTTTCAAGCAAGGTACTACCAATGTCCATGGATTGTGGCCAGCTGTGTGGGCTATGTGCGTCCCTTGCTATCAATACCATCCTCGGCTTACCAAACGTTTAGGGGAAACCTGGGACGTGCAGGTGTAAGTGCAGCAGTCGTTAATTTGCCTTTACCGACACCTTTTTTCTCCTCAGTTTGGTGCATCCTTAGATGGCATGTGGGTACGTTGTGTTTGCTTTCGTTAGGTGCTCCCTAGCTTATCTGCCTCCAGCCTTATAGGTGCGTTGTGATCTCTGACTAGGTCTAAAAATAATTCTGGTCAGTTCGATATTTATATTTAAGAATATATTTGACGCAGCTTTAGACAAATATCCAGCTACGACTCGTGTGATGTCGGGACTGCTCCAAATCAAACAGTCAAGGGGCTTCCCTTGGCTGCAACCATTAATGGTGACCCCAGTGCGGATGATGCCCTATCTTACCTTCCTGGGCAACGCTTGTCTCGCTGCACTTGCCCCGGCGAATCACACCCGGGACCAATCCACGCCGATGGCACTCTTGTTGGTCGCGCGGCCCCTGAAATCGATGTCTTCGAAGCTCAGATCGGCAAAAATATTGGCCAAGTCTCCCAATCGTGCCAGTGGGCGGTGAGTATCTTACTCAAGTTCAAGGCGTCGCGCTCATTCTTTGCAGCCTTTCAACAACGAGTACAAATGGTTCAACACTGTAAGTGCGTTTGTGTGGCGATCGTGTTGCCAACCAAGAAAATCGGTAGTCGGACAATCTCATCATCAATGACCCAACGATATCTGAGTTGAACTCGTATCTTGGCGGCGCCTTCCAACAGGCCACCTCTGTTGTTTCCAATACCAGTCAGTCCTCTTCCCCATTCCCGCGATTACATTCTTCTTACTCCAAATAGACCAACAATGCTATCAGCTCAAAACCACGTGCTTTGAAGTTTTTGGCTTTGAATACAAACCCGGCATGCACCCACCCTGTTCTCAGTTTGATTGTTTCTCATGCTTTCCTGATATGTAGGTTTTGCTGGTGCTGTAAGCAAATTTGTCCTCTGCTGCCCTCTCTGGCTTATTCATTGTAGTACATCTCCTGGATTGCCAACAACAAACTTGTCTGGGTACGTTTTCCAGACATACCGCTTGATCTCCGCCATCCTAATCACGCACCAAGACCTTGAACCAAGGCGGCATGGCTGCCGATCCAGTCGTTCAAATCGGTGCGTTCCATGAGCCTGTTTTTATTGATTGATTTACCTGGTATCAAAGGTGAACGACCTATCCCTCAAGAGCCCATGGTAAGTCATCACGATCCTTTCTCCTTCCCTATACTAAAAAACTTGCAGTACATTATTGCCAACCTCGGTATGTAGACGACACGAGTCCAATACCATACCTAACAAAGCGATGGACAGGAATGTCGCTCAACTTCGGCGCTGTTGACTTCGAGCGTCTGACCTTCCCGGCGGTCATGCGCGTAGATTATATTCGGGTGTACCAACCCAAGAACGCAATTAACATCGGCTGCGACCCAGCCAACTTCCCGACCCAGGCATATATCAACGAGTATATTGAGGGTGAGTTGTCGGCTACTTGGTTGTTGCTTGTTGTCGCTCATCGGATGCCTAATTAGCATATACCAATCCAAATTTAACTACTTGGGAGTGAGAGCTCAGCTTTGCGTTGTTTGTTGATCAGTATTGACTCTGCTTAGGGACGACTTCAAACAACCGATTCCCAAGTCTTCTATTCTCGGCCAGTGTTGAATGTTCAAACCGCATACTGTATCGTATGTCTTCGTTTTCATGCGGCAAGCCGCATTACATAAGCTTGTGGATGGAAAATATAATTCGCTACTACCCTGGAATGCCCATTGAGTTAATGTACAGTGAGATGATAATGGATGTGAGTGGGTCAAGATCGTCTCAAGCTAACAAGTTTGTTCAACGTCCGATCCAACGTTATTATTCCACCCGCACTCAACCGAGGAACCGCCAACTCCCGGTCCTCCTCCGACTCAGGCACATTCGCCTTGCTCTTCTCAACCAGCATTTGCGCGTCTTCTATCACCTTCTCCAGTCGCCGGTGGCGGTAGAATAGCCACTCAATCTCGGTCTCGAGACCACCGGGCGGCAGCTCAAGCGCGCGACGTACAAAACCTCGCGACAAAACGTATGCTTTCTCGCTATAAAGTCGGCTGTGGGTGGAGGGTGTCATTTGGATGCGACTGACGGAATCAGACCGTGCATACCTGTTCACAATACCCTCTTCCGTGCCCCGCAGCTTCTCGTAGGCGGGCTCACAAAACCATCTGGGACAAACAAGTCAGATTGTTGCTTCGATAAGAAACTAACTACTCACGGTTCTTTCACGAGAACAAGACCCTGGATGCTCACAAATGCTTGTAACAATGAGGATCGCGCTGCACTCCAAATTTCATTCCTGTCCCCTGCCCAGGTCCCCAAGATGGATAAGCAGACCTTGCCCTCCTCGTAAAGATTTCTAACACAAATTGTCAGTAGACGCTGGAGAGCGACGGGGTTTTGTTTACGGGTTGACTGTTGACTGGTCAATATATAAGGGGCGAATGTAGCTGGCTGTTCACCTCTTCCGTTACCATTTGTCCAACTGAGAAAGTGAGCCATTGGCGGGCTATGCGGAAAATTTGAATCAAGCATCCTATGAACTTGTAGATGAGCTGATGGAGCCAAAGCCTCGATGAAAAGCAAGCACCAGTCAATGATGAAGGGGGCGTCAGAATATGGGGTATTCTCGGGGCCGATGATCATACAGCGGAGGAGGTCAACTCGGTCTTCGTAGGCGCGCACGAGAATTGAATCTGGAAACATCAGTGGACTGGTTACGCGATGGCGAGTTATGTCTATACCGGGTAAACTGCTTTCAAGGGCCCGAAACTCTTTCGACAATCGGTTCATAAACAGCTTGGTTGGTTGCGCAGGGGGTGAGGCGTAGTAGGCATGATCAACGGGTGCGGTAGAGAGGACTTGGAAGCGTTTCCAACAGTCATCCTCTTCGTCGACGGGCTCGATGAACGGTGATTCGTCAGCTGCATCCCGAGGCACATCAGGGTGAGGAAAGTGGTTGACGCGTTCTGCGCTGAGCTCTGTAGGCGTGTCGACGTCCGACTCGGATATTCCAATAGAGTCGGGCCAGACAAGGGGAAACTCGTCTTCTTCGACTGGCGCTGCCTGGTTTTCAAGCACTTGGATTTGTCCTTCGTAACTGTTACTTCCCCAGCCATCTGCTGAGCCACTGTCGGTTGCCCAATCCCATTGACCCTCTTCTTCCTCTGGGGGGTGGTGTCCTTCAGACATTTCGTCCCATATGCCGTCCTCTAGTTGGTCAATTCCATCGTAGAGCTTGGTCAGCCGGTGTAACGGGTAATTTCTTCTCGAGCCGTTGGGATGTGCGATGTCAACTGTGCCGTCAAGACAGACCTTCCAGCCAAGATTAGGACAGACATATGAAAGGCAAAAGATACACACGTTGGTTACTTCTCCGATCCACATGAGAGTTTCGTTGTCAGGTGAGGGTCTTAAAATGAGGCCTTCCACGATGCTTTCCGCTGCTCGTCGGTGGGCAATATCAGCCCCCATCTCGGACATGTCCTTGCGGAAGCCAGCCAATTGATTGTCGATTAGTGGGGGATCACGAACCCAAGACTCTACCTCGCCTATACGCGGAACGCGGGCGAGGGGAGCGCCATTATTGCGGCCGTCGGGATGGACGAAGACAAAGTCTCCTCTCCGTACACCGAGATCGGTCTCGAGCATTAAGGTATCAGATGCGCCATGGGTATCGAGCTCCAAAACGGAAGCTAGCTCTATTTTCCCTGTCTCTGGGACCCTAACCGAAGCCGTGCGTTGGGGGGAAACAGACTGAACAATAACAGGCCGTCTTCCGTCTTCGGTATTCCAAACGACCCAGTCTCCGGGCCTGGATTCAATAAGTGGGGAGATCAACTGGAGGGAAAGGGTTGTGCGTACCAGCAGTCGTATTCATCTGGATTCACTGGGAGTGGTTGAGCGTGAACGTTTCAGAGCGTGTTACAGCAGCTTACAATATGGAATGAGATCGATAGACCGGATGTTTTCTGACTTGCTTCCGTCTTGCCACAACACATCAACAAAAGTTCGCGTTTCTGTCACAATGAAGGTCTTCAGAACCATCTTGGTAGCCCCTTCCAGTCCGTGAGTAGTAGAGGGAACATCTCTGTCGTCTTTGAAAACAATGCGATCCCCAACGCGCATCTCTAGGTCGGCTAACGATCGTAATAGAGTAAGCTTGGAAATGTCGGGGCCTTTCCAAAACTGAGGTGGTCGTTGTCGCTTGGCAGCTTCCTCTGGCTCTAGCTTGAACATGAAGTTAGTGGGAGTATCAGAGAGTTTACATGACAGAGAACGTACTTCCTGGCTGATAGCGAGCCATGTAATTGCATAAACCGTGTGAGTCACCTCAAGGCAAGTGTCTGTTGGACTGGGGCGATTATTACCAAGGATGAAGCCAAAGATGCTATGAACGGCAGAAGCGGGGGGAGGGAGAATGTCCTAGTAAAAGGTTAGGGTAATGGACGAAACGACAGTCCGTTCAGCTGACCGCGCCACGCTCTCCCACAGACAAACGAGAGCCGATTTCAGGGACTCGGACGATTTCGCCACTAGAAGTCTCGACAAGAACCTCGTCATAGAGCTTGAAGGATTTTTGTGGGTGGAATGTGATGGGAAGTGGGAAGCATACCTCGATAACCTCGAAACTAAGTTCAAATGGCGTCGAACACGAAGAGTTGATTATACGTACCTGACCAACCCAATCTTGGTAGGCAACCAGATCCCCAACCTCGGCATAATTCCGTTCCACTGTGTCCTGAAGAGAAACCCAACCCTTTATACGCTCGCCCGTCATTACATGCTCGCATCTCGCTTGCACACGAGTGTCCAGGACAACACCAGAATAAGTGTCCTCCACAGATCGTTTACAGAAGTCACCGGGGTGGAAGGACCGGTCGATCTATAAGGGTATTGTTAGCTTGTTACAAATTTGCTAGGCGCGCAAACTCACTAAGCGTAGTTGCGACTCGGGTAGGATTTGTCGGTCGAACTCGCGATTAGACTGAGTGGAATCCCTTGGGCGATAGAATGAGCACCCTACTTCGTTGGGCAGAAGTGGTCTCATAAGGGGGTCGGGGTGATGAGGGACAACATCTTCGTCTAGCCAGTGTCGCTATAAAACGGCGAGTTGACCTATTGTAGATAACGAAATAAGCCCCATACCATGACAATTCCAACAGGACCGTTGTCAGAGTGGCCATCGACTCGCCGGACAATATCCTGTGAATAGAACTTTGCCGATGAGCCACGTTCAAGGCCATGCTGAACTCACTTACTCGAGTTGGTCGCATAGCGATTAAGCCGCGTTATGGCGTGATGTCACACATCACAGCTGCTGTTGCGCGAAAAACGCGTCGAGTCAAATAAAAAGGTTTTGCTCTGGCTTCCATGTTCCCTACAGCACCCCCATAACCCACTTCCTATGCTCCCCCGCATACCAACCTGCTCCCGTCTGTCTCCTCGTGCCGCATTCACTGTCCGTTGTTCTCCTGCCTGCTTTGCTTCCGGTATTAATACTCTCCAGACCATCCGTAGTCTACGCCAACCAGCCCATGACCTCGACGATCTTCCTCCTTCGGAAAATGTTGGGATGTTCTTGTCACTGTCTATGAAAGACTCACCTCGATGCAGGACTTCATTGTCTCGATCTTAAGGGCTAACCCTTCCCTTCGAGATACACGCTCCTACTTGGCATCCTTTGGACCACGACCAAAACCACCTGCCGCGCCTGTGCGCCTCACGCCTGCTGCTGATGGCCTCGCTACCAAGCCATCGATTCCTGTCGTTTTGGAAGATGCAAAACCCAGTCCGGTTGTGTCTTCTATCCTTGATCCCGTCATAAAGAGGACCGCTCTGGTCAAGATGCAGGGTCCCTTCACGGACGTTCAACTGGAAAGCATTTCACGTGGACTGGTCTATCTCGAAAAGCTTGGGCTAGTCAGTGTCATCGTTGTCGAAAGCGATGCTGTTCCCAGAGGAGACCACGATGAACGTGCTTTTCTCATCGAGGAGACCATGCGTATTGTGACTACTCTCGAAAAACAAGGAGCCCGGGCTCGCCCGGTACTCGGCTCTGTTGTCCGACTCGGGCCACAACCTGAAGAAGATGATAATGTTGTCGATCCACCAGAGGCTCATACCGCTCCATCCGACTTTATTCCCATTCGATCAGCGCTTCGCTCTGGAGAAATACCCGTCATTCCTCCATTCGCGCTAGATTCCTTTTGCCGCTCTGTCCGTGTAGACGCCGATGATGTTCTTGGGGCACTGGCGCGCGGAATGACCCAAGCCGGCTCGACTTCAGACGATGTTGATCTCACGCCCATGCGACTAATGATCATAAACCGCGAAGGGGGTGTCCCCTCTTACGCACGTTCAGGCTACCCCCATCTGCTCATCAATCTTACTTCGGAGTACTCCCACATCCATGAAACATTTCACCATCCATGGCGCCATTCTAACCCAACTGCACTCTCGAATCTTGCTTTAGCGCGCACCTGTCTGAGCTATATGCCGCCGACATCCTCTGCGATCATGGTTTCTCACCGTTCGCCGAGCTCTCTCATTGCAAACCTAATCACCAACAAGCCAGCGCTTAGTTCCAGCCTTCCTCATGCACTTCTGCAAGGAAATCGCCGGTTAACGCCCCATACGCCAACTTTGTTGCGACGCGGTCTGCCGATCCGTGTCATCCGCTCTCTGAGCGACATAGATCGTCCAAAACTAAACGCCCTACTCGAGCAATCGTTTGGACGAACGCTCGACGAGCCTGCTTTCTATCAGCGGCTGGAAACAGCTCTCGACTTTGTCATTGTCGCGGGAGATTACGTCGGTGCAGCGATCGTCACTAATGAGCCCTCTCACAGTTCTGCTCCCGCAATTTCATACCTCGACAAGTTTGCAGTGTTACCAAGCCACCAAGGCGACGGTACAGTCGACTTTCTTTGGGTCGCCTTACATGACGAGTCGTATGGCCTTGGCCATCCCTTTTCTGCCAATCCGAACGGTGGGAAAGGTGGTGTGGGAGAAGGTCACGATCTCGTCTGGCGGAGCCGCACAGACAATCCTGTCAACAAGTGGTATTTCGAACGCAGTTCTGGTCATGTGAGACTGGGGCCGTGGGTCTTATTCTGGTGCGATGCGGAGAAACGTCTCAAAGTAGAGCAAGCGAAACGGGCCAATGCTGGTGTCTCGTTTGTCGAAGACTGGGAGGAAGGCCGTCTTGAGATGTGGAGTGATGTGGTGGAGAAAATTCCGTCCAGCTGGAAGAAGTGACCGTTTATGGAGGCCAAACAGACAATAATAAATATGCTCTGTATTAACGCCTGCGTCTATGAACGTGGACTGGAGACGATTGGAAGGACGTATCGGTGGCACTTGCTGAGATGTTGTGGTTCTCCTTGGTCAAAGCTGATTGCTTCAAATCACCAGTCCTCTTCCACGGACTGTACGCCTCTCCCTCATCCTTTCGACCAACTCTCCTACACCTCTGACTATTCTTTCTTTGAACCCATTTATTGTCCACTCATCAATATGCTCACAGAGGAAGAAAACCTAATAAGCAGGGTCAAATAAACTTATGATTGCCACGCAAATTCACCTCGATAATGTGCCCGGCACGTTCAAGCTGCCATTCGTAGAAGAGCTCGTCTTCTGAGTCACTCTCGCGGGCTCCCCCTTTCTGATACGGCGCCGAATATACGACCTAAACGCGCGTCAAATTTGCTGTTGAGCGATGAATCGAACTTACCGGCGGGCTATTGTTGTCGTCCTTAGACGCGCTACACCAATCGACATGTGCTCGGACTGTTCCACTTGCCCATATTAGGCCGAAAATGGGGGCATGGACGTGATGGGAGTGTAAATGACGAGCTGCCCCTGCCGTTGCCATCCTATTCTGTCTATATGCGTCGTTCAACATGTGGTGAACCGGTTTCTTGTCTTCCCAGATGCTGCTGACAAACTGGAAGGTCGGTGCGTCTGGAAGTACTGCAAGCGGTGTGCTCTGATATCGGAATGACGACAGCTTGCTGGCTGTGCCGCAATTGGCGATTGTGGGATGGCGGCTGAGGACTTTGAAATGCGAATTCATTCCGTTCGAGAGAGAGCGAAGCGAACGAGCTGGCACAAGGACTAGACAATCTGGTGTTGCTTGCTTTGCACCTTTGGGAGGTAAGTGAAATCCATGCAGTATATGTTGCTTACCAAGGATCCGAATCGCCTCAGCAGTCAGCTTGGCTGTCTGCGTTGGCTGAGGGAGAGACACATTGCATTGAACCCTGACGGGTGTGAAATTTCAAGATACTTTCCTAGAATTAACGCACTTGTAAGTACTGGCACGGATTGCAGGGCTCCGGAAGACATTATAGCTAGAATCGGAATCTGATTACGAGTTGTTGGCGAGGAAGATTGAATGCACTCACACATTCGCAGCGTAGTCTGCTTCAGAATATTTCTCGTACTTGCTCATGGACTTGAGGCGCCGCCAAGCTGAATGGACGATTGTCATCCTAGGGAGGAGGTCATCCTGTGAAACCTGAGAACCAAAAAGATGAGGGCAATGTGAGCCGGCTTCCTGAATGAACTCCAAAAAGTCTACTCCTGCAAGCTTTCTGATAGCCCTGTACTCGTCAGAGTCCTGCAAAGAGATTGTCAATGAGTATGAATATGTTGAGGGTGGTCACGGTGGAGACCTACATGGTCAAGCCACGCTCTTGGTAGCTTGTTGCGAAAGTCAAATACTCCCAAAACATCCGACTTGAGGTCTGTTGGCAGGTCTCGCAAAGAAACCTGCTCACATCTCTTGTGCGTTGACCATACTTCAAAGTGTTTTGAGCTCCGAGCTATCCTGCATACGTGGTGTCAGAGGATGACGCTGCAGGCAAGAGTCGTAAGACATAAACCATTGATCTAATCTACTAATCTACATTCTGATCTCACTGTAACTAGAACCTGGACGACGGGAGGAGCCCCTGAGCTCTCTCTCGTCGTACCAGGTATGACTCCTTTCACTTACTACTCATATGTACTTACCTGAGCTCTCTCTCGTCGTACCAGACCCAAATATACACTCTGTTTCACAGGTTATGGGCCCCGGCTGAAATCTGCGCAACAAATTGTACAATTCAGCCAGAATACTCACAACTCCTAAACACTGCAACCAATCCTCGCTTACTCTCAGTAACCTCAGCTTGCCTGCCTCCACAACACCCAATCGACACTCAATACCACGGCTTATCCGTATCAACATCTCTTTGAAATGACTTCAGTCGAAAGCGAAAAGGAGTGGCGAGCCCTGAAACTCACGTCTATCGTCGAAAACGCTGACGGCTCTAACAACTATGCTGAATTCCGAGTGAAGGCAAAGCACAAGCTCGACGCTGCTGGGTACTGGAAGTACATTGATGGAGACGAGTACAATCCTCCTGTGATTCCAGCGTTAGTTCAAAGCCAAACATACACTGGAGTGGATCCAACCGGCATAATGACCACTATCACAACCCAAGGGAATGAAGTAGCAGTCAATGTCGCCAAGAAAGCCGCTGAAGCCTGGCTGGCACAAGACAAGAAGGCGCTCTCCGTGATTGTCAACGCCGTTCCAATGGCTAAGCTTTATGTCACCAATGACTGCACAACAGCTCGTCAAGCTTGGATCGCACTAAAGGACGCATACGAACCGACGAACACGTTGACTGCCGTCACCCTTAAGGGCCAGATATCCTCATTCTTGTGTGGGACGATGAACCCTATAACTTGGCGGGTCGCAATGCTGAAGTTATATGGAGAACTTCGAGAAGCCGACCCATTGATGCTTCCGGACCATGAATTCGCGAAATGCCTCATCACGAATATGCCACAGACAGAGAAGTGGCAATATTGCCGAGATTCGTTGCTGGAAGAGATGACGGTCGCTGAGAAATCAGGAAAGCCGCTAAGCTCGGCGGCGGTTGTGACCAGACTACAACGCGAAGAGTCGTTCAAGGCGCTCAAGGCGACTCCCGTGAACACGACCAGTGAAGCCGATTCAGGAGCAGTTGCTAGCGCGTCATTAGCACAAACCAACAACCAGCAACGAAGGTTTCAACAGCAACGGACTTACCAACGCAATGACAAACGACCCGTGCCATATGATCGACGCAACGCAGCCAATCCTCCAAACAATGTGTCCCACCGTGATAGGGAGCGCTTGTTTTGTGAAAATATCGAATGCGCGACACCGATTGGGCACTGCCAAGCTGATTGTTTTGCTTACAAAGGCGGAAAAGAGGGTCAGTATCCTGAGCATTATCGAGGAGCACGGAATATCCACCTTCCGCCGGCTGAACGCGTGGCAGCCTCGAGGCGCCAAGCTCGTCAGAACATTAATCGAGGGGGAGGACAGCGTTTTGCAGGCTTGGTGGACTTCACTGAAGACAGTGAAGAAGAAATCTTGGAGGCTGTCTGCAATGAGACGATTGGAGCGAGCTTCGCGTTCATGGTTGGTCCAATGGAAGTTGATGAGGAAGAGGAAGGTGACATCTGGGTCAACGCTGTTAACGTGTCGCAGAACGATGAAGGAGCACGCACCGATAACATTTACCATGATACCGGCGCCTCTCGCCACGTCTTCAACAACCGCGCGGCCTTCCGAGACTACAAGCTCTTCAGGAACCCAGTTAACGTCCACGGTTTCGGTACCAATCTCACTACACAAGCTGTTGGAAAGGGCCATATCTTCTTGGAAGGTACTCACCGAAATGATTCCAACTTCTCGCTGAGCAACGTTTTGCACATCCCCACGGCGCGATGCAACTTGATATCGGGCACCCAACTCGACTTGAAAGGAGTGCAGACGGAAACAGGGGGAGGACGCATTGACTACTACAATGCAGAAGGGTTTCCGTTTGCCTCTGGCGAAATAGTGGGAGGACTGTACAAGATGGGAGTCCAAATCATCAAGGATCAATCCGCGGAAGCAAATTTTGCCCAGAATCTAACCAATTCGACAGATGATCCCGCGGAAGCTGATTTTAGCCCAGAACTCATCAACGCGACAACGTCATCGACTGAGGCAATTCTTGGACCCGACGCCAATGAAGCGTCCAAGAACGAGGTTTTTTCCACCGTCTAATGGGACACTTAGACGTTAAAGGTCTCCAGCGCGCCACCCTCGGCTTGCCCAGTACCGTGGACTCTGTCAACGTCAAGAACTGCAGAGTATGTGCGCTTGCAAACATCAAACGACTAAAATTCCCTTCAAAAGCTTCAACACGCGCCGAGCGCCCTCTTTTTCGAATTCATTCCGACATCTGTGGTCCCTTCCCAGTTGGGTATGGGGGCTTCAAATATTTCATCACATTCACGGACGACTTCCGACGCTATTCTTCTGTTTACTTCCTCAAAACCAAAGACGAAGCCCTGAAATGTTTCCGCGACTTCCGCGTGGGCACTGAAAATCTCCTTGGCGTCAAAATAGTCTATCTACGAATCGACAACGCTCCTGAACTCATACACGGTCAATTCAGCGAGTACTGCAGAGAAAACGGCATTGCTTACGAAAAATCCGTCCCTGACGCATCACAACAAAATGGCGTCGCAGAACGACTCAACCAAACCATCGAGAGCATGACCCGAGCAATGTTAATCGATGCTTCATTGACACCATGGTTCTGGCCATTGGCTGTCCAAACTTGTGTCCACATCAAAAACCGCGTCCCCCACTCAGCCAACGCAGATGGCTCGACACCCTTCGAGAGCTGGTTCAAGCATAAACCCGACCTCTCGCATTTCCGACCCTTTGGTGCTCTCGTCACGGCACGCAAAACCAGCTCGACTGATCAAATGAAGTTTGCGGCGAGAGGCGAAGAGGGAAAGTTTGTGGGTTATGCGCGGGACTCCAAAGGCTATCTCATTTGGCTGCCGGGCGCGAGAGCCATTCGACCCCGACGAGATGTCGAATTCCACGGCTTCCCCGAGCTCACGATTTCTCCGTCCTCCTCCGAAACACTCTGGGAAGATGTGCCTTCGGAAATCGAAGAGCACTTTCGAGATCGAACAACAACGAAAATCCATCTGGATCCGGTTAATTCGAGTACCCCCGCCATCGAGCGTAACCTTGTCTCTGAGCAAAACCCAATGGCCATCGAGCATAATCCTGCCACTGAGCATAACCCAGCCATTGAGCTTAACGAGTACGTGCTGTCGCTAACGACAGTACAGTTGTACTTACCTGTTTAACCAGGCAATCCTCCAACTTGGAGCAAACACTACCCCATCGCAGTGCGACTCCCGAGTGCGTATTAACACGCATGGAGATCGATTAACTGACGAATATTAGACCCGTGCAACGTCTTCTAGACGAAGTAATGGAGGAAATCAATGCTAAGCCTCGAGCTACTCCGTGCGTTAACGCAACGAGAAAACTGGAATTACCCTAATGTGATTACCAGATTATTTGACTCGGAGACGCAGATCAATGCGGACGAGATAGACGATACCCCTTTGGCTCAACGAAAGGCGCCTCGTGTTCGACGCGTTCCAGCTCGCCACATAATCGACCATGCGACCCTGGACGAGGGGGGGCAGGGATATGTCATTTCTGAAGACTATCTCCTGTCCGTCCTTCTGTCGGGCGATGAACTCGAAATCGAGTGCGCGCTGGAAGAACTAGTGGATGTCGTCCAAGCGCTTGACAAAGCGGAGCATGTATACTCCACGCTCATCGACCCTATCGACGATCGCGATACGAAAGACCCCAACTCCATCCCGGAAGCCAAAGCTTCAATGTACTGGCCGCAATGGCTGATCGCCATCTTCGAAGAACTTGAATCTCTACGAGCAAAGGGGGTTTACATCGAGGTGGAAGAGATACCCCCTGGACGAAAGGCTGTCGCGTGCAAATGGGTGCTCCACATCAAACGAGACAGAGACGGTCGAATATCGCGATTCAAAGCTCGTCTGGTCGCAAAAGGATTTACTCAAATCCCTGGTCAAGACTACACTTACACGTTTGCACCGGTAGCTCGATGGGAATCCATTCGCTTTGTACTCACACTCGCGGCGACACATGACATGATCCTGCGCCAAGTCGACGTAAAAACGGCATTCCTTAATGGACCGCTCGATGAGGAAATCTATATGCGAAAGCCGGAGATAGCGGGACCGGGTTATTGGAGGCTGTTGAAGGGTCTTTATGGACTCAAGCAGGCTGGACGCCAATGGTACCTCGAGCTCAACGCGCGACTCGAGGCCATAGGATTCAAACGAGTCGAGTCGGACTGGAGTGTCTACATCAGAAGGAAAGACGACAACTGCACCATAATCACTACAAGCGTTGACGATATGTTGATCGCTTCATCGACCCAGGCAGAATCCGATGCTGTGGTGTCGGCACTGCGCGCGCAATTCGAAATCACGGATAATGGCGAACCTCAACTCCATCTGGGGTGCTCTGTCGAGCGCGATCGTGTTAACCGAACTATTCGCCTACATCAAAAGGCATTCACGGATTCGATCCTCCGCGAGTTTGGATTCGACAAAAGCAACTCAGTGCAAACGCCGATGGACCCAAGTACTCGCCTTGCTCCACCCACCGATGAAGAAGTCATAAAGGCCAAGGACTTTCCTTACGCTGCAGTGGTCGGTCGCTGCATGTACTTATCGACTTGCACTCGCCCCGATATATCATACACGGTACGAGAACTTGCTCGGTTCATGGCGAGGTACGGTCCGGCACATGTGACTGCGGCGAAACACCTCCTCCGATACCTGCGCGGAACACCGAGCCATGGTGTTCTACTTGGGGGCAAACAAACAGCTGAACCAATGATCACAGCTCTCAGCGATTCTGATTGGGGAATGGGCACTGACAGGAAATCCATCTCGGGCTTCGTGATTTTTGTTGGCGACTCCCCAGTTTCCTGGAGTTCCAAGCAGCAGGCAGTCGTAGCTTTGTCCTCTTGCGAAGCGGAGTATCTCGCCACAACCCACTGTGCGAAGGACATCCTCTGGTTCCGCAACATACTGTCCGAACTCGGTTTTCCCCAACGATCACCAACGTCCTTGTTCTGCGACAACCAGGGCACGGTAGCATGCACGCACGATCCACACGCGCATTCCAAAATGAAACATATCGCGATTCGAGAGCACTTCATTCGCGACTGTGTGCTGAAAAGGCTGATTGATGTCTTGCATGTGGCGGGCAACGAAAATATTGCGGACCTATTCACCAAACCGCTTCACCGCGTGATGCACGCACGATGGGTGAAGATGTTATGACTCGATGCGCGTCAAGGGGGGGGTGTCAGAGGATGACGCTGCAGGCAAGAGTCGTAAGACATAAACCATTGATCTAATCTACTAATCTACATTCTGATCTCACTGTAACTAGAACCTGGACGACGGGAGGAGCCCCTGAGCTCTCTCTCGTCGTACCAGACCCAAATATACACTCTGTTTCACACGTGGATATGTGAGTAAGCGACTCGGAGCTCAAGGGCATGAAAGCAGCTACTCTGAGGCAGAAGGAGCGCGAGTAGCTGCCTTGGGTCTTCGTAAACGGTTCTCCTTCATTCTAGTCCCGCGGGAGTAAAAGACAACCACAAGTCTTGTGACCGTGTCTCTTTGGACCCAATCTGACATAACCCGCTGCACGTGGGATTTATTTTTAGCCCAAAGCCTGCCAGAAAAAGGCGCGGCACCAGTAATTTGGTTTCTTGGCATCAGACGACAGCCAGCGACATGCTATAAAGAATGAGGCGACACCCAACACCAGACAACCTCTTCTTCTTACTCGGTCTCGGACTGGTTCCCCTTTCGCTTTCTTCTTCAATTTCAGACGCTGCTCGCGCTTTCACACTCTCAAGATGCTGGTCAACTCCTTTGTTATCTTGTCCCTCGTAGCGACAGCACTCTCTGGTCAGTTTCTCCTTATGAGTTTTGCACATCCCTGATTGTTTTTCTCAGCTCCTTTGTCATTGTTGAGGCGAGCGAACCCATGCTTCGTCACTGGCAGTGTTGCTTTGCCAGCCGAAGTTGCCAACAGTCTGCAGGGTCTCAAGGCCGTTACTTGCAATGCCAAACGACAGGTTGCGCCGGGGGTTCCAGACGTTACTAGCGGAGGTATCGCATTCAGCTCGATTGACTTTCAAAAGTCGTCCCTTTCGTAGGCCATCTTCTTATTATTTAAACACTCTCGGTTTTCTGAAATAACACTTAGTCCACTTGGCTTTGCTCTGTGCGCCCTAAACCAGTACTATTTCTAGTACTCATCTTCCCCCAAGGGCCACGTTCAAGACACCGACGGACCCTGCAAAGGCTGATTTGAAGACCCTGCAAAATCAGCTGAATGCTTACTTGGCTGTTGAAGCTGGTGTTAGAGTGCGTGCTTTGATTCCGGCAACATTGACCACGCGGTAATGTGCTATAGTCGCAGCCAAACTCTTCTGCTCTACTCGCGCGGCTGAAAGGACCCAAGTTCTTCATTCAGGTGAGTACTCTTCCCTCTTGTTGGTGCTTTTGACGCGGTTCTAATGATCCTCATAGTTCCAGGTTTGACCTCTATAACTAGCTTGTTGGGTGCTGATGTTGACGCCAGATTGCTCGGGTCCAAACGGCCAAAGGAGTCGCATTGGGAGTCGCGGACACCGTTGAGCACCAGTTGGGCAAGGTTACTAAGGTATGAGTGAATACTGCAGCTTTATCGTGTCTCAACCTGGCTCGTAGAATGCTGTCGGAGCCAAGGCTAGTGAGATCGCCCAAGTTACTGCCCTCTCCAAACAATTGTAACCACTTTGGTTTTTGTACTCGCTCATTTATCAATGCTTTTTGTCACTCTGCTCTATTCGCGATTACCCACAACAATATCCTAGAAGAATTTGTCCATGACATATCTGGACGCTTCGACCCCAAGCTATGATTCGGTCAATGATTGGGTATGGGGAGGGGAACTTCAACATACGAAAGTAGCAGCATTAGCAGGGAATGCCTTGCATATTGTTCAGAAGGCGCGTGTTCAAAACAATTGTTCGACTTACCCTTCCCATCGCTGGACCAAATCCTTTCCAGAGGGCTTGTACACCATCCTGCGCAATGGTTTTTCGTGCGCAATCTATCAGACCATTATATGTTCCTGTTGGCGCGGATTGAAGTCTTGATTTGAGAACCTAAAACGGACTTTTCAGCGCTGTAACGTACTTAACAAGCAGACCTAGCCTACATCAGGGGGAATTGCGAGAGCCCACATGGCTACGCCAGCGGTTCCGCCCGCCACGATAATCGCACCAAGGTTAAGCTCGGAGGGTGATGACCCAGCGGGGGTTAACGCCTTCTTCGTGACCTCGTAAGCCGCAAAATACCTGAGAAGTTCCAGTAACGTGTTTAACAGAAGATCAGCAACCCACGCTGCACTTCCAGGACCATCACGAGCGAGGGTGGCCCCAGCGCCTCTGAAGATACTCTTCATTCCTCCTTCGCGATAAAGGTGCTTCATAACATCGAATACGCCCTTGTATTTCTGCTCGCTACCGCCTTGGCCTTGCACCTGCAACAAGACTTTGGCGCGTTCAACTGGCGCCGTCACGAGGGTCGTTGGTACTGCCGAGAGGAAACCAGCAGCGGCAAGCTCAGGAGTAGACAAAACATCAGATGTCCTATTGGGTGTTGCTGCCAGAATGAGCTTTTTCGACGCGTCATAGGCCTGCAGAGATGGGTTGGGAAGTAGGCAAAACGCGTCAGAAGAGAGCTGACCCAAAACGACATGGCGAATATCGGCGTAACACCAAGCAATGGGGGGACCATGCCTCGGTACATGCTGAAAACTGGTTTGGTGGCATGAAATCCAAGAACGAGAGCACGCACCCGCTTATACCATCTTTCGCGACCGTCTTTTTCACAACATCTATCGCTCCGGTATATAAACCGCTGGGGGCGGTCTGCAAACGTGTCTTGGTTAGGTCAAAGGGATGACCTTTGGAGCAGCTTAGTAAATAAAAATCCAAATTCGGGGAAATACTGACCAACAAGAACAGCGGAGACGCCTCCAAAGCCACCCGCGATAAAGGACTTGGCTGAATCGACGGCGGAGGTCTTTGTCTCCTCAACCGGAACCTCACTCTACACATTGACTGAGTAGTTGTTGACAAGTAGTAGCGCAAAGACCGACCATGGCAGGCGAAGAAAGAGTAGTAGTTGGTGGGGTTTCACATGATACATATCCATCCGGCTTTACCGGTTTAGTTACTTACAACGAAAAAAAAAAGTACAGATCTAGATTAGCACTAACTACAAATAATAAGCTTCCTTGGTCAGTCGTCTTCGTTGTCGAACCCTCCTCTGGGCTCAAATGTTGGCTTCTCGAAGTCTCTCCTCCAGAATGCTCGCACGCCATAGAAGAATCCGCATATGAGAACAATTCCGGCGACACCCACAAAAGCAGGGCCACCATATTCAATCCACCACGGTGGATAATATGGGGCAATTAGCTGGTCAATGAGAATGACTCCACCCGTTCCAGCCCCAGTCGTTGACCGGCCCCAAGAGACGACTCGCGCACCACTCGATTCCGCGTTCTTACCCCTTGCACCCTTGATCCCGACTGTGTACTCGTTTTGGTCAGTCCGCCGGAATATAATGTCTCCATAAGACGACATGGGCGAGCGAAGTGTGGTATAGGTGGCAGCATCGTCCATGATAAGTGGTCGATTACTGTTGACGACAGCATCAGAGCTGGCATCGGGTGTCGGGATAAGATGTTGCCGGACTATGTCTTGCACCCCGACAATGTTAGCATACAGCTGGGTCAGGTTGTATTCCTTGAAAGCTTCGTCTGTAGGACACAACAACGTCCAACCCGAACTTCCTAGTCCTTGCTCTGCCCAAATCGACCCTGAAGGCGGCGCCGTTCCGTTTAATATCCAGTCCATGCCTGCTTTGGCGATAAGAGTAGTCATGGTAGTCGCGTCGCCCGCTTTGATAAGTTTTCCAATCGTCAACTCCACAGAACGTGGCAAGAGAATGTCGGAGATCTCGTGTAAAACACCGCTGTTTGTGAGAATGTTGCGAGTGAACAGCTCTGCTTTCATGCCGGCCCATCCACCACTCGGTGCAACGTTGACGCTCCCATTCTTAAAGTGTTCTAATTGCAGATCAGATCCTTCAATCGTGGCGAACGTCCGCGACCCATTTTGTAATGAGCTCGTATATTCAACTGTTGCCAGCGTATGGTGAAGAAGGACATTCGTCAGGTCTTTCTTTGACGCTGGTGCCAGAAGATGTGCACTGACGAGGTCGCCAAGCAGTTTAAATGCTGAGTTGCGGGGGGCGAGAAGGGAAGTTTGCGGCGTTAGCGTCAGAGTGTCTGATACTGAGGTCGAGTAGAGGGCGGCCAGGAATAATGATAGATCCTGAAGAGGTAGCAGGGTCTCCAAGACCCCAGATGGCGGCGTTAGCGGTCTAGAGATAAAGTAGATGAGGGTATTGTTGACGGCGACTGTTGGAGATAAGTTTAAGAATAGCTGCATAATGCAATAATCAGCTCACTAGGCTTTCCCAGAACGCCAACACCACCAAATTTCAAGGTCTTGTCATCCTTCTTCTCAGGCGAAGTGACACCAACGCTTAACACCTGGTTCCCGCCGTCAAGTCCGTCTTCCACCAGAGTCGTTTCTAAAAGCATGCCATCGCGGAGTTCCTTGGGGCTCCAATGTCCGGGTATAAAATGGTACTGAAGTAGCTTCTTCAGCTCTTCGGATCCCTTCTCTGGGATATCGCCTTCACCAAATACGGAAAGAACATTGTCTTGCGGGGCGAGGATGGTATAACGGCTCTCTGTGTCATTGACCAACCCAGTGAGATCGACCGAGTGGATCAAAGATATGAACGATGAGCAGTTGAGGGCAAGAAGATATTTCTCGGGTGTTAACTCAAGATTAACAAGGAGTTCCGATACGAGGTGCAGCACGCCATTGGAGGCATAGATGTCAGGGTGAATAAGTTCGGAGGTCGATACTGTTGTCTTTTCAGGCGTCACAACGATGTCCAGCATACTTCCGTCAATCGTCTTTACTGCAAAAAAGTGAGTGTTCTCGTTGTACAGAGAGTCAGATGAAGAACGGCACATTTAGCGGTTGGAACAAAGGTATCAGCATACTGAACCGTCTTTTTGACCACCGCATGTCCATTTCTGATCAAGGGATGAGAAATCAAAACAGAACAAGTCTGGGAAACCGCACAATATTCGTGTCAAGTCTGCTGTCGCAAATTCACTCTCCAGGTACAACCGTTCAAGATCATGTAGAGACTCGAAAGCGGCGTTGACCGGAAGAAACAAGGTCAGCTCCGTACTTTCATTCAGTCTCTTACGTATTTCCGGTGTTAAGATTTGGTGGAAGTAGGAGACAGATGTGTGTTGCGAGACGACATCGGCCAGACTAGGAGGAGGGTCCAAGACGTCGTTAATGCCGAGCAGGACTCCATTTCCTGCGTCAATCTTGCCCTTTGTAATCTCTACGCCATCCTCACCGAACGCATCAACCCCAACCCATGCCCCTTGATTACGTGCCGCGACTCGCAGTCGCTGAGGCTGGGAGCCTAGTGAACCGCCTGGAGTGGGCATCCATGGTGGGGATGGCGGCGGGTCTCGTGAAGGTGGGTCAAGTGGGGAACGCGGGTAATGGAGAGTCTTGAGGAAAGCCGGGTTTGGTGCCTCTGGCATCTCCGCAAGTTCGTAGTTGATCAAATGGTAAAAAAGCTGCTGCCGAAGCTGCTCTTGGATGTTGTCGGACACAACGAACGAGTCATCGTGGATCACGGAGCGCCAAAGAGTATGCTTTTCTATGGCTTCATTGGTGGGGGCGAAGAAGGTGGAACCATTCAGTCGGTTAAGAGTGGGGATGAGTCGGGCGCGTTGGAGGAGAGAGATTAAGGAAGTGTAGTCAGGGTCTGCATTGAGAGCGTCGACAAGTGTGACTGAGTTGGTGGAAAATGGTTGTTGCAGTTGCTCCGCCAGACCGGACCAAGCGAGAAGGAGAGCGAACAGGGCGGTTCGCAACATGGTGGTGGTTGTGAGCAAGCTGCGCGAGTCGTGCTTTATTGAATTACGTTCTCTTGACGTCCACACCTAATTTGGGCAACTTCCGGCGTCACACGAAACGCGTCTTCATGCTGGAACTTATCGCGCTCCAGCCATCTCCTTTAACCGACATCCACTACCTATCCCTTCCTACCGCCAGCCTCATCGTTGGTTCTCCTAATTTGGCGACAATATATTGCTCATTTTTTCTGTCAGCTCCACGCCTCTGGAGATTCCCTCGTCATCCGTGATGCTGCTACTCTGGCTCTTATACGCGTCCTAGCTTTTTGGGAGGGATTCCCTGGGTCCACTGGAACAATAACCGCCATTTCCGTTGACTCAGGAATGAAGCTCGTGCGTGCAAGCTGGCCTATATTAATGGTAGTTCATTTTTTGTTGTTTAGATAGTCGCGTCAATGCAAACGAGACTTGCAGCTTGGGCGCTTTCCGGTGTCCAACAAGATACCTGGCGTCTACATTCCTCTTTAACACTCCCCCACATCGTAACATCACTGGATAGCAAATCTGGTAATTCTGCTTGTTACTCTTTTAGCATCCTTTAACCAAGTCAGGCCTTCTGGCTGTCGGAAGTCAAAACAGCCTCTCCGTTTATACCCTAATTTTGGAAAATGATCTCCCAACTTGGTCTCTGAAGTGGATCGTCCAGTATGCTGCCTTTCCTCTTCGTTTCACGAAACTCATGTGCCTATAGCATAGACTCGCCTTGCCTGACGCGTTTCGCACCTTCTTTGATGTACATTGCAGTAACGACAAAGGTACGTGGGTGGAATTTGCCTGGCCTCAAGATTGATGGTATGATTCAGCAAAATAAATCACTTCGTACCTACTCTACAGCTTCGGGAAGACTCACCCAAGACATACCCCACCCTCGGCCCATCACGAATATAACGTGGCGTCAATCCCAAGCTTCCAGCCGGTCAGCCTTCACACTGTCCTTCCTAGCAGCTCCTCTAATCAAGCTCCAGCGACGATTTAATTCTCTATACGATAACTTCAGACTCCACCCTGCGCATTTTCTTTCCTGTGTTGGACTCACCTCAATGTTTGCAACTGCATTTGTCTCTTGATTTGTTCTCTTCGATGCCCAGCAGCGTTGTCTCGCGTTTATCGCGCATTTTCTGGTTAGACCGAGCAATCATGGACTCCTCAATAAATCACATTCTACGGAATGAACCCGAGACAGACAGTGCACGCGTTAAGCGATTGCTTGAAATCCAGCAAGAAGGCTGGGACTTATTTCTCCGAGTACTCGAAGATGGCTCAGTGACGATATCTGCTGTTGCGGTATGTTGTCGTGCGGTTGCCGAATATTCAACTGAGGAAATTCAAGAACATCGACCGTCGACCGCCTACTCTTCTCAGACAGTTCACGCTTCAAGAGACTCTTCCAGGATCGCTGCCTGGAACGCCGCAATATCTACACTTACTCCCTCAGAAAGATCCTTCTCTAATTAACCTAGTCACGACCCCTCCATTACGGACCTTCACCTTCTCACCCTTACTCTTCCTCGATTCGGACAAGGACGGTCTTATTCCTCGTGCCGAAACTGTAATCGCTACGCCATCAGAAGAATCGCCCATTCTGCGCTTTGTTCGGACACCACAAGGCTCAGGTGTTGGCGTGATACGTGAACGGGGAGGGGAGACCTGGCAAGTCTCTGGAAATGGCAGAGAACTGACTCAAACTGGGCAATGGTCTTGTGGAGATCAAATCATTGTTCTGAGTGGAGGTTGACTTGGTTTTGCTTGGGTGTACAACTGAAGCTCACTGTCGGATAGGTCAAGACCACGCCACATACTCACGAGAGAGTGGAGAGCTGACTTTGTCTTCCACTCATGCATCGCTATCACTTCCTCCAATCAGCTCGCTCTTCTCTTTACCGTCAACCAGAGGGAGAGAGCTCATCGTCGGCATCACCGAAGACCATTCCGTTGTTCAAATTCATATAGAGCCGCAACTGGTCCTGTATTCTCATACCCAACTCCCCATTCCAACTCCGAAGATGATCTTGCCAGTCGACCCAATGGCATGGGAACGTTGGACTGTCCACGATGTGTTGTTGAGTCTTTCTGAGGATGGTGAACTCGCATTCTGGGTGCCGGACGCGAAAGAATGGCGTCGCACTGGGTCGGTGAGGACTCATAAGACGGGAATAATCAAAGCAAGGTGTAGTTCTGCCAAGAAAACTGCACTAGGTATTTGAAAGGCCATTACTTCTACGCCAACTAACCTGGTTGATAGTCGTGCATACCTCCGATGGAGATGAGCTCACAATTTGGGATTCAAAGGAGTCAGAATTCGCATCTGGACTTGAATATAGCCTTTCATATTCGTCAGCGCACTTCAATATTCAAGTCAGAGGATTCTAATGCCATGCATAGCGAAGCCATCAACGACCTGGACTGGAATTCAACTCCCGATATGCAGTCAATCCTTGCTGTAGGGTTTCTCCGTCACGTTGAAATCTTGTGTCAGCAACGGTCGACTTACTTCGACAGCGTACCTGGCTGGGTGAGATGCTGGACGGTCGAGATTGGATCGTTCGTTATCTAACGCTTACATGTTTATCTTTCTCTGATCACGTGACATAGATATATACCCTATCAGATTCGTGATTCAATCTGGTTAGCAAATGGGTCACTTCTTATCGGCGCAGGCCACCAAATGTTCCTGTTCGGACAGGGGAATCCCGCCTCCGAAAGTCTCTTCGAGCATGTCGCTCGGCAAAATGGTCCACTCGAAGATTATCATCCACAGATGCTTCTGCAGTGTCTTTTATGGGGTAGGTCGTAACGTCGCGCACTTGAAACCGCTCACCACATGCACCGAAGGGAAGATCGAACTTGTTAAGGAGATTATCACGAATCTTGCACGCAATATTGCCACGGAAAAAAACCAGTTAGAGTGGACGTCGCTGCCAATAGGACGATTCATTGAAACTGAATCCCGACACAAACCCTCCGTCGGTCAAAAAAAGCGTTATACATTCCTCTTTAACGAGACACTACCGAAAGATAGGTGGGTTTTTTTGAATCGAGGCATCTGCGGCTTTCTCAGACCCAAATAGTGACGAGGAGGACGGATTCCACCGCGTCGTCGTCAAAAATCTCATCGAGACACTAGAAAACAAACCTCTGCCTCATCTAACGCCGAATGAACAGGCGCATCTCTTAGTTTTAATCCAAACTACCTTAGAGGTAAGTATTCCTCCCCAAATGTCAGCGAAACTAAACATAGCAGATTGATGAGCAACAAAGGGCGCTCGACGCGAATGGACTGCGATATTTGATATCGATGCGCTCATTTTATATTCTGAACCGTCGAGCATCTGGACCGAATAGCCCCCAGTCTCTAAACACTATTCCTCGACAAAGTGGACGCAGAGAGCGCCTTCGTTATCGCGACATGATCTGGGCATTCCACAGTGAAAGTCAAGAACTGCTTCTGGCCGCGTCTGCTGCTGCTTCAAATGGCGGGAAAATGGTTTGGGCTGACGCGAGAGCGCTCGGCGTTTCAGTATGGTTGACTTCCGTTGATTCACTGGTACGATTTGATGCCTGATGTGGATATTGTTGATTGGTATACCCAGAAATCCCAACTGGAAATCATTGCTCGCAACGAATTCATGGCTGGTGATGCGCGAGATCCAGTTGCATGTTCTCTGTATTATTTTGCCTTGGGCAAGGCAAAACTTGTTCATGGACTCTGGAGACAATCAGCCTGGCATAAGGAGCAAGGTGCCATGCTCAACTTCCTTTCTAACGACTTCTCTGAGCCGCGATGGCGGACTGCTGCACTGAAAAATGCGTTTGCTCTCTTGAGTAAACGCCGATTTGGTAATTTCTTCCTACGCTCATTTTACTCACACTCAATCCGGTTACCAGAATACGCGGCTGCTTTTTTTCTTCTTGGGGGGGCCTTACAAGACGCAGTCAACGTTTGTCTGAAGCAACTCAATGATTTTCAGCTAGCAATTGCAATCGCTCGCGCAGTTGAACAAAGCAACGAAGGCCCCGTCCTACTTGGAGTACTGAACAATCACGTACTCCCCACTGCTTTCCGCGAGGGAAACCGATGGCTGGCATCATGGGCGTTTTGGTTGCTGCATCGCCGCGATCTCGCCGTCAGGATCCTGGTCGTAAGTAAACGTGCAGCATTCAGATACTTCCCACTGATCTGCCCTAGACGCCTCTACAAGACGTCGCCAGTCTGCTTGATATCAAGGAAATTGGCGAGCCACACTATGACGATCCTAGCCTCGCGCTGTTGTTCTCCCAGCTACGATCCAAGACATTGCAAGCTGCAAAGGGCTCTAGTGAAATATCGGGGCGGGTTGAGTTCAATTTTGTTCTGCAGATTGCAAGAGTATTTTCTCGGATGGGTAGGTGTACCTCCTCAATCAAGCGTCAGCTCACTACTTCTTCCTCTCCTTCAAAAGGTTGTCCGGTGCTTGCACTTGATCTGGTCCGCTCATGGACTTTTGATCGACCTTCCTTACAACGACCGGCCATCACGTCAGTCCCCACTCCCCGCCGCCCCACCTTCACGCTGGGTCCAACCTTGCGGAGCCGTTCCTCTATGGTGATTGACATGGAAATCCCATCTTTACCCCCAACTCGATCACCGTCCCCTACAAAGAATATTCAGAAAACACCAGTCATCATCGAAGAGGGGGGCAACGAAGAGGAAGACCTTATTGCACGAAAAGCAGGCTTGGGGAGTCTGATGAAATCCGCCAAATCAAATGTGACGGTCCCCGAGTTCGACATGAATGCATTTTTCTAGGCAGGAGGGTTTGTTTGTATCCAGTAGCATGTATTGTAGACACGCTTAAAGAGAGAGAGAGAGAGAAAAGTACACTATGTTTCATTTCGAAAAGACCACTATTCTTGGACTTCAACTTCGCGTTTCTTGAGAACCAGATCAGATCCAACAACACGCTTCCAGACATCCTGGACATCCTCCACGACAGTCTCGAAATGTGAGGTCGCATCGTAGGAGCGAGTGACAAAGATGTTGTCAGCAGAGCCATCGGATGTTGGGGTGTACAAGGGGGTGACGGTTAAGAACCTAAGACAGATATGGAATGGGTAGAAGCATTAAAGTCACAACTCACTGCTCGTGAATGGGGCCGAGAAGATTCAAACCAGGGACAATTTCGTGATGTGGGTTGTCGGTCTCGACGATGGTGCTGACGATGGCCACATAAATGTCCTTAGCGCAGACATTGTGCGTTGCCGAAACCATAGCAACGTAAATGTCTTCAAGTTGCTCAGTATAGACGACAAGGAAGCAAGGTAATCTTACCATTTCGTCGATTGACTTGGTTCTGGGGAATGATGATCTGGCAGCTGTCCGAGTCGTCCGTGTTGGGGATGGGGTGCTTCAAAATGCAGATAGCACGGACAACACGACCGTGTTCAACAACCCTGACTTTGCCGCCTTGGGAAGACGCGCCAGCACCGAAATAGCTTGGGTCCCCAATGACTTGCTTGGCTTTAACAGTTTCTCCACCACTGGTCACACCAACAAAGTTGCCTTCCGCGTCGGTGACTATCTGGTCGATTTGCTTGTCGAGCATGTAAGTTCCACCGTAGATAGCACTCAAACGGGCAAATGATTGAGGAAGCTCCCCGAGACCATAGAGCGGGTAAATGTAGGGCGACTTTCCATACCTCGCCATTGAAGAAGTGTAGAGAACGATGCGGTCATAAGTTGGACGTGCGGGTTTCGTGATATAGCTGTGAGTTGCGCGTCAAGAAGAGCAAAGCATGAGTTACTTCAACTTACTCGTCGTCGAGATACAAAGCCATGGCATGTCCAATGAAGTCCTGGGTGCCAGGTTCAAGCCCGAATTTTTCGTAAACAGTCTTCATGCTGTCCTTGTCGAGGTCGATCCCTGCAAGCATGAGATTACGACATATGAAATGATCGACAGTCAGCCAGACCTTGGTGGGTTGCAGGGTCATCATCCTTCCAACCCTGAAGGAATTCAAAGAACTTCTTTGCGCGCCTTTTCTCGAACAGGCCCATGAGAGGACTCTTTACTGCCTCCATTTCGGTGCTGGGCACTTTGGAGATCTTGCCATCGCGATAGACAAAACTGCCTGCAATCTGCTTGAACTCGAGGTATCGGGTGACGTCGGTGTGGACGAGAATCTTGGTCAGTTCGCCAGAGGCGATGATGAACTTAGGAATGAGGTCAACAGCATAGTCTCGGTCACGGCCAAGGTCGGTGGGTGCCTCCTGGCCGGGTCGGAATTTCCGATAGAGCTATGGATGTTAACATCGATTTCATTGAACAAGGACAACACACCTGTGTCAGGTTGAGACTAGCACTGTCTCCTCCGTAATAGTCGTTTCGATCCATGTGGAGGACCTTCTTGCCCTCAACGGACAGTAGACCCGAGAGAATACATTCCGTCAATCCAGTGCCCAGAACAATGACCTGCCCGACGTTCAAGGCCATTGAGAAATGGGTGGTAAGAGGCTCACGTCGTATTGCTCATCCATGGTGGTGGTGGTGGTTCAAGGTCAAGTGTGTTGCCATCGAAGTTTGATCAAAACGGTATTAAAGTACATTACATGCGCAAGAAGCACTGGAACTAGTATGTAGTAGTACTGTCTCTAATATTCCGTCCTGTTTCGTTTAGCACTCCCAACATCTACTTCTTCGAGGTCTGACTTTCGTTTGACGGAAGGCAACTTCCGTTCTTTCGGCGTTGGCTTCATTTTGGTTTGTAGCTTGCGCACCATCCGGTCGATCACTGCTGCGAGTCAGGTCAGGAACTAGCTTGTCGAGAATAGCACACGTTTATCATTCCTCCGATAGAACTCGCTGTTTACAGGTTAGCAAGGGGTTGCATGAAGAGTGATCGATATACCCCCATGCCTTCGCGCTCCGCTCAGGATACTGCACAATTAGAACTAGACCGCTTCAGTCGACGGTGATACAGACCTTGTCGACGAACGCGCCGAATTTAGCTGCGTTGCTTGAGTATTCCCAGTTAGGGTACGACGCGATATGACGAGCAAGGGCGGCGAAGTCAGCTTTGGGCAAGTCAAACGCGAAGTACAAAAGAGTTGCTTAAACTTGTACCACTGTTGAATGGTGCACCAGCAGCACCCATCTGGGTTTCATCTTCAGTCGCTATTTCGACTGAATCTTCGTCTTCTTCTTGCCATTCATCTTCTGACCCAGAAGCAGCCGCAGAGAGTTCAGAGTCAGAACTGTCTTCCTTATATCTAGGTAGAGGTTGGATCTTGTCCCGAGGTTTTGCAGAGTCATTGTCTGAATCCTCATTCCGCGCTTGGGCCAAGATTTTATCAGGCAAGTCGTGGTGATTGCTCCAATAACTATTCCAAGACGTATAGTTGTGATGTGGCGCCTGAGATAGATGAGGTCGTATAACTTGCGCATGTCGAGCTGCTTGCCTTCTCACCCAATTCCTCGCATAGGTCCTTTCGGTTCAATGAGGGATCTTCTTGAAGCCGCCATTGAATAAACTCAAGAAAATACTTCTTGTCTTCGGTTGTAAATTTGTGACCGCCACGGTTGTGGGGCTGGTCCAATGAATGAACGGAAATATAGGGAGGAGAGGGTGTCAACGCACAATGACAAGAGTTGGAGGTATTGGTTCGCGGGAAGGCGGCGGAGGGATACGTATTTCGGTGTTGGGGGGTGGCAAACGCGAGTTGCTCAAGACGAGAGTGTGCGCTGTTAGGCTGTTGATAGTTTGTCGGCGACCACCAGAGCTCCCTGGTTGTTGAATAATTTCCGTTTCGTCGCGCTTCTTCTTCTTCCTTGGCTTTCTTGATCGAGAGACAGACGGAACGGGTGACGGGCTGCGAGACGCTTCGGATTCAGAAGCAGACGAGTCGGGCTTGAAAGAGGCAATTGCCGGCTTCTTGATGGTGTTTTTTCGTATGGGTGGCGGGGTTGGGGTTGCACTTTCTTGGACGGCTGCGTCAATTTTATCCTTGTGATCCAAATAATAGTCCTGTCGTTGGTCAAGCAATGCATGCAGACTGGAAATAAAACTCACCTTCCATAAACTTGCGGAATGTCCGTCCTTCTGTCGAGTAGTTTCAGAATCGTAAGGCAGAGTAGACTTTCGTTTGTACGACTCACTCCATGAAGTTTATTTAGAGCATCCTTGTAAGATTCGCGCCGTTCGCGACACTCCGCTATTGCCCGGATGAGGGTAGGTTCGTCCGATAGCTCCACAGGCTTGGAGAGCATCAACGCGTCCTGAAATATTTGTGGCGGGATGAAAGGCAGCTGTAACTGTGGCTGAGACCAGCCAACAGGTGGGTGCTGGCCATTAAACGCGCTGGATGCGACACCATCCGACATTGGGGTATAGAGTTGGACTGGTTAAATAATGTGAGCTTTGAGAAGGAAAAAAGAGTCTAAAAGACCCTCAAAACAATATCCCGTACCGGGAGGTGGCACCAGGGCGTTGTCGTTGCACTGTTAGGGGGGCGAGAGAAAGAATTGGTGGTCACATGTTCCGATGGCCCGACAAGCCGAGCTTGAGATCCGCTTCTTCACTGACCCTCAAAAGCTGCTCACAGTCTGTTGCTTGCGGGAGACCAATTCAGAGCGCATAACTCCCGTGCTTCGAGAGAGGTCACGGTCTTACAACTACATCGATGCTCACACGAGTTTCTCGTTTCACTATCACCTCGTGCAAACTTCGTGTAATGCCTCTCAGCTCTCTAGCTAACGGTCCTGCTTCACTGCTGGCCTCTTGGAAAGGCACCTCCGTCTCAGGCGGTACAACCAAGAACTTCATTGGTGGTCAGTTCGTTGAGAGCTCGACCACCGAATGGCTCGATGTCCATGATCCGGTGCGTCCTCCTACCATCGTCCAATCTTCTTTTGCCAATATCCAACCCAGTCTACTCAAACGCTGCTGAGTCGTGTACCAGAGACAACTCCCACTGAGTTCGAAGACGCAGTCCAGAAGGCTTCAGCTGCCTTCAAGACCTGGAGCAAGACTAGGTAACAGAATACGTCTAGAAATCTGTAAAATTAACACGACCGATAGCATTATTGGGAGGCAAAAGGTGGCTATCGAACTCCAGCATCTTCTCCGTCAAAATGCGGATGCCATCGCAAACAGCATAGTTCTCGAACAAGGCAAAACTGTTGCAGGTCCCTATTCGCAATTCACTCCCACTAAAACGCATCTAATGCCTTCCAAAGACGCACACGGTGACCTTCTTCGCGGTTTACAAGTTGTGGAAACCGCTATTGGTTGCACTTCAACCTTGATCGGCGACAAACTCGAGGTCAGCAAAGATATGGACACCTATGTTCGAAAGGTTCCTCTCGGAGTTGTCGCCAGCATCGCACCCTTCAACTTCCCAGCGTCTGCATTCCTCTGTCTCTCCATCCAATCCCAATTGACTCGTTCCTAGCATGATCCCATTATGGTCCATTCCCATGGCCCTTGTCACTGGCAATACGCTCATTCTCAAGCCCTCTGAACGTGACCCCGGTGCCGCAATGATCATTGCCGAACTCTGTCAGCGTGCTGGTATGGATCCTGTGTTGGGATGTGTATTTCCAACTGAGCAACTTTCTTCCAGGTGTCCCACCCGGGGTGTTGAATGTTGTCCATGGTGGTGTGCCGACTGTTAACGCAATTTGTGACCATCCTGCCATCAGGGCTATCAGTTTTGTGGGCAGCAATCGAGCCGGCGAGCACATTTACAACAGGCAAGTTGCATCCATCCTCTTTCATTCGCTCCACCTCATCCTTCCCAGAGCGACCAAGAACGGCAAACGGGTTCAGGTATGGACTGTCTCGCTTGCATTGTGTTCTAATTCTCATCTGGTACAGGCAAACCTTGGAGCGAAAAACCACGCAATCATTATGCCTGATGCTAACCGGAATCATGCTCTGAACTCGATTATTGGTGCTGCATTTGGGGGTGGGTCCCAGAAATTACCAATAATATCAATATCTTCTCATATATTCGTAGCCGCGGGTCAACGTTGCATGGCGCTCTCCGTCGCAATGCTAGTTGGAGAGGCGCGCCAATGGCTGCCAGAACTTATCGAACGCTCTCAGAAGCTCAAAGTCAATGCCGGTTTTGAGCCCGGAACCGATCTGTAAGTTTAGGGCTTCCGGACAAGAGCTCTCTAATGAAGTATGCAGCGGACCTCTCATCTCTCCTGCTGCCAAAGCTCGAGTCACCGGCCTGATCGCGTCTGCTGAAGAACAGGGTGGAAAAATCTTATTGGATGGACGAAACATTCAAGTGCCCAACTACCCTGACGGCAATTTCGTCGGTTCGGATTCGTTCTGCTCTGTTAAATGCATCTTTTTCTCACTACATACCTTCCCATAGGACCGACCATCATCGAAGCCGACACTAACATGAAATGTTACGAGTTCGTTTTTAAATTATTTTTTCTGCGCCAAATTCTGATATTGTACAGGGAAGAGATATTTGGTCCTGTATTGGTCGTCGTCCAAGCAGAAACCCTGGACGAAGCCATTGAGATCATCAATTCGAACAAATACGGCGAGTTGGACTGAACTTTACCATCAGGAGCTGATGTCCTTATTAGGAAATGGTGCTGCTATCTTCACGAATTCGGGTGCCACAGCCCGCAAATTTGAGGTGAGAGTCAGTTTATACGACTGCCTTCTCTTCTCATTCATTCTCAGAGCGACGTCAACGTCGGACAAATCGGTGTAAATGTACCCATCCCCGTTCCTCTGCCAATGTTCGCCTGGAGCGGCAACAAGGGCAGCTTTTTGGGAGACATCGGGTTCTATGGCAAGAGGTACGTTTGGATAAGCTTGTGCTGCCGACCGTGTACTGACTTCCCGTGTGCAGCGGCGTCAACTTCTATACCGAAAACAAGGTAAGGCAAGAGCTGAGCTATCTGCTAGTCGTCTCACTCCCATTAGACAATTACTTCGCTTTGGAAGTCCGAAGATGCACTTGTTACCCGTGCTTCGGTGAACATGCCCACTCATCATTAGAAACCCAATGTACCATTGCATCTATTCTTCAACTAGTTGATCAAGAAATGCTTTGGAGAGCGCAGTGCATTGCTGAAAGACTTTTTCGAAGTCCTTGATTCCACCATACCAAGGATCAGGAATGCTCTTGCCATCCAGATAGCTCCCCCACAAACGAACATCAGCAGTGGCGCCTGACGGCATAACTCGTTTAATATCTCGCAGGTTGGAGTCGTCCGATGCAAGGATATGAGTAAACTCAGTGAAGTCCGAGCTCACAGACAATCAGCCGGTGAATTGGGAGAACCAAACCGGAGTCGCTCACGTTTTTAGCTTTCTACTCGCATGAAAAATGGGAACCTTATGTTTCTGGCAAGTTGAAATCGTTCTGATCATTGAACGTCAACTGTGCACTTCGTTGTAGCTCAAAAGAGGCCATACCGCTAGAATGGACGCACTTAGATCACATTAGTAACAAAATCTTGAATCTCACATCATCCGGATCTTCACCAGCGTGGTATCCTGCCGTTCCTGCACTATCGACCTATGCCCATGCTTGATTTTGGAAGAGGTCATTTTCGACGGACTGACAGATATGTTCACTCCCCGAGATTTCGCTGCCGATCTCAAAACAGCCTCACCCATCGGTGAACGACAGATATTTCCTGGGTTTACTGCTATAGTTCGAGCTAGAAAAGCCAACTAATGTTACTTGCCGAGACACACAACGAGAACTTTTGCTATAGGCTCTTCTGACATGGTCGCGTCGCGTAGATGCGTCACGCTGTGACCGAGCTTCAGCATGCCTTCACCACCAATCGAAGTATTTCTGACGACGATCGCGTCCCAGCCAGTCCTACGCCAAAGACAAGAATACATTCTACGCATCTTGCAAACGAAGAAGATACCATTCACATCCTATGATCTTGCTTCCGATGAAAACGCTAAGCGGCGCTGGAGGAGGAAAGCCCCTGCAGACAAACAGCAACTACCAGGCATGCTCGTTGGTGGAACTTACCCGGGGGTAAATTCATCAACAAAATTCAGTATTTAAGCTGAACATCGAAACATTAGGCTTTCGCTGACTTGTGCGTTGGCCATCTGGAGCACCCTCCTCTTCGCTCATAACCAGCAGTGAAGAGGCCGTCGAATGCGGTGAACTAGACACATATCTCCGCCTCAAGGAGACTTGGGATGCCGACATAGATGGCGATGGCTCAGCCGCTATACCAGTCCAACCCATTGGAGTCCCCGGAGCAGTCATGCCTCTCGAAATGACACCCGAACACATACGCAGCAAAATTGTTGCAGAACGCACCGCCTCCGCAGCTGCTCCTCTCAAGAAAGGCATTCCGGTCAACAAACGTGACGATCTCTTCGATGTAAGCACGGAATTGTCTGGATTTGGGCTTCAAGGTCAGTCACAAATCTTTGCAAACCTGAATTATCGACGAGAACACATCCAGGTGTGCAAGTCTCGGAGAAGGACTTGATAGATCTCGTAGCCGAACTAGGACTCGATGGAGACGAGGCTGGCGACTTGGTCAAGGGTCTTAGTGGTAGCAGTGCAGCCCCAGTTGCCGCAGAGAAGGTTGTTAAACCTGTGAAGGAAGCCGAGAAGGTCAAGAGATCTGTGAAATCTGAGGAACCTGTGAATGAAGGCGCAAAGGTGGAAGATAAACCTACAGTGGAACCCACGGAATATTCACCAGAAGAATCGGACAAGAAGACAGATGATGACAAGCAAGAATAGGTTCTGGTTGGATGGTGGTATTTATTTGGGTCAATTATCTGGATACAAAAGTCGTGAAAGTGTACTACATCAAAATGGAGGTCATGAATCGGAATCCGAAGAAACGGGGTCGACAAGCTTTGAACGTCGCCGTCGCAGTGGAATTGTGTTGCTGTTCGGAATGAGGATTGGGGTAGGAAGCTCTTCCAACTTCAATTCCTAGCGAAAAGGATGAGAAGACCCGTATTCTTGAAACATGGGAACTCACTGCTCTGCTACTCGTTCTACGACGTAGAATCGAAGGCTTTTCTTCGCTGCTTTCGGAAGAGTCTGAACTGGCGCTAGAGACCACGACTTCTTCGGCAACAGGCTCCAACTCAATCTCGAGTATCGAGGTGGGCCGCCGGAATGTCATTGGTATGACGCAAATGCCGACAACGATAGAGGAGATGGCCATGAAGATGCAAGCAGAAATGAGCGCAGTAAGCAGAGGGAAACGAGTCACCAAGCCGCTAGGCAAAGTGAGTAATGGCGGCCAAACAATTGACGACGCACCGAAGGCCATGGTGAACAACAACGCCATTCAACGTGGCTGAAACCACACTTAATTCACGACCTTGCTCACTCCCCAAACTTTTCCAATGATCACGTCGCCCAATTTCAACATCTGCAACAACATTGGACGTCCCAGTCGCATAAGAAGTCAGCAAGGGTATATGGACTGTGATAAACGCGGGTCTTCGCGACATTAGACCAAGACGCGGCGGTACAACGATTGCCTAAGCTCGAGCGTTAAATGAAAGGAACATATGGATATCTGGATACGAACAGGTCGACGAACTGAGATGATAGTCTTATTAGAGCGAGTGGTCAGTGTTAAACCGGCCATGAAGTTGCCCAGTGCGAAGTTGGAGTCGATGTTCGGAACCTGCAAGTCAAGAGACATGTCGTAGCGCTGCTTGGAGACAAGTGGAGGTAGATCTGCATGGGCATATGGTGGTAGTCCGTCTCTGCATGTTTTGTGGTTGGTTGGAGAGAAGTGGAAGAAAAGGAAAGCGTGGTACCCATATTGGAGGTATAATGTTGTCCGCCAACTGACCGCTGCATTTTTCCATACGATCCATCCAGCAGATGCTGAGAGAAGCGAGATAAGAGGTATAAGTGACAGAAACACCAGCAATGGCAGCGTCGGACGAAGGAGGAACCAGACAGAGGACACGAGCGAACGCGTTGAAGGCAAAAGCATGGTAACGCGCCGTGACAGGCATGGAGTTGAGCGATCTGTTCAATCTTTCACCCTCAGCCGATGCTCTCGCCAACCACATCCAAATACTTTCCGCTCTTGCATCCGTGCGAGATGTAGTGCCACAAATCAAAGCTTATCCAGATGCTGTCTACTTCAACTACTTTCAACTCGGTATCAGCTTGCTGTTCTCACCAAAAAACGGCTACAAACCAACTACTGGCACTACTCGCTCTGAACTCAGAGAGAAAGACCTTGCGCTCGAAAGCATTGACATATACAACGTTCCTAAACTTTCTCCATCTTCATCCAAGGGTGGCTCTACGCGCAAATCAGAGCTGGCGTTCGCGACGTATCCAGGAATCCCATTTTCCATCAAGCTTGCCCAAGTTGAAGGGAGAACACAATCGACCTTCAAAGTGGGTGAACAGACAACGGGTAAAGAGTTTGTAGAGTGTTTGGGGGAACCAGCACGCAAAGGAGGAGGTGCAGGACCATCATCGGGATCCATTGGAATTTGGTGTGAATGGACTGCAGACGGAATGATGGTCGAGTTTGGGGGCATTGAAGCTACTGGTGCGCAGGCATGGGAACGCGGAAAGGATGCTGTGTGGCACGTAGTCACATTGTTCCGGAAAAAGTAGCAAATAGAGTTCTGGATTGGCTGGATACACGGCACAGTCCGATGGCCTAGTGTGGCCATGATTATCATGGGCCTGAGGACGATGAAAAAGTGTCATATGATTGCTGACGTAATGACATCGTTTAAGTAGCATGTGATTGACCCCAGATTTATCACTGCTTAATCTTTGACTTTCACCATCTTGCGTTGGTTCCCTCGAAATGGCCGTCCCTGCAGAACTCAATATCTTGAACATCACTGGAAAGTATACGATTAACAAATGCGCGTCGAAATCTTGTTTCCCGATGACCACATTCTGACTGTTCCACAGCGCTCAGCGGTGAGACGGATTCGATTCTCAGCCTTCAGGGTGTTGGATGGTGCGTTCGCTTTATATCACGTCCACTTCCGCTTAATGTTGTGTTCAGGATCAAGCGCAAGGCCATCCAATTGGGTACTATCACCCTCTTCGTCAAGCATTACAAGGATGACAAGGGTGAAGAGCACATCGACATTGACCAGGCAAGTCAGCCTTCAATGATTAACCCCCAACAGAACTCAATATTCTTTAGACTGTCACTGGCGGAATCCCAGGAACCAGAGAAGAGCGTCATCTCACTTGGCAAGAACGCCAACACAGTGATCATCTGTTTGGCCATGTCATTGGCAAATCTAGGTCAGACCCTTCTCTATGACCGACCCTAAAGTAATTTTGTCAGGCGTGTTCAAATTTCAGAGCTTGAAGAGGAATTCTTGAAGGATGGATGGACCGCCGACACAATCGAGCATGGTCTTGTAGAGTCCCATGTCGCAAGGTACGTTGACATTCTGCCTATTTCCTTCCCTTTTTATCAAGAATATAGTGATACCCCCAAGAGCGGCACTTCCTGGATCGCCCACCAGACTTGGGGTATGCAGGAAATCAATGGGGAACGCCGCTACACCAGACACGTCAAGTTCACAGGACCCAAGGGCGAGGACATTGAACGCCTCATTGTCTTCGACTATTGTGCGTACTCAATAAATTATTCTTGTCCCAATCTCATCCCATTTTGTAGTGGGTCCTTTGTAATTTATCCACATCAATTAAATAACACCCAAGTGTAACCATCAATCTATTTCTATAACCTCCGGCTCCGTTGCTTTACTCTCCGTTCGTCTTCTCTTCGTAGAGCCATCGCGCATCGAATAACTCCATCCCGCTGCTGTCTCTGATTCTGACGAATCTTCCATTTGAGGTGGTTCATCATCCCTTTCGCTCTCCTCCTCCTCATCATCTGAACTATCCGTTTGACGTTTTCGTTTACCGGCACCTTTCGTTCCAGAGCCCTCTGCTGCGGATTTCTTGGCTTTACTTTTCCGAGTGATTGAGCGAAAGCAACATTCTATCTTGGGCACGTGTTCTGAGCTTGACAAACGGTCTCGAGGGACTCGCGTGAGTCGCAGTGCGATTGCACCAGTCTCGAGATATACCACAGTGCTGTATGCTGTTTGGTGGTAACTCTCCACTAGGTATCTGTGTACCAGCAGCTCAACCAGGAGAGTCTCGAGTTCCTGACAAGACCTCGAATCAGAGACAAAAAGAGTCGAAAGCAAGTGCACTTACGTCTTTCTTCAGTCCGACTTTGCCACCACACACAAGTCCGAGGTTAAGATCCATCTTGTGCTTCCCTCGACGACCTCCGCCAACCTCATAGCTTCCTCCTCCGGCCCCACGAGCGAGGTCAGCCAGCATCGCAAGCGTCAGTTGGCCGCCAGTGGCCTTGACAGCATCGGCCACACGTAACACTTGCCATGCTGAAGATATGTGAATTTTCCAGCGGGTACGAAACCTAATGACATGCCTTCCAGAGTAACATCGCGTTGACTATAGCTGTCCGGCGAGCGTTTGCAGTTATCACAGTGATTACAAGGAGCTAAAGCGTTCTTCTCCGCTGTCGTCCAAGCAGACATGGAGAGTTGCGAGGAGTGCGAGAAATATCTGGGCTTATTAGTTCAATCGCCACAAAATGCCGAATTTCGCACTTGGCAAAGGCGATTTTGCGGCATTCCCGCATATCCTGCGCAAAGTTTAACATGGAGTGGACTATGGGTATGGCGTTAATAGACGACCACAAAGAGCTTTAAACTTACGTTTTGATGCACCATCCCGTTCGCCGGCCATCATCGCTGAGATGTGAGAAAAGTCCGCTGGGCGGTAGAACAATAGGCAATCGGAATCTTTGCCGTCCCGTCCTGCTCGCCCGCTTTCTTGATAGTACCCATCGAGAGACTTCTGCAGCGGCCGTTGAGAAGTTACCAAGTTAATTTTAATGGAGACCTACAGAGAGGGAATGATGTATGACGAATCGTACGTCGCCTTTGGTCGCAAGATGAGTGAGCGCAAGCCTGGTTGAATGAATGACCTTTATCAATGCCTAGTCCGAACGCTGCGAAGGAAATCAGAATCTATGCAGAGGGGTGGTAGCACTGAAGGCACCAATGGTAGCGCAAACCACTTTGATATCGCCCTTGCGCCATTGTCGATGGAGTTTCTCTTTCTCTTCGTCATGGCGTTCAGCATGGTATACGCCCGTCTTGATTTTTCCGTCGCTCTCCTTGAGCAGGCCCTCCGCGACACGTTCTGCATCCTTCCTAGTGAAGCAATAGACAATCCCAGTGTGATCGCGATGATGCTCAAGGATATAGTCTTTCATAGCCACTATGGCTGCCTGTGCTGACGCCGGTTTTGGTAGCACATTGTAGTGTAGATTAGGGCGGTAGAGTGGCGACGAAAAATAGACCGTGGCACCAGCTTGAGTGTCTGAAGAAACGATAAGAGGGGACTACAAGTATGAGGCAATACACGTTCTTGAGCCATCTGCTACTGGTTTCATTCCTAGAGTTCGGAGGAGATCGCGCAGGACTTCTGGAGGGCACGTCGCAGACAGGGCCATGATCTGAATCATTCATTATATGAGAATGCCTAGTAATTCTGGAGCAACCATACTGGAATGCGAGGGAAGCGTTGGCGGAGTATATGAAGCTTTTGATAGTCGGGTCGAAAATCGTGGCCTAGTTGGGAGACACAGTGCGCCTGCGATGCGATTCAGCGCATAGGAGGAAATATGACGAGCCGTCGAACTTCGTCTATGACTATGCGCGCTATAAAGTACTTAAAGTGGTGTACTTTGGTACCAAAAAATGCTCACATAATTGCCCCCCATCCACTAGTTTCTGCAACATCGCCAAAAACGTTTTGCTTTTGCCAATCTTCTCCGGCTAGAAACATAATCAATGAGAGGGAAGTATAGATTAAATATTCGTACCGTTACGTAACATAACTTGATCTCCTTTTCGTGCTGGCCTCTTTTACCGTTGGCCATTGCGATCAGTCGATTGTTTATGTCGCGCGCTTCTTGTTTAGAAGTCCCACCTGTGAGTTTGACTGCCTCGACTGACGCCTCGTTAGTATTTCACTTTCCTTTTCGAGCTATACTTACTTCCAGCGTCACGAAGATGGAGAATTTGGTCGGTTATCAGAGCTATCAAAGGGGATATGACCAGGGTGCAGCCTGGGTTCAACAAGGCGGGAAGTTGGTAGGTAAGGCTTTTGCCACCACCTGTAGGCATGACACAGACGATATCACGGCCGTCCATATTGGCATTGCATGCGCTAGTCAGACTTGAGTTGAGGTGTATGTATTCGAACTTGATGCGTTACCCTTCTTGACACAGACGGAAAGACCGAATATTGAACACTTTATGAAGGTGGCCTTGGAGTTCACTTGACCATGGAAAGTCGGATGCGGTGTAGTCTGTCCCTGTCGCCTTTCCTTTCCCCTTGTTGCTGGTCGGTGCAGTCAGTTCCTCAAGCTCGGCGAGGAGTTTGTTGCGATCGTCTGTCCGAAGTGCGGCAAGAGCCTTGCTTGGTTGAATGACGCGATGTTTGTGGAACAAGAGACGTACTTGGAGCTTTTTTATGTCGTCGTTTATATTCAGGAGCTCCGCATCCAACTGTGCCACTTCTTGCGTTATTTCCTGTTTCCGAAGATATTTTGGGGCGGTTTGACGAGAAGGACCTGGTTGTGGCGGGGAGGGCATAATTTCAATCTGCCTTGAGTTTAAGTATAGGTAGCTTGGCCACGAAAACGCCACACACACATCGGAATCATCCGACATGAGTACGAGTTCAACTAGAACGCGTTGAACGCGTTAAGAGAAGTTGGTAATGACAGCGTGGGACTTTACGGTTTCGGCGCGGCATTCGGTATCAAGTCCGTGACATGGACTGCGGACACTTCCATGCAGGCCACGGCAGAAAGCTCACGGAGTGGGTCTAGTAGCAGCAGTGCATCTAGTCCACCACAAATAACCCAAGATTCAACAAGAAGCAATTCCAAAGCCACCCTCCACAACTTTGAGATTGAATATCCTCAAGTTACACCCCAACAACACGGATGGTCTGCTCGTGTTTCCCGCATTTCTCAGCCTTCGCGTCTCCCACCTCCGATACGTCTGGCCTTTCTATGGCTACGAGGACCGCGTCCAAAAGTTGATCTTCCTGGTATGTCCGCGTCGAACTTGACGCTTGGGCTGCAAGTTGCTCATTGGGCAAACTAGATCCCAAGCCGCTGCTAGACATCGATGTCAGACTACGGGGTCACCACATAGTGCTACCCATAGAATCCTCATTTCTGAGGGCAACCCGAATCCTATCTAGCCACTGGTTGTTGTTCGCTGTGCTCGCGGCAGGCTATATCGTCTCATTTGCCTTCTTCGCAAGAGCCCAATTCTTCCAAACGCCATCCGATGCCTTTATCGGTCAGTCTACACGAAACTTTTGCTTTATGCTTACTTCTGTCAGGCTGCACGTCAACCTTTTGGTTAATGAACAATGGGTGTGGCTTAGACGGGGCTTCATGCGCGCCGTTCAACGATTCGTCTTTCGAGTACGTTCAGCTTCTCTAAAACTTGGTTTGTCTGACCACATTAACCAAGTTTTCGGTGTCCGGCCCAATGTAGTGGTACCATTTTGGCGAACCCGCGTACTGTTGGCAATGAGAGAACGGCATTCGTGCCGTTGATCGTGGGGGGAGGAGATGCAAATAGAACCTATCGCGGCGACAGTTTTATTTGTGCGGCCGCTATTCAGTCGTAAGGATTGGACTCTTTCCGTCGGATTGGATCTCACAACCTTCAAAGCGGATTGGTCAGCAACTCCCGCGGCGGTTGTGGCACGTTGGATCTCATCGGAAATTTCACCAACTTCCTACCCACGTCAGCCCATGGTCTCGATTCTATTGGCTTCCCAACTGTCTTTCCACTATCATTCAGATTCCGAGAACAAACGTCATTGCACCACTGTCGAGACCTTCGCGACGATGCCCTCGCGTTCAACGCAGTTATCACCGCCTTACTATTCTTACTACTCCGACCCAAACCTATCGTGCTTTTTTGGTCTCTGGTATGCATTGGCTACTGGCATATCATTCTTTTCTCTCAGCCCCGTGGGCCTCCTCCTCCTCTCGATACCGCCTTTGCAACATTCCTTCCTGCCCTATTCATTTGCTATGCGTTTTGGAGGCTTGCATTCAGATTTTGTCTTCCAGCTTTCCGGAAGGCGCCTATTGAAGCAACATTCCTATATCTCGCTCCGTTCTGGGTTGGCATCCTTGCTGGCCAGACAACGGATCGACTTCCTCTACAACGCCTCACCAGCTCAGATATTACTAAACGCTCCGGAGCTGTCACGACTCTGGTCGTCATTGTACTAATAATCGCCGCCATTGCTCTGAATCAGCTCAGAGTCTTCAGAAAAACTGGCTGGCTGCCTTACTATGTCGGCTGGTATCTCCTTGGCGGCCTTGTGACCCTAGTTTTGTCCCAACTTCCCGGGCTAAATTTACGCATCCACCATTACATCCTTGCAATGATCCTGATGCCCGGGACCGCTCTCCCCACCAGAGTTTCGGCCCTGTGTCAAGGATACCTCCTCGGCTTGTTCTTGAATGGCGCAGCTGCATATGGGTTTGCTTCCATCCTGCAAACTAAGGCGGATGTATGTCCAATATATCAACGCTAATATCACAACGGCACTAATAATTGGTCTTTAGCTCAGGCAAGATGCTATTTTCGGATCCGACTTGGCCTCCTTTGTCACTAATTCGACAAATTTCAATGCTTCCATACCACTAGCGAACCAATCCATCTCATGGAACGCCCCTCCAGCTGGTTGGGATGGATTTGCGCTCCTCGTGGACGACGTGGAACGATACGTTGGGAGTGCTCTGAACTTTTCCCTCGCGGCATTCAACACGACTTTACCGCACTTCTTCAGACTTGCTGTGAGTCTCAGAGGTGCTTGATTTAAGTTCGGTTCTCATTCACGAGTACAGCTTACTTCGAACGGGAACACTGGAGACTTTACTCGAGCGGCTACGCTCTTCCCCAATGGAACTTGGGTTGACCCTTTGCATGGTGCTACATGAATGGACGTGACTGAAGTAGTCTAAGTCGTATACATTTTTTATGGGGCCAGTTATCATACCATTCATTGCCTAGTAGTATTGTTACAGTGAATCCTGCGAAAAGGGAGGGAGGCGGGTATAACAAGCTACAACAAAAAAATTAGGAATAATTATCAAGGGTGGCAACCCCGGCATACAAAAAATACAGCCAGAAACGAAGGAAGGGTCAAGGAATGGATGAGCAACACACTGCTCCTGAGTTCTAAACTGCGCTGCCAAACCGTGAAGCGGCCCCATTACGAGATCTGGGACGGTTCACAACCCCACTCGTTTGTCGTCCCCTTCCGCAAGTGTCGCAATAGTCGCCATCAACGGCGCGAAGTCTCTCCACCTCACCCTTGAGATCACGGACTTGGCTTTCCAGCTCCTGTATATGGCGTTGCCACGCTTTTTTGGAACTAGCGAGCTGCTGTTGTAAAGATTGGACCAGCGAAGTTTGGTCCTCCGAGATTGTCGTCATCTGGATCCTGGTGTCCTTTTCAGCACTGTTGCCACGGCCAAGTATAGCAGGAGTGATTGGTGCTATAGAAGTAGGACTAGTCGAACTCGATGTATCCGCATCATCAAGGGAAGGTTGAGAATCGGAGTCTGGCGGAAGTACCAAATGATCGGCAAAATGGGCGCTGAACATCGTTGAAACAGGCCTCAATTTGAGAGCAGGAAACTCGGTGACGTTGGGCGGCGCACTCTGAGGCAGATCAGCTTGATGCCAATCTCGATCGGACAAATCGGAAGGGACTGTTCGTGTCTGGAAGTCGTCAACAGTCGAAGCTGCTCTTAATCGGCCTTGCGAGCCCGTGTTGATAGAGAGAGCGGGTGGACTTGGTCGAGGGGAAAGACGGTCATCTGAGCGCCCGCTATCAAACAGCATGGATGTCGAGATTTCTGGTGGTGGTACCCGATGTATTGAACTTTTTGCCGACCGAATTCCATTCGATTGTTGAGCATTGAGGGCAACATACTCGTCTGAGAGCTGAGGGACTGGTGGTGGGGAGTCTCTTTCATCTCCATTCCCGCGACCGCCGTTGAATAGCCTCATGAAACCACTCTTTTTGTGCTTTAATGACTTGGCTGGTAAAGGCTCCGAGTCGCGACGCTCAGGTTTCGCTGGCATTGCAACTATGTTCTGTAAGGCCACCTTGGCTCGGGCGCCAGCACTGATTGAACGAGCTCGAGAACGAGAGGCTACACTGTTAGTGGGGCTGTGATTGGGGCCATCAGGTGGAGCTTCAGGGAATGGAGTTGTTGATGTCGTTGCAATGGAAAAGTTTTGAGTGTTACGCGTCCGTTGAGCTCTGGCTTCTTCTAAGGATATGAGAGCAAAGTTTTGCCCTGGAGGTAAAGCCGGGGCCATTAGAGGTGACGAGATATTGACCGTAGAAGGTATGGGAATGGGGGCCGATATTTCTTTCCCATGGAACATGGAGGCTCTCATTCGTGGGCTATGAGAGGGTGACATGGAGGTAGAGGAAGTATCCGCAGTCAAAGTCGATCCTGTGACGGAGCGCGATAATGATGTGGATTCTGTGACCGTGCTCGCTTCACTTCTTGCGATACTGGGAACACGGAAAATGGTTCGATTCGGGGCAGGCGTCAGAGAAGAGTCTTGATCGTCAGCATAAGAAACAACCAAGTCAGGGTTCGCATATGGATGCATTTCTTCCGAATAACTGTCTCTTCGCGTCAACGGTGATTTGTTATTAGACGGAAACGGAGACGGCGTGTTAGAATGATAGGAGATTATAGACCGAGGACTAGGTGGGGCGCGCGGAGATGGTGGATTCGCGTAGCCGGGAGACTCTGAACGGGTCACAGGGAAATTTAAACGCAGTCCTGATCTTCCATTGCCTGTAGAAAGGGTACTTGAAAGATATCAATGATATTGAAGCAGTTCGGGGTAAAAGGAAACCTACTTGAATGGGCTGCCGCGACTTTGTGGTGAACTAGTTGAGGACGTCGTTTCAAATGATCGTTTCGGTTTGGCCTGGTGGGAGCGACTTGATTCTCCACTGGGTCTACTGCTAGCAGTTGTTCCACGGCTCGAGGAGCGAAACCCCATTCCCTTCTTGAATCCATCTCTACCACGGGGGCGGTCGGGGTCTATTTCCTCTTCTTCCTCCAGGGTATCGGATAGCTCCCATGGTGCCTGCTCGCACGTTAATACCGCCAAGATGAGAAAAATGAGAGTCTTGCCTTCTCAATCATACGCATTCGAGGTCCCTAGATAGCGTATTTTGAGAACACTTTAAAGGTGACGGGAGGAAGAAAGCTACCAAGAAGCTCATTCGCGTGTCATGGTCCGCATCAACAGTTTCCGCTGCATCCTCCTCCGAATCAGAATGGGACTCGGTTTGAGAGTCGTCGTCAAAGTCGAGCATACTGTTGGCGAGATCATTGAGACGAGACCTTGGCTCCAAGTTGGCATAATCGTTGAGACGGGAACGTGGCTCCAAGGGGGGTGGCGAAGAGGGGGGTGAACGAAAAGAGTGGAGGGAGTGAACGTCAGAATCACTGGGTCGGGGTGAAAAGAAAGGGACACTATATACAGACGGTGTGTCATCGGCATAAACGGCAGTGTGGGCGTAGCGCGCATCCAGTAACTGACGAATATGTTGCTGTTCGTCAGTCATGCCAGCGTCGACCAGCCCAGCAAAGGGAAACCGGCAATGGCTGTGACCAGACGTGACAAGCTTCAATTTGTCCATCAATATTATGGGTCGAGTTTCTGGTCGCACTTGGAAACCCCAGCAAACAGCGACGCGTAGGACACATCTTCAGCCAGGGTTGAAACAATCATGGGAGGATCGCATTGCACAAAGCACCAAGTTGGCTGCTGTCAAAAAACTAGAGAATGAACTCAAGGAGGAAAAACAGGCTGAGCGCACACAGTCCGTAGAGATCAAGCTTCCTGGAGGTTTGCAACGACTGAATCATTCCAGGCGGGTAGAAAAAATCAAGGCTCGTAGGAAAGCAGCAGAGGAGAGGCGGCGTTTAGAGGAAGACAAGGCGAAAGTGAGTGACACTTGGACTTGTCAGCACATCCACTGAATTCACTGCCAAGATGGGTGCACGGAAAGCCGCCAGACTACGACGGAAAGCAGGTCGATCCAAAAAAGTCAATGGTTAACATGTATTCCATATCATAGCGCCCAACTTGTATCCACTATTTCGCCTTCCCTGACGAATGGCTTGTCCAATCCAGCAACGATACTCTCGCAAAGGGGACAACTGCTTGCCAGCAATTCTTCCAATTCAGCTCGCAATCGCTCGGTCTTTGCCTTTTTGTTCCCATCGGATTCTCCGCCCTTCTTTCCACCACCCATCCATGTTGGGGCTGAAACTGCAGCGGCCAAGGCATCAGGAACAATAAGATCCCTAAGTTTGTCTCCAGCTGAAAGTAGATTTCGGCCAATTGCACGGGTTCCCGTTTGCAACGGATTGACTACGAAATTGGCAGACAGTAGTGTTCGTTGTGAGACTGGTTGTCTGGGCGGTGCAGGACCGCCATTCGTGGATGGCGGAGGAGGCGTGCCCTTGACCAGTTCATTTTGCAAGGCAAGAATCTTGCGCAACGAGTGTTGTGGTAGATACTCTTTTGCCTGGAAGCCAATCAGTCGATGAAGGACGCTGATAACATATTTTCGCGGACCAAACCAATCAGACAATCTGCGTGGAATGTGTGTCGGCAAGGGAAGACGTAGAATTGTCTGGTCAACAGTATATGGGAACAGACCGAGCATTGTTCACCGGCGCTCACGGTCACAAACCGATTCTTGAGAGCGCCAATGTCTTGCTTGATCGAGTCGGCAGTCCGAGTAGCTTCATCCATCTTACTCTTCAGTTCGTTGATCTGATTAGAATAACCCTCTAATGCATTTGTGATCTCCTCTTTGAAGTCATCGATGACCACAAAATCGGGGAAGAATGGCAACACGTCCTCGATCTTGAGCAAGTCGGTATTCTCCAAAAAGAGCATCGCCCTGAGAAAAGTCAATAATTTGGAAAAGGATAAAACACGCGCACGTCTTGATATCTTTCTTGTCCTGTACAACATAACGAGCGATTTTCAACCACAATTTCTTGCGAAGCGGTTGGTCGTCCTCAGGCTTGTCGGCATTGAGTTTTGCAAGCTCGATGTCGCCCTTCTCCAATGCCAAGTCGACGCTGTTCTCCCATAAACCCATTTTCGAGTAGATATGAACACAGGGTTGTGTTCTACCAGCTTGTTTACAGAGGCGAAGAGCATAGTCAAGATCGTAGTACGGCTTGTCGGTCAAAGGATCAGCAGGCGCAGCCGCTAGGAACCGGAGGAGGGGAGCATCGTCTTCTGGTGTTCGTGTCGGCGAGCTTGGCAACGGGTGGGCTGAAGGGGAGACGTAGAAGGTGATGAGTAGGTTATGAATAATCGGATTAGTGTTGTATTGCTCAAAAATGACGTGGTTCAGATATCGAACAGCTTGGTTTGGTGATAAAGGGTCTCGAGGGGCATGTTGTAGCTGCAACAATGAAGGGACAAGACGAAGAGGATCGAGCGCAGATTGCTTTATCCAGGAATCGACAGTCTCTTTGGGGACGTGTCGCATCAATACTGGACCGAACCGGTAATAAAGTTCGAAGTCTGACTTCGCGGGTTTGAGTTGGGTAGGTGACTCAAGTGACGGTCCAGAATTACCTGTCTGTTGATGACATCGATAGCCTTCGTCCATTCTTCCTCCAATATCCAATGGTCGATAACGCGCTGGGAATCACCAATCACAGTGGCATAATGCAAGTACATGTCGACGCGACCGTGAGCCTGGAGTAGTTCGTAGACAGTGTTTGGCTCCAAGTTGCTCTTGACGTTGTTAGAATGATCTGAGGTTCGTCTTTCCGCATACCTTATACGTCTCGAAAAACTGTCGAAGATCCTCTTCAAGAATGGTTCTTTCGGCCAGAAAATTGTTGACATCATGAGAAATGGATTCCGAGGCCACAATATCGTCCAACTCGTTGATTTTGCTGAGGTAAAACTCGACGAGCCATGTCGCAAGCATCATACGTTGCGTGATATCCTGCAGCGACCTTGATGAGTATGACAATTATCGTAGGACTGTCCACACACAGATTTTCGAGTTCGCTCCAACCGAGAAATGAGGTAAGACCTTAGAGAATCACGTTCTCCAACGTCCAAAAACTTGAGGGCCACCTCCTCGAATTGAACAGAACATTGGGAGTAACATTGGGCCGCTTGGAAGTACCGTCCCTCCTTGAAAAATGCACTGGCTTGGGCAGAGAGTACATGATCACGCTGGCTTGCTGTCTGGAAGTTCGTTAGACACGGCGAACTCAAAGTGGAGGTCCCCACCTTGGCATACCGCAATGCAACATCGAACTTGCCTTGCTGCAGATAAATCTTCCAGACGTCCCTGTCCTCATTGTCCGCAACGAGTTCGAAGAGAGATTGATCTGTGAAAACCCAAAAGGTTTTGCGCACTGGATCAGCAGCAAGGCCTTTGACGACTTCGTTTTGTTTCTGTGGTAGACAACGTCACCAGAGCTGTTCAAAGAGAGCTGATCGCACGTACGAGAGGGAGAGCCTCTTCATACGTCTGTTTCTGATCGAGATTGCAGATGCCGACTACACGGTCTTTGTACAAGAGGAGGAAGTGGAACTCGGTCAGAGCCATCGAGGAAGGGGCTTGCTCCGGCGTTGATGATTCAAAGGCAGTAGGGTATGGGAGGAGATCACCACCGTCGATAAAGTTATCCGATGGGGTGTCAAAGTTGAGAACACCATGATAAACGCCGTGCGCTGAGAGAGAGAGAGTCACACATAGAGCGTTGGTGGAGAAATGGAATACATACACGTCAACCAAGCCATGTTCTGAGGTAATGACAGTGCTTGGTCTGCATTGAGGGAGAAATAATGCAGTTCTGACCGCTTGTCCCCAGGTAGTTCGAGTATTTGTGGTTGTGTATTGGCGAAAAGACCAGTGAAAACACGACTTCCGTCTTCAGAACGTCTATCTGGAAGACCAGAGTACTGGTAAAGACGCGTATCTGTGCTTAAGATGACGAGCACTCGACGCGGATCGGAGGCAGGGAAGAAGTCAAACTTGACACCAGTTATACGGTCGCGTAAGGCATGAACTTGTTGCAGATACCTGTCGGGTGACTGGAAAAGGTTTTCCTCCGCATCGATGAGGCCTTCGAACAAGACACCATTCTGGCTTCCGATCAACATCTCTCGAGTAGACTTTGCATAAGAGGCGGATAGCAAAGCAGCTCTGTTCCACGCGATACATTCGATGACCATGCGGAATGACTTTAGCTGCTTGGGCTTCTTCCAACCGCGGTACAAGTACCAGTTCTCGCCTTGCGTCGAAGTAATGATAATATGGCGACCTGAAGGATCCATGAATAGTTTGTAGATGGTCATTTCAGTAGGTTTGCGGGGTATCGGAATTTGAATGACTTGGTCGGAGCGGGAGAGTTCTATTAGAACAATGACATTGGTAGAGAGCGCCATTGCGAGCATGTCTGAACAGACGACGAATGCAACTAACGGAGCAGGAAAGACATATTGGACTCTGCACAAGTCGATAAGTGGTGTTGTAATCGCGTTGGCGGCTTCCTACTCTATTGAGAAGGGTTTACAATGGTCTATTTCGTCACACACCACAGTCTCTGGTAATATGTCGTCCACTTCTGTTGAAGGAGGCTCGAATCCTTGATATTGAAGGGCAGGTAGTGGGACAGCCGTTGGTGCCGCTGCATGCTCTACATCTATGTAAGTTGTCAGGGTTAAACTTCAAGCTTCACAAGTGCAATAACGCTCACAGTCGTCAAACATCCCCACCTCGAAGGTGCGCAGTGCAGTGCAGAAGAGTCAGTCACGTCACCAAGGATTAGTCATCACCACGGCTGCCTTCGGCCTTTCCCTGAATCTTCAATCTATCGGAAGTTATATAGCGAACTTAACCTCTCTTGGCTTGTAACCACCATCTTGCTCGAGTCTCCTTCGAATCCTTCATTGACACTAAGATGGCTCAAGAGAGACCGATGCCCCGCTTATGGGTAATCAGACATGGAGAAACTGAATGGTCACTTTCTGGACGTCATACTGGAAAAACCGACATCCCTCTGACTTCTCGTGGGGAGAAGGAGATCGAGGAGAAAGCTAAAACGATTGTCGGCGATGGCAGTACTGCTATCCCTCTTCATTGCTGGCGTCGGCTCTGATTTAATTCAAGAGCCTATCGACCCAAAGAATCTTTGCACCGTATTTGTCTCTCCACGTCTCCGGGCTCATACAACCTTCCACCTACTTTTCGCCCACGTTGAGACACCTCATCACACACTCACCGAAGTAAGTGCGTTTGTCCATATCATCAAGTCTTATCTTATTCCTTCAGGATTGCGCCGAGTGGGATTACGGTGAATATGAGGGGCTTTTATCGTCTGAAATCAAGGCTCGTGATTCAAAGTGGTCCATCTGGAAAGATGTAAGTGCGCTCTACCCCCTCTACTGACTCTAAATTGGTCAAGGGATGTCCTGGAGGCGAGAGTGTCGAGCAAATGCAAGCTCGTGTTGATAAGATAGTTGGAAAGGTTTGCTACTCTCTGCTTAACGTAGTCCTACGCCTTATTCCATCATAGGTGCGCGAGTATCATAGGCAGTACAAGGAAGAAGGACTCAATACGCGCGACGTCGTCATCGTGGCGCATGGGTGAGTTTGTTCTCCTTTTCTGTTTCGAATCTGAACCTGCTCTCAGTCACTTTAGTCGTGTTCTCATCGCTCGTTGGCTCGACATGCCTCTGGAGTTTGGAACCAAGGTGAACTTTCAGGCAGGAGGGGTTTGTGCTCTTAGCTACAACCACAACTCCTTGAAAGAGCCGGCCTTAAATGCCTTAAATCTTCATGCGGATGTTATCTAGTCATGCAGCAAGAGAAGAGTCCTCTTGTTACGAAAGCAGGGAGCTGTTCTATAGATTTTTTTGCGTGACCTTGGTTGTTGGACAAATCAAAAAAATATTATTGTAGCGACCGTTGCCCTCCTCCTGAGTCCCTCACCAGAGTCCTTGTATCTCGCTCGATAGGTCAAAGCCTATGATGCTTGAACGAAAACTTTTTCTATGTGCGATCAGCCTGTCGAGTGACCGCGAAATAACCCACGTTGTCCGTGACGGTCATGGCGGAAGTTGAGGCTGACACGGTCGCAATTTCAGAGCAAATCCCGGGAACAGACACGACTGCACCTCATGAAGAGCACGAGGCTGAGGCCGCTGCTGATGAGCTCTCATTAGCGGATTTGACTCCAAACCAGCCAGCAGATAGCGCACCACCACCTCAAGAGTCGACCACGGAGCCACCAAGCGGAACTTCGCAAGAAAATGGTTCGGTCCAGGCCAAAGTGGCGACTGCAGTCAGTAAAACGGCTGCAAAAGTCAACGGAGCCGCGTCTGGGGTGAAGAAAGTACGTTTGCTGTTTCCAAAGCTTGTCTGCTTCTTAAACTCGTTCTTCTCCATTATAGGTGCTAAACTCGGGCACTTTTGGGGCGACTAAGCCTGCTACCTCTAAACCGACAACTGCCCCCGCAAAACCTGCCGCTGCTCCACTTAAGAAATCGACCAGTACTCCAGCGACTGCCTCCTCAAAGCCACCGATGTCGTCAACTACAACCAAACCAGCCGTTTCATCCACGACTGCGCGAAGAACATCGCTGGCCCCAGCCAAATCATCAGCCCCTCCAATAAGCAAACCTTCTTTATCCGCCTCCGCTTCATCAAAGCCAACCACAGCTCCAACAACGGCTACAGCACGTGGGGTGGTCTCTCCCACTGGCTCAAAGTCTCCGCCTGCCGCAGATGGCCCAATTCGTCCACGTGCATCTGTTTCGGAAGGTGTTAAGCGGACACCTCTGACCTCAGCCCGACAAAGTTTAACTGCCGCGGCTAAGGCGCCTTCGACAGCTTCCAAGCCGCCAGTCGCCTCCAAGGCAGCCTCAACAAAACCTCCGACTTCTGTCGCAGCTAAGAGGGCATCTGCCTCCATTACATCAATCCAAGAAGTCCGAGAAGACACTAAAGCGTTGGAGGATCTTCAAACAAAGGTACCAGTCATGTGTTACCCAAATATCATTGAAACTTATTGTTGAATTCAGCTTGAAGAGGCTACTCAATCTCTTGCGACGAAGACAGAAGCTGCCGCTGAGTTGGAGAAAAAAGTGGAAGAATTGAACACATCACTTGCTGCAGCACTTGCGGATGTTGAAGCAAAGGGATCATCGTCAAACGAGCTCTCAGAAGCAAAATCAGCTTCAGAAACTCAATTGAAGGAGGCTAACGAAGCTCTCGAGAAGCTTAGGAGTGAGCATCAAGATTCGGAATCTGTCTTGTCGTCAATTCAAACAGAAGTAAGTTTATATCAGATCGTTTTCAGTGTCGTATGCTGAAGCACTGCATTTCGTTCAGCTCGAAGCTGCTAGAACGGCTGCCGTGGCTCAGAAGGAACTAATCGACAACCTCCAAGAGCAGATTACTTCGCTGGAAGCGGAGGTCGCCCAAAGCAAACAGAATCTTGAGTCGTTACAAGCCTCGCACTCTGGTGCTGTCTCTGATGCCGCTGCCGCTTCTGCGGTTGAGCACGATGCCTTACTCAAAGCCCAGTCCGATTTCAGCGCTATTCAAGTTGAAATCGAGGCGCTTAAAACCGCTCATACCCAAGCTCTCGATGATTTGCAAGCGAAACTTACTACTGCGGAGGGCAAAAATTCGACGATTGAGGCTTTGGACGCTCAATTGGCTCAACTGAAGGAGGAGAAGGAGGATGCTGCATCCAAATTGTCAGAAATAGAGGTGGAGGTTCTTGAGCTCAAAGAAGCCCAGGAAAACATCGAAGAAGAACGCGCAACAACATCAGCTCAAATCGCCAAGCTGGAGGAGGAACTTGCTCAGGCGAAGTCGTCGACTCAGAAAGCCATCGATGATGCCCAAGCGAAGGAGGCTGAACATCTTTCCCAGATGGACGCATTGAAGGCGGCTCATCAACAAGACATGACAATTGTCTCTGATACCCATGCACAAACCAAAGTACAGTTGGAGTCTGTCCAAGGAGAGTTAGTGACTGCTCTCGCAAATCACGAAACTCAATCTGCTCAACATACTCGTCTACTTGCGGAGGCCGAGGAAAATCACGCTACCAGGCAGGCCGAACTCGCTGCTGAATTAGGGAGTATTAAAACGGAACTCGAGGTATGTGGCTTCATGGAACGTAGCTTTTGGTTTTAACCATTTGCCTTAGAGCCAGGAGGCGCACTACGATGCCAAGGTCGCTGGTGTCAAGGCTGAACACGACAAGTTGCTTCAAGAAGCCTTCGAGCGCGCGAAAGCAGAAGCCATAGAATCACACCAGCGGGATCTAAACGGACTTCGTGCGGAGTCGGGCAGTACAATGGATCAAGTCCGTGTTGCACACGAGACAACGTTGAATGAGCTCAAGGCCGAACACGCTTCAATACTTGAATCGACCGCTGGCGGGTTGGAGAAGCAGATCAGCAAATTGAGTATTGAACTCAAAGCAACGCAGGATGATCTCGTCAAAGCAAAAGCCAATGTCGAAGCTCTGAAAGCAGAGGTCGAAACTCTCACTACCCAACGCGATGAGGCACGGGCAGCCTTGGCGGCTACACCTGAAGTCTCGCCACAACACGTTGAAGAGGTATCCCGATTAACCAATGAATTAAGCGCGGCAAAAGACGATCTTAATGCCATGACGGAGATCCGCGACCTAACGAAATCCTCTCTTGAGGCCATGACAAAGAACCACGCTATTGAATTGGAAGAGGCCGCTAGGGCACGTGCGGAGGAGGTGACGAAGCTTCGGGCAACGCACGACGAGGAAATTACCCAGTTGGCGACTTCGAAAAGCCAAATGGTTGCTAGATTGTCTGATTTGGAAGGAGAATTGTCGACGTTGCAAGCAAGGCATTCTGCTGAAGCCCCTTCTGCACCCAAGAGTAATGGCGCCGCTGTACCACCGTCTTCGCCAGGCATTACCAAGGAGGAACTTCAACAAATGCACGAGGCTCACAATCTCAAGATCCATGACTTGCAAGCGGAACACGAGAAAGCCATCAAGGCTTTGAAAGAAGAATTAGAGGCGGCAGAAGCCAAGGCTTCCCAACTCGAAAACGATTTGGGACGAAAGGCGATGGAGCTTCAGTTCCAAGAGTCCGAGAATGAAGATCTCCAGGGACGAATTGAAACGTATGCTTTTTTTTAAACCTGATCCTCTTGTCACTGAAAGCATATGCCAGACTGCAAGAGGAACTTGAGGCAGCGAAAGCACCCACGGCAGATTGATACCGTTCTCGTCTGACTTTTTCTTCCAAGTTGGCTATACCTCGCATGCTGCTTTCGTTACACACTATGGATAACCGCATACCATTTTCTACGATATTCATTTGGAATTATTTCTCTGCTTTTATTGTACCGCGATTGAGAGACTAGTTGAGACCCCGAATCTGACGTCTTGTCACCGGAACCCCAACGATTTGCCATCACCGAATAAACTCTTCCTCTCCCCCTTCACTCACAACCACTAAAATGGGAGTCCAACGAGAGCCCGGACAAAAAGGCGTAAACTGGTCGAACATTGCCGTCGGTACGCGCTGGAATAGTCTGTTCGCAGTCTGTTTTCTGAATTTCTGGTAGGCGCCATTATGAACATGGTGCGATACTTGTTCAAGCGTGTTTCGACGCGTATTTCTCCAGCTAACCAATACCCTTATGCTTCTCTTCTATGCAGTTCGTGAGTAGATTAATTCCTCGTGCGTTTTGGCTATCTACTTACCGACACTATGCAGGAGGTAGACAACTTTTTTTTCGCAGTAGAGTCAAGTACCCATCTATACCGCAGGTCACCACGCTTGGTCAACCGTTAGAGGTGCTCAAGACTCAAATGGCTGCGAACCGCTCCCAGCCAATGTGGCAAGCATTCAAGGCTGTCGCCGCTCGAGGCGGTGTTGCCGGATTCTATCAGGGTCTCATTCCCTGGGTTTGTGCCATGTCTATCGATGCATAACCCTACTCAAATTTTGTTCTAGGCTTGGATAGAGGCATCTACAAAGGGCGCCGTTCTCATTTTCGCCGCCTCAGAAGTCGAAACGGCAACGTTAGGGATGGTTGGCCCAGCCGCTGCTGGCCTTCTCGGTGGAATGACGGGTGGTATCGCGCAGGCTTACGCGACCATGGGTATGTTGAAAACACCTTTCAAATTGTTTCCCCCACTCATTGCGCGCTAGGGTTCACGACTTGCATGAAGACTGCCGAAATCACGCGTCAAAAAACAGCGGCGAGCGGCGTTAAGCCTCCTTCGACAATGGCCCTCTTTATGGATATTTACCGTCGTGAGGGTCTTGCCGGCGTCAACAAGGGAGTGAATGCCGTCGCCGTCCGCCAATGTACCAACTGGGGCTCTCGGTATACTTTTTTCTTCTTCTTCTTGCTACTATTTGGTCTGAGACATTTGATTTCAGAATGGGTTTTGCGCGTCTTGCGGAGACCGGCATTCGTAGAGTCCGGGGCAAATCTGATTCTGATTCCCTGGGTGCATTCGATAAGATTTTGGCTTCGTCGATCGGTGGCGCCCTTGCAACATGGAACCAGCCCATTGAAGTCGTCCGTATTGAGGTATGCAGTTTTTTTCAAATTCTGACCACGAATCAACGCGAAGAACAGATGCAATCTATGGTCAAAGACGCCGCCGCCAATGTCAACCGCCCCGCCAAACTGACGGTGTTCAACACCCTTGCATTCGTTTACAAGGAGAGTGGAATGCGTGGCCTCTACCGTGGAGTGACGCCTCGCATCGGCCTTGGCATCTGGCAGACAATATGCATGGTCTCACTAACTGACTATGTTAAAATCTGGTGGGTGTTCTTTTGGCTGTATCGACTAGTGCTCAAAGTTTTTGTAGGGTGAAGGGCAACAAGTGAGAGGGACAGAGATATACGCTATAGATTTCTACCGTTAGTTAGGCACCTACTTCCTAATGGATACACATCCATCAACTTCCGGGGACATGAGAAGGCCGGTCTTGGCCCGAACCGGTCATGAGCCCGATCGCCTTGCTGCTTCAACTTGTTTCGAACGATGAGCACGACTAAATACCACCCATTGTTGGCCAAGTACCTCCAACAAGTTGCCCAACACCCTCTGAGGACCAAGGCGCTCACCACTGGCATTCTTTGCTTCCTACAAGAGGTTTATTACTGCCGGTTATATCAGGGTCTGGGGTAAAGACAGCTCACCCGCTCAACAGATTCTGGGCAGCAAGATTGCTGGCTTGCCCGCCGCAAAGACCCAAAAGGACACGCCATTACTGCTCAAGCTCCTGGCCCGCAACCATGTCGACATTCGCGCGGTTAAAATGGGCGTTTACGGATTCCTTGTCTCTGCCCCGCTCTCCCATTATCTAATGGGCCTCCTGCAAAAGGCCTTTGCGGGGAAAACCAGCGCTGGCGCCAAGGTTGGGCAATTGCTGGCCAACAACTTCCTCATTGCGCCGATACAAACGGCGGCTTACCTCGCCTCGCTGGCTGTCATTGGCGGCGCCAAATCGCTCGACGAGATCGTTAAGACGGTCAAAGGTGCATTCATACTTGTCTACCCAATAAAATCTGGCCTCATTCGTTCCATCCAGTTGGCTTTTTCCCCGTTATCCGGGTAACATGGGTTGTTACACCCACCGCTATGCTCTTTGCGCAGAGGTTCGTGCCGATGGAGGTAAGTCGACTTGGAGGCAGAACGGCTTGGTTAATCATTTTATCCTATCAGCTCTGGACTATATTCTTCAGTGCAGTCAGCTTCGTCATCGGGACAGTCTTCAATGCCCGTGTCAAGCGCATTAGACTGGCAGCCGCAAAGAAGGCCCAGAAGGACAAGGACGAGGCAGAGAAGAAGAAAGAGGAGTAATAGATGTGCTACTACACCACATCTGCCACAATTATCGAGACCTCCTCCAATGGCTGCTCTGCATAGCGATGTCTGACACTCTCTTGCCCTTCCAACACCTCTGTTTCTAATCGCCAGCCACTGAGAGCGTATGTGCCCGGACAGGTTACCCAAATCTTCGGCGTGATTTTTATACATTCCAGCGGACCGATTGTCCCTCGGTATGTGACTCGGCCAACATATGCAGGTGGTAGAACATCACTGAGGCAATTAGAATTAAAACAAGTTCGGACCAAAGCAAGTACGTACGGCGAGGAAGGTTGCGTGTCTGGTCTCGCTTGCAGGACATACCGTGAGGTATGTGTTGACGAATAGTTGCGCAACTTGAGTGGAATGGGGAGTTGTCGTGGCCTGCCAATTTGTGAGAATGGGTCGACCAACTACTACTATTAACTGCCTACCCGTCGGAGAATGGGTGAGAAATTGGCTTCTCCTCACGAAACACCACCAGAGGATTCATCTCAGTGTTCCATTGACTATGACGAAGAGAGTCGACCAGTTCTTCCCGCTCTCGTTGGGTCTCCGCGTACATGCTGCGCTTGACCTTAGCACTTTCGGCCTCGTCGATGATATCCCGCAAAGCGGCATGACTAGCGCCAAGGGTAACGCCAGTGACGAACACATGACCGTGTCGTTCTTGTGCAGGGATCGACCACGACACGATCACGTCAATTCCGTTCGGATGGTGAAGCGGAAACGTCAACGCGTACGATTCAGGAGGAATTTGCGGATGCTTCGTAGCCAAGTCACTAAGGACTGCATTTCGACGGCTGTAGTGTTTGAAGTGTTGGAGGGCAGCATCAGGACAGCAGCTGGGTCGCCCCTGTGAACAAGGTCAATATTTCTATAGGCGAAATATTTTGTCAGTTTCACCTTGCCATGGTAGGTGTGCAGTACATTCAACTCTGGAGGGGGAGATGGATCTATATCCAGCCCTTGCAAAACATTTTTCAGCTTGCGGGAGACATAGTTAAAAGTTTCAGCGACGCCCTCGGTCGTTGTTGTCTGTGGACTGGCACCAAAGAACACATGAGAATTTTGGGATGGTCCCAGCGCGGCACTTGAAGCATGTGAGGCGATACCCTGATGCTCGGTGAAAGAAACATACTAATCGAGCCCCGCAATTGTGCTGCAGCGCCAAGTTGGACTGATCGTCTCTATTTGGTCAATCTGGAAGGCCTGCAGAGCTGAAATATTTTCCACTGTTACATCCACGAGGAAGGGATCGTCGTCCGAATACGCCGGAGATGCATGGATTCTCGCAGTCACGAGAGGAGTTACCCGATACGGACAAACGAATTGGACGGAATGGAAGGGTTTGACTTCAGTCTACATGGCCATGTGTCAATCAGATCAACGTCAATTGGGAGGTGGTTAATTACCTCGCGATAGACGAACAGGAGAGAGAACTGTTGCTCACCGATCCGGGTGGCCTGAATCACGAAACAAATTTCGGTACTCGCCCCCGGCTCAAGCACAGACGGCAGAACGATACGACGGGGTACGGGTAGCGCCAGTGTGTTGTCGGAATGCTCGATTTCTGAGCTCTCATTTGAAGGCTCTACATTTTCTGGCGATAAAGATAACATGAACAAAAGGACATGACGGGATCTATCATCAACACACGTACCTTCATGAGAGATCCAGATATGGTCGTCAGGACTTGCAACCAGCCAAACCTCGCCAACAGGCTTCAAGCCTTGATTCTCGAACTCTATACGCATCGATTTGACTTCACCATCAGCGAGTAACAACGCGTGCTCATCCATAGAGTGCACAACCAGCTTGTGAGTCGCTTCCACGATATCGACCTTGAGGAGGACATCGGGGCCATATGTCGGTGTTAGCCGTTGAGCAAGTGTGTTGTGTAGTCGTTTTCCTTTTGTTGCGAGCCGCTCGGTGCAGGGAAGCAACGAAATGAATTCATAGGAGATATGGGTGATTGCGAGCCGAGTTGCACGTGAAGACTTGACGGCAACAGAGATCTGAACCATTCAGATTGATCAGATTATTTGACCCGACATACCGTAGATGATTCTCCTGGTCCAAGGGTTATGTCATTGATAACTTCGACCTCAACGAAAGGCTGCGACGTCGAAGCTTCTTGATCCACAAGAACCGTGAGATTTGACAAGTTAACTTCGGTGTCAAGCGGATTGCGCAGAAGAAGATCGACGTAGAAGGTTTCTGCGACAAGTCAGAACATGCGTAGGCGTGTGAGCGATAAGATGAGCTACCATCGACAGTAATTTTACCACCAGTCACAAGGCGACCCTTGCCTCCAGTCGATTTAGAGAATTGATTCCAAGTTTCCTCTCGCTCTTCCCATACTTGGCTATCAGAATACGTCTCCAGCTCTTGGCGCACTTTCGTTTGCTTCTTGACGCAAAACTCAAAGGGCAACTTGAGATCCAACAAGGAAACCTGGTCACTGGCAGTCGATTTGAAATGCTTCTTGTTGTGAGAGTTGGTTAGTGGACTCAGGCATAACGCTCACAGCAAATGCAACACGGAAATCATCCATGAAGACCTTGTCGCTCCTGGGCCCTTCTGAAGCGAGTGACGCGTCACCCCGGAGCAAACCCATAAAGAGTTTGACCGCTCCAGCGACATCGCCAGTAGTATACAATAAACGCCCTAAACGAAAGGTGAGTAGATGCGAAAAATACGATAACAAATAATAACCGAGAGGATGCTCGATGCCAGACGCAACCGCATCAAATACACCGTTGTAAGAGGGCGACAATCCTTCTGCGTCCCAGAAAGAGGGTGAAAGTTCTTTCGAAGGGCTGATTTTATATAGCTCGTGGGCTCTCCGAAGGAAATGCATCGTCAAAGGTTTCTACAAACACATTTGAACCTTCAACGACCAGCCCAAATTCACAACTTACGATGCCACATTTTTCTAGTCGGTTGGCGGCGGACAGGTACCACAATGCAGCCCTCCGTCTGGCTGATTTTCGAGCACTCAGAAGAGCAGCATGGGCTATAAGCAGGGCTGATGGGGGTTCCTCGGCCTGGAACAATTGAGCGCAAAATGTCAAATCATGAATATTCACCAACATTGCCAGCAGCCCATACGAGCCATCGTTCTCCTTCGAGTGTACTGCTAAGGAAGTCCTGGTTCCCGATGCCGATCTCCCAACGAACTGCGTAGGAAAGGGCTCGAAGCGTGGCTTGAGCAGAAGAGGGCGTGTGGAGGGCAGATAATGAGTTGGAAACATGTAGTTGAATAGTCGGAGAGGGTGAGAGAAGAAGCGGAAGTATGTCCTGGTAGCCTATTAGTGATTGCCACATTACGAGTGACCGAGAGCATACTGAACCGCCTTTGCTCTCTTTCCGGAGCGATTCCCAGACAGTAACTGCCAGCTTGAAATCACCTAATATAGTTGCGAACTCCGCCAACCGACGTTGCTGTGACGGAGGTGCGAGGCCCGGAGGAAGAGAGGAACTACCATTCAACGCAGCGACTCGTGAAAGGGATGCTGAGGATACATGGGTTGGCGTGGGCGAGGGAGAAGGAGAGGGGGAGCCAAACAAGCGACGAGTAGAAGAGAACAGACGCGAAGGTAGACGACGGTTGGAAGAAAACTACACAGCGGTTAGAATGGAGTCTGCGTATAATGACACGCACATTCTCGTTCCACTCTACGACACACTTCTCCATCCATGGAACCAAACTCATCACAAGGAATTCTCGGGTAAATTTGGCGGTTTGCTGTATGTCTCCTTCGCTCATACTCAGAGTGTTGAGAGGATTCGACGACGGCACGGATGGGGTGGGTGGTATCTCGGGACTTTGCTCTGTCGAATCGGCTGACGGAGGCGGTGGAAGCCTCGGGATCAGGGCAGGAACCGGGACTGGGGCGGGCGGTGGACTGGGAAGCGCGAGTTGGAGAAGGAAGCTATGCAAACCATATTGCTTCTTAACCGCGTTGAATAAAGCACCAGCCCTACGCAACTCTTTGAGTAATCTAGAGGAGATCAACCATGCCAACGCACTCTTCTTCGGAAAAGGGTGAATTTTTAGGGTGCACTATGAGGGTATATCGTAGGAATGTATTGTCGACCCATGACGGTAGTTCGATTGCTCGCGAATGCAGGGCAGTGATCGCCTGCAATGGATTTGGCGCAGTAGTGGAGACAGCTAGAATAACTACAGAACCATGAGTTCACAAACGGATGAGTATGGAGAACGTACTAGCAACAGGATGGTTCCAACCCTCTGACCGATTGGGGACATGATCCCCTTCAGCACATCTTTTCAGCTCGTCCCACCAAGGAGTGCGTGGAACGTCCTTTTCTCCCAGCCGTTCAATTTCCTGTAACCACCTCCCACAACGGTTACTGATACGAGCCCCAATCCAGTCGAGTGTACGATCAGCACGTTGCTCATCGTCTTCTCGACATGCAGTTTCGATTTCAGTCAGGCTGGAAAAGCGCAGACCAAACGATGAGTGAGGGACAGAAGTAAGTGAGGTCGTCCGGGTGGTGACTGGGGGGAAGTAGGTCAAACTTTCACTAATTACCGTTTGCTGACCTTGGGGCAATGGAGAAAATGATTGGAGGATATGGGGAAGTGGTGGAAGGGAGTGCTGGGAGAGAAGTTGCTCCAAATCGGGTGATGTAAGGATACAAATATGCGGACTCAGAGAAATCGGAAGAGCCGGAGGCATGGGTGGCGCGTCCAAAAGCGCGTTCTGTGACACTGCTTACGAAACCGGAATTACAGCATAAATCGTACATGATGGACACAGAATACAGTTGCAAGTCTCTAGAAATCTCCACCAAAATCTCCTCCTCCATCGTCTCCACCGAACCCATCCATGGCTTCTCCAATCAAAAGTCCTCCTGCCAAACCACCTATAGGAATCTTTGAGCACAGAGACAGGGAGATGAGAATATGCTTACCCAACAGAGGAAGAGCCATGCCTCCACCTCCAAACCCAGATCTTCTATGGTGCGTGTCAGATATGCGGTGGCGGTAACATGATTGGATAGACTCACTGCTGCTGCTGTGGAGGACCGTAAGCATACTGTGGCTGTCCACCGTAAGGTTGTTGTTGTTGGTATTGTTGCTGGTACATTTGTTGTTGACGATACATTTCTGCCTGTTGAGCCATGGCCTCTCTGTGTCGCTGTTCTCGGAGTCGGATCAATTGTTCTCGTTGTTCAGCCTTGTGGCGCTGCTCCATTTCTTTCTCGGCTTGACGCTGTTCTGGAGTGGAGCCACTAATGTTATCCCGCAGCTTGCCAAACAGCCCTCGTTTCTTTGGTGGACCAGTCGGAGGCGCATAGCCTGGACGAGTCGAGGGTGATGGAAGAGGTGCGGTCGGGGTTGGGGGTCCAGCTGGGGGAGTATAGTAGCCTGGTGGCGTCGCGTTGGCCTTCTCTCGAGCTTCAGGATGTTCTCTCAGATACTGCTCGTCTTCGAGGGGATGGACCTTGGAAATATATCAGAAGGAAGGTACAAGTCGATGACTCGACGGAGACAGATAGAAATGTGTACCCAGATTGAACGAGGCGGATTTGCCCCAGTGTCGACATAGAAAGTATGCCCGGTATTAGGATCCTTCTGCTCGATCCAGCCTTTCGGGAGTGGTCGTTGAGACATTAGGAATGGGGGGATATGGAGAGGCCGAAGCGTGGACTATGAAGGGTTAAGTGAAGGAGCTATGCTGTGCACGATTTGATGGCTGGGCTTATCAGCTGACGTCAGGCGATTGTCTGATTCCAGATCTGCTTGTGGGCTTGTGGGTGTGGACAAAAAGTTTATGTACAAAACACATCGAGCACAAGCACAAGTAAGATTAATGCGCTTTGAGAGACCGCACCATTTCTTCAATCTTCTTCACTTTGGCCTCAGTAGACATCTATGCCTGGTGTCAGTCGGTCGCATGACAAAGACGTACTCACGTCGTAGAATTGGTGAAGGCGTCGCTTCTTAGATTCATCTGCTGCCTCGATTCTCGCGATTCCCTCAACGAAATCCCAACCACCGGTCTGATCTCGACTTGTGGTCCGAGAACCAGTTTGACTTGTCGATTCCATCGAAATCGATTTGGCAACACCACCGCTAGCTTTATAATCTACGCCGTCAAGAAAGGCCTCCAAGTACAGCATATCATTGCCTTCGGCCACGCTGACGAGCCAATGGGGAATAATGAGCGATGTTAATTCGAAATGGTCTTGGTGTGCTCGGACAAGTCTTTCTTCTTTCGTCAACGGCGGGCTTTCCTGAAGGAATAAGTTGGTGTTCGTCAAAGCGATGACCACTCACTTCAAGCGGTGCATTCCAAGCTGCAAGGTCTCCAGTGCGTGCTGACCACATATCGAGAGCTTCCGTTTGAATGATGTGCCTAGCCTCTCTTTCATGTTGCATCGCTGCCTGGAGACTCAGCAATTTGGAGGCGGCGTCTTCGCAAACATTGCATGACCAGTAACCTTCGATGTCTTTCTTGGAAAAATCTGTCTCGCCTATCAGCCTGACCGTTCGACAAAACTTAGTTGTGACTCGCGATGTGGGTAAGAAAGCGTTTTGGATGATATCATGAACTGGCGGAGCGAAAAGGATAAGGTCTAGCTACCCAAAAAGAAGGATGCCGCTTTACATATATGATCGATCAAGTACTTGAACTAGTCCTCGTCGTCAGCGCCTATCAGCCAGCCTATTCCTTTCGATAACAGTCGGCTACTTGCTCTCTCATCCTCCTGGCTCACACTCTGCGGGCGATTTATTCCGAATGGGAAATTGGCTGCGACACTTCTGAAGGTTCGACTGGCGAGAGCTGCTGCATCAGGCGTATTGAGCAATTGAGGTGATGGCAGATGGAATTCCTGTAGTCTTTCCGCCAGCGAAGGTACGATGCCCCTTGATTTTGGTCGACCATTGGCCTTCAAGTCCTGATGTGACGAGAGTCGTTCCTTCCGACTATCAAGGTCTTCATTCTCCAGGCGCCGCCACGCTGCTAGAATATCGTGCAACTGCTCCGGCGGACAGATTTCTAATGCTCGACCCAGTAGACCGAGTTTCTTTTCCATATCATCAAATTCAGGTTGACGTCCGAGTTGAAAACACGCCACCCAGCAGACCTCGCTCGCCTCCTGCGTCTCTCGTGAGTCTGGGTGCATCGAGCGAAGGTTCAAAACGGTGTCAATCATTTGTTGACTTGCTTCGTAAGCACGAACAAAGTCCTCTGCCTGTAGCGCCGTGTCCGCTAGCATAGCCAGAGTCTTGACCTCTGCGACGACGTCATTGCCCAAGCCAAGTTTCCGAACCAGATCCAGAATTACTTGAGTGTGTTTATAGGCATCGTTATTGCTGGAGAGAACGCGCGAGACTAGCGAAAGTCGATCTTTCGTCAGTCTGATTTCTATAGGCGTGAGCGGCGTCCCTCGGCTGGACATAATGTTGAACGAGGATAGTCTTGAAGTCGCTTCGATGAACTCTTTTTCTTGCTGCAACCGCTCTGATAAAGGAGGTACATCCAGGCTACACGGCAATGAGAACGCGGGCCCAGAAGATGGATGGATGAGGCTGACCATTCATATGCTAATTTCATATCACCAAACGTGAAATTTCCTGAATTGGCGTTGTCGTACAATTCCCGAGAGCAAGATAAGCAAAGATCCTCGATAGACTGTGCTGACAAAGAAATCTTCGTTTTTCTGGATCTAAGCAGGGTTTTGGCAATCGAGAAATCTAGAATAAGGTCAGGTACATCATTTCGAGGGAGGTTTGATGACTCACTGCCGTTATTCAGCAGGCCACTGAAGAATATTCGGAGAATCTCGTCCTGGGATAGTAGGCCAAACGCGCCACGCAGTCCGTTCTCTCCCTGACTAGTGAGTTTGAGCATATCTTCAAGTAGCCACTCCCAATCTTCCAAGGAAGTCAGTTTGTCGTCGGTGCTACCCCGTCTCGCCAGGCGATTAGCCCATCTCCGCTGTTCTGGCACATTGGAATTACTTTGAAGAAACCATCGCAAGGGGGCAGCGACACTCCAACGAGATAAAATCTCTCCAGATTCAAGATGCACATCCAGAATATCAAGCGCACGTGACAAGGATGTAAGAGGCAAAGGTCGGAAGAAAATGAATAGATCTGACGCAGTACAGTGCGGGCGAGTAGTTGACGGTGTCACGTATTGACCAAGGGAGACCACCGTCATATCAGCGGCATCCTCGTCGTTGTCATCTTTGTTGACATCCCAAGCAGGAAGACACTCGAAAATGCTGTTCATCACAGACCATTCGTCCAGGCTATCACTTCCGTAGAGACAGGCAAGGGCTAAGCGAGCCATGTCTTCATTGTTTTGGATGATTCGCTGGGCTTGGGGGAGAATGGGTTTTGAGGCCTCGAAAATAGCCGCTGCGATATCCAATGGAACGCCTAGAATGTAGTCGTACAAAACACGGTTACGAATATCAGAGTTCAGATCGCCTGCGCGTTCCGCTCTAGACTCGACAACAAAAAGGTAGGGCATCACGAGGCGCCAGAGGTCTTGGACGACTGTTGAGGGCGTTGAATACTGGAGATAGGCTCTGACTACCGCCAGTGGATGGAGCGAGTGCCATCGTTCGAGTGTCCAGTCCGCTTCGACATCATTTCCGTCTTGTGTGACATCGTATATTAGCCTAGAAAGTAGGCTAAGATCTTCTCCTAGTTCGTCGAGGGACGGTATTCCCTGTGATGCTGCATGCTGGACCAGTTCCAAGGCCACATCCACCATCCCACTCGTTTCCAAAACAAGCTCGATGCGGTTCTTGTACCATGCTTCGAGTTCGTCCGCTGTAGTGGGGTCAGCGCGACAACTGTGAGTGACGTCTTCCGCTTCGGGAGAGGAGAAATTTAGGTCGGCAAGCACAGTTTTGACCTCTTGCTGTTCGACCCAGTCCAAATTTTGTCTCCATAGATTAGCTTCGAGGAACTTTTCATTGTTAGTGGATGAGTCGAGTGCAGGGAGTAATTCGCGGTAACTGCTTGGATTAGCATGCTCTGGAATGCTTTCCAGCACAACAAAACGATGCGGCCAAAGCTGGGTAGTATGCCGGTCAAAAATGATCTTGACTGCTGCAAACCACTCGTACGACGCCAACAAACGCGTTGATCGAAGGAGGGGATCGGTTAAGAATGAGACGAGGGGAATGGGAGGTTCTGCCAGTGTTGCCGTTTGTTTAGCTTCTACCCAAGGGTCATCATCCTCCCATGCATCCTTCGGGCCTTGCATGTCGTCCGGGGCCGCTTTGCAGATCTCCACGTATGTGTTGAGTCGATCGAGTCTGAGTAGAATAACAGCTCGAATGGCGCAAAGCCGCGCGTCAGCCGGAAGTTCTTGGAAGTAAGACAAAATAGCATCTCCTCCATCCGTCGAGGCAGCTTGAGACCTGTTTTTGGCCATGTTGGTACGCTCCAATCCCATTTCCAAAAGAACGCGTTGGACTGTCGTGTCATTGCTCAGCCGGTCGACACAGGCTGCAGCCACCCAAAGGTCATCCTTAACGGGGTCCAGGGCATCGTGAATGGCCTCGGCGGTCAAATCTTCATCACCAAGTTCAGTCCAGTCGGTTGGGCTCGGGTGAGGCATGTCGCAACGACGTGACAGAAAGGGTCACACTTACAACTTTCGCCGCGGCAGTCATTCCAACCGACTTACACGACCAGCTATAACCCCATTCTGAGCTCTAGAACCCCGAACCTGCCCGATAAAACCCTTTACGGGTTCTTAAAATCCCCTTTCCGCTTCTTTCGAGTGAACTTTCCGGGTGTTTTCGGGCGGCCTCCACAAGCTTGCTTATTCTTCTGGCAGCAGAATCAGCCAACTCAGCAAAATGCTACAGAACTCGGAACGGAGAGTAAAACAACCGCTGAAAACCTCTTCTTACATGAGCAACAAACCAAACTCTGAGTTCTGATTCGCTTTTCGTTTCTCGCATGACCTCAACTCCGCGCGAATTCCTCCTACATCCCCCGACGGTGCCGTACTACTCCTCAGACCTTAAAGGCATCCAGAAAGATTAGAGCTTTGTCCCCAACCACAAATGCCTTTTACTTTGACCCCATCCAACTCAGACACAACTATCTTCAAGGTTGCCGCAGTGCAGGCTGAGCCGTACGCACGAATGGCGCTACCACAATTTCGTGCTAACTTTCATCGTGATAGCATATGGCTCGACTTGCAAGGCAGCGTTGACAAGACAATCTCAATCGTCCGTGAAGCGGCGGCCAACGGTGCCAAAATAATCGGCTTTCCAGAGGTCTTCATCCCAGGTAAAGCTGCTCCATATACGAGTATACATACATCTTGTCTAATCTTATACTCAAGGCTATCCCTGGACGCCCTGGGTAAGTACCAGACTGAGGGCAACGGCTCCACACCTGAAATTCAATAGGCGAATAACTTTGCGGTCACCGCCACCGTGCTTAAGGAATACCAGGCCAACGCACTAGCCCTTCATTCTCCGGAAATGGATCGCATCCGCGAGGCCGTGAAAGAGGCTGACATTACTGCTGTCGTTGGTTTTGCTGAGCGCGATGGTGGAAGCTTGTACATCGCACAGGCTACCATCCTCCCAAACGGAACGATAGCCAACCATCGTCGCAAGATCAAGGTATGCATTAAGTCTTGTCCATAGGAATTTATCGTGCTCACCTGAAAATCGACCCAGCCAACTCACTACGAAAAGACGATCTTTGGTGATGGAAGCGGTAATACTTCTTCTTTCACCAATTTCACTGGCTTAGTTGTGGATTAGCCCAGTCTATCTATAACGTCGTTCAGACGCCATTTGGCAGGCAAGTATTAGGTTGAAGCATACGCGAACCAGGTCCTGACAAGCTCCAGAGTTGGGAGTCTCAATTGCTGGGAGCATATGTGCGGCGTGCCTTTTCTTCCTTACGTGTATCCTCAAACAACCTGAAACTTTAGCCAACCGTGGTTCAAGACGCATTTTTATTCGCAGCACCCCCAAATTTTCGTCGGCGCTTGGTGGCCGGCTTTCGCGCCAGGCGCTGGAGGGTCTCCTTACATTGTCAGCGGTGAAGCATCCAGCCGTATGACGCAAATGGTCTCGATGGAAGGCGGATGCTTTGGACTTGCATGCTGCCACGTTGTCAGCGAGGAAGGAGCAAAAAAGATGAAGATTCTGGGTTTCCCATGGTTTGAATTTCCAGGCGGTAAGCGAACGAAATAAGTACTTGTTTTTTAATTGATGCCCTTTCAGGAGGATTCACCACTGTAAGGGCCACGCAATTGCAGACAACTTGGCTCATTTCCGCAGATTTATGGTCCTGACGGGTCTATCTTAGCCAAGGCAGCCAATTCTGGCACTGAAGAAATTGTCTACGCTAACATATCGCTCTCTCAAATCGACGAGGTCAAGATGGTAGCAGACATCATGGGCAACTATAGCCGCTTTGATCTCTTCCATACCGTGGTACACGGTAAAAATTGGGACGCTATTGAATATACGGCTGAGGAGGCAAGTGCCGCACGCGAAAGAGCTGCAGCCGTTGACAATATAAATTCGGTGTCGATTGCATAGTACCACTGTATCATCGACAAGAATATAGCTAGCTGCAGCCTGCGCAAAAGGAAAAAAAAAACTCGCGACTTCCAAACCCCCAATCGAAAAGTTACTAGCTCTCGGGCCGAGCACTTCAGAACCAGAGCGGGAATACTATACTTATTGCATGGCCGGGGCTTAGAAGAGCGTCTCCTAGGAAACAAAATGAGTTTTGACTTCTGATCCGCGACTATCCTTACTTCGTCTCTAAGATACTCGCCCACATCGCTGAGTCTCGTCAGATTTGAAATAGGGCAACTAAAAACACTCACGCCTGGTGGAAGACAATTATGGAGGTAGGATCTAGTTTGCGAGTGTCAACCGTCGCCCGTGCTGTTACACCAAAGCCCTTTGAGCCAAAATCAGGACAACTCAAAGAAACGAACGACGGACATGACATACCAAGGGCATATCATTCATGCTATAAACGACCACTCCCTGATGCTCTGGTGTATCTTCTGTGATGCGGCCAAGATGGGCTTTGAGGACGTGGTTGCCATATAGGAAAGGCATTTCGCCGTTGGGTTTGATCCAAATCTGGGGGAAAAATTGTCACGAAAGCATATATTAACGAACAACAACGCACTTTGTACTTGGCATACTGTGAAATGTGATCCAGCGCTGTGATATGTAGCTTGAACTTCCCAGATTTGCTGAATTTGCCGAAACAGGTTCCAAGGGAGACGAGATTTGGTCGAGCGACACTGATTGCGAGTCGCATAGACTCTTCAGACACATAGTAGACTCTGTCCTTTTGCAGTCTGAAGCAATATGCGCCGTCCGGACGGTCAATCAGGTGGATCAGGTTTTTGCCCTTGAAAGATATCAACACCAGACACAGTTCAACATTTTCCCACTGACGATGTAGTTGGCGAGTTTTTCAAAGACGGCGCGGGACTCGTCGTCAGTGAGAGGTCGCATGAAGAAAGGGTTGTAAAACAAGTCACGCTCTGTGACACTGCTTCAAAGTGAACATCCCTCCGATAACTCGGACTCGTATACAGCCTTATGATACCTTCGTTTCAGTCCTTTCCTGAACTACCGTCATCGACTCCAGCCTCTAAGACAGACGACAGCCACAAGCGACGAAAACGCGACAAGAAACGCGAAAAATCTCCAAAACCACAAACCAGAGTCGACAGCGAGCATTCTCGTCCACCAGAAACATTCATTTCGGATCGACGCGGCGACACACAGAATATCCATTACGGGAAACTCGACAGTCGAGATGTTCCCAAATATCACAGTGCGTACCCATAAGTGAGTGGGCTAGCTCCTACCTTACATTGCCTAGGTGGTCGTATTGTTTTAGGCCTCTCGGATTCTTTCAAAGTCACTCGTACAGGCTTTGGAATCGAAGTAGGGGCCCGAGGGCAACGGCAGGTATGTCTGTCATTCGCCCGAATTCACATTGACCCTATACCTAGATGCCTAGTCTGAGCGACGCATCGTCTCGAGCGCTTCTGTCGCGTCATCCGACAAGAAGCTTCATTGCCACATCGTCGTCCAAATATGAAGAATACGATGGCTTTCTTAAACTGCCTTCCCGCTCTAGTAAACAGGACTATCGAGATATCGAGAAAGCTGCCAATTCAGACACCGAGGACTCAGTATCTTCTGCTGCTGAGGAAAGCAGCGACGAAGAAACCTTCACGTCCCACGAAATGAAAGTTATTAACCAGAGATTGGCTACAGATCCGTCGATCGAGAATTGGTTGCTGCTTCTGTCCCATACACTGGCTCATAACGTTCCTCCTGACTCGAAAAATTCGACCAAAGCTCGAGCGGAGATTTCACTGTCGATTTTGTCGCGTGCACTTGTCGCAACTGGCAAGTCACCTCAAATTCTTTCCAAGTACTTGGAGGCTGGAGAAGATATTTGGTCTGAAGACAAATTGCGTTCGGAATGGGAGGATGCTTTGCGAAACGCAAATGACCTTGGCATTTGGATGAGCTGGATTGACTGGAGGTGGAGAGCCTGCAAGAATGGTATCTCGGAATTCATCCACGATGTTGAGAGGGCATCTACCGCGCTGGGCCAAGACCAAGTCTCTCAGACGATGGTGCTTTGGCGACTTGCTGTCGCCTTAAAGAGTGCCGGTAAGAATTCTACATCGGTTCGTCCTTTTGAGTTATCAATGTCTTCAGGTTACTTCGAACGAGCAACAGCATTGTTCCAAGCCCAAGCCGAAATGTACGTTTAATATCGAACTGCTTCAAGATCCAACTCAAATGGACAACAGAGCTTTCCACCTACCGTCAAGTCTTGCAGAGCAGCCATGGACACAGGTACTAGACGCACTGGAGGAATATTGGGAGTCAGAAGTTCCTCGTTTTGGCGAACATGATTCTATGGGATGGGCAACATGGCTTTCTTCCGGACGACCGGTAACGATCCCTCCTCCTCTGCCTCGCCCAGAACCGGTCATTGATCTGGATCCATATCGGAACTTCGCCTTCACAGAGTCTGCGATCGACAAAGTATCCATCCTTGGACGTCGTTCAACTGATGCTGAAACAGACCTCGATCCGTACTCATTAATATTATTCTCTGATCTACGAGGCGCTTTATTTCCTATGAGAACATCTGAGGCAAAGAATCTCTTCCGATATGCATGGATTTCTTTACTCGGTCTCAACATGCCCTCTTTCCCTTACATCGGCGATAAACTTTACGATAAGTGGGCTCTAAGCTCTTTTGTTCGACCTGCTTCTCTCAATCGACTCTTCCCTGTCAGCCAACAACAAACAAGAATCACCAGCGACGCGGCTGCTGGGACGATCATAGGTCGGCAACGTGACTACGCTAATGGACTTGAATGTCCAATAGTCTCTTGGGGATGGGATGCGTTCCAGCCCTTGGATGTCCCTTCTGCATCAGGCAAAAGCACAGTGCTGTGGAAGTCAGCAGACTTGGTGGACGTCAACACAGGTTTTATTGCCAATCTCTTTCAGCAGCTTAGAATGCCTGACGACCACATCTGGGACTCTTATGCCTTGGCTTTCACTTGCGCTGGCAGTATCAAAACGTAGGTTCAATTGTCATATGTTGAAATCCATCTCTAATGCTCTCTAGCGCTATTAAAATGTCTCGCGGATTCCTTAGCACTGCACCTGACTCTATTCATCACTGGGCGATGCACGGAAGATTAGAGCAACTTCGCAACCGACCAGCTGAAGCCAGGAAAGTTTACGAGACTGTTCTTCTCACCGGTTCTCCACGCCTCGAGACTGCGCCGCTCTGGTATGATTGGGCTGAAATGGAATGGCTGGAAGGCCAAAGTGACGCGACTACTAGGGTCTTACTTCTCAGTGTCGGGATCGAGGGCACTGGCGGAGTTCCCGTGTTGCGCGCCAAACGAAGTTTAGACGACAATATCAAGCGCACAGAGGGATCACTCGTTGAGGCTTGGATCAAACTTAGGGCAATGCTCGAGATGTCGACGAGTGGCCCCGAACTGGCGATTCAAGTCTTTGCTAATAATCGCAGCAGTGAAAGCTTAGTCCTCGCAAAGCTGCTTCTGCTTTATCGATATGGCATGGTGCTACGGAGGCCAATGCGACCTGGATTGTTTCGAGATAGTGTTGAATCCGCCGTTCAACAATTTCCTGGGAACTCCATACTGTTGGGGCTATTTTTAGAGTCACAGCGTGGCCAAGTGATGTGGGGAAAAGTAAGAAACAGACTTGTTCACGAGGAGAAAAATGTTGTGCAGCGATTGCAAGATGTGTGGATTGCGGGCTGGGATGGGAGATGGGAGATGCAAGTTGAGCGCACGCGTAGTGGACTATCAGCTGCAATTGACGGCGAGAGGTGAGCCATCACCATAATTCCCTTATTGTGCTGACTCGGTGCTAGGGCAAGACACAGCCTAACAATGTGGAGAATGGTACTCGAGTTTGAGATCCGTATCGGCAACTTGAAGCGTGCAAAGCAGCTGTTTTTTCAGGCCGTCGGAGAGTGCCCACTTGTGAAGGGTAAGCCCAAAATAATTATGCCTTCGACAGCTAAACAAGTTTTAAGACTTGTATTTGCTAGCGTTCGGGGCGTTGCGAGCAGTTTTCAATGGACACGAGCTCAATGAGATTGCTGACACAATGGTGGAACGCCACGTTCGGCTGAGACGGGGTTTGGATGAGTTCATTGATGGATGGCAGGATGAAGTAAGACACAATGAAGATAGCGACTCTGAAGCGGACGAAATGCTCGTAGATGCTCAAGATTTTCGTGCCAGACTACCGTTTTAATCCAACGGGAAGGCACAAGAATATCCAGTGTCTATCGAGGTCCGCACAGATGGAAGACTTTTTTGCATGTTTGCTGCCTCCTGCCACGGAACACGAGGCATGTAACTGTTTGTGATGTGACACGTGTCACGCTCACGTCACACCTCTTCAGCACTTCCCAGCACCACACCGCCGCCGACGTTCTCGCCCACACCGCCGCCAACGTCCGGGCGCAGTCCCACCCCCTCCTTTCACTGCTAGTCGCTTGTCAGCGGCGTTTGCAGCTCTTTTTTTCTTTGCCCTGTCTACGAAACAATCAGCTTAATATGGCCGTCCCTGCACCATCATCGACTGACTTTGCCCGTGAAGAATGGTCCGACGCCGACTTTGACCTTCCAGATGGTCAAGCTTTGCATTCAGCGGCGGATAAAGATGAAGAGATTGAGGATTGGGATGTGGAGATGGATTTTGGCAAGTCAGCCCAGATTACCTCCGCCCCCGCCTCTTCCCAGATGTTCATCATTCGACCGCCCACCCAATCACTTCCCGAGATTGACGATGACGATGAGGAGGGCGTATCGACAATCAAGGTCGCCTCCGTTCTGCCAAGGGCCCCTTTGGCCAAAACTCCACGGAGCCCAATCGACGAAGATTTTGAAGACGCCTTTTCCCTTCCCTCCGACCTCACACAACTCTCTCTCGCTCCTTTGTCTCTCAATCATCGCCTTTCCAAGACTTCACTCGAGTGGGGCGACAAGGACCAAACATCATCGTCCCAGTCCTCGGATGCCTACTCGTCCCTTGGATTCGCTGACGCCTCACCTTCTTCCAACTCTACTTCCTCTGCATCTCTTCCACATACAGAGGATGAAGATGACGACGAGGAAGATCTTGACGGGCTGGTAATACCTGTCGGTATATTCGAGTCGGGCAAGGGTGCACGTCACCTGACCAAATTACTGGAGATGAAAAAGAAGGCACCTGTTCAGGACATACACCAACCAACCTCTCGAACCGATGCAGAGGATGACTTTGAAACTGGTCTCATCATTGACGATGACTTTGAACTCAGTCCCAGTCGACTGATTTCTAACCAGCAACAATCTCAGCGGGCACTCAATCTCCGCTCCAACAGCCTTCCTATGCAACGTCATCCCTCATCGCTACGCCCCTCCTCATCCCGCTTGAAACCCAGTCGAGCTAAATCACCAGTTACTTCTCGCCCACCCACTCGATCACAAGGCAGTTTATCACCAACCGGCCCCTCATCATTCCTTTCCCCCAAACCCGGCAATCTACGTGGCCAGAAGTCACATTCTGGTCTCAAGCCACCAAGCCCACCGTCAAATGCACGCAAACTAACGCGAAAGGCTTCGTTGTCATCGTTGATGGAGACCAGCAGTAATAATCAGGCGTCAGGCTCTGGTTCGGTCTCTAGTGCGACTTCTAAAGGCTACGAGATTTCAACTGCGGCATCGCGTGCCAGAACGTTCAAGGGGAAGGAGTATAAAGTACCTCCCACTCGACCGTCAACTCCCTCCGCCAATCCCGCTGCCCTCCGTCTTACCATGCCAACAGCCATGCGCTCCAAATCCCGCCCCGCCCTTTCTTCCGTCTTCAATGGCCCCTCCTCCGCTTCCGGCTCACAATCTCCATTATTCCGATCCATGTCGCCTCTTCCCCCCCGCCCATCCTCACATCTTGCTACAACACGACGACCATCTCCAACACCCCCCGCTCCCCCTCCATCAGCCCGGCCCACAGCTCCCAGAATACTCAGACGACCAAAGCGCCAACGATTATTTGGCGACGGCACTGAGCTTGACGGGTTTGATGATCTTCCTACCGACCGCGAAAAAGAGAGTCGGTATCGTGTTCAGCCAAAGGGCTACGGAAACCGTGTCCCAGGCGGTAGCTACCCGTCAAAAACAGAAAGAGGCACCGTTAGGCGGAGGCGGCGAGATGCGTCAGATGGTGGTGGCTCACTAGGTAGGTTTCTTCATTATTAGTATTCCAAGGATCTGGTCCTAATATCCGTTTTAGATTCTCACCTTCCTCTCGGTCCTTCTAACCGGCAACCAAGCCTCGATCTCTCCCCGAAATCCCAGTCCGATCTCCCCAGGAAGAAGAAACAAAATTCTTCGCCTTCCGCAGCAAGTCGAAAGAAACCTACACTCATTCGAAACTTGGGTGGCGCCGGAGCACCTCGTGGTAAGTTGTCATTCCTTGGCGATTGTCGTGAAACTGACGCAAAGCTTATAGTGGTTGGCGAAATGAAATGGAACCCCCAAACTCTTCGTTGGGAAGGGAATGAGCACGTGCTCCGAGATTTCGATGCCGCTGTTGGGACGTCCACACGCCCAGCATTGATCACACACCTTACTGGCTCATCAATAGGATCGCCAGTTGGTTCGTTTGCGAACGGGGCAAGGATAGTGGGAAACATGATATTTGATCCAGCACGAATGTGTTGGATATCAACATTACCCCCAGACGAAGACGAACCAGATGTGTTTGCCAATCTCGCTGACGACGAAGACGAAGACGAGTCTGCCTGGGAAAGCAAGGGTGGAACAATACGCGCCAACTTGCAGCTTTCTGCCTCGACATCAACAGCCACCCCGTCGGCAACTTCTAGCCCCGCTCGTAGTGACTCGTATGTCCGAGCTGGGTCTGAATCGGACAACGAGCGTGGATCACGTGCTTCTCTGTTATTCGACGTCGATGAAACATTCCTCGCAAGTTGTAGAGCAGCCGAGGAACGTCACCGAAGCGAAATGAAGGGTTGGAGTGCCTCGTTACGGACAGACCCTTTCACGGATCCTGATCGCTCGTTCTTATACGAGATCCGGGAGCTTGCTACTCGCAAGTACACCTGATCACCCATTTCCTTGGAATTTCTTTTTCTGTACATAGCTTTTGTAAGGTCATGACCCTCTCTTTGCTACGTGTAGCTTCGATATGTAGCCTTGTTGATACATAAAATATGGATTTCATGCTAAACTCTCCCTCCCTTGATTGACCATGACTTCCACTACTGCCGGCCACGGACGAATAATTGTCGAGCTTCACGGCGAGGATGCTGTCTTTGCTGAGCTCTCGTCGACCTACCCATTGAAACTTTTGTCGCCACGCGTACGAAGACGGGGCTTTGCGACAGTTTATATGATTTCTTATGGTGGCGGTTTGGTGAGTGGGGACGAAGTGGTGTTATCTGGCCAAGTCAGACGCGGAACGAGCCTAGTACTGCTCTCGCAAGGTTCGACCAAGGTATTCAAGCTCCGACCTGGCCACCGCGCAGCAACAGCAGCCGCCAGTAGTGGACTGCCGACAACACAACAGACACTGGAATTTACCGTTGAAACGGGCAGCGCGCTGTTCCTCTTACCGGATCCAGTCACATGTTTCGAGGCTGCATCCTACAACCAAATACAACGATTCCGACTGGAGGCAGGCGCGTCGCTGGCTGTGCTGGACTGGGTCACCAGCGGACGCAAGTCACGCGGCGAGGAATGGTTGTTTTCGCGGTATTTCAGCGTGAACGAGATCGAAGTTGGCGGCAAGTGCGTGGCGAAAGACGTGCTTTTGCTGGAGGGTGACTACAGAGAGAGGGTCCAGGCCTATTCGTGCTACGCGACACTGTTTCTGGTGGGTCCAGCGATGGGGGAGGTCGTCGGTAAATTGAGGGAGGAGTATGGGCGAATAACGGTGTTTCGGACGAGTAAGCCGGAGAAATTCTTATGGTCGTTGAGCGAACTAGGGTCAGATGGGGTTGTGGTGAGGCTGGCAGGGGAGCGAGAGGAGATTCAGACATGGGTTGACGCGTTGAAAATTGTTTGAGTAGTGACACATGCTTTCTTCTCTTTCCAACTTGGTCGGGCGTCGGGTACTTACGGCTCCACTTGTTCGTGGTTATGCCCAACAATCTGCTGCCACCCTGCGAAAGCAGGCAAAGAGGCGAGAGCTGGAGGAGGCCATGTCGCGTACAAAAGCCGTCTTCAAAACATATAAACCTGTTTCGCCAGGCATTCGCCATTTGCGCAGGCCATTAAACTCACATTTATGGCAAGGGAGGCCTATCATCCAGCTTACCGTCGCCAAGCGCAAGTCTGGAGGGCGTAACTCAACAGGGCGAATAACTGTTCGCCATCGCGGTGGAGGGCATCGACAACGAATTCGAATACTCGACTACAAACGCGACGAGCCGGGAGTTCATGACGTGGTCAGGATAGAATACGACCCAAACCGCTCGGCCCACATTGCCCTCTTAAAAAACCGCAATCCCACCGCGGTTGGTACGAAAAAATGGTCATATATCATTGCGCCAGAGGGTATTCGCGCTGGCGACGAAATTCAGAGCTTCAGACAGGGAATTCCGGAGGGATTCGTGCCCGGCCTCGACATAGCCAAGTTGAATAATCCTGACACCGTAACCACCGAGCTAGTTGAGGGCGATGCTGAGGGTGTCGATGGACTTGAGCAGTCATCTTCACAGTCGCTTGCCCTCGGTCTTCTCCGAACTCTTACCCTCAAGCCTGGAAATGTACTTCCCCTCCGACTCATTCCCATTGGAACCGTCATCCACAACATTGCTCTTATCCCAACTGGACCAGGGGTCCTTGTTCGCTCAGCAGGGTCTGCCGCCCAAGTTGTCAACCACGAGGAAACACGCTATTCACACGTTCAATTGCAAAGTGGCGAAGTCCGCAAAATTCTCCGCGACTGCTGTGCGACCATCGGCCGTGTCAGCAATCCTCTCTGGAAAAATCGCAATCTGGGCAAAGCTGGAAGGGCACGGTGGTTAGGGAGGAGACCGAGTGTCCGTGGTGTAGCGATGAACGCGTACGCAACGTCATTTCTTTGTTTTAGTTTCTCTGCCAACACTTTTTTTTACAGTAACGACCATCCCCATGGAGGTGGACGGGGCAAGTCTAAGTCGAATAAGCATCCAGTGTCAATATGGGGTTGGGGAGCAAGGGGCACGCGGACAAGGAAACCCGGTCCCAAGGGTCCCAAGAACAGCAACAAGATGGTCATCCGAGAACGGCCAAGGGGGAAGGCAACGCGTTCGAATTAGTGTTTCATTTAGTCCTCGTTTTCTTCATCTTCATCGTCGTTCTTTGGTCGTTTCCCTTCTTTCCCCGCCTCAGCTTTACCCACTGCGTCCCTCCAATTCGTCAACTCTTGTCCGACCTCATCTTTTGCCTTTACCAGCGCTTCACGCAGCGTTGCATAGTATTCCCCCGTGGGTTTTAGTTCGAATGAGTGCTTCTTTTCACTTGGCAGTAAGTAAGTTTGGCCTTTGGGCGGGCTGAGCTTGTACTCGATTGTGATGGTTCGCGTCATGAGTGGGAGTTTACAGATTGATTAGATAAGATACACATGTGTAAGCTAAGGACGATCCTCTACCCTCACGGAAGCAGCAACGGGAACAGGTGTTTCTTCTAGTGGCGGTGGTGCAGACTTTTCTGACCCACGATGCTGGTCGAGCCACTTGTCCATATCGTCTGACTTGCCGATGAACGGCCGCTTGCCCAAAAGACGAATCATATCCTCTCGTGTGATATTTTCCTTCTCCAAAAGCAGCTCAGCGACCTTGATTACATCCTCGCGATGTTTGGTTAGTAACTGGCGTGTGCGGTCGTAAGCAGTGCTATGAGTAGTTAGCAATGAACTACAAGACAAGAGAGAGCAACCCACGTGATCATCTTGCGAACCTCAGTGTCAAGCATCTCCGCCGTCTTCTCGCTGAACGGCTTTGTCCAGCCCTCCTTTGCGCCACGATCGCCTCCATAGCTCACAGGCCCGATAACCTCGTTCATACCGAAATTGGCGCACGCTTCAAATGCCATTCTGGTGATCTTTTGGAGGTCGTCTTGCGCGCCAGAAGTGATGTTCTCAGAGCCGAAGAAAATCTCTTCAGATACGCGGCCGCCGAGAGTCATGCATATTCTGTCCAGCATTTGAGGTGTCGACATAAGATACCGGTCAGGAGGGAGGTATTGAGCATAGCCAAGAGCGCCAGTGCCTCTTGGGATGATGCTCACTTTGAGGAGTGGGTCAGCATGCTCCAAGAACCAGCCACAGACAGCATGACCGGCTTCGTGATATGCAACTGTTTTCTTCTCCTCTGCACTGAGAACACGGCTTTTTCTCTCCAGGCCGACAATGACTCGTTCGATTGCGGTATCGAAGTCGACTGACTCGACGTATTCTGAAGCTTTGCGGGCGGCGTGTAGCGCGGCTTCATTGCAGACATTAGCAATATCTGCGCCAGAGAAACCAGGCGTAAGGACTGCCAGCTTCTGGGCCAACGAGTCGACATCGCTGAGCGCTTCATGTAAGCGAAGGGGTCCGAGATGGACAAGGAAAATGCCCTTCCGACCAGAAACATCTGGTCGGTCAATGGCAATGTGTCGATCAAATCGGCCAGGTCGCATCAAGGCAGGATCGAGTACATCTGGCCGATTGGTTCCAGCCAGTACAACGACATGTTCTTTAGTCCCAAATCCGTCCATTTCAACAAGAAGTTGGTTCAAAGTTGACTCCCTTTCATCGTTGCCGCCAAAGTTGCCGCCCTTGGACCGTGATTTTCCGATGGCGTCGATTTCGTCCACAAATATGATACACGGCGCGTGCTTCTTTGCGTCTGCAAACAAGTCTCGGACTCGGGAAGACCCGACACCAACAAACATCTCGACGAATTCCGAGCCAGAGACGGAAAGGAAAGGAACTGAAGCCTCTCCCGCCGTTGCCTTGGCTAGAAGCGTCTTTCCTGTACCGGGAGGACCAGAAAGAATCGCACCACGTGGAATTTTGGCCCCCAGCTTTTCGTACTTGGCGGGCTCCTTGAGGAACTTGACAAACTCCATGATCTCCTCCTTTGCCTCGTCCATTCCAGCAACGTCCTTGAACTTAACAGTAACATCGGTGTCTTTGTTGTAGAGTTTCGCCCGACTCTTTCCGATGCTGAATATTCCACCCCCGCTACTTGAACTGCCACGCCGAGATAGCCATACGAGGAAGCCAATCGTGAGAATGGTAGGGGCGAAGTCGAGAGCTGTCTGGATGGCAGACATCTCTGCATGATAGGCCACAGGGATGCGTTCATGGCTTGGGATTCCCAACTCCGCTTGCGCGTCATCCAACTTGCGTTCAAAGGCCTCTATGCTCCCTATGGAAAAGTAGTAATCCCCTGTCACAAAGGCCGCCGAGGATGGATACATTGTGCCAGTAGCATTCGAATGGAGCTTGACACGAACACGGTGACCGTTAACAACGATGAGTTTGTCGACCAGCCCCTTGTCGAGGAATGCAGTTCGGAACTCCTGCCATGTTATTTCCCGCGATGAAGAGGAGGTCGAGCTTGAGTATAGGAAATAGGCGAATGAGGCAGCAGCAGCCCACGCAAGCTGGCTGTTGGAGAAGTTGAAGTTGTTATTCGGCGGTGGGGGAGGGGGTGGTTGTGGATTACGCTTAGATTTAGAATTCGAAGACTCCTGTTTCTGGCCACCAGCAGGACGTTGTTGCTTGAAGAATCCCTCAAGGTCTTTGGGCAAGTCCGGCTCGTCCTTCCCTGACTCGCGGGAGTTGTTCGGTGGATTTGACCTTGGTTGGGTAGCGTAAGCAGCACCGGCTCTAACAGAAAGACGAAGGCCGGTGGCTGCTCTCAGCGACCGCGAGAGCATAAGGGACTGGCTCGGAAAGAAACGCGCAATATCGGCGGTCACAGCAACGTGACCCAGCAAAAATTACACCATCAGATCCAGTCAGCAAGTAATACACAATACACAGTCAAGCACAATTAAGCATCTTCAACCTCAAAAGCACAACAGAACAGCGAATCCTTGCTGTCCAAAAGTACAACACCTTTCCCATCTGGTGTCCATCGTATATCCCGTGTCTCGAAGCTTTCTTCAAAAGGCATCAACTCACGCTGGCAGATAAAGCAAAAAAAAACTCACTCGCTGGGACTCCAATGCATTCTGCCATTTCCTCCTCTCCGTTCTCTCCCACCCATTCATCACTCCACATATACAGACTTTGGGAGGCACAACAAAGTATCAGGGAGCCCTTGCGGACGGGATTCCACCTTGCGTGAGCTATTGGGCGACTATGCAGCAAAACAGATCGTAATCTAGGTCGGAATTCTGGTTGTTCCATCGTCGGGAAATCGAATATATGCAGCGCATTCGGTGAATTATCTGGTGACACTTTCGTTAATAGCACTTGAATTTTTCAACTCGTTCTCCTACCGAAGCGCACAAGTAGCAGAGACCCATTTTTGTTCCATTCCAGCTGTGCGGTGCCGCTTTTGGGGTTCGATTTCGTCATATCAGCTCTCTGGATGACGATCGAGTGAGGACTCCTCAAGCGTTCATCTGCTATACTTTCAGAAGCGGGCTTGGTTGCGGAATAGTTGGGCACATGATAAGAAACCTCGACCTTCTGTTGTCTCCTGCCATTTGGATGGTTCTCTCCAAATGGTCTATAGATAGCTAGATTAGAACCGGACTTTTATTGGCATACACACTCACAACACCGGACGGAATGCGTGCGGAAAGCTCGAGTGTTGCAGCGACAGTCCACGTCAAATCCAAAATGTGAATCTGTCATTAGTCAACAAAAAAAGTGAGAGAGGAGTCGTTCCGGTGCTCATACTTTGTCGTCCCAACCCCCTACAGCAAGAAACATGCCGCTGGGATGCCACGATACTCTTCGGATGCCGAATCCGGGGTCCGAATCAGGAGAGAATGAGCCTTGAAGATCACCAGCAAGGGACAAAACATGAAGCTTGTACTATGGAATTTCTAGCGAAGAACGGAAATTGGATGCGGAAATCGACCTCAATGGGTCCTTCCCAGACCGCGAAGTGGTTCCCGGTAGGAGATAGGGCTAACGACGCCAAGGCAGAAGTTGGTAGAGGAAAGTGCTTCGCGTCTTTTTCATTTGGAATGGCGCTCTTTGACGCATAGCGCTTACCCTAACAAGTTTGTATGAGTCCTGGGTGTCATACACACCGAGCGTGTCCTTTGATTTATGTCGTTCAGCCAAGATAAAGTAACGGCCATCGGAACGAAATGCGTAACCTGTCCATTGCAGTGTCAACGCGCATTTTATCAAGAGGAGGATTGGAAGAACCAGTGTCTGGATGAACAGGAAACTGTATGTAGGTTGCGCTCGCGACACCAGTCACCAGGGACCAGATTGTAACCCTTAGCTGTTCACATATTGAACAAAGCCGAAAGATGCTACGAAGCAGAAACTAACTCCCCACTGAGAGAAACAAAGGATTGTGCGACCATCTGGGGCCCATTCAGCTTTGACAAGACCTGTTACTGTCAAGGCTGAACGGCGATAGTGGACTGCCAAAATGACCTTCTGTTCCGGATTCAATGCGAGCGGACCAGTTGATATCTTGGACATTATAGACGTGAACTGTACCCTGCTTCGTCGAGGCAGCAAGAAGGTACTCAGAATCACATGACCAGCCGATATGAGAGATGGGTTCTGAGGATGTTTTGTCTTTCGACGAGAACAACGCGTTTGTTGGGGTTGGAGATTGGTCGATCTGCCACGTTTGGAAGATCTGGAAGGTAGAAGTAGTCCGGAGTACAAGTCGGTTTTGGATGGCCGCGAGAATGAAACGCGAGTTCGGGCTGAACGCGAGGTTTCCGTGAAAGCGGTAGAGTTCAGTGAAGTCCATAGCTTAGTCAAACGCGATCAGTCACGCCCCGATCACGCTTGGTTGAACCGTTTGGACCGCATCTCAAGGTGCCGAAGAGCCGCTGACTAGGCAACCACTCGTGACTCGTGGTTGACCTGGTTTCTTGGCCTTGATTGAAAGTGCTTAGACCATCAACTACGCAATCTTTGTTGTGTAAATCCGTCCGGACGCGGAACTCTCAAAGAATCTTATTAAAAGAGACTGTCGGAGGTTAGTCCCCAGCCCTCTCCTCCAAGATGGTCGACCCTGACACCTCCAGTGACCAATCTGCAACCATTCGAGATGAAGAGCTCGTGAAAAAAACTTCAGAACTCGATGCTGCTGCCAAAGATCCCTTCTTGATCGACGAGTTTGAAGAGGGAGATCCTACTAACCCAAGGGTGCGCTACACTCGTTTCGCGTGCGCTAAACCAACCCACGACAGAATTGGTCACGATTACGACGATGGTATCTGACCTTCTTCGCTGGTGTCCTTCTGCTTAACGCGTGCGTTGCTCGACTGCTTTGGTGGATCATTTTCTTGATTGCGCATCAGCACATTCGCCAGCGCAGCCCGTATGTTACTCCGAAAGGACCATGAATTTCATTATATTCCGCTTTTGCAGCCTCCGGCATCACACTCGAAATGAGGAGGGAGTTCCATATGTCTCAAGAAGTAGGCGTTCTGGCCCTCTCAATCTTCGTGGTCAGTCGAATACTTGACGAAAACTACGCAATATGTCAATATTTTCACAGGCTGGATATGTCGTGGGTCCACTGTTGTGGGGGCCTTTGTCCGAGAACGTGGGACGAAGACCTATTTTTATTTTCCCTCACATTGTTTTCACGGTGGGTTCCAAATGCTGCACTTGCTAGTCAGGCTCACGGCATTGATTCAGCTCTTCCAAGTTGGCGCTGCTCTAGCGAAGAACCAGGCCTCTTTGCTAGTATTTAGGTTTCTCGGAGGGGTCTTCGCCGCTGCACCTCTTACCAACTCTGGGTAACAATCTCTCTTCCCAAGTGAACTCTCTTATCATCGCGCCCCAGTGCCATCATCAGCGATATCTGGGACGCCAATACAAGAGGGAAGGCCCTCGCTCTCTTCACTCTGATGCCCTTCACAGTACGTGTCTTCTTCTACTCTTCCACGTTTCCACTATGCTGACTGATGTATAGGGTCCCACACTAGGTACCAGCACTTGATTTTGCACTCAACATACTCTAAATTATACCACTTATTTAGGACCGACAGTGTCGGGCTTCATTGCCGTATCAGGTAATCAAGCCTATGTATGACTGCTGATCAACCTCCTAACATTCGTAGGAACGAGCTTCCGTTGGGTTTATTGGGTAAGATCTAATTCTCTCGCGCGACGCTTTCACTCAAATATATATGAAGACTTTGGCCATCTTCGTAAGACCATATTCTTATTCCTCACATACCCTTGCTTATTGTTGGGTAGGCTGGAGTTTGCAGTATTTTCGCAGTGTTGACCTTGCCTGAGACCTACAAGTACGCGGCCGCCCAATCACTCCTGCTTTCTCTCTTTACAATTTGATCAAGGCCTGTACTCCTCATTCGCGCTGCAAAAAGAAAACGAGAAGAAACTGGGGACAATCGCTACTACGCTCCACTCGAAAAGGACCGTAGAAGCTTCCTGCAACAGGTCGAGAATGTACTCGCTCGGCCATTCAAGATTCTTTTTCTTGAAGTGAGTGCTATGTCGCCCGTTGAACTGTCTTCAATTGTCTTGCAGCCGATGCTGTTTGTCATTACCATCTACATGAGCTTCATATTCGGCAACGTATTTTTACTCTTTGAGGTGATACGACTCTATATTTTCACACTGGTTGTTGATAAGACGAGTATCAGGCCTTCCCTATCGTTTTCACCGTCGGTCATGGACTCAACGCCGGCCTGACTGGATTAACATTCCTTCCGATAGCCTTGGGAGGTACTGTGGCGACAATATTCTCCGCTTCATATTACAATCCACGCTATGAACGCAAAGCGGCGGAACTCGCACCGCACCCAGTCCCTCCCGAGTTCCGGCTGGAGATGACTCTTCTGGCTTCGCCGTTATATGCCAGTAAGCACTTGTGTTGTCACTCTTGCCACAGCTGACCGAAATTTCAGTCTCATTTTTCTGGTTTGCGTAAGTCCTCGCTTGTTCTTCCTCAGCTCCGCCTCAATTGCTCAGATGGACTTCCTTCCCATCTATATCGTTGTGGGCTCCTTTGATGTCCGGCTTTGTGATGGGCTTCGCCATTAATCTGATATTTGTGCGTGGCCTCCATCGGTTAGTTTCCGTCTCTAACTATGCCAAGCTGTCTCTGTTCAACTATATCATCGGTGAGCCTGAAGAAGTCACGTTGTCTTGCATGCTTATTCTCTGAAGACACCTATCTGTTCGTTGCTGCTTCCGCATTGGCTGGAAGCACGGTGGTTCGCAGTCTTTGTGGTGCAGCGTTTCCTGTGTGTATTTTCCGCTATTTGGATTCAATGACTTGATCTCTCTTGTCAGCTCTTTGCCACTCAGATGTACGATGCCTTGGGTCCACGATGGGCGTCTTCCCTATTAGGTTTTGTCGCATTGATAATGATGCCGTTGCCGTTTGTCTTTGTGCGATATGGACCCGCGATACGCGCGAGATCGAGATACGCCCCCGCCAAACCGACGCCGGCATCAAATAAGCTAGAGGCATAGACAACTGTACACGAGCACTAATTATTGTATCGCTACACGTAATGTCACACAGTCACGGTCCAACGCAACTTCCTTTCACCCATCCAGACGAAGAAATGCCGATACAGCCTATGTTTACCTTCTTTTTCGTTCTCGTCGGCGCTCTCGCCAAACCCATCCCATCTTCTACGCTCGTGTCTTGTCTCGCCAACCACAGTCTTGCTTTCGAGACCTCTCAGAGTTCCGATTGGGACACCTCAACCACACCGTATGTTCTATCCATATGCTTAGAGTAAATCACCCTTGAAACCTTGACTCCTCAGTTTCAATCTTCGATACCACTACCAACCTGCGGCAATAGTATATCCAACTCAGACGAATCAAGTGTCTGAAGCTGTCAAATGCGCTGCTCAACATGGATTTCGCGTCTCACCACTGAGCGGTGGGCACTCTTATTCTGCATCTGGTTTTGGCCAGGACGGCACACTTGTTGTCAGTCTCCGAAACATGACACAACTCAGCTACAATACTGGCGACGGCTCTGTCAACGTTCAGCCTGGCACCCATCTCGGTGACTTCGCCCTCGAACTCTCCGATAAATACGGGCGAGCTGCTGCTCATGGAATCTGTCCTTATGTTGGTTTGGGAGGCCACGCTGGCTTTGGTGGATGGGGTCTTTCCTCAAGAAATTGGGGCTTAGTGATTGATCAAGTATTGGCTGCTGATCTGGTGCTTGCGGACGGTACAACTCGCCATGTTAGCAAAACAGAACATCCTGACCTTTTTTGGGCAATCCGCGGCGCATCGTCATCTTTTGGTATCGTCACTCAGTATCAACTCCAAACCCATGCCGCTCCAACAAGTGTCATACGCTTTGCGCTCAATTTCAACGTCGCTGACCGACCAGTACCTCTGTTCGCTCAAGAGTTTGCGAGACTGCTCACTGCTTATCAAACCTGGGGACTCAAAACTCCGAAAGAAATGGGAATCGTAACCAACATCTGGCAAGGCGGTCGCGATATTGAGATGGCTGGCTACTTCATGGGCGATATGACGAGCTTCAATGCGGCATTTCAGCCCCTTCTTGACGCGACTGGAAAACCCAACGCTACTTACATTCAAGAGCGCGGCTGGGTCGCAGCATTGACGGAAGCATCAGGCGGGACAACTTTGTCGACAATCGGGACGCCAGACATCGTATGTTTGTTGCAACTTTGATTCAAGAAGATGTTCACTGGCCCTAGCACGACACATTTTACGCTAAATCTCTAACTGTTCGGAATGACACTCTCATTACGACCGCAGCTTTTGAGAAACTGGCAAACTTCATGATGACGGCGCCAAAGCCAGGACTACTTTCGGAGACGTTCATTCAGTTTGAGCTTTGGGGCGGTGAAGGTATACTTTTTGCTTTATCTTTGTTCTTTTCAGTTGACGTTTGCAGAGAGTAAAATTTCGTCCATCAGCTCAGATGCAACGGCGTATCCCCATCGCAGTCATCACTTCACCGTCCAATTTTACGGTCGCTCCAAAAGTGAATGGTCGACGGCCTGCACCGAATATGTAGATGGGTTGACCGACTCAATAACTAGCGAGATGCCAGCGGCCAAGTTTGGTGGTTATGCAAATTATCTGGATCCTGAATTGGCAGGTTGGCAGAGAAAGTACTATGCGGAAAACTATGATCGTCTGGAAAAGTTGCAGAAGGAGTATGACCCACGCGGAGTGTTCTCAAAGCATCAGAATGTAGGCTCTTCATAGGCATATACCCTCACAAATAAATACCTTTGACCGGAATGTGACAAATGGAGTGATCCGAACTTCCCACATTTCCTACTTTCGCCCATGCCGCCATTAGCTCTTCGGGGAGTCGTCACCAAGGTTGGGCTTATGAACAAGACGGCAACAGTAGTTGTATCGAGATGGGCTGTTCATCCGCTAACGGGGAAGGTGAGCAGTATCAGTCATGCGACAATATTAAAGCTCATCCTTCAACCAGCGTATGGAGAGAACCAAAAAATATCTAACACATGACCCGCAAAACAGTCTGTCACTACTCTTGCTTTGCTTATAGCTTTTTATGATAACCAGAGATGCGAAAGGAAGACATTGTTGTCATCCGTAATTGTCCGCCAGTCTCAAAGTTGAAGCGGTTCAAGCTGGAGACTATTCTGCGGAGTCCAGAGGTTGAACGCGAATTGCAGCGAGCGAAGCAGGCAGAGGGGCAATAGTTTTTATGCAGTCTTGGCCTGCTGGATTGCTGCTTGGATTTCCACGAGCTGGGAGTTGAATCGGAGTTGAGCAGGACACAAACCAACGAAGGAACTGACCTCTTGCTTTTTCTTGTCAGATCTTGTTTGTATGTCCTGCAACTGCCCCTCGACGCGTTTTCTATCCATGACTATAGTCGCAATCTTCACTGAACGGTCGTAAACGCACATTTCACTTGAGATGAATTCCAGTCGCCCTTTGACGTCCTTCTTCGCGTCGTCTTGCTCTTGTTTTACCAGGACAGGCCCGATCTGCTTGTAGACTACGTTGTCTGGTGTGAGTTTGGCGAATTCCTGGAAACTTGAGCTAGGGAACAGCAAATAAGTGGGGGGTAATGGACCTGATCGACCAATTGATTCTCAGAATATTGAGCATCCAATTTCTGTCGAGCCTCTACAATTGTGGACATTTCCATCTGCAGTTTCGTGTAATCGGACGAGGCACTTTGCAGTTTGGCTTGGAGGGACATGGCGGTTCAGATTGTGTGGATATCAAATCAAGAGACTTGTGACCGCGCTGCTTTTGCTCACGACGTGTGGGCGTGAACGAAAAAGGGATTTACGGGCCTCCGGTCCATGATGAATTAGAACCCGACATGATTCTCTCTCGATAACCAACCACCATGACCGCATCTAAGATTCACATTGACTGGGATAAGGTCGCCCATCCCGACCTTGTTTTGGCCCGTTTTCCAAGCCGTAGGTCTGTTGTCTATAGTACAAAAGGCATCGTTGCCGCTTCCCAGCCTCTGGCCGTTGAGGCTGGCCTGGAAATTCTTCGCAAGGGTGGAAATGCAGGTGAGCAAAAACTGTGTCCTGTTGGCTTTCGTTTAACTTGCGTTTTTGTAGCTGATGCAGCAGTCGCGTAAAATTTCTCTGTTTACGCTACATGGAGGTTGAATGCAGTCTGAAGGACCTCAGCTGCTCTCAATGTCTCTGAGCCCAGTTGTTGCGGGATTGGAGGGTAATCATTCCCACAATAAAGGTTCTCTGGAGCTCACTCTCTCTAGCGATGCGTTCTGCTTGTTCTACGATGCGAAAAGCAAGACTGTCAAGGCCCTCAATGGGTAATTTATGGCTACACTTCTATGCTGTTTGGCTTATCCACGAAAGATCTGGCCGCTCGCCACGAAAATTGACACTTGAATATGCTCGCCAGCGTGGGTTGAATGGTCGGGCAATTCCTCTCACGGATCTCAACTCGGTCACTGTCCCTGGTGCGCTACTCATGATTCAAGGCCTTTGATCTTATACTTTACAGGCGCAGCTGCGGCGTGGGTTGACACAGTTGAACAACTAGGAAGTGGCAACGTTACAGTGGCTGATGTTTTAGCGCCGGCAATCCGTTTAGCTGAGGAAGGGTGCGTCGTGGTTTTTATATCTCCAAACTCGAATACTAACTCCTCCAGGGTTCCTGTTTCGGAGATCCATGGTCTCTCATGGCAGAAGTCCGAGGTCGCAACTCTTCATTCTTCTTGCGTGTGCTACTAAAAGAAATCTTAGCAACTGATCAAGAACGCCTCTCCAAATGGAGATGAAATGCTGCTGAATGGCAGAGCACCTCGTCCGGGGGAAATCATCAAACTACCCAACCTCGCACAAACGTTCAGAGAAGTAGCAACACATGGGAAAGACGGATTTTACAAGGGCCGGGTTGCCGAGTCCATTGTAGAACTCATCAAGAGCAAAGGAGGAGTAATGGAGCTTGAAGATCTTGCACAGCACAAAACTGCTTTTGTAGAGCCTATCAAGTACACCTATGCAAACGAGGTGACCCTATATGAGGTCCGCATCTGTGGTTCATGATAAGCACTGTGCTAAACCAATCCAGTGTCCGCCAAACGGCCAAGGTTGATACTCTGATCTGTTGCACTATCTCTGACACTTGGTGTAGGACTAACGGCTCTGATTGCATTGGGAATCCTAGAAAGTCTACAAGAGCAGGGTATTGTGCGGCCTATTCTTGAAATGGAGCACAACTCGGCAGAGTATCTTCACGTCCTAATCGAATCTCTTCGGTTTGTTGTCATCAAGTTTCTTATGATCTGACCTGACCTGCCCACCAGCGTTGCGTTCGCAGGTGAGCTAGCATTGTTTGGTTGGGTTTAACATACGATCAAATTCCAGACACGCAGTGGTATGTAGCAGATCCAGACGTGGAGCATGTTCCCATCGACAAACTGTTGAGCAAAGTGGATTTTCCGGTTCCAATCCTTCTCGTTGACTCACAAGTTGTACCAGGAATACTTGGCTTCGCGAGCGAAACTTATCAATCCTCTTAAGACGAACCCAGAAGTTGTTCATGTGCTGCACTTTGTCTGCCGTTCTCAAAACTCGGAGCGCTGAACGATACTAGGGGAACCCCGCGAACCACTCTGACACTGTCTACTTCACAGGTAAAGTTATATCTAAATCACCCAGGAAAGCAAGTTCACTTGAAATTACAGTCGCTGATCAATGGGGAAACGCGTGTAGCTATATCCAAAGTAACTATGCTGGTATAAATTCTCTATATTTGATCCGCAAACGCAAGTTGACCTGATCTCAGGTTTTGGGACTGGAGGTTTGATCAGAATTCCTCTGTTCTTACTGGCTCGTCCTAATTCTACTCTTAGCCATACCGAAAGGATGCGGTTTTACGCTCCAAAATCGCGGAAGCGGTTTTGTACTTGATGAAAATCATGCAAATTCTTTGCGGGGAGGCAAACGTCCATACCACACTATTATCCCGGCCATGGCTCTTCGAGGCGACGAACTATTCCTTAGTTATGGAGTGATGGGAGGCTTCATGCAGCCACAAGGCCACATACAAGTTCTCCAAGGGATGCTGAGGGGCTTTACACCGCAAACAGCTTTAGACTCGCCCCGTTTTTGTATCTCGGCTGGCAGTCCAGATACCCAAACGAAGGAGACCGGAAACGCGGGAGACATCAACAGCGAAGTATATATCGAGGAGGGAATACCGGCGGAGACAGTGGAGAAACTTCGAGGCAAGTTGTCTACCTAAAATATGCTCAGCATTTTGGCATTGACGAAGTAAGCAGCGATGGGCCACGATGCTCGAGTTGCCACCGGTTTTCAAAGGGGCATGATGGGACGGGGACAAGTCATCCAGAAGCTAGCTGACGCTTCAGGTCGGTTTGTTTGGGCAGCAGGATCTGATTTGCGAGCGGATGGACACGCATCACCACAGATTTAAGCCATTATGTAATGTTGACATCAGACTGTCACTGTGTGTGACAGTCGCGACTTGACCTTATACTATGTCAAAACGCAAAGCACCCCCCCTCGAATCTCCATCTAAACGCGTAAAACCTACCCCGGTACCCACTCAATCCGTCATAAAGGTCGCTCGTGTACCACCACCAAAGCCTCCCACCACTCCTCGACGCGTTCGAAGACTGCCAACTCCCACTTCAGACAGCGAAGACGAACTAGACGTCATCCAGTCATTTTCAGCTCGGAGAGTGAAGGCGAAGTCAGATGCAGAAGACTCTCCTATTCGGAGAACTACCAAACCTGCTGTTGCGCGGACGAGGCGGAAGGGTGTCGTCAAAACAGGCCCTGACGCCAACCACGACGCGTTAAGCTCAACAAAATTGCTCGAAACCCGCACCTTACGTTCAGGAAAAACCACGCCTACAACTCCGACCAAGCCTAGATCCCCGAAAAAGCCCGTACAAACTAGTAAGGCTGAAGCCAATAACTCACCCAAGAAACCTACACGCATCTCGCCTGTCAAAAAGGTTGAATCCCCCAAGAAGGCTGCCAGGCGGAAGACACCTTTGCCTCCTTCGAGCTCAGAAGATTCAGAGGAGTTGTCAGATGTGCCAGAAAGTCGAGAACCTTCACCCAGCCCATTGCCTCGTCAAGCGCCTGCGATCACCCCTCTCATTGCTCCACGACCAATTGCACCGTTAAATGCCACCAACTGTTTGGATCTCCAGAAACGCCAGATTCTGCGCGTCTTGCAACATCCTTTGGACCTTGACGTTGAAGAGGAAGGTTCTCCGAGCCGGATCGCTTCACAGCAATTGAGTGACTTGCTCAGTGGTACTGTCGAGAGGGGGGAGGGAAATAGCTGTATGTTGGTGGGCCCCCGAGGAAGTGGCAAAACAAGTGTGAGTCGGATCATCGTTTCTCCCTCAACGTTCTGACTTGTAGGGCTACAGATCGTCGACCAGTGCATAGCGAAGTTATCTGAGCAACCGATTGTTCTGAGACTATGTGGGTGGACGCAGCAAACGGACAAGCTCGCGATACGTGAAATTGCGTACCAACTTGGACATCAAACGGGGAAATCTTTTCTTGTTCCAGATGAAAACCAAGGCGTTGAAGAGAATCACGAAGCTCCCTCTGGCATGTCTGCACTGATTACTGCTCCTGCGGCGCACCTTCCTGCTCTCATATCTGTTCTCCCGACCCTTGCACGACCCACTGTTGTCATTTTGGATGCACTCGACCTCTTCGCTCAGCATCCTCGGCAGTCTTTGTTGTATTGCTTGTTGGATACTGTTCAGAGTTGTCGAGCTGGCACCCAAACGAAAGGTCTTGCTGTCATTGGCGTGACTAGTCGCATCGACACGCTCAATATGCTGGAGAAAAGAGTCAAGAGTCGGTTTTCTGGGAGGATGTTCCGAACGGCCCCGCCCGTTCAATCCCAGGACTGGCTTCGGCTTACTGGTAGAATACTGGCCTCTCAAGTCGACAATACCATCATCGAGATGGATGATTGGAAGGAACAGTGGACCTCCGCAGTTCAACTATTCCTCAACGACCCGAAAGTTTGCACCGCGTTAAAGGAAACTTTCAGTCTCACCAAAGATGTGCGGGTGCTCGTAAGATTGCTGGTGCGATTTCTTTTCTCGGTCATGGTTTGTACTGAGCATTCATTCTTCTTGTAGATTTCACTTGTCGTTAGACTTTCGCCTTCGTCCCCATTCCCGACGTTAAGTCTGTTGGAGACTGCGATTGCGACCCAGCGCTCTCGCCCGCCTTTCCCCATGCTCCATGGTGTGTTCTTATTTTGAACAATCGCGGTCTTGTGGATATCTGACGGTTTCTAGCCCTCCCATACCCATCAATATGCCTCCTAATTGCTACAGTACATAGTCAGGCAACTGGCCACCCAACGTTTACTTTCGAAATGCTTTACGAGCGGGTTCGGGACCAGATTCGTAGTTCAACGGCCGCCCCAGTTCTGTTCCATGGCAGCAGCATCGGCATGCCTCAATGTTCGCGTTCTGTGTTACTCAGCGTGAGTACCATACCTTACTTTTATCGTAGTGGTCTCATTAATCGTGATGACAGGCCTTTGAAGGCTTAGTGTCAGCAAAGGCCATCGCGTTCGTTGCGTCTTCTGCTGGTATGGCCAAGGAATTTGTGAAATACCGCGCTGTTGCGAGCAAAGAGGACATCAAACGCGCACTGCAGGTCAAAGGCGACGTAAATTTGACCAAGTGGTTTACAAAGGCAACCCAATAGGCTCGAGAGTCGATTACAATAATTTACATTCGTCGTTGACGCTCACTACCCACTGCCTGTTGGCGCCGATATGCTCGCAGATCTTCTGTTGAGTCAGGACCACGAATCTTTGAGTTGAATCAATCTCAGTTTGTCCCGAAGTCGTTAGTCAAACGCACCTTGCCCCAGCCAGCTAAAGGCACAACTAATACGGTCGCATTGTCTTCTCCTCCAAGCTCTTCGGCAAAAGAAAGAATTTTTTCGGCAGCAGCTTTCGGGTTGGGGGCATCTCGAGCAAGATCGCAGACTTCACCGTCGGAGAGCATCGAGGAAATTCCATCCGACACAAGAATAGCGTAAGCCCACTCCTCCCCTGCCGAGACAGTCAAACGCTATAGAATAAGGGAGGGCAAGCCAACCTTCCAACAATTTAGTTCGAACTTCAGGTTCTGGGGTTACGCCAAATTTTTTGTAGCGCAAGTCACCCAGGCTATGTGAGGATTCAGTGTCAGAAGGGCTGATAGAGGGACAGCTCTACCCTCTGGTGTTGGCTAGTGCACCCATCCACCGTGATTCGCCAAACGAGTCCGTTATCAAAGAACTCCCCATCATCCTCCGCAGCCTTATGCTCTCTACTCTCGCGTCGGCATGGTGGGTTTCGGTCATAGGGAACACTTTGCCGCCATCCGTCGAACACAACAAAACCCGCGTGTCGCTGTGGACAATCAGATCCAGAGAATATATTCAAGATTTTACTTACCCGCAATGGGCGACCCTAATTCGTATCAGAGGACACGAAACATGGTGAGTGCGAGTACATACGTCAAGGCCAGCTTCTGTGAGGAGAAGAATGGTGCAGGCGGCGAGTCCAATGGATGGAGAATAGCGACCGAGGCAGTTGCACCACAGCTTTGCGCTGAGCCATCCGCTGAGAGATGGCGGTCAACCTCGATGATAGTAAGGACCAAGAAGGCAGAGTGTATGACAAACACTGACATCGAAAAAGGCAAGGGTTAGACGCGTTTCAAGGTCAAGGGAAGGTGAATCGTCAGCAATATTGACCCATGGGGCGAGTACTCCGCCTCTGAAGCGTTTGAAGTAGCCTCCTAGTTCGTGAATCCAGGCAAAGAGCTCTGGAATCATGGCTTTGTCAACGGACTCGACAAGGCCATGCAACTCCTGTCGAAGATATTGTGCTACAGCGGAGCCTCCATGCCTGTAAATACCTCAAGTTAATATGAACTAGATATCATTGCGTAGTGCGCACCCGTCGTATATGCCGACAAAAGCAGCTTGTCTCGCTAGAGCACCACCAGACGTAGGGTCCCAGTCAATCCCATGAGCCTTTTTAACACTCAAATGTAGTTCTTGAGGGTCCAGAGACAAAGATGCGAAGGAATAGAAGTCCTCCTGGTGACTGAGCGTTTGTTGGTTTGAGACAATGCTGTTGAAACCCAAGTAATGACCTTCTAGTTCCACGCGAATTAGCGACTCCGATGACCTTAGAACGCGTTAGATGAATAATATGGGCAGTCAATGAGTCAACCTTAGTGAGAGGATAGCGGGCAATACCTCCGGCAGCTGCCGCACGAATATAGTCGTGGTAGCATCGTTTCAAGATACGCATTTGATCACATCTTCAACTCCAACACCCATGTAGATGGGTGCAAACCAATCTACGCCAAAGATTACAGCTCAGGACCGTGCAGTCCTCGAGTCAGTTCCTTTCTTCATACGACTCCCCCAACTCACTCATTTCCAGTCTCAAACTACAGCGCGATAAACTTAGGCAATATCAGAAGCAGATTCAGTTCATCCTCCAACGTGAACATGACATTGCCAAGAGTCACCTAGCTGCAGGAAATAAGGACCGTGCTCTCATCGCCCTCCGACGTCGCAAATTTCAGCAGAGCCTACTGCTTAAGACCGACGGCCAGCTAGAAACCCTGGAAGAGCTGGCGAGTGATTGGCCTACTTATCACCGCAACCCAACTCATGCGCCACAGGTATCGACCATCGAATTCTCCCTCGTAGAGGTGTCTGTTTTGCACGGACTCCAACAGGGAAACGATGTCCTGAAGCAGATTCACAAAGAAATGAGCATCGAGGCGGTGGAGAAACTAATGGATGAAACACAAGAGGCGAGAGAGTATCAGAAGGTTAGTTTTCACGCACAGAGTGGATTCACAGGTGATATAGTTTCGTCTTGCAGGAAATTGGTGATTTACTTGCCAACAACCTGACGGCGGACGAAGAAGATGCTGTTCAAGAAGAATTACGCCAACTGGCTGCTGAAGCAGAGGGCACAATCGAATTGCCTGCTGCCCCAACCCACGATCCCATTCCGGACAAACCCGAACAAATTCTGGCAAGCGTGAACAAGGACAGAGTACCCATAGCTGCATGACAACGTATACATCTAGATCCAATACTACCAGTTGTCGAAAGAACCGAATCCTGTTGTCCGCTGTTTCTTCTTCTCGCTACCGCCGTCCGTTGCGGGGGTCGGCCTCTTCAAGTTGAGGTATTTTCCTACTCCTCCCTCCCTTGCTGCTCCAAACACTGAGTTGCCTGAGCCCAGCTTCACGCCAAATGCGTTCATGTCATCTCCTTCCTTCTTCTGCATAACACCATCAGTCCCCGTACCCTGCTCCGCTTCCTTCTTTCTCGCAAGTTTCTTCGCCAGCCGATCCTTGTACTCTTGGAAGGGGTCTTGATAGCTGAAGGTGGAAATTAACAAAAAGAGCTGGACGCAAAAGCACAGGACCCACATTATGACTTCCTTTATTCGTACAGGTTGCGCTGGCCTCTCCGTTCCCGGCTTGAGCGGGAGTTTTTCGAGGGCATCTAGCACGTCCTCCCCCCCAACTAATTTACCGAACACAGTATGTTTCTTGTCCAGGTGAGGTGTCGCTCGAAAGGTCAGATACCATTGAGAGCTGTGATTGTTGAGCAGGAAATGGGCGGCATCTATATTTTCTTACCCATTCGTCCCCGCACCTTTATTAGCCATTGCCAAAGTTCCCCTGCTGTCATGCTTGGCTGCACCCTTCAAGTCATGTTCGTCTCGGAATGGCGTCTCCCAATAAGACGTCCCACCGGCGCCAGTGCCGGTAGGGTCTCCAGTTTGAATCTAACCTTAAGTCAGTATTAGATGGACGATGCAGTTTTTGCGGACCATAAAATCAGGTACGAGTCGATGAAACAGACAGTTGTCGAATTTATGGGACCGGGCCAGCATAAGGAAGTTGTAGCAAGTTTTTGGCGCCTGTAGGTCAGATTATATAGGTTGGCTTGAATACGGATAAATCAAGTTCGACCTTTTCACCTGCGGAGCTCATGAGTGAGTCAAGTCTCCAACATGGGGTAGAATACAAACAATAAAGCTCCAGGTTTAAGCTGCTACCACCGAGAGTTGTAACGACACGAACATATGCTCGTCGTTTCCCTACATCCTTCTCTTTGGCTTTGCCTTTAGGTGGATTTGATATATCCTCGAACATGAGCTCTTCCTAATAGCGCTGAGCCAGCGCAACAAGCAAATAGTGTTGAATACCTCATCCCACACTAACTTAGAAGAGGCAGCGGCTTGAGGATCGACTGATGTCGATGTTAAAGATGCGCCAGGTAGACCGTTGGAGTAAGGAGACACGTTCCCTTGGCCGGAATGTAAGCAAATGACTAACACACGTTATGCTACGCACAAGGGTCTTCAATTTTGGCTTTAACAGGAACCGCTGATGCAACAGTTTGGGGCTTTGGAGTAGGTTTAGATGATGTGGCAATGGGAGCAACGCTGGGAAGGGAGGCAGAAGGAAGTCCGTGAGGATTTTGCAGCGTTACGACGTCCTCTCTATTAAAGTTAGCGCAACTAAAGGTGGGTGGAATTCAGGTACTTCTTGAAAGGCACATCAGCCACGAGATCTCGTCCACCCTTGATACTCTCCGCCAGGAAAACATTGCCTGTGGTCTTGATAGCGACAATATGTGAGTGTTGAGAGAAAGGCTTGAAGCTAATAGGGTCGTGGAGTTCTCCGGACGCTTCTTTTCTGGAGTAATGCAGCGTTATGAGGTCTGCTGGAGTGAGTGGTGCTTTGGTGATTGGATGCTCGTTGTTGTGTTGTTTCAACCAAGGTATTATGTTGACCAAATCGAACACGGTCCCGGTACCATCAGCATTTGCCGCACAGACTGGATTCTTGAATTCTTGGAAGGAAATGGCGCAACAGTCAAACGGAGTAATTTGTGCAGGATGCGCCTCCGCCTTTCTGAGAAACTAAGAGGTCGCAAACCGAGCTACGAAATCACGCACTGTTTGTGGCCAATCGAAGAAGAATGAGCGCCATGTAAACCGCTGTGTTCAGCGTGGGTGATATACAGCTTGTTTGAATTTCCATGTCCCATCGTGGAGGTCGGCAGGAAGCTTTCGTCGACACGTGACTCGTAATTTCATGCTTGTGTCGCGACTGCGAACCCTCTCACCACAATTTGTCCGTGCAGCTTCCTCTTTTCCGCCCAAGAAGACCAAGCCTGCTCCATCTGCTCGTGCTGGCCTGGGTATAGATCCTGGTGTTTTCGACCAAGTCCGGCAGCAAATTATCGAACGCCATAACTCTGCCGATCTTGACCAGCCCAATGTTCAACACTTTAACACCAACGTGTTGAACATACGAAGAGCCTTACAGCAGAATGATCTAGCCTTACTGGCTTTTTCTTGGGAGGAGCTGTATATGGTGCAAAGGACCCATCTACTTTCGCGCAATATCATTGAACAAATCGCCAACCTTGTTACCTCGCATGACGGCCATTTAGAAGCGAACGGAATCGCACTGGTGGGCCAAGTGGCGCTTGCTTCTGCCGCAATGCATGATATAGATTCTCTGAATCTTTGTCTTCTGGACCTCCTCAAAAGAGGACAGTCACAAACCATCATTGAACTCTATGAAAAATTCCGCCAGTCCCTCGGGCGCGAGGATCCTGACCTTGTGCTGGAATCCCCTTCATGTCACCCCGACTTTTTTCTGGCAGTAGTCGCTGCCCACGCCATGCAAGGGAATTTTCATTCCGCTTTGGCTTCCTATCTCAATGCTCAGATCATTATTCCTCGCCGTTCTGCGGATTCGTTTTTCCACTCCATTTCGTCCTTACCAACCATTCAACGCGACGCCAAGGTGTATTTCGACCGCCTTGATCTGGCAAAAACAATCCACCTTCCCATTGCTCTCAGCAAACACATCTACAACCTCTCCGTTCAGCCTCAATCATCACGACTCGAGCAGCTCTACACTGATGTCATTGCCTCAATAGAGGGGCCAGAAGCCTTTATTGCGGCACGTCCTGAACTTGGATCTGGTTCCAAACCCGTCACGATGACCGAGTTAAGTTGGGCCTCTTTCCTTGTCGCATTTTTGCGCAGGAAACGAAATGATTTGGCAACCAAAGTCTGGGAAGATATGGAGCGACTAGCTGTCGAGACAGGGACTTTAATCTGGAATTTGGTCATGGATGGGTACAGCGATTTCGGAACTCCGGACGACGTCTATGGCGCATGGAACGCTATGCTTTCTCGACAAGTGCAGCCAGATAGCATGTCGTATCGTGCACTCTTGTCTTGCTTGTTCAAGGCTCGCCTAGCCGATGACGCTATTCGTTTGCTGGAAGTGTTCCGCAAAGAGGTCCAACCCACAGCATTACCGGAGCATGTTCTTGCCGTCTACAACTCTGTTCTTCACGGCGTATTGTCTCTCGGACGAGATAATGCGGAATTCGCTTTTGCATTATTTGAAGAGATGGAGAAGAAGGGTCCAAAACCAGATCTCGTTTCTTTCAACACCATCATGTCGTACCATGCGCGTCAACGCGATTTCAAGTCAATGGCTAGCGTTATCAACCGTATGTCAGAGGCCAAAGTCACCGGCGACGTATTTACCTTTTCAACAATCCTGAATGCTCTACTCCGAGCGGGAAGAAATGACGCCACAGATTTGGTGCTTAACATCATGCGCCGACAGGGCGTCAAGCCCACTGTAGCAACATATACCTCAATCATAACCTCTCAGATTGCGGAGCAAACCATCCCTCACCTTAACGCTGCCTTGCGTTTACTGGACGACATGGAGAAAAGTCACGACACTCAACCCAACGAAGTGACTTATACGTCGATAATTTCCGGACTCTACCGCGGCACTTGGCTGCCAGTTGAAGAACGAACACGGCACAAAGATGATATTCTTGCACAAATCAGAGCGAGAAAGATCAGATTCCATCTCGGTGGGTACCACATCCTTATAAAGGCTTGCTTGGAGTCGGAAGATGAGAATGGCGTACAAGACGCTCTGCGTTTCTACGACGAAATGAAGAGGAACAACGTCAGACCGGTGGATGATACGTGGTACATATTATTGACGGGATTGAGGAACCGCGGCGAGTGGCAGTTAGCCCGTGAGATTGTTGGAGAGATAGAGACGGCTCGCACGAGACCGTCGAACGATATTTGGCGTCTTGTTTGGCAGATTAGACAACATTCAGAAAGATAAACCAATAGCCTACAAACCTCAGCCCGTAAAGAAAGCTTTACCCAGACCCACCCGAAGATAACGAGCATATGCTGAGGATGATAAGAGAGAGAGTTAATGCGTGAATTGAACGACGCACCCCACTGGCTCCATCGTCGTCCTAGCCATTTACCAAAGACAGGTAAAAGCACTATCGAAACGAGCTGCTGCAGTTGATGTAAGCTCTCCTCCCACTCTTGTTGCGCTATACGAAGGTCATCGTCTTCGTATGAAGCATTAGACAACACATCGTCTAGCGAGGCGTCAGAACCGGGCATGATGTGGTTTAACGCAACTCTACTTTGATCAATGTTCGTGATGGCTCCACAACCCGCTGTCCTGCTTACCTCCCTACCTCTACCTTCGTGCTCGACATCCAGGGTCAAGCCTGGCACATTTCTACCCCTAGAGTCGATTTTTCCACTATGCCGCCCGCCTATCGTAGGCTGGGCCTTGTTGGTCAACCACTTCTCTACTCCATCTCCATATTCGCAAGCCTAGGCGTCTTTCTCGTGCGTTGTTCAGGGCAACAGTCTTGACAAGCTTGTACTCATTGTTATCTAGTTTGGTTATGACCAAGGGTAATGCTGACCCCTCCGCTTTAATGTCGTTGTGCTAACCGACGACGACCGTTAGCGTTATGAGCGGAATCATTACTGGACCTCTATTCATCGAATACTTCAAAGACCCAACTGCTGGAGAAATTGGTATGATGGTCGCCGTTCTCGAAATCGGTGCTTTCATTACCTCGCTCGCTGCTGGTCGTGTTGGTGATGTTGTTGGTCGTCGGGGGACTCTCTTCATTGGTGCCCTTGTCTTCACACTCGGTGGGGCAGTACAGACTCTGACTGTCGGGTTCTGGTCCATGATTGTCGGCCGAATTATCAGTGGTTTCGGCGTAGGACTGCTTTCGTAAGCTCGCTCAATCCAAAGAAGGCAGCATTGATCTCTCATTTGCCACACAGTACCATCGTGCCGATATATCAAAGTGAAATTTCTCCGCCAAACCACGTAGGTGTTAATCGTGTCAAGAACTTTGTTTAATCGATTATTCAGCGTGGTGCCCTTGCTTGTATGGAGTTTACTGGGAACATCATTGGATACTCGGCCTCAGTCGTACGTGATGACACGCTAACTCCTGAACCCCGTTTATGTGTTGTAGTGGACCGATTACTTCTGCTCCTTCATAAATTCACACATGGCATGGCGAATACCACTCTTTATCCAATGCGTTATTGGCGCTATTCTGGCGGCAGGCTCTCTGATAATGCCTGAGAGTCCAAGATGGCTGATCGACACTGGGAAAGACGCTGAAGGCATGGAAGTCATTGCCGATCTCCACGGCGGTGACCCCGATAACCTCGTGGCTGTCGCCGAGTTTGAAGAAATCAAAGACAAGGTTCAGGAAGAGGTAGAGCCTTGATAGTGGACCTAGGAACGTACTTATCCATTGCACCAGCGAGATTCCGGAGAAGCTAGATCATATGCCATGATGTGGAAGCGTTATAAGCGCAGAGTTTTGCTTGCAATGTCGTCTCAAGCATTTGCTCAATTAGTATGCTTCTCTCTCGCTTTTCATTCTGAACGCTCGCTAATTCTCAACAGAATGGAATCAACGGTGAGCCTTTCTTTTTTGGTCGCCACCTGCTCATTTATTTATTGTGTTGCAGTGATTTCATACTATGCTCGTATGTGGACTCCTAGTCATCTTCCGTTCACTCGCTCATTGAACACGTGTCTAGCACGAGTTTTTGAAGGTCTGAAAACTATCCTATTCGTCGCCCCATGCTCGTTCTCAGAGCCTCTACAGAGGCCGGCTGGGTTGGCCGCGATGCCATTCTTATGACTGGGATCAATTCCATTATCTACATCCTAAGCACTCTTCCTCCGTACGCATTGGACTCTGGTTGTGATGTTTGTCTCATCTGCCATACTTAGCTGGTATCTTGTGGACCGATGGGGACGTCGCGCTATTCTGTTGTCTGGAGCCATAGTTGTACCTTGCCATTGTCTTCGTCAACTTGTTCTGATTCTTTCCAGATGGCAATCGCGCTGGTCGCAACTGGATATTGGATGTACATAGACGTGCCACAGACAGCGAAAGCGGTCGTAGCCTGCGTCATCATCTTCAACGCTGCGTTTGGTTACAGGTCGGTAGCGACACTGCTTTCGTGTCAACTTGCTCATTGTCCTTGTAGCTGGGGTCCATTACCTTGGCTATATCCCCCCGAAGTACGATTCATCACTTGATTCTGTCCACTACCTACATGTTCCGTAGATCATGCCTCTGACGATTCGAGCCAAGGGCGTGTCATTATCGACAGGTACGAAAGATTTGATTTTTTTGCTTCGATTCTGATGGTTTGAATAGCGACGAATTGGTGCACAACTAACGTTTCAAGTTGAAAACTAGGTTTTTAACCCGTGTGTCTAGGGCGTTCAACTTCTGGGTCGGGGCAACAACGCCTGTCTTCCAAGAACTCATCGAATGGCGACTATACCCGATGCACGGATTCTTTTGTGTCTGCTCCTTTGTACTCGGTGAGCTTGAAGCATTTTAACTCTCCTTCCTCGTTGCTGAGCTGAGCTGAAAACGCAGTGTATTTCCGTGAGCTATTTTCTTTCCCTTTTCTTATAATCTCTTGACAAACTGTTATGGTTAGTCTATCCAGAGACGAAAGGTGTCCCATTGGAGGAGATGGACGCAGTGTTTGGAGAGGGTGAGTCCCTACTGGGACTCAGGACTCTCACTAACATTTCCGTAGACGAACGAGAAGAGCGGTTAGATAACGAATCGGAGAGGGCGTCGTTATTGGCCAGTCAGCCAGCAGTAAGGCAGACGCGACGTCAAGGATGGTTTGGGCGACGTCAAGCTGCTTATGAGTCTGTTCCAGCTGGAGAGGATTTAGTAGTACCTAGAGAGTAATTACACTACACTTTAACGTATTTGGAAAGGGCAAAACTCGTGGCTGGTTTAGGTTCTTCTGAGCACGCGTTTAGTGTCGTCACTTTGTGATTCCCTCATTGGATCCGTTTATATTCGCAACAACCACAACCTGTTGGCTCCACTCTTTGGTTTCTTTTCCCCACCAATGTGGTCCCGACGGGTAGTGTGGGCCGCTGTATTTGCCCTTGTCGGGGTTGTTTACGCCCAGTCGCCTACCAGCATTTCCCTCTCCGTCTCTACCAGCTCCTTCACTTCACTATCTGTTTCGGGAAGTCGCACAGTGTCCTCAGTTCTACCCACCCTCGTCAATGTCAGCGTAACGATTACTCCAACGTCAGCATCAGCCTCGCCAACGACTTCTCCCTCTCCCTCTGCATCTGCTGGCCCAAATACCGTTCTCGCCACCAAACTCGATCCCGCGTTTGGAGTGTTGGGTGCAATCCTCATAATCACTGGCGTGCCCTCCGCCTTCTTTGGCCACAAAAACAGGCGCGTTTTCCGTCTCTAAATAGCTCTGACGCGTGAACTGACCCTTCATGTCCCAGATGGACCTCATTCTTTTTGATTGGTTTCTACACACTCTCTCTCGTCTGTTTTGTCCTTATTCTTAAGGTGCGCATTTATTCCACTCACCCGCGATTCTCTCGACAGTACTTCTAGTTTGGCATCCTTACCGCCGTTAATCCACCTAGCAAAGTGCTACGCGGGATGTTCGTGCTGGCTTCTGTAGTCGCGGGAATTGCGGGTGGTGGAGTGTCCATCTTTTTCTGGAAAGCCGCGCGGTATTGTACGTTTCTGCTCATTTTCGTTTACCAGCCTTCTTATCCCCATCAAAGTCATTGGAGGTTGGGGCGGCTTTGCGCTGGCCTTGTGGATTCAATGCTTCCACAACGGCGGAATCATTAGGACCGTTGCTTTCAGATGGATCTTCTACATTGGTATAGTTCCACTCCCATTACTGATCGCAACGGCCTTTCTTACCCGTTGGATCTAGGTTGTGCCGTGGTTGGCTTCGTTTTGTGCACCGTCCCCAAGGTAAGTCGGCTTGAAGGGCGAGTTCCCAAGCTTATATTCATGTAGATTCACTATCACATCTTGTTGGTTTCAACGGCAATGGTCGGGTCCTCGGCTTTCATGCTGGGAGTAGACTGTTTCACCACCGCTGGTCTCAAGGAGGCAAGTTGGCCATAACATCCCTATCTCTTCTTCTTGACCGTGCCCCCAGTTTTACATCTGGAATCTCGGCTTCCGGTCACTGTTTCCGAAATACGTGAACAACGGCATTCAGTTTCCTGTCTCGCAGACGATGCAGATTGAACTCGGTTTAATTGGAGCCATCACCTTGATGGGCATTGCAGTTCAATTGCGCGTCCTGACCGTCCTTCAACGCAAGTTGCACGAGATTGCCGAGGAGCAAAAGAAACGAGACGAGGCGGCCGAAGTTCAAGCTGCGGGGGCGTTTGCAACGGTACTACGAGAGCGCGAAGAGTGGGAAAAACAACATCCAACCATGTCCAAACATGGCAGACAAGAAAGTGGCTACTCCAGCATGCCGTTAATGAAGGATCACGATGGTTCATCGTCTCCCGTCGCCGGAGAGTATCGCTCTTCTACGTTCACTCTAGTCAACGAAGGCCGAACTCGCCACCAGTCGGCCGGCTCAGAATTTTTATTCGCTCCCACGCCTGACGACGAACTTGCCCGCGCCACCCGTAATTTACAGAGTCCAGGTGCTCTTCCTGCTCTCGATTTGGGACTGGGTATCAAAGATGATGTTCCTCATAATTTTATCGCCAAAGACGACCACGCACGCAGTCCCGAGTTGGATGGCGATCTGAAACGAAAGCAAGAACTTGAGGCTGAAATTCAAACCATACGACGTTCAATTGATGCTCTAAAATCCGAAACCCCAGCTCCTTCATCGTCGGCCAACTCTCGCCATCCCTCGCTCACCTCAAGACGAACACTAAGTATCGACGCTGGCACTGCCCTTCTTCCAACTCCAGCCCATAGCCGTCCTCCTCGAGAAAATGACCCACGAGCTCGAGTGCACTCAATGGAACTCTCGCGCTTGACCAACTCACGTGCAGGAGCGTCTATTGGTCGTCCTACTAGTGCACCGCTTCATGATGACTGGGACACCTATGTTCAAGAGCGCAAACTATTGCAACCACCCGCGGGTGTGACACCTCCCATAACGCCAAACAGAATCCCAATATCTCCTGCGGTGACCGATGCGTTGAACCAACGAAAACGACGAGAAAGTGCCATGGGTCTGGGAGAGCCAGCAGCACCACTGGCTGACTCATCCGAAGACTTGCCGTTGGCGCGCATTCCGGTTGCTCATAACCGAAGCTCGTCAAGTGGACAGTTGGGTCCTGTTAACATTCTGCCTCCCCGGAAACCTATCGCTGCTCCTACACCTCAACGCCCTGCGCACGTCCGAACTCGTACTTTTGAGGAACTGAACGAAAGACATCGAGAGAAGATGCGTGACTTGCAAGGTCCTCTCACAAATGCTACCCAAGAAAATGCCGACCTTGAGGCAGCCAAACAGCGGTGGGAGAAGGCTAAAGCGCTTGAGAAGGAGGCTGTCACGCGGAGACAGGCGGAAAAAGCTGCGTTGGTTGAGCGTCGGAAAGAAGAACCCTCTACACGTCGGTCACATGACCGCGCAGCTTCACGCCATTCCCGTTCTCTCAGCGCGGACAAACTAGGCGCGGGATCGAAGCGGCTGTCCACCATGAAGGTCGAAGACTGGCAACGGTACCAGCAGGACGCAGCAGGAGTGCCTTTCCCAGATCGTCGGCGGCAGAGAGACCCACCAAGTTAAATGGACTTATATTTGTTTATTATTACTGCGGACATCATTACATAGTACTTTTAGAATCAGCATTAGTTTTTTTGGAAGTTGAACGACATAAATTACATTTAAATAAGCTGTATGGGGTATAAGAAAAAGAGCCAACTGTTACTCAACTTGGACTTTGGAGGGCACTACCATTGCCATTTGGTGGCGCACTGAAGAATCCCTCAGCTGTGATCCCGATTGCCTCGACTGCTGCACCACTTTTGATTGTACCACGTAGTGTTCCCGCTCGCCCAATTGCTATTGAGCCTGTTTTACCAACTGTGCCAATAGGACCAGCCTTTTCAACACTGACAAGGGAGCGGGTACGTCCCAGCGACGCAGACGAGTTGCCATAAACCCCTCCGCTGGCGCTGCCGACCGACATGACGCTGCGATGACCACGAGCTCTGTAGGTGGTAACACCATTCGCGACGCTCCAAGCACTTGGAGGCCCAGCACTAGTTGGTGAGGCTGGCCCTATTGGCATTACAAGCATGTCATCGTCAATATCTTCATCTTCGTTTTGTGATCGGGTGCTTTGCCTTCTTGGATCGGCACCAGATGTGGTTGGTGGATCTGGCCTTGGTCGAACAGCCCTGAAGCCAGACATGGAAGAGGCTGACGAGGTGGAAGGCGAGTTGGGAAATGCGTTGACATTTCCTGACGATGGAGATGATATGGCTTCGGTTCTGTCAGGCAACTCGTCGAAGATTTCAAAGTATCGCTGGATACAAAGTTTTATGACCGTTCCCAGAGTTGTTTTGCCTTCGGAGACATGTGATTGTTCTGGTCGTGGAGAGGCGGTTAAAGAGGGACCACCAGAAACAACACACATGGACACGTCTCGAGCAGGGTTTTTGCCCTTGACAAGATTGGGACAAAGGACTACAGCAAGATTGTGTGCGTCCATGCGATTGGAAGCGGCTCGTAAAGAGACATCATGCGTGAGATCTAGCAACACTAATTCAGGGAGCAGGAGGTTAAACACAAGAGAAACTCACGCAAAACGTTACTAAGAAGGATGTAGAAACAAAGCGGCAGTTGAGGGAGGATGATGTCTCGAATATAAGCAATGGCGGCCAAATCACGTTCGACAGTCGCTGGATTAGTTGTCGTTGTGTCCGTCAATGGAGATGGACACCTTCGTATGAGGGGGTACAGGTTCTCAGGAAAGACAGGTTCAGGAAGATCTCTCAGATACTTTTTCAGGAGTACTGCAGCAAGATGAGGATCACCAAATGTGTCAAGCGAGACGACGTTGCCTGTGATTTGAGTTAATTCGATAAGCAGCAAGCTTGTGAAGACCTTGGTTACCCCGGTCATAGGCGTCACGAGCGGCCTTAAGCATGACAGACTGTGGCGAACGACGAAAGAGGCCTTCTTCCTCCATGCCAGACTCACGAATGAATTGAATGGCGTCTCTGACTACCCTTGGCAGTCCACCCTTCTCTCCATCAATGCCCATGAGGTCTTCGAGTGGAACGCCGAATATGTGCGAGTCGCCTCGTGTTGTAACTGGCATCGTTATCTTGCTCTCGTATTTGAGGTTCTCCCTAACAGGCGTTAAGCTATTTAGAGGTAAGGCAAGCTAACCAGCATACTGATAAACCGCCGGTGGAATGTCGATTTGGGTCAAGGGAATATGGCAAGCCAGCTCAGAGAGTGTAGTGATGTATGCAATCTTGCGAAAGAACTTGGGGCTGATAATGGCCCCAGCAAGACTGAATAGCACTAAATGTCGTTAAAGAATCGAGACGATGATTAGGGTGCGAGTGCTTACTCTTGGAGAAGAAGGACGAGTGCACGATATAAAGTCGTTTGAGGTTCTTACGGTATTTCCGATTCAGACTGCGATAGGCCTTCCAGACCCAATTCCACCCAGGCGTATGTCGGACACCGGCAGCAAAGAGGACTACTGCGTAGTCCGATTCCACATAGAGATTTAGATAAGCGAGGATCCGTCTGAGCAGGAAAAAGGTTGAGAGGATGTTTAAAGGGCAGCATGATTGCGCACGAGAGTAATAAGTCGTAGTTGCACTCCTTGGGGTCCGGTAATGCCGACGCGTTGACAACGACCCTTGTTTTCATAAGATTCCTTCCGCAGCATGGATACCAAACTTTACATTGGTCGGGTCCTGCACCGCTGTTAGTTTACTGGAGGACATAGCTAGGAATGTAGCTACTCAAAATCCACCCCTGCTTGGAAAATCATTCTTGAGATCACATCATCCAGGTTGTCTTGTGAGAGGAATGCTGCATCGTTTACAGGCCGTTTGCCCCAGGGAACACTGAACTTGCGCTTCAGGCTGAATGAAGGAGGGGCCATAGAGTTGGGAAGTTGTGAATTTCCCACGTGTGTTGATGTCGTCACGCGATGTGACTTTGTAGGTTGTGCTGCTTAAGCCTTGAGCCCGGCGATGTCGCCCAGCTCACTTTCGCCACCTCCACTCCCCGGACCTGTGACGGTTGGTATCGTTGGCTACGATATTATCCCCTGACCTAATTTTCAGAAACGATCCCCACCTCCAATACCGGACACCACCCCTACAGTTCAAAGCGTCTCTCTCCAGTCGATTCTTGCCTCTCCCCCACCCCCGGCACCTTCTAGCTGGCCACCTCATGAGAATGGCGCGCCTACTCAGGCACGTGATCAGTTCTTTTGACAATCCCTCGCTAGACGCGTTCTACCAACAGACCAAGCGAAAGCATGATAGCAGCGACGCGGACGACTCCCAGGCCAAAATCCGACGTATCGTTCGCGACTACAATACTCATGACACCCGTGTCATGCCAATGACTACTGTGGTCTGCCTACATGCCGCCGTTGCCCAAAAGTCGTATGGGAGTGAGAAACGCTTCCTCTGTCCACCTCCTGTGGTCCATATAGAGGGCCCACTATGGCAGATGCGTCGGCAAGATCTCTCAATGACCGTTGTTTCAGAGAGTGGCGAGCGCTCGTTTGAGCAGAAGGCTCCGCTTGATAGCAACTTGACTTCCAGTTTCAAGTTTCTACATGTCACGGGCACCGCGAAGGCAAAGAGCTTCCAACTCTCACTTGATATCGCGGATCCAAAGCCAGTTGGGGAAGAGCGTCGTGTTTGGGCGACATTCGACTCCGCGCCAGTCACCATCATCTCAAAACCGTCAAAAAAGACCGCAAAGACGCGCAACATCTCGTCTTGTATTCTCGCAGGCGGTCCAGTATCCCTTTTCAACCGAATAAACTCCCAAACTGTTCGCACTAAATACATGACCATTGATCATGCTCAGTTATGTGCCAGCAACATTGCCTGGTCCGCTTTCAACGTCAATGTTGTTCCACGGGCTACAGACCCACCAGCCGTAAACGGACCCCAGCCTGTCACCTATGGCTGCTCTATCATACTTTCGGATACTCAATCGGGAATTTCTACATCACCCTTGATTATTCGCAAAGTCGACAAAGGCAGAGTCTCGCCAGATGATGGGGGCCCTGTTAGTCAAATGCAGAAAATCGCACTTCAGCGAATAAATGCAGATGGCACACGACACTATCTTTCCGCAGCAGGCCCTTTACCTGGAAATAGTGGTGTTGTCGCTCCGCCAGCGCCTGGCTCATCTTCTCAAGCAGGGAGTCATCCACTACTCTTCCAGTCACCTAGACTGCGAGAAGAGGTTAAGGACGGGGCTCGTGTGGTTATAGACGACGTGGATGACTATCTTTGCTGGACGATTGTTGGCATATGTGTGTTCTTTCGTCTACTAGTCATCTTCCCCAACTTAAAATCATTTGACAGCCAAGTTCCAGTATACGTTTTTCGATGCATTTGGTCACAACTCTACCATCCCCGACATGCCCATCACACCTTTTCCTACTCTCTTCACGGCCCCTGTTTATCGACCAAACAACAACACTCTGGAACTGACTGTCGCCAACTTCTTCTACGTGGATACCAGTACTAATAGCGAGTCCGCGCTAGATGTTTATCTCGGAAATCTTGGGCCCCTTCAGTATCGCATATACCAAGCAACACCTGCCGGCCCATTGACCAATGTCACTCCTTACGTAAATAAGGCTGAAGCTGACGTCGCACCGAGCTCACCTTCCGAGTCCTCTTCATCCCGTCCATCTATTGCGCATGCAATCGTCGTTGTACAAATGCCTGCTTTGACTGAGGTCATCAAGACCATCGAGGAGGATATTGATCAAGACGCTTCTTCACCGTCAAATTCAGAACATGCAAACGGTCATTCGTCAGTTTCAGGGCGAAGTTTGCCGCTATTGTTTATACGCCCTGTTGACGGGGTTGGGTACCATTCGGGGAGGACAATCGCCATTGAAAACGTATTCCAAAGTATTGGCGGTCCTCCTAGCGAAAATGTCGATACTGGTTGGCTCACAGGGCCACCTTCTGGCACGGGTGCGACAGAGAATGGTCTACATGGGTGGACACTGAGAGTACTGTAAATAATGTTCGATTCTCCTGTAGTTCTATCGTCGTTTTGCTTTGAATGGGTTATGGCCTTTGTACTACCACCGGATTCTTTGGACTGGTTGATTCAAAAATCGAAATTTTCCGAAATAAAACTTTATCTCGCCTGACGTAATCCTTCGATTGAATAGGCGCCCCAACGCACGTTGTGTTCTTTCTTTCTACTAACCACCATCTCGAAAATGCAGCAAAGCATCGATGGCATTAGATCCCAGCTCGAATGGTCGTCTGCGCTGAGCATCAATAACATCCCGCTCCCCACTGAGGAGAACAAGTTTTTGCGCAAGGTATTCATCCTCTCTGTTGCCCCAATCCCCAAACTAATGCCCCCAAGACGGCCATCATCGCGACCATCGGTATAGCCAACAGCATTGTCTACTCCGACCTCATATCTTTGCAGGCCCCAAGACTAACACTGTTGAGAAGCTGTCTGAACTTCGTCGCGCCGGCGTCAACGTTGGTATGAGGCTTTTATGCTTCAAAGACCTTTGAAACAACTTGGGGCTTTACAGTGCGCATGAACTTCTCCCATGGTTCATACGAGTATCACCAAAGTGTTATCGACAACACTCGCAAGATGGTAGCTGGTGGGGTCGTTGTCCGTCCAATTTGCAGCTAGGTATTGACTTGCTTCCGATAGCCGACCCCAGCGGTCGCCCAGTCGCCATTGCGCTCGACACGGTAAGTTACGTTTGGTCTGCTTGGCAAGAACTCAAGAACGACGTTAAACAACAGAAAGGGCCCGAAATCCGCACTGGTTTGACGAGAGACGGCATCGATGTACGACACGGTTCTATCTTGGCTTGCCCACGCGCTGAAACTTTGAAATAGTACCCCATTAAAGCGGGACACGAGTTCATTATCTCCACTGACTTGAAGTATGCTGAGAATTGTGATGACAAGGTTATGTTCGTTGACTATGTAAGCTTCTTTCATCTTCCCACTCGACAAGCTGATCGGTCGCAGGCGAACCTACCCAAAGTCACTGCGCCCGGAAAACTTATCTACGTCGATGACGGTACGACGAAACATCGTCACTCTTTTGAATTACTGAAGCAAGCTTTAGGCATCTTGTCTCTTCTTGTGCTTTCTATTGACGGTACTAGCGTTCACGTTCGCACTCTAAACAACGGCAACATCTCCTCTCGCAAAGGCGTGAACCTTCCCAAAACTGATGTCGACTTGCCCGCTCTGTCGGAGAAGGACAAGCAAGATCTCTTGTTTGGTGTCAAGAATGGAGTCGACATGATTTTTGCATCGTTCATTCGTCGTGCTCAAGACGTCAAAGACATTCGTACCGTTTTGGGCCCTGATGGGGCCGACATTAAAATCATCGTCAAGATTGAAAACGAACAGGGTGTCGATAACTTTGACGAGATTCTCGCAGAGACCGACGGTGTCATGGTCGCACGTGGTGATTTGGGTATTGAGATTCCCGCCAGCCAGGTATTCCTCGCTCAGAAAATGATGATTGCCAAATGCAACATTATTGGGAAACCCGTCATTGTTGCTACTCAGATGCTTGAGGTTAGCCCTCTTTCCTCAGTCTGCCAATCCACTCACTTGTTTTAGTCTATGACCGTATGCACCTATCTTACAAGTCGCATTCTCCTCACCAGATTCTAGTACAACCCTCGTCCTACACGTGCTGAAGTCAGCGATGTGGCCAACGCGGTGCTTGATGGGGCTGACTGTGTCATGCTTTCTGGAGAAACGGCCAAGGGATCGTACCCCATCCAGTCTGGTCTGTCCCTCCTTAGTCGTTGGGTCTTCCATTATAACTCTTTTAGTCTTGATGATGGCTGAGACATGCATGCTCGCTGAATCAGCCATCTGCTATCCACCTTTGTATGCCGAGTTGACCGCCATCCAAAAGCGTCCCACCGCGACCTCGGAGACTGTGGCTATCGCGGCTGTGGCTGCTGCTTCTGAGCAGAATGCTAGTGCCATTCTTGTTCTCTCGACCAGTGGCAACACTGCTAGACTCATTTCAAAGTTCCGCCCCAAGGTCCCGATTATCACTGGTGAGCCGATTTGAACCTTGGCTTCGTCGAGGTACTCAGACAAATCTATAGTCACGCGTAACCAGCAAACTTCGCGACAAATCCATTTGCATCGTGGTTGCTATCCCTTCTGGTATCCTGAGCCGAGAGGAGTTCAGGACCACCAGTGGCAGACCGATGTAAGTTACCTTCACGACTAAAAAATTGTTTGCTCATGATGTCACAGGTCGATAACCGTATTCGTTTCGGGATGCGCAATGCGCTGGCTCTCAAAATCATTACTCCTGGAACTACTGTCATTGCCGTTCAGGGCTGGAGATCTGGCTCTGGGAAATCGAATTCACGTTTGTTCCCTTCCTATCAGTCAACTCGTTGTACTAACGCTGCTTATATAGTTCGTATCCTGACTGTGCCGGTTGATGCAGCAGACTTGGAGACGCAACCTTTGGGAAGTTGAATGTAAAAAGCACCATCTTGCACTTGTAATATCGTAGCGAAATAGAGATCCTCGCATGCAAATTTTTTCGTCACACCACGGTCACGACCCCTGCTAGTGCATGTCCTTCACCAAACGAAGGAGCGGGAGCTTTCGTGGACGACTCCCCCACCATATTGACGAAAACAAGTACCATGGCAGGAACCACCCCTGGTTGATCCCCATTCCTGGCCTGGGTACGCGTAGGCTACTGCTTAACCCGCGCCGTATCCACCAATTCAGCATTTCTCGGTTCGGTCGGAGAGTCGGTTTTGTTCTTATGCTCGTTGGATTGGCCTCTTCGCTGTTCGCAACATTTACCCTGATCTCTTTGGCAAAACGAATTGGCACACGAGAGACGACATGGCCTGCTTTCGTCCAAGTCCGAAGTCGCGTCCTTTTCGCTTCACCACTTGTTGACCATTGAGAACAGGATCCTCCGACGCTGGTTTTCCGAAGGGCGGATCTGCAAAGAATATGGAAATGGGAACTGGCTAGTGGTCATTATCCGAGTCGTAGACGAGGTAAGTCTGGTCGCGTTTGCCCTACAAAACTAGAACATTTCCAGTACCCGAGCAAATTTGGCTTGGCATGAATGAGAACAATCCTGCACTTCCCCCAAGACGCGGCATGCCTCCCCCCGGCTCTATGGGCACCGTTATACGCGGAGTTGGCGCAAAGCGGGTGTATTTGGACCCACAGAGCAAAAACGTCGCGTTTCCTCCAAGACCCATTGCTGGGAGCCTTGCTGATCTCGACATAGGTGCGCTACGTGCCTTTTCTACACTCTTCGATCTAATTACATCTTCAGTCATGGAACATTGTGACTTTTCTAGCAAGAAGGTCGGTCTACAGGATCACTTGTTCTTTGCTCAACCCCCAGTAGTATGTGAGAGACTGCTTGGAGGTTCTACGCTTCGGTGGGGGTCTAGATAACGGCAAACGACTGCGGAGGGGCAAAATGGATGATTGGAAGTACATATATCTGGAGCAACCGGATTTGGACGCAACACCACCGGGTGAATCGGATGAACTACGAATGGGTATTACCGACATCGCGAGAGAGCCAATGAGCGACCCAGACAGCGGATTAACGCGGAAGAAGGGAGTTGATTGGGAGCCCTCCATCAACGACCAGCTACCCCCTCCCCGCAAATATACTCATGCTACTGGAGCTAGTCCATGCGACCCGGAAGACCCACGGATCTTTCACATGTTCTGGGTTGGGCCGTTTACTGACAAGCCTTATATGGCTTTGATGAGCTTTCTCTTCACGCAAAACACGGGCCTCCACCTCGATGATGATGCCGACGACGAAACGATATGTCGACCTGTTTTCTGGCTTTGGATCAACATGGGGCCCGCGGCTGCGGTGCCCAACCCTTCTGCGTTGCACGATATGTACTCCCAGCTCAAATCGAATCCATGGGCGGCCCCATTTCTACACCCGCGTTTTCACAAAGTCATCCAGTTCAAATTATGGAATACGACCGAACAACTTGATGGCGTTCCCGAGCTCCGCGACGAATGGCGCTCTCATGCAGACTCCCTTTTCAACTCTGGCGGCCATGTCATCAATGTACCAGCCAAGGAGAAGGCGTCTTCCGTGGCCAGCGTCAATGCAACCCAAGGGACTAAATCCGAGGAGGACGAAATGCTCAAGCGCATGGGCTCCAAATCATCCACATCCTACGACAGAATGTCCGTTATCTTATCGGACATGGCGCGCTTCATTCTCTGCCATCGGTAAGTGCATTCCTCCTTATTTTCTAGGAACTCATCTCGACTACCTGCAGCTTTGGAGGCATCTATCTAGATGCCGACACAATCTTGTTGCGTGACTGGGAAGAACTGTGGGTGAAAATGGCATTCGCATATCGCTGGTCGCGACTGGAGAAATATAACACTGCTGTGCTGCATCTGAATAAGGGATCAGCACTTGGGACCTTTCTATTCAGAACGGCCCTCAAGAATGATTTGGACTTCCATCCTATGACGGTCTCGCGGTATCTCAAGGACGCGTACTTGGACGGGTATGATAGCTGTCATTTCTTTTCTCGCTTTCCTTCACAATAATCAGGTTGTTGCTCCGTCTTCCTGATGCTTTGTTCGACTCGGCTTGGCTGAACACCGAATACTATCAACGCGACAGACCTCCTCAGCCGTATTTTACTGAGTATTTTCTTTTCTGCGGCTCATATGTCGATTACTCTGACACTTCTTGACTAGTTTTGCGGACTTTTTCGACACACCGGTGTCCATCAGTGCTGGGCCACAATCTTTAGGCTTCGATGGCTTTTTCAAGGTACGTGTCCTCAAGCAAACGAAACAACAAGGAACACATTTGAGTAGGGAGCATATTCTTATCATTACCACAATTATTGGTGGAAGCCATTCGACTCGATCCGCAACTGGCCAGACCTAGGACCGCGATTTATCGCTATAGAGCGGATTGCGCGGTCTAATCTTCGCTCAGCATCCAAAACAACCTCGACGGCTAGCGGAGCTGCAGGAGACGACGATGATTCCGCTACCTCAGATCCAAGAGATCTCGATTGGTCGATGGTTCTGAAAAGGACTTTCGAAGCGTATATACGAGGAGAACGGTGGAGTTTCTTTGCCATTGTTTTGTGACTGATGAAGCTGACTTATTCTCAGTCCAAACCAATACGGGGAATGGTTGAACTGGGGCGATCGGGAAGGAACATAGAATACACAGCGGTTGTTGCATTGATATGGACATTCTACACGCTCTACCTTAATGTAATACCTTATTATGACTGCCTCTGGGCTTCATTCACGGTGGCTGTAAGCTGAGCTATGACTTGATTGGGGTCAGCAGCGTTGAAGATGGCGGTTCCTGCCACGATGACATTGCTTCCAGCGTGGGCACAGGCATGAACTGTGCTCGGCCCAACACCGCCATCAACTTCAATGTCTTTTTCAGGGAATCGGGCGCGAAGTTCAGCGACTTTGGGTACGCAGCGATCGAGAAATTTTTGGCCACCGCGACCGGGATAGACAGTCATAACAAGAAGCATGTCGGCAGCATGACCAATCTCGTCGGTTATTGCGGTGGATGGGGTATCGGGGGAAATTGCTACGCCGGCTTTCATATTTCTGGCATGAATCGACGCGATAATGGGGAGGGGGTCGTCTAGGCGCGCAGTAAGTGTCGAACAAACATGGTCATGCCAAAGGGTAAGCAGTACCCGTTGCCTCGATATGGAAACAGTAGAGTGACCCGCCGGCATCGGCGACTGCGTTGACCCACTTCTCTGGCTTGGCCACCATCATGTGGCAGTCCATGAAGATGCCAGGTATCGCCTTGCTAACACTGGCTAGCACCGGGGGACCTAATCGCGTTGGAGTGGTTGCCGATGGCGGTCTGGGCGTGACCTACCCATGGTTATGTTGTCGACAAAGTGGCCATCCATGACATCCATATGAAGATATGTCTAACTTGATGAGAGGGAGCGGACCGAGGGAGGGCAGAGCCAACGTACCGCACCACCATCGATCATACGCTTGCATTCAGCAGTTAGTTGCCCAAAGTCTGAGGCGAGAACGCTTGGAGAAAGTTGCCTGGGGGAGCCAAGACCAGAGTAGTAGTCACCACTCACGACGGGGAGATAATTGCAGGAGGCATCGGAGAAAGATGATGATGTCACACCCAGAATAAACTTTACCACTCCGCCTGACAGAAGTGCGCTCACTGCCAAGACCTAACTCGCTCGTCGGCAAACGACTGCTGAACGCATAATTACTCCATGACATCCATCCGAGCCATGACATCACTCCTACCTGCTCCACTGCCACTGACAGCCCTATAAAAGGCCCCCAACGAAATTATCATTCGTATCCATTTTACGCCCCTCATGTTCGTTACGCGTCCCATCGTTGCTATCCTCTCTGTCGTCGCCGTCGCTAATGGCGCCCCACAACGTCCGTTTTTCTACTTGGTTGCAGCCTGTCGCTCTGAATCACTCCTCCACAGTGGCCAGCATATTTGACACACTCACTAGTGGTGCAGTTTCTGTATGTAGTTCCCTGCTTTCCTTTTCATGGTTGAACTTCGGGGCAGGTCGCCACGCAAGTCGGCGGAGGAGCTGCTAGTGTTGCTACGCAAGTCGGCGGAGGGGCCGCCAGTATCGCGACTCAATTAGGTAGCGATTTCACCAGCGTGGGCGGTGGCGTTTTCAAAGGCGTAACATGTGTGTCTTCAACTAGTGCTTGCGGAACTGGCCAACTTATAACGCATTGAAGCTGTTGGAGGTCGCGCCGTTACGGTGATAACATCAGCGGGGGGTGAAGGATTTACTCTCGCTACAGATGGTGCGCGGTCCTTGTAACTTCGTTAACTTCTGTATTCTGACGTGCGTCTAGGTGCTGGCCGAGTAACCACATTCGCTGGCCAGGTCTATACCGCAGCCGTCGTTGGCAATGGGACAGCCAATGCAGCAGTCTACGCAACGCCGATATCACCTTCTCTGGCGGTTGGGCTGTTAACTGTGCTAGCGAGCACTTGCTTAGGCGTAGTCATTACCATCTAAGATCGCCTCACGATATACCACCTGGACAATTACGCTACTTACTTTTATAATGAAAACTTGGAGAAAAAATCAGTGATTCCCTTCCCATGGTAGCTTGGAGAATTTCAGCTATTGCAATTGGTTGTGCTGAGTTTGTGTGAACTAGGTGAAGTAGTTACATTGCAGTTTTGTTCAACGTGGAAATATATTCCTGGCCATCAATTTGGACCCACAAAAGACTTCGCACCATGAAGGCCTTTTTGTTTCACAACACCCCTGCCAATTTGCTCGTAAACAACGACAATTTCTTTTCTTCCTGGAGGACGACCTCGCTACTTTCTTGGGTCCATATGTGCTTAGTGGCACTGCTCACAACCCCGTTACCCGTACCATTCACTTTTACCACCCTCAAATGCTCTGATTGGTCCAGCACTTGCAAGTACAATGTGATACGACTGACGCGGACCGAGACCATCAGGTAAAGCCAGTCCGCGAGCGTGAAAATCGCGAGAAATGTGCTGGAAATGAGGGTGCAAACGACCGTTTTGTGCATTTCTTCGCACAATATTCGAACCCCAAAACCGTCTCATTGGTCAACGACAATGATCTTTCTGATTTGCGATCAGATTTCTGATGGCTGGAGATAGTGAAAGCGTGAAAGGATGAACGCTCGGGCCAGGAGTCAGACTTTCTTGACCCTCAACAAACCACAACTTGGTGGGTATAAAAGCTCAGGAAACGGTTATGAGGGCACAAGCAACCTCCCTCCTTCCTCTCTACAATGTCGGCAGACAACGTCCACGCTTCACTCGCGGCCAACTGGGACCCCGAAATCCTAGAAGTATATATGGCCAAAACTCAGCAAGGAGAGGAGAGCGACGAAGCTATTTCAAGCGACGAAAGTGACTCGGATGTCGAGTTCGAAGAGGGTCCATCCCTTTCAGCCATTTCCGAAATCAACATCGAGCCTCCCAGCGATATTGCCTCGGATGACTCCGCATTCAGCAGCGAGGACGAGTTCGGTGAGCCAGAGTCTGTCAGAAAACAAGCCATGCGGCGTGAAGTGAGTCCAATACCAACAACCCGCTCGCAGGGTGGCTTATGTTCCACCACTAGCTTGCCCTGGGACGTCCAGGTGAAGAAATAATGAAAATGCATCTGAAAGATCTTGCCGCCCTCCATCTCTCTTATATGAAGCAGCTCGACGATGCAGATGAGGAGTACGCGGAGATGACCGACCAACCTTACGTGCCAATCGTTCGCCGAGCTCCAGTCTTGGGTTTCGACAAGCCAATCGCCCGCGGCCCCGATCTTCAGGAATACATCCTGGATTTGCGGAAACGGTCGAATAAAGAGGTTGTGGGCGCTGACTCGCGCAAGTTGTTTGTCGAAGAGCTGGTCGTGTTGGCCCAGGCTCTTTTCAGGCGGGAGCGTCAGATTAAACGTTTGCAGAATTTGTGATATGGCAATCAAATATTTATTTGGAGTGCTGATGGGCTGGTCTACGAGTCTAGTCGTCAATAGACATGTCTCTTTGATTCTGGAGCAGCGTCAAACAAATCCGAAACGAGTAATGAGACTCACCACCGAGTTGTAAAAGAGAGAGTTGGGTCCCCAGGGAAAGGGTTTGTTGCGTCGGTTGAGGTACTCGAAACGTGGGGGCTGGGGAAGCTTTCCGTCATTCTCCGCAATGAGGTGTGCGTTGTGGGCTTTGTGCTCGATTTCAACATTGTAAACGTATAATCCGAAGATAGCGACTAGCGCAAGAGTTAGATGAGGCAATATCGGGAGACAACGGAAGGTAACAGACGAGCGGGAACGCAGACGTAGTAGCTGAGCCAAGGCATAAGCATTGGAGTGGATGGATTTTTGTCCTGACTGACCTCATTTTGCGCCAGAAGTCCGTGGTTTCTGGAGAGAGGTAAGTGGAGTTATTTGAGGTGAGACGACGGCATACGAAGAGCATGATGCTCAATGGCTTTCTGCTCAGCTACCCATTGAGGGCTGGGCGGCTTTCCAACAACGAGTTCCGAATAGGCGCGCAGGCCACCGGGGCGTATGGCTCGACGGGCGAGGTGTAGCATTGCAAGTTGTGATTTGATCGATGTCACGCGTCTGTGACACTGCTGGACGCGCGTTCTCTGAACTTTGACCTCCAACTTTCCTCTTTCCGACCGGGGGTGGCAATCCTCACCAGTTTCTACGCGGCTACAACTACTTCTTCAATTGCTGTGATGGTCCGTCAGCAGTCGAGTGCTGCGGGAGTTCTTGCTCTGCTCGCAGAACCAGACCATACATTCAAGCAACATGCCCTGGACAATCTTATTCCACTTGTTCCCCAATTCTGGGCCGAAATTTCAGAGCAGATTGCTCTCATGTCCGTCCCTTCTCCTACCTTCTCTCCGGTTCATTGATCTCTTTCCAGAGAATCACTTCATGAGAACGACGACATTCCCAAGAAGACTCGAGATTCAGCAGCTCTACTTGCTAGCAAAGTCTACTACTTCCTGGGTGAATACGACGAAGCCTTGTCTTTCGCTCTGGGTGCAGGACCGGTATTTGAGGCAGAAACGCGCGCCAATGGATCTGAGGAATACATTGAAACTGTTCTATGTGCGTGCCCCATTTTTTCCAGTGGAATCTAGCTTCAATACCGTATAGCCAAGGCCATCGACCGATATATTCAACTCCGGGCTGAGGAGCAATCGGGGAAAGAGAAGATGGACGCGCGTCTACAAAGTCTGATCGAAAACATTTTTTCGCGTTGCATTCAAGAACGCGAATACAAGCAGGTACGTTACTCACAACTTACCAACCACAACAGACTCATAAGCTCCCGGTAGGCCATCGGCATCGCTCTCGAATCCAATCGCCTCGATGTAATCGAGCGAATATACTCACACACCAAAGACACAACTCTACTTTCCTACGCCATGGAAGGGGTCCTCGACACGGGCTTCCCGCTTTCATATCGCGACCAAGTCTTGACCTTCCTCTTCCCTCTCTTCCCCAAGCCTGTAGCTGGCGACAGCTCGCCTCACGTCCACGCCCTTACGCGTTTGCTTGTCACATTGAGCAACGCGTCCCTTACCGCCTCATTTATCAACTCGTTGGTGCCGAAGGAGAGCCTCCTGGCATTACAGTTTGCCTTTGACTTGGTTGAGGGGGGCTCACAAGACTTCTTAGAGAGTGTTCGGACAAGTCTGCCTGAAGGAGATTCAGTATGACGCTCGAGTTGGCTATTGTTCTCCTCTGATATCATTTTAGAACACCAAGGAAACGTACGACAAACTACGAAAGATCTTAACTGGTCAAGAGTCTGTGAAGCTTTATCTCCAATTCCTCAAACGCAACAATCAAGCAGACCTCTTAATATTGCGAAATACTAAGGTTTTTTTCGACTCACTCATCGTTCTGGAATCTAACGACTACTTAGGACGTCTTAGAAGCTCGCTCTTCTATATATCATACAGCCCTTACGCTTCAAAACGCCTTCATGCATTCCGGGACTACATCCGATCGATTCCTGCACGAAAATCTGGATTGGCTGGGCCTCGCCTCCAACTGGTCCAAATTCTCTGCGACCGCGGGTTTAGGTGTCATCCACAAGGGCTATTTCGAACAGGGCATGACCATCGTGCAGCCATATTTGCCCCAAGCTGGCGGGGAGAGCAATATCCCTGGCGCGGCTTACTCGGAAGGTGGTGCGCTATATGCGCTTGGGCTGATCAATGCTGGCTGCGGAGACTCGACGGTTGTTGGCTATCTGCGAGATATGCTCAAGACTACACAAGGCGAAGTTGTTCAGCATGGTGCTGCTCTTGGGCTGGGTGTTGCGGCTATGGGCTCGAAAAATATGGAGGCCTTTGATCGTCTGAAAGATGCACTTTTCACGGACTCGGCTGTTGCAGGAGAGGCTTGCGGTTTTGCTATGGGATTGGTGATGTTGGGCACCGCTCTTCCCGAGGCTATCAAAGAAATGCTCACCTACGCACGAGAAACTCAGCACGAGAAGATCATCCGGGGAGTTGCTGTGGGTGTAGCGTTCATCTTTTATGGGCGTCAAGAGGAAGCGGACGAGACCATCAAGCAGTTAACAACCGACAAGGTAATAAGATAATTCTTGTTCATGGCCTAAATCTTACTATTCACTAGGATCCCATTCTGCGATACGGTGGCGTTTACACCCTTGCATTGGCGTATGCGGGGACTTCAAACAACGATGCTGTCAGGCAGTTACTCCATATCGCAGTTTCGGACACATCCGACGACGTGAGGAGAGCCGCAGTGACATGTCTGGCATTCCTGCTCTTCAAAAACCCCACCCAAGTACCGCGAATTGTCCAGTTACTCAGTGAAAGCTATAATCCTCACGTCCGCTGCGGTGCAACTCTCGCTTTGGGAATCGCTTGCGCCGGAACGGGTTTACAGGTAAGCCAATCGCTTTGGAATACATAGCACGACTTACGGAATGGTTAGGATGCGGTCGAAATACTGGAGCCAATGACCAAGGATAGCGTCGATTTCGTCAGGCAAGGCGCATTCATCGCCCTGGGTATGATTCTCGTCCAGCAATCAGAGGCAGCCAACGCGTCTGTTGCGACAACTCGGGCTTTGTACCACAAAGTGGTCTCTGACAAGCATGAAGACCCGATGGCTCGATTCGGTGCTGCTCTTGGACAGGGCTTCATTGATGCGGGTGGTCGCAATGTCACGATCAGTCTTCAAAGTCGTGCCGGAAGCAAGAACACAAATGCAATTGTTGGGATGGTTATGTTCTGCCAATTCTGGTACTGGTACCCGCTGGCCCATTGTGCTTGTCTTGCCTTTGATCCAACGGGTATCATTGGCCTCACCGGTGACTTGAAGGTGATTATTCTACACTTTCTATCAATCTTGCTTATGTGCATTGTAGGCACCTAAATTCGAATTCGTCTCCAACGCACGCCCTAGTCTGTTTGCCTATCCTGCATCCACAAAACCACCCAAAAAGGAGGCCGTGTCGAAGGTGGCTACTGCAGTATTGTCAACAACGGCAAAAGTCAAAGCCAGAGAAAAGAAGAAGGCCGCGAACGAGGACAACACGATGGAGACGGTGGGCTTTTTTTTATTTTGCTTCAATGCGCAACTGATCCAGTCTATGTAGGACGAGAAGAAAGAAGAAGCGGATGTCGAGATGAAGACGGAGGATGATAGCCAGAAGGAGGCTGGCGACGTTTCGCCTATCTTGAAGCCCACAAAACGGAGCGAGCCCACGTCCGAGACAAGACCAAACCTTTCTCGGGTGACACCGGCTCAGTTAGCCTACATATCCTTCCCGCCAGAAAGCCGATTCCAACCTGTCCGAGCTGTGTCTGCGAATCCGATTGCTCGAAGTAAACCTACGACTACTCGATCGACAGGCTCCGAAAAATATGCGGGAGGAGGGTGCATATTGATCATGGCGGATCGACAACCAGCAGAAACGGCAGAATACATCGAATTCGAGGTTATTCCTCCACCGGCTGATGTTGCCACTTCTTCAGCGCCACCAGCTCGTCCATCAGGACCGCATATTGCCTTGGACGAGTCTAGTGCGGAAGTTGGTCCTCCCCCGTCGTTCGAGGTTTGTCTATCAACGCGTTTTATTGACAACGACTAATAACTCTTGCAGTACCCTTTTGACAATGACGTTTAAAAATATTTTAGCCATCAATGTTCTCACGTAGATAATTTACAGTCACTCACGGAACCCCGAAGGATGGCTCGTCTCATGTCTGCTTTCCGCATTGCCATCTTGGACGATTACCAGTCCGTCAGCTTACGCTCTGCAAATTGGAGTTCTATCGCCCCGAGGGTCTCTGCTATTGATGTTTATAGCGACACTGTGTCTGAAGAAGACTTGTTGGTGAAGCGTCTGGCTGATTATGATATCATCTGTGCGATGCGAGAACGCACCAAATTTCCTAAATCGCTGCTCGACCGACTCCCCCGTCTTCGGTAGGTCTTGAACATTGCTCTGAATTTGTTCAATTGTGTTAATAGTCTTATTGCCACGACGGGAATGAGAAACTTGGCTATCGACGTGGAATATGCAAAAACAAAAGGTATCCTCGTCTCTGGAACTGGCCATGCTGGCGCATCTACATTGGAGCATATATGGGCTGTCAATTATCCAACTCATCCGTGGCTCTATGTTTAACTGGATGTAGATCATTCTCGCTACAGTTCGACACATCGTCCACGAGGATGCAAATATCCGAGCCAAGAACCCCCAATGGCAGACAGCAGTCCCCAGCGCCCTCCAAGACCAAACATTGGGTTTGGTTGGTGTTGGCCATCTAGGCTCTCGGACTGCAGCTGTTGTTTTCCATGTCTATATCACTAAAATCAAGTCTGACTGACATATGCTTAGATCGCGAAAGCTTTCAATATGCGGGTGGTCGGTTGGTCCCCCAATTTTACCCCAGAACGTGCGGCAGAAGCTGGCGTTGAATACGCAGCCACCAAAGCTGATTTACTTCGCCAAAGCGACATCGTTTCTCTCCACCTCGTTCTTTCGGAACGGACCCGCCATATCATCACGGCTGAAGATCTCGCATTCATGAAGCCCAGCGCTTTCCTCGTTAATACATCACGAGGTCCTTTGGTTGACGAAGTTGCTCTCGTTGAGGTACTAAAGAGCAAGAAAATCGCAGGAGCTGGTTTGGATGTGTACGACATTGAGCCCGTAAGTTGATGAATGACCGGAAGCATCGAACTGGTTTGTAAACCTTTTCAGCTTCCACTTGACCACCCTCTTCGAGATTTAGACAATGTGACATTGAGTCCTCACAACGGTTATGTCAATTCCAGCAACTACAAGGCAAACACATCAGTAAATCTCGTGGAAAATACTCATTATCATTATCATGTAGGCATTCTGGGAACAAACGGTGGAGAATATTGAAGCGTTCTTGGATGGAAAACCTATGAGATTGGGTGTAAATGGGGTTTTGTAAATCTGTAGTTGTGCGAGTCAATCCATCAAACTGTCTCGTGACAAGCGCGTCGTCCTTTCTATTCTCTCGCCTTCCACCATCCACAGCCAAATATGGACACCGAATCGCGCACGATGAAAGCCCGGAGGGACGGTATGAGAGTCTTCTCACTCTTTTTAACCACTAATAGCCAGATAGCCTACAAAAACAAGGGCGCCTTCAAAGACGAAGATCGTAGAAATCGGCGCAATGAACAACAAGTCGAAATCAGACGGCAGAAACGCGACGAGAATATTAGCAAGCGAAGGAACTTTTTGCCCTCAGCCGAGGGTGACTCGGATGATGAGGCTGCTGGAAGTGCAGTTGATATCCCAGTATGTTGCCCGCCTACCCTTTGATCAAAGGCATGAGTTCATTATTCTCCCTAAGCTTGCGCCGGATATGGTGGAAGGCGTCTTCTCGGACGATCCAGATCGCCAGTTGGACGCTACAGCACGCTTCCGCAAACTCCTGTCGAAAGAAAAGAACCCGCCAATTGAGCGTGTTATTGAATGTGGGGTCGTGCCTCGATTTGTAGAGTTCCTCCAGAAAGGCCATTCTATGCTTCAGGTATGTTTTTGTCTGTTGTCTAGCTATCGCTCACAACAAATCAAGTTTGAAGCTGCTTGGGCACTGACCAATATCGCGTCTGGCACTGCAGAACACACCCAGGTCGTTATTCGCGCCGGTGCAGTTCCCGAGTTCATCAACCTTCTCTCTTCTCCAACACTCGATGTTCGAGAGCAGGCTGTCTGGGCCCTTGGAAACATCGCGGGTGACAGCCCTCAATGTCGGGACTACGTTCTTCAACAAGGGGCATTGCGACCATTGCTCACATTGTTGAGCGAGCAACACAAACTCAGCCTTCTGAGGAACGCGACATGGACTTTGAGTAACTTCTGTCGAGGACGCAACCCTCAACCTCAATGGGATCTGGTAAGAGACTTGCTTTTTTATCTTATCCAACTTAATGATGATCGAAACTAGATTTCCCCTGCGCTCACTGTCCTCACTAAGCTCATCTACTCGTTGGACGATGAAATTCTCATTGACGCCTGCTGGGCCATCTCATACCTGTCCGATGGCACCAACGACAAAATCCAAGCAGTCATTGAATCAGGTGTTTGCCGTCGTTTGGTCGACCTGTTGATGCATGCCTCCACTTCAGTCCAAACTCCTGCTCTTCGCTCTGTTGGGAACATCGTCACCGGTGATGATCTCCAGACCCAAGTTTTGATCGCGTCAGGTGTTCTTCCGGCCCTTCTCTCGCTGCTTTCGTCGCCCAAGGAAGGAATTCGCAAGGAAGCCTGCTGGACAATCTCTAATGTCACTGCCGGTTCGCCGCATCAAATCCAGGCTGTCATCGACGCCAACCTGATCCCTCCCCTGATCAACATTCTCCAAAACGCAGACTTCAAGACGAAGAAGGAGGCTTGTTGGGCCATTTCCAACGCGACGTCCGGTGCTCTACAAGAGCCTAGCCAAATACGCTACCTCGTCTCGCAGGGCTGCATCAAGCCGTTGTGCGATCTGCTGACGATGATGGACAACAAAGTTATCCAGGTCGCGTTGGATGGTCTCGATAATATTCTCAAGATCGGAGAGGCCGACAAGACTGCGGCTGGGCCAGGTGGCGTTAATCAATACGCCCACTATATTGAAGAGGCTGGCGGCATGATCACGATCCACAACCTCCAACAACACGAGAATCTGGACATCTACAAGAAAGCCTTCAACATCATGGACAAGTACTTCCCTGACGAAGAAGACATTGATGCTGCCATCAATGCTCCGACTGTGGATTCCACTGGCTCATTCGCAGTAAGTAGTATATCGTTCGCGCCATCCAAACTGTTGACAATAACCACGATAGTTCCAATCCGATATGAACGCGCCACAAGGAGGATTCAACTTCAGCTAGGTAGCGGAAGAGGAACGAGTGTACTTGAAAAGCTGGGCTTGATGTCTTTGTGTACACCTTTGTTGTTACTAAATAGAATATTTTGGCGAAATTCATGTATTCTGACGGCGATCATCAAACGCGTGACTCACGATTTCTTTGCCCTCAACCTCAATGGACGCCGACTCTCGAACCTCCAAAGCGCGCAGAGATGGTAATTTCGCGTCATTCTTGTGTTGCAGTCTTATAATGTCTGTCCAGCGTACAAGAGCAAGGGTACCTTGAAGCAAGATGACTTGCGGCGCCGCCGTGAAGAGCAACAGGTCGAGATCCGACGCCAGAAACGAGAGGAGAACATTAGCAAACGAAGAAACTTTTTGCCTTCGAGTACTCCCGACTCCGATGAGGAGGTTGGCACCAGCAGTGCTTGGGAATCGCCGGTTTGTGGCTACTCTTTCTTTGACCTATTTGCCACTGTAACTAATTGCCACACAGCTTGCCGACGACATGATTTCGGGTGTGTTCTCTGACGACCCGGAGCGCCAGGTGGATGCGACGACCAAGTTCCGCAAGCTGCTGTCAAAGGAGAAGAATCCGCCCATCGAGCGTGTTATCGAGTGTGGCGTTGTGCCTCGTTTTGTCGAGTTTCTCCAAAAGGGACATCCGATGCTGCAGGTACTTGATTAAATTAACTGTTTTGGGGCATCGCTAACATCGGTTGTGGCTAATCTAGTTCGAGGCGGCGTGGGCCCTGACGAACATAGCTTCGGGCACGGCTGAGCACACACAAGTTGTGATCAACGCCCAGGCTGTTCCCGAGTTCATCAACCTCCTTTCTTCGCCCTCCCTCGATGTCCGCGAGCAGGCCGTCTGGGCCCTTGGAAACATTGCGGGCGACAGCCCCCATTGCCGGGACTATGTCCTCCGTCAGGGGGCACTGCGGCCGCTGCTGACTTTGTTGAGTGAACAACACAAGCTGAGCATGCTGCGCAACGCGACGTGGACTCTGAGCAACTTTTGTCGCGGGAAGGCGCCACAACCGGAATGGGATCTGGTAAGCTAATTTTTTCTGTAACATCATCACCCGCTCACCTCGTGCCCCAGATCTCGCCCGCTTTAACTGTTCTCACCAAGCTTATCTACTCACTCGATGACGAAATCCTTATTGACGCGTGCTGGGCGATCTCATACCTGTCTGACGGCTCCAACGACAAGATCCAGGCGGTCATCGAATCGGGCGTCTGCCGACGACTGGTTGATTTGTTGCTGCACAATTCCACATCGGTGCAGACGCCCGCGCTGCGGTCTGTGGGGAATATTGTGACGGGTGACGACCTGCAGACCCAGGTGATCATTGCGTCCGGGGCGCTTCCCGCGCTTCTGCAGCTTCTGTCTTCGCCTAAAGACGGCATTCGCAAGGAGGCGTGTTGGACGATCTCGAATATCACCGCTGGGTCCCCCCAGCAGATCCAGGCCATCATCGATGCGAATATTATACCCCCGCTAATCAACATTCTGCAAAACGCAGACTTCAAGACGAAGAAGGAGGCGTGCTGGGCTATTTCGAATGCGACGTCTGGGGCGCTACAAGAGCCGAGCCAGATCCGCTACCTGGTGTCGCAGGGGTGCATCAAGCCTTTGTGCGACCTGCTGACGATGATGGACAACAAGATCATCCAGGTCGCGCTGGACGGGCTGGACAACATCCTCAAGATCGGCGAGTCGGACAAGGCGGCGGCGGGGCCGAGCGGGGTGAACCAGTTTGCGCACTATGTCGAGGAGGCGGGCGGCATGATCACGATCCACAACCTGCAGCAGCACGAGAATCTGGATGTTTACAAGAAGGCGTTTAATATCATGGACAAGTACTTCCCTGAGGAAGAGGACCTCGACGCGGCGTTTAGCGCGCCGACGGTTGACGCGGCGGGGGCTTTCCAGGTGTGTGGTTTTTTTTTTACTTGTTACTAAAGCTGATTCGTGGGGCAGTTCACGGACGCGAGTGTGCCGCAGGGAGGGTTCAGTTTTGGCCGGAATTAGTTGTAGTGTTATCTAATGTGACATCTTGAGTTGCTTTTGACGTTGATGGCGTCGCAAATCCTGCCGCTGGGTACGCTGTTGTTGCTGGAAAAACACGACGCTGGAATTGTGAACAGAGCTCATCGACAAGTGCATCGGGTCGCGGATCTGGGTGGTGATGAAGAACGACCGGGAGTTCACGGGGACGCTGCTTGGGTTTGACGATTTCGTGAGTGAGTGCGGGATCGGGCTGGTCTTGTGGACTCGTTAACATGGACAGACATGGTGCTGGAGGACGTGACTGAGTAGTGCGTGGCTGCTAGCTGACTGACTTTGTGGTACTGAACTGGGGCAAGCGAAACGACGGCGGAGGGGCGCACGAAAAAGAGCCTCGCGCAGACGCTGCTGAACGGGAACAATATCTGCATGGTGGGCACCTTTCTTCTTCTCCCTTACTTTGCCCTTATGCCCCGCCAGCTGATCCCCGGGAGCGACGGGCCCGACGCGAGTAGTTGATTTTGTCCAATATTATGTAACCACCTCTTCTTTACTCTTAACCACCACCACCACTACAATGCCAATGCGGCTGCGGCTGGCGCTGCACGGGCGGGCACACGCGAAGGTGTTCCACCTGGTCGCTGTCGACGGGCGGGCGCGGCGGGACGCGCGGCCCGCGGAGCTGCTGGGCGTGTACAACCCGCATGTCCAGCCGGGCCAGAAAAACAAGACCGTCCAGTGGAGCGTGGATAGGATAAGGTATTGGCTGCATGTGGGCGCGGTGCCGAGCGGGGCGGCGGTGAGGCTGCTTGAGCTGGTGTGTCTTCTTGCATTTATTTATTAGTGCTGACTTGAAACAGGGGAATATTTTGAAGCCGGGGTCGGTGTACCACCCGCGCGAGGGCCAGAAGCAAAAGTCGCAAAAGCAAAAGTTGCAGCCCCCACAGACACTAGCGGACATCCGCGAAAAGCTCGCTAACCAGCCATAATATACTACTCTGAAGCCAACATGCGTACAATCCCGTCGTGCCCCGCCGCCTCTGCGAGCTCTGCCGCCGTCAGCCCGTCCTCGTCCTGCGATTTTAGAATTTAGAAATAAAAAAATGAAAAATAATATAATGCACCTGGATGCTGCGGTCCGCGCCACGCTGCAGCAGCAGCTGGACCACCAGCGTGTGGCCCCGGTCCGCTGCAAGGTGCAGCGCCGTGTAGCCCTGTCTTCGTAAGCAAACACACAAATAAAATAATTAATAAAAACACACGAATTCGTCGCGCGCGTCCCAGTCGACGCCTGACCCATCCAGCAAAGCAAGCTCGTCCGCCCGATTCGCCACCGCCAGCCCGTGCAGACTGTTGTCCTGCACAGCCTCGGGCCGCGCCATCGCGCTGACCGCTGTGCCCATTCCGCTGCCCCCGCCTCCGCTGTCTTCGTTATCCCAGTTGTCGTCTTCCCCAGTAGAAGGTCCCCTCCAGCCGAGACCCTCCGCAATCGCTATATACCGCGCCTCCGCCTCTGCCCGGCTTGCGACTGCCCCGCCCGTGTTTGCCCACGCGTCCCACTTTGCCCTGCCCGTCATGTCGAACAGCGACGGCCGCGCCGAGGTCGGCCGTGGGCCCTCTTTCACGTGCTACAGCTCCAGTTTCGTCGTCGACGCGTTCAAGCGTATTAGTCTTCAAGTTTTGGAACGCGAGTCTTCGGCGTCACGGTACCGCGCCGATCGATCACGCTTCAACCACGCGTAGGACAGCACTTTCTGCGGAGACAATCAGCACGAGCATCAACATGGCGACAAACGACAGCTCACCAACGACGAGGACGATCTGATCCCTTTTCCTCTGGCATACTAAGTTGCCCATGTCAAACGGCCGCGCGTGCTGCTCCACCGACGACAAATCTACCACCACGAGTCGGTCCTGCAACCGGAGTTCGGGCCGACAGCAAGTCGGCGCAAACTGGGCAAGTCAGTCAGCCTAAGGACGGCGGCGGCGTAATAACAACTCACCGACAAGCAACCACATCCGTTTAATTGCCTCCACAGCCCCACCAACTTGTCGTCAACGACAGTCCACCAGATGCCTTCAAGCGCAACTCGCGCGACACTGTCTACGACAGCCAACGCGAATCAGAAAAACGGCGACGACAAATCAAGCGGACTTACCTCTGCTCAACGTGTTTCTCTGGCCGATGACCACCGCGGCAACAACCCAACGCGACGAATGAGCAAAGACAACGACCAACAACGCCGAGCCAATAAAGCTGGACTGGAACAGGTCAGGCAACATCGGAAAAGATGATATCGACAACTCACCTATCAACAGCGACAAGTCCGGCCCCGCGCGCAGAAGTATGCATCGCGCCAGAACGGGACAACTTTGGAGGTCGGCTTGAATAAGTCAGGCAACGTCTAAGCCAAAGACGGCAGCAACGACAAGCCCGGCCCATTTGGCGCCGAAAGCTTTTGGCCATGGTGAGAACCCGACATTGCGCGATGAATGATAACTCACCAAGACCAGATTTAAAGCCTGCTTCGGCGCTCTTGAAGAAGGAGGCAACGCTCGGCTGACAATATCTTGAAGACTACTTCAGCAAGATGCCGAGCCAACCAAGAAAACGACTCACCTTTGCCGTCTGTTGCGATTACAACTCCAAATAACGCCGAGTCCGGCCTGCTGAACGCGCCGAATACTTCTGGTCAAGGTGAGATCATGAACTTACGCGAAGAATGGGATGACTTACCACGATTTGCAGCCCTATCGACGCGAATATTTAGCAAGATAACAAGAAAATCAAACGGGCCACTCACTTTTGGATGGCAAACAACGCCTCCAGCCGCAAACGGATCACTGGAAGAGGAGGAGAAACGAATTTCGTGGGCGGGAGGGATGACGATGGAGACGAACAGCAAGTCCGAGAATGGCTGGAACAAGGTCAGCATGGGGTTGTCTACTGTTTTGAGTTAATGCTCACCAAAGACAGTCCCCCGCGGCCCGACAACGACACCGACAATGTGCTCGCTCTTCCCGCCAACTCAACGCGACCAACGCCAATCAAAATCGCGCTCACTTCGACAGCCGCGGCGTGTTAGCCTCCTCAATGATGGAACGAACGCCGTCCTTGACGCCCTGTCTGCAACGGCCACCAGCCGAATCCAAGCAACTCGGCGCAAACTGGGAAAAGTCAAAACAGACACAACAACGCCAACATCCGCACTCACCATTGCGGAACACACGTTCGACGCAAAGCTGGTTGTCGCCGCTGGATTCCCGAGCGCGGCAGAGCTGGCCAACAAGACGAATCAGCAAGACGGGAAGAGGATCAGGATGCCGGCGTACCTTTCCGATGCTGGAGCGGCCCAAGTAACGCAGAACAGCAACTCCGGTCAGCAGCAAATCAAGAACCTCTCAACCGCCGTGATTGAGGCCGTAGACGACAACGACCACGAGCGCGGCAACAACTAGCCGACGCGAATATTTAGCAAGATGACAAGAAAATCAAAAAGGCCACTCACCGGTCACCTGCCGACAACGACCAGCACAAGTTAGAATGAGGAAGACGACGGGCACGACGACAGCAACATTGTCAGCGTCAACTTGGAGGAGCAGGAGAGTGGGAGAGAGGGAAAGGGAGGAGGGGATTGATGGAAATGCCGACTTGGGGCTGGGTTTTATACCCAGTGCCCGTCGGCGCTCGGGACAGGCACGTTACGACATACACGGGGATCGCTCTCCGGATACACGCATCATACCTGGGCGATCTCGCCACTGCCGGAATTGGCGTGGAATCCGATTTTGTGCCATTTAGAGAGCTTTCCGACGATGTATTAGGCAAATAGCTGATGAGAATACATGAGGTATCATGCTACTGCGTGTTCAGACAAGTTCCAGACCTGAGAACATGCTACAATGCACCAAGGTTTGAGAAATAAAGACGGGAAGTTGGAAGAGAAATACGACATACCTAGACAGCGGAGCGCCCAGATTTTCAAGCGAGTGACATCAGGGGTGATGTCCCTTGATGCCCAGTACGTTTCATCCCGAGATGGTGCGATTTTACCGCTGAGAAATACAGAACTTTGGGGTGTTAAATGAAATTACGGCGGAGTAAAGCATTCGTTGGGGAATCGGAAGCGGCGAAGTGGATGGTATGTGTCACCACGTGAAGCGCTGAAAATTCGGAGGGAATCGGCCGACTTCCTGGCCCAGAATGCCAGGAATAAGCAAAACAACACACCTTCGGAAAATCATATATTTCGGGGCTGATTTCCCTACCAACGAAAGCCTGAGTCGACGGAGTGATTACGTAAGCACGTCCTCCTGAAATTTGAGCGAAATCAGAGCATTTCTCGCTATAGAATAGCAGTTGGAATGAGAATTTCCGTTTTTGGCCGCAGGCGTTTGCCCGCGATAAGGTCACGTGACCGGCTGGCGGAGCCCGACAAAACCCGTTTGCCTTATGAAACTTTTTGACAGCTGCCTAACTGTCATGGCCCAAGACTGCCGTGTGCCTACTTTGATTTCTGAAGTGCTTCAATTGGGAATGGCCACATCAAGTAGATCACATGACAGATTCCAGGTACTCTAGCTGATAAATTTTAGCCTTGAGGATGACCCTTATAGTCTTTTACCTACTTTTTGTTGTCAGCCTGTCAGAATTATAACTATTCATAATATAGTACTAGAACTCTCAAAATTAAAACATATTAGAACTTAGTCTTAACAAGTATCCTGAAATTACACTTGTATTGTATCTGCCTTGTCTTGCTTAGTCAGCATTTGCATACTGCATTATTTAGCTCAACTAGTGATGGCCAAGTCCAGTTTGGTCCAATTTGACTGAACACCAGACCACTGGTTTGGTTTAAAACCTGGATTTGACGAACCTGAACACCAAACCCCAGTTCAAACCAGTCCCGAACCGGTCTTTTTAAGGCTGAACCTGGCTGAACCGGTTTGGTTTGGAAGGGAGTTTGGCCAAACGCAAGCACTAAATCTTAGTTTAGGTTTGAACTGAAAATCCGGACCAAACCTGGCTATCACTAAGCTCAACCAACAATGTCAAACCCTGGGTTTAAAAACCCTTTTTCTTCGCCCTTTAAACCTTTTATTTTGGCCCTGGTTGATAAGATAAGACAAGGAGGAGATAAGATGGACGATAAGATGGTGATTAGATCATCAGATGTCGATGCTGATGTTGATTGACAGCGTGGAGTTGGACATGAGGCAAACAGCACGTAAAGGCATGGCTAAAGTATGACGTCATTGCCTCTCGTATTAGGCATGGTAAACACATGGTAGTAGTGTATATAAGTAGAGTAGATTTCGTCTTGTACCCCAGTCTTCGAATTGCATCATCTTTACGATATCTTTTCACGGTGCTTCTTGCTTGCCTTCACTGGCCAACTGGCATCCTCTGAATTGGTGTTGTTTGTGACATAGTCGAAGACTACCCTCCTACCCTCGTACCTTCCTACCTCCTACCACCTACCCAAACCCCTCCCCCTACCCCGTTACTATCGCCAAATTTCCCACGCCTTTTTCCCACGCCCTCTCCCCTTCTGCTCTAGGTCGTTGCTCTAGGTCCTTTTGCTCTAGGTTCTTTTCTTCTTGGCTAGGTACACTCGGAGACGACAATCCAAGGGACCCACTCGAGAGGACACGCGCCGTACTTGCAAGAGAGACGTCTGGCCCAACCCAGGTGCTTTCGTAGAGTCATAGCTGCTACAAGGAGCGCAGGGGCAATCTTCGGAGAACCCTAGTTCGTCCAGCGGGGTGTGTCGTAGAAGGCCCCGGTGGATTCCTCTCACGCAACAGGTCTCTTGGACCCCCGACAACGGACTCTCCGGTCCATCCTCTGTGGCGCTCTCCGCGCTTTGATCCCTGACCTCTCGTCAGGGGCTCCTTCTGAGGAGTCTTCAAGAAATTCTACACCCCGCTCTCTCTCCCCTATTCCCTCTCCATTCAACCACTTTTACCTTGACTCTCTTCCTCC